GGGGGGGGGGGGGGGGGGCCACGGGGGCGTTGTGTGGCCAGGCCGTACGGTACGGAATACCGAGATTTTGGTCCTGTTGTGTACGAAATGGTAAAAGGGAATACAATAGTACCATTGACTTGTTTCGACGATCCCCATGCAGGAGACTACGGGAACGCTCGAGTCCTCGACCTTGCACGAGTTCGGAAGGAGTTTGCGGTGGAAAAACCCAAAAATGAAAATACAGTTTCCTTAATAATCATAATCATCTGGCAATCAACTTAACAAAGTGGCTCGGATACGGGGGATACGAGAAACTCTGTATAGGCACTAACCCACTGCTAACAAATTACCGGACTGCCAGGCATTCCTGGGCAATCTATATTTAGCCTTCCAGCTTACAGAGTATAGGGAGAGGGATAGGGAGAGGGAATTGGATGGGCCTCTGGAAGGAGAGAGGAAAGGGGGGGGTCAGAGAGAATAGAGAGTGTGTGAGTGAGAGAGAGAGAGAGAGAGAGAGAGAGAGAGAGCGTGTGTGAGAGCGTGTGAGAAGTCTACCCATGCACGAGTTATTTCCCTTGGAGAGTACGACTAACTTGAATTACTCCCTACTACAGCACGGAGTACGTGCCGTAGAAACCCTTCGAGTTTCTAAATGGTGTATCGAGGGTACTCCATACAGTTACCTCGTATTGAAGCACGAAGTACTTCATCGGCTATAGACTCAGACACAAAACTAGATGCATGTGAAGAGACTCGGTACACCTCGTCGAGCCCAAATGTGACGTGCACCTGTGCAACGAGTCACTCCCCAACACGTCAAGTGTCGACTCACACTTGAAAGCCACAAAATGCATGTTCAGGGCCTGTTGCGGTTGCTGCAACACAGGCTATGCCATGTTAAGGCAGTGCACTTTTTTTCAGCCTGGTGTGGTCACACTAGTTGGGCTTTTCAAAAGGACCACAGTCCGATGCAAATTCGCATGCGGATGCATGCATGGGCTTTTTTGTGTGACTGGCCATGCAGAACCTAATTGGTGTCAGACCGATGGAGACAGTGGCCCCAAGAATGGCCCAGACCACGAGGAGAGGGGGTGCGATGCAAGAACTGCGACTCGTATTTGTACACTTGACTTGTCACGTCTGCCACACTACCAGCGATAGAGGAAACGATCAACGAGTGCCGAGTCCTGCAAAATCAAAACAAAAAATCCCAGTGGGCTTGCGAAAGGATTCGACATGACTGGCCTTGTGGATATTCAAAGGGTGCTAGATTCTCAATTGCTGACCAGAGTGACCAATCACCATAATGTTCGGATAGGAACCTGCATCCGAATGTGTAATCATGGACCGCAGAAGGCGGGCTGACAAGAGTGCAGGATGCATATGCACCTGGACTGGATCTTGTCCAACCAAGGCTCGACCAAACAGACTGTCGAAAACACGACCGCTTGGCTTGTGCATATATGAGCGTGTCACGATGACATCCTTGGGTTGTTGATCGAAGTTGTACACTCGGACTTGGAGAGACGCATGGCCATGTGACCCGTGATACGAGGTCTGGAATGCTGCCATAGCTGTTTATTTTTGGCTTCTTGACACGCGGCCAGGCAGCAAAGAGAATGTTATTCGAGAGTGGTGACGGCCATTCCATCAAAAGTACGCAGGGGTTCACATCGGAAATGCACTGTCTTTTTATATCACCCCAACAACCTCAACGGCCACTTCCCGTCGTCACTGTTCTTCAGCCGACAGGGATTGATATCGGTATCCGTCTCGATCCCGGCTGATCTTGAGGCATGTCGGCATGTGCAGAAGATGTCCACGGCGATCGCGAACAAACTTGGCGTACAATGCAGCAGAAAGATAAACTGCCACTAACGAGATGATGGCAGGGTATCGAAATTGAGCAGGTTTTGGGAATACGATGGTGGTTGCAAAGGTACAGAGTTCGAAGAAATTCTGCACCGACATCTCGACCGATGAGAACGAGCCCCGATGAGACGCGGTGATGGATTCTTGAATGATCAATTGGGCGCAGAGGTCAAAAGACCAGAGGCCAATTCTTGACATGATTACTCCAGCGACGAATATTGCCGTGACAGTGTAGGCTGATCCCGAGAACCCGATCCAAAGGACCCCAACGGCGGAGGTCAGCCACAGTATCTGCCAGGACAAAAACCAGATGCCTGCTCGCACTGGGCCGATCCTGGACATGACTCTGGGTGCTAGGAAAGTCGAAGAGATTTCTGAAATGGCCGAGGCTGTCCTGAGAAGTCCTACTGTGGTCGAGGTAATCTTTGGAGACGGAAGAGCAAGAAGATAGGTTGTCATCTGACCAGAAAAGGACAGGACTGTCAGGTACAGGACGGACAATGCCAGTGAAGGTAGGAATGCTGTCTGCCGGACGTAAATTCTGGCCGACTCAATGATGAAGCCGCCACATCGTGCAAACCTCGATCGAGACTCTGGCTGGCTTTCTCTCGAGGACTGATCGACTTCTCCGTGGTCTTGTCCACCGATTTGCGAAGAATCATCCCGATCAGCGAGAGCAGGAACTTGATGGAAGACCCTTGCAATGAGGAAATATTCGATACTGACTGACAGTGCATTCGTGACGAGAGTCGACCATACCGCGACCCTGGGCGACCATCCATGCAGCAAGGCTATTGACAGCGGCGAGACGAGCTTGCAAAAGAGGTCGATGCGCCTCATCTGCGCATTGAGCCGTCGAAGCATCAAGTCGTCGTCTCCAGCGATGACAACCACCCAGTCTCTTTCCACTGCGACAGTGTTCATTATCGAGCATAATTTCTCCACACATGCAAACACAATCAGCACGACAAGCAGCAATGTCTGCACATGTCTTGAAAGTGCCTCCTTTGCCTGGTATAAGAGAGCAAATACGGCACACGAAGCAGCCACACTGGCTCTTTGGCCAAGAATGGAAATGCGGATGGTGCTTAAGCGGTTGTTGGAATCGATAAATTTTCCTACGGTTGGGGAGAGTGATATGGCTGCTAGAGCACGGACCAGTGCATATATCGACATGGGGAGAAGTGTCCCAGGATAGACGGTCGCCAGGAAGAGAACCGCACCAAATTCGAAGCCTCGAGCATTCCACATTGACAGTAGATGAGAGACATAGAGTGAACCGGCCAGCTGGTTGGAACCCATTCTGCCCCGTGTGGATTTTCCGCGTCCCCCGCTGTCTTTCTCAGAGTCAGGCTTGTTTGTCGTGGAATGATAACTTCCAAGATGAAGGAGAGTCGGTAAGCCACACCATTAAGTGCAGCTAGCGCCCGATAAAAAGAAGAGTCATACGAAGGAACAATGTAGATACGGAGTATGAAGGGGTCAATTTGAATTAGTGGAATGATTCGGAGATACAATGTTCCAAAGCTGCTAACTTGAGTTTGATGCTCCTCGCTGGCCGCTTTAAAGCTGCTTATCTCGTATCGAAGAGCCTTCCCCTTTTCTCTCCTTTTGACACCACGATCACCACTTGACATTGCATTGTTGAACTGTAGCTCGCGCTGTTAGGTGGTTGTTCTTTTGTGCATCGGCAAGTTTGTCTTGTCTTCCTCTGGTTGTGATACCCGGGGAAAGGGGATACATGCCTGGCCTTGCAAAGAGCCAATTACCACGAGGGGGCTGCAAACATAATTCTGGGGGACCTCAATCGTCCATACGTTGTCTATTTCTTCGGCGAAGACGCAAGGACTCCGTCTCTGTTACAGTTGACTGCCCCATGTCCGCGCTGGCTGATATGCTAACAAATCTACGTTTATCAAAAGCCGATCTATGGAACTACCACTTTCTTCCCTTGAGCCTGCGGTACCATGAACCCGGAAAAGAACTTATCCAGCTCATCGTACGCGTCCACCGGACCGACATAGGACACGTACTGATCAGGTCTAAGCACGACAGAGCAACCGGCGGGATCGATGCCGAGATTCTCGTAGATATGCCCATGCCCTTCGTGGTACGACTCGTCATCGACGAAAATCTTCCAATAATCCCACCCTTCCACCTCGTCAAAGTTTCTGTAGACTTCCGGGAAATCGAAGAATGAGACCTGTGTTCTAGGGGCGTTGTGGACGGCGAGAACTTCAAATACATCGTCGTACCGTCCCGCGCTTGGTGTGAAACGTTTCAGGAAGGAGTTTGGCGCGGCGAGCTTTGCGCCAATGTTTTTCAATTTCGCTGCTTGTTCGGGGTTTGTGACGTCGCCGGCGAACGTGATGATGCGCCATCGGCCGTTCGATCTGAGGAGTTCTTGAAGGTGGGAAGGCCGGGCGTCGGATTGGTTGAGCACTTTGTAGCTGGGGATGCGTTTGCCGACTTCAATCTTGGTTGCGAGGCTCTGTGTCGACACGACTTGGAAGTCTTGGTTGTGCACGCCGACATCGGTTCCGTCACCTTGGTCTGTAGAGCTGCCTTGTTTTGCGACGATCAGACTTGAGCCGTAGTTAACAGCTATAGGCCCAGAAAGGAGTATGAATCAGCACATAAGTTCTAACTCGGGTCTGGTAATGTTCCCTTTATTTATTTTTCTTGTCTTTTGGAAGAGGGTTCGGTAGGCGTTGCATATCAAAAACTCACCAATCCCACTTGCAAACATATTGCCCTTTTCAAATGCGTCCTTGAATTCCTGGATACTGATTCCTTCCTCGTCCATGACATCCTTGGCTGGCCGGCCGGAGAAAAGACGGGAGAATTTATGATCGAACGCAATCAGGTCTTGTGCGATTCGACGTCTTTCGGATTGATAAGTCTTCAAGATGTCGTGACTTGCTATACCCTTGACGACATTGGCAACTTTCCATCCAAGGTTGTACGCTGTGTCAAAATTAGAACTTCTGAGTCCATACCTTCAACTATTCCGCCGATTGTTCTATCTCCCATGCAGATGACTGCCTGGGAAAGAGAATGGATGCAAAGACTCACCATCTTGCATACTGACATTCATTCCCTGACCTGCCTTGGGACTGGACATGTATATGTCAGCAAAAGAAGGAGACGCAGAAAATTTATCTAACGTCTTACCTGTGGGTGTGTACTGCGTCTCCCGCAAGGAAGATTCTCTCGTGGGAAGAGAACTGCGTTCCGACCCGTTGCCCAATCTGGTAAGCAGTCCACCAGTCGAGTTTGCGATAGTCGAGTTTATAAGGTGCAATGATGCGTTGTGCGGCCTGCAAGATAGTCTGGGGTGTGATTTTGGATCGGTCGGCTCTGGCACCAGCACCGTCACCGACCTTCTCCGTGGTCGTTAGCTGGATATACAGGCGGACAAGCTTGTTCTCCCGCGGGATCACCATCACACTTCCGGCGTTGGCGGAATGAATGGCACATCGCATCCTGATATCCGGAAAGTCGGTAATAGGGACGATGTCGAGGACACCCCAGATGTAGTCTGTCGATTCGCCCTCCAACTTGAACCCCAGTTGATTACGCACCCAGGAATGTGCCCCATCAGCGCCGAGTACATATTTCGCCTGTATGACCTCTTCGGTGTTGGCTTTGCCATTGAGTTGCGCAGAAGCGTTCAACAGGTCCTGTGTATCGTCGGGCGCGATATTGCTTCGGAACAGTCCATCTTGGACAGAGGTTCCGTTTGTTGAGGTCCCAATCTGCTGCTTGGGGGTGGCTTCTTCCTCGCTGAGGTGCCGTAGAGTGACGGTTATGGGGTATGCGTCGCTGTCCTCCACAAGAGCCTCGTTGAGTTCGAGTTTGGACGGCATAACACCTCGCTCGACACGGATATCGCTGCAAGATTCGATTGAATCGAGAAAGAAACGCTCAATACGACCTTGATGGAGGACAACTTGTTGAAACCGACTGATTCCAGGAATTGTGTCGGGTATCCTATCGCTTCGACGAATTATGCCGTCCTTGTCCGGATTCCAAAGACAAATTTCCAGCATATGATTTGATTCGATCCAAGCTCGGTGAGCAAACCCAAAAGAGTCGAATATCTCTAATGTACGGCACTGGAGGCCGTCGGCTTGGCCATTGAAAATCTAATCGTCTATATCAGTGCCCGTCAAGAAATATTGATATCATGAATAAATTGTGTGCGCATGCGTACCTTGGTGCCGCGCTTGTCGCATATTCTGGTCTTGATTCCGCATTTGGCCATCCACTCTGCCATCATAAGACCGGCTGGTCCAGCTCCCACAATGAGGACGTCAACCTTCTCAGGCTCAAAGCCATTCGGCGTGCCGGCCGGAGCCATCATTGCTCAGACTGCTGGAGGCTAGTGTTTGTTACGAGAAATCTCGAATCCTCGACCGAGTTTGACTTGCTCAACGATGCTCAGAGAGGGGTGGTGAGCGTATACCTGTTACTGCATTGGCCAAACACATCTGAAGCATTTGTCAAGCTACTTATGAGAACTTATGAGCTGATGCCGTACATGCTCAGATATCATCCACCTCCTGCTGTAAGAGAAAGTGGGGTTTCGGATCGGATGCTTGAAGTGGGCAGATTTCGGAAGTCCTGTGGAGTCTCTGGAGGCAAATCTGGGGGTTTGGGGGTTGGAGTGCGGAAAATCCACCGCGATAAGTGACCGAGCCCTGGACTTTTGTTGATCGAGAGTGCGGTTCGTCCACCGCGGCAGAAAATCGAGGCCATATCCCACAGCGCTCCGCTCCGCTTGAGGAGGCTCTTCGGAGCTGTCATATTCTCCAAGGCAATACTTCCGAAGTGCGTGCTCTGTGGAACTAATTGTTAGAGGCACTGGTGCTAGGGTCCTCCTTGTCCCCGATCATCCAGCTACGATAGCCAGGAGCCACAATCAAGTCTGGCGAACCTTAGCCCAGGAAGGCTCAAAGTCATACGTGCTGGGCATTTAACCCTTGAATCACCAACCGGTGGAAGTGAAGATCGCGTTTCCCAGCCATGAAGTGTTCATCGAATGATCTGGGGGCATGCGGGTGGAGTTAGGAGTACCGTAAAAGACGTCGATTGAGGTGTGAAGAGCGTTCACTCACACACTCACGCGATATATCCCAACAGTGTTACCCCATGAAGCTCCGATGACTGCTTTGCAACGGCTGCTGTTTTGCATGCAGGCTGCTGTTTTGATGCAGGCTGCTGTTTTGATGCAGGCTGCTGTTTTGATGCAGGCTGCTGTTTTGATGCTGGCTGCTGTTTTGATGCAGGCTGCTCCCCGCCACAATCCATCTTTTTGGAGCCGGCAAGTCGAACACATCGGATCACTACCTTTGTGGCCATTATCAGACGACTCTGGCTGCAACTTGACTCGCTCATGTGACTTTCACAGAAATAATAGTCGTCCTCATCACTCGACCCGCATACATTCAGCCTCGAGTGCAATCATTAAAACGCAAAGTCGGACTAAGACTTCACCGGGCCCCCCGCTCAAGACAAGTCTGATCTTAGATTTTGATGCAGTCAGCACCATATATTGTGTTCCCAGATCCTCGGTGGAAGCGGCGGCTTATGGCCCAACCCCTTCATGGCAGAATCCTATTGGTAGTCATCTTATGGACGAAGCAGAGGTGGAGAGACATCGTTGGCGGTCTCGTGGAGGATAGGTCCGAAGGAGTGGCCCACTGGTGACAGCTTCGTCCATCATCCGAGAGAATGCCGGAAAGAATTGTCCCCCACGGGAGCGATGGTACCTTACCTGACCCAAAAGAAAAGGACACACTTCGGTATTTGGCCCATTGTTTTTAGGATGATTGGGATTGGCAGTGAGGGCAGTTTCGGGAGTATGGCAGAAAATATTTCTACACTTGATGCTCCCCAGAGTCGGCTCAACACTTAGGAAGTTGTAAGGAAAACTCTTGTAGATCGATGTTCAGTTCCTGGCAGGCTGCCAATTTACAGTCTCCATCACCAACATCCTCTCGTAGCAATGAACACCAGATCACTTCGCAGCAGGGTCACATAGAAGGAGCAAGTACAACGCTCAGCATCCATCAACCACAATTAATACTTACTCCGATGTAGAGACTGCGGGGTTCCATAGAGACAGGCCCGTTTCCACCTGTGGACGAGTTGTCGATACAAAGGACACCCCCGATATCCGGCGCCTCAATCGACGCGTGGAACGCCTCGGCCATTGGCACGTATCAGTATTTGCGTCCGCATTTAGCAGGACACTGTTATCGATGGATAGTCGTATGAGCAGCAAGACAAGAATCAGGGCCGACTTTGACTTGCCCACGCAAGTCAACTGATAGATCCAACACGGTGAACTCCTTTTCACCACATTAGATTCCCTCCTCTTTTCTTGTCCAGAAGGGGTTAGCGAGAGTCTAACGTGATAAAGCAGCAACTCACGCAACGCGTCCCTTAGCCCGTATCTGCGCATGCATGGCGTTGCGTACGGATACTGTAGCACCAACTTAATACCTTGACGGCTGCCATTATAGCTACCGTCTCCTCTCACAACGTGTCCAGTTCTAACCCGACTCTACGGTCGTTTGAGTCTGTTATTCCTCCGTGTCATCGAGCTTCACCGATATATACCCAGGGGTCCTGGTCCCGGTGTCAACTTACACCGAACTCAATAGGCCACCTTTACAATCATGACCAGCGGAATGTCTCACGATCCTTACGACGACGACCATGCGGTACTCGATGACGACTTTCTCAATGATGGTGCGCATCTATGCTAGCTCAGTATGAGCATGACTGACGGTCTCTAGAGGTTGAACCCGACGAGCCTGCATCTACTTCCGATCGAGCTCCACTGACAGGCAACATCCAATCCTCCTCAAGCGCACCCTTGAACCAAGGATACCTCACCTCAGCGATACCCGGTGAGGACCGACGATCACCTCAGAATACAATAGACGAGAGCGTCTGGGACACCGTGTCCCGAGATCTCTTTGCGGTATGGGAAAAGATGAAGCAGGTGCTGTGGCCTAAATATTTGCTCGGAGGTATACTGCAACGACAAGGCAGTGGTACGGGAGACACCGAAAGTCAAGGCTTCGGACGAGATCTCCGAGGCCTGGTAGGCCGATGGCCAGATGCAGACGGTATTCTGCAAGGCGGAATGAGCGACAGCCTTCGAGACTGGGATCTGTGGTGCGTGCATCCTGTCCTTGTCCACTTCAAGTCTATGGTAGCTTTGCTGACAAGGTACCTAGGGGCCCTCTGATTTTCTGCTTGCTACTGAGCCTGTTCCTTTCGATGCACAAGGAGGGCCAGAGCGATCTGATTTTCTCTGGGGTCTTCTGCTTGGTCTGGATTGGCGAGGCTGTGGTTACTGTCCAGATCAAGTTGCTGGGCGGCAACATGTGAGCATTTCCCCCGAAGTATACTGGCCGAGGATCTCTTCTGACTTTCTATCTCAGTTCGTTCATGCAGTCGGTGTGTCTCATCGGATATACCCTGTTTCCTCTGACGATTGCTGCACTGCTCAGTGCTTTCGGCCTTCCCGTGATCGCACGCATTCCGGTCTATATTGTGCTTGTCGCATGGTCACTGGCAGCAGGAGTCAGCATCCTGGGCGGATCTGGGGTGGTCAAGAACCGGGTCGCCCTGAGCGTGTACCCGTTGTTGGTATTTTATATTGGACTAGGGTGTCTCTGCTTCATCAGTTAGCTGTGCGGGCAAAGGTCTTGCCTGGCCGATCGGGCTCTTTGTAATGTTTGATGGCTTTCTTAGAATAATCCTATACCACACTAATGAACAAGTGCTTGAATCCGTGGCCTGACGCGATAGTTACTGTTGTCGAGCGGGGTGTTGATAATTGGGTGAATTTGGTTGTGCGGAGCCTGAAGTCTGAGCCCGAACCGCAATCAAATCGTCGACTATCACACACGCACGTCAACTTCGACATACCCTCAACTTGATGTCGATTACCGTTTCTCCTGCTTCTCTTTCTCTTCTCGTATCCGCATCTCCTCCCACGAGTCGACTGATAAGATCATCCCAGCAGTCGCTTCGCTGCGGCCTTTGTCCGCCAGCCTCTCGAACCGAAAGCGCTCTTCACACCCTCACTAGCCCTCGAACTTCACGTCAATCTCAGTTGAGGAGCGTTTGCAATCTCACTAAATTCCTCTCGCAACTCTTTTGAAAACCGCGTTATCGGTAACGTCAGCCCCGACTGATAATTATCTCGCGTCGAAGCCAGGACACTACCCCCGGGCATTTTCTGAAGGGACCCGGATCGAGCGCAACTTAACCATAAGAAAACACATTTGGCATCTACCGTCTCTGAACATCGGTATTGGCGAATCTATCGGCTAGACTGTCAAGAGAAGGCAAGTGACGAATAAAGAGGCGCTTCTCAAGGCATTCGGGTCTAAGCCGCGTCACAGTCGTCGGCACACAACATGGCTTCACTCGACCAGACTATTCCTTCCACCAAACAAGCAAGATTTGAAGATCCGGCCCCTCATGACAACAGCTCAGATGGCGAAAGAGAAGAAAAGACTACACGAGAGAAGTTGAGAGACACCACTCTCGCTAAAAACGACGAGACACCATCAGGCGACGCTACCACAAGTGATCTTGTGTCCGAGAATGGCGGTGACAGCGGGTCTAGAGGACGACCGTCCAAGAAACGATCGTTCGAAGACCTACAAGCTGAGGACTCTCCAGCAGGAGTCGAAAATGGCGGTCCTCCGCTGCCGAAGAAAGGCCATCATAAGAGGATGCGATCGAGAGAAGTCTCCGGCAATGATGAGGTCCAAGGACTCGACAAACTTTCTGACGTTGCAAGCCCAGTTCAGGAAGAAAGCGATGTGGAAGCACAAAAGTCACCCGGTGGTCCTGGTGTTCTTGTCTTAGCGCCTTCTAAGCATCATGGGGACGCGCCTAATGCTACAGACAAGTCCGCGGAATCAAGCACGACAGCCACCTCCGCGACCGCCGTTAAGGGTCAATCAGCATCGCAACCTTCTTTGTCCTCGGGTTTCGCCAACACAAGTACAGCTTCGCCATTCGGCGCTTTCAAGCCTGCCAAGTCGCCATCTTCTGAAGCCGAGTCTTTGCCACAGCCAGAGAAAGCCACCACAACATCAGCATTCGCATCCTCGGGTCTTTCTGCCTTTGCATCATCGGAAAAATCTCCCTTTGGTTCGGTGGGCTCAACGGCGAAAGCGAGCGGTGGTTTCGGTGGGGGTGGGGTTGGAAGCGGAAGCGGTTTTGGCGCCCCGTCTCCTTTTGCAAGTAAATCGTCGTCTGGATTTGGTTCTGGTGGTGGATTTGGTTCTACAACTGGGCATGGTGGAAGTTTCGGTATCCCGAAACCATTCGGATCAAGTGGCTCGTCGTTCGCCGCTCCTGTTGGCGCGGCTGGTACTTTCGGCAAATCCAGACCTTTCTCGCCAACAAAAGACGACGACGAAGGAAGTGAGAACGACGCTGATGGAAATGAGGAAGCCTCTGCTGTGGATGCCCCTCAAGATCCTAGGTTTAAGGAACAAGACGGTAAGCAGCACGATCTCAATGTTCCCTAGACAGAGAGTTAACGTATTGTAGTCGCGACGGGTGAAGAAGAGGAACAAACTGTTTTCACATGCAGAGCAAAACTTTACCATTTCGAAAAGGAATGGAAAGAACGTGGAGTCGGCGTGTTCAAAATCAACATTCGGTACGAAACCCAAACCGAGACAGACGCAGGCGAAGAGGATGTCGAAGCTGGCGAAAACGGTGACTTGGAGCGGAAAGGGAAAGCCCGTATCATCATGCGAACCGATGGTGTACATCGTCTTGTTCTAAACACACCAATTTTCAAAGATATGAATGTCGGAACGCACGACGGGAAAGAGCCAATAGGCAGAACGATGCACCTGACTGGACTAGAGGACGGTAAACCCACAGGCTATCAAATAAAGGTAAGTTTTGTATATCCTGGTCCAAATGTTGGCCACATTCTGATCTTTGTTTCTGTCTAGGTCGGCAAAGAAGAGGTTCTGAAAGATATCTATCGCCAAATTCAGGCACTCAAGAAGGAACTTTGAAGAGTGCCAGTGGCCGCGCCGAGATTACAAAGCAGGACAGATTTGAGCATGGGCCCTGAGAACTGGCTTCAATCGGGGTACATGTCAGAGTTTTGTTTGTCAGCTGGGAGGGAACATCCTCGATAGTGGGCTCACTTTCCACCCCTTGACAGCCCAGTCTGATTCGACCGTGGCTGGATGAGTGACGACTGCATTGGTATTGGGCGTGCATAGGAATAGCCGCAGGCAGACATGATCAACCTCGATGGGGCAACAAGACGAGGTGAAGTATTCTAATAGGCTTAGGATGACTTAGATGTCTTTGGTATAATGGTGCATCTCAATTGCACCGGGGCAGTTCGAGATACCACAAGATAAAATATGGATGAGAAAAGAGAAACATGTGAAGGTCCAGGTTGTTTTTGTGTCGTGCTTTAAATCTCATATGACTTCATATGATGATGGCTCATCCTGAAATAATACGAGGTCTCCATCTATTACATTCTCTCTTTTTTTTTTTTTTTTTTTTTTTGGCTTTCTTGCATCTCTCTTCTGTCGCCGTATTGACTTTATGTCTCGGTCAGTCGTATTTTTCAACGACAATCTGGACCGGGAAAAAAAAAGAAAATCATCAGCTCGACCGCGCAGATAATGACAACCTCGTCGTCGTCCTCAGAACGTCTCGAGGCGGAACTGTCTCTCTTGGAAGCCATGTATCCGGACGCGGTGACGTTCAACCCACAGACTCTCGAGGTGACGTACAAAGCGCGGCAAACGCCGTCTACGACGGTAAATACATCGACGAGCACCACGACGAAGACGGCGACCACGACCACGACCGCCGGCGCAACTCTCACCCTGCGCCTCCCAAACGCTTACCCTGACCACGGCGTTCCCGAGCTGATCACGGCATGCGACAATACGAGGACCGACGTGCGAGAGGCGACACGTCGCGCCATTGCGGAGCTCAGTCTAGACGGGGGCGTCGAAGTTCTCGACCAGATCATCGCGACGTTTGAGGAGGTTGTCGTGTCACCGTCTTCGTCGCCGTCACCGTCCTGTCGCTTGTCATCCGAGGGTTGTGGCTCTTCTCGCTCGACAGAGGCGACTCATGTCGATTCGTCCGAGAATACGAATCGAGACCACCGAAGCGACCGTGATAATGACATGGACGAGGACGACGATGCCAGTGGCGGCGGCGGCGGCGGTGGTGGTGGTGTCGACGCTGGTGGTGTTGGGAACGGGGACGGCGATGATGGTTACCGACCACCGCCGCAGCAATTCTCCAGAGTAACTGGGCCGGAGAAGCACAGTCAGAGTCAGAAGCAGATGCAGAGTTATGGGGAAAGACAGAACTTGAGGCACCGACGCCCGCCGTCAAAGACGGTGATAATATGGCTGCATCACCTTCTCGCGACGTCGAAGCGGAAGCTCGCCGTGTCCCAACCGCATGTCAATTCGAACTCGAACTCGAACTCGACGACCAAGACAGCGAAAGCGAAAGCGAAACCGACGTCGGCATCGCCACCGTCAGTATCAGCGTCGACAATATCGGGGATGACCAAACCCGGGTATCCTGGTATATTACTTTTTTCGGGTCCCCGTGACCTCGTGGATGCCCACGTCAAGGAACTGAAGGACTTGAATTGGCAGGCTTTTTCAAAACGCTACGATTCCGACGAAGACACGGATGTGAATAATATCATGTCATCGTCAAATACGAGGATTCATACGATGAAACCCACGCTCAAGACCAAAACCAAAACCAAAGAAGGTGGTGGTGGTGGTGGTACCATCGTCGCCGCTGATGATCATGAGCATGATCACGAGAATGGGGATGAAGGCGGCGAATGGCTCTTCACCCACGGCAGGCATAAAATCATCGAGGTCGAAAGCATGGCTGAGCTGGCACGGGGTATCGTTCGGGAGGATCACCGCAAGATCTTTCTATACGCTGTCGGTGTCAAATAAAACCAAAGAAGGGACATGAGATGATGAAGTGTGATGCGGTATGAATTTAGCAATGTGGTCAACGTTCTTTATGAGTCCTCCCCCTTTCCCGTAGGAGACCTGAGCCAACCCGTCTACTACACCGATCTGTACAGTCTATCATTGCTCCGAAATCACCCACGCATCAAGGAGCTCTAATTCGGGTCTGACACTGTCGTCTTCTCGGCTCTTAACAAACAACAGCAGTAGGCTGGACTGGCACCCTATGTGCATCCTCATCCTGACGCGTAGCCGACGCCTGAAAATCCAGATGCGTAGTTTTCACAGCGAATATCGGAATCGCTTGTTGACCCGGTCCGAGATATCGATGTCGATATCGGCTTCCTCGGGATCGACAGGCTCTTCTTGGATATCCGTGGACTGCGCCTGGGCAATGTCACGAGATCGGTTTTCCCATACCAGATAAAACCTCATCCCGATGATCGAGGCAATTCCTATGCAGAAACAGGCCAGAATGGCAGTAAAGGCCGACTACGGTGAAGATGACAGACGTTAGACTGGGGCCGGTGGACCGGGAGGGACGTCCTCGGTATCAGAATACGAGACCAAATGACTTTACCTCATAATGTGGCGCTTCCTCCGCCTTGAACACAAACGGGCCACCAATATTGCCAGCACAATACCCGACAAACAGAATAGCTGCAACGGTGGTTTTCTTGGTGTAGCCGGCGACATTGCTGGATATCAGGCTCAAGCCGAGAGGGAAGCCGACGCTATAGAGACCGGTGAGCCAGATACCAACGAGCCGGCCGTACTTGTGCTCGTATGGGAGCTGGCGGACGAGGAGGATGCCGATGAGGCCGAAGGCAAGGGTCAGCGCCATCAAATAGCAGCGGGAGTGGTGCACTTTGCTTGACACGTAGGCCGAAATCAAGACGACGACCCAAATGATTGCCGGACCAGGCATTCCGAGAAGAAGCGTCTGCAGAGTGTCGTAACCGAAGCCTCGAATGACTAGAGTCGAGAACTGAACCGGCCAAACATCATCAGTTTATTGGTTGGGGACCGCTTCATCCTCTGAGTGCGCTACCACTCCACTAGACGAGACGGACAGACTTACATTCGACACGCCACCGTTGGGCAGTGAGATTGAAAAGTTGTAGACAAAGAGCAACCAGGTTTTGGGGTCTGTCAAGGCCTCGATAGCCTGGCCCTTGTGCCATTGCTTAGACTTGTAGCTCTTTTGCTGAGCTTGTGGGCGTCTATACGCAACAGGCCGTTGTTCGTCCGAGAGCCATCGCGCGTTCAGAGGCGTGTCTGGTAAGGAATACAGCAGGAACGAGGCCCACAAAAAGGTGATCAAGCCGTAAATGATGAAGAGCCACTAGAAGGGGAATGTGTTAGCCAGTAGTACTTGGTGCAGTGCGGATGAGGCTGCATTGGCCACCGGAACTGCGTCCGACGACCGATCAACAAAGACCGACCTTCCATGGAGCAAGGCTATGCTTTATGTGGGCGATGGCATAAGCCACGAGGCCCCCAAAGACCGAGCCTAGTGCATTGCCAGAGAACCACAGACTAGTTCTGGTAGCATGCTCGGCAGGCGTGTACCACAGGCCAGTCACCAGGGTGAATCCGGGACTAATGGTACTCTCAAACACACCTAGCAACACCCTGAGTGCAGTGAGGGAAGCAAAAGACTTGGCTCCGGCGTGGCAAGCAAGGACGACTGCCCACAAGATCCTGTTGCTGCTTTCAGCCAACGTTATGATCAAGGAAACACGTCGGGGGCATGGCCTACATGCACACCGACAGGTATTTCCCGATCGGGAACTTGATGAAACCGAGTGACGCGGGATAGCTGGCGACCATGTAGCCGAAATAGAATGCACTCGAAGCCCAGGAGAAATCGTCATTGACGAGTTTCTCAGACCATCATTGTCAGCGTCATGGCCGTCTTTATTTTTGTGTCGTCGATTCTTCTTACAGTGTCCGCCGGAAGCCCCAAGATTGCAGAGTATGCAAAGGTGGTCTTGTCCAGAAATTGCAACATGTACGAGACCAACAACAGAGGCAGAAGGCTAGGGACACGACGAGTGAGCTCGACAATAGACACAAGTCGCGGGCAACAAGCGTACCAAAGATCAATCTTCCGGACCAGCGCCTTGTGGTTTGTAATCGATATGCCATTGTTCACCGAGTCCGCTTCAACATTGAAAAGCTTTGGCTTGCCGTCCTTTACCATGTCTGCTCTTTCCTGGTCCGTGGCATCTTGTTGAAGACACTCGTTTTGACTCCTCATTGCGTGAATACTTCTTTACTATGTCTGGAAATGAATAGAGTGGCGAGAGCTCCTGAGGCTGAGTGAGGGATCGACTTATATATCTCTGATCAGCCATCAAGGATGGTGGCCGGGGGTAGGCCCTTGAAAGAAACAATCGTAGATATCTACCCGCGCAGCGACACGCCAAACACGAAAGACGTAGCTTGTAAGTCTTCTCTTGATAGCATGTTCTCGCCAAGTCCCATAATCTGGTGCTGGCGAAGGGATTGAACTCATGGTGCTGTCAGGCGACAAAAGTCCACAGATAGGAGGAAAAGCAAGCTAACTGGAATTGGCAATAAAAACTTCGCTTCCACCTGCGTTGAGCACGAGCAATCGTGGTCGGACCTTGGGCGAGAGTTTGCGGAGTGGATATCGTTTCAAGGCTTATCTTCACCGATTGTGAATGCTAGACAAGACCCGTCTTTTGTCTTGACATACAGGTGGAAGCGAAGACTTTATCCCCAATTCCAGTTAGCAGCTTGCCTGGAAAGCTAATCGTTCGTCGCCAGCTATTTTATATCACTACCTACTCCGTAATTCATATCAGCGTATACGATCAGAGAGCGCACCGTTTTCAAACCTTGTCTTGTGTTTATCGGCATTGGGACGTTGGCTGCTGATTTGCACACACTCTGTAACCGCTCGATTCCATGAATAACCGCCATTCTCGTTCGGCTGGTGTCAAACAAGGGTTTCGAACAGCCTAAGGTTGCCCAGAAATGCGTCTTGTTTGTGGTCTGTCGACTTCGTCTCCGTGGCTCTCCGTTTTCGGTCCAAAGACCAAATCAATGGTGGAGAAACCAGCTGATCTCCTGTCTAATACCAAGGTTGGTAAGCTAGAGCTTCGGAAGTGTTATTTGTATTTCACTTACTCGGTGGAAACTAATCGTGTTCATTCCTGCACTCGACTCCTTTGCTTTGTTGCCGTGGATCAATTTCAGTGATGCATCTTTTCAACGAGTTCACGACCATGGAGACGATCGTCAACGCTGCCTTCGCAGACATCTTGATCCCAGGAAGAGGGGATCCGATCAAGAACGGGGCGGTTGTCTGGCAAGGCAAGACCATTCTTTATGCCGGAGCGCAGTCCTCGCTGCCAGGGCAGTACAGCCAGCTCCAAGCCGAGACGTTTCCAATACTGATGCCTGGAATGTGGGATAGCCATATTCACTTCCTTGGGGCGACAGCTGGTAGGATGGAAATGATTGCATCTACCTCCCAGACTTTGGCCGGCGCAAGGAGTGTGCAGAACCTCCATGACACTGTGATGGCTGGGTTCACATCTGTTCGAGAGGTGGGAGGTTACGGATGCGAGCTGTCCAAAGCAATCGACGAGGGCCACGTCGTAGGACCCAAAATATATTCTTCGCACAGTGCCATCAGTATGACAGCCGGCCACGCTGACATTCATTCTATGAACCTTCAACACATTCATGACCTGTGCGCCTACGGGCTCCCGCTCGCAATCGTCGACGGTGTCTCGGAATGCATCAAAGCTGTGCGGCTGCAATTGCGACATGGCGCCCGTGTGATCAAAGTCTGCGCAAGTGGCGGTGTCGTCAGCGATCTTGACGACCCCAAGCACCAACAATTTTCACTCGAAGAGCTGCGAGCAATTGTCGAAGAAGCCCGGCGTGCAGGACGTGCTGTTGCTGCTCACTGTCACGGCAAGGCGGGAATTATGGCAGCGCTTGAGGCTGGCTGTCACACCATCGAGCATGGAAGTTATCTTGATACCGAATCCGTCGATCTTATGGTGAAAAAAGGGGCCATGCTCGTGGCCACTCGAAGCGTGATCGAGAGTTGTTTGGCCATGCCAGAGATCTTCCCACCCAGGGCTTACCAGAAGATGCTGTCGGTAGCAAATGCACATGCAGAAGCGTACGCACTTGCAATCACTAAAGGCGTCAAAATTGCACTTGGCACAGACATATTTTTGGCCTCCTCGTCCGGTCCGCTGACTTATGGGAAGAACGGTCAGGAGCTCATGTATGCTGTCAAGGCTGGAATGACCCCCTTGCAGGCGATTGAGGCAGCGACGGCGAATGGCCCAATGACCCTGGGAGAACAAGCACCTCTGTCGGGCCAGCTGAAGGAAGGCTATGATGCGGATATGATCGCCTTGTCTGCCAATCCTCTGGAAGCAATCGAATGCATAGCTGATCCGAATACGGTTGTCAGGGTTTGGAAGCAAGGGACCCTGATCAAGTCCTCGTGAAATAGCCGTGGTTGTGGGCCAGTTGATGTCTGGATCAGGGCCTCTTTGGCAAAATAGAGTAGTTCTTTCGCTCTAGATTCGGACGTCAAGGTGGCAGTTCCACGACGAATACCAGTTCAGTGCTGCAGAAATCCATTCTCGTATTAGAATAAATTCGTAACACAGGCTCTCCTTCGAACTGGTCGTCGAGGTATGAGTCCATATATGTGTCAAAGTCATGTGGCAGAGTTCGAATCCAAGAAACGTATCATCTCCCAGGATGCCTCTGACCATGCCTGTGAGACCAGAACGACATCACCCGACCTCAAATCTGAATGATGTTAAGCAAAGCTCGGCCTCCATCCAAGAAGATCCAAGATTATTTCCCACTCGTAGCAATGAGGGCGAGGACGATGATTCCCAATGCACGACAAGTCGCGGTGCAGCCACAGCAACTCCACGACCTTCTGCGCGCGGGGGATATTCTCGTAGGCCTTTTTTTGTCTCGCGGTCGTAAATATCGAGATCGCCCTTACTTTATCATCCTCACTCTGGAGAGTACAAGCAGCAATGAAAAGTGGCCACAGTCCCCACGAAAAGGGTAGGGTCGTTCCCGCTACAACCTCGTGTACCGAGTCGAGGGTGGTTTTGGTGTAATGGGTCACCTCTTCCTGGCTCAAGGCAGGGAACGATCCTGGGAGAGGTGAAGTTACTGTCCTGCCGTAGAATGCCGGCTTTGACGATTGGTGGAGGAAAAGCAGAGCCGCCGTCCTGTACGCTTCCGCTCTAACTTTCAGCAACCTCTTCCTGCTCGCCGACTCCGGGTGGTCATCGTAATCCAGAGTTGACGGCCTTAATTGCGTCAGAGACAGCAACCTAGCCTTAAGATGTCTTATCGTCGTGTCAATCGTCGCTATGCGTTCAGTGTAGTCGGTAGGAGACAGCTGAAGTAACAGTTTTGCCTCATCTTTGAGACTACAGATGTCGTTGAGAAGGAGTTGAAACGTATTGCTGCAGCCGTTCCACGGGTCAATGAAGTCTCTGTCCTCTGACGGCATCAGTCGACACATCTTCGTGGTGTCTGACCAGTGATCCTTTGACGGTGGGGAAGTCATCTCGGCCGTTCTTGAGGAGCCATCCAGGGCTGTGTCCCAAGGCCTCGATGCTTCTGCCATGGCATCTTCGAGAGAGAAGAGTGTCTTAGCAAGCACAGTATGCGATGTGAAATAACTCATAAAAAACTGGTATGCCAAGGATCTCTTAAACGTATGTTGTTGACTTGGTTGTAGCATCAGTAGCTTCCGGAAATACGACAGATGAATAAGCCACTCTGCGCTCGGGCTATTGGATATCTGTCATGGTTCATTAGAATGAGAAGTTTCCAAGATGGTGGCAGGAACCATAAAGATTCGTTGGAGCGCAGGGCAAAACTGGACACTTACACTAGTTGTACAGACGGTCAATACACCAAGCAAAGCATCGTCCTGCACCCAGTCGTCATTGTTCAGGGTATTCCTCAGTCCCTCGAGAATCTTTTGTTGGAGTTGGAGCTCCTGAACGCGATACTGGCGGCCATGCTGCCGCATCTCGTGAGTTGCAGCTAGCAGGACGCTCCATTGAATCAGCTCCGACTCAGATGCTGCTGGAAGTACTACTCGACGCATGGGGTTGTGGTAAAGGTCATCAATCAATGCACCTGTCGAGCAGATCACTCTATCGAAATACGAGGCCAAGAAATCATCACTAAAGGATAATCCAAGAGTCTGCAAGTGAGGTGACAAAGGACGGGAGGGGGTTTCCTCCACTGGTATTTGTACATGAATGGTGTTCCTTGTCATCCTGCCGTCACCTTCAATTGTGTGCGATGTGAGTGTATCAAATGAGATTCGTTGACTGTTGGGTGGGTCCTGACAGAGAAGTCGAAATTCATCGACGCAGATGTTGACAAAAGAAATGTCGCTGCTGTTGCTACTACCAGCACATAGGTTGCTTGTGCACTTTTCCTGGGCGCCCGGAGGATGAATATCGTCATTGCATGGTCCACTCTCGGCCATTATGCTGTTGATCTGGTGAGAAGCAACGCGACTTAGGGCCCTTTCCGGGGTGTGAGGGTGCGAGTGGACAGTCTTGGATCTCCCGTGGCGCTTGCCGGCTGCTACCATCTCATCCTCCCAAATCAGACGGACCTCATATGAGCAATACAGCTCTGCCTGTGTGCAACGGAGACACCTAGGGCGCTGTTCTGGAAGCGAAACAACGTCAGAACACATCGGTCTTGGAAGCCAACATGTCTTTGCAGCGCTGCTGCACAATATGGGTGCGCAACAGTCGAGCAGACATCAGAAGACGCACCGTCACATTTTATCCGCCTATCGCGACAAACGCGGCAACCGGTTCTAACCCGCTTCGCGACAAGGGCAGGACCATCATTGTCGGGCTTCGGGTTGCGAGTACGGCGTTTGGCTAGTGGGAAGACTCCTATGAAGAGGGAAGCTGATTTCCCGCCTTTAGGAGCACGACCCATTGCGGAAGCGTGCGAAAAAGAAACGTCCGGGAGAAGCGTCGTGCTGAGACCGCCGGCGGCATGATAAGTTAAGGTAGTCTGATATGTACGGAAGACCTTGTAAACCAGTATAGCAAACGGAAACAAGTATCTCCGGTCCCTGCCACTGGATTCAACTCACATTGCTTCAGCTTTGCATCCCAAATACTGGAAGCGATGAATGTTCAATCCCTCACCGCATCTTCGTCACCAAATATAGCTTGAGAAAGAAACAAAGCTGCTAGCATCAGGCCTCACATGTATTTTACGTTATTTCTTGGGCCTCAGCATCTAAGTAATACATAACTGGGGATACCTCTATCGAATCGACCTAACCGAATGTCGTGCACTAAAGGCATCAGAATACCATAGCCAGTCATAGTCAGGAGCTCTAGATCATCAATCATAAACTATCTTCCCTCCATCTCGATCTCACTCGCTGCCAGCTCTCCTTCTCATTCAAGCCACCACGCTTCTCCAGTCCCATTCCACGCTCGACCCATTCTTGACTTCCCATTTCGCTCAGTCGACTCAAAGCCCTGGCAAAAGCGAACCTCTCTTCATCACCGCTGAACAAACTGCTCTGCTTGAGCATACTCATACTCAAGCCCAAATCATCCATCAAGTTACGCATCACATCATCGACATCAGCCCCCTCACCTTCGGTGTCAGAGGCCTTTGCTTGCGCCGCGACCTTCTTATCATGCTTGTCGACCGATTTGTCGTCCTTGTCTACTTTCTTCGTCACGCTCTCCAGGCTCTCGTCGAGTTCCGTCTTGCTCAAGAACAATTGCGACAGGGGCACCGCCGTAGTCAAGACGAGTTTCGCATGCGATTCGTACACAGCGTCGATAAAGGTGATGAAGCGACGTGCCCAGTCCCGCTCACGGTGCGTCATGCCAGGAACGTCCGTCACGATGAACGCGTCGAAACTGCGCATCATCTCAATGTAATCTGCTGCACCGGTCGCCCGTCCAATGAGTTGGTGGAATGTGAACTTGGCCGCACGTCCCGACACCTCTGGGATCTCGACTTCGCGACCCCAGACCGTGATGCTGGCCGGGTGTGGAGGGTCGTTTTCCGGATCACCCAGGAAATTGAACCACTTCTTCGCGTGTGAGACAGCCGCACGGTCAAGCGGGTGATGATACACCCCCGATGGTGGACGCGGAAGTTTTCGATAATCCGTCTGCGAGTCCAGATTGATGACCTTGAGCTTGTTCTTCAAAAGATTGATACACGGGATGAACGACTGCCGCTGGATGCCGTTCTTGTACAGATCGTCCGGGTGCCTATTCGACGTGGTAACCAACACGACGCCATGGGACATGAGCGACTCCAGCAGCCTACGCAGGATCATGGCGTCCGCCACATCGGTGCACTGGAATTCGTCAAAGCACAAGACCTGGGCCGTCTCGGCCAGGTCCGCGGCGACAAATGGCACCGCGTCAAAGTCGTTGCCATACTGCATGCGAACCTTGTGCAGCCTCTTGTGGACGTCCTGCATGAAATTGTGGAAATGAATGCGCAGTTTCGACGTGATGTTCGGAGGCAGCGTCTCGTAGAATAAATCCATCAACATTGTCTTTCCCGACCCGACGTCGCCGTACATGTACAAGCCCTTTGGAAGGTCTTCGGGTATCTCGCCAATGGCCTTTTTCTTCTTCGCAGCGCCGAACAAGGATCCAAATAGGCTCTTCTTCGCAGGCTGCAGATCGTCGACTTCGGGATGTACCACCTGCGGAGGCTTGTAGTCTCGTAACGTATCGTGTAGATCTTGTAGATGCTCAATCAAGGCTACAATTGTGAAAAAAGTACTGTGTTAGCCAAGCAAGACTCTCGCATCAAAAGACAGCCGACCATTCAACCTACATCTCTGATGTTCGTCATCCCGTAACCGTTTGGTCTGCACTCGCTCGTCATATTCCTCAAGAGGGCCTCGTTGAGAAGCCTCCGCGACTGTAGCAAGGTGTCGCTTTCGGAAGGAGTGCGGCGAAGGAGATTGAATGGCTTGACCCGAGTTTGAGTATCGCCGTACCGGTCCAGGCCCGAGAGAACAGAGGCCCCTACGCTGGGGGGTGAGGGAGAACGTGACATTGACACGTCTCTTACCGCCGCGATGCCGCAAAGTCCTCAGACAATCCGTACATATCGTCCTTTGCGAAGACCGAGCAGCCGCGCTGGAAAAGATAGCTTTAAAGTATGCCCTGAAGGCTTCTGGGCGTGGGCGCACAGCCGAACCCTTCATGCTGCCCTCGTGGTCAGGATAGAGAGACCCAGGGTGGCAGCTAGAGCTGGAGCTGCAATATCGATGTCTTCCAGGAGGAAACAAAGCAAAAAAAGCAACAAACAAAGCAGGCAAGAAAAAAACGGTCAATTGTTCGAGTTAAGAAGATGCGCTTAAGCTGATTTCAAGTGAGCGAGCGAATATACATCGGGATCGCGATCCGACGACAAACAATTGGCCCCTCCGACCACCAAGTCTCTCCCATTGCAGCCTCGGTGGAAGTCGGCCAAAAATATTTACCCGCGCTGAGTTACGGTACGAAGAGCACCTCACAATCCACCTCAAGGTCAAATGAATTGCCGACTGCTGATGGTGTAAGATGTGTCATGTAGCATACCTGACGCACTCAGCGTTGACAGGGCGACTGGCTCACTTGCAGCACCCAGCTCTCCCTCGCTCTTTCACTATCTCGCTCATCGTCGACCCAGCCTGCTCAGCTCAGTCACTATCACACTCCTGCTGCATAGATCCTGACTGCCAATGCAGATCCACGGCAAGCGTCACCCGTATAGGGTGGGAGGACTATGCAGGAACCCCAGGAGATTGTGTTTCAATGAGAAGAGAGCCTCTCATCGGCAACCGAGGGTCAAGCAACGGAATCATTATCCATGATCAACTCGAACAGCACACAGCCGACTACATGGCTCGATGATCGAACAGAAACCCGGAATCCATCAAAGATGCCTGTGCCTTTGCATATTCCGGCAACCGCCTCAGTGTGGGCACTCAGCGATACGGCGGACAAGACAGTCACGATGACGAGGGGACTGCTGGAGGCTATGACCAGCGACGACATAAGTCCAGCTGCTCTGCTGACTTGCGGCTCTTTTGGATCGCTTCTGCCAGTCTCTCCCGAGACTCGACTCAAAGTCGAGCAATTGGCCAGGCGCAACCACACATGTCATGCTCTGAACTTTATCAAAGCCCAGATTGGCTACAAGAAGGACGACTCGGTGGAGCAGCTATCGCGTTCGGATTCCGGTATACGCTTTCTTTGCCTCGTCGCGACCCTTTGCACACTCGACCATTATGACGCAGCAGATCGCCTCGATTCACTGCTGGAAGCAACACAACGAGGATTTCAGATCAGACCGACGATTAAACAACTACAAATCATGTTAAACTCCATGAGGACGAAGATGATTCTGTCGGATTTTGCCACGAGCGTTGCCGGGTTTGAGACGATGCTACGGGCATCACTTGAGGGACAAGGGCCCCTCTATTACATTGGCATTGCGCAGATACCGACCAAAGAGTCGCTCCAAGAGCTCGTAATCGCGATGAATCAATTGGGTCGCATAGCCGACGAAGACTCAATTGAGACCATCGACGTGAGATTGAACTCATGCTATGCACCCTGGACCTGCGCTTTCATCAAGTGGCTGCTGGGGGCTCCACCGCTGGTTAGGACCGCACAGGGCAGGACTCTGTTGCGACAGGAACAAGCGTCCGTCACTCTGACCATTCTATCACGGTTACCAGGTTCGAATCCGCACAAGAGCACAGGAGATGGCAAATCAAGGATTGAAGTTGTACCTGTTCAGAAACTACGCTGCCTCAGAGACATAATCTTCCTCGAGCCTACCAGTGAACCGAGGTACGCATGGCAAGGGCTCGTCTCCGCCCAGGATTGGGTTGATTATCAATTTTCTATCCTCTATGATAAGTTCCCTCGACTGCGTAAGCAGGGTAAGCTCCGGAAAGCACTGGGTCAGGCTCTTTATTTCATTGTCGCCAAAGTTCCGGGGCGTTTAGTTCTCTGTCACGACTTTGACGATTTCAAGCACGGCATATCGTACTATGATGGCTACGTCGAGGACTTGTTTCACCCGACTGCCCCGAAAGCCTTCTTGAATTCTGAAGTCAGGGTTCGGATCACCAATGAGCTTGTCAAGGGCCACATCACTTTGGTTCAAGATAACAATGACGAATCTGGAGCATTACTTCCGATAAATCTAGCCCAGACGTTGGAAGCTGGCTGTCGAAAATGCCAGAATCCCATAAATGGTATTATTATTCAGCATCCGCCTTGCGCAGTTTACGACCTGCTGGAGTGGGTTGGAGAAGTAGGGTCCACGTTACTGACTCTCACACTGTTTGGCCCTCACCGAGAGGCATTCCCAATGCTAAAGGCAGGACAGATGATGAACTCTGCGAGTACGACTTTTCACCATCGCATATTCCAACCGGGGAGGAAGCAGGCGATTTGGAGTGCATCGTTTTCCGAACTCATAATGAATGGTTGGCAAGCCCTGATGCATGGGCGGTGTGCATATCTCTCATGTCCGCCGATGGCCATTTTTCAGCATGCGGCCAAAATGATGGGTCACCAGAATGTATCGGATTCGACAGTAATCTCCTCATTATGGGGTCAGGTGCTTTTCCCTGTTTTTTTCGAAGCACCCGAATTTCTCAGTGAGGGATTCCTTCAGATGAGTGCATTTCCCGGAAAGCTCCGCAGAGGCGACATGCAGTTCGATTTTCTGTTGGATTCTTGGAGCAACAGGATTAGTACCGAGGGACCGAGTGGTGCTGAGACCATGATAGTCGATTTCGACCTGGACCTAGAGGGACAAAGTCACGAGCACGTCGGCAGAAGAAGGGGCTGTAACAGGGGCGGTGATGATGATGATGATGATGATGATGATGAGCAGATGATGGACGAAGCTGGCCTCGACCCCCTCGAGCGGGAGGAAGAGGTGGAGGACGGCGACGAGATTAGTACTGAGGGACCAAGTGACGCTGAGACCAAGGTAGTCGATCTCGACCTGGACCTGGATGGACAAGGTCACAATCACGTCAATAGAAGTAGGGGCGGCAGCACAGGAGGTGATGGAGCTGATGAGCAGATGGTGGACGAGGTTGGTCTTGACACTCCTGACGATGACGATGAGTTTGAAGATGATGATGACGATGACGACTACGACGACAAGAGAGACTCTGCGGACAACGGGACTGAGAACCACCGCCGAGATTATGCGCCGCCGTCCACAACTGATGTCAATTCTGGTTGCACTGCAGGGAGACCGCCGGTGGGGATGGTGCCAGCCTCTTTTGCGGGAGCCAGGAGACGACGCCTCGTCATGTCAGCCGAGGTTATGAAGTGGACCATCTCAATCCGAGACGCGATGCTGCATGGCGAGCTGCGGCTTCAGGAGGACGACGACGATGGGGAGATGATGATTGCCTGGTCACTCGTCGGGTCGTTGGCCCGAGCTCGTCTGTCCCCTATCTGTACGCACCCATACAATAACCCAGCAGGCCCTCTAGCCGCCTCGTTCGAGCTGGTGCGTGACATCGACCGGCTTCACGGCCATGGTTGGCGGCGACGTTCGCTGATTGTGGTCGGCCAGTCCTACGCAGCGCAGCTCAAGGCCTTGCAGTTCCAAGACATCTACCGACCTGTCGTCGTCCACGTCGATGGCTGCATCCAATGCGCAATGCGGCTAGGTTTAGCGGACAGAGTGGGCGTCGTGATCTCTTAGGCAGATACCCAATCCTTGGTCAACCACATTCATAGGATAGTTACGATACTAAGAGCCCTTCCCTTCTAAATGTGTGCGTGGAAGAGAGGCCCACGGTGCATTGGGTGTCAGACAAGTATATGGGTATATAGACAGTGCGCACTCGCTCTCATGCTCAGGCCACCACCATCTCCAACCACGTTCGACGAGCACTCTTATTGTCCAGCCTACCTCCTACGTACGAGTAAGTCACTATGTGATAGACTGTATACTTCAGAGCAAGACGGGCACACACACACACACGCGCGCGCGCATCTGATCACCATTTAAAACGACCTGGAACTTCCTCCCCCCCACCCACCAAGGCACGTTGCCTGATGATACTGACAGGTAAATGCTGTACTGGAATGGGCTATAATGTAGTATACCGTAGGCAGAATGTAAGAGTCATGTACATGGTACACCTCCTCCCACCAAGGCACCAACAAGACCTAGCTGGGTACCTACCTACCTACCTACCCATCCAGACTCGGGAGGGAGGGACCATGGAGTGATTTTGCACTGAATCTCTGTATAAAATCGCCCCGCTCTTTCAACGACAAGCGAACAGCAGCAGCAGCAGAAGCAGTAAAAGAAGTAAAGAAGATCTTCAAGGTGGCCCCCGACTTTTTCTTCCTGTTCTCCCCAGTCCTCCAGTCTCTCTCTCTCTCTCTCTATCGAGCACGCAACGCTCTGATAAAACGGATTCTCGAAATGGATCATCACCAGCAAACGATTTCAGGACCGATGAATGCTTAGCTTGCGAGCTCTTTCTTCTTCTTTCTTTTTTTGTAACCCCAATCCCCACTCCCGACAAGAACACCACGTAGAGACAGACGAAATCGCCTTCCCTCAAAAGACATCAGAAATTTCAAACCCAACCCGATGCGCCTGGACATGACCACATTATTTGAAATAAGGCAAAACAAAAACATTGCTCATCAGGTTGCCCTGTCTCGATTCCCATCTACCAAACCCCAAAACAAGGTCGAGCAAGGGAGTGTTTTGATCCTGCTTCGTCTAGAACTCACGACTAGAAATGAGAGCAGGATCACAATACTACCGCTCTGACAAGGCAAGGCAAGTCAAGGCAACTGTCGCTCAGTCTGCGGCATAGTTGACATGTAATGTAAGCTTGGGGTTTCGCTGTAGAGCCTCGTCCAGATTGTCATCATTCTCAAGCTCTAGCATACTGTTGCTGAGTTCGTCCTTGTAATGGATGACAATGTCGTCGTTGAGTTTAAGTCGTTCCATCAGTCGTTCTTTCAGGGCGCCAAAAGCGATATCTTGGGGTACGCGGATGGCGATAATGTCGTCTTGGAAGAATACCTTGACTTTCATTGGGCCATTAGCATTTCCTGCTCTCATGCTCGACGAGGTCGATGCTTGTGTCAGGTTGCTGGCTTGTGAATGAAGAAATGGAGGGCCAGCTGTCATGTTCGGAGGTGGGCGTTGTTGCGACGATCGAGAAGAACTCGTCATTCCCAGTCCACCGTAACCTGTACCTGTGGATTGTTGATTTGTAGAAACCGTCGATAGTTGCTGCATTGACTGCTGAGATCCTCCAGAAAGCCGATAATCTTCGCCGAGTGCGCTTGGATCGATCTCGAAATCCTGGTTTGGTCTCGGTTTGAACAGATTCCTCACAAGCATGCTCTTCGAGATGTGGCTGGGCATTGCGACAATCTTCTTGATGTACTCGTCGAGATTCTGGCGTCGCCCGTTGGAAATGGCGTCTGTGACATGGGCTACAGGCCCCGGCATGAACGGTAACGTACGGGGCTTTCCCTTGTTGCCAGCTTCTTCAGGAAACATTTCCAGTAGGGCAATCTGGAAGTCGTAGAAGTCGGCATAATATCTTGACAGCTCCCACCACCGGCCATCCTCCATCTGACACTCAATTATATACCAATACATGTCGTTATCGAAGCAGTATCTGGGCACCGAGGCACTCACTGGCGCCAGAGGAATTTGTGACTGTTGTGACGTTCTCTGACCTGAACCTTGAGACTGCTGAGTGTAAGAATGAGGTGCCCCAACCCAGACCTGACCATTGTAACTTACATAGGTATTGCTTGCAAGTGATTGCTGGGAGCCGCCATTCTGTAGGCTCATTCTAGCCATATCGGCCGACATCTGAGCTTCGGGGCTGGAGAACTTGCCCAGACTGATACTGTTGTTCTTGTATTCTGCAGCAAACTTCTTCCACTCCTCCACTTTCGGGACGCCTGCCTTACGAACGGCCTCGAGCGGGTCTGCAACCGATGCCATTGTTGCTGTGTCTTTGATATCCACGAACGAGACTGGAATCAAGCCCGGCCCTCCAAGCCGCCCTATCGGCTTTGCGACAAACCACTCCGGGTTTGACTGGGCCACGACAATGATCGCCTCGCCGGCTTTCGCATCCAGCTCGTCTGGTCTTTCTGCATTGAAGTCATATTGCACCACACCATAGACCATGGCGCCTCCTCCAGCTTTACCGATCATGCTTGCGCCTCTCGTATGCGTTGGCGGCCGGGCGGTAGCGGTTGACTCTGATCTCATGTGGCCAGAATGCGTCGATCCCTTCTCGGAAAACCCCGAATCATGACTCTCCGCCCGTTCTCCAGGTGAAGACAATGAATTCCCACTCTGGCGCTGTTGTTTGCCGACCACCTCGAAGAAAGCGACAGGGACGAGGCCCCTAGCAGAGGGGACGAGCGGGTTGCAGGCCTCGTACCATTCAGTGTCGTCCTCCCGGCTCAGAACATGGAAGAAGTCGCCCTTGTGGAATGCCAGCTCTTGTCCGTTGCCATTCTGCGGCGCATAGTCGTACAGCGCCTTGATGACTTTCTTCGGCGGAAGCGCCTGGATGGTCTTAGGTGTGATTGAAAGCGAGGGGGCGTGCCTGGATTCCTTGTCGCCCTTGAGAGATCGGCGAATGGCCTGGATGGGGGAGCACAAGGAACGAATCAGTCTTCACGAGCAGACAGAAAACGCATACACGCAGGAGGCGTGTGGACATACCTTCATGGCGCATTCACGATGCCCCGCAGTGGCCTGAGAAAAGGCAACAGAGGGAGAAAGGAGGCGGCGGCTGGCGGTGGTTTGTGTTTTTTTTTCTGGATCTAGAACAGGCGCATATGCGCAGTCACAGAATGGAACGGGAGTGATCGAAGCTTGTGTGGTGGAGGAGTCAGTGGCGACCGGATTTGAGATGGGTGGTGTTTGAGGTGGACAAAAACGGGAGTCTGCGCAGACAAAGGGGAGATGGCTGCAGGGCTGCCGTTTCGGGAGCGTATCAGCTCGCGCATTCGTCGCTGCGCTCCCCCTTTGCAAGATTGCAAGGCCGAGATGCTTCTGGACGGGCTAGTATCAGAGCAGGACCCGGACAAAGTTGCACGAATCTCACGCACCGTGTGTGCTCGGGGGGCTGTATGTCTGGGGACGGTGTGAGCGAGCCACAAATTCACGTGACAACCCACGAAGTCTCCCTCTATGAGAGAAGCTGGTGGGAGAAGCTGATGAAAGAGGCGCCGTTGATGGGAATCTCGACGGCCGAGGGAGCGGGACATTTTACATAAATGTTTGCCTCACAGCCACCTCACCGTAGGCACTTGTAATCGCCCCGATCTCGAGAGCCGGCGGCCATCCCGCGTTGTGTTTGCTGTACCCTTGATCACTCATTCTTAGACTACGCCACGCATCAAAGTTAAGCGACCTCAAGTCCTGTCCTTTGGCCTGCCCGTCTGAAACTCATCACTGTTGATGCGCTGGATACGAGAGTGATGCGACGCGAGGGCTTGCACGGCTCTTCTGTTCTTTACACTTTACGTCAATAACCGAGATTCCGAGATTGTCTCTGGTCACCCGGAGGTGTAACGGTGAGCGTGAAAACAAAACCGCAAAACTGGGTCGTGGTTGACATGAACCCAACCAGTGGACGGTGAGGCTTCATTGAGCTTACAAGGTGACATGTACTTGACAGCGCCGACCTCAGCGAGAATCTCAACTCGGGAATGGGCTCGTGCTGTACGAGCAGGTCCTCACTGGCTTCAGCGGCACCATCCATACAAATTTTCCGTGACAGGGAGATATCTCGCCAACCTCGTGTCGTACGTGGTCCGTGATTCAATTTTCAGCTTTGTTCAGACACCTAACTAAAGACGAGGAGCCGCAGATTGGTCTCTCGCGGCATTCATCAAATCCGCGAACGCCGACGCTTCTTCGAGCTACACCATTCACCGCACCGTTAAATTTCCACCAGTGATCCAAGGCTATCTGCATGAAGTCCTGGAACAACCCGTCTCTTCTTTCTAGCCAACCCAAAATTGCTTTTGCTTTGCATCTTGGCCTTGCGACGATCGACTGCGAGGACCAAGGGTGACTGGTAGAAGATAAAGCCTGCCTCGTAGGCAGGGGAACAAGTAGAACAAATGATAAAGAGGGAAGAAAATGACCAGTATGCGAGCATGGAGCAAATGCGCGAATACTAGAATATTTGGCTCGTAGGCCGTGGGTCAGGGAGCCGGTCGCTGTCAATGCGGAGGTAGGAGACCCCCGATTCTCTCAAATCTGCCCCTTGATATCGACTTGCCCGAACGCTCTCGTCTTTGCAAGGTGGAAGATCGAGCCGGCTTTCCCACTGAGGAATCGGACGTCTCCATCTCTTTCTTCTAGTAGAGTGTTGTTTTCAGGTACGTGGTCAAGAATAAATTGGCAAGCTTCTTCATCAGATTCGAAGCCGAGTTCTTCAGTAACGAAGCGTAACCGAACGTCCGGTTTGTACCTAGGGAGTATGTTAGCACACGAAACAGCCAAATATAAGTTGTCACAAGACTCACGATCTGCATATGCACGCAAGTGCGGCGAGTCGTTCCCGTTCTACGAACATGTCCATCAAGTAGGCACCCATATCCGGAACAGTGAGATATAGCTTGAAGAACTTATGGTAGTTCCCAAGAGCTAGAGCTGAACGGACCGCGAGGGCATGCTTGATGGCGGGTTCTTTCTTGTCTGCTGGGGTTAGATCGGATAAAACATCGTTCATGTCAGTCTGATTGCACGTGTGAATAAAGTACAAGATGCGGTAAGCCTTGAATTCCACCGGGTGACCGCCCAAGTTCTGCTTGTACAGCGCCCTTAGCTGCGTTTGGCACTGGTTATACTCACCCAGGTCACCCTTCTCCAAAGCAATTCGAGCGTGATACTCGTAAACACTGGTCGTGAAATCGTTCTTGATGTGTTGGACCGTCAGATCTTGCCGCAGAGACTTGAACTGATCGCATATGTAAACATAGTTGCCTTCGCTGCGCCACTTCTTCTTTAACAGCTCGAGAGTTTTCCGCAATACTTCCAGGGGTCGCACATCATCAGGATTTGGGGCTGAAGTCAACCTGAAGTAGTTCTTTTCCAGCTTCTGACTGCGCCCAACGATAGGTCCAGTTATTTTTGGCTCGGGCGTCACGCCTCTAGATGAGTCTTGTGTGTGCGGCGAGTTTGACCCAGTACGATTGGCCTCGAACCTCCGTCTGCGTGACTCTAAACTAGCGCTTGATTTACTTACGGATGAGCTCATGTCAAGTTTGGGGCGCTTTTCGGAAGCAGCAAAGGAAACACGGTCTGCGAAAGATCCAGAGGGCTGTGCGTTCATCCTCCAGGGCGGTGTGGGTGTGGCGGACTCAACATCGTTCGCGAGCTCTTGAGATTTGCGTTTACGAGGGACGTCTGTGCGAGGCTGGTAGGCCGAGTTGGAAAAGTCCGGAGCAGGCACAGGAGGAACATAAGATGGAGGGGGAACAGGAGCAAAGAGGGCACGGGTCCGCTCGTCGTGAATCATTTGTTGAGGGAGTGGCAATTCTTTCCAGTTGATCGAGTCCAGCTTTCCGCTCTGAGTTGCTTCCGTTATAATCTCCTTGAGTCGGACTTCGATTTGTTCTTTGGTAACTCCAGGAATGGCGCTGACCTGAGCAAAAGATCTGTTGACGTAGTCACGGACATCTGGAGACCAGCTTATTTTCTTCTTGGGTGTCTGTTGTGGTGGGACTGAGGCCACGGCCGGCGCGGGCGGAGGCGGTGGGTATTGAGAGTGAGGAACTGATGGAGGTACATAGGTAGGTGGCGGCGGAAGGCCAGACTGCGATCCAAGGTTTTGGCGCGCAGGAACTGAAATGTAAGCATTCTGGTTGTTAAGTGATGTGTACGAAGGTGAAGGGGTTTGCCAGGGCGCTTGCCCAGGCGCAGGCGCGGAATACATCATTCGCCAGCTGGAAAAGCGTAAGAAACGACGCAGGTGGAAAAAGAGTAAAATGGACAGATCGCAATGAGGACTGCGTCGCAACGGATTTGGCTTGCGATGAAGTCGAATTGAAAAGTCGGTGTTATGAAGCTGGATAAAGAAAAGACGAGACGGCGCTGGGTACATCCTGATTGAGGACATTTCAACAGCCTTGGCAGATCCACGTGATGGGCATGTGGTGAGAGCCTGTTTCTGAGCTCACCGTCTGCTCACTCGAGCCTTGTCCTATTGAGTGGCTATGGCTATCTTTGTGACGATCTGCACCATTTCTGCAGCACAGAGGCATGTCGTGCCTTCACTGAGAAACACTGCCTGTTTCAGAGGCTAGCTCCACTAATGTCGCAGACAATGAAATGCTTCTCAACCACGCTGCCTGCAATCAGCTTATGAGATTCAGGATCAACAGCAGCTCCCGTCAACACCGTCAGCTGTGTCCCATCGTCCCAGTACAAAAGCTCAGGTTCATAGTTCTTGTTCTTCACGAGACGTATCACTGCTGCCTCTGCATGCAGTTTGGGGTTGAGCGGATCATGGAGGCGGCTCATCAGGGCCGCAATATCGGGGAATGCTGTTGTGGAGGGAATCAACTGAGTGATCCAAGGTTTGGGGAACAAGCATGGGAATGCAGGAACTTACTGGCTACGACGATATCTCCAGATCCTGGAATGATGGAAAGATTATCTGCTCCCGCACCCAGTTTCTGTTTCGGACAAATTGTGCGGTTAGCGACCAATTTGACCAAATGGAGTATGACTTGGGCAGACAAGGATGATCAAGCTGTGATTGGAACAGGCGTTAAGAATCAAGGCATGAAGGTATGACTTACCACGACCTGCTTGGGTGTCAATTGCTTAGTCTCCCTGTCGATGGCGTAAATGGTAGTGGTCGCATCCAGCACGTCGTTCACCATCAACGTCTTGCCCTCGTCAACCACGATCGCTCCATTAGCATAAGGGTGAGCATTGACCGGCGACACAGTCTTGCACTCGAGAGAAGGGCCTTCGGCCGAGCAGTAAACCACGTCGCCAGCCCATTTCCACGGACCAAACTTGTCCTCGAACGTTCTGAGGAGACCACCGAAAGCCCCGCCGTAGAAGTAGTGATCGTTTGTGATGAAAAAGGAGCTTCCACGGTGAGCCACAATTTGGATGATCAGAAAATGGGGGAGCCATACTCTGGACTAAGTGCAGCGACTGCATTAGGCGTCTTGATCTTCCAGTGCTTGAACTCGCGCACGAAGGTGAGAGTGTTTGACCCCAAGACGTGAGAGAAAAGCAGAATTTCCTCGCCTCGACGCCCATGGTTGACGGCGAACAGGTAGATCTATGCGCGTTGCGGTGCATTGAGTTAGTCCAGCTCATGTCGTCTCCATGATCACTTTCGAGGCCCCAAGTCTTGTACCTCGGGGCCAAGTTGTGAGATGTACTTACCAGCGAGCCATCATCTTTTGGCACGAAGAGGTCAATGCCATGTAGAACCAGGTCGTGAGATGGGTCCAAGCCGTCAATTTTTAAAGGGATAGTGGTGTTGGTCTGTTTCCTTGGATCAGCACCCTGACGTGATCCAACGCGGTTCCAACGGTACAACTTGACACACCTTGATATCATACTTCAAAAAGTACTCTCGATACGTCTGGGCAGTGACCGTGTCGTGGAGGTTGAGAGGCGGGAAGAACACACGGCGTGTTTCTGGGTAGCCACATGCTATAATTTCCCAACAATATCAATATCGGACGCAAAACAACACGAAACAGGAAGACGTGTTTCGTTGGCTACTCTTGCGAACAAGAGCAGAGCAAGTGCGAAGGTGTGTCTTGGCATCTTTGGAACTCGGGAATGGAGACAAACCTAAGAGTGCCTCGCCGGAAGGCTGGTGAATACGGACGTCCTCGCAAGCTTGTCCGACTGATTGTTTCCAAAAAGAAATCTCATCGTTAGATACTCCGTACGGCGTGGAGGTACAAGGGGAGCGAGGAAGGATCCATCAGGACCTGAATAGTTGAGTCACAAAAACGAACCGGTATTCTTCCAGCACTTGTCATTGTTCAAAGCTCCATGATGCAGATGGTCAACTGCAGGGTGAAGGTCCGACAACCGTCCAGCGTATTTATCCAAGAACGGGATAATGACGGTAGGATTTGAGTAGAGGATTCCCAAGGCAGCCACCAGGACGGGCACAGGGAGGAACTTGGTCCAGCCACCGGGCATTGTGAATCGAAGAGGAAAAGGGGTGGAATAGAGGTCTAGAGTAGATGATAGGGTGAAATAGAATATAGGTCCAGACTACGTGTAGAGAGTACTGTTCTCCGTTGATGAGGGCACAAAATGTTAAATGTTGCGGAGTGCAAGTCGTCGATGGGAGATAAAGGGACGAGTCGAAGAGAAGCACAGACTAACTTAAGCCTGTACGGGGGTCCTCTCTTACTTCATTCCTATTGTATTTTATGAACGGATTATCCCTCGAGGATGAGCATTAGCTACCGACTCGTGAAGGGGAGAGAGAGGAGAGACACCGACCCCGGAGGAGAGGGGGTTCTCCAGGCCCACAAGCCCACACTCCCCTCTACAACCCCACACCAAAGAATCCGACCGTCGGCCAGACAGTACAACTGTAACTTAGTACAGTCGTACGAACTACCTATATTCTGACCCCTGGCTCTGTCCTCGATCCAATACCTCGGCCATTTACCTGCTGTACCCAGTACGGAGTACATGCCAGCAACATACCCGTACAATCACGCAACCCGTAACGGAGCCCTGGTACTAATGATTGACCTACAGTATGGGAGATACTCCGTACTCTACGAGAGTATTCGAACTCTAGTCACGGCACTCGCCCTCAGTAGCATTCTTCCAAATAGTCCATCACGGCATCATTCACGGCCTGCTGACACCGATCACCTTGATCTGAGGAAGTCATAGCTTCATCAAACTGTATTTTTACAGTACGTAACACACTGGCCATCTCTAGGCTTTGATCAACGTTGAATCTAAAATCCGCTTGGCATATAGTACAAATTACTGCTACCTTTCTCCAATGATGAGGCTATCTTACCGTATTTACAACTCGGTCGTGGTGTACATCTAACTAGGTACGTACCCAGACACCAAACCAGGGACCTCCATATCTACTCGATAACAGGACGTTCATCCGCCACCTCATGCTCCTTCAGAGAACCGTTGACGCCCCCATTCGATTTGTCCTTACCCGCCACCACCTCCACACCACCATTCGCTCTGACCGTGTCCTCAAATCCATCAACCTCGACACCACTAATCAAAGCGTGACTAACACCCTCCAGACCCGCTACAAACACGCACATCAAACTACCAATAACGAAATGGCTAATCGTGGTGCCAATCTCCAGCCAACTACCCTCATCCCTGACCATCCAAAAGAAGTTGAGCGTCATCAGATCGCTTAGCGCCATGACAACCATGAATAGAGCCGACGACTGGAGGCCTAGCCGTCGATTTAGTATGCCGAGTGCGGCCGAGATAATGCTGAATGGAACCATGATCTTGAAGAGCAGGAGGGCTCCTTGAGAAAATGGGTCAAAGACTGGAACGAGCCGGTTCACCGCGTCGAGACTGAAACTTGATATCGACGCAATGTTCCCTGTTGAAAAGAACCCTGACTGCAAGAAGAAGAGGAAGAACAGCGCTCGGCGAAGATCTGTCAATACAAGTGTGCGGAACGTCTCCTCGGGGCGCAGATTGGCAGACTGAGATGATGTTGTCGAGGTAATGGTGACTCCGTTTGCTAAAGGAGCCGTCACAGAGCCAGACTTAGGTCCGCCATGGACCTGAATGGCATGCTCCAGTCGCACCCAGGCTAGCAGTGTTGAACAGAATGCGAAATAGAAGAGTCCTTCGTAGGAGATGGTGAGTATGATGAAGGAGGGTGAAAAGGTGAGGAAGATGATGACTAGGCGATGAAGATAATGCCGGTTCGGTGCGATCCGATGGACGAACGGTAATATAAGAGATGAGATCAGAGCGATCCAGCCCACAACCTGGTTGCCAAGAGGCAGGCCATTCTTCGCCTGGATTGATGAGACACTTGATCGTGTAACAATGATGGCAAGTAGGATGACACCCAACTGAAGACCCATGAGCATTCGTGACACCGTATTAGGCTCGGAGGCTGGTTGCCCTGATTTGGACTGGGAATGGATGTCGTGTTCGTAATAGAGGTACGCGAGTCCTGCCCCTAGCATAAGAAGCCCACCAGCCGTAATGGTGTTCACATCTTCAACTTTAATTGCTGGGAGCAGAGTAAATGTGCTCATCACAAGGCAGCCCGCTGCCCAGGATAGTACAAGACCGCGATTTTTGCGCATAAATTCGATGCCATAGAATGCGGGAAAGACGGCGCCGAAAACGTAGCAGACACTGAGTAAAGGGCGGTGAAAGTATGATTGTACCTGTGATGGTTAGAAGACAGTATAGTCTCGATTCGGATTGGAGACTCACAAGCCCTTCGACGACAAGAAGATACGCCACGCCCTGCACTGAAAGAATTGTGTACGCCGAGACTCCTTGGATATGGTCGAAAAGAATCTGAAACCCAGACATGAAAGCCTTTCTCCTTGCAAAAACCTCTTCCCAGAAGAAAACAGGGAACAAAGCATACGCGTAATACGTGACAGGAGAACGCTCAACGACGAAAAAAGAGTATAGTAATACCAAAATAGAAGAGAATGCGATGGTGGTTCCAGTCGTCCTATCATCTGAGATTGCCCCGTGAAGCACGTGGATATCAATCACAGTGGTGGCAGCATAGGCGATCCAACCAAGATATCCTAGAGTGATCAGAGCGCGAAGAAATAGCCAGTCATAAGTTTGCAGGTATCGTAAACCCTGGAGGCCGTCATTGAACAGGTCTGAAGACATTTTGACAGCATCTTCATATTGCCCTTGGCCTATGAGGCTCTCAATGAGCGAGATCTGACTTTCAATCGTGGTGTTGGCGCTTGCAAAGGCGGAATACGGCTGATAGTTCAGCGACGTCGCTCTTTTCTGTTCCTCTTTCACGTGATATATCTCGAGAAGCTGTTTGGCATTCACAATTGCTGCTACAGCCTTTTCACGGGGGCTGGCGGCCAAGTAGTTCAACGGCAGTCGGCCGACAGAATTGACTGGGAACTCGACTCCAACAAGGTACGCCATCAGTGCTGCAACATCTGCCTGATCCACGTCGTGTCGTCGAACATGGTCTAATCCCCAATCGAACGAAAAGCCATCCTCGTGCCCCGGCGCTTTGACTTGGCGATAGATCTCAGGTTTCGCGGCCCCGGCACCCCAAACGATCAATGGAGTCCTTGTATTGTCGGGATGACCGTCGCCATGGCTTCCCCAGTCACTCATTCCGTGGTCGGCGGTGAAAACGTAAGCCGTCTCGCCGTCGCCGTAGAAGCTGTCTATAAGCTTTGTGACGTCCTCGACTCCCTTATCAACGACTTTGATGTTGTTCAAGTACTCTTTCGAATAAGGGCGGAAGCCATGACCGGCAGTGTCCAACCCAAGCAAATGCAGGAAGAAGACGAGTTTGTCATCTCGGAGCATGGCATCGAGAGTGGAATTTGTGCTTGCCGATTGGAAAAGCTCCTTGACCTTATCAAATACCCAGATGTCCAGCGCGACTGAGTCGGAGGTGAAGTCCTCGAAGTCTTCTGGGTAATGGTCGGCATCGACTCGCCCTGGCACAGCGCCTTCTTTGAACATGGGCAGGATGTCCGGACTTCCCCAACTCCAAGTATGGCGACTGCGATTGAAGACACTATCAAAGTCCACCGGGTTCAACTTCCACCCAGTGGTGACTGCGGAGACATCCTCGTACAGTCCGGCTATAAGCGCGACATGGCCTGGCCTGGACTCGGTAGGCACTCGAGTATGCGATACGCCAAATGTGCCATGTTCAAGCACTCGCGAGCGAAGGAACGGCGCAAGAGGACGAGGTGTCAGATCCGCATTGCCCGGGTCTGGAGGATTTGGGTCGGGGAACGACTGGAAGGCTTTGTCGGCGCGCAGTCCGTCACCAACAAATAAAACGAGTCTCTTTGCAGGAGCGCGGTCCAACTCGACTTTGTAAGGTTTCATGCCATGGACGATCGGACTCGTGAAATAGATATCGAAGATGGAATAAATGTAGACCAGGTGGAAGATCACGGCGAGGGAGAGGAACCCTCCCCTGCCCAGTCTCGCCATTGAGCTTGGATAGTTAGACGAAGGATCGACTTGGGTGAGACGCTATCATTGTGCAAAAAAAAAAAGAACAAGTTCTGCCCGTGCTGTACAGGACACTTTGCTGCTGGACTCCGTACTGCGAAGCGCAGTCTGGAGTTGCATCCTGGTTTGTCCTCAAAAAAAGACTCAGGAGCTGGGGGGGAATTTGCTGATACGGCAGGTCCGCCGATCTTTACACGTGGGGAGACTCAGCCTCGTCGACGGTGATGAGGCGCGACGTGTCCAGGTCGGAGAGTATTGCCCTTAAGGCAGAGCATAAGCATACCGATTCTATGTAATGTATTCCATATATATCTCGTAAGAACATACACAGCGACTTTACTCATCCTGAACCAGAAAATTAAGCCAGAACTTGAGTCCTTCTACACCCTCCTCTCGACAGAGAGCACCTTTCTCCTCCGCCATCTCCAGTTCTTCCACCGCAACTCCCAGACTCCATCCGAACTTCGCAGCTGCTTGCTGAGCCGTCACACCGAATCCAAAAGTAGACCAGTCCCAGGCTGGGATGTGCTCTGGCTCAGGCACACGCAAAGACTCCAGCCAATCCTTCAATTGCTTGACGGTCTTTTCGTCGCTGGCATCTCTCCGTTGTACGGCCAAAAGACCACTCCTAAACCTGCGAATCTTAACCGGTAGTCCGAGCTTTTCCCACGCTTCCGCAGCCTTGTGAAAGTCAGACGGACTCACTAGCTCCACTCCATTCTGACTCCTGTTAAACATAGCCCAGAAGTCGACTAGGCTCATCGTGCCCCCTTGACTGCGAAGGATACCTCTCCGATCATCCGTAGCATACTCTGCGAGGTTTCGAGCCAATTCGGAGATGTACAAGGTATTCGAGCTGTCTCCGACTATATCTTTGGTGGTGACCATGCCCAGTGCAGCAGCCGAACGCGAGAGAAGAGGATCGGATAAGGACCCCGTCAAGCCCAAGCCTGATCCTGTTTCCGTTGCAAATTTCTCGGCGAGAGCAACAATGTCCTTAGCGGATGCCATCAAAGCTTCCAGATCTCCGAATGCATTACCCAGGACGGTCTCATTGTTTCGTCGAGTCTCCAGCCCTCGCTGTTCGAGACCAGCAATCCCCACAGCAGATGTACGCGGGCCTGGTAAGGATGCAGGGCTTGCATTATCAACAGGTGTCATCGGACGAGTTTCGGCACGGGGGATAGGTGGCGCGGATTGTAGCAACCACTTGCGCTGTATCATGGCGTTCTTAAGCCGATCATAAAATACTCGATCCCCACCGGTGCGGAATGAGAACTTCACAGAGAGTAATTCATGCTGTTCGTCCTCCAGAGTCAGTCCGGCGATCTCAGGTCCGGGGGATTCAGACCTGTTCGTCGATTCCGCAAAAGCTACACGCTGTATCGAAGATGGCACCGGAAGTGGAGAAGAGCAGAGCTCGCATATTCGCATACCAGGGTGATTGCGAAAGGTACACCGTGGACAAGGGACGTCGTCGGTTATGTTGCCATCATCGTGAGTGGTCGGTGAGGCAATGGCCTCGGCGCCATGTGAAGTGTTAATCCTACTCTCTGGGACCCGTTTTGCGTTTGCAGCGATGGCGGCCTTGAGAACTAAGGCAAATGGAGGTTTGATGCCACAAGCAAGGCAGGGCGGCAGTGGGAAAGCCTCAGTGGCAATAGTTGGATCGAAATTTGAGGGCACGGGGTTGGAAAATGAACAGATGGGACACACCCACGTGCCCACCACAAGAGGTTCGGCGGTCGTAGACATAGCTGGTGAGCGGAATGGACTCGTAGATCTGGATGTGGGCGAAGATGCCGATGCCAACCTCTGGAACTGTAGTGGCTTCGCGGCGGAATCGCCAAACCCGCGTTTCAATGGTTTTGGGAACAGCGTGACCTTGGCCGACGATTTGAGAAATCCGGCCTAAAGGACACAAGCTGAATGAGCCAGGAGTAAGGAGCTTGAGCAGAACAACACGTAGACTCACCTGGTACTCATATTTCTCAACTTCCTTGAGCTCGATAGCCCAAGAATTGTTTCGAGGGTCCGCATCATCGACGTAATACGCGCGGTGAGAAGTCAAATAGACATGCCCTTTCTGGCAGCTAGCGATTTTGTATTTCCTTTGGATCGGACAATTAGTTCATGACTCAAGACATCGCACGGGGAGGTGGATTGATCGAACCCTTCATAGAGCCCAACACCATCTTGAACCATCAGTAGAGTTTCATCATCGGCAAGCGTTGGGCGAGAGCCAGCAGTGAGATCTGGCCTTTTGAGGAACATCCGGCATTCGTCGCAGGCTCGGTATCATCTTCAACGTGACTCTCAATTTGCTCTGAGACTGCACGCCGGCATGCTCGATGTATCGAGGAAGGATGGTCGTGATTGTTTTAACACGGCCGCCCTGGGGAATCGGGAGCACGATGCATTGACCGATATCAACGAGCGCTGATTAGGGTTTAGGCAAGATTGCCGAGAAATATATACGGCGGAGCATTCGGGCCGCCTTTGTCTCGACTTTCACCGCAGCTGAAGTACGAGTACCCGCATATATATTCGACAACTCCGTAGTCGTTCTCTCTTTCCTTTCCGGGGCTTGTTCACCGCAGGTGCGGGACAGAATGAGAAGAATTGATCTCGATACATTTAATATCTGTTTTACTGTCACAGCAGGACTACTTCGCATATGGCTTTCCCCTCAAAGTACAACCGACCAAAGTGACGCGGCTCCTCTGACTCAAGCTTTTCATATATAATATGCTGCGCAAAACGAGGCTCGATTATTGCTTATGATCATTCCCTGCTCCTCGATCAGGGACGCCCGTCGCGTCCTTTGATCTCGGATATCCCGGGTCCTTCTTGACTTTATCACCTTCGGCCGCAAGTTCTTCGTCCCGCACGGGCTCAATCTTCGAGCCTTCGAGTGTGTCGTTGTGTCCAGCAAGTGGCCCGCGGGGGTGCCCGTCTGTCCCGAGCCTGCGGAACTCGACGTTTACATCACCGTGCAGACCACTTCCGCCCGTGGCGCCCCTAGCCTCAGGGCCGCTCCCCAGGATCTTTCGAGTGTGGCGCCCATCGTGTTCCAGTTCGTTGCTCGTCTCGCCTTGCATGGGCTTGCCTAGACCGGTGTGCACGTCCGCGGAGGTGGCCCCGGGCATCGTGCTCAGCGGGTCGGTGCGGACCTCTTCCTTGCCGTGGGACCGAAGCACGTCAGGGTTGTTGGCTTGTCCCGGGACTTCAGAGACTGGGTTCGGTTGATACGTTGATTCCTTGGGCGCGGTTCCCGGGGGAAGCGTCTTTGCAGAGAACTCTGGTGCGTTGTCGGCCGGGCTGACTTTTTGGCCAATTTGGTGCTAGCACAACGACGCAAGTGTCAGTGGCTGCACAAAAAGAAAGGTGTTGTTGAATCTGGAGGATTAAGAGGGTAGAGACAGAGGGCGGGAGAGGACATGGCGGAGGCAAGGGCAAATGCAGGCGTCAGTTGAACGTACACCTTTCTTTTCCATTGGTTCATCACGAGGCCTAGAGGGATGGAATTCGCCTTGTGCGTTGGTCATGGAGTCTGCATTTCTGGCGGCCATGGTGTACTACTCGTACGAGAGATGTGTCGTGTGAAGTCCAAGTGCTGTTTTGTTTGTGGAGAGAGTTTGTGTTGTTTTATCGCGTTTCTCTTGATGATTTGTGTTATGAGAACGTCTTCGAGTACTTATTTGTTTTTTTACAGACAACGAGCAGTAAAAGTGGACGGTAGGTATGGTCACGGAATCGACTTTTAAAAAATGATCCTCTCAGATCGTAAGGCAAGGTATGCAGGTACCAGCATCTACTCATAGTGATGTCATGTCTAGGCGACTGGAGACGAGGTGAGATCATGTTCGTCGTCTGGGACGAGTTATACGATACTGATTGCTCGGTGGTATCGATCGACAGGATCCTTGACCGGCGTGGGAAGAGAAGAGTGAAAGGGGGGCGAGGTATGTGACGGCACGGATTACGGGTTCCCAGCCAATTACGCATCTGCATTTGCGGAGCCTTGTCTCCTGTACACACCACCTGCGAGTACGAGTACCCAAGGGACGAGTACCTTTGACCAAGAGGTATTAACAGCCGCAATTCGTACGAGGAGTGGAAATGCCGATGCTCATACCACCATCTGTGAAAGTCCATCTTCTCCCCCCCCATGACATCAACGGCACAAATCACATTTCGGTAGCATCGCATAGGTATTATACAATGCAAGGTGCGCCAGTAGCTCGTCAACGTCCATCACTTCTTCTCAGTCCTAGCAATCCCACCGTGCCCGTCACTTTGCTGTGTACCTTATTCTTGACTCTTTGTCTTCATACCTACCTACCAAGGTACATCCCTCACGAGCGCTGCGACTACCGAGAGAAAACGGTAAGAAATCCACATCCCGGCCCAAATGTCCGAAGTCAAGTCCAAAGGCGGAGCCACCATCGACAAAGGTGACACTGTCAGCACACCAGTACGTGGAGCGTATAGAGAGACCTTCCGAATCCTTGTTGAACACGTGAAAGGCTGACAGATAACGCACAGTATCGAGGAGGAAAACACGAAGGACAGGTGAAGATATCTCTGTTACTCAATCAACATCCACCCACGTAGCTAACTATTCCAGGTCGAGCAAATCATCACAGACGACCATGAAGCCCATAATACAGGGGCCAAAGGAACGAACCATGCACCCGCTGTCGTCTTCACCGATCAAAACAACAAGAAAGTCGCTCATAAGCCTGGTACATTGACGGACTTGGACAAGGAGTGATGAGACCAATTTCACAGACCAACATCAGTAGCCTGAAATGCATCCTTCATATCAAACACAACGTGCAATCTGGATTCCTTTATCATCGCCGTTGAAAATGAAGCAAAGCCAGATCCCGTTTTCTGACAGTTGTCGATCTAGTCAGCCCAATAGTCAACCACTCTTCACGTAGGATTCGGTGGGATTCAAGCTGTGAGGTGCGCAAATCCGGATACCTAGGATCGTTGCGGACGAAGCTGTATTGGATTTCTCTGGTAATAAGCATCCACTGCGGCCAACATCTCAGCCATCTCGAAGGTCGGTTCATTCACTGTGTATTTGACAAGGTACAATTTTTGCCAGCAAATATATTGAAGCCAGTCCCAGCCCAAGCTTTGCCGATACTCTGAAAGGTAGGCCCGTGGAATGCGACTTATATCCGTAGTCCTCCGCCACACCTCCTCCAGATGTAGTTCCAGATCGTACAAGGAGCCAACTCAAGCCACATTATCGTAGTCTTTGAGCATGTACCAGGGATATTGGCGTAGACTTAAAGGATATGCGGCACATTGAAGTCTGCAAATCCGGAGAGCGAAAGTCAGGCGGCGTTTGATGTCGAATATTGTAATCCAGCTCCTAATTGGATTACTTGTGAAAGGTACTGGAAGGACATCTTCCATCAACACCCTACAGTACCATAGAGCGGGCATCAAGGAAGGGTCTCTCGAGTATAACGATGTTAGCCTCCAAATGATACCCCCGTACATCCTTATGTGTTTATGCTGCGTGTCCTGGTCGATTTATTGTCAATAGGGCCGAGCCTGCCGTTTTGGTCGTGGTAGGCACAGCCCTCATCTCTTCTTGAGAGATGGCCTCTCAGAAAACTGCAAAAGCTGACGATGCATGACCGAAACTGCGGAGCGAGCACAAGAGCTTCAGGACAATGGTGCAGCGCCCGAACCCGGAGGTGCCTCAGTCTAGGAAGTATACCACGCAAAGCGATACACATCCCTGCACTGTGCGTCCCTCCAATGTCCATCTCAACGCTCGTACGGCTCGGTGGAAGTGCTCTGAGCAAGTCCGAAAACACGGCACCAGGAAGGTTTGGTTCCCCTTTCCAGTCACACAGCGCGTATTCTCCCTTAATGACCATAGAGAAGCAGACTAGATTGCGCATCCCCAGCCAAATCAGTTGTCTCAAACATATTAGGCGGCTGATCATGTCTTGTATGGGTTGCTTGCTTATGTGGGCCTCGTTCGGGATGGTACCCAAGCGTGGCCCATGTTCTCCGGTCTAGATCAGGGGAGAGCTTCAAGCAATCATGCCATCCTGCCTGTCCTGGAACTGTGAGGGCGACGCTTAAGGTTTGAGTTGCTTCCAAGTGATTTGGCCTGCCGTAAGCCAAACGTCGAGCAAACAATTACCTCAGACGTTTTCCATCTGGAGCGAGATTCTTCATCAGGAGCGGTTCTCTAAGTTGCTTCTAACCCGAACAGACACCCAAAGCGGGAAGAAAATCATGTGTAGAAGCCGAATATCAAAGCTGAGAGAGTATTTCTCGAATAATATCGTCGTTGAGTGACATATCGAAGGCTTCCTTTTTGTAATTGATAAGTTGCTGATAGACGAAGGGACGGCTGAAAGGATACATCAGACCTGAAAGATTGTTGTAGGGTAAGAATGCGTGTGATGTGTGCCTGAAGAAGGAGCAAGCAAAGGCGTTGTGGCGACGGTGGCAGGAACTTAGTAGCTGCTCCAAGGAAGTCAAGCATCTCCTAAACAGTGAATGAAAATGTGCAAGAGCGAAGATGCCAGACACTCAACAACCATTTATTCTCGGTATCAACAACGCGAACCATTCTTCATGTGACATGGGTAGATGCTTCAACAGTATCATCATACCACGCCGCGACCTACTTGAGAACCGCAAGTAGAAATCCGTCGTAATTTTTTGATCCCACGGTCTGAAGCACCACCGCGTCGACCCTGTCATCCTTGCCAACCGCCTCGATTAACTGCCGTGCGCCTATAACACGCGAGTCCTCTCGTATCGCTTGCTCGTCAATGATACGGCCGCTTCTAACCACATTGTCCACGTAGACACATGTTTTGGGTCTGATCATTTGCAAAGCTGACTCGTAATATGCCAAGTTGTTCTCCTTGTCTGCGTCGATGAAGACAAAGTCAAACGGTTCACGTCTGCCACTTTTCACGTCTTCCACCAGCTGAGGTAGAATATCGGTGCCTTTGCCTAGCAGCACATCAACCTGGTCGTCGAAGCCGGCATGTGCGATATTCTCTTCCGCGACATTTTTGTGATGTGGATCAACCTCGACCGAAGTGACCTTTCCATTCTTGCCAGCTCCAATTGCCAGCCAAATGGTAGAGTACCCTCCTAAAGTGCCGACCTCCAAGATATTCTTCGCTCCTGTAAGTTGGACTTGTAAGGACAGGTACTTCCCTTGGGAGGGGTCGACCGCTATGTCTGGGAGACCCTTCTCCAGCGAATTCCTGTAGGCATACTCCAGAACGCCATGGTGTTTGTTACGTGTAGGATTAAACAAATGAGTCGAGGTGTAGTCTTCGACTGCTGTCCATCGAGGGTCTGTTTCGTGTATTGCTGACCTTGGCGCCATTGTTGGAGCGAGTCGTATTCTACAAGCCGGATACTGCGAGGTCTGGGATTATTGATTTGATCCAGCCAGTCTCGCTTCTGCCTCTGTTTTTCTAAGCTTTAAGATGGTTGAGATGTCCTTGTGCAAAGGGGTCGCGAGGACGGTTGCGATGGTGTAGTCTCCGTCGTGACTGATACTTAATCGCGCAATCTGTTCGGTGAATTTGCCGCGGAACGACGTATTCGGATCTGGGTTTGTGTCGCAGATGATGTTTACGCTGCCTCCGATCTCGGTCTCGACCCTCAAGTCGCGAAAGCCTAACAACGTAGCGTCCCAAGCTTTCTTTGCGGCCTCTTTGGCTGCCCATCGTCCAGCGATCCAGCACGCAATCTGTCGTCGGTTTGACTCATCCAGAGATTCCAACTGTGTCCATAATGGATAACGACGGCTAAGATCGTCCAGCTCCTTTGCATGAAGAAACCGTGCCGTTAGTTTACCCAAGCGTTTACCATCAGGCTTGAGCGGACAGAGAATACGGTTGGTCGCGATGATGTCGATCCCAATACGCAGAGCGGCTGGGAACGGAACTCTCATCTGTAACCGGGGTGGACAGATCGGCGGGAGAGGTTGATACTTGTCGAGAAATCACTCATACGCGTAATCCGAAATACAGAATAACATTCAAGTCCACGGCAAATTGGGAGACAGGATTCGACAAGTACATAGATACATAGATACATACAAGTAGGTAGTAATTTAGGGCGAGCTCGGCTTGCGCTATAAAGTGAATGCGTGACAGTAGCAGCACCAGGTACGGGGCGAAGTCGATGACACCAGCAACAACCACAGACCAACTTCTACTTCCCTACACGAGTTTCTCTGGCGACAGCGAAGATGCGCTCGACTATCCCTGCGCCAGAACGGAGTAATCAAGAGGCACAGGTTCCTCTGGATATACGGCACTTAGCAATCCGCTGAACTCCGCAGTGAGGGGATGTCGCTGGCAGCCACGAGCAAGATAATACAACTGGTACCAGTCGTCGAGTCGAGTTCGATCACAAATCGCCGTTCGCCATCTATCAAGAGACACTCTGCACAATGAAGCACGTCAAATGTTCAGGCAGCCCCTTCGAGGTGAGTTTTGACCCTTCAGACGACCGGAGAACGCCTCTCACGACCTATCTAGATTGGCCGGCAACACGGGAATAGCGCCAAAACCGAGGTCCATGGAAGTATCGCTTTCTACGAGGCGTTTTTCAAGGAGCGCACCAAGCTGTCATGGCCTCAGGTTCGCGATGTTGCCAGAGCATTTGTCCCTTTCCTCGAGATGTCGTACCCGGACTACCTAGAGGAAATGAAAGGTGTGGCATCAGGGGCCGCTGTCGATCTTGAGTCGATTATCGCACTGAACGTTCGTACTGAAATCGCATATGGCATGCTGAGTGACGGATGCACTGCATTTGCCTGGAAGACCTCGGATGAGAGTTTCATTGGCCAGAATTGGGACTGGCGTATCGAACAAACGCCAAATATCATTTGTCTGAGCATTGAGCAACCCCCCAAGCCGACGATAAAGATGATGACCGAGGGTGGTCTTATAGGCAAGATTGGCTTGAACTCGGCCGGTGTTGGAGTCACTTTGAACGCGATCGTAGCGCTGGGCGTGTCATACAACAAACTTCCTGTGCATCTGGCTCTGCGGAGAGTGTTAGACAGTACTTCCCGACAAGAAGCAGAAACCGCTCTGCAGCAAGCAGGTGTTGCGGCCGCGAGTCATATCACAATTGCAGATGCAGCCACAGGCGCCTGTGGTCTTGAATGCTCTGCGCTCGATATTGTCGAAATGCCCATGGACCCCAGGGGGATCTGCACCCATTCGAACCATTTTGTCAAAGAACACAAGGTGCAAGGCTCGTCTTTCTTGCCTGACTCACCTTTCCGCCTGAGCCGCATCCAGGAACTGTTGAGTGGCATTGAAAAGCCAACGATGCACAATTTCACCGAGATGTTCAAGGACGAGAAGAACTACCCGGCCGCAATTTGTCGAGCCGTGAGCGAGAAGAGCACCATACAGACTTTGTTCTCAATCGTTATGGACCTGAAACAAAGGACTGCAAAAGTCAAGATGGGTCGACCGACCGAGGGCGGAGAAGTCTTTGAACTGAGACTGTGACGGCTAAATCTGGCTATTTTTTTTCCATAGTAATGTACGGGCGTTCCGTTTGTCAAGAAGTGCCGAAGTGATCACTTTTTCATCCTTCTAGGTTATATACAAGTCCCAACTTGAGGATTCCATCTCCTTCCGGGTAGCTGCAAACCATCGTTCGTCTAGTGTGCCTCCTTCTTGTTTTCTTGCTCGACTTGTTGCAGAAACTCTCTGCGAAAAGGTTAGGATACCAAAGGGGTGCTCGGCGGTGGTCGGATTCCTACTGAATGAACTTCTCCTCGTCCTTGCTTGAAGCGTTGATCGGGGGTGTAGGTGACTTCTTGGAACCGCCGCCTCGTGTCAGCAGATATGGGATACCGAAAGTCGCACTAAGCGTGGCAATGGCCAGCTACGAATTGTCAGCATATATACCCAACGCCCGATGTACATGGGGCAGAGAAGAGTTGTTGAGATTTGCTAGGACGGACGCACCCAGTGTGATCCGACCTGCCGGCCGGCAACGTTGTACATAGCAACCATCTTGACGACTGGGTGAAGGAGGAGGTGGGTGTGGGAAAGACGATGGATGTGTTGTCGTTGTTCAGGAAGTATTTCTCTTCAGCATGCTTGCGACTTTCGCTCGCGGCAGTTTCGAGCTTAAGGAGCTGCACGTGACAACATATACGGTCAAGCATATAATCCGGCACTGACTCCAGCTACGGCGGACTACGAGTTATTCCTGGGTCACTCTCCGCCCCTTCGTCATAGTGAGTGTCGTTCCCCGACCGAGGCTAGTGGGCTCCCCGGTTTATGCTTTGCTGGATGTTGGAACCAGGCATATCCAGCCTCGAACTATTTTCTCTTGCTGTGCCTTGTCTGCCTGCACCGCCTCTCCTTCAGCACTCGACAGGTAGCAGATGTAAGTACCTGACAACCTCTTCTCCAGCTCTCCCACCTCCTGAAGCGTACCTGAACCATGGCGGAGCGCAATACTTCCAGCGACAAGGAAGCTCCGCGTGCTCCGAACACAGCCTTCCCACGAGAAAAGCTACCCAAAGACCTACAGAAGATCGTCGACAGGCAAGATGACTGGATGGACAATATCTACGAGGGTGCGGCGCCCGACACGACCGACACAAATATGCGGTACGCCGCGTACGCCAACCGTTTGCGAACCATCATGCTCAGTGCTCATCGCTACGTCGCATACACGTCCGACATAGGCGAGTCATTCCGCCCCGTCGCACATCCGTGGCTCGTCCGAGGTGCGTACGGTGTGTCATGGGCATATGTCCTGGGCGATGTCGCCAATGAAGGATGGCGGGCATACAAGAGGAATCAAAAGTTGTTATATCCAGACGGTGACGAGTATCGGGACGCGACCCAGACTCCACCTGAGGCACAAGCACTCGCAAAGCAGCCGGTACATATCCCTGCCATCGAGGACTATCGGAGTGTCATGGCACAACGAGCCGTCTTCCAGAGTCTTGCATCTATGGGTCTTCCAGCCTTCACAATCCATAGTGTTGTCAAGTACTCCGGCAAAGCCTTGAAGAACGCAAAGAATCCAACAATACGGACGTGGGGTCCCATCGGGGTAAGTAAAGGGCCCTGAAGCAGTACTGTCCTGCGACTGACCTGTGTTCCAGCTTGGCCTTGCATGCGTTCCTGCGCTTCCTTACTTGTTCGACAAACCTGTTGAGGAGGCCGTAGAGTGGACCTTTTACCAAGCATTCCGGGCCATTGGTGGAGAGAAGGCGGTAGGAGATAGACATTCTGTCGGCCGGCAAGATGCTCGCAAGGCCGAAGCTAAACTTTTGAAGGAGAAGAAAGAATTGTAACGATTTCATGGGTGAAATTCAAGTGTTAGTTTATCATGTTCCATTAGCCCGCCACTCAACACGAGGGAGTTATTGTACATAGACAGCCCGCTTATCAAAAAGTCTCGCACAAAGAAGAAGTCTTGTGATCCTCTCATATTCTCATTCTCCTTTCAAATCACTCACTTCACATGATGCCCGGTGCAACGCCCATCAAGTTGCGACCACGTCCTCGGCCCTGTCCACCGCGTGCCCGGTAGTTGCGTCCAAACGCAGCGGGTTGTCTTCCGCGGCCCGCACTGCGACGGTCGAGCCCTGGGAAGCCATAACCCGGGTGTCCGCTGCCAGGAAAAAAGCTGCGTACTCGCCCACGTCCGCGTTGGGAGCCTTCTCGCATAGCCTTAGCATCAGTCTGGCTGGCTCCTGGAATCGAGTAACCCTTTCTCATGCTTTCTGCCACGCATTTCCGGAGAAAATCGGTCAATTCTGCCTTGGAGGGAAGATTCTCGATGCCCATGACAGCCAAGAAGTCGTCAAAATTGTCGACATCCTGGATCTTTTTGACTTGAGCAGCAAGACGTGCTGCAGCACCGAACGGTGGGGCGCCATACGAATCAAAGAGCTCTTCGCGCATTTGAACGAGAGTCTTCCGACCGGGTCCGCTGCCACGATTTACGGTCAGACGAAACAGATTGATGAACATGAGTAGACGGTATGATGTCTTGGAAGCTTCAAATGTCTTTGTGAGTCGATATTCGCACACTTCGTCAGGCTCCATGTACACAAGGTCTACCATACCGGCGCCGTTTCGCCTATCGAGCATCCAAACAACATTGCGAGTGACGGCCTCGCGAATGATGGCGATTCGGAGATGCTGAGTGAGGTCCACATCCGCAATGAGAGATGCAACCAGAAGATGTCCCAGATTGGGACAGTTGGTTTTCGAGGTGGAGCCCTTTTTGAAGTTTTCGAGCGTGCGGTTTGCGACTTGGACAACGGAATCGTAAGTTGTGGCCAAGCACAAAAGCAGGTGGAATATGTGAAAGTACGACTCGATGGCCTTCTCTGAAGCATGTTTCAGTGTGCTCTTAATGTCTTGCTCCTCGAGGACGCGTTGCGGGACTCTTTGATGGAAGCTGTGGCTGCATTTCCTAGGCTGTGTAGCTTGGCTCAGCCTTACTACAATGTCGTTCAGGAAGTTGTAGACAATATCGGATCCTGTCAACTGTCCGAGTTCTGCTGCGCTGGCAATATTACCAAGACAACCACTGATGCGGTCCTTGACTCGAGCATAATGGCTTCGCGATAGAGGGAGAGGTAGCCAGCATCGGAACGGTGCTCCGTGGACAGATTTCCGGACGCGATGGCTTTTATAGGCAGTGTCAGAGAGAAGATCAAATTCGCTCGCAATCATCCTTTTCCTGCCCGCTGTGAAAATAGCACCCACGCCGATCCCCAGTGTTGTTTCCCGGAAGGATTTCTTGAGAACGAAGCATTGCAGTTCTCGGTTGCGAAGGATATTGAACTTTGTTACAACACCCTGAGGGCCACCAACCCTGTTCCACGCACGAGCAAATTTGGAAAGATCCTCAGACTCCAATTTGTCACAGACGAGGGCCAAGATTTCGTCCGGTAGGCGTGTTAAAGGCTGTTTAGTGGGTGCAGCATCGCTTTCGAAGGCCGCGTCACAGAAGATGATAACTGGGTCGATAGCCGTTTCGACCGTGGAGTCTGCCAACAGCGTCCGTTCCTGAGATCCGACAGCCCCAAACTGACAGAGGTGACAGTGATACTGTGGACGAGTATTGTCAAGTTGCTTGTACGTTCGCAGATCGACCTTCCTGCCCGATGTCTGCTCGATGTGGTCGCTATTGAAGAAGCTCAATATCTGTATGGCGATACCCTGGAGAGTGTACGCCGGTGTATAGCCCTCCTGTGTGTTGAGGATGCTAGCACAGATATAACTGCCAAATACGTTGGGGTGTTGAATTGGAGTGTCGCAGGCAACAGTTGGTGGGTGGAGGGGGAAGTCGTGCGGAATGCGCACCGTTAGGTGGATGGGCCTCTTTGCTTCTGGGGTGAGAATAAGACAGGCACTGTGGATGTCCGTCCGCGGAATGAACGTGATGAAAGGGTAAGGCTTTGACTGAAATTCTGCAATGTCACGTAGTAGGCGCTGATGGAGGGCCATATTGCCATTCACTTCAAGGGTGAGGATGCCGTTGAAGTATCCAAACCTGTTGATTTCTTAGAAGAACAAGGTTTCCGAGTGGCTGTTGAAAGCAAAGGCTCCTAGATCAATGGAAGTGTCCCTCACAGCCGACGCTGCGGCTTTCTGGATAAAGTGAAGCAATGGGGCGAGTGTTATATACCATGATGCCAGGCTGCCAGCGACCAGAAGAATGAGTCACCCCGACTCAGGAGTTCGATCCTCAAGCTCAAGCAAATGAAGCATCGACATATGGTGGCTCATGTTTATTTGTGGGAAAGGGGGGGGGGTGTGGCCGACAACGTGGAAGGCTGAGGGGACGGCTGCGGCCACAACCTCAACTCTGTCAACTTACCTCTCTTGTTGCGTCATGATAAACTTTTGTGATGTTCGTTTGGATACGCTTTGGAGCCTGTTCAGGTTCACCGTGGTCCACGCAGGCCCTCTGCATGACCTGGCAGTCGTTGAACCTGATGTGTTCAGGAACGCAGTCGGCGTTCTTGACTATCACAGCTTTGGAGACCATAGTGGTCACCGTGTATGTATACCCCATAGATTTGGCTAGTAGTCCAAGGAGAACGTAGTCAGTAGTCTGGACTGGTGAGAATGCGTCTTACCAATGGGCAAAGGCGCAAAGGATAAAAAGCGACGTCGTGAACTGTTGCACATTCGTTCCCTCCGGTGGATAAATGTCGGCCCGACGTCGGACTCGGAGCAATCATTCTCAAGCGACTCATCAATCTCACTAGGTATACAAGTTGCGATTCCAAGGCACAGATATTTCAGTTGAACATCTCACGGGCTTCAAGTAGTCTCAATTGGGCCGCTGTCGACAGGGCCACTTATTTTCCATCTTCTGAACCTCGACGACCTCCGGGAGTACTTCAATGTACTGCTCGCGTGAGATCCTGCCTCGATGCCTGCCGTCGAGCCTGGACGAGAGAACGAGACGCCAACGGACTCGAGAACCTCCCTGAGGCATGCTTTACAGCCTCCTCAAATACCTAGGCCGGCCGTCCATCAACATTCCTTACAACCAGACGCTGTCTCGGACTGGAACACCGCGAACTTAGGCTTAAGAGTGGGTGCGGATCTCGCATCTGCCGCAGGTGCATCAAGCTTGATAGCACCTGTGATATGTGTAATAGACCGGTATGTACACGCAAGAGCTGGCAGAAATGCATGGCTGCCAAGCTGCCTCAACAAAGACGTGCTGTTGTATGCTTGGAAACATGAAAACTGTCTACATTATCCTGCACAAGTTGGCATCTACTCCTCTTTACGCCAACACTGATTAACATCACCACCCGCATCTAGATCAATAGTGGAAAAAGCTGCCAAAGGAGAAGCGTTCTCGTCCTGTCTTCGACGCTCCTTTCGACCGGTCTACACGCAACCACACAAGTTTCTCTTTTCTAAGCCGTTCCTCCTCATATTCGGTCTGTACTTTTTCACCTACTCGACCGCGAATACCGTTGACACACTCACCTCGACTTTCTCTTCGAAACCAGCTTCGACGGTTTCATCTGGACCGGCCAAATTCCTCGCCACCTCGTCCGTGAACATGAGTTGGTGCGTGTACAAGGACTCGCGATTTGTCCGCATGTTTGGTGGCCCGTCATCATCTCCGGCAGCGGCGGTGCCCCGGCTCTCGTATGCCCTGTTCGCCGTACGAGATAGTTTGACGATATTCGCCTCGTTCAATCTTCCTCCCATCATTGCTCCGCAGCTTGCCAACCTGCCCTTGAGCGTCAGATCTCGGTTCTCCCAGATTCTCAGCACGGAATCAGGGCGGGCTACCACTGCGCAATTTTTGGCCCCGGCGGCGATCCAACTCGTTTCCACGCCGGTCCATCTCCTCGGATTGGATTTGTACAACAGACAAGGACGGTTGGGGTTGGTTGATCGGTATTCTCGAGTGCTCCGGGATTGGAGCGTAAGCGCCTTCGCAAGGATGGGAAGAATCATCGTAAGTCCAGCAGTCATCTCAGTGTCTGATGCCTGTGCACAACTAATGTATGCCTCAGCCTGCCTTTGGTGTCGGTGGTGTTGTCAATGCAAACGTGCGTAAAGATTTAATGTCCACAATCGACGCCTCTTGAGCTTTGTATAATCAGATTGCATATAGATATTAGAGGTTGGGTTTTCGCAAACAGCAATTCATTCAGGATCTATCAAGATCCGACAGGTCAGGCATGGCCTGGTTGACTCAAATACTATTGGCTCTATTGGTTGTAGTAACGAGTACGGCATTGGGTACTTGGGTACCTCATTCTCAAAAGAGTCACTCAGATGAAACAGACTTGCGCCAGAAAGCACTCCCAATTTGAAGGTGCCACCCCTTGTATAGGACATGGCTAATAGATTTCATGAGTTCCGAGAGGTTTACTCTGCCTTGTGCGGACGAAAGGCATGATCAGCGAGAAACAAGTCTTGCTCCGAGATATGCAGACCTGGGGATCTTCTTTCTCAAAGCAATATTCTAGTGACCCGGACAATTTCACTTCAAGACTCTAAAGATGGCGAGTGCCTTCACCGCCACGTTGGCCATCAGAGCAACCGAGGCTAGCACGACAAAAATCTGTCCGATTTCCATCCAGCTGTTGAGGGTCATTTCGGTTTCGATGTATCCTTCCTTCGAGATGCCTTTGGTGGTGTCCGCGGAATCGGAATCGGCAGGGAATCGACCAGTGTCATACCACTGTTCGAGGAGCTCGTCCTTTTCCCGCCACCGATCCATCAACCAGGCTTCGAACTCTTTGGCGTCAGAGAGGGGAATAGAAGACACGGCAAATCGACGCCAATGCATGTTGACACACTTTGGCGGGCGTCCTTGGAGGTATGTCGAGCGGATTGTGAAAAACTCTGGGGCAAAGCCTCCTTTCCTATAGCAGTGTCAGCCAAGGTCCACGACAAACTAAATGAATACATACGGGGTTCCCTCGTATGCAATGGTACAATCGTAGACCCAGTCGACTGTACCTTGCAATTGTTGAAGACAGAAGAATAGACCTGTACTTCGGGGAAGGAGGAGGTGTTTCATGTCAGGGATGCCTTGCTTCTCGGCCCATTCGAGGCTTTTCCTCTTCGTGTTTCTTGCAAGATTGGTTCCCTCTGGGAATATCAGCAACCACATTGGGTCGAGACCTGAGGAGCCGGACATGGGACCGCCGTGACGCGTCTTCAACTTCTCTAGTCGATGCTGTAGACGGGGCTTGTCCTGGATCCATTTACGTGCCATGAAGATAAACCCGTAGAACATCATCCCGGGGCCTAGCACAGGGACATATTTGAGAGATTCCTTCAAAATGATGAAGATATGGCCATGCATCCGACTGGTATAGGCTATCCACCAGAGATACAGCCATTCGGTGTAGACTTGGTGATTGGCGATGTAAACGAGTCTTTCTGGGAAAGACGTTTCCAGTCTGCCGGACTTGTTCTTGGAGAACTGTCCCCGTAGGTCTTTGTCCCAACTCACTCTGACTTTGGTGGATGCAAACCATCTCGTCCCAGCAATGCCCATCACCCCGAAAGACTGCTTGGTCAAGGCCATGTATGCATAGTAATAGTCTTTGTTCCACCAATAGAGTGGCGCACCCAGGAATTGAGTCACGTTGATTGAGACGCAGCCGCAGTTGAACCACGTCAAGAGGAGAAGAGCACGAAGTATCTGGCTGAGAGTGCCGTACTTGACTTCCCCGGCTGGATGTGGTTCTTCTTTCGGAGCCACCGCACCACCGTCTGCGGTGTCTTTGGGTCCTGTCGTGACCGCTGAGCGCACCGTCCGGCTCCGGAGAGTGTCTTCTGTCATGTTTGCCTGATTGAGGTTCGATGGTCTGAAGGATGCGGTCTTTACGCCTGGAGATATGCACGAGGGAGCGTTAGCACTGAGGGGAGCGATAACACAGTAGAGCAGGCTGTCTTGGAGCCATCGACCTAGAGATGAAGAAACGCTACAACGCAGAGGAGGACAGGAGAAGAACGGTCCGCAATGGGGGATGCATAGAGAGGTCGCGCAAGGCGTGCTTTATCAGGAAGATGGTCACGATCTCATAGTGCTGCGCTCGGACGCAGGCACCTGCATACAACTCATGATCGCTGACAGCAGACGGAGTTAGCAGCTAATAACAAGGGCAGCCTATGAGGGGAGCCTATTAGGGGAGCCTATTAGGGGAGGGGCTGCTGCCATGGAGCCCCTGCACCTATAAGCTTCCAAGGGCTCATTAGGCTCGCTACTGTAGGCTGGTGGCTTTACCTCGAACGCCTATTGTAGCTCCACGGGGCCGGATCTATGGCGAGCCGGACAGCCTCACCAGCCTCACCAGTCAGCCGGAATTCCCGGCCTCGACAACATCCCTCGACGTGTTCTCTTCCCAGAGACCCTGGTTCACACGAAAATTAGGCTGTCCTCTCAGCACTAATCAATTCGTCAGACCCTGGAGAATTCAGTTACTTGGATAGGTACTACACAAGGACAGTTGCAATCATCTTTACTCGAGGCTAACAGGAGAGCAAGGCATGTGTATGCTTAGTCAGCCAGACACCACACCTCGGTGCCACGTGACTATCAAAATGCGAGTTGTTCTGATGCGGTGCAGCGATCATCGTTCTTCTCACAGATCCCTTTCTTCATCAAGACTACGCAAAACAGTTAGAATGCTAGATACTCTAGAATCTTTTTTACAGCAAGCGTTGCAGTCATATTCAAAAGCATTATCCGACTAGCAGATATTTCAGCATCTAGCTTGAAAGTCGTTTCTTTGCTCATACACTATCAAACATACAATCCCTTATGGCGACGACATTATCTATCCACCCGATGTTGCTATTGTCACTATCCATCAGAAGAGTTCCAGGGCCTCAAAGGTTAAATCCCTTATCACGAGCCATAGGTGTTGATGACATCGCGAAGAACCACTCTTGCCGATTTGCTCCAAAGGGCAGCAGGGCCTTTTGTTCGACAAGAAGGAATTCAGCTCCAAGATCGATAGATATTCTTCCCCCTCGCAGGAATTTTCGTCTGAGAGAAACTGCTGCCCACGCACTTCTTTGTCTCGAATGGTCCCAACCTCCACGGAACCTCTTGTTGATCAAAAAAGATTGCTCTCAGGATACTAGCGAAGCTCTCAAAGAGTTCAGCAAGCATGTGAACTCTACCTACCCAGATGTTAACATCATCATTGAACCCCAAGTATCCTCGGAAATCGGGCATGAATTGGCTTTCGATCATTTCACCTCCATGGATTCCACCAACCTACCACGAAAGTATGACGATAAAGTTGACCTTGTAGTTACATTTGGCGGGGATGGGACAATCTTGCACGCTGCATCTCAATTCGCTGCATCATCCGAAGTGCCACCTATTCTGTCCTTCAGCATGGGTACCCTTGGGTTCTTGAGTGAATGGAAATTTGCCGAGTACAAGCGGGCATTTCGGGAGGTTTATATGTCGGGAGCGGCCTCCGAAAGGCATGCTGTCATTCAAGGCTCGTCTTCGACAGAGTTGAGTGCTGAAACAGACTGTACAGGCTGGTCATCAGTACGTGGAAAGTCCATGGGTCCTACGCGAGGAGCTAGAGTGCTGGTGCGCCAGCGTCTGAAAGTCAGCATTTTCGACGCGAAGGGCAATCGACTCAGTACCAATGGAGATGCTACACACGACGCGCATGCTATGAACGAAGTCATTCTTCACCGGGGTCGAGATCCGCACCTTGCTATCGTCGATGTGTACGTTGGCGGTCGGTTCTTGACTGAGGCTGTTGCCGATGGCATGATTATCAGTACCCCAACCGGCAGCACGGCGTATAGCCTCAGTGCCGGCGGCAGTATCATACACCCGTTGGTACCGTCTCTGTTGCTCACACCCATCTGCGCGCGGAGCTTGAGTTTCCGCCCCCTAATCCTCCCCGCAACCACACCAATCAGCCTGAAGTTGAGTGAAAAGAACCGGGGACGTGAAGTGGAAGTCAGTATTGACGGCATGAGACGGAAAGATGGCATCGGCGTTGGGACTGAAGTCCGCGTTTCGGCAGAAGAATTTAAGAGTGAGGTGGATGGATTTGTCGGGGGCATCCCCTGCATAATGCGGAGAACAAGTGGTGGGACTGAATCAGACGATGGATGGGTCGGCGGATTGAACGGACTTTTGAAATTCAACTATCCGTTTGGTGAAGAGTCTTGATCATAACCGCTGCTTCCTGGCTAGGATACACGAAAGATACGCCAGACGCTATTCTTCGAAGCACCTAATCTCCCTTGACTGTGGTTCACTAGTCTTGGGAAGTCTAGAGATATGAGTTCGACTGCTCAATCGATGCTCTACTACAACATTTGCAGAGGACTTTAGGGGGGAGGATAGTCCCGACCTTGCAAGTGGCTACTTTTGTGGTACCTCAGGTTCCGTTCCAACTCACGGTGGCTGAGGTGAGATATCGTCCGACCCAGTGTGAATGCTGTCAGCAACAGCGTTTCGACAGGCTTGCCAACATTGTTTGCGGCTGACTCAACAAAGACCGAAATCTCAAGAATTTCGACCCTCTTAACAGGCGACTCAGGTTGTCAAACCATTAAAAATGCACAAGATTGAGGCTGAAATGATGGGGTTGCTCCTCATTCTGACCCTACGAAGACGAAGAGGTCTGATGAGTGTTTCATTTCACAGAGACATTGCATTGTGGGCAACGTATCTGGTATTTCTCTCTGACTTCAACGCAAACGCGCCTTGAGCGATGAAGCAAAAGGAAGCACTGCGAATTTGGTCTCGATCCCGGAGATTTGGGCCGAAGCCTTTACTGTCCACGCTATTAAGAAGACTGAATGGTTCCACAACATGGATATGGAATAAGCTCAGAGGATAGAAGCGACTGCCTTCTGACTTGGTAAGAACTGAGATCGAGAGCTCAGTATCTTCGCAGAGGAAAGCAGCGAGCTTCCAAATCTGGACAATGGATGCCCGACAGAAGATATATTCACGGTCCCCGGGGTGCAAAGAATACAACAGACATATCCAGGGACAGTGTCACAATCCTGACCGCACTTTTTCTTCGTGAGAGAAGTTTAAAACTCCCTGGTGCTTGAAACTTTGCCAGATGAATGCTCTCAGATCGCCTCGCACTGCCTGGTCTTTTGTTCATGAGACAATGCAGATCACTTCTTTCTTCACGACAAAGGTCGAAAGTCGAAAGAAGAAACGAACAATTATTCTGGGATCAAAAGGAAGTGAAGCCTCATTATCATTTAACTTGTTGTCTCTGCTGAATTGTTATTTGATCAGATATCTGGCATTTAGGGATTCCCAGCCAATTCTTGAACTGAATCCCTTAGCTTCTTCGTCACCCTTCTCGGCCAAAACCGGTTATTGCGACAAGTATCATTCACTGTTGTCCCGGACATATAAATATATCTGTCCGGCTGTCTTTGTCCTTGCTCTGAGAGAGTGACCATTGATTCTCACCTTGAGAATGCTTTCCAGGCTTTACTTGATCTCACTTGAACTGGGTCTAACCAAGAAAACCAAACCATTGGCAAAAGATTGAGGCTATGGCGTCTGCAAGAGCACAATCTCAGCTGAGCAAGCGAGTCGATCTGGACATTCCCGGGACAATTCCTTCGATTGTTCAGGCTCCACAAGTCATCCTCGGCAACCACCCTCCGCAGCCTACCTTCCCTGCGTACAACGTTGGCTACAATGTCCATGGCCAAATGCAACAAGTACACCAACAAATTCCACCTCGGCCACGCCCTGGAAGAGGCTCAGCTCATCCTTATCATATGAGCACCCAAGCCAACCTGCATCCGATTTTGTTCCAACTGGAACCGGCTCCCTCTCCGCTCACCAATGTTGATGTTCCATTGCTCGTCAATGCCCAAACGGAGGAAATTGAAACCGGGCCTGGTCCCCAATCTAGACCGCTCCGATACTTCTGGCACCTACCTCGGTGGGTCGACGTTGACGTCTTGGGGCACACCATGGAGCTGTGGCTGCGTCTCGACCCTCGCGTCCGCATGGCAGACATCCTCGACAGGATCAATGTCGTTGACAACAGACCAAACGCAAACGTCTTCAACATGAGGCGCATTCGATTCAGGGATGCCATCCACGTGCCTGCCATGGACACCGTCCGCCGCGACCCAGGCGCCACAGAAGTCGAATTGCTCGGGCGCTTGACACGGGAACAGGTCTTGTTGAACACAGCGATGCGTGTCGATTTGCGCAATAACAGACTCCTCAAGCCGGTCCTTGACCACACGAGGTCGACATTGGGGTTCGTCGATAGCGGATTGCCCATCGACTACTTTGTCAGCACATATGCGTTCCCTATTCCTATCCCCTCGGATAGGCAGGTGATCACGTTGGCGCTCCGCCACAGAATGCAGCGGTTAGCAGTTGCACAAGGCCACGGACGTGGCGCAACAGCGTACAACGACCTACACATCAATCTCATTCCTCCGTGGTGGCATCGACGCTCCGACGCGCGTCCGGCCAGGATTGCCGCCATAGACAACCTGACGCATCGGGAGTGGATGGACAATTACATTAACGGCCAGGGACGAAGGCCAACACTGCCACGGCAGCCGCATCGGCAGCTACGGCAGCAACAGCAACGACCTGTGGCAGGTGCCCCGCCTGTTGTGACTGCCGACCAGGTGATTGACCCGCGTCTCCAGAGCAGAGACCCCCCTATTGCGTTCCCTGGTCTTTTCCGGCCAGGTGTACCGAACGAGCCAGAAGAGTCAAGGTACAGCTTCAACACATCAGACGGTGTCACTCATTATTACGTGGAGCCTCAGCACCAACATGCGTATCGGTGATTCTGCTACCACGCACAGTATAATATTTCAAGATACCCCAAATGAATCATGAATCATGAATCATGAAATAAATGGTGGCCTTTTCAAGACTTGTTTCTTCTCGCGTCCCCATGGTCGCATTTGATATGACGAATGTTTTCTTGCTACAACTACGTGAGATCGAGCATGAATAGGTTTTCCATGTCGATACTTCATGGACCTCGAGGCAAATTCCAGCTCAGATCCTGGAGACCATAAATTTTGTCTTTTACTGGTCTACGATTGATCTGAATCCTTGTTTCATGACTTCGTCTCTTTTTCTTTTCATTGTTCGTTCTCAAGGGCTTTGAGACTGCCGATGGCGATCCTACTACTACTACTACTACTACTACGACTACCACCACTATCCCTACCAATCGACACGAACACCTTTGGCGCGACATCTTGTCTTGTTTGTCTTGTCGTGCCCACACCCCCCACTTCCTTTCTGTACATAGCGGTGTGTACATACGTCCTACAGCATTTCTCTCTCTCTCCCCCCCCCTCCTGGATGTTCTTCGTGCAATCTTCCTTTCGTTGGCTTCTCTCCAGTGGACACCCACTGTTCCAGTCCCCCGTGGCTGGCCTCCAATAGAAGACCTTGTCCTTCTCGTTCTCCTCTCTTCTTTCAATCCCCGGCGTCTTAGTTCGAAGGGATCCTTTCCTCACGCTTTGTTTCGACAAACAACGGGCACGGCCACTACACATCGATCTTTCACGTAAGTGACAAAGTCTCAAACTTTCAGCACTTTCAGACTCTTCTTGTCTCCGTTGTCTCTTACAGACTCCGGGGCTAGATACATCCATCTTGTGAGACGATGTGATGCGTTGTATACCACTCTCGGTAATACTGTCTTCTTCTTCCCCTTTTGTCGGCTCAGCCTCGTTCACTATTCTGCACACACTTCTCATCCGCTCCACCACGCGACAACCGACCGCACCACACCAACTATTCGCTCGAGCACGATGAACTTCGTGTCTTGGTCCTTCGTCAAGATCGCGCCTCGCTTAGTCGTCGACCTGTTCAATAAGTTCAATTCTCAATCGATTCCTGACGGTGACAATGACGCTCAACACACAACACTCTCGACGACACCATGTCATTGTCTGCTGCATTCAATCAATCAATCAATCAATCAATCAATCGAATCCCAATTGTCTCATTTTCAATCTCCTCAGTTCTTCTCTAGAAAAATAAACCTTTCCGACCTCTACCGTCTCCATCGATAAGAGAACTTGATCATCCAGCGCCAGTATCACCGGAACCATCACGCCTCGAACCATCCTCTGTCCTCTTCTTGACACCTTTTACTGTTTCAACCCATACTTTCACACCCTCTGAGACCCTCGGACTCATTCAGGACGTGACCAGCTCTTTCGCGGACCAGATTGAAAATTGAAATCAAACCTGAACACCTCACTGCCCAAAAAGACCAGACTGACGTTCAGTCTTTCGAAGACTGTTTGAGGTCCCATCATCTCTCGACTGCCGCCAACATGTCATCCCTCCGCAGTCAAGAACAAAACGACACAACCATGAGTAAGTCTCCCCTCTCGTCGATCTGAAAAACTCCCATCCATTACTTCAAACAAAAACTTGGAAAATGGGCTAACAAGCGCGTCCCTCTCTTTCTTTCTCTCTTCTCCAGACGACGAGGAAGATGCTCCAAACACTAGATCCTCTCGTGAAGATACTCCTCTCTTTTTTCCTTCACCATCTCGGGATGAAGACAATGCTACCACAAGCACCACTACTACCGCCGCCGCCGTTCCCGTCAACAACAACGACGAGTACAACTTTGAGGAATCTGACGCCAAGTTCGAGCGCGAAATCTTTATCTCCTCGTATGCTCCTTCTGCCTCTGTCCCTATTGCAGCATCCTTTTCGTCCGCCGACCTCAAACCCTACCGTGACTGGGACCCACAGACAACGGTCACGGGCACTGCATCTGGCCCTACCTCGTCTTCGACCGTGAACGATCTTCAACTGGGAAACTACGCGGTCAAGAGAAAGAGAGAGTGGGGTTCGTCCACTGACACAGACACCTCAGACGATGGTGGTGCGCTTCTTTCGTCTTTCGCGCGTTCTTCCGGCCTAGCGCCGCGCTCTGCTCCTCCTGCTTGCCAGGGAGTTGAAATCATCGTCATCGATTCCTCGGACGATTCCTCCGCCGCTCCCGCTCCGGCCCCGGCTCGCGGTCCTGCCCGTGCTCGCGCGCGCGCTCGTGCCGTGGCTCCTGCCCCCGCCAACGACGACGACGGCGACGATGGCGACAGCGGCAGCAACACCTCCGACAGCAGCACCACGAGCGGCAGCAGCACGGGGTCTGCCTGGGACCAAACACACGGCATGAAGCCGTGGCCGGGCATGACGACCAGACAACAACTATCCTTGATGGATAGACAGAAGTACTTCTATGGGCAGGAGGGCACGCCGCTCCCTCCCAACCGCCCGTACAAGCCGTCCCCGAACTTGGGCGACGTCGTACGCAAGGCGGAGAAGAGGAAGCGGCGTGCCAAGCGGGCCGCCCTCAAGGCCGCGAAGCGCAAGGCAATGGCACGCAAGTAGGCGTGGTTCCTGGTGTCGGGGTTAGGTTGAGTTGGGTGCCGGCGGGCCGGGCCCCGGGGCGTGCGTGCCGTGGAGAGATGATACCGAGCGTCCATAGAACTGTGTTTTGTTGTGAGTTGAGTGTAAGAGGCGGCCGCCTCTGGCAATTGGGTTGGTCGTTCCTTGAGATGCGCAGGGCGCAAGATGAAAAAGCAAATGAACATTGCATTCTACCTCGTTCCTTCCACGCGACGTCCGTCGTGTGACTATATCAATCGCCCTGGAGGTTGAGCCATGTTGGCATCGAGGGATACGCCTATCGACACAGTGACAACCAAGTCGTGTTGACGTCAACCATGGACCGAAGAGACATTTGCGAAACGACAAAAACTCCAACCATCAATGACATTGTTAACCATTGATGGGGGAGAAACCCAGGGGCGGGATTGTTTATCCTTTCGAAATAGGGGGGATCCTCGGAAAGGGGCCTCCGGAGGGAGGAGAGGTGGGCTAGTCGGCGATCAGACGGGATCGCAGGCCGAGAAGAACGCAAAACTCCTATAGACGCGCCTCGAACGAAAAAAAAGTCATGGTTCTTGCTGAGGAGAGGAATCGAAGTCTCGCAGTGCGGATGATTCGGTCTGATCGGGATCGCCCAGAGGGGTGGTGGATTTGGACAGATTGTCGCTTTTCGCGGTTATCGTTGCAACCATCTGGCCCGCCCTGACTGTTATGTGACCTTGCACGAAAGTACCCATCTATGCTCGATAGGACCGTCGGGCGTGCCAGTCAAGTTCCTTCACGTTTTATGCCCGTTCTTATGCGATCGCGCTTCTGCAGCAACTCCTCGACGTTGCCAGGACTAGGCGGAATCGCGATGGCCGGTGAGATGCGATAGCGGTGTCTCAACTCGGGAAATACTGCTGCAAAGCCTCGACTGAAAGTCCAATTGTCCATGTGCCACGAGTGTTCGGCAAAGGCATCCGAGATGGTCATATTGGCCGTCTCCGGGTCTATGTCAATCGCCTCATCCAGGCTGCCATCCCAGTTGATCGTCGTGCCATAGCACTGACTTGCCAGAATGAAGTCACGCATGTCATATATCAAGGCATCTCGTAATTCAGGCCTACCCGAAAATGAAGAGGTGAAGGAAATAATTCAGTCAGCTCATGCATGTCAAGCCGCTTGCTTTTTGGTTCAACAAAAATAAAAGACAAAAAAAATGAATAAAAAATATGACTCAAAAAAGAAATCAAAACTTCCGCTTACTTACAGAACTGGCAGATCGGACGCAGGATGATGCGGTACAAGTCGCTGACAGGCCGTAGGTCGCTGGCCAGGAGGGACTTTTGCGTATGTTTCCGCAGACGGCACGATCATCCACTAGTTATACAAAGATAGGTCAGCATCCCCAGGGCGAAAGGCATCAAGAAGAGAAGAAATAGTCGATGATCACATACCCGCATGAAACGATCAAAGTTGAATATTCCTGCCAGACAGACAAAGACATCGATGCCCTCCAGCGCACGGAAGAACTCACAAGCCCAGGTAGAAACGGTGTGCGGGTCGGCCGGTCCTCGTGCACGGAAGAACAGGTCAACTTCAACCTTTTCCGGCCCGAGGATGCTTTCCCTTGATGCTCCAGAGTCGATTTGGCGACATGCCCACTCTCGGAAGCTGGTATACGCAGCAGCCACGGGGGACTCCTCTACTTCAGAAAGCAACGGTCTCACTTGGTATTCGGGATACCGAATTGTCCGCATCTGTTGAGCTTGTATGTGCGCTGGGTATCCTGTGCACGGGATGGCATTGGAGAGGGAAAGATATGTCGTCGGAGAAGCCGCAGGCATCACGGAAGAACAGATGAGCCTCGAGTGATGAATGCGATACTCCGCTCTCCAGTCCAGGTCCACATCTGAGACCGTCTGGTCGGATTCGTCACTCCCTGCGACAGTCGGAGTATTGCTTTGTGTTCCAGCCGCTGCATACTGATGTCCGACGTTAACCAACAACGATTCAAACTTGAGCACCCGAATTCTGGAACGCCTACCTTGTTCAGCATCTCCATGGCAAGGTCGTGGACCTGTGAGAACGTTTTCGACGGAGTCGTCAATGCTGCGACCATTCCTAGCAGTTCTTCCTTTTCCTTTTCGAGTGACGCGAGGCGGTCCAATGCTCTGGATCAAGGTCAGCATTTCGTGTGGGTCATTTCCTGAGAGACGGAGTTACCTACTTTTTGTTCCTCTCCCGGATTCTATCGCCATATACACAAAATACCCCAGCTCTCACACATTTGGTACACCTATCTTCTCCTGAGCATTTGGACCGCGTCTCTCGACAACGCTCACAAGCATGAGATATACGTTTTCTGCCGGCTTTGGGCGAAGATGGTAAAGGCTCGAGCGAGCTCCGCTTGGGAGCGGCAATGATCCTGACAACCGGGCGGATGTCTCGACGGTCCATGGACTCCCAGTCGTTCAATGTAGTCGTGGTGTGAATGAATAAGGCCCACAACCTGCAGAGGATGAACCAATTTGCAGTACAGCCGTATTATTGTTTAGTCAGCGAGACTGGGAGGAAGCTCCGGTAAATGTTGACTCGTCGACTGAACAGGTCTGGGGAAGGCTCTTTTGGGTAGACAACAAGTCCGCCCACCGGTGAAGGAATATTCAAAGAAACACCGGGTCCAGCTGGGCAATCCGAAGCCGATTTCACGAGTTACAGTCCGTTGTCCATGAAGAACTTCATCGTGTGTTTGCGGTCCCTCAAGCTAGATTTGAAGAACGGCCTTCGGTCCTTTTGTTTGGTGGAGCGCTGGGAAATATATACATAAGCCTTTCCGAGAAGTTGGATAAAAGTTGTGGCGCCGAGGCTTTTCTCAACTAGACAAAACGACACAGGAACTACTCATCTTGACCAAGACAACCCACATCAGAGAGCAGGGGGTCGGGTAAAGATGCATCTCGATTGTCCTGCGCTAGCAAATAAACAACCAGATACGTCCCGGATTTTAATCACCGGCCCTAAATCAAAACGCGGCGGCATTTCAGGTGAAAGAGGAACTTCGGAAAGCTTCGGATCCATCACCGAATTCGATTAAAGCAACATCGTAAAAGGAACCGTATGATCTATTGGGAGTACGGGAGTTGTATTGGTATTTCTCGACAGGCAGAAAAGTGAGGTTTACCGTGTGATCGATAGTGGAACACTCGAAGAAAAGACCCCTAAGGCGATCTAGACGAGGGGCAAAACGGCCGCTCGAAAGCGCGGAACCATTCCCTGAATGGCATTCGTTCAAGCAGGGATATAAGCTCGATATTGTACTAGACTTGAAGGGAGCCGGTAGTGCCTCACCTGAGGCATCGTATTTTCCGCGGGACTTCAGAGGCAACTGGTGGAGGCCCTACACGTTTCACGAGGGCTTTCCCCCAGCGTACGGAGAAAGGTCCATGTCTTTTCGCCATCCCGATCGAGCCGTTGCTAATTGAGTTTCAAGACCTCTTCGCTTGCTGGAATGTCCGCCCCACGTGTGCGGCTGTCATTGCCGGTGCCGGCATCAAGGGCGGCTTCTAGCCGAGTGGCGACGTTGACCCCATTCCGGATTGTGTGTAGTACCACGCAGTATCTTTCGCTGATTTCGATCAGCTTGTCGACTTTGGATTTGTGTTCGTCGTCAACGTCCAGCTGCACAATGAGTCTTATGTCCTTGAATCCAACAGGCACTGCGTTGCCATCCGGGTCTTTGATGCCCATGGTGCCTCTGAAGTCAAGATCGCCTTCGACAGTGACCGCGCCGCGATTGATGGGAATGCCCAGACTTGTTGCGACCGCTCGTACCGTGACACCGAAGCAGGCAACCAATGATTCCAGCAGCATGTCACCAGAACAGAGCTCACCAGTAGCATCGAAGCCTTCACCTCCGGCGGCCTTGTGCAAACCAGCCACCTTTCGAGCGGCCTGTCCTGCGGAAAGAGAACATGTCAAGCTGGTCGAGGTCGGATCGAGGTCTCCGGAAGAGGACAACGTGACGAGCGCGGACGAAGGATCTGAACGATATTTGTCCTTGAGAGGCTTTTGTTTTGCCCGTAGTGTATTGGCGGCAGCTATTACAGCGTCGGCCATGGCGAGAGCTGTGAGTATGGATCTTTATTGACTCGCCCTGGGTTTGGTGTTGGCGATCTGTGAAACAATGCCGAGTTTGGGATCAAAGAGTCGACGTGACAACGCGAGGAGAGCACAATTGAACCGCAATCCCTTCTTCACGTCGACAACCAAGAAGTCGATGTCGACAGTAGTACTCGTACCTGGGCATCTGGCAGAGTAAGTGAATCGCGGTGCTCTACCCAGAGTTCAACTTACCCCTCGGTCCCCTCGCCGGCCTTGCGGAAGAAGTTGCCGTACAGCCGCCGGTCAGCATTGCGCACTTGTTTGGACCCAGAGGAACCAGAGGTCCACAGGGCGGTGTCTCGACACTCGTACAATGTAGGTGTTTATTAGTAGTCCTTTGAAAGTAATCGTTTTACGCGTCTCGCACACTCGTACCGGCGTTTTTGGCGAGCGGTGTGTCCCTCAGCGTCCTCTTAGTGCCCTGTACAGGCCTTAGTACCGAAATCTTTATCACACTGGGATATTTATTCTTCACGGCTGTACGAGAACACGGTGCAACCGCTCAGATTACAAAATGCTGTGTCTATCTTTGCCGTAATATCCTAGAGATGGGCGCTGACGCCCACGGCTCACGACTACATCTATTACTGTCTGACAGTTTTCTCACGTCGCGAAAACCCACCCCTACGATGGTGCCAACACCACGCATCTGCTGTTGCTTCACTGCCCTATAAACCTGGTTCAGGGTAGGCGTCTGAAAACAATGTCTGGCATCATAGTCGTCGCGCAATGTATCAACGATTAAAAGGAACCGTGAACCGCCCTTGTTGTGGGGCTCCTGCGCACCTCAATCTTTCATTTACGAAAGCGAAGCTGGTAAGGACGAGGCATTATCTAACTATCAACATTTCACAGGACGGTCTCAACCCGGCAGGATGCCGTCAGGTTAGTCCCCAGCTAGGTGATTCACGCGTAGAAGCTATGTTCGCTGGGGAAGCACCTCGCTATGCAGGGGTCCTCAGTGTCTGAGCGTCGCCTCTAGGATTCACGGCTAAGCCCAAGTAAACTGCCTCATGTCTGGTGAAATCCCCTTACGCCATCTGCCCACGGTGGATCAGGTGACACGGGTAGCCACGAGGAACGTTGAAGGGAATTCAATTCTCCAAAACTATAACCATCAATTATTCGAGCCTGAAGTTCTGGAGCACCCATTGGCCGCGCGTAAGTCTGGGTGAAGCAAGGTAGACCTTGACATGACAATCGTTGTAAGTGAAGGCTCCCATGCTAGCACCGAGTCAACAGTAGTTTGTCGACAGGTCGAAACCGTTTGGCTCTGGTCTCTCAATGGTTGATTCGAGCACGTTCGTTGGAGACGATGGGTCAGCCAGGCGACGCTGATGCTGTTCCAAGCCGCGTTCACCCTAACTCAAGCCCCCGTTCGCTAGCCGTTACCTGTTCAAAGAGAAACCTTCGAGACCCGGTGGCTGCCCTCGTTGAAGGGGAACAAAGGCACCCTACCAAGTTCAAGAACCGATATCTCGACCCAACTTATGGAGCCAGCAACAGGGAAATCCTAGGTTTGGCGTCAGGATGGAAACTCACACAGAATCCGCAAAAGGCAAAGAATATCCTGCAAACACGGTTGGAAGGGGAAGAGCAAGCCCTTCAAGAAGTCGTCAGCAAAAGTATCCAGTAGCAACACGACCCAGAGCAGAATCGGTGATATATACGACGCTAATACTACAGCAGCGTCAGGGTCGACAGCAGTCGGACTTGGTTGCCAAGGGGAACTGCTGTGTCGTATGCTCAGGGTATGTTTCAATTTTACCGACTGCTCGAATAGCATTGCGTGCTGAGTTGTGCGTGGAATTTCAGATGTTCTAATGTCCAGTCTGCAAGTGTTGTTGTATAAATTGAGGTGGACATGTACGGGGTAGACCGGGTGTGGAAATGTCCGCCGGATCTTGGAGCGAGCACTGTAACGCACCGCTCCTGGTGGTTGTGTACAACTCCGCCATTCGGTATATCGTATAGTCCACGCACACCTTGATCGTTGATCGTACGATGTGTTGGATGTGATCTACGGTGCTATGCTCACCTCAACTCCAGTTTTCGGGGCATAATCAGCACGAGTGCCGAGCATAAGTTCAATTCGTACCTTGTGCCTGTAGGCAATCTTTTCTTTTTTGCGTCTCGCAGTATTTCTCTGGTCGAGTCGATCATTCTTGCTGCTCAAAGATCAGCGCCGTAGTATCTGTACGAGCGAGTAGTCTCTCCTGTAACTCTGCAGCATCTCTAGCTCGTGGGACCAGTACTCGTGCATTAGTCCTGTGCCTCGGTCCTACTCGCATCCCGCTTGCTGATGAATATTCGTGGTTTTCAAACACGGTGCTGCTCTCTGTTGCCTTCGACTTTGAGGAGTAAGAGCAACTCGTCGCGCAAATGATAGCAATGACGTTCAAGGTCAAAGCACCCAGTCATGGTTCTCCCCAGTTTTTGTATCCTCAGTCGTTATATAAGTCGTGGCGTGGTGTTGGATCTAACGATAGGTACGCCTGACTGATGCCCTAACTGGCCCTTGGAAAAGTGCCACTGACGTCGCAGCCACGGCTATTTCTCCCAACTTAGTGACTTGGTTGGTCACTTAACGACGTACTAGCTAGTAATAGGTTAGCGCCTCTGCTAACTCCCGGACTAGACGGTTAAGTGCCCCCTCGCTAGGTTGACATAACATCATAACTACTCGTACCATCTCCCACCACCACCATCGTCATCACCAACAATCCTGAGAGTCCAGCTCAATCAGTATCATCCGCCAGTATGAATGAATCCGCAAGATGCATCCCTCTCCTCTTCTCCTCCTCTGCAACAGCACCCCTCAACAACTTTTAGTTAGTTGTAGATCGGGGCTAAACTTGCGATCTGCTCGTTCATCCCTCGTGCTTATGCTTCTTCCTCGCAAACACCGTGCGCATCAGCCAAGATAGAAAAGGGCTGTAGCTTCGTCGAACGATTGGATGCAATCCTTCCGGAATTATGACCGTTGCAACAGTCAGTGGAACCCCGAACCGTGCCAGTTTCTATAGATTCGCATGCATCGGATCATCGACGATTCTTCTTTCCCACTGCGGAATACACAGTCTTATGTCTGAGCTCCGCTCCGCCACTATTGTCAATCCACCTTTTCTCTTGTGGCACCACACGAGTACGAGTAGCCGAGAGAAAGACATAAAAAGGACAAAAACGTGGCGGGAACTTAGATATTATTACAAAGTACGACATTCATATAACAAAAACCACCATCTCCATCCGTCTCATCCCCAGAAATTTCTCTTCTGTTCAACCTACCACTCACCCACACGCCCAGCCGCCACATTCGACCCCCAACTTATGTACCACCTGACTTTTGACTCAACATGTCAATACGCAAAGGAGTCAAAGACAACTCGAAATTTCCTTCTGGCCCTCCTACCCCTATCCAAACCCAAGGTTCATCATCTTCGGCCTCGGACCAAGCGACCTTTACCCACCGAGAGCACCACGAAACCAAACGCCATGACGACCAGCCACCCATTGACCTACAACAACTACAACAACACCAGGATCATCGCCACCGTAACCACATGGACCCCAATCCGAATCCCTACCCGTACCACGCCGAACACGGCCCTCCCATCGACAACGCCCTCAAGTACGCCGAGGCCGAGGAGGACTATCAACACCACAAGACGCTCTGGTGGTCTCGCGTGCGCCACCACCTGCGCGACCCGTTTGCCGAGTTCCTGGGCACGTTTATCATGATTTTGTTTGGCGACGGGTCCGTCGCGCAGGTCACGCTCTCTGCGAACCCGAATCTGCCAGCGAGTAGTCAGAACAAGGGTGACTATCAAAGCATTTCATGGGGGTGAGTCTTTGGAAATCTGTGCGTGTCACGGGGGAAAACCCATGATTTCTTTTCTCTTCTTAGCTTTGATTCTCCTTTTCGTCTCTATTTTTCTTTTTCTTACCCCCTCTTCCCTCAAAAAATTTCAGTCCCTGCGGGACTTGATTTCATTTCCATCCCCCGAACCCTGAACTCGACCCCCTACAGGATGGATACGGACATCAAACTAACCCACGACGTCGTCGTGTCCGTGCAGATGGGGAATAGGCGTGATGCTGGGAGTCTACGTCGCCGGGTGCGCGGGGGGCCACCTCAACCCGGCCATCACCATGGTCAACTGCATCTTCCGGGGGTTCCCCTGGTGGAAGTTCCCCGTGTACGCGTGCGCGCAGGTGGCCGGCTGCTTCTGCGGCGCCGCCGTCATCTACGGCAACTACAAGTCGGCCATCGACGCCTACGAGGGCGGCGCCAACGTCCGCACCGTGCCAGGGTACAGCGACACGGCGACCGCGGGCGTGTTTTGCACGTACCCGCAGCCCTTCCTGTCCACGACCGGCCAGTTCTTCTCCGAGATCGTCTCGAGCACCGTTCTCGTCTTTGTCATCTTCGCCCTCAAGGACGACGCGAACCTGGGCGCCGGGAACTTGGTGCCGCTCGCCCTGTTCTTTTTGATCTTTGGAATCGGTGCCACCCTGGGCTGGGAGACGGGCTACGCTATCAACCTCGCTCGAGACTTTGGTCCGAGACTCTTTACGTATTTTGTCGGATATGGACATGAGGTTTGGAGTGCCGGAGGATATTACTTTTGGGTATGTGTTGGAATACCTAGCACCTACCATGCCCTGTCATTTCCTCACCTTCGTAACCTGGTGTTTCTTTCTCTTTCCCGCGTTCACACACACACACACACACACAATCTCTTCTCTCTCACACATTCTACCCCCTCACTCACATTCTTATTCTTCCTCACGCCTACTATCGCTCCCTCTCCCTTTCTCCACGTCTCCACTTGTCTCGCAGACACACACATACATTTTCTCTGAGCTAGAGTTAACCCTTCCGGTAGATTCCCATGATCGCTCCCTTCATAGGTTGCACTTTTGGAGGATTCCTCTACGACGCATTCATTTATACCGGTGAATCACCAATCAATACCCCTTGGATGGGACTCAAGAGACTTGTCCGTCCAACCAAAAAGGGAATTAAGGAGGCCATTTATGGTGTTCCTTAATTGAAGGTCCGAAGTATTCTGACCCCTTTTACTTTTCTTTTCATCCGGTCATTTTGCTTATGAGAAGCGAGCGAGGACCGTATATGATGTTCTCGAGATCATGTGTGATGTGGTTGAGGGAATATGGGGCCTCCTTGAGAGCGTGTGTGACGATCTTATCATGTACCAGTATGACCACATGAAATGTGCCAGTCTAGGTTGATCCAGCCATGTTTTGTACAACACCGAGAAACTTTTGTGATGGGCAAGCGATTGCTGATGCTATCCTGTACCTTGGACCTTGGCCGGGGTATTCTGTACGATTGGCAGGCATTCTATCGTTTCAATGATGGTACCCAGCCCAAGGTACCAATCTGAACGACATATATATGCCCGATCTGAGTCGGATGTTTCCAGGATATCCGGGGAGTAACGGGACCGGACAGTGATAATGAAATTTAAAACTCTAAGAGCCATATCAAAACTCATGTCCTTTGTTTCTTCTTTTGTGGTCCGTCTTCGCCATCTTCATCGTCGCTAAGATCCGCGTAGATGGTCTTTGGTTGTGTCTTGCCCCACGCCTTGGTAAACATGGGATCGTTCTGAGCTTTGTCGGCATACTTGAGCAGAGCTTCTCGAGGATCCTCTTCTCTCATGGAACTGAGCGGGATTCTCTCCTTGATGTGCTTTTCGTCGGGTTGACTTCTCGCAAACGGCGTCGACACCGGCATGTGAGGACGCCGGGGATCTCTGGACTTGCCAGACGCAGTGAGTCCGATGGTCGGGTGTCGCGACGAAAACGTACTGCCTTGGATCCCCTCACTGCTTGTTCCGGGATTGACAATGGCATCACCAGAGATACCCTGCGACAGGTCCGTGGTGAGACTGGGGTCGTCGTCGACGTGCCTCCGCTTCGGCGCCTTGGACATGACCATGACGGCTCCCTTTGTGGAAATCTTCGGGTTGAAGAGCACGTGTGTCTCGGCGTTGGCGCTCCCAGTGACGATCTGGTTGAGCTTGTCGTGCCACAGGACACTGATCAGCGGCGACCCAGGCGTGACGGCCGTGACGACTTCAGGTTTAAGAGTGGCTGGGTTCAGGATGTAGAGATCCCCAGTCTCGGAACCGGTGATGATCGAAGACGAATTGGGAGCGAACATGATGCCCGACGTCGGGTATTGGCTGGACGTCGAGGCGTGAGAGGTAGTGTTGACTGGCTGTTTGAATTTGCGCGTATCCCACAGCTTGATCGTGTCGTCGCCACCCCGAGTGACGACGAGTCTGCCGTCCGCGCTGATGTCGATTCCGCTGGTCCATGTGTTGCTCGTGTGCGCGTTGCTAATCTCGGCGCTCGGTCTGTGATATGGGCCCTCTCCGCCCCACATGGACAGAGAGCCGTCCAGTGCGGTGCCCACGAGGAGGCTGTTGTCGCTGCCGACTTGACTGCCCCATGCCACGGCCGTCATTCGACTTCGACCCGCCGCCCCGGCCAGCTTCGATTTGTGCACAATCACGTCTTTCTGCTTCGTGCGTACGTTGACGTCCCAGATCCGGATGGTGCTGTCGGTGCCAGCCGTCACGCAGAGGTGTGGCAGAAAAGGGTGCCATGTGCCGCCGGTGATCTCGCTTATGTGGCCTTTGGTCATGTTCATGTCGCGCAGGTACATGTCGCCCTTGACGAATTCGGTGATTGTTTCGCCATCCCTCGACAAGATCTTTGCCTGGGTGGTGGCGGAAACAACCAGGACCTGACCGGGAGAGGTTGGGTTGAACTTCACAGCATGGACAGGGTGTGATTCTGAATTCGCTGAGGTCTTTGTGGCAGTGGGATCGAGGGACTTGAATGCTCGTAGTGTATTCGGCGTCATGGACGCGAAATCGTGCAGTTTGATCTTGCAATCTGTCGAACCTGTAATCATACGCGACCCTGAAGGATCTACCGTGATAGTGGTTACTGGGCGATCATGCGTTTTGAACACTATTTCATGGGAGATCGGGTATTCATCATCGTCTTCTGAATCGTCAGAGTCCTCTGAATCCGAATCGCTCCCTGCTGCTGAGCGTGCTTTGGCCTTTTGTGCCTCTGGTACTTTACGTCGCGCCTGTTCCAATTGGGCCTGAGCATCGAAGCCTCCAACTCCGCCCCCGAAGGAAGTTGGAAGAAAGTCGCGGAGACTGTCTTCATCCATGATGCGCCGCTGCTGTCGACGATGCCCGACAAGGCTGAATGGTGTTTGTTGCTCAAGGTTGCGTTTTGTTCATGCCAAATCTGTGCCTGTGGTTGTGCTGTAGAAGAAGAATGATTCGGGGGTTGAACCAGTGCCAGAATAACATAAAGGAATCCGCCTGGGTGTGGTCGCGACACAAGCTACTGACGAATATGCCGTGATGATTGTCTCATCCTCGATAGGATCGTTTGCCTTGTGGTCGTCGTGAAATTTCGGGAATCGAGAGCGTCAATCTTGGCAACATCCGAAGATATCCCGAGGCGGTTTCAAGCCACCGCAGTCGGAGACAAGTATCTCCGATCCTCGACACAGTTTGATTACTAGGTATCTGTCAGGCAGAGCAGCCGAGGTAAAGAGCAACACGCCGTGTCTAAAAATGCTCCCAACGAATGGTAAACGAAGAACTAATTCGAGATCCTATCCTTCGGGGACAGCTCAGAGGAGAAGAGTCTTCCAACCAAGAACCGCACTTATAGACAGATATATACAATTCACCGAAGCATCCTGCACTCGGACACTCTTATCATGGACGCCCATAGTGACTTGTCGATCGACACCACCAAGTTCGGCCGCGCGGCCATCTCGGCCAAAACCAATGCCTTGAACGAAATGCTCATGGACATCATGTCGACCGGACCGAAGTGGTACGAAGTTGGAGCACCAAAATATCGCGAAATGCGTGCCGCCGGCGAAACACCCCTCCCAAAGTCAGTCTACCTAGACTCGGCAGAAGACTTTGCCATCCCATCGCGAGACGCAGGTCGCGATATCCCGTGTCGAATCCTTCGTCCGCAGAATGGCAAAGACATCCGTGCGGTTTTCCTCCACATCCACGGTGGAGGGTGGGTTCTTGGGGACGAAAAGTCTCAGGATTCGAATCTCCAGGACCGCGCCAACAGGACCGGCGTGCTCGCGCTGTCTGTGGGTTATCGTCTCGCCCCTGAACACCCGTTCCCTGCAGGGCCCAACGACTGCTACGATGTTGCAGAGTGGCTGGTCGACAATGCGACGTCGAAGTTCGGCGCACCGTTGGGCTTCGTTGGCGGTGAATCGGCAGGGGCACATCTGAGTATGCTGGTCGCACTGCATCTAATGCAACATTCTGCGCCTCGTTATGCAGAGTTCCGGTTCAAAGGTCTCTTATTGCATTTCGGCTGTTACTCCATGGTCTGGACGCCTGGAGTCTACCACTTCCAGAAGCGTCAACCGCTTGTGCTTGATAAAGATTTGATGGACGCGTTTCGTGATGCCTTCCTCCCAGGCACGTCTGAAAGCGAGAGAATGCATCCTTCGATTAGTCCTCTCTACGCCAATCTTGAGCTGCTGAGGGGAAAGCTTCCGGCGGCGCTATATACCTGTGGGACAGAAGACTGTTTGTTGGATGATACAATGTTCATGAGTACCAAGTGGCTGATGGCTGGCGGAGAAGCGATTGTCAAGATCATCCCTGGCGCTCCGCATGGGTACCTCGCGTTTCCAAGGAGTGTAGAGGGGAGCGGTGCCGCCGAGGGATTAGATGCTGTAGAGCACTTTATACTGTCGAAACTCGACTGAGCCTTCGATGTGAACGATAACTTTCAACATAGAAACATTGTAGCAATCGCAAGAACGTTGAACAGGTCCTCGGGACGCCAGTCAAATGGATTGATTGATTGGAAATAGTTGTCTGCCCGTCCGGATAGTGTCCGTAGTGAAAACGTGACAATATTGGGTCGTTGGACCTTTTCTTTTCGCACCCCCCAAGATGCCTCAGGCAACAGTAAAGCATCGCGCAAGGTTATACAAACACAAACACCATTTTCGGAGGATACCCGTCTTTTGTTTACTCAATCATGTCAATGTCGTTCCCTTGTGGCTGTGCAACTGCGACGTCTCCGCCGCCATTTTGTCCTTGCGTGGTGCCGGCTGTTGTCCAATAGTCGTCCATCTCGGCGTCAAGTTCTTCAGCTGTCTTCCGGGGCCGACCATTGCTAGTCTTGTTCCCCTCTCCTTCCCTAATCGCACGCTCTCGTCGCTCACCAGGCCTTCGGCCTCCGCGATGACTGGAACTTCTGCTGTCACGACCGGGAATATAACGATCAATATTTTCAGGAGCTGGCTTTGTTACGTCGCTTCGTCGGTCTCTAGGTCCTCCCCTGCCGGCTCCGCGGCGAGCTGCTCGGTCTTCCTCAACATCGCCTACAGGGCTCTCACTACGTCTGCGATTTCGACCTCCGGGAGCTTCGATTCTGTCAAACAGACTCTTAGGGTTCTCGACCCGATCGAAAGGGTTGTCCCGTCGTGGAAGCGGTAGCAGAGTGAGGCGAATAGGCTGTCCTTTTGCATTGGCGCCATCAAAGTCTCGAATAGCGGCTCTAGCATCGGCAACATGTTCGTAAGTAACGAAAGCTACCCCTTCGGAACGTCCAGCTCGGTCGTAGCGAAGTCGAGCGTCCATAACGGGCGCTATGCGCGTGAACAAGTCCTACAAGGTTCAGTATCCTCGAGTGAGCGGCGTGTGCAGACATACATAGATATCATCTTCGGTCAAATCGTAGTGCAGATTGTCGACTCGTAGCTTCGCTGGAGGCGGTTTTCTAGAACATCAGTCACAGGCCAATACTACCGTTCAACGGGCTTACCGGTCGGGTTCGGGTGACCGGTCTCGTCGGCGGTCTCTGCGTTCTTTAGAGCGATCGTGGACACCATAGGCTACGCCCTTGATCAGTTCCCCATCATCGTACATCACAAATAGTTTGACCCTCACTTTCAGGTTCGTCATCATATCGATCGTGGACCCAGTCACTGTTTCCGTTTAGTATCTTGCTAGATTCTGTTGATTTTCGATGGTCATACTTGTCTAGGTTCGTTCGGTCATCTCTTGTGGACTGTGCAGGAGGAACATCTGGTTAGCTGTATGTCAAAATATTCTGGCCCGAAACCCGTCGTGAAAGTCGGAAGTCGAAGTGACCCTTTGGAAGTGGTTCGAATTGATGCGGCGACCAATCAATAATACGACGGAACAGGAGGACGTTCATGGGAGAGAGGAGAGGATAGTCGGACCTAGAGCACCAAGATCAGTTAACAGTGCGCGGCAGGTCGCGGGTATTCGCACCTTTCTGACTCCATCGCGAGGATAGTTGAAGTCTCTGCGACGTGAAGGTGGAGGAGCCCTACGACCGCCACCACGATTCTCTCGTCTCTTCACAAGGTTAGCGAGATTAAGAAAGAGGTCGCCAGGATTCTGCATACTTGACGCTCTGCAATAGTGTCGTCCAAACTGCGATCCATTGTAAGGCCGGTTCGAATTGCTTGGTGTGAATATCGGTCTACTGATATTGCATGGGACAATAAAGAAGCTGTTGGATGAAATAATGTCGCCGTGTAGGTGTACCAGAGATACGTTGCAGCAGGGTGACTTTTACTGTCGTCGTTGCGAGAATCGACGCGCTTCGACTCGACTTCGCAGTCTCTGAAACTTCGACTAAAGCGGCGGCAATATATATGCGACGTCTACTTGCCCAGCCCCTCTAGAAAGAGCTGAAAAGCGTCTACGTGCATCAATCCTTGTATACAAGTGTCTCTTTTAGCAGTACTCAGTCTGGGACCCCTACTCTGAAGGCCTATTTCCAGATATTCCATCCATTCGTTGTCGCATTCCATCATTGTTCGCCCCTGGACCCGCAGCGTGTTTGGTACTCCGTACGCCGTTTGTAGGATTCTTGATACACTGCCCTTCGATCTCATCTCATTTGAACCTACGTTGGCTGCGAGAGCTGGCGTAATCGCAGTCTACAACCACCCGGAAGCGAGTGTCCCCGACCTCTTGCACCCTTTCCACTCGGGCCTGCAAGACCGCGTCTAGTGCTTGGAGAAACAATTGGCAGGGAGCGTAGTCAAAACCATACTCTTGCATGGCATCCCAAGCCACTTGTTCTTCATCCTCCTGCGCGAGGTCAGGGAATTGCAGAAATTTCAGCAAAGGGCCTCTGAAGTTAGTTCGTCCTAATCTAGAATCCTGCTTGAGCCCAAGAAACCATTGCTGGTAACTGACCCTCACCCCGTCCCTTATTTTGTTTGCTGCCCCCGTCCTTACCTTCACGTAGCCTCTGAAAGCAGACATTGTGACCAGAAATCTCTCGCCGATAGCATCCCAACTATCTTCTGGCATTGCCTTTTCTATAGTACCATATAGCCGCTCGTGGCTAAGGGCAGGTCCACGTGTATTTCCCCGGATTTTTATCTCGATGCCGTAGCGATTAACGCTGTGTATTTGCCGGTAAATGGCTGGCGTCAGCTTGCTGACTATGTGCAAATCTTGAGGTTCTCCAGGCATTGCCCATGTCATCTCGAAGCGCAATTGATTTGTAGCGCTGAAATGATTGCGCCTGACAAAGTACTTGGGTCCAATCTTCTCGAGGAGCAAAGTACAAGAAATGTGTGGCGACATGTGTCCTAGGGGCAGGATGTAGAAAGACCGTCTCTCTAGATTACTTACAGTGTGCGCTACATGAATCCTCACGTTCTCAAAGCGTACACCTACATTGGTGGATGAGAAAGTATGGATCAAACCACTCCATTCACCCCTAGAGATGTCGTAACATACCGAGAAATCCTTGGGCGATGTTGCAAAGAGATCTTGATACCTTTCTAAACAACGAGTGTCGCCGGTGCCAGTGGAAGGTCGAGGAGGTTGGTCCAGCGACTCGAACCCTGGGAGATTGCAAAAGATCGACAGATCGTCCGAGCGTCGGATGATTTCTTCTTGGAGTCGGATGAACGCTTTGTCTCCTTCACCGTAAAGAAGCGGCATGTTGACGTCGAAGATTCCCAATAGGCAGTAAGCAATGTCCTCCACTCGAGTGGTCTCTCGTCGAGACGCCCATGCCATCCTTCGAGCTACCGGGACATCTTGTAAGGCGTCGCAATCCTCCAGCACTTCGTCATTGATCGCAGTGGTATCGCGAATCTGCTGTTTCAGTGACATCTTGCTCCCTACGTGCTCCCATGCAGAGTTGTAAAACCTGAGATCGCGTGGCGCAATCAGCTCTTGCAGGGTCCAGCCTCGGGTCATCCACCGGCAATGCTGCAACGTGGTAAGGATGTTCGAGTCTGGCCCAACATCACTGAGGAACACAAAGCAGACTTCCGCGTTTCGATACCACGCAAACATGGAATTAATAGCCTCAGTCAGTTCAGCGCTGCTACTCTTGTCGATAGAGCAGGTATCAACCCAGGCATAAGAAATACCATGTCGCTTCGCTTCCCTACACGTCGCTCTGATCTTTTCATAACCAGACTTATCGGTGGCTGGATGTTGGGGATCGCGCAGAATCGCATTCATTTCCAGAAAATCGACCTCCTCGTCCTCGACCCAGGTATGGGAGAGTATTGCATATGCTGGGATCTTGGCCCCCAAGAAGACCTTCATCCGGAGGGTTGTGGTATCAATCAGCCTGATCGGCATGTTGATGGAGAGTCCGGAAAGAATCCGGAAAGTCGCAGTTCAACTGCAAAATATGTCGAGAGAGTGAGAACTGTGCCAGATTCATCGGCGAAATATGGGTAGATGGCAGAGGAACTGGTAGACGTGGATGAAAATGAAGGTAACACCGTTCGAGGCTGAGACCAATCGCCCAACTTGGCGCCTGGCTTGCGCAGAGTGGCTGAGCTGGCCATGATACTATCCCAACTTCGGAATCGTATGCAAGCCGTGGCTTGACGAGGCAATCTATTCTTGCCAAAGTAGCCTATAACAATCACGTTCGATCTTGTCACTCGTCCCGGCTGTTTCGGCGCTACTATCGGGTATCTTGCAAGTAGCACTGCCAATAACATGGTCAAGCAGAAGCGTGGTACTACGGTGTTACAAGAGGAATCGGTATATGTTGAATAGTGATAAGATACTGTAGATGAGACGAAGGTAAGAAGATTACACGCAGTAGAGTCACGGGTACGACTACTTGGTACTGGGCCTACAATATAGATACTAAAAGCGGCGCCTGTCTGGGATTTCTCTTTCCACGTCGACTCTCGCTCCATGTCCTGTCCGCCCCTTGATCTATTTGCAAACAATGCTACGGAATGCTCATCAAAGTCACCCCAAGAAGGCGAGTAATCCTGGAAAAGAACCCGTCTGGATATGCTGCCACGGTGAATTGTATGGAGGGTGATTCAGCATCGAGCAACGTCTTCCAAGTTCACCACTGCCCATAGTCCCCATGCGAGATGGCCAGGGGCAGATGCAGATTGGGGAGGCCAACACCGCACCCGCTGTGTTATCGTGGATAACATGGGCAACATACTTGGCGACAAGAGCAAGAGTCCACGTTATTGGGCGCCAAAGATGCCGACGAGTGAATTCACGAAATGTCTAGGAACTTGGCTTGTTCGGCGTCGGACTCGCCTTCGGAGGACCGTGATTTGGTCGACCACAGACAAGACAATGCCGATTCTGTTGTCCATCAGGCTGAGTAAGAGGACGAAGTATGAATGGCACTCAAAATGGACGACCTCGGAGACATGCAGGCCTCATGCTCATTTTAGCTTTGGATGTTTAGTATCCGGATGTCCAGATGTCTCTCTATTGGTCGGCGCTTCTGGGTCGACACTTGCACACTGTTTAACATTACTCCCTATCGGTCGTTATCTTTTCTCGTAGTATTTGTGATTCGCGACATATCAAGTGGTCACTCAGGTTAATCGAGCTTAGCCGATTCCCTCCGAGAGTGAGGATGCTAACGCTACGACGCTCGGGAATGTGAGGAATTGTTCTTGTGATGATCATCCTCATCTCTATCAAAGGGCAGGGAGCGTAACAGAGGTTCGACGAATCCCTGTTGGCTCTGTCTAAAAGCTCTACTCCGTAGAGTACAGCTCCCTGGCAAGCCACCGGTCTGAACATCTCGGCGCGTGGTTTGTTCCTCGATGTCTATCACACCCATGTACCTTTTAGACAATTTCCTACGGAACAATGAGATCTGCAAAAGCGGGGGACAGAAGAAGCTCGCCTTTTCTGAATCGACGTCAGGGCGTCTGATGTCGATACGCCAAAGGATAGCGCAATAGGACGGGCGCCCTGGAATTGCGGGGTCCAGCTACGCGGGACTCAGGAGACACAGGGGTCCGAAGCTAGAATCTGGATAATTGATACCCGGTCCCCACTTTGTCAATTCTCGCGCCGCCGCCGAGTGGTGGTGGTGGTAGTGGTGGTAAAGTGATGGTTCTGTCCGCTCGCCCTCGAGACTCGTGTGCTCCCTCCCCGCTGATCGAGTCCTTATCTATGGGCTGGAGGGGTAGCTCTGGCTGCCGACATATGAGCAGGACGTATCTCCTGCTCGATCGTGACAAACTTCCCATTCAAGAACTCCCTCAGTCCCGGTGTCGAGGTTAAATTACACCCAGAAATGGACGACAGCGACGAGGGCCAGAAAGTCTTCAAGCCGATTCGGCGCATCAATCTGGCTTGCAACTCATGCAGGTGGGTAAGGCTCCGCAGATTCAGCCTTCGCCCTTCCCTCCGGCTCCGGGGTCTTCTGGGCCAAAGGCGTGATCGCTGCAAGGTATCGAGCAACCCAAGGCTGACTATGTCATCTCAGGAGAAGAAAAGCACGTTGTTCCGGCCACCGCCCTCAGTGCACAACCTGTCGCCGTCTGTGCTTAGGTACGATGGGCTTGAGAAACACTGGTGGCCGGCTCGAGAATGGCTAACATGTCGTCAGACTGTGAATACAGCAGCAAGGAACCTGCTCGCACGGATCGAAGCGAGAATTTATCGGCGGAGAGGCGATCAGTGCATCGCAGAGTATGGGGATCACCACTCTCTGCGCCAATCTGCAGACGAGCTGACGTGTTGTGGTGGCGGGTAGGATGACCTTTCCCAGACCTTTATGAGCCTCAAGGAGGACATCTCGCAACTTCAAGCTCAGATTCAGAGGTAAGGCTATGACGATGCCTTGTCCCTTGTACGGCCATCGTGCTGACAGGCTTACGTTTGCTTGTTTGTGGCAGCATTGTTGAATGTCAACAGAAAATGCTTGGGCTCCTTTTCTCACAAAGCGGAGAGCGAACACTTTCCGCAACGTCGCCGTATGGCTCGCTGGGCTCAGAGCGTCTATGCCGCTCAGGAACCAGTGAAGAGACCGAACTGGAGCAAGGTGGCGATAGCGAGGAAGGCCTCTTCCGGTTCATTCGATCCCCCGTGATTGACCAGCTCGTCGATATCTATTTCGAGCTTTGCCACAACCGACCCTATTCATTCTTCCACGAAGACAATTTCCGTCGCAGCCTCGCCAACCATGAACTCCCCGATCACCTATTGTTGGCCATGGTCGCGACGACGCTCCGGTTCTCCTCCGACGGGCAGGTGTCGACAAAACGGCAGGGGCTCGATGCCCAAGCTGCGAGTAGCTCCTGGAGAATCATCGGCGACATCTATCTCGCGGAAAACAACACCGACATCCACGTCGTACAAACTCTCGCTCTTCTATCAATATTCGATTTTACCGGTAAGTTTTCCAGCTATCACCCTTCCTCCTAAACGTCATGTTTGTTCTGACAGGCCAATTTGTTTTGCCAGCTGGAAAAGCCCGCCACGGTTCAGCTTGGGTCAAGATAGGCATCGCTATCCGTCTCGCCCAGAACATGAAGCTTATGCTCCAACCACCCGACCAATTGCCCTTTGAAAGCCAGGAAGAGCGCCGTCGAGTGTTTTGGTCCTTGTATATCCTCGACCGACTCGCGTCATGCGGTCGCGGGCATCCCGCCACCATCCTCGAGACGTCTTGCCAATTGTCACTCCCGTGCGACGAATTGTCGTGGCGAAACGGGAAACCCTCCACATCCGCCGCAACGCTGAACCAATTCACGGCACCACAGTCGCTTCCATCGGTCAAGAACTCTCCATTTGCGCTGGTTGTGTTATGTGCCAGTGTGCTCGGTCGGGCCACGCATCTCATGTTACAAGGCGTGGATGACAAGGACACAGTTCCGCCGTGGGACCATAGGTCCAACCTGGCCGCCACCCAGTCAAACCTGATATGCCTGGAACCATCCGTCCTGCTGCAGAAGCCCTTGCAACAGCTGATCCACGAGGGGTTCTCCATCGACGGGTGTATTGACCAGCCAGCACTCGGTCCTCTAGTGTTCTCGCAGACGCTCTTCCATCTTTGCTATTGTATCTTGTGAGTGTGGCCTTGACTGCCTGTTGGGCGGACCTTTGTGCGTCTTCCAACGTACTGACGGGAGCCCTAATAGATACCATCCATTTTTGCTCAACAAAAAGCTCAAGAATTTCCAAGGCCAAATTCCCAGCAGCTTTCTCCTGCACAGTTTTGAGACGGCGTACGAGCACGCCAAGCAACTTGTGCTCCAAATCGACGCAGCACAAGCAGCGGGTTGCAGGGCCTTCGTCGCATTTTACAGTTATGCGGCCGTCGTTGCCGGGAGTATCCTAGCACTGTGCCCGCACGATGCTTCTGAAAGTATGCACGCCGAGGCAAACAGCATTCAACAGGTGAATGTGGCCTTCCTGGCGAGGCTCGGTCAATGGTGGAATCATACCCCTGTAGCCGTAAGTTGACATCCAAACCACAATGGTCGAGTTCCGGCGTCTTTCGTGCACTTCACTTACCCGTGCCTTTCATTGATCTGCAGCTGTCGCTACTCCAGAGGTTGATTCGCGAGTCGCACAAATTCTCTGCCTCAACATGGAACACTTTGGGCCATACCCTGATATGTAGCGACGACGAGGAGTTCATGTGGACGCTGCTCGACTACAACGCCTGGTCCAGCATGGGCCCGGAAGACGTGCGGGCCCTTGACGATAAGAATCCACCGAGCGACCTCTGGCCCGACATGAATGATTTCTGCAACACTTTCCCTCAATTCGACTGGGAGTTGTTGCCGGGAACACACTCGCCGCTGCTGTCCGAAGCGTTCAGAGACGATGAGTTCGATGGAGATACCATCAAAGCACAGGCCGTATGAACTCCGGGACGCAAATCTGGGGCACCAGCAAACGGACTCTGTGTGATGGAGGTTTTAATATCAGGGGTACCCAAAAGGAGAAAAGCTGTGATTTGCTAGCCTTGAGATATGTGGAAATTTTCGAAAAAAATTCCTTCCTCTCTATATAGCATAGTATGTAGTTATGCTGCTACTGCCTACAATATTCGCCCTCCTAGATTATTCATTCCCTCCTTTCGTTTCCTATCACGGCCTCGCGGAGTATATCGGGAGAGGTATCTGACGACTCGACGGCTCAAGGATAAGATAAGGAATGGAACTAACGCGCCCATTCAATAGGAGGAAGTACAATTCCGAAGGTGGGTGAGACTAACCAGAAGTCTCCCCCGGCTTCAGCCAGTAGAAAGGATCTCTCCTTCATTCTCAGCGAAGCTTCTGTCCGACATCTTCTTGCTCTTTACGGCGAGACGTGAGATGTACTGGGGTTTCAACGCGCCACTTTTGAGGACTGCATGCGATGCTGGTGATGCGATGCTGGTGACATTGCTGCGATGCTGGTGACATTTTACCCCACGTCTCGCATCTCAACTACACACTTGCACGAAGGGCTCACTGCTATGGATTCTCTCCGGACTGCTTTATCTTGTCCCTGAACGCTGTGATGAATCTCAAATTTACGCTAGACTACCTCAGATGATAGCCACAACTCGATTACTATTCATGCCACTGTCAGCTCTCGGTCTTCATTCCAGTCTCCCCACTGAGGTCAAATTTCCCCCGCGTATCCTCCCTGTGCTAAGCGACGACTCCCGCAGAACTCACTCCAAGAAGTGGACTTGGGTGCCGGGGTGTTTTTCGCCGTGCTTGGTGACTCGGAGGCTGAGGAGGTCTGGTCGAGAGTAATGGCCGACGGTGTCCAGGTTGTGCTTAGCCAATGCGCGGGCAGACAGGTCGACGTCAGCGTACAGGATCCCCTCCTCACCGGGGTCCAGCGGCTTCACCAGCTCCTTGCCGTCTGGGCCAAAGATCATGCTGAATCCGCCGCCGGGGGCGCGGGCGTACGAGTAGTTGTCCAAGAGGCATTTCTTCTTGTTTTTCTCCGTCAGGATTTGGGTCGCCGTCATAACGAAGCAGCCGCCTTCCATGGCCATGACCTGCGAGAAGCGGTTCGACGCATCGGGCGTGATGTGCCACTGCCATGGGCTTCCGTCCGGCGGCATATCCCAGATCAGCGGCCAGCTGGCGACGTGAATATCAGTGTTCTGCCAATAGGTGTAGTAGCGAAGTAGGAGCTGCGAGTGCTCCCAGCAGTTGAGGCCGGAAACCCTGCCAAAGGGGGTTTCTGCCGTGGTCGTCAAGCTCTCGCTCTGCCCGTCGCCATAGTATGCGCGTTCCACATGGGTAGGCTTGATTTTACGGCGATGGTGAACAATGGTTCCAGTTGGGTCGATGAAGGACTATAGATGGAGAGAGAATTAGTTCCTACATAGCCCAGGCACACACACTATGTCGTCAATACCTGTGACAGAAGTCTTACTTACCTGAGCGATATAGATACTCCCGTTGTGGCGCTCGCTATAGCCCAGCACGATGAAGATGCCTGCTTCACGCACAGCGTCTCGAATGCGGTCCATCTCGGGTGATTCTTTGACCAGCGAGTTGCGGAAATACTCGTCCATGAAGGCCGCGCAGTCGCCGACCGACTGTGACCAGATAGCCCTGCTAGTATTTTAGTAACGGTACAGCTCTGGACTGGTCATGGCCAAGCGCCTACCATGGGTATCCAGGAATGAAGACTTCAGGGAACCCGAGAACGTTTGCTCCGTTCTTCCCTGCCTCCTTGATGAGACCAATGGCCTTTTCAACACCGCCTTGGAGGTCATTCCAGACAGGCTCGGCCTGGATCACTGCGACCTTGACTGTCTTGTTGGTAGTAGAGGCCGACATGGTTTCACGTGCTGGTAGCTGTGGTTCTTCCGAGGCAGAACTTCCTGGGACGGACCGTGTTGGCAGTGATAGCACGGATAGATCTGAATGAGAAGATTCCGATGCTTGATAACTCATAATCTCTTTGCTGGGATTGTGTTCTTGTTGCCTCGACACAACACCGCCGCCCCTTTATACAAATGCACATCCGTGGCTCAGTCTCAATCGCCGGTCCGTCCGTATAGTCGACATGCCGGCTTATCAGGATATCAATTATCCTGGTCCTCCCTCGACGGCTTCTCGCGGACCTGTGCCTTGCGGACCGCAGGACCGCAGAGAACGTAACCGGATGATCGACCGGATATTCATACTCTGCCCCAGTAATCCTCCTTGGCTCTTTTCATGCTTCGCGGGGTGACGAGACCCAAGGACGGCGGGCCAGAGGCCACTCCAGCTGGCGTTCTCTAAGTTATGGCTTCCTCTCTTTCCGACAACACGACACCCCAGAGAGGCGCTGTGGTGGGGTAGAAGGGGATCGCCATTCAGTACATTATTCTGGCCGCTTAAGTTGGCTGGAAATGCGCGGTCTGGACTCACGTAACAAGATTGACAACGCCCTGGTTGCTCGTCAAGCTTTCGGCGCCGACAGACGCCATCTTTGTAGTGGAAAGTCTATTCGCGAGGTATCAGCTCGGGTCGCTTCTGGGGTGAATTATCCCACATTTGTACTTGGCTCCCCGTTCCTAATCGGACTCACAAAGAGAAGACCCAATATCCCCCCGTCCACTCTGTCAGACCAAGTGGCATGCAAACAGGAATAGACTGCGCAGAGACGAAATGGCTTCCGGAACGTTCGATCCACCTATGCGTAAACGGGTGACGCTTGCATGTAATGGCTGTCGAACCAAGAGAACTAGGGTATGAATCCGTAACGCCAATTTGCTTTGCATGCATGAGGCTCTGTTTCTCGCCATGCACTGGTGTTCAAGTCGCTGATACTGATAATTCCCGTTCATCAGTGCGATGGGCGTCGGCCCAAGTGCAGTGCCTGCGTGTATCGCGGCGATGATTGTGAATATAGCCGCGCGGAGAGCAAGCGAAAGTAATCTACCTTTATTCAGGTTCTCCCTCGCCCCAGGCCGCGAGCTGATGCCTTGCACAGGCGGCCAAGCAATGCGTACATCGCGGGACTCGAAGGGCGAATTGCAAGTCTCGAAAACATGCTGGCCATTGCGACGAACAGCAACGAGTTCTGTGGTGGCTCCAGGTATGGCAGCGTAGACACCGTTGGGAACATCGGCCGCGATGAGTATCCTGTTGCCGGAACGGTCGAGAACGGAGACGTTGATGAACTCGCCGACGCCCTGGGCTGCTTCACTCTAGGAGACGCTGGTGAACTGCGCTTCTTCGGTTCCTCCAGTAACTTCAGCATCATTCAGAACCATTCATTGAGGGTAGCGTCGTCAGTCGACGCCCGGAGTCGTGGAGTCGCTGCTGCTCGGGCGATGCCTGACTTCTTTGAACCATCTGACGAGCTTCGAGATCACCTGTTGGAGCTCTACTGGCGGTGGCAGAATTCCTGGCAGTATATCGTGGCGCGCGAGTCCTTTGTGATGGACCTCTATGTTCATAAAAACGGCAGATTCTGCACCCCTCTCCTGCTGACCGCCATGATGGGGTTTGCTTCGCGATATTCTTCGCGGCCGGAACTCAGGACCAATCCAGACGACGCAAACACCGCGGGCGAGATGCTCGTGGCTCAGGCACGAACCATGCTTCACCACGAGTACGAAGCCCCGACCACGTCGACGGTCCAGGCGGCCGGCATTCTCGGGCTTTACTGGGCCTCGCTGGATCGAGAAGGGCTGGGGTTCATGTACATTGGCATGGCCTCGAGAATGGCGATGAACCTGGGACTGCATTCCGACTGTTCTGCCTACATTGCTCGAGGAATGATCTCCGAGGAGGACGTCGAGGCACGCAAGATAGCATTTTGGGGTATCTACGTCTTGGACAAGTATGTGGCTCCATTCTCCCGTCGACAACAGCGATGATGGTATTCGGGATATGATGCTGACGTTCATATCCAAGGCTTTACTGTCTCGGGATGGGAAGACCAGCGGGTATCCAGGAGTTCAACATCACCACAACGAAGCCCAAGGCCCAGGATCGTGCTCTGACTGGTCTGACCGAACAACAGCTCAGGATCTCTCAACCGTGGCCGACTTCGCACATTACCGAAAACGCCATGCAGATGTGTGAGATATTTATCATCACTTCCGAAGTGATTGACCAGCTGTAAGCTAGACTGGATCCCAGCCTTTTCAACGTTCCCTTCGAACCGTGTCATTTGCTCACGAGGACTAGTTACGCTCAGAGGCCAGCGTGGGACGAGCGCGAAAAGGTTGACAGAATCACGCGAACACATCTGCGGCTGGTGAAATGGTTCGATGAGCTCCCCAAGACTCTCAAGATCTCCGAGTCGAGTCTCCAGCCTTCACCTCCCTACGTGTACCAGCTTCAGTAAGTTCGCCTCTAAATGATCCACAAATCATCCCCTTTTTCAGCCCTCCCCATCGTTGCAAAGCCGGTCTTCTGACAAAGACCTATTCCCACGGGTATAAAGCCTCCAGTACCACGTCTCAATCATTCTGTTACACCGTCCCTTCTTCAGGGTGCTCTACAGCCGCCAGAGTAGCGGAGAATACGATCCTGACGGGGGAGATTTCCACTCGAGATCATGTCAAGCATCCGCCGCGAAGATCTCGAGTATCCTACGCATATACCGGGACAATTATACCAACGTAGGTGGCCTTCATGCCCTTTGTGTACTTTGTTGGCCCCTAGTCCCCAACGCACACCATTTCGACTGGACTGCCCGCTGACGTTCTTCTCCTGTAGCGATGTATGCCAATATCCGCAGTGCACCCGGCCTTCACGGCGGCCATCATCCACCTTCTCGACCTCAAAACGGCCGACCTTGTAGGAAGAAGGAAGGCCATGCGGCGCTTCGAGGTCTGCCTCCGAAGCTTGTACGAGATGAACTCCAATTGGGATTGGGCGAATCGCGCCATTAGAGCCACCCAGTCCCTGGCCACGCAGTGGCAGGTGGACATATGGGCATCGTCTGTCTTGTCCAACGAATTGAGCCAGGAGAACCTGCGGCAGTTCCGCATCCATGAGGAATCTTGTCATCAGGAGGGTCCCAAGCTCAATTCCTTCCACCCTGGCACAGGCGCCGAAAGGGCACGCATTGCCGACCCCTTTGACGAATTCTTTAATGCTTGGACCTACGATCAGGCATTCATGGATGGAACATTTGATTTCTTTCCTGAGGATTGATTTCTGTGGCGTGGTTTTGTCAAGTTTTGACGGATCTCGAATCGAGAACATCAATCTAATCGATTTTTACATCTATCCTTTCGGCTCTCGGCGGATAATCCAAAGTTGTCCACCTATTTACTTTGAGTGGACCATATGTTGATCTTCCTAGTTTCTTCTCCAGTCAATGTCGAGTCCGTGGCCCTGTAGATTCATACCCTAGTGAGGTACCAGACAGTGGAGGGAGCTTCAACGTAAAGGAGCGATGCTAAAAGAGACGGAGTTTAGGTAGTTTAACAGCGGTACCCTTGGTCTGCTCCTCCTAGGGATGGTTTCACCGTTTCCGAAGGGAGGTTAATGGATGCGGACCAAGGTAGAAACGGCCGATACTTTAACAGAATGAAAGCTCAAAATGCCTCCAAATGAGGCTGCTGGTGTCGTCAGAACACACCACGTTATTGCCACGTAGATGCAGCAAGCTACTGGAGCCCGAGCCCAAAGTTAAAGAGTATCCTATAGTCTGATTCCTCGAAAAGCTCCACGTTGGTTTCAAACTTATTCAGGCTCCCTCTTCATCTTACACCCAGGCTGAATTATCGAATTTGCACGTCCTGAGAACTTCTATCTCGAAGTCAATTTTCTGCGCCGCGTGTTCATGAAGATAAGAGGTCGACTGATGAAAAGTTACAGTCGGGATAGAGTCAGGTTCATCTGAAACCCTGTTTCCAAGGTGCATAGCTGGAAACCGCTGGATGCTACGCAGTAGGAGCAGTCTTCCAACTTGCCAGAAGAAACCTGGTGGCCGCTACCAGCAAGACCGATGAGCACCAAGCGAGGCTGCTGGTAGAATCATTGGTGCAAACACAAGACCAGCCTGCCCTTTTGGCCACATTATCCAAACTTGACACTAGGGGTATCCTTGCTTGCTTCACGTACGATAAATTGGGCCTTGAGCGATGCCCCTTGCGCTCGCTTTCGGTCAGGAGCAATAGCTCTCATTCGCCTGCGCCACGACCCTGGGGATTTCACAAAGTGGAAGCGAGAATAGCTGGATAAGTAATGCCTGTTCGAACAAACCGGTCGTCTTAAACTAGGCGCATTCAGTAGCGCCATCGACATTATTTCTGACACATAACACACACCAGTCTAGGCAAACTGTTGGAAGCGCCAAGAGTGTTGAAGAACTGATGGTAGCCAGAGGCGGATTGTGTAGGAAATTAGACCGCCACCGAGGAGAAGACGATACACACGCACAATGATGCCAGTCATCCGCCGGATCCGTTTCGCCCGGTTAAATACCATCTGGGCAGCAGTCATAATATTATATTTCGCACGTCCCTTGCTCACTATCGGGAGGATGCAGGGCTAGGAGTTGTCGTCACAATATACACCAGCTCCCAAACTGGCCTTGCCGCTATCCAGGTCTCCCCTGTCTACGCGCTCGCGGCATCCCTCATTCTCATCTCCCTCCTGACGCACATCATGTGCAGCTACGAATCCCGGAGCGTTTTGCACCAGGTTCGTTGGACATCTAGGGAAACTCGCATCAGGTTTTTCATGTGGTTATATCCCACTCTCTTGCGACGTTTTCAAACCACCAACTCTGCAAACCAGACACTCCAGCCATGTGCAACAGCCCGGCTCTCGCGCTATCCAGTACCTGCCTTCACTGACCATATCACCGAGGTATACAGGACGCAACCTTCGCGGAACATAATCCTGAACACTTTGGCAGATTCCGCAAGGTTCTCTACTTGCAATTTGTTCCGGTAGCGCTGACAAAGTATCGTTGGTGTAGCTCAGCTAAACGTCGGAAAGCTGCCAGCATTCTTTCTTTTCCGAGCGGCCCACTGAACTTGAAGTTCTATGCTTTGATTCGCTGGCTGACCTGAACTCCGAGTTCGGCTTTCGTAAGTCCGAGAGGGCATCAAACTCCCGCGCGGAGTAAGTAGATTTTGGGATGGGTTTGACCTACGGAGTTAGATTTTGATAGAATCTCGAAGGCTGTTCTTGTCAAGAAGGCTCTAAATATGTATAAAAGCGTTACTCATAATCATAGAGCTCCCCAACGTCCCGAATTCTTTACGGTCATACCGTGAAATCCAGTTCCATCGAGAAAGTATGGATTCTGCCCAGTCGGAAAAGAATTTACCTCCCACTAAGCACCTTGAGATGCTTGATGGCAAATCAGCGGATGAATCAGAAGCACACGGCATGCAGCACGCGTCCCCAGCGGAAGCAATGCTGTTGAAGGTGGAAAAACGGGTGATACTCAAACAAGATCTCACCGTGGTGCTTTTACTTGCCGGATGCTACTTCTTCGCATACTTGGTAAAGCCTTTGTTCCTGCAGAGGAGATTAAAGGCTCTGAGGCTGACTTTTCCAAAGGACAGAGGGGCGATCGGCAACGCGAGAGTCATGGGTTTTCAAAAAGACTTGGGTATGACGAGCAAACAGTTCTATGACTGCCTCTTGATGTTCTGTAAGTTCCCATCGAATTCCTTCTCGTCTGGATGATTTGGCTAACCAGGAGCGTCTTCTCCTCTTTTTGCAGATGTGGGTTACATGATATTCGAGCTTCCAGCTAGTCTAAGCCTACGGGTTTTCCGCCCGCCCTGGGTATATGGAGGTGCTGTTATATCTTTCGGTGTCTGCTCGGCGTGCATGGCACTGGTCAGAACCTGGGCCCCAGTCATGGTCATCAGGCTACTCATTGGAGTAACTGAAGCATTTGTTCAAACTGGCTTTGTCTTCATATCGCTCTGGTATCAAAAGAATGAAATCACGACAAGATGTGGTATGTGACTTTCTTGAGTTTTACCCAAAAAGAGTTGAAAACATGCTAAAGGTACCTTTCTAGCCTTGTACTACGGTGCCACTCCAATAGCAGGCGCCTTTTCTGGTCTGATCGCTTACGGGGTTGACAAGAACCTAGATGGAACTCTGGGCAAGACCTCATGGGAATGGTTCTTCATCATTGAAGGTGTATTGACCATTTTCTGGGGCTTGCTTGTTTTCATCCTTTTGCCCAGTTTACCAGAGACCGTGGCGAAGAGAGGAAGCTGGCTATTTCGTACTGAGGCCGAACATACGATCTTGATGAGACGGACCATTCAAGGTATCTGAGACGTGTCTACCGACGACTGCTATTCCACTGCTTACCTCAAACACAGCTAACAATACCCCGGACGCCAAACCTCGAATGTTTCAAGTGGTTTGGGCTATGAAAGATCCCAAAACTTGGCTCGGGGCCTTGATAATAGCAGCCCCTTGTCTGAATGTAGCAGCATTCGGGACGTTTCTCCCCACTTTCATTCAAGAATTTGGCTTTTCACGGTGTGAGTACAATTCGGGAGGCTCAAGACGTGTCCTTGTCGAGCTAATCGTTCGACAGTACGGACTCAGTTGATGTCAATGATACCATACGCTTTCGCCGCTGTGACCCTGCCAACCATGGCGATCCTGGCCGACAAGCTGCAAAAAAGGGCCATCCCGATCCTGGCATGCCTCGGCACTTCCCTGATAGGCTTCATCATGATCCTAACAAGTGTAAGGAGATCTGTTCTCCTTGCCGGCTGTTGCTTTGTCGCGGCTGGTAGCTACCCCGCCCTGATCATCGCAGCAAGCTGGCAATTATCCTCGCACGCAGGTTACACGAAACGATCCACCGCCTGGGCGACCAGCCAGGTCTTCATCCAGTGTTACAGCATCATCAGTACCCAAATATATACGGAGCCTCCTCGGTACTTCAAGGGCCATGGGACATTGCTGGGGCTCAATGCGGTCGGAGTCGGGGCTGTCCTACTGAATTACTGGCTTATGTCGAGGGAGAATGCACGAAGGGATAAAAGGGCTGAGGAGTACGCAAGGAACAGTGAAGAGGTTCCTGACAGCGAAAAGGACTTTGAGGAGATGTGTGACCGTCACCCGCAGTTCAGGTACGTATTGTAAATGCTTCGTCCTTCGGGCAGGAGGACACCTGGGCCTAAGGACCGATGTATAAACGATGCAGACAGTGAGAGCGCTTGTAAATTTACTGCCCCTGAGCATCAATCAAGGTCCGCCCGGGCACCTCTGGAACGCAGCGCATAGGAGGCAGCGTCAAGTAACAACTCTAGGTCTGGCGATATCGGCCGGGAGTGCCGTTCGGTCGCACTCTTCAGGCCTAGTGCGTTCCCCACTAAAAGCACCTATTGACCCTCCCCGCTATATAGGCTCGGATTCAAAGAGTCTTCAAGCCCTCCTTTCCGCCAACTAAAAGTAGGCCCTGGAAGCTGCAAGCTTCCTTCTTCCTCATGAATCTACCATTCCACACACATGGTGTTATGTTCTCTCGTACACGGATGGCATAAATTCTACTCCTTGTAATGGCGTCGATGCTTTCGCAAGGCACTGCGGTGAATATGGGCAATGAACATGGCAGAGTGAAGTCCTGCACCCAGTGTAGGCAGCACAAGGTTCTCCGACTTCTTCATCCATCCGTCAACAATACTCATTATAATGCAGCTGAAATGCAATGCACGCGACCACCCGGGCCATCCATGCTCAAGATGCTCGAGGATGGGATTGGACTGTATCATCACAACTTCTTGGAATAGAGGCAGAGTGCGGACGTTAGTCGAACCCAAATCTGGCATTGTCCCTCCAGTCGTCAAGTCTCATTGATCACTAGGAAGGCACAACTGACTCTTGAAAACGACGAACTGCGGAGTCAACTGAACCAAGACTCAAGACAAACCCTCCCATCTTTTCCGACCGTGACGGAGGGTGACGCTCGCTGCCAACGTTCATGGCGCGATCTAGGCCCCCAGCTGGCTGTCACTGGAGACTTGACATCCCCTGTAGTCACGTCTCCCGATGTGCCTCTTTCTTTTGGCGCTCCTGAAAAATTGGACGGATTGGAGATGGTGCATTTGGAGTCCTGCTTCAATCTGTAAGTCCGATTCATCCAAATTCTCAGTCCGAGACATCACAAACTGAAAGACGCATTCGTCAGATTCTTTAAGCACTATGCTTCGTTCCTTCCAGGGGTTTTTGCTTCAAACAGCCCCTTTTTGGGCTATTATGAACGATCTCCTTTCTTGTTCTGGACCATAATCTGCACTGGAGCTCGTCACTTCCAGAACCCTGCGTTTTTCCAGAAGGTAGGAACCAAAACTCGAGATCTCACTGCAGGTAGTATTCTGCAAGTCCAGGATCCCATCCCGACAATTCAAGCGATCCTCATTTTGTGTCTCTGGCCGTTGCCCCTTGACACTATGTGGAAAGATCCTTCTCACGCACTGGCAGGGGCTGCCATGCAATTGGCCGTGCAAAATGGTCTGCACAAAGCCCAGAACGAGCAGGATTTTAGGAGGGTTTTAATAAGTAGCAGTGACGGAGGGCAACTATTTCGTGTGCGTCTGTGGCTTCACTGCGTGATGGTATTTCAAAGGTGAGCGTGATATTTCCGTTATCTGAGTGCAAAGCTCACTTCCACAGCACAAGCACGTGTGACGGCCTCCCTTTTTCAACATTGCCAGACTGTGGGGAGATGTATACCGAAAAATTGCTACACTCGGTGGAAGATCAGGCTCTCCTGGACCAGTATAAGATACATCGGCTTCAAACAAAAGCTATCGCGGCGTTTCTGCAAAACAATGATCTGCAGGAAAGCAGTAAATGCAAAGGCATCTCGGTGCTGATCAACGTCTTCGACTCTCAGATCCAAGAAGTAGGCGTTATGGGCAACAATAGTATGAGTAAGTCGCGAGTTCAGGTTACCTGTGCGTTTTCCTGAGACCTCAATCACAGCCACCCTGGCATCGACATGTGCTCGACTCTCCGTCTTGGCATTTCATTTGTTTTCACCGATGAGCGACAGTAAACCCCATGGTTTGGTGTGCTTGCTTGCAGTCTGTACGGACGTTCTCGACTTGGCGACAAAGCTGGATGCTACACAAGTTTTCGCTTGGTACTCTACAAACTACTATTTACGAATGGTACTGCTCGCGGCCTTCTGTGTACTCCGAATTTTGAGGAGCAGGTTACGGAAGGTGATCAACACCAACGAGGCCGAGCAATCATTCTTCAAAGCCATCAACTTTGTCAGGAATCGATCCACACTGTCCACTGACCTTGATGCTAGGTATGCGATAATCCTCAAGCAGCTTTACTCGAGCGAAACAGCCTTTCTGAGAGAAGATGGAGAAGTGGACGGTTTACGCTTGGATATTCGTAGTCGATTGGTGAGAAGCACCCGGCGCAGACACCTCCCACACCCAGTTAACGTCACAGCAGTTCATGAGTATCGTGTTCGATAGTTTTTGGTGGTGGCGAGCCGAGTTCGACGGTCGTGCCAATCCCTACCTGGCGTCATCGGTCAACATCACAAATCCGGGGTCAACAGGTTCAGAGGCACTGGAAACACACGCCGACGGCGAGGTGTATTCTACGATGCCAGTTGGAACTGATCTTGTCGACACACTTCGTGTGCCCACCGATTTCACGGATTGGAATTGGCCTGCTAGTCTGGACCTGGACGATGGACAACTGCAGCTTGCAGGACCATATTGAAAGTCCGAGATCGGACATCTTGTTTGTCATCGACTATGGGCGACCAACGTCGCCGCCTAGAAAGCTCCCTCGACGTGAACCCTTTCTTCTGGACTTGCCGACAGTCTACGCATATTCTGCAGTATGATATAAGAGACTGCAACATTCCCTCATATCATTGACCTAGCGGCCCTCCAGCTTTGACAGACCTGCCAAGTACAATATTTGGATCATTCCCCTCAACCATGGGTTCCCTTACCGAGAGCCATGAACCTTCCAAGGCGGCTCAACGACTTCGGGAGTTACTGGCAGATCCGGATCAGATCATCGTAGCGCCAGGTGTTTATGATGGCATTTCGGCCAGAGTCGCCTTGTCGCTGAAGTTCGACGTGCTCTACATGGTCAGTATGACGGCCCAAGCTTCCTGATTTGGGAAACGGGTATTTTGCTGACATCTTGGATGCCTTACGAATTAGACCGGAGCTGGGACATCAATGTCACGTCTGGGCTGGGCAGATCTGGGATTGGCAACGCAACACGACATGACCGAACAGGCAGAGATGCTAGCTAATCTGAATCCGTCTGTGCCCGTGATTGCCGACGCCGATACAGGCTACGGAGGCCCGAACGCAATTGCTCGAACCGTGTCTAAGTATGCACGGGCAGGGATTGCTGCGTTCCATCTTGAGGACCAAGTCCAGGAGAAGCGATGCGGCCATCTACTTGGCAAGGAAATTGTCTCTCGGGAGATCTTCTACAGCAGAATCCAGGCAGCAGTGAATGCGCGGAAGGAATTGGGCTTGGACATTCTGATCATCGCCAGAACAGATGCGAGACAGAGTTATGGGTTCGACGAAGCGCTCGAACGTCTTCGCCGAGCCGCTGAAATCGGCGCCGACATTGTGTTTCCCGAGGCTATGGCATCGAAGCAGGAGGCGGCAGACATGGTTCGGCTGATGGGTCAGACACCTTGTCTATTCAACATGGTGGCCAAGGGAGTCACGCCCGAGGTCTCCGTGCGCGAAGCCAAAGAGATTGGTTTTCGCATCGTGATCTACCCAGTCGTTGGATTTGGCGGTGCCATCAGGGGCATCATGGATGCAATGACGACCTTGAAAAACGACGGGCGAGAGCCGGAGGATCTTTTAGGTGTCAAAGATGCTTTTGCCTTGTGTGGTCTCAATGAGTGCATTGAGCTGGATAAGCGGGCCGGTGGTACTGCTCTTAGAGAGTTATGATGTTCTGGTACAGCTTTCCGGGTTGGCTGGGCTAGTATACTCATTTGGGTTTCATCAATGGTGATGGCTATACGAGATGCGTGAAGGCCATGCACAAAATCTTTGTTGCTTAAGCTTCGCACCCGTTGAACATCTGCTGCACATCTGCAAAGCGTTCAACGAGCACTGTTGTGGATATTTAATGTCTACATGTTCTTGAACCATTCAGAATCAACTGCGAAAAATAAATCGCGCCTGGTCTTTAATGGCTTTCATACGCATCATGTACTGTACGGGGCACTTTTATACCCTTTTGCTAGTATGGTTGATCATGTGGCCTGAGTGAGAATTTGCAGACCACGTCAGGCCAGACTCGGCAAGACGATCGATCCCTGCCCAGGCATTTTCGCCTCGGTGTCCGATGTCGGACTACCTCGTGCCCCACAGAATGGGTCTACAGTACCTTTGGGATTTTCCCAATCCACCTACCTCGGATGGTCTTCACCCTACTTGTAGGGTTGTGTTGAAGAGTTGCTGAGGTCTGGTCAGGGAGGGGCCCCCCTGCGATACAATATGGCGGAGACAGAGGCGGGGATCGGGTGCGGAGACAGACTTCGCGATCTCGGACTTCAACTCGACTCCGCAATCCCGGACTTCACTTCCTTCGTAGTGAGAATTAAGGAGGACAGTGAAAAGGATGGAGAGGCCTGCAACATATATGATTACGGGAGCACGACGGGGTGGAAAGCTCACCAAACTCCGGACCGAGGACTGCCACCACGGAAAATATTTAGTCAGGAGTTGGTCTTGTGAACACACGTCCCTGGTCAACTTGTGGTTGCGTTTCAGGCCGGCCAGACAGAAAAAGGGTCTTCTGATCCAGGGAAGGAAATCAAGATCGTAAGCACGCTCGAAAAAGGATTCACTCCCTCTACCCCCAGGCTCGCCCAACCCTCCCTCACAGAAATGGAAGCCGAAAGTTCAGAAGACCAGATCTGCATCCCTGCGACGCTGATGCGCGGAGGTTCGAGCAAAGCTGTGTTCCTGCACGCCACGGACATTCCGCCACCCGGGGGGAAGCGAGACAGACTCCTGAAACGTATCATGGGCACGCCCGATCCACTCCAGATCGACGGCATGGGCGGAACCAAGGCCGTCACATCCAAAATGGCCATCATATCAGCTTCGGACCGTCCGGATACCGACGTCGACTACACGTTTGTGCAGGTGGCGGTCGCGGACAACGAGATCCAGTATAATCTCAACTGCGGCAACATTTCGGCCGCGGTGGGTCCTTGGGCCATTGATGAAGGGTTGATCAAGGGATTCAGGAACGGAAGAAAACCGCCTACAGATCCAGAAATAGTTAGCGACTACTCGAACGGCGTAGACAGTAGCGTCTTGTTGACACGCGGGCCGCGATATCAAGAGATCCGGATCTACAACACCGGCACTGGCAAGAACATGATTGCGCACGTCCCTATCGGCCCAAAGGGCCGCAGTGTTTCCAAGGGAGACTTCAAGATTGCGGCCGTGCCTGGTTCCGGGGCTCCGATCATGCTTGACTACCGCGAAACTATCGGTGCGGCGCTGAACCGAGGACTCTTGCCCACCGGCAACGTCACCGACGAGTTGCGAATGAGCAACGGACAGACGGTGAAAATCACCATGTGCGATGTTGGGAATCTCTGTGTGTTTGCTGCGGCCAGAGATTTAGGTGTCAGTGGATACGAATCTGCCGCCGAGCTGACAGGGAACAAGGCCCTCATCCAGGCGGCCAAGGAACTACGAGGTCGCGCCGCCGCGTTGGCAGGCATGTGTCGGAATTGGGACAAAGTTGATGAGCAGTCTCCCTTTGTCCCGATGCCAGTGCTTGTGGCGCCGCCTCCTTCGGTTCATCCTGAGGCCCACGTCTCGGGCCGCCTGTTTCTGGACAACATGTGCCACGAGAGCATGGCCGGTACGGGTTCGGTGTGCTTCGCCGCCTGCAGTCGGATCAGAGGGTCTGTGGTGTTTGATATTGTGGGTGAAAAGGCAGGCTGGCGAGGCACCTTCAATATTGCTCACCCCGTTGGCGTGATGCCTGTTGCGGTGGAAGTTGAAGAGTCCTCCACCGATAGGGGTAACCCCAAATTTCTGACCTTGTCGTTCATCAGGACGGCAAGAAGGCTCATGGACGGCCGTATCTATGTACCCACAGAAACCCTTGACGACGCAGCAGAGACAAATGGCCATGCTCCACCGAACGGGACGCTGACAGTCTCCTCGGACAATCATGCCCTTAGTAACAGCGACCTTGCTACTATCAACGGAGCTTCTACACATACAAAGACGGTAACATCGAGCCCGGCAGCCCAAAACACCCCAGTCACCCAACTTTTCGCTGATTTCGCCTCTCGCGCCGGAATGGGGGAAGTTGAACTGAACCCGTTTCTCAAGTCTCGATTGAGAGAATACCTCATCGACTATATTGCCGTTACGGCAGCGGCAGCGCACGACTGCGTGTCCACACCCGCAATCCTCAATGCAGTGATGGCGCTGGGAGGCCATGTATATGGCTCCAACACGGTCGTTGGCAAAGGAAGAAAATTCACGCCCCAATACGCCGGACTCCTGAATGCAACATTTGGCCACTCAATGGATTTTGACGACACATACGCCGAAGGCACGCTGCACGCGGGTGTGACTGCCATCTCGGCCGGACTGGCGCAAGCAGAACTTCTCGGGCCCCAGACGACGGCAACCCAGTTCTTGACAGCGGTCGCAGTAGGCTACGAAGTCACCTGTCGACTCGGCCGAGAACTAGGGAACGAAGCATATGCCCGAGGCATGCACAACACCTCGACGGCCGGAATTTTTGGAGCGGTCGCAACAATTGCCGTTCTCAAGCGGCTTGATTCGAGTACTATTGAAAATGCATTCGGCCTTGCGGTGTCCAAGGCAGCTGGGTCGATGCAGTACCTCGAGAACGGCAGCTGGAACAAGCGACTTCATCCCGGGTTCGCCGTTCACGATGCATTCGTTGCCATCGCTCTGGCCGAGAGTGGCGTACTCGGGGCCGCGAAGGCTTTCGAAGGCACGTTCGGGTTCTTGCACGCATACTCCCCGAAGGAATACAAAGACCTCGACCGCCTTACGCGCAATTTGGGCGCGGAGTGGGTCTTTACTGAGACGTCGTTGAAGCCGTTCCCAGCCTGTCGGATGACGCATGGCTGTATCGAGATGGCCAGTGCCGCGGCGGAGAGTGATTCTAATAGATCGAAGCAGATAGAGAAGATGACCGTTTGGCTGAGCTCGAACAATCTCAGTGTCGTGGGACAGCGAACACAGTCCAAACTCCGGCCACAGAACGTCGTCGACGCACAGTTCTCCGTCTTCTTCCAGACGGCGCACGCATTCCTCTACGGCATGAACGTGGGGCCGGCCATGTATTCAAGAATAGACGATACGGAGGTACAGAACCTCGCACAGAAGATCGAATGTGTGGTTGACGAGAAGTATAAGGGTCGCCATGGCATGGGTTCGAGGCTGAGGATAGACTTCACGGATGGAACAAGCGATGAGAGGGAAATGCTGTCACCACTCGGTGAGAATGAGCATCCCTTCACTAGAGAACAAATCGATGCTAAAGCACTTGGCATGCTGACACCCGTCTTTGGAGAGGTGCAGGCGGCAAGGATTAGAGATGTCGTGGATGGTATCGAGGAGGGGACAGTTGTCGAGCTGTCGGAATTGTTGGAATTGCTGTGCTATTCCCTCGAAATAGAGAGATAGATGTTGGAACGGTAGAAATAGCCTCAAGATTTAGAGAGATGTAGGTCTTACCTGTTTGCGGCAGACGTAGGCTGTGCCGTTCATTCTCTCCCGGTCTGATGGAGCAGAGAAGGAAGCACTAACAGCGAGAGAACCGAAAGTCTCTCCGATACTAACATCTGATGTGTAGGCTGTGAATTGAAGATTGTGTGACCTGGGGCACCATAGAGAAGAGCTTTCGAAGAACCACGGATGCTGCTGAAGAACGATAAATGAGTCTTGATGATTGCCTCGCCTTTCCGGCCCAGCCAGATGCAAGGCGAATGGACGCCGCCGTCTCAAAGACAGTGATCGCTGCATCAGAGCTTCACTTCGCGTGCGTTTCCCCGTACAGAGACACCGCTGCTAATTGGGCCTTGTCATCGGCAATGACTCTTTGAGAAACTTCAACACATCTTTCCTCGAGATACCCCTTCGGGAGGGCTGTGGAGAATCCTGTAAAAGAGTCTAACCTCCGATCTATATCCTCCGGTCTCACCCAACGATGAGACTATCCTCGGGCTGTGATATTCCATTTGGGAATCCCTCGAAAGCTACCAATGCACACCCACAACATTGCTCAGGGAACGTGCGGACAATTACGCTCTTCATGGCACGAGGTGTTTTCGTTCGATGCATCTCCTTCAGGGGAGAAAGGACTCACCAAAGAATATCTAAACACCAATTACGCTGTTTACCATCCTCTCTGCAGTCGGAATAACTCATAGTTACCTGTTTCGCACGAAGATGCGACAAGTCGATTTTTACTTTTTGGCCTTGGTCAGCTTCCTCTCCTGGTACATTTGGACTTCCATAAAAGCATGGCATCGGCCACGGAATGTTCCGGCGCTCAATTTGCTTGCCACATTTTCATATCTTTGGCTTGGACGCGTCACGTCTAGTGGCCTGCAGTTCTGGGTACATCGACCGACGCACAGAAAATACGGACCGTTGGTCAGAATTGGGCCGAATGAAGTTGCAACCGACGATGCCGAGATTGTCAGGCAAATTTCTCCCACAAAGAGCTCATATCCAAGCGGAAGCTGGTACAAGACTGGGAAATTCAACCCATACCGCGAGAACCTGTTTAGCACGACAGATATAGAGGAACACAAAAAACTACGGGCAAGACTAATCCTAGCATATGCTGGCCGTAATTCGGCTTCTATCGAGCCTGCTGTCGACGGACATGTCGCGGTGATGATCAACATGATTCGCGACAGGCACAGCACCCAGCAGGCCCATCTGAGCGCAAAGCTTCTGCGGTTGGAAGCCATTACGTGCTTCCTGACCATCGACGTAATCTCTTGTTTGGGATTCGGTGAACCGCTAGGCAACACGATCGCGGAAAATAATCAACACGGACTCTTCAAATCGTTTCATGAGCTTTGGCCTCAAATGTCGACATGTGCCGAAGTACCCTGGATCCGTGACATCTTGTTCTCCGGTGCGTTCTTGAAGCTGTTTGGGCCCAAGACCACAGACACCAAAGGCTTTGGTGCAGTCATGGCGTAAGACCCGCTAAAAAGGGTGTCAATCTCGAAACTATTGTGTTGATATGTTGCGCAGTCTCGCTGAAATATTTGTGGGTCGGAGGTTTTCTACGGGCGAAAAGAAGAGCGTTATGTTGGTAAGTTCGAAATTCGTGACAGACGCGGGTTTATAAGTCGAATCTCGCTGAGAGCGAAAGAATTCTTTGATTGAGCACGGTTTCAACAGAGAAGAGTGCGAATCTGAAGCGCTGCTCATGCTACTCGCGGGGACCGAGAGCACAGCATGCGCAATCCGCTCAGCATTGGTTCACGCCATTACCTGTCCTGCAGTATGTATACCTCAAGCTTAAGCGCGAAATTGCTCATGCGGTCCATCAAGGGAGGAGAGTCTCGCGCCCAATAAGGATGGAGGACGCACGAAACCTACCATATCTTCAGGCATGTGTCTTGTTGTTCTGCCCGTGGCGCCACTTATGCAAAATCAGGCCGTAATCTATGAAGGGATCCGTATGAGACCGCCCTTACTGGGTTTCTTCCCAAAGGTCGTCCCACACCCTGGTGCCAACTTTCATCGAATCCAACTTCCCGCAGGTACCTCGATCATGACGAACGTGTCTGCTCTTTCGTCTTCGACTGGACTGTTTGGTGCAGATGCAGATGCCGCATTTACAGACCAGAGAGATTCATCGAGCTCGAGCCGACTGCGAGGAAACAAATGGAACGCGACGTCGAGTTGGCGTTCGGCTATGGGCAATGGCAGTGCGCTGGGAAGCCCATTGCACCCATGGAGCTAAACAAGGTTGTATTTGAGGTCTGTTATGTATCTGATAGACACTTTCTGGGAGCTTCTTCGAGAGTTCGACCTTCAACTTCTCGATCCTTTGAAGCCATCTCACCTTTTCAGCTATGGTGTTTTCCTTGAATCCGACCTTCGGGTCAAAGTCACAGAGGCGATACACGAAGACCACTCTCCAGTTGGGAATTAAACGGCTGGCGGACATTACTTCTACCTATGGGAATGCTCCATATGCTCGTCTGGCGAGAGATGTTGAGCTTGCGTCGGAGAGGGAATGGCTGCGCCACTGAAGTCTTGGATTACCATGATGAAGACATTGCAGGGAAGGTAGCGAGCAATCTCTATGATCGACTCCTCGAGCTCGCCAAAAGCAAGTCCACTGATTTGAGGGATGATGCAGCGGACTTGTACACAGGGCAATTTGCCGGACAGCGTCAGTATATTGCCAATGTTCAGTCCATCACCGCATGCTTATAGGCCGTTGATAGGTAGATCCGTTCACCGTTGACCTGCTACATTGCAAGAGACACCGTCAACAGGTCGTTGCAGTCTCTCACTGGTTGTTATGGAAGAAGGGTAGTCGCCATGAACTACAGGATTCAAAAGCAAAGGTCGTAACTAAACGCCGAGAGACAGCAGAGGCGTCATTTTATCTCCGAGTTGGACGGGCCACAGAGTCTCGGCCGGGTCGCGTTAAAAGCGGCATCATGTCCGTGAACGGGCCCGGGACTCGGAGCGTAATTATTTACCTCGAAGCAACCAATGCGTGCATATCCAGCCTCCGCATCCAGGCTGCGTTCAATTGTCGCGAAAGAAATCTTCGAGAAGCCGCCATGGCTTCGATCTGTACATGTACACTAGCTATGTGGATGTCTTGATCTCGACCAGATTATCATTGACCTGCTTCCTTGATTACTGGAAGTTTCCAGGCTCGAGTCCCCAGGGACCTTTGTCCTCGGCACTCTTGAGGAACACTACGACACATGCCTTTGCGACTCTCAACTTGAGGCATCGATCTTTCTCGATGACCACTACCACTGGTGGCTTCCTCATCGTCCCTCCATCGACGCAGGCAACAGGACTGTATAATGTTAGCGGTGTCGGATCACCCGGCGGAGACTCTCAATTACAACGATGGTCCTCGTTCATAGGCATCGTTACGGCCATCGTCGGGAACCTGCTCATTTCCTTTGCGCTCAACACACAAAGATACGCACATATTCTCATCGAGCGTGAGTACACCGAGGGGAGGAGATCACAATCGAACGGGTCCGCGTCGCCCTCCGCCGGCCGGTATGGAACGAATACGCAAGCGCAGATTGCGGAAGCACGGAGGAGAGTGAAGCTGCGGATCCCGGATCGCAAGGAACACACAGATGCAGACACTGCTTCATCGGGCGATGGCCATACAAATGGCAGTCTTGGAGCATCCATGGAAGAGCAAAGCCAAAAGAATGAACCAGAGAATGACGACCAGGATCGACCTTCATACCTCAGATCTCCTGTCTGGTGGCTCGGCCTCGTGCTCATGATCGTTGGGGAAATCGGCAATTTTCTCGCGTATGGGTTTGCGCCCGCCTCTATCGTCAGTCCTCTGGGTGTGGTTGCGTTGATTTCCAACTGTTTGATCGCGCCTCTGATGCTGAAGGAGCGCTTTCGGAAACGCGATTTCTATGGTGTTTTGGTAGCGATTGCGGGCGCCGTCGTCGTCGTCCTGTCGGCACGCCCGAGCGAAGAAAAGTTTGGCCCTGGCGGTCTCTGGAAGACGGCCAAGAGGTGGGAGTTTCTTGTCTATGTCATCATCACGATCCTGCTGATCGTCGCATTAATCTACTCTGAACCGCGATATGGTCGGAGAACCATTCTTGTCGACCTGGGGCTGGTGGGACTTTTTGGAGGCTACACAGCCTTGTCCACAAAAGGCGTTTCCTCACTTCTGTCGTCATCCCTCTGGAAGACGTTTGCATACCCAATCTTCTATGTCTTGGTGTTCATCCTCGTGCTGTCGGCTCTCATGCAGATACGCTATCTCAACCGCGCGCTGCAAAACTACGATTCAACTCAGGTGATTCCAACACAGTTTGTTCTCTTCACGCTTTCCGTCATCATCGGGTCGGCAGTTCTGTACCGGGATTTTGAGCATACGACAACCCAGCAAGCCGTCAAGTTTGTCATTGGCTGTCTGCTGACCTTTTTTGGAGTATATTTGATCACAAGCGGACGCGAAGGCTACGATAGCTCTGAGGGCCAATTGGAGGACGACGACGGAACTATTCAACTGATCGACGAAGAAGCCGAAATCCTCGACGAACGAACACCGCTGAACCGGGACAGGAAACCTTCGATTCCCCACAGTACGGATGAGCGCCGGTCCATGTTGAATCGGGTAGACGAGGTAGACGATGAGCCCGGCACTCCGCAGTCATCGAGACCGGCATCAGCTGTGCCTTCCATCGCCGTCACTCCTGCCGAGTCGTCCGAGAACATTCCTCGCAATCCTTGGGTGTCTTCAGCAGAACAGATTGACGCGCCACCTCCTCGGACACCAGAACTCCCCCGCCCCAGTCTACCATCTCGCAGCGGCTCGTCCACGCCCTTCTTCACACCATTCACCTCGAGGCCCTTCAAGCGCTCAACGTCCTCACCGGCGGGTGCAGAAACACCCAGCCGACAGAATACGCCGAGATTCTCCAGTCCGGAACGTCCCGCAGAGGACGCATATGCCACGGCCCGTTTGATCTCGCACTCGACCCGCGGGAGCATATCCCGCCTGATCCCCGTTCCTGGGCCGCTACTCCCGCCACTCTCGTCTTCGCTGAGCGCGCTCGTTGCGGACTCGCTGCGCCGAGGCGAAGGCTTGCCGTCGTCCGTCCGCGCCAGTCTCCGCCGCAGTCGCTCAGGCCGACACTCGACGGAGACACGCCGGCAGACCGTCGCCGTCTCCGACGAAGAGAACCCGCTGAGTCTGCATTTCCAGAACAGCAGCGCCGCCGATCACGACCTGAGTCGTGCGCAGACGCACGAGGGGGCCGTCCTCGACGAACAGCGCGTCGACCAGGGCCTGGGCGGATCCAAGCGACGGCTGCGGTCTTTGAGCGAGACGCTGTCCGGCATCATGGGCCGCGGCAAGGGGAAGAGGAGAGACTATACGGATGAGCCGCAGTTTGATATTGCATCGGCCGTTTGATCTGGACATATAACAAACACTCGGATGTCGACGTTTTTTTCCCTTTTCGGTCTTTTCTTCGCGCCGGTTTTTCTTTTTTCTTTCCCTCCGTTTTGGTGGTCTTCACCTCATCTCCCATGCCATTCGCGCGCGCACGCGCGCGCGTGTGTGTGTGTTGCCGGCGGGTGCTGTGATTTACATTTGGCGGGGCGGGCAAGGTGTCTGCTTGATTGATTGATTTTGTACTGCACAAAAACCATCTGTCGAGATCTCGTCGTAGTATCAAACTTGTCGCGAACCATGTCGCCTGCCTAGGTATTTTGAGCGCGGCGCGTATAAAATACCCAGTGTCCTATCCTGTCCTATCCTGTCCTACCCTAGCTTGCCCTGGCCCTGGCCCTGGGCGTACCCTGTCACAACTCTATCGCGGCTGGCCCGCTGGCCACCTGCCTAGGTACCTACATGAAGTTTGATTGGAATAATCACCACCACCACCACCGCATCACGGAAGTATCCATTTTGGACTCACCCTCGGACGTATAGGTACCTCTCCCCCGCTGCTGCTGCTGCTGCTGCTGCCGCCGCCGCCGTCGCCGTCGCCCCTGATACCGAAAATTCTTCTCGTTGTGGTCGGAAACACACACACACACACACACACACACACACCCTCGGACCAGACGCGATTCCAGGATAGACGGATAGTAGTAGTAGTAGTAGGTAGTTGGTGTCCCCGAGTATTTCATCTTTCCCCCCTTTTTCTTTCCCTCTCGTTGTTGACTTTTGTTGGGTTTCATTCGGGCCGAGTACGCGGGATCGCCGCTAGCTAACTAACGGGCTGGCTACAGAGTTATGTACAATGGACAGATAGTGTGAGTAGGTAGGTACACCAGGCGTAGGAGGTACGGTAGATACAGTTCCCTGAAAAGTCCTTCTTCTTCGTTAATCGTAGACTCATTCATTCATTCATGCAAGTCGCCCTCGTCCACGTGTAACCAGGCATTATCGTCGTAAAGTTCACTTCGTCCTGCGAATCACCAGTCCGAGGACCTACCACTAGTTAAGTGATTACCAGTCCGGCAAATAGGTACCTACCTAGGTACTAAACTTGGGACACCGCACCTAGCGAAACACATCAATCCGTCACAATCGTCACCCTTCCTCGCCACCCTTGACATTAGAAGATGCTTCCACCGATGGGGCATCTTGAGATTTCTCATCAGATCTCGCTGTCGCCGTGACCGCCGTGGCCGCCCTCGTCTCCCGCTCCCGCTCCCTCCTCGCCTTCGCACCTGCTTTCAAACTGTCCCATTTCTCGCGATACTTGGTTATGGTCTCCTTGAGCTTGGCGTTTTCTTCATCCTTCTTCTTTGCACGTGCGTCGCTCCGGCGCAAGATGTCTTCGAGATCCGCGATTCTCTTGGCCAACACGTCGTCCGCTGCACTGGCTGCGAATGCCTCTCCTTTGCCACTTGTGACGCGGCCGCGAGAATTCTCCGGACTCATCAACGGACTACTCCGGCCGACGTGGAGGCTGCGTATGCTCTGGGCCATGGCTGCGCTGGCGGTCTGGCTTGACATTTCAAACACGTGCAACCGTTTGGACAGGGTGTCGGATAGGTGCTTGAGCGCTTGATTCTCGAGCGCGAGTTCCTCCATGGTCTTGCCGTTGACTTTGGCCTCGGTGTTGTCGCTCGACGGTCCTCCTGCGCCGCGGTGACGGGTGAATCGGCTCGGGGGTCCCGTGGTGGGTAGGATGGTGCTCTGCGCGTCGACAAAGTCATCCTCGCTGATGTTGGAAAGATTGCTCGTCTGTCGAGAATGAGCGTGATGGCGTAGGACACGGCCTTCTTCACGCTCGGCGCGGTTCATGATTTCGGCATAGGATATTGTTCCACCCGTGGTAGGGACGACGTAGAAGGACTCGCTTGGGTTGATGGAGGGCGCACCAGAGACAGCGCGCAGGGCAGCGCGAGATATCAGCTGAGAGTAGTCTATCGAGGGAGCCGCTGGGGCGGAGTAGTGGGATGGTGTCTTGGGCGAAACCTGTGCCGGGGGTTTGTTGGTGGTGGCCTTGGGAGCAGGCGTGGGCGAGGACGTGAGTGGGAGCCCGGCAAAAGCCAACGGTGCACTAAGTTTAGAAATCAGAGATTCGAATGTCGAGTAGAACTGCTGGAAGGGTGCGTCGGCGGCGTGCTGGTCAATTTGTTCCTTGGGAGTAGCTACGGGCTCTGGCTGCACTGGTGGTGCCCACGGCGGACGTGACGCCAGGTCGCTTATCGTTGGACTTGAATTTTGTCTCGAGATTGCCCGCGCTGTCGTATCTTCTTGGGCAATCTGTCCATCGGCATTTTGCGCTGAGACCAAGGGTGATATGGGCGTGGGTCGCTTCTGGCGGGTGCTGGGAATTCCTCGGGCAGAGGCAAGGTTACTTGCTATGGATGAAGAGAGATCTCGTGCATTTGGCCTCAGGCCTCGCGGCAGTCGTGGAGGACGTACAGTGTTTTCGGGAGAAGGAGGTCTGGCTGGTTCTGCGGATGGGGTTCTGGCTGGCAATGTGTCCGTTGCGGTAGCTGCTCTTGAAGTTTCACCGACGGAGCGCTTTTCCTGGCTTCTTTCATGACTTGTTCGGAGTATCTCGCCTAGCTTTCTGTGCTGCGCTTCCATCAACGAGAGGAGCCGGCGGGCCTCTAGATCGGTCGAGTCTCGAGCCGCCGCAGCGAATTCCGCCGCGGCCAAGTCATACTCCTCGCTGGCCGCCACCGGGTTGTTGCGCTTGTGTTCGAGAGCAGCATTTCGAGCGTGGGTATGCGCCTAGCAGAGATTAGCTGTTCAGTGCTCGCATTATGTGTGCGCGAAGTCGTCCTACCAGAGTCAGTGGTGCAGCGTCCATCTGCAGTGGTGTTGGCTGCGGACAGGATGGCTAGGCCGAGGGCGCTTCGAGAGTGCGATGACTTGATACTTGGGATGACTCCCCAAGTGCGTGACCGCACTGGCACACCGTCACGAGTGTAATACCGGATATCTCGCAAGAAAAGTGAGGAGGACGATTACGCAAAGGACTAACAAAGCGAGATGCTGCAAGGCTGCGATTGTGATGAATGACGGAAGTTGGAGATGGCGGGGAAGAGGCGAAGAAGGCGGGAATGTCACCAGGTAAACAGGCGCATCACCCACCGAATACTGGGGTAAAAGAACTCTGAACGACTCCTGGGTGAACAGAGCAAGAACAGGTAGTTGTGAACATCTTGCAATGGTCAGCGTGACCTTATCAACTGGCAGCCTGCATGCGAGGGTTGTAGTGAGGAACCCTGCTCCATTCACTGGAGCACAAGAACCACTATTGTTGGCCGCATACGAGGTACCATGGTTACCACAATTCATTCCCGGTTCTCTACAATTTCTGTATGATGCCTATTCAGTGGCAGGCATATATGGCCTCTTGTCGACCAACCTCACAAAATCTGCCCTTCTTAGGCTTCCAAAGTATCTCTCCAAGTTGCGCCAGTGCTACATGCAGGACTGACACTGTTGTGTCCAAAACAAACTCTGGGGAAACTCCTGCCCATCACGACTGTCCCATGACTTCTATACCTGCCCCGACCTGAACGAGGGGCCGACTGGGCAAAGTACTGCTGGCCTTCCGTTTTTCAGCAGATCTTGGTCTTTTGTTGGGGTCTTCAGACAACTTCAAGTCCAGCGTCGTCGGTGCCGGAGTAAAGATAGCAGATTCAAATCGATTCTGCTGGCAGAGTGCCTCCGCCTCGTGCTGCAACATGGCGGCATCGACTTTCAGGCTAAAATCCATCAGATAGCAAAAGGTAATCTCCAACCGACCAAGCTCGCCCTCCGAGACACCGCCCACCTTGCTGAACCGAGCATGGGGCCAACAAAGATCCTCCAAGGCCTTCATGGCCACTCTAAGACAGGCCAGGAGCAATCGGTGCACATTTCGTGGGGTGACTGGGAGGATTTTGTCATAAACCGCCAGGCGCGTAATGTATAGAGATGCCGCCAGGTACACCGCTGTCGACATGGGACAGTATTTGTGCATGCGCATGAGGTAGTCCTCGGTGGAGATGGGCGGAGGCCGCTTCGAAAAGAACTTCCTTGCCAACGCCCCGTGCTGTACGTAGGTCGGTTGCGCATGAGCTCCAACGATGTCGGCCGCCGATGTTGGCTCATGTGCATGTGCTTCCGGCGACCCGATGGGAGTCTTTACAAACAGGACTCCGTCAATGTGCTCGGGTGTATGCTGGCCGGGCGGCCGCAGACCGCCAAAGTTGTCCTTTCTCGGTGTCATTGCTATCGGTGCACTCGACTCATGCAGATTTGACGGTGCTCGCGCGGGAGAAGGTCCTCGACTCCGCGCCGGAGGTGTAGGCGGCACGTCCCCGGTCGACTGGACCAGGCAATCGACGCTCCGACACAGCATCTTCAGCGCCTGCACGGCTTCGAGCTTGAAGATGTCGACATTGTCGGGCGTGATCTCATCGAGCCCTTCGAGCAGGGGACTCTTGATCGAAGGGAAAATGCCCTTGTCGTTCTCCGGCTGCGGAGGCGCAGGTGGTTCAGCCCTGTAAGTGCATGACTCCGGCTCTTTCTGGTTTCCGTGGCCTTCGGACTGGCTCATTGTATATGTAACCGTTACAGACGCAGCTCTTGCCTTCAGCCGACTTCGGGCATGAGCGTAAACGAGGCCGAAGTTGTCTTTCCAGATGGCTGGCAGATGGGCTGCCACATGGTCGGGGCTCGTGTCAGGGCAGAGTGACTGCGCTCAGGGAGCAGCAATTCAAGGCAGTCGGTTGGCGTCAAGAAACGTGGTCGAAGAGGAGGCTTTGAGAAGACCGGTTGGAATATAGAGGCCAGATTTTCGAGGCGTGGTCCGGGAGACGATAAGGCTGTTCGAGGCGCGCGGCGGGGTGTTGGTGAGCTCGGGAGCTTTGACTTTTCGCTAACGACGACGACGACGCTGGCGGTGCTGAAGCCGCGGCCGGGCACAAGGGACGTAGAACGACGGGGCCAACCGTGACCTGCAAGTGCGCTGTGCACTGAAGACCTGAAGCGATATATTGCAGGCAGCGAAAGTCAAAGACGGCGAGGTTCATAGACTAATCCATTTGGATCGATCGCACCACCATCAACCCGGGGAAAAGGTCAACGTGTCACGCGCCGTGATCAAGTCCATTCTCAGAACGGAGATGGCGAACATTCTACGCTGGAATCAATCACCTGCGGCGCCTGATGAGCTACAGTATTGGTGAACACAACGCTGCCTCGTACTGTGCCCCGTACCTGAACAGCTGCATCGTGCAGATCTTCCATCTTGTTGTCATGACCGGAAAAGTGGTTGATTATCTTAGGTAATGCCCCCCTTGCAACGAGTCTCTCAGATCCCTCAGCCACCGGTTCAAGCCAAAGTATCTATCACCTTTTCAGTCTTTTCATGCTGAAAACACCTCTCCTGCAGAGCAAAAGGATTCGCCCTCCTGCATTGGTCTTACTTGTCAGCCTCGCGGCCAAGCAATCAGGCGACGAGCCCAAGTTTCAATTGTCTGTCTGCGGCTGACTTTACCCCTCGTCGAAAGGACGCCCTGAAGCCAATGATGGAAGAGGATGTGCATCCAGCTGGCCAGAGCCTGTCAGTCACGTCGCAGGAGCTGAAACATATACGAGCACCTGTTTCTGTCCGCGTAGAGCCCCGGAGGGGGTTCATATGCTGCCTCCCTCGCCTCGCCTCGCCTCGCCTCGTCTCGTTCTTGTAGTATCGCTGCTATAGACTCGTCCTCAGCATTAGAACGGCATACTACAAACATGTCCCGCTCGACAGCTAACTACAAGCGACTTATTGTGCTTTGTGACGGTATGCTTGCCGGAGTTCTTTCTCCTCATCACGTCCTATGCTGACAGGGGGGATGAAGGGACATGGCAGAATATACTGTCGGGCAGTAGAACCGCGTTTCCCACCAACATCGCCCGCTTCTCAAGAGCACTGAGCCCTGTGGCTGTTGTCAAAGGCGACGATGGTAAAGAACGCGAAGTCGAGCAAATCGTCTATTACCAGCCAGGAGTCGGCACCGGACTCGGTGACAGATACCGAGGCGGTAAGTAGAATACAAGATGGTTCCGCGACGATCAAGCTTTTGGTGCCAAATGGGCTGATCACGCAAATCTTGAACAGGGGCATATGGTGCTGGGCTCTCGGCCAACGTTCGCGCCGCATATGGGTTCCTTGCACACAACTACGACCCCAATCCTGGCGATGAGATCTTTTTCTTTGGCTTCTCCCGCGGTGCGTACACGGCTCGAGCGATTGCTGGAATTGTGAATTCCTTGGGCCTCTTGACCAAGCGAGGAATGGACTATTTCCCGCAGGTGTACGATGAGTACAGCAGAGACGGCAGTAAGAACCCCAATTTCGACTTCTCCAGTCAATTGCGAGCAAAGATCGGCGATCAAATCGTCGAAAGTGCCAAAGATGCCATCAAAATCGTCGGCGTGTGGGAAACGGTGGGGTTTCACGCCGAAGGTATGCTGGGAGAACAGCTTGAATTCCACGTAAGTCGATGTGAACTTCCTGGATATACCATCTCAGTCTCTCTGTGCAGTATATCTTGCTCTGTGCGTCGTGTGATCTTCCCAGGCCTGACTTCTTTGTAGAACACGGAACTCTCGAGCCGAGTTGCCTACGGCTACCATGCATTGGCCCTGGACGAACGTCGCATCCCTTTCGAGCCGACTCTGTGGCAATGGCCTGAAAACTACAAGGTCAGGAGTGATGGCAAGGGCCTGCAGGAAATGAAACAGGTCTGGTTCTCCGGCACTCACAGTGGTGTGGGTGGAGGAGACTATGACTCTGCCTGTGCCGACATCAGTCTTGCATGGATGCTGGCGCAATGTAGCAAGGGCAAAAAACTGGCTTTCACTGACGAGGATCCTCCTCACCCGGACGATGCTGACGAGTACTACCTCTTGCCTGACCGGGCGAAACCCAATCCCAACACCAAATGGACCAAGCTCAAATCTCGGCCGACAAGTGACCCCAATGGAACGCTCGTTGGGAGAGCAGCTGATTTCGTTGGAGGCATCGCCAGTGAGGATCGTAAAGCCTTCCCCTTGGAGCGAACCATGGAACGTATCCATCGATCCATTCAAGACCGCAACATGAAAAACTGGCCCTGTGCCATGCTTGATGGTCAGCACCAGGGAAAGAGTTGGGAACTGAAGGCGTCCACTCAATATGGAAATGTCTTGGTGGAAGCCGAGCCAGACGAGGTGGCAGATGGGATCGAAAACAAATACATTGAGAGAATCCGTCCAGCTCCGCCTTGTAAGGGAGCGGAGCATTGAGCAGCGTCAGGCTCTCACGGGGTACGACATAACTGTTTGTGTAGCTTTTGGGACGCTGATGGGTCTGTCAGTGTGAACGCAAAGTAGGCAAGAATTCTTGAATCAGAGGATATTGGCCAACGCGTCCTTTGTTTCTTCGTCATCTTGCTGCGTCTTCGGTGGCATCGTCTGAGTATTTGTAGGGTTCTTTATTTTTGTGCGACCTTGTATCTGAGACACGGGGCGACTCGGTAGGCGGCAAAAGGGTCGGGCCTCGCCATCTTTTACCCACAAGATGGATTCGCCAGAGGCTGTTTCGACAACTTTCCAGGCTCAGCAACGTGCTCCCCCCCGAGCCATCGTGGCCCCCAATCACCTTACTGGGCCACCCCGGCTTTTGGGGTTGAAGCCGACCAGGCTGGTGATTCCTGTGGCGTTCAGGGGGCAAATTAGTGAGGTCCATTCACCTCTACAGGCTGAGATGCATGATAAGTAAGGTCTCGTCACTGATCAGTACCACCTCAACGTGAGCGCAACGTCCCCCTTGAAAAAAAAAAGTCCAGTTCAGGCACGATATTCGCTACGATTCAAGCACAACAGGGTAGCGAGTAGCGAGTAGCGAGTAGCTCAGGTTCCACGCCGTGGTAAGCAAAAGTTAACTTCAGCAGAGTTCGGACAAGAGCCATGGAGACTTTCGAAATGTCCAGCAATGGTAACCCCTCGAACCCAAGCACGCCGTCACTGTTCAACTTGGACCATGAGGCCGCGTATCGAACTTGTGCGGCAAAGCTGGGGTCGCCAGATGTCGACAACTTCGTCGTCCGGTTCAACAAGGACGCGGCAGAGTGCGCTGTCGATGTCAAAGCGGACGAGGCGCCGCAGTGGTTAGACAGCAACAACCGCGGCGCTCACCAGACGGTATGGTTGAATTTCTGGGCCTCGCCGTCGTCGTCACAGAGGAGGACAATCGGCGCCATCGCCAGAAAATACGGTCTCTCGCCCAGATTAGCAGGATTGCTTTCCCTGGCGACTCAGACTCCGAAACCCCTTGACTCCTCGACGAGCACGGCTAACATTCCAGCCACATCCGATGCTTCAGAGGCAGAAACGTCAGCGACAACTCCGCAGACCTCGAAGACGAAGGACCTCGAAAAAGGATCGACGCGAAGCACCCAGCCCAGTGGACCTTTGCAGCCAAGCCAGAGCACGTCTTCAAGCTCACGCGGCTTCGGCTTTCACGACGTGGTTGATAGTCTATGGCACTTCTGCTCGGTCGACTTCGGACGCCACTACATCTACGTCGGTTACAATGCACTGTTCTACCTAAGTGGAGACGAGAATCGTCACAAGGACAAACCAGCTGGCCAACGCATCTGGACGTCTCTCCTCCTGTGCGACGACGGTACAGTCATCTCGGTCTTTGAACGGCCGCCCATCGCAAGCCCCACGGCTGTCAAACGATTGCGGAGCAACGTGCTCAACGTCTTTAAACATCTCTCCTCACTGCACGACCAGGACGATGCACAGGACGCGCTGATGAAAGTCCGCGTCCGGTGGAATGAGCACTCTTCAAAATCTCAAAGGGAGTACTCTGAAACCGAGGCTGCGAGTCTGTTGTTCTATTACCTCTTTGACGACTGGGTGTCAACGTACAAATTGATTGCACGCAAGGAACACCCCTATCGCTCGAATTTGGAGACGCTGAGAAGGGATATGTTCAACGCGGCTGATGTGTCGCTCATCGAGCAGGTCCACAACACAGGACGCCAGTTGACGGTGTTGAAGTTGATGTATCAGAGTTATGAGCTGATCGTATCCAGGCTTCTCCATCGTCAGCGGGCAGCGACGGGTTCGGAGCTTATGTCCACGTCAACGCCGCCGGCTGCTCTGGACAAGCAACCCACATGGGGTGGCGTGAACGAAATGTCGGCTGCACAGATGCACCAGAGCGAGCTTATGTATCTGGACGAGGATTCTAGTCCAAGTGTCAGGTTGAGCATGTCGGCTGTGGTGCGTTTTGAAAGACTGCTTGATCGCATACGCTTATATGCTTTGACTGAGATCGAGGAGTGTTTGAAAGAAAAAGAATCCCTGGTGTTTATGGTGAGTGGCTTGCCTGTAGTGCCGGGGTTTGGTCGCTAAAGCAAGGTAGAACTTCAACCTGGTCACGCTGAAGGAGTCACAAGCTGTCGAAAGACTGACTAGAACGACAATCTTGTTGGCTAAAGCGACCATTCTGTTCTTACCAGTCAGTCTGATGACCGCGTATTTCTCGATCCAGTTACCGGAGATCACGGAAAAGTACGATCTCGAGACTTATTGGCTGTGCTTCTTGGTCGTTTCGTTGTTGTCGATTGCGTTCTTGGCAGCTTTTGGCTTTTACACGCATACCGTCGAGGGCAAAACCATCTACAAGTCTGTCACAAGTATGACATTGGATCTCTTCAAGCGGAAGAACAAGGCAATATGAGCAGCGCTCTCTCAGCTCGGGACATTTGATCCAGGCCAGGGCAACATTTCCCGTTTGGAATCGTCCCATTTGTACACGCCGCCTTCACCGACGTTGTATCGATAATAGTTCTCGGTGCCAGCAGGAATCATTGCTCTGCGTAGGGTGATGTTGATGCGGCCTTTTTCTGCTTCGCCGCCTTTCCGCTTGGGAATACTGTGCAGCCAGTTGGATTGTGTTGGACCGCGCATGAGGACCATATCACCGCTGGCTAATGGAATCTTGATGTCCCTGGTCTCTGGTTTCGGCTCCTGTCCCTTCGGAGGCTTGTGTTTCATTAGGAAGTCCCGTTTTGCGCCTAGCGTGAAAGATGCAATGGCCGGATCTGGACCCAGGAAGCGCTCGTCGTCGCTGTGGAATGATATGCTGTCGCTTCCAGAGGCATAGTAATTGACCAGGCAGAAATTGTACTTGGTGTTGGTATTCGCTTCCGTCACGCGACGAAGGAGGTCAAGACATTCAGGGATTGGGCGTGGTCGGCACTTGTATTTATCCTTGCGGACAGGCTTGGATAGATCTGATGCCTCGACGATCTGGGTGCCATCGTTAAAGAATCGGCTTGTTTCATCGATGCCGAAGACTGTCGTGAAGCGCGGGGTGTTTATGAGAGTCTCCTTACCAAAACGCTTGATGGTATACTTTACACGGTAGAAGAAAAGCTCGGAGCGGAGGAAAGTGAAGAGTTCACGCTCGATGGACCTTGGGATGAACGGTTGAAAATACAGAAGATCCAGGTGCGGCTGATCTTTGATCTCTTTGCCTTGGGCTGTCACTTGCAACTCTAGTTCCTCAGTGACACGGCCGGGGAGATGAGGGACTGGCCATGGATATGTTGAGTGGTTTGTCGTCTGGATTGATCCCGCAACAGGTGCTGTTGGTAGGATGGCGGACGACGTGGCGTTGGTTCGAGTGCGTTTCGGGCTGTCTGCGCGTGAGAAGAAGGCATCGAGCGTGCGTTTGGACATCGTGGCGACGACTAGCGTGAACAACCTCTCCTTGTAGCTCCCATTCCAGCGTGTTTGGTGGTCACTTCTACCGATGCTTCGTGCGTTGTGTGTTGTGTGTTGTGCATTGTGCTTCGTGCCTCGTTCGTCCCGTGACGTCATGATTGGCTGGTGCGGCGCGCGTGTTTGTCGGCGCGTCGCAAGATACAAATCCGGAATTGATCTGCCGGCGTGCAAAGTCTCGAGCACAACCACAAAGCTACGAGTACAACCTCCTCGTCTGCAACTTGGCCTCCCTTCCTCAGCCTCTCCGCTCCCTCTGTCTTCCGCTGCTCAGGCCCGCCACAGTTCGTTCAGCCACCCTCGATACATTTGCCGCGTCCGTTGCCTCGCCTGCCTCGGTGGTTGGGTTCAGCAAAGACTATCCTCGACGATTTGACCAATGAATCGAGGAAACATGGCTCGCTGGCCTCAACTCAGGTCACTGTGGATCTCGCCGGGTGCCCGACACGGCCGGGATATCAGTGTGGCTTTGACCTGAGAGACAAGAAGGCAGCATCAAAGACCACGGTCCACACTCTCAACATCGTGGCCCGCACCATCCTGCACTTGGCTCACTACGCCGTCCTCGACGATACCGTTCCGATCGCGCTCATTGGAAACAAGGAACGCAGTCTTTCCGAGGACGCTGACGACAGTGGCATGAGTGCAGATGATCTGCTATCGACGCGCAGTGTCCTGATCGTCAGCTCTTATCGTCAGCGTTTCTTGCCCACCCATCGGAAGAGAAGTTGACATGTCCCGGCATTAGTGGACAGCAAATAATGTCAGGCACCCCTCCGAGGTGCAAGGGCGGTCCGAGTCCGTCCTCAGAATTCACGAAGGCTGGTGGTCTCAATACCCCTCGTTCGGGTTATGTACCGCTCGAACGACGCCCGTGCGAGGTGCGTCAAGATGTACTTTGACCTTTTCGGGAAGTCGCAGTGGTTCGGGTGGCGGCACAATAACGGGACGCGTCAATGACGGCGTTGCGCTGTCCTGGTCTGACAGGCAAGCTTCGACCTAAGCGTTGGTTGGCACCGAGCCCCTCGCGGACGTTGGACACCAGCGACATGAACGCTGTACGCCATGGAAGACCGGGGTCCGGCTCACCTAAGTCGTTGACTCCCGGATGTTTGCGTCGAAGCTCATTCTGCAAGCACCAGTGGCTTTCTTTGACACCGCAACGTTCAGTCGTTGGCTACGTTGTATTGTGATCATAGTAGTTGATCCACTGCGCAGGCTACAATGCTACCAAAGCAGGTAAGGTATTCAGATTGACCCGCTAGATTCAGCATGGTCGGTTTGACGAATGAATATGGCTCGCCTCGAGCTCGGCGCTGCTCACCAAGTTTAGTTTGCTGTGAGAATGCTTCGATGCAGTGCTCTCCAATTGGGACTTTGCTCCATGCGCTACGGAGAAGGCATTTCGGGTCGAAATCCTCTATCAAGCGAGCTTCCACCAATCAAGCCGTCACTATGTTCCCGCCAGGCTGCAGCTCAACTATCTTGCCATCCTGAACGTATACCTCTTCCCACCCGATTGTGATCTGCGAATTTGCGGGATCGGCGAATTTCATTTCATCAGGGACCACCACTTGTAAATAATATGGGTCTTTCTGCGCAGCATCGAAGCATGACATGTCAGGCATCAGCAGCTCGACAAATCCATCCCACTCGGCTATAGTGGCCTGAGCAAGGCCGGGTATCGATTTGGCTTGATTTCGCACCGAAGATGGGGTATGGTACTATGAATCCGGTCAACCCCGGGCGGATGGATCACCAGTCGGACATACCTGCGTATACTTGAGAACTCCATGACGAGTCAACCAATCCTGTACCTGCGGAACATGTGTGTTCGTCCAGTACGACTGGAATTCTTCTTCCGAAAGTGCCGGATTGCGTTTGACAAGGATGGTGAATCGGAGCAGACGCTGCTTAGTTGCCATGTTGAGGGGTGCCAATGCTGTGCACTCGTGTCGCAACGGCTGGAGGGATTGATCAACGGCGTGGAAGGTAGGGTCTAAATGTATATTCACCATCGCGTCCAGTGAGATCGCTTAGTGCGAGTCGGGCCCGCGGCTTCTGGTCCAAGCGAGACCATTTCTCAAACCTTGTGCATTAGGCTTTGGAGAGCCTGGGGTGGAGTTGCGCGTTCGAGGATTGACACCTGTCAAATTCCCAGCAATCGGCACACGTTCTTCAGCGACCACTGCGCTCCGTCGCGGTGGAGACGGTGACTTTCGAGTGGCGGTGTAAAGTCACGAGTCCACGAGACGTGTCACAGAGGACCACGTTGGATCCTAGACATGCAGATCCAGCCACCGTCGTACAAGGACAACACGGGACGGCTCGTAATACTCGAATGTCGTGCTATGTGCAGGTAAGTCACTAATAAGAAAATGTTTCCATGCGGGAAACGCCGATTGAACCCCATACTGGTCGGTGCCAGTGAGGGTAAACCACTGAGGTCAAAAGGTCAGAATTAATCCTCGATCGAGCTAGCTTGCGAGGCATGATTGGCCGCAGATATATACGTGCGAGCAGACAGGTCTGAGGAATACTTTTGGTGCGCTGTCATCGCAGACTCAACAAGAAAGCTTGTGGATGCTCCACACAGACTTCATGTTCATGCACGCGAACGCACGCACGAGCCTCCCAAACATAGTGTGAGCAGCAGAGATAAGACCAACGTTCTTCTTTCGCCAATTCACCGAGATCAAGTTGGGGATCGAGTTCTCCACCTACTGACAGCAAACTAGGTTCGAAAGTGTACCGCCAGCGACGTCTTGTGGAATCAGACGCCTCCTCCGAGACGCAACAGCACGATCCCGAGCGTACGCGAAGTGTGGCAAATGGTATTGCAGTCTTCGAGATGTCCAACCTGAGCCGGTTCAAGTTACAGGACGGAAAAGTTAGTCAATCGGGAGATGATCTGAGGCGTATGAGCCCTCTTCAAAGGTATACTCAATGACCCCCTGTGAATGTACCCAGGGCTTCCCGCCTGATTTGCCGAGGAAGTCACGCTCCTGCTCTACCGTGAGGTGACAGCTACACAGAGGGGCGCATAGCTTGACTATGTTACGGCTAACGCATGAGATCATTCGTTGGCCATATAGTAGCTTGACTCTATTTAAGCAACCATGCTGCAGCTTACCATTTGCGATAATCAGGACATTCTCGTGGGTCAGGAACGCGTAGGAAGAGTGTTTGCATGCTTTTCGACATTAAACCGCCTTCCCCAGCACTGACACAGAATCATTACTTTTCCTCTCGCTCTAGGCTGGGGCAGTCTTCTGTGCTCCAGACCGATTCTCCGTACCTACCTTTCGAATCTAGCGTTGAAGTTTGCAGAGGAACATGGCAGGCTCGACAATGCATCAATTTCCCTCGCCCAACAGTGGCACGTCCAACATGCCAATTGCGGTTGTTGGCATAGGGGCCCGGTTCTCAGATACCGCCACCGATCCAGAGAAGTTCTGGGAGCTATTGGCAGAGGGACGAAGCACCAGTCAGCCAGTACCCAAGGACAGATTCGATGCGGACGCATACTACCACCCCGACTACGATCATGCAGGTACATGTGTCACCACGAGGGGCCACTTCATGAAGCAAGATGTGTCCAAGTTTGATGCTCCTTTCTTCTCCATCACCGCCAACGAAGCCAAGTCGATGGATCCCCAGCAAAGAATGGCTCTCGAAGTGGCATACGAAGCATTCGAAAATGGTCAGTCTTCCTTTGGACGTTATGACCCTGGCTAACTCGCCCTATCTAGCTGGAATGCGTATCGAGGACTTGACAGGATCAAATACTTCTGTATACATGGGTACTTGTACCCAAGACTACTATGACTTGCTGCTCAAGGATTCCGAGCCAACCACCATGCATTCCGTGACCGGCATTAGCAAGTCGCTGTTGGCTTGTCGCTTATCCTGGTTTTTTGATCTAAGAGGTCCCGCTTTGACCATTGACACTGCCTGTTCGTCGGCACTGTGTGGTGTTCATCTCGCCTGCCAGAGTCTGCGAACTGGAGAGAGTGAGACAGCCCTCGTTGCTGGGACCAATCTCATCTTCGCCATCGACACCATGGTCTCCATGTCGGCCATTCATGCTCTGAGCCCCGACGGACAGTGCTACAGTTATGATCACAAAGCAAACGGTTATGCCAGAGGCGACGGAATCGCCGCTCTTGTCCTCAAGCCGCTTGAGAAAGCACTTGCCGACGGCGATGTCATCCGTGGAGTCATCCGTGGTTCGGCTATCAACCAAGATGGCGGCGCCTCAGGTATTACCCTTCCTATCGCAGCAGCTCAAGTAGATCTTGTCAACACCGCATACGCGAATGCAGGTCTCCCTTTGACCCAAACAGCTTATTTCGAGGGTCACGGTACGGGCACCGTTGCTGGTGACCTCCAGGAAACAACTGCCATGGCAAAGACCATTGGCAAAGTGAGATCCAAAGAAAGCCCCCTGTACATTGGCTCCTCAAAAACCAATATCGGCCATATTGAAGGCGCCAGCGGTCTAGCAGGCTTGATCAAAGTCATTTTCTCTCTGGAGCATGGCATGATAGCTCCGAACGTCAAGTTCGAGCACCCACCACCTTCAATGAACTTCGACGAGTGGAATCTCAAGGTCGCAACGGAGCTGACTCCATGGCCACTGGAAGGCGTGCGTCGGGCTAGCGTCAATGGCTTTGGTTTCGGGGGTACGAATGCACATGTCATCGTCGACGATGCCTACCATTTCCTCAAGGAGCATGGTCTCAAGGGCAGACATAATTGTGTCGTCAACGAACCCGCCGGCACACCACGTTCCACTGCAGATTCTGGCTTCGGCACTATGGATTCTAGTGTGGACCAGCTCTCCGACCAATTCGAGATCAGCTTCAAGAACAAGATTGCTGCGTTGAATGCCCAACCCAGACTCCTACCATGGTCCTCAGGTGAGAAGAAGGGCTTGGAGAGGACACTCTCTCAGCTGTCTCAATACTTAACTCAGAAGGCCGCTGAAGGTCATCCCCCTGAAGTGCTAGACCGATTAGGCTTCACCCTTGCAAAGCGAAGAAGTGTCTTCCCATGGAGGACATTCTCGGTGGTCTCCTCATTGGAGGACGCTGCGACTCAATTGAATGATGCCCTTGCCACTCCTGTACGAGCAAAGCAGTCTGCGGACATGGCATTCGTCTTCACTGGTCAAGGCGCCCAATGGCATGCTATGGGCAGAGAGCTGCTCCCATACAAAGTCTTCTATGACAGTCTAACAGCATCAGATGAAGTGCTGCAAACACTAGGATGTACCTGGTCCTTGTTCAAGGAACTCGCTAAAGACAAAGACGCGTCACGGATTGATGAGACTGAGCTGAGTCAAGCTTGCTGCACGGCACTTCAATTAGCCTTGGTTGACTTACTACGATCGTGGGATGTCTTGCCCAAAGCGGTCATCGGCCATTCAAGTGGTGAGATTGCAGCGGCTTACGCTAAAGGTGCCATCAGCCGTGTGTACGCGATGAAAGCAGCGTATTACCGTGGTGTGTACGCCAACAAGTTGAAAGAAGTTTCCCCCGACCTGAAGCTGGGCATGCTTGCTATTGGCATTGGTGAAGCGCAAGCGAGGTCTTACCTTGAACAGGTTCAGGATAAGGTTACCATTGCTTGCTACAATAGCCCCTCAAGTTTGACCCTTTCCGGTGAAGTCAGCAGTCTCGACAAAGTCGAGGAGGTTTTGAAGGCCGAGTCAATCTTTGCCCGAAAATTGAAGGTGAATGTAGCCTATCATTCCACTTACTTGAAGGCGATTTCCGAGGAGTACATGAACTCTCTGGGTGATGAAAAGCCGGTGTCAAGCAGCGACAACGTCAAGATGATCTCTACAGTCACTGGACTTCCCATTGAAAGTTCTAGCCTGGAGACGTCCTACTGGGTCAGCAACTTGTTGTCGCCTGTAAAGTTCGACCAAGGTTTACAAAAGTTGTTGAAGGACGGATCTGCCGACTTGCTCGTCGAGATTGGGCCACATGGCGCCCTCCAAGGGCCGATCAAGCAAATTCTCTCTGCAATCAACCTGGATCTTCCTTCCATGTCGTTGCTAGATCGCAAACGTCACGCGGCCATTTCGACCGTGGAAGCAATGGGTCGCCTGTGGCAGTATGGTGTTGAGATTGACGTACCTTCTGTCAACAGTTTACAAGGCACTCAGGCTGGCACTCCCGCACCACTGGTTGATCTTCCCCCCTATCCCTGGAATCATGAGAACAACTACTGGTGCGAATCGACTATCTCCAAAGATGTCCGCTTTCGACATGAAAAGCGGCATCACATCCTGGGATATCTCATCCCTGGTGCTGTGCCGAATGAACCGCTGTGGAGAAACCTCCTACGGATATCAGAAAGCCCATGGCTTCAACACCACAAGATCCAGGGCACTATTCTATACCCAGCTGCTGGTTTTATTGCGACTGGTATCCAGGCAATGTGGGAGTTTTCCGGCTTTCGTGAGGACATTGCCGGATTTGAGCTTCGAGATGTCAAAATTGAAAGAGGTCTCGTGGTCCCTTCTGACGATGTTGGCATCGAGACCAGCTTGCAATTAAAGCCGATCAAGGTCGGCACCGCATCGATGGAAGTTGTGTGGCACGAGTTCACACTGTATTCCAGGTCAAACACCGATATCTGGCAGGAGCATTGCTCCGGTCTGATTCGAATCAAGCCTAAACAGCAGGCTAATGCACTCTTCAAAGATGAAGAGGCTGCTGAGATCAAACGCATGAGAGAACGGCACGTGGAGATCAAATCTCGCTGCACCAAGTCTGAATACCCAAGACAATTCTATGAAGCATTATCCACAATGGGTTACCAATATGGTAGTGTCTTCCGAGGCTTGAGCGAGATCAAGTATGGGTACATGGAAAGCAGCTGTGTTTGCACGGTTCCAGATACCAGAGCGACCATGCCGTTCAACTTTGAACTCCCTCATATCGTTCACCCTGCATTCCTAGACAGCATCTTCCACATGCTGCTACCATCACTCATGCCTGAGGGAATGCACATGAGCGCTGTCGGTGTTCCCACACATTTCGAGTATCTGTACGTCGCCGCAGATATCAGCAAGACTCCAGGCGACGATGTCATAGGATACTCCGAGGCTATTCCTCCTTTGAGTCGAGAAACACACGGTAATCTCGTGGTGATGGATGCTGAGCTCACTAAGCCAGTGGTCGTCATTGAGAACCTCACATGTACAGCGGTGGCGTCTGCTGGTAACGAACAGGATGCAGCTCGCCAGCTAGGAAGCAAGCTTCTTTGGAAGACCGATGTCAACGAGCTTGGAAGCACCATGACGCCAGCTAAGCTTGACACTATTACCACTCGACTTCTAGCAGACTACCCAAAAGTTGCTGAAGAGCTCGAGTTCGCCGGTTTGACATATGCTAAGCGTATCCTCAACTCAATCACAACTGAACAGGCAAAATCGCTGAAGCCTCATCATCAGCTCTTCTACCAATATTGTCAACACAACTTTGAACTTGCCTTGCAAGGCAAGCTTCCTCATCAAAGCGATGGTCTTGACTGGCTCAATCCATCTGAGGAGGTAGAGAAAGACATACTTTCCCGGGTTTCACAAGCAACAAATGACGGTCGACTCTTATGCCACCAGGGCGAACATCTCATCGATATCCTTCTGGGCAAGACAGAACCATTAGAGATAATGATGGAAGACAATCTTCTTGATGCCTACCACGGACATCATCTAGGTTGGGAAATTGCTCATCATCAATTAGCCGAATACATTGACCTCCTGGCTCACAAGAACCCTGAACTCAATATCCTCGAGATTGGCGCTGGTACTGGTGGCACTACTCTTCCTATTCTGCAGAAGCTTGGCGGAGAGAAGGGCGAATTGCCTCGGATGAGGTCGTACTGCTACACTGATATAACCACAGGCTTCTTCGAAGCAGCTGCTGAGAAGTTTGCACCATGGGTTTCATACATGCAGTTCCAGAAATTGGACGTCGAATCTAACCCCATCGAGCAAGGCTATGAGGCTGGTAGCTACGATGTGATTATCGCGTCCAATGTTCTCCATGCGACCAAGTCCATGGACGAGACTATCAGCAACGTCAGTACTCTCCTCAAGCCAGGTGGAAAGCTGATACTATACGAGATCACGAACCCTCTGCAGAGAGTATGTATGATATTCGGCTCCCTCCCTGGCTGGTTTGCTGGTGCCGATGAAGGAAGACGGCTTTCACCCTGCTTGACTGAGAAGCAGTGGTCCGACTTGCTCCAGCGTCACAATTTCTCCGGTGTCGACGTATCTGCCCGCAGCATGCCAAGTGACAAAGATTACATGCAGAGCTTCATGGCATCGACCAAGAAGGCAGCTGAGGTCAAGAAAGAATTGCCCGCAGATGTTGTTATCATCCATCCCGGCAATGCCGAAGTGAACAAGAAGCTGAACGATAAGCTTGCAGCCGCCCTGCAGGCTGTGGGAGTACAAGCTTCATCTCAAACCATGGCCGAGGCTCTTGCTGCAGGCGTGAACAAGAAATTCTGCATCGTGACCCTGGAAGCTGAAAAACCGTGGCTGATCGACGTAGACGCCAAAGACTTCGATACCCTTCAAGACCTCGTCGTGCGGTCGAGACGTTTACTTTGGCTCACCAGGGGTGCCATAGATGGACAAGAGCCTGGGTCGAGTCTCATTACGGGTCTTGCTCGTGCAATCAGAGCTGAGAACCCTGGGTTGGTACTCGCAACGCTGGACCTGGACCCAGCCTGGAATTGTGATGACCAGGCCAACATAGATTCGGTAATGCGAGTCTTCGAGTTGTGCTGCGAAGAGAAGGAAGAGGCAGACCCCGATTGGGAATATGCTTTACGCAACGGGTTGCTTGAGATTCCGCGATACACCCCCGACACCGCAACTGATGCTATGTTGCAAGCTATGACAACTCAATGCCAACCGGTTCCTGGTCAATTGAAGCAAGATGGTCGTCCCCTAAGACTGGAAATCGGAGCACCAGGTATGCTTAGCTCGTTCCGATTTGTCTCGGACGAGAAAGCAATGGAGCCACTTGCTGAGAATGAGATCGAAATTGAAGTCAAGGCCACCGGTCTGACACCGAGAGACGTCCTCATCGCAACCGGTCAAGCCTCCCTTGACGAAATTGGATCTGAGGCTTCCGGTATTGTCTCCAAGGTTGGCAATGCGGTCAGCAAGTTCAAGCTAGGTGACAGAGTCGTTACCTGGCAGCGAAACGAAGGTTGCTTGCGAACTCATCTGCGCAGCACAGAGACCTCGACGCTTCCAATTCCTGATGGTCTCTCTCTCGAGGATGCTGTCTCATTACCTGTGGCTTTTGCGACAGCTTGGTACGCATTGAATCTCCGGGCTCGTCTCGGAAAAGGCCAGAGTGTGTTGATCCACAATGGTGCCAGTGCCGTAGGCCAGGCGTCGATCATAGTCGCCCAGCACCTGGGAGGACAGGTCTTCGTCACTGTTTCGACCGCTGAAGAAAAGGCAGCAATTGAAAAATACGGGGTCAAGAACGAAAACATCCTCAACATTACTGATCATGAGTTCGTAAAGGGCATCAAGCGCCTCACGAACGGCAAGGGTGTGGATGTCGTGCTCAACTCGCTCAAAGGCGAGGCTCTCCGTCAAACCTGGCACTGTGTTGCACCATTCGGCTATTTCATTGAACTCGGTCAGGAGGACATTCTGGGAAACACTGGCCTCGACATGGGTCCCTTCAAACACAATGTCACATTCATTGGCGTCAATCTTCTTGAGTTGTGCCGCGCCAATGAGCAGATCGCTGCCGCTCTGTTCGATGCTATTTGGGGACTGCTCAAGGATGGAAAGATCCAGCCACCATCAGGACTCTCGCAGTACAAGTACTCGCAGATGGAAGAGGCTTTTAATGCCATGCAGTCCACTGGCATCGGCAAGGTCATAGTGACTGTTGAGGACGGTGATGAAGTCTTGGTAAGTCCATGAACAGAATTCTACGGATACTGCTAACGGAATATAGATTGTGCCTCCTGGGGCCCAAAATCTAGACCTCAACCCAGATGCCAGCTATATCCTTGCTGGAGGTTCAGGTGGAATTGGTCCTTTGATCGCAGCGTGGATGGCAGACCATGGAGCAAAGAACCTCGTCGTCCTGTCCAGGTCAGGCATCACACGACCCGATGCCAAGGAGGTGTATGATGCGCTCGTTGTTCGCGGCTTGACAGTAAAGGACATCAGATGTGATGTGACTGCCCCTGTTGCTGTGCGCGCCGCGATTGAAGAGTGTAAAAAGACCATGCCTCCCATCAAGGGCATCATCATGGGTGCTGTCAAGCTCGAAGATTCAGTCTTTGACAACATGACTTATGCTAACTGGAAGAACTGCCTGGATCCTAAGGTGAAGGGTACTTGGAATTTACATCAAGCTTTGCCGAAAGACATGGACTTCTTCGTCTGCTTGTCCTCCATTGGTGGATCGGTTGGCAATCGTGGTCAGGGCAATCATGCTGCTGGTAAGTTTGCGACATGCGCATATTCTGAAAGAAGGTGTGTTAACTTGAAATTCCAGAAAGTACTTACCAAGACGCCTTAATGGAGCACCGCCGCAACTTGGGCTTAGTTGGCTGCAGTATTGACATCGGTACCATTCTGGGTGTTGGGTGGATCGCGGAGAACATCGAGGCGGCCGCTATGGCGTATCTCCGTTCCATCCAATACCTTGGCATGCGCTTTGATGAGCTACTCCTTCTTATCCAGGCTGCGATCACCGGCTACACGATGGAAGGGCACCAGACGCCAACCGTGCTTGCAGCAGGTCTGGGCACTGGAGGTTTGGTGCTCCAGCATGATGTCGACCCGCCGTTCTGGTTTGATGACGCAAAGTTCCGACACCTTCGCATCGTGGGCACACACTCGAGCGATTCGAGTGATGACCAAGATGGAGGCAGTGTTCCGGTGTCTGCCCAACTCAAGGCCGCAACCTCCCTCAACGAGGCTGGAGAACTCGTGACCGCCGCCATCACGAACAGATTGGCAAAGCAATTGCTCATGTCGCCTGATGACCTGGATAGCATGAAGCCAATCAACAGACTTGGCGTCGACAGTTTGATCGCCGTCGAATTGAGAAACTGGATCTTCAGGGAAGTGGGGGCTGATGTGGGTATGTTCGAAATCCTGAGCGAAGAGCCAATGTGCAGTCTCGCCGTCAAGATCGCCGGAATGTCCAAGTTCTTGCCCAAGAGCTTGACCGAAGGAGGAGAGGAAGAGGCGAAGGACAACGCCTTTGAACAGAAGGGAGCTATTACCAACAGTCATTTCCCGGATTTGTCTCAAGGCGTTGTAGTGTAGAAGTACCGGCCTATGCCTGACGAATTTCGTTTTTGTAAAGGAGTATGGGGTAGCTTTTGGTCTCAAGGTATGATAGTTATGATAGTTATGATAGTGACGAATCGACACTTTTGAATTATCCTCGGCGATCACACCAGACTGTCCGTGAATATCATCCTCAGCGACGTCCAGCACTCCCCGTCCCCTCGTGTTAAAAGTGGCAATATGCGCCTGCCAAATCAGACTAACGCTGCAGCATACTGCTAAAGCGGCGACCAATTGACCTCTTCCTGCGAAATCCTCTCTATGGCCGGACTCCAGTCAGAATATTATGAGCATTGTAAACTCTTCTCTGGCTTCCGTCGCTCCTTAGTACTGTGTTTTTTTATGGCAAGTCTTCTGCGTTGGCTTCTTCCCCGCTTCACCAGTAATTTCACAATCCCTGGCACACCAAGAAAACTGAAAATGAATTCTGCGGACTTGCCAGAACTTTTCCAGCCTCCAGTCAATAGGTCTATGCAGACCCTGGACAGATCATTCTTCAGAAAATCGGTACCGTTGGCCGCTGCCACTGTGTTGGATCTCAAAGAGATAACGAATGTGCGGAAGCAACTCGAGAGATCTGGAGACATCTTGAGGCTCAGTCCCATCAGGCCTCTTCGAGACGACGATCAAGTACCAGGCGCCAAATGTTTCTTGCTATCCCCACATGTCGATGCTAACGCACCGGAGACATGGTCCCCGATCCTGTCGCAGCTGGTGGACAACAAATCGGCGATGTTGAGGCCGTTTACCCTGACGCTGACATATGACGATTGGACGATGCACAACATACTTGAAGCCATCTTGCCGGACGTCCCTGAAGACGAGAAGGAGACTCCGGCAGGATTTGCCCAGGTCGGGCATGTCGCTCACGTGAATCTTCGTACGCCATATTTGCCTTACAAACACTTGATCGGCCAAGTGCTCCTCGACAAGAATCCCAACGTTACCACCGTCATCAACAAGACCTTCGATGTCGGCACCGAGTCTGTCTTTCGCACCTTCCCTTACGAAGTCCTCGCAGGGCCAGACGACCTCGACGTGGTCGTGCACGAAGCGGGCTGCGAGTTCAGGTTCAACTTTGGCAAAGTCTACTGGAACTCTCGCCTCGGAACCGAACATGCCCGGATCTTTGAGAGCTTCAAGGAAGGCGAGGCTGTCTGCGACGTCATGGCAGGAGTAGGCCCATTCGCGGTTCCAGCAGGGAAGGGAAAAGTTTTCGTCAGAGCCAACGATCTCAACCCAGACTGTTACACCAGTCTGAGCGATGCTATTAAGCGCAACAAAGTCGATGAATTCGTTATGGCCTCATGCGATGACGGGAGAAAGTTCATACGCAAGGCCACAATGGAGCTAGCTCAAACACCGCGAAAGGTCATTTTAAAACCGAAGGTCAAGGTGTCACGAAAAGCCAGTGTAGAGGAGAGGAAAGCCGCAGAAGAAGCCGCCTCGAAGTCTGCGCGAACACTTGAAGAACCAACGTCATTCGATCACTATGTCATGAATTTGCCAGCTACCGCAATCGAGTTTCTCGATGCGTTCAAAGGTGTCTATCATAACCGTCAAACTGAGTTCGCACCGCACACGACCCGAAAACTGCCATTCATACACCTATACTTGTTCCAAGCCAAGCTTGCCACCGAGGAGGAAGAGTGTCGAGAGATCTGCGAGCGAATCTCTCAGTATATCGGCACCGAGGTCAAATCGACTGATCCTGAGTTGGAGATGAGCGTCCGATACGTCCGACTCGTTGCGCCGAAGAAGAAGATGTATTGCGCTAGTTTTCGGATCCCTGCCGCCACGGCGTTTGCAGAGCCTTAGCCCAAAGATTTTATCGCACGCCAGATTCCTATTTTTCCGACGGACCTTTGATCAGTTGTCACTTGGTCATGTCCAAAGAAGAGCGTTTGCGTCAAGCCACCGGTTGAAAGTGATTTGCCAACAATGTACAGCTAAGAACGTGCATTCTGATGACTATGGTGTTGAAACAGAAACTGCGTAACTGCAGCCCCAGGGATTTCCACAAAGTTGAAAGACAGTCGGGAGGACTGCACCGTTTGGATACTTTCCAAAAGTTCCCACTTCGATCGGCGTCTGTCTGCGGAGCCTTGGTGTCAGAGGATAACACACTTGCAACATGTGATGGTGGCATCGCCTGCTGTGTAATTCGGGTCTTCACTGTCGATCTCCCAGTCGCCTCCTTCCGCGCTCCAGTCAGTTTTGGATTTTGACGAGAACAAATCGTCCGTGCTGGTGGTTGCGGCAGTGTCTTTTTCATGAACTTTTGCCGCGTCTGGTACCAGCACTGACGCTTTTGTTGGTGCTGATGGTTGGTTTTTCGCATCAGCGGTCGTAACACCTGCAGCACCATCGGATTCACCATACTTAGTGGTTGTTTCACGTGCGGTTTGACCTTTGTGATCTTTCACCGTCACATCCACTGCTGGAGCAGAAGAAGAAGAAGAAGAAGAAGCCATGGTCTTCTCGAACTATCGATAGTGTTACCATCAACTCTATCAAGTCCAAACCAGAGAAGCGGACGCACTTACAGGAGGACTTTTGGGTCTTGACTGTCAGTTGTTATAGCCGAACTTGTCGAGGACGCAACGACGATGTATCAGTAGCGGCCACTTGTAGTGATAGCTACCTGATGTTATGATGCGATGCGACGCGAAGTACTGTACACCTCAGACCAACCGACCTTGCTGCTGTTGTACCGTTGTACCGTTGAGTTGTACCGTCGCAAGAGTATTCAGACGGATGACTAGAGGAACTAGTCCGGTTTTCCTACCCAGGGGGGAGGTAAAGGTGGTTTGACACAACTTGAAAGTGTGCAAGAGTACGGATACTGGGCCTCTTACGTTTGAGGTGTCCGTATATAGGTTCGTGTATATGTGTATACATCTAGTGTATGAAGACATTCATATTCACCTCCATATGCGGAAACATGTTTCAAGTTTACTTGCTGTCAACAGGGCAGTTGTGACGCTGTGAGTAACACTGGCAGCGCTTGCTACGTAGGTACTTGGCAGTTTGATCAACTTGATTGTGTGTACATGAGTCACCTAGATTCTCTTCATCTATGTATCTATCAGTCTATCGGTCTACCGCTCGATCAATCTACCACTCTATTCTGGCGTCGTGTTGTGGCGCACGGCACCAACACCAATTCATTGTCTCCTAAGGGACATACACATCATACATCATAATGTATCTCCATTCCCATCCACTGAGTAAGTAAATGTAAACGGACTTTGCATAAGATGCCAATGAGTCTCGGCTCCCCTTGATCGCTCGACACACAGCCATGACACCTTGGATCGTTCCCTTTATAGAACCCAAGGTGCTGTTGGCTCAGATATCCATCCCCACCACCACCACCATCATCATCATTCATCATCCCCAAAAAATGTCAATCTCACTTCCACGTCGACCTCGACGCTCCTGCACGACGGGATACGGGTATGGGTATCTGCGAGATCGTCGGCGACGGTATCTCCGAGCATTATCGAAGTCGGCATCGCAAGTCGAACAGTACCCCGAGTCGCGCGCAGAGCAAGTCGAACAGTATCCCGAGTCCCGCGCGGAACCACCATCATCCCCATCGCCCCCATCATCGCCCTCGTCGCTAAAGTCTGCCGCGTAATCAGCGGCGGGACCTACGCGTTCAGGCTCCGGCCGTGGGGTCCCTCGTGCTCCCCCGCGACGACGCCGAGGACGTGGACGCGGACGTGGGCTCGGTGGTCGTCTGTGGTAGGCTGCGGCTCTGGCTTCTGCTCCATCGCAACGCATCCGACGAGGTGCGGCGTTGGCTGGCCCGTACTCATACCGCACCTGGATGCCGGGGTAAGGTTCCAGTACAAGAGGGGGAGGGCGGCGATCACCCCGTCTCTCGCGCATCAGGTCTCGTGGAAAGAACCATTCTTCTCCTCCCTGTCGACCTCGCGCCTGTGGTCTGTTGTTATCGCCCGCAGGTTGTGGCGGTGGCTGTTGTTCGTCGTCTCTGGCAGGGTCGTCGCGGCCTCGTCCATCATCGCCCTCACCTCCGCCTCCGTCGGGGGGTGGTACGTCACGAGCAGCGCCGAAAGGATTATACGGACGCCGCTGTAGTGGTGGTTCCGGAGAGCCATCGTCGACCCACATACTCCGCCTCCTCCGTCTCCTTAGAATCCAAGGTTGCGCCGGGCCCAGGTCTCGCCCTCCCGGCCAAGGACGATCGACCGTCTCAACGTGATTGTAGACTCTTGCGAGCGGCATGTTGATTTTTATATTTTTTCTGTTTTTGGATCAAGTATTCTACGAGTTGCGTGCGTGCTGAGATCGCTCCGAGTTGTCGTCGACTTGTCTCAACATGAAAGTTGGAAAACTGGTTCGCCATTGCTCATCGGTCGATTGCGGGATTTATATCTGTGTTGGCGTTTGAATGGGCGAGAGGGCGTGAGCGGGTTTCTCAACCGGTGCAATCGACCTCTCCATACTCCTCAACGAGGAGTCAGCGTTAAAACGAGCCAACCTCTACGGGACAGGTACTTGGTGGCTCAGAGTGAAGGGTGGATTGGGAATACTTACCTCCCTCACTTGGACATGCGTGCTCCACGGTAAATAGTAATTGCCGGTCTCATATTCCAGAGTAGATAGATTGCATCGAGTGAATTTTCTTTCCACCAGCGCCCGCCTGGATGGCCCACTACTGAGACTCACCGCTTCGAACCGGTCATGAACTGGTTGTACAACCGCATGGCAATCGAGACAAACGAACGCAATCTTTTGACAAACAGGATACGATCAAACCAAGTGTCTGCCGCCATGTCAGCCTAGGAGAAACAAGGATCCGTCTAGTTTTGTGACGTGTAATAGAAAAGGTTGCAAGGACGCGAGAGCAGAGTGTAGAGCCTGGCTTGAGGTGGATGGAGAAGAAATTGAATTTCATTATTCGTTCATGCTCGAATACTAGCTGAGAGCCAAGCATTCAACTTTGCCCCCGTTTGACCTTGTTGATGGAAGCTGGAAGTTTTCAAGATTATGCACTGCACGGCTGACAGCGCCTGTAGGTAGTCCATGGTTTTGCTGGCAAGCCCCTTGAATAGTCCAACCAGGTCCAGGTCTAACTCTTTCGATGTGGACCCAAGTTTCGTCCTCAGTTCTTCGCCGATGTTCAAGCGTTTTGATTTCGCTTCGGCCGTTCTCGACTAGTGCAGTTCACCGTGGCGACAAAAGGCTTCCAAAGGCCACAACCACCGCATTGGCGTGGGACCATCAGCCTGTCGCAGATGCCATGCGCCGTTTGTTGTGGCAAGGACGGAGGGTCTGGCTTGGCCCGGTGCGAGACTGGAGCGTCATGAGCAGAAAATAAAATGCCCAAGTTCCCTCATCCCGATGCTCTTGTTGTTGTTGTTGTTGTTGTTGTTGTTGTTGTTGTTGTTGTTGTTGTTGTTGTTGTCACGAGAGGATATCATCCCGCCGATACGCAGGTCTCATCGGTCCCTGGGGAGAAAAAAAGTCCTCTCTTGCAATCACAGTTGCGCCTGTCTCTTCAACCGCTGCAATTCTCGGCAGATACCCTCCAACTCCTCTTCGCTGACGATACCCTCCTCGACCTTCCTCTCGAGACTGGGGACCAAGGCTTTGGCTTCGTCCGAGCACGTCGGGACGAGACTTCCGAGTTGACTCTTTTCGAACCGATCAAGGTTTTCGCCGTACGAATTGATGATCCCTTCGACCTGTTGCGCCTCCGCGAGATCTTTGAACACGGCGAAAATCTCGAGATAGTCACGCGTCTTTGCCGTCGTCTCCGTCTCTTCGTAGCCTCCGCCTCGGGCGGCCCGTGTGGTCAGGGTCTTTTGGAGAATGATTCGCGCTTCGGAGAGGTTGAGCGTGACCTCGTTTTGAAATTCGCCCAGTTTCAGCACCGCGCCGGCTTCGAGGTCTGAAGTCGCCGTCGGGGGCACCCGGGAAGGCGCTGCGTGCGGCATTGTGACAACGACCGGTTAACGCTACTCTCTAAGGATTTGGTGTTTTGTGATTGATGCCCTTGTAGACAGACGCCCGACGATCAAGGTCGAGACAACCTGCGGAGATGGAGATCGAGGTGCTTAGCGCAGCCTTGCGCCGCTAGCCATAGCCTCGTCGGAAGAACAGTACTGCCGAACACCGGCGCTTCACCCTACAGACCGTAGCACACGACAACCACCCTACTCAAGAGCGGACAAGGATTCAAGAGCCGACGGACGATACTCTGTCAAATGATTCCAAGGATCAATCAATGATTTTATCCAGGTAATAAGATGTACATTGCCCCTGGGGACAAATTTGCAGGCTACAACGTCTGGTCATTGTGATCTCACGGGTCCAAAGGAATTTCTCAGTAGGCAGACAGGGTCCTTGTACTCTTTAAGACTTATGGCAATTAAAATTCCTCTCCAAAAAGTGCAAGCATAATCCCCTTTATATGGGGTGCCAAAGTGCCGGAACACTACATCATATTTGGTTCACAGCACCAAAGCGCCAACTCCTGCAACCACCAAGAAACCCTTACCAACGTTGACTGCATGTGCACCTGAGCCAGGGTCACTATCCACCAGAACACTGCTCGTCGTAGCTGCGCCGGCAGCAGTCGTGGTGGCTGATGCGACAGCACCGAAGAGGCCAGCGGTCGACGACGACGTTAGGGGAAAGTCGGAGGTTGTAGTGAAAGAAGAGGCTGAAGACAACAGGCCACTCCCATCTGAGCCCGAACAGCCCGAGGACGTTGATCCCTACGTTGGCTGTCAGCAAAGACTCCCTTTCTCGTGCAAAGAGCACATACAGCGGCGCAGCACTTTCCCACCGTGCTTGAACAAGTAGTTCCGGCAGCACAATAATCTGGATGAAGAATCAGCGACGGGCATTTGAAATCTCGCAAGCCACAAAGAAGTCTTACAGCCGTCTTCGCAGCAAATCTCGCCTTCGTCAGGGTTGTAACAACCGGTGGAACCACAGGCGATGTTGCCAGCGCCCCATTTTGCGGCGCAACTGCTGTCGGTAGTGCCGCCGGAACCTCCATCCGAGCCACCAGTAGTGTCATCTGGGCACGTATCATAGTCTGGATCATTCGGGTTGTAGCAGTGGTATCCATCCGAACATTCCATGTAACCGGAGCCAAAGCAGGAAACGCATGTTGCCCCGACTTGGGAGCAAATGTCAGTGCCGCCGCTGGTTGAGGTTGAGGTTGAGGAAGAGGGACTAGCAGCGGCTGTGCTGGTCGCAGAGTCCGATCCAGTGCCCGTATCACCGGACGAGCAGCTGTCGAGACCGTAGTATTCGTCTCCAGGAAGGTAGCAGAAGATACTGCTTCCAGGGCAGAGTGTGTATCCGGCGCCGAAACATTCAGTGCAAGACCCGGTGCAACGTTTGTCCAAAGATCGCGTCATGAGCCTATTAGTTGAAGTCGGCGTGCGTGTGCGCCCAACGTCCAGGCCCTTCAGACTCGCAGCGTCGGGCTCTTGCGCCGAGACGAGGACAACCAGAGAAGACAGACATAGAGCTGCCTTGGTGAACAGCATCTTGAGCCCGAAGGTGAAAGAAAGTAGTGAGCGACTGGAGTGAGAAGTTTAATTGAGTGTAAACGAGCGAATCTCTTGTTGAGAAGGGAAAAAGGAGCTGCACGTCAAAGCTGAGCATCGCAGGAGGCTCGAGAATATAGCATTCCCATTTCTCTGCTGTCAGCCTTACAGTCCCCTAGCTAGGGTCAGGATACGAATACGTCGCCAAGGTTGTTTCTTTCCGCAAGGAGATTCCTGGAAGAGTCCTGGGGAGCCACCAGCATCTCGTTGACTAACCGGCACTGCCTTTCTGATCCTGGAACTACTTGTGATTGGTTTCCATGTGTGACAAGGTCGGTTTCTTTGGACTAGCCAAGCAATTCCATAGCACTGAGCAGGTGTAGTCTAGAGAAGCTGAAGTATGGTTGTACCTGCATGGATCTTGGGCTCTGCTTCACGTATAGAAGAAACCCCCTCTCCAACCACGAGGCGCAGAGCTGGTTTAGCGCCGCCGCGTGCTCTGTCGATCACAGGGGCAACCAATGAGAGAGATCAACAAAATTGGAGCGACGATCCTCGGCAATCTTCTCGTACTGGTCATCAAAACCGGTGTCGCGAAAACCTGATCCAGAAGGGTCTGATTTGTACCGATATTGCGGATGATTGCGGGGGCCTCGAGGGGACCGTCGAGGAGTGTTTGAGCCACAAAGGGGTTCGTCGCTTGGCACCGTGCTTGGCGAGCATGGGAGCCGCTTTGATGTAGGTGAATTTGTTGGCATCAGGCTGAATCCAATTTTTCTCGTGCAATCTCGTCCCGTGTGCGCCCTATGAAGGTCTTCGCTTTTGGCCCTAGTTGAGACGAAGGCAGGCATTGTGCATATCGGAAATGAGCCAGGTCGGGGCCAGACAAGAATGCGTGGTCCTGGGAGTTGCGGTCAAGGGTGATTTGCCCCAGCAGCCGTAAATCCCATAGCCAACCAGGGAATAAGGCATTCTTAGAATGGTTCTTTTCGCGCAAACTATGCAGATTCATGTATGGAGAACTTTTCCCATCGCATAGACCGCGCTGGCACCGGCCCAAAATGTGCTCAGTATGGGTAAGAGAAACAGCTCGCCTAGAAAAGTAGTGGCGATCTCTGCCACAATAAGGTTGTGCTACTGAGTTGTGTTCTCAGAGCCGCAGCAGTACACAGAGTGCAGCTCACTCCCACTTGCAGAAAGATGCCATGAATAAGCACCAGTCCCCACAGGGCGAATGTCCAGCTGAGTCGGAATCATCCAAATCAAACCGTGAGAAGAAAATGTGGGTAGTGCCCAAGGCCTTTGTTGCTTCGCCCAATATCACAGTGCGGCGGTTCCAGCCCATCGTTGATCAGGATAGAGACTTTCAAACGAACTTGCCAGGAGTCGACTAGATCCGACCCCTTGATCGATCTGAGCTCTGAGCCCCCACAGTCATCAGCCGTTGATCTTCAGATCCTTGAACTCTTTAGTCGTGTTTGTGATGGCAGTTTCAACCGGTAATCGTTCCATGCTGCTGGCGCCAAAGAAGCCGTGGACGCCCCTAGTGCGACTGAGGACATAGCTCGCATCCTTCGGCTCTGCAATGGGTCCGCCATGGCATAGAATGATTACGTCGGGGTTGATTTTGACCGCGGCATCACGTATATCCTGGATCAACTTGACGCAGTCGTCGAGTGACTTGCCTGTCTTCGCACCAATGCTTCCAGACGTGGTCAGACCCATGTGCGCTACCAAGCAATCTGCGCCTGCAGTGGCCATCCGCTCAGCTTCGTCCTCGTTGAAAACATAAGGTGTCGTTAATAGATCCAACTTGTGCGCCTCTGCTATCATGGCTACCTCTTTGTCATAGCCCATTCCTGTCTCCTCAAGATTGGCCCTGAAGGTACCGTCGATGAGGCCAACGGTGGGAAAGTTCTGTACTCCGCAGAAACCCATACCTTTCAGTTGCTCGAGGAACTTTGGCATGATGCGGAAGGGATCCGTTCCACACACCCCAGCCAGGACCCCTGTCTGGTTGACTATAGGCAAAACCTCACGTGCCATGTCCACGACCACAGCATTGGCATCGCCATACGGCATCAGGCCGGCGAGAGACCCTCTCCCGGCCATCCTGAACCGGCCTGAATTGTAGATGATGATAAGATCCGCGCCACCTGCTTCGATGAACTTGGCGGAAAGACCAGTGCCGGCACCCGCTCCGACGATGGGGATTCCATGTTTGACCAGCTCGCGAAGATGGAATAAAACCTCGGACCGCGAGGAAGGAGGCGGCATGGTAGATAGCAGGAAGAAAACTCTCAGGGTTTAGCTGCTATGATTGATGTGCTTGGGAAACAGTGATGCAGCCTGATGTCCAAGGTCGGGACAACTAGGTACTTGGACGTCATTCCAAAGTTAGGCGGATCTGCAGGGCCAAGAGAGATGATGCCGGCCTTGGCCTACAGATGTGTTCAGGGCGAGCCGCGGGGGAGCGATCACGGTGTCTCACCAAGTCGTGGGGGATGCTAGTTAGTTTGGTGTCCCTCTTGTATGGGCTCCGAGGTAATCTCGTGCCCCAGAATGACGGGACGTGCGTTTCGACAACAGAGACGTACTTTTCCTCCCTCGACAGTTCACGCGTATCAGGCAACTCGAAGAATGCCTCCTAATCGGGACGATCAGGGCAAGCAAACGCCCCACTCTCTCAACGTGGGAGCAGCGACTAACCGAACATGTCCTGAGCACTTCAAAGATGAATCAGCCGTTATCACACACCGTTGAACAATACAAACAGCCAGCTCTGATCGAGAAAGAAAATCAAATCGCCGTCTTCTACTCTTCTCTTTGTTGCCATCTTCAAGAGATCACAACCATTTTTCTCGATCTTCGAAGAATTTCGAATTAATCACTACGGTAGTGTTTGCTTAGTAAATGATAATAACTCCGGTCGATATGCTGCTCTCATCCTCATTCAAGGGCGGGCAGTGGGCTCGTAAAGAAGATATTAGTTGCTACTCTCTACTCTTTCTAGGCCCTGTCTCCTACAGAAATCGCAACTACAGTATTTGCGAGATCTCAGAAGACTTCAATATTAACATTGTCATTTTGTTTTCTTGGGCCACTGGTAATGGCTTCAGTCACTTTACTTTTCACGTCCCCCTTCAACAACAGCCAGTCGGCGCACCAGAGAGGTTTAGAAGACGCAGAGAGGAAAGCACACGCGGCCAGAATCTCTCATCGATGGCGCAGCAAACCCCCGGTGAATCTGCACAGAGCCAATCGGTATCCACCGAAGCCTGGTGTTGTGCAACGCTCAGTTCTAGGCGATGTCTGGGGGCTAAATAGGATGTATTGACGAGTCTGACCTCCAGGACTAGGAGGTCGCTGTTCTATCTATTTATATGTTAAAGGAGTGAAAGTTTTCTCGTCCTGGTGGAGAGGTTTTTTTCCCGGGTATCGGCGGCGACCGAGGAGGTCCTCGTCGGGGGCCGCCGTCCTTGCGTCGGGGAGATCCTGTTCCTCCATCCTGAGGACTATGATATAGCGAAAATGTGACTAAAGTGAGTGAATTCATGGTGTTGCAAGGTTTGCAAAAGGAGCGTTCTAGGCGGCGAAGTTCCGCGGAGGCGTTCGGCGCAAGTATGGAGGTTGTAATGACCCTGTCACAACTCAGCCTTGTTCAACACCTGGTACTTGGGGCCAGAGATACGTGCTGATTGCGCGGAAATACGTACCCTCACAAACACCCTCACAACCGGCGCATATTGTTGGCCCCACGCACCGGCCCGGCAAATTTCAAGAAGATGATTGTGAGCTCTTTCAAGAAGAGCGTGAATCATTGCGGCTACTGCACGGAAGCTCGGATCCGTTCAACGCTTTTCCTGTACAAGTCACACCACGGACAAACTACCTCATCGGTTATATCAGGGACATGTTACTGCCGAACCTCTTTGTCCCGCCCTTCATGAAGCGACTCACATTGGGTGTTCCTAGGTCGCTTTCTTATCAGGATCCGACCAATGTCGTCGGAGGGTCTAGCTTTGTTCGTGCCATGCAGATATTCAGCGGCTCAAATGAAGGATTCTGTCTTGCCTGGCTGAGCAGCCATATTGCTACGATCAGACGCATTACAAGTGGAATGCAGACCGCGGGCTGGTGGGTGGATGAGCTGCGGATGCGAGGAAAGAGCATCACGCTCTTGCAACAACAACTTTCCAAGTATCCAAAGCTCTCTCGGGAATCTCTGGTTGCAGTGAGATTGCATGTCACAGCTCTTTTCCAGGGAGAATGTATGGCGGGTGACAGCAAAGCCGCAAGAACACATGCAAGGATTCTGTTCAAACTCGACGGCCAACTCATGGACGAGTTTCAGTATGTTCACCACATCATGATCCTGATGTGGAATGCGACTGAGTTAGCCTGTAAGAGACTGGAAAGGACTCTAATTCCATTTGATGCCTCTTTGGAGCGGCCTCTGTCGAAGTTCTGGAGCATGGCTTCATCTCACTTACCGCAAATGTCTGTTGAGGACCAGAATGTTCATCCCTGTGTTGCGAATCGGTTGCTTCGGACGGCTTTTATACGCCTGCGATATTGCTTCTCGATCGGAGACAGCACTATTCCTTTCACTAATGCAGCTGAAAGGCTCCGGGGCGATATGCTCTTTGGCTGGATCGCCACAAAGACCTTCTTTGATATGGGACTGTTGATCACTTTGTACGCCGATCTAATCGAGGGTATGGAACTGACTAGATCAGAGGCGAAGCGACTTACAGAAGCTTGCATGATTCTCACTTTTCTCCACGTGTTGCGAAAGGGCATGCATGAAGCTCCTATTAATGGAGTTGACGTAAGAGATGCTTCTCACGTTATGATGCCTAGACTGGCGAGACATCTGCAGGAAGCGATGAGGATATTGAATCCTGCAGAGCGTCTGCGATACAGCCATGCTTATCTGTGGATGTTCTACGTTGGTACTGTCTGGGAGAAACGCCTCGAGTACGAGAAGACGTTTGAAGTCCTCGGCAACGCCTACCCACAGTATTGGTTCAGCCAGATGTTTGCCAAACACGCGTGCGAACTGAACATTTGGGCTTGGCCAGATGCCGTGGTAATCTTGAAGCGGTTCGTTTACAGCGATCATCTGTCTCCCTCGGGTCATGTGTGGTTCGAAGAAGTCATTTGCGGACAGGGTACGGAGTGGTCATTGTAGTCCACGAGATCATTGCCGGGCAGGTTACTTCGTTCTGGCAATTCTACTTGACTCATTTGCTGAAGTGACAGTTGCCCTCATTATCAACAAACGAACCGCCCTCGGTTTTAAGGGTCGTTGAAAGAAAAGATGAAAAGCGAAATAGTGTTCCTGAAAGCAGAAGCGAACGTCCGAGAGGGAGGTGAGTAACGGTGAGGAAAGGTGAGGCGCAAGGTAAGCTCGGCATCAATTGACCTCCTCTTGAATCACGAAGCTATGGTATTATATCCTCACAATGGCATTACTAATATCTTGTGTTGATATCTCAATCAAGAACAATCTCGAACATCATATTATCATGCTGGACAGAAAACCTCTCCAGACAGCAAAACCAAACTCCTCGATATGGAAGGGGTTCTCGGAAGAAGCTCTTCGTCGAACCGTCATCGCCCTTTGTCGTGCTACCAAGCGCGCCCAGTCGACTCCGAAGCCTGGTGGTCAGCGTCCAGGAGCAGTCGCAGTCTGTCTTTGACAAATTGTCGCTCAGTCTCTTCTCGAACTGAACGAAGACTTGCTGATGATGTTTCACCATATCAACCACTCACGAAGGATAGAAGCACGGAACAGTAGTGGAAAAATATGACTGACAAACAGTTGCAGGCAAGAGAGGAGAGAGGATACGAGAGAGGATTTCGGTGCGAGGCTCGAGACACGAGTTGACGCTGGTGTATAGAGAGGGTGAGTTATGGGTGACGAGGATTTTAGACGCGGCACGGTCGGGGCAACGCGAGCTGTGTCCGGTACGATCTGGCTGCAGTTTTGTGTCCTTTATCTCTGCCAAAAAAAAACATACCTGAGGTATTGATTAGCGGGGGATTTTGCGGGGGGCCCGCATTACGAGGGCACAGGAGGCGAAGGAGGGCAAAGGAGGGGCAACCCCCATTGACAGCTTCTGACCTTGTATTTGCCTTCGACACATTCTCTGGCACAAATGCTCTCATGCTACACTTGCATCGCATGCCCTCGGTGAGTCTCCATCTCTTCTTCCATCGTCGCTGAAGAGTAGAGTCCCCCCGACGCAATGCCCAAACCAACTATTCTCATCGTTGGCACTACTGACACCAAGCTTGATGAAATCCTCTACCTTCGCCAGCAGATCCTCGCCGAAGATGCCTGCCAAACCAAAATCTTCGATGTAAGTGCCACACAGGGCAAGTCACCAGCCCTAGAAGAAATTCCTCCGGACGAAATCATCTCGCCACTGCACGAGCACAGCGCTCTTAAGACTCTCCCTCGTGGAGATTACATTGACAAGACTATCGAAATATGTGTACCATTAGTCAAAGATCTCGTTGAGAAGGCCAAAATCTTCGGCATCGTCTCGGCAGCCGGCAGCAGCGGCTCTTCGATCGCAACTGCATGTATGCGCAAAGCATGCCCAGTAGGATTTCCAAAACTCATGGTCTCGACCATGGCCAGTGGAGACGTCAGGCATTATGTCGAACAAACAGACATTACCATGATGTACAGCGTTGTTGATATCGCAGGGGTCAACACGATCCTCAAGCGGATTTTGTCGAATGCTGCGTCCGCGATTTCTGCGATGACAGTATCATATGCAAAATCTGTGGTCGACGCTTCTCCAGCAGACACAATAGGCAAGCGCATCGCTATCACAATGTTCGGCAATACAACCCCTTGTGTGGACCAGATCCGGCGTATTCTGACTTCAACGCCACACGACGTATCCGAATACGAGATCTACGTCTTCCACGCCACCGGATCCGGCGGGCGTGCGATGGAGCGACTTATCAGGGAAGGGCAGATAGACGCGGTGATAGATCTAACCACGACCGAAATCGCAGACGAACTCTATGGTGGCGTGCTTACCGCTGGCCCGGACCGTCTTGAAGCTGCGGCCCAAATGGGTATCCCAATGGTGGTCTCCGTTGGGGCTTGCGACATGGTCAATTTTGGGCCCAAAGACAGCGTGCCCGAGAAGTATAAGGATCGTCACCTGGTCGTCCACAACCCTGCCGTTACCCTCATGCGTACAACAAAGGAGGAAAATCGGGAGATCGGAGACTGGATCGCCTCGAAGCTGAAGACCCATGCCTCCAATCCCGCTTCGATCAGGGTCCTCCTACCGGAAGGCGGTATCAGCATGCTCGATGCTCCAAACCAGCCGTTCCGCGATGCCGAAGCCGACAAAGCATTGTTTGAAAGTGTCGAGGACGGACTCGAGGGTTCTCAGATTGAGATCGAAAAACACCCACTGCATATCAACGACGAGATCTTTGCGGGGCATGTTGCTTCAGCTATCCTGGAGGTGATGGGCATAACGCCGAGAAAATACAGGTTGGCAAATGCGAGGAGACGTAAATGGTCCTTTGACCATGGGCCGACGGTCATGCTGGCGAGAAGACTCAGCCAGATTGAGATCCCCGATGCATAGGTCGAGGCTCTACAGAGGTTGGTTTAGCAGGGTTCGATTACTCAGGCAAAAGTGTTGGCGAACGACGTCTTACATATCCATTTGTTTCTTCGTGTATACCAAGTAATCAGTTCCTTACGAATTCGAATAATCCTTTTTGGGAGCTGAAGCAAGGCGGAATATTGTGGCGCAGGACAAGGCGACTGCCAGAGTGACATCTGCCGTGAGAACAACTTCGCTCGTAGTCTAAGTTCAGCATCAGTTAGACTGAGCAGGTACTGGAAGTCTATACGTCCATCGGAGATGAAGCAACGTTTCTCAAGAATCTGGAAAATCCGAATCCTGGAATCTGAGATAGACATGTTGTGTGGTGTTCGGTTGATGCATGAAGTTGCTGTTTGGCCAAGAACGCGCGACATCCCGGGTTATTTTATCTGCATGTGCATAGCTTCTTCTTCGTGAAAGCCCCAGGCTTCAAGCCACAATTCTAGGATTGAACAATGCATGGATGCCGTTCGGGGACTATTATTACCTCTACTGTCGAAGAGCTGACTACTTGGGTGATTTGTCTCGGCCTCCTCGAGTACCGTGCGCCTCTTTGCCCCGGGAAGGACGAGATCCTCAAACATGATTTGACCGTCCACGTCTTCTCTCCAGCATCTGCGCCTCATCGACTTGCGCGCCCAACTATGTGCAATGGACATCTCCACCCTCATGGGTATGGCAGTTCTGGCAAACGTCAATCAGCATCTCGAAGACAGCATCAGAGTTAGTTGAACTTACCGCCGGCAGGCTCGAGGTTGTCGAAGGAGGTTGGGTGGCTGTTGGCGATCCAGTTGTTGACGCTGGCGCGGGAGCCGGTGTCGCAGAGGCCGATGAAGAATGGTCATGATCATGGTCATGGTCATTGCTCCCACCTGGACAACCCTGACCGGGCACGGCTATATCATACGCATACGCCTCTAGGGCAAAAAATTGCAGGGTGTCACTATCGCGAGTGGATTCGGTCCCATTGCTCTGCGCAAGCTCGATGACCTCGTCATAGTCTCCAGCAAAGTGCTCGACATACTCTCCACCGATTGCTGGTATGTGGTATAGTCGATGCAAAAGGTCGGATGCCCAAAAGGTATTGGCTTTGGATCCAGCAACATTATACCCCAGGGCGCACATCTGATTGAGCGAGCGACGAGTCTCATAGCTCAAGTCGCAAATCACAGTCTCGCCAGTTGCGTTCTCTCCACGCCAGTGGCCACCCCAACCTGATGTTTGTCAGCAGAGTCTTCGACCGTGATGCTGGGTGTTGCACGCACCTTCGAGAGCACAGTTTCCATCAGGATTGTCGCAGCGAAAGAGCACTCCACTCTTGTCACCATTGATCACAATCTCATAGGCACCGATAGCGTCATATGGTGGTCGGTTACCGAAGTATTTCTGGTAGATCTCGGACTTGTTACCCCATCGCAGAATGTGCTCTTTAGCATGCTCTACCAGCAAGATTGTCTCGTTGAGACCAACCGCCAGCTGGCGAGCCTGGGTAGCATTACAGCTCGAGTGAATAGGAAACTGTGTTACTGCACCGGCATCCCACGCTGTGGAGGTGGTTGTGAATGGTGCTTCCTGTCGCACAGCAAGAAGGGCTGGTGCAGCGGACGCGACCGTCGCAAGGGCAACGGTAAGGGCTGAAACGAGGCCAGGCATCTTGAGGGAATGAATACTTGAGAGCCAGACGGTCTTTCATGAGGTGAGGATTTTGACAACAGACGCTGAGCTGAAGCAGGTCTATATACTCGCCATATTCTACCACGTCTTCTTCTCAACTAAACTATCCTGTTCCTCTTCCAACGAACTATTCAAACCCTAATGCAAGTCCGGCACCCTCGAGCCTCGAATTTTTATGGCCCTTTGCAAATTTTTATCAGGCTACAAACCCTAGCGGAGACTCGTTACAGCAGGAATACCCAGGGTATGATATCATGCATGGTGTCCTACTGAGATTCTGGTTGTATACGAAAGAAAATCCAGTAGCGATGCCGAGAAATGCCAAGTTGAGGACAATGAGTACAGCTGGGGCAGCTAGCATAGACGGAAAGCCAGACTGCTGCATTGTTCCTTTGGGCTCTGGAAGTTGCTGAAAATCCTCCGCTGAGTGTATCCTCGGAACACAAAGGCACTGGGCGGAGCCACCACGTTATGATACGCCAAGCCAAACCCGCTCCGCTTCGAAGCCGAGAACAAAATGAGGACCTTAACACAATGCAGTCAGCCTCGAGGTTGGGCGAATCGGTGCTGCTCATATGCTGCTGATCGAGAGCGGAATGCCCCATGTGTCCTTGGGGTCTTGGTTTTAGCATACCATGCGAGGTATCTCCCACTCTTGGCTCTCGTCGGCTTTGTCAACTGTTCAGATACGTGCCTTGGCTACATCGCCATGACCAAGATGAAGGCGGCATTTACAAGCAGATTTTAGTCATGACACGGAAGGCTGCTAGCCTTGTTGTTGCGTCCGCAAGGTACGGGATGGCCGACGTGGGGAGTTCGTCAAGATGGTAGGTTTTTCGGAAGAAATTTCTGTCTACACAGCTTATCACATCAGTTTGATATTTAAGTCCATATACATTGGCGTCCGCCTGGTCCTGAGGTAACGAACAAGCAATTCGCACTGAAGCCATGACGATGCTGTCCATTTCGGTCCTCGTACTTTTCGGAGTCTCTTCCGTCATCGGGCAGGTCACATATACTGGATGCCACAACCATTCAAGCGTCGAATACTGTTTCGGCCCTGATGGCGAAGAGACGGCACTTGCCACATACGCTTCGGCCCCCATGGTGACAACGTTCTCGACATCAACGCTTCCCGCGTCTGTCTCAGCATCAGTGACGACTGGACAAACTTCGGCTGTCACTGGATGTCATGCCCATGAAACTAATACCTTCTGCATCGATGGCATTGGAAACGAAGTCCAAATTTCCGGAACTACAACTGCGACTGGACCGCCACCAGCGCAGTACACCGACTGCCACTCGCACGGAGACCATCAGTACTGTATTGGTCCCGAGGGCGAAGAAGTCCAGATCTTGGCCGAAGGTGCGCACTCAGAGAGCGACCATGACGAAGCGTCTGGCGATAATGCTGATATGGACTGTCATTTTCACGCCGGTGTTGAGTGAGCCAATCCTGCTTCAACTTCGCCATCGTGTTCTGTATTTGCTGATCGTGTCTAGACACTGTGTCCCCAAAGGCGGGTCGGAAAGCAGCTCCTCTAGCTCTGCAACGTGTGAGCTTCAGGAGCGAGACTACAACATTGGGCTGCGCGTTGGAACCCTGTTTGTGGTTCTGGTTACGAGTGCAGTTGGTGTCTTTACACCAATATTCATGGCCCGCCTACCTTTCCAAAGTGTCAACTCCATCATTTTCACCACGGTCAAGCAATTTGGAACTGGGGTGATTATCTCGACAGCGTTTGTTCATGTAAGACAATCATCACATACCGTCTGAGTAGTCATGACTGACACTATGTCTAGCTTTACACGCATGCTTCACTCATGTTCAACAACCAGTGTCTGGGGAGATTGGACTACGAGGCGACAACCTCAGCCATCGTCATGGCGGGTATATTTCTCTCGTTCCTCTTCGAATACCTTGGACATCGTATCATCCTGGCTAAAAGCTCTGGAAACCATGCAGATGCAATTGCGTACGGCACAACTTCAAGTTTGCCGACGAAAGAAGACGGGTCTACCCCAACCTCTGCTGCCTCAGTCCAAGCTGTGAACTCTGCTCGAGGCCCAGGAGTTTCACGCAGCCTCGCAAATCTAGGCCACAACCACGGTTCGCCCTTTGATCCGACCAATCCAAACTCGAAATTGTCCGTCTCCATCATGGAAGCCGGTATACTGTTTCACAGCATTTTGATCGGCCTCACCCTCGTCGTTGCCGGTGATTCATTCTATAGGACCCTCTTGGCTGTCATTGTGTTTCACCAATTCTTCGAAGGTCTGGCTCTAGGTGCGAGAATCGCTCTGCTACCCGAAGGAATGGGATCTTTTTGGCGCACCAAGTTCCCCATGGCGACGGCATTTGCTCTCATCACGCCTCTGGGTATGGCAATCGGGCTAGGTGTCATACACAGTTTCAACGGAAACGACAGAGACACCATTCTAACCATTGGTACTCTTGATGCACTTTCTGCGGGTATTCTAGTTTGGGTCGGCCTTGTGGACATGTGGGCCAGGGACTGGATCCTTGAAGGGGGAGAGATGACGGCGAGCGATTTGGGCTACGGGAAGATTGGCCTTGGTCTCCTGAGTCTTGTTGCTGGCTTCATTGCGATGAGTGTGCTTGGCAAGTGGGCATGATGATGGGAACGAAGGAATTGGAAAAGTCTTGGGAAATGAGTGCTTAGAACGTGGTTGATACAGTCCCTATACATAGTCCAGAAGAGCCCGATACCTCTTCAGCCTCGTCTCTCGCAGCCTTGCGTACCGGCGCCACCTCGGGAACCCTTAGTCTATGACATCGTCCTTTTTCGTGTGCGAGAGACAGTGTTCAGTCTTTCACATATCAGACCGTTCTGCTCACTGCTCTAGCACTTCTCTCTCCCTCTCCTGCTCCTATATCTCACCTCCCCTCTTCTTCCTATCCTTGGGGTCTCCTCCTCGCGCCATGCTGGGCCCATGTCCAGACCGCTTATGCGTATTCCCTATACGCAGCCTCTACCACCGCCTCTAATCATCCCGCCCTCCGCAGCCACCAAGCAAGGTGCCATCACCGCTCTCCACCACTTCCTGACCTCCTCGGGCGCCGCAACCTCGGAGAATGGCCAAGTTCAAGACAAGACCGTCCTCCTGACGGGAGCCGGGATCAGCGTAGCCTCGGGACTCGCCGACTACCGCGGCCAGAATGGCACCTACACGCAGAACAAAAACTATCGGCCCATCTACTTCCACGAGTTCGTGGCAAGTCACGAAGCTCGCAAGCGCTACTGGGCTCGCTCGTTCCTCGGCTGGCGCGGTCTGCACCGGTCGTCGCCCAACGCCACGCACTTCGCGATCCGCGACCTCGGCCGCCTCGGCCTGGTCGACAGCGTCATCACGCAGAACGTCGACTCCTTCCACCGCCTCGCGCACCCAGCCCTGCACACGGTCGAACTGCATGGGTACTTGCGCAGTCTGGTCTGCTTGAGCTGCAGGACCTTGACGGACAGAGACGCGTTCCAAGCCCGCCTGGCCGAGCTGAACCCCGCGTGGGCGGCGTTCTTGCAGGAGTTGCTCGCTTCGGGAGCCCTGGACACCGAGGACCCCGTCGAGCGCCGCAAAAGGGGGTTTCGGACGAACCCCGACGGCGACGCGGATGTGCCTGGCGCCCCGTACACCACGTTCAGATACCCGGCCTGTCCGAGCTGTCTGAAGCGGCCGCCGATCCTGAGCGACGGGTCCAAGGGCCACGTGGACGTCGACAGGGACGGGGCGTGGGTCCCGTCTCCGAGGCCCACGGGCACGAATGGAGTGGGTGTACTGAAACCCAACGTCATCATGTTCGGCGAAAGCATCCCTGCGGCCGTCAAGACAGAGGCGGAGGCCGCGATCGACGCTGCCGGTAAGATCCTCGTCGTCGGAAGTTCGCTCGCGACCTATTCGGCTTGGAGACTCGTCAAGCATGCCCATGAACGGGGGATGGGTATTGGGATCTTGAACATGGGTGGCGTAAGGAAAGAGGAGCTGTTCTTCGGTGAAGACCGTCATCATGGTGGTGATGGTGTTCAGAACAGCTTATCGACTTCGAGAAGAGAACTTGTGAGAGCTAGTCTACCCGCTGAGGATATTCTACCTGCCGTTGTTGAACTTGTTCAGGAGCACCGGCGTCGTCAGCACCACCACCACCACCACCACCACCACCACCACCACCACTAACACCACCACTTACGGGACGAGGAGAGACTCCCGCGAGGCTGCGGGAGGTTCATCTACCTGAGCTGGTGCACTGTCCACCTCTATATATGTGTATATATGGTGTTCATTGATTGCATCCATTTGAAAGGATGAATGCAATCTGACATGATTGATACAGAGATAACAACTGCACCATGTTTTAACATACGCCTGAGCGAACGCGGTCGCTGACGATGACTGTTCCCGTCATCTCTGGATACGTACAAAGTACAAAGGGACTCGTACGGCAATGGTCAATCAAGGAGAATGTCTCTCTGGAGTATCAAGACGTTCTATAGACTTTCAACGTCGTTCAATCTTTCTAGTCTGGATAGTAACTTGGTGCACCAGATTTTCTCCGTTGTTCCAATGGTACACGGTACACGGGACGCTTCTGTATGCTCGAATGCTCGCGCCCAGTGATAGAGAAACTTAATCCCCCCGTGTTCTGCTCACTCGCTCGCTCGCTCTTACGCTTACGGTTCACGATGTCCCAGATGGATAAGTATATATATATACACACATATATACCTTGAGCCTCTCCTTGTCCCGAAAGGGAGGCTCTCCTGAAAGGTTTTTCTTCTTACCCTGAGCGAGACAGACCCCTCACTTGGCGAGGTATTATTTTTTTTTTTTTTTTCCTTCGTCGGTCGTCCCTCTCTCCCCATCCTCGGACTCCCAACCACCACCAAAAAATAACGATGACAATAAACGCTTCAACGAAGCTTGAAAGGTCCCACCAATCAGCCATTCTGTGTCCGTACTCCGGTCGTGTAAATTACTTCTCTTCTGTCAATGTCTCTTTTCTCGTCTCTCATCTTCCCACTATCTTCTCACGGGAGACTTTATATTCCTACCGGTCTCGGTAGGGAGGGAGGTAGGTAGGTTGAGAAGGTGCGTGTGCACTGTGCAGGTACTACTGCTACTACTACTACTCGCACGAGTACGACACCCTGCAGAATGCACAACAACGGAATCAAAATTCCAAGACGCGAAAGGAAATTAAAAAAAAAAGAATTCAAGACATGTCCAGACGAGGGTTCTCGGACTTGCTTGTCCAGACTGCCATCCCTCTACTCCCTACGATCCAATCCCTCGCCCTCTCCGCTTTTCACACACGTCTTTCACATTTTCGGAAGGAGGATTCTCTGCCCACCCTTTGGATGAGGATTTCCGTCTTTTCCACTCGATCCAGGGTTGAGTGTCTCGATGGTTTGATTGACGAAAGTTCTTCCAGATCGCCCTGGTCGGTCGGCACGAGAGCCAGACAAGCCATTGCCGGACTGGGCAGGTGGCGGTGTCCGTCCTGGCGCGGGATGGTACTGCACCGGCTGTTGTGGAGGTTGGAAGATGTATTGCTGCGGGCCGCCACCCACCCCCTGTCCAGCGCTCGAAAACCCAGTGCGTCCATTGGGAGTGTGTCTGAACACCTGAAACCGAGGAGCCGCCCGGGGGGGAGCCGGAGCAATATGCTGACCTGGTCCGTTGGAAGAGATCCGAGGCGAACTCCTGTCGGTTGATTCACTCGCTTGCGACGGACCCCGGTTTGTCATGGGGCTGGGGATGTCGAAGTTGAGGATATGCTTGAATGAGTTTGGAGGTGGGACCGGCCTGGCGACCGGCGGCAAAGGATCGGGGCGAGGTGAATAGGGCCTAGGGAAGGCGTCATTGGGCGCCACGCTGAATGGTGGTGGCCTGTGACTGATTTGAGTTGGTCTTCTCCATATTGCCACGTCCGCAAGCGTAGACAGCTTGAAGGAGCCACTGGTGTCTGAGTCGACGCGGACTTGTGTCAATAGTTCGCGCTCGGTCAACCGGTCAAGCTCCTTGAGAGCTTCATGTGTCAGAGCGCTCAGTTTCTGCGATTTGAAGAGTTCCTCCTGCTCCCGATTCTCGCGGTCTCTTTCCTCCATTTCGCGCAGTAGAGGGGCGATGATATCTTCATCGAGAACTTGCTGTCTTGCCCGTTCATCGTATGTGGCAAGTTGTAGCTTGAACGGCTTCTCGTCCATCACTCTTTCTGAGACGTAGCCACGAGGATGTGTATCAGGCTCCGGAAGCTCATGGTAGCGGAGATAATCACCGAACTCGGACCCAGTTTCGGTGTGGGTTTCGTCGTGGTCCTCACGATAGGCTCGTTCGAAGAGAATGATGTCTCCTTCGGCACCCTTCAGATGCTCTTCATGTGCCTTTTTAACCCGTGCCTATGCCATGTTAGCCGGAACGGTTGTGCAAGTCTAAGGCGCCTTACCTTGAATTGTTGCTCAATGACCTCCTTCTCCAGGTCCAATCGCTGCATCTCCTGTTCCAATTGCACTCTTTTGCGTGTCCTCATCAAGTCTTGAATGTCCTCCATCGTTGAATTAAGACCGTCTATGACGGTCTCGTATTCTGGAACTTTCTGATGAGCCTTTGGTTTTCGTGCGAGCTTTGAAAGATCCCGAGAAGCAAGCTGGTCGAGAATGTCCACTTGCTGGGCCCCCACGGCAGAGAAGAACTTCTTCAGCTCATGCTGTCTTGCTTTGAGCATGGAGATTTCGACACGTTCATCCTGGGTTAGTGGACGCTTCCGATTCGGTGGCTCTGGACTGTCGCCACCCCGTCCTCTCCTACCCTTGTGCTTCCCTCTCCGATTCCCCGGACCATGTCGGTGAATGCCTTTGCGGCCGCGACCGCTAGCATTTGCAGCCCGTTTAGGAGAGCGTGAGTCAGATTCCTCGCTATTGGACGTTTGGTGTTTCCTCACCGCGACTTCTGTGTTGGAGATATCTGGGTCCACAGGGGTGGCTTCTAAGTTTGTCGCGGTGGTGATTGGCACTTCCAGAGGTACTGCAGAAGCTGGAGGGGGCATTTCATTTGACTCTTGTGCTGGCCGTTTGGCTTCAGGAGAGCCTCCATCAGCATTCAAATCAGTTTCGGAGAGTTTTCGTTTAAGAGTTTTCTGGTCTGATGGCGGCGTCGCTGAGGGGGTCACCGATGGTTCCGATGAGGCAGCCAACGTAGTCGAAGATGTAGATGAGAATGGTTCCTCAGAAGAAGAGGTCGTGTGGATTGAGGTCTTTTGAGCCCGACTTCGTGTATTCATGTGGAAGCTAATGCTAGGCTCGCGGGCCGAGCGCCTCCGAGACATGTTGCTGGTGCTGGTGAGATAGTCAGTCAAGAAGCTCTGTCATACGCTTGACAATTCTGATAATCTACTCTAGGAGATATACTGTGGTGGACGAGGCATTTCAACCCCAGCACCCTGCTGATCGTGTTGCCAAGGAATGAGGAGCTGGGATTTGATTGCTAAGAAAGGGAGAAAGGACAGCTCAGGAATACTTGTCAGAGCTAACACTTACAAGCGCGAGTTCAGATAGCAAGATAACTTTGCAACGCGGTATGACTGAGCCTTCGTTTTGGTGCCGTGAGCATACACAACGGATCCTGGTGTGGTGGAAGAATTGCCAGACGGGTGGGTGTGCAGAATGGCGCAAGGCAGTTCCTGATGAAGCAAACTTTGCTTCGATTGCTGTCGGAGGATCTGCGAGAGATATTGAAGCCAAATAGGAGCAACTTCCTGAGGCATCCAAGACCGCGAACGATGCTGGGAGGTGCGATGAAAAAGATGATAGCATTCATGGGCGGAGGTATTTGGAGCTGGAGCAAAAGTAGAGGAACAATGGCGTGAAAGAAGCCCATTGATGCCATTCGGCCTTGCCGGCCGGGCAGTGTGAGAAGTCTCCATTCTCAATGGAGATGTAGGTGAAGGTGAATGACAATGGGTGAGGTAGAAATCGTTCTTCAGGTGCTGAATAGTGCTGACCTTTTTCGGGAAGTGAAGCATTTTGCTTGGACTCGGAATTGACCAGCACAGCCCTTAATCCGCCGTCCCTTGCCGCTTTTTCACCCGGACTAACCCAGAATGGCATGGACCACGGTAAGGGCCGGATTAGCTCAGGGAGCCAATCACGGGGAGGGATTTGATGTCGATGTCAGTCCACGCATATCTACATAAATACCTCCCTCTACAAGCACAGCACTGTAGCCCTGGTGCTTACGACGAGCACCCTTTGTCAAATTGAGTAAAGATGTGGCCTTGTGTAACATTACTTTGTTCGATCCACATTATGGAGTCTAGGCTGCAAATACGGAGTAGGCCTGCTCGACCCCTTCATATCTCATATCAAGTCCTGTACGTTGCCGCCAACTCCATGCTAAGTACATACATACAAATCATCTCAAACGTGTTTCAGACATTACATAAAACGATGCGGTGCCAGTAGCCGCGGGGAAAAACATCTTAGCGATCATATTCCATCACAGAGGTTGGCTTGAACGACTGTCATCAGATGTTTGTGAATTACGGCGCTCCTGCTTCATGCCTTTCCGCTTTCCGTATCCTACCAGACTGCTCCGCGCCCCTGCTGAAAGAACAAACCCAGGTAGAATGGGAGGCAGGTCAGCCTCATCCACAATCGATGGGCCAGGGCTACCCAATGTCGGACTGCCCGGGGGTGAAGTATTGACACTTTGGGTGTCTGATTTGTCGATGCTAGGTGTTGCTTTCCAGTGACCGTTGGAGAGATCTGTTTTGCTTCGCAGTCGAGCCAGAGTCTTAGGAGTCATGAGCTGATCCGCCAAGGGTGATGCAGTCACCACCGTTCCCGCTCTCGCAACAGGCGGTGGATGAGGGCTATTAGGGCGGAAAAGAGGATGTATTAATTCGGGCATGGAGGTCTGGTACTGATGAAATGGGGGTGGCGGGGCTTTGTTGTGTCCTGAAGATGTTGGACGGGAAAAATTGGGCGGACTCGAAGGGGGGGAAGATGTTGGCTGTCGGGGTGAAGAGCTCCAAGCAACCACCGTGGCTGTATCCGACGTCGCCGCATGAGGATGCGAACTCGAAACAGGAGACTGAGGAAGAAAAGGGCCGTCCAAAGCGTCTGCAGGAGAATCCGGTCGACTACCGGGGATCGGCTCCAGGCCACGACGAGCAACTGGCGGGGAGGAATGGATGGCGGCCCGCATTTCTTGGTGTACAGATGACGTGTCCCAATTGTCAAAGGCGGTCTTGTTTGCCATTGCTTCTCCTACTGGAAAGGGTACTGAGTCAAATGACGAGCGATCTGAGTCTCGGATGAGTTTTGTCTTTGAAGTTGCAGGCCGGACCCAAGTTGCAGACGACATTGCTATCGATCCGCCTCTGGATACGGGTGTCCTTGGTGGCGAAGCCAAAGTGATATCTTGAGAGCCAAAAGACTGATGTGTATGCTGGGTGCTAGCTCTTCCGGCATAACTCATGGACCGTGATCTGAGTCCGAAATCTAGATCCAGTGTCCGGGTTCTTTGCTTCCTTAATACCTTCTTTGTCCATGCTGCAAGAAGCGAATAGAAAAGAACCTGGCAAAGGAAGGAAATCCCCCATACGCCAAACCATACGTAAAGTAGCACTAAGGAAGCTGCGTGTAGCACACTGATTGGGAGACTGGTCCTCCTGATGACAAGCCACACCAGAGTAACGCCTGAGGCGCAAACAGTGATAATCGACGTAGTTGCGCCAGCAGTGAAGAGACTCCATGTCGTCCTCTTCCGACCGAGTGAATAGCTTCTCAGTCTCTTGACATATAATGTTGAGAAGCATACGAGGACTGCCAGGTTTACTATGCCGAGAGCAAAAGTGACGAATAGAAGGGTCCGTAAAGCCAACGAGATTGTAGTGTCCCTAATACTCCATGCAAGCATGAAATTCAAGACGGCGCTCGCAACGAGACACAGGCTTGCAATCGAAACCGTCGACCATATCCCCATACGTTCCTCCATTGATCCGTGGAAAAATTGCTGGTCCGTGCAGAAAATTGAAGCCGATTTGCAGCGCTATGTGTTACTCTTCTACAAACCCGAGAGCCTGGCTGAGAATGTGCACCGTTCGGACTGCAAGTTGACATCCATACAAGCTGCGTGATGGCGATAGTTGCATGGGTGGTGAGTCTGGTGACGAAGAAGGGCAGACGTTGTGGAACAGAAGTCGGAGGAATAAGTTCAATGAATGAGTGGAAGTGTCTCTTGAACTCTAACGCGACTGAAAAGCCTAACGCGGTGCATGGTTGGGGTAGCCCTGGTCTTAGAGCTGGATATGACAAACGGCTGAAAGAGAATAGTGAGCGGGAGGGGCACAAATTCAAACACGCCTCAACAGTATAGGATGGGAGGAGGGGCAAGTCGAAAGGCAGTGGAGTTTCCGAAATTGTTTCATATGCATATGATGCAAGATGGAGTATGATTAGACAACAACAGCAAGTAGCAAATACGAGAGAGAACGAGGTAGCAAGCATCAGACGCAATAGAATGCAAGACCGACATGACAGCTAGAGTCCAATTTGTTTGTTACGAGGTACCCCATAACAATGTTTTTTTGTCTTGCACGCGTCTCAACGTTGCGCAAACTCACCAATATGATCTAGCCTCGAGCCGGCAACCGGGGAGAGCAACTGGCGTGTCATGTTCGTGAAAAACATGGGATCCCAGATGGCTAGTCGAGCATGGACAAGGTTTGATGAGAGACAAATGGGACGCGTGAGAGCCCACGAATCCGGTAATTGGGAGAGAAGCCGAAGGTTCTAAGATCGATAGCGCAAGCGGATCGAACATACAAGGCCAAAGGAATGCTAGAACCGAGTGTTTGGCATATGTCGGGACTCGAGAGGGAGGAATTTCGAAGACTGCGGTTGTTGGTGGCGGCCACGCAATCTCGGTATCAAACCTTATTCGCACGGTGGAGATGGGGAGTTTGCTGTGCTCAGCCCGTGCTTGACCGGGCCGCAATTTCCAGCCGGAAACAACACATAGTCGCGTGGGGAAGCACGTTGACCAGTGCGTGGAAGATCTCAGATCAGCTGTGAACAAGATATGTCGTTGAACATGGGCTCAGGTTGTGTGCGGTAGAAAAAGAGGTGGCAATGATATCCGTACTCGACTCCTGGATAGGAATGTCCAACTGCTGCCATGATTGTCTGGTCGTCTTTGGAGCCAATCAGCGGGCCACGGCGGCAGAAGCCATTAGCATACGGTGGTACAAGGCGAGAGATGTCTCCCAGGACAGGTCGAAGCAACTGGGGATCCTGTTTGCCGAGTGACAGTCTGATCCAGTGTGCGACAGGATGAGGTTGGAGAAAAAGAGAGACATCAAAATCTCCGAAGATTCCAATTTCGGCTTGGCTCGGCTTGGCATATAATCGACTTGTGGTTGGTCAGCTTTTTCTGATATGGTGTATCCCAAGTCACAGCATCCTTACCGTTAGGAACGAGTACGGAGGACGAGCGCCTGCAGCATCGGATCGTCTGAAATTCTCCGGATAAGCTGTCAGATCAAATTACCACGGAGGCCTCAGCCGAAAGATCTCGCTAGACCAGCACTATGTAAGGCCATTGCAGAGTCTAACACCAGGCTAACGTTGAAACACTCGCAATCATTTTAGAGTGACATGGATCTTATAATAACCAAAACATCGCAGAATACTAGGTATTCATCGATGGAGCCGCTGATGAACGGTCATCGCAATCATATCTCATTCCCCAACAACATCCCGGGTTGCACGAGCTTCCGGGCATGTCATGTGTCCTTTCATCAGCAACTCATGCAAAAGCAAAAGGACAAAACTCCCTCAGCGCCAACGCTAAATGCAAGAAGTCACAGCCTCGTGCAAGAGTGCCTAGAGTCAAACATGTCGCGCTACCTTGTTGCGGCCACCTCTTGCTCCATTTGCCAGACGTCATTTTTCAGTTCATGGAAGCCGTTCTGCTCGTCCACATACATCGCAGCAACACTACCTTCGATGTCCTGAATGACCCCTTCTAAGACCTTTAATAGTTGTTCAATTTCAGCTCGTTCGTCGTTGACTTTCGTCGCCATCATCGCGTTGTCTTGCTGTGTTGTTTGTATTTTGGAGCATAATTCTGCTTTGGCCTGCTGCAAATAGGGTGTCACATGAGCGCTGTACAGTTCGTCCGCAGAGAGGGTATGTAGTCTGCTCCGGTCAGTATTTGTGTGACACGCAGGCACCGACACTCACGGCCTGTCGGGCACCTCGCCTTCTACGCTGCGATTCTTCCTCGTTCTTGCATCTTCAATCATGCTGTCCCATTGATTGAGCCCCTCAATGACATGTCGTTCCTCGAGGATCTTCTCAAAGTCGCGTGTACATTCTTCTTCCAGTCTGGTGTTAAGCTGCTTCCATACTCCTTCCAGTGCCGTCGGACAATATTTCGCCGGTGTCGGGAAACATGAGCTGAAGTTGGCGTAAGAGTTTGCTCTGATCGAGGACGATAATGCGCCTGCAAACACTTTCTGGAGCGCCGCAGCACGAGGCCCCGGTGTGGACGCGACTGGCGCTTCTGGTGGAGGGGAAGGTGAAATGGAGGGCCGTGTAGTCATTTTTTTTATGGTCATGCGCGTACATTGGGAGTTTCTAAGCATGCACAATAGCAAAATCGAGATGCGAAGGTACCATCAAGTGCGTAGCCACTCTTTCTGTGCAGCTGGAACCTGGCCATGTAAATTCTAATCGAGGCCGCAGGTAAACAAAGTGACATCACTTTCCGGTCTAGCGCCGGCGCCGCTTTTGTCCCTAAGAATTCGCTTCTTCCCTTCTTGTTCTACATCAACATGGACTGTCCACTGATCAATCTCTCCGCCATCAAACGATGATTGTGTATGTCTTGCTTGATTCGAGATAGGCAAAGACCGTGTCCTTCTGGTGTCAGCGTTACGCCCGAAAGAGCGCCTGTCGCCATCCGCTCCTTTAAGAACACGGATTTCGAATGGCTAGACGCAGGAGTGCCCGAGTGACTGTCCTCCTGCAAGCCACTGTTTGGCCTGGTGTGAGTCTGGTCAGAGTCTGCATTCCCAAGCGCCATGACTCCCATGCTCATGCGCCATTCTACTATTGCCACCAATGAGTCGATTACTACATAAAGACCTTACTTTGCATAGATGCGTGTGCTTGTACATGGCAGCGCTGAGTTCGCTCCATTTAGAATTCCCCGATTCCAAGAAGTCTGAGCTACCGGGCCACTAGTGTCAGTACTCACACGCCCAGATTGTTATCATATCGCCGTATGCTTGGTTCCCCTTCACCGTACTGCTCCCAAAGCTTTCCTTTTCTCTCAAGAAGCAGGTGTGGGCATAGACAACAATCAAGCCCGTACGGTTGCTTCTCGTGCTATATCAAATAATCAAGTAGAGTTCCCCCTGCTTCGAATGTACAAGTCTGCTTGGGTGTTATTCTTTTGTATGTTTCTTTCTCATAACTTGGCTTTTGGCTCCTTCGTCTTCTTGACAAGTTCGGTAATCGCGTCGACGCCCGCCTGTGCAACTTCCGAATCCTGCTGCGGCGTCCCCGTGCTACACCCAATGGCACCGACGACCTCGCCATCCACAACGATCGGAATGCCGCCAGCCACGTACATGAACCGCCCACCGTTGCTGTTGTTGAGGCCGAACGCCGGACCGCCGGGCCACACGTTCTCCTTGTACACGGACGTCGGGGCGCGGTGGCCGGCGGCCGTGAAGGCCTTGTTCTGCGCAATGTCGACCGACGTGAGTTTCGCGCCTGGCATTCGTTCAAAGTGCAAAAGGTACAGGGAGGCGTCGACGATGGCGATATTCATGGGCACATTGATGGCGCGCGCCTTTTCGATACAGGCGGCCGAGGCAACTTTAGCTGCGGCATGGGTGAGATGGGCAGGGCGGTGGATTACGGACATTGTGATGCAATCGTGATTCGTATTTCGCAACAAGGGGTCGTCAAAGATACGACTATACTCCGTACCCAGGTAGCGTGTATACAAGGTGGACGGGAGTTTTGCGGTACGCGGGAAGACGTAGTTGCCCTGGAAAGTCGAGGTTGTAAGGTGCTTGCTGGAGATCAGTGGGTCTTGCAATCTTTGGTGTCAAGGTCGAATGGCTACCAGCACAGCGCTCATGATATGAACTTGTTATGCTCTTATCATGTTGCTATAAAGTCCGCACTTCAATGTACGCACGACTAAATACGGACAATATACATTATCGATAGGGAACTTGACGGCGACGTCAGCGACGGAATGCTCGCCGGCCTTGCAGTAGCATGAGGTGGAGAAGCCGAGGCAAGTTTAGATGCCATAATGCTGGGGACAGGATATGAAGAACTGTAATGAGGTACTGCACAGCGGGCACAGCTTCAGGCCGAAGATCGTTTAAGAGACTATTGAGATTGGGCCACCAGCTGAGAAAGATTATTTACTCGCATCTCAATCTTCTTGTCGACATCCTGCATCCCATTGAACTTTTCCAAGGGGAATTACGAATACGAATACGATAACGATAGCGAGCATTCCGGCTTTGCGATTGTCAGACAGAGGACCCATGCGCAAAATCCTCATGATATTCGATCTGACACCTTGGCTTAGGTGAATTGCGACTTCGTGATCACAGATTCTCGTCGCGGGCATCCTATCTACAGTATCTCAAGTAGACAAAGTGAAACGTTCCACTTTCTCGGTACGCGAATACGCTGTGCCGAGGGCGCGGAAGCGACAGCACTTCTACAGTACAAGCACCTATTGTACTCGTCAAATCCCTACACGGGTCCAAAGCAAATCCATCTCTCTCCGCACAAAAATCCCGCAGCTGCGGGAGGTTCTGGGGTATTTCGTCTCCTGGCCTCAGGACCTCGTCTGGCCCCGCAAAGAGGTTCATCACCGAGGCTGTCTCCGTACATGTCTACTCGCCTGGGTTCAGAACACTCTCCTCCGATCAAAGCCTCCTCGAGCCTGGCGACTTCTCCAGTTTCACGGACCGATGGCTAACCCCTCACAAGAGCAGCTCAAGTGAGCACTGTTCTTGTCCGAGGTAGGCGTCTCCTTGGTACATATACATACCAGACTCTATTTTGGGTCGAGGTAATGTTCCTCAAAACTTTTGCTGAGACGTAAACCCTGTACAATCTACCCCGAGGGGTCCTGTGTACACTCGTATCTATCTACTTCGCACAATCCAGCTCAGCAGACGTCAATTCAGAATTATGTCGGGACAATATGCCTACTTGACAGGCGGCGCCAGTGGCATCGGCCGCGCTGTTGCCGAAATGCTAGTCAAGCACAAGTACGTTGCGGTATCCATGGGTCTCGACTGTATGGCTTACCGGCCGCAGCATTAAGGTCTTCATCGCCGATCGCGATCTCGACGGCGCCCAAAAGCTCGTCGACGAACTCAACAAAAGCGGCCCAGTCGCGAAATGTGCACGCGTAGACGTCGCTGATTGGAGCTCACAAGCCAATGCTTTCAGTCAAGCTGTAGCAGACTTTGGACGAATTGACTATGTTTACCCGATCGCCGGTGTGGGCGAGCGTACTTGGACTACCAACGATCCTTCCCAGACGGGATTTCAAAAGCCCGACCTATCTGTTCTTGATATCGATCTTACCGGTGTCTTGTACACGGTCTCTTTGGCCGTGCAGCAATTCCGAAAGCAGCAACCGGGCAAGACTGGATTCAGGGGCAAAAGTGAGTTTTGCTTATCCCTTTTTACCTGGCAATGCACTTGACCAACACGAAACAGTCGGATGTGTCGCGAGTATTTGTGGCTTGTACGCCGTGCCGACAGTGCCCATCTATACTGCAGCTAAGCAGTAAGTTGCCGCCCCCCATGCCATCACGGTGACCAGGAGCCGGATGTCCTCCTTTCTTGTGTATACTGACGCGGTGCATCAGCGGTGTCGTTGGTCTCACCCGCTCGTATGGACATTATCTCCCCGAGGAGAAGATCACCCTGAACTCCGTATGTCCCAACGTTGTTCGTACAAATATTTCGACCTCGGAGTTCTATGACGCCCTCGACAAAGACGGGCTACTGGCTCCTATTGAGGGTGTGGTAGATGTGTTCGAGAAGCTCCTGGGTCAAAGTCCGACTTCTGGAGAGTGTTTCGAGGTAGGACCAAATTATAAGACTCAAGGTGCCGTTGTGAGACAGGCGCACGATTTCATCGACGAGGAAAGTAAAAGGGTATGTGAGCTGATAGGGAAGAGGTCGCACAAGCTGCAGCAACCTCGTTGACCAGACGTCGTTTTGTATATTTGATTGCCACCATGTTGGCGGCTACTCTAAGAGAGAATGGGGCTACCAGGGACTCGGGATTGAAAAGTCAAGTGTTGTGCTGTGCCATTTGAGGCGAATTGATGGCGCTCATACTGAATTTACCCTCGTGAGAACTGTGTCGCCTTGTACGGTCGCCAGAATTAAAGAAAGAAAAAAACAATACTGAATGTTTGCAAGTCGAAGCCCGCCACAGTCTTGTTCTAATACTTATCCCAACTATGACCATTTATACCTCCTTTGTAGGGAGGACTCGGGGATCATGGAAACCTACCGGAGACTCCCATTTCAATCCATGAAGGAGCTGGTTTTCGAGGATAGCCCACCTCAAAACCACGGAGTCAAAGGGCCGCAATCAGACGCAGTGAGCCTTAGTAGCAGTGTCAAGGTGTGCCTCAGCTGCGGCGGAAATCCACTGGACTGACTACCGACCCATATATATTGGCAAGATGAGTGACATAGGTAATTAATGAAGTGATTGGGTGGGTCCCTGCATATGATAGAGTTGTTCTAGGCAGGTATCCCCTTTAGACAGTCAATCTGGTTGAGCATTGAGCATCAAACACCAAGCATTCAGCATCAAGCTGGATTGAAAGAACATATAACGGGCCTCAAAGAGGTTTCGAACGGAAGTGAACGAAGATCTGTCTTTTATTCTGAGAAGCTTTAGGTTTCGCCAACCGCATCAAACTTCCGTCCCGGGTCTAGATCAACCGCCTGCTTCCCTTCGACCACGAGATAAGTATTCAGTTCAGTGAGTCTCTTTCTTTCTTGACATTTGATATACAAATACTCCATGACCTGACATCTATATTGAAACGGCCTCTCCGAATCTGACAAACAAGCAGCAAAGCCGGTGCCTTGCCCTCTGTTCCGGTAGGCAAGCTAAATCAGAAGTTACCTACTAGGTACTTAATCCCACAGGCCCTCCCCTACCACACAGTACCACACTCACTCCAACTTGCCTATCTCTATGATTTAAACTGAAGAAAACAACGTCTACTGCCAACATGTCCCAAGCTAGCCCTGAGGTATCCAGCAAACCATCAATCTTCGCACCATACCTCTCTGAGTCCCTGGCTTCTCACCTCTCATCGGCACCCAGCCCGATCGACATCGACTCTCTCTCCCGCACACCACTGTCTCGCCTCCAGCAAACGGCACTTCCCAACCTGGGGCTGATCGAACTCGTCTCGTCCGCCGACTTCACGACGCTCTACGACGATCTCTACGTCGCCAGTTTCCCCCGGCGTCCCGAGCGGGAGAACTCAGACTTGATAGTCGCCCGGCTAGCGGCACAGGCGGCCAACACACGCACAGGACTCGCGCCCTATCGAATCGTCGGTCTCCGCGATAAACAAGGCAAAGCCATTGGCGCAGCACAGTTCAGCATTCTTCCTCTTCCTTTGCGACCTCGGACAGACATTGACACCACCGACGCCTACAACGACACCCTTCAAAATGGCGAAACCAACGCCGCGGGCCCTTCTTCACCACCACCAGCAGCAGGCTTAGTCGTACCGTACCTTCAATACATCTACATCAGGCCGTCTTCGAGACGACAAGACATGTCCGAAGTTCTCCATACGTTCGTCCTGGCCGTATCCGCCGCGGACGCGGCCACGCTCTCTTTCCCAACGCCGTCGAATTTACCGTCACCTTCGTCGTCCGTCTTGGTACCCAAATCCAATCACGACGTTATATCGGCGTCGGGATCATCTGGACTCAACGGCGGCAGCGGCAGCAGCGGCAGCAGCAGAAGCAGTAACGCCGGAGGAGGAGCTGTCACCACGTACGTCCCCTTCACACTGTTCGAGACCGAACCACCCGACCACGGCGTCGACGCCCCGTCGCGGTCTTACGCACTGGAACGGTCCAAGATCCACACTTCGACGGGAGGTGTAGCTGTCGTGCTGCTCAGACGCCCACCGGGGTCCGACCCCAGCAGCTCTAGCTCCGGACGACCCACTGCTGGCGCCGAAGAAGGAGAAGAAGGAGAAGAACGAGGCGGCGAACGTCGACAACGGCAAATCTTGAGCGCCCACGTTCAACCTGGCCTGGAACCGGACGACCCTCCGCTGACGTTGGTCTGGGTGATTCGGCCGTCGCCCAACCCCGGCATCAGCTACGACATCAGGCGCATCGGCAAGGACCTGGTGGCGGCGTACTACCAGAGCCTGCGCGACGAAGGGTTTCCGGAATCCAACATCGCTCTGGCGGAGAGCATGGTCGAAGAGAGATGTCGAGACGCCGACTTCCATCTGATGCCTCTGGGTGAAGTTTCGGATTTCACCACCTAGGTCTTCCCTTTACCCATAGATTCGACCCCTCGTGTATAGAATGACAAGAAGAAAATGCCGAGCCGATAGAGTATACACGAATGCGGTTACACATATAGAAGAGGAAGAAAAATTTGCTTGCAATGTATAAATTCACCTACGAAAATCGAGAAATAAACTATGGCGGCAAATTCACCTAATCTGCGACACTGCGCGTACGGATAGATACAGGGTCGGAGACAATTTGTGCCTCAACGACTCGTATCAGTCTGATGACCGTTCAAGTGACAAATCAAAACGAATGAATGTGATCCAAGCATAATGAAAAATCAAAAACCAAAAGGAGGGGAAAAAATCAAACAAACCAAAAAAGCAGGAATAGCAGTTCTGTGCCCGACATATTTCAGCCCAACACTCCAAGGTCAGCCGTCAGCCAAAGTCAAGAAAGTGCTCCTCCCCAGACAGTTCTCAACCGACGAGTAAAGGATCTCACCCCCGTACCTGTAAGTCGATTAATGTCTAGGTGGTGTCTTCCTTGATGGTCTTCGACTGAAAAGATCTCCACCGTTGTGGGGGATTCCAAAAGAAGCCAAAAGGTTGACGGCGGCAGTCTCGCCAGTCGCAAATGCGCCATGCACACATCCATTTCCAGTCCGCGCGCAGTGTTCTCCGGCGAATTGCAGCTTGCTGCCCTTGTTGCTATCCATTGCACTGAACCAAATTTCGGGGTCATCGCCCGTCTTATCCGCGGTATAGGTACCAAACCCGGCAAAGGGATCCTGAGTCCAGTGAGTCGTTTCCAGACTCACTACCGGAGGAAGCTTCTTGTAGGGTTCGGTTCGAAGGAGTTTGAAAAGTGGTTCGAAGAATGCGAAGATCTCTTCCTCGGATTTCATAGCTTCAATGCGTTGAGTGAGCGGCTCGACAATCTGAACCGACAACTCTTTGCTACCGCCCATGATCCAGTTGTTGCTGGTGACGGTCATGTAGGAAAGAATGGAGTTTTCATCCACTTCTTCGTTTGGCTCAGGGTAGTAGATAAATTGATCGTTGTCCTTGGGCCAAAAGACCGACTCGAACTCCACAAAAATCTTGCCGAGAGCTCCATAGCCCAGTTTTTCGATACCGGACGAAAGATCTGAGGAAAGTGGAGGATTCAACTCGACCAAGTTATTCTTGAGCACACCGAGTGGAAGTGTACAGACAACGGCGTCGGCAACGAAAGTAGAGGATTGGCCGTCAGGGGTGGTGACGTGAACCTTACAGTCTTCGTTGTCTGCATCGGTCCAATCGATCTTGGTGACTTTGTGACCGAGGCGGATAGTGTCGGCATCACGGAGACCAGAAGCGGCCCACTCGATGATTCTATCATAACCTCCTTTCATGTAGAGGTTTCTCTCGGTCGCGAAATAGGCAAGATGTTTTGAAGAGGCTTGTTCGAGACTGGTCCCAATCCAAGCCTCGACTTCACGAGCAGCTTGTGGAGCCCAAAGGCGTTCGTCCTCAGTCACCAAGGGATGGTTCTCAAGCCATTCTTTGATGAAGTCGAGGGCGGGTTTGTCCTCAGCATCAGGGTTCTCGTCATAGTACCAGGCACAGTAGTCGGCGAATTCGTCGGCCACCTTTTTGGCTTTGAACTGAGAGCCGAGACGTCCATCTTTGGTAAAGTACAAAGGAGTACCGTCATCATAGTAATGCTCGATATTGAGCTGGCCTATGAGGCGAACCAGTTTGTTGTTTGCAGTTTCGTGCATCCAGGCGGCACCTATAAGCAGCGTGAGTAAAAGGCTAGCGACACGGAAAACAATCCGCAATGGTCGTGGGTAAACAATGAGCGCTGTTAACGACATCATGTCAAACGCCTACGGCGATTGTCAGTATTGCTCGAGGCAATATTTACCAATGTCTCGTGGAGCATGCCCTGGTTTCCTACTTGTGTAGATACGTCCACCGATGCGATCAGGGCGGGCCTCGAGTACAACGACTTGAATTCCATGAGCTCTCAAGACGGATGCAGCACGAAGGCCAGCAATGCCGGCACCGACTACGACGACTTTCTTTTGTTTTGGAAGCCCATCTGGTGAGGGATGGTTCGCCTCCCATTTCTCTTCACTCACAACACTATCCTGCGGCCAAGGAGCCACAGGTTCTTTCGGGTTTCGACCACCCTCCAACTCTTTGAGTCCGGCATGTCCAGGTGCAGGCAGCAGCCGGCTAGCGAGTTGCAGGATGGTCGAAGGACTGGAAGTCTCCTTGGGTTTGTGGGCCGAAAGGTGGGCGATATGGAAATGCTGAGCCATTCTGAGCTGGCAAGTCGACATTCGCGTATGGACAGTAGGGGTTCTAGGTCAGTAGTGCCAACGTGGCAGGGCGAGGCTTGAAGGGCAGCGATAGGGGCCAAGAAGTCGATCAAACTCGAGGAAACGTTGCAGGCAGGATGTCGAGATTCACTGGCTCGGGGGTCTGTAATGATGAAGGGAAGTGGAAGAATAGTTTGGTAGTGATGGAAGATGAGGAGGGTGTGAAGAGATACGAAAGAGTGAAGGGAGTGGGTGGGAGGAATCGAGGGCACTAAGACGGACGAGGAAGCCAGATGCGTAGGGGCATGTGGGGGCAACGACCCCCCAAATGCAGCTTATCAGCGCCTGGGAGGGAACGTTGTTAGGGGAGATTAGGCGCCGGCGAGCACGGATATGGGCGTTGTCTCCAATCAGCATTAGGGGCCTCATAAGCACCCGGTTAAGCAATTGGGGCTCGATGCTTATTTGGGATCCGATCTACCCGGGCACAACCAGCTTGGTGAGGCCCTAGTGCCACTCCCGAGTTATTAACAACTTATTCCTTCACTATTATGCAAGCAGAGGAGGAATTGCGTACGCGTAAGTTTTCCGGGCTCCATGCAGTTCGGGGCTTCTTGTTCAAACAGTGATTTACTAGGCTACTAGGCATGGTTTAGGAAACAACAGACGATGTGGAATCCCCCCTGCAACGATCCCTCGAGTCGGCCGCTTCCCTGAAGCTTGGGGCAAGCCACAAGCGCGGCGAGAATGTCACCATGTGCCTTTCATTTCATTTTTCGCTCCTCTCACTGTCTTTCACTCGTCTTGTGCTCGCCACTACTGATAAGCCTGGGGGCGGCAGGGCCACTAAGAAGCCTCTGCCGTCATGCTGCGAGCTTGATAGCGACGCCATCACCGCCATCCACGAAAGTCCCCCATGTCGAGAATGCGCTGGATCTCCTGCTGTAGCGTCCACACGATAAGCTGGGAACACGGAGTACGACTCTGGCAGAAATGGCCACCAGCGATTCGCTTAGTTTATTCGTCTATCTATATCCATCCATCCCGCTGACCTGGCTCCTAATGTCTCTTGTTGCTTTGCGCTCGTGGACATCGTCGTAGCCTTGTCGTTGTCCGGCATCACTCCATGGAGGAACTCATCCCAGGAACTCTTCGACTCTTCGACGAGCATGGCCGTCCGCTCGTCACGGATGGAACAGGACTGAAGAAGCACGGCGACATCGTGCTCGTGCCTCAGCCCACCGACTCGCCGAATGATCCTCTTCATTGGTCCCTGTCGCGAAAGATCTGGCACAGTGTGTTGGTCTGTTTCGTCACGGCATTAACGGCAGCGACTTCCAACGATGCAGGTGCAGCTCAATACAACGAGAATTTGGAGCTGGGTATCAGCTATGGGTCCTTCAACACAGGCGCCGGTATCCTTTTCGCCGCGATTGGCTACTGGTGTCTGCTGTCGTCTCCTGTGGTATACTTATACGGCCGTCGGATTCTCTATCTTGTCTGTATGTTGTTTGGCATGATTGGTGGTATCTGGTTCGCCAAAGGCCAAAATACCAGCGATGCTATCTGGAATCAGTTATTTGTCGGTGCATCCGAGTCAGTGGCTGAAGCTACTGTCCAGTTGTCACTGATGGACCTGTGGTTCCAGCATCAACGCGGTTCAGTGCTGGGTGTGTACGTTCTAGCGACAAGTGTCGGAACATACCTTGGTCCGCTGATTGCAAGTTACATCGCCGACAGCAGCCTGGGCTGGCGATGGATCGGCTGGTTCGGTGCCATCTTCTCGGGTGCCACATTCCTCGTCTTTCTCTTCGGCTTGGAAGAAACCGCCTTTCAAAGACCCAAATACTTGATCAATGGAGGAGACCAGTATCTCATTGACGGAGTCAATAGAGCCGCAAGCAACAACTCAGGGGACGCTTCAGCCGAACCAGGCAAGGAAAAGATTGCTGGAACACCCGGCCAAACCCCTTCGACTTTGGAGCGTTCCACTGGGGCAGATGATAGACCAAAGTCATACTGGGAACGCCATCGTATAATCACGCCAGCGCCTAACCTCAAAGGCACCGGCTTCAAGCAATACTTCCAGCGCCTGTGGCACATTCTTGGGGTTTTTGGCTTTCCGGCCGTGTGGTATTCTGGATTGCAATGGGGAGCACAAGATGCGTGGCTAACCTTCTACTTGACGGTGATGGAAGACAACTGGTATGGACCACCCTGGAATTATTCCGACGCCGCAGATGGAAACATGAATATTCCCTGCTTGATTGGAGCTGTTATTGGGTGTTTCTACGGCGGTTGGGGCAGCGACAAGTTTGTCCAGTGGATGGCAAAACGGAATGGCGGCATTATGGAAGCTGAGCATCGATTATGGTTGCTCTTCCCTACAGCTTGCATTTTCCCCGTCGGCCTTTGGATCTTCGGTGTAGGTACAGCCTACGGGTGGTCGTGGCCGGCTCCCTATGTCGGTCTCGGGTTCATCGGGTTCGGCTGGGGATGCGCCGGTGACTTGAGTATGGCATATCTGATGGACGCCTATCCCGAGATGGTGTTGGAAGGCATGGTGGGCGTGGCGACCATCAACAACTCGATCGCCCTGGTGTTTACTTTCACTGCTTCGGACTGGATTGCCGCGAGCGGAGTCAAGAACACGTTCATCGCCATCGGCGTTCTGTCCTTTGTCTTTCTGATGACAACCCTGCCCATGATCCTTTGGGGCAAGAAGGCTCGACGCTGGACGCGAGGCCGATATCAGAGATTCTTGGAAAGTCGAGACGGATTTGACTGACATTGTATTCTACTGGGATTGCGCATCTTGGCCGATATTATCGAGGAAACCCTGGGGATTGGGATTGTCTTCTTGACGACGATGGCGACTTTTATGTAGATTGTAATTGCCTATGTAGCGTTTGGGATTGTGAATAGTCGCACACCTACTCGGTGCCTTGGTATGGGAATAAAATATATCTTCAGTCACAGCATGTTCCCGGTATGCGATGTAGTAGTCCATACTGGGACTGCTCTAGGTATTGACTCTGTACGTGCCGTGTCCAACTAGCGTGGAAAATCACGCAACTCCGAGATCTCTCGCATCTCCAATTTACTCGCGTGCAGTCTAAAGAAATTAATTGACCTCGACCTCACCTCACGACTCGGCTATCTCAGATCTTCAACACCGTTTTGTTCTCGTTATTCACAGCAGACGACACTGGAGTAGTCTCTCCTCTCCAGCTACCGCACGAAGATGCATCCTACCCTCTCGCTCCATCGGGGCATGTGAGTTTCCCTATCCCTTTCGATTCACAACACCACCACCACCACCACCTCCTCCTCCTCCTCCATCACCACCGCGGGCATTGTGCTTCGAAACCGACGAAATCTTTTCCCCTTCACTTGCTCTCCCGAACCGTGGAGATTGACGTTCACAACTGACCCTGGCATTTCCACAACCCAGTCTCAAGAGATCCTCGTACTACAACCCCGACTACCGCACCGGCGCCGCGCTTAACCGCGCAAGACGACCGTACCTGTTCAAGAACATGGTCACGGGCATAGCAATCTTTGGATTCGCAATTGGAGTTTGTACGTCCGCCTACCTCATGAGGCCCCGTCCGTCCCACGGAGCGGAAAACAGAGAAACAAAAACAACAGACATCCCATACTCCCGAGGCCCTGGCTGGTATTATTGGTATTGTTGCTAACATACTGCGCCCACGCGCAAAACAGTCGCATTCACCCTCCGCGCCGTCGGCCAAGAGAGTTTCGACGACGTGATTGTCCCCGACGCTCCAGCCGCGAAGCAATCTCCCAAGACGCCGACGGCGCAAGCAAACGGAATGAGATCGTGAGGGCGTGGTCTTTTCAAAGCCCTTTACCTATAAAAAGTCACGATCTCATCACACATTCACCGTCACCGTCACCGTCACCACCGTCACAGCCGTCATATGAAAAACAAGAAACCTCGTACTAGTAACCTGGTTAGAATGCGTGGGTGAGCCGAGCCACCCTCTTTGGGGGGAAAAATGGCAAGGAAGCTGCCACTGTGAGCTACTGCTGGCTTCGCTCGATCGTCGCTCAAGCTACAACACTCCCGAGAATCTGGCTCCCACGCCCGCATGTATTGCATACCAACGCGAACCGAATCTCGCTTCCCAAATCCCCGACAACCGACAAATCGAGACAGACACTCACAAGAACAAACCATGGAGCTGGGCACAACGGTCATGAGGCGACATACCAGGTACAATATGTGAATTTGTACATACCTGTGTAGCAGGGAGACCTTGTGAGGAGGGAAAAACACCACCCAGCACGCCACTCTTGAAAAGATGGTTCCGAGACGAAACCAGCAATTGTATATCTATGACATATAAATTTTGTAGAAGAAAAATACCTAACGATTGATGAGATCCAGACAAATACCAATGTTAGCAATGCCCAAGAATTATAAATGATCCCTGAGATCAGGCCACACCAAGACGCACTCACGGTCTGATTCAAGCGTGGGCAGCTGCGAAACGAGTCATCAGGAATCTTGATGGTGTTTTATCTGAGCAAGGCTGTTATCATACAAGTTTCATCGATCTGAGCAAGGCTGTTATCATACAAGTTTCATCGATCGCTGACATTGTGATTGTGATTGTGATTGTGATTATGAACATGGGACAAAAGCCATAACTTCGTCTACTATCGTCACCTTGGGAATATACAGAGATCATCGTCTATATTACATTTCTTCTCTCCTCTATGTTTGACTCGATAGCCGCATAGCTGGCATGGTGGTACGCTGAACAACAGGACTACACCCTAAATCTCCCTGTCCCTCCAAACCCCGATCCAGCCGTTATAGCTGTCGCTCCTGCATCTTTGGACTTGAATGGCGAGTCATTGTTTACCCCCAACATTCTCGTATCAGGTCGAGTTGACCCCGTTCGAGGCGACGATCCTTGCGCTCTAGAGTTCAAAGGCGACGAGCCGATATCTCGAATGGAGTCCTTTGTTTGCATGTCGCGTGTGCCGAGGGGTGAGGCCGAATGTAGGCGATAATTGTGGTTCGAAGAAGAACCAGCTTGGTGATCTATATGTGTAGCACTACTCGGGCCGTCGTGGGGTGTATTGATGGCTGACGAGATCTGTGCTGACGGATCAGCGATGGTAGAGGCTGATCCATGTGGCTGTGTTGCCTCTGTAGTGCGTTGCTGATGTGCTGGTGTGAGGAACTCGTTCATCGGGGATCGATTTGAGTTCTGTCGACTGAGTCTGTGGATAGGATGTTGTGGGTTAGCCCACGGCGTTTGTTCTAGAAACTGTTCTTCTGCCTGAGGTGCAGATATTTGTGCAATAGCTGTGCTCTGTACTGGCCGTGTCGCTCTGATGGGCTGGATCTGAGAAGCTGAAATCTGGGAGGAGTTAGTCAATGCAATGTCACAAAGATAATTCTCCTTACCCCCATTTTTGCCATGTCGTCTTGAATGTCCTTCTGCTTAGAAGGAGCCAGTTCTGGAGCTGCAGGGAAGCCCACGTATTTGGCGACACCCGATAATATTGATACCTCCTTGTTGTAGGCAGTCTGTTGAATGATCTGTTGCGACCGCTTTTCAGGGAAGGGGATAGTAAAACTCGGTACTGTTGAATCGGCCTTAAATCTGTCCCGTTGAATCCGATAGAAGTGCTCGCTGATCCGTTCGAGGAATCGTTCTCGAATATCTCGGACAGTCTGGAAATACTGACTGTGGATTTGACTTCGGTCTGCAACAGCCTTGTTCTTCAAAGCGCCGACCTTGTACACCAAAAGCTTTTGTTCAACCTCAAACTTCTCATCCCGGTATTTCTGAACGGCTTCCACTTGTCGGATTAGTTCAGGGTGTGATGGCCGTGCTTCTTGCAACAACGCTAACTCATGGTTTATGGCTGCAATCTTTTCATCGTATAGACGATCTCGGAGAGCCGCAAAATGCTTCTCTAGTGATGTCAATGCTTCCATGGCAGCCATTCTTCTCGCTTGTTCCTCTTCGCTCTTTGCTGCTGCCTCGGCATCGTTTTCGTCCACAGCCTCACTCTCCTCTGCCCCTTCTGGTTCCTCTTCTTCATCGGCTTGTGGCTCCTGTATTACGTCGCCTTTTGCCTTTCGTCGAGGCCGAGTCCTAGGCTTTCCTTTAGAATCCTCACTTGACTCCACTTTCTCGGCTTCTTTGGGCTCTTCCTCGGGCTCTTCAGCTTCCTCGTCCTCGTTGCCCCGTGCTTCGATTTCTGGCTCGTGTGTTTGTTCCCGACTTGGCCTGCGGCTATCTTCAGGCTCACTCTCCGGTTCGGATTTCTCCTGCCGGCTTTCCACTGAGCCTGTCCTACGTCTTTGAGAACGAGGCGCCGCGTCAGGGTCCGAATCACTCTCCTCTCGCTTGCGTTTGTTTGGCGAGTTGACGGTGACTGCCTCTGGTTCAGCTTCGACCTCATCTTCGGCTTCTGGCACATCGCTCAATTCGCCATCGAGGTCAGAATCGGCATGAGACGAGATTGGAGACGAGACGGGGCTGCCTGTCAAGCTTTCAATTTCCGGTCTCATATCAACATCTTCTCTCTGGACGAGCTTGCTAGGGCTAACCTCGAAAGGCTTCTTTTTGACCAGCCCATCCGGGGTGACCTGCAGACGTTCAGTCTCGGCCTCAGAATCTACATCGCCTGGTCTTTGTGCTTCCAATTCCTCCTCTTCGCCATCTTCAAGATTCTCGTCCAATTCGCTTAGACTGCTAGAGCGGTCATCATCCGAGAGCGGCTCATGGTCGGGCGCTATGGTCGCGACCGTGTTCGAAAGTGCAAGGAGGGAATCGGCGGCCGAATCCATGGTGGGAGCTGGCGAATTTTAGGGACAACGCTTGAGGGTTGAAATCCGCGGTGCGAGTAGCTTGTCGGGTGGTCCAGCCTTGCTGGGATGACAAACTGCTGAAGGCGAGGAACACGCTTTTTCAGTGGCCCGCACGCTTGCTCTTGCCGAATAGGTGTATTCGAGGAGCCTGGATAGGATATAGCTATAGGCACATGGCTTGGACGCTTCCCTTTTGCTGGGCGCAACAGTCCAAGCTCAGTCGCACACTGCGGTCAAGATAACGTCAACCCGCCGGACGTGTGATTTTAGTATTGCTTTCTCTCTTAAAAGAGTCTAGCGCTATAGCTGAAGGACGAGGAAGAAGATTTTTTTCTATAAACCCCCCCTGGATGGTTCTTAGGTGGTTGAGAGAGTCTTGCTCGGACAGGACTCGCGGGGCAGGGAGGAAATCTCGAGAACGGTGGAGGGTCCAACGGCGCGTGGAGAGGAAGTCTCAGAACAGATAGCGACTAATCAAATAGAAGAGTAAACAGCTCAAGACCAAATATGGCAAGAATGAAGAGTGTAGAGTTGCTGTAGGCGTGTTGGCGACGTGGAGAAAGAAGGACGGAAGCCCCCAATTCAATGCGCAGGCGCAAAAAGCGTCATGGGCGCTGTGCTTTCTCCCATACGCCTTTACCAGGAATGAAGACGGTTAGACTCGGATTTAACTGCTAGCCTCAGACTTATCCCCAGCCAGTTTTTCTCCGCCATCATTTTTTGTCCCATTAGTTTAACATGCGGCACAGGAATCCCAAAAGCTGCATCTACAGGTTATACCTCGACCACAGTGACAAGGTGCCTTGACTGGAGTCGCCGAGTCCTCTTTCTCGTCATGGCCAAATCCAAAAAAGAAAAACAGAATCCACCAGCTACTCCTAGCAGCCTCTTCGCAGCAAAAGTCGACTCAGTCGACCCTGCTCTAGCCTCGTTATTTGCTGCCAGTGTACGTTTCCGTCCTCTGCGTTCGTTCTTCAAGCTGACTCATTCCTAGTCTGGCCCGGTTAAAATACCGAAAAAGAAACCACAGCCAGCACCGGAACATGTCGCTGGTGACGAGACCTTGCTGGAGAGCGAGAGCGAAGCTGCAAAAAATGGAGACACGCATGCTGAGGCGAAAGAGGATGTTTCAGCACCAATTGTCGACGATGGCGAGAGGCCTCGAAAACGCAAGCGTGCAAAGGAGTTAGATGACTTGGAAGAAAAGTACTTTGAACGTCTTGAGCGCGAAGAAGAGAAGGAGCGGCAGCAGAAGAAGCCGCGACAGGGCCATGAGACCCACCAAAGTTCCAGCGATCACGACTCTCTTCATTCTGACCTTGAAGATATCTCCGATGAGGATACTGTGCCGGCGCTGGAAGACATGCCGCGGCACGAAACACTAATCCAACAGTCGGCTGATGAGAGCAGAATTAGCAGAACTGTCTTCTTAGGAAATGTTTCAACGGAGGCCATCAAATCCAAGGCCGCACGACGAATTCTAGAAAAGCATCTACAATCAGCTCTGAAAGAATCAAAAGACGGGGAAACCCCAGAAAAGCTTGAGTCTGTAAGGTTCAGGTCGACTGCTTACGCCAGTGGTTCTGGCCCAAAGAAAGCCACGTTCGCAAAGAAAGAACTGATGGATGAGACAACGGTCAGTACCAATGCGTATGCCGTCTTCACGACGGAAAATGCTGCGAAGCGAGTTGCGAAGAAGCTTAATGGCACTATTGTACTGGACCGACATCTCAGGGCCGATTATCTCGGTCAGCCATCCACAACGGATCATAAGAGATGTGTCTTCATCGGCAACCTGACTTTCGTAAACCAAGAGGGTGTTACGCAGGATCAGGATGATGAACAGCAACGTCGACCCAGGGCCAAGGAGCCAGCAGACGCCGAAGAAGGGCTGTGGCGAACGTTTGGCAAAGTAGGCAAGGTGGAAAGTGTTCGGGTAGTGCGAGACCAAGAAACACGAGTCAGCAAAGGGTTTGCCTATGTACAGTTCGAAAGCGAGAATAGTGTGGAAGCTGCTCTGCTGTTGAACGAGAAGAGATTTCCGCCCATGCTTCCCAGGAAACTGCGAGTCATGAGAGCGAAGAAGACGAAACAATCCAAATCAACACGGGTCAATGCGCATGACAAGAGCAAGGCACATACCAAGAGTGGTTCTTTCGCAGACAAAAGGAAGAGTCTCGGAGGCGCTGATAAGAAATCGGCCTTTGTCTTCGAAGGCCATCGTGCCAACAGTTCAGCGAAATTTGCCCTCACAAGAAAGAAGCATAAAAAGCGACCTAACACAAGGAGCAGTCGACGAGGAGCCACATTCAAAGCTGCTGGTGGCAAAAAGCAGAAGAGGCAGGGATAGTTTTGGATATCCCTTTTCTTCCATTGGAGATAGATTCGCTGACGGCTGTTCAATTTGACTTGCTAAACCAAATTGCATACGGCCCACAACCAAACTGGAGCTTACCGAGTTTTCCTTTGATTCTGTATGCACTTGAGGCTTTCAGACTCTCTTCCCGACCACTCTCAACTGCACCCCTTTCGACCCAGGCACCGCCATCCCCACAAAGCAGTCTCTGACAGTATCGACATCCCTTTCCCGCACAGTATCGTACAATTCAAGGTTGAAGCGCCTCACCATGGCCGCAGTCCCGAGATATATCTCCGCGTATGCGAGGCTGCAAAAGTTCAGTGTCAAGTCGAACATTGCAATATCGACCACTTACTTCATGCCCAGACAATTCCTAGACCCTCGATGGAATGGCATATAATATGCATTACTGATCTTGGCCTGCTCACCCAAGAATCTGCTCGGATCGAAGGTGTACGGGTCCTTGAAGATTCGCGAGTCCATATGGACGGCGACAACACTCATGCTCACAGGAGTCTCCTTTGGTATCACCCACTCATTGTACACAAGCTCATGCTCCGCATCCAGGACTTGTACCCGGTTCGTCACCGGCGCACTGATTCGTAGCGTCTCTTTAATGCATGCACTTAGGTATGGGAGCTGCTCAAAGACACCATAATGAGGCAGCACCTCTCGATCCGGCATCACACTGTCAACCTCGTCGCGCACTCGTGCAAGCCACTCCGGGTTGGCCAGCAAATGAAACATAACGTTTGTCAGAGTCTTGGCGGTGGTCTCGCCTCCGGCTACTACCATGACGTAGGCCTCGTCCGTGATCCTCTGCACCGTCTTCTCTTCGGCTGGTAGCGAGCTATCGAGAACTGTGTGAAAGATGGTCCGGGGTGTGGCCTGCTCGTTAGACTTCGTCTCTGTTTCGCGACCAAGACTTGACTTTATGAGACCTCCACCAACAGCCCGATCTTCATATTCCGCGATGACTCTCTCGACTTGTCTCTGGACATCACGCTTTGCTCCATGGAAAAGGCCCATGTCTGGGTCCAGCTTCTTGATCACTTTGAGTGGAAGCGCGTCCATGATCTGGACAAGGATGGGAAATTGCTTGACGATTGGCACTGGCTCAAACAGATTCGTCATTACCCGCTTCCATTCCGGAGCGAAGTCTTCTGCGAACAGACACCTCCAACTCTGTCCAAAGCAATAATCGCTTATCACATCCAGAGTGAGAGCTGTGAACGCCACACCGACAGGAAGGATTTTTCCTCTCTTCATGTAGCCTTCTTCAATGCCATGAGTCAACTGGTCAACCTTCTGTCGAACAACGCTTTCAAGGTTATCGACTCCCCGCTTGCTGAAGAACGGCGCAAGAGGCGCCCGTCGCGCCTTGTGCAATTGATGAGGGATCGTCGAGGCAATGCTACCTGGACTGCCGTTTGCTTTGGAGTTCTTGGCCCACTTGTTGCGGCGGCCAGACTTGTAGAGCACGTCGAACCAGTCTGGGTCACTGACGGAGAGCTCATCGGGGCTGATGCGTACGATGGGACCTGGTACGAACCACTCTCAGCACAAAGCTGGAAGCATGACAGGGAAGGATCGTATGAACGGGACCTACCGTATCTCCGATGTAGACGCTCGATGTTATACACTCCTTGGCCAGGAAATGGCCCGGCAATCAGATCGTAGTAGAATTCATACCAGTATGTTGCGGCCGCGAAGACTGGACCTGGAAACTTGCGAAGTGGGTGGAAAACGAGCCGGTAGACAATTAGAATTAGTGTATATGCGACCACTGAAGCAGTCGCAAGGAGGACACATGAGGTCAGGCTGGGAAATGGGAATAGAGGCATATTGCAACAGCAATAGAGTCGTGGTTCAATCGGACTTGGTGCTCAAATCAGGCTCGAAGTTGTAGTCCGCGAATACAGCGAGTTGTGAAGGAGAGATATAGGAAGGCATATATTAGATATCCTTCTCATCAGCCGCTGCTTGGGCGATGTCATAGACGGAGCGAAGTTCATTCGCAACAGACTCCACAGACTCGACCAAATCAGAAAAGGTCATCGTTCAGGCGTCCAGTCTTGAGCCGTGCGCCGCAATGCTAACGAGGTTTCGTGTAGCAACATAGAGCGATCAGTCCGGAATGCGGTATCATATGTTGCGTTATATGAGTTTGATATGAGCTGTCTTGTTCCGGGCTCCAGAGCCATGAACGACAGACAGTTCAGTGTGAGATTGTTCGTTTCCGTCCTCAAAGCATGTTGCTTACCCGGTGCTGTCGACGAGGAGAAACATACATCGGCGCTTTGCCATAGCAGAGCTGGATGATGCCATGGCGCTAGCATATAAGAGCAAGCTGAGCGTCTGGACTCGCATCAAGTCACCCGTGTATCCTGGAGAGCAGACAGCGCGACGTTCGCAATGTTCGCATTGCAGGGCAGAAAGGTGTACGCGATGAGATTTTCGCCAAGACTTTCCGCCCTGGTCGGAAGACTATGTAGATCCAGATTTTTGGACTTGTCTGTTTGATAACTTCACCAACACGCACCAACTCGAGGATCATGGCGTAGAGCGACGGGAAGCCGTGTAACGTTTCACGCAAACAGCACAACAACATGGTGGTCGGGAGTAAGAGAAGTGCGACCGACGCTGGATTCACATCGAGTAGCGTCGAACCCACCTCCAAGATTCCCAAAGCCACTGCGTCTCCCGTTCAGGAAATGGCCTCTATCACGAACCCACCGAGCATTAATATGAATGAGGCACATAGGAATGGCATGCCTCAGCGACGAAAGGTTGATGTCTCCGCAGATGTTCGCGGTGGCGCGGACCAAGTCGATGATGCAGGGTGGTCAGTCGCAGAATCAAAATCATCCCGGAAGAAGAAAAGACGCAAACTTCGAGAAGACTCGACGGTCCATCCCAGTATCAACTTTCTGGACACCAAACCCGCTCGGGTCCAACTCAAGGCTCTGCAAGACCTTGTTCTTTATGTCCTTGCCGACGGGGTGGCGCCAACCTGGCTAGCGGTTAATAATGCTAAACAGATTGACAAAATTGTGGTTCTGATGATCCCTGGCCTTGACCGAGCGACGCTTGAAGACCGAGCAACACTCGAGGCTGCGATATCTCTGTACGAACAGACCTTACCTCAGACTCCCGGTGCGGAGTCCGTCGCTGCTGAAGCCCATGTTCGTGACCCGCCAACGATACCAGACAATGTCCTGCTGTCAGATGTTCCAGATTCTAGGGGCGATGTGACATCGCCACTGAGCCCACAATCCCTCCTCGATCACCTTCTCACACACATGATCGAAGTCAAAGCCCCTGGCGACTCGCACGCCAACAGAGTCCACTCCCCTCTACAGGGGATGCTCATTGCACCTCTACCACCCTCCTCCAGCACTAATCCCAAGAACAAGCATCCAGAAAAGTCTTCCCATTATACACGCACGCCCATATCCCAATTCATCCATACGGCTGACGAGCTTCGGGAGGCGGAATACCCAGTTCATCCTGCGGCGTTCACCAACCCTCAAGATGCAGCCCTGGAGGCGGCCCGACGTGAGGCTACGTCTCAGTCGTTGTCTCACGGCTGGGTCGACACGTCCGTCGTCAAGTCCACACCTGTGTTGAACGCGTCCTCTCAAACTGACGGCACGTCATCTGCAGCAGCCCATTCCCGCCGCCGCCGCACTTCGGCCTCATCTCGCGACCCCCTGACTGAAGGCCTCAAACCCTACGCGCTAGATTGTGAAATGGTCCTCACCACAGACGAAAAATCCTCCCTGGCACGTATCTCCCTTCTGGACTGGTCCGGCTCTACGGTGTTAGACTCATACGTCAAACCCGATCTCCCCGTCAAAAACTACTTCACCCAATACTCGGGCATCACAGAATCGCACCTGGCCGATGTCACCACGACCCTATCAGACATTCAGACGCGCCTCCTGTCCATTCTGGGCCCAGACTCAATTCTTCTCGGCCACAGTCTCGAGTCGGACCTGAATGCCCTGAAACTCACGCACCCTTTCATCGTGGACACGAGCATAATTTACCCGCACCCGCGGGGTCTGCCGTTGCGCTCGTCTCTCAAATTTCTCGCGAATCGCTACCTGAAACGCGAGATTCAGAAAGAAGGCGCCGACGGACACGACAGCGTCGAGGACGCAAGAGCCGTGCTCGACCTGGTCAAGCTGAAGTGTGAAAAGGGCCCTCGCTGGGGCACCCTCGACGCGAACGGCGAGAGCATCTTCAAGAGGATCGCGCGCAGTATCCGCGCAGACGGATCCAATAGGCACAGAAGAACGGCGATCGTCGAGTACGGAACGCCCGAGCGGGGCTTTGGTAAGGAAGCGACTTACAAGATTGCCTGTACCAGTGACGACGAGATCGTCCAAGGCATCATTCGAGCTGTGAATGGAGACTGTCCGGCCGACGACAGCGAAAATGGAGCTGCAAGAGATGGAGGAACTGATAAGACTGCAGATGGTCAAGAAACAACAGATCAGGAAATCCCAGAAGGCGGAGTGGATTTTGTCTGGGGCCGGCTGCGCGACCTGGAGGCGTTGAGAGGTTGGAATAACCCACCACCACCACCGACGACGACGACGACGATCTCCACCTCTGAACCAAACACGTCAAGCGAGGCTGCTGCTACTACTACTGCTGCTGCTGCTGCTCCTGCTGCTTCAGAGCAGACAGCCGAGTCCTCTGAGTCTTTACGCCAAACAGCCTCACGGACCCTTTCTCGACTTCTCACTCTGTACGCGGCTCTGCCTCGGCGGACCCTGTTGATGACGTACAGCGGCACAAACGACATGCGGCCGGTCCTGCGCCTGCAGCAGCTTCACACGCAGTACCGCAAGGAGTTCAAGGTCAAGAAGTGGGACGAGCTGAGCGTCAAATGGACCGACGTGGAAGAACAGCAGCTGCGCAGCGCCGTGGACGTTGCGAGGAAGGGCGTGGGCATTCTCGCCGTGAAGTGAAGAAAGGGCTTCCGCCAGACACGCAAGCCATCCGCCCCATTCGCCTGCCCTGTGCTGAAAGGGCCGTTTGAGAACCCGTACGGTCGTCAGAGATGGAGACGTCGGTCGGCTTTGAGGGAGTCGGTCCACGGGGAGAGCAGTAGGATCGTACGCGGCGGCGCCATCTGGTCACGAGCATCGAGAGAGAGAAGGTCATGGGTCTCTCAATTGTACGAGTAGGGGTGAAAAGTATAGACTTGCAACTCTTAGACATTAGACCTGGCGGCCCGTGGCGATCACACCGTGACGGCGACATCTTGTTGCTGTCAACGAATTGAATCAGCAGCGTGAATGCCGTACTCCTGAGAATTACGATCGTGAAACACGAAAAGAGTATCAATCTCGAGGGGGAAAGATCCCTATATTCTTCTTCAGCTCAAGTTCTGGGTTGGCAATATGCTGTGCATTGACAGGACCCGACTGAGCTCCCGTCCTCAGCCATCCATCCCTACGACCGTCAACTCACTAGTAATCCATTAAATTCATCATAGCGATCTCCAGGCAAATATAAATTGGATGATTGAGCACACAAGATGCTGCATAGTTCACTATTCACAAGAGCCCAATTCTTCTTTTGCTGACATGATTGATATCTTTTTGTACACTGGTTTGCCCAACTTTTGGTAACAATTTCTCCTTATGTCTAATATTCGTAACATAGCAAAGAAGTCATTTTAATGTAAAGGTTCCGACCTGTAAAGCTTTTATTTTCCGGCAGGACAAACCTTAACCTCACCAGATTTTTAATCTTCCCTCAACACTCTCACGCCCTTCTTGCTACCTGCCTTTCTCTTCTTTTTGTGGCCCTTGTCAAAGGCGACGGCACTTTGGTGATCCCGTCCTACGTTGTCCAAGTCCTTGACCTTGTAAATGCGAATGATCCAGTTCTCACTGGTAAATGCTTCTTCCAAGGTGCTCAACTCCGGACCTTGTGCCGGCAGCGGTGATCCTCTAACGCGATCTTGGGCTTGACCGGCAGGGAAAAGCTGGTTGTAGTTGTAGTAGGACATCTTGTACCTAAGGCCAGGTTAGCACATCGAAAAACATCTTGGGCTGGGGGAAGGCACGAACATGAGTGAATTTTTCATAGTGGGAGTTGCCTCTTCGTCGACCCTGTATTCACCCCTTGCAGTGAAAAAGTCACGCTCCCTCACTTCCTCCGGCCAGATGCCTTCCGCAATTCTGACCATCCAGAGGAATTTGTTGATATCGTCTCCGCTGTATCCAAGCAGACCACCAAAGACGACCAATACGTAATCGACATCGTGTTGACGAAGAATAGGATAACTGACTTCTTCTCTCGAACTCATCGCCTTGCCAACAGTGGCGATATGAGTGTTGTTCCAGGTGTTGTTGTCAACCAACGTTGGACGATCGGCCATGCCTCCAATTTGATATCCATAATCCCACCATGACATGATCTTTGCATCCCGAGGAGTATTCTGTCTCAACCAGTAGTATGCTTCTCTGTAATCATCAATGATATGCTGCGATCCATCTGGTAGCCTTGAAGCCAAGACCACAGAAGGCGAAGAATATGCATTTGAGGTGACCCAGGTGCAATGTGCAACGAAGAGAAGGAGGAATCCTGTGAACATTGATGTCATGAGAGATTTTGAGGCGAGTGAGTATATTCCGACCAGGGGATTCCGCGTTGACCGTAACGATGGGTTGGCACTGAGTTTGCTTCCCTTCACAGAGCCATTGCTGGGTTCGTTGGATTCCTCCACGGGACTTGGGATGTAAAGGTAAGTGTCGAGGATGTGTGAGATGGCTAGAGCCGCAGCGCAGCAAACAACGGGCGTCAGGGTGAGCATTAGACGGACCATCACCCCAGCAAAATAGCTGGCCAGGACAGCGTAAAGGACAACAAATACATGTTCGTCCTTAAGGTTACGGAAGCACATGTAAACACCAGCGGGGAACAGCCAGATGAGCATGTTGAGATCGAAAAAGAAGGCCGGCCATGCTGTCGGTTGATGCTCCGACACCGATGCAATGATGGGAATGTGGATCTTGGCGTAACCAGTGTCCCAAAGTGAGTAGAACCGCCCACTCCATGGTGCGATAGTTCCTGAAAGGGTAAGCGCAACCAATCCGACAAACATGATTCCGACAATTGCTCCGCCCAGCGCGACAAGTAGTGTCTGGAATTGCTTTCCAGGAAGCTGGTCCCGGAGGAAGTTGAAGAACCCAACAAGCTGTAGGAGGCCAAAGATTCCCAAGGCAGCCATATGGTCACTGCTTCTGACAGGCAAGAAGCCGACGAAAGGTACTTGCATGCTGGCCAAGGTTCCCAGAGCGTACCAAGTCGTGTAGCTGATGTACAGTCTAGAACTGTACCGTCCCATCAGAATCAGGGTGAAAGCATGCAGAGGGATCAAGTTCGTGATGAAGACGTATCCACCCCAAGCAGACACCATGTATCCATAGAAAAGAGCAGCCAATGCCCCCCACATGATTGAACCATTCTTGACCGCTTTGATCCAGAGAAAGAAGGTGAAAACCAAGAGGAATATAGCTATCGCTTCATTGTCATAGCTGCCAGCAACAGATCTTGAGATATACCCAGGACTGATGCCCATAAACGCTGCAGCCAAAAGCCCGGCAGACGGAGAAGATGACATTTCAGACGTCAAGAGGTACATTGCCAAAGCCGTGAGACCGGAGAATCCAGGTGCCAGGAGAACACAGATGTTACGGATATCGACGGGAATTGAAAGCAGACGAAGGAGGTGGTAGATGACACCGGACGTGACCATGAGACCAGGGTAGAGGGTTCCTCCCGTAACTCGACCAAGTGGATGCCATGTTCCTGTGTTCTGTCAACATACTATGCTCTTTAAGCCATCAATACTCAACTCACGATCGTCAAACCAGTCCCAGAACTTATAGAAACCATTGGCTACTAGATATTTTGTCGCACGAAAGTTGAACCAGGGATCGACTGTCCACCTCGTCAGTCACCTTGGACGCAGCCGAGGACGAAGCGATTGAGGCTCGTAGTTTCAGAGAAAGCTTCGCTTATTGTACTCACATTCGTGAATTATACTCTCGAATCCTGTCAGAAGTCAGTACAAACTTGCGCCCAAGAAAGGCAAGGCGATGCGTACGAATGACACTGAATAGACGGGCGGACACTGCGGCAGCCGCAATGGTGAGGAGTATGATGATTCGAAGCAGGCCCCGTGTATTCTTGCTCGAGCTCCCACGCAGCAAAGGGCCCAAGGCAGTACTGACGGCCATGATGGCCAGAAAAGAAACGAAAACAAGATCTAAAAGACAGGAGTTTGGTCAGTTCATGGATGTTGATGTCGAGCACCTCGCGGGCCTTTTGCATACGTAGGCGCAGTTCGACTTGCAACGTCTCCAAATCAATTTCCGCCAAGACAAAACCCCTGCATGGCTTTGGTCGGTCTTAAGCCTCGCCGTGCCCGTTTCAGCCTTGCTAAACGGCACTCTAAATAAATCACTGTGGCATCGCCAGCAGTTCTAGGGTATCGGAGAAACGAAGGGTCCATCAAATGCTCAGACAAAGGGTTGGAATGATAATAACGCCTGGTCTACCCGACTTCTTCATAAATTACAGGGGGAAACTGTGTTGCAATCCGGTTTCGGAACAGTGTTTCCGTCCACCAGACACCCAAGTGGTACAGGCGCTCCTCAGAGTTCTGTGTCCTGAGCAGACGCGCAATATCGTGCTCGTTTCTGAGCAGACTCCATCAATGTCTTCGCTACTGTTGTTGCAGGTTCTCATTCTCCGTCCAGCACCCTCTCAATCCTATTTGCCACATTCGGGTGCTGTCGTTGATTCTGGTCGAAAGTCTTCGTTAGCACGCGTCATGGCGATTGGGACATGACCGCTCATATGTGCCATTATCAGGAGCATAGAGCTTTGACAGCAAGTCCTTATGAAGTTCACAGTCGTATGCGTTGCATGGAGTCACATGTTCCCCCCATCTTAGATACCGTTTAAGACGCATGGTCGAAGATTTGGGCAGCCGAATTGTTGTGTCCTCAAGAATGGGAGGACAATCCATGAGGAGTCGAGTGCTATTCTGCATCATTCGTCCACTTATCCATCCATGCAACGACGTCGTTCTTGTCTCCTTCTGTAGGGTGTCTTGCCGGCTCGTCATCCCAATCTAACAGTTGTTCTTCTCCGGACTTGCCCTTAGCCTTCCTGTTCACCACACCACCCTTTTGATCAACATTGCGGCCCGAGGCACTGGCATCGCCAGGTTTCTCTGGGATTAGGCTTGGCTCTTCAGACTCCGTCCCTCGAATGGCGTTTGGCCCGACCTTTGCCTTGGATTGAAAGTATTCGGTCATCACTTGCTCGCCCTCTTTCTGCTCTTCGCTGCCCATCCACCATTTGAAGAACTTTTGTATATATGGTCTGGCTGTGAAGTATGCGAGCACAATGATGAACAGCCAGATATAGTCTTGCCTGTCCAGTTGGCCTTTCTGCATATATCTTTGGACGGCGTTCAGGTGTGAGAAATCCTCCGGCGGGGGAATGTATTCGACCATCGTTGCGGCTGTGAAGGTGAGCGAGATAATAATGGCAGTTTATTAGGTGTGGATAATTTGTACACGAACAGAGTCTGTAATAGTGAGCAGTGTCAAAGGCGTAGGGAATATTTCGTTATCGTTCAGGATATTTCGGCTGCGACTTGATAGGTACTAATGTTATTTTTTTGGCTCACCAGGCGGCAGCTTCGGATAAACAAAAAGTCCTCATTCCGCTCTTGCCGGGAACACTAAGGGCCTAAGGCGACAACATCGTCGTCTCTGGGGCCGTGAGGAGGCCATCTCTGTTCCATCCAACTTTGTTGAATCTTGCTTTCTCTCTGACCAGCGTCGGACATCTGCTCTCGTTGTACGGCGCTCTTTTGATTTCTAGATCCCTCCAGCCTCGTCCTACATCATGATGTCGAGAATCTTCAATATGACCGGGTGTCCTTACTTTGGCTCGTCCTTGACATCCCCATGTCTGCGTCGAGCCGTTGTTAGGCCGGCAGGGCAGCATCTTCTGTGTAACTACGGAATGCAACCCATGCCGTACAACTGAAGAGAGCAGGACCAGATTCCTTGGTGACCTTCTGTGGACTGCTCCCTGAAGCAGTTTGCCAACTGGAAATAGAGTGCGCTAATCTTTGTCTCGAACAAGTGCAGACATACAGCTGCATGCTCCATGAAGAACTTTGTAAGGCCTGGATGCTGTGTTATAATGGGTGCATATGCAGCCTCAGCTAGGTTCACACAGATAAAGGTTGTGTCTTCAGAACGGCCCGTCGTCACATGTGTTCACGTCCCGGCCATGACCTTTTACAAATGTGCACGACTCGATGCAGTTGCCCGACCCTCCAGCACCGACGCGACGGGATGACCCTGGGATCCTTAAGGGGACGCAAAACGAACAGCTTCTTTTGGAGGTCAAACGACCATATTGGCGTGTGCTGTCTCTCATTCAATACTAATTTCACTCGTGAGAAAATCCTCCTGTTTTCAAGGTTCTCCTTCTCTACCACCACATCTTCACGTCTTCACGATACCCGTTCACGATACCCCTTGACCAAAGCATCAGCTTCGGCATCATGTCGGTCTTACCAAGTCCACAAGCACCCTTCTTGCTCCTCTTATTTCTCTTCTCGTCTTTGTATCCTGGATTGCATGGCTTCAAAATAACTGGTGCATCGGGTGGTGTTAACTCAGTTACTGGGGCGCGGCCATTGCGTTACGAAATCAACGAGTTTGCCAATTCTGGACCGGCGTTCCATTTGTTTGTCCTGGCAATGATGGCTTTTCAAAGTACCAACCAGTCAGACCCGCTTTCATACTTCCAGATCTCAGGTTTAAACCAACCCCCTTGCGCATGTTATACCAATGCTCATACCGAGTAGGGATTCATGGTTTTCCTCAAACTCCTTGGGATGGTGTGCTGGGTACAGGCCAGTATGCTGGATACTGTCTACATAGCGCTGTCCCCTTTCCGATGTGGCATCGGCCATACGTGGCGCTATTAGAGGTATTTTCAGGATCTATGTATCTTGATGGAAGCTCATCATGGATAGCAAATCCTATGGACCTACGCGCAGGACATTGCAGATATCTTCCCGGAGGAAGAACGCGGCCAATACAAGCAAGCGGCATTGAATTTGCGATTTCCGTACTGGGATTGGGCATTATATCCTGCTCTGCCAGACGCGGTATCTCAACCACAAATCACCGTGAACACGCCCGAGGGATGGCAGACCGTCGACAACCCGCTCTTCAGCTACAAATTTCAGTCTAATGCTGGAGGAAATAGCTTCCCGCCAGCACACCCTGTACGCTAGCTCACAGAATGGGAAGCGCTTATGTTAATGTGACTATAGTTAGCAAAGTTTGGATCTACCGTTAGGTACTACAATACTTCCACGCAGCAAAGCGATCAGACTGCGGCGACTGCTTCATTGAGAGCTCAGGCTCCAGGGTAAGAGGAACCGTCTGGGATTGGGTTTATTGCTGAACATGCCATTTCAGGTTACTTTCGTTGACATATCAATTGTTCACAACAATCTCTGACTACACACTGTTTTCTTGCAACAATCCGGGTGGGAATCCAGGTATTTTGAACAATATCGAGGCCATCCATAACGGCATCCACAGCAGTGTTGGTGGCTATGGACACATGTCATACCCCGAAACCGCAGGATTTGACCCTGTATTCTTCTTACACCATGCGAATGTCGATCGACTTGTTGCCATGTGGCAGATCCTCAATCCCGATAGTTACATCGTCCCAACGATGAATGCCTACGGCTCCTATTACGAATTGAAAGGGTTCATTGATTCGGGCTCCACGGGTAAGTGGTCTCGTATGTGTTGCACAGATGCAGCAGCTAAACGTCACCTAGCATTGGCCCCTTTCCATTCTGATGCGGGTAGCACTATGTTCACAACAGACGGTGTCCGTAATACTAGGACTTTTGGTTACGCCTATCCTGGACTAGAAGACTGGAATAAGACTCAAGCCGAGTTGGCCAGCAATGTACGCCGTCTGATCAATACCCAGTACAACCCCCTCACAAACACCACGCATACCCGCATGAGCAGGGCACTCAGTCAGAGATCAGCCAATGTTGCCGATGTCTTTGGCCATGTTGACCTCGACATGGCACGGGACATGAGTGTCAACAATCTCGAAATGCAATGGTCTATCGCTGTTCTAGTTGAGCGGTTCGCCTTTGATACTAGTTACTGCATCGACTTCTTCATCGGCGACCCACCTGCCGATGTTACGTTGCGACCAACCGCCAAAAACCTGATCGGATCATATGCACAGTTCGGCCATGCGAACGTTTCGCTGATTCACCCAGAGGGTGCTCCTGAAGGACAAGTTGGGAGCGAAGTCTCGATGACGCACGTCTTGGCCGCCGGTGTTATGCGAGGCGTCTTGAAAGACTTGTCCCCAGAATCAGTGGTACCACTGCTCCAGAACGCTTTGCACTGGAGGGCCCGGACCACGACAGGAGATGACGTGCCTTTGGAAGCAGTCTCGGGCCTGTCAATTTCTGTCTACAGCCGATCTGTAGTTCCAACAGATGCCGACGACAGATTTCCTCAGTATGGACCCGTGCAATGGCAGCGATCTGCGACTAATGGCAAGCCGTGCGGGTCTTCGTGGCCAAGTACGTGGGCCCAGCCTGTGTGATGCGCTGTGGGACAAACTGAAAGATCGATGTCTTCAGCATCAAACACGACGCGAAGTCATACCTTGGGATAGAAGTGCTCCCAGAGGACGGTCCGGGTGAGCAGAACAATCTCCAACACTGGAATGAATGCCCGATGAGCTGGAGAACTAATTGGACTCCGCCCACGATCTTTAGGTGTTTGGACCTGGACGAGGCTGAAATTGGATGCTGCTTTTCCAGACCTTGCTAGCTGCATAAGGCAAGGTTGACTTTTGTTTCAACGAGGCTATTGGCTGTGCTCCTCAGCTCCATTTCTCAGCTTCGCAGTTCCGAGACAAGATGCTGGAGCATCAGAATATGAGCCTTGAAGAGCTTGACAATGACTGGTTCAGGACTGAATCGAGTGACAGGGCCATCCTGGAGGACACTGAATGCTGTCCTGGTAGCATTCGAGCTACCCAGCTTTCTTCCCTTCCCCAGTAGACATTCTAATCATAGCTGCGGTGTTTTGCTCTGAAGTCGCGTTCGCCCAACATCGCCTTCAGTCGTTACATTCCAGATAGCGTGTGTGCTTCGTTTCGATCGAATCAATCCCTTTCCGTACTCTCAAACGACTCCCATCAGTGGAAGCTATTAAACGTGCGACCTTTTCCAGCCGAGATGTTCTCTCCAAACGCCCTTCTGCTAGCGGCGTCGCTTTGCTCGTACGCACTGGCACAGACCAAGATTGCATTTACCCATGTCCCGGCTGCTGTTGTTGGTGGTGGCTCATACAATATCACCTGGGGCGGTGGCGATGATACACCGGTCACCATCACCCTCCGCGAAGGAGACCCAGACGACCTGAAGACTATCGAGACGTTGGCAGACGGTGTGTCTGGGGATTTCTTCGTTTGGACAGTGTCGAAAGACCTCAAGGCTGCGGACGACTATGCTTTGCAGATCACACAAGGTCAGAACGACATCAACTACAGTGGCCAATTCTCTCTTACAAACTCTACCGCATCCACAACTGAGTCGGCCTCGGGGAATACAACTGCCAGTATTACAGCAACCAGTTCCCTCGCTTCGCAAGGAACAGGATCCGCCCTCCCAAGGAACACCACGTTCAGGTATGCAATGATCGATCGCCTCTAGATGCTGCAGCGGAACGCTAACATGGACACAGCTCTGCTACCATTTCGCGGACGGCCAGCCTGCCGTCTACAACTACTGAGTCGGCATCGGGTTCTGCAACATTCGGCGACGTAACCTCAACATCTTCATCTGCACCAACGGCCGCCGCTACGACAAGTGCTCCTGATGCGAATGCCGCTGGAGTTGCGCAACTCGGAAGCTCAGCTGCTTTGGTCATGGGCATCTTCGCAGCAGTCATGTGCTTAAGTTAGGCGGAGAGGAGTCGGGAATAGTTTGATCTGCATTCAGAGCGAGGCGTTGTCAGGATACCCAAACAGGTGCACAGCAAGAAGATCTATAACCTCAATCTAGCATAGATGGAGGGTGGTGGTTTTGGAGAGGTCACTTCTTGCTTACCCAGGTACGAATAGTATTTAATATGTACCTATATGTATCTATGTGTAAAAAGCATCATGTTTCGAATGACCATTTAGATTCGAATCCATCGAATTGAACCATACCGCAGGCCTCAAAACCATTTGACATTTCGTGGCGCCGGGTGCCCCTGGCATTAGCGTCGTTTGTCCCTGAAAGCTTCGACCCAGTGGCCCCGGGTGCGTCGAAGGGCCCCTCGGCAGCCTCCGGGGCACCCTAAGGAAGCCCGGAAGTGGACAGTCCGGTGAGTCTTCCACCATGCCCCCATTCGATCGTGGCTGTTCTCGCGTGTCAATCGTCCATCTCTTTTCAACGAGCCCAACTGAATCAATTAGCCTCGCAATGATTTCCCAGGCCCTGGTCGTTGCCTGCTTACCCTGTGCCTCCAGATCTCCACCATGGCGCGCCCAATTCAAACAAATAATGCCATCATCTCTGTCTGCTATACAAAGTCTAACACGTCTCTGGTTGTCTTATTGTTCCTGTCGCTTTAACAGACTATTTTGTCACAACTATTCTCCCGCGGAATGACCCAGACGGTTTACACTATCACTAGCACCTGCACAATCAACTCTGTGTCGCACCCGCCCTCAAACGCATTCAAAGTCAAGCCGCACCCCATCGTGGATCCAGTCAGATCTACCGCATCATCTCAAAGGAACGTGTCATGAGGAGGAAATCTCGCGTTTCCAGAGACTCACCCACGCCGTTGACTTCACCCGCGGCTCAAGAGTTCTTTACCCGCTCTGGTACGTCCCCCTGAACCGAAAATTCGCTGAGATGCTCGGTTCAAGGCCTGCTGATGTTCTGTTGCTGACACAACGGCTATCACAGAGCCCTCATTGACTACACCTTCTAATGCGCACGTCGAGAACGCCATGTCCGAAGCCGATGGCATGTTCAAGGAGCAAAACCTCCAAGATGGTGCTCGCCCTGTCACAAGTAGGGTCGTTAGTGCTTCCATGATGCGTTCAGGTATGCTTTCTTCGGAACCTGGCGAAACTCTCCTAACACCTTGTCAGTCATGTCGCCCTCAGATAATTCCTCTTCTTCTTCGGATACGACCCCTTGGTCATCAGCCATCGGTCATGCGGGCACTGGAAAGTCGGGCAGAGTAATCGAGCGGCTACAAGGAGACATCGATAAATTACGCCGTGAGAAACAAGTGCTGAAGATGCGCCATGAGGAGGCAGAGAAAGCCAAGGAGGCACTGGCCGCACGAAACCAGTCACTCCAAGACCGGAATAGCATTTACGAGCAATCTCACGAGGCCCACGACAGACAATTGAAAAGAAGAGAAAGACAAGTCAAAGAGCTACAGGACGAGCTCGCGAAGGAAAGGGCGAAGACCGCTCATGCGCAGTCCCAAGCAGCTGCAGCCGCAGAATCTGAAGAATCATGGAGGATCGAAGCCAGCCAGGCCAAGGCTCTAGCTGCCCAAAGGGAAGCTGAATACGAGACTATCATAGCTTGCCGGAAGATGGACTACGACCGACATCAAGGTGGCCTGGATAAAATCCGAGCTCAATTCAACGACCTCCTTCGCCGTACCGAGGATGATGCAGGGAAACAGAAAAAACTAGAGATCGTGGCTGAGCAGCAACGGCAGACAATATCGGCGTTGGAAGACCTTACTCGAAGACTGACTGCGAACTTCAAGACATATCGAGAGCAAATCGATACCGCAATCACCGAACTCAAGGCAAAGGCTGGCAGCAACGATGATGCTATCACACAAAAGCTGGACGAGATGACCGAAGTTACAGGTCGAATGCGCTGGGTGATGAAAGTCGAGGGCGTCATGAACCATGGCCAAAGTGAATCGGCGTCTCAACAGGGCCATCAACTTAACGGTCACAGTGATTTTTCAGATCAACGCAGTGAAAATTCTGGTAGGAGGAGCCCTACCAAGCTGATCAAGCATCGACGAAAAGAATCCACCAAGGTATCCAGATAAAGAACCCCTCTGGCATTGAGCTCACTCGAGTGTACGATGAGGCTTACCGACCACCTGATGTGGCATTGACCTCGAGCTGAATGGATGATGAATTATATGACGCGATGACCTTTGAGAATGGCTGAGGGCCACCAGGCCTACGAATGAACAATAGACGTAGGCACATAATGCATAATTATACCTCTACTACCCATCATGGTCGATCTATCAGAGTGATGTCGAGCCACATGCAAGGCACAGCATGCACAGCATCGACTTAAGTGAATGGCATAGCTCCCATTGTAACTAGCCCTGAAAATTCAACAAGTGCATGTTGGCTTCATACGCATTCTTGCACAACAGCTTAACACAGAAAGTGGTGCATAATATTCCTGTGTGGACCTGCGACGTTAATTCACTTCTGACTTTTCGGGGCCTGCATGAAACTCTTAAGGCACGTGTCTGTCTTTCACTACTTGTCTAACATCTCTAGGTGCCTATTTACTGGTGATGAAATCATCCATTCATGCAAGACGGAAGTGAACAAGGCTGAGGCACCCCTCGTCGGCATTAAATTAATCCACGCCGATCTCTACAAATAAGTTCGATACTTCCTCTTCAACGTTGAGCGTGCTTGATCCTTCTACAACATCTTCCATCTTCGTGGATACGCACTTTACATGGCCTGACCGACTTTTGGTACCCCCCTGGATCGTCTTCGACGGGCTATAAATCATTTGTCCGCGAGGCCCGGACGCCCGGAGACCAGTGCCGTGGCGGTGCCAATTATCAGAATGGCCAGTGCAAAGAAGAAAGTCTTCGTTGGCTCGACCTACGAGTTCACCCAGTTGGGCGTAAGTACACAATACCAGATAGCTGGTACATACTGACACTGATATAGTCTGATGAGATTATCCGCAATCTCATGTGAGTGTGTTCCTGCTCTTCCTCTATCCGATCATCTCACCTCAGGACTCTTTAGGCAATCCTACCTGGATCCCGAAAATGCTCCGTTCATCACGTTTGGAGCCGACACGCAGGCCAGTTACTTATCCTTAGATCATGGAATTTACGAGGACTGTTCTAACTTTGGGTACAGACTTTTTCTGCTGAGGTAGACCTAGACGACGATAGAACACTTCCGACAATCTTGCACCAGGTGTCCAACTACGTAACAGCCCATGAGTCTCGAGGCTTGGCATTTGACGAGGACGAACGCGTGAAACCGATGGAAGGCACTGTTACAGATGACCACATTCGAGACACCAAGTCGCTTGATGGTCCGCTGGGGGATTGGATGCCAGACGTCGATTCAGACGGCCAGGACGCGCTCGAGAGCCTGCAACATCTTACGGCCTTTTGGACACCGCACAAAGAAGACATAAAGATACTGCCTCCTCTGTATGCGCAACAGATCTCGAAGTTGACCCGCACCTCTATTTATTTTGAAGAGGCGGAAAAACGATGCCGCTTGTTCCAAGGGAAATTCCAGACAGCTCTTGAGAAGCTCAAAAGACTTGAGCCACTGCTGGTACGTGCTTCTGCAACGGGACAAGATTATGAGTAACAATCATAGGAAATCATCAAGAGCCAGCAGGTGGATCGACCCCTCCTGACCACAACAGATCTTCTCCTCTGGAATCCGACCCACAATGATGCTCGAATTGAATACGTGAACATACAACCTAGTCATCCCTCCTACAACCGAATCATAGTCAATAAAGGCGAACGAGATCTGGCTAAGAAGGTGATTGGGGAGTTGCGGACCTACGACTTGGATATAAGCACCTTTCAAGCACCGGAGAAGTTTTCTGCAGGCCAAGCTAAAAATGATACTAAGCTGCAGGCTTCAAAGCTATGGGATGACTTCGTTTTTCCGAGCTTTGGTGATGCAAAAAATCTCGAGCCTCTGATCTCTTCCAAACCTGCTTCCAAATCAGGAAGCAACCAAAAGGACTTGAACAGAGACTCAAAAGATGAGAGAATCGCCATGTGGACTAGCAAGATTGTCAGTGGTGCAGATCCAGAGATTGCTCCTGAAGTTCCACTCGAACCTACACAGCCTCTAGGTCGCCGGAGGCTTCTTGTCGCGGATTCGGATGATGAGGAAGATGATGAGCCCTTCACGAAGCCGTCCACGATCGGACAAACCGTCAAGAAAGAGATTCTGCATAAGACAGAATCCTTGCTGCAGACCTCTTTCACCCCTCCTCCAACCATGCAACCAGAATCTTTCGACACCCTCCTCATAGGACTTGATGATGATGAAGCAGATCAAGACCTCTTGCAAGATAGAGAGACTTCTGTAGCGTCAGGCAGCCCAGAACCAGAAGTCAACGCATCTCCAGTTCTGTCTGTAACCTCGAAGCCGGTGCAGGACGAGGACAGCCATACCAAGCACGCTTTTTTCACACAACCCAGCTTCAAGTATGAGGCATTCAAGGCAGAACTTCCCGGGAAACACGTCCTCGTCGATGAAAAACTTCCCCATAAACCATCGATGGAGTCTAGTTGCAACGATATTTCTCAACCATTCGAATCTGTGAGCGGTGTATTTCCATCACCATCCGTTCCCGTTGCCTCAACAGATAGTGCAGTTGCTGCAATGCAGCAACGTAACATGACGGCTCATAGCATACCTTTGCCGTTGGAACTCCCTTCAACGCCAGAGTTTCCGGTCATCTCGGACCCACCACGACTAAAGTTCGATAGCAATGCCTATGGACATTCTCATAGCCATGCAAATGACCAACGAGGGCCCAAAGCTCTTGGTAGTGAGCGAGGTAATCGTTTCCGTGGCGGGTCTACACGTGCCAATGCCTTCCGTGGTAGAGGTAGCGACCGAAGAGGTGTGGCGTCGAACAGCAATGACAACGACAACGCCCAAGCCAGGATACCTTCTTTCGAAGGAAGTTATCGGCGTGGTCGCGCTAACCGTACTGGTGGTGGACGGCCCAATGGCTCTGCCATAACGCATGGAGCTGGCCAGAATCGCCTGAGAGGGGGAGGGAGAGATCGAGGCCGGGGTCAGGGGAACCTGGTGGAAATCACTTCAACCACTTCTACCACGGGCCATCGTCATGGCCGCCCTGGAATCGAGTCCTACATGCCTCTAGAGCGTGCAACTTCAAATTGGAATCAGAACGGGACACCAAATATCATGGATGATCCACTAGAGTCTGCCGATAAACTCCATGACCCGAGTGAAACACAATCATTCGGCAGCCGCGCAACTTCAAAGACAGGGATTCGTTTCAGTGAAGCGGGTTCTGAGTATCGAGCGACTTCAATCCCTTTGCCTAACACGACCGAAATAAGGCAGAACAGCATCGCGCTTGCTTTGGCAGCAATTGAAGCCAACAGGAAGCAGAGAGAACTTTCAGCCAGGCAAGGTCCGGCAAATCAGAAAGAAGTTGAGGAGAAGCAACCCCCAAGACACTCTACGATGCGACAGCGTGGTAGAAATCCTGGCAGAAAACCAGCGCAACGAGAAAGCAAGGCTGAAAAACAGGCGCGACTCGACAAAGCGTTGTTGGAAGCATATGGCCCTGCACCTATCAATCGAGTCCCGAAGCCGCCACCGTCTGAAAAGCCAGGTGACATGAGCATATGGAAACGTCAGCAAATTTCCCGAGAGAAAGACTCTGTGCTAGCTCAAGCACATCCCGATATTGTTGGAGCAAGAGCCCTAGATGAGCAATGTGCTAAGCTCATTGGGCTGCTCCAATCCTCGTTTGAAGCTGCTAGAGCATTCAATGGCCACTTGAACTTTGATATTGGCTTTGGCCAAGTCATTGCAACGGCAGGACCACATATCCACGATAATAGATTTTACGACATATCTGGCTGGAACACGCTCTTTGACCCGCCGAATGGCCTTCCTCTGTCATCTGCAACCTTTACCAAAATCCTCACCACAAATGGTGAAGACATCGACGGAGTACTTCGCTTCAGAAACCCAAATAAGAACAGCCCAAACAGACTCTGGAGTCCAGAACCAGGGCCTACTTCTGTAACATATGAATTTTCATGTCAGAACAGACTCAATGAGGACTTCCTGATTGTCGTGGACCAGGCTGGGAAGCACGAGCTCAGGAAAGGCCAAATAAATGTCGGTACAGTCAACATGCACGTTCCCGAATCAATCTGGGACTGTGCAGCCACCCTCTCTGGCCATCTGAATTGGCCCGATCCACCTGAAACACTCAGTAATAGTGTCACCTCTTTTGTGCAGTCTCTGTACGTGCCTCCGAACAAACAGAAACTGACCATTGTCTTCCGCCAGCCAACAGATCACGAGATCAACATTCGAAATTTGATCGTCCGCCGGGTTAGCTACCATGACTGCAACTTGGAGGGCTGTGAAGATGTTCAGCTTAACGTCGTCGAGTCTAAGAGTCTCCTCTTTAAGCACCATCCGGAAGACAGAAACCTTTGGCAGGGTTACGAGGCGGCACGTGAGGAGTATGAGACGGTTGCAAACGAGGGCCGGATCCACTACGAGCTTTCGATCGTACATAAAAAGGTCACGGCTGCGCTCAAGGGCAATGAGACTCTCGAGATTGGTGAACGCACTCCACCAGAAACCACCGGCAAGAGCATTCTCAAGAAGTCTGTCATCAGAGCCATGCTTGAGGTTGCAGCGTACATGGTCGGCAAGATGGATTTTGTCGGCTATCGCAATGTTGGAACGCTAATGCAGCTGGACACTCAGGACGCGCAGCGTGAGCAAGATATCGTTGCAACAATGGGTCCCGCAGGCCCGAGTATCGTTGGGCTAGGGCACCGTGGCGCCCAATCGACCAGAACAGCAGTCGTGCCCACGACGCTGCGAGGCCACACACACGGCGGGAGGGGCTCTGCGGTATCACCGGCACACACTGGAGCTGGCAGTCGAGTCTGGGAAGAGCCAGTGTACGGCATTCGGGCAAACGAAGTCGCACAAGTGTTTATCAGACCTGATGGCTCCAAGTACCGTCTCGGCATGGGCGGCGCAGAGGTCCCAGTTGTCGAGGATGCTGAGGAAGAGTTCGGCACCTCTACGGTCGTGCCGGACGACAGCGCCAGTCGTGCCGATACTCGTCGTCCGGGGCTCGGTGGAGGTCCGTCGGTCGGAACGAGACTTGTGGCGATAAGGGAGAGAGGGTTTTGGTGAGCTCTTGAACTGTACTCCTGTACATTACTTGTTTCCTTTTCTTTCTGCCCGGCGTTGAGATGTCACTGCATGACACAGGGGTAGATTCGGGTCACGATGAACCGTGGACTTCTAGGACTGGCGTGATTGACTATCTGACTTTCGGAGCCTATTGATGGACGAGGAACGGAAAATGTATGCGAAGGATCTGGGCGGTGTTCGGGGGTTTAATACCGTGGATTATCTTCAGAGGTGAGAATGTCTACTGGATGAATTGGTGGGCAGGGTACCTGGGATTGCTCGGCTGCACAGTTCTAGAACAGGGCAAAGTCCCATGATAGATATCTCCTCGGTGTACATTACAAAATCACGGGCGTCTCTGCGGACATGCTCGAGAGCAATTGAATGACGATATAGTATTGTTGAATGCCTTTGTGTACAATTTGCTATGGTGAACGGTCGTCTACTGCATTCGTCTGGGCCCTGAAACCTAGATATTCAAGATATTCAAGCTGACGTGTCTGTGAGGGCCTCTTTCACAACTATGATTTGTATCAGGAAGCTGTGCCACCACCTGATCACGGGCCGTTCCCCTCAATATCAACACCAGGGACGCCTCAACAAGCCGCCTCAAGGTCCATCCAGAAAGGTTACTAGAAGAACAAAGAACGAAACCAAGCACTGGGATGAAATCATCAGCTGATATCACGGTGAACAGCAGTGAGAGGAGACGTGCCAGCAAGACCACAACACCAGTGAGGTAGACACCACCAAAGTAAAACTTGGTGAGACCCCGCAAGATATCTTCTTGGTGTTGCAAGAAGCGCCACGCCCCGACCAGCAGGATGAGAATAGCAGAGAGTTGACAAATGCAGGCCTGGGGTTTCCCGGAAGCGCGACGGGCGGTTGCGTCATTGTGCTCGGCTTCGTCGTCAAGGGCCTTCTGTATTCTGGAGATCTGTGCAATCACGACGCCGAGGGACGCCATGGCATGGGACAGAGAGAACCAGGCGAGAAAGGTCTGTTCATTTGCTGCGTCTTGTGGTCAGCCCATGTGTTGACGACTCATGAATTTGAACTAGGTGATTTTGCTCGTACAAAGGTGACTGAGCCGTTGGGCCAAGGGAACATCGACCGAAATGTGCCGCGGCCAGAGACGGTTGCTGCGTGATTTGGAGTTTTCCGTCGGCGTCCCGTCAAACGCCTTCTCTTTAATCGGACTCTCTGGGCCGGTAATCCTCAGAGTTGCCGCTGCTGAGCAACAGGTTTCCGCATTGTGGCTGCCAGTGTTGTTGTTGGTGGTGGTGGTGGTAAAGGGTTTGAGGGCTGTCTTCGCTCGAACGACACATTGAGGCAGAATCGTTTGAAAAGGAAATCTCATGGTTGAAAGAAGTATATGTTCGGGTATCAAAATTGGTCCATGTCACACTGGCTACACTCGACGTAGCCAGTACGGAACGTCGTCAGATGTTCTTCGAACAACCCTAGATATACCTTAAGTACGGTAGATATGGGTACTACCTACTCAAGGTACAACAAACAGTTGATACTCGCACCTTACCTACCAGATACCGATTTGGAGCAGGTCGCCACCACCCGCGCAAGGAGGAAGAGCACGCTTGCAGCAAGCATGCGCGCCGGGTTTGGTTAAGATCCGTAATGAGCGGAAGTTGCAGCCTGATAACTTCGTCCAACGCTCCCGGGAAATGCATAAGGCCGGAGTCAAGCAAGAAGAGGTACGTCCAGGAAGATGCTCAGCTACCCGTCGGGTGTCGCGAATTATACAAACTCCTTCTCAGACCTGGGCCAGCCCGCATTGACAAATCCGTCTAGGGGAAAGGGACAAGGACAGACACAGCGCGGGGACCAACGTTTGATGCCTGACGTGGAGTGGTACGAGTGTCATCTGTGTCCGGGTAAGGGTAGATGTTTGCCGTCTGCCGACATTGTTGACAGGAGAGTATCCGCGAGGTGAGGCAAGCGACCGCCATCGGGAGGGTGCTGGCATCTGTGTAGCCTGCGTCTGCAGTCCTCCGTACACTTGGCCCGGTCTTTGTTGGAGGGAAGCGATAGCCCCAAGTAGCTAGCAAGCATATCACGACAGCATATAGAAAAGCGCAGCCTCAGCAGCAGCAGCAGCAGCACATGTAGGAGTATTGGCGCTTCTAAATACGGTTGCCTCGGGAGAAATAATGGGTTTAGTGCTCTTTAAGGTTGATCCAGGGCACAAGTGAGCACAACATTATTAGAACAAGGCGGCGACGAAGCCGGATACGATGCCAAACTTCGCTAGCGAAGGCGATCAAGCTTTATTGACCTCAGTGTGGGCATCACAGGGCGAAGAGGCTGCACGAATCGCGGGCGGTGATGGCGCAATTATCGTCGAGGGGGGAACAAGACTTCCGGTAGGCCGTTACCAGCCCGCATCCGCCCCTATCAGAAGCCCCTACAGGAGCCCCCGGCCGCTGAATAGGGCCCCCTCGCCAGCACCTGCTTCCCTCCTGGGCACTGGGCCCCTGGTACTGGGTGCCATCCTTATGTCATGGCAGCGATGTCGGTGCCAACTGGCGGTGCTAACGTTTTATACTTCGGACTTATAGCGGCGCCCACCACCACCACATGCGCCCCGAGTCTTCGCCCTAGAGAAACATCACCAAACATCGCCGCCGCAGCTGCCAGTATCGCCATCTCGCCACGGCACTTTTCTCCTTCGCTCGTCGGCCGTGATCCCCTCCACCCTCTCTTCATCTGCTGCCGGATCGCAGCCATCGACATCCTCAACAAACAATAGTCACATCTCTTCCTCTCATTCTTCCTCATCTTCATCCTGTCCGCCTGAGGTCATCCAGAAACCAGCACCCGCATACTTCAGTCCGTACAGGGCGTCCCCGCCACGGACCGCGTCGCCTTTCACTCCGTCATCGACTACAACTCTCAACGAGTGCTGCGCGCCCCGGTCGGCGAAACAACCCTCGGATCGCTCAGCCATGGGTTTCACGAAGAGCCAGAGAATTGGCATACTGCTGGGGATCGATACTGTCTTCTTTCTGATCGAACTCGTTGTTGGTGAGCGGCGTTCTTTCCCGACATCATGCATCTGTCGCTGACCCAAAACTTTGCAGGCTATGCCGTCCATTCACTTGCCCTGGTGGCAGATTCTTTTCACATGCTGAATGACGTTTTGTCCCTGTGCGTAGGGCTCTGGGCAGTCCGCGTTGCGAACACCGGAAGTTCCAAAATGTACACCTATGGTTGGCAACGGGCAGAGACACTGGGTGCTCTGGTCAACGGTGTCTTCTTGGTTGCCTTGTGTCTATCCATCTTTCTCGAAGCCATCCAACGATTCGTCGAGCCTCAAGTCGTCTCCAACCCGAAACTCGTCCTTATTGTTGGCTGCCTGGGCCTGGCCTCGAATATCCTCGGTCTTCTCCTCTTCCATGACCACGGACATAGCCACGGAAATGAAGAGCATGGAGATGCCGTCAAACATGCGGAAGAAGGCCACGGACATGTTCACAATCATGACTCGGAAACTGCCGCTGTCGCCGACGAAAGTGGCAATATTGAAGACGTCCTTCCCCAAGTTAAGGTCGCTGGTTTCAAAGGGCACGAATCGCGAAAGTTTACCTCCTCGGACGAAGAAAACACCACCGTTTCAGGTCAATCGTCAGAGACGCCACACCGCAAGTCACACGTCCATGGCGAGCTCCATGGTCGACACCGACGTAGAACTTCGGGATCGCTTGGAGGACGGGGCTTTGGTTCGGTGGACAACATCCACATCCATCCAGCCTCATTTCGCCAGGAGATTATTCAAGCTGCTCGATTCGAGGAGCAATCGGACGAATCTTCGGAAGAAGGCGAGGCCCTACTCGACGACGAAGGCGCGCCCAACGAGCGCTCACAGATCTTCGGAAACGGTGCATCGTCCCCATCAAAAGGCAATCAAGGCTACGGCAGCATCGGCAAACGACAAAGTGTCATCTATAACCATGCTGATCATTTTCACAACAAGCCGCAGGGAGAGCACAAGGGTCACAGTCACGGTGGCCATGGCCACTCCCACGGAGACTTGAACATGCGAGGTGTTTTCCTCCACGTCTTGGGTGACGCCCTTGGCAACGTTGGTGTGATAGCTTCTGCCTTGATCATCTGGCTCACTACCTTCCCTGCCCGGTACTACTTTGACCCCGGTATCTCGCTGGTCATCACCGTCATTATTCTCTACAGTGCCATTCCACTTTGCAAGGCAGCCAGCCGAATCCTACTGCAGGCGGTACCAGTGGGCTTGTCGATTGACGAAATCACCACCGACATTGAATCTCTCCCAAGAGTCATTTCAGCCCACCATCTCCATGTGTGGCAGCTCAGTGACACCAAACTGGTTGCTAGCTTGCATGTCAAGGTTGACTGTGAAGTCGAAGGGTCAGGCTCCCAAAGTTACATGCATCTCGCCCGCGAGATTCGAGGTTGTCTGCATGCCTACGGCATCCACAGCTCAACAATCCAGCCTGAGTTTACAACGCCCCCACCTGATGCCGGAGCGTCGGATGGTCAACCGGATTCCTCGCAACATGCACACAGCAGCAAGGCTGCAAGCGTCAACAGCGAAGGACCGACATGCCTCCTTGAGTGCGGCGATAAGTGCGCTGACAACAAGATGTGCTGTCCGTCAGATGGGAAGAGTAGCAGCCAAAACGGCAAGAAATGATTTGCGATTCATAAGACCTTTGGTCGCCGTGTACAAAAGAAAAAATAAAATCAACAAGAGGGCAGGTGGTAATGCGTAGCGATAAAGTAATTGTCCATTAACAGAGGCCGAGCAGCTAGCAGTCTGTATGTAGTTTTTCAAGTTTTTATCAAGAGCACTTTGGCTAGCACCTTCGCCTACTCTAATATTTTCTTCTGCTCAGGCTCTTGTTAGGGATGATACCACAAAGGGTCTAACCGGTCCATATTAACCAGATGTAAAACAGTACAACCCGCACAGCGACGCGGCGCACCGAGTTTGCGAAGAAGCGGACGCGTCCTGAGCCAGCATGACGAGTACGCAGTCTTCGCTTCATGGACCGCGGCACCCCCCAATTGTCTTCTTCGTCGTCGTCGCCGTCATCGTCGCTGTCGAACTGTGGCTTCGAAGGCGATGCAGGTCTGGAGAGTCCTCCTCCGTAAGCGTACGACGAGCCCATCTTGCGCGTCGTCGCTACATTCTCGCGGTCCTTGCGCACGGACGAGCACGATGACTGGACATCGGCCTCGCCCTCGCCCCGGCCCCGATCGACGTCGCGAGTGATGGGCAGCAAGGGCTCTGACCTGTTGTGACGTTCGGATGCTGTCGCGACACCGCCACCGCTGCCAGGACGACCGTGTCGTACGGCGTGGACGGCGAGGGCGAGCAAAGTCAGACCCATGACCTGGGCATACCGGATGAACACGCCCAGCTGGTCCGGGAGGAGGCAGAGGCGGTTCTGGACCGTGTCTCGGGGGGTGGCCTGGTCGGCGGCGGAGTCCGCGGAAGGGAAGACGGCATCTTGAGCCACGGGATTCCACAGGCTCACGAGCTGTACGGCCGGGTGGCGGATGCCCATGGCCCACGATATGCTTTTCACCGTGATTTCGCGAATACGGCCTGTGAACTCGCTGTGCTCGATTTCGCAGTAGTCGTGGTCGTCGCCGGAGTAGATCATGGCGATTTCCTCGGCCGTCAGGTGCTTGACTATGTCTTGAGAGATCAACGGCGTGAGCACGTTTTGGTACTGGTAGCCCGCTGAGAGGGGGATGGACGTGCCTCGTTCGCGCTTGGGGCCACAGGACGTCGTGCCGGATCGGAAGAGTGGGACGTGCGAGAGGAGAATCGTCGGGAACTGAGACGACGATACTTTGGGATGAGAATACTGTTGACCTGAACCATCTTCTTCTGAGGATGGTTCTGCGGCGGAGCGAATACTCGGGGTTAAAAGGCGGCGTCGTTGAAGCGCCGACGCTGACGACGACGGCCAGTTGAAGCGAGTCTCGCAAACATGTCTGATAGCCTTGTCACGAGTCGTTCTAGCGTTCCGGAGGAATTCCTCGACCGGCGTCCAGATCCTGCTGGATGCTGTGGCCGCAGCGCTGCCGTCGCCGGCTCCTGAACTGCCTGTTTCCGGGTCGATTTGGTCCATGGCGCTCAAGGAAACGGTGTCGAGATGTACAAAGGAATGGTTGCCAATGATGTCGATGCGGTTCATGGGGCCAAAGTATGCGTCGAAGCGCTCCTTGACGGGTAGTTGGATGCCCGCAGCGAACCCTAGATCGTGATTCCCTGGCAAAGAGGCAAGAATGCGCCGACCCTCGGGTTCGGCCTGGCTCGCGAACTGACCTTTGTACCATGATCGCAGAAACATGTCGGAGAAGCGCATGTACTCTTTCATCCAGAAGGACGTCCCGTACTTCTTGTATCGTTCCTCCGGCGAGGTCGATTCAACCGTGCCCCATTCCCGTCCGCCGTCGAAGAGATCTCCCAGGAAAAGGGTTGCGTCGGGTCGCAGCTTGTCCTGTAGGTATCCGTACGAGCGACGAAGGTAACGATCGGTGTATGCGACAGTCAAGGCTGACAGAGGCCACGGCCGGTCTGGGTAGGTATGCGGATCGACGAGCTGCGGGTCAGCCACGAGGAGGACATGGTGTGGTCGAGCATGAGTTGGCTGATGAGGTGTTTGTTAGCACCTGGGTGACTTGACAAGATGCGCTCGCGTGTACTGCGTTGAGGACTTACCCATGATTCCCATTTCTGCCAGAGACATCGCTGGACGCTGTTCCCGTAGGTGAATCGTTCGCCCCATAACAAAACGATCCCCCAGATCAGAACCAGAGCAGTCGGCAGATTCCAGGTGCGATGTTTTATCCTGGCAAACGTGCTGGGATTGATGCCAGGGTTGGACCTCATTTCTCTTTGAGTGAAGGCGGGATTTCGTCCCTCATTGTCGCCGGTGAAGGCCACGTTGACAAGCTGCTTGACCTCGATGTGCCAATGATTTGGGGGCGGAACAGATGGACATTGCTATGTGGCACGTTTCTTTTGACCATGGATGATGTTGTTTGATGGAGTACTTGTTCCTGGAATGTGTCAGTAAAAGCGGCACCCGCGGCGCAGGAGGCGTTGCGGAGGGGGGGTCGGGGACCAGGGGTGTCTGAGCGTCCTTCTAGGCGCATTCAACCCAATCAACCCCCTGAAACAGGAGCCACAGGGGTCCAAAGGGCCCTTAAGCTTTAATTAGATCTAGCCTCTGCCGCCTTTAATCGTGGGTGAACGCCGCTTACCTTGCGTTTCAACATCTACCAGTAATAGCCCGATCATTCGATGAACCATGAGCCACTTTCCCACGAGGTGCTTGCCACATTATAAATCTTTTGATGGTGCAGCTTTGGCGGACATGATGGCACTCATAACATCAATGTCTGCGAATGCTGTCCTGCCGCCGCCATCATGGACGGTGTCTCCGTCGCCAGTGGCATCGCTGGCCTCATCACTCTCGCCTTGCAAGTCAGTGGTGCGATAGCAATCTATGTCACTTCGATTAAAGATCGCGCGAAGAATATAGAGGAATTGCACAACGAACTTCTTCTCCTCAGCGAGGTCCTTAGCCGTCTCCGAGATTTCTTGACAAGTGAGAGGGCCAAAGGCAGGGCATTCGACACCAACTCGGTTCTTCAAAAAGCGATCAGCGATTGCCGCGACAGAATAGAGCGAATTGGAGAGAAGTTGAAACCTTTGGAGGGCGGTCCAATATCTCGAGCTATTGATAAGCTCAAATGGCCCTTTGAACAGAGGGAAGTCAATTACTTGATCGATAACCTACGACGCTATGGACAGACCTTCCATTTCGCCGTCACCGTGGAGGGTTGCGACCTGCTCGCCAGAACTTCAGAGGATGCTGCCAAAGGCTTACAGGAGATGCTTGAGGTATCCAGAAAGATTACTGAGCTATCAGCTCAGATGGGTCTTTCTAACGAAGAGGCAGCCAAGCGAGCTGCCCAGATTCAAGAAATCATCGCTTTAATACCAATGCTCACCAGCACGGCCCTGGACGTTACCGAATTAACCCATGCGGCACGAATGGCAGAGCTCAGAGAGCAGGAGAGGCGTACTACTGACATCTTGGATTGGCTGGCGCCGGTGTCGTGGCTGCATAAGCATCGAGATCTACAACTGAGGAGGTCTGAAGGCACAGGAGTCTGGTTTCTGCAACACCGAGACTTTCTGGCATGGGTCCAAGCTGACACTGTCGAACACGATCTTCTTTGCGTTGGAGGACCTGGGGCTGGAAAATCTATCCTCTGCTCGCTGATTGTCGACCACCTGCGTTCCACATTCAAGGATCCGAATGTCGCTGTCGCCTACTATTACTACGACTACTCCGATCAACAGTCCCAGAATCCAATCAATCTAGCACGAGCCGTGCTACGCCAACTATCTATGAATGGCAATTCAGTTCCCTCTGCGGTTGCAGAATTCTATCAGCGTACCCGAAATGATGTGAAAGATCAAACCTGGTTTCATGACTTGCTGTCCATTATACGACGAGTTGCGGCGACTTATACACAATCGTTTGTCATCATCGATGCCTTGGACGAGGCTGACATCAAAAGTCAACATGCAGGTCTTTTTGAGGTATTGGATGCTTTGCGGGACTCTGGCAGAGCCAAAATTCTAGCAACTGCCCGGTCACACGTCCTCAACAACACAATGAGATTCAATAACCCTGTGATGGTGGACATCATAGCAAACTCGCATGATATTCGGCTGTTTCTTGCACGGACGATTGAGGAACGTCCAGACATGGCAGATGTTCTGGATAGCAAGCTGAAAGAGCAAATCTTGGAGACATTATCTCAAAAGGCAAACGGCATGTTCCTTCTTCCTGCCATGCAAATCCGGACAATACTTGATCAAGTCACCAAAGCCGATGTTAGGAGGTCTTTGACCCATCTCTCTTCGAATCTGACAGAAGCATTTCAGTCAACTATTCGAAGAATAACCAGTTTGCCGGCCGCAAGGAAAGATCTTGCGTTCAAGGCACTCATGTGGATATCACATGCAAGGAGACCACTCCGAGCTACTGAATTGCAACAAGCAATGGCTATGCGTCTAGATGATGACGATCTCGACCTGGATAACGTGGCTTCCGTCCGAACGATTGTCGACTGTTGCTGTGGACTAGTCCAAGTGGATAGCGAAAGCTCCATCATACGGTTGGTACACCATTCTCTGGAGGAGTATCTTCGTGAACACGATCATGGCTTGTTTGATGACGCGAGTCGGGCCATCACAAAGATATGTTTGAAATTCCTCGCCCTTGATTATGCAAAGCAGCTACCATTCAAGAACCGACACAATTTTCATGAAGCACTTGATCTGTTACCATTTCTAGAATATGCCGCAACGGAATGGGGGTTCCATGCGAGCAACGTCCCGATTGCCGAATTTCGACACCAAGCTACTGCTGTTCTCAACGACAGTCTCGCACTCATCGCGATCGCTCGGATTCGTGATCGTCATAGTTTCGACTTTCGCAAATGGAAAGAAAAGGCTTGGCATTGGGCATATTCTGGTGGTGCAGGTATATCTATTGTAGCGACGTTTGGACTCGCAGACCTTCTTGAGATCCTCGTCAACGAGAACAAGCAAAATCTGTGCCTCGATGCTCGCGACGTCTATGGAAGCACTCCACTTCACGAAGCAGCGATGCAGGGCCATGACCGCGTGGCAGAAATCTTGATTGGCCATGGTGCTCAGTTGCTAGACAGAAACTATGGCTCAGCGACTCCTTTATATCTTGCGGTCGCATATGGTCGCCTTTCAACTGTGAAATTTCTGCTGGGTTTCGATCACGCGCAGGTCAACACCCCTGGACCTCGAGGATTGACGCCTCTGCACAAGGCTACAGAACAAGGAAACGTTGATATTGTCACTATGCTGCTCCAGGCCGGCGCTGTTGTAGCCACTCAAGACAATTTTGGAATGACCGCTCTCCATCTCGCTGCCCGCCGAGGGTATCTCTCTCTTGTGCGGCTTTTGGGTGTTGCTGGCAGGGCTGTCGGTGTTCAGGACAAAGACGGCTTGTGCGCTCTCGACCACGCTGCTACGGGAGGTTATACAGCGATTGTCAGGTACTTGCTGGAAAATGGAGGCAACATGTGGCATAAAGGCCACGAAGCATGGACTCCGCTGCATCGTGCCTGCCGCGGTGGTCATACCGACATCGTCTCACTTTTCCTTGAGCACGACGCTGATGTGTTTGCTGCCGACAGGAAAGGAAATATCCCGCTTCATTTGGCTGTTCGTTCAGGCAACATGAGCACTGTTCGAGCGTTGTTGGACCACGACCCTCAATTGAAACGTGAGCAGCTGTTTGCAAGAGACAGGAAGGGCTCAACGCCGCGTCTTGTTGCTTTCTTCACAGCGCATTACGACATGCACAAATACCTTCGGGCAGAGGAGTGGGCTCTTCTAGGCACCGAGCCAAGTGACGCCAATATACTAACGAATGCCATTGAACGAGGCGATCTCGAAGCTGTCCGGGTACACCTCACGAACAATCCCGATGGCTTGAATCAGTGTGACGAGAATGGCCAACCTCCACTCCATGTCAGCCTACAAGAGAACCAACGTGACATTGTCAATTTCCTTCTCGAGAGCGGTGCTTCGATTGAATCTGTGGGCTTCCACGGCTGGCGACCTCTTCATATCGCCGCTTCATTGGGCAACTTGGAATTGGTCGAGGTTTGTCTTCAACATGGGGCCGATGTCAAGTCGCGCACGCGAACAAGACAAACGCCAATGCACAAAGCCGCATCCAGTCGGTCTGCCTCTGTGGTCCGACGACTGATCGAAGCAGGTGCAGACCCCAACGATAGAAACGATCGTGGTATGACGGCCTTGCATGTCGCCGCTCATCAGAACGATATACAGATTGTCAGACTACTGGTGAACGAGCACGGCATGGATGTACTTGCGAAAGACTTTATGAAACTTACCGCGGCTACGTGGGCTGAACGATCGGGACATTTGGAAGTGCTGGCGTTTCTGAGGCGCGAGGCGAAGAAGGTAAAGTCAGCGGCAAGAGTCGTCGCAGATCGACAGGAAGATACTTTGCCGAGCTCAACCTTTGGTCTACAGATGATGCATTTACCCGATACGAGCATTGAGGATGACATCGAAGAGATTGAGATTGAGGGTGAGATGGATGCATTGCTGGTTTCGACAGAGGTATCTGCGTGAATAGTGTTCGTCAAGTGAGGACCGAGCACTGAATATCCGTAGGTAGTGGCTCTTTTTTTTTCGGAAAATTCTCTTTGATCACTTTGGCACCTTGGAACAGTCCTATCGTTGTACATCGACCACACTTGTCAATAATAGGGTTGTCGGTATCAGAAAGAACAACCACGCGAGGATCTCCCTTACTCGGCTCTCGACGTTGGCGGCGAGCATGGATAGAGGTGTGTCATGTCATGCTCTTGTGGAGAATGAATGTATGGTTGTGGCGGACGGGTATCACTCACTGTAGGTACGTCGTATCTACGATGAAATAGAGCAGGGCAACCCACCGACTGACCACCTAGGTAGAGAGGTAGCGGTAGCGGTAGCGACAAGCACAAAAAGTCCTGTCAACAATGCAATCCCCGCCGAGATCGATACAAAACTCTCTTTGTCGACATCGGAGATTGTACATTGCAAAGTGATTATGTAGGTCCCGAGTATGTAGGGTAGCTACGTATGTGTACTTATTCTTATTACTTTTATGACTTTTTTTTTTTAATATTGCCACGGGATCGACTCGTAAATGGAAATCGCCGTACAGAAATTTGAAAAAGAGAAATCTTTTTTAAAAGTTCGTACTCGCGTGTACATGTACAGGTGTATCCGTCGTACCAAAGAGACACACACACACACACACACACACACACACACACACACACACACACACACACACACACACACACACACACACACACACAACAACAACAACAACGTTGGTTATTAGTAGGTAGATCACTACCTGTACCGTACCGGAGGGGCTTATTAACGTACGGTATGTACTTGTTAGTTTTTGGACGTCTTTTTTTTTGGTTTTTCATTCAGCTGTACAAGGTACCCCCAAGCACCTCGGTTCGGCTAGCGCGTACGGTTCTACAATGGTTGAACTAACTAGTCAGTTACAGGTGGCACGGTCCCTTTTGGCAGGTCCCCTCGGCCGGGTACCTGAGTTACGGAGCGGCCGTTGAGTTTCATCGTTATGGAGCTTTTTTTTTGGCGTGGATGGAGCAACGTTAGAGTAGAACGAAGAGCAAAAAAGAGACAAAGAACAAAAAACAAAGAACGCGGGTACACTCGCCTGTCATGAGCACGCGTCAAGGGGCAATTGATCGGGAACTTTTATCATACGAAGTAGTTCACGTAGTTTACCTGGATACCTGGGGCCCGTGAGAGCGGTGGAGAGAGAGAGAGAGAGAGAGAGAGGAGAGAGGAGAGAGAAAAAGACAAGAGAAGAAGGGGTTCATCATTGGTAACAATGAGTAAAGCTCTCTGCTGGCACCGACCGACCTTTACACTGGACTCGTCTACCTACGGTTACGTTACGCGTGGGACCCTTTAGTTCTATCATGGGAGAACAACTCTTGTTTATTTGTCCACTCTCACCACCCTTACTACCTCAATATCGTACGTACCCTGGACCATGTCCGGCTGAAGACTAGGTACCTCAGGTAGAGAGAAAACAGTACCATGTTTATTTAAGCCGCACCTCGAGGAATCCCCCCGGTGCACTCATCTTTCTATTCATCGTCAAATCATTCATCATCGGAACCGTAATTCGGGGGGGGACAACACATCATGTCATGGCGTTCTGGGACCATCGTAATAGGCATCGTACGTGTAACCATCACTCGACCTGGCTCTCTTCAGAGGCAGAATCTATCCACCCCGTCGTGCTGCCAGTCCCGAGCCAGCACCCACGTCAACGAGATTTCCCGACGACATACCACCACCGGTACCGCTACCACCGATATCGTCGTAATTAACGGCGTCAGACTGGTCCGAGTTCCATACCTTCTTTTTGGAAGGTGGCCTCACTTCCAGCCCTGCATCGATGATTTGCATTCTGATCATTTTCATCCGAGCCTCGCGGATAAACCGTTCGACCGTGTCGATTGCATTTTGTTGGATCTCGGCCCGTGCATCATGGTGGACGGCATTTAACGTGCCGTGTTCAAGGTCAATGCGGGCGTCCAACTTGCTCTCATTGATCAACTCTTCAATCTCTTCAAGGAAGGTTGACTGGTACGGAGGATCGCCAAACATCTTTTCCATGCTGGCCAGAGTGACTTTGCTGAACGGCAGTGAATATTGAATGATGCTCTTCGTCCTGATCCTCTTGTAGATGTCAGACACCAGAGGCTGCAGGTAGATGTCCAACAGATAGTCTGCCCGGTAGGATTCAAGAATCTGTAGACACTGGCTGTACTTTGTCGCGCAGAAAAAGTTGATGGCCTTGCGAATGTGAGGTTCAAGTTCGAGGAAATTCCGGAAACTGTGGTTCTCCAGCACTCGGGCCTGGAGGTCGGGACGGTCCATGGACGCCAAAGCCGAGAGCCCACCATAAACGGCGATGTCATTGCTGCTGATGACTTCTCTGTAACTGTCTGAGATGGTGGCGTCGATGTTGAGGAATGTTAGCGCCGCTTCGAGATATTCGCCCATCGACATTTGTTGCAGTCCCATGGCCGCTTGCATCTTTGGAAACGTTCGCTTCGCATCTTCGGCCTTCATCTGTAGGTTCCGGATCTTGTGTACCTGAGACTGTACGGCCAGCCAGTTCTTTTGTTCAATCGCGACCGCAATGATTCGAAACGCCGTGGCGGCAATGTGGCTAGCCGTGGTGCAGTAGTCCCGCATTCGAGAGTACGCCTTGACGGCGTTGGTGAGGTCTCCGATCGTGTAGTAATGTGTTCCGAGGTCTTCGTTGCCCATCTACCAGAGTCGGCGTCAGTCATTTCCGGGGCTGGTCGGCATCAATGACAAACGCACCCGTATGCTTTCCTTGATCAGGTTGTTCTTGTATCCTTTCAATTCGTTTTCTAACCGAGCAGTTTCTGCAGTGTTCTTTTTCTCCTGCTGGGCTGCCCATACTGGATCCAAGAAACTGTCGACATTCTGACCACCGAAGACTCTCTTCAACAATGCCACCGCCTCGTGGTAGTTTTTGACATCTGCACCTTTCTTCGCTTCGGCCATCGCCATCACGGCTGCTTCCTGCGCTAATACGGTCGAACATGACGCGATGAGGTGCAGGCGACGAAACACAGTCCGACCTGGACAAGGTTCAGTTAGTGGGTGGAAGCCGTGTTGTCTTGTAGGATGCCTTTCTTTGTGTACCTCTGTAGTTCGCAATGTAAGCGGGCAGGTCGAAATTTGGAGCATCTGAAAAACTGTTAGCATGGTGATTCCCCGAGACTGGTCTTATGACCAAGGTACCTTTGACCAGCACTGTATATGTCGGTTGCTCTGCTGCTTGCGACTCCGTAGCCATCGTGGATACGACAACGCCGGCGTGTCACCTCTGAGGGCTTCTTTCTCGTCCAGTCTTGGCTGACTTTTGAGGGAACAGAAACGCACTGAGAGTCTATTGGAGGTTGTAGCGGCGAGATGAAAGAAAAGATAAAGAGAAGGTCAGGTGAAGTTGCTGAATGGGTTGCAAGAATACAGTGAATTGTGTAGGGGAGAGCGACCGCAGGTGATGATGATGTCGTTGCTCAGTCTCCGCATTGCATTGATTGAGCCCAATTACAATCTCGTCTCTTGGCGCGCCTGGAGGCCTTGGTTTAGCTAAGCTAAGGAGCCTGGACACCCCCCGGAGCTTAGCGGGTTGGGGGCCAGAGGTGCCTGAATGATGCCTGATATGTGCCCGTGAAAGACCACGTCCACGAGGGAACGCCGGAAGCTTGGATGTGAAATTTGTCTTCAATGTAATTACACTTCGGCGCTCAGCGCTCTCATGTTGCCCCGAGGGATCTTTCTCTCACCACCCTGGCTATCTCGTATCATACAAAAGCTTTTCACTCCATCAAGGAGAGCTTCGTGAGTAAAAATCCCTCCTCCCCTTTGAGACCCTCTTGAGCCAATCCCCCCATTGAGTGGCTTTTTTGTAGCGTTCATTAAAACATACCCAGTGGCAACGGAGAGTCCTCCATTGCCCCCATCGCCGTACGGTCGTCCCAAGAAAACTGTCAGTATGTCCGACGATTAAGAAGGTATGAACAAAACAGGAAACAAAACTCTGTCATCATGCTCAAGGAAGTATCCGAGCTCAACTGAAGTCGTACCCAATATCCCGACCCATCAATTCGCTAAAACGCACCATCAATAATTCAGAAGAACCAGCAAAGAAAAGTGTTCAAGCCATCAAGGCATTCAGGTCAAAGGCCTGAGTGTCCGCTTCGGTCAAGGGCAACCAGGGGCCTTTCTCCTCTTGAGTGGCGTTGTGGAATGCCTCTGCTCTCTTCAGGGTCTCGACATCGAGGTCTGTCACGTAGCTTTTGCCGTCGGGTAGCGACATGCGCACTTCAAATTCATTGTGCAGCATAATGTCATCTTTCCAGAGCCGCCGTTCACCATCGTATACGCAGAGCACCCGTTTTTTCATCCGCATCTTGTCGGCGGACATGCCCCACGACGGTGGGTAGTGCTTTCTCTTCTTGCGGCCCTTGCCGAGGAGAGACACACCTCCCTTGGACCAAGTCATACCCTTCTTCGATGACTTCGTGGATTTGGAAATGCCGCCAGCGATGACAGCTCGCGCTGAGCCGGCCGTCTTTGACTTGATGACACCGCGTCCGGAGCGGCCGTTGAAAGACGCGTCCGCATCCTCGTCGTCGTCCTCGTCGTCCTCTTCATCCTCATCCTCTTCGTCATCGTCGTCGTCTCCACCAAAGGTTGTTGGGACGTCTTCAGACTTGAGCATGTGACGGTCCAAGGTCTCTTTGACGTCGTTGTCATCGGTGATGCTGGCCAGGTGTTGTGCGTTGATGGCCTCGCTAGGTTCCTCTTGCTGAACCACACGCAGCACACAGTCGTCAAGATGCTCATAGAAATCTTGAGCATTGGTGAAGGTGGCTGAACAGGTCGAACACTTGCCTGTGGCATCTTGGCAATAGCTCGACAACTTGGGAGGGTTTGTCGTGGGGCTGCGCTTGCGGCTGTTGGGCGCGGTTTGTTCAACGCCGTGTACTGAAGTCAAGTGCCGCTTGAACACATCTGCTCGGTTGAAGCTCTTCTCCGCGGGCGACCCAGAGCCTGGGCAGAAGCCGCACACCATGTTGCCCTTGTAATGGGTCAAGGTGTGTCGGTTCTTGTCGTACTTTCGCGCAAAACCCTTGTGATGGTACTCACATGTGACGATCGGGCATTTTTCCGGTCGCTCATGTTGGTGGGTCAACAGGTGAGCCTTGAGATCCTTGACGATCCTGCCGCAATCCAGATGAGGGCAGCGACCCTTTTGGCCACCGTCTTCACCAGGCTCTGATGAAGTGCTGACATGCGAACCTGCAGAAACATATGAAGCGAGCGATGGTCTTCGACTGGGCATGTTGGGTTGCTGGTAGTAGTTGGAGTTTGTGATAGGGTCGGAGAACTGAGTAGTAGGGAAGATGCCGTATGGCTGGGGGGACATAGCAGGAGAACCGGATGGTGACGTGTTGGTGAAGGTGTTCATGTTAGGTGGAAAGAGTGCTGATTCAGCGTAGGCTGTCTCCCCAAACGGTCGCGAGGCATGAATCAAGGATGGATCTGCAGCGAGATGTTGTCAGTACATGCTGTTCTCGACATGATGAAAATGGTATCGAGTGGTGGAACAGAGAAAGAGACGAAGAGACGAAAGGTTCAAGGTAAATATGAAAGACATCAAATGAGACGGACAGGATGATTCGAGAGGCGGTCTGAAACTTCCACTGCACTGAGCAAAGAAACGTGTGTGAAAACCACTTGCAGGTTGAGAATATGGTACTGCAGCGGAGCCGTGCAAAAGCACTTGGGATGAATAGGGTCGGGCGATGGACAAGGGGAGGATAAGAATGAACGCGAACTGGTGGGAGACGCGAAGGGCATTTGGGTTCTTGGATATGTCGAAGCTGGTGTCGTGGGTGACTTGAAGATTGGTGTCGATCTATTGCCCGCGGCGGGCAGGGGAAGAAGAAGGGAAAAGCGAACTAGGATTTGCCGAGTGCCGAGCAGCAGTGAGTGGATCCAAGAGGGTATTGACACACATCACTTCGGGACAGAAGAGACAGGAGAGGCTCTTTCGCCGGACGAGTCACGTACAAATGGGGCATGGCTGGGTGGAATGGTCGGAGGATGCCGCTGAAGAAGAGGAAAGATCTGCACACTCACCCACGTAACTATCCGGAAGCTTTTCAAAGGCGAAATCGGCTTCCATCGAAGCTCCCATCAGGTCCTGTGAGAACGAGTCGTGATGGGCAATGGCTGGCATTACACCGAGTCCATAAGTCGCACCCACGTTATCGAAGCCGTCCTGGCTGGAGATGGTGTGGGATGGTCCGGAATACGGGGAGCCAACCGTCGACGAGGAGGCACTGGGGATCGACTGGACTGATCCCGACGAGATCAGGGCAGGCGGCATTTCGTGCATCAGGGGTATTTCGTGCTTGAGCGATTGCGGTGCTGTTGCAAACATGGATGGGTTCTCAAAGTAGGAATAGGGCAATGCGTGAAAGTTGAAGGTCATGTTGTCGGCCGACTCATACGAGTCCATGGCTAAACCGGGAAAAGGTGCTGGGACGTATTGCTCGGGGTCAAAACCAAAGTCCACGTACTGTTGGCGGCGCGTGTGCTCGAGAACGAGCATATTATGGAATGGCACTCTCACTGCAGTGACTGCATGGGCTCAGAAGGGAATGCCTCTGGTGAAATACTTCTCCGTCGGCGTTGTCAGACTTTGGAGTGCCGCTAGAGTCGTTGGCAATGGTTTCGCTTGGGGCCAGAAAGGTTCGTGCGGTCCCCTGGGAGCGAAGGATCCGGATGCTTTGCGCCTCGTGGTAAGACTCCTGGTCAGTACCAACGGATAGGGTGCCTTTGGAAAAAGAGGCTTGCTGAAAGATGTCGACTAGTATACTATTCTGGGAGGTAGACTCTTTTGCGAAGAAGTCCAGGGTCTGCCAACGGTGGGTGGTTGCTGGGCGGATGACGGTAGAGGATGTCTTGTTGTCGCGGTGGCGGAAGCAATCTGATGGTCACAGTGTTGATAGCGATGGCAGAGGGTGAGCAGGTCGAGAAGTTCCAAAGTTCTGGTCCCAGGCTGAGGTCTTGGGGGGCGAAATCGTGAGATATATGATAGTCCTCTGGGTATCGAAGAAGCGATGCCGAAAGCAGGGGCCTTGTCTTCCTGAAGGGTGTCCACCTTAGCCCTATACTTTTTTCAAACCAGGATAGCAAGTAGCGTTGGTGATGCGCAGGGGGTCCCGTAATTTTTGCTGGTGCAAGCACAGCCGCTATACACAAAGTTACGAGGACGCCAACGACCCAAAAGTGGCGGCTAATGCATGTGCTAACACCCTAGCACTCGGGGACGCCTAAAGTCCACACTGTCAGTCGGCTTGGACTTCCCAACGAGAGGGGACACCACTGGCGCTTCGGATGGGAAATGTGATCACAGAAGACACAATCCTTCTGACTTGTTTGCGGGCACAGCCATTTTTCACGTGGCCTGTTATGTAAAGTTGGACAGAGATGGCTGACGGCGTGGTATCCCAAATTCCATGTCCACGGAGATGTTGACACAACCACCTGCGAGTCCCTTCCGAGGACTCTGTCTGGCTTCTGTCTCATCTTGAGAAACGCCCGCTCTCTTCCATCCTAGTCGCCTAGTTCCCTTACTCATGAGCCTCCTAGCGATGTAGCAGGTGCGGTACTTGATAGGGGGCTTGTGAGCAACCCCCGGTAGTAGTTCGCTGGATAGCCACAGTTCAAGCACAGTAGACCAAATCTCCAGGTTCCACGGGCGGAGGTCCGTCCCCGTTCTTTCTTCACAGGTTTACCCGGGTAATGGACTATGGGCACCATGACGAGATGTCAAGGGAGGGATTAGGCTGGAGATGCTGCATTGGGAAGGGTGGATGGAGCGGTACTGGGCTGTTGTTGACGGCTCCGACCACCACTGACCAGTGATGCTGCAGCTCCGCCCAGGGATGCTTTGATCTGACTGCCCGTTTGAGCAGCCCGCCCATCTTTTTGCGGGTTGGTCCTTTTGGAGTCGGTCAGAACACTTGCTTGAGTGGTCCTAGTGACCCTCACAAGGCGAGGCCGAACGATTTGGCGCCATCGTGCAGATGCGGTCAACCGCGACTCCTCCCCTCCCACCAGCAGGGGAGCAAAAAACGTGGTCCTCCACTCTGCTCGTATCTCGGTGTCAGCCATTGGTCAGGCACTCTCGGGGTCGCCAGGAAGGACCTGAGCTTGAGGCGCAGACCAGGCAGAGGTGCTCTCCCATTGGATTCAGCATGCGCGAGCCACATTTCGAGTCCTGGATGTGTCTATTTTTTCACCGCTTCGTGGCTGAGCAGGCATGGTGAGGGAGGTGTAGCCTCATGCACAGTCACCGACTCTTGCACGCGTTGTGCTGCAGTGGACTGACGACATGATGGTGAAGCCACACCTGAAATCACTCGAATCCTCGGATCCTCGATTAATCCCCTCAAAGCTCACCGTCTTCCACAGGAGTGAGGGTCGTGCGGCGGCACATGCAGTGATCGCTCCCGCACTGTGCCTCGCCCGTCAGCCATACCCGTGGCATGTGAATTTTACCTTTTCAGTTCGATGGTCGATCAGTCCAGTTGTTCAATAGTCGTAGATAATGGTCATCTGCGGCGTCCCATCTAAGCATGGTATGCCTGGGCACATTAAAACCCAAAAAGAACCGTGCGCGATGCTCAACACCGGGGATCCCTTCACTCACGGATGGATCACATGGAGGTCGTAGCCAGACAGAATCCGTGCTTCCATGCTGGCCGCTCAGTGTTTAGGCCTGGAAGCCAATGGTTGGAGGGTGGCTGTTATTTGGCTTCAGACAATATTTGGAGCAGACACGCTCCGGAGGGATGTGCTCCAATCACTGTTTTAATCGAGATCCGGAAAGGCACTTGATGGTCCCTTGCGTGCTTAGCCCTCGTAAAGGGCCTTGTGCAAAAGGACCGCGACCAGTTCAGTGTCAGGCACCTCGTGTCTGATTTGTCCGGGCGATGCTGACTGAGGTTACACACCAAGACTTTTCGTGACTTAACTCTTTCTGACACCACCCTGTCCGTTATGTTTTTGAAATGATGCGCTGCCTACCGTCACGCCTCGGCGGTCACCTTTGAGCCAAAATCCCCTGGTGAGCAGATTGATCATGCCAACCCACCCCCCCTGCTTCGGATCTTCTAGCCTGACGATATCTTTGAGCACTGTAACACGACCCACGTTTCATCTCCTCGGTCGAAGAGAACCACGGCTTCGGATTTGAGTACGCTGACGGTGTCGCTGTACTGTAAGGCAGCATGACTAGTGTCGACGCCAACGATACATGTTTAAATGATGATGCGGTCGCCTGCGAGCGAGACGGCCGGGGTGTCGACAATACTCAAAAATACAGAGGGGATCCTCAATCCTGTGCACGGGGACTGGCACTGTTCCGTGCGGGTTTGGGAACATTTCTTGATCTTTTGGTGCCCGTTGGTGCCGGACTGTCTGGGGATGGCGCGCCGCGATGAGGACAAAGTTTGGTTGATCTCTTTAACCGCCCACCCGGTAGGGTTAGTCACGTAGGCACCCTGTGCTCCCTAAACCCTCCCTAACCGCACTTAGACTTAGGCGACTCAATTGGGCGGTGTTGGCGGCTGGCACTGTGAAGTCCCTATTGAGGCAATTGTAGAATGCATCTCGTCCACCAGCGATTTACTTGCTACCAACAGACAGAATGCTGCACGGCACTAACACCTACCCCTGGCAAGCGCATCGTAAACCCTGCACTCACGTAAAGCTTTGGGGTTCATTTCACATGCGGTCAATCGTTCACGTTCCAAAAGCTTTCGCCTCTTTGGGCCCAAGTCCAGATTGCGGTCTGTCGACTTGCAATCGAGCCAATTGTTCCGCCGTCTTGCTTTTGGGTACGCTAAACGTGCCATGTCATAGACTGGAATGCCCTCCCAGCCAACTGTCCAGACCGCTGGTGGGCTCTACGTCCTGGCAGCAAAAGGAGGAGGAGGAGGAAAAGAAGGGGCCAGAGCGTGGGGAGCTGCAAGTGCCTGCAGCTGTCAATCCTCTGCATCAATCGTTGGTGGTGGACTCACCCACGTTGAGCCCATGCCCATATTCCGGGCACCCCATGATGTTTCTTGACATGAATGGAGCTTTCCTTCACAATGAGGGGTAAGTCAGTAACTTGGTGTTGAGTCTCGACTGATCGACTGTGGTGCCTGGGACGCTTGGGTCACGCCATTATGAAGACAGAGAACAGAAACCTTGTGTCCTTCTCAAAACCCTTGAACCTGGTCGATGGAAAATGCCAAAAGTTAACTCCAAAACGACCAGGGCGTCAAAGATTGCTTTGAGGTTAGTTGGCGAGACCGCCCCCAAGCATGGGCTGGCCTGTTTGCAGAGTCACCGAGCCGTCGACCCAGAGGAAGCTCATGTTCGTCGGGTTGTTAACTTGTGCTGGTGTCTCAGCCATAGGACGGGATATCCCGACAACATAATAGTGCGGCCCCAGGCATGCCGCGTCGAGGAGGCTGGCGAGAGTGCCTCATGTCAGAAGCTCAAGGGCGCACAGGCTGTACAGAGTGATTGCGGCAGAAGAATGGTTATCTGCAACGCGCACTCGACAAAGTCTGATCCTCCCTCTTTCATCGACGAGTAGCTAGACAGATATTTGGCCCCTCTCCATCTGCAGCCCTATACGGAGTCCGTAGTGTGAGTTGCTCCAGAGAGCGATCCCGATTGTGATGGTTGCAGGCTGCTCTGTGCTGCCCCCCCCCCCCCCCCTCTTTGGGCGTGAAAATCGCACTTAGCGGCTTGTGCCGGGGCGTTTCTCGTGTCCCGGAACCGGTGACTTGGGTGAGATGGTGGTGTATGTTGTTCTGTCCGTGGCCACATTGGGATGTGATTTTCGCTTAGGCATGTCGAGTCATCCCTGTTTTACGAGCGCCGAGAGTGAACAACCCTGTTGACTTTGGAAACGCTGTCGCTGGTGGCTTGCGCTGGAAGCGAAAAGAAGACGGTCTGGACTCCCTGCACGGTTCTGACTCTCAATTCAGGACTGCTCGCTTCCCAAGACTCCGGATACAGAACATCCAAGCTCAAGACGTCCTAGGTTGCTTTCCACCACAACACTTATTTAGGCGAATAGGGGCCGTGTCGCGTGAACCAAACCTTGCTTTTCGTCCGTGACTATCGAATTCTATCGCTAGTGCCATGTCCAGCATCACTGGGCCAACTTGAGCCAACTTGAGCCACCAACAAATCGGGACGGATGTGCAATAAGCTTCGAGGTCTAAAGGACGACAGCTTCCTTCAACGAACATTTTGAGTTCGCCGTGGCCATATCTGCATTTACGAGCATTGGCATCAGTATCCTCGAGCTGTTTCCCCCCTCCTCTTGGTCTTGCCCTCTCGTGTCTGAACGGTCCACTTGGCCCTCGAATTCACCACTGCCTGTATTACGAATACGGTCGCCTGGAGGGGTATTGTGTCGTCAGTGGACTGATTCTGACGCCTTGTAGACCATTTCTGCCTTGAAGGACGAGTGGTCACAAGGGCTCGACTACAATTTCCTTCTCTCTCGAAGGTCTTGTCGTATTCTTGCCACGACCAGATCATCCGCCCTACGCAAGGGTCGATTGGGTATGTTCTGGAGCGTGACGTCCAACAGGTTGACCCAATGCACCAACTACCTCTAAGCCTGCCGTGAGCGAGCTTCCAAGGATCGCGAGGAGAGTTGCTGGCACTGTGCAGCCCTGAAACTGTTTGGGCAGGTCAGTGCCAGATGGCTGGGCTGTAGCCGACCGAGGCAAGCATATTTTCGAGCAGCATGGGAGTTTCACGCAATATGTTCCATTCTTGCTCATGCTTGACCATCAATGTGCCCGCAAGTATAGTTCCATTGAGAGCCACTGAGCTATCAATGTCGATCCCGGGCACGGCTACGGCCTCGCGACTCCTCGGACATATGGCCATTCGGTCCCTTGTCATTGCCAGGTTATAGCTAAACGTAGTCTCCCCATCTCTTTCTATATTGATATGTTCGTTCAGCTGCTCACCTGGATGACTTGCAGCAGATAGTGCCGCTCTCAGGAGCAGTTGGTATTTGGAGAACAAGATCTCTGCCGATGCTCGCCCCTCCAATGGGGTGGAGAAATGGAGAAGCGGGCATGATGGATCGTGGAATAGTGGAAGTTCGGGATGAGCCGGCACAGTCATACGATCAATGAGGAGGCCCCAGTCCTGCGACTCAGACCCTAACATATCTTCCATCGAAAGAAATTGCAGATGACGGTGGGCTTGACTGGCACCGCTGTGCTCACCAGAGTTGAAGAAAGCAAATAATCGCTGCGAGGCGGTGTCGCTTTGATGGGTCTGCCACGCATGAAGACATTCGTAAGTCATACCAAGGTCGGCAGGTTCCAAGAGGCCAGTTTGGGGCTTATTATCCTTGGTAGCGATGATGAAGTGATTATGGATGACGGGAAACTTGTTCAATACCAAGATATGCGATGGGTCATTGCTTGGTATGCTGGTGATGAGCAGGTCTGGTGAGGGCTTCGCAAATGGATCGAATTTTGGTCCCCGGCTTTCTGTCTTCTCAGTTCCTTTGGGCTTGTTGGCCAACGCCGGGCAATATCGTAGTTGGAACTAACACCTATGAGCAGGGCCATCAGGGTATGGAGCGCGGCTCTCTCGACTTACGGATGATCCTTGCTTGATTCGCAGGACTTGGAGAGCTGTGTCTGAGAAGAGAAGAGCTTTCTTGCGATATGCCTCTTGAAACTTCCTCGAGACTAGGCTCTGCAGGTGTTCTGCAAGGCCGAGTGCCATGTCTGCTTCAGACATACTCGCACGTTCTATGCCTGTGGGATATTCTGAATCTGCCGCAGGTGCTGAGTAGGTCGCCCAAGTTTCCCTCGGTGGCTACCAAGGCGGTTAGAATGGCCAGACTTGAGAGCCGCCTCAAGTCCTATCAGCTATGGACCTCCTGAACTAGCGCAACGGGGCTTGTGATGTTGTAGTGTCTCGATGTGAAATGATCCAAGTGATGTACTGTATGCACAGTCATTATCAAACGGAATCGCACCATCCTTTGATCAGAAGAGACGTGACGAGAATTCGGCACCAATCCACAGCCAAGTCGGCTAAACTGCGGTAAATCCCCGACGTCTCTTCACCTTTCAGCAACACTCTCGACTTGTTTACTTTCTGTATGCCTAGGTACCTTACCCTCAACTCTGTGATAACATGACTTTTACTAACTCACTTGTTATATGACAAGCTGATGACTCCGCGGTCAGGACATTGGCATTGCTTTATATTCTGGTCGCTGCATAGCATTGCAGTGGTCCACGGCCAAAGTGATCTTCCAGGCTGAACACCACCCTCAACCCTCCAAGTTTTGGCCGTTCTCTCCCTCTACATCGACCTCTCAAGTCAAATACTTGCTGCCAAAGCTCATTCCAACCGTATGGGGAGGACCACAAGCTAGTGAGATGAAACCAATGTGTCAGGTCTGCTTTTGCCCGTGGCTGTCGTTTCATCCTCCATTGCTTGGTCCGATGGGGAGCCCTGGCATACATCGCGTGCTTGCCACGTTTTCAGAACCAGTCTCAAGGGTAGGGATTCGGCGGTTTGATCGTGGGCCAACATGTCAAATGCCAACCCGTTTCCGGGCCGCAGCAAGATCCCGTATAAGTCAGCCCCCACTCCAGAGGCACCTGCTGACGAGCATGATGGCCGGGTTTTGGACCACTCCACAATGTTTCTCTGATTGAACTACTCAATCTTCCATCGACCGCGGCTCCAGGTTATAGTCGCCAGTGTGTCTTCTCGATTTCGCCTGAGATAGGGGCTATGCATACGATGTCAGTTGGCTCTGTAGGCTTTTCTTGTGGACGATCGTCAGACCTATAAATGGACGTTACACAGAGTCCTTGATGTTTGCTACCTTGGTGCAAGGCTCTGCGTTTGATGAAAACTCCCTCGAGCGCCCGAGGACCCGGCCCTGAACCAGAAAGCCCAAGAGCATTTCTGATCTGAGAATTTTGACATGTCGTGCCAAACATGGGAAAGACAAAGAGATCGCGGAGAACTGTGAAAGTACTTGTGAGCCCTTCTGCAGACTGTTTCTATTCTTGGACTCCTACAGACAAAAGACGCCGATTATCTCTGCCGCTCGATGACATTTCTTCTCCTCCGCACTGCCAATGCAATGACAAAGGTATTCATGATATGCTGAAGCTGCTTCCAAATGGCGAGGCTTCTTGCTGCTCCTTCGCCATGTGTGCCAGTTTGACGTCTCTGTGCAAGGGCTCAAGGCAAAATGGCGTCCAAAGGAGTCACTGGGTCAGCAAACCGATTTGTTTGAACACATGTGGACGGACTGGATGAGCCTAACAGCGTATGGGCTATCATACCAGTCGCCGGGATTTACCACGAATTGAGGAAGACCGTGCTACAGATTGAGCGATTTGGTGTTTCGCAGACTGCGGCATTGCCTCCCACCATCTGAATACATCGGCCCCGACTTTACGAAAGCCGAATCCATGGGTTTGCTTCAGGCCATGGTCTTCTTATGGGACGCTGTTCCGGGGCTCTCTCGAAATACCAGATCGATAACAATATCATGACAAGCCTGCTGTTTGCAAGGCGAAGAGGTTTCGTACCCTTGATGTATGACGCCAACGAACGCTGATTGTAGGCTTCCATGACTCGACATGAAAACGAAGGGTTTGTCCAAGGAGCCGTTACTAGGCGGTTCCGATGATTCACAGCACATTCTAACATCTGTATTCAACTGTGTCTAGCAGTTTACTGTGCAAGGTCATGTCCCGGGAACCTTTTGATCCTTTGGTCACGGACGATTACCCTGGAGAGTACGCACCAACTAACGACTCAAGTCACCCCGTCGGTATCCCGTCAGATTCGGCCGACTTTAAGCAATTCACCAACAGTCGGGCCTCAGTTGCCGAGCGCTTTGTACCGGCTCCCTATGACACATGCTGCCAATGTCACCGTCATGAAGTCGCTCCTTCTCAGGCTCAAGAAGGATCAAGACATCGCACCTTCTACGAAAATGGACACAGTCTGCAAGCAACATCATTGGATACCATGTCTCCCTCCGTCTTGCCAGCTTCTGATTACTTCCTCAACGCCAGTTTTATTCCACGAGACTGGTCGTCTTCGTCTCACACTCTCGGAGAAACCAGTGGCATGCTCAGTGGTACGGCTTCCTTGCCGCCGCCCTGCCAACCAGGAATTGAAAACGGGTTGTTTGATCACAACGGTGAGAATACCATGAGGAGTTCGGCGGTGAACAGATTTCTGTCTACAGTAGATGACGCACATTGTTCCAATGCTCTTCTCTCGGCTGATCTCGACATTCATCCCATAGGAACGGTTCCTTTGTTCGCGACCTCATCACCTCCGACAAGACAAAGTAATATTGCCGAACCCTACCTACACACCTTTGAGGGAGACGATGGCACCGTACAGGACCCCTTCAGATATCCAGACTGCGAAAATGTTGTTCTCCCAACACTTGGATTGGGGGTTGATGCACTTGATGGACATGATCATTTGCAATATGATGTTCAAACTTCCTCGTTTGGCAAGATGGCAACTCCAGAAGTCTTTCTGGAAAATACTGACACAACCCTGGTTTCGGCTGCAGCTGTTAATCATCTAGTCAGGAACTCAAGAAACCAGCAATCAGTATCACTCTCAGTCCCAAGTTTCCATCCTTCGTCGCTTTATGCGGAATGCTCCTTTCAACGACCGTCTAGCGAAGATGTGGAGCTGCAGAACCCTTCAAAATTCCAGCAACTTGAGGCTGTCCCTATGTTGGAATACCCGCCGCTACCAGAGTTGGACGACTACGCGTACCAGGAGCTTGAACAAGCAGATTCCACTAATCATGGGCCACATGACGACTTACACCACCAATGGTATATGGAAGAGCAAGATCACATTGCCGGGCTGCCCGAGGTTCCACCTTCTATTCTTCATAACAACCATACGTTGAGAGCAGCCCCGAGATCTGAGTTCCATACCTCAACGACAAGCAGGCAGGTCGGATCGAGAAGTGGACAACGCGATACCTCTAAGGACGACCTTCTGGTTCATCTCAAGTCCCAAGGCATGTCATACAAACAAATCAAAGAGATCGGTGGCTTCAGTGAGGCTGAGTCGACATTACGTGGTCGATACAGAGCCCTTACAAAACCAAAAGAAGCTCGCCTCCGAAGACCGGAATGGGGAGATCGAGAGGTAGCATCCCTTACACTTCTGTGGGCAGGATAGATTCTGACTATCAACAGATTGAATTGCTGTTCGAAGGCGTGGCGTACTGCTCGAACACGGACCCACTTGCCTCTTCATCTCTGCATAATCTTGACGCAATCTCCATAGGACAGTTTGTGAACAAAGTCCCTTGGAAACAAGTTGCAGAATACATGGAAGGAAAGGGAACATACAGATATGGGAACGCAACCGTCAAGAAGAAGTATCTGGAGATTTTGAAACTACGGGGGACTGAAACATAAAACACGCCCAACAACATCCCCCCATATACATCACAAGGATGAGCAGGTAGTGTCTGCTGCCATGCCCTTGTAATCAGTCAGCATGTCTGAGTCTTGGGCTCTCGGAGGCTTTTGATACGACACAGACCCATCGCAGGTTGATGGTGTCGCTTGACAGGCCGAATATGTTGCTCCAGTTCTACGGGTGCCTCACATGCTCTTCTTGTTGCTGTTAGCATCTGTATTACCGGACGGCAAGTTTTGAAGGGCACATTTGGGGAGGACAGCCTTGTCGACCATGTCAGGTTGCTGCTGATCTCACGAAGCCATTTGCTGAGACCATCTAGAAGACCATAGCGCCGAGCTTAATAGGTTGAGATGTGTAAAGAAGTATCTGTAATCAGCATAATCTTAATCGTTGTCATAAATCAGGTCTCGTTGAAGCTTGGCTAGATTCTCGTTTCCGTTGGCCGGCAAATGTCGATCGATGGCGTTCATTCGTTGTTCATTGCTTTGATGGGGCCCCCTCGCTGCTCAAAAAAGTGGCATAGTCCATACTAAGCCCTTGTGCGAGCAAGCTTCTTCTTTTCCACAACGGCCCTGCCGCAATCTGTGTGTGCTCGCTCAACTCCTGAGCCCCTCTGAGTCATCGTGCTCGGCTTCTCTGCCCTCAGAAGCCCGCTAAGTCCGACGTGGGAAGAGAAAGTCTCCGGTGAAATCGGATCGTTGCGAAGTTGTTTAACCCCGAGTTGGGGGGTGGTTGTTCATCCGTCGTTGCGGAGACTTTGTTGAAAATCACTAGGCCCGGATATTAGATGGTCGTCCTGCTATATACACTGGTGCGTGTGTGTATATATATATGTGCATATCTACGTAAACATGTACGGATATCTAAAGCAAACAAGGTATGATACAGTAAGAAAGGAGAGGCTGGTTGATCAGCAATCGACTTTCTTTCATTCATTCCATCTCGCAGCCATCGACAATCCTCAGGCCTACCATTACCACCCACTCAATCCAGACATACACACACAAAAAGAGAGAGAGAGAGAGACCTTAAATTTTCCCCAATGGCTGATAGATCCATCCTTCTTCAAGGCGGACTTGTCCTCACCCACTCCTCCTCCCCAGATGACCATGTGATTCCCCTGCACGACACCGACGTGCTGATCGTCGGGAACGTGATTTCTCAAATTGCCAAGGGCATCAAGGCTCCCTCGAAAGACACCGAGACGATCGACTGTCGTGGCAAGATCGTCTCCCCTGGTTTCATCGACACGCACCACCATCTGTGGCAGACGCAGCTGAAGGGCAGGCATGCCGACGAAGGCCTAGTAGCGTATATGGTGTCTGGTAAGTTGTAGAAACCAACTTCCTTCTCTTTTCGACTCGAGCCAGGGTTTATTGGAATCTTATGGCTGACGCTGGTGAAACGCGATGGCTTTGTGGCGTTGTATATAGGCAACATGGTATCGTACGCGTACACTTCTTCAGACGTATACTGGGGCCAGTTGGCCGGTTGTCTCGAGGCGATCAACTGCGGTACGACTCTCGTTCTCGACCATGCACATGTCGTCTATACTCCTGAGCATGGTATGTGTTTATCCTTCCTTCCCCTCAACCAATCTGAACTTTTCTTCGTCCCCTCCAATATCCGGCTTTGTAGATTGCTTGAGGGGTTGTTGATGTGCTGATGTGCTTGTAGCAAATGCAGCAATAGCAGCTACTGCGGACTCCGGCATCCGGTCCATCTTCGCGTACTCGGTTGCCCTGAGGATGACCGAGTGGAGTGAGACTGGTTGTGTGCCGAGCGGCGAGCTTCTTCCGGAATGGGCACTATCTCAACTTGGGCGCCTAGTTGAGCAGTATAATCGGAACCCGCAGGATCATGATGCGACCGTGGAAATTGGGCTAGGATTCGACCTGTGGTTCTTGCCCAAAGATATGATCCTCGGCTTATTGAAAGAATTGGGGTCCAAGGGCCTCAGAGTCGTCACGACACATGTCAGTAGAAATGCTCTTCAGGGTAAGCCAAGCCTCCTGCATATTAGATGCATGACAGAAGGTTTGATGCAACATCAATTACTGACACTTTGTTTTTGGCTTGGACTATTATAGGTTTCCATTCCGTCATTCAACTGCTTTCGTCCTACGACCTTCTTCAACCACCGTATCCCCCGCCTGGGACATACACGGGGGGCGGTGCGAGGTTACCATTTCTGCTCCTGTCGCACTGCAACGGAGTCGAGGAAGAAGATCTCTCAGTGGTCGCTTCAAAGGGGGCCCCAATCTCTAGCACGCCTGACACAGAGGCGCAAATGGGTATGGGATGGCCCGTTGGACAGCATCGGATATTCAGGAAGGGTGAGGCAAAATCCACGAATGTCTCTCTAGGGGCCGACTGCCACAGCAACAACCCGTCCAGCATTGTCCTACAGGCTCGAGCATTGCTTCAGCTTGCGAGGCTTGAGAAGAATAACCGCATCATAGCTGACGGTCGGTTCCCGCGGGAAAAGGTCCTCGGTTCATCCGAAGCAGCGTACAATCTCATGACCATCCGCGGTGCGAGGTGCTTAGGTCTCGAAAACGAGGTGGGAAGTATAGCGCTGGGGAAAAAGGCGGATATAGTTGTGTTCGACGCGGAGCATAGTGTCGGGATGCTCGCGGCTGCAGATCACGATCCAGTCACCGCGATTGTACGATTCAGCGAAGCTGCGGACATAGACACCGTGATTGTGAATGGTACTGTGAGAAAGAGAGACGGGAAGATCGTGGATGTCGGTGTGAGCATGCCCTTGGATGCGGAGCGGAAGACGATAATGGCATGGTCGGATATCGCTGGTGAAGTTCGTAAATCTCGAAAGGAGATCCAGGCTCGTATTGACGGACTGAATCTGGCGCGTGGAAAGGATGTGATGCTGAGTATGTTTCATGTGGATGAGTCGAAGTTGGTTGATGCCAGCTAGGTTGTGAGAAACATGGGTAAGCAGCTGCCACACACCGATGTGATAGGTTCAGTCAGGCTAGATTTCTTGTCGCCATAGCACCTGGACTCGAGACGCAAGTAGTGCAACGGACTGTTGTCGAAGGACCAGACTAGAGGTAAAGACCTTCATGACGACCTCTCAAGCTGCGGAGTAGCAAGTGTCCGGGTTCCCTCTTTCTAAGCGGTATGAAAGACGCCTGTAAGGACTTGCTATTTCGCGGTAAAGATACTCTGGCATAAACAAGCAACCATGAGAACCGCGTTGAATGCAGCCATGATGTAGAATGGAGCTGCTAATGATACTTTATCAAAGAGTAGGCCGCCTACTTTGGTCAATATCAAGATGGCAAGCCCGCCATACAAAGAGTAAACACCGGCAACTGAGCCTTTGAGAGTCGACAAGGACGGGCTTTTGTTGCTTTGTTGAGCATTCGAGAGAAGCGGCTGTGTTTCGTCGGCTGCAGTTTGACTCTCATTTATATCCACCGTGGAATGCCGTTTGCTCGTGCTCGGAAGTTCGAGAAGTACACCTGTGCTCAATGTTCCCAGGCTACATACGATCGCGCCAATCTGGCTGATACCGATCAAGCTGACAGCCAAAAAGTCGGTGAAGAGTGGTGCCGCCGTCGAATTCCGAGGATGAAAGACACTGGCAAAAAGTGGATAGCCCACGATGCCAGAGATTGAAGCGAAAAGAAGAGGGATCTGTTTCCGAGATACCCTAGCGCACCAGTAACCGAAGAGAGGAGCGCAGATCAGGGCTATCATTTGAGAGACACCCGTTAATTCAGCCGCGACAACGTAAGCGCGTGGACATCTTTTCTTGATATCAGGTAGACCATTGGGATCGTGTTCATTTCCCTCAACCTTGCAGAGTCCCGAATTGTGAAAGGTCGCATTGACCAAAAGCGGTATGAAGAGGGATATACCGACGGAAGATGCGCGAGCGACAAATCCTCCTAGGTATCCGATAGCAATTTCCGAGCGTTCAAAGCCAACTATGATCGCCATTTGGAAATTATCCATCATTTGGCGAAGTTCGCTGGTGCTAGGTAGCTTTGACTTTTGTTGTTGATTATTTCTGTCTTGGACTTGACCGGCTTCGACCTCAGCATGCAGGTTGGTAAGCCCAAAAAAACAGAATACGGCCAACACAAAGGCGACAGCTGCGACGACATAGAAGCTGTATTTCAAGGCATCTTTTTGTCCCACCCCAGCGTATTGAAACTTAGCTGGGAGAGGAAGAAAAAGGCTGAGAGCGATCAGAGCACCAACACCTGCACCCATACCAACAAACCCTGCAATCTTGCTGGTAGACGAGGCTAGTTGAGTGTCTCCTTCTGACCTGTAACGACCGTTCTGACGCTGAGATACACGAGCGAGGAAACGTTCTGGAGTTATGGTTGACTCGGAAGCAATGGACGGGCTCGACACATGAGTCGTGTTGCCGAAGATCTGAATCACCCTGGAGTGTCTTAACTGGCCCTTTGGCTTGGTTGGAGAGCCAGCAACAGCAGGCAAGATAGCAGTTACCATTGTCGACGCCGCGGCACCTCCCAGGCTGAAGAGTAACCTCGCAAGAAGAAGCTGAGGATAGACGTTACGTGCCTGGACAAATAGTACCAAAGCTAGGCAGATAACTAAATAACCGACGACACAGACCTATAGAATGTTAGTGATATGGTATCGTTGGTGGTCGGAGCAGACTCCTCACGATACGCAAACCCATGCGATCGGACAGGACACCCCATAATGGGCAGGCAACTAGGGCAACCAATTCATCTGCGAAACCCAGGGTGCCGACAGCGTCGCCGACGCCATGGTCTTTGCCAATTAGGTCAGTGACAACAAATGAGACTTCAGAGTTCATGAAGACTAAGAAGGCGATGGAGAATGGACAGACGCCGAGCAGGTACGTAGCTACCTGCAGCTTCGTGGCCCCGAACATGATGTCGATTGCCGCGGACTCGTCTGACTCGATGCAAGGTAGGGTGGCGGACTAATCAGCGCAACTAAAGGCCGGACCAAAAAGCATCCTTCAATCATTCATGGTAAATATATGTCAAGGAGGTTCCATGACGCTGTTGCTTTACTTATTCTTTCTGTTGTCATCGACTTCCTGACGTTGTTTCAGTCGGCTTACGTCTAACCGTATTAGGGCTAGCGCTTCCCATGTGTTTGGGCGAGGTCTCGGCAAATTTGCATGATTTTCCACCATCATATCCCATACTTGTCAAACACAGCAAACATTTGGGTCCTGGTGGCACCTCATAAGTCGTCGTCGTCGTTGAGCCGAGCAGTCGTCTCCCACCTCGCTGAGAGCAAGACAAGCACCTTGTATCTTGTACTGCTTCTGGGTTAGGTCCATGGCCTCGCGGCCTGGACTGCTAGTCCACGGCTAACACCATGGGGGACTCGACGTACCACAACGACATTCACCTTGCTGGACTCGTTCAAGCTGCAACTGCTGCTGCAAATGAACATGCGAAAAGAGTTGAGCATGGAAAGTATGACGAGACCTTCACTCATGACGAGTCCCTGGCGCCTCCAGAAGGCCTGGGTGATGCTCCTGATCCTGCGGCCGAGTCCCAAACCCTCAAGCGCCGATATTCCGCATCAGTCCTTTTTCGCGAGCCACCCTCGAAGAGCAGGAGTTACAGTCGGCCTTCGTCGGGCAAAGTCTTTGAGTCCTTGGACCTTGCACCAGAGAACTTCTTACGTTTGCAGGTTGCTGCCAAGGCTTTTATGCTCGACGAGGCATATCCTGAACGCAGGGCTGTAGTTGGACACAAAAAGTCTCCGAACATTGGTGGAGTAGAGGCATCGAGGCTGAAGTTATGGAACTGCGTGGAGGAATTCTTGTCTGTCCACGGATATGGAGAGAAATACTTTGGACAAAGTGACGGTGGTCGGCCACGAACGTTGGTATGGCCTGAGCATAGTGAGGCCATCATCAAACATATGATGCCTCTGATGCGGAAAATGGTCACCAATGAGCGCCAGCGCCTCTACGCTGCTACAACAAGGAAGCAAGCAACCCCCAAGGACCATCACCAAAGACGGCCACACAAATCTCTTGGCGAGACCAACTCCTCTCTAATTGATGCGCCTATGTCGGATATTTCTGGCCTGGAGCTTGCTGAAACAGCGCCTCTCGCTCCGGCAAACGACTCAGTTCCCGCGAGCGAGGCTGGCCTTCTCTCTCAGGAGATGACCGAGCCATCTTCTACCGTGTCAAATGGTAGTATATTTCAAGCACCGAGCACATCCCCGCCGAGACCCGCGTTTAAGGAACCGATTGTTCTCTATGTCAACGTGGTCTCAAACACCGGTGGTGCTCGAAGACGGGTAATGCCGCGTTTTGAGTTGAGGCCAGAAGCAGCTCCGAGTTTGGCAGCTCTGATGGACCAGGTGAATCAGCGATACAGGGCTGCTACTGGTAACAAGATTAATAGCAAGGACGGCCGTCCGATCATTCAAGTATGGCTAACTGATGGTCTTGTAACTGTTCTCGACGACGGTGACTGGATGGTTGCTTTGCTGAGTGCTGGCGTGGTCGACTGGATGGATAATGAGATCAGAGTTCTGGTTGAAGTATGAAGGTCCTATGGCCGCTCACTCCAGAACGTCGAAACTCGTCTTCACGATCCAATCCGACGATGCATGAGGTACTTTGACCAGTTTCATAGAATGGGAGATGGCGGATAACAGATCGTCATCTACCTTTCGTGCTTTAACGCACAAGACTTTGACACTTTAGTCTGCATTCTGTGTACGAACTATAGGGTTATGACACGGTATGGACCATAATGAACCATGTTCAATTGCTTTCCAATTACATCGCAGCCGTCGCAAGATCTTTCCAGTGGCCAACAGAGCACCATTTCCCAGGAAGTCTATATCCGGCTCGGCCTCACACATAACCGCGTACTGAGAGCCTCAGGCATGATTAGCCTCCATATCCGGTGTCGATCTTCACTAAAGATGAGCGAGGGAGGACAGAGCGTCACCAGGCTGTGGCGGATTCGAAGATCTTCGAGCTCGGACTTGCCATATATGTGACATGAGAAAGACAATCGGAGATAGGAGTTTCCTGTTGCCTTCCTACAGATGCTCGCTCTGCCTTGGAATTCAGAAGATTCGGACTCTGGACTTCCAGCAAGCCCCGACAATACTACATACAGTATATAGTGTGGAGCAACGGGACCCGCTGTCGACGTCAATTGCCCAGCGTCGGTGCGCACACTAGCGAACCACTTGCATTATACGCATTCGGTTAGACTCTGCAAGGACAGAGTTGCATCGTTGATGCCCTTCGGGCCTCATTGGACGTCGAGCAAGCTGCTTCACAAGCTGCTCTCGATACGATGAGCAAAGCAGATCTCTCGGATGGCGGCGACTCAGACCTCGAGACTGAAAATGTATAAGAATGGCTGTGCATCAGCACCCAGAGCACTCACATGTCCTGGAACACCACCCAAACTGTCTTCCTTTGACACCCTATTTACTCGTCGTGCGGCTTGTGAAATCCATTCCCCTCAACAATGTCTCTTTCTGGCAAAGTCACCCTCATCACCGGCGGTGGGAAGAACCTGGGCGCTGCGATTGCAAGCCTCTTCGCCGCCGATGGAGCTCACCTTGCCTTGCACTACAACTCCGCTTCGTCCAAGGATGCAAGTGAGTCGTTTGCAGCCCAGATATCGTCAAAGTACACCAACATCAAGGTGAAGACATATCAGGGAGATCTCACGAAAGTTTCAAATGTCACGACATTGTTTGACGCTGTTCAGAAAGACTTTGGCGGTAAGATCGACATAGTCATCAACACCGTCGGCAAGGTGCTGAAGAAACCCCTGGCGGAGATCTCAGAGAAGGAATATGATGAAATGTTCGCCGTCAACTCCAAGTCGGCCTTCTTCATCACCCAGGAAGCCGCCAAACGTGTCACCCAAGGTGGCAAGATCATCAACACCGTCACCAGTCTGTTGGCCGCCTACACGCCTCTGTACTCGAGCTACCAGGGATCAAAAGCTCCCGTGGAATTCTTCACCAAAGGTCTGAGCAAGGAATTGATGCCAAAGAGCATCAGCGTCAACGCTGTGGCCCCTGGACCCATGGTGAGTGTTTTTGCTCTCTTGTGGTACGACTGATCCGAAGTCTGAACTAACCATGAATATAGGATACTCGTAAGTCAATCCCAACCAAAGTCCGTCTACGCAGGCAACTTAATTCCCGCCCCCCATTTCTCCCTTCCGTCGCAGTCCACCTGTCTGACCATCCTATCTAGCTTTCTTCTACGGCCAGGAAACGCCCGAAGCAGTCGCATTCCACAAGTCCAATGCAATCGATGGACGATTGACTTTTGTGAGCGACATTGCGCCGATTTACAAATTCCTCTGCACCGAGGGTGCTTGGATCAATGGTATGTGTTGGCCCTCATCTTAATCGCGCCGAACTTGTTCGTTTGTTGTGCACAAATCTCTCGCGACTGGAGAAATTCGTTGCTAACCCGGGTTACATCGACGACAGGCCAAACGCTCTTTGCCAATGGAGGTTATACGAGCCGCTAGGCGTCCAACGTCTGCGTACGCTGTATTGTTCATCACTCGTGCCGTAGCATGTCCCTAGGCTTCGCATCCTTTGGCATCAAGGAAAGCACTAGTGCTTGCGTCAATTCGAGTGCATTGCAACAACCCCAGCGGACATTTCTCTGAAACGCTTCCCTCACTGTGTGCCTACGAGAGGGCTTGGTAGATCTCATCTGGGTTAGGGCCGCAGTTAGGTGGATTTTGTACCATACAGTCGGTGACTTGTCAAAGCAAATGCGGATTGTTGGTATTGAGAATCTTGCTAGATAACCATCCTCGAAAAAGCTCAAGTTATCGAAATGCGACGGTGTCTCGATTGTGCTCATGTCTCGATCATCGAATCCGCCAGTCCTAGTTCTAGACCTTTGATGCGCACTGGTGGCCGAAGCTTTTCGAGTGCCAGGGGTTGCCCTTGGCATCGCTCAAGAATTGTGATTTTGTTCTTGTACCTTTTGGATAGAAGAGGAATACGTCCGAGCAATGACCTTGTCGGCTTAAGATCTGCCCCTCTCCCAACGCATCCTCTTCCCCAGAGAGCAGAAGACGATTCGAGTCGTCCCTATGATGCCGTCCGGGTGAATCAGTCCCATCCCGAGGCTACTAACGGCGAGGCTAAGAAAGCTTGACTGGACTTTACGTAAAGGAGGGATGGAACAATCGCGAATCTGGGAGCACAACTCATTTCACCCTCCGCGCCTACGTTAAGGCAGGCGAAGCGACCAAGAGCAGCTGGCTAGACCTAGCCAGCACCATTACACTAATTAGGCTCGCCTGATTTATGAGGCAATCGATGTTGGCCATTTCAGCATGACTCGGTCGGTCTTGGAGTTTATCAACATCCCGCTGGTCAACGGATTTCCGCCCTCGGACCTCAGACGGAAGGTCAGGTCGCACGCGGCAAAAGCCACCAGGGGAGTGGATGGAGATGGAACTCCGGATAAGAACGAGAAGGTCAAGGGTGTGTTGGCTTCGCACCAGACGCCCCAGTTCAAGAAGCGAAAACGGCACCGTCGCACTCTCAACTGGACGTTTCAGATGACCGCGAAGATCGACGAGCCACAATCGGAGCTGGAGCTGGAGCATGAAAACGCTGATTCAGGATTTCGTGTTCGAAATGGCGCCCCCGGATGTCCAAGCCCGAGCTCCATATCGGGGACCGCGCTGATCCCGGCATCGAAATCCCGGGTGTACTTTGAACCGTTTGTCCCCGTGGTTCTCCAGCACTACCTTCAGCATCTTGCTGTCGCCATCCCCGAGGTCGACGGCGAGGGCAACACGGCACTGCTGAAGTCGCGGTGGTTCCCCATGGTGATCCACTCCCCGCTGCTGTTCCAGGTGATCGTGCTGTTCTCGGCGTCTCACTACGCGGCGCAGCGCGAGGATATGGCGTTCGCACCGACCATCTTGCTCCTCAAGCAGCGCGCCCTCGCCGGCATCAGCGCCCACGTCACCGCGTTGCAGCGTGAGTGCACGGTGAGGGACGAGCTGATCGCCGCTACGGCAAAGATGGCAAGCTACGAGGCTATCTGGGGCGACGAACGTGCCTACCATTGTCACATGAACGGTGTGGAGGAGATGTTGAGGGTGCGAGGCGGTTTGGCCAGCTTGGGACTGGATGGCTTCCTCGCACGCCTGCTGCTCTTCATCGACACGAACTCGGCGTTTCTATTGAACACCTTTCTGCATCTCCGCAATTCTTCGTTTCCGAGAGGCGAGCCCTTCATATTGCCGAATTTAAGTCGGTTTATCGGAGAGATTTAGATTGAGAGAGCCATCTTCCCTAGCCAGGCATCGCGGAGGGGGAATGATATCCAAGTCCGCTTTCAACAAATGCGTGCTGGATGCGCACTTACAACCGGCATCGCAGGTCGAGCTTTTGGTGTCACCGAGCAAGGCGGCATCGGGCATGTTCCGGCCAAAACACTGCACAGTGACTCGATTTTCATTCTCGCGGACGCCGCAACGCTATTCGTGATTGGTTCGCTAAATCATTACCTCAGGCGTTGTCGTAATGTGAGATTGGCTGCTTTAAAACATGTATCAAAGATTCGGGGAACTGATTGTTCCCATTTTCCTTGAATCTGACAAGGGCGTGCACGTTTCTCGTTGATTTCACTTGCCACCCGTGATAGGATTGTTTATCGAATGGACATTACGTCGATGTACGTTTCTGAGCCTCTAGTGGTTGCTTTTGCCTGAATCGACTCTATTCCTGGGTACAGACATACACGTCGTTTATGTACAGTAGATGATCGTGCTACCTTTGGCACTTGTTTGGACTATACCGGACCATCCTGTATGATCTAATTAGCGGCCATCCTGGTAACGCAGCCCATGGCCAAAGTGGAAAAGGGGGTTGCGGGTGCTGTAAGGTGCGTCTGGTGCGCTTTCGACGACAGCAGCCATGGAGCTAGGCAGATCAAACGGCAAAAGTCCTTCCGGACCCCAGCCATCCAGGCCAAAGACAACATCCAAGAAAGCGGCGACATTGCTGCCGTAACTGACCAGTAACGCGGATACCTGAGCTGCGATGTCCGTGAGCACGGCTGGGCGGTCAAGGTGCACATCGACTATGCAGAAGGGCACCTTGGCGCATATTTCGCGCTGGCGGGACTTTTCTTCTGGGCTGAACTCCAGTGATCCTGCGTGAAATCTGGCTTCGAAACCGCCTGCGCGAGGCTCATAAGGCGCCCGCAGGCGGATCAAGGCGATATCAGCCTCGTCAGGGTTCGAGACTACCTGTGCAGCCGCCGCCAAACGACCGCATTTGGCCTTGAATACCTCGGCGTCGATGTTTTCTAGGTAGACTTTCTTGCCATGAAGGTCGGCCATCTTCAGCGGAAGGGGGACATTTTCCTCGTCCGTGCGACGGTTGTTGACAAGAAGCGTGAAGCTGCGGCGCTGGGAGGCGTCGGCCTCACGCACAAAATCTGGATGGCCCACCATGTTCGCAGCGGCGTCAACGTCTACAAACGGGTGGTCGAACAAGCCCAATTCAAACTTCTCAGTCAGCAGCTTACTCACCGAACGATCGATACGAGACTCATCCACGAGGCCCTTCAGGACCGCCTCCACCACCAGCTCGGGCCGCGACTCGCCACCGAACTGATCACAACCTGCGTGGAGGACCTTGACCACTCTCTCTAGCTCGCTGAGGTTCTCGCAGCCCCAAGCACGCGCAGGCATGTCCTGGCCCAGGATCACCGCGTCCGTGATCAGACCCCAGTCCGTCAGGACGATCCCGTCAAATCCCAGCTCCTCACGCAGGAGTTTGGTGATGATGCCTTTGTGGAAGCCAAAGCCTACTTCTTCGGCATAGTCGCCCTCCAAGCCCAGCGGCTTGCTGTAGTACGGCATGATCTGGCGAGTGCCTGCCTCGATGGCCTTGCGAAACGGACGAAGGTGGTACTCGAATTTCCCTTCCGGATAGACTTGCTCCTTGCCGTAGACAAAGTGCGCGTCCTCGCCGTCCTTTTGCGGCCCAGCACCGGGGAAATGTTTGGTCACGCAGCTGACGCTGTTCCTGCCGATCGTGCCGTCGGCGCTCCCCTGGAAACCGCGGAGTAATGCCTGGACCAGCCTACCGGAGAGGTCGGCGTCCTCGCCAAAGCCACCGTTGATGCGTGCCCAGCGATATTCGGTGGCCAGGTCGATTTGAGGCGAAAGGGCACAGCGGATACCTAGTGCAACGTACTCGCGTCGAGCAATATCCCCGAACTTTTCCACGAGAGCCTCGTCGCGCAGAGCGGCCAGCCCGAGCATCTCGGTCCACTGGGACAATGCGCCGGCGTTGAAACTAGTCCCGATGTTCTCGTTGAAATGGTTTCGTGGGTCTGTGGACAAGGTGATCGGGATTCCTAGCCTTGTTTGTGAAAGCGCAAAGGACTGTAGGCTGTTGAACCATTTTGCTGTCTCTCGGGCGTTAGTCACCGGTCCGAGGAGGTTGAAATGGCTCATTTTCAGTTCCTTGATCTTGCTTTCGGCAGTTGGCAGGTCCCTCGAAGTCCCTTGGGCATTTGCATCGTTGAACATCAAGACCATATCGTGGAACATCTGTCCGGCCTTCTCCTCTAGTGTCATGCGTGACAGGAGGTCGGAAACACGCTCGGGGACAGGGACATTGGGGTCTTTGTATTTTGGAACCTCATTCCCCGCTGTCGAGACTGTGGTGCTGACTACACTGCCAGAAATAGTCTTGCGCGCCATTTCACTTGTTGTGAGCTGTCTTGCGCCCGTATAGATGCTTTAGCATTCGCCGCTTTGCATGTGCAGTATGGTACACTCCTGTTGAAAGAATGTCGGGCCTGACATTGAGGAGTGCGTCGCTAGGTGGGGGAACGCAGGGGTAAGAAGAAGAGAGATCAAAGTGTGGGAAGAAACGGAATAATGAACTCGACAACATGGGGAGAGGAACTTTGTAACTGGTTGTTCTGGTGCTGCTGCGCGTTTTACTGTCTGCCGATGGCCACCAAGTGCTCCAACTAACTAACTAGTGCTTCGACCTTTCATCAAACCTTCTTTCTCTTGCACCCTCCTACTGTAGACTCTTCATCTTCACAGAGTGGCCCCCAATAACAGGACAGCTTGTAACTGATCCTGCTAACAATGGGGATCTCACAAGGTTCCCTCTGTGGCTGGATCACGAGACACGAGACCTAACACTCGCTGCGCGAGAATCCGCTGGTGGCCAGGGCACTGCGATCGTTGAGCTGCTAGTGAATTCTCCAAAAGCTGCAGAGCACGGCTCGTGGATTCCGATACAGCCATCAGTGCATCCCACAGCGCACGACTGATGCTATTCATTGTGGGCTGCCACCCAGATACACCTGGCGCGAGCCAGATAGATGTGCTGCAAATGGTATGCGTCTGTCAGCCTGCTCTGGGGAGGACTTTTGCAAGGACTCCAATCGCAGATCCTATGGTCAGCATTCCTTGAGTGCGCCGTACGGACAGATTACCACTAACACATTCCTCATATATCGAGGACTTGGATGCGCTCATCACCGGAGGGCCCCTTGCGTGGTCGCGAACTGGAGACCACCCGCAACGACAGGTACAAATACCTTCTCACGAAAATGAAGCAACTCAAATGAGGATTCGCGAGCTGCTTGCAATTCACAGCTTGATCCAGCAAGCCGATTTTGACAACGACGGTGGCGATGATGGTGTGAGAGTCAAACACCTCCTAGCCACATCTCGAGTTCCAGTCCGGTTCAACACCGCCCTCGCAAACGACCCTCAGAGCACAGCAGCTTCACGGCTCATGAATCACATTTTGCGGAGGAATGCCCATAGAACGAGAACGCCGAGGATAATGAGGATGAGGACGAGGATCCGGACGAAAACAACAGATTCGCAATCACGACTCTCGCATCGACAGGCGGGATTACAAACCCAGAACACAGTGGATGCCACAATTCAGCGTTGTAGCTATGGCCCATGATGAGCCACAGAACAATATGCAACTTGTCTTCTACCCTTGGCTGGGTTTCTCAGACTCCCTGAATTGGTACAGGCTTACCCCGTTCGACCCTCCTCATTCTCTGCCCTTCTCTCCATACGAAACAACTGACGAGATGACCCCCGAATTGTAAGGATTGAGAAGCATTGAAAACAAGCTGGTGGCCAGGTGGCAGAGCCAGGTCTCGTGCACCACATGTGCTGCGCTGAGTATACTCGGCCAGAGGGCAAGGCTCAAACTTGCACTCTGCGAGCCACGTTACCAGTCGATGTGGAAGGCCTAGTCACCTCCCATTGTTGACCATAGGTAAGGCTGTACATGCCCGGACTCAGGGCTAACCCCGTGACAGCACCTCTGCCCACAAAATCCATGGGTAGCTCATCTACAGCTGTTCCGTCGAAGACGTTCCCGAACAACAAGGATTTTGGATTTGTCAAGTCAGTTGCTAGTCTCCGACTCTAGGTTGACCGCCACAGATCATCTACGATCTACTACAATACAATCGGGACTGGAGTTCGTGCTTCTCCCAAGCTGACGACACTTGAGTGGTCCACCATGTGATACCCTTACAAGAACACGCTCCGATCATGATACGATCAGAAACCCGGATTCGCCAGCACAGTTTGCGAGCGTGACCTGACGGGATTTCCGGTTGTTCTTATCGTCTCTTGACAAAAATTTGCCAGCGCATGAAATACTCAGAGGAATGCGGTGTGAATGTCGGCGTCAAAAAAGACAAGAACGGAGTACGGAATACTTTAACCACCGCTGCCCGGCGCGCACCGCCCATTGTTTGTCGCTTGACAATCTGGCACGACTGCCTTGCAACTCATCTCAACGCTGCGTGTCCTGCATGTTGGCATGATGTATGGAGACCTGTCCACGCTCGACTGACCAACCGACCGGTCTGCTTGCCGAAATCAATGTAGTCAGCCCAGTGGCTTGCGCCAACCCTTCGAGGTAGCCTCCAACATCATGCGAGCACTCGTGTACAGGGTACGCGTGCAGGGTCTTTCCGTGACAGGATTGTAAATCCTTGATCCAGCCATGGGAAGTGCATCCCATTGTGGCTTGCGGAACGTTGGCCTGCATTTGCCTCCCCCCAAAAGTCCGAGTAATGCGAACTGGAGAGCAGAGCAAAATCTTCCGAACGGCGTCCGAGAAATCCAGACCCGAGTTTAAAACCACCTTAGATTACAATAAAAGCTAACTTATTCGAATCGTGGAGGGGTATATGTTATTCTCTTAGTACTCAGGAGTCAGGACCCTTGTTTACTTTTCCCCAGAAGGGGTCTTTCTTCGCTTCCCAACCAGTGCAGTCGTCTGGCGACTGAGTTTTCGCTTCCGCCCAGACCAAAACAAAACGTGCGACGATCGTCGATTGAACCAAGACTCGGGGGTTTCAACATTGCGTGATTTTTGTTCCGTTGTCAGGTAGCACGAGGGCTTTAGGGAGAGAATACGGTATGGCGCCGCGCGAGGAGGATTCCGTCTTCTGCAGATCGCGCCAGCAACTAGACCCCAAAAATTGGAAAGGGTCGTGTAAAACAATACAATTCACTTGGTAAGGAAAGGAGAGTGGTTGATCTTATTCTTCGGCTGAGAGGCTGCATGGGCGTAAGCGATGAGCGTCTGAAAACGGCAACGATGGTCTTACGGGTACGGAGTTAGACTGCGTGAGAAAAGGGATGGTTTAGGAGTTTTGGACAAGACGGAGGTACAGTAGGATGTGTTTGGGCTGATAAGGCCCCTTGGGACCATCCGTAAGCGAACGAGACGTGTCGAGATAGGCGGGAAGACGCCAGTTAAGCCAGCCACCGAAGTGCCCAAGGCTAAGATTGAAGCTATCTGGCCTGGGTAATGATCGTACGGATGGATACAATGTCTGTAGGAGCATACGGAGTACAGGCTACGGATATGATCAAACACAAATTTGTGAAGCTCACATACCAATTCAAGATATCATTAGTCTTGGCGTCTCTGCGGAAACGAGGAAGATCTGTCCATCACTCACCCCCGCCGCCGGCATCAGCCTCCATCGTCCTTCTCATCAGCAATCATCTCATCGTCTCGTGCGCTGTACAGGGTATTTCCTGGCTCTTCGCCTCGCAACCTGGGCAAACCCACTCGATCAATCCGACCAAGTCCTGTGGATGGGAGCGGTGACGACCAGGGCCATGGACGAGTCGACGGCCGCTGGTTTACCTCTTTGAGCCGACTCGCAGCACACCCTGGTCACTCTGGACAGCCTTTATTGACAAGTTGCTGCGGTTCTCCAGGCTCCCTGATGTTCCCCCTGCCATCGGACTTTTTGGCGTGCCTCTTAGCGGCGGATCTGCGCATAGTCGCGCGGACTTTGAATGACAGGGGGACGATCTGGCGCGCGCTGACCCATCACGACTCCCAAGGAGACTTAAAAAACCACGCCATCTACATCGTACACACTCGGTGCTCGGACGGAAATCCCTGCCCTTGCTTGAATTGGCTGAGAGGACACGAAGCTCGCCGTCGTCTTCACGTCAGACCTCCTCGTCACGTCTGATTGACAGCCACCGACTTCCTACTGGGTGCCACCGGACCTCGAGAGCTCGAAAACAGGCAAGATCCACCTTCATCGTCGCCGTTCTGGTCTTGCAGCGAGCACCATTTTTCGTGCCTATGGTACAGTAGATACTCATCTTGCCTGCTGCACTGCTGCCCTGATGCCATGGGGGCCATGCCTCTCCACGTCTTGGATTGACCCGGCCTTTTCCAAACTGTCGTCTTCAGCCGTTGCCGCTGGCCCAGATGCGACATGCCACCGTGTAAAGGGAGGGCGCGCGTCTCTTCCAACCAGAATTGAGAGCCTGCTGGCACTCGAATGCACCTAGCTAGGTGATTGACGGCTACTCCGCTTCGTTACAATCATGATCCTTGTCAATTGTTCTTTTTCACTCTTGAACCTGCGGGTGGTGCAAACCCTCATAATCTGGGTCGGGACCCTTGTTCATAGCTGGCTGGTTTGACATCTGTGTCTCTGTGCAGATAACGGTGCGTGCTCGTTCACAGGCAGAAAGACTCAGGCCTGTCTTGCATTCCTCGATATCCAGCTGCCATTTCCTTTTCCTATCATCTCCAGCCTTGTTTGTGCAGGCATGAACCATACCTAGGCTACTAATACCCTTCCAAATCTTGACAGTTGTCCTTGCCCACCGAGTCCATACCATGAGGCGTGTCGCAGGTCGAGTGACTTCTGACGACATTCGATCAGCTGGCCTGAGACGATGGGATGGTCGATTGAGAGTCACGACCGACTGGATCAATCTGTTCCATGTAAGTATCTACTCGACGCCATACGGCGCCTCGTACAGTATTGCATGAATGCTCATTTACCTATCAGGAACCCGAGCTGTGTTGGCCTACTGGGGATTGCCTGGTCTATCTACGAGAGCCTGGCCAGTCCAGTCGAGGACCAGCTTTCCGGGTCCACATAGGCTTCCTCAGAGTCAAGGGCTTCGAGTCTTTAGTCGAGCGATGCGTGGTCAGAAACTCGATCCACGCTGCGAGCGAATGCGTTCTGCCAAATTGTCCAGGTTGTGACCCCGAACAGTCGCTTCTCGAACTGTACATCCCAGCGCCATACGGAGCCGGACTCGAGGAAATCTTTGACCACCACATCACGACCAGGAACTTTTTCGCATGGCTATACAACCGACCCCTTGCTGGAAGGACGCTGGGTAAAGCCCTAGTGGAGCTGAAGAGGAGGATAGATGTCTACCGGCCCGATGACAGCTCGCAGAATAAGCTCGAAGTTGTGTCTTACGCAGAGAGTCAGAGGTATCTGGATTTCAGGGAATGCGTCGACCATGCGCTGGCGGCGCTTCATCTGGCCGAGAACCTTGAGATTGAAGACCTTTGGGTCGATGCTTTCTCCCACTGTGTCGGGATGAGCCATCGGGGCCTCCGCTCCAGCATCGAGTACGCGGTCAGTACGCATGACCACCCCTTTGGGGTCTAGAACTAACGACTCCGCAGATGGTCAGTTCGCGATCCAAGTCCCTCGTTAGTCGGGCAAGAACTGAGATGGATACTCGCCTGCAAAATGTGGACAAAGCATTGGTCGACTTCTTCGAAGAGGAAGTTTCCAACAGCTTCCTTCGACTGCCCCAGACTGCAAAGGACCACTTGGACCGGGCCCGCGTCTTCCTCAAGGGAGTATACGTTGAGCGTTATGGGTCATGGCCGCCTTCGGACTTTGAAGAGGAGTCAGTCAAACAGGCCGTGTACACAGCTATATTCGGCGACTTCCAGAACTTGTATCAGCACCTGGTGGACCCGAATTCCGTAACAGGAATGGAAGAGACCGACATCAGCAAGACCGGAGGGGTATGCACGATACAGAACATCCAGGCTTTTGACGCGAAGCACGGCTTTGAACCTCTAGCGCAGCCGCTTCCACTGATACCAGTGACGTTGGAGTCTGACCCAGGTCCTCACCATTCGAAATCGGTGCGCAGAAAGTCTTGGAACCCGATACTCAAGAGGAAGATCGACAGGGAGGCTCGGAAAGCCCGTGACAAGCAAGCTTTGACCAATGCTTCCAACAGGGACGTTCTGGTCATGGAGTGCGAAGTGGTCAAGAAGTTCTCCCAATTCGAGCAACAGACTGTCGACGATGACCTTGTGGGGCTGCCAATTGCCGAAGGGCGCAAGGTGCGCTGGATGCTTGTCTATGCCATCCTACAGGTCCTCCATGCCGTGATGCAGGCACCAAAGCAGGTCCGCAACTCGCGCGGGCTGACATACTCTATTTGTTGCCATCCTCCCAAGAAACTGCCGTGGCAAGAATCACGACGCCCAATGCTCCCCTCCACCACCGAGAGTCTGTCCCAACTGGAATTGGTACCGGACCAGAGCTACTCGCATACAAACGTAACTGCGTCATCTTCCCCAGTCACTGAGGAAGCGCCACGAGGAAGGTCGTTCATGGCTCGCCGGAGAACGCTCCCGGCGCATCTGCCTGGAGCGTTGACAGCGTCGTTGATGACCAAGTCGGCTCCGAGTTCGCGGTCGTCTTCGTTGCGGAGGCTGATGTCGAGATGCTCGCGCGCCGCCCCGGAGCCAATGCCAGCCAAACGATCTGCCTTCTGCCAGATCTACGTCGAGGGGTACGGCAATGGCCTGAACGAGGTCGACAGCAACACCACGGCCGCCAGACAGTCAACCCCGGCCGAGCTTACAGCCGAGCCCACCGCAGAACTAGAAGTGACGAGTCCGGATCTCATCAAGGAGGAAATGCCCGAACCACACGAGCTGGTCGGCCACGAAGTGCACGAACTCAACGCTGTCGGGGTCGAAAGTGTCACGGCCCCAGAAGCACCCCTTCTTGCGCCGGTGCCGGTGCCGGTGCCCGAAGACGAGTCGTCGTCGACTCCGCCGCAGATGTCTCGCGAGTCTTCCTCGGCGTCGACGAGCAGCACCTGGTCCAAGAAGAGCCGTGGCAGCGGCAGCGACAGCGACGGGCTCGACCCCAGAACGCCGGCAGACGACACTGTCTGCACGTTGCAGGAGATACTGCAGTCGACGCAGACGCAGACGCAGACCCACACGCCCAAGCCCAAGGTTCCAAGTTGCAGACCGCCCATAGGGAAGAGGACGTCCTCGTGCGCACGGGGTTCCTCGCATACCATTGCTGTTGTCGATCATCACGACAGCGACAACGAAAATGGTAATCGTGCGGGTACGGGTATTGGGAAAAGCACATACGCCAAAGACGCCCTCAACGACGCAATGTCAGTGCCATCTATCCATTTCAATACCTTGACTTGGGACAGGATCTTGGATCAGCGCTGCGTAGGAAAGAGACCTGTGACGGCGCCTGCTACGAGTTCGATTCAGGTCCGCGCATGATGATGGCCATGTGTCGATCTGACCTTTCGACATGAAGAGGAAGACCGTACGAGGAACGAATGACGAGAATACGTTAAGGCCAGCAGGACGAAGGGCGTAGGAAGAAAACATGATTGAATGACGGAGGACATAATCTGTGGGACTTTTGTTGTTGCTGTTGCCGTTGCTGTTGTTGTCGTTTTATGAGTTGAGGAAAAAGCGCTCATTAATAATTTGACGATGCTATGATCATGACCACGACCAGTTAGAATGCCTAGATACCTAATAATAGCAGTCCCAATACCAATACCAGTCAGCATGATTTGACTGGAAACGAAAGGACGGTAGGACGAGGAACGGACCAGTGCTCGAAACTGAAGGGATACCGTAAGAGTGAGGAATGCACCAGCTGTTGACCACACTAACTAAATCTATATCACAGTTCCATTATTGCATACTCTGGAAGGGTTTATCGTGCCCATACCACAGCTACATTTCTCCATCTTCATCACCATCTTCATTCAAACACGCCCGGATTCTCGCCACGCCTCGTCCAAGTCGTGTTGACCAATGGTTGACAAGTCTGGTGCATTGCAGGACTGGCTCGGCTCTCGCCGTCGGTGCCACCGTCGTCGTCATAAACACTGCGCACTCCAGCTTGAATGTACTTCCTCAGGAGCATACGCTTCCACCGTCCTTTGGGCCCGACGCAGCGAGACCAGCGAACCGACTTGGCGTTCGTCTTCACCGTCGTCGAGTCGTCGACCTAGCAAGAAGCGGATGTACAATTCGAACAAGTCGCGGGGGTCGTGCGCGAAGTTGATCCAGCCTGCCGCTTCCCATTAGGTGAGCGTCTGGCCGCACGACACGCCATACTTGTCGAGGGCGGCGTCGTAGCGGCCGCGGCCGCCGCTGCTGTTGGCAAGGTACTTGGCCGGCGGGGTGAGTTGGGCCAGCCACGACCGCGGGAGCGTGTGCGCGTAGTCGTCCTCGAGCGTCAGGCCGAGCGTGCGAGGGTAGCATGGCGAAAAGTACGAGCCGCCAAAGGCGCCTTCGAGGAGGATGGCGAGCCTCTGACCGGTCACATGGTGAACGGGTGCGTCGCATTCCACTCGGCAAAACTGACGTCGGGGTGCAGAGCCAGAGACGGATCAACGACAGGGACGTTAGCTTCGTCTTCGTACGTGCCATCCCAGCAATACTTCTGCAGGCATCTCTCACACTGGGCAGGCCGCGCGACGTTCAACTTGCTCAAGGTCCTGTCCACCGCCGCACAGCCTATGCATTGAGCCCAGTCTGACTCAAGGGTGCCGTTCCCTTGCGTGACCAAGTCCCAGCTGTTGACCAAGATTTCATGCATCTGGACTGGAGTGAAAGTCGTCTTGAACCATGTATAGTTGGTGTAGCCGCTGTACGGAGCGTTCATCATCTCGAGGACGATTGGACTGTCAAGGTCTCTCGTTGTGGTATACCGAGGGTTGCAGCCAAAGAAGACGGGCTTCTGAGTGTAATTGCGCTTGATGAAGGTTGCAGGAGGAGGAATCTCGGGGAACGGCAGGCCGTGGCGACGGGCCTGTATATAGGTGTTGTAGATGTTGGTTCCATTGTTCCAGCCGTATGGATTCGCATCCTCGTCATTGTCCCACGAAATTCTGCGACTGGTTAGTTTCTGATTTCCGGGATACCGGGGAGAGTCTCTCACATGAAGTCGACATTCCGGACAGGCTGGAGCATTGGCCAGAAGGGAACGGCCTGGCCGGCCTCTGATCCATCAGCCAGGCTGAGTGTCGCAGGCTCGGGCCCATTGGTTCCTGGCAGGCCCGCAAAGGGATTCGGTAGGATTGGAGAAATCGACTGTTGCTTGGTAAGGTTGAAGTATTCCTGGAATGCGTCAAGCATGGCGGTGACCGTCGCTGCAGGGAAGTCGGCACGTTTTCCAAGGCTGTGCTCTGCCGCGTTCGATCTCTTGGAAAACTGTGCCAGTGTTCCGTTGGACAAGGCCTCGATATACCAGAAATTGACGGCGGATGCCGCAAGTCCCAGGATGTAGCTGTGGAACGTTTAGTCTCCATGTCTGGTCGATGTGGCCACAAAGGGGACACTTACCTTGCGCTATCATATCCAACCACGCAAGAGGAGCCATTGCGCAGTTTTCCATCTTGGAGTTGAGTTCCCAAGTATTCCGTGGGCGCGAACCCCGTTGCGGACCCAGCAGACCCTATCCAGGTACCAAATTCAAATGGAGTCATCTCAAACTAGGGAGCGATCGTCAGTGTACCCGCTCTCCAAGACAGCCCGATCGATACGTACCAGACTGGCATTGGCATAGGGGACCTTGTAGCCAAAAAACCTGATGTCATCCTCGGTAAGTCTGGGAGACTGGAAAATGGGCATTGGCATGGAATAATTCTCGAAGTTGCTGAGGTTGCGAATGCTCGAGAGCGTGACGTTGAGACCTCCATGCGGAGGTGGCAGGAATTCGTAGCCAAAACCTCGCCCCATGTAATCCGACACGCTGACATCAAAGCCTGCCTCGAACTTTGCAGCCACATCCGTGAGCAAAGACGTCGTATTGGCGGCGTAAATGCTGTTGTTAGGTTGATTGAACAGCCGGTCAATATCAGTATGCCAGTTGGCTACCATATCGTTGACCGTTGGAAAGTTGTAGGTGGCCAGGGACATGGGTGGCCACGCCCCTCCCGAGAGGCCAGCAAGATAGGTGAGACTCTGGAGCAGTCCTCCTGTTCGTTGGTCAATTGCATCAGAGAAGCGAGCGTCGAAAGCTCTCAAAGCTCCCGTGCCTGTGAGCGATGAAGCCCAGCCACCTCCACTGATAGCCATGCCAATGACCGGCACGCCGGATTTCTTGTTCTTCTGCATCGCCTTTCGTAGTCCAGGGACGTCGAGGCCACTGATGTTGAGTCGTTCTAGGTAGCCGCCGAAAGCATCAAGGACAACGCCTTTGCGCCCTTGAACCCAATCATGTTCTTCATCAGACAAACCCTCGGCCGGTCTGATCCACTGCTCCTTAGGAGGACACTTGGTGTAGACTGGTGCATAGCTGTCAAAACTATATGCGTGAACGGTGGCCCCGAGCGCTGTAAAGATGCTTAGCCGGGGTCCAGGGCAATGGAAAAGGGGGAATCATACCTGCCAAGAGCAATACAGACCCACGATGAAGCCACATGTTGGTTGTGTTTGTCGTATTCGATGCTGTGAGTGAGAGCAGACTTGGGAAGAGTCTCGTCGTGTATGGAAGACTTCTCAGCACCTGTCGAGGGCCGGCGGCCCTTTTTAAAGCGTTCAAGGCATCGCATTATTGAGCTGAGCGTCGGCTGCAATCGATGTCATCGCCCTCCCGGATAAGACAGATCGGGCCCAAGGCATCGTGTGATAAGGTCAAAAGGCCAGCAACGTTGCGTGTATGGAGGATATGTGACTATAGCTCGCGCACACTACCAGATGTTGATTGCGGGTACCGGCAAACTGTGTGTTGGTTACAAGCAGATTTGTTCACCGGCGCTGGAGGCCTTAGACAGCAGCCTTGCGATGATTGGAACCCCAGTATAGTTTCATCTGTCATGGTACAGAGTGTTCTCGATCCGGAAATGCGTAATACCCATTACCATTCGATACTACATCGAACTGGTTTGGGAAATATCCACGAGCCGAGCGAGAGTCAAAGCTGCCCCGTCCAAAGAAGTGGGTCTGATTCTTCGCCCCCAGCATTCGGCCTTGATGCTCTTTACTTCTTTGCGTAAGTACCACGAGGAGCAGCGAATGCTCTCCCCAACCTTCACTGGTGGTGAGTTCTACTGTCTTAATAGTTCACCCCCTGCACTCTTCACAACATCGAATGAAGATCCGATCAAGACCGGGGGACTGTCAATGCGGTAGTGGCTATTTTCGTCCTTTGTCTGCCGATTGGCCGAATGCCTGCCATACAACGGTACAAAGTGTGGCCTTCGTTCATCGTGACTTTGGGCGCTATTGTCTTATTTTATCTTCTTTGAGGCTGAGAGGTATTTCTCGTGATGTCGATGCTAAACTATTGGTTGTTAGCTTCAATACGGAGGGACAATCGTAATTCATTCTCAATTTCAAACTATATGACTTCTCCAACGTTCAGCAGAAGCTGCTTACAGGATAGATTTGTCCTCGTGTGCTCCCATTCGGACAGCATCTCAAAATCTCCAACGCCGACGTCGCTCTCAGAAAACGCTGTTTTCCAAACGATCCATGCAGGTTTTCCCGCCGCGCCTTCAACCCGACTGGGTCAACTGCGACCAACTTACAAAAGAAAGTCATGTGGATTTGTCAATGAAACCTCGAACAGTTGTGACCTCGGATGCAAAGATCGGCCAGATGATTTCGGTGGCCGCGTCGGTTGCTTTGGGATCAAAGCCGGCGGTCGCGTCCGTTCTGATACCAACCACCTCATTAACGCCCAAATCGCCTTCACACGCCCAGGATAAGTAGTACTTACAAGAGCGTAACGTGATAGCCCAACTCATATGCATACCTGGCCGTAGATTCGAGGCAGGTGTTGGCCGTCATTCCAGCCAGAACAAGGTGCGTGATGTCGCGTTGACGCAGTTGAAAATCGAGATCCGTGTTTTGGAAAGAGCTGAGCGACACGGTTAGAGATGATTTCGAGGCGCTTAGTATCAGTATGGACCGAGAGGATGACTCACCTGCTGTTCCAATGTTTGCTCACGACAACGTCCCCGTTCTCCAGACTCGGTTCAAGTCCTTGGTAGATCTCGGCGCCGAAGCTTCCTTCGGCGAATGTAGCCGTCTTCTTGATGTTTTCGTGGATATGAGCCATGTGCTTCCAGCCATCGAAAAACCCAGGCTTGTACTGTTGGTGGAGGCCGTAGTAGATCGGGATTTTTCTCGACCGAGCAAATGCCACGAGCTCTTTCAAATGGGCAATGGTGTTTTTGCGCCCAAGATCTTCCTTTGTGGCAAAGTACATTTTGCCTTCTGGATGGAGAAAGTCATTGTACGGGTCAATGAGGACAATGCCCGTGTTGGCAGTTGGTGGCGGCATTTTGTGCGATATCCTAAGACAGAAACAAAGAGGCACAATATCAAAAGTCGGAGCTTTCCTAAGAGTCCACGGCGTAAGCAGCAGACACATCGCATTATATACTTCTGAAGATTGGGATTCAATTTTGGCTTTCTCCCGCGACTCCCGCCCGTTTCCTTTCCTCCCGAGTTTGTATTCTATGTAATACCTCATGTTGTCGTATTCATAAGCTAGAATAAGTGGAGAGAATGCTAGTCGACGTTTCCCGGGTCTCCTGGTGGTTGTCTCCACAATTCCAAACGCAACGCAGCGGAGGAGCGCCGCCAAGTCCGCCAGGATCTGCTCTAAAGCGCATCCTAAGCTGTGTTATAAAGACGAAGAATGTGATTTGGAATTCGCACCGAGAGCTTAAGTTTAAGTAATCAGAGACTCCGAAAGTTGTTTCTACCGGAATCGGGAGGGAAGGGTTTCTTGTAAGCTTCCCCTCTCCTCGAAATTGCACTTCCTGCTATGCTAGACGGTATGCTTTCCTTGCCTCGTCCTTTATCCATAGAGTCACTGAATCTCTCACTCGATTCGGGCGAGAATCTCAGAGACTCGTGACATCTCCTTACTTGCCTTTACAAGCAGCGTTGATTTGTTATTTTCTGAATTATTCTCAATCGAAGCTAGGCCCCTCGAACGCCTTCGAGGAGTTCTAAAAGGCATCATTCCAAAGGTCGCTCATCAGGATACGCGTGTCTCCCACCAGGCTGCTCCCTATACCAAGACTTAGTATCGCAGCCTCGAAATCTTCCAGCAGCAAAGCGCTAGCAATGCGGCGAAGTTGACAAGTAAACCACTCTCTCTCAGGGAGCCCGACTGCCCCGATACCTCCAATAAAGATACTCAAGAGCAAGGCTTCGCTGTACGGCATCCAAAATATACTCAAGGTTGACTTTTCGAGAGTGCTCCTAAGTCGCACCACTAGAGCTCCTATAACTGCTGAGTACCTCCAGGTGCGGGCGATATTCAACTCGATATAAATGACCAAGGTCAATTTCATAGCCTCACACATATGTTTGTAGTAAGTCGAGCGTTTCCAGCTAGCGAACTTTTCAGGTGTGATTTTTGATTCTTCCCATAAATTGCTCAATAGCTTCCTCTCTGTTAGGAGGATGTCGGAATTGAAATGGGTGGTGAAGCATTCTAGTTGAAAGCTACACTGGATATCGGTAAAGATTTCTCTCAGCCTCTCCGAGGACAGATCGTGAAGGCCTTCGAACTGACAAGAAACCTCGTTCCCAGGTATGGGAAAACTCATCTTGGGCGGCTCTCCAGTCATTGCAGCGACAACATTGTCAGCCATGACTGCGCGGTATGATAAGAAGGGAGGCAACTTTTCGAGCCCGCCCCGAAGTTGAATTAGTCGTATCAAGCCCGAAATGTGTGGATGAACTTCGTCCCCTTCATTCACCGACGTATAGCAGCACACTAAATCGAGGATCGCTATTAGCGTAGCATTTGCGGTTGCAGCCCTCGTTGTCAGTTGGTTGGAAATAAGACGTGTTGATTCGCCCATGTAATGTAAAGCCATTAACTTTTGCTGCTGATTCCGAGAACTTGCACCGTAGACCTCTTCAGGAAGCCTTGAGTGATTCATCCAATGGTGTAAGATCGATTTTGCCAGTATAGAACCCAGAACTGCTTGTTCTACCATTAGTCCATTATACATGGGCCATAAAATGGCTTGTATACTAGTTTGTAGAGGAAGGATGACATGGAAAACTTGATTCCGAGTCAGCAATAAATCCAATAATGGCCGTCAAACTCTTACAGTGATGCAAGTACCGCACTTGCGAAGTTTCGACACGAAAGCAGAGACTATCAAACGGATCGCTTATTGACTGGTCAAGGACGATTGCGAGTTTTATCCTCGGGTCATCGCCACTGGTTTCAGAGCCATAATGTTTATGTCGAACACCTTTCTTGTTTTGCGCCTGCCAACCTGAAATATTGTATTCTTTCGAACGCTTCGGATCATGCTTCGCGCGTAGCGCAGTCTTCTGGCTCCAGGCAACTGCTTGTCGCTGGCTACACTGATTCGACAGCTTCGCAGCCTGTATGGGCATGTCAGGAAGGTTCCAGGAGCGGTAGCATCGTAGTAGAGAACTCACATGGCTGCGAATCATTTTACTTCGCCAAGGACTGGTACGGCCAATATTTGAAGCATTTTCCACAATGAATGTGTAACTTCCAGGAGTTGAACGTGCTACCAGCCAGAGTGAGTAACTGTCGAGCTAGCGAATGGTTTGATTCCTGCTCACTAGTTTGGCTCCCGGACTCATCAGACGAGCTGTCATAAACTTCCATAATGTTGCTCAAGCCAGTTCTGAAAATCCGAGGAAGCATGCTCGAAATTCGACGTTCTAGGGAAGTGCTGAAGATAAGCACTTTCCTCTTCAACCGAAGGCGGCATCTGTAAGACGGATCACTTCGATCCGCAAACCCGCATTTGCTCATTCGGGCATGCGGCTACTTCCAGTCAGCAAGCAACAGAGCCGGAGACTGGGTAATATCTAACTCAAGGAGGAAGGCAGCTCCACCTATATCACTAACCTTATGGCAACCCCTACCAATGCAGCATAGGCTTAGCACCATCTTGTGAGTTGCCTATCAACAATATTTGTCACCAGTGGAGCGGGGATATCATGTCTCCTTTGCATGATGAGCAAAGCAGGCAATCACCCGCTACTCGGTATACAGCAATACATGCTATTCATACTATAGAAATCCACATTCTGAACTTGGTGACCGGTGTCCTCCATCCTGGTAAGAAAGCCGTGGTTTCCAAACTCCATGTTCATTAATAGCAAGTGTCAATCTCACTATAAACATCGAAGTCTTTCTTTGGAAGGTGCCTTGCCAATTCAACTGGTGTATACTTGAATGTATCTGCTTTGGTCATCACGCGAATCAACCATGTGGAAGCTTAAAAAGGGAGAATGTCCAGCGGCTAGAGGAAACCAGAAAGGCCCTGAACAACAGACTGTCGTCTCTTAACAAGTATGTTCCCGTTGAATCGAAATTCTACACAGCCGATTTTGCCTTCTTCATATTTGACATGCCCTCGTTCCGGCCAGTGTTTGTGGTGCGGATGTCATAGCACGTGTTTGCTTCCCTTTGACAAATTTGAGAGCGGTACAGATATCAACGACGCTTTACCAAATGAATACAGCCCAAGACTGGAAGATGCAACACATACGTCTACATTGCTGCGTACATCACACCCTCAAAAGTGCAACATAAGGACAAATTCTTCCAAGAAGTCTACTCCTTAAAAATTTACTTTGCCACATAAGATACCAGCGCCCTCCCAACTCCAAAGTTCCGAATTACTGTTATAATCATATCATATGCAAATGGGATACAAACTGAGCGACAGAGACCGCAAACACACACACACAAAATCGAATCGGGTGAACTACTACCGATTCCGTGACCAAAGGACGAGACAAGGAAGTGTACCATCTGGCATAGCAGGAAGTGCACTTCCGAGAGGGGAAGCTTACAAGAAGTCATTCGCCCCCGATTCAAGTACGGACAACTTCTTCGCTCTTCAAGCAATGAGGCGTTGTTACATAAGACTGTTCAATGGATTACATTGCATGGGCCATCTAATTGCAGGGCTATTCTTAGTGGAGGTCCTGACAGTTGCAATACCCGAATAGCCGAAACGAGACTGGGACTGAACTGCTTGTTTATACAACGCCCACTGCAGAGCGACTATCGCAGTGAATTTGTACACTAGTTATGAGAAGTGCGTTTGAACTTGATTTGCGGATCTAGGTCGTGGTAAAGACATCTGGGGAGTACAAGGATCTAGTTGATAGTGAAGCTTCTGTGCTCACCTATGTGGAGCCGGTTTCTGAGGAGCACTGACAAGGCTTTCATCCCTTCTTGCATTTGTAAACATGTCAAATTTCGAGTCAGGGGATCTATGCACATTTGGGCAACTGAACTGGCGGCACGAGCGAGCTAGTGGCAGGATTCTTCATGACAACTATTCCTCGAGAGTTTCTTCAGACCGGGTTGGGAATTGCCAACGATAGGCGGAGCGGAGGCCAAGTCCGCCGCTACTTCGACGAAGGTCCCAATAGAAAGCTTTCCATACTTATACAAACGCCCCCCCTTTACTGGCCGGGGTTATCATTGGGCCAATCTGGTGGCTCTCCCGATTTAGCCCTCCCGCTACTTTGATCTTTCTTGTTGATCATTAATCAATAAACAATATTGCTGACTGTTACATACGGCCGACAAGAGTGTCGTGCAAGCCTCGTTTGCTGTCATAAGGATGCATAGAAGCGACCTGGTGCTCAGCGAACGAGAGATGCTGGTCCGCTAAGCTGCCCCATCCTAAATTTGACCAGGCTTGGGACTCAAAGTTTCCACACACGCGTGCTCGCCCTGTCTTCTGCAGTCGGAATGTACCCTGCGTCAGCTTGCGACTATTGCAGGTTTCGGAAGCGGAAGTGTGACCGCGCAGAACCAAAATGCTCGCTTTGTACATTGTAAGAGGCTGATGCGGCCGCACACAAGCAAGAGGCTAACCTACGTGACAGGAAAGACCAAGTTTGTCGTTACTCTGAGTTGGTCTCTGAACACGTAGAGAGTCCGGCGAGCTGACACATCACAGGCAGCACAAATCGGCCTCCACCGCAGATATTTTCACTGCAGATGCGATCGAAAACGTTCCGAATTTCCCAAGTGTTTATTTTCTCGATAGAGATGTATTCGACAACTCGAAAATTGGGCTACCGTCAATAGAGATACGGCTGGCTCCTGTTGTGCTGGAAGCGCTCCAGGATACCACCGACATCTCCACTAAATACTTCTCATGGGTTCATCTATGGATGCCAATTATCTCGATGGCAAGGTGGAAAAATGAACTTACTGGTCCTCTCTCCAGGCCGAGGGCGGACGTAAATATTCTCGCCCTATCCATGAAACTCGTATTGTGGGCTCCAGGAGAAGACCCACATTCGAGGAACCCAAGACATCATGAGTATCTCACACTGAAATCTGTCTTCCTTCGGGCAGAGACAGCTGGTATGTTCTCATTGCAGTTGCTGCAGGCTCTCATTTTGTTGACTATATACGAATATTCGCATGCAATTTATCCGGCGGCCTACGTATCTGTGGGAACATGCGTGAGATACGGGCTGGCCCTAGGGATAGACAAACAACGTCAAGTTGAGATTGACGCAAAGAATTTGGACCTCGAAGAACAAGAAGAGAAAAGGCGGGTTTGGTGGGCTATAATCATCCTTGATCGCATCATCTCAAGGTCGGCTACGAGTCCGGAACCTAGACCTGACGACCTTCTACCAGTTCACGACAAGGATTGGGACGATGGAAATATCAACGCTGATCGTATCTACCCTGTCTCGGCACCTGCAAGCACAAATATGGGAATGCTCGCTCGCCTAGCACAATCGGCCTATCTGCTAGGCCGAGTGTATCGATGGCAATTCCATCCAACAGGCAATGCCCAGTTTGATGGGGAGGAACAGTTTCAGCTGGATCGTGCGTTGCGAGCTCTGCTTAATCTCACCTATCTTGAAGGCGCCACCAGACTGATGCCAATCTGTCCACAAACAGCGCTCTGCTTCAGCGCGCTGATAATCCTCCATTCGCAGCCTGGCCGCATCTCCCCGGTCGTGCCCAACTTTGGGGCAGCTATGTCGTTACAGACGACGCCATACCAGCGACATGCCGCAATCGCCGAGGTTCTACAATTCCTTAGGCCCATTGCCCAAGAGTCAACAAGAAGTACGGCAATGTTTTTCAGGAAAAAACCATGGTCCATCGAGAAGTCCTCCCCTCTTCTCATACACTGGACCTATCTTATCGCTGTAACCTATCTGAGAATCAAAATCTTGCTCCGAGCGATGTCTGATCCGAAATCTGCCGGCACCTATCACGATCAAGGTGTTACCGAATTGGTGGCGCAGGCGGAACATGGACTGGACACTATGAAGCAAAAGCTCAGGCTGCTGGGAAAACAGTGGGTGTCCGTGGATGAGAATCTGCGCGCACTGGAGGCCAGGGAAGTGGCAAGCATGTTATAAGAACCTTGCCAAACGGAAGCGTACATACCTGTAGTCATTGACATTTATCTAGTCCGCATTTGTATTGAACCGTAATGCTCTGGCGCCGCCTTCGCTGCCGCCCAGCGGAGGAACTCTTGTACGTTGACAGCTATGAACAACGCCAGCTTCGAAGCAACGTTTCAAAATCATTCCACTACCCGCCTCGCTGAAGTCAAGTTTTCTCCAAGTGAATTCGCCATGGCTCAAATCCGAAAAGGGCTTATTATCAAACGAGCGTCTATCACCCACTATGGCCTTTGAAAAGTACTGCTCCATTGTGGCGGAGCGGCAGACTGGCGGAGCGACGGCGCAACGCCGCTGGAATCGCCACACCAGCTGGGGATAGAAGATCCCTTGAATGTCCGCCTCAGGCTTCAGTGAGCATCATCAAGACTTCATGAGCTCGCACTAACTAGATGTAGTGAGTTGTATCGGGATGGGTGCTCATTTTGCCATCGCCAGACAATGTTGTATCAAGCAATTTGTCAAACAAGCACAGGTTGACCATGCCACGTAACGCAGCTTGCCTTACAAAAGCAAGCGTACTAAAGTCTCAATCATTCTGCTTGTGCGGCTGGTACAGCTTGTGGAAGCGAAGACGCCTCGTCGCATGACCTCTCCTGCTAGCTGGTCTTCGACAAGTCCACAATCAACCTACGCTATGGACAACCAAACCGACCCTCCCAGCACCACAGCAGAAAGCACATCATCCTCTCTTGGAATCTTGTTCGTCCCAGGCACCCGCCGAGATTACCCTACTAGGGTGGCTATAAATCGTCACATCAACCAATATGTCCGCATGAAGAGGAGAAAGACGAAGGAGGAAAGCTTAGAAGCAACACAAAACTTCCAATCTGGCGGGAGTTCTAGACGAGATTCGCCGGTAGAAAGCCTCGCAGTTGTCAAAAAGGATGCTAGGCGACGCGGTCATTGGAAACAGCCTGATCCATCTCTGGGATTGTATCGGTTGGGAACATGGCATCTCGTTTCCGAGCACCTGGAAGAACCTATTTCCCAGAAGCTTTTCCATTATGCTACAAAAGTCTTTTGGCCTGAGTTTGACCCGGGGGCGGACCCTGCGGACAGCCCATTCGTTGCCAATTCCTGGGTTGCTCACATAGCCGAGGAGCCCCTCTTGATACATGCCTTCCTGTGGGCCGCATCACTGCATTTGAACATCCGGAGCCGGACTGTGACCAGAGCTCGCGGCATCCTGAAGCATGGTGACCTTCTCATCCAGGGCTTGACGGCCGAGCTTTCCACTCCAGCGAGAGCCACTCGCGATGCAGTGTTGCTAGCGATACTATCCTTGCATCCGCAAGTGGATTCTGCCACTGTCGCCAGCAGGTTTTCGATTGAAGGATTTTCCCCTCCCCTAAGAGACCTTCAATCAATAGACGTGTACACCAGACTGCCGTTTGTCCCCAGTCACGGTGCCGCTTTGGTCAATTTCATCAAATTGCGCGGTGGTCTTGACAAACTAAACATGCCAGGCTTGGGCTCTTTGATGCAGTACACCGATATCCTGAGCTCTACCATGCACCTTCAGCCGCCTCAGTTCCCATTGGGCCACCTCTACGAGCTCGCACTCCTTGGGGAAGTTGTGTCCTCGAACTTTCGTCAAGGGGGTCATGTTCGGGAGGAGTCGACCGTGGGTATCCAGAGCTTGATACATCTTGGGCTCAGTGGATCTGTCCTCCAGGTCTTGTTCGACATGCGGCAACTCACTAGTCTGATCACCCGGTACTGTGACAATGACAAGACGCTGGACTTGGCTCGCCTAGCTGTACACCGCAACTCAGTGCAGCACCGCCTCCTGTCCACAATCGCAGAGTTCCCACGTTCGCGCGCGCAGTCCAGCAGAAGATTATCAAATCAAGTAACCGCCATTGTACAAAGTGTTTTGCTAGCTTTTGGGCTGGGGGTGACATTTCCAACAGCGTATGTTGAGCCCCACGAAACTATCGCCTCTCAGCTAAAGTTGATGCTGACCACGTGGCGGCACTTCCCCGGTCTTGAGCTCTGCAGGGATTTGATCACCTGGGCCTGTTTTGTCGGGGCTCTGATCTCCACGGGAACGTCCAACGAGGCCATGGTTTCGTGGTTCGTCGGTGAGTTGATCGAACTAGAGCTGCTGCATGCTCGGGGCGCGAAATCTCAGCCTTTCGCAGCGCTCTACTGCAGGTCATGGGAGAGCATCAAGCCGATACTGGAACAGTTTGTATGGTTAGGACCAGCATGCGATTATGGTTCTATCCTGATATGGAATAGAGTACAGGAGGCTTTGGAACGGAAAACGGTCCTTCGGACGATGCCGTTCAATAGAGACTGGCACTCACTTGAAGGTGCGGCTCTGTATTAAAGCCAAAGTTCGAAAAGCAAACATCCGGTTTAGCGGTACAGCAATGGGCTTAGCGAAGAAGGCTTCCAAAGAATCATGGTTAAATAGACTTCAGGTGGTACACATGGGTGAATCTGAAGACTCGACCCAGCCCGGCACGAGAAACTCGAGAACGGTGCGACAGGGCTGGAATGCGGGGTACGTTGAATGCGCAGTTTGCAAAAGACTCGGAAAAATTAGCAATAAGGTATTACTATAAATAATTAACATAACTAAGTAAAAAAACAATAGTAGACTATATTCTTCTAGCATACTCCGTAGCATTAAAGAAATCAAGTAGATTAACGTGGGACGAGTCCAACCGGCGCTAAGCTCTTCGAGACACTAGTTAATTTGGCATTGGTGCCGGTACCTGCAGCCTGCAGCGATGGCGCCCGCCATTCAGCTGGATGTGGCACATCATCTACCGGGGCCCCAGGTGATAATTGAGGTGAGCTTCACCTTGGTCTTTGGCCGTCCGCCCTTGAGCGCCGCGATCAGAGGCCTCCGAAGTTACGGAACCCCAACCAGCTCACCCAGTGTCTGGCCCTGGCACTCGTGTGATCCCTACTGGCGACAGTATTGATTGTATTGATTGTATCATGCTGGTGGATTCGCCGATCGCGCCTATTCCTCCTGTTCCATCTTCTCCCCGTTTGTGTCCACCACCGCCGGCATTTGACACGGTCGAATGCGCCTAACAACGCAAACCTATTCGTCCCGACTGTCTTGCTGGGTGTCGATCAAAGCCACTGATATCAGAAGCACCTGCGCCGTACGGACCATACAGTGACAGGGCGTCTCGACTTGTGACGACCATGGCCACGGCCGACCCGGGGGTTTCTGGTCCTTCTCTGCACAATCACGATGCCAGTCAACATCCTCCTCTGCAGGCCCAGCCCCCGGCCTCAGTGAGCAGTGATCCTCCCGTCAACTACTCCACCGATGCCCTCCTGCGACAGCAAGAAGACGAAGACGCAATACCGTCAGCTGCGAATTCGAGAGTGAACGGTGTGGGGGAGAGTGAGAAAGAGTTGCCAAAACTACAAGCGATAGGAGAGATAGAGAATGGTGATTCATATGATCCAGTGATTGAGGACGATCCAGCCTCGTTCGACCTGGTGTCTGCGCCGGCTGCAGAACCAGGCGACACGTTCTCCCTAGAAGACCAAACCCAAGCCCTGTTTTCCAAGAGCCATCTACAAGTCATTTTCGCAGACCCAACATTACTCCTCAAGTTTACCTCGTTCCTGGGTGCCCACAGGCCGCAATCGGTGCCCATCCTCGTCCACTACCTCGATTCCCTCAAATCCCTCCGAGCCATTCACTATGCCAATGCGATCTGCGAAGGGCTGGATCCCGTTGAAGGACATGACTTCACCCAGAAGCCGGTCAAACCTACAATAAATCTGGCGTTGGAAGACAGGGCACGTCGGGCTTTTGATGTGCTGGTGACGGAGGAACTACCGGCCTTCATCACGCACCAGTACATTCAGATCGTTAGTGCCAGTATTACAGCGAGGATCACGGGGGCTTTGTCGCCGCATCTAAGGGACGCTTCGGATGGGCTTGCGGAAGTCTTCTGTTTGACAGATCCCTCGCGGTCAGATAATCCCATCGTCTTCGCCTCGGATGAATTCAACCGGACGACGCAATACGGCATAGGATACGTCCTGGGTCGAAATTGCAGATTCCTCCAGGGGCCTATGACCAATCCGCACAGTGTTCGCAGACTACGTGAAGCAGTCAAAGCGGGCAGGCAGCATCAGGAAGTCTTGTTGAATTAGTAAGTTGAATTGCAGTGTGAGAAAATGCGCCCTGACTGACAATCCCAGTCGTCGCGATGGTTCACCATTCGTGAACTTGCTCATGGTTGCACCGCTAGCCGACAGTCGTGGGGTGATCCGCTATCACATTGGAGCACAGGTGGACGTCAGCGGACTGGTCAAGACTTGCTCGGGCATGGACTCATTACAGAAACTAATGGACTTGCGAGCTCGAAACGAAGACCCCCCGGCGCCAGAGCAGCCAAACCCTGAAAAGAACGACGAGCTTCGAGAATTGAGCGAGATGTTAAACCAGGGCGAGTTGAACATCATCAGGCGCCATGGCGGGAAGATGCATCGTGAAGTCGCCGAAGAGGACATTGAAAGTGTCAGCTCGCACCAGCCTCGGCTTGTACCACAGGACCCCAACACAACGACACCTCTAGCTGGGAGTGTGAATGGCCGGCTCAGTGGTGTGTACCAAAATGTGAGTCAAGCCCCAATGTTCCCGAAGGAGCCAGACTGATCCTCCCATAGTATCTGCTCGTCAGACCGTACCCTTCGCTTCGAATCGTTTTTGCTAGCCCTGCCCAACGTTTACCGGGTGTCTTGCAATCTCCCTTTCTTAACAAGATCGGAGGTTCGAATCGCGTTCGTGAAGAGCTTACACTCGCGTTTGCGGAAGGTCGAGGAGTGACCGCGAAAGTGCGGTGGATCAGTCGTGGTGACGAACACGGTAAAAACAAATGGATTCATTGCACGCCCCTTGTTGGTCATCAGAATCAGATTGGGGTGTGGATGGTGGTGATCGTCGACGACGACCAGAGCAACGCTGAGAAGTGGCCAGCAGGCGCTGGGCGTCGACCACCAACTGTAGCAACCCCTGAGAAAGACTTAAAGTTGCCTGCGAACGGACAGAGAATATTCAGTTCGTCGGAAAATGGGCAAACCCTCCATTATGAGGCCAATGGCGGCGGAAGTGTTGGAAGTGGTAGTTTCACGAGCCTGAGGATTGGATAAGGCGCGCCTGGAGGAGAGCTGGGCATGCATGGTCAGCGCTGTATCTGAGACCGTTGATAATAATACTTGGAAGAAAGAGTCAAACACTAGTTCTTGTCTGCCCGATATTCAAGGAAAGATACCTACACTTGCCCCCGGTATCTAGTATGGCGGAATGAGGTCTCATACCACACAATTAATGTGGGTGCGTTTTGACAGGGTCTAATAAGTCGATGTACCTGACAATCTGTCAACGCTACCCGTACGTACTTCCACCTGACCCCGCTTGTCAGATGAGGCTGTCCAGTGTTCGGACTATTATATTGCGGGCCCCCCGTCGATCTGCAACGTTGGTGGTGGCCAGGGGTTTCTCGCCGTCGCTCCAAAATCCAGCGGGAGAAGGCTCATCCGGCGTGTACTCTGGTGCGGTACGCCAGCAACAATGGGCGGCGACGATTCCCGCTTACAAGAAATCTACGGTGGATGGCCGGTGGCGCAGAACTACGGTTCCGTGTACACAGCTGTAGACGTCCACCTCCAGCCGCGGGAGGCCGCCGATCCATGTTGTCGTGACTTTGCGTCTATCTCAATATTTCAGCTTTCCCTACCGACGTCCCATTGTAGCTTGAGTCATCCTCGCCGCCACCGGCCGCGGCCAACATTCCACCCGAGGCTTGACGGAGTCCGGCAGAATGTTGCATGACATGATCATTTCTTCGGCCGGCCGTGGTATCTTTACCGTTTGCCGGTGGTCGTCGCCCGTAACGGCCTCGGTTCGACCAATAGCAGGACAACCGGAAAGTGGGTCTTGGGTCGTAGATGATGTCGCTCCCTTTACGTGCATCTCGGGCGAGCAAACGTCCTGACTGGCCTCAAGAACGTCTTGATGGGTTCACTCAAGCCCAAAAAAAGGTATGGCTTGAGATCGGAGACGGATGTCACGAGGCTGGTCGACGGCGCAGACGGTGTGTCCCACTGTCGTGGAAATACATCTCGAACGGGAGATTTCAAATGCCCTGCGCTCACGAATACATACTTCATTTCTCGACAGCAAAAATCGCGACCGCTTCAATTCTATTCCTTGACGTCCCCTGAACAACCCGAGTGTCTGAGAATGAGTCGAAGGGTGGAAAGCGCTCACGTCCACCGGCGAAGCCGATACGCGGACGGCAACGGATCCCAAGTCATCATCTCGATACAATTTCAAACAACAGCTTCAAACATTCTTGGTCGGCGACCGGCGATTTGATTAACTTGATGACACCGGTGGTGACTCTCAATGGTTAGCATGACAACCAGGGTGGACAAGCACAGTGCCAGGCCCCACGGACTCTGAGATGATTTACCCCGAGCAATCACCCTTCCACCTCAATTTCTTATTCCCTGGCGATTCAGAGTTGTTTCAACACCAGAACACTACAGGTGTTTGCTGACGAGTTTTCCACCGGTATGTTGGATGATTTTTGAACACGTCGACAGCACTACTGAGTACTTTGGACCGCCTAAGGGATAATTTCATCGAAGGTGAAAAGCACCAAGTATAATTCGACCACAGGCTCTGCTCTACGCCAGCAGGCTAGACGGTTCTTTCCGTCATCAGGGAGCTTATCAGTCGACCTGCGGATAAATGGCCTTCGACAACTCCGGTCCCTACGTACCTTTTCTCGACATCACCCTTTACCGCACTTTCGTGAGGATTTTGTCAAAGAGCCAGAGATCCATAATCGACTGTATGCCACCACTCTCCGAGTATTGCCTTGTCCAATCACGAAACAAAGTACATTTAAAGTCACCCAAGAATACTGCGATATTTTACCTGTGTTGCTGCGGCCGCTCCGGCAGCCGAGAGCATGGTCCAGAAGCAAATCACCCGGATTTGCAATGGCCGCACGTTATACCAACGATGAAGTCTCCAGACAACTTTCACAGCTCTGAGGCCGTGCGCCACTGAACCAGAGTCGCTCACTTCCCCCTGCCGTGGAAGCGAACGATGACGCTCCAATTCAATTTTCGTCCGTAACATTAGGCAGTTTGATTTGTTACGGAGCGTTGAGAGCGGCGTCGATCATTACCACGGTGTGGACAACTGATCTCCACCTGGGATGGCTCGTGACCGTTTCGTACCAACGAGTAATGCTGGGGTGTGTCGAGCGCCATTCCCTGTCGAGAACGTACGCAAAGCCGCGCGACACCAACGAAGCAGCAAAAAGGTCCGCCAACGTAGTTGACTCTCCTGCGAGAAAGGGGTGGTGTGAAAGATGCTCCTCCATAATTTGCAGAGCTTCAAGAGCTTCAGCTTTGGACGCATTCATTCGACATTCATCGTAAGGGTCTTGTCCGATCAAGGGGCGAAACCAGCCGCCGAGTTTAGGGAGGACTTCTGTGTTTGCGAAAGACATCCACTTAACAACGGTGGCAAAGTCTTTTTGGCCATTTCCGAAAAGCGTTGTATCTCGAGACTGCGAAGCAACTAAATCATCATGATTCATCAGCAAGGCCCCCTTTAAACGTCGCAGTACAAGTCCTGGGCATCATCGACTCTCCTGTAACGGGAAAAGATGTCGAATCAGCGTCCACCTACAATAAATTGCTATCGCCATTACCTCTGTGAGAACAAAACCATCACGCCCGACGAAAGTAGGAACCCGTCCAAGAGGGTTGAGTTTGAGGTACGCGGCATCGACTTTCGGAGGCCGAACTTCAACGAATTCGATGTCGAGATTGGCGTTTTTAGCAAGAACGAGGAGCACCGTAGAACGCGAGTTCCCCTAGTTAGCGAGCGTAAATCTATGAGCCTGTGCTGCTACGGCCGGAAAGCGATACAGTGTTTCTTCACGACGTCGGACAACTAACTCACCTCGAAACCGTACAGTGTCCCGAAAGACATGGCGAATTTCAAGTGCCGGCAAGACCGTCACAGCGCACGCAACTAAGTGGGCCTTTGTAGAATTTCGTATACTTTTGCACGGATCGAAAAGAAATCTGATGGCTGTAGTTGGCGCGACGCAGCTCGATGGCCGCATGGAATACTCAGAGTATTATAGTGCAAGTAGGGCGGATTTGCTCCCGGTGTACACCGTACTGCATGCATGCCGAATTCGTCAAGGAGCTAGCCTCAAATAGTTGGTATGGGGTCGGTCTATCTCGGCGACTCGCCGGTCGTGCTGCTATCCCCGGGTCGCCATATTGGCGCGATTGAGTGCACATGAAACCTGTCCGTGGTTGTCAGGACAGGAGCGGTGGCGGTGGGGACTAGAAGTGAACCAGACGCAAAAAGAGGTGATTCACATGCCCCGAGGTCGACTGACCAGCACCGGAAGCCCGGGAGAATGTGCTTGTCCTGTGTAAGACTGGTTTTTGAGAGGGGGTTAGGACTTTGTCATGATTGCGGCCGTGTCTGCCACCGTTTCTGCTCGATACGATTGGTACTGAACGGCGTTCAAGGCGAGAAAGGATTGACGCACCAGAAAGAGGTATCTACCCCAATGATACTTTCCGCTTCTTCAATTCACTCAGCCTTGGGGAGACCAATACTGAACAAAATGCTGATGAGGAGCTCGTCTCTCCCTTTCCCGGCGTGGACAGTCATACACCTATGCTTCGTCTAGTGAAAGGAGTTGATTGCATGGCGCCCTAATACCTGTTACAGGGGACGAGTGCGAATGGGATTTCATTGGTGCGACCTGAGCGCTTGACACACACCCAGCATATGCTGGATCCCATATACACATACACCGTCTGTTTTTTTTTTAAACATAGGACGACCCTGCTCCTTGTCCCTAACAGGCAATGCCGAATCTTCAGACGCCTGGGGTTGCCGTTGTTGGTCTCGGCGCTCAAGGTTTAATCGCTGTCAAGAACGACCTCGAACAATGTTTCAAGGTCACAGGACTGTGAGCAGAACGACTACCTCGGGGGTATATGGCAGTATTCTGCTAAGAACCACGTCTGTGCTCTTTCATCTACCATAGAATTAGGACAGATGACCGTGGAGAACGCCGCGAGAGATTTATGACTTGAGTTCTTGACGTCTCAGAGCTTGGATAGTTCGGATTTCCCCAGACAAGGCGCTAACCATCGCCAGTGGCCCTCTCGCTTCCATCCCTTCTCCCTCCAACCATTCGCTTTCCGGGGGAAGAAGTCGAGAACATCTTGCAGGCTGGCATCATGTGCCAGGACCGTCAAAATGTCTCTCTCGCCGTCAAAATCAGCCAGCTTGTTTGCACTTTGCTGTGACTCCCCGAGATCATGCTCTGGACCGGCAACTCGACTGAATGGCGCTGTTCGCGACAGGGCCTGGCCACCTGGCTGGGAATATAGGTGATGCAGTTAGGCAAGGAATTCGGTAGGACATGTGGTCGACGTGAATGGTCGACCATTTGGGGTGGGAATTGCGGCCGGCAGGGGATGCTTCGAAGAAGGCCTGAAGACGGCATGAGTGTGAGCAATATCGCCACCCATGAATATAAACGTCGACTTGCCGTCCTCGGACGTCGTGCGAGCAAGTGCTGAAAGGTGTCCGATGGTATGACCGGGGGTTGAGAGGACATAGAAGCTGCCGTCCGAGAAATAGTCATGTGCCATAAAGCCACCAAACGATAGCGCCTTCGGGTTACTGGGTGTGAAGTCCAGCTCGATTGTCCGACGGCTCTCATAAAGGTCAGAGGTGGTCTCATATTGTTTGCGGTTCGCGGGCCAGCCGGGCAGGAAAGCCTTCACATAACCGGGTCCGACGAGAACATCCGTTGAGGACGGAAATTTAGTTAAGTCTCCAGTGTGGTCGAAGTGGTGATGGCTCAAAATAATGGCTTCGATGTCAGCGAGATCCACGGAGTTGTCAAGCAGCAGTTCGGCGATATCCTTCCCGACGCGGGCCTCCAGCCCCATTCTCTGCACACCTTTCACAAAAGCCGGTGGAAAAGCCGACTGCCAGTCCCGACGAAGGCTGAGGTCGAACAACAGGTTGGCTTCAGGCTGTTTGTGGCGGATGAGAAAACTATACGATGGTACTTCGTCTCCTTTCTCGAAGCCTGGGAGAACAGGGTCCATCATCGAGGAGCCTGCAAAACCCCACATTCGAACCCCATTGTCGATGATATACACGTCAACCGTCGAGGAGGACGGCGGGATCTGGAGGCCCAGCGAGGCCGGTGCCGTGGCCATTTCACATTTCTGTGCTTGATTCGACTTTCTGTCGTACTTGTGCTAGGAAGCTCAGCACTGCCGAGCCCGACCCTTGGAGGATGGCAACGTGGGAAGATATCCTCACTGGAGTGGGAGAGTCGCCGCAAAGAGTGGAATCTTTTAGTTTCGTGCGGGGGATAAGGAAGCGGCTAGACTAGATATATATCTACTTGTAAAGGTACAGTACTAAGCAGGGTCTTGAAGGTGTACAGTAGGGCTCGTATTCGGTCCCCTCGCACCCTGATTCACGATTACGAGCCTGAACGTACCGAGACAGATGCGCCTTGACTAATTTGGTATAGTGTCTTTACGTGTCTTGGCATGCAAAATAAACATCCACGTCAGGCTGTAGATCCGGCTGACGACGCGACCCTAACAGAAGCTGAACTCGTCATCCTTTTGGGCCTCAGCCCCAGGCTGGCTTGTGGGCTTGTTTCATCGACCAGGAGCTGTGGGGCGTCTCCCTTTGAGACCTGATTACGAAGATCAGGGATGCAGTTTGTGCTGAAGGATTTTTGAGTCCAGGAATACGAATGGATTCGAGTCTCTGGAGGACGCACTTCTGTCAGGCGAGTCGGCTTAAGAAGCAACCGCTGTTCTTGATCTTCTTTCCTGCCTCGTGCAACCTCCGCAATTCTACGCGGAGTCTGAGGGCTGATTGAGACATTTTTATCCTCGAATCTGCTCCCTTCGCACGGACATCTGTCCTGATCTATCGTCCCTCCACGAATACCGAGTACCACTAACAGCAAGTCAAGACTTCAACATCGAGGGACCTCTAAAGCACTTGAATACTCGCGCCTATTGATTCAACGTTTGAGAAAGCTGTTGTTCCCCACGCCGCCAGGGCCCGACGCATTCCCACAGCCGAACCAGAGAGAAGTTTTGCGTGTCGAGACATCGAATGATTTTGCTACGGATTTCTATACCTTGTAGATACCTCGACCATGATCCAGGGGAAGCGCGTTGGGGTGTTTATTGCGCTGGCAACTATCCTTAGCTTGTTGATTTATTATCGGGCGACCAGTTCTGCCATTACCATCCGATCACTACGCAGCACGGTTCCGCAAGTGGTTGGTTTGGGAGATTTCTTCGATGCGGACGGTGAATCGGTCCAGGAACCAGTCCAGCTAGGGTCTCGACCGGAGGACTATCAACCTTTTCATCCTCCAGAAGATGGCTCCCCCTCCAAATCCAACGAACCCGCCACTTTTGGAAATCCGTCGCCAGGCGCGAAGACTTTCACACGCAATCTCGTCATGGCCAGAACGAAGGCGGAAAACGTGAGCTGGCTCGACACGGTCGATCTGGGTCCGAACATCAACAGGATGATTTATGTTGCGGACGACCCCAAGGCTCCCTTGCACCCACCAAAGAATAAGGGTCATGAAGTGATGAACTATTTGACCTACATCATCGACTTCTACGACAATCTTCCAGACGTCAGCATCTTCATGCACTCTCACCAGTTTGCGTGGCACAATGACGACCTATTAAACTTCGACGCGGGCGAGATGATCAAGCGTCTCAGCAGCGAAAGAGTTCAACGTCAAGGATATATGAACATGCGGTGCCACTGGGTGCCCGGCTGTCCCGAATGGATCCACCCAGGCCAGATTGAGCCTGACCGGGAGAAGCTGGAGCAGTCACTGATGGCCGATGCGTGGGCTGAATTGTTCCCCGGCAAGGAAATCCCCGGTGTGCTTGCCCAGCCTTGTTGTTCACAATTTGCGCTTAGTCGAGATAAAATCCAGGAGCTCCCTAAGGAAACATATTCACACTTTCGAGATTGGCTGTTACGGTCGGAACACCGCGATACGATGAGCGGGAGAATCTTCGAGTACCTCTGGCAGGTCATTTTTACAGATCAGAACACCTTTTGTCCAAACCAGCGGACGTGCTACTGTGACGGCTTCGGTGTTTGCTTTGAGACTGACGAGACGTACGACAAATGGTTCGAAATCCGATATTATAAGCAACAAGCCGAGACGGAGCTGAGGGAGTGGCAAGAAGCAGCCGACAAGATCGAAGAATATAGGCACAATGGGAAACTGCAGGAGATCGAGGCGGGCGAGCTAAAAGTGCCCGAGTATGGCAAGAATGAAAAGCTTGCTGCTAAAATACGAGAGTACGAGGCTGATCTCGAACAACGGCGCTTAGGGGCTCTCCAGAGGGGCGTCGACGCCAGAATCAGAGCCGAGAGTGACGGAAGACCATGGAGCGAGGGTGACGGGTATTAAACCTCGTTTCGTTGTTCGATAGTGAGTTCGCAGCATTTTGAAATGGCGTTAGGGTAAAGGTCCGCACATGGACGCGGGACATGCTTGGACTGGTATACGGAGTAGTACGGCGTAGGGGTGTTTCGCATGGGCCTGACTGGTACATATACCCATCGCTGAGCGCAACGGGCTGGTTGGGGTTGGATATACGGTACGGATACAGAGGCGCAGCTCTCGATGTCGGTTAGATTGTGCAAAGACCACTGTGTGTACATCAGACGGAGGGATTCATCCGCATAATGATGCATGTACACTTTATACCTTCGTAGCTTTGGTTCGGAGTAGAGAGTAAAGTCTATCTGGTCGCCGCCTCCAATGTTCGCGTGACGCCACTGGAGTTGGAGTTGCACCAGGCCGTTTCCAAATCGGCCTGCGGAGGAACATAACAGAAAAGAACGATGTGAACACCTTTGGGCTTCCCAAGTACCACACCTTTACCCATCACTTTCCATCTGCAAGACTGCAAATCTGACTCGCGTCTTGATTGTCACTCCCTGGACTTCTTCTGCTCTAGCTCCCTCTTCTCGCGGTTTCGACGGGGAGAGAGTTGCCCGCTGAATGATGGCCTCTGTCAGTCGAGCGCCATAATCATCTCGCGACAGGGTTTCCGTTTGTATTTGTACCCCAAACCACCATCATGCCGGTACGCATGAGGATGAGATGGACCGCGTACGCTGGAGTGAGATTGCATCCTCTCCTGATTCTACCGATCGCTATCTAACCAAGTGTCGTGACAGGCATCAGCTGCGCTGGCCGCCGGTGTTATTCTCAAGGCACTCGCACAGCGACCCAACTTCTATTCCGCCGCCGTCTATCTCTCCCAGTCTTCCGCTAATCTGATGATCCTGACGAACCTCCTCTTCGTGGTTGCTTGTACCTCCTTGCTTGGACTCCAGAAGCTTCTCTACGGGAATCTACGACCTATTGAGGTGGAACAATTATACGAGAGAGCATGGTTCGCAGTGACGGAAACATGCTTGGCCATGACCGTCTTCAGAGGCGAGATCGGCCTGTCCTTTCTGGCCATGTTCTTTGCACTTCTTACTGGGAAGATTTGGGGCTGGATAGGTGAAGGGCGTGTGGAAGTGCTGGAGCAACAACCGCCCCGAAACCCACGACTTTTCCACACCCGACTTGCTCTGAGTTTGGGGCTGGGCGTCGCTTTCGATCTGACCATGCTGGAATATATCGTAAAACAGGTCATGAGGATGGCGCGCCCGGATATGATGGTCATGTTCGGCTTCGAGTTCGCCGTCTTGTCGATCACGAGTATAAGCACCGCAGTCCGCTACGCCATCAACCTCCTCGAGATCGGCATTGTGAGAGAACAAAAGCGACAGCGCATCGAACAGATCAAGAAGGACAGACTCCAGTCCGCGGTGTCGGAGTTTCAAGCGTCCCAAACACCACAGCCCGCATCGACAGACCCTGATGCGACGTCGCCTACCCCTACCCAGCGTACACTTGAGCAAGTGACGCAGGAAGCACTCAGCCAGCCTGTCGATGAGAATGAAATTGAGGTGGAAGGGTGGGAAGACAAAGGTCGATACATGTTCTATCTCAACCTCGCCACCGACTTTTTCAAGCTTGTCATCTACCTGGCGTTCTTCTTTATTCTTCTTGTATTCTATGGCCTGCCGATACACATTCTCAGAGATGTTTTCTTGACGATGCGATCATTTTTGAAAAGAATCTCGGACTTTATGAAATACCGGACAGCCACGAGGGATATGAATGCTCGGTACCCAGATGCCACCGCGGACGAAATTGGTCGAGAAGATGTCTGCATAATATGCAGAGAAGAAATGCATCCGTACCAACCCCAGGCTGCGCAGGAGGGTCAACGGCCAAACCCCGTGGCTGAAAGGATGCGACCCAAAAAGTTGCCCTGTGGCCATATTTTGCACTTTTCTTGCTTGAGAAGTTGGCTTGAGAGGCAGCAGATATGTCCCACATGCAGATCCAACGTGGTGGCACCGAACCAAGGCGGCGGTACAGGTACGGGACAAGGCGGAGCTGCACAACCTAATGGTGGTCAAGCTCAGCCTCATGACCGAGCAGGCCCGCGTGTCTACCAGTTTGGTCCGCTGAGAATCGGAGTCGGTGTTATGCGAGGCATCCCTGCCATGCAAGACATTCAGCAGCACCTTGCAGATGCAGCAGCCGTCCCTCAACCTCCAGAAAACGGCGATAGGAACGCCAATGCAGACCCAAATGCTCAACGTCAACCTGGGATTGGACTCAGGTGGGGAAGCGGCCGTCGAAGGCGTCAAGGAGGCACTTCCAGAACCACTGACGCTCGCATTGATGAATTGGCACAGCAGATACAGCGCGAAGCAATACAAGTGGCTCGAAACACTGCAGAACTGAACGTTCTTCAGTCGATGCAGGCGGAGTTGGCAAGGCTACGGGCTTTAAGGGGGCCAGTGGCAACTGATCGCAACAATGTCACCCAGGCTGCGAACACCAGCAACCGTGCAAGTTCCGGGGTTCCTGACTTGCACCGTGCAGTTAGGCTTGACCCCGGTAGCGAAGACGAGATCCTTACTGCCGGAAGCGACCGATTACCTCCTGGTCTTGTCCTGCCAGAAGGTTGGTCTATGATGCCATTACGTCCAATACTGGATATAGCCGTTGATGGACAAGGGCCCCTTCCGGGTGTATTTGGGGCGCAACCAAACCCTTTCAGTGCTGCAAACTCGCCTCAGGCACCAATGCTTGGGGGCCCAAACCCTTCATCGAATCAAAATATATCAAATCAAACCACTCCAGCATCTGACCAAGCAGGTATCCCGCAGACGAATAGAACTCAAGCACCGGCGACAGATCGACCTATGCTCGGCGATCAAGTCAGTGGCCGTGCAGAGGAACCTGCTCAGGAAAATCCGGTATCATCCCCTACACAGGCGGGCGACATTCCCTTCGACAACGCTTCAGGCTTGAATCTGCCAACATGGGGAAGCTTTGCACCTTCTCAACAGCAAACACAAGTGAATGGACAAAACCGGAACACGAATGGATCAAGAGCTGAAACAAGTGGTAGTGCGGAGTCAACCTCGACCAACGGTAATCCGCACAGTTCGGTGTTCCCGGCGCAACCGTTACCTTCCTGGGGGTTTGACACCGGAGTCAATGAACACGAAGGACAAGTCAATGGCGTACGAGCCGAGAATGAAGACATCGCTGAAGCATCGGCGTCATCATCCTCATCGGCTCCAGCAAGTCAGAGAAGAAAACATGCGACGGTTGAGGATTCAGTTCAGGATTCGGAATGACGATTGAGGACCACCCATGGAAAAGCCGGGTTTTGATGTATTACATTCTAGGTAGACGAGCATTCTCCGAGCGTTCCCGAAAAAGGTGTTTCTTTCTGGTCTCGGTGGTGCTGATCTTGGTACCTGACTTTGGACCACTATGAAAACGAAGAATTTTCCATCTTTCGCCCTTTCTGTGCTTTCGATTTAGTAGAGCATGCTTTTCCCTTGATCGAGTTGGGGTAGAGGGTTGGTATTGCGAGTAGGGTCGCTCGCCAATGGGAAGTGGAAGGACACAACAGGAGGCATGTATGGCACGTTATTGGTGATGCTGAGGAGCCTCATATACTCCGTAGCCAGGTAGGTATGGAATCCTGTACAGTAGTAGTATTCGTACGGAGTAAACTAATGAATCAGCGGTCTTCTTGTGTTCTGGCCTGCATGATGCGTGCGTTGTGGTGAAGAAGGGTGTGTCGCTTGTGAGGAAAAGTTTTGGCCCTTGGACGAAACCCTCGGCCCAGCCCGAATCGTTCCGCTTTACAGTGTAAACTCGTAGATTGAAGTGGCCGTAGAGCATACGCGCGTACCCAATGGCACAATCACTCGCTTATCGTGCCGGGGGGGGGGGGGGTCCGTGGGCATCTACATTTGTGCATCGGCCGTCCGCGATATGTATGTACAGCCTCAGTGCGAAACCGGACGAGTCTGGAAGTCCATGGTCATGCATGGTAGACGGTGCCCAGGAAGGCCCCGCTCTGTCTCGAGCCACAGATCCACTCTTTGTCCTTTTGCAGGGCTAGCGCCCGGGCCTGATGAAAGGTGTTACAAAAAAGCGTAGCTCCAGACGACCGGACTGAACCTACAAGTCACAACCACATGGCTGACGTCTCTCTCACGATCATACTCCACCTGTCGACTTATTCAGATTCTGAGCTGTTGGGCTCGTAACGCGGGCCTGAACGGGTCCTTCTTTATGTGAAACCATCCTCGGCACAACCCTGAGAGAGTCCACAAGTGCCTCCCCGGGGCAGCCATCAGTGCATCACATGGAATTTTGAAGAATGAACGCGTTGGCAGCAGGGCTCATGGCTCCGAAGTCTAATGGATCCGTTCTCAGGGGAATATTTCAGTGCTTTCTGGAGATCCTGAACGTGTGCCTCTCCTCTCGCCATCTGAATTTATCAGCTACGGAACCAAAAGGTGCGATGTGCTGGTTGTCGTTGCCGCACCCCTCAGTGTGCACTATGATTGGTTCTCTGCTACATCACCTGTACCACTCTTGTTGCATTCTGCTCGTCCTGATGTGCATGTGGCATTTCTTATGGTACCAGCTGGATCTTGACGCAGCCACCTCATGGTGGGGTACGACCATCCGACGAGAAAGTATTTTGGGGCGTTCCACATCGACGGCAGAAGGGTGTTTGCACAAACTTGCCACACATGCCGCAGTACCTCCCTAGCTCTTGATCTTGTTGGGTGTGTCGGTTTTCCACTTCTTCCCCTGATAGTACTGGCCTCGGGTGGCCCATCGAACTCTGAGCAACGATGTAAACCGGCTGTATACATCGTTTCCGGGATGAGGAAATAGCGAGAAGCACCAACCACATGAATGTGAAAATGCTTCCAAGCCCAACGCAGACGAATCCGCCGACCTGTCGACTATATTCTCCTCCGTTCGAATAGTAATCCAAATTGTCGACTTCGCCGGAGACTGTACTATAGAAGTAGCCTAGAAGGCCGGCCCCGACCCCGTAAAGAATGAGGGACAGAATTCCAAACCCTAGAGCCCAGTATTTGATTCGGCTTGAGGCATGAAGGCCCGAAGTCCCTTGTGTTGCTGGGTTGCGGTTGGGTGGATTCGCATATACGATTGCCAACACAATGAAGATGACGACCAGGAGGACCCCAAGGCCCAAGAACGCGCAGCCAGCAATGAACACGCCATCATGGTAGGTGTTTTGCAAGATACCCATCAGAGCGCCGCCGATGACGAACGCGGCCAATGCTGCGATTCCCGAACCGAGGGGACGCCATTTGCTGGATGACTTTGACGGGTTGATCGATCCAGCTGGGTTCTTGCGCAAGCCCTTGAGATATGAAGCAAACAGAATGACCCAGGCGATGGTGCAGACTCCGCCAAGGCAGAGGAATACGATTCCAGGGACACAGACTTCGAACGTACAGTAGTAATCATTGTTCCCGTGTCCACAGAATACGCCGTAGAGGCTACCACCGAGTACGTAAAAGACCACTGCGGAGATGCCAATGAACAGAGGCCATGACATACCGAGGGATCGGGCGTTGCTTGTCGGGTCTTGCTGGGAGGAGGTTGTAGTTGGGAGCGGTACCTGCGACGTTGCCATCTTCGAGGTCACACAAAAGTTCAGGTTCGGCTGACGAGTTAATTTGATAGAGGGAATAATACAGGACTAGTGACTACCGACGACTGTTTTAACTGAAGAACAACAGTCGCGAAGACAGATCTGGAGAGACAGTGGCATATCTACTCGGTGACAGACCAGCACAGCTTCTGCGGACGAAAACCAAAGGTCCACAATCTTGCGTGCATGGTGATGCTGGTCCAGATACGAAGGGGCAGGCAGCCAGCCTACAATGGTGCCAGCCACGGGCACCCAAGAAGAGCTTCTTGGAGCTTGCGTCAACACTTGATGTGTTTGGAACGTATGAGTATGACCCAGAGCCAGGTCTGTTATGCGGCTACTATCAGCAGGCACACACTAGTTTCACTTACAGAATTGTGAATGGCCATGGAAAGTGTTCAACGTTGATATCTACAACATAACCGCTTCACAGCCCCGACCCCCGAAGTGAGGGAGGACCGGGGTAGGTGGTGCTTCTTCTGCCCGCTGAATTGAATCGCAGGTCGTTCCTTGCATGCGAAACCAAGCCCACAGCCTCCAAGCACACAGCCTCTAAGCCAACGGCAGAAGTCGACAGCAGCATGGCAAGCCGAGTATCCATGAAAATTGAGTCGTTCTTTAACACGGGATAAAGACCGCCAACGGAGCCACCGGTGGAACTACCAGCGAGTGCGCGTGGGCCGCTACCTATCCCATGCGGCTGATCTTTTGGACTCTACAACGCTCAGCGATTGAATGCCCCCTTACTCCTGCATTGCTACTTGGCATCAATCTGCAGCGCTGCCAGGGATTGTTCCAATGTTCTGTGCGCAGTATTCGTCGGCGGCTAGATTCGAATTACAGGTGGTGCGTGCTGGTGCGACCAAAACACCTCCTGAGGCGCGATCGTTTACTTTCCACATATTTCAGATTTCCTCTACAATACGCCTGAGTACCAAGCTCGTGTCTCACAGATGGCTAATTTCCGAAGATCTTCGAAAGAGTCAGCATGGATAACCTTACCATGAAAAGGCTCGGCACTCCAGCAAGTGAAAACGTGAATCTGCAAAGTCGCTATTGGCTGCATCATGTCCCAAGACACAACGAAATAAAGCACGCTTAAATTGTCGATTGAGCTCGCAGCCTGCCCTTCTCCCACAACTTGACACGTTTGTTGCCTTAGAGGAGGGCCTATGGATCTGTGCTGCCATTCTATTGTGCCGCAGCGAATTCCTCATGGAGAGCACACCGCGAACTAGCTGCAGTTACGGAGGCGTTGTAGACGCCTTGTCCAACAGCACGATTATGGCTAAAGCGGCTCGATGCTGGGCCAGAACCCTCCAATCTGGCTCGTATCGATCATGTTTGGCCGATAGCCTTCAGCCCGCCTCCTTAGAGATACAGTACAACCAGGATGTCGAGCGCCGCGTGCTCAGCCGCGGGAAGTGGAGTCGCGGCGGGCCGTCTAGACCTAGAGAGTCCCTTGGCACTGTCTTGGCGTACAGTGGCCCTACCGGAGGCCACTCTGTGTTAGGACTGCAGGGGGCGCCGTGAGGCCGTGCAAATCTTCTAGGACACTGCTGGCTAGGGTTACCGTACAAAGCCGCGATGAACATCGAACTAAGATTTTGCAAGCTTTCGGAATGCACAGAAAGCTTCCGTTGCGTAGTAGTCGCGGACCGCCCGCCGGCTTAGCGAACGCTTAGACTAGCCTTCCTGCCTCTTTTGGTGTATTCGAGCATTCGAGCATTCTCCACTCGAATCATTCCAGGCTGGGTTACTGTTAACTGAAATGTCGGAGGACGGAGGGATAAGGTACACGTGGCCGAAGACATGCTGATGTTGGTGGTCTCAGCCCAGGGGCCGGCAGCGAATGACACAACTACTCAAGGATGGAGAGGGAACTCGCATTCTCGCCGTCATCAAGAGACTCGTATCATGGTGATGACCATTAACATTGATGCAGAAACTATAGCTCGTGGCTTTACGCAGCTGCTCTCATTTTGGCATGTTCCACGTCAGCATATCGTCAGATGTTATTGTGCCATCTCAGCATCCTCTGCGTCAAGTTACTATCCCTCTACTCCGCAGCATCTCTTCTGCTTTCCCTCTAGAACATCAGACTCGCAGATACTGAAGTCAGAATAGCGAATGCCAGACAGAATATACCTGTACAAGGAGCCTCGGTCGCCCTTGCCTCGTTCGTTGGGCCATTGAATCCGGAAGTTGGACTGAATGCAGTGGCACTGGAGGCGGCAACGGAGTTGGTGGTGGGGGGGACTTCACTTGTCAACGTGGTCGAACACACTTCGGTAGTGCTCGCCGTAGCGACCCCTGCGGAGTTACTTGTAGAGCTTGTCAAGTTACCACAGGCTCCATAGATCAGGGCGCCGGGTGTCGGAGTTGGAGGCATATAACTCCCAGCGTCTGAAGGAGTGGGAAGGTCTTGTGAGGTAATTGCAAACAAGGCGGTTGCACTGTCCCAGTTGGCAGCTTGAACTGAGCATGTTGTCGTCATGGTCACCGTTGTCATCGCCCTAGTCGTATACGTCGAAGTCTCATAGTAAATTGTGTAGAAGTAATACCAATATGTCCTGTTATTATGTTAAAACGAGCATCGTTTGCAGTAGATCATCGGACACACCAGTAAAAGGTGGTATAGTACCACTCATAAGACGTCACTGTTGCTGAGGTCGGTAATGGAGAAGTCGTCGACGTTGTTGTGGGACTGACAGAAGGAGACGTGTAGCTGGGAGTTGGCGGTGGTGGAGTGGGAGACGCATTGTATGTGACCGTCTGCCCTGCCGACAAATAAACTGTGCACGTAAGGTCTGTACAGCAGCCGATTCGGCCGCTGGAGCGGTCTTGCACGCAGATAAATGGTTGAGGGCAATAACCACCGTCTCGGCAGCATTCTGCGTCCAGAGGATAGCATCCAGTGTCTTCGCAGCATCCTTCGCCAGTGTTGCAATAGTTGCTCGGTCCGCAGCAGGTCGACCCTCCTTCCGGAATACAACCGCCAGGGCAGCAGCCAACAGTCGTAGAGGCGCAACATAAATCATAGCCTTTCCATCATGTCAGTCAGTCAAGCGTGGTACAACGGGCCAATGACTCACGAGAACAATACTTGTTGGGGAGGGAACAGCCAGACTGTCTCGAAAAGAGGTCCCGCGGGCCCAATTGCTCCTCGAGCGGTGTGCTAAAGTTATTGTTTAGAGGCCTCTTCAAAGGAGGGGGGATATCTGCTCCCGCAGCGGAAACAGCTTGAAGGAGGACGCAAATGACAAAGGCTATGCTTCTTCGGCTCGCCATGGTTATCTCTTCCAGAACAAAGGTTGAAGATACAGAGAACATAACCAGGACTTCACATCGGGGAGCTCTGGAGAGTATTTAGGGATGCTTTACATGGCTGACAGGGATATTGTCTGTTCGTTATGCAACACCAAGGGGCAAGCCACACCGCAGGGGGGTTCGTCCTGAAATCAGCGGGATGCCATCACCAACCTGCTCCTGGTATCTCCGGAATTGGAGGAGATCGTTGCAGCCCACCACTTGAAGGGACACATTGAGAAGCTCACGTACGAAGTTACTTGAGCAGCCCACCTGTCCGGTTTGTGCCTGCAACATGTTTTCAGCCACCGGCAGACACAGCAAGGTAGAGCAATGCCCCGGTTCGCTCCTTTGCCGCCGACGGGACTCTGATACCCACCACCATTGCGATTTGTGACGGTTGGTGGTGTATTGTCCTCGCAAGTTGTTCTTCCTCACATCTTCCTCTACCCAGCTCCCCGCAGTTAAATAGGTGTAGTGTAACACGTCCCCATTACGCGAGAGAGGCAAAAGCCTTGGTGCAGTTCGAACAAGTAGAGTGGTCAAAGTTCCAGTATCCTATGTAGACGTCACCGCGACTTACGAGGCACAGGCGACGACGGCATCCCTGATGGGCCATTGTTTGTGCCGCGGCCGCTCAGAGCTGCCTTAATAAGGATGTTGCTATCAATCTTGCCAAGCTCCGTTGGCGATTATTTATGGGGCTCCGAAATCTGCCTTGAATACTTGGCGCAGTCTACCGCATGAAGATACAGAAGTGGAGAAGAAAGACTGCAGATGGAGGCTTCGCAGAGCTGAGCATCTTGAGATTTTTGAGACATTGATAAGTGACTGGGGGACTAAGGATCCGGAAGAGCCCCCACCACTACCCTTGCGGTTTTCTGGCCCAGCACGCTTGCGCCCAAGTACTCATGAGTTTATTGGATGGTCTTCCTCATTTGGGCGTGAAGGAAGCTTCAGCTGAACCGCCGGACATGTTGACTGAGCGTGTGGTGTTCGGCCTTCATCGAGTACAGATCTGGCCTGGAGCCGCCAGCCTGACAGAGTGGCCATTAATCCCTACTAGTTTTACGTGAAAGCGAAGCGGGCGGGTCGCTGTCGTTCTAGCATCCTTTCAACGGGCTACAGTTTATCCCGCTACACGACGAGTTCGATTGAGAACGTCTCTATGCTCCGCAAGATGCGTTTGCTCGCATACTTGCAGACAGTTTACTTCATTGAGTTTGACAGATGTGGAGAGGTAGATCGTCACATCGCCAGGTACACAAAAAGGGTACCACTGGTCTTGAGGGTTTAGCACAAACAGCATTAGTGCGTTCAGCTTCTATGACTCAGTCGCTGTCACCGCTGCCAAGATGGGAGTATTTCCTGTTGGAAAATGAAGCCATTGCTTGATTTGGAAGTATTCGGGAAGCTCGTCAAAATATGTCCTTACAATAAGTGGCATCTTTCCTGATTTATGACACCAACGAACTACGATCACTCACGCACCTCGTCCCCTCAACAACTGGCTATGGTGTCTCAACCATCCATCACACCCAACTCCTGCACACTCGATCTCGCACCGTCGAAACCCCATGCTACTTCACAGCTCTCCTCTAAGGTCGTGGAAGTGTTGGCATGTGCACTAGTCGAATCTGCCTCCCGAACAAAGCACGTTTCTGACAGATACCCTCCAACAACGGACCCAAAACGTCATCATACAAAAACCGTCCAAACTCATCGTGTGCCACTCTGTCTCTCTTCTCCCGCAGCAGTATCGGATGATTCATGGTTTCGGTGAACTTGACGAAGCGTACGGAAAACCAGCGCGTGTGCGAGAAGTCGTCGTCGTTCAGGATCTTCGATCTGAAGACGGTTTCTTCGGCGCAGGCGCCGATGAAGAGCACCCAGAGGACGAAATCCTCGTGTATCATGTTGCCGAACTCTTTCTCCATTTGTCTGAAGAGGTCCTCGAGGTGTGTCTGGAGGTGGTGGAAGGGCACGAATACACCCGCCGTGAACCACGTTGGGTCGAGGATCAGGTGCCGCGCGTAGCTGATTGCGAGGCAGAACGTTGATTGCAGTGATATTGTCAGTGCCGAAGTGGGAGTGGAGGGGTTCCGTGCTGATGTGTAAAGGGCGAGGGTTTGGACACCCAAAGAAAGGAGGCTATGGTGCAGGGGTTTGTAGAAGTCTACTTGGGTTGATTGGTGCGAACTGGAGACCATGGCAGAGAAGTTGTTGAGGGAGTTGTAGTATCGCACGGAATATATTGCCTGTTTGTTTCTTTGCACATGTGTAATGAGGGCTTGGTAGAACCTGGGGTCCTCGCAATCGTCATGAGATGCCGAAAGGGGGTCTATGTGTGACAGAGAGGAATCGAAGGAGAGCTCTGCGGCCATGTGTACATCCTCTTGGGACAGGTGCTGGTTCCAGGCGCCAGCCTCTGCGATTTCGCCTACTTCCAACGTCCAGCTGGCAAGAAGAAACTGAGCGACGATGATGGATTCTTTGAGGAGCTCCTCCAGCTCGCTCCCGGCAACAAGTTCCGTGGCACTCTTCAACCCTTTGAAATGCAACTTCATGGCCGGTATATCACCCCGAAAGAACGCAGAGAGGTATGCGTCCCACAGCGACAGCAAGGTATTGCGATCAAGATTCCCCGAACCTAAGTGATGCCGCAAGAGTTGTAGAGCTAGAGTCGAATGGATATTCAGCAACGTGGACGTCTTGACCCCAAACTGGACGTGGCTCATGTACCGAGACATAAATGCCAGGAGCACGCTGAGGTGGCTATGGAATTTCAATTTGTCAGAGATGGTCATGGACATCTTTTCGTTCCACGCGTTCCCTGCTTCATGATGAATGAATATTGGCTTGTGGCCAGGCTGAGGGTAGAGATAGCCAATCCACAGATTGCGGGAGAGAAGGAACAATGCATGACATGTTGCATCGAGAGGGAAAGCCGCCGCATTGAAGGGGTCGGATGAGCCCTGACCTGGTGTTTGAGAGGGAGATGGAGGCTTGTAGAATGGTTTGATGTGTGCCCACGTCGGATCACTGCTTGCCGTGTTAGTTCAGCTTCTCGACATTGTCTCCATGTCTGCGTTGTTGACGGCTTCGGACTGACTCGATCATATGTGAGTCTTGAGATCCGGGACCAGGCCACTAGTGGTGGGCAGGGTCTTCTCACCTCGCTCTCTGGCGTTGACGACTTCTGTTTGCATCCATATGACCATGATGTTCGTCCCCAATCGTTTCAACTTCGTGTCTCTGACCAAGTAGTCTCGGCTTCGGCTGCTGCTTCTTCGCCGCATTCTTGGCCACATGAGAGTGGACCATAACAGCCTCTTTCCTCGTCCTGGTCCCAAGGGTCGTGGCGTTCTTGTTGACGAAGGTGTAGACAAGCCCCTGCTTGGGACTTGCCGGACGTCTGTTTTCATTTTTGCGTCCTGTTGGCTTCGGGTCTGTCAGTGGTCCGCCTTCCCCTGCCGCCTTCATACTCGGGCGGCACAAGTTGGCGCCTATCATACGAGTCCACATCTGTCAAGCTTTGCTGTGTGTGAACATCGAACTGGAGGCAAAAGCTTATAGTTGCACCACGTATCGGAGCCTTGCGCAGTCGACATAGACTCGACAATCAACCCAGGCTTGCAGTCTTAGTCATCAGAATTTCTAAGCAAACATGGAGTTGGCAGAGTAGCTTCCTGTTTTGGCCGTCATCACCCCACTCAATCCGTACATATGGCCCCATCCGACAAGTTTTGTTGGTCAAGTTTGGTCAGCTGGGTGCATACTACGTTTTCCTGTTTCGTCGCCTATCATCAACAAAGCACCGTTGTAAAACTGAGTGGGAAACCCAATGGATGACGTGCAGCGCGCCCCCATCTGATCGATGGTTCATTGTTACACCTGATCGCTCAGCTGAGTATCTGTCAAACTGTCATGTAGCGGTAGAACAGTGTTGTAACATCCTTCCTTAACGACGGCTCCCATTCTTTCAGGATATTCATGATGCCCACAGTAAACCAAGACAGGCCATGAACACCTTGGAAGTCTTCAGTCACCAACAGAAGTTCGCATAGTATGATCACTGTACCTGATTCATCGAGACCATGTTTGGTCAGTCGCCGCCGAAGCAGACGCAGTTCTTTCTCCGACTCGTCTGGAGGCTGCGCTGTAACAGTTAGCATTGCCAGAAGCCAGACAAGACACGCAAGCCGACAAGTAGCCTGCAGGGACCCTTGTTTAACGAAGGCACATTCGCCGTCATCTTCAGGATCGAGAAGCCGGGTCAGAGCATTGGACGAACGGAATTGCTCAATACAAGCCTGGAAACGGTTGCGCTTCCGATGAAGGAGCTCGTGTGATGACTTCAAAAACACGAAGACACCGAATTGTGCCACGGTCCTGCCGGTGTCGATTGGAAATATGCGGTGTGTATCTCGTAAGGGGTTCGGTATCTCCAAATGGAAATGCCCTGGGAGGATGATGATTGTCCTGATAGTATTTAGAAGCCAGTCAAGAACATTTAAAATCGCCGCACCAAGCAAGTAAGATCTGTACTGGAGAGCTGAGTGAAGAAACGCCACCTCTTTGTTGAATCATGCACTGCAAACCGTTCAGATGCGCCTTCAACGCCTCGGGAGGTGAAAATAGAGACTGCCACAGACTTAAAAGCGAGCCTTAATTTAAATAGTCATGGCATATACCTCGAAGGCCCAAAGCAGAATAACGGCCACAATTGTCGGCTCAGACGGTTTGCCACCCTCTTTAAGACGGTTTCCGATGATTTGAATAGCCATCAATTTGTGGGCGGTTGATTGATATTGCATTGACCTGCCAAACACCCCTTCCCAGATAGCGGAGGCGTTCGCCAATAGAGCATGGCAAGCAGCCACATCTTGGATTGCAAGCCGGACGAGATTTGTGTAAGGATTGTAAAACATTTGCTCGGGATTCATCATAAGTGTAATTCTCGCCATATCGCCAGCCACTGTAGTTCGTTAGGAACAAGTTCCCACCACAATCTTCTGAAGGTTGCATCGCCCTTGAGGTACTAACCAAAACTTAACAATTTATCGGAACAGACTCGATATCGGTCCTCGCATTCGACTTTTCTCTGTGCAAAAGAGTCATCGTCCAGGAGCTTCAGTTGGACAGGACGTTGAAAGCGAATCATCCGCTGTAAGCTGTTTTTGAAGAACGACTCTGGGAAAGATTCACGACGGTTATGCTGAGGTTGTCTCTGGAGTGTTGAGGCTGCCTCCACAGTCGTGGCTTTGCAACCATCCGGATGTGGAAATCCAGACTTGCTTTGGTGTGTTGGCACAGAACCCTTGCATGAAGAGGCCCGTTTTCTCCAGTGAGATACCCTGGCAGCATGGGATCGCTGCTCCGAAATCTCCACCGAGGATGGTCGCCCAGGTCTGGCTGGGGTTTCTGGAGGGACAAATCTCACACCCGCTCGGTATTTAAGCTGCATCTTGTCTGTTCTGGAAATCATCTTCAGAGAGATGAAAACCAGCCTTCGTCAACAAGGTCCGAGATCTTCACTTTATCTACCATTTTGGGGCCGTCTTATTTTCAAGTTCTTCGAGTACCGGAGCGTGGGTTACGTGCGGAGCGTTGATATCTCGGGACTTCCAGACCATCTTGCATCGAATCAAAGAGGCTGTGCATTTACACGCAGCGGATCAGGGAGAGAAGCGGTCAGTTACAGTGGGCGAACGGCGGAACTAAACGACTAATGTCACTTGAGAGACTCATTTCTAACATAACATTCGGCGATATGTTGGGTTTTGCTAGAAGAGAGTCAAACCGGAAGGCAGAATTGCCGCATTCCAGATGCATATGGCCTGACATCGCGCCCGCCTGCCGACTTCAAGCGCGGAGTTCCTTTTGAAAGGGCTGTCCTGTCGGGTACCCGACACGTCAATGCTCTTTGCGCTGGAAACAAGTGCGCTTTTGGGAGGCAAACTTAGATGATTGTGTTGCGACTCGGACCCATGCATCTCAGTACAGCACTCGCATCGGTCAAGGAGGAAACGGCCGCCATCGTCGATGGATTGCATCAGTCGAGGAGGAAGCGAATGCCATCGTCGATGTACTGCATCATATCTACCGGAAGATGTCTTTTGAAAGATTGATACCTGATCTCGGTGAGGGAGCCGAGAGGTCGGACGACGCTCCAGTGCCCTTCCTGGTAAGAATAGGTCTGCTGACTCATTGGCCTCCCCCAGAGAGGAAATGTCCGCTTCCGGCATAGAATGCTTATTAAAAGCTTGTTATGACCGCGGGCCAATCGTAAACATCACATCCGCAGCTTCATCATACAGATGACGGGATTTTACAGTATGAGAAACGTTGCCCGACCTTCAACGGAGATTGTGAGGGATTGTAACGCCGGCAGCCGTGCTCACAGACGGCGCGCCGTTCTTTCGGCGGCAGGCCGGTCCCGATCGAACGCTTCATTCTCGATCTTCATCTACGTTGTAAGCCCGCCCCTGCGGCCTTTCCTCACCCTACGCGGGGCCTTCAGCCTCCTTTCCCATGGGTTTGTCGTTTCATAGTTAAGCATCCTTCTACCAGCTCCATCTTCTCGATCGGTGGCACCCATTACGTCCACACGCTGGCGTAGTACCTCGGCGCTTAGAGACAGCTGGCCCCTCACGTGCGGGTTATCCAGTATACTCAGCTGCACACTCAACATGTCGACGTACTAGTCTGTTGCGCCGGTCCTCTGCACGGTGGTGCTACAGACGCCTTGTTAGTGCAGGGTTTGGAGGGAATCGTCCGAGGTCTGTGGCTACGAGGAGGTCTGAAGCGTGGTCGTCTCAAAAAAGCTTTACCCTGGTGAGCATGTCTAGAGCGTTAGATGATGTCTTTTATCGACAGCAATCACGATGTTCAGAGGCCCCCGGGCTAGCTTCCTTCGCATTACCGCTGACTTATCACCCGGTCACCTGGTTTCATTTGCCTCGCAGCTCTCTCGGGACCCAGGAGGTACTGCTTTCCATCTGCAAGGTGGCCATACCCCTCTGAGATCTCATGAGACCAGCAGGAGAAAGCAGAGTACGGCGTTGAGTAATGTCCTTATCCTCTGATTCGGTAAAGTCTCAAGAGATTTATTCGCAAATCGGGGAGCCCCCGCTCTGGAAGAGTCAGCTACACAGGTACTTGACCTCGCCACAATGGCACCGACTCTCACCGTAAGTTGCAGTATAGATCGCAAAATAATAGTGGAATCGTAGTATTGATCCGAAACACAATGCTGTGTTGACCATATCGACGGACCCGAACCTTATGTAATTTTAACAACGACTCCCTCACTCGCTACAACCCTGGCTCTGGTCAGCCTAGATTGCAAGGATAGATAAAAGCACCAACGAAGCTGTATCTTCTGATGGCCTCGCATTTTGAACCACAAACTTAACATGGAATTTCAATTAGGTGGCTCAGCATCGGAGTACGAGGGTCTGCCAAGTTTACCGGCAAACCCTCCTTTTGATGTCGCAGCTCAGAACGGTACCACTAACTCGTCTCGTGTATTGCTCGGCCGCTTCGAGACCTAAAAGGTATTACTGACGTCGCCTCAGGATTATGGCCAACTCACGTTCAACCCATGCCAACCTTCCGTTCAATGTTGCATGTTTCAACCTGGAGCAATGGGCTTGACACCATGTCCACGGACGGCCTGTCCCTTAAGGTCTATGGAGCCGGCTGATCAACAGTTCGACTTCGACCGGACTCCCATGTCGTGGTTGCAACAGACTGAAAACACTCCAGTTCAGTCTAGCAAGAAGGCGACTGTGAAGAGATCTGAGGTAAGGCCTAGGTTCTCTTTCCGACTCCTTACTGACTTTCAGTCGTAGAGAAGACGTGAGCAGAATAGACTATCTCAACGTGCATACCGAGAACGAAAAGAAAATCACGTCAAGAGCCTCGAAAGTCAGCTTCAAAGCTTGTGCGAGAGCCACGAAATTCTGGTACAATCATACAGAGGCCAAGCGCGTGAAGTCGGCCAACTTGAGGGTCGACTCGCAAGGTTGAAGGCCGAACTCCAGACTTTGCGAGCCAGCCATGTCCGACCTTTGGCAGAGTTTTGCTGCTCGAGAGCTGTTATCAATCTTGTCGAACTTTCAGTCTCTGGACCGATTCCCGGATGCTCGACAGGCTACGCTGACCACAGTCCTGTTAATCCTGATACTGAGTGTTTCTCGCCATTCGTTTGAAGACTCATGAAGCAGTGTGATACCACAGCGTGTTTTTGGGTTTGAGCTTGACACATAAATCTGGTCAAGTAGAAGGAGATTGCGCCAATAGCAACTGCTGCGTAGCGCCAGTGGAGGACTGTTCTAAGAGGTCTGGCGACTTTCTGCTGCAAGCGACACGAAAGTGCGGCGAAAACCCCGGCCTCATTATCGTCTTCTATACCTTAAAAGCCTCGATTTGGTCCTCGATAGTCCTGGAAGCTCTATTGATCTAGGGGAGCCTGCCGTCAGCTCTGGCAGCGAACAGAGGAGTCTCACGAGAAGGTGTTGCGGTCAACAATGTAGATTGGATCTACCACCTCTTTCATGCATTCGTATATGGCGTCGCGCAGTCTTGATCTCTCTTAGCAGAAACTTGGCCCATCAAGGGGCGACGAAATCCCTTGGCGCCACGTTGAAAAGTAGAAGATATGAGGAAGGCTGGAGATGCATCACTGCTTGAGCAGAAGCTCTATGATCTGTCCACTCTAGCGTTGTAGCTGTTCCGTTTGTTGTTTTAAGTAAGTGTCCAAGTTCATTTCGTTGATACGTAGAACCCTTTCATTGCTGTTGTAGCTGTCGGAGACCTGAACAGGCGTCACCGATCAGGCTGAGGGCTGTTCGGACTTGGCGAGCAGGAGACCGACATGCCTTTGGTGGTTCGTAGCATTGCACTTCTTCAGAATAAGTTCTGGTCGTTTCCTCCACGAATAAGACAAGATACCTTGGCCGCATGCGAACCAGCAAAACTCAGTTGCAGCTCACGTTCTTTAATTGTCTGGTCTTGATGAGAAACCGATACAAACTCGAAAGTGATCTCACTAGACACGATGCGCATCTGGTATCTTGGACAGTGGAATCCGGTGAATCCCTTAGAACGCAGTGTTCTGAAAGTACGATGTATCGACCAGATGCTCGGTTCCGAATTCCGTCAACATGCGCGTGCTTATGCAGCCATTCAATCCGCGGTAGGGCATCATTTGTCAGACTTGTTCATCCTCGACCTAAGTCTGTTTTGGTCCCAGAGGGAATCCTAGTGCTGCTTGCTGTTTCCCATCTGGGTCACTGGTAGGTCTAACTGTGGACGAAAGCAAGAAAGGACGCTGTTGGGCCTGGAATATTCAGATGTGAGCCGCCTTACTGTCCCCTAGTCGCGCTAAGTTGGAGGAGTCCTGATCAGTAAAAGATGGCTTCAGCTCAAGTCTACAGGGTATCTATTGTAGTGTTCTACCTGCTCATAATGGTCAGCGTAAGAGTACAAGAAGTTCAGCCTTCAGTGGTCATGAAACAACAGTGAACAAAGCGAGACAGGAATAGCCGCTAAAGGCTGTAGAATATGAAAGGGGGAAAATTGTAGCCTGGATACTTAGAGGCGAGGGGGAGACTATTTCGTACCTAGAGTTGGCGAGGCAAGGAGAGAGGAGGGAAGAAGCAGACTTTATGTAGGTTTGAAAGCCAAGACCCCATTGTAGAGATCAGGAAATAGATCGCCGCCTAGTTGTCGCCAATCATGGAACTTATCTTGAGACGGGGTGTACAGTACTGTGTCAGGAGGACTGTAGTAAACATTGGACCGGCGCCGTGACAGTGTGTGGGAGTGTGAGCAGGAGGGTGAGAAGAAGGTGAGGAGGATGAGTCGCGAGCACCTGGTCTTAACAGCGGGGCCGTCTGCGTGAGCGCGTCGACAGCTCGGAGTAGTTGGACCATTACTTCTGGTGACAAGACATAAAGATATATATACCGAGGCGTCTTGACTTGGTTCACTCGGGCATATTGTTATTGGCTTCAAGGGCTCTTGTCCGAGTCCGTGCGCCCTCGAAACTCTCTAGAGTTTGACGACTCCCATGAGACACTGACGAGTTTGTGTTGTAGTGATCTAGTTTTCAGCTTGCCACGGACGACGTCTCTCTGCACTTTTTTTATCCATTCCTGATCGAACATGGCTCTTTGAGCATCTATACCTCTTCCTCCTCTTGTCACCATTCGTCTACTTTTCCAGTTCCAGTTCCATTTTCAGCAGATCAGGATATTCGTTGCAATGCGACATGGAGCTTACACACGCCAATCCAACTACGACGAAGGATACCAACGGACGCAAAGAGTATGAGCCGCTTAATGAGGCTTTGGAATATTTTGACGGCTACGTTGGGACTTCCGGAGCGGTCATGCCTATAGTGCCCCCAGAGGTTATCAAACACTATCACGCCGATGATGGTGAATCATAAGCGCTCCGCCCAAGTTCGTTGTAATAACGCCATCCTGGTAAAGGGTGTTGCTAAATGGGTTGATTTCGAAGGCAGCGGGATAAAGGTCCTCGGGCCAGCTGGTTTTTACCAGACGACTTATTTCCGATCTAGTATGGCGAACGTAAGCAAGCAGACCAATATATTCGCCTTTGGGTGTATGGTGTATGAAATCGAGACCGGGTTCACTCCTTATCATGTCGAGACGACATGACTGAATGACGACCAGACAGCGGTGTATACCGAAGCAAAATTCATGGCAAATGAGTTTCCAAACACTAGTGGACTTATTCTCCAGGCGGTCATTGACGGGTGTTGGTCAGAACAATTCACGTCGATGCAGCAAGTTGCTTTGGAACTTTCGTCAATGCCATTGTGAAGAGGAGGCTTTTTAAAGTATAGATAGGCGGTCTTTTCTCATTGACACACTTCCCGGAGCCGGAGATCCACGTACGGAGACAGTCAGAGATATTATTGTGTTCCACTGAGAAACTGGTTAGTGTCATTCTCTTGATTCAGACTATTAGACGAGGTGGTGACTGATGGCGTCCTCGTCGACCTGTGGTTCCTCTCTCCGTGGTTTACAGGGACTGCTCCTTCGTATTCGTGCTCCGGACTCTGTCCTCTATCCTCCGGATGTGTTTTGAGTTTATCTGGTATCCAGTAGGTTTCAGGTTGCACGGTTGTTGTGGCGTGGCGGTGTCATCGTCGTCGTCCCACGTATGTCGAGTTTCTTGTTTTGGAACATCCCAACCAACCTTCTTTTTCTCCTTGGAAACCGTGTCTTTTCTTCCTGCATCAATCACTTGAAAGGCCGACAACTTACCCATCGTTATCCTCTACTGCACGCTGTCCCATTTCATTACAGAGTTTCCTACCTGCCAGTCGACGAATCCGCTATCCGTACTTTTTGATACGCGAGTCGCCCCCCGACAACGTACTCCATCACGTCTGCGGAGTTAGCGTACTCTCTCCCTCCCTCCTCACCACCAGTGCTTCTGCGTCCGTGCAGAGAGAAGCGAAACGTCACTTTCCGCATGACATTGGACCGCAATCATACCTGATACCGAATAACTAGATACCCAAGTACGGTGCAGAGGACGGAGAGTACCTACCTCATCCTACCTCCTATTTGAACCGAACCAGGCTGCTGCGCCGCCAGATTAGATCACCCCTTCGAAGTCACCACCATCATCCTCCTGCAGTTTTCTTCCGACTCTTGATTTGGTCTGGGTCTCTCAGTACGAGGTAACTCTAACGTCGGTGCGCCATCGTCGACCCCGCGAAAAGAAAATCGAGTCAGAGACTCGTTCGAAAAGACAGAAAGAGTAAACAAGAAGAAGAAGGAACCAAGAGGACAAAGATGGATAGTTCGAGAGTACTCGTATTTGCTAGACAAGTCGACAACAACACCAACAACGACAATTTTGACGATGGGTATTGGTGGTACAGTTCGGTATGTGGTGGCCTCTGCTCGTTTTCTCTACTGCTATTGCTTTGTTGTCTTGCAACTCGTTGCATTCCACGAAAAACGAGTTGAGCCTCGTACTAACAAGGGGGTCGTGTAGACGGCCTACGCGATAAAATGGGCAATCATAGCCGCCATCCTCGTCGCCCTCTTCCTGTTCTTCATAGTCGGATACCTACACGCCCGTCGTCGCATGCGGAAAGGACAACCTCCACTCGCCTATCATCGATGGTTGGTTCCCCGGAGTCAACGAATGGCTTTTGCACAGCAATACCCGCAGTACGCTGCACAGGCCGGCGTGTACAGTATCGCGGCGCGGCCCATGTATCACCCTTACGGGCCTGGACAACAGGCGTATCCGATGGGTGCATACGGTCCACCACCACCTGGTAAGTTCCTCTTAACTTGACGACATGCACTTCACATGCATATGCCTCCCTACACACCCCCGTGCATACACACGTCCCATGCCTTCTCCTCTCTCTCTCTCCGTCTTTCTCTCTCTCTCTCGAGTGGTGAAAATTGTTTCTTTTGCAACATCTGTACAAGGGCTGACACGAAGCGAAAACGTCACACAGCCTACCACGAACCAGATTACGTCCCGGTATATACACCGCCCAGTGGCAACAAGGTCGATCCGGACCAGAATAGACACTACACTCCGCCTTCTGGACCTCCGCCGACCGGTGGACCCAGTCAACCTCCCCCTGTTGCGACGACGGGTGGAGCGTCATATGGAAGATGAGACGGGATGATGAGTTGCGCAATAAGGGGGTCCCGGATCGATTGACGATAGACGAAAAAGACGCGGGCGTGGTGGGAAGGATAGTGTATTTGTATCTTTTTGGGGGAGGGGGATGGAAATCGACCACGAACATGAACACAATGCGAATGCGAATGCGAATTGTCAGACTTCTCAAGCGTGCGTCTGTTAGCTAGTCTGTCCTTTTGAAAATGAAAATGAGATCGTCTTAATCATCGGCGATTGCTAGGTATGGGGTGACGTCGGGTGTCGGTCTCCTGGATTCTCGGACGGCCGGTAGTCAAGTCGCCTCTTGTGGAAAAGTGGATGGGACGGGCATGTCATTGTTGAAACGTGTACAACTTGAAAGCGAACGTGTACGGATGAATACCTGACTTGAGAATGCCACGAGGTAAAGTCGTTGATTCTCGCAGGACCAGACATTCCAACGAACTGATCCCTCATTCTTCACCGTGATTTGCGAGACTCGAGACTCGAGACTTCCGGAAAGAAAGAAGAAGGCGAAAGTCGGCACGGGGTCAAGATCGTGTCCTTACTTTGCATGAGCCGTATCTACCTAGGACCTAGGGAGGTTGTCCGCAAATGTACCTTTTACTGATTAGGTACCTTAAATTCATCATTTCGATATCTGTACATAAATTTTGACTCGCTTCTAACGCTGCAAATAGTACCTCGTAATAACAAGAGGAATATAACGAGAGGGGTATCTGAGGTACCGGTACTTCTTTCTGATGGTGCCAAAAATTGTACCAAGTGCAGTTGACGTTTCTCGTAGATGGGTTCTTGTTTGCTTTTCTTTGTAGATCACTCAATATCCATAGCATCCAGATATTCGTCTTTGTCAGGATGAGACGACCGATCCGTCATGGCGTCGTCGTCGCCGTCATCAAGGTCTATATCGCTATCGCCCGCACTCACGCCTCCACTCTTCCCATGATGGAGTTGCTGTGTTTGTTCTCTATCTCTCTGAACATGCTCGGCCGACTTCTCCCTCGCTCTCTGCCGTGCTGCTATGATGGCTTTGCGGACTGCATCTTCCTCTTCCGGTACAGTTATACTAGTTGGGTCCCGATACAGGACTAGTGCTGTGCTCGGAGATGCCGCTGCAGCAGTAGGAGACATTAGAGACGAATAAGAAGGAGAATGCGACCCGTGGACGTAGTTGTTGTTCAGGAGGTGTGTTGGGAGCGCAGACACTTTCTTGTCAATGTCTGGAAGGAACACGGTGTATTTGGACGCTGCCTCGTCGGCTTCGATCTGGGCGATTTCAGACGCCAAGTTCGTAATGAAGATGCGGTTCGGAGTGTCGTCTACTGTCATTGACTCTTCATCCTCTCTTTGTCGGTCACTGAGAATCGTTTGGTGCGGAGGGCTTCGGTCGGTCATGAACGCTGCGTCCGACAGCGAAGGTGGCTTTTGGGTGTTGGCGAAGTGAGAGTAGGGTTGATTCTGCCCCTGAGGAGTGGTGTCCTCGCCATATTTTGAATGAGCAACATGCTGCGACGAGGATGGGTGCTGGTCATCGAAGTGGGAAGGATAGTAAGCAGTCTCGCCGACCGGTACGGGAAGCGCAGGCCGAGCGTCTGTGTTGGCTACGTGAGGCCGAAAAGAGAGTCCGGGGTCAGAAGGGGACGAGGGTTGGCCTCCGAGTGTAGACTGCGTCGGCGTGATGTGATTGCGATTCTGGTTCAGACGGAGTTTCTTAAAGTGAGAGGATATGTTGGATTGGGATTCCAGTTCGTCATCCGCTTTCCGCTTCCCTGGAGTCGAGACAAGGTTACTGCGATGCTCGTTTGCGGTGAGCCATCCTGGAGGGGCCGCGGTAGCATGTTGTGCCATCATTGTCCCCGGGGGCGTACAACGTCGATCTGTGTATCAGTGTATTATGTATAGAGTTGTGCGGACTGAATGGAGGAGGATAGATCGATAGGTAGGTAGGTCAGGTATACAAGTAGTTCAGATAGTAAGGGCTGACCTCATATGAGACGGGTGGTTTCTCCAATTCCGTGTCGAGGGCTCCCCTAAAGAAATTGTTTTCTTCTTACTCTTTGTTGCATTGACACGAAAAGCTCGTTGGTCGGCGGCGGTACAATTCCTACCTGGTGATTGATGAAGAGAGAGAGAGAAGACTGCAGACTGCGGATTCTCAACAGTGTCGGTTCGCTGGAAGGTGCTCGAATAGGTTGAATGTCGATTTGGAGAGCCACAACAGCTTCTTCCGCTGCGGCGCTCAGTGCAGCCCCTCGATACACAAATTCCCCATTGACTCACAATTTCCATATCCTCACGCCTGCACCGCCGACTCGATTCCTTTGGTCCTTTGCACGAACAACACCAGACCAAAGACCGGATCACCGTCGCGCAGGACGATCTCGTCGCGAAAACATCTACTGCCGTTTTTACTCACCTGCACTGGGCCGAGTGAAGCGGCACACGACCGTCAGAATGGCTTCCACCACGGCAGACAAGCCTCACGAATGGAGCGCCCCTGTAGTGAGAGACACCTTTCTCAAGTACTTTGAGGAACGAGGCCATACATTTGGTAAATTGTTTCCCACTCAAGTCCACACAGACACTGACCCAGTCCAGTGAAATCCTCTCCCGTAGTCCCTCTGTCGGACCCAACCCTCCTTTTCACAAATGCCGGTATGAACCAGTTCAAGCCGATCTTCCTTGGTACCGTCGATCCTACGAGCAAAGAAGGCCAATACAAGCGTGCGGTCAATTCTCAGAAATGCATACGTGCAGGCGGCAAGCACAATGATCTAGACGATGTCGGCAAGGACAGCTACCACCACACATTCTTCGAGATGCTGGGCAACTGGTCTTTTGGTGACTATTTCAAGAAAGAGGCTATCACTTATTCGTGGGAGCTACTCACAAAAGTCTTTGGCCTTGAGCCCGACAGATTGTACGTCACATACTTCGAAGGCAACAAAGCTGGCGGGCTGGAACCAGATATTGAGGCGAAAGAAATCTGGAAGAGCGTTGGGGTCGCCGAGGACCACATTTTGCCTGGCAACATGAAAGACAACTTCTGGGAAATGGGTGACCAGGGCCCTTGCGGCCCCTGTTCAGAAATCCACTACGACCGGATCGGTGGACGAAATGCGGCACACTTGGTCAACCAGGATGACCCCAATGTGTTGGAAATCTGGAACAACGTGTTCATCCAGTACAACAGAGAGCCAGATAAGAGCTTGCGATCGTTACCAAACAAGCATGTCGACACGGGTATGGGCTTCGAGCGATTGGTTAGTGTCTTGCAGAACAAGATGTCGAACTACGACACGGACGTCTTCACCCCCATTTTTGCGCGGATCCAGGAGGTCACTGGCGCCAGACCATATTCTGGTAAATTCGGCGATGACGACACAGATGGCATCGACACTGCGTATCGGGTTGTTGCTGATCATGTGCGCACCTTGACCTTTGCGATCAGCGACGGTGGTATTCCAAACAATGAAGGACGGGGTTATGTGGTCCGACGTGTGCTACGGCGTGGTGCGCGGTATGCCCGAAAGTACTTCAATGTCGAGATTGGCGACTTCTTCGCTAAGATCGTGCCGACTTTGGTGGAACAGATGGGTGGCATGTTCAAGGAGATCGTTGCAAAGGAGGAGGAAGTTAAAGAAATTCTCAACGAGGAAGAAATGTCATTCGCAAAGACGCTCGACCGAGGAGAACGACAGTTCGAGACATACGCCCAAAAGAGCAAGAGTCAGGGGTTGAAGAGTCTTCACGGGGCTGATGTGTGGCGTTTATACGACACCTTTGGCTTCCCCGTGGATCTCACGCGACTGATGGCCGAGGAGAGAAATCTTTCCATTGACGACAACGAATTCGAGGCAGCTAGATTGCGTGCAAAAGAAGCCAGCAAGGGTGAGAAGAAGGCGGCCCTCGATCTCCTCAAGCTCGATGTCCACGATCTGGGCGAACTCGAAAAGATGCCTGGTGTAACCAAGACGGATGATAGTGCAAAGTACGGCCTGGAGAATGTCACTGGTACTATCCAGGCGATTTACCATGCTAAGAAGTTCCACCCTGACACGCAATCCATTCCTGAAGGCGACCAGATTGGCATCATCCTCGACAAGACATGCTTTTATGCCGAACAAGGTGGTCAAGAGTACGACACCGGTCGGATCGTCATCGATGGCCAGGCTGAACTCGAGGTTGAAAATGTGCAACTGTATGCCGGTTATGTACTACATACTGGCTACATGAAGTACGGTCACTTCTCGGTCGGGCACAAAGCCATCTGCGAATATGATGAGCTGAGACGATGGCCTATCCGGAACAACCACACAGGCACACATATTCTCAACTTTGCTTTGCGAGAAGTCCTCGGGGACGGTATTGATCAAAGAGGGTCTCTTGTGGCTCAAGAGAAGCTTAGATTCGATTTCAGTCACAAGTCGGGCATTTCAGACGCAGACTTGCAAAAGGTGGAAGATGTTTCCACGGAGTATATTCGACAGAATTGTCCGGTCTATGCCAAGGACGTCCCTCTGGTCATTGCGCGCGAGATCGCCGGCGTCAGAGCCGTTTTCGGTGAGACCTACCCGGATCCCGTACGGGTTGTTTCTGTTGGTGTCGAGGTCGATGATATTCTGAAGAATGTCAAAGATGAGCGATGGAAAACTGTCAGCATCGAGTTCTGTGGTGGCACTCACGTCAAAGCCACTGCAGATATCAAAGACCTGGTCATTCTCGAAGAGAGCGGCATTGCCAAAGGCATTCGACGTATCATTGCGGTTACTGGCGAGGATGCTCATGCAGTCCAGCGTGTGGCCAAAGAATTCTCTGAGCGGATGAAGAAACTTGAAGAGATGCCCTTTGGTCCCCAGAAGGAGCAAGAGGCAAAGGCACTTCAGATTGAACTCAACACCTTGTCGATATCGGCTGTCAAGAAATCCCAGCTCCGTGAGCGAATGAACAAAGTCAGCAAAGAACTCCTGGATCAACAAAAGAAGATGCAGAAAGAGGAACTGAAGAAAGCAACCGACACAATCACGGAGTATTTTGAGAAGAACAAAGATGCCAAGGCTGCCGTACTGAGGTTACCGGTGGGCGGAAATCCCAAGCTCGTGCCAGATGTGGTGAAACATGTTCAAACCAAGTTGAAAGACAAGAGTGTCTACATTATTATTGCAGATGCATCCGATCCTGATGGGAAGGTGTTTCACGGGTGTTTCGTCAGTCCAGTAAGTGGCTAACTGATCTAGGTTGAATATGGTGGTCACAAGCTGACAATGATTATAGGATGGTGTCAAAGCCGGTATCACATCTGCAGACTGGTCAAGTCAAGTGTCGAACCTTGTTGGCGGCAAAGCTGGTGGAAAGGCGCCTGTTGCTATTGGTACTGGTACTGATCAGGGCAAGGTCGATGACGCTGTCGAGGCTGCTAGGAAGTATCTGGAGAAATTCACGCTGTGAATGTCATGTACATCCCACGGTGTCAGAACGAGCGTCCAGAGACTTCTGACAGGGTATTTGAGGCGGTGACTGAGGACGACAGAAGAGAAGACATGGATGTATTGCTCATGAGACTATATGGGCCAGGTGCTAGCATGCCTGGGAAGCCAAGTTGGTGTGTGAGAGGTGAGCTGTTACGCCCCGAGGGATATTTTGCTACTTGTAGAGAGGGTACGATCGGATGTTGTGTGTACATTAACAAGAACAAGAACTTATTGCAAGAAGCCTTGTGCCGGACGGAGAGAGAATTTGTTAGTTGGTTGCAATCCATCAGATCAATGGTCTACAGTATCTCCCTACGAGTCCTTTAGATACTACCTTCGAGGTACCAGTACCAGGTAAGCATATGGACGGACTACAGCAACACTGTTCAGACTGGGCATCTGGACCAATCGGAAATACAAACCGACATGGATTAAATCAGCCAATCCAAATCGAGTCTCTTGCCTCTTTGGGATGCAATGACGATGGCATTACAGAGCATCAACAAGGGCGGAGATTGTGACGTCGCATACATGATGGTGTTGATGATGTACTAATTGGTTAATCGTTCATGATTGTTTACGAAATCAACAGCTTCGACAAGAGCTTCAAGAAATCGACATTCGGGACATGCACCTCGGCCGTCTCGGTCACCGCTTGAGCAGTACATCGACTTTCCTATCTGCGTCGGCTCTCAGGAGAATACCGTCTGTGCGGAACGGGAATCAGCTTATATCTTCAACATTGCCAGCTTCGACCACGAGACCTGGAAGACTAAGCTCTGGTTCTGCTTTCGGTTCAGGTTTAGGTTCAGGTTCTGGCCGTGTGTCGGATCTCAGGTTTCCTTTCATCGCCACATCTTCTTCTTCAGGTGTTGGTCGATCAACGAGAGCGCCGTTCTCAACCACCACAGCTTTGCCTGTCGCCATGAAGTATCCCGGAGGTTGTTACTGCAAGAAGATCCGGTACGAGATCGACCTGGAAGATGCAGACGAGGCGAGAACGAGTATTTGTCACTGTAAGAACTGCAAGGTACGTGCGTGTCCACTGTACCGTGTATTGCGTTTCATTGCTTGCATTTCCCATCGCCGTTGCCATCACCAAGCGCCAGTGTCGGCACCGGCACCAATACGAGGGATTCCACTCCAACGAAAGCAAGGAGACGGGTTGCCTGGGGTAAGCCCCCCTTTCGAGAGAAGAGGGAAAAAGGGAGTTTTGATGCTGCTTGTGTGCTCTACTGTGCTCTACTGTGCGGTACCGTACTGTGCTATGCTATGCTATGCTATGCTGTACTCCGCCCTCTGTATCCCGTTGTGCTGTCGTCTGCCATGCTGCAATACCTTATGCCATGTGGCGTATGCTGGGCACGCGGGTGCTGACTTGTGGTAGAAATTCGCAGGTGGTCCGTTTGGTATAACTTCCAAAATCCCCGAAAAGAGCTTCACAGTCACGCAGGGCAAGGAGCTCATCACGGTCCACGAGGCCGACAACGGCAGTGGGACAATGCTGCACCGCGAGTTTTGCAGGGAATGTGGAAGTCCAATTCTTGAACGTGGTGTATGTGTGATGCCTCTCCTGTTACCTAACACACCCTTCCTCCCTCTCCCATTGTCCCATTCGCCATACCTACGAAACTCTCCGTCGATATTCTCTCTCTCTCTCTCTCTCTCTCTCTCTCTCACACACACACACACCGACCGACCGAAATGAACTCAATTGGAGCTGACGGTCTGACATCTTTTGTATGCGTTTCTATCTATCAGGCCAACGCGGGAGACTTCACCTATATCTTTTACGGCACGTTGGACAAACCGACCGAGTTGCCGCCAAAGGGGGAATTCTTCTGTAGCAAGCGGGATGACTGGATGCCCGAAGTGCCAGGTACGGCCGGACATATCTGTTTCCTTTGCATGCCTGAAATCCAACCGAGATACCCATTCACCACCGCCGCCGCCGCCCCCTTTGGGCGTTTTCTGGCCTTTTTCTTTCGCTTCTCGCTCTCCTCTCCCGCTTGGACCGAAACGAAATTACTAATCTACCGTCGCTGTGTATAGGTATCTTTCACAAACAACAAATCAAAGAGTGACGATGAGAGTACCTGGTCCTATGTCCCGCTGGCCTTCAACAGGAGGAGAAAAGAGGAAGGGAGTGGGAATCATGTACTACGGAATCTAAAATACGTGAATCTCTAGAATAAGAAATACTCTCTGACATCGAGGATTTTCTCCGACGACTCATCTAGTTCGCACGGAAAACTCGTAAATTGTGAGCAGCACAGCTTCGTCAAAGTCTACTTATATACACGCAACAGCTCAGTCGTTCGTACTGCTTGGGACACCGAGTGTAGTCATTGATTTTGGCATAGGTTGTTCCCTGTATCAGATCATCCCTACATGACAGGCGCCTCAAAACATTCTCCAGAAGTGACGGACCTGAGATGGTATCTTGAAGACCTTGTCAAGTTCCCGGAACCCCTGTCATCCATCAGATATGTATATGGTTTGCCCCAGCACTCTACTCCTTATCATTAATTGCCGATGGTGACGAGATGGCTGTCGCTGTGCCCATTTATCAGAAAGAGCCTCTCGAGCAAGCAATAACGAAGAGAACTTTATTCTCCGATTTCGAAAAAAAGTCATCAGTAGCGGCAAGCTCCCCCTTTCGTCACAGAAACGTTGCAACTCATATCCAACCCAACGTTTCTCTATACACAGCTGTCATGATCGATAGCGAAATGTCCAATCGGCATCTGGAAAAAGAAATTGGTTCAGAGGCCTAGAGTGGACGAAAGTGCGCGCATGTCATCGCCAGCTGCGTAGTATGGGACCTAGTTCAGAAAGAAGGCTAAAGTGTTCGCCATTGCTCCCGGGTGTGTTGAAGTTGATGTTCTGGTGCGAAGGATCAAAACCAGCCAAGCACAACTTCTCGTCACGGGGGCGGTAACTTAAGAACATTCTTTGGCCGAACGCCAAAAAGTGAGAGCCATATAATGCTGTCATGGTCTGCTGGGACTGAGAAAAGCGACGCGTGGTCATAGCAGTCGCTGGACTGATCCTTATTTCTCACCACCACCTCCAGACATGGTAAGCATTACAGCAATCAATAACACCCACCAGTACTTCTGGAAGAAGCTCTTCTCCGGTTGTTCTTCCTGGACAATTTCTCGTCCTTCGGCATCGACTTGAGGTGGAGCTCGACTAGCAAGCGATGGAACTGGGCCAGGAACAGAAGTTATCAGGTTGACCTTGATAGGCTCGTACAGAGCCAATTGTCTTGCAGCTTCTTCCCTTGCTTTCTTTGTATTTGGTACTGGAGGTCGGGCAGGTATGGGCTTTCCCTTTGCCTTTGCTCTTTCCACCTTCTTTCTGTACCGCTCCTCTTCTTGTGATAGTGGGGGTGGTGAAAGGCTTGAGATCGACGCGGAGAACACAGACCCGTCACTTGGAGAGATCCAGAGGTCAATTTTCTGGTGAAGGTCCTCACTGAACGTGGTCAGAGAAGTGACTGTAGAGCTGCCATTTGGGAGCAGTATGCGGAGAAGTATCGCGGATGTCGGTTCGGGAGTGGTTGATTTCAGAGAGTCCAGAGTTGGAGGAGTCCACGATGACAATGAATGTTTCTTGGATTTCGGGTCGTAGAAGACAGTGGCCAGCGGCTTGACGGAGGACGAGCCAATTACTTCGTATGAGAGGGTGATCGACTTTGGTAGCTTTGAAGCATCACTGGTCGTGCCTGTTGTGCTTGCAGCCAGAGCAGTGAATGCAAAGACCAGGAACAGCACCAAATCACGAAGAGCCCGCATCTTTGGGGTTGGTCGTATAATGAACGGGGCGCTGAGGACAAGGTGAGGTGAAAGAGACGACAAAGGAATCACCGATGAACTTGTATGCTGACCGTGACGGCGGCAGCGACTGCACAAGAGTAAGGAAAGTCAGCCGAGGAGGTCGATTTAACTGCTCTTGCAGTCGCGACTGCCTCAAGCAGCTTTTACTGCCTCCTTCCAGCGCAGCAAACATGTAGTCATAATGTCTTCCCTCCAGGATCTCCCTGGAGATTCCTCTTTTCCTTCTCTTCACCATGACACTCTCCCAGACTATCTCTTTGACACAGACTCAGAAGACAGCATGTCAAGCACCGACCAAGGAGACAACAAGGAGAAGGACAAGGATAAACTCGATCCTGAAGTCCTCAAAGATCTTGAGAAGCATCAAGGCTTCATGAGGCAAGCAATCAATGTCGCTGAGGATGCTCTCGCAGGAGGCGAAACCCCGGTTGCATGTGTTCTCGTCCTCAACGGAGAGGTCGTCGCTCGAGGAATGAATGACACCAATCGATCACTGAACGGTACTCGCCATGCTGAATTCCTCGCCACCGCGGAGTTTCTCTCCAAGTACCCACTGAGCAGATTCAAGGAAACCGATCTCTATGTCACCGTGGAACCGTGCATCATGTGTGCTTCGGCTCTGAGACAGTACGGAATTCGCTGTGTCTACTACGGCTGTGGAAACGATCGTTTCGGTGGCAATGGAAGCGTTCTTGCGGTTCATTCAGACAAGGGTCTGGAGAAAGGCTATCCGAGCTACGGGGGGATTTTCAGGAAAGAAGCCATCATGTTGCTACGCCGATTCTACATTCAGGAGAATGAGAACGCACCCAATCCTCGCGCAAAGGGCAACAGAGAGCTGAAGCCAGTCGTCTGATCTGCGAGATCTGGCCGTGAGGGACTCACACTACGCTACCGAGGCTAGCTGAGCAGTGACAGAGGAGTTATCAAGTATCCGAGTTGAGGGAAACGAGCAGTGGAACCCGTATGCAGCTACTCAATTCACATATGGGGCGAGATGGTCCTTGCTGGAGGCTACCATCAACGTTGCTCATGACAATGAAAAATCCACGCCCAGCCAGCAATAGTCGCCGGCGGCTCAACTTCACTATCGTGAGATTTTTGTCTCTTTATTAACGCTCTTTGTATTGTTCATCTTTGTATACCAACCTTGCATTCCATTCACCTATCTTATTCATCCCGATTCATGCATTGTCTTGGTGTAGTGTGCAGTGCTTAGTCATGTATTGAATGCCTCATTAGCGCGTTTGTCGAGTCCAATCACAACAACAACTTTTTTTGCTCGCATACCCTGCAGGCATCTGATCGACTTTCCCATTAATCATCTTGTCCTGCTGTTCACACTTCCCATCATCCGACTTGTGAACTGTCTTTTCCTGGACGTTGTTCTACTTTCGAACTACCAGCATAGCGTCGTCGCTGCGTTGTACAGTAGTTCACCACTCCGTGGTACTGCCATCTAAGTTCACACGAGAGAGATCCTCCGCCAGCACACGCTCGAACCTGTCTCGGCGTCCTCACTTCACCGGCATGGCATCCGCCCGTGCTAGAAAGCCAGCTGCGGCTGAAGCACCCAAAAAATCAACCAAGGACTCAAAAACAAAGGAGTCTGCGGCACCCAAGAAACCCGCACCAGCCAAAAAGACCTCCCCCAAGGCTGCAAAGACAGCTCCTAAGAAAACCTCTCCCAAGACTACAAAGACGACTCCTCTACCTGCATCCGCACCTGAGCAGATCTCCAAGAAGCGCAAGGCTGAGGACGACGCAGACGAAGAGCCCAAAGTCAATGGAGTAAAGAGAGTGAGGGCTAAGTCTGCCACACCAGTCGCGGAGGAACCAAAAAAGAAGACCACCGCAGCGAAAACCACAACCGCCAAGAAGACCAAAGCAAAGGCTCAGATCAATCACACTCCTACTGAGAAATTGAATGTCTTTGTCTTCGGTGAGGGATCCTCTGGCGAACTCGGCCTAGGAAGTGCAAAGGGTCAAGTCGAAGTCAAGAGACCGCGCTACAATCCCAACCTGGCTCCAGAAAATATCGGAGTTGTTGCTCTGTCAGTCGGTGGAATGCATACTGCAGCTCTTACACATGACAGCAAAATCTACACATGGGGCGTCAACGATCAGGGTGCCTTGGGTCGAGACACAACTTGGGAAGGCGGACTGCGAGACATGGACGACAATGATGATGACGACAGTGATTCAGACAGTGGCTCCGAGACTGCCATCAATCCCAAAGAATCTACACCTGGCGAGGTCGACACGTCGGGACTTCCCCAGGGCATCACTTTCACCCAGGTCTCTTGCACCGACAGTGCAACTTTTGCTCTCACAAGTGAAGGAGATGTCTACGGCTGGGGCACATTCCGTTCGAACGAAGGTATTTTCGGTTTCGACCCTCAGACCCTGGTGCAGTCTCGCCCCAAATTGATCAAGGGAGTCAGCAAGATCACCAAACTCGCCACTGGCGCCAACCATGTCCTCGCCCTTTCACAAAATGGCATTGTCTACGGCTGGGGAGCAGGTCAACAGGACCAACTTGGTCGTCGAATTTTGGAAAGAAGAGCAGCAAATAGCTTGATTCCCATGCCCATTGGTCTCCCCAAGAATATTGTCGGCCTTGGAGCCGGCTCCTACAATTCCTTCGCAATTAGAGCAAACGGCGATGTCTACTCCTGGGGTTTGAACAACTTTGGCCAGACTGGTATCCCCAAGGAGTTTGACGAGACCGGAGCTAGCATCGGCTCTGACGTCCACCACCCTATCGTCATCGAAAGTCTCCATGGTAAAGGAAAGGTCATCTGCATCCAGGGTGGCGCGCACCACACTGTTGCTGTTACAGACAAGGGCGAGCTTCTCACCTGGGGTCGATTGGATGGTTGCCAGACCGGCCATAAAGTCTCGGAACTCCCCCAGGATGACGTCGTTCGTGACTTGGCTGGCCATCCGCGTATCTTGACCGTTCCCACCCAAATTCCTAACATCAACGCCGTGTTTGCTTGCGCTGCGTCGGATCACTGCATCGCCATCGACAAGAACGGCAAGGCGTATTCATGGGGGTTCAGCACGACATTTCAGACCGGTCTCGGTACTGACGACGATGTCGAGACAGCTACGCTTATCGACAACACTGCCGTGAGGGACAAGAAACTTGTGTGGGCAGGCGCAGGAGGACAATTCAGTGTCGTGGCGGGTGTTCCAGCTCCAATGGTCAACGGTGTCAATGGTCATGCTTGATTTTTCGGTATGTCTCATCGCGAAATGACTCAACATCGGTGGAATGAATCAGGAAATGAACGAGGAGTCAACGTTAAGGAAAATGCCGTCGGGGGTGGTGCGTGGGTGCATGAGGCACAGAATGAATTTCAGAAATTGAAAATGTTTTTAATAAGGGGTCGGGACAGTCGGTCGATGAATGGGGTAGTCATTTCTTTTTGCATGGGCGGTGTATATCTGTGCCCGGATGTGTTTTTAGGAAACAGCAACAAAGAGAGAAAAAGTTTTCACTTTTCCAGTTGGTTGGAAGTCTCGAGATGGTTCGCTAGGATCGTCAACAAGGGCCTTAAGGGGCATTCATTGATCCCGGATCAGCCACCGCGGTGGCAGCACAGCATCACTTTGTATCAGTATTAATTTTTTCCAAGGCGCGAGGTGCGCATTGAAGGAAAGGGCAGTTGGTTGGTGAACATTGATTGATGGGGTTTCATGGTGCCTTGGCCAGGGGAATGGAATTCGGCTATCTCGATCGTCATTTTGAATCGAGGCATGCCACGGGACGAGAACAGAGAGCATACCAGGTACCTTACGCATGCAGGTGGTGGGTAGGCTGGAGTTCCCGAAGGAATGGGAGAAGGTGGTTTGTTTGACTAGATAGATAGATAGATACCTTGCCTTACATTACCTACGTACCCTGGGTAGTAGGTAGGGAGGTAGGTAGGTAGTAAGTAGGTAAACAGGTAATATTCTCGATTGCTACATCCTTCGTCTTGTTTATTAATGTCATCACCACCGCTCTTCTTGCAATTGTATCTTCAGACTACCTGCCAGAGATACCAGCTAGTATGTTGAATTTAGTAGGATGGCAATTGATTGACAGCATTCATTGCACGGCCACTTATAATCGAAAATGTGGCCTCGGAACTCTTCGAAACGAGGACTTCAACTGTGAAAAATAAAAATAAAAGCACTGAACATCACTGAAAAAGGGGCCCTGTCCAAAAACGTGACCGACCCAACTGATCAATACATCCTATGACCCGTAGGGCCGTTTCATCCATTCGTATCTCGTACACTTGAGGTCTCGAGGTGTGGTCTGCCTTTGCCATACCATCACCGTCGCCTGCTCGTCGCGTCGTAACCAAGGAGTACACACCCCCGCCTCATTCCAGACGTGTTCGAACCATGGTATATACCTGATATGTCTGGTGTATTGCAGAAATGTCGACGACGCGCTCAGTGGGTGATTCGCGACGACGACATTTCCGCAAGGAAGACGAGGAGACAACCGCTGCCTTTGAGGCACGATGCATGGTTGGGGCGCATGGTAAATAGGGCTCTCGGGGCACAAGACAAAAAGTCCGTGGCTGGCGATATGGTGGACGCGGTACGTTGGCCACTGGAGATGCGTATGCCCTAGTGACGACCAACATAAGCCGGGAAACCCCCATGGCTTAAGGTCTGTTCTTCGTGCCTGGTTCATTCCCGAAATTCTGGTATCGATCAGAGCAGAGCAGGGGCTAGCTATATCGGTGACGCGTATTTGCCACCGCTTGACAGGGTACAATACACGTAGTGTACAGGGATCTCGATGGAGCTCCCCCTATCAACTCGGACACCGGTGCATGCTTCTGCTCTCCACTGTTGAAACAACTTGGGATAAGTTTTATCTCGATTGGCCGTACTTGCATTCGCAATGCAAACACCACGATCAGAGGCGTATGTCAAGGTAATTGACGCCCGCTAGACTCTTCGGCATTCGCACCATGAACTGAGGGTTGTGTCTCCTCCGTATCATTATTGTCTGCTGTCGGTGGCTCAGCAGCGACCTCGGCGGTTGCCGTGGGACGCGCAGGAGATGGCACATTTGCTTGCTGTATCCGTGTCTGCAGCTCTCTCGATGCTGTTACCGCAGGATGCTCACGCGGTCCTTCCAGATGCTCAGAATGCGAATCTCCCCCCTCCGGCACCGCCTGTCCAGCTGCCCTGACCTTCTGTGGATCTTGGTGGGCTCCCAGGATATCGTACTTGCATAACGGACAGTCATGGTGTGCACGTTCAACCCAGAGATTGAGACAATTGGTGTGGTAGACGTGGCAGCACTGCAATTCCCGTATAGTATCGGAGTCTTGGATTACGTCCAGGCAGATGGCACAGATGAGCTTGGTCGAGATAGTGGCGAAGGTCTTGACGTGATGTTCTTCTTTGTCGGAGCGCCAGTGGCGCAACGTTTGCGAAGGTGCCACCTGCTCGAGCTTCTTGATCCTTTTGCGGTGTTTGGCGGCGATGCTGCTGCTCGGAGAGCCATATTCGGCCTCGACTCGCCAGGCCGAGTCGGATGTCGATGACTCGTTGTCAGAGTCGTCCTCACCGCTGCGAATTTTGCGATAAACGACGTACCTATTTGCGTGGTTATGGTGGAAACAAATGCGGGGGAACAAAAGCCGAGACTGCTACTTACGATATAATGAGGGCAAGGAATATAAGAACGGTAATTGACACAGCAATAAATGCTGTTGCTGTCCCATTGTAATTCGGAGGGTTCAGGTCGTCCACGTTGGTCGTACTATTTGTGCTTGATACTGCGGCCCTTGAAGCAAATGTGAAGCTCACAGGCTCGGGGCTTTCGTCACGCGTCAACGGCCATGACAGCTCAATAGTCTGCTGGTTGGGAATGTACATGATCTCGGTAGATCTTCTAGAGCATGCGTCCTGACAAAAGCTGTGTCGTTGGATGTAAAGGTCTCGGTCCGTGAAATGCGTGCCATCAAGGAGTGTCGCCGCCCCATAAATGGTTGCCAAAGAAGGCGTTTGTGATCTTGGGACTTTTCTACAAAAATGGTCAGCAGTGCTACCGGCCTACCGCCACAAAAGCCTATCGAGGCTAGAATGGTATGATGGTCATGTCTGTGGCTGCGGAGAGAAATGCCTGGAAGGCCAGCAGCAGCTTGTGACTCGAGCCACAAGTCTGGGAGCCTCTCAATGACCCAAGGATTGCGCCAGCATCTCGGCGTGCTCACTATTGACGCGTGCATGAAAAGTGGTGTGATTCTGTTACCGAGAGCAAATGGCGTCGAGATCAGATGGACCGAAAAGTTTCGAAGGCCTTGAATAGCCGGAAGTTGCCGGGTCGGATAAACGTTCCATCGAAAATCCGGAGTCACTAGCGCGTTCACCTCCTTTTTCTAGCCCAAGCAGACTGAGACGACGTAGACTCACAGTATCCATGTTATACATATTAACAATGTGTGTCTTTATCCCTACTGCCCAAACGGTAGATAGATGCCGTCAAACTGTACCAGTCCGTGCCCTAATTGAACGATCGAATTCTCATGGCTGCTTCCGCCAGCCTCACCGACTCCATCTCCTGTCCTTTCAATACACTGACCAAGATATTCTCGCCATTCTTCCCTACAGCGTGAACAATGACATTCTCACCGAAACCACAGTCTTTCTCGGCTGGCGCAGCTTCGTCGTACTGCTCGAATGACTCTTTCGTCACCCCGTCCTCAGGCGAAAGGAGAACTTGACTCGCAAACTTCCTGGCCTCTTCGTAGGTCTTGAATGAGCCCTCGACATTGGTGTCTCTGGCCTGTCCACTGTCGTCCTCCGAGTACTCGACGTTTGTCTGGACTACATGGTACAGGTCGAAATGAATCTTGTGATCTTCCCCAAGCGCCGTGAAGCCTTGGACGTTGGGCGTCGTTGCCACGCTGATGCGGAAAATGGTCTGATCTGGAGCCACTGCATGTACACAGAGACCTGTTCTTCTCTTGATGCCGTGCTCGAGAAACTCTTCGCTTTTAGTATCGTATTCGGTGAACCATTCTCGCTCGTATCCTGCTTCGAACAACGTCTTGTGTGCTTGTGCTTTGGCGGCTTTCAGGTTTTCGAATGTGCCGCACACTCGTAGCTTTTCCACTTCCTCGTTCACATCTTTGGGGTTGTGGGAAACCGAAAACAGGACGTGGTACAGGTTATCACTGGCCATGTTTGCTTGTTGTTGGTATGGTGGTGCTTCTCTTTGGTGTTTGATGTGTAATCCGTATTTTTTAGGGTTACAAGTATTGCTCGTGATCTGCTGTACGCATAAATATGAAAGGGTATGGGTTGACTTCTATATAACTGATGGCCGTGGCGAGACTTATCCCGATCGAGAAGAATCATATCCGTCAATCTGCAGCAGCTTCTCACCTCTCGGGCACCACTTGTACATCAGCGCCCAAAGCTCATTGATCTTCCGCTTGTGGTCTGATGGGACTAGAACATGGTGAGATGGGCCAAGGACGGATGGAGGGCTGACATGACCCGACCGCACATCGTTTCCTCGACCTGGGAAGAGTAAGGATGAAAGAATGAGCGACATCAAACAAATGGCTCATTGGGTGGATGCTTTGCAGGGTTTCCAGGCAGCGAAGAGTGAGTATCAACGAAACATGGTGCCAATTCATTACAGTATGGTTCACCAACACAAGACTCATCAAATGACAGTCCATGAACACGAGGACAGACGAGCTCTTCAAAGTCCCCTCTTGGTGCGGGATTTCACGGGTGGTGTAATTTTCCTCAGGACATCCTTGGGAAGCTCTGCACCTGTGGTGTGATTGTTACATAACAAGCGAAGTGGATTATACCCCTTTTCGTTACCGTCCATTTCCCCGGATTTTTGCACGCAACGCCAGCTCACCAGGGGATTTCTTGGATGGTATGATGGAATGACGCTTTTCGATTCGAGAGCAGAATCTTGAGATATGTGGTGTCATGAAAACGAGTTTGAGACGAGCTTACCCCGGATTTCGGGCGATTTTTTGGCAGACTATTCCCTATGGAAGTAGAGTAAACAAAAAAAAGATTTAAAAAAGTCATGTCCCGTTGTTTCAGCTACTTCAAGTCAGATAGAGTTGGTCTGGAAAGAATTTTGATGTTTGCTGGCCATAGTTTGATGATTCTTGTGGCCGAGGAAGAATGTATTAGAACGTATCGGACAGTAAATGCCGTTCGCCCGCAGTTAGGATATCTGCCACGCTTGGATGTAGCATTGTGTATGAAGTCTGCCATCTAAATGGACCACGCTTGCTTCGTTTATAACCATTTGGTCTCATCGGGTTCTCATGGTCGATAGAACTGATGTACCCCGCGACGCCAATGACCCAGTCAAGATATTGATGGGTGATCTCTGAAATTTGCCCAAACGCCCGTATTTGTCGTCATTACAGCTTGCTCTCGGCTAGTCATTGCCCTTCATTGGGGGCTTCTTGCCGCCGCCTAGCAGCCTCTTCCATTTCGTCTAGATGTTGTTCGAAGTCGGCCAGTTGCTTTTTCTGGGCCATCAACCTCTCTCTCATCTTTTTAATGCTGTCCCAAGATGTTAGCATCGCTTGTCAAGTACCCGAGGGAGTGTTCCAATACTCACTTGTCTACCTCGTGTTGTCTGAACCAAACATTTTCTATGGATTGCTCTCGTCGGGTGAATGAATCACTGCAAGCGATGTCAGTACATATTTACTGACTACGGGGACATGCATGTGTTTGTCACTTACCCTGCGGCAATACCTCCTGACCTGACAGCACCTGTATCACCTTCGGCTCTCATTGGCATCACCGTTGAGAATGATTGACAGAATGCTGGTGTTTTGATTCTGGTCATACACGACCTTGGCATTGTGGTTCGCAACATTTTGATCTTGTTGTTGTTGTTACGGTGTGGAACGATTGACTTTTGGGTGACGAGTTTCTTGAACTCTTCGATTGGTGGTAGAGATGTGATTGGATGTCTTGTTTGTTTGCTTGGTATGATGGGAAAAGCAGAGACCAGAAACCCCCGGCTGGCCTGAAGTATATATATCAAACAACAATAAGCAAGGTCTGGTAGGATCGCCGCTCAACCCAGGCTACATTGCAGTGAAACCATGTATTACCGTCTGGTGATTACGCAGGCTGAGGAAGACTCTAGCGAGTTTTGCGTTGGGTACTGCGCTTGCAAGTGAAGAGGCATTTTGGGCGCTCGGCTGTGCACGCCCCGCTTTTCCAGGGGCTCCAGCCTTCTCAGCGTCGCCCGGAACGTGACCGTGGATTTGACCGGGGAGCTAAAACGGGCCTTTACCCCATCACACCACCCTCATGCAACAACCTACGCACGCATCCACGGTGCTTGCCGATGCCCGTCTCCAGATTTGTCTTCTCTATCGCATGATTTGAAGTCGGGACATCGTTCCCGTGACCCGGGGAACGAACGTGCTCGTCACTTCTGGCTCAGGCCAAGCCAGAAAATTTGAGGGAGTCGACGTGATGGACGACTTAGTGCGAGTGGCAGAGTGCTGGTGGTTGCAGAAGACTCGGAGAACAAATAGGTCGAAACATCCCGGACTCAATTGAAAGAGTCAAGATCAAACGCAACACCGACACAGATCAAAGCTACATAACCAAAACACATACAAACAAAAACAATCATCCAAGACGAGTGGTCTAGCTATGCCAATGGCGTTCCTCTACGCATATCCAGACGTTGACCCGTACCCGACCACCCATGTGGCGCACACCTTCCCCGAGAAGGGACACCATCTACGCCACATTCCTATCCCCTATCTCGCGCACAAGGCGCACAAGATCTTCCACGACAAGGACCAGGATGTCCACGTACCCAGGACCGACGTAAGGGAGACCCCAAAGAGCTTCTACGTCGAGGTCGAACTGCCTGGCATCAAAGACAAGACCGAGCTCCATCTACGTTGGACGTCTACGAGGACCCTGCTTGTGACCAGCAAGATCACCAGGCCCGAGATCCCAGAGTCGGAAATGGTCTACGATCCCGACACCGAAGGCATCCTGGAGCCTACACCGACCGAGGAGGAGCGCGAGGAGAGACCTGTCGAAGGCGGAGAGGCAAAGAAGGAGGAAGAAACCCCCGCCAAGTTGGAGCCGCATCTGACTGTGCACGAGAGACTGATTGGCGATTACATGCGTGCTTTCAATTTCCCGGTCGACGTTGATCGCGACGAAACGCATGCGAAACTGGACGCTGGACTGTTGAAGGTCATTGTGCCAAAATTGACGCACGGAACTGCTATTTCAAGGCATGTTTCGGTCAATGTGCATGATGGGGATTCCACCAAGGAAGCACCGCCAGCTTGAGTTGGGAGAGAGAGGACACACGGTCAAGGATCAAGGCGAGAGTTATCAGTTGAACGCGTTTGTTTCAGTATGGCTCTAATCTGGGATCGCCAGACCCCACAGCTCGCGCGGTGGCAATGTGCAATTCATAATCGTTAGCGTTATGATCGTATGGGATTAATATTTAGTCTACGGAGATGAGAATCCGCCCGAAATGGCAATTCACATCCTTTTTGAACAACATCAACACGACCTTAGAGGACAATGTGAAATGGAAGCCCTCAAGAGCAGAATTGGACGCAGTCGTTGACGTCCAAGTATTCAACTTCAGTCCTTGATAGCAGGAAATTTCCGGAACGACTACAAGGAACACCCAATGCATGAGTCAAGGGCACCAGCAGTACAATGCAGACTAGGAATTTTCACAATTGATTAATATCCTAATAGGTTTACAACCTCGTCGAGATTCTCCTTTTCGACTTCGAAACTGTACATAACAATACAAAAGTGTCGAAACAGTGGTCATCAATGTCATAATCACAGGTCGTATCAATCTCCTGGAACCCACTTGATTGCCTATCCTGTAGGCTCAACAAGGGTTTCCGGACGCCAGCCAAAAGTCGGAAAGAAATCATGCACTTCGACTCTTGCTGGGCTTTCCTCAATCGTACGAAGCGTAAAAAGCTTCTTCAATGGCATCTTCCTCTTCGTCAGCGTCGGACATGTCGTCCTCTACGCCGCTCTCAGTGCGCTCTACCCAGGCGTGCGTTGCCCGGGTTTCATCCTCCGGCCACCAGCTCATGGGGAGGTGAGTCTCGGAAGAATGTCGTCTGTGGTGATGAGGCGCGTGTTCCTCGTGGTTGGCATGTGGGACCGAAACCTCGACGAAACTCGGCCTTCGCTCCTTGTCGTAGGACTTTTTTTCTGAGCTGCGGTCGGCCTCGACGGATGCCTTGAGAGGAGTAGGGTCCACGGTTTTCTTCTCCACAATCGTCGAGGGAGGCGTGGTGCCGGTGTTCATGTGCTCTGTGGGCCTTCTCGTGGCCTTGAATGGCACTGCCTTGGATTTCGCCGGCTGTTCTGGCTCTGGTTCGAGAGGAATAAACCCATGTGCGAATGCTGGTTCCTTGAAAAGGAGTTCGCTGACGTCGCAGTCGTTGTAGAATGATATAAAGGCGTTGTCTCTGACGCCGGCTACTCCCTCAGAACCTCGTCTCTGAGGTCGGACAGCCTAGACAGGTATTGTTAGTGGGCCGAGAGATGGCCGGAGGGAAGGTTGTTCAACAGGTGGTGCTTACTGGTGCGGTTTCTGAGATCATCTTTGTAATTGGTGGTGTAGTGGTGGTGGAGTTTTCGGACTGTGCTTGAGATGTGCGTTTAGATGTAGGTTGATACTACAGATTCACGTTGCAGTGACGGGCTGGATGGAGGAGAAGTTCCGTCCCGAGAACCTACCATAGTCAACCATGGTTTTTATATCGAACATCAGCTTGCTGATCGGCGACACCTGCTTATCGAGATACGACATGTTTTGCGCTCAGGTTACTCAGCACCTGGCAGGCCCGATAGAGAGGGGAGAGAGTTGGCTCTTGCGAGTGGTATGACAATGAGGCATCAACTGGTCGAGATCAAAGGTGGAATTATCATGGAAGGTCGGATGGTGTGACTTGTAACAGGTGCTTTCCATACTGACGAGCGATTTTGGTGTAGCTGTGTACTGAAAACCGTACCGTATTGTATCTCCGTCACCCGATATGTGGCTCTCGGTAAAAATCACTCACCTTTTCTCAACAACCTTAGCGATTCTTCTCTCAGGACCATCAGCCTATGCATGACTCGTCTCTACGTCTTGCGCCATTTCTCGCCGTGAATGTTGGCTCGGCGGGCTAGAGCCTTGGATACCCCAGATTTCCCATCGTCATGCTGGACTCTACCCACCTCCTCGCGTAACAATCATCTGATATTGCAGAGCACTGTTCTGATTCCTGGAAACGACTGCCCGAGACATTCTCGAGGCCTCAGAGCTCCTCGCTTGCTGTGCGCAGAAACGCTGTTGTACCACCATGCGAATGCACTGTTGTTTCTAAATACCAACCTACTAATCTCGGCGGCAATGGGGATTAGTCGCCTATCAATCCCGCCAGACACCCAATATATGCCACGGAAGAAGGATGTGCTCAACTCATCTCCCGGACTCGATCAATCTCCAACGTAATGCCAATATGACCGGCCATTGGTCGCGTGCACGCTCGAGGCTGTGTTTTGTGCACGCTATATGCGAAACAAGCGCGATGCCGTGACCGCTGGAGCTTCCTCGGCCGGTTACGAATTCAGGTTCCCTTGGATTCCGTACTCCGTATGCACAGCGCCACCTATGACTCTCTGTTGTCCGGGTAAGTATAAATATTCCCTGCCCCTTTCCAACCCCACGGCCTTGGTTCGTTTTAGTTTCAGATTCCCCCAGAGAAACAAATGTATCATTATACGTAGCACACCGCTACAACATAGCCACCACAAACATTAACACTCGAACAAAGCACACAAACACAACACAACATTGGAGAAGAAAGAAGAAATGGTAGATGTTACCATCACACTCAGCACTCCGGGACTACACACGGCCCCGGTCGACGAAGCCGTGGAGTATCCCTTTGAAGGAGAGAGCGATACTCGCACTCAGCAAGCAGCGCCACCCGAGACGGCGACGAGGTCCAACATGGTCTGTCATACAACTCAGACTGACCCTTTGGACGACGAGATGGTCACGCGGGTCAAGTCCTCCACAGGACGGTCCCGGTCACCGTCTCCGTCGAGAAAACCAAGAGCACTCAAAGCCTGGACCGAACAGATTCGCAACCGGCTGTCGAGCCCACAAAGGCACAGAGTGGGACCAGTAACTATCGACTCTACAGGGATCCATCTAGCTCCTCCGACCAGTGAGTCGCCGTTACGCCCTGCCACGCCAGCTGCGGATTTGTACAGAGGTCAAGAAGACGGTAATTTTGGTATGACCTTTGAACAACCAGATCATCCCCACCTGCGCAAAGGTCGCAAACCTCTGTTTTGCCATCAAAATTACGAAGATCACAAGCACAGGATGATGATGGATTGGGTCGAAAGACGAGGATGAAAAATCTGTCGAGACTGAATGCCCTTGTTCCCCAACCCACTTGTCTTCAGGAGAATCGCGCATCGAGCCACAAAATTGTTACCTACCCACCCACCCACCCACCCATACACATCACCAAGCATCTGGCTTGTTCTTTCGGAGTCGAGGTTCATGGAGTTGACAGGATTGAGACAACCACAAATATGTGAACTTGTAGTGTATGGCTGGTCATGGAAGAAGAAGATGCAACCTCTATGGACGCGAGTTGTTGTGATCACTTCCACAACCTCAGGGGCCAGGGAGTCACTCAATGCTCGCTCCATCAAGACCATCCATCACCAATATTTTTTTGGACTTGGCCCCCAGAAAAGTCGTTCCGTCGAGGACAACCACGAAAAGAAGTGTTTCTCGGAGAATAATGATGGGCTGAGGGAAACATGGCAGATGGCGGCGCTTCGATAGGTTCAGTGACTGGGGTGGCAAATAACAAGATTGGAAGGCGACTGATTAACGACCCAGGTATCTCCCTACCTATGTGTATTCCTATTGATATTGGTATTGGTATTGGTATTGATATTGATATTGACTTTGACAATGGCATTTGGCATTGGAATGGATAATAGGAACTGGCTGGTTAGCTATCTCGGCAGGTAAGGATGCGGCATCCGCGTTTGGGGCAGTTTTGATGATGATGATGTGGTGAACCCCCTTATGTTGAAACAACTTCACATCCTCCTCCCCCTTTTCACCTATGGGGGTCATTCTTTGATTGTAAGGGGTCTGAAATTGCTTCCGAACAACTTAATGTGTATGTATGAACCGAGGCTTAACACGAATGCCAGCCATGATATCGGTCGTGATTGAGCGATAAGTAGGACTATGAAATGTACGATAGCAACACTCTCTTATAATTTCATTCAAATCGACTACGCTCCTCTTCAGACATAATAAATATAATAGGATGACATGCCCCCTCCTACTTGTTGTGCCTTTCCGCGGTACTTGACTACCTACCATCGTTCAACGTTTCAATCCGTCATCTTTTTCAACATCACAACATCACAACCTTCCAAAACATGCCGGTTAACCTCCGGGCCTCTCTCTCCCCCTCTACCCCCCAACACACACACACACACACACACACACACACCCACACCCCTACACATTCAACCCCATTCTAAAATATGGCAACTCCATTTACAGGACTCGCGACCCCTCCCGGGACATAACAAGGCACACTTGCGAGGAAAAAGGTCCACCTGTTCTGCCTCTTGCACTCGGCACTGAGTTTCTCCAGGTCGAGCAGTTCGCCGATGTTGCAGCCCCAGCCGGCAAGGAGGACTTCGTGCATGCTCCAGTCGAACGGGGTGGGCCACCTCTCGAAACTGGGGTGGTCGCTCGCGACGGCGCTGAAGTTGTCCCAGATCCAGCGCAGGACGCGGTCGGACTGCTCGACGCCGCCCAGGCCCGGCGGGCTCGAGTTGACGAGGCGCTGGATCTCGGCGTCCGAGTCCGGGTCGGCGTCGTCCACGAGGCGGCGGTACGCCTTGAAGAAGCCGCTGCGCACGACCAAGATGTCGCCGAAGCGGGGCCGCGTGTCGTTCTGCCACTTGAGCGTCTCGAGGAGCCACTCGAACTTGATGCCGCTGGTCTGGAAGGAGTGGAACCCTCCCTCCGCGCCGACGACGTCCTTGCCCGGCCCCTCCTCGAGCCACGCGCCGAAGTCCACGAGGACCCCGCGGCCCATGATTCCGCCGCGCTCGACCGCCCCGTGGATGCCCAGCACGTTGGGGTTCGCCTGGCCTTTCGGCGTCGTGCCCGCGATGTCCTCGACCCTCGCGCCGTTGTAGAACCGCTGCGCCGCCTGGTACCCAAAGTGCCGCAGGCCGTCCCACTGCGTCGACGACTGCGTGTTGAAGTGCCACGTGTCGTCGTGCACGATGCGCGGCCGCTTCTGGTACACGTCCTTCTTGAACACTTGGCGCCCGAACAGCGGCCTGTCGCCTTGGAAGTCCAGCGGCGCGTCCAGCGGGATGCGCACCCCCGTTTTGATCTCGGACGCCGCCGCCGCCGACACCACGGCGGGCGTTTGCCGGTTGAGGAACCCGACTTCGTCGTCGGGTCCGTAGGCTCCCCACGCGTTGAGACGTGTTGACGAGTCGTCTTTGTTGAGTGGGAGCGCAGAAAAGGGGACTGGTGGACCGGCCATTTTTCTTTTCTCTTTCTTTTTCTTTTTCTTTTTAACAAAAAGTAAAGGAGTTTGCAGGAATCAGTTGCTTGTTGGTGCTACTGAGCTGGTTGGTTGGTTGGTTGGTTGGTTGGCTGGCTGGCTGGCCGGCTGGTGTAAGAGGTATACCTCACACAGAGGCGTGAGTGTGAAGAGTGAAGAGTGATAGGCGTGTTGTCACCAGTCGTAGGTAGGCATGTATCCCGTAGATATTCAGAACACCTATTCAAAAAGTGAAGAGTGAATGATACAAGGTGCTCACACTTCCACTTTCGGATTGCTTGATGGACGGCAAGCCCAGGTCAGTGACGGATCAGACCTTTGGAGGTGTTTTGGGGTTGGGTACGAATCACGAACCGAGTCCCGAGAAGGAGGGAATCCCAGCAAAAGGAAGAAGACCACGAAGAACGGAGTACCCAACTGATATAGGACAAAGGTAAACGACCCACGGGTGTCGGTAATCTCGTCGCCATAGCAGTGACATATTTCCCTATCCAGTACTTGACTCCTGGTGAGGGGGAGAAGCGCGATGAGGGGCAACAATACGAGTAGACTCATCCAAAAAGGGCTCTGATCGAAAGTAACTTAAATCTCTTAACCGAGGGTCCCAGTCGAGAGACACTATGTACCTCACCTACTCGGTGGCCACACCCCAGTAGAGGATGGAGGAGGAGAATCCGTCGGCCACGACACGGAACCAGGGCCGACGGTACGGAATGGGACTATGGACTGATGAGCTCGTACGTGTATTCGGTACTACCTGCGACCACTGCATAGGACGTCTAATAATAACAAGTGCCTCGGTGACTTGGGAGATAACAAAGTCCTTCGTTGGGAACCTGAAAAATCAGAGGTGCATTTGTGTGTTCATGTACATACTACGTGCTGGTCGAAAATCAGGGATTCAACCACAACCGAGATTCCACTCAAATACCGAGTTCCTGTTTAGCTGGATAGACGTGTCGAGAGAGGGTATGCATATTACTTTCTATATAGTTGTATTTTATGTATCCTTTATGACTCCCTCCTCCCATGTTGTCCAGGACATTTCCATTGTTCCACCGCTGGCACGTAGGGTGCCTGAGACCTTGCCCGTCTCTCATATCTTAAGCAGCATCAACTACATCGTCAACCATCTTTCGAAACTCTCTCTGTCTTTCACACTGCTCCAAAAACACCTTGTACTTGACATCCAACAATTTCTTGACGCTCTTGTCCTTGCTCGGCCTGACAACCTTGCCAGGCTTACTCATTCGGTCCATGATACTCCAGAGATCCTCGGTGCGGCCGTAGGGGTCAGCACTGGCGGCCTTTGCCCCCAGCATCGCGGCACCGTGACACACGGCGGCGTGCACGTACCGTGGAATCAGAACGGGCATATCACATGCCGTTGCAATCAGCTCCATCAAAATCTCATTCTGACACTGACTCCCACTCATGAAGATGCTGCTGATCTTGTGCCCGGCCTGGTTCATGGTGGTGATGATCTGCCACGTCTGCAGCGCGATGAACTCCATGGTGCCGTAGTAGTACAGCGCGAGCCCGTCGAGACTCTTGTCGCTACTCAGTCCCACAACGGATCCGGACATGTCGGGGTCTGCGATCGGACTCCTGTTTCCAAACAGGTCGCCGTAGAAGAAGAAGTGTTTGCCGAGGTGGCTCACGCTGGGCGCACCCCTCTGGTCCTTGAGGTCAAGCAGGTGCTGGTTCAAAAAGTCGTAGACGTTGCTTGACGAACCTTGGGCCATGGAAATGGCTTGGTTATAGGCCGGGTGTGTTTCCAGGACGTGCTTGAGCAGCTCTCCCGTTGCAGACTGTCCGCCTTCGGCCATCCAGTAGTCCGGGATGATACTGTCTCTGTAAGGTCCCCAGACACCCGGTACGAATACTGGCTCTTTCGACATGACGAGATGGCACGTCGATGTACCGGCAACCGCGGCCAGACGGGTGAACGCTTGAGACTGGTCGTTGGCAGGAGTCGATGAGTCGAGCTCGTCGGCGGAAAGGTTGACTTTGGCGCCGACGGTTCCGATCCAGCCTGCATACGCGTCGATCACGCCGGAACCGACAGCAATACCTGCGGGTAGACCTAGGTCGGCCGCGGCGCGCTCGCAGAGATAGCCTGCCAGTTCACCGGCGGAGAGGTATTCGCCATTCTAGAAACTGAGGTTAGCTCCGATCCCGCCAACTCAAGGGTGAGGCCGAATAAGCCACAGAGAGAAGAAACATGTCTCCAGGCCGGGACATCATGAAGACATGGCCAGAGACGAAATAAACAAAAGAGGAGATAAGTAAATAGGCTCACCACCCCGTTGACTCCACCCATTCTCTTGAAATTGTCTTCCGCAAGGTCTTCAAGGCCGATCTCTTTCAGAAAATCCTCTTGCCAACCCTTGACGCTGCCGTCCACTCCAACGGGTACGTATCCCTGTTTGCACACGACCGAACAGAAACTTCTCTTTTCGTTTCCAGTCGCCAGATGCTCCAGTGCGTCTGTCAGGTCGTAAAACTTGCACCGATCAAACAGCTCTTTGGGCATGTTGTTCTTGAGCCACAATACCTTGGGGATTTCCATCTCGATACTCATTGTTCCACCGACGTAGCGCAGGAGGTTGTGCTTGGTGGCGTTGATCTTCTTAGTTTCCTCGACGGGTCGATGATCCAGCCACAGAACCACATTGTGATCGTTCATAGTCTGGTCGAAATTGGGCCCGGTGACGGACACAGGCTCGTCCGTGTCATGGGTGAATACTGCGAGCGAGCAGGTGGCATCGAAGCCGATGCCCCGGATGGAATGAGGATCGATGTTGTTCTGGGCGACGGCGCGGTGGACGGAGGTGCAAATACATCGCCAGATGTCGTTGGTGGATTGTTCCTGGCAGAAAGAAGCCGTTAGAGGCACGCGGACGCCACGGGGCACAATGGGGAGCTTTCTGTACTCACATAGTACCCGGTCTGAGGTTGCCATAGGCCAATGTTCTCTGAAGACAGGCCGACAATGTCCCCGTTTTCGTTGATGATACAAGCCCGAGCACTGCCGGTGCCGACATCGATGCCAATGTAGTGGTTCTGCTGAACGTGTACTTCGTTCCGGTCATCGACCGAGTTCTGGCGGATGGGAGTGCGCACTCCACTGTGTGGCCCAGGGCGGAAGGGGATGTGTCCTGAAGCCATTTGGTCCCAAGTGGCTTCACACAATCAGCAGAATTGGGGAGGCCTACGACTCGAGGTACTTGTAGGCAAACGGTGGACTCGAGGGAGGAGAGGAACAGGAACAAAACCGACAAGAAGGGTCCTTTCAGAAAAAGCTCTTGGGTCACAACGACATTACTCATAAAGGGAACAGATCAACGAGTCCTCGTAGTCGACCTTATTTAGCCTGTGGATGAACGATGTCATCTGTAGATCTTCAAACTGTTGAAGCCCTACTGAGCAGGGATCTGAGCGAGGGCAACATCGAGCTATCCATTCGGCGTGGTTACGGTCAGGTTTTGTGGGTTGAAATATGGAGCTGGACCCGGCAGTTCCACTTTCCATCGAGGGGTAGCGAACATGGAGGGGAGAATTTGTGTAGCTAAAGTACTGTATGTATTCGTACAGGTCAGTGACAGAGTATCTCGTGGGCGCTGGGCGAGCCTAATAGTGGCCGCAGCCAGGTACCTAATTGGGGATTGTAGGTACCTGCGGTGTACTCCGGCACCAAATGGAGGGGTCACGTCGGCATATACGGGCCTGGAAGCCGGCCGAGAGCCTCAAGTTGGGCGCTGCCCTCGTAATCCGCCCAAAGCCCCCTATAAACTTACAAGCGAGAGGCACTCGGCCACCTTTCCACGACTCCAGCCTAACTACAAGACGCATATGGAGTCCGGAGTTTCTACCGCAAAGTCAATCAGCCGATGGCCATGTAAGCAATCGCTCATTGCAGGGAAGGCGACTGTGGACTGGACAAGCGGTAATCGCACTCTACTCCCTCCTGCGCATTAGACAAAAACAGACACCACACTAACTGCACCATTAGGTAAGGTGAAGGAGGGAGATGGATTTCTGTCTTCATGCCCCTGGTTAAAACAACATGCTGTTTCTTCTTCATCTCTTGTAACAAGCCCTAGCCTGTGGCCCAGCTCTTCGACTCCTTCTCATACAATCTCCTTCATACACACCCGCCCGCCCACAAGATGCACAAATATTGGCCACCCAGAAAAAAGAAAACCTCGTCGGCGGCAGAATGACACATAACGGTCGCCACTGGGATCACTAATAATATATACACGTAACAAAGCCCGATTTCCAGGACTGCCTGGAGTTGGTGTTTTCTTGGATCCATATCCATCCCTGTCCTCACCACATTGATATGGTGCGAATACCATTCCGACAACGCCGACAACGAAAACACCCAAGTAGCATGTGCACATCTGGGGTCAAGATGCCTCCGTGTTTCCCACCCCTCGACCGCCCAGTCTAGCGTCGTCAGCCCTGGGTCCCCAAGCCTCGTGAAAGGTCCAAAGTAAGTCTATTCATTCATGGAAATGGAAACTCGAAATAACGCCCGTCCTCATCGCGGAGACACCCAAGTCATGTATTCGGGAGATCTCATCTCAACCTTGTTCGGATTTTACCCCAACTGGTGGAACGGCTTCTGGAGGACTGTATTCCTTCTCTTCTCCTTCTTCCTTGAACCCATTGGGCGAATTCGTCCGAACTCCTTCGGTGCCCTTTGCTAGATCAGCGGTCGGGGAAGAGTTGCCCTGCTCAGCCGGGGTAGTTGCACCTACCTCCGGCTGCAGCTTGTCGACAGAAGATGAGGACGCCGCTCGCCGACTTAAATAGTCCCCTAGGCTCAGCTTCTTCCTAGCTGGGCTTGGGGTAATTACGGCACCAGGTGTTATCGCGAATGGGCTGGAAGACGTCAGCGCTAAAGGCGACTGTGCCAGGACTGTCGAAGACCCCGGAGTCATTGTCGCGGTGGTTGACGCTGAAGCACCAGTGGTAATCGAAGGAAAAGTTGGGACGGGAGGCAGCGAAGATAAATGCAACCGAGGGGGGCCTGGAGACTTCAGCGGCGGCAATGTGTGAGCCGCTTGAGAAGGAAGAGGATAGGTGGTCGTTCCCACATTGACCGAGCTTCCACTAGCCTTGACATCAGTTGGCGATCGCTGGGGCGAGGTGATCTCGCCCGCCATTGCGACGTCCTTCATTTCGACGTCCTCACCGATACCAGTTGATGCCAGTGGCGAAGAAATAGATGCAGAGCAAGGCGATGGGGGTGACTGAGATTGTTCATTATGCTTCGCCCGATCTTGCAGCAATTTCCTCAGTAAGCGCTGCGTCGGGGTACAGAACTTTCTTCTCTTGGGTGACGGCGCCACTATGTCACATTCTTCAATCTGTGTCTGGACAGCAGCATCAACGTAAACAGGCCGCACCGGCTTGACTTCAGCTCTGCTTGCAGTATCCGAAGACTTGGCACGTTTGAAGCCACCTTTGCCTGGAGGCGGTGATCCGAAAGCCTGGTCATGAGACCTGCTGAGAGTGTGACCGCTGGGCGTGGGAGGTTGCGAATTGGATCCCAGTTGTTTCGACGAGGCAACCCCGGGGGTATTGAGATTCGACCCGCCACTGGTTCTCTTCTTCTTGCGAGATTGCCCTTGCCCGCTTTGATCTCTCCTCTCTTGCTCTTTTTGGGCGAAGGCCCGCTCGGCCATTTGAATCTTGCGCAATTCTCGGGCTGTAAGTCCATTGCCCAGAACCGGATCGGCGTCCAGAGCGGCGATATTGACGGGTGTAATATCTCGACTTTGCGGGTTACTAGGAGTAGACTCGGAGGTCGAGCGTCGATCAAACTGGTCTTCATCGTCGAGTAATTTGGGTTCGCTTCCTGCACGACTGTTGGTTGCATGTCCAGTGCTCAAAGGCGAAACGGCATGTTTGCTCTTACTTTTCTTCTTCCGCCCTCCTTTCTCCTTCGACCCAATGTCGATTGACTTGGCGGGAAGTCTTCGGTCAAAGTTGGCTAGTAGACAAGGCTGGTTCGAATCGCACGCGCAATCGCCAAAGTTCGCAAGAACTCGGCTAACCCAGTCAAGGCGTCGACTTTGAGCTTGCTCCGAGTCGTTCTGAACAGCATCCACGGAAAACATGCCCTGGTCCAGAAACCACGTCGTAGTCAGCTCGGATCCGGCCGGAATGTCTTTGCTGGCGACGAAACAGTGATGTGTTTCGTCATCGTCAGACACAAATGTTTTGAGCGTCACGTTGGGCTTGCACGACCTCCGAATGTAGCGAAACTGTGTCCCCGACTTCCTACTGTCGATGTAGATGTCCATGTGAGGGTGAAAAAACACAAAGGGGTCCGGATGCCGTAGTTCCTGCCATCGATTCGAGGATGATTTCTGTTGACAGTACTCCTCTAGCATGCCGACTTGGCCACGGACTTCACCTACAATGTCATCCTTCTTGACCGAGGATTGGAGGCGCAGGAAGCGCCACGTCGGAAAACGTCCCTCGAACTCGGCCTCTTTCTTCGAGATTGTCTCGACCGTAACAGGGGGTAACGCGCTCTGCTCCAGAGGGTGGTTGAGGTGTACAAAGGGGGATTTTGCTGTCGGTTGCTGTCCAGGAGCACTCACCACCAAGGAAGGCTCGGTTCGCCACATGGAAAGTTTGTTGGCTGCTTGAATGGTTTGCTCGTTATCTCTTGCATTCGTGTTGCCTTCGTCGCGTTCATATAATTCCAGGAACTCAGAGGTGTATGTGGGAATGGTGGGAAAACGGAAGAGGTCTTGAGGGGATTTGGAAGGACTCGGGTATGACTGGACATTGGAGGCGGCGCGTTTCCTGGAGTCGCCATTCATCGACACAACGGAACCGGTGGTTCGATGATTTGTTTTTGGCTTTTTGGCAGGAGGGCCTTCTTTTGTGTTGGCGACTGAGTCGTTGCGATCATGGGAGTGCCATCCGTTTATCTGGTCGGCCGCCGAGATACTGTCTTTGTGCTTTTTCTTTTGAGTTTTGGAGCTAGGTCTCTTGACCTTCCGGTCACCGCCGTCGAGAGCCTCTCTGCGCCGCCTTTGCCTGTCGGTGGCCTTCTTTGCATCAAGATCTCTGGGGAAGCAGTCTGCACAAAAATGTTCTTCTGGCACCTTTTTGCCATGGTAGTAGCACTCAATGTGCTGCCACGTGTCACATTTTGGGCAATAGACGGTGTTGCCATCATCGTCGGCATATATACATATGCATTTGATGGTGTATTCCTCCTCTTCTTGAAGATTGGTGTCGGACAGAGAGCCATTAGGCAAGGGAGAGGCTAGAGAAGGTGCGGCGGTGACCGGATAATGGTTCGTTGATGGATGCGTGGTGAGGAGGGATGAGGACTCTGTCATAATCTGGCAGAGTATGTCCTCATTGATTGATTTGGGGATGATTCGGGGTGGTTCAGGTCATAAACTCTTATGTCGCATATCGCGCATCGCTAGGGCACCGTTGACACACCTAGAACGGGAGGGTCCCAGACGGCGTAAAAGGTATCGCGTCGAGTAGGAGATGTCGTCTGGAGCTTCTAGATTATCTTTTTCGCCTCTTTCGATTCTTTTCACGCCCGAGAAGTGGTCAAAAAGATGGCACGGCTGGTCGGAAGAACGGCCACCTAGGCGCAGAGCGGAAAGAAGGTGTCGCAAAGGTTAAAAAAGGCCCTGGAGTATACGAGGAGGTCTCTAGAGGGGGTTTGAGGGGGTTTAGAGATGTTCGAGGCGATAAAATGGTGTGATTTTCGAGTTGAAGAAGTGGTGACCAGAGTTGAGACACGGCGACGGAAAAGATCCCAGGGATAGTCGGAGGTAAGAACAGGAGGAGAGGATCAAGAGGACGAGTAAGATAGTTTAGGAAGGGTCCGCAAGTGACAAAGGAAAGATGCGGTCGAGAAGAACGTCGAGAAAATGGGAGTGATTGTTGAAAGGAAGAGAGATGGGATGGCAAAGGAAGAGATGGAGGGACACAGAGAGAACGGGTATCCATACGAGCACAGTGAAAGAGACAGACAGAAGGAGAGAGACCTGCAGCCTAAACTTGAAGCAGCGTAGGGGCCTCTCCCACTCCAACGCCGACGACGACTGGTGGACTGGGCTGGTCGAAGAGCACGAAGGGGGGGATCGTGCTTAGCTTAGCGGATTGAGGGCGTGTTTTTGCGGCCTGCGACTGCGCCTGCGCCCGCAAGTCCTGGCAATGGATTATTCAGGTTATGAGAGAGAAAAACGAGCCTGTGTCTGACGGACCCTGCTGCCACAGCGCGAGTGACGGATTGCAACGTTGTGCCCGCACGAGCCTCTTATGAGGTTCAAGTACTCGATACCCGCTCTCAGTTCTCACTCTTTTGGTGTATGAATTCGCAGCAGAATGCCTGGAGAGCCTGGCGCTGCTGAAACTGGAGGAGGCACACCAGGCAGCCTTGTAATTCTGTGCAAATAGCAAGTGCGTCTTCTGGAGGAGCCCAAGGCCTGGTGAGCGTACAAGGGGAGCGCAGCAGCCAGTAGAGGCCTTCCTTAGGGGACCACAGACTTCGGGAGCCTTTGAAGCTAGCGATACTAAGCTCCGATGGGCTTGGTGCACCCAACTTTAGGGGACAGTCTTTATTGATGGCCCATGCCAGCCAGTAGCCGCCTACGGATGGGCAGCGCTAGCAGGAGCCAACTTTGTTGGTTAAGGATGGGCCTGGCTTCGAATGGGCTCGTAGAGTACGGGTACTTGTCCCGTGTCGGGTGCTTCAAAATTCTCCCAGGCAATAATATGTACTAGACCAGCGCACTGGTAGGTGCCTTGAGAGAGATATCTCAGCATTCAATACTGCACACCGTGGGATGAATGGTGGTCCCCAGTCATCTGTCTTCGCCTCAACCTCTGTCCGACCGTGTCTGTCTGATCAAGGCGATACGAATACGAGTCACTGCAGAGGAACCTCCCTGCTCCGTCCTCCGTACTGTATGGTATTTGGCCTCTGACTCCTCCAAACATGCCAATCCCAGCTCCAGCCGGCGAATCAATGGGCGACTGTGCCAACAAACTCTGGAAACATCTGCTTGTTGGAAATCAAGGGCCTTTGGTGTCAGTGCCCTGCAGGCCCTTGACTCCATCCTTTCCGGGCGCCTCTTCCACGCCTCTCTTTGTCCTCTGCTTGCTTTCCTTTCTCATTATTTAACACTAAAATCCTCCCTCTGCTCCTTTCTCCGTTGCCTGCTACGAGCTTCTTGTGCTTGGTTGATTTGGGCTGTCACTGCATTGACAGCTCAATTGGACATGTCTTTGGAGATTCCCCAATACGAACCACATCTCCCTTTGATGAAGCGTCCCATGTCCACCTCAACGTTCCTCAAGCTGCAAAAGCCAAGTCAGGTCTCTGTCTCATCGAGCGGGGTTGAGGCCGCAGCTGCAGGTGACACGCCAACCTTTGGTGTCCGACGCGAGGATTTCGGCCCTTTCTACTCGTACCTGGCGTCCTCCTTCATTCTCGTCTCTCTCTGCACTTTTCACTTGCTCCCTTCTCTGTTGTTCCCAACTTTCTGCACAGTGATCCCCCGCCTGATGTTTATTGGCTGAGCTCACGCTTTGGCGCAGCTCTTTGCGCTGGCCTCCGTTTTGGGAATGCTGACCTTCTCTAGACCCTCTCTTCCCTACACCGGTCAGCTCCCTGAATCGTCCTCGAATTGCATCCTCCTCACGTTGTTGTTTTGATTGTAACGGCTCTCTATTCGAAGCTCTACTCCTTATATACTGCCGATCCTGCTGTATCTGGCCCAGAATGCCTCGAATCTATCGCTCTCTGGTCATGACGTTGACCTTGTCGAGAGCACCTCGTTTCATCTCGAGCGCACGTCCTCATTGATTGGTTTCAAGTAAGAGATGGGTATCTCAAGCTCTGGCTGAACTGAGTTGAACGCTAAGCCTGGCCACCACCCGACCTTGCCTGCGTAAACCCCAACAGTGTTACAGCTGTCTGGACTCTCCGTCTAGATAAATCTGGATGGTTGAACAATCCTTCTTCTCTCCGGTGAATGATAACGTTTCAAGGCCCAAGTTTCTGGAGGCGTCCACAGTACCATGACTCGCAAGAGAACAGAGTCAATGGAGCCGGGTGTTAGGCTCGCGTGGGAGACTACAACTTGAGGTCAGACCGCAGAGAACGGCTGTTTTCGGTTGAGCAACATTTCGTCGTGTCGTAGACAACTCGACTGATCCCATGCGACTCTTTGGGAGTAGAGTAGTCCACGAAGACGGTTTGCTGTTGCCGATGGAGCCCTTGCTTCAATTGCACCTAGACTTTGCGACCGATTTTCAGGCATGGAATCCATTACCAGGCAGAAGATCGGATTTGGACTCGGGGTATGGATTGACGCGAACACTGCCTTGCTCATTACTACACAAGTATTTGTTCTCTGCTCCCTGTGAATATTTCTCCATGTCGTGTATGTATCAGGAGACGACTGTTCGTTATAGGGACTGATCTATTACCTCAGGGAGGGAGTACTGCGAACTACTTACTCATACCGAGCGACCAAAGCACTTCCGCTCCATCAGCACCCGACTCAACTTCACTTTTCGAGGTACACAACCTCGTCTTTTCCCCTGTTCATTCCATGGGAATCTTCATTCTCCTCAATCATCTCTCCACTCTTGATCTTCTCCTCGTCCGCACGCTTTGCGATTTCCTCATCCATCTTCTCCCACGCCTCTGGCCGCTGCAACTGCGTGGCCATCTTGTCGTTGAACACAAAGATGTTTCTATGCTCCTCGAAATAACGATCGATGTCCTCGAGCGTGCGATTTGCTGTTTCGGGGTAGAACAGGTACGTCGTCGGAATGAAGCTAGCGCAGAGCACGGCCCAGATGATCCAGAAGCGGTAACCCAAGTTCGCTATTCCAGGTGGAGTGACTTGCGCGACCTAGGGTCGACAAAAGATGGCCAATATTAGCATCCTCTGTTTCACAAAGAGTGCCTCTAACCTGCACCACGTAGAGCCTGGGATGTGTGACCTTACCATGTAATTCATGATCCAGTTCGTGCTCATCGCCAGAGATGCCCCCTTGGCTCGGAACGAGATATGGTTGATCTCAGTCGGATAGAGCCAGGGCACCCCCAAAACTCCAGAGCCAAACGATGCAAAGAACACAAAAAACGCCGTCGTAGCGAGAGCACCCATGGAGTAAGAATTCGCCTTGCCAGTCTCGGAAAGACCCAGGGAGATACTGATGGTGGTCCAGCATGCCGAGCAAGCGAAGGCCGAGACCATCATGACGCGACGACGGCCAAAACGTTCAATTAGGAACCACGCCAGGAAACTGAAGATCAAGTAGTCGACTGACCCGGCAGCTGCGAGAATGCGGGCCCTGTGTGACGAAGTTAGTACGGAGCTCTGCAAGGGGAACACTCGGAGGACTGCTGTTCCGCGCTAAGATGGTGCGCATGTTGCGACAAGAGTGGTTGCTGGTCTAGCAACTTACAGTAATTCGCTCAGGTTGATGGCATGAATGAAGATGTAGCTGCAGTTCCATTAGCCCGGACTCGCTATCTGCAAGAACAACGCTGTGCTGACGTTTGGAAGTACGACGTGACATTGATGCCGCTGATCTAAACGAGCCAATGTCAGAGATCTGGAAAACAGGGAGCATTGATTCATGATCCAGTGTGGGCTACGTCTGCCCTCGCACAGAGAAAGAGCACTTCGGGTTCCGAACAAGGGCTAGATCTAACTTACCTGGTTCATGGCTTGCATCCAAGCACCCAGAATCATTCTCCTGACGACGCCGGACGGCCCTCGCCCAGTGAGGAGCTGCCACCAGGTATACTGGAGTGCAGTCTCCCGGTCAAGGACATCTTTGATGATGTTGAACTGTGTACGGACGGACGCGGACTCGGGAGTGGCGCCATTTCCCTCCAGCGCTGCGAGAACTTCGCGTGCTTCATCGTATTTGCCTTTGCGGATCAGCAGGCGAGGCGAATCCGGAAGAAATGGACACATCATCCATATCAAAGCAGTGAAAACTGTCTCTTCGTGAGTGGTTTGGTTCGACAACTCCAAGGCTCAAGGGATTGGGGCGCAAGGAACAGGGGAACGACCAGAACAGGATGAGAGAGTCCTTACAGCATTGGAAAGCCAATGGGAATCGCCATGCGACGCTCCCTGGCGCGAAAGAAAAGCCCAGAGTCAGCCAGTTCGAAATACAAAATCCGGTGATGCAGTTGGCCATCTGAATGATGACAAGCTTCCCACGGCTGCGCATCTTGCTGGTTTCGGCCTGCCAGACACCTGCTGTGGCGGTATTCATCCCCGTTCCAAGGCCGGCAATGACCCGTCCCGCCTCCATCTGGCCCAGACTCCAGCATGCTGTCTGGATGATTGCTCCCACAGCGATGATGCTGCTTCCCAGCATGAGCGTTCTAGGACGACCGAGCTTGTCGCCAGTGTAAAGCGTCGACAACGCGCCTGCAAAGCAGCCCAGATTATAAACGCTAGTCGCGGTACCTTGGGCTTTCGGCGACGGGTTTCCCATCTGATCAAGAAAGTTCTGGCCGACGAGGACGTTTCCAAAGACACCCTGAGGGAATGGAACCCCATCAGCATTTTTGCGCAGCAACTTTTGGCATGGCAGGCCTCTGTTTCTCTTCAACATACCTGATCATAGCCATAGAAGACGAGGACGGTCGAGGCAGCCAGGGTGATCCAGACGGTCAAGGCATTCCCCGAGCCTCCTAGATACCTTCGTTTCGCGGCAGTCATGACTGACGTACGAGATGTGACACAAGCGCAACTTTCACGGGCCAAAGAAAGGGTGGAACGTGAAGGTGGACAATGTCGGGGAACAGTCGCAGTCGGCTGGCCACCTTTTATATCACAGGAGCGCTCTTCAACTCACCTCATTTCTGCCCTACTCTGGTCTCTTGTCGCCGATCCCTCTACCAAACCCCGACGGGCGCAACAGTCGCCATCGGCAAAGAGGCCGGCGAAGAGACGCACGAGTATGCTGAAAACAGTCATGATTGGCATGGCCTGTGGATATGATATACTGGAAAGCGTCGCTGAAATCCTTGCCTCCGCATCGCCGACGGGATACCGCTTTAGGAGGGATTTTTCCTTGTCACCGTGTACTACCATTGGCCTGGTTGGAGCTCCCGCTACCTCGTAGGTATGTTGGATGGACGTGTGGGCTGATAGTGATTGTGGATGAAAGACGTTTTCTCCGCGCGGGGGCAACTGGCCCACCCGCTCCCCCACGGCCTGCTGAAGATCAACTGCTGTAGGTATGAATCGGAGAATGATATTCGCACAGTCGCCCCGTCATGCTTCGGCAGTTTGTGGTTGCTCACATAATTTTACATACTTGTACCTAGAAAAAGGTAGAACTGTGGGCGCTATGAGGATTGCTTGGTGGACCCGGTATAACCTGGACGGACTCGGATCGACCCATTCCATGAACCACCCAAACTCTCCTATTTTGGCTTGTCGCATGCCACTCGAAATACACTCAAGATACCGCCCTTGCATTCTCGGATGACCACATTCATTTCCACCCGCTAATCTTCATGGTGCCATTCTCCACCAAGTTCTTGTGCATGTCAAACGCCTGGAAGAGCAGATGAGGCTCGTGACCCATTCCTTTCCTCAGGCACTCAAATTCTGCCTTGTCGAAGTAATCCTCCAGAATCGGTCTGTACTCAGGGTGTGCACAGTTCTTGATGATGACTCGGGCTCTCTCGCGTGGAGACAGTCCTCGAACATCGGCCAAGCCCTGTTTTTTGCGTCGAAGGGAAAAAGTCAAGGTCAGCTTTACGCTCTTGGTTTCTCGTGACACAAAATGTACTCTGGAAGGGGGGAGAAATGAAACTTACGACTTCGGTAACCACGACATCCAAATCGTGTTCGGTCTGATCGACGTGCGTACACATTGGCACGATGCAGGTGATGCCCGTAGGGTCGGTCTTGGTGGGCCGCGAGCTGGGCGTGTGCATGATCGAGTATTTGGACGAGCGCAGGAAATCGGCCGAGCCACCGAGGCCGTTGAGCATACGGGATCCCATGACGCAGGTGCTGTTCGCGTGAGCGTAGATGTCGACCTCGACCGGCGTGTTCATTCCAATCACGCCCAAGCGTCGGATGATCTCAGGAGAGTTGGACACTTGTTGAGATCGGAGCAGAACCTTGTTGTGGTATTGTTCCCACTGAAGAAGAGAAGAAAAAAACGTCAGCAACCAGGAAGGCTCGGAAACCACCATAATCTGTAGAACCGGAGCCACAGAGCAAGAGCAAAGTAAAAGTGAAAATAAACAAAGAGTAAAGAACCAAGCATCGAATCAGTCCAAACTTACCCCATCGTAGAACCGCTTGAACCCGCCCGGCGAGAATCGGATAGACGTGGCAGTTGCAAAGTCCAGATTCCCGCTGTCGAAGAGGTCCAGGAACGAATCCTGCAACACCTCAGTCCACACCTTGAGGTTCTTGAAGTTGGCCCCGCCCTTGGCCAGGCCGCCGATCACGGCGTTGGCGATGTTTCCAATACCGGACTGGATGGGGAGCAGGTTCGCGGGCAGTCGACCATGCTTGACCTCGTGTTGGAGGAACTCGATCAGGTTGGACGCAATGGCTCGCGACGTGTCGTCCTCGGGTGCATTTTCGCTGGTCTGGTCGGGGTAGTCGGATTCGACAATGGCGACCACCCGCTCCGGGTCGACGGGGATATGTGGCGTACCGATGCGGTCCTCGGGCGCCATGATCAGGTATGGCTAGTTCATCAAAGGGAGGAACACTGGTCAGCCTTGAAACCAAAACCACCACCACCACGAAGCCTCCATATCCCCCTTGCGAGAACTCACCTTTCTTCGTGGCGGCAGGTCCGTCATTGTGATGTCGTGCAGTCCCTCGAAACTGGGAGCGGCCGTGTTGACTTCGATGATGATCTGTTTGGTAGAAATGTCGACGTCAGCCACCACGCCCCCCGAAGAGCAGTCTGAGAGAGTGCACTCGTCATGCAGAAGGAAGAGGAGAAAAAGAGACAACAAGATACCTTGTCGGCCATCTGGATGATCTCAGGAGATGCCCCGACACTGGCGCCGGGTATGATTCCGCCGTCCTCGGTGATGGCGGATGCCTCGACAATGGCGACGTCGAGTCGATTGTTCTCCTTGTGCATGGTATAGTACCCGTACATCAAGTCCACAGGGAACATGCTGAGATGCTTGTCGAAGAATTTGATGTTGCCGTTGTTGATGCCCCTGGCGATCTCCTTGCCGACCTGGTGAGGAGCTCGTCGTTCGATCATGTTGAGTCGGGCCCATCGGTTCTCGGTCTCTGCTCCGGACGACGCTCCCACAAACAGGTTGTACTTGAGCTTTCCCTCGAGTCCATTCTTCTCGACATGGTCGGCCAAGGCCGTCGGGACTTTTCTGTCGAGCCAGGGTCAGAAAGCTGTGCTGTGCGACTACCACCACCACCACCACCAACCAGCAACGGAGATGGGGGGGATCTCAAACAGAGAAATAAAATCGCTTCATGACATACTTGGGATATCCTACTCCTGTAAAGCCTGACCAGCCGATGTATGAGCCATGCGGGAACAGGTCGATGAGGTCCTCTGCCTTTGCGAGTTTGTTTAGGTACGAAGCTCGTCGACACCGGCTTTTGAGCAAGGCTGAGGCCGCCATGATCCGGACACACCACAGTTGGTCACCTGCAGGCCAGAGGAGAATCTGGGGAAGCTGTAGCTGAGAGACTTGTTTTCTCTTTTCAAAGATTGTCAAAGATGTCTACAGTAGGAGTTACTAAACAAAAGGGACCGCGCGAGCCGGCGTGAAGACCATGCGGCCCTTTCGTCATTGAGCTGGATTGGCGGACGAGCCCCTCCGTGGCACGAGTAGCCTCCTCCTCTGGCCAGGACTAGTAGTCGTACGGGGCGAATCATGCGAGGGACAGGAGGATCCAGTATCAGGCGATTCTGTAACACCCAATAAAACTAGCTTCATGGCCCTTTTGCGACAGCTTGTTGCTACCAACAGATGCTGAGACTCCCCTGGAGCCCCGAGTCTTCTCCGGCCTGCTATGCCCACAAATACCTCGACTGCCACTCACTATATCTAACTACCAAACTCCACCATTTCCCCTGGGAACGCCCAACTTCTAGATCCCGGAGAGATGGCCACCTTTAAGAACCCTATTCAACGTGGTTTGCCTTCCTCTCGTCCGTTTGGCAGAGGACACGTATCAAAGAAACTGCCAGCTTCCTATGCTTCCGACGCGATGACTAATCTGGATTACCTAGCTAAGGTCCTGGAACGCGTTCCTCATTTGCAGAACACCGGCTTGGGCAAGTGGTCATAATTCAACTCTTCCCACGGGTCGTCCGGATCAGCTCGTGTAAGGGCCCCAAGGCTTGCCCTATCAAACAGCTTCTCGCCGACGTTGATGCTGCCACTGACGACGCGGATCAGCTGCACTTGCTGGACGTTTTCTGACGAATAGCCCTTTTCCATGGCCACAAAGTATGCACAGATGCCTTCATGTGAGATGGCCACGAGGTTCTCGGGAATGTTCGTCGTCGGCCTCGACCCCGTAAAGACCTGGATGGCATTCTGAAGTCGGCGGGCGTCCGGGGCGTTCCATTCGTTCCCATACACGATCTTGAAGTGTTCTTTCCAGTGCATGCCCCGCGCTTCCAGCCGCTTGGAGACCTGGCCAAGGTAGAAGCTTTGGATTCCGGACCGTGTGGGATACAGTCGCGGTGCTACTGTCATTCTGGACAAGGATAGCCCGAGAGCGATGATGGTCTCGACCAGCACGGCGAGACAGTAGCCATGAGACGGCGGCACGCCATCTTGGCCGTCCACAAGGTGCTCCTTTGCTGTGCAGATGCCACAATGGCAGGCCTTTCTAATCCTTGTCAGCTGTTCGACGTAGGTTGCCGCCGCGTTCTCGTGGGACGACTTCAGCTGCTTCTCCATTCTTCCCTCAAAGCGGCGAAGTTCAGGAAGCCAATTCGTCAAGGTGACGATTAACCCGGCACCGTAGGATGCGCTGTTATTCTGGTTCTGGGTTGACACGAGGTCGTTGTGTTCTTCGTGCCCTCTGCCGAGAGCAAGGCCTTCAAACATTTTAGCAGCACTACCCATCATGGTCGCAAAGGCTCTCGACTCATCGTGGTCGAGGTAATGAAAGCTCTTGCCAAACACTCTGGGAAGGAGGGACTGCCATGCCACTCGACCTCCGAATGGAGTTGCGTGCACCGCCGAAGAATAAGTCCTGTCTACGAGCGACAAGTCAGCAATTCTAGGCGAACCTAAATCTCTCTTTTCAAAAGAAAACGTGAGGCCGGGTTTCTCCACGAAGACCAGTGTTATCTGGGGCTCCTTGTCTGTGTGCGTTCGGCGAAGTTGCTGTCCACCCGTCTGGTACACGGCGAGTGGCAGATCACAGAGCCATTCGGCCAACGCGCCTATCCAGCCGGTGACCGCACTTCCGGTAAACGTGACCTTGCTTTGTCTTCCGCTGGTAACTTCGAGGAGTGCAGACAGCGCCTCAGCAACCACTTTAGGCGGGATCAGGGATTCCAAGCGGCCCAGGTTGACGATGGTATAGGGGTATAGTTGGATATAGTCCTCCACAAGGAGTCCAAAGTCCGTCGAGGCAAGAGCGCCGTTGCACCCATGCAGCGCGGCTTTCCACTGGGCGAAATGAGGCGTGAAATCGTCTGGCCCTGCTGCTGCTCCTGCCGCCGCCGACGACATCTCCATCAGCACCAATGCCCCGTAGGTCTCACGGAATGTCTCGGTCAGGGCAAGCATCACGGCGAGATGATCATAAGAACCCTCATCTTCGTGAACGGCCCGGTCATAGATAACGTGCGACGGACCCCAACCGAAGCATAACTTGTCAGCTGGGGCGACCGACAGATGAACTGGAAGGTTGCTGAGAGCATTGTTCATGTTCCGCTGACCCGCAATGCCGATCTTGAGATCGCGGAGGAGCAAGAAAGCGACATAGCGAACGTAAGGGTCGACTTTTGCTCCAGCGAACCTTCTCAGCGTTGTCGAGGACAGTGAGATGATGTCCGGGATGTCACCTCTGGTGGAAGGCATGCTTGACGACAAGTTCCTGTAAGCAGCTGCTTACCATGACTTATCACCACCGCACAGGAAATGCGTGGGCATGACATTCTGGGAAGACTCGAGGTGCACGGAATCCACTAGTCAGCTCCAGTCAGCAAATGCAGTCAAAGATTGGTGATGGAATCGGCGCCAGCCTGAGTCAGCAAGATGTCTGCGGATTAGACAGCCAGCAAACATTCGACAGAGAGGCCAGCCACTGAGCTGAGAACTCGTGTTGTCGCGGGGAGGCTTAGAGGTACCTATAGCCAGTCGCCTCGAGCGGCTACAATAGACAACCTGCAGATCTAAAGGTCGAGAAGAGGCCCTAACGTGCGATGGTCGACGTCGTGAACCCTTCACTTGTGCTCGTAAAGGTCAACGACTCCACTCCACCACCACCTCCGACCGTCTAATTCCATCGTCGTCGCTTAACAACGCCCTACTGTACAGTTCTCCTGGTCTAGGCAAAACAATGTGTTTGCAATTCTTTCTCCTCCCTTGCTTCTTATCCCTGCCGGGTCTCTGCAGAGATAGTGAGAAGAGTGACTATTGACGCAGAGGTATCCCCTTATCTTATCTTGCTGCATCTCTCATCCACTCGGAACCGCGAACACAGCCCCGATTGAGGCTGAGCATGCCATACTGAGTCTTGGGAGCTCAACTCAAACTCAGAACTATGCTCATCATGCAAGGAAGTGCCTTGGCGACGCCAAGCGACATCACTCGTAATTGGATTGACATCAGCTCACACTCCTTGGTGCAATCCGCCGGGTGTCGTCCCCCTCTTCGGCATTGGAGGGTGTGACTCTTGTGGCGGTCGTCACTGCTGAATGCCGTAAGGCGGGACGTGATGTATGGCGATTAAAGACCAGGTTAAGACCAGGTTAAGACCGGCCGGATCTTCAATTCCATCCCACGCCCGCAGAATGTCGAAGTACTAAAGAGAACGTGGCCGCCTTGTGTCGCCTCTTCCCCCTCCTTTCCCACTAGAACTCGGATGCCGACCTTGTCAGCATCACCGCCTTACAGACGGGGTGTATCGTTTGATACTTTCGACACCGAAGATGCGCCCTTCAAGCACTTCACCCTAAGCTTTGCACACAGTGATTACGCTGCCGCCTCGGACCGTCGGGTGTTTCTTTGTGGCATAGATGGAACCGAGTCTTCCGATCTCGTGCTCGACTGGGCTCTAAGCGAGCTTGTCGACGATGGCGACGAGGTCGTCTGCGTCTACAGGGTTGAGAAGGAGTCGATGTTTACTAGTTGGTCCCGCTCGAAAGGTGGCCGCCATCGCATCGAGGCAGAGAAGCTCCTCGACAGTGTCGTCAGCAAGAACACCCGTGACAAAGTCATCAAAGTCGTCGTCGAGATAGTGGGAGGAAAGACCTCTACCGTGATTCAATCCACAGTAAGCTAGATAGAACCGTCTCACGGCAACGCAGAGGGCTTATACTTACCGTCAAACAGATCAATCTTTATGAGCCCAGCGCTCTGGTCGTGGCAGCTGGCGATGGGACCTCGTCTGATGTACAGAAGATGCTTTCCGGTTCTGTCTCAAACGGTTGTTGGCAGCAGCCCATGGTGCCCGTAATTGTTGTCCGAGCTGGAATGGCTAGGCCTAGAAGGAATCAGCAGCAACAACAACATCAACATCAACAACAGGACCAGGGACGACGATGGTCCGACCAGAGGTCCCTATCCATCTCCCACTCTCTAAGCTCACAGGACAGCGCTGTGTCGACTCAGGAAATGGCGAAAGGCACAGCCAAGGTGGGCGGCCAGAGTCACAGAGGAATCTTGAAAAACAAACACGAAAGGCTCTTTATCAAGAATGATTCGGGCAGCAGCGACGGAGAAGCCGACGAGACGTTGGGAGAAAAAGGATTCATCCTTCCAATTGGGTTCTTAAGCACTGAGAGCGTCCCCAAGGCGGACCTTGCCCTTAAAAGCCCAACAATCGCCGCGCTGGAAGAGGACTGGGATGATGATGAGCTGGGCATAAGCAGCCGCAAAGTGCAGCAACAAACGGTAAAGGATCGAGGAGACGATCCGGTGGTCTCGGACGATGAAGACGGCCTAAAACCGATGAGGATTGTAGAGGAACGGCGTCCCTCGGTGCGAGAAACCACACCCTGGCTCGCGAGCATCTTGAATGCCACAGAGAAGAACCCTCGCGGACACAACCGAAAGTCTCGTGCCAATAGTTAATTACTTGACCAACGAGAACACCAGTGACTGTGTGGTATGTTCGCCCCGGTCGCCAAAGACGGACACCATTCTCGAAGGGGGATCAAACAAGCACAGCATTTGATAACTCTTCAGATAACGCATGACGGCTTTCTTTCTTCGTAGCGAGTTATCTTATGCTTGCGAAGATATGCGAGAGTGATTCACATATTGGTGATGATAGTGACAAGTTCTCATACATTTGGCATGTCTATAGACCAGGCCACGAAAACGAGTATGTCTCGCAACTGTTCATTTGACATCTCCCAGTGGATGCTCGTTGGTAGCAGAGTGTCTCGAAGACTCAGGCCAATCTTCCCGAACAAAGGACCCTTGTAGACTAGGACCGAGAGCATCAGTGGACACCATGCGTCTCAAAACGCCGTTGGTTCGGTGTCCACAACATCATGTGCTGGCAACATTTTAGCTGTGATCTTTGGCCCAAGCGAAGAAACGAAGAGTTGCATTCAAACCAATAAGCGCAGACATGTCGGCAAGACGGAACGATACTCAGCACGTCCATGATCACCCACGCACCTCTTGTACCGCCAGTGCGAGGCAGATTTAGATCAATCCTAGTCGCTCGAAACCCGGTTTGTCCCATTAAGGTATCGGAAGCTAAATTGCGCAGTGATGGGCACGAGGAACAGTCCATGCTGGATCGAAAATTGTTGGACAAAAGCATGAGCTAAGGATTTCCGGAACGATGCGTTGCCAGCCATCAATCATGGCCTCAAACCCTCACCACGGTTGATCCACCGTTAGACAGCGCGGATCCTGTGTTTTTCGTCTCGAGCAAGGTCTTCCCAACTCCCGATCTCTTCTGGATCTGCATCACATCTCAGGCGTCCCAGGCATGGTTTGAGGGATTTTCTACGAGTGCATGGTGAGCTCTCCGCTCTTTCGGCCTCACTAACCCCACATATATCGCAAGGTTCTTTGCTCAACCTCGCTCTCCCCACGCGAGAGATTGGGAGGTTCCTTCAGTCTGTAAAATCCGCCGCCAGACCTATAACTTCTATGAGTGAATATCCTTTTTTCATTCCGGCTTCTGCAAAGTGTCACGGTCGTTAGTATCCCACCTGATTTTCGGTGCGTTACAAGCTGACCAGACTATGTGTGCTGCACAGGCTGGGTGGCCGAAGGCAGGGTGCCTTGTTGACGCGGCCGATGAGCCATTGAGTCGCAGCTGAAGCTGAGCAAATCTACAGCGAACGAGAATCAATCCAGTGTCGAAAACCTCCTGCTCATCGTCGGCTTGCCCAGGTAAGACCGCTTTTGCGGATGCTGCGAATCTCCGTCGCCCTGCATACTTCATGTGCCTCAGCTTACCCTATTTACCTCGCGCTTGTGGATGTTGTTCTTCGTTGTTCAGCGTCCCACACCGAAAGCAACAAGTCCCCCCTGGCATGTGTTTCTGCTCAAGTCGACGAGATTTCCGCTTGAACATGACAGTCCACGCCTGGTGGAGCAGTCAAAACAACCCCTTAGCGTGCTGCGCAAGGCTCCAACCTGATCTTGATCTGTCCAAAGTCAGTGCTTGCGGCTTTTTCTGGTCCATGTAGAAGGAGTTCTTCCCCTCTGGGTCGAGGCGTCTGCTACGAACTCTACCCAGAGTTCCCACCGTTATTACTCACCATCCATACGGATTAGTACCTTGAAGCATGTGAGGAAAGCCATATCAAACAGCAACAGACGTGGGCGTTTAAAGCCCGAGGACCCGGCACATCCAAGAGCAAAGGGCGCGCGCCTACTCCAGCATAGGTTCGCCCATCTGATAACTAGAAGAACACGAATTTTGCCATCGTCAGACCGATCATGGTCCTCTCGAAAGGTCCTCCCGTACCACTGCCACCGAGCCGAGGAAGTTCGATTTCAGAGTCCTGTCAATCCATGACAGGAGAAAAGATGCCAATCCAGCCACGTCCCACGCACTCTGTCTCGCCAACTGCATCGATTAGATCTCCGAAGGTCCAACTTGTCCGTCATGCTCCCAACGCCAGCTTCAACATTCGTCTTTCTGCTCTTGAGCAAACCTTGCTGGATAACACACGCTTCGATGACCTGGACGTATCGTCACAGGACTTCGACTTTGAGGATATCTTCACCTACAACAAACCTAAGCAGAAATTGTGCAAGGTGGTTGAGGTCTCATTGCCGGCCAGGACTCGTTGAGGATGACCTTGAAGTACAACGTTGAAGAACGGAAAGGAACAGTAAGCGACACACGGGGGAACAGTGTATATATGCGGCAGCCCGAGGAAGCGTCTGAGAGAAGGCCAGGCACATTCATCACTGTTGGGTCTCAGAGAGCGCAGAAGCCAGACACTACGTCGTCGTCGTCGTTGTTGTAACGTAGCAACGTTCTGACGCCGTACAGAGAGAATGAAATGCCCTCCCAGTGAATAACCAACCCTCACCTCTCTACCCCAAGCGCGAACGCGAACGCGGCCAACGTGCAACAAACGCGTCTTCACTTCACACCTTTCCGACGGTGCTAGATATATTCAATCCGTGGATTTCCTGTCAACAATTCCACCATGGGAGACTTGCTATGGGTCTGCTGGCGCAGCTGGTACAGATCAGGATTCCTCTCTCCAGGTTTGGTGGTTTGGTGGGAAGGGGCCCCTAACCCAGGATCGGTGCATAGCGAGATAAGTTGACCTCAAGGGGAATCTTTCCACGGTCCGGGAGGGGGCTACAGCCAAATTCTCACTTCATGTGTTTGCTCTTTTTTTCCTTCTGGTTTTTTCCACTTTGACAGCAATATACTAGGTACCTGAGTCAACTTCACCTCATGGCGCTGGACTGCGCTGTCACTCTTACTCCTTCACTGCCCACCACTGCCCCTTCGTACATCTGATACAGGAGTAAGACGAAGTCGCTTTGCAAGCCTATGGCGATGGGACCCGGAAGTCTACAATCCTGGAGAACAATGCACCTTTGGAGATGTGGAGATGGATGGAACTTCGAAATCCTTCTTCCTATTACCTCTATATAAAACATCGCGGGTGTAGGCGGAGCACGTGTAGACGGAGCACAAGACAAGACAACACGTCGCCGAAAAAGATCGAATCGATATGGGGTGCCCTTGTTGTTGTTCTCATCTAGTCATGTCGAGGTCTAAGGCCGGGGACCAATATAGCGGTACTCTAGTGGACGAGTCATGATTCATCATGATGGCCTGACAGGGAGAAAAGCGATCAAACAAGACGACATGGAATGTCTAGCTTTGGATGTACAGGTATATATATATATGGGTGTGGGTGTGTGTGTGTATGTGTGTGCGCATAGGCACAGAAAACCACTTTATCCCTAAAACTAAAACACGCACAAAAGTATTCATAACAACCATCATATCTTTGCTTTGATCATTTGATGTGCAGTGATCAGTGGGTCGTATGATCGAAGGCCCAAAGTGTCCTTGGGAACAGGGACGGTATGAGTCGCTAGCCCACGCGTGTCTACCAGGTCCGGAGTCAAGTCTTCCACCTTGGAGGCGCCGATCAGCCTCATATTCATGACCATTTCGTCTTTGAGCAGCTGCATCGCCCGGTCCACACCAGGCAGACCATAGGAAGACATGGCGAAAAGGAAAGGCCGACCGATTCCCACGCCTTTGGCCCCGAGACACAGAGCCTTGATGATATCGGTCGCACGTCGCACACCACCGTCAATAAAGATCTCAATCTTGTCTTGGAGACCACGTTCTCGCAAGACAGGCATGACTTCGGCTAGAACTTCGATGCCCGACGGTGCCGTATCCAGCTGACGACCTCCGTGGTTGGAGAGGACAACCCCGTGCACGCCAACTTCGATGGCTTTCAAGACGTCCTCAACTCTCTGTACACCCTTGAGAATGATGGGCATCTTGGTGATGCTCAAGAACCAGGGGATATCCTTCCAGCTAAGACTGGGGTCGATGAAGCTGGAGATGGCTCTGGCAGCACCTTGGGATCGGTCGACGTTGTCGCCGGTGGTGTTTTGCACGTTGGAACCGGTGTCATCGAATTTGCTGCGCATGTCCTTTTCTCTTCGTCCCAATTGAGGAGCATCGACGGTAATGAAGAGGCCCTTGCAACCCCGAGACTCGGCATGCTGGACGATCTTTTTGGTAATGTTTCGGTCCTTGTTGACGTACAACTGCAGCCATTGACACTGATCACCCTCTTTGGCATCGCAGATCTCATCGAAGCTACACGACGCCAGCGTAGGGATCATCTGAATAACATTATGCTTCTTGGCACCTCTCGTCAGAACCACTTCTCCCTCGGGATGCCCCAGTTTCCCCAGAGCGGTGGCTGTGACATAGAAAGGAATGTCACACTTGGTGCCGAGCATGGTGGTGCTGATATCCACGTTTTCGACGTCGACCAATATCCTCGGTCTGAACCAGACTTTGTGAAATGCGGAGTGGTTTTCTCGCATTGTGATCTCGTCATCTGCGCCGGAGCTGTAGTATGCCCAAGCCGTCTTCTTCATGACACCTTTGGCGACGCTCTCAAAATCCATCAGGTTGTAGCATGCTTCTAGAGGGGGCATGTTCTTGATCCGCTCTTGTCTTTCTTTTTCTTCGGGGCTCTCCTCTTTGACCTCCTTCTCTACTGTCTCCATATTGACAGCGCCCAGATGTTTTTCCTTAGGCAGATACTTCTCAAGGGTATCTGGGGGGTGAATGGGTTCGAACTCTTCGGTGGCATCTTTCCCAGCATACTTGAGAATGATCTTGGGACCGCCGGGGTGCTCTGTAGTGTCTTTCGTTAGCATTTGCTTGCAGCTTGAACCTTGAATACTAACCAGGCAAGAAATCTGTCACGTCGTATGCCTTTCCATGTACAATAACCCAGCATGATTCTGCAGAATTGTGCTTTGCCACTTCTTCACCGGTCAACGTGCCAACATCTGGTCTTTCGTCCTTGCTACGGTTCATCTTGACCGAGACTGAGTTGGGTTGGCAGGAAGAATGGGCTGTCTTTCGGGATCTGGCGGGACAGTAGGTGCGCGTCTCCCCGGAGAAGTGAACAAGACGACGCAAAATGCAAGGACGACGAGAAAAGCGAACAGAATTATAAATGCCGGAGCAATGCCTCCAGACTCAAGGCCTTTGGGGGAAATATAGACGTTCGGATAGCGTAATGGAGAAGCATCTTGCCCTTGATTGGATGAACAGAACACAGAGGCTCGCGTTGACGACAATCTGGAGGAGGCGGGGATAAGAACGATCTGATCAGAGACGGAGTTCGCGCCGTCACCGACACGGTCAACGGCATTTGTACTCGTCCTGTACGGATCGCGAGAGCGGGATTGCGCCTCGGCACTCTTAGTACTGAATGCCATAAGTAGAGCACACTTTTAGCCTTGCATATTGCGGATGCGGCGAATCCCCATGCGAGTCATTTGCTGGCAAGACTGTAGCACGATAAACCCATTTGTCCACACATGCTCGCCGTGCAGTCGTGCAGTCGTGTCCCACCTCTTCCTGTGCTCTCATCGGCCGGCCATATGTAGGAACCTGCTGATACTGCAAGCGAGGCGGAGGACACATCCGGAGCACGGTCTTAGGCGTGCCTCGAGATGGGACAACAATAAATAAATGGACGTCTGTGTGCCCTCCTGCTGATGGTGGTGGTGGTGATGGTGGGAAACCCTTGAATCCTTGGTGTCAGCAATTGTATCATGGATGACCGCGTGATGCACATCGACACCGATCGGACGTGTTCATTAATGGGCTCGTGCCTGTCCAGTGATGTTGTTGATGACCACGGCCAGATTATTGTTGACTGTGCCCGAGAGATTGCAGTGATGCATGGCGGGGTGTATTGTGTGCCGGTTGCATCTCTCTATCTGGGGGCGGGACGGGCATTTTCTGCGTAAAATGCTTTTCTCATGCTGCACCTCGACCAACTCGAGATTCGCTTTCAACATCCCTTCCAGCCTCATCACAACACGGCTTCATCCTCTTAGCCTTCTTCTGCGCCGATTATCCCGAGTCTTTTTCGACTTTCCTTGTTTCCTTGTGTCTTGGATCGCGGTGATGAGAGCTGACTCCGTCGTTCAGGGCCTTTTCCACACCAGCAGCTGACCTCCCAATCTACAGAGCGTGGCGAGACAAGGCCTCCTCTTGTTGCACCGCCTACTAGGAGAAGAGAAGAAAATATGAGATAGACCAAAAATTCAAAACCCACAACATCTCTCCTTCTGTTTCTTCCCTGCTTCCTATTCTCCTTTGGATTCGGGCCAGAATGAATACGGCTCCTCCCCTAATCACGACCACAGCTCCTCAGCCGATCCCGGCTACCTCGATAGAGGCAAAACTGGTAGTTCTAGGTGCGCAAGGCGTGGGAAAGACATCTCTGGTGTCACGCTTCATCAATCCGTCTGCGCAGTTGTCAAAAAATGTGCAATCCACCATCGGCGCCTCCTTTGTCACGAAACGCATTACCGATCCCGACACCTCTACCACAGTTCGCCTGCAGATATGGGACACAGCGGGGCAAGAGCGGTTCCGAAGCATATCTCGACTCTATTATCGAGGAGCAAATGCGGGTCTGCTGTGTTATGACATTACAAACGAACAAAGTTTCGAAGAGATGAAGACATGGCTGGAAGAAATGAAAGAAAATTGCGAGGATGGCGAGGCCATGCCCATAATACACGTGGTGGGCACAAAGAGCGATATTGTGGCCGACGATCCTTCGCGCCGGCAGGTCACCTTCGAAAGAACCATTACCTATGTGGCACAGCAGTTAGGGGCGGTGGCTGCCGAGAGCACTGCGTCAACCCCTCCTCTCGCTATGCGATCTGGCAACAACATTCAGAGTCCGGACTCGAAACGCAGCTCGGGGTTCTGGAACCAAGACATAGGTTGGGACAGCTGTCACGAGGTCAACGCAAAGGACGGAGAAGGCGTCGAGGAGGTGTTCAGAGTCATTGCGCGGAAGTTGATTGATCAGAAACACCAAAAGGACGCTGCCGAGCTCACAGGGCTACAAGGTTCTAGACCTCGAAGTGACACCGGAGACGACTATTTTGGTGGCCTCCATGGACACAGTGGGAGCTTTAGAGTTGGCTACGGGGACAAAAGGCGAAGCTGGTTGGGATTGCCCAGTGTAGGGCTTGGGATAGGGGAGTCTGAGAGTGGCGGTCCGGGATTTGGCACTCGTGATCCTGAAGAAGCACGGCGGAAAGGACGGTGTTGTTGATTTGTGACGGAATTCCCTCCATTGTCGGCGTTGAAACATTTACCAGGGTTGGAGGACTGACGGTTGATTGCACGATTGAAGACTGCATGGTGTTTTGGGCAGGGGGATTTGTGGAGTTCAGGATGCTTTTCGTTGCTTTGATCCCTCAGTGTATTGTGTATCCAGGAGAACAAGACTCAGACCCAGACTTACGATTTGATGCCGAGAAGAACGAATACATTGTTGACGGCCGCCATTCATCGTCCACTCCTAGAAGGAGACCAACTGGGATATTTTTCACCTTGGACGAGAGCTCGTCGGGATTGGTTACTTTCTGCGAATTGATCCTCTCTGTCCTGAAGTGCACAGTAGGTCATCTTTCGCATGGCTGTTGTAGAATTCAAGCTCCTCACAAGCTAAAAGACTTGGCCGAGCCAATTTCTTCTCTGGCTCTTGTCGTTCCTAATCCTGCTATCTTCTGCTCTCTCGGTGTTCTCGTCCTGACGCCACTCCTCGCGTTCCATTACCAATGTTGCCCCTGTTTCTCCCCGTTGCTTTCATGGCGTTCAAAGAGATTCTCCGTGAGAGGAAGCAGAAGGGACCTTGACAACAAAACCCACGCAGACACCCGATGGTACGGGGTCAACACAATACCCCCGAGGACATCCTGGAATAACCGATCGCTTACGGTGGACGCAACGAAAATCTCCCCGGACTTTCTCGTCTCCATGGAAGCTATTGATTGCTTCTGGATGTTCTCCATGCCCGTAAAGGGGGTTGAGTTTACGTAACCAGCATTGAAACGACCAGCATCGATGTTACACTGCGGCGCGAAAGCTCCGCAACCACGGCGAGCTTTGTGAACTTTATTAGCTTTTGACAAAGAGCTACGATTGGGTTTCAACCTTGACGAGCTTCTCAAAGCCTTGTCTTGTGGATCGTGTTCCAGCGGGAGCGGTGGCAATGGCACAACCAAAAGCCAACGACATCCCTGTCTCTCCCCCGCGAAATCTCGAACCTCTCCACCAAATTACCCAGATCATTCGTGTGATACGAAGTATCCCCTCATCGACGACAGCGTCCTGCGCTGAGAAGATCATGGCTTTTCAGATCAGGTGTGTCATCTTAGTCTGCTTCGTTCCTTGGCTTCCTCTTCATTTCTTGCTGCTGCTGGCCTGTGGCGATCCACAGACGATGGTGAGTGTGCGTTGATCCTCTTCACTAGCGACGCCATCGCGGTCATTATGACAATCACAAATTACCACAAGAGGAGCCATTTGCAGTGAAGAGCGATGCATGTGCTGTGGAATTGGGACGTGCTGTCCTTCGAGGGATCCTAGAATTCACTAATAGTCGTACTCATTCACGGTAATTGCACTGCCTCTGACTCCATATAACCCTGTGACTTTCCGCTCTTCCACTGCTGTTTCTCAACGTTCACCCCTCCAACCATTTGAACACTCTCACAGCCTCGACACAATGGATGGGCCCCAGAATGAGACGACAGGCGAGAAGCATGTCGCAGCTCGCGAAGGTATCGCCCCTGATGCCTCGTCTCCTCGTTCCTCCTCCGACCCAGAGAAGTCAGGAGATGCCGGTAATCACCATCTAGCTGAGCAAGTGTCGTACGCCGATGAGGAAGATCCAGTCAATAGACAACACAATCCTTTGGCGCAGAAGCTGCGTTCGCGTCATATGCAGATGATCGCAATTGGTGAGTGCACAAAAGGGGTCTGACATCCTTCTTCATCTCTACCCTCGCAGCAATAAACATGTATGACCTCGCCGGCGTCGAGAGACATGGGCCACGCACAGGGCAGCTTCAGACTCTCCCCAACCTGCAACCCGTTAAACAAAAGACCAACCTAGTAGTAATGAAAAGCTACTGACATTGCCATAGGCGGCTCCATCGGTGCAGGTCTCTTTGTCGGCTCTGGTGGCGCACTGCGAACCGGCGGTCCTGCAAGCGTTCTCCTCGGCTTCCTGATTGTCGGTTTCATGTTGCTCTGCACCATGCAAGCACTTGGTGAACTTACTGTCCTTTACCCCGTCAACGGTGCATTTTACACCTACATTGTACGTTTCGTCGATCCCTCTTGGGGCTTCGCAGTCGGTTGGGACTATGCCATCGGTTGGTTGACGGTGTTGCCGTTCGAACTCACGGCCGCATCGATCACAATTCAATACTGGAGAGACGACATACACGTCAGCGTCTGGATTACGGTGTTCTTGGTCTTCCTTGCGGGGATCCAGATATTCGGTGTTCGAGGGTACGGTGAAGTCGAATTTGTCCTCTCCTTGATCAAGATAGTAGCTTGTGTCGGCTTCATCATATTCGGCATCATCGTTGACTGCGGAGGCGTCCCATCCGACAATCGCGGCTACATCGGCGCTCGCTATTGGCATGTAAGTTTCCTTTTATTCCTATGTCTTTGTTGTGGTTGTTTTTCTTCTTCCTGTGTTCCATCCTGCTTGTGGGCTGTGTTTCTGGGGTTTAGTCTCTAACATATGCATCGCTCAGGATCCTGGCGCTTTTCGAAACGGCTTCAAAGGCTTCTGCTCGGTGTTCGTCACCGCCGCGTTCGCTTTCGGCGGCACAGAACTCGTTGGCCTCGCCGCAGCTGAAGCGGAAGACCCGCATCGCTCTCTCCCCAAGGCGACTCGACAAGTCTTCTGGCGCATCGCTACGTTCTACATCCTGTCCTTGTTCATCGTGGGACTCATTGTTCCCTCTGACAGCCCTGACCTCCTTGGAGCCAGCGGCGCCAATACCAAGGCATCTCCTTTCGTTCTCGCCATCAAGTACGCGGGGGTCAAGGGCCTGCCGAGCGTCATGAATGCCGTCATCACAATCTCCGTCATCAGCGTGGCGAACAGCTGCACCTACGGATCTTCTAGGACCATGCAAGCGCTCGCCGCAAGAGGCATGGGCCCTAAGTTCTTGATGTACGTCGACACGAAAGGCCGGCCCCTCTGGTGCATCGTCATTCAGCTCTTGTTTGGCTGTCTGGCCTATATTGGCGAAGCCAACGCGTCTGGCAAGATCTTCACTTGGCTCCTTGCGTTGTCTGGATTGAGTTTCTTCTTCCTGTGGTTCAGCATCAATTTGGCTCACGTTCGTAAGTCACCCACCCCTTCGACTGTCTCTCTCCATTTTCATATCATGTCCCGTCTCCATCTTCTGTTCTTCATGTTTGGCTCATAGACTAATACGTCGTACGTATCAACTGCGTCTAGGCTTCCGACGTGGTTGGGCCGCACACGGCTTCACCAAAGACCAACTCCCGTACCGCGCCGCGTTCGGTGTCGCCGGCTCGTACATTGGAGTCGCGTTGAACGCCCTCGCCATGATCGCAACCTTTTACACGTCGCTCTTCCCTCTTGGCGCGAGTCCTGACCCGGAGGTGTTTTTTGAGAATTACCTTGCCGCCCCGATCGTTTTGGGCCTTTACATTTTCTGGAAGCTCTACTCGAGAGATTGGAAGATGTTCATCCGAGCAGAGGAAATGAATGTCACGACCGGAATCAGAAGAGGAAGTTTCGAGATTGCTTCACAACCACAGCAGACTGCGTGGAGAAAAGCACTGAGGGCGTTCATTTAGTCTCTCAATCGTCAAAGACCGGACCGGCAACATGACGGCTGTTGGAACACTGTTGCCCACGGTCGACAAGACAGCTTGGACCATGTAGGTAGCTAGGCGTTCGAGGGTGTGATCATGATGACTTTCCCGGTCGACACCAGACTGGGGCACGGGTGGTCACAGATGAAGCCTGGAGGAACCGCCTCCATTCGTACCCATGAGCCGGATCACGCATGCAGAGCATTTCTAATTATCAACCAGATTGTTTTTTCTTTTGTTTTCGAAGGAATGAGACAATCGGACACAGTCCCCCCAAAGACTGTTCTACACATACCTCAGGTATCGAAATACAAAAGGCAACAACCGTTGTGCCTCTGGTGACTTTCCGTGTTCACGTTTTTCCCGTGAAAATCAGGTGTACGTACGTCGTCACACCATCCCCGTTCCTTGGTAACTACCAAAGGCACACGGAGTAATAATACCTCGGGAAATTGACCGACCACCTGCCTGTCTCCCTCTGCGGCAATCGTAAGGGGAAAAGCCAGCCCCCCTCCCTCCCTCTTCTGGCCAACCCGTATCAGAATCCAAAACCGACCTTTTTTTTGGACGAGTTTTCTCAATTTTAGGTATTCTCACTCCTCCTCGTGGGAGACCAAGGTCTTCAAATCGAGTTCAAGCCAAAGGATGCAGAGAACGTCGGGGACAAGTAGTGAGCAACACATCGATATGCCGTGCCCCATGCTCCTGTCGAAAGTTTGACCAACATATTGCTTTTTTTGTATTGTTTGTCAAAGTCATCGCTCACTTCGAGAGACTCAGCAATTAGACCCTTGATACGGACTATACTAACTTAGAACCACAATGTCGGGGAGGGGGGGAAGCAGGTCGTCTTCTGACGGTGGTATCGATCAATATTCAGGGTCAGGTGTTGGCGACGTCTTTACACACACATAAACACGCACAAACAAAAGGCTCACGTCTTGTCCTTGACTTCGATGCCGTCGGTCAATTTCTCTGTGCAATGCTAGAATATGTCTAGACTGTCTCAAAGTGAGCTCTCAGTAACCTCCTAAACTAATAAATAGCGGGCGAAAAGCATGGAAAAAAGCCCATGATGATTATCCTCGACTGCAAATTCTTCACTTCATGCATCAAGCTTTGAGGCCTGCCTGTGTACTCAGCAATCCCTTAAACTTTTCCCTTGCAATCTCGAAATCATCTTTACTTCATGCATCAACCTTTGATCCCTGTGTCCTCAGCAATCCCGTAACTTTTTCCGCTGTTGATCCCGTCGCTAGCAAAACATCTTCTAATGCCGAACCCTTTTTGGTGGTATTAGTTTCATTCGTGATAATCGTAACTCGTCGAGTTATTACTGTCTGCGCTGCCCAAATCGCAAAGCCTCTCTGTTCGGCCGTTAAAATGTGGTATCTCTCGGTGCGTTAAGATCTGTGTGTGCTCTCGTTGCGGTTGTGTCCTCAGGGGTACTTCTTCCAGACTCATGTCTGCAGTTCTAAGCAAGCGCCTAAGTTGCCGGTGAGGCTTGTGATGGCGTTGGCTGCTCCTGGGCAGGCTGAGGTGAAGGTCCCTGTGATGGGGGAGCTGCCACTTGTTGAGCAACACTATGGGGAACCGCGGGTTGCGGTGGCTGCTGCTGCTGAGTCTGGTGGTTTGGGGGAAGGTTAGGAGGCGGCGGTGGTGGTTGGGCCTGCATTTGCGGCTGCTTCTGGTGCTGATTAGGTCCGTCTGGCGTAGCCCTTGAAAACTCCTCAATTCCCTGTAGGATGCCATTGCCTGGTCGATCAATGGCCATCTGACCACAGAGGACCACGTCAGATTCTCCCATTGGTTGCCACCGAACATTTCTCAGCCGTGTCGCAATAGGCCTTCCAGAATAATCAAAAGTTGGATCAGGTGAGACCGGCACTCCTCCTTTGCCAAAGAACGTCGGTGCAATGGTCATGATGACCGAATCGATAATGTGGGAATATCGTAGTTTGAGTAGTTCGGAAAGTACAGCTCCACCGCCCTCTATCATCACACTCCTGATGCCTTCGCGATAGAGTACATTGAAGAGTCCTGCCCAATTCAACCCACCCGCTTGAGGATTGTAATCATTGATCATGAGGTATTCACCACCGTGAGATTTCAAGGTGCTCACAGCCACAGGATGTAACATTGCTCCGGGAGCTACCACCACCCACGGCCCCTTCCCTCGACCCTCAGCTGCATTCTTCAGGACTTTGAGTTCTGGCCTGATGATCAGGCGAGCATGCGGATCGATGATAATGGGTCTAGGCTGCTGCTCTCGGGGAAGGCCACCATACCCATTAGGACCGGCGAGGCGGCAGTTCAGAGCGGGATCGTCAACCATGGCAGTGGTGACTCCAATGAGTATGGCATCATGTTGACTTCGGAGATAGTGCGTCATAGCTTTGGTTTCTGGACCAGAAATGGCGGTGGAGGTGCCCGCAACCAGAGTTATCTTACTATCAAGACTGCTTGCCCAGGTCAGGGTAATGTGAGGTCGGCCACGACTTGCGACAGCATTTGGATCTGGCATGTATCGCTCTAGAAAAGACCTCGCGTGTTGAGGATATTGCAACGTGTCTGTGGGTGCTAGAGGCGCGTCAGGTCTGGGCGGTTCCGTATTGTTCGGTTCCAATCTGCCAAAGACACCAGGTTGCGCAGGAGGTGGGAGCGGCTTTGGTGGAGTGGCATGGTGCTGTCGCGGGGCGCGAGTCAGGGTGAAACCAGTATGTGCCTTGAGGACGACGTTCTGGTTATCTTGTCTCCAAGCATATTGGACATTTCTGACATCTGAGACCTTCATGAATTTTCCGCCGGCGGCATACATCTTCTCTGGCTCCTCCCACATCTTCCAGTAGATGGAGGCTGGCAAGAAGCCTCGAACTGCTTCTCGACGGGCAGTATCCATGATGCCAGAATTACGCTTGGTAGAATCAATGTAGTCCAGGTCGTGCGTATGCTTCTGGAACGCTTCGACGGCCCTCGAGATAGTGCAGCTCTGAGCCGAGCCCGGGTTATACACCACCTTCATTGTCATTGAGCATGTCTTGTCGTCTCGGGCTCTTTTCTTCCTTGCTTGTTTGCCCTCAGGGGTGGGACGAGGGACATGAGGCTTCTGGTTGCCGCTCTTCCGTAGTCGGCAAGCATAGTACTCTGTTCGAACGCTGGTCTCAGGCTGTTCGCCGGATCTCATTTTACGCCAGATGTTGTCGACAAAGGGGAAGTAGGCTTCGAAGTCCGCGACTGGAAGCTCAATGGGCTCTTCAAGGTCGTGAAGTCTTTTTCGCATCTCACCCAGATCTGGAGGATTTGAGAAGATACTGTAGTCTGTCGTCTCGTCGGACAAGACATACGACTTCCCGTTCTGTAAAGTCCGTTGTTCACCTCCGTCGCCTTCATCCTGCATTGTGGTGTCATTTTGACCTTCGTCTTCACTCTCGAGTTGGTCGTCCTCGTGGTGGTCGACTCCATCGGGGGTCATCGGAGTTTGGGGCCCGCTACTCATGATGATCTTGCGCAGGAGTATGAGCTCGTGGTCGACTGTGAATGCGCAGAGGCGAGGGAACAGTGAGGATGCGATCGAAGGGACGCTCCCAGGAGAAAAAAGGCGGCCTCAGACGCGATTGTCATAGGAAGGAGATGCGCGTGAGGGTCTGAGAATGAGGGATGGATGAGAGGTGGTGAAGGAGATCGGCCCAAGGACGAGCACGAAGCCAGTTGAGTGAGACCTCTCAAGGATTACAGGTACGGAGCAAATCCAGGAAAGAATTGAGGATTGTTTTGCGCCCGCGGTCAGCCTGAAACTTGGGTGTAGACAGTATTGAGTAAAGTGTCGATGCGCGCCAAAGTCTATTAAATTAGGTACAAGGGATGGGGTGGATGGAAGTCGTGTACTTTAGTCAGTGAAGCTTTTTGCGCTCCCTGCAAACACAGGCCCCGGGGAATAATAAGCTACTCGCGCACCACGCTGCCAGTTATTATACCAATGCCCGCGACCGAGTGCAGCTTACCGTAGTGAAGCGAGGTACGATGAAGACTCCCATACAGGCCACTCCGTACAATACATCATCAGCTACTCCGTACAGGGGGATCTATTGATCGGCGCCTCTACATGAACTCTCCATACACCAAGATTGCCGCATGCAAGGGACACCGTAACTAACCACCTGGTGGTACCTTTAAACGAAGAGCATCTTCGGATACCCCGAGTCCTCTCCAGGGACAACAAGGTGCAGGGACTTCATGCGTCAGGTTCAGGTATCCCTCACAGGTACAAGGTTGTTGTGAATCCCATGCAGTAAGGCTACACGTAGGTATCTAGCTACCAGCTCGATCGAGGACCTGCTGGCATCCGGTAATCATACACACCTTTCATCGCGTTAATAATCTCCAGCACGACGCATGGGTCTTATCGCTGGGGATCCCCTGACGCCCTACTATTAACTATTGTAATATCCTTGATCGTCCCTTTTCCGCCCTCGCTTCGTGGCGCAACCTAGGCCCTCTTGGGGTATTGCGTGCCACCCCAAAGAGGCATCTCAGCTTCATCTCCGCCCTCTGTATCGAGGTCGACTCCAGGAACGACTTCTCGACCGGCTTGGGCTCCGACTATAACTGCTCCTAGAGCTGTAGCTTGGACTCCTTCGCCTTCTCCGTGGGGGGCTTCGACCTGGCGGTTGGCGGCGCCGCGGAGGGCTTCTCGAAGGCGATCTCGAATACGAGGGTGTCCGCCTTCGGCGTCTAGGTGGTGAAGGCGACCTGGAATATGTTGCTCGTGGCATGTAACTGTCGTCGTCCGGGCGTCTTCTACCTCCTCCGAAACCTCCTCTTCTTGGTGGGGGACTCTGGTATCGTGCTCCAGGTGGTCCCCTGGGAGGAGGTTTGTAGCTTGGAGGTGGTGGACCTGGTCTCGACGACCTTGCTGGTGGAGGAGATCGAGAGAAAGCACGACGAGGCAGGACGATGCTCACCGATATAACCATGCCGTCCAGTTGTGCTTCGTGCATGTGCGCTATTGCAGCTTCCGATCCAGACGGATGATCGTAGAGGATGTAGGCCGTTCCTCGGTTTGTCATGACTGTTGAGTGTCAGTACCACACGGTGACCCTTTGTGACAGCATTATACATACACTGTTTGTTCAGTGGGAGGTCTATTGATTCGATGCGGCCGTAGGATCCAAAGATTTCGCGCAGGTGTGCCTCCGTAACGTTCTTTGTCAACTTCTCCACCACGATCTTGGAACTCTGAGCTCGACGGCTCTCTCTGCTCGGGCTTCGTGTGTAGCTGCGATTGCGATATGATCTTCTGTCCCCTCGACTTGGACTTCGACTCCGAGAAGAACTGGCACTGGTACTTCTGCCTCGCGCATGACCATTACGCCCATCTCTTGAGGGTGGTGATCTCGAATATGAACGCGAGCCTGATCTTGGGGAAGGGGATCGGCGACCAGCAGGCGAACGACTGTAGTGGCCTGACGGTACCTGTCGTGCAGACGGAGGAGTGGCAGAGCGCGCTGGTGAACGGCCTCGAGGCGGCGATGGCGAAGCCATGGTGAGGTTTAGATGACAGCGACCACGATATAAGTACTTTTCGTAGATGATGACTTCTCTACCTAAGTATTTCAGAGGGGGGTTGAAGAACGCGACTTCGGACTGGGAAGAGCGCAAGGGCAGACAAATAATGCCTCTTGATGAAGTTTTGTATTTCCCCAGAAATTTGACTGCCTCGGCGCGTCATTCTTGAGCCCCCGTCGAAACGACGTGTATTTAAAATAGTGCACTTCAATCTACCCTGCTTCCTTAATATTCCTCGTTCTCCTGCGCAGCCTCTCCTTCAGTGAACATGATCTAGTCGGCCACAATGTATTGATTTCCTCTGGCCATCGCCTCGGTCATAGGTACTACTTTAATGAGGTCCCTTGCTGATAGCTTCCCAGAACCCTTGGTGTTGGCCGAGACGCAGCGCGGATTTTCGAGAAGGCATCATTCTATCAACCACCTAGGAGGTCTGACAAGAGTACAGTGCTCACCAAACATGGCCCTTGGTCTGCTTGATTCCAATCACATTGATGTTCCGCCACATCAGTACCGCAATCACCCCAGCAGCCCATACAGCAGTCCCTGCAATCAACAACATCTTCTGCGTGTCTGCGTAGGCATGCTGGATTGCGATGCGAGTTTCGGAACCCATGGGGTATGACAGCTGCGTGTTGAGGTCTGCATAAATTAGAGGCAGGTTTTCCAGCTCTGTTGCCGGTAGGTAGCGTGCAAGCTTCTTTGGGAAGATGTCCTGCCAAATGGCTGAAGCAATTGTCAAACCAATGGCAGCACCAACACTTCCAAACATTGATAAAACTGCTAGACAAATGGCAGTATATTGATGTGAAGCTGCGGCTAGAATGGCAATCTCATCGCAGATGATGATGATTCCGGCGCCAACCGACAGGAATATCTGACACATGACAATGAACCCTATCGTGCCGCTGGGTTTGAGAAAGTTGATCATTAACGCCGCACCCAGGATGCTCAGAGGCACTCCAACGTACAAGCAAACAGGCTTGAAGCGCCCGGAATAGTGTATCAGAGCCCCCGTCGCCACGCAGCAGAGAACAGAACAAACTGTATAGGTTTGCTGAACATAGCTTGCGTGTGTGACACTAAGGCCATTCACAACTTGCAGAAAAGAACTGAGAAAGCTTGCCCAGCAGTAGTAGCTCACAAAGACGATTGCTGACAGAACACATGCGCCGAGAGCAGTCCTATCGAGCAGAAGGGTCCAGGGTAGCAATGTGATCGGGGCAAAAAACCTCTCCCACACGCCAAAGGCAACAATCAGAGACACCCCAACAGCCAGCATGCTGATGACAAGAGCCGAATCCCAGCCTCGCGCCTGCAAGGTATAGAGGTCGAAAGACAAGAGGAAGAGAGCAAACCCTGCAGATACCAGGAGCAGACCCATGGCGTCGAATTGGCGACAGTAATGGAGCATCGACTGCAGACCGTTTCGCGAGTTGTCGCTTATCGGTATGAGACCCTGTTTCTTTGCCTTGAAGTAATTCTTCAGTAGGAGGCCCCAGAGCGGAAGCGACACCGCTGGTACGAGTATCGCGAACATGCCAAACGCCCAACGCCAGCCTGGTCCGTTGAGGTAACCCGTTGATATTGGACCTGCTAACCAGCAGGTAATCATATTGGGCATACTAACAATGGCTTGCATAAGACCTCTATTACGAAGACTGGATGTGTCGGCGACGAATACAGACAAACTGTACTGGAGTCCATTGTTGCCGACCGTGTAAAAGACCTGAGCTGCCGCATATGATTCGACATTGTCGCACGCAGCCATCATCACAAGTCCTATTGTAGCAATGGAGACACAGAAGAGATATCCATGTGGTCGGCCGAAGACGTCGAAGATTTTGGCGAGAGTGAGGTTGATGACACCGCCAATAACGCTGCTCAAGACGCTCACAGTCGGCGTCAGCGAGTGAAGCGCAAAGGCCGAAGTGACATATGGATTCAAGGCGGCCACAACGCCCCCGAGCATCCCCTCCACGAAGTATATGATCCAAATCATGACATAGGCAATGATCAGGGCTTTTGTTGTCCAGGCGATGGTTGTGGCTTCAATGGCTTCTACACCAGCTTGGACGTTCTTATTTGGAAGTTCATCCTCGTTTCTTCTGCTGGGGCTTTCGGCTCTAGCCAGACCTATCTCAGAAGCCTCAGCTTGTTCTTCTTCTCGGTGCTTCATGATGGGGTGTGGTCAGGTCACCGAGTCTGGTCGTTCATCACAGAGATGGAATGAGTTGCGAAATAAGGTAGCCAGAGACAAAATACTGATGTATTTGTGTAGGACATTCGGCTGGCAGTAGGAAGCGGCTTTTAGATGTCTACCACGGCCGACATCTCCATCTTCCAGGGGCCCTCGGAAAGGAGACTTTCAAAGGACAAGCCAATGCGACCTAGGCATCAGAATGGTAAAACACTTGTTGGGCGTGAGCACCTGCGCAGTACGGGTGCTATACTTCCATTCGATGCCCCAATACCGCCTCCACTCGAGCACATACTTGAGAATGCTCTCTGATGGTGGAACAAGCGAAGAAGGACAACGCTGGCCTGCCAGTAAAGCCTAACAGACAAATTGACTAAAACTTGCTCACCTGCTAAGATGGTCTGCCGTGAGAACTTGCTCATTCCCAGGCTGGCTTCCTTTTTTCGCACCATTTTCCCGATGCCAAATTTGCTCAGAGGCAGTCGGACGCCCCGTCGGGGGAACAGGAGACCGATCTCACCGAGAACTCGTCTATCAGGGTCTTAAAGACCGCAATATCAACCTCACAGCATACCCCCCGGGAAAGGCATGATATTATCATACTTTTGCTATGGAGAATGGCTCAGGGCTGACGCTAGACATAGAAGCACTGCGGAGCAAGCCCCGGAGAGTTTGTGCCTTTAGCAACCGCGAAACTAACTCTCCATTGTGGAAGGCAGCCGTCTCGAATACATGACCTGTTGACTGGAACATTGTACGCGACGAGTCGCGGCGAACCTTATCATCTCCGACCGTTTTTACCGATGCCTACTCCACCTTATTTCTCCGGGGTACAAACGCGTCCAAGCTTTATACAATACATCTGATGGAGTATTATCTTAGAGAAACCCTCAATAACATCCTAGCGATCTCCGAGTATCCTGATTTCTTGGCCACGTCCAGCGGCAGATCGTCAGTATAAATTGGCTTGTCGAAATCCAACAGCTGAGGAATGTCCGGCGCTACAAGCATTCCATAAAGGTGATCCGGTGGAAGCAGGACTATCGATAAGGTCAGGGTATTTTTCGAATGGGGCATTGTTGATGGGAGCACCTCTGTCGTAGAGTAGGCTAAACAGTCTCATGGTGCTCCCCGACCTGACCATTTTCAACGGCCAAGGTAGCAAGATCTAGGCTTGAGAGAACCTTGGGTTAATAATTCTGGGGTTTGGTGGGAAGAGAGGGTCTTGTGATATTGGACGAGATCTGAGGACCGATTGTCGGCGAGGAGATGGCCGCGATGTACACTCGCAATGTGGCGGGAAAAGAACAAGCCTTGGAAAGGACTTGATGCTTCAGCGTTCGATGGCTTATTAACACATTTCTCGCCTCAACCTCAACTTCAATTGGATGCCCGACTATACCCACCCCCTCTCGCTATAGATTTTTCGACCGAACTCGGAGGGAGAATTAAAGCGCCCACGGAGTTTCCAAAGGCTTCTGCAACGACGTCGCTTCGAAAAGGATCCTTGAGCACCCGGAACACCACCATGTCATTTATCCTTGCGTACCGAAAACCCCGAGCAAAGCTTGCGCGAGCCCCAAGCAACTCGCATGAAGAGCGGCCATGTCCAAGGTCGTTCATCGGGCATAGAAAACTGCTGGCCTACGAAGAGCTCCCTGACTGGTATCAAGACAATCACTTTCTAAGGTCAGGGTACCGTCCAGTTTCAGAATCATGGCTGATCTGTGCCTACTCGCTGGGCCACCTGCACAACGAGACGGTCAATATATACACGCACCTGATACCGGGAGCCGGCTTCATTCTCAGCCAAGCCGTCCTATATCGATGGATATACCACCTCTACCCCGAAGCATCGTTGCTGGATCATTTTGTCTTTGGGTGCAACGTTGCGGCAGCGATGATCACCATGGCCTTGTCGGCCGCGTACCACACCCTGATGAATCACTCGATGCACATGTCCAGCCTTATGCTGCGGGTCGACTACGTCGGTATTCTAACACTCATCTTGGGTTCTTTCTTCTCGGGGATATACGTCGGATACAGGTGTGAGCCTACGTTGTGCTGGACCTACTGGACCATGATCATCGCACTCAGCATCATCACGTCGGTGCTCGTCTTGCATCCTCAGCTGCAGGGGTTGAAGTATCGCGCACACCGATCGTGGGCTTTCATATTGACTGCCCTTTCAGGCTTCGCTCCCATCATCCACGGCCTGTTTCTGTACGGATGGAACGAGATGCTGATCAGGTCCGGCATGCAGTATTACCTGCTGGAAGGCCTTGTGTATGGCATCGGTGCCTTCTTCTTCCTGACGCGCGTACCCGAGTCGATATGGCCCGGTTCATTCGATATTTGGCTGTCGTCGCACCAGGTCTTCCACGTTCTGGTGGTGGTCGCTAGCCTGGTACATCTTTATGGTGTGTGGGTGGCCTTCGACTGGAACTATCATAACATCAGGACTTGTCCGGCATAGAAAAATCCCACCAACGAGCCGCGATATTGCTTGGTATACATTGTAGACCTATCAGAACGTACTCAGATACACGAGAAGTCCGGATACGTGAATCACATTGTTTTTGGTCCCCCCTTCTGGAGAGCTGGGCTCTCTTGGGCAGTCTCCAGGTAGAATCAGGTCCCAGGGGATCTCCACTACTCGACGACCTTCTTCGTTCCCTTCGAGGTTGAGCGAGGGCAGGGAGAAAGGGTAATGCGCTCTTCCGTTCAATGTGCTGCTACCGAGAACGAGGCACGTTGCGTTTTTCAGTTATGGATGCGGCATCTCGGATGTACCATTCGTCGCACGCGGTTATGAGCCGGCGCCTTATTGGTGCGTACAAGCGTAGGACACCGTCCTCACCACCTAACGAGACATACTGCATTCACGCAACGGAGCATTGGCTTTTCTGGGAGTAATGACTGGGACTATCTCTTTAACGATCTAATCCTTTGGACCTATATAGGTATGGTATCTTTCTTGCAAATTTCTGCTGGCGGAACGCATAGAAAACTCAAACTCAGGAATTCTCTCGACCTCACGACCTACTGACCAGCATCAACAGCCGCCATGGTGCGCTTTGCTGTCCCCCTCTGCCTGGGCGGTGCCGTTATGGCTTCTGCTACTGCTGCGTCGTCATCGTCGTACATCCAGTATTCGACTGTCAAGGGCTATTTCCTGCAAGACAACAACTCTGCCAATGCCACCACCTTCGACTACGTAAGCATCAGGCATGCAACCTTTCACAAGCGCAAGTGACTGACGAGCAACAGACGGCATCCAACTTTGGCCTGATCAACCAGACATATCCGAGCGATTCGCATGATGCAGCGTCATTGACTCAGTGGGAGAGGTTCAGCCACCTCGTCTGGTCGCTCAACGCCAATGCTCCAAAGAATGTCGAGTACAAGGTGCTCTTCTTGGGTCGCCACGGGGAAGGCTACCACAATGCCGCTGAATCCTACTATGGTACTCCGGCCTGGAACTGCTACTGGTCTCTCCTGCAAGGTAACGAGTCAGTGACGTGGGCGGATGCACACTTGACGAAAAAAGGCATCTCCCAAGCCCTCAAGGCGAATGCGTTCTGGCTGTCTCGCATCCAGACACAGAAGATACCCACGCCACAGAGCTACTATGTCTCTCCGTTGAGCCGCTGCCTCGCCACGGCAAATCTCACCTTCGGCGGTCTTCCCCTGCCCGCGAACCATCCATTCCTGCCGACCGTCAAGGAGAAACTCAGAGAGGGTATCTCCGAGCACACGTGCGATCATCGTAGCAACAAGACCTACATCCACCACACGTTTCCATCTTGGAACATTGAGCCTGGATTCACTGAGTACGATGAGCTGTGGACCGGCGTTACAAGTGAGTCAGACTCTGCCCAGGATCTTCGGTCGAAGCAAGTGCTGGACGACATCTTCTCGACCGATTGTTCGACGTGGCTTAGTTTTACGAGCCACTCGGGTGAAATCGCGTCGATATTGAGAGTGCTTGGGCACAGGTCCTTCTGTTGAGTACTGGCGCCGTGATCCCTGTTTTGGTCAAGGCCGAAACGATCTGTCAGTCGCAAGCAACGAGTACCATCTCGGCGGCTCCATGGACAGCAAGTGCGCACTGCACGGTACCGCCGGTGACGAGTGTAAGCTCAGGAGCGAATGGGGGTTGTGTTTGCCCAAGCAGTGCTGCGCCGGTGACGACGACGTTGGCTGCGTATCCTACTGGCCGATAGGAGGAGCAGTGTACTGATCATAGGCAGCCAGGAGAAGGTGGAAGAGGTGACAAGTGTACGTACCTAGGTCGGCGTGACTACGATAGCGCATAATAGGGAGAGGGAGGGTACATTTAGATTGTCTACAGGTACATACATACCTGTAGGTACATATGTACATGTATCTTCTGTATGGAAAAATGCCAAGATCGGCACGAATTTCCCCGAACTGCGACCGCGGCGGAAGGAACTGGGGAGCTCCAAATGGTCCCGTCTCGTCCCGCTCGGCTTCTCGTTGGCCGCGAAATCAATCCTGGTGAATCTGGCGAAGCTGTAGCAGAGACCGATCCATTAACTTGCTATCCACGTCTCTCTTCTGTCCACGACTTAATCCTGCTTGTCTCGTGGACAAATATGTACAAACTCGGTCGCCGTAGCTTGGGCCCAGCCTTGAAGGCTGTCAGGGTACGTTCTGGCCTTGCAATCTGCGAGAAATACCAGCTGATAACAACTACAAAGGACGCGCCTGTTCGCAGCTCGATACAGCAACGACGAAACCTCAGTATCCATGAATACCTCTCGGCGAGACTGCTAAAATCGGTACGAGCATCACGATCTTCCACCGACGAGACCGACCAAGTACTGACACCATGTAGTATGGCATCGGCGTTCCTGATGGAGAGGTTGCAAAGACACCCCAAGAGGCCGAGGCAATTGCGAAGAAGATCTGTATTACACCCACCTCCGAAAGCCGGGGATTGTACTGATGTTTGCAGCCGGAGATGATATGGTCATCAAAGCTCAAGTTCTCGCTGGTGGCCGAGGCAAGGGCACTTTCGACAATGGCTTGAAAGGTGGTGTCAGAGTCATTTACTCGTGGGAAACCCCCATAGGCAGAGCCCTGGTCGAAGGGTTCATCCCATGCTGACCTTCACGACAGTCCTACCGAAGCAAAAATGTTTGCTGAGCAGATGATCGGCCACAAACTCATCACGAAACAAACCGGTGCTCGAGGCCGCATTTGCAACTCGGTGTACATTTGCGAGCGTAAATTTGCCCGTCGAGAATTCTACCTTGCCATCCTCATGGACCGAGCAACCCAGTCCCCCGTAATCGTCGCGTCATCCCAGGGTGGCATGGACATTGAGACCGTTGCAAAAGAGACGCCCGATGCCATCGTCACCACCCCCGTCGACATCAACACGGGTGTGACGGATGAGATGGCGAGGAACATTGCGACGCAACTCGGGTTCAGTGAACAATGTATAGAGGATGCAAAGAACACCATCCAGAACCTATACAAGGTTTTCATGGAAAAGGACGCCACACAGATCGAAATTAACCCTCTGAGCGAGACGAGCGATCACCAGGTTCTTGCAATGGACGCCAAATTGGGCTTCGATGATAACGCGGAGTTCCGTCAAAAGGAGGTTTTTTCGTGGAGAGACACCACACAAGAAGACGCTGACGAGGTCAAGGCCGCAGAGTACGTCGTCTCTGTGCGTTCTTATTGAGGGTTCATGCTAATGTTATTTTTCCAGGTCGGGTCTTAATTTCATCAAGCTAGACGGTGATATCGGATGTCTCGTCAATGGCGCTGGTCTCGCCATGGCAACTATGGATATCATCAAGCTGAATGGCGGCTCCCCCGCTAACTTCTTGGATGTTGGTGGTGGTGCTACCCCGGAAGCTATCAAGGAAGCCTTCGAATTGATCACTAGCGACCCCAAGGTCACGGCGATCTTTGTCAACATCTTTGGAGGCATTGTCCGATGTGATGCTATTGCATCGGGCTTGATCCACGTTGTACAACAGATGAACTTGCGCCTGCCTATCGTGTGCCGTCTGCAAGGCACGAACATGGAGAAGGCAGCTGAATTGGTGAGTATTCCCGTGTGGTGTTCGTTAAGGCCATCTGTACACCGCAGTCCACTGATACATGAATTCAACACAGGTCAACAACTCCGGACTCAAGATCTTCTCTATCACCGATCTTCAAGATGCTGCGGCCAAGGCTGTGGACTTCTCGAAGATTGTGAAGATGGCAAGAGACATTGATGTCGGCGTCGAGTTTACCCTCGGTATCTGAGCCCCGGTTCAGGTCCTTTTTCCCTTGTGCTCGAAGTGAATTGATCGTCTTTAGGGTCACCTACCTAGCCAGCTTCTTTGTAACTCCCTTGTTAACAATATCACCGCAATACCAATACCATGCCAGTATTTTTCTAGAAGCCAATCCTACAAACTCCATTACGGAGTATCTCCCTCTATCCTAATCCTCTTTTCCTACTTCAGCGGCTTCGCTCCACCCGAGACAAACACGACAGTGTATCGGACAAGAACAGTATACGAGGAACGTGGTCAGATATCAAAAGGGCTGGTGAACCGTTTTGTTCTGGTTGTATCGAGTACATGTGGGCTGGATTGTTCGAGCTCTTCTGTCTTCTATGATCTCTATTTAGGTCACTTCTTCTAGGAAGACTCAATCGAGAAATTCGGTGTCTCTTTCTTTTCCAAGACATGCACTTTCGAACTTCAGTCCGCCCTGCCCAGCATTTGCGAATAATGCAGGTCGAGCTCATGCCCACTTCCTCGGGCTGTCATGTGTAAATTTCCATTTACCATTGGACACTTTTATAAGAGGGCAGAAGGAAAGAAAGAAGGAGAGTGAATGTCATCAAACTAAACTTATCTAACAAAGAGAATGCTCGACAGAGCTAGCCTTGGTGCGCCACTTTTCTTCTTCCTGTCCGTTCGACATGTCACAACTCACTCACAGTCGGGACCGAGTTCCTAGTTCGCGCAATACATTATCTCTCTCCAAATGAGCGTATCTCTTTCTGCTAAACTCCATCACCTTCTGCTCAGCATCCTCTCTTCGCGTTCTTAGAGCCACTTCGACCTTTTCCGACTCGTTATAGAGGTCGCCGAAGACGGTGTGCAATACAGACACCAACTCAGCCAACCCGTCCTTACCGGCCAGCACCAGGGAAAGGTCAATTGTTTCCTTCGCATCACGCACTTCTTCTCGGTGGATCGCCAGTTTTCTGCTCGCCAATTCCAGCTTATCTTGTGCTTCGGACGCGGCGTAGCTGGTGCTTTCCGAGATGATTCGGTTTACCTCGTACAGATCCTCGTTTGGCTTCCTGAAAAGACCACTTCCCTTCTGGATCTGTTGCTTCACATCTCTGTACGCAGTCCTCAGACCTCCGTCTACCTGCAGACTGAGGTCTACCGTCACGGCGAGAATAACTTTGCAAGAGTCAATCTTGGCAATAAGATGGAGCAATTCCCGGTCAAGGACATCGAGGAGATGGAGAATCCTGTCGTTGATGTGAGATTTGCGCGTCTTCGACAACGTCCTCCACCGGCCTTGGTCCGCTTCGAAGGCTTTGGCCGCCGTTTTCGAAACCACTCTGAAGTTGGCGACCATGACCTTGAGTATGCGGTTTGTGTGGAGAGTAATGTTGAGCAAACATTGACTACTGTTGTAAAGTTCGTCCCCATACTGGCCCATGGCAGGGAGAAGCTCCTTTTTGCCTTCGAACTCGACGTCCTTGTAATATTCGAGGAAGACACGTTCCCGTACCAGCGGAACACTTGCGATCTGAAAGTCGTTGATGTACGGGCCTAGGGAGACTGACACGCCAGCCCAGTGTCCCAGCTCAGTGCTTGTATGGTTGAAGACGGCGAGACTCGTACCTGGGTCAGAGGCTGAGGTTGAGTTGGGACTGGATGCTGAGCGGCAGCAAAGGGACAGCCACGCAGCAAGACACACACCAATCCCACTTGGACAGAGGAAGCCTGTGTACGTGGATGAATTGGTGACGAGATCTCCGAGGCCGGAAAGGGTGCTCCTCAAGCCTCGATTCCCCTCAGAGCTGCCAAGAGTGGACGTGAAGTTGCTGATGCGAGCGAAGCCGACTGCGATTGTGTGGCCAAGGTTCGTGATATGGGCGACAAGAAAGCTGGTGCTGGTTGAAATTCCTGTCCAAGCGAACCTCAAAGGCGCCACAGACGACGCGGCCCAGGCATCGACCCACGTGAGCCAGTACCAGAGTACGGCTCCCGCCACCAATACGATCAAAAGTACGATGAGGTTCTTGTCCTTTGCAATATTCTCGGCAGCAGTGAGCGGAATGTTGATCAAGCGCCAGAGGAAGACGCAGACATGCTCCGAGGAGGACGCCTTCGCAGTGGAATTCTCCGCAAGATGGTCCGTCGATTTGTTCGACTGACTTGCACGTTGTGCGGTGGAGGCAGCTGAGGATTGCGTCTTTTCGACCTGCTGAAGGCGGCCAGTCGAGGCGGTTGTTGGCTTTCTCGCGTGATCAAGAGGCATCTCTGAACCCTGAAGAATGACAGTATCTTGGGGCACTGAGGAAGATTTTGGGCTGGTTGCACGTCCGGTGGCCAGGGTGACATCGCATTCCAGCTCCGCAGCTTTCGTATCCGCGGTGCCGATCTCACATTCCGACGATGATTCTGGCATTGTACGAGTATCTCCACTCAACACGGCTGCCGAATGTGGAGGGTCGAGAAGGAGAGAAGGATCCTCTGAGGGCTCTGATGATGCAAGCTCGACGGTGGCATTGAGAGATTTTGCAGGATCCAGCTTACTGCCTGATGCTGCAGAATCTGCTTCCGGGACTTCGCGTTCGGCGGGTGGGCCAAGGCATTCCTCCGGTTTTTCTGTTGGACCAGGTTCTTTAGACATGACTTCGGTCAGGTTGATGGCTTGTAGTCTGTCGTAAAGTTCCAACAATGTCCAAAGAAGAAGTACTCAATAGCTGGAAGGGAGGAGTCTATGACAAGAAAGAGATGAGGATACCCGCAATGGCCATGGAAGGCATGAATTTATGCCGTTCTTTTCATTGATGCCACCCGTTCGGCATCCTGAGACATCAGAGGCAGGTTCAGAGGCGAATGTCCCCATCACTTACCTTCGCAGTCGTCGAACTTGGGCAATCGGCTACAGGGAGCCAGCCACGTCCCAGGCCAGTTTCTACAAAACTGGGCGTTATTCAAAAGCGTTCTTTGTTCCAAAGATTGAGGCAGAGGATTTAAACCACTGTTTTAGCGGGCTGGGGTGACGCAAATGGGTCAACTCTGATGGGCACTGGACATTTCAGGATCGTTGTGTTTTCCAATCTTTGTCTTCACCTCAGACATGGTCGAACTACACTGCCACAGCGACGCATGTGTTTTAGGGGAGTCGACGTCGTGGCTCGCGAGAGTGAGGTTGCTAATCAAACGTAGTTCGTCGTAAGGCATAGTTCCAGGAGGTGCGTGCAAGACATCTCCTCTTACAGAGATAAAAAGCCGAATTCGAAAAGAACCCCGGTGTCGATATAGCCTGACTCCTGAAGCTTGATGCAAGGAGGGGCATTTATAGAGCGTAAATGAAAATGTCCACCAAAAAATAAGGACCAGACTAAAGGGGAGAAAGTAATGTATCCCAACCCCCAGAGCAGCAAAAAAGTTGAAGAATTATAGTGGACGTACGGGGCTGAGATGAATTGTTAGATAAAGCTAGCAGAGAGTGATGGTGGCAAGAAACCTACATTTGAACCCCGGACCTTTCACAATCACATCTTGTGGGAAGTGCGAAGCGAAAATCATACCCCTAGACCATGCGCCCATGCTGCAACTCTGCGTGCAATTCTAAGCTAAATTATAGCTGAGATCCTCTTAGGAGTTCAGATTTAGGTGCCGGCGAGTATTACATCATCCACCCTCCCATTCGCTGCCGCTATGCCCGAGATTTGGAAACAAAAGGCCTTAGACAATGATGCAGCGTGGGGCAGAAGCCCCCCGCTATCCAATTACTTTTTCCTTCACGGATTCTCGGCATCTCGTCACCCCTGGGCGTGTTCTTTTTCATGACTGTCGACGACGAGGTGCAATAATAAGCGTCCAAGATGCGGGAAGTCGGCTCTTGTCTCATCATGCCAACCAATTCCTGACCACCCGACCATGCTGCTCTTCTTCCGGCGCGCTTGGTGTGTACTTATCGTCTATTGTGGATTTGGACAGAGGCCCAAGTATCCCGGATAGCCACGTCTGCGTAGCGCACGAGTACGCAGGAGGCCGACGTTCCGAGGCTTGCGCGTAGCGCCTCTCGCTCGTTCTCAAGGCCAAGGACATAAACCGGGTGGGATGCCGCCCGGCTGTCGAACGACACTTCCTCCTGGTGTCCATGGTTATGTGATGCAGAGAAACCGCACAGGAGGACTCCACCATCGTCCCGGTGACGAAGACGGCTGCCTCGATATATCTGCGAGGCCTTCCCAGGGTCACGAGGGCTGGCGGACGCCGACTCTCGAAGACACAGATCTGCCGCCAATCCCCTCGGAGTCGATAACCGATTATTCTCAGTATGGCGCTATAGCGCATCGCGAGAACATGGCACGCCCCGGCGTGGACGACATTGACACCGACAACGACCCCGACAGAAAGCAGGGGTCCCATGACCACGACGACGAGGCCGAAAAGCCAAAAGACCTGTCCTGGAAGCAAAGGATGCAACATGCCACCTGGGCCTGGTTTACTCTGACTATGGCTACTGGTGGGATTGCCAATGTGCTGCACGATGGTGAGGTGTCCCGGTCCAATCTTCCAACAGAATTCGTCCGACTGGGAGTGTCGGAGATATGCTAACGAGTGACGCTGCAGTGCCCTACAGATTCAAAGGGCTGTATACAATCGGCCTCATCTTTTTCCTGTTGAACATTGTCTTTTACCTCGTGATCTGGGCCATGATCATCACTCGCTTCGTGCTATACCCTTGGACTTTCAAGGCGAGTTTGACCCATCCGACAGAGTCACTCTTTGTCCCCGCCTTCGCCGTCTCATTCGGGACTATACTCATCAACATCGTCGAATATGGTGCCGGTGAGGTCGGCGCCTGGTTGCATCGCACCGTTGTCGTGCTCTTCTGGATCGACTGCGGCGTCGCGATCGGCCTCAGCATCGCCATCTATCTCATCTTGTGGTCTACGTTGACATTTACCATTGCACGGATGACGCCGGTCTGGATCTTCCCTGCCTACCCTCTCCTGATCATGGGCCCGCATGCCGCGAATCTGTCGGACAAACTTGGCGGCGCCATGTCGCAGGCCATCCGCATCATCATCGCAGGGTTCACCATCCAGGGTATCGGCTTCCTCGTTTCTTTGACCATCTACTCGGCTTTTGTCTACCGACTTATGACGCAGAAGCTCCCGGCGGAACCGCTTCGACCGGGCATGTTCGTCTCCGTGGGACCCTCGGCCTTCACCGTCAGCGGGACCATCGGCATGGCGCAGAATCTCCAAAAGGTCATAGCCTCCAGCCCGACGTACGAATTTATGGACGTTCCGGGCCTGTTGGCCGCGCGCATTCTTCGCCTCTGCGCAAACTGGATGTCGCTCTGGCTGTGGGGGCTGGCCTGGTGGTTCTTCTTCATCAGCTTGCTGTCTAACGCGCAGTGCATACGCACGGACCACCGCATGCCGTTCTCAATGACTTGGTTCAGCTTCATCTTCCCCCAAACCGCCCTGACCACTGCGACGTTTGCCATAGCGGAAGCCTTCAACGTCAACGCAATCCGCGTCATAGGCTGTGTGATGACGGTCATCTTGATTTTGGCTTGGGCTGTTGTGGTCGCATGCATGATCAGGGCCATTGTCAATAAACAGATCTTGTGGCCGGAAAAGGGAGAAGACAAGACAGAAGGAGGCTTCAAACCTATACAGCGGACCAAAACTAACCAATCTAGGCAGGAAGCCGGGTCGCAAGCTTGAAGATTGAATGTGTAATTTTCATCCAAACTCCAACGCATCAAAGTAGTGGATATCCGGGCGACGTTGTTTGACGGCACGTACTATACGAATATCACGATGTAGATGATAATGTACATACTACACAGCGCATTCTACAATGATTAGCATTATACTTGAGCTGCTGCCCACAATGGGTCGAACTGAGATCGCTGAGTCATCATTTCTCCCACGGGAACAGGTCTTGGCAGGATTTTCCAAGCCTTGGAAATTCTGATATGATGGATCATAGGTGCATCCGTAGATTGGTCGCAGACCTCCATCCTGAATCCGGCTTTCTAAGAGCAAGCGTTCGATGTCACGGGCTTTCGAGGTCCCTACCGGACAGGGCAAAAATGTGTCGATCAAGATTTGCGAGCCCGAATTACGAGCCCAAGGCTTGAGCTTGACGACGTGGACCAGCTCCTTTGTCCTAGCCAGACAGCTCCATACGCTTGATGTACAACCGTCTCACTCGACCTCGTTGCCAGTCCTGGAGCTGGGTGCTGGGACTGGACTTGTCGGACTGACAGCCGCGGCTGTGTGGAAGACACATGTTTGTTCGACAGATTTGGCGCCGTTGCTTCCTGGCATCGCTGCAAACATCGCCCTCAATTTGGATTGCACAGAGGGCCGCGTCGACTGTGGCTCACTTGACTGGGACTCACCGGAGCTGCTCAAACTGGAGAACGGAAGTACGCTCAACCCAGATAACGACCCTGCCTCGGTGATCTTGGCGGCGGATACTATCTATAGCGAAGAACACCCCGAACTGCTATCCAAGACGATCCTGCGATGGCTCGCTCCGGGACCGTCGGCCAGAGTCATAATAGCGTACCCATTGCGCGTTGCATACTTGGACTACCTTCGTGAATTATGGGAGCTCCTAGAGGCCGGAGGACTCGAGGCCTTTGAAGAAGGCAAAGAGCAGGCAGATGTCAAGGATTGGGACGACGAATGTTTGATCGAATGGTGCGTTTGGAGATGGAAATAACGCAACAACGCACCGTAGCCGCCATGAAATACAACCACACGAAATGGTGCTATGTCGAGAAAACTCGGTTTTGAATCACAAACCACCAACCCGCCCTAGCTGCTGAAAGAGCACTCTTTAGCCTGCTTGCAATACCACCTTCCTATCAAAGAACAGCCGTCGAGATTACAAAAGGCCATGATCCAGAGAGTATCCAGAAAATTCGTACACTGGTCGAAACCCTTGACGAGGCTGCTGATCTACTGGCTGATTGCGGGGATTATTGCTTAATCGGTAGCTAGTCGATGTCGTGATTCTGGACACGAATGGTACCATTCTACGCAGCATCCAACGATATCACCACCTCACGGCCAGGATAACTTGTAGGGTTAGGTTTACTTGGGTGTCATGGACCTGGATGCTACTTTCATATGATGTCCCGAGGACGACATATCACCCGTCGCAACGTGATTGGCGGATCGCTTAACAAACGTATACTTATATCGTCAGACCCTCATTGGAATCCCTGGAGCTGGTGGCCGACTATAGCACATTCATTCCCGTTTATTGGCTGAACAGATACCGGCAACGAACCACCGAAAGGTATGAGTACTTTCTCCCAGATTGTCTCCGCTTGCAACGTCCGGAGTGTGGCTCCATTGATCCCTGGTTCCCTCTTCGCCACGTGGAGTGATAAATCACGAAAAATTCCCTTTATAAGAGAAGTTCATATGCATTCTTTGATTCCAGGCCCGAGGAAAGCCAAATCTGGTCGGACTCAATATGGCTGCCAATTACGTCTCCAAGGAAGCAGACGAGATTGCCGCTGTTCAGGCTAGCCCAGCTTCAATCACCAGCTCGTCACATGGAACCACCCCTGATCTCGACGACAACTATCATCTTTATAAACGCAATGATGAACAAGAACTTGATCCAGCCGCGTCCAAGAGAGTTTTGCGGAAGCTTGATTCGCGAATTGTGCCGGTCCTGTTCCTCATCTATCTAATGCAATATCTCGACAAGAATGGTATAAACTACGCCAGCGTCTATGGGCTGCAGAAGGGCACACACCTCCATGGTCAGAACTATTCGTGGCTTGGATCCATTTTTTATTTTGGTACGTTCATGCATATTCCGTTGTGAACCTTTGATTAACATCGCAGGCTATCTATGGGCCCAGTTTCCTGCTGGATGGGCCCTTCAACGTCTCCGGATAGGAAAGGTTGTTGGAACGACTACGATCATCTGGGGCATCATACTCATCACCACTCCGGCCTGTTCTTCTTTTGCAGGGATAGCAGTCAACAGATTTCTCCTGGGATCGTTCGAGGCTGTGGTTAATCCTGCATTCATTTTGATCATGTCAATCTGGTATACTGCTGCCGAACAACCTCTGAGACTAGAATCTTACTATTGCACCAATGGCATCGCAACAATGTTCGGCGGGTAAGGTCGACCCTTCAACCTTGTTCCTTGTCGAGGCTAACCCTTACTAGGTTGATAGGTTACGCCGTCGGACATATCACCACAGGACTCGAGCGCTGGCAGTACGTGTTCATCATCTTTGGAAGCATCAGCATCGCCCTGGGTATTCTGGCTCTGTTGATACTTCCCGACCTTCCATCGACGGCAAAGTTCTTGACAGATGACGAGAAAGTCGTCGCGGCGAAGAGAGTGTCTGCAAACCGTCAAGGCATCAAGAATCGACATTTCAAGAAGTACCAAGTCATTCAAACTATTCGAGATCCCAAGACCTGGATTTTGTTTGTCATGGCCGTTGGGGCTCAAGTTCCCAACTCGGCGATCACTCAGTTCACCAGTATCGTCATCAAATCCTTCGATGTCGACACTCTGGGCACGCAATATCTTCAGATTCCTGGTGGAGCGATCCAGTTTCTTGCGCTCATTGGAGGAGGGTTCATCTGCTCGAGGTGGCCTAATCTGCGATGCCCTACCATGATAGTAGCCAACAGCATTTGCATTATCGGCTCAGGCTTGCTCGTTGGCCTTCCAAACAGCAATAAATGGGGCCGACTCGTTGGGCTTTGGCTTTGCTTCTTCCAAGGTCTTGGATTTAGCATGAGTTTGACCATGGTGTCCTCAAATGTAGCAGGATACACGAAGAAGCAGCTTACGGCGGCGATATTGTTTGTGGGCTATTGTGTGGGAAACATCATTGTAAGTCTTCCTGGTGGACCTGCCTTTTGCCCGTGCTGTTGTTGACAGTCTCCTAGGGTCCTCAAACATTCAAGAGCAGTGAGGCGCCTCACTACCACTCCGCCTATGTGGCTATGATGGTTGGTTACATCATCAAACTTGTCTCAATTGTCGTGCTCTACATTTACATGTTCTCTGTGAACAAGAAGAGAGACCGAGAAGCTGCAGAAGCTGGTCTAGTTGGTGAAATCGCAGAAAGGGAGGCTATCGAACGAGGAATGCACGATACTACTGAACTAGATAACAAAGGATTCAGGTATACCCTTTGAACTGGTGTCCCCTATCACTTCCGAGGTTGTGTTGTTATTGGTCTTTGCTTAGGTTTGGATGATTTTGGAACCGTGTGTCTCACTTGTGCAGCCTCTAAGAATCCACCACATTATATACTGAGAGCCTCGAATTGGTTGTTGAAAGACCCTGTGAACTCGCTCCTGTCTTTGCTCAAGGACGCTCTGCTTGGGCGGCCGGGTAGAGCCCTGTGCTCTAGGGTTGAAGCACTACCAGATTCCGAACCATCGCCCTCTGCCTCTGCCTTTGGTCTTCCCAGTATCTCGTCAATCTTCCAGGCAATCCTCTCGGCACCTTGCCTTGCTCCTGCGAGATTCGCAGCTCCTGGCCCAAGTCGCAACCCGGCAAGGCCGCCGGTAAGAAACAATGGAACATCGTCTTGCCACATCAAGTCATCAGTAACTCTTGCCAGCCCATTGATGGACTCCACAGGATATTCTGTCAGCATCCGCTGCATGCAGGAGACATTGTTGATATTAGGAGCAGCCCCGGTGGCATATATGACATGGTCGATTCCCGACAGAACGCTTTCAGAGTCCGAAGCCGATGACAGCCATAGAGTCCAAGTCTGGCTTCTACAACACCAGGTACCATCTTCGATGCACGTGTGTGGAACAATGCGAAGGACGCCATTTGCAACGTGCTTCTTCAGAATCTTGTCGTAAGAAGGTGTGATACTTCCACCGTTCCGAGCCATTTTCAACATCTCAAATCTCTCTAGCCATGAGGTTAGCCTCGGGCCAAAAGGATTTGCCGTCTACCATACCTTCGTCGGTATCTGCAGACCAGAACACCGCCATCTGCTGGTTGCGAACCTTGGACACCCACTCGAGATCCACGTCGAAATGTTTCAACTTGTACTTCCCTCTCAATAACAGGAATACCTTGGTAACGCCCCTTGAGAGGAGCAAATCGGCAATTTGTGCGCTAGTCAGCCCTCCTCCAACTACAACGACCGATGTGGGCTGCCTCTCGTTTATCTTGCGCGATACATGTTCAGGCATACACGAGGATCCGATCGCTTCAAAGCAGTGGCACACACTTCCGCGATGCATGTCAAGTCGAAGTTGGCAGTCAGATGGAATCTTCGGTTTAGCACCTGGTCCAACAGCCAACACGACCGTCTTGGAAAAGATGGTGCCCCGATCTGTCGTCAACGCAAATAATTTAGGGTCTGTCACGCTTCCCACATCTCCATACTCGATGTTTTGGACCTGGGCCTGCACAATCAAGTCTTGAAGCTGGTAACGATGGATTATGTCCTGACAAAAATCGTCAAAGAGCCGTGTGGACGGCGTGAAGTAGTCGACGCGGTCTCTGTCGTCGATGCGGAGGTGTCGAGCAACCTTTCTGCGTAGAATCAGTCTAGTGAACATACTACCAGCGGGCGAGTCTCATACTTGTCGCGCTTCTTCTTCGTTCGGTGCTTGCTGAGCTCCCTGCCGACGACGTTATGGATTTCACGAAGCTCACCAGCACGATCATGGAAATGGGAGTACCCCAAAAGTCCATCTCGATCTCGGGGATCTGGATGGAAGAACAGAGGACTTCGAAGATGATCAATCTGCAGGTGCTTGAACCTCTCTTTCCATGCAGACATCCATTGATTCGAATGTCCATCAAGCACAACCATCGACCTTGACGGCAGCTCCGGTTCCGATAGTATGGATGCGCTGCTTGCTTTACGCCGGCGTTTCTTCTTCTCGGACTCAATCGTCTCTGTCCGTTTGAATCTCCTCCAGTATCTTTCGTGTTCGTCATCGGTGAACAGAGCCGAGGGTGTTGCCTCACGCAACCTGGCGGCAGCGGCTAGTCCACATGGCCCAGCTCCAATGATGGCAACGTCGTAGATCATTTTCCGAGCGAGTGGTTTCGAGAAGGACACAATAACAGAGGAATCGGGTGAAAGATGATATGCGAAGCAATGTCCGTAATTGTCTTGAGACTGTCGAGTACTTGACTTAAGGCCCATGATTGAGGGGATGCTTAAGGTCCTCAAAACCCATCATGGTTGTCCTCTTTCATGCAGGGGGACAGCCTTACACGTGACCTCGAAGTCATGTACATCTCGAGGTCTTTCAAAGTCAAGCACCCTCGTCGTATGTGATAATCAGTCGCATCAAAGGAACGAGATATGATTGTAGTCGAAAGACTTGCTGAGGTTAAGGTGCCACGACAGGCCACTCTTCTCATCTTCGAACATGATATGTGCGAGGGTGGTGTACAGTACATATACTCAATAGTCCTGCCGGCTCAGTTATCACAAATCGACAAAGCGCTGGGCGACCGTGTTTGACCTGATGTACGTACGCTCGGTAGATTAAATCAATCTCAACCATAACATGAAGATAGATACGTTTGAAGTTGTAGCTGTGTGTTGAGTAATCGGGTGCCTGTGATTTCCCGGGATTCAACCGGTTGTGGCATCAACAGTGTTTATCACTCCGAACTGGAACTTTGACAACCACCTCAGGCACACTACGCGCGAGTTAGAGACACTTTTGAAACATGGTGCATTCAGTACGTGAAATCTAAGAGCGATGCGTCGTGGTCCACAGGATCGCGCACCTGTCTACGTTGAACCAGCCGCACAACCGAACACACCGACATCGCAAGATGAACTTCGGTCTACCATCGCCTCATTAAAAGCGTCGACTCTCGCAGCTGAGCAACGAACTGCACTCCTCGACGCTCAGAGTTCTTTGGCCGACAAGCTACACCTCTTCGCAACCACCGAGGGCACCCAGAAAAAAGGTCATGCACGGCACTTTACTCAGAGAGAAGCTGCAGAGGTCCAATATGTCAAATTTGCTGTACGTTACGTGTCTCTACTTCCCTGCTCCATCCAGGATAGTGCCGTTCGATCTAATCTGACCCTGTGACGGAACAGAACGATGACCTCTCGCAGAACCTCAGCGCAGAGCTGCAATATCAAGTCGAAAACATTGCGAAATTCGTCAAACCTGTCCACGCCATTGTTTCCGAGACATTTAACTCTGACGATCGTGCTCTCGCTGACTTGAATGGCGTTGACATGGACAAGCCATCAATAACGCCGCAGAATGTCGAGTCAGTTCGCGTTCAGACGGAAAGACTGATTGCTGCACTGCGATATTTCCGACAACAGGCTCTCAAAGATCGCCTTGACCGCATCTACCTGGAGAGTCTTGATCCATTGACCAATGGTGACGATCTGAGCGACATATCCGATGCATCACCAGTCGAAGTCCAGACTGATCTCGGATCGCTGTATACGGAAATCGATAATGTGGTCAGCATGCTTGTGTCTCAGGAGTACGGAACTCGGTTCGATTCCGCCCTCAAGACCATTGAACGGCTCAAGAGCCAAGCTGATCATACACGGGTCACTCAAGCAAGTCTATCTCTGCCCCGGACGAATGAAACGAAGCTTTACTAATATTCTCGCGTGGCAGACCCATGACAAGTTGCTCTCTATGACACGGTATCTGGAACACACAGCGTTAAGACTTGAAAAAATCCAGGAACAGCGTCTGGCGTTGGAGACATTGTCCGCCGAGTATAAGAAATTCAGTCTGGAAAGTCAAATCTCTGCCCAATTAAGCGCACAACGACCCGACGAATCAAGACGGACGGTCGCTTCTCCAGCTCTTCTCTCTCTAATGCAGCATCTTGGAGTATCAGACTCGGGACTGAATCAGCTAGGAGAGCAGATTGAGAAGCTGGAGTCCAAATACACAAACCACGCCCATACCAACGTCGAGCAAACTCTTCAAATATCCCGAGACGCTCCAAAATCGACACAATCGGCGCTGAAGGATGTAGCGATTGCGCTTTGTTCGTCGACATCACAGAATCAAGACATCGAGGCTCTCGAACAACAAATCTCTTCAGCCAGGATGGAGCTTGCAAACATCACTGCTTCTGCATCATGAACCACAACCACAACCCACATGAAACCCCAACACACTAAAAAAATGAGTCTGTTCCCTAACTTAACCCAAAGACATCTTCACTATTTGGAAAGGCGGTTGTCTATGTACATGTGCGTCGCGCACTTTGGACAGCTCTCACAGCTTGCCATAAGCATCTTCGGCAGCTTTGTCGCGTCCATACTCAGCGATGCTCTTCTCGACTTTCTCCATGCCAACCGTATCGCGTGCCAGCTTCTCCGCCATACTCTTGGGGAAGAAATTCACCGCGAACCACACCAAGTTTACAAAACCACCAACCCAGATCTCGTTGGGTGGAGTCTTCTTCTCGAGCTCCCTGACCACCTTGGCAGCCCACACGGCGGAGTCGATAGCCTGGTCGTCGAACAGCTTTCCCGTGAACAGGGCGTTCAGCCAGCCCCTCGCCGCGTAGTACAGGCTCTTCTCGGGCACGCCATCGGCACCACTCGCACTGTTTTCGCTGACGTTGCTCTTTACGCTTCCGGACTTGAGGTCCACGACCCTGACGCCAAAGGGCCTGAGCTCGGAGCGCATCGTCGCACTCAGCATTGCCAGTGCGGCCTTGGTCGCCCCGTACAGGCCGACGAAGGGGGTAAACACGACGGACGCGACGGACGTGTGGTTGACAATCACCGCGCCGCCGGGCCGCGTCGAGCGCAGCAGGAGCGGCATGAACGCCTGGATCATCGAGAGGCACGAGAACACGTTGAGCTCAAAGAGGCCTCGGGCCGACGTGAGGGACACGTCGGTCAGAGCGCCAAAGTAGGCCGCGCCGGCGTTGTTGACCAGCATGTCGAGAGCCGGCGTGAGGGCGAGTACTTCCGACACGCACGACGATATCGATTGCTCCGAGAGCACGTCGAGCGCGAGGACCTCGATGCCCGCGGACCGGACGTTGCCGAGTTTGCTCAAGTTGCGTCCTGTGGCGAAGACGCGGAAGCGGTTGGTGGCGTGCAAAGCCAGGGCGAGCGCCGAACCTAGTCCGCCATCTGAACAGCCTGTTATGAGCACCGTTGTTCTGTGATGTTGGGCCATGGTTGGGTTGGTTTGAGATCGGCAGTGATGGTACAAGTAACAGGCACAGCTACATCAGAGGGGGTTTTTTTCAGCTGAACTTGAGCCACGTGTAGGTAGCTAGGGAGGGATGTGGGGAGGTAGGGAGGGAGGGGGGTTCAGAGGGAGGAGAGAGAGGAGAAGTGTTTGTAAGTAAGCAGGTATAGAGGAAACAAGGATGTCTTCTCGCCGGATCAAAGAAACTGAAGAGTGTCGTGCGGCGCTGTAGCTTAGTAACCGATATATATATTCAACTTCCCCCTTTCTCCAATCTATCAAGATGGGAAGCAAAGCAAAGCTGGCGCATGTTCCTCATTTGAACTTGTCTCTCATGTCCATATGTAGTAAACACTGCTCCCATGTCTACTATCCACCCGACTCGGTAGAGATTTGCTCGCTCGGCGCAACCTTGTTTGATCTTTGATCCACAACATAACTTCGAAAGGTACACGAGCCGTGCATGCATTCCCAAGGGGACGAGTGTGCGTATCCGCTGACGCTGTACACAGTACGACTCTGTCAGAAGCATAAAAAGTGGGAAGATGATAAACCCAGCCTCGTACGGAGTATAATCGTGGCCTTTTCGACAGGACTGCGGGCCCTGCTGCTCAGGCCGCCCGCCGACGCCGTGCGACGAAAATGAGACGAGATGTCGGCGAGCGGAAGAACGTGCGTTCCCGACTCGACTTGACCCGACCCGATCAAAGACCAAAGGCCAAAGACGAAAAAGTGTAAAGGTGAACTGGGATTTGGGATTGGGGAGAGTCCCCAGCGAGGGGGGGGTGGTGTCATGGTGCGGTGGATATGGTACTTTTTACCTGACCATACCTCACCCCTCACCTACTTGACAAAACTGGATGTACGGAGTAGGTCATCAAGATACACTACAATACTCCCGTAACTCGTCTCGAGATCGCGTAAGGTGCTGACTGGTACAGAGGGCGGCGAGGAGGAGCGGGAGAATACATCGATCCGGCGGTCGCAGTCGGTCGGTCAAAGAGAGAGTCCAGGCCCGCGATGGCCGGACGAACAATTGTGCCGGCGCAGACAGCCAACCTGTGTCAGATATTTCACAGACTGAACCCGGCACAGAACCACGGCACCACTGGCCAGTGACAACGTGCATGGCATTCTGGGTCACAGGTTGTACCCCCACGTACATGGAAATAAATGAGCGAGACATATCTGTGCCATGGCCGCGAGGTACAATTGAAAAGGGGTTTAAATATTGCTCGGTTCTACGTACTAGCGGTACTTATACTGCACCCCCAACAACGTGCATGCGGTAGAAATATTCCAAATACAGATCTTAAAAGTCTGCTGCCACTCTACTTCATGGACCGTACCTAGTCCTTGAGCCCAAACCTCCCAACGGCCATACGCATGATTCTCTCGTACTGTTCCGTCTTAGCCTTGGCTGCCTCCTCATACGCTTTGCGGTATACGTCGTACCCTTCATGGAACAAAGGCTTCTTGTCCTTCCAGCCCGTGTGTTCTCGGATCTTCTCCGAGCCGACCCATTGTGGAAAGTTGAACAGAGCATTGATCGCGTACGAGTCCTTGTCGACGCCGTCTGAATCTACATATTCCACTTTGATACCGTGTGCCTTTTCCATGGCGGCCACGATCTCACCCAACGTCTCGTACCGGTGGCTAGAGATGTTGTATGCCTGCCCTGCCACCACGGCCCTCGGAGCCTCGGCAATGGCGACATAGGCAGCAGCGACGTCGTCGACGTGTGTGCCGTGACAGATGGCGTTGGCATCTGATGTGATCGACAATACACCGTCAGAGTTGCTCTTTGCCTGTTCGGCAAGAAGGAACATGAATCCGTAAAAGCTACTCGAGCGGCCATACAGTGTAGTCGGACGCGTGACGACACAGTCGAAATCATCTGTGTACTTCATCATGTCCAGAGCGCCGATTGCACGTTCGCCCAATATGGCCGGGAAGTTCAGAGGACTTTCTTCAGTGTGCGGTGCGAGGCTTGGATCACCGTGCCTGGGGGTCATCCCATAATCTTTGCAACCTGAGCTGATGATCGCCAGTGGTTTGCCGTGACCTTTGCTTTGCGCAACTTTACTGAGAATCTGGATCAAGGAGGTCATCTCCTTGAAATGGGCGCCAAAGTTAGAAGGGTCACCAGAGCAGCAGACGACGACGTCGATGGGAGGCAAATCTGCGACAAATGCTGGATCGGCGGCACTTCCGATGATGGAAATGATTTCCTCCTTCAGTAGTTCGGGGATGCTTCTGTCGCTACGCATCAAGCCATACGTTGTCCAGCCAGCCAATGCAAAAGCCCTGCACACAGCATATCCGATGAAGCCGTTGGCTCCTGTAACCAGTACTGTTTTTGCAGGCATCTTGGATCTTGGAGGTCGGCGGCGGTCAGTGAGTAGGTGTCTCGCCGAGAGGGAGGGATCTGGAAGGCAGCAACACTGGTGTCCTTGTTTTCTTTGTGAGGTAGCTGATGGGGTGCCCGGCAGAGCCTGGGGCATTTGTCAGGTCTTACCAGATCCAGACATTTGCCGACGCCTAAGGTTTGTTTGTGCTCATTGTAAATTCACGCTAGAACGTCATATTCTTCCTTTCTGAGAACGCGTGTTGATTGTCTCGAGATATGTGGGTCCATGTTGGTAAGTTGATTGTCTGGCATTGTCTGTCTGAAGTGACTAGTTATAATATCGTAGAAAAGATGGAGCGAAAGAGCCTTAATCTTTGCCGGTCTCGCAAGTCATATGGATATTGAGCTGTCAGTATGTGAGAAAAGGAAGGCATCCCCGGCAACAGCAGCATTTATCAAACATAAGTAATTTGACAAGGAATTTTTCCTTGTTCCATCATCTCGTAGCCTGGAGTAGCGACCAACTTATTGTGTTGAAATCTTGAGACATAAGGAGGGATGAGGCTCAAATGGCTGCCTCAACTGCCATTTCTACCCTCTCAGTCGGTCTGTCGCATGTCTTCATGTTTAAGGTCTGTTCAATTCTTCCCCCGTAATGATAGCCCAGGTCAAGACTGTTTCGTACGTCCATTCAGCGCAGCTCCATTGGTCTTGCCATTGACCTCTTCCGCCTTGGACTGTTTGTACTTCGCAATATCTTGTTGGACCATCTTCTCCACACGGTGCTTCAATTCTGGCCTGTATCCTAACGCAAAGAGGATCTCAAGCCATACGAACAGGGGCGCAAGGAAGAAAGCCTGAAAGATGTTGTCCAGAAGAGCAGGTGCCCGCCCTTCAAAAAGTCCATGGCCCATGAATTGCGCAATCCAGGAGGCAACGAAACCGGCCAATGCCCAGAAGTTGGCCGTCATGCCATGGGTGACTGTGAGGTATTTCCCGAAAGCTGTTCCTGCCAACAGTAAAGCTGCCAGTCCCGTTCCAGCCACAGGCTCGAGTAAGATATACAATGCACAGTAACAAAGGCAGAAAATCGTGCCAGCATTAAGCTCAAGGTATGGGACCGCTATTGGCGGCGGCAGGTCGACTATCGCTGGTGTGTTTGTACCCTTGCCCAAGTTAGTCCGAGTGCTTCCAGGGGCACGTAAGATCAAATATACCAGCAGGAAAGTTGTCCAGAGAATGATGGGTACTCCCACAATATGTATAGCAACGTTCACCTGAGACGTCATAAGCCAACTCTTGCTTTTGTTGAGAATCCTGTGCGCTTACTGGATCATGGTGGTATGCGCCATACTGTCGCGAATTAGATAGGCCCCGTCAAGTATGACTGCAGACTTACGAAACGAAGTTGCTTCTCCAGATTGAGAGCCATCTTGGAAATATATTTCGTGTGCACAGCACCAGGCGAGAAGGAACTCAATACATCGAATATGATTGCATCGCAATAAAAGGGTAGAGGTAATTGCGAAAGAAACCATGAAAGATGTGGACATGGGCAAACTCAGGTAACACAGTCGTTTCTGCCGATGCAAGTATCTCACCACAACTGCTCCAGCCGGGGCGGTCTCGGGTCTGAAGCCGTGCCTTAACGAGTACCTCCCTACCTGAGTGTTGCGGGTGTTCTTTGGGCGCAGTTAGCATAATTGCGCATCATGTTGAATGGTCCACAGTTTTACACTCGAACCCGTAAATTCCACCGTAGTCACTGTGGACTGCACCTCCGATATTCTTATTCTTTCGCGGTTTACAGGCTGGTGGTCTGTCGCATTCCATACAACTTTAGACAAGCTGCACAAATCATCCTCGAGCCCGCCCACCCTCGTTGTGCATCTGTCAAGTCTCGGCCTCGCGATCACAGACGCGCCGAACCGAAGCGTCGTTATCAAAGACTACACTTTGCACGAGCAAAGAGGAATAAGATTGCACGGATTGTGGAGGACGATGAATTAAGAACACAAGCAAGGCCCCATCCCAGCCTTCGACGAGCACAGCTCGAATACAGTGTCTTGTCCGAGTCCCTAAGTTGGGAATCTCGCTGCAATGTTTTTCCTCCGCTATCTCGAAAGAGAGATCAGCATACATCCGTCCTTCTTTGGGAGCAGCGTACATGACAGGCTGAGGGATCAGCTTTATGCGGATCTCGAGGGCAGCTGCAATGGAGAGTACTACATTGTATGCATAATGGACATCCATAACATATCTCCTGGGAAAGTCAGGCCGGGTTCGGGGGAAGCACATTTTACAATTCTCTATCGCGCGATTTTGTGGAAACCTTTCAAAGGCGAGACGGTGCGTATACGACTTCAAGGGTGCAAAGCCAGGTCTGCTGACACCATGCGATCAGATTGACTGCGCCGTGACTTCGGTCAAGCCCCAGGGAGTCTTCTGTGAAGCGGGGCCACTGACGGTTTTCGTTTCGAAGATGGTAAGTTGGTCAAGACATGCAAAGGCTTCGAGACTGATGGTCTCCAGCACCTGCCGCCTGACATGCGCCATAACCCAGACGCAACTCCGCCACAGTATTCTAACAATGCTGGAGATGTGATCGAGAAGGGGTCTGCTGTCAGAGTTCAGCTGATCGGTCTCCGGAGCGATGTGGGCAACATGTATGCCGTTGGGAAGATGTCGGCACAATGGTTCGGGTAGGTGCTTCCGTGATATGATCGGGAGATCAAAGATTCTAACAGAGCATAGCCCGTTGTGATGCGCTTTTTTCTGGATGGACTTTGGATGAGTTTTGGACATCTGCACCAATGCTTTCAGACGTGAAGAAGCGGCCTCCCTCTACAGCCGGCTGCTGAGCCAATATGGCCACGAAATATGCGCGGCCAACCCTCAGAATACATCTTGAGGGCCTACATAATATCGATTGGGAACAGAGTTGGCATCATGAATACCCATTTCGTTTCGGGCAAGGCCTAGCGAGCTCCGGCTCTATGAAGAGAATGCAAGACCAAGTGATATGTGACTCTTGGATCGATGATTTGGCTGCTTTGAGCTGGTTTACAGCAATTCGACTGCTGTCTGGAACGACTCGGGGCCGTCGAGGCTGTATATGGAGGTGATATTGATTTTCTGGCCCCCACGGACAGTTGGGCACAGGGTGGACATGAAACACCGCTAAGGCTCCGTCGTCCTGCACTTTGAGTGTTGTGGGCGGCGCGAGAACGGCGGGGCAACGCCAAAAACGCGTCTACAGGGCGGTACTCCATACAAGGCAACCTCCTGCACCTGTCAGGGACATCGACTTAAACCGCAACTGTCCAAATAGACCCTGTTTATTCCTTGTACTGTTGTTGCGCCTCCTTCTGGAAAACAATATTGCCATCTACGTACTTTGTACAACTCCCGGTTGACTCGTTTCTCGTTCTGCTACGCTTCAGAGCACATTGCAAGCACTTCACTTCCAGTCGCAATTTCCCCAGCGCTGGGTTGGACCACGGCCACTCTTTGTTTACGTTGCGTTTGTCACTCCACGACCGCCTCACAGTGTCGTTGACTATCCCCCCAACACCCTGAGTTATTGAGCATCTCTACCAAGATGACGCTCAAAGACACGTACCAACGATTCCTCGATCTCCCCAATCCCATCAGCCTCTCTGATAATGCCTCTCTCCATTACATTACGACCTTGACCACCTTTTCGCAGCCTGCACAGATCATGCGACACCTAGAAACTCAGAATAAAAAGGTGGTGTCAACAAAACATGCAAAGGTTGTTTCGATTGTGGAGGGAACGACCTCGCTGGCTCTGGAAGTTGAAACGGTTCTCGAATTCATCTCAGGAGGTGGATCATATCTGCCGGGTCTAGAGAACTTTGTCGTGGACAAGATAACCATTATCCCTGTGGTAAGAACTCACTTAGCTAGAGGATTTACCTGTATATGCTAAACATGCCAGACTCATTTTGTACTGTTCGACGCAGAACGGAAGATCACTCAAATCAGACTCTTTTGGGATCAAGCTTCACTTTTGAAACAGACAGAGGTGATTGGATCAAGGGGCAAGAATTGGCCTGTGACCGATGGCAAGGATCAAGTCAGACTCATCACTGCGAGCTTGAATGCTGCGCCGAAGGTAGCTTCAGACCTTCCCACGAGCCCTCGTGGTCGATCCGAGAACCAGAGTCTTGCTTCATCTCGAAATGTGTCGCCCGGCAAGAAGCATCTCAAAGACCCCTATGCGAGTTTGGATCTCTTCTCACCAAAGCCTGTTGATGAACCCGAGCCCATCACGAGCCCCAATGCAGTCGCACCACGTGCTTCGGCAAGACCTCCTCCGCGCGAAATGAGCGAACTGTTCGCAGCCGGTCATGAGGATCACGAGCCAGGATCGCCCAAAAAGCCACCTGTCCAGGTCGTCGTTGCACCCAAGGGAGGCTCAAACCAGAAATTTGCGCCACCTCGTCTGTTTGCGGACGACCCAGCCGAGCCTGCCGCAGTCGGTTACAAATCAGACCCTTCGAAGTACAATCACTTTCACCTGGGCGAAGTCATTGAAAATGACCCTATGCAATACCATGGACCAAATGGAAACCGCAACGTCCCTTTGCGTCCCAAGACAGACAAGCATGCGTCGCAGTGGGATTTTGATGACTTCTATACACCAGCCAAGCTTCCACAAAAGGTTCGAGATCAAGACGTGGTCCACTTCAGTCTTGACAGTAAATCAAGCGAATTTACTACACCCGCAGCTCAGAAAATTCATGGTAAGCCACGTCGTGACAACGAGGCTCACTTCGAGTTCCAGGACGACGGTCCTCCAGTAGAACGACACGTCGTGCCCAAGGCCCGCAAAGATGCCGAGACGCATTTTGAGTTCAGAGACACAGCGACACCGGGTGCCAATCGTGCTTCGGGCAGACCTACCAGTTCAGGTCGACAAGGCTTGTACTCAAACAACATCTTTGAGGAAGAGGGTGGTGCGGCCCGACCACAGGAAAAGGCTCCGTTGGCCACCATCACCACCAACACCAATCGAAAGAATGACTTTGACAGCCATTGGTCCATGTCAGATGTGTCGCCTGCTAATGAGAGACCCAACAATGAGAACCACCGAGCTGCTGGACATAGAAAGAAGCCTTCACAGATGGATAGCCACTGGAGCATCGGAGATGACAACAGCGAGCCAGCTCCAGCCAAGGTTCAAAATAAAGCCGCAAAGAGTTTTTGGGACTTTTAAACAGAATGAGGTAGTTACCAGATGATATCGACGGGTCCCTATCGCATAGTATATGGTATATGAGGTAGGAAACGTATTCGGGGAAGAATGATGCTGGTGGCAGACTTCCATTGTTTGGCGCTCAAGGCATTCTGATGATAGTAACCGTACGTATTTTCAATGAATACATGTCACACATCGTCAGGTCACACAACCGCCGGTTGCAAGCTGAACCTGATAGGGTGAATTTGTCTTGTCATTATTGTGCACGCTGACATCATCATGGTAGTGCCTCGACTGTTTTTGAGAAAGGATACTTCGGAAATGACTTTGAGGGATGGAGTTCGCCCTCCCCAATTCGTCTGGACGTATAAGGCATGAACAAAGTGAGAGAGGACAGGCGGAATGAACGCCTTCTCTGGCTACACCACGGCACTACGATATCACCTACTAGTACATCACTTGCATCTGGGTAGAGACACTCACGCGGGTGAGAGATAGATCAACTTCCTCGAGAGCCAACAGCCACACAGATCGACATGGTTCTCCATGATATGCAGCTAACTACAGTCCGTAGCGCATAACGCGTCCTGTGAGTCAGAGGCTCCCGCTAGTCGAAGTGCGTGTTCGGCGTATCAAGGGCGAGCGCCACCATTGGGACTGTATTGACTTCCTACTGGTGAACGGTGTCAGCCCCCTTGTTAGCATGGAAGTCAGTGGTATCAGTGACGCTTGGATCACAGAGAATGGCATACAAGCAAGATGCTTGGCTTCCCCAGTTCCTTGTAACAGATCTTCAGCGTATTGTAGACGTAAGACTTGGTTGAGGCAACCGTAGAGCTGCTGGCTACCATAGCGACAGGCTCGATAAAACAGAGAAATGAACAATACTCCGTGTCGACCATGAACGATTGACCATAGCAAGAAACTGGTCTTTTTGGCCGACATGCCTTAGCCTTCACTCCGGAGTACAGTCGCCAGACCTTCCACCAGGGCGATTAGTCAGGGCGTCTGAAGCCTATTTGTCCTCCCACCAACTAGTACTTTGACTAGTGCCTACAGCCCATAACAATACTACCTAAGTGACCTCACTAAAATCACACCCAAGCCTGCAGCGCTTTCTCGCATCCCTCAATTCCCTCACTAACAACTTTTGCTTTTGCTTTTCCCTCAAAACAAGCGAATATCGCGGCAGCAGTGGCCGAAACCTACACCATCGGCCAATCAAGCCTTCGGCTTGCTAGTAGATCTGAGCCCCAACAACTCACTCAGCTCAGAGAAACCCACGGCGCTGTTAACCCTTAAGTCCGGGCGAAGCATCTCATTTTACGCCAGGCACCAACTGACGCACTGCGCCGACCACAATCGATCTCTTCTCGTCGCTCTGACCGACACGAGCAGCAGCTTCGATTGAAGCGCATATATCGCCTTCTGTCCTCTTCCTTCTCGCGCACCTTTCGGACCTGGAGAGAAGCGTGAACAAGACGCGCCTATCTCCTTCAACAGCCATTGTCCCCAAAGTTCGCGGGGTCGACGGTGATAAGATACTTGCGCGAAAAAGGCCTCACGATGACTCCTACTCCTCCCTCAGGACATTCGTCGCACTCAGGGGCCTCACCAGACCAGTTTCGAGTGGTGCGAAAACGAAATCGAATTCCATTGTCATGCGCGCCGTGTCGGCATCGAAAGCTGAAATGCAACCGACAACAACCATGTGACAACTGCACCAAACGCGGAGATAATACTTCGTGCACTTATGCCGCTCCGGCGACGAGAAAGAAGGGCAGCTCAAGTCACAGCGCCTCAAATTCCACACCGGATGATATGCAGAATCGGATTGATCGACTCGAGGGACTGGTGTTGTCCCTGATGACAAGCGGCTCGCAGTCTGTAGGTCCCGCAGCTGTCCAGCAGGCGCTATCTGCCGGCACGAGCGTGATTGGAAGTGGTTCTTTGGGTCCGCCCTTGGACAGTGAACTCGACGAGACGACAATGATGGACGATGGCGACAATCAAGAGGCCGAAAGTGAGACGGACGGTGTGACGCAGAGCTTCGGGATCCTCAAAGTCGATTCCGAGAAGCAAAAAACATTCTACGTTGGTGAAGCGCACTGGGCTGCGCTTTTGAGTGAGATTGGAGAAGTCAAGAATTATTTCAATGCCCACAAGAAGGAGTATGAGGCACAGATGGAAAAGGTTGAGCAAGCAAGAAAAGCAATGGGCACCGATGCTGGGGCAGGCCCTGCTCTCTTATTTGGCTCAACCGTACCTCCTAGCCGCGCAGAGATTCTAGCTCAAATACCTTCACGATATATGTCTGATATTCTGATCGGACGATATTTCAACACCTTCGACCCCTCGACTCACATTCTGCATGGCCCAACGTTCCAGAGACACTACAATCAGCATTGGCAAGATCCGTCAAAGAGCTCGATTGTGTGGGTGGCCATGTTGTTCGCTATGATGCGCCTGGCCATGCTCTCGTATGGTAGAGAAGGCGACGAGCCGCCTGAGTTTCGGGGCAAGTGTCAGGACTATTCGGCCAACTTTCGCACACAGATGGCGCACTGTCTTATTACAGCCGATTACACGAAACCACACAACTACATCATCGAGACATTAATATTTCATCTGCACGCTGAACACACATCCAATCGAGATTCGGAGGCCAGTGTTTGGGTTCTGGTCGGCATGATCGCGCGCCTCGCAATGCGCATGGGATATCACCGGGATGCCAAACTCTTTCCTAACCTGACCCCTTTCCAGGGGGAAATGCGGCGCCGTATCTGGACATTTGTACGGACCGCGGATTTGTTGTTTTCCTTCCAAGTTGCTCTACCTTCGATGATTCGGATTGGCGACTCGGATACAGATCTACCACGTAATATTTATGACGATGAGTTCGATGAAGATTCGACGTCACTCCCTCCAGCACGACCTGCGAGTGAAGCCACGCCGATCTCGTACATGATCGCCAAAGGCAGACTGTCATTTGGATTCGGTCGTGTCTTGGAGGAAGTGAACGGAGTCAACAAGAAAGGATACGATGAGGTGCTCAAGATTGATAGTGGATTGAGAGATATCTACGAGAGCATTCCGGACCATCTCAAAATTCGCCCTATGCCTGAACAGACTCTGGCTCCCATATCCCTGATTATGGCTAGATTCAGCTTGGCAAGTGTATACCACAAATCCCAATGTGTGTTGCACCGAAGATACATGCGGCTTGCACGACCAGGGAATCGATATGTGCACTCGCGAAGAATGTGTCTGGACTCAGCGATGCAACTACTCAGTTTCCAAGCCATCCAACATCAACAGAGTCGAGAACGTGGCCGGCTGAGAAGCCTGCGGAACCACGTCAACTCTTTGACCGCACACGATTACCTCTTGGCAGCTACTGTGGTATGCATGGATTTGTACAATCACCGTGAGCGTGGCGACAATGATGTCAGCACACCGAGCACATCTGTGAGTGGCGGAAGCGTCAGTCAAGGCAGTAACAATTCGGATGGCGGTGCATATGTGCAGGGGCTGAACTACACGCGCGATGATCTGATCCGCGCCCTAGAAGAGAGTCGCGATGTGTGGATGGCCAATCGGGACCTAAGCATGGAAGCCTACAAGGCAAGCGAACTCTTGAATGTGCTACTATATTACATCAAGTCACCTTACTCTCCCAGCAACCCTGGAACTTCACAGCTTCCGGCAACCGCACAGCCGACACCGGGATCGAGTAACGATGAACAGAACGCTGCGATGACTCTGGGCATGCTTCAGGCCGGAGGTCTGGCGTCGGGCCAAAGTGGTGGTGTCGCGCAAGCACCTTCTCCAGGCAGCCAATTCGACAAGATGGGCCTCAATGGGGTCTTGGGTGCCAGCAGCGATCTGACCGGCGCAGGCATATTTGGCACAGGAGCTGCTAATGCAGCGAGTCCATTCCCAGCAGCTTTCTTCAATGGAATGGGCGATTTTGGTCAGAACATGAATCTAGATTGGGTAAGTTGAGGTGCAGTGAATGAGGGAAGTCCAGGAATGTTCACTAATCCCTTGTTATAGGAAGCATGGGATCAGTATATGCAACCCCAGAGTCTGAGCCTGGACCCCGCGGCGAACCTGTGGTCGAGCAACTCCCCAAGCAATAATCTATTCACACAATCCCCTGATGCTGCTAACGATATGTCGTTTGGTATGAGCGGTGCGAGTAGTTTCTACGCTCCAAACACAATCAGCAGCGTGATGAGTGGATCGACGGATCCCAAGTCGAACGATCAGATGCCGAATCTGACGGCCAACTCGACGAGTCCACCGAGCACGGATAACAATAGCGGTGAAGTGTTTATGGGGGTATCGACGCCACAACCAGGGGGTATTCCAAGCTGGAAGTGGACGGTGATGAGTGACAAGAAATAAAGTCGGAAGGGAGTACTGTGAAGGGAGCGCTGGAGTGACGTCGCGATGAGGAAGAGAGATGAGTCGATGGTTTGTGTGAGAAGATATGATACCCCAAAAGATGAGATTACCTTTGACTGGGAGCGGAATGCGATATGGGACATGGGACACGGGAAATGAGCTGTAATGATAGCCAGCTGGACAATATGGATACACATACCTAGGAAAGGTTGCGACGTTAAGAGGCGATCAAATGAAGGGCAAAGAAACCAAAGGCAGGCGTCCCCTTGATGATGATTGATTGAATTGATACAGAGCAGGTGTTGATCTTTGACGCTGGTTTGTACTAGGTAGTTTGGTCGTGCTGCGAGTGCTTCACATGCTTCCTGGTTCGTACTGGATGGATATCTGAAGTACCTTCCCAGTGCCATTAGGTAACATTGGTACATGTTGTACATGGATACAAGGACGGTACGTAGGGAGGTCTAGGTACCATCTCGGTCTCTTGGGAGGGCAAAGGCAAAGGCAAAGGCAAAGGGAAAATGGCATAACTCTTCTCCTGCTTGATCTTAATGTTCTTAACAATTCTTTCACTTTTCTTTCCTCTATTTTTTTCGGTTCCGTTCCCGTTGTCCTTCTTTTGGTTCTCATTCTCAAATTGTATATGGAGTGAATGGAGCGTACAGTGCTTGTGTAAGTACTTTAAGGGATGATGTGAATATTGATTGTGGTATCGTGAAGACGTCGTGTATTGGACGGGGGATTTACAGTACCGAGATAGGGTAGGCTAGGAAGGTCGTCGGACGACCGATGGTCGCTCGGCGGGCAAGGTATGTACCTGAAATGTACCTGGGTGGGTATATGTAGCGAGAGGTTCCATGACGACGAGGCACCTTCTGCCTTGCATGATTTCGTAGTAAGGGGGTTTTGGAAAGGCGCCTGGGCGTCGGAGAGGGAGAGCGACGGGGAGAGAGCGTGTGTGTCTGGGAGACGATGAGCTGTGGTGGTTGTCTACTAAGCGGGCCTCTCTGTAGCGATTATAGATACAAAATGTTGTGAGACACTGTGTGCCCATCCCTAGGCAATAGGTACGGCCAAAGATCCGGGTGAGGATGAAATGAGGATGAGAATAGGCTGCTGATGGTGATAATGATGACCTTGATTATAATGATTTCGATACCGAGGAGAAGGGCAGATTCTCTCTTCTCTCTTGTTTCCTTTGGACATAGAAAAACTTAACAAAGAAAAGAATAAAAGCTATCGAGGCCTCGCATCAATGTTTTCGACACATGCAATCACGTCTCGAAAATCATCCTGGTTTGATGCTCGTTGGATGGCTCGTTGCCATACCGCTTGACATGTCCTCGGTCGGAGGGACAGCCGCTGTCCGATTTGGATAAATGTCATCTCCGGATCGAAGAAGCGCAAGGTAACGATGGCAGCGCGGAGTTGGAGGGGGACTTCTTGACTGTTGCGATGGCGTGGCATTGTAGATACTCCGCTCGATACAGACTCGGTTTACAATTTATGCCCTTAAGTGTACTCCGTGTGTATATAAATATCAAGGAGAAGATAGGGATATAAGAGAGGTAGTTGTGGTGATCTATGTAACTACTGGGCACTCTATACGAGTAGTAACTAGTTACGGAGTGCTCCATACTCGAACTACAATATGTCATAGTGTCTCCTGTCCCGGCGTGTCGTGCCGAGCCTCAGATCGCCTCACTACAGCACATAACAGTACTCCGCAGCTACGAGTACGAGTAGGTACAAGTTATAGTATAAGTAGATGCAGCAGCCTCGGTAGGTCGCGTAGTCCGGACATCATCACGTACTTTGGGTATGTGGCCTGTAGGTCTCACTGGTCTCACTGGTCTCACTGCCCTAGTCGCATCTGCTGAGCCCTCAATGACGACGATGGCTTTTCCTCGCCTCTCATGGCAAGTGTCAATCTCACAATCCCCCTGTTGACTTGCTGAGTTGGAACTAGGGAAGATTGGCAAAACTCCATCCTCTCGCCGCTCTGGAAAACAAGAAGCCATCATTCCTCTTTAAACTCATCGACGCTTCAGCTTGACCAAGCTTGACGCTTCTTGACGCTTCTTGTAACCGCCAAGCTGCCATTCCTTTCCGTTTTTCCCAGTTTCATCTTGTCTTGTCTCCCCTGCGGATACTTGCCACTCGTTACTTGGGTATCGTACAGCTTGCAGCCTCCTTCATGCACGCTGGGGTCATTGGCTTTTCACCTCTGCATCCTCTCCTCTCTTCTCTGCTCTGCTGTGCTGTCCAGTGCTGTCATTTCTGTTCCAGCTTCACTCCATATTCTCTCACTTTACTTGCTTCACTTTTTGGTCTTTTCGATTGACAGACACTCCGTACCTTGCGCTGATATTGACACTGACGATCCTCTCTGCTTGTTCGTTTGCTCCTCCGTCATGCTTGCTTTGCCTTCCACTCGCCCCCGGTTGCAGTCACACATCTGAAACCCCGTCATTCACCGATTGACCTCGACGATATCAATCTCGACGCCCCAGTTGATTGTCCTTCACCCTTGTTCTCCTTAGCGAATCCTCGAGTTCCTTACTGCTGCGTACCCTTTTAGTCATCCCTCTTCAGTATTCTCTCGTCATGGGCCTGTTCAGCCGAAAGGCCAAAGCGACCACAGACACCACCACAGGCGGCGGTAGCAAGGAAAAGACACAAGACACCTCGTCTGCCGCCGCGTCGACGGGCACGACTGCTCTACCTCAATTCAACCACAACGGCCACGCTGTAACGCCTGGCATTCAGCCAGAAGGGGAGAGTGGTCGGAGAGGAATCGACCCCGGCAAGTTCTTCAAAATCACATGGACGTCGTCATGTACCGTCTCTAGCTGGGTGAACATACTCTGGCCCTTTGTGCCCGCCGCAATCGCTCTTCATTTCATCCACGGCGATCACCACCTCTGGACATTTGCCATCAACTACATCGCCATGGTGCCGGCCGCGAACTTGTTGGGCTTTGCAGGACAAGAGTTTGCACGAAAGCTGCCCAAGGTGGCAGGAATCTTTATCGAGACCACGCTCGGCGGCATCGTCGAGATTGTCCTGTTTATGGTCCTCATTGCAAAGGATAATGGAACTGGGGAGGCTGGTCACGGCAATAAGATCGCCGTCATACAGGCCGCCATTCTAGGCTCTATCATAACCAACCTACTACTCTGTCTGGGGTGTTGTTTCCTGGTCGGTGGCATCAAGCACAAGGCACAAAAGTTTCACCCTATTGTCAGCGAGGTCGGCTCGGGCTTGATTCTTGTGGCCGGCTTTGCTCTGCTGATTCCATCGGCATTCTTCTCGTCACTGAGTGGCAGCACTGTCGCAAACGGAGAAGGCTACACTGAAGCCAGACTACGCAACGACACACTCAACATCAGCCACGGCGTCTCCATCATTCTCATCGTTGCCTTTCTCTTATATCTGATTTACAACTGCTTTTCACACGATAACATCTTTGAGGAAGTCCTCGAGGCCGACGAACAAGCCGACCGAGACAGGCACAGAGACCTTCGGAAAGACAAACTGACCATGACCGAGTGCATACTCGCGATCGTGCTGTCTTTGACCTTCATCTCTTTACTTGCTGTGTTCCTGGTGGAGGAGATCGAGTACGTCGTGGAGCATGGCGTCCCCGACAATTTCCTTGGTTTGATTCTGGTGCCGTTGGTGGAAAAGGCTGCCGAGCACCTTACGGCCATTGACGAGGCATATGATAATCAGATCGTGAGTCATGCAAATTGATGACTTCTATTGTGGGAGTGATTTACTGATTACCTGACTTCGGCAGAATTTTGCTCTCTATCACTGTCTGGGTCCTACTATTCAGACCGCCTTGTTCAATGCTCCTCTTGTGGTGATTGTTGGTTGGGGTCTGAAGAAACCAATGGACTTGAACTTTGAGATTTTCCAGGTGGTTCTGCTGGTTCTTGCTATCCTTGTGGTTGGCAATTTCCTCAGAGATGGAACCTCAGATTATCTGGAAGGCTCGCTCTTGGTGGTAAGTACCGTCTCCGGGTGTCAGTAAACGGATGCTGTATTCTTGTGGTTGAATGATATTGTTCTGACATGCCGCCGATAGATGGTATATATTATCATTGCCCTCACAGCCTGGTACTATCCCAATGCCGAATTGACCACTTCGAATGGTCGGACACCTGCCACGGAAAGTGGTGGCGAAGGAACCGAAGCATTGTTGCAAGCTGCGAAGATGCTAATGACATAATGCTAGCGGTTTGAGAGCAGGACGGCGGAAAATAAAGGATCTGCTCTTATCACAATATGATGGCTTTTAGGTCACGGCAATTCGAGCGAGGGGTTATGGTGCTTCGGCATATCCATTTTATCAGAGCATTGATTCAAGAGCTTGTTCAGTGCTTGTGTGTTAGGTTATAGGAATCAGCCACTACGTCGACGGCTGTAATGGTGTAGCAGAACAATAGATAATCGCAGCTTTTAATTTCCTCGCCTTACTATCTCCCGTCGACAAGGACACTGACTTTACCTCCTCAGGGGTGACGGTGGATGTTTCCAGATAAGTCAAGTAGATCAGGGGCGATGAATGACCAGCACGATGATGATGTTGATGATGACGACGCCATGCTTTCCATTGTATCTTCTTGAGCGCGACGAGGTTGAGAAGAAGCTGAGCGAGGGAAGCTTCGAGAGTGAGCAATCAACGAAATTAAGATTGTAAGCCTTTGACAGCTCAAGCATGTTATGGCTCCGGCATTTTTTGGCACCAATAACCGAGAGCTGATGTTTTCCAACGACGGCAACATCATCATGCATTCAGCCAGCAAACCACAAGTGCTCATATGTTGCGTGACATCCGTCCGTAGAAAGAATAGCTATGACAAGGTGCTGAAGGTTCCGAAAGTCAAAGGAGACATATCCTGGTAGGATAATCCGGGCCAGTCGAATATTGTCTTCGTAAATAACCTAGCTAGATGGTTGATGAGCCTTTTCGGGACAGAGGAACCATTGTGTTCTCAAATCAACAAATGTCGGCGTGATGATCTTCCCTACCCAGATAAATCTCCAAGGGAATTGCAAAACTCCAAAAATGATCAGACTGGCCACATCTCACTTTTCAGCCTTCCATAGACGACCCCGTTCAAGACATGATTATGCCTAAGCTTGGGACACATTGAACCAGCTGGAAGGAGAACCGTGTGACGACGGCTGAAGATTGGTGATACTGGACAGCGTAGGAAATTCATCGCTGCGAGAGCGGCGAGATATCCCCGCTGGTCGTGGTAGAACAAATATCACCAAACTCCGTAGATGTTTTTGACAGCATATACGTACAGCTCCCAGGCTTTGGGAAGAAGTTACCATAGCCTGTCTCTTACGGCCAACCATTCCCAAGGCAGAAATACATCTAATAGTGTCAGTCCGCTCAGGTCCCCGTAAAACCTTATTCGATGCTTTGTTCCAGATCAGGTCGGAATTCGATAAAACTAGCAATTTCTGGCTTCGAAAGCTTAACTTTCGAGTGGCTGCGCATGTCTCAGCCTCGTCACGAACACCACTACCGACGAGCGTGTGAACAAGTGCTCCTGGGCGGAATGTATGTCTTCAGGCTGAGACCTGGCTGGCTGTGTGAGCTATTTCAATATCCGTGGCTATGGGTGGATGATCATCTGGGACAGACCCGAAACGTTTGATAAAAGTCCAGGTAGCCTGACATTAGAGATCCGCGATCTCGGGACGCCGAGGCGAGGGCGGGTTGGTGCATGAAATGGCCACGAGTAGTCCACATGCGTACGTGTACGAGGAGCGACAGGGCATGATTGACGTCGACAAGAATGGCTGGGAGAAAGATGGCGGATGGAGTTGAAATTACTAGTATGATGATACTAGTAGCCTCGACGGATCCCTATGTGTGCAGGCTGTTGCTCCGGGTGTGGTTCCGGTCCGGCCAGGTGACTGTGGCTTGGCGGCGAGCAGTAACTCCGTAGGTCTTCGCTGTTTGGGCTCTGGCGCCGCTTCTGGCTCTGACTGCAGTTCCGTCCGACCAAGCAGCGTCCAAAGTGGAAAACACCAACATCACTCGAGGATGACAACTCCTGTATTCTCCCATACCGTCACACCAGATACCGCTGTCTATACGCCTTGACCGCATGTTGTAGCTCTCTACATTCTCACTCCCAATTGCGCGCTTATTGACGCACCGTCAATCAGAACAGACCCCAAACAAGAGCCCTCCTCGAAATCACCTCGAGACATGTCCTCTCACCAGGCTGCGTGTCGATAGCTTCCAAACTCCATGCAACCCCTCACATTCCTTTCCTGACCATTCGGCTGCGTCTGCGATGAGTCCTGGGGCACCCGATCCTGCTCTACCCCTTGTCTCCAGCAGCGCCAACACCTCCCCCATTGATGGTGCTACTCGCAAGTCTCACGACAAAACAATCGGCGGAGTCTTCAGATACACAGACGGGCCTGATGTAGAGTCAGGCTACTCAGATCACAGGCTGGATCAGCTGAAGAATTTCAGGAATGGCAGCCATCACTCGCTGACTAATGGGCTACCGAATGGAAACGTCAAGGCATCCCGGGACAGGTCACAGTCCAAGGCGAGCAGCATACATTCAATAGGAAGCGCAGTGGGGAAGCAACCGGACTCCTTGTTCAGAAGTCAGCCCTCGGTCGATGGCCCGAGCAGGCTGTCCGGCGGTGACAATGGGTGGAATGAAAAAGCTTCTGGCGCCCCTGTTCAACCGGGAGGACAAACACCTGAGTTGGGTAAACTGGAAACAAACCTTCCTCCTGCAAAGCCAGAGTACGACCCGTACCATATGGTAACAGCCTCGACCGTCCCCGACACTGCGCGCTCCGATGGCCAGGCATTGTATCTACAACCCCCTCGTGCTTCCGGCCCGACCCCCGCTCGTTTCTCCTCTCCGCCTGCGATGCAGCCGTCAACATCGTTACAAGATCCATCTACAGACCAATCTTTGCCTTCTGAATTCCCGAAGCTCACTCACCGTCATACTCTCCAAGTCCCAAAGTCTAACATGCCTATCGGACGGACCTCGCGAGATTTCTCTTTCGCTGCCGGCCCTTCAGAAGAAGCCTTGTCTACAACTGGCCGCTTCTCCCCCACAAGAGACCATTACGACTCTACACTCAGGCACAGGAGAGCGTCACTGGGTCTCGTGCGTAGGACGACCCGCTCAATGCAGTCCGATGCCCACTTGGATGAGGTTCCTCCAGATGAGGATGCGGCGCGATGGACGGAATTGATCAAGCAAAAGAGGGCAAGCAAAAGGAAAAAGAGGGAGGAGGAAGACGACGATCGTGTGATGGTTGGGAAGAAAGTCGAAGAAGGTCACGTCAATTGGGTCACGGCTTACAACATGTTGACGGGGATTCGATTTACTGTGTCGAGAACAAATGCAAAGATGGACCGAGAATTGACAGATGCTGATTTCGACGCCAAACACAAGTTCAGTTTCGATATCACCGGGAATGAACTCACACCGAGTGCAAAGTACGACTTCAAGTTCAAGGACTATGCCCCGTGGGTGTTTCGACACTTGCGTGCGATTTTCGGTCTTGACCCAGCGGACTACCTGGTCAGTCTGACAAGCAAGTACATTCTTTCAGAGCTGGGCAGTCCGGGGAAGTCCGGCTCCTTCTTTTATTTCTCCCGCGACTATAAATACATCATCAAGACTATCCACCACGCCGAGCATAAGTTGCTGAGGAGGATACTGCGCGATTATTATCGGCATGTACTGGACAACCCAAATACACTGATCAGCCAGTTCTACGGTCTGCACAGAGTTAAGATTCCTTATGGCCGAAAGATTCACTTCGTTGTGATGAACAACCTATTCCCACCTCATCGGGATATCCATCAGATGTTCGACTTGAAAGGCTCGACAATAGGCAGAGACTTTAGGGAAGAAGATCTGGCCCACAATCCCAGGGCCACTCTGAAGGACTTGAATTGGCTACGGAGGGACATGCACCTCGAATTCGATGCACGCGTACGTCGGATTTTCCTGGAGCAGTTGAAGCGGGATGTGTCTCTGTTACAGAGACTCCAAATAATGGACTATTCTCTTCTCGTTGGCATACATGATCTTGCGAAAGGCAACGAGGAGAATTTGCGCGAAGCTACGTTGCAAGTATTCCAGCCAGGGGGAGAAGAAGACGATCAGGCTCCTTCAATGTTGATTAGGACTCCTTCTCGGCTTGAGAGCGCACGAAAAGCACGAGAGCTGAGGATGACGCTCAAGAAGGAGAAGCCTGTACCCATGGGCATGGTACAAACAAAGATGCCATCCGAGATGTCTTCAGGAGATGAAAGACAGTTTCGCATATTCTACAATTACGACGGGGGTATCAGGGCTACACATGAAGATGGTCAAGGGGGGGATTCTGTTTACTATCTTGGCGTCATTGACTGTTTGACTCATGTAAGTCTTCCTTTTACAATCTGCTGAGTGTTTACTGACTGGTGGACAGTATGGTATAATCAAGCGTATTGAGCATTTCTGGAAGGGTCTTTCGGCACCTCGGACGCAGATCTCTCCCATCCCGCCTCAAGCATATGGCGAACGATTTCTCAATTTCGTTACCGGCATCACCATGACGCAAGAAGAGGTTGAGCGAAGGAAAACGCAAGACGGCCGGCCTTCTGAAACCCAGACCCAGAATTTCTCGGTAGACATCCAACGACAACCACCGAGAGAAATTCACGGAGGCGAGGGAGAGGGCTTCGTGCAATCTCCAACCATGAGCCCTATGGCGGTAGAAACTACCATGCGTAAAGCGCAGAAGCAGACAGATAAATCCACCCCAGATGACAAAGGCCGGAGTGGCAGCGAAGAGGAAAAACCCGAGCGAATCTTAAGGACGACGGAAGAGTCTAGAGGACCCACGTTACTTCCAGTGGTCTCCGAAGCGGGTGAGAATGGGGACAACAACGAGAAACGAGGCTTGAGCGCCCAGGATGAAAGAGGCGAGGGGCCGCTATCCGCATCATCAGAACCTATCCCACCCTTGATACCTGGTCTACGCAAAGTTTCGCCATCAACAGTAGCGACCGCGACTGATACCGTCGACGATACCAGTATATCGAGCCCAGACGTGGTTGACTTTGCCAATTCATCTCCACCAGAGGAGTGCGAAAAGGAAGCAGTCAAAGTTCTACGCGAGAAACCTCCTCGTATTGCCAGCGACCTGATACAGCCTCAATCACCCTTCGGTGAGGGTCTTTTGCACTCGATGCAGGAAAGTATCAAGCAGAAGAACCAATGAAGGAGCAGCGCCAGGGCAAACGGCTTTTGAGATGCAGTACCACTGCGCTGCGAAAATCGGATCGATTACTGGTATACCTCTGGCTCGTTTTTGACAGATTCTGGGACCAAACGACGACCGAGACATTTTCTTTGTCTTTATGCATGATCCGTGCTCATTTTCAGAGCCCCGGTTCAAGCACATGAGGAGAGCGAAGGGGAATTTTTTTTACGTTGTCTTGAATGAACTTGATGCCCGAATTAACACCTGGGTTATTTTCTTTTCACTTTTACCAAACTTTCGTATCACACATGGATATCTTATTCTCAGGGTTGGGTGTGGACAATTCAACAAAAATCATAGAGAGCGCGTCTGAACGGTCCCCGTCGAGCACCAAAAGGGGATGTCCTCATTCTGGTTATACTGTAGACAGGGTGCGTTATGGGATAAAAAGCGAGAGCAATGAAGCTGCACCAGTGGAAGCCCCCCAGCCTTCAAACAATTTCGGCTGTTGTGGTGGCCCAGAGCACCTTACTAGTAGTAGGTACCTAGGCATATAGCTAATTGTTGGAAGCATTTGTACATCAGCGGTGAAGCGCTCATCTATGTTTGTTTGTGAAGAATGCTCTGGTGACCGGGAGGGAGGTTTCTGTTTTTCCACTTTCATTGTGGACGAGCGATTCAAACTACCTACGTACAGTGCACACGGCGACGAGTCGTGTCTGTGAGCGGTGATGAAGGGGTCGTACTCGTACTCGTACTCGCCATACTTTCCTTATCTAGCTGTAGGCGGGGAGGAAACTGTCGGAGACTTTTCCAGCGGTGAAAAAATCCCACCTTCTTTGTCTCACGAACATCGTTCTTCTACGGATACCGAGTCCCTATTTATACATATCCACAGAGTTATTTGTTCCTCATCCATTCCAGCCAAGTACACCCTCACATTTTCTGCTATCGGTCAAGTGCAGTTACACAGACTAACCACGATCCCACTGCGACCAGCACAGTCATCATGACGGAATCCTCTACACTCGGTGTCAAGAGAAAGCGTATGTTAACTCCCTTTCGGCTCTTGCATGTTTTCTTGCAGCTCCCACATGGCCGACGACGACTCGTTCAATCTGTTTTGTCCAAGACATAGTTGACTCATTTTACGATACACGCGTAGGAACGCAGTCTCTTCCCCCGCCCGAACTGCCCCGGCTAGTGGCCGAACAACACGTGCCCATCTCGGCCAGCGACAAGGACACGAAGCGGTTGATCGTCGTGTTGTCGAATGCCAGTCTCGAGACCTACAAGGCGGCCCACAGCGGCAAGGCCGGCAAAGAAGAGAAGTATTCGCTGTTGAACAGTGACGAGCACATTGGCGTGATGCGCAAGATGGGCCGCGACATCAGTGATGCCAGGCCCGACATTACACATCAGGTGGCTACATATCCCACTGCTGTGACGAATGGCTAGTTTGAGTGGCGAGGCTGACTTCAACGTTCAGTGCCTGCTTACGCTACTGGACTCCCCCATCAACAAGGCCGGGAGACTGCAGATCTACATCCACACCGCCAAGGGCGTCCTGATCGAGGTGAACCCGAGCGTGCGCATCCCGCGAACCTTTAAACGATTCGCCGGTCTCATGGTCCAGCTTCTGCACCGTCTCTCGATTCGCTCGGTAAACTCGCAGGAAAAGCTGCTCAAGGTCATCAAGAACCCCATCACGGACCACCTGCCGCCCAACTGCCGGAAAGTGACGCTCAGTTTCGACGCAGACGTGGTCCGAGTCAGGGACTACGTCGACAAGCTCGCCCCCACCGAGAGCATCTGCGTGTTCGTGGGTGCTATGGCCAAGGGAAAGGACGACTTCGCCGACGCCTTCAAGGACGAATCAATCAGTATCAGCAACTACAGTCTGAGCGCAAGTGTGACGTGTAGCAAATTCTGCCACGCCTGCGAAGACTCCTGGGACATCATATGATAGTTCCCATAGGTATGTGTTATCATAACTAGTTTCTAGTCTCTTTCTCTCTGTCAGTATCTGCCAGATATTGCTTATATCTCAGCGGCATTTTCTGCGAAAAGGCTCTTGGATCATAACATCTGGGGCCACTTTTGCACGAAAAAATTGTGCCTGTACGTTTGCATTGGGGGAGTTGGATCTGGCCTTTGTTTTCACAACAAGACATACTTGGTTCAACATACCTCAAGGCGAATTCTGTTTCGTCTGTGAACCGTGGGTGCATGTCAACCTGCCCTACATTTTGTTTTCTTTTTTAAAAGAAAAAAGAAAGAAAAAGAGAAAAGCCACTATCTTGGGGATTTTGGGCCGAGATTCTAAGACACCCCTCTCGTCTGTGAGAGAACAGCATCATGAATGGACCTCATTTGAGATATGGAGACAAGGTTACAGAGTGAGAGAGCGAGAGACAGCTCCGTGTCGCTCTGTGACGAGGCCACGGAGCGAGATTGATGTGGATGGATATCACCGCTGCATCCACGTGCCAGCCAAAACTAGGAGAATAACAACCTCGTTTGGATACATCTGTGACGAGGTCAGGTTGGAAATGATTACGCTAGGTTCTGCCGCCGTCACACCAACTGCTTCTTTGGTATCCGTACGTAGTATGACAGTGGGTAGATGGGAGTGCCATATGGCACTATCTCCCCTTCAATGTCCTATCAACCTCAAACGAGCTACTCCTTCCGCAGTGATGGACTCGTTCCAGCGTCCACCTCAAATTCTTCCAGTACTCCAGACGCTGCGAAGCTTTCGCATTTTTGCCGAACGACTCCCACGATGGCATGTGATCTTGTGCGTCTCGTTTGCGCCCGACCGATTCACGACGGGTCATCAGCGATCCCAACATACCCATAGGCACTTACAGACCACAGGACGAGTGACGCCGTAGGAGGTGGAACGATTCTTACCGGGTCGTTTTTTAGTTGGTTAGTACCTTGATCTTGTGGGGGGTGTGTTTTTTTTTGAGGTGGCGGCCCGTAACCCGCGGCCGGTGCCTCGCGAACCCACTCACGAGCCCACAACCCGCACAGCGTTTCTCCATTTTCCGACGTTAACTACTGTATACCTGAGGCGTGTTAGGTAGCTAAAAGAGCACACACGCACACACACACCTGCAAGCCTCACCGCAACCCGCCGCCCAATTCGACGTCGACATCCCAAAGACCCCGTGAACCGGACCACCGTACAGGTATTACGCCGACTCGATCATTTTTCTTTCTGCGGCCCCCAGACGGGGCGCGCGCGCTTCGAGGCATGCACCTTTCGACGTGGCTGCTTGTCGAACGACCGTCTTCTTCCCTCTTTCTCGTTCGGTCGCCACCGGCGACATCTGGCTGATCCATCTCGCCTCACATTTTGACGGCAAAAACCCAAACAACGAGGCGAGAGAACCACCCCTTCTTTTCCTTCGCCGCTCGTTCGTCTGTGTTTTATGGGCTCCCTCCCTCCCCCCTACACGTACCAACAACACCCAGGTAAGCAGGTCGTGTGGGCTCTGCGTCCGCTTGGCCGCCCAAAGGCTCCTTCATGCACGGTCCCGGGGCCTGGGTCTGTCGTGCAACCACTCGCTTCGAGGTGTTTCTTTGCCGGCCGCAAAGGGCGTCGCGGGCAGGTCCTTGACCGTGTGCCGTACTTCACGACTTCGGAGTAGTCCTGAGCTTGGAGCCATACCGACGACGTGGTGTGTCTCGATGCTCCCCTCCCGGTTGTCTGCACGTCGATGCTATAAACAGGACCAACGCTCGATCTATCAGTTGTTGCTTGTTGTTCTTACTGCCTACCTACGGTAGTTACCTAAGGTTAACATATCTTGCCCTTCCGTCCTGGTCGGTGATTTGTTCCAACATTCACGTCCCAGGCCCTTTGTGTTTTACTCACTGTCCTTCGCGCTGAGCCCTCGACCTGTTGATCTCCCAGAAGCTACCTGCGGCCCTCGGTCCGAAATACCAGATAGGATTCAAGTGTTTTGCGAGGAACAGGCTCGCCCGGATCCAGTCCACCCAAACAACCCCGTGCCCAGATACCAAGGTTCACACCTGACAACGAAAGCACCAGTCTAGACCGCCATAAGAACACAGGGTGTACCATCGACTTACCATACTTGACCGAGCGTAAAGGCCTCGCCTAGTCCCGAGATCTCTGGCCTTTGCTCAGGATCACCATTCTTCCCTCGAAATCCCTCCTACCATGCCCTCCTCCATCACACTTACCGTCAACCACCTTCCAACATCGACATCCTTCTTCCTCTCTGCCCTACAACCACTGAACTACGTGTTTCGTGGCAGAGAAGAGCAAACAATTGGCTTTGGCCCAAAAGATCAACCTACTGCACTTGCAGATTTCTGGATCACACAAGAAATCCCCGGTGTGCCAGCTGGCGCAGCACACGTCGCTTTTCCAGCCGCATCTCGTGACCAGGTCCAGGAGTTCTTTTACGCTGCTCTCAAAGCCGGGGGCAAGATCCACGGTGAACCCTGCCAGCGTGATGCCTCAGGATACTATTCTGCCGCCGTGATTGACTTTGACGGAAACTCGATCGAGGCAGTCTATCGACCTGCTCTGGACGAAGCAAACAAGGAGAACCTTCCCGACGATGCGAAGACCACTGTATCACGGAAGGCCGCCTCTGTGGCTGCATCGGCTAAAGCACCATCGACCGTCGCTCCTGCGAAATCTACGGTTTCCTTCGCCAAAGCACCTACAGTCGTCTCCCAGGCACACAGCCGACCAGGTGCAGCCCCCACAGTTGTCTCTCAGGCACAAAGTAAAGCCTCGACGCAAGCCCGCAGTGTTACCGCGCCCTCTCGGATCTCCGTCGCGACGGCCAAAACTGCCGATCAAGCCGCCCCGAAGCCAAAACAAGGCGATGTCCTGGAAACGCTCATGCAAGAAGCTCGCAACGCAGCAACTGTCGCGCGTGAGCTGGTGAATTCCGTCCGACCAAGCCTGAAGTCTTCGGAATCTGCAGCCGATACTGCCACAGGAAGTGGTGCTGGCGAAGCCATTGTCGGTGCCACAATCCTAGGTGTAGCCGCTGGAGCTGCACTGCACTATGCATTCAGTAATCGATCCAAGGAGACCCAAAGCAATGACAATGCTGACGCCGAACAGCGTCCGTCCGTGATTGGACGCAGCAAGACCGAGCCGGCAGCACTCATGATGCGTCCTGAGTACGAGTACGAATATGCCTACTCTTCGGGAGGCAGTGCGGCGTGTTACGAAGGACCAGATGGGCGGGTAGTCACCGTGTACAGAGCCATCGAGCCCGCTCCATCCGCGTACAGTGAAGGTATTGGGCACAGGGTGATAGAGATGCACGACAACGAAGCCCGATCCTCACATCTTGCTTTGCCCGCGCCGTCACATTCTGGGTCGAAAGCGGGATCGCGTGCGGGATCGCAGTACGCATCGACGGTGCGTCCAACTAGCAGATCGCGCAGAATGAGCATTGATTCAGGGTTCGGGCCTGGCCCAAATGATCTACTAGCAGGACAGCAGGAGAAGACAGCAGGGAAGAGTGTGATTTCGGTCGCGAGCAAAGGTAGCAAAGTAAGCGCAATCTCGAAGATGAGCAGGCAGAGCAAGATGAGTGGCATGACTGCAACCCCACCAACGAGTTATCGTGCTCCAACGGTTTTGACCACCGCAGATACGCAGGCCAGTGGCTCAAAATCCAAGTCGAGGTCATCCTCAAAGTCAAGAACTCGTTCGGGGAGTGTGAGTAGAATTCTGAGTCGAATCGGTGGCAGCGAAGCTGATGGGCCTGCTGCTGACGATGAAAGAAGGGGCCGAAGTCGCTCAAGGTCTCGAGTGAGCCACGATAGTAGAAGAAGCAGGCGTGACGATGTCGATGGTGGAGATGGAGATGGTGCAAGAACGGTACTGCACGTCTCAGAGACGCTGAAACGTGTGGTCAGTCGAACGCATTCGATCAGCCGTGACGAGGCAGGCGGCTCGAGAGTATCTCGCGTCTCGTCCAAGTCCAGACAACCTCATGACTATCCTCTTCCGCCATCGCGAGCGGCGACCTGGGCGGGCGGGGCAGGCAGTGAGGCAGGTGGAAGCGGTGCCGGTGGCAGCTTCGTATCTGCTCGGTCTCGGCCCAGCCCTGGCCTGGTCGTCAGTGCACCCAGGACTATAATCGGGAAGTTGAATCCTTTGCGCGTCAGGGACTTTGCGGATAGACACGAGGTGGACGATAGCATGTCGACGGTTTCGAAGCAGAAAGATCTGGCGAAGTTGGACATCCCGGATCGTGAAGTGAGACCTGAGGATAGCGTCAGTCAGATCAGTGTGCACAGTACGCACAGCAGGAGGTCTGAGAAGGCCGGCAGCAAGGCCGGGAGCAGACGAGGATGACATTTTTGGGACATTCTTGTGGCTGTAACTTAATATGTTAGGAGTGTGGATTCAGAGGAATTCTCAGCATCGGGCGTTCGTTGGGGAGACCGAGGCGCTTTGAGCATGGTTGCGGCATATACATGACTGTCTGATGTTCCAGAGTGGTGGCTTTGGTTTTGAAGAACATGACTAGCAGGCATACAAATTCGTTTCTCGCTTGTACTGTAGCATTCTGAATATCAGTTGAAAGGGACGAATGTGTAGATATATGTGCTCCGTGCTCATACGGGAACCGCAGTTGTCCAGTGCGTCCGCCATCCTATTCTGGCTTGACGCCCGTGCGGCTGCATATCGGTACCTGACTAAACTGTTATGGGGGTTAAGTCTGTAGCTAAAAACAGGCCTCGGGCTTTCAGCAGGCGCCCCTGAAGGAGACCCCTGCGCAGGACTGGTGGGAGTCAGACCCCCCAGCGGCCGCCACCCTCGGCCACGCCGCCCCTAAATTGATCGCTGCCGACGGCTTAAAACCTTTACCCCAGACTTTTCTATGAGCCTCATTCACGGCCTCTTCTGCCTCCTCCCTGCATTGCTGTTTAAGGTCAGCCTTCCCTTGCCTGCGAGAATGGCTGGTCCTGCGCGTGCGACGGGTGGAAGACGCCTTTGCAACTGTATTACACTCATTGCTGTTTCTGTGACCACACTCCTTCTTTTTCGACCTATCGTCTCCTTCGTTTTGCCTCTAAACATCGACAGCCCCCTGCAGACCACAATCGTTCCCAGCAGTTTCAACTGGGCGGCTTTGAGACCTTACCATCCGCCGACGTCCACTACGCCCTTACCAAGTGGTAGATTCCATTCTTTTTCCGTTCAACATGATTTTGAGCCCGAGTCCCGCTCCGATACCTCGAAGCGGCTATCACGTCGAAAGGCCGTCGAATCTGCCTTCAATAAGTGCTGGAAAAGCTACAAAGCCCACGCGTGGCTGAGAGATGAATTGGAACCATTATCAGCATCAGGAAAAGACACATATGGAGGCTGGGCTGCTACGCTAGTGGACTCGTTGGACACTCTTTGGATCATGGACCTGAAGTCTGAATTCCGCGAGGCGGCGAAAGCGGTTGCTGTCCTGGACTGGGCCAATACTACAGGCACAGCCTGCAACATGTTTGAAACGAACATTCGTTATCTCGGAGGCTTACTCGCAGCCTTCGACTTGAGTCAAGAGCCGGTTCTCTTGGCCAAAGCCGTCGAGCTTGGTGATATGCTGTATGCTGGCTTTGACACTCCCAACCGGATTCCTCCGTTCTGGCTCAACTTTGAGCAGGCGAAACAAGGATCGCTGATTGCGGAGACACATCAGATTTCTGCTTCGGTCGGGTCGTTCTCTTTGGAATTCACTCGTTTATCACAAATCACTGGCGACTCTAAGTACTATTCGGCTGTGGCACATTTGACCTCAGTCTTTGCAGAATCTCAAAACTCCACCGCCATGCCGGGGATGTGGCCTACGTTCATCGATGCCCGAAATGCAAGATTCGATGAGAACAGCTTCACCCTGGGGGCGCTGGCAGACTCTCTTTACGAATATCTGCCTAAGATGTACTCGCTGATGGGCGGTCAAGAGCAGATATACGAGAAGATGTATCTGGATGCCATGGATGCGGTCAAGAAGTATTTACTCTTTCGGCCAACGACCCCAGACAACAGAGACATTCTCTTCTCCGGCAGTGCAACTGTCAGTCAAGGTGTCGTCACACTGGGTCACGAAGGACAACATCTCAGCTGCTTCGCTGGAGGGATGTTCATTCTTGGCGGAAAACTCTTCTCCCGGCCTGATCATCTCGACATTGGTGCAAGGCTTACCCATGGCTGTGCTTATGCCTATGAAGCATTCCCTACTGGGATCATGCCGGAGATATTTGACATGATGCACTGCGCGTCGCTTGATGGCTGCGAGTGGGACGAACGGCGATGGCAGAACCAAGGCAATCTCGACCTACCACGTGGGTTCGCGCGTGTACGATCTGCATCCTACATCCTTCGTCCCGAGGCGATCGAAAGTATTTTCATCCTGTATCGCACCACTGGTGACACGAAGTTGCAAGACCTGGCTTGGCGAATGTTTCAGTCAATCCAAAAGGCCACCGAGACACCGTACGGCAACGCTGGTATTGAAGACGTTAACGCCGTTGGCGGCGAGATCAAACAGAAAAACTCCATGGAGGTATGTTCGAATGTGTTTGCGTGTAGCACAGTGACTGACCAATCTCAGAGTTTCTGGCTTGCCGAAACGCTCAAGTACTTCTACTTGATCTTTTCTGAACCTGATCTCATCAATCTTGATGATTACGTGCTGAACACCGAGGCGCATCCACTGCGGCGCCCAGTGCCGCATCCATCTTCACGAGTGTCATATAGTTGAGACCGTAGTGGGTAGAGATATCCCCATGAGAGAATCGAAATAATATGGTCGAACCCGCCGTAATGAACTGGCGCTTCCGGCGCATCGACAAAGAATGACCTCAGCCTTGTGCAGCATCGGCGCTACTGTCCGATCTTCTATGACGCGCCCTGACTTCGATCCGCGTTTTTCTCCACATAATTTTTTCATTAGATTGAATCGTACCTCGCATATATGATATATTCTCGCGTTCATCTTGACTTCTGGACAGGCGGTTCCAACACCCACGGCCACGGAGCGCCACAACCCCCTGTGATCATAGGCTCCGATGAGAGTGCCACTGTTGAGCGCACACAAATGCTGCTCACACCCAGTTCGACTCCCCGGAGCTCTTGACTCTCGTTCGGCACGCGGGCTTCTTCCGGTTGCGATTCAGCGTCGAAACCAATCGACGACACTTCCCTCTCCGTCTGCTCCGTCAAAATCCCTTCTAGACCGGACGGCTCCTAACCCCGCCACGTTGTACTATGACTCTGATGCAAAGTATCACCGAATATCCCTGACACCATTACCCACCCACGTCCAGCGCAGTATAAGCCAAGATCTTTCCAGCACACACCCGGCGCCGCTGGACACTCCTCCCCCTCTCAAACGGACAGACTATGACGACGGCCAGATCCCTCTGAAAGACAAAGTCCATCGCCTCTTCAAGGTCGGAAAGGCATACCTGCAGTTCTACAAGACGGGCCTCAAGAACATATGGCGCAACTACAAGGAGCTGAGAGCCATTCGTGCCAGATTGGGCACGGACAAGCTTGAGGATCTGATCAAGTATGGCAGACCTCGCACTCTGACGGAAGGGCGGGGCCCACGGAGTCGACAAGAGGGCGTCAAGGCGACAAATGACCAGATACCTCCACTGACGAGGCGAGAATACCAACTGGCACTCCGCACCCGGCACGACCTGTTCAAACTGGTCCCTTTCTCCTTGATACTTGCCATCTGCGGCGAGTTCACCCCTCTGGTCATCCTGGCCACGGGGTCTGCGGTCGTGCCGTTCCCATGCCGAATCCCGCAGCAAGAACGGCAGGACTTCATGCGGCCTCTGAGCGTTCAACCCGCCGTCGACAAAGCTCTCGAGCGCGTGGCCGGCCCAGCTCGCGAGCCAGAAACCAGGCAGGCAGCGTCCCGGCCTGTCGTGAATTGGGACTGGCGACAGGAGTTCATCTATGCTCACCGACTGCACCTGAACCCCTTTCTGACACCCGTACCGCTCCTGGGCGCGCTCTGGCACAGGATCTACGTTCTCCCGCGCCTTCGCAAGCACTGCCACCATATCGTCTGCGACACCATCCTCATCAGGCGCGAAGGTGGCTTCGCCCGGCTGTCACCTCGAGAAGTGTTCCGGTGGAGCTTGAACCACGGCCTCCGCAGCCTGACACACTACGTGGATGACAGATCGCGTCGGGGTCTCCCGATCGATCCTGACTCTCCAGACTTGAAGAAAGCCCTGCTCCCTGTCGTCCAGGCCGAGGCCGACTACTTGCTCAGCGTGGACTGGTCGCGAGTCAAGCCCGAGGATCACTGGCGCGCCGCTTTCCGACCCGTCGGAAGCGTGACACCCGATGATCGGAACGTTTTGCGCCGGTGACCATCCGGGCTTCGCCAGAATGGACTGGCGGTGTTGTACTGTACAATAGAGGCTATGGGCCGATGTTGATTGCGCCTGCGGCCTTCATAATCAGCAACGTCTTGAGCACAAAAATGGACTTTTGCAGCCTGATCAAGGTTGGTACACCTCCCCGTTCCATGTCCCTGTAGATTTGCGGACTACCTTCTCTTGTAAATGTTCCTTTCGGCGTCAACTTGATCCCTAACTAGTCCTTTCTGCCCCACGCCCGTTCTGTGCACACACTTGACAGAGCCTGTGCCGGGGGGCCATCGTCGTGCTTTTCGGTCAATGACCCGCGCCTGCACGTTTCAGTCGCGTCCAGCCCTCCACGACGCACCATACAATCCCAGTTTTTTTTTTCGGCCCAATGGCACCCTACAAGAAGTGAATGGATCGTTCGCTGTTGGTAGAACAGGCTTCATGGATTGACCCACCCACCGACTCTTGACCCGTACGAACAACCAGGAGAGACGAGATCCGGATGGGTACGTGGACGAGCGTGAGGATGAGGTCGAAAAGGGGCTATAAAGACCCTTGTTCTTCATCCCAAGCCCAAACAACCAACACTGTCTATCCTCAACGTAGGGACGACTCCAACATAGCCGAGTTTCGTGCATAAAGGTCATCAAGAGATCACTTGATATCGCGTCCGCTCAAGCAACTGTAAGTACACTTCCTAATCCGCCGTCCGACATCGAGACTATGCAAGAAGAACCTTGCTACGCCCCAACACGACAAGGGTCCTGAATGACTGGATACATACAGGATATCATTTACCCCATTAATTTACCGGATCTGTCGATTCTCTCTTTCTGTTCCTATTCTTTACTTCCAGCCCCGACCTTCTGTTCCTAGTCCCAACCCGGACCCTCCTGTCGACCCACTCCACGCTCTGATGGGTGACCTTACCAAAGGCACGTTGCTAGATACACTTCCTTGACGTTTGTGTGTGGGGATGGCGGGCGACACAGGTGTAGAAGAAGAGAACGTAGATGCCCTGGCTTTTGAACCACCGTTGATGAACTTCCATTCTACGGCTCCGTCATGGAAGATGCCAGTTTCCGAGAAGAGCGCCGCGCCGGAACAAATCATGTCGTGTTCTGTCTTGCCCGGGTTGGGTCGGGTCACCAGAGGCCTCACGGCCAGTTCTTGGCGCAAGTAGGGCTCGATGGCAGAGTCCGCGAGAGAATCCGGGATGTCTCTCTTCTCATAGTCCTTCAGATCTTCGTTCCAATGCTGGCGATCATCGGGGGCCATGCTGACTTGTATAGGGAATTCGTCTCTCTCCGACGTCTTCCAGAGGTCGATGGCCTCGACGAACACCTCGAACAGATCTCTTCGAAGGTCCTCAACCTGGTCATCCGCCAACAAAGGTTCCAGAGGATCAATTATGTTGTGGTAGATCAAGGAGCCAACAGTCTTTTTCGTCTGGACCTCGTCGTCGAGACGATCCAGAACTCTCATGGTGGAGATCTTCCAGTTGCGCCTTTCCGGATCTCCCCGGTCTCGTAGGTGATCATACATAGTGGGAAGAAGGTCTTGGTCTTTGCCCGGCGAGGATAGACAGGCGGAGAAGAATGGCCTCCACAGATAGGTTTGGATGACGGTGTTGATGATGTTCTGAATGGCAGCAAGTCGGAGGTGCAATGAGCCACTAGAATCCGACAGTGGTATCCCTTTGAACACGGCGAGTTTCTTTTTTCCGGTCAACTCTTTCGAGATAGAAGCAGGATCCTGCACATGGTTTCAGTGTCAGTGGGGTTATCTATTGTCCTAGGCACTGCCGACCCCATTGCTATCACCGAGGAGGTGATGTCGTTGGAAATTCCTGGACTTACCTCTATGACTTCTTCCGGAAGCCTGCCAAAGTAGGCCTTTGCGATGTTCCCGATGCTCTCAAATAAAGCTTTGTAATGTTCCTCACTGAGATCAAAGAGTTAGCCTCATCCTTTGGTTGTGTCAACATGAAAAGAGCTTGACCCAATAACTTACTAGAAGGTCGTTGTGACTGGCGCCTCCGCATTGTACGGAGCCCGCAATTGTTTATTTTGCTCTTCGAGGCGTTGGCATTTTGCTCTTTCTCCATCAAGCTCATCAGAGGTCAATTTGAGTTCACCTTTGAGTGATCTGTTGGCCTCTATACGCTTCCTGATTTCATCCCTCATTTCTTTCTCTTTTTCTGTAAAATGTCTCTCCATGTTCGACCGGTCATCGGCAAGCTGATCCTTCAAGGCTTTCTCAAGCTCTTCATATTGCTTCTGCTTCTGCTCGCCCGCCGCCGCTTTTCCCCTCCATTCTGAGATCTCTCTATCATGGGCCTGCTTAAGCACCTCGATCTTAGACTCGTGTTCTTTTTCATTGTTAATGAGAAGATTAGTGAATCCTCTCTGAAGAACTTCAAGGTCATGAATCTTTTGCTCCAAGACATTATCTTCTCCATAACGATTTTTGACCGTGGACACGACCTTTCCATGCTTGCGGAAAGTTTTTTTCAACCCCTCAACGGCCTCGTGCATGAACAACCACCCTTTGTCAAGTTTCGAGATTTCAAGATTAATCTCATCGTTGAACATGCCAAAATGGGTCACATCCGGAGGACGCTCAGCTTGGATCCCGGTACCATTAGTCACAGTGCCATTTTGAGTTGACGTTCGATCAACACCAGATGATGACATTCTTGCCCGGCGTTCCTATAATATCACCATTGCCCGTAAGTCAGCACAGCTCCTCGGTAGGGACAGTCAAGTGACGACATGCTTGGAATGCTCTTCTCTTACACCGCACGAAACGGAATGGATGCAGAATTTTGTACAATTGGGCTTCGATTAGGGTGCATTCGCAATTCCCGAGCACGGAAAATCGATAGTTGGGCAATTTGTAATGTGTTTGAGACACAGGCAGCGGCGGCATGTCCCCGATAGAGTCTGGCGATGCCTGAGGAAGATATATTATACGAGCTTGATGCGAAAGGATGTGAATTTGTCCTTCGACAGCAGTGTCGTTCGAAAGTCAACACTCTTTGGACAAACCGCCATGCAGGCAATTGGTGGCATGACCACACTGCAGCCACTCCAACGTGTCTGCACATGAGTGAAGGGAGATCATCCAGTATGACTCTGAAATGGTAGGGTTCATATGCATGTTCTCGTAGAGGGGGGTGATAAACAGTCTCTACAGGACTCTCAAGTTGTGATCAATTGTTCGTCGACTGGGCGTATGTCGCTTCCTGCAGACGCACCAAGCTCAGCTGCAAACTGTAGTTCGTGCAAAGGACATCGCCATCATGGTGAGAGGCAGTAGGTGCGGATACCACACAAATGACCCACTTATGTGCGATGTGTGATGTGCAAGCTGCGAGCCGTCTTGATTACGACAAAAGTGTGCGAGCTGCAATTGGAGCTTGCTTCACCCCCCACAATGCAAGAATGCGTTGTCAGCTGCAGAATGCGCTTGATGACAGTCAAATGGCAGCGATGAAGGAGCTACAGGGCGGGTAATCGCTGATACTGTCAACTCTCCAAGCAATCAGGCCCATCTCGTAGGTGAGGTACTTTAGGCGTACATTTTGAACGAGCGGCGTGGAGCTTCGAATGGGCTCGGTCTCAGAACACCAGCAGTCCAAGATATCTGTGGACCGAATTTACAGACAGTGCTACGTATGCTTCGGATGGCTGCAAGACCGGCTCAAGACCAAGTCCAAGGATGATAACAGCAGCCTCCGAGGGGGAACACGGTTGTTGGAAGGCACGTCTCATCTCTATCCGTCGCATGTGAGGCGCATGCTTGAAGATTGCGTCGCATATGCATGAGGCTGAAAGCATGCTTCGAACGGGCCCGGTCGTAACCGGTGTGTGATCTCAGTTAATATCAAGCCAACACAACGATCGTCGAGCAGGAGCCTTAGCGGTGAAGGGATCAATTTGAACGCTTAACCACGTTGATATGCCGGGATGCTTGAGCAGGAAGGACACTGGTGCTTCAGTGGTTGGGGGACTCGCCTTATATTAAACCCTTCAGCGCATTCTCGCAGCGTTCCACATTTCGTAGTGGCTGAGCATCTCCCTCGTTATGCTCTTTGGGGTGGTTCTGATAGCTTCTTTGACATCTTCGGCTATGATGCTGTCTCGATCAGTGTCGAATGCAAACTCTCCTGCCTCCTGGCATATGGCAACGACTTCTGCCCCAGAAAATCCAGTTGTATCCTCGGCAAACTTTTCCACATCTTCCGCCAAGCTCTTGTCGGGCTGGTACGGTATCACACTGAGATGTTTGTGGAATATCTCCTTTCTTGCCTCATAATCGGGTGGTCCCACGTACACCACGTTATCAAATCGCCCAGGCCGCATCAAGGCAGGGTCAATATTCTCCGGTTTGTTCGTTGCGCCGACAATAAAGACATTTCTCAATTCTTCGAACCCATCCATTTCATTGAGGAGCGTTGTGAGCACGTTCAGATCGCTCCCTTGTCGACCACGAGAGGCGATTGCGTCAATTTCGTCGAAGAAGATGATACTAGGGCTTGCAGCACGGGCTTTCCGGAATACTTCTCGAGTGGCTCGCTCGCTTTCGCCGACATACATCGATATCAACTCGGCCCCCTTGACCGCTAGGAAGTTTGTCCCTGCTTCAGCTGCCAGAGCCCGCACTAAGAGCGTTTTGGAACACCCCGGTGGTCCATATAGGAGCAGCCCCTTTTTGGGACGGAGGCCAAACTCTGCCATGCGGCTTGCTTGTTTGAGTGGTCGTTGAACAGCATTTTGTAGTTGACGTTTGGTAGAGTGCTGCCCACCTATGTCCGACCATCGGACCTTCGGTTTCTCGAGGAATATTTCCTGGAGAGCAGATGGTCGAACATATCTCAGCGCTTGATCGAGATCCTCTACTGTCACAATCGGAGCTGTAGTCTTTGGGGACGAGCCGTCTGAAACTTCGCCATTGACTTTCGAACTCTCGTTAGGAGAAAGTCCACGTAGGCCAAGCCGATCATAGCTCAATTTGATCGTTTGCCGCATGAGAGAGTAAAGGTCGTCGCCAACATAGCCATGCGTTCTGTCTGCCATTTCTTGCAAGATGGCGTCGTCAATGGCAGATGCACCATTGTGAAATGCCTGGAGTATCTCTTTTCTTTGAACTGCTGAAGGGATGGGAAGTTCGATCTCGCACCCAAACCTTTTGGCTGCTCGAAATGACTGGTTGATGTCGTTTGGATGTCGGGCTTCTCCTACTATGAGTGTTGGGCTGCCTCGGATCTGTCGAAACAAGCTATCGAGCTTGCTTGTCACGTTGATGGACCCAGCTGCATTCGGGACAAGATATCCAGGTTGGACAATGACCAATTGTGGCTGTGCGGATATCTGTACCTGGCTACCGGGCTCCCAATATGTAACAACCGACCACTCTGCACCCGAAAGCTGTGAGATCAGTTCCGTCTTACCAGTCCCTTTCGCTCCGTAAAGAAGTATACCTTGTATAGGTTCATATGACGGTAGATGGTTCTGCTCGCTCGGACAACACAAATCTCGGACAATGTCTTGAATCTGGGCTATCTCCTTGTCCAAGCCTCCCAGTCCCTTAGGCTGAAAGTCGATCTCAGCTCCTTCATAGACTTCTGGGGAGCCCCCGGCATTGGTCACATGGAACCGTGTCTGTTGGGTGACCCTAGCAATCATGTCCTCGTTTATTGATATGTCTTTGACGATGAACTCTCGGTCGTGATCGCCTAGTTTGAACAAGATCTTCTGATCAGACACCAAGAAAGCGTCTTTGCCTCGAAGAGTAAGCTTTGCATAGACGGAGTAATCTTCAGCACTTGATTCACTAAGTTCCCCGTCGCAACATTGTAGAACGACTGTGCTGGCGTCCTGGATGGGTCGTAAAGATCGTCCAATCGTGATCTTGTCAGACAACTTGAAGCCGTAGACCTCCTGTAGCAATTTCGATGTCTGCACGACCGTGTCCTTCATGCCAGCACCGGAAGCCTCCCAGGCTATTGCCAACTTCTTGCGACCCGTATCGCCGTCATCAATCCTACGCAATTCACAAATGTCGCCTGGTTTCAACTTTAGCGACAGCATGGAAACGGCGGTCAGCCGGACACGAAAAGGGTCCTTGTCCGAATTGGATGGACGGACTATGAAGCTCGACATCTTGAATCACATCCATCTGTCTCTAGGAATGGTACAACACCGTAGAAGGGGGCAGTTTCGATGCCGAAATTTCTTATGGGTGAAGGACTATGGATTTTGTATGCCTTGGCACTGGCAAACGACGTGTCTGACAAGGACCCACCAAGCAACAATCGAAAAGACACGAGCTCACATATTGTCAGACAAAAACCCACTTCTGCTTTGCGCGAGGCTGTGATCATTCCATGACTATGGATACCATCGAGGAAGTCCCAAACGTATGAGAAACCAATAAACTGCTATGGTCGCACGTCTCATTCAAGTGAGTCAAGGGAAGGCTTTTTGCTCGCACTTCGAGTCACCCGCTTTGAAATCCCGTTATCGTCCACGGCATCGCGACCTGTGGCACCATGACTGCCGTCAACTGCTTCATGGCTAGTCGAGTCCTCGTGCTGACCTTCCTCTGGTTCTTCGTGATCGCTCGACATTGCTGGCACTCTCTCCCATTCTTCACCATCGTGTAGATTCGACACAGCTGTGATCTCCTTGACTACTTTAGCACCTTCACTCTCTACACCATTCCAAGCTCCGCAAGTACTGCATCGCCATCGGCCGAGTTCTTCGAGCGTCTTGACACCGGGAGGGGCCTGACCATTGACAAGGCGACAATTTGAACACAGAAGGACCAATCTATTCTTGGCAGCGGTCTCATCCTCTCCAAGCATCACGTCGAGTATGCGATCATACCAGTGGTGGGTGGTTTCATATGCTGTGGTTGGTGGAGGGGGGTCTGCAAAAGCATTTGGAGCAAACCCAGGAACATCAGAACTCATATCCACAGGGCTTCTGGCCATTTCAACAGCCAGTGGCATCTGGACATGCGTCGGAGAGGCAGGAGGACTTCCTACCTGAGGTGGTAGACCGGCAGGCGCCTGGACATTTCGTCCAGGTATATTCGCCGTAGGGGGGGGTGGTAGTCCAGTCCTCTGTGGATGCCGCTCTGGAGGACGATTGACTTGTCGTTTCGCACCTTGTTGCGGTTTTTTTGATGGCGATTTGGACGGTGGAGCGCCTCCATACTTCTGCAGCAGCTCTTGAGTGCTATCATATTTTGTAGCCTTCTTCAAGTCGGCAATCTTGGACTCGCGCTGTTTCTGCAGATGGTCCAGGTATGATTGTTGCCGATTTACCCTCCAGTCGAAAAATGCAGTCAACAGTTTGCGCACTGTATAGATAATGACCGGTGCACCCACTAAGCCTGCATAGTGATACCAGAACCAGGCATCGGGGCCCAGTACAAGAACCACGACAAGTGTATAGAGGAGGTAGGTCAGCGTGGTATAAAGCGTCCATAGTGCCTTTGCTCGGCGCGCTCGAGTCCTGGTGGTGTCAAGGGCAAGGTTGGCATCAGTGATCTGGGCGGACAGCTTCGAAAGAGCTTTCTCAAAGGAAGCAGGAGAGTTTGCATCGCTCTGGGATGGTCAGTTAGTCGTTCAATGGTGGTTGGGATAGTTCCTTACCCTCCAGAGCCACGACATGCTGGCTTTCCTCATCGCTTCCAAGTGGTCGACATAGAGTGGAGGCGTCTGCCGATGACAACAAAGATTTCCTGTCACCAAAGAGTCGAATCCAAGGTCATGGTCGAGGGCGAAAGTCGTGACAGCCGCCAGGAAGAGAAGACTGGGTATTACTTCAGGCACTTGGATGAGTATTTAGCGCAGGCTGCGTCATTCCTGCCGTTGTCCGCCCATTTGGAGAACAAGACACGAGACGCGTATTTTATTTCGACCCCTGCATCGCCGACTTTGGTTGAGAACAGTTAAGCCCTTTTCCAACACCAAGCGCACCCTTTAACTACTCCCTACAGACGACAGACGGGAACTTCGCAAGTCATTGTTACGCTGCTCACGTTTGCCTCGTCGATCTCACCTGCCCAAGATCCGACCAACCCTCGTCCGTTGACAGCGCTCCCGCAGCTCAGCTTCACGATGCCTAGCATGTGGCTCACAGATGTGCAGAGTATGTTCCTCTCATAGCTAGCAAGCAATGCGCTCGCTCTACCGTCGTTCGATAAATTCCACAGACTAATTGCCAGACAGAAATCGGGGTCGCCTTCTGCTCCGGAGGTAAAGCGCAACATTCAAGTCTCCTGAAGGCCCTCAACTGATTGCATTGCACTAGGTGGATTGTTCCTGGCAGGCGGTGTCCTCATGTTCTTTGATCGGTCTATGTATGTCTCCTTACACATCCTAAGGACGATGCTAACAAGGCGAGCAGGCTAGCGATGGGCAACGTGAGTCTGGCGGCTTCCTCCTTACCGATATATCGTCTGACTCTGCACTAGATACTCTTCCTCATTGGCCTCACGCTCATTATCGGGATCCAGAAGACGATCATATTCTTTGCGAGGCGCCAGAAACTCAAGGGAACAGCGGCCTTCATGGCCGGCATCCTTCTCATCCTTATCCGCTGGCCACTGACTGGGTTCCTGGTTGAGCTCTACGGCATATTCGTCCTATTTGGAGACTTCTTTGCAACAATCGCGTCTTTTGCCGGCAACATCCCTATCGTGGGTCCATATATTCAAATGTTCTTGCAGAAGATATCATCTGGAAGAAGGAATGCAGAGTTACCAGTATGAAGGAGTATAGGAACAAAATAGCCTGACGCCGATTCCGAAGATACGGATGAGCTTTCCTCAATTATCTTTTCATGTAGGACCAAACGGATTTTCGCAAACAGATCATTGCCTCATTCCCGCGCATAGCAGGTCTGTGACCAGATCAACAAACTCTTGCGCACATTTCTGGGTATCATACGAGACATGAACAACAACAGAAGGAGGCGTGTTGCACCGGCAAAGATGGGACGGAGCCACGCAAACATTTCTTAGAGTTCACCTTTCTCTCATACTCCATATCCGACACCAGTCATGTCACCAGACCCACTGCCAGGCCAGCCTGGGAATCCCTGAGCGTTCACATCAGGCGCGGTCGCTAGCAGATCATAGCCCATACCCATGCTCCAGAGCATATCATCCTCGGTCTGCCATCCACCATACGTCCCGGTTGACGTAGGTTGGCTATGTGGAGACAAGTACGCATCATAAACACCTCCAGCATTTGGGTGGGACTGGGATTGCGGAGTGTATGCTGTTGGAGAGAGAGTATTGTGCTGCGGGGCTAAGATAGCAGATGTCCCGGGGCCATACACTTCTGATTGGGCTTGTTGCGGCATCGAATGTGTGGGATGTGTATATCCGGTGGCATGTTGGCCGTTGGCTCGTGCGGTCATAAGGGCTTGACCATGAGCATGGCCATTCTCCGCTTTGCCTGTTACCGCTTGTGCTCCCATATTACTCTTGAGCAATCTTTCGAAACCATCAGCCATTGCGTATAAGATGTGATTCTTACCGGCTCTACAACTCCTGAACAAGTCGATTACCGCTTCGATCAGTGGCTTCGTTTTCTGATCCGGATCGATAGTGACGCCAATGCCGGCCCAGCGAGAGGACATCTTGATCAAAAAGACGACGGCGAAAGCAATGACAGTGTGCAAGTACAATGGCACCCCGACCATCGAGTCTCGTATCGAAGGTTCGTCGAGGACAACGATCAAGATCTGGTGGGCCGAGTTTATGGCCTGGGACGCGAGCGGCCGAAGACTAGTTGGGAGAGTCGATGTCGAGGAGATGGTGGACAACGACCGCCCCCGTAGTGCGAGGGAATTGAGCATCATGGATGCGAAGTAGTAATGTAAATCGACGCCTGTAGTATTTTCTCACAGTCAGGTTTTTGTCATCTCATGGTCTCCTTTTCCTTTTCGTCCACGCTTGGGGGTCTTCAAAACAAAAAAAGAGAACAAAACGTACCGACGGCGGGGTAATCCCCGATATGTGCATCTCTGTTCAGGGCGTGGCGAAACTGGTACCTCCATCTATCTAGATCCTCGATGAAGCGTGCGTGGGTACGCAAAGACACATCATCTCCATCCATCAGTCTCTCCGCTTCCAGCCCGAAGTGCCCGTACGCCTGGCTCAGTATAATGAACAGCGTGACCTGCGACAAGACCCGGCGATCGCTGGGCGTGCACTCGGGGGCGCTGAGGAAGACGTCGTATTCCTTGATCGCTTGCAGCTCGGCGGTCACGGGCGGCCGACCGTAGGCGATGCTGAAATGGTGATCCAGGACGTAAAGCAGGTACCAGAGCCTCGCGCGCTCAAGCTGGGCAGGGCGGTCAGGCTCCACGTCGCCTCGGGTGCTGCCGTTGTTGCTGTTGCTGTTGCTTCCGCCGCCGGAGTCGTGCTCCTGGGGCTGGGGAGCAAGCAGCGACGGTGGTGGCGGTGGTTGTGGTGGTTTCGACTGTTGGCGCACGGAATAAAAGGCCTTGTAGAACGCCTGGTGCAGGTTGAGTTCGGTGGCCATGCGCACGCAGTGCCCGGACAACTTCCAGCTCAGGTCGGGCAGCCAGAAGGCGGCGATGCAGAGGGCGCGGACGTCCTCGAGGGTGTGGAAGCGGTCGAAGAAGCTCGTGGCGATCAACTCCCGGAGGTGGCCGTGGGCGAGGGCGTAGACGTGCTCGCGGCCCGGGATGTGCAGGCTGGTCACGGTGACGATGGCGGTGAAGAACAGGGTCGACGACTCGCGGACCGACTGCAGCGAGCGGGACTCGTCGATGGGCGCGTCGAAGAGGTACCGCGACAGCGTGGTCTTGAAGAGCGCGAACATGGCCTCGGCCTCGTCGACGCTCAGCACGCCCAGGGACACCATGTCGTGGTGGTCCATCTTCTTCCGCGAGTTGCGCCGCCCCGCCGGCGCCCCGTGTTTGAGGAGCCGGCTGCGCAGCGACGTGAGCTGCGTCACCTCGTACAGAGAGCCCATCGGTGCCGGCGCCATCTCCGACGACGCATTCTCCGGGTCCACGGTGCCCGGTGGTTCCCTGGAGTTTTCGCGCGTGGTTTGAGAATGCGACGGTGGTTCGGTCGGTGCCAGGAGTAAAGAATGCCGCTCCTCCTGGTGCTGCTGCTGCTGCTGCTGCTGCTGTTGATGATGATGATGGTGATGAGGAGGAAGAAGCTGGATCGATGGTTGTTGATGGTGAGATTCGGAGACAGCAGAAGATTGAAACTGAGCGTACGAGTCGAGTGAAGGCATCTTGAGATGCGAGAGGATGTCCTCGACCGCTCGGTCCAGACGGACGACGTGCGGATGAAGACGGCCATCTTCGTCCTCGAGACTGTAGCGCATGCGTTTGGACGTGATGCAGTCGACCCCGAGGCGCTGGCAGCGAGAACACCCTGCGTCGCCGCGCTCGAGGCTGTCGCATTTGACTTTGAGTTTGCGACACGCCAGACATGCTCGGCCCTTGCGCGAGATGTGTGGTTCCGAGGGGAGATGGTCGGCGGACCGTTTGCGACTGTGCGCTCCTTCTGGCGCCGTCGAACCACCTGCCACGCCGTCCATGTCGATGGTGCCGGTGGACCAAGATGCCTTTTGGTCACTCATCCGAGTGGGATGGCTGGGTGGTGACGGGCTTGATTGGCGGTGTTGGTTCACGTAGTCTTTGGCCTCGGTCATGGCGTCCCATCTGATGCGAAGTATTCCAGTAGTTGACGAACCATGGACAGCCAAAACTTTTACGTCAGGGACGTGGTTGACGATTGATGGATTTTCCCACGCGTGACGGTGAGACGCTCGGCTGATTGACGGATCGACTTGTCTAAGCGCTGGAGAGGATCAAGACTCACTCGGTAAATACAAGCAGGAGAAAATATCGTGTGTAAATTTCCCCGCATGAACGACGCACAAGTACATAGACATGCGAGTAGTCAGGGAGTCGGCGAGTCGGCGAGTAGGTCCCTGTACGATGAGATACTCGGTGCAGTGGACACGACAGACGTTTACTACCTCTTTGCTCCCACCAGATGCATCCTCCTTGTCAATGCTCAAAGGGGGGCATTTGTACAGACCATTTAAACGTCTCATTGGACACCCAGTCGGACCAGATAGTTAGTTTTTTGATTAAGGTACCTACCTATAGGTAGGGAAATAGGTACCCAGTCCAGAACTAGCTATGCCTAGAACGAGTACTTTAAAACAACCCACCTCCGTACTTTGTTCATGACGACGTCTATTGGCCAAAAGAGCGTACCAAGAGATCCCTGGTTGGCCTGGATTCGTCTCCCTTGAGCTCCGATGTCACAATTGAGAGACCACAAATATCCCGTGCAGAGTATCACATCTTTGGGGTGTCTATGCTATCTCCCTGAGGTACTCATTTATCTCCCGTCGGGTCGAGGTTGTAGGGTATGATTAGGCATTGTACCGGCTTTTCAATGCGCGAAGCGGAAGGTCAACATCTTGTTGCCTTTGTCGGTAGTCGTCGCCAGATATTCTCTTTGCTGTGCACTCGTCATTGAGTTCCACCTGAGATCTCGGACCCTGTAGACACCGTGTTAGATCATGGGCGGACCTTTGAACGATTCATTCTCCGACGTACTTGTTCCTCCAAACGTAAAAGCCTTTGGCTCCCAGAAAAAGCAGCATGTTGTACGCACAAATGGCGATAAGAATCTTGTTCCCAGTGCGGTACATTGGCTTGTCATTATTGCGATAGATCTGTAAAGTGCTGTTAGCGATGTGTTTTCCAACACAGTGATTCCAAGATGAACCCACATTCGACCCAATGATGTTGCTTGCCTGTACAAACATGTTGTACAAGGCCGAAGCAACAGTTCTTGTTCGTACAGACCCGGCATTGCGGCTGGTGATCGCCACATGGATAGCGTGGACATATGGTGTACCCACCAGGAGAGTTACCAAGGTATACTTGACCCACCGTGAGGCTCCAGCAGGGAGCAACTCCGAAGCAATAAGCAGTGGCATAGCCCAAATTTGACTGACGAGACCGGTCAAGAATCTTTGGTTTGTCTTCTCTGAAACCCAAGTCCAGAAGAGCAGATTGATGATGAAGAGGACGTACGATGGAATCGTGAGCATGTTGACTTCGAATCGACCAAAGGATTGCTTGAGAATGAGCGATAGGTACTGCGTCGCCGGGTAATTGACAATGAGGAATGAGAGGCCAATCAAGTAGATTGGCCACATTTCCCAGTCGCACATGGCATAGTACAGCAGCTTCGGCGTGACGGCTTGCCGATTGTGCATGTCTCCTTTCGAAGGGTCGTCACGAAGGATACGATTGACCATGATCTTCTCTTCTCGCACGGAGAACCAACCATCTTTTCCTCGAAACCTAGAAGCCGTTTGGCAGGGTGAAGGGGGCATATAGAAGTATGTAGCGATACCGATAAGACCAGTCAATGTCCCTTCCAAAGCAAACAGCCATCGCCATCTGTCAATTGTGAAAGTCAGGACTGGTTCCTCTGACATATGGATTACTGCAGAGCAGGAAAACACTTACCCGGCAAGACCATTGACTCCGCGCATAGTGAGAATGGCAGCAGCCAAAAATGCACCAACAATGCTTGTTGCTTGATAAGATGTCCAGAACCATGCTAGTCGAGCAGGAAGCTCCCTTCCCTTGTACCAATAACTGAGGTACAGGATTGTATCAGGGATCTGATGGCGGGTCAGCCACAGAGACTTTCGGAGTTTGAACAATTCGAGAAGGGTGAGAGAGTGTCAACTTACGAAACCACCTTCATTCAAGCCCAGCAACGCGCGACAGGCATAGAATGACGATTTCCCACTGAGAAACGCCTGGCAACTGGCCACAATGCTCCAGCTAATCATCTGAATTGGTATCCAGCGGTCGGGGCCCAGCTTTTTTGATATTAATTGCGATGGCAGTTCTGCTGATAAGAAGCACACATAAAATATAGTCTGACCATAGTTGTAGTCGTTTGTGTTCAAGTTGAGATCTTCCAACAAGTTGTCGCTCAAGGCCTGGACAATGTTTGCTCTGTCGAGCTGAAGCGCAAAAAAAGTAAGGCAGACCCATGTACAGATCCTCAAGTCTATCTTGCGTACAAGCTTCTTCTCCTCGGCAGGATCCCATTCAAACTCAGGGTCCCAGCGATGGCGACCTTCATACTTGTCAATGGGCACATATGTGTCTTCACCGTCCACATGTATGAACGTTTTGTCCTCGGCGTAGGAACTGCCTTCAGAGCTGGAACAATCCTCGACGGGACCCATATCTCTTACTGTCTCCTTTTTCAGATCGTGGTCTAGCTCCAGCCCGGACGGACCAGCGTTGAAAGACGTTCTCGCCATGAGGACGGACCGTTACACTGCGGCCTGTTGATCTGAGAGAAATGTGCAAGAAGTTTGGAAGGATGTCGAGGTGGCATTCGCATGGGACCATATAGACCTACCATCTTGTACAGCATCTCTTCCCGAAACCGATGTAGAGCAGCGGTATCCTGGCGAAAGCATGATGATCTGCATGGAAATATGCAGGAAGATAGACATTGCAACAATTACGTGCTCTCGAGGGACCAACCTACGATAGGATGAAGATCAGCCCCAGATCACAGAGACAAACAGCCCTGAGAGATGACCCTCTCGAGCCGATACCGATGCCGGCTTGCACCCCGATCCACGCCGGTCTTACTCGAGGCGAACATGTGCAGGCGCTGTTTGGAGTCTTTGCAGAGCGGCACAGGCAGAGAAAAGTGATGCTTCTAACCTACCCGTACCATTGGAGCGATGGGGACGTCCGGCCTTGGGGGTAGCCATGCTTAAACGCCACGAATCTCTATCCTTCGCAACCTTTACTTGACATGATGCTTATCAGTAAACATGTCGAACCACGCACTCGGCCGGGTCATTGTCCGTACACACAAGAGCCACGTTGTGTGAGAAAGACGTGGAAAACACCTTCCATGTTGAGGCGATGTGGATGATCACGCAATTTCGAGGAAGAAGACGCAACGTTCAGCTCCACCCAATCATGGCCATCGCGACCGAGCACAGTTGCTACTCCGTTTCTGGATGATGTTTCCTTCTCTGATTTGATTGACGACGAACCGGGCGGGGTGAGAGTCGATTGCGTGAGTGAGCATGCTGGTGTCGTGTTGCGGAAAAAGTCGTTGGAGATGGTGCCATGCCGAATACCCAGCCTGCGATATAAAAGTGACACGGCCCCCTCTCTGCGGTTTCTTCGCCAGGTGAACTCCAGGATCATAGAATAGATCGCCGAAGTTAAAGAGCAGAAACATGGCAGCAGTATCTTCAGCCACCCTCCCGTCCGTTTTGGATAAGAGTGGCGCCTCGGTGGGCGCATACAAGGACATTTCCACCACCGATGTTAAACTCGATAATGAATTGAAAGGCACCGGCAAGTTTGCCGCTGCCTCTTATCCACAGTGAGCAAGGGAGACATTCGAAGAAGCATCACGAGTCATTCTCACAATGTTGCAGCTATTTGCCGGTATGGGATAATGAGAAGGGAGTAAAGTAAGTCTCGAGCGAGAACGCTTGATCCAATCCCCTCTACGTCTTTAACCCACAAAGACCCCGTGGTTTCGCCGTACGAAAACTGACATATCTTTCTTCCTTCTAGATACCCTCCACTGGAGCCATTTGAGCATTATGAGCATGGCAAGGATGCCGATCCCACTTTCCCAAACCTCCTCAAGGAGGGCACCCATCTCGAGAATATTACTGCCTCGATCGGAGCCGAAGTTACTGGAGTACAGCTGTCCCAGCTGAATGACAAGGGCAAGGATGAACTGGCTCTTCTGGTCGCTCAGAAGAAAGTGGTTGCATTCAGAGATCAAGACCTGGCGTCGCTGCCAATTGAGAAAGCCCTTGAGTTTGGCCGCTACTTTGGGAGACTGCACATCCACCCAGCCAGGTGAGTGGAGGCGTCGAAGAGCGTATCGACCATCATCTGACCTCGAACCTAGTGGTGCACCAGCGGGATATCCTGAAGTCCACCTTGTCCACCGTGGTGCTGAAGACAAGTCCTTCCTTGATCTTCTGGAAAGTCGCACCAACTCGATCGCATGGCACAGCGATGTCTCGTATGAGAATCAGCCTCCTGGTATTATTGCTCGCACGTGCAGCTCTGAATGATTGTCCATCCTAACTGTCGCGCAGGAACAACCTTTTTGTACGCCCTCGATGTGCCTGATGCCGGCGGTGACACCTTATTTGTCAACCAGGCCAAAGCATATGAAAGACTTTCACCTGCTTTCCGGGAGCGTCTCGCTGGTCTCCAGGCCGTTCACTCCGGTTATGAACAAGCCACCAGCGCGCTGAACAGAGGCGGAGTCGTGAGACGAAACCCAGTCTCGTAAGCATTGTCCGTTTTTGAGATCTTAGCACAAGGCACTGATATCCCACAGATCGATCCATCCTCTCGTGAGAACTCACCCGGCAACCGGTGAGAAAGCACTTTACGTCAACCCGCAATTCACCAGATACATAGTCGGCTTCAAGCAAGAAGAAAGCGACTACTTGTTGAAGTTTCTTTATGACCACATTGCTCTGAGTCAGGATATCCAAGCAAGAGTCAAGTGGGCCCCCAATACCGTGGTTGTCTGGGATAACAGAGTGACTGGTGAGTGCTCGCAACTAAACAGGCTGAATCCTGCTAACACGGATTAGCACACTCTGCTCTCATTGACTGGGAGGATGGTCAGCGCCGACATATAGCACGTCTAACTCCACAAGCCGAGCGTCCAACGGAGTAAGGCTGTGTGAATATTTGGTGGATAGAGTGATAGTCGTAGTAACGCCAAAAAACACATGACATACACAGGCGAGGTTCAAGCAACGGCCAAAAAAGACATCTATAAACATTAGTAGCATTTGTACAGTGGATGTAAACGAAATCGAGAGCGGCATGGGGTAAATCCATTCATTTTTGACATTGTGGCATCTCACACTGCCTACCGCCCAGACCTTTATGCTTGTTTGCATTCCCGACTCCAAGTGATGCTCGTAATATGATGTACAACGGCTGCAAAAGTGTCATTGAGAACAGGTGTCTATTCACCCTCCAGTCTTGCGACCACACTGCTCATCTCTTCATCGCCGTAGATTCTGAACCCGGCTTCTCGCGTGACGCTGGCAAGTTGCACGTTCTTCGCATCTAGCTTTTCCTCCATGACCTGCTTGAGCGTCTTCAGTACCAACGTCTCGGCTTCCTCTAGTGTCAGCGATCGGTGGTACTCGGACTGTAGCTCGGCCTGGGCTCCTTCGCTGCCGGACCCGATGGCTTTTGCGTCATATCGGTAGAACGTCCCTGATGGTTCGGCATGATACCTGTGATGTGTCAGGGAATCATCGACATGTCTCAAAAGGGTCTGGGTATGCTTACAGTTGTGGTCCATTGTCTTCGTCCCAGCCGGCAATCAACAACGCCACGCCAAACGGTCGACTCATTATAGACTCTTCCCCTTGCGCACCTTCACCGAACCGTAAGGCAAGGTCACAAATGGCCTGTGTGCAGCTCTCCACGCCCAGCTTCTCGTTGTAGTTGAATTGATGGTTCTGAGACTCGACTCGTGCATGTTCAATCATACTCCGCGCGTCTGCCTGGAGACCTGACATGGCACAGCCTATGTGTCTGTCGATCTCGACAATCTTTTCGATGCTCGACGAAACGAGGAGAGGGGACGTTACGCGTTTCTCGACACCGAGAAGAACGCCATGCGAAGTGGCGACCTGGAGTGAAAGTCAGTGACAGGGCGACAATGGTACAGACGGTCGGTGTTGCGTGCGTACTCCGATGGCTGTGGAGCCGAGTTTGATGGCTTCGAGTGAGTATTCGACCTGGAAGAGACGACCTTCGGGAGAGAAAGTGCTGGGGCGATGTCAGTAAGCGCCTCATTGATGCTTCGCATTCGCATTCGCATTTCCGGTCGACTCACTTGATTCCTCGATCTGGAAGTGCACAGTTAGGATTGCATTGGCCTGGGACAGAGTACGCTGCACTTACCGTATTCTGATCGAGCGATAAACATTTTGGCAGATCAGTGGACGTAGACTCTAGTACGGGACTGTGATTGTATTGCAGAGGGAACAGATCGAATGTGTAGAGGAGGTGAGATAGGATGGCTTCGTGAAGTTGGTGGTGCGTCTTCAGTCGGTGTATCCGTTTCAATATCGCCAGGCAAGCTCAAGCATGCGCAATGCTCGCCAGCGACCCCAAAAGTCCGCGGCAGACGCGCCAAGATCAACCGAGCCATGATTAGCCTAGTGGCCAGCCTCGCCATGCCAGCCTCGTTACTCCCCTGACTTACCTTCGTCGTGGACGCATAGACGCATCTCCAGTCTTGCATTGAGATACTACTGCTACGCCGTCCATTACTTTCTCTTGTATCATAGGACAACAATGCAACATTTCTCCGCAAGAAGTTGTTTAAGCAATGTCTCACGGCTTGCTATAACTATCCCATTCTAAACATGCCCTTGCCTCAGCGCAAACTCGATGGGGAGAGAGCAATATGGCGAGGTCAGCCACGTAGCAGACGCTGTACGGTACCGAGATCTCGCTCAATCGCGCTAGAGCCGTTGCAAGCGCGGTGGAGGTTGTCACAGAAGGCTCACATTGATCATTTTACAATCGTCCAGATCAGCAACCATTGCAACATTCATGATCTAATCATACAAGTCGTCAAGGTCATTACAAAATAGCCAATAACGAGGCGCTCGGTGCATTCCGGAGGGCACCGACAAAGGAGACAACTCCATTATCCACAAAGCAGCTTATCGGAAAAAATATCGAACGTCTTAACCAAACAAGTCATCCCGTTTCTGCACATCAGCGTTTGTCAATCTTCCGCACAGACTAAGCAATGACACTGTTTCGGTGGTAGCAAACCAGTTCAGAGCATCGATGAGGATCTTCAAGTGCCGATTGAAATGCTCTTCATATTTCTTGATTGACTCTTCGATCCTTTTCATTCGTGCCGGGTCCGTGGGTCCGTGAACACTTTTGCCAGCCTGGATGCTGGGGTCCGCTTCGTAAATGGACTTTGTGATATACTCCACATACGAGGCAAACATGCCACAGCCCGTCATCAGCTTTGCATGCAATTTGAGCAACTTGGCTTGAGTAAGCCCGAGGTCTTTCATGCATGAATCCAGCATGTCGACATGGTCCTGCATCAATTCGTCCACAGTCGGCTTTGATTTCACGGTCAGGCCAGACTTGGTTTCTTCGACATCGTCACATTCTGCATCGTCCACTTTGACCATCAACTTCTGCCAGTTGGGCTCGATCACTTCCGCAGTCGCAAAGAAGAGCATTTGCTGAACGAAAACAAGCATACGTGAGCGCAAAGTCCAAACCCGGCGCTTCCACATTTCGAATCTCTTGTCTGAAGATTTGTGAATCCATGCCTTCTCTTTGGTATGCGTAGACCAACATCCAACTAATTGTGTTTCGAGATGTCGTAGTGCTAGAGTATAACGGAAAATCAGCTGATATCGCATCACCGTTTTTCGACTGATGATAAGTGAAAGAGGAAAGGGAACAGCATAGTCCAGTTCTAGTGCATCGAACCCTATGATGTCCTTCTCATCTTCCTTTTTGTCCTTGCTTTGTCTGTCCGCGGAGGAGCTCTGAGCAGGGGTCTTGTATTGATCCGCCATCGAATCTGGATTGTCCTGGTCAATGCCTTGCACATTGACCACTTTGATAAGCCACTGAGTTAACCCAACGGAATTCATTCGGACTCTAACATCCTCTTTGAATGGGTCTGCAACTGCGATGCTGCCAGGCTGATGCAGTACCAAGTCAAGCAAAGACTGTAACTTCCCAAGGTTAACATCACGCTGCTTCTTTCGCAACTCTGAGTCACTCAGTTCGAGGAAGTAGAGGAAGAATTCGGCCCGGTCAAGGAAGAAATAATGCTTCATCGATCGTAGTCGGCTTCTTAGCGAGTTCTTGGTGAGGAGAAGATGCAGCAGCTCTTTATTAGCGAACGAGTATGCATTGTTGACGTTGTCGAGAAAACGAGGGTCGTCGAATGTGGCAGGTGTGTCCACGATCTTACTGCTGATATTGACACCGCCGCATTCTCGAACGACGTTGAGGTACTTCCCAGCCAGCAAAACCTTCTCCTTGACAGACTCCAATTGAGGAGGTACTTCCTTATCACGGATATAATACCTCTTTTCCCAATACTCATCAGTATAGTCTTCATCCAGGCGCTCCCGTTTGATGCTCGCCCTCTCACCAATTAGAAATTCCGAGTGAGGGTCATTGATACCACCACGATGTAACCACTCATTAAGCATTACCATGTATGGCCGACTTGACTCTCGCAATAGCATCTCTAGAATTGCCCTTGCAGCTGGATCTCCAGAAAATGTGGACAGGCGATGTGACAATAAACCCAAGACATTACCGCCAATGCAACGCTTTTTATTCAAACTTCCCGGCAGCAGGTCCCCACCTTCTTTGAGACGTTCGATGATGTTGTCGGGGTCAAAATCGTCCAAAGAGTCGTCGAGATCTTCCTCGAGAAGCGAGTTTCTCTTCAGCAGCTCTTGCGCAAGGGAATATAGCTGGGCCAGACATTGCGCGGTAGGAATAATCGCAATATGCATTTGATGCAGCGTGAAGTTGGCGTCTGTCAGGACTTTCATTTCAAGCTGTGCAATCAAGATGAGGTAATCTTTGAGCAGCTTCCGAATTGCCGCGCAAAGAGCATGATTGACCGAACCAAACTCCTCTTGGCTTTGTACCTCAATGAAAGCCTCAATCGCACAATGATGCGTCGCCATGGAGAGCATGGATGACGTAAGATCTTTCAGGCTTGGGTCAAGGCCAGGTAAAGGATCAAAAGCTGGTCCATTAAGTCGTTCCTTTTCCTCTCTGGGGTTGTAGGTGTCACGGAACCTGATGTACTGTCCTTCAAATCCCATGAAAACGTACAACAGGTCGTCTAGAATCGCTTTTTCCTGCTCTTGCATAGTCATGCCACCAAGTGGTGTCGGGTCGAGGTCCACTGGCGCAGTTCGTGATAGAGGTGGTGAGGTTATTCGGGTCGCAAGTGGTGCTGATGAGTGCGGGATCAAGGACACAGTCGGACCCCACGTCAGAGCGTTTTCATCTTTGTTCGGGCGGCTCTGTACTAGACTTGGTGTGCTTGTTTGGCGGCCATGATAGCTTTCAGTGACCTTGACTCCCTTCTTTGGGCTTATTCTGGTGATGAAGGTTTCAGTTGTTGTGATGGTAGCCTTCTCTTTTCGCCGATCCAGTCCACTGAACCGGTTCTCGCTTTTTGTGTGTTTATGTTTCCCGTCCGTCGCTTCGCTGTAGCCGTCTGGAAATATGGGGGAGGCGGTATCGCGCGCTGACGGTCTCTCGTAGTCTCGATATTTTGCAGAGTTGACGCGTGCAGGGCCGCTAGAAAACTGTGTGCCTCGTCGATCCGTGGCTGACGCACTTCTGTAGTGCAATGAGGCCATCGTGCCAGGCTCTCACCATTTTGCTAGCCCAAAGAAAGCCACAACGTTATACAGTGGAAGCGCAGCAATGTATTGGGCTTCGATAAACCCCGTGAACGCGGGCGTCTTTAGAGCGACGCGTTGGTCAATCACGTGCCGAGGTTTTACCGGAGTATACCTGAGTAGAGTAACACTTGTACTCGGACCAGCGGGCAGCACATTGATAGCGTTCAAGATTGATTGTAGTTGTACATGGCATATTTCGCAAGCGCGCTGTGCTACTATGAGGTATGATTCAAATGAAGAGGGTGCAGCAATAGAGCGCATCTATGGGCTCGGGTGTCATGTATTGAGAGCGACGACCCAGCATATCGCAAAGTCCGATGATTTAGAACTATCGATATAGATTGCCGCTTGAGGACCAGACCCAGCTCATCGCGTCTTGTAAACACATGGCTTTAGAACCTTTGCCTCTTCTTCAGGAGAGATATCTTCGTCTTCGTTTGGATTAGGTACAAACTTCATCTTCCCGTTCTGTAAGCGCTGATATTCATGGCCGTTCCACTTGAGTCCCTTGTGCTTCCCAGCTGTGGGAACGCCAGACTTAACAAATACCATGCTAACAAACATCTTGTTGCTCTTGTCGACCGAGCCTTCTCGCAGGACGAACCCACGTCGCGAGAATACTTTGACAAAAGCCGAGATGTCCGTCTCGTCGTCAGCATTGCCATCGGCTTCTTCCACAAAGACATCGTGGCCAATCCCGTCTCCGTCCTCGTCAGCGTTCTTCTTAGGCTTCTGCTGCTTCCGTCTTTTGCCAACGCTATTCTCAACAACACGCCCTGGACCCCGTGTGACTCGTCCGAACCGCGATTTCACTTCCGCCACCCACACTTCACCCTTTCCGTCACCACGAAGGATGCGCCATGCCTCTTCTACGAATGAGAGCCAATTCGTGCCCATTAAGCTGAGACAAAAAATGGCAATGTCTGCCTCACCATCACGTAGCGGGAGAGAGGAGATGTCGGCCTTTGTGACAAAGGGATTCGCAGCGTGGAGGTCGTAGTTGTGAAATTTGAGGTGTAACTTCCTGACTAGAGTATGACAGCCTCGTGCGAGGGGGGCGTCGCCACAGCCTAGGTCGGCAATCGTACAGGAATTCGTCTTGCGCCGGGGCAGTGGGAGGAGATCTCCTTTTGGCGAATCGAGCGGTCCGCGGGTCCTGATCGTGACGACATATTTGTCCACCGGGTTTTGCGGCCATGAATCTTTGACTTGTTGAGAGAATCCGGCATGATACTCAGCGAATAGGTCAGGGGAGTTGGTAAAGAGGGACATGGCATCGGTGGACGAGGTCGTATATAGTGTTTCATTGAGATGGCGGAAGCGGGCCGAGGTCAATTTGGAACGCATCTTGAGCTGGAGAGGTGTGAGATTGGCCGTCGGTGGCCGTGTTGGCAAGGATCCATTGAGATTCTTTGCGGACGAGCTCTGAGGAAGGTCATCGTCCTGCTCATGGGTTTTAGCAACGTCATTCCTACCTCTTTGCTCGACAGATGGAGGGCCACTTTGAACATGGATTTCCTTGTGTGGCAGAGAGTCTTCATGTTTGCTGCCACCGCCCTTGTTCTTTTTTGTCCCTTTTTCCTTCGTCCCATTCTTAAACGGAGCCTTGTCTCTCACATTTTCGGTGACAGCCTGATTGGCATCAGGCTTAGATGTGATACTCTTCGGGTGTGACTGAGCCCTTGGCTGCGGTTTCGCGGTGTCAGGTTTCTGTGCCAGCTTTGCATCCTTGCGCAGACCCCAAAGTCTTTCTAGGTCGGCGCCGCTGATTTTGGAGGTCGGTTCATCATGTAATACATTCCTTTTCCGCTTCTTGTTTACCAAGGGATCACTTCGTGTGGACTGAACTTGTTCTGGCTTGCGAGCTTGTTTCTGCTGCACCAGGGACGCTGGGGAGACATCCCACCCTGGAACAGCGAACATGGAGACGGCGTGGAAGTAGTTGTCAGGGTGCTAGCGCGGCTGTAGGTCTCAGCTGGTTCAGCCTGTCGCATGAAGTATGGCTTTGGCAGGATTCTCGGTTTGCGCAGGTGGTGCACAGTCGATATAGCGTCACAAAAAAAATTGTACTTTAGCCTTGCACTTGCCAAAAACAGAAATGGAATTTGCCGCGCCGAAGAAAAGGGCACGCCGATTAGCGGACTCGCGATGGTTTCGTGGGGCAGGTCTGGCGGGCGCTAAGGGGCTCCAGCCTACAGGGTTCAGTCACTAGGTACCTCTTAATTGTATACCTTAGGCAACTACTGAGGATGTGGCTAGTTGGGACTTGCTTATTGCAGGCGGACTCTGGGGTGGGGCAGTTTCTCTTGCTGCGATCGCACCCTCAATTTTCTCCATTGCTCTTCTCCTCCACGAGTCATCATCCTCCTCCTCTCGTCCTCCCCAGTCCCTGGCGAGGGGCCGCAGATAATGACTGTCGCGCTGTTGCTCCATAAAAGGGCCGACAACACTGCTTCCCATGGCCCCCAGACCAGGACAGACCAGGACAGACGGGGACAGACCAACCGAATGTCACGCAACCTAGTATCCTTTGTGTCCTGGTCGAGCTATTCGGCCAGACCTGGTGTGAACCCTGGCTCACTAGGCGGGAACATCCCTGCAGAACTTTGTGCGCTAACATCATCCCGTCCATTTGCCAGCGGCCATGAGGCTCTGGGGTCAGTAAAACGGGACCGCTGCACCTCGCATCATGCAGCTGAATACTAACCCGATCAAGATCTTAACGGTCTTCACAGCGAATCGTCTGCTTTCGATCGACCCAAACACGCCAAAGAATACGAACAATGCTCTTTGGCACATGCAGCCGGCCCAGAAGGGCTTGGGATGTTTGACGATAGTTGGATCAGTATCTTACATGCTTTGGAGTGGCTACGGTTCATTCCGGCGGCGCCTGCACTGGACTGGCCACTGTATCGCTGCCGTACGTTGCTTGGAAGAAGGCAGCTAGCTGTTGAACATCATTGCAGATCCGGAGCGACCGGCATCACGCCTGCAGCCTTCCCAATCTCCCGCCGAGTTATCCAGTTAACTGACTGTTTCACAGGATCGACATGAAATTTGCTGCTTTTGAGGAATTCCTGAATTAGCACTTGAAGGTGGCTCCGCGACTACTGGCGGCGGGCATCATCCCATAGCCTTTGATAGCGAATCCGCTCTCGCGTTGCCTTCCTCGGTGTTTCTCAGATTGACGACCCTGGTGGACGGCTTTCACGGCTGACCGAGTATTGGCATTACCGACGACTCGTACTCGGGGTCGCAGCAAGGGCCCACATCTCCTGATGCGAACATGAACATGTAAATATCCCTATCGCATGGGCGGATGAGTGCCAGTCTGCGGCTAGATTTTCTTGTCCATGTACTAACAGCTCCCTCTCGAAAGATGCACGCGTCTGTGGGGGGTGGCGGTGATCTACACCCTGCCAGGTCCGAGAAGTTAACGACCACGGCTTTGGTTGACCATACCGCACGGACTTATACCAGAGCTACAATAATTCCCCGGTGGTTGCGCCTAGTGGTCGTACCACATTATCACCCGGAATGTTGAGCTCCAGCCTCGATGTTGTGAACCTCTCACCAAATTGGGCAAGCTTGGAGCCTAAAGCACTCTACAACTGCCCTAAGAGGGCCATCTGGCCCCATTTCTTCTCACTTCCAAATAAGACAGACTGCAGCGTTATTATTATTGGGGTCACCACGAGTCCACGACAGCAGATGAGACAGCCTTTTCCTCCACAACTGCCCTATCAGCAGGTATGTTTCCCGAGCCTTTGTGAGAGGCGCTAGCGATCCTGACTCAAGGCTCCTGTTTCCTTTGACGCCCACCACTGCGAGTCTGTTGCGAGATGAGTGGCATGACATCGGCTGATGATATGCCGTCATTGCATCCTGGCCTTCACCGTTGCTTCTGGCACAGCTAGCTCAAAGAGAAGCTGTCGATATACTGTACTATCTTTACAAAATTAGGGGTCTGGTTGTTGATGGCGCTTGTGTCCTTCTGTTTAATCCTAACGAATCGGCCAATCACTCGCGGGGTTATCTAGCTAATGCATATTACCCAGGCAGTCCCAGGATCTCACCCTTACCATCCTCGAGAATATTACCATATCCCGTTGGACAGATACCTGTTTTCGTCAGAAACTAACAGCCGGCACATCCTTCCCGTAGCCATTAACCAGGCGCTCTCCCCTGGCAAGCGTTGTGGTTGGAGCCCGCAGCAGCATGAGATCTCCGCGCCAGTTCTTGAATCGGTGTTCTGACGATGCTTGATTCTGCTGTATATATTCGTTATCCTTCTCTGTCCATAGTTCAGCAACCTGTGGTCAGCCTCACGAATTTGTCACTCTGCAACGGACTAATGTTCGTCTCAACTGCAAGAGCCCAAACCGGAGTTGGCTGCAATCGTCGACATCCAGTTGGTATTCGTTACCAATCCTTCAACCATTCGAAACGTGGCACGCTCGACTCGTCACATTCTCCATAGCACTAGCCCACACTGGCCATCAAGACCTCATGTCTCCCTCGCCGAAAGATGACGACTCTATTGATGTGGAGGAGGCTCCAAATAAGTCAGACAATTCGCCAGAGGCTGAAAGCAGCCAGAGACCACAATTAGCGAAGAGACGAACCAAGACTGGATGTTTGAGTGAGTTCAATGTCTTTCCCGAACCCGACTAAGGTAGTATCAAGCTGACTCCTTCCAGCATGTCGGAAGAGGCGCATAAAATGCGGAGAAGAGAAGCCGGTATGCCTTTATGCAAGCGATTTAAACAACTTTTTCCTGACGTTCATATGTCCTAGATATGTAGGAATTGCGTCAAGTCAAAACGCGAATGCCTCGGTTATGTCCAACCTCTTGTCTACAAACAACAGAGTCAAGAGACTCACTATCCAGGATTTGACCAAGATGAACCATTGATGAGCTCAACTGAGTTCAGAAGCTTCGTTCCCGGACCTTTTTCTGATCCGTTGATTATATCGGATGCCCAGAGGGCTACGACATATCAGGCGTTCGGTCCATCACGCTCCTCGTCCTACGAGCAACTTCCCTTCAACGCCAGCTATCATGCATATCCTCCCGCCATTGGTGACGGTCAGATGCCACTAGGATCTACAGGCCAGTTTGAATGGCAAGGCGCCCAGGCCTCAGTTGAACAGCGAGCTCTAAACATGGTCGCCCCGCCAGGATTTTTTGGGCTATCGCAGGTGAATGACGATAATCACTACGCCGCAAGCACGAATCCCAGCTACAGTCCATATTTCCAACACATGAACAGCTGGGGACCACTAGGACCCTGGTCAATCTCGCCTCAAATGCCGTACCCAGCCGCAGCTTTTCCAAGCGATCTGACACTCCATGACCACGCTCAAAGCGCAAATGATCTCACACAGAATCCGTCACAGTTTGCACAAAACCCCTTCCGCCATAACCTGCAAGGTACGAATACACTACAATTCTACTCCATTCCACCGGTGGTCGGCTCTGGCTAAACACCTTCAGAAAACGGGCCACGTCGTGCTGGGATGTATGGCCGTGGGGATAGTTCGCGTCCATTTACCCAATCCTCAGGATCAGTCACGTTGCAAAACCTGACCAACTCGATTCCTGCAAGCTCTGACTACTATGATGACCCTGATGACCCATTTGACGTGGACTCGGACGAAGAGAATTTGTCATACCAAGTGGCTGCAGAGAACCTAACACAGGCACTCGACCAGAGTGAGCAGTACAAAAGGAGGATGTCTCGGCTTAACGCTCTTCGCCGAACAAACCAAACTGTGACAAACTTTCGACCTACTACCACGATCTCACCTCTCAGGGAGGAGCGCAATCAACACCTCTTCCGTCATTTTGTAGAAGTGACGAGCCAATGTATTTCCGTGTTCGAGCGTCATCACTTTAGTCCTATGGCTGGCCCGGCGAGAACCCTGTGGAATTTCACACTCCCATCCATGGCTATGTCGCACCCGGCTCTGGCACATGGGATTCTAGCTCTTGGCGCATTGCACCTCTCGAAATTACAAAACACTTCCGACGCCACTGCTGTTAAGCACTTCACGTATGCGGTGCGAAGGGTAGGGCGGCTACTGGGTCTACCCATCAGGCGTCTCGAGATTGCCACTTTGGCAACAGTCCTGATTCTTGGTTTCTATGAAGTCATGAGCGGGGATCACTCTCGATGGAACCTGCACTTGTCTGGTGCCACTCGCCTAGTAATTGAACACGACTATGCAGGTATGACTCGCAACACAAGGCGCATGCGGAATGGTGCAAAAGCAAGGGTCAACCAATGGATGGCTCGGTTCGCTCTTACAGAAGAGAATTATGCTCGCGTTGCTGGGATACCACTGGCTCTTCTTGATGACATCGACTGGGAAGTCGATTCAGCTTTGATTTCTCGTCTAACCGGCCTCTCGGTGGATTATGATCATCAGATTCAGCCTCAGTTCCCGACACAGGGATTGGTAGCCAGTCTTACCGAGAAGGATATCGAGGACTTCAAGGCGAAGATGGATCTGCGATGGTGGTATTGCAAGCAAGATGTTTTTCAAAGTTGCATCGGTGGTGACCGACTAATGTTACCTTTCGAAGAATGGAAGTACTGCCCGCCTCGAGGTCAGCTCGGACGATCAGCTAACCCGTACGCAACCCTGGACCATCTCTGTCTGATCATGGCACGTATAGCAGATTACAGTGCAAAAGATCGAATTCGAAAGCAACGCGCTTTAGCAGCTACAGAGGGTGACTGGCGGCCCCCAACATGGTTGTTCGGCCCGCGAGGGCCACCCAGCGGCAAGAACGAGGGTTCTAGAAATTCAGACTCAGCGGCCTCTTCTAGCAGTTCTCATTCTGGACGATCTGGAGGCTCAAACAGGTCTGCAGGCACGAATGCTTCTAAAGCTACCGCAGCACCGAGTGCTAATGAGGGTAGAGTGCGCCAGAGTAAACCCGCTCCAATGGGCACGAGTTTACCAAATCGGCCTCCGATGATGGGTATGATCCCCCCTCCGGAAGGCCCGATTCAATTGCATTCTGCATTCAAAACCATGGACGCAAACCTCAAGGATCCTGCTTTCGTACGGAAAAAAAGCGACAGTAAGCCAACGCCGCCTGGAAACCTCGAGGACGAAACCTCTAGAGCTTTCAAGGAGCACGAGGACATCAAAAATGCATTTGACCTTTTTGAAAGGTCTTTAGGCCCAGAATTCGACCCTCTTCCATATACCGATGCGCCAATAGCGACACCTTTCGGGCCTGCCTTAGTATACAGAAACCCGGGCATTGCCTGTATCTGGGGATTCTATCATGTTGGTCGAATACTTCTGCACCGTTCGCATCCAGAGATGCCTCCGGCCGCGATGGTAGCGGCAAGCGTCACGGCCCACCTAACCCGTGATCATGCTCAAACAATTGGGAAAATCTGTGCCGGATTATATGCGACACAGCATTACAACCAGTCCGGGGCATTGGACCCCACTCATGCTGGTGCTTGCATGGAGAGCACCTTCTACCTGCTATTCGCAGGAGTGCAGTACACGGATCCTGGACAACGCGGCTGGACCATCAGCAAACTGAGAGACATTTCTCAAAAGTGCGGATGGCACACATCTGCTGCTGTCGCGGCCGCCTGTGAAACTACATGGGTACGGATTGGGCAAGCAGGGAGAGGTCCGCCTTATGAACGGAAGATGGATCCTCGCAACCACGACGACCGGCAGACAGGTCTAGGTCCAAGGGCGGCTGAGCCTTCTCCCGGCACCGTCGATACCTCGAATGCAGAAAAGGATCACGAATCAGCCTTCGTAGTCCATGACCGCAATTTAATTAGCCGCTCTGGCTCCGCAAGGGTGCACTGGGCGCTTGGACTGCTATCGGTCGAAGAGGACATCAAGAAAATGAACTTGAATGAATAGTGTCACATATATCGACGACCTTGAAATAACTGACTACCATTTTGAAGCGCCAGGCGAGATGCTATATCGACCGTTGTGCCATCATTAGGCTGCGACGCCTGAGGAGGAACCCGCATTGCACCTGCTCCGGATGTCGAGTTTCCTCCCTCCAAGTATCGTGTCGCCCTTCCCCCGAAATTATTACACTAAAGTCATCATGGCTTGGGTGTCCCTTTACCTATACTCAGTTTCTATCAAATTGAGCTTTTGGGCCTTTTCAATTGAAATACGGAATATTGATAATCATGCATACCTTTCGGAAAGACGTCTCTTCATATTTTGACCTTCCCATCCAAAAGCGGACTCCTTCGTCAGAAGCGAGTACACCCCTCTCCCCCAGTGCTGGCGCTGGCAATTTGCGTCCCAACTTCCCTCGACCACCACTGATCCAGGAAGGCCATCGGGCGCAGTCGGACTTTAGTGCTGCGCTGAAACGAAATCGTGTTCAGGTTATCGACGAACTTCTTCCAGCGGAAATAGAGCCGCGTCCTGCGTCTGCTCCGCAGGCTGGAAACGACGAGTCTGAGACTTTTAATGAAGGCAACGGCCAGAGTGGGACTGAGAGTTATGTGGAATTCGAGCTTCAGACTCGCCGAAGAGGCCCGCATTCAGCATCTGGTGCTTCATCTTCAGATGCCGGCTTCCAGAATACAAAAGAGAGCCGTTCAATTTCCCTACGACGGCCACGCTGGATAAGGACACCCTCAGGTAGCGCTTGGCTTCACTTGAAGAAGTCTTCCTCCGTTGAGACTGACGGCAGGCCCTCATCAAAAGATTCTCTACGAATGACACCCGGGACTCCTACCCTTACGATACGTACAGATCAAACTCCTTTGAAGCCACCAACACTACATAAGAAGGTATCTAGCGGAGAGCAAAGGTCTTCCATCGTGGTCGAGACCCCATTCTCCAAGCAAAGGCAGAACCCACCGACTCCTGGAGTCATTTCGGAGACGACAGGCGAATCTTTATCTCGCAAAAGCTCGTTCAACCCCAGACGCCTCTTTGTAGCTCCATTGCTCTTAATCAGGAAATTCATTCCTAATAGAGCGCAGAGGAAACAAATTCAGAGTCCCCTGGAATCGTCTTCTCCCATCTCCAGACACGGTACTCGACTCGAAGACCACGCGACCACTCTGAGGAGGAATTACAGTTCTGATGCTCTGAGGCGGGTCAGCGCTATCCTCCATGATCTAGTCAAGCAAAGCTCAAAGGTGAACCAGTCCGAATCACAGGAGCCCAGCCCGCTTATGAACCACTTTAGGAGCAGTGCTCTGTTAGACAAGTCAGCAACACAGAAAGCGCGAAGAAGTCCTCGGACGACCAAAGGGATTGTTTCACAGTCCACAATTTATCAGCAGCAGCAGAGTGCTGAGAACTTGCCCGATTTCGCATCTTATACCTCAAGTCAACTCAGTCTGCGAATGGGTAAGCAGCCTAACAATACCCCGGAGGAACGGGCGACATACAAAGTCAAGAGAAGATCAAGCGCCGAGACTGAAGAATTTTTGAAGATAGACATCAGTGTGCGTGGCAGTACTAGCTACTTACCAAGCGAGGCGCGGCGGATTCATACACCGCCTCTCCCAGAAGAAGGCGCTGATGGGAGATGGAGAGGGTTTTTCTTCGACTACAATGCACCTCAATCTAGCCCATGCCGTCCAGCGTCTAGACACAGTGCTAATGGAAGCGAAAGCTCAGGGTCGAATGGAGGTGAGGCTATTGGCAGAACGTCGTCGCTTCCCAAGTGCCTGGGGAGAACCAAGAGCAACCGCGTCAAACGGGTTGTGAGCGGCGATTGGTTCGATGTGAAGCTTCAACAAGTTGATGTGGGACAAGATCCTTTGCGTATCATCGAGCCTAAATGTGGCGAAAAGAGACTAAACTCTCCTGATTTGTTCAAAACGTCTTTCCAAGGCCAGAGCGAAGAGCACTTTGACTTGACGATACCGGAGCATCTACCCAACAGCCCATTGTGTCCAAGGCATCCGAGATACTGGCGAGTCGTGAAAGGCAAGGGTGGTCAGTTTCGTTGGTGTTAGATGCACGGGGTTGGTCTGGATGAGAGCATTGCGTGATGGGCGCTGTTTAGCGCAGGAAATTACTGTTCACATGGTTTGGATCGCGCTCGAGCAGGGAGGTATATGGATCACGAGTCCGTCTGCGTATTTCAAGAGCCGAATCGACTGTTTTCGCTGGATTAAGGGAATGAAGATACAGCAGAACTCGGAGATGACTGTTGTTGTGTCAGCTGGGTATGGTCTACTGTTGCGACGACATGGATATATTCTTAGTGGTGTACTGTACAATAGAGGACGAAGTCATGGACTGTCCGGGACACAGTGATCCGTAATTTATATAGTTGACATACTTGACGGACTCTCAAAACTCGCCGAGTGCAGATCCCGGCCTGGGCAGCGATGGGTGGCCTCATGGGGTCGAGAATGTGCCAGACAGTCTCATTCGCCCGGACGGATGAGTCGACTACCTACAGAGTGCCTACATGAACTCATTCTCGGTAAGGAACAAAATTAATATCCCATCCATCCTCGTGTACTCCGGCCAAGCGGCCCACGACGACCTTGAACCGGCCTAGCATTTCTGCGTTCGGCCATCCCTCCTGCGGCCGATGGACGCGTTCAAGGTGTTGCATGAAGCTGGCTACATTGCCAAAAATAGGAGGCCTGTTGGTGGTGCCGGCGGTGGCCATGATGCCCTCGCCACCGCTGACAACTTTTGCAGCAGAGTTTGGAGCGTGTCTGGAGGAAGTCGTGGATGACGACTTGGTTTTGCCCTTGCCCTTGGCCCCAAAGATCCCAAGTCCATGTCCATGTCCATGGTTTTCACCGTTGGTTAGCGGCGAGTTCGTGCTGGTACCCGATGTAGTATGCTTCTTAGCATTCTCGTTTGCATTTTCGTGCTCCGTGGCTGACGAGGCCGAAGACAAAGTACGCTGGTATTGCTGCTGTTGCTGCTGGTGATGAGTAGTAGTAGTGGTAGCACTGGTCCACCCACGATATTTCCCCTCTGCACAACAAAAGATACAACCGAAACTTCCAAAACTTCCGTCCTTGGCCTCGCCCACCGGCACCATCCCTTTGAGCTGGACGTGACAGCGTGCCAGGAAAACCCATTTGTACCGCACCCCGCCACCTTCCGAGGTGCGGATCCTGGGGTCGAAGCTCCGTTCGGGCTTCCCTTTGCGTTTCGAGTCCGACGACACGTTGATCGACGTGTGCTGGGGCCCTTCGAAGTGGCACTTTTCGCAGCGCCAGTACGTGTCGGTGCCTGTGAAGCCGACAGGCCGGCTGGCCAGGGTGAACGCCTTGCGCTCCAGGCCGGCTTGCAAGCGGAATGCGCCCCGGCAGAAACCCAATGTGTCTTTGTCGGTGGGGAGGATTAAGGGCCCGCTGCTGCTGGGGAAAGGGGCAATGATGCTGGATGATGATGATAGGGGTGGTGGTCCTCCCGTCGAGTTCGAGTGGTGATCGTGGTCGCGGTCGCTGTAGATGGATGAGTGGATTGACGCGGAACTGTGGGTTGTGGTACTGGGACTGAGATGGCCTGTGACCATTAAGGGGTGCTGGTGCTGGTGCTGTTGTGGGTGTTGCGGCGCCGTCGGTGCTTGAGGAAGTGCCTGAGTGGGCGGCAGTGTAGGTAATGACACAGTAGGATGACGACGGAGATCAGGCTGCGGTGAGTCGTTGGGAAATGCATTCACCTCTGCACCCAAGGGACGTAATCGTCGTGGCAGGAGAGGTGGTTGCAACGCCATGGAAGAAGAGGAAGCCTGCGATTGCTGCCAATGCGTGGACTGCTGCGACTGGTGAAGGTGGTCGTCGTACATTGTCTGGCGCCGTGCGGGATGTGTGTTGAGAGAATCGGTTCGTGGAGGCTGAGAGCGTCGTGGACGACTATTCTCTTGTAAATAATGCACGTGTTGCAAGGTGCCGTGGTTGGAAGTTTGTGCTCGTGACGAGTATGACTGTGAATTCGAGCCTGACCCTGAGCCTGAAGAGAGTCGACCCCGTTCCTGCGGCGGGGAGATAGGTGGGTTGTACATATCATATACCGTGCTGTTGCTGTATTGGCGGCCATCCTTCCTGCCTCTGCCGCAGTCCAAGTGCTCATCATAGTCGTCTGGACCATAGCGATCCCGCGAGTTCTGGCTTCTGTGGCTACTTGAGCCTCGTGACGCTTTTGGTGAGTGTTTCATTGCGCCATTTGTTGCAGAAGGGTCTTTGTCTGCTTCCAGTGACGGAATACTGGTCGTAAGTTGACCTCCAGGTGCAGGGAAAAGCATCAAGATATTATCGTCTGAAGCCAGAGCCTGTGATGAGCGTCTTCGCATATCCACCTCGTCCGCAGCGTCACCCACTTGGAGAACATCAACAGGAGGAGCCGCCGCTGGATGCTGCTCCGCGATTGAATTCGAAGGACGAACCAGTTGTCGACCATAAAGATCCTGAGATCCTGGAGAACCTGCAGAGACATTGCGGTCAAGATAAGAAGGGCGGGCCGTCTTGGATATGCTCATGTTACCGAATTGGTCTGCCATCGAGGGTGGTGGTGTGAGAGGGGCTTGGATCCCGGAAGAAGAGAAAGTACTCCTGCTACTAGAGTACCCTATGGAGGGAGACAAGGGGATCATCAAGCCAGACGTGTTCGAGGCTGCGATACTGGTGGGATGGTGGGCTTGAGCTCTTACAGCCTCCGACAGCCGCTGCGAAAGTTGACCCAGACACACCCCAGCATTTACACGGCAGTTGTCCGAGGTTGTCTGAAGAGCATTGAAATCGAGGTCCATGTTGTCCATGTAGACGGTGCGTAGGGTGATGATCAACGTCATCTGTAGGTTTATGAGGATATCTTTCATGCCTTCCCTTGCTTGTATATCTCCACAGGCGTACTGTTCGCCGAATCTCTTGAGATCGTGTTCGTAGTGACCACGGACTATCGCCGGTCCCAGCGCCAGCGATTCGAGAAGGTCGCGTGTCGGTCCTTTTGGGAGTCGCACACCATTGCCGGTTTCTCGCTGGTCTTGTATCCGCTGGACGAGCTTGACGGCATCTTCAAACGCCGCGATCACTGCTGGAAGTTAGTATGGGGTTTCCCATTTGAGGTGGTTGGGACTTGCCAGCGCGGACGAGAGAGGAAATGTCCATGGTAGCCTGATAGCGGAGGCTCGTGTTCGCAGATGCGGCGATCGCGCTTTCATTCAAGTCTCCTCAAGACACGCCGTCGTACATGGTCATCTGTAGCAAGCTTGCAATGCGACTAGTGGATTCTCTAGAATAAGGAGGTTCTGCAAAGATGTCATAGATGATAGACCATATACCTGTCTCGAAATGGGGATTGACTGAGGTTCGCTGCCCCAGTCCGCCCGGCGAGGCAGAATAGGGCAAACGTCCAGGGCCATGGCAGCCTTTCCATGCCGAATGCCTCTCACAAAAAGGTACGGCACAGGATTGGAGGTGGATTGATTTGATTGTCACGGTGCCACAGCCAGATGGACGCCGTCAAGACGAAATGGTTGGGCAATCGAGGAGAAACCGTGGAGCTGACGACAGGATGATACGGTTTGAGTTGCATTAGTCGGGACAGGGGGTTTTCGGCGCACTCAACACACAAGCCGCAAAGATGTCACGGCGGTCTGCGGATTGAATTCCTTCGACTGCCAAATGCGACTATGTGTCCCTCCTCTTCTCTCCCGCACAGGGCTATTGCAGACGCTGAACTGATCGACAATGGAGGCCAGTAGTCTTCAACGAGAAGTCTGGCTGCCTACACACCTCATCCATCTTGCTCGTGGCATGGATATCGATGATCGACTGAAGTTACATTGCTCTACGCCGTAGTTAGCCTGGTGGCGCAATCCAGCAAGCGTCTCCCGGGCTCCTAAGCGTTGTCGGCGACGCCATCGAAGTAGACGAGTAGCAGACGAGGAACTCAAACCGTCGCGTGCTTCTTTCCCATGCTACAACACTGTCTCGAACGCAATTTTGCAATCCTTTCACCCTTTCGAGATAGGTGCATCCAACTTTGGTAGAAGGATGCGATCGGCCCTATTGAGACAGCCGAGGCTCCATCTTGCCATGTGAAGAGGAACCATACACCTGATGGAACATGGAGCATGGAGCCAGCATGTTTCTCCGCGTGCTCTTGAAAGCGACTGGGGATGTGGGATCTTGAGACTCCCGTACCCAAGGTATATATAGGTGAAAAGTTATACGTATATTTCCAATAAAGATAGCAAAGTTGCCGCTCTTCACTATCTCGATATCTGTAGTACTGACTATGGAAACTGTATTTGTTACACCACCACTGCTTGCACAAAAAGCAAAGAAATCTACTAAACGCCGATGTGATGTCCTCAAGCACCCAATTTCCCAAACCAGCCTGCTTCCCTAGCCGCATCAAGGGCGGGCTATGGGAATTCGGCGCAGGAAGCAACACCATCCAAAACATCCGTGATCTGATTATGCCACAGAAGACAGACGGTGGACACCAGCTACGTCTCCCGCATTCTCATATGAATCCCAATCCTCCAAAATCTTTGCCAACCGTGGCGAGTTTGTCAAGCGATACACTTCCTCAAAGTACTCCTTGCTGATCTCAAATGGCTTAGCTGTAACATTAGGGATGTACTTGCCGATCAACTTGGCTGGGTCGATGCTGGTCTTGTTGATCTTCTTGAGCAAGAATGACCGGAATGGCTTGACACCAGATCGGAGGAAAGTGCTGTGAAACGGCACATCGATGCCCTTGAGGGGAATCACAGCAAAGCCACGTTCGAGTTCGATCGGCTGTGGTTTGGCTTCAGTCTTCTTCCGGCACTCCCCGATGATGTCAACCAAGTGGGCTTTGACGTCGTCGAGCGACATTGTCTGCATCAGTGCTTGGATGTCGATCTTCTGCATCTTTAAGACGTTGAGGACATTGGTCATGCAGTCTAGCGCACGCAAGTCGCCAGCACACACGTATTGCATGTTTGCAACGTTGTAATTGACAATTTCCACGAGCCAGCCCGTGGTCTCTGCAATGTTCTCCACCACATACTGCAGCGCTTGCTCGTTGAAGGTCTTGGAGATGCGGCTGGGATTGACGGCGCACATCGAGTAGTTGCTTCTGCCTTGTTCGTCTCGTTCAACCGCCACCTGCATTGTCAAGCCTCGGTAGAACACGACTGACACCAAGCTCTCAATGGGCATGACCTCGGCGATAGAGGCCAGAGCAGAATATTCGCCCAGCGAGTGCCCGGCAAAACTGCTATCACGCTGAACCAGGCCCTTGGAACGCATGTCTTCGAACGCGGCCTTTTCCATCAGCGTCAGAGCCGGCTGCGTGAATTGGGTCGCCGAGAGCAAACCAGTCGGGGAACGGTATGTATACGAGGAGGTGTTTTCGTTGATTTCCTTAAAGATCTTTTCCGACTTGACTGATCCGTCAGCATTGATGGACTCGAAGGTCATGGCCATATAGTTTTGACGAATGGCTTTGCCACGAGGACCACCGAAGTGGATGGTAAGCTCCTTGGGGTTGTTCTTGACGATGTTTATGATGGAAAGACCATAGTTATCCATGAAGTGGCGGTCTGCACGATCCCAGACTTCTTTGGCCACGGCGCTCTTGCCGTAGAGATCCATACCCATACCTTGTTCTTGCGAACCTTGTCCAGTGAAGACGTATGAGGATACAGGCTGCTCAACCTCTGCCTCAGCAAGAAGCACCTTATCGCCGGTCTCCTTGTTGCTGGTCTCGATCTTGATGATCTTCCGACCAGCAACCATGCCGACGTGTTCGAGTTTAACTTCCAGGTCGTCATTCGGTAATACCATGCCGACCAGAGACACGTGGTAGCTTCTGACACGGCCAATGTTGTTTTCGGCAGCCCATGTCTCGACCAGACTACGGACGGCAGCACTGGAGTACATGCCATGGGTGATGGTGCCAGGCAAGTTCGCGTAGCTGGCAAAGATACGGGAAACGTGGATGGGGTTATAGTCCCCAGAGACGCGGGCGTAGGTCTCATTGGACGCTGGCGCCCTGAGTGACAACGGAGTCTTACCACTCAGAGGAATGGCATTCTCGAAATTGACAGGTTGCTCAATCGAGGAGCCGTGACGCTGCAGATAATCAACGACAGGATTACCGTGGGAAACTCCAGCTTCGTACTCGACGGAAGCGACCTGGATCACTTCCTTGGTGGGGAGTTCCAGTAGAACCTGGCCGACGGTCTCAACATTTTGGAAGACAGTCTTGTTTTTGAACCGGACCAGACTGGAGAGACGGAATGTCAAGGTCTGACCAAGCAAGTCAATGTCGGGTTCGTCAAGGTGGAACCATTCTTTTGAACGCAGAACTGCAATATCCTTGGAGGTAGCGAGCGTGACTTGCATGGGTGTCTCCTCCTTGCGTTGGAAGGTGTTCTCGAAGTCGTTGTAAGTTCCTCGGTACAAGAATTGGCTTGTCACTTCCATGACGGGCTGACCATTACGGGTGATGGTTCCGCAGACTTCCACCATCTTGCCTGCATCTTGGTTGATGACAGCATTGATACGAGCAGAGGTATGGAGCTCATCCCCAACCTTCAGGGGCTCAGCGCCGGGAAGCATACGGAAGCCATTAGAAAGGTGAACAAGCTTCAGCAGATCACCATCAATCGAACGAGGGAAAATGGGTTTCGTGATGGCTTTCCATCCCACAACGATAGCAAAGTCCATGGGCGCAAAAACCTCCTTGCCAGGTCGATCAACGAACGCTTCTCCAGTATTGCCGACAGCGTGCACAAAGTCTGCAATATCTTGGGTAACGACGGTGGCCTTACCACCATCAAAGGTGTTGGTCGTGGGAGTGTCAAAGGGAACGTCTTTCTCGGCAAACCAGATCCGGTAGTAGAACTCTTTGATGCGGTCGTTGCGGCCCTCCATGACCTCGTGGATTGGAGCATAACCGGTCTCAGGGTGGTAGATGAATCGGAATGGCAGGGCGACCGCCTCACCCTCAGCTGTCCTTTCTTCCCACATGTTCATGAGAATTTCGTTCTTGCTTACCAAGCTGATGTCAAGTGTCTTCACGAGCTTGCCTGATTGACTTGGCTCCTTGACAATGATTGTGGTCCTCGCTGGATCCTTGGGATGCGCAATTTCGACGGTCATGCCACGGACGGGCGCCAGGACGCGCTTGAGAGGATTATTTTGGTACCGAGCGCCTTGGACGAAAATATCAGTCGTGAACAAGGCATGGCGCCACGAATAGGTCTTTCCAGCCAAGAGTTGCAGCCAATCCTCAGCACCGGGAAGAGACGCGGCAGAAGCCGAGGATAGTCTGTAGGTAATTCGCGACCCATCTGGGATAACGGTGACTCCATCGAGCTCTACCACACTGTCTGGAGAGCTGATGATTTTCCCACCGAAGTACTCCACGACAGGAACCTCGGACTCTCGGCCATGGTAGACTTCTTGGATAAGGCCTTTAATGTGATCATTGTGGATTCCATCCAGAATATCTTTGACAGGCTCATCAACCTTGGTGGAGTACTTGGCGGCCATAGGGCCCTGGAGGATACAGGTTCTGCCGACGTCTTGATCAACGACAGCGTCGAGATCTTCCGACTGCCACAATGAATCCTTCTTGAACCAAAATTCGAAGTTTTCGTCCAGAGAGGGGACGAAAGGAACAGGCTTTTGACCCCGTCGTTGGCAAAGAAGCAAGAAATGTTGGACATCTTGAGCGTTGATCAATTGAGTCTCCGCATCGGGATAAGCAGCCAAAACCTTCTCGACAACAGGATATGGATTTTCGAATTCAGCGTAGCTTTGAACGAGGGATGGTTTGCCAGAGCCAACTGTGAAGCGTTCTTCGACTCGTCGAATGAAGTCAACGGTCAGATTGCGGAGAGTAACCTCAATCCAACGTGATTGATGCTTCACGTACATTAGTTCCACCATACGTCGAACAACTTCAGCGTAGGTCATGTCCTCCAGGTCAACAGTCTGGCCAGCAGAGTTCTTGCCAAACCAGACTTTTTGGAAGTCATCGTTCAGTTTCTTGATGATGTACTCGCGTTGTTTCTTAAGCTCAGCGACTCGCTTCTTCTTGTCCAAGCTGAAGATCTTTTGGTCCATCTCAGCCCAGAACTTGACACCACGAGTAGCCAACTTGTGGATCGGTTCACCCATCTCGGATCGGACAGTGATGACACCTCCAGCTGGGCCTTTGTATGTTTTCTCCCACTGACCGTCGTCAACACCCTCGGCCTCTGCGATAGCCTTCTTAGCATTGATAGATGTATGCGCTTCTTTAGCGGTCATCAGACGACTACCAAACAAAACGCCATCGAATGGCATCGGGGGGTAACCGAATTTACGTGCCCATGAGCCAGTCAAGTAGGGATAGGTGTCTTCAGATCCGCCGAAACCGCTACCAGCCACCAAGATGATGTTCTGGCATTTCCGGATGCGACCATACATTTGGAGAATAGGTTGATGGAAATCTTCGAAGGAGTGGTGACCACCACCACGGCCTCCCGTCCATTGGAGTAGGACAGGGAAAGTCGGGTTGGCTTTCGCAATGTTGATGACAGCTTGAATGGCATCCATGGAACCAGGCTTGAAAGCAATGTGCTTGATGCCCAATGTGTCGATATACTCTTGAGCAACTTCAATCGACGGAACACCAGCACCAATGGTGAGGCCTTCGATTGGGACACCGTCAGCACGGAGTTGGGCCAAGAGTGGGATCTGCCATCCCATTGCACGAGGGTTGACATAGATCAAGTTCACAGTAATGCCGCGCCCGGGAGGAATATTTTTTTCAATCTTGGTCAATGCCTCGGTCATGCTCTTCGCATTGTAGTAACCGCCACCAGCAAGCTCAATGTGATACCCGGCATTCATGGTGGCTGCAACGAAATCCCAGGGCACGGTGCAAGGAGTCATACCAGCAACCATCAAAGGTGGCACACCGAGCAAGCGGGACATCTTGGTGTCAACGTAGGTCTGGCCGACAGAGGTCTTGACCAGCCGGGGCCCATGTTCTCTGATCCAGTTTGTGGCATACTTGACGGCATGTTCTTCGTCACGGTCGAATATCTCTGGCTTGTATCCCACTTCAGTGTTGGTGCCATCCATCGCACCGGCCAGAATGACGCGAACTCCAGTACCTTCCTTGTTGCGGTTTGTCAGTACGCCTAGGCCTGAAATTCCTCCAGGGCCAAAGTCAAGGATGTGAGTTGCGCCTTCGAAGACCGTAGCCTGCTCCCAGTGGACCGGATCTTGAGTAATCATGCGGACAAGAGATGGCACGATATCCTTGTCTTGCTGTAAGCGGAGGTCTTCACCAGTGTTGGTGTCGAACACCGGAATAACGAGACGGCCCGCGGGAATTCGAATAGCGCTGAGATCTTCTTGGATATTCTTGAATGCCTCACTGAGCAGCGGGCTGTGGAAGGGAGCAGTGATTGGCAGGAATCGGTTCACGAAGCGCACCTTACGCTCCGTGTAGGGAATACGATTCTGATCTAGGCCAGTCGGGGCCTTCACTTTTCGCAAACGTAGATTGAGGCCGTGCAGAGAGATAGGTGCACCTGTGACCACGAAATTCCTTGCGCTGTTGACCAGGGAAATAGCAATGTGGCGATCTTGAGGCAGATGCTCATTTGTAGCGTCAATGTGTTCTTGGAGCTGCTTTCGCGAAAGATCTCTAACTGACAGCATGGGAGTAGGGGTACCTTCTCCAGCCTCTAGTGAGTCCTGCAGGATCGAGGGAGCAATACTAGTGCGAGGATAGGCCTGTTGACTCCTCATACCGATCCAGAACAGCATGGTTATGGCGTCTTTGGCGGCTTTTGCGAAGCTCTCCCACGAAGTTGCGGTAGCTATGGCAGCAGCAGTCACCACACCTTGGGAGTGACCAGTAGTGCCGTTGATTCGCTCATTGACCTCTCCAGGAGTTTTGCCCAGGACCTTGCAAGTAACCTGGTAGTGAGCAAGCTGGACAAGCCCGATCAGAGGCAAGCTGACAGGTGCAGATACCAGGTAGTCTGTGTCTGGCTGCGCTTCTGGGTCTGCCAACCATCGCATGATATCCAGGCCCTTCGAGTAGAACTTGTCGGCCTTTGGATTTCTGGCTAGAGCTTGTAGCTGGTCGGCAGCAGAAACAATCAAATCCTTCGTGAATGAAGGGTATGTAGTGTAGACTTCTCTTAGCTCATCGAAGTACTCTTCGATATTCCCTTGGCCACCGAAAACGGTGAAAATGCTCGCCTCCTCATCATCAGCAGCTCTCAGTAAAGCAGAGTCATGTGGCTTAATGGGTCTTGCAACTGCTGCGCGGCCTGCATAGTAGCACTGAACCACCACCAGTTTCTTCGCTGTGATTCCCGGGAGCGTGGCTGCCAGAGCATGCACGTCATTGGCGTGCATGAAGGATCTCTCAAATTCGTTCAGGACCACTTTGAGCACTTCAAAAAAGCCGGTTGCCTCCTCGTCATCATCAACTTCAGCGGCAATGAAGCCAATGAAACGGGCGACAAGCTCGGCACTGGAGGAGGGCTCGTCATCTTGAGCTAGTTCGTCTGTGGCTTCGGGCAGAGAGGCTTTGAAGGTCTCTTGGAGCTGAGAAGCCTGGAAATGAAGAGCTGTCGGTATTAAGAAGGAGTATTCGAGGGAGCCATGAGTGAGAGTGAGAGGGCGAAGGTTCTGAGATGATCGAGGAGTGTGGGTGCCGGTCGCACCACCGGAATACATGGCTGCGAAGGCTTTCGAGTGTAGATGATGCTTTAGGCACGAAAGCGCAGAGAGTGGTGTTCAAGGTGAGCAAGCTAATGCCACTTTGATGTTTCTGAAGACGACAAGGTTTTGAGAAGGGCTCTTAGGTAGGTATGAGAGCTCTTGTGCGGGTAGGGAGGAAGGTATTAAGAATGGTCGTTTCGCGGCAAGAAACTGACGATGATGGGAGGGTATGGGAGCACGGTGATGAAGAGTCGGGAAGGATTAGTTATTGCCTCTGGAGCAACGGATGTGTCTTGATGTTCTCTTTGACGATTCACTGGATTCTAGGAGCGTTCGCAAAAAATGGTGGACAAACAGTGGACTGGTGGTTCTATGCTGGCTGTCCCGAACATGGAGCGTTGAGAAGCCAAAGAAGTTTTCCCCGTTGGTTTGCCGGACTGAGCGCCAGGGCCCGTGGCCAATGAGAAGACCGCAAATTGGGTGGGCAAGTGCCACTGCGCGAGCTTCTGCAGGGACATCGGGCAAAAAAGAAGCGGCGTCATCAACTCGCCGAAGCGCTTCCCAACCACAAAAAATGGCATGCAACTCGTACTCGTATTGTCCGTAGCAACGTGACCTCCTATGTACCAGGTACTCGAGGTACAGGACAGATACAGTAAAGACCAGGCTGTCCATTGACCCCAACGCGCTTCTCGCTCGACAAGCAGGCAGCAATGATAAAATATGACCCGCAGTGTATTTCGTAAGGCTTCCTGATTACTATACAGCATTCCCAACACAATTGAAGAGAAGTGTTCCCCAGGTGAACAGGCTGAGCCTGTACTGGCTGTGGAGGCAATACGAGGGATCGGTCTGGATACGAGCACTTGTGCGAGTAGGAGGTACCTGGCAGCCAAAGCCCCGGCCAGCCTGGGTTCTCCAACTGTCGACGGCGCCATGCCGAAAGAGAATTGGCGGGGGCGCCTCAAAGTGGCTCACCAGGCTCTAGGCGGAATAGGTGGACTGATGACTTCCTGTAGGGGCGGCAGGGACCAGTCTTCCAGGCGTGCGCAGGGTCCACTGAAATTCTCAACCATCGCTTCAAGCCGGCCGGGGAAAGCTGTTGGCGGTGCTGCTGGCCATCTCGTCAAGCCTCGTCTTCCTGCACCCTGACATCGTCGCGGAAAATTCGGACGGACATCGCTGCACCCCGATCCCAACCAACTTTTCTCGTAGCAACACCTATCTCAACCCTCTTGTCCGCGATGTACATTGATCCTCAGATCCTCCTTTGATTACTCTTCTCCTCCGATCACAAACGAAGGCATCGGGGCACTTCATCCCTCTCTTGTCCTCCACCTCTATCAACTGTTCTAATATTCAATCAATACCTCCTCCAATACAGATCCTCCCCCCTTGACCACCACCCACTGTGTGCAAAGCACAGTTGCCCTTTCCTCAGTTCATGTACTTTGATACCCAGCCTTTGCTCTGATTCACTTCATCCAGCTTGGGCATCGTTGGTCAGACACATACCCTTCTCTCGACCTAATCATCAAAACTCCGACGAAGCTCCCTCAAAACCGTCATAACCGCATCCCGCCATAATGCGTCCTGACGTTGAGCAAGAGCTCGCCCACACCCTGCTCGTTGAGCTCCTCGCATACCAATTTGCTTCTCCAGTGAGGTGGATTGAAACCCAAGATGTCATTCTCGAGACAAACAGAACGGAGAGGATTGTCGAGATCGGCCCCGCAGACACCCTGGGTGGTATGGCAAAGAGAACGTTGGCATCCAAATACGAAGCATACGACGCAGCTACCTCTGTCTCACGCCAAGTTCTGGCATACAACAAGGATCAGAAAGAGATTTACTATGATGTCGACCCCATAGAGGAGGAGCCTGCTCCTGCCCCGGCTGCTTCCTCCTCAGCTCCTGCAGCTCCCGCAGCCAGCGCCGCGCCAGCACCAGCGGCAGTGGCAACACTTCCTGCTGCGTCGGCCGGTCCTGCTGCAGCCGTCGCCGATGCTCCAGTCGCTGCCGTCGACATTCTCAGAGCCTTGGTTGCCCAAAAACTCAAGAAGCCGCTGGCAGACATCCCTTTGAGCAAAGCCATCAAAGACCTGGTTGGTGGAAAGTCTACACTACAGAATGAAATCTTGGGTGATCTAGGCAAAGAGTTTGGCTCGACTCCAGAGAAACCAGAGGACACCCCTCTCGACGAGCTGGGTGCTGCTATGCAATCCACATTCAATGGCCAACTAGGCAAGCAGTCGTCGTCTTTGATTGCTCGCTTGGTGTCCTCCAAGATGCCGGGTGGCTTTAATATTACGGCGGTGAGAAAACATCTGGAGACCACTTTTGGTCTAGGTCCAGGTCGACAAGACGGAGTGCTCTTACTCGCACTGACAATGGAGCCCGCCTCTCGCCTGGGTTCTGAGAACGACGCGAAGACCTATCTTGGGGATGTTGCGCAGAAATACGCTTCGGCCGCGGGCATTAGCCTATCTTCGGCATCCGCGGCTGGTGCTGCCGCCGCTGGCGCTGGTGCAGGTATGATGATGGATCCTGCGGCCATCGACGCTCTCACCAAGGACCAACGTGCTCTTTTCAAGCAGCAGCTCGAGTTATTTGCCCGATACCTGAAGATGGACCTCCGATCTGGCGACAAGGCTTTCCTGGGTTCTCAGGAAAACAACAAGGCCCTTCAAGCTCAACTCGATCTGTGGAATACTGAGCACGGAGAATTCTATGCCTCCGGAATAGAACCATCCTTCAGCGCATTGAAAGCTCGCATATACGATTCGTCCTGGAATTGGGCTCGCCAAGACGCTCTCAGCATGTACTACGACATCATCTTTGGACGTCTGAAGGCTGTTGATCGTGAGATTGTCAGCCAATGCATCCGCATTATGAACAGATCGAACCCGACACTCATCGAGTACATGCAGTATCACATCGACAATTGCCCAACAGATCGAGGCGAGACTTACCAGCTCGCCAAAGAGCTGGGTCAGCAGCTGATCGAAAATTGTAAAGATGTCCTCAACGAGGCGCCTGTGTACAAAGACGTTGCTATCCCTACTGGTCCTCAGACGACCATTGATGCACGTGGTAACCTCGACTACAAGGAGGTTCCCAGACAAAGCGCCCGCAAACTGGAGCAATATGTTCGCGAGATGGCTGAGGGCGGCAAGATCTCAGAATACAGCAATCGTACCAAGGTTCAAAATGACCTTCGCAACGTTTACAAGTTGATCAGGAAGCAGCACAAACTCTCCAAAGCCTCCCAACTCCAGTTCAACAGCTTGTACAAAGATATTGTGCGTGCTCTCGCCATGAACGAATCTCAGATCATGCCTCAGGAGAATGGTGATGTCAAGAAACCTGGGCGAAATGGATCACTAACCCGTGCGACGATGAATGGCACGCTGAAGCAAGGGAAGACTGAAACCATTCCATTCCTCCATCTCAAGAAGAAGCAAGAGCACGGCTGGGAATACAGCAAGAAGCTTACAGGCATCTACCTCGATGGCCTTGAAAATGCCGCTCGAGCTGGTATTACCTTCCAAGGTAAAATGGCTCTCATGACTGGCGCTGGCGCAGGCTCGATTGGCGCAGAGGTTCTTCAAGGTCTTATCAGCGGCGGCGCCAAGGTCGTGGTTACCACCAGCCGTTACTCACGTGAGGTCACCGAATACTACCAGTCAATGTACGCACGATTCGGCGCTCGTGGTGCTCAGCTGGTGGTTGTCCCGTTCAACCAAGGTAGCAAGCAGGACGTCGAGGCTCTGGTTGAGTACATCTATGACAGCAAGAAGGGTCTCGGTTGGGACTTGGACTACATTGTTCCTTTCGCCGCTATCCCAGAGAATGGCCGTGAGATTGACAGCATCGATTCTAAGTCTGAGCTCGCGCACCGTATCATGTTGACCAACCTCGTCCGCCTGCTGGGCTCTGTCAAGACCAAGAAGTCTGAAAACGGATTCAATACTCGACCCGCTCAAGTCATTCTCCCTCTGTCCCCCAATCACGGCACCTTCGGTAATGATGGGCTCTACTCTGAGTCTAAACTGGCTTTGGAGACTTTGTTCAACAGATGGTACTCAGAAAGCTGGGCTGACTATCTCACCATCTGTGGTGCCGTCATCGGTTGGACCCGTGGAACTGGCCTCATGAGCGGCAACAACATTGTTGCAGACGGTGTTGAGAAGTTTGGTGTGCGGACATTTTCCCAGCAGGAAATGGCTTTCAACCTGTTAGGTCTCATGGCCCCTGCAATTGTTGATCTTTGCCAGACTGAGCCTGTCTGGGCCGACCTCAACGGAGGCCTTCAATTTTTGCCTGACCTCAAAGATCTCATGACTCGTCTCCGTGCGGAGATCATGGAGACAAGCGCAATCCGACAGGCTGTGACTAAAGAGACTGCCATCGAGAACCAGGTTGTCAACGGCGAAGACAGCGAGGCGCTCTACAAGAAGGTCACTATCGAACCTAGAGCCAATATCAAGTTTGACTTCCCTAAGTTGCCCGATTGGAAAGAAGACATTGCTCCGCTCAATGATAGACTTAAGGGTATGGTTGATCTTGACAAGGTTGTCGTCGTGACCGGCTTTTCCGAGGTTGGACCCTGGGGCAACTCTCGTACCCGTTGGGAGATGGAAGCATTCGGCGAGTTCTCTCTGGAAGGATGCGTCGAGATGGCCTGGATGACTGGTCTCATCAAGAATCATAATGGCCCTCTCAAGGGCAAGTCCTACTCAGGATGGGTTGATGCCAAGACAAACGAACCTGTTGATGATAAGGACGTGAAAGCCAAGTACGAGAAGCAGATCTTGGAACACTCAGGTATCCGACTCATCGAGCCTGAATTGTTCAACGGCTACGACCCGAAGAAGAAGCAACTCCTTCAGGAAATCCAGATCGAAGAAGATCTCGACCCATTCGAAGCTTCCAAGGAGACTGCCGAGGAATTTAAGAGACAACACGGTGACAAGGTTGAAATCTTCGAACTTGAATCTGGCGAGTACACTGTCCGCCTCAGGAAGGGTGCTACTCTCCTCATCCCTAAGGCTCTTCGGTTCGACAGGCTTGTTGCTGGTCAAATTCCAACCGGCTGGAATGCAAAGCATTACGGTGTTCCGGATGATATTATCTCCCAGGTTGACCCCGTCACGCTCTTTGTTCTGGTCTGTACCGTCGAAGCTCTCCTTGCATCTGGTATCACCGACCCGTACGAGTTCTACAAGTATGTCCACCTTTCTGAGGTCGGAAACTGTGTAGGTTCTGGTATTGGTGGTACTACTGCCCTCCGTGGAATGTACAAAGACAGATTCATGGACAAGCCTGTTCAGAAGGATATCCTGCAGGAATCGTTTATCAATACCATGGCCGCTTGGGTCAACATGTTGCTTTTGTCGTCTACTGGCCCAATCAAGACTCCTGTCGGTGCTTGTGCAACTGCTGTCGAGTCTATTGATATTGGATACGAGACCATTGTTGAAGGAAAAGCTCGTGTTTGCTTCGTTGGTGGTTTCGATGACTTCCAGGAAGAAGGCTCCTACGAATTCGCGAACATGAAGGCCACCAGTAATGCGGAAGACGAATTTGCCCACGGTCGCACACCCAAGGAGATGTCTCGACCTACCACGACCACCAGAAATGGTTTCATGGAGTCTCAAGGTTGCGGTATGCAAATCATTATGACTGCTCGTCTAGCTTTGGATATGGGTACCCCTATCTACGGTATCCTTGGCTTGGTTTCCACCGCCACTGACAAGATTGGTCGGTCTGTACCTGCGCCTGGACAGGGTGTGTTGACAACTGCCCGCGAGAATGCGGGTAAATTCCCCTCTCCATTACTCGACATCAACTACCGCAGACGACAGCTTGAGCATCGACGACGTGCTATCAAGAACTGGCAAGAATCTGAACTTTTGTATCTCCACGAAGAGGTTGCCGCCATGAAGTCCCAAGCCGGGTTTGGATTCGATGAGAAGACATATCTTGAAGAACGTGCCGCCCACATCGAGCGTGAAGCCATCCGGCAAGAGAAGGAAGCCCAAAACAGCTTGGGCAACAACTTTTGGAAACAAGATTCCACGATCGCTCCTCTCCGTGGTGCTCTGGCTACCTGGGGTCTGACCATTGACGACCTGGACGTTGCTTCATTCCACGGTACCTCGACAGTAGCAAATGACAAGAACGAGTCTGAAGTCATCTGCAAGCAGATGGCGCATTTGGGCCGTAAGAAGGGCAATGCTCTGCTTGGTATCTTCCAGAAGTACCTCACTGGCCATCCTAAAGGTGCAGCTGGTGCATGGATGTTCAACGGCTGCTTGCAAGTCTTGAACAGTGGTATTGTTCCAGGGAACCGCAATGCAGACAACGTGGATCAAGTCATGGAGAAGTATGATTACATCGTCTACCCAAGCCGCTCAATGCAAACCGATGGTGTCAAGGCGTTCTCTGTGACCTCATTCGGTTTCGGCCAAAAGGGAGCTCAGGCAATTGGCATCCACCCCAAGTACCTGTACGCCGCTCTCGATCAAGCAGAATTCCAGAGATACAAGCTCAAGGTCGAGGCTCGTCAAAAGAAAGCCTACCGATTTTTCCACAATGGCATGATCAACAACACTCTCTTCGTGGCCAAGACCCACGCGCCATACCCTGATGAGCTGATGCAGGACGTATTCTTGAACCCTGATCAGCGGGTGATTGCTGACAAGAAATCTGGCGAGCTCATCTACAACTCGAGTCTCCCTCAGAAAACATTGAGTTCCAGTGCTCTCGAAACCAAGGCAATGCTCGAGTCGCTCACCCAAGCAAGTGCCAAAGAAGGATCAAAAGTCGGTGTCGATGTTGAGGACATTCGAGCGATCAATATCGAAAACGACACCTTTGTCAAGAGGAACTTTACTGACGCTGAGCAAGCCTACTGTAACAAGGCTGCTTCTCCTCAGGCTTCCTATGCTGGCCGCTGGAGTGCCAAGGAAGCCGTTTTCAAATCATTGGGCGTCTGCAGCAAGGGAGCAGGTGCTCCTCTGCAAGATATTGAGATCTTGAGTGATGAAAATGGCGCACCCAAAGTGTCGTTGCATGGAGCCGCATTGCAGGCGGCTAAGGAGGCCGGCGTGAAGAACGTCAACGTCAGCATCAGCCACAGCGAGAGTCAAGCTATTGCCGTTGCTGTATCGGCGTTCTAGAGGGTCGTTTCTTTGAAGAGTATCAAACTGCTCGTGAACGAAAAGTGATCTGAGGTGAAGAGCGATTTGGGAAAGAAAGCCTTTCATTTTGTTGTTACAGATAGTCTCATGGACGCTGTTTTATTGATAATGGCGCTAGGACTGCTACTAATACCTCCCTGTAGGTAGTCTTCGGGACGACTTTGCTTGAGTAGTGTCGCTCTATCAACCTCGTACATAAGTATGGATAATGTGGGAGTTTTGGCCGCAAAGGGGCGTGGATAGAATTACATATTATGGACACCCAGAGGTATCATTCGGAAAGTTGAAGCTTTCTTTTACAATATTTTGTGATCTTCTCGTACTGGTCTTTGTGTTAAAGGATGTGCACGAATAGATGCAAGTTCAAGTTCTTACGTCTTGGGCAGCAGTATAGTACGAGGTGTAGAAAGTACTGCATACGTATACCCTGCTTTGCTTTATGTTGCAGGGAAGCGTGGTCTACTGCAGTGCACTCTCATCACGACCTATATTGCCTCGATATTGATCGCACCAGATACGAAGCTATCAGCAAGTACTTTGAGTAGCACACATTGATGCGCCTCGCGTACGTCCTCTCGTGGAATGAGATGGTGAGAAGGTCGAATGAATGTTTTTTTCTACTAAATTCCGACCTTCACGGAAAAGGGTGGCGACAATGAAATTGTGAACGGCCTGTTGCCAGTGCGGATCCAAATTCAGAGCCAACACATATCTGCGTCGTCGGCGCTAACGTGAGCTCTTATTCGTCCATCTGCCACTGATACTCTAGGTCTGCGTTCCGGCCCTTGCGACTGCGGGCCAGGAACCACTCCTTCTCGAAGCCGTTGCTGCGATCAACCCCGTCCCATCGCCAGCCAGGTGGTATGCCATAACGATTCGGTGGAGCGGCGCCGACGTAGACCTTTTTGTTGCGCGACTTCCCTGTTTTGCCTGCCGCTGCAGCTGCAGTTGTTGTAACCGCACCAGGATCCGTAGCGTCATGTTCTTCGGCCTGTTTCTGCGCCATGTACGCTGCCATCGGGTCATCCCAGCGCACCGCACGTTTGAGGTCCTCGTTCATGTCTTCGTCCTCGACGCCCCGTGCCAGAGAGAGGAACTTTGCCTCTTGGAGGTCTTGTTTCCGGGCTTCCTTCTCACGACGCTGGACTTCGCCCATGGCGTCCTCGCGCGCTTGACGCTCCGCGCGGCGTTTCTCTTCCTCGGCGGCCCGGGCCTCGGCGCGCTTCATGCTGATGTCTATCCTGCGACCGGTCGCGTCTCGGTAGATGGTTTCTTCTGCGGCATCGGTTTCTCCGTCGCCGCGGCCATCGCCACCCTTTTTGCGAGACGATGATTTCTTCTTGCGCTGTTCAAGAGCCAGCTCGCGCTCGCGTTCGCGCTCTTCGTGCTCGACGAGACGTGCGGTATCATCTGCCGTTTGGAGGCCTGCCTTTACGCCCGACGACATGCGTGGTGTGGAGTTGGTGTCGTCAACGCCGCCGTCTTGGGTGTCGACGATGGCGGGCGCATCTTCGTCTTCGATTTCCCGTCTTCGTGCATCAGCTTCTTCGGCGGCAGCGGCGATGATGCGGTCTGCTTCGTCAACTTCGGCCTGTGCGGTGGCAGTGGTGTTTGTGTCGGGTTGCGCTATTACTTTCCATCCGCCGCCGCCTTTTTTCTTTCTGAATTCGGCGGACCTGACATTGGTGTCGTATATGGGCATGTCGCCGTCATCATCGTCTCGAGGGCGGGCAGAGGAACTCTTGAGCGTGAGGGGTTCATCATCGTCTGCTATAATGAGCCCTGAGTCGGCGGAAGCGTCTTTGTTCTTGCGTCTCTTCTTTTTCGGCCGGTTAGAGTCTTGAAAATCACCAGAACCGTTCTGGTTGGAGGAGTTGGAGGCCGTCAGATAGTTCTTTGCAAGGTAGGCTGCAAGGTTGGAGGAAGGCATTGTGGCCAGATAGAAGACGTACGTTTCGGTAGCGGAGGTCGAGTAGTCGAATGTCAATAACCCATGTTTGGGGTTCAGATGGCCTCGACCGTGGGTTCGGGGTGATATACTCCAACCTAAATCCACGATATTGTTCACCAAGATACGAAGAAACCACACCAGAATCGTGTAGAGATGCGTTTCTTTAGCGCTGCCCAAACTCCGCAGGCACATTGTCTTGAATGGAGAAAAGATGTTTCGAGGTGCTTTGGGGCAAGGAAGGCTGCGCTAGCTATCTCTGGTCTAGTGTAGCCTTGCTCTTGTGGTTACTCCTTGCTCGTGCAAGCCCACCACTGAAACCCTCGTCCACTCTGAGCCTTATGGCTTGAAGCAAAGACGCAGCAGCTGACGGCTAAAAGAATGAGAGGCCGGGATTTACAGTCATGAGGGCTGAGCTGATGTTGTTCGGCCAATGAGAAGAAAAGCCAGTGCCGACCAAGGTTGAGCGATTATACTACGGGTCCAATTCGAACCTCGACATCTCGCCATAAAATATTAAGCGGATCCGTCCTCTTCACCAAGTAAATGCTCAACAGCGACTACATACACCATGTTCACTTGTATTGTCTCTTGACGGATCCTCAGACCCTTGGAGTTTTCTGCACTGAGGCGACCCAGCCCAACGATAGGTCCTCTGCGAAACCCTTAACCCATCAAACAAGACGATGGCAGAGTCGACTCTTCCCATGTCACTGCATGTCTGTGAGGAGCTTTCAAGCAAAGTCAAAGCATCTTTCCTACACTATGCCGGTCTGTTTTTGGCATGTGGAGACTTTCTGAGGGTACTTCATGTTTCTCGTCGACTATTGCAAATCCGACCAGGTTGGTCATCGTCGTTTTAAGAACCAAATTTGGATGCGGGACTTCTGTGTGGTGAGTTTGTCTTGAGGACCTGCTCTACCTCACAAGCAGCGGCTTGACTTGTCTCCACACACCCTATTGGTGTGACTTGAATTGCTAGAGGACCTGCTTCAAGTGGTCCCGTGGTTGTGTTCGGATGAGCCATTCTATGATGTTCTTGAGAGCAATTCCAATTCTGGTAGGTTGACTGCCCAAATATCATGCTATACAAGGTCCTCGAGGTCACAAATTCTCACGCCAGAGCCATGAGGACCTTCTGTAAATGCTTCTGCTACACATCCCTCCCTGGTTCTTTCCATTTTGCACAATCTTCAGCGTACTCTCCTCCAATTCCGACAGAGTCGATCTTGAGATTCAAGGACTCCTTGAAGCGAATACTCCCAAACGACAATGCCTCCCTGACGCTCGGTATCAACAAATAATTACATATACACACGGTTACCTTCTGAACACTCCTTCGGACGCTGAAAATGGCACTCACCACTGACCCGACACCAGCCACAACAACGCTGACAGCAACAGCCAAGAAAGACAACCAAGCTTCAATGCTATTATTGTCATCTTCGTCCTCCCCCAACACAACCAGCTTGAGTACCGCTCTGGTCTTAAAGGGCAGCTCGAAGCCATGTGAGTGTCCAACAAAACCGCAGCCACCATCAACATCAACGACCCTGAGGACAAATGCCGTCACCGTTCACCCAGCACGCAAGCCTTCCAGACTATCCAAGTACAACCACGAGCTCGAACCAATATGGGAAGAACCGGAAGACTTTTCTTATCACGCCCGCACAACCGCCGACAAGATCAACAACGGGTTTAAAGACACTGACGAGCGTAAGGTCAGTAACGGAAGCATTAACAACAACATTAACGATAGGTCCAACAGCAGGAGTAGCAGTCAGGGTTCACATTTGGCGTTTGCAACTAGTACTGGACAACGATTGACCCAGCGACCCGCAGCCAGCAAGCCATCACTTTGGCGTCGGATCTTACCATTTTAGATAATGCTCGCGTCGGCTTAACATGAGATTGGGATTGACGTCAGTTACAACTCCGCCTCCTTACAGCAATAGTAACAACAGCTGCAATCGACTAATTCGTGTGTTGACAACCTGTTGGTTTATGCGATGGGAACAAGAAATAAAATGCGATCTGATGGAATCCAGTTTGGATTTTTAACGAGGGATTGACATATTGCAAGGAATTGCTCTTACGACTGTATGAATGACGATTCAACTTGGGAATTGAATGAAGTACAACTGTATATGTATATGTTTAGAACCCTCTGGCTTCTACGGACCCTGCTACTCTCCTACGAGCGAGGCTTGGGGAACAGTGATACAAGGGGTCGATGGAGTCAGCATCGCGTCCCGGACCGAGGTCCAAGTAGTGGCTCCCGTCGTCATTCTCCGACAATTTATGCAAAGTTATCAACGTCACGACTGCGAACCGTGGCATGAATTGAAGTTAAACTCCTAGGGTGAGGTCATGTCTTGAAGGCTTCCAGGCCGGAATGAGGATCCCAGAGTTATAGATGATGGGACTGCAAGGATAGAAACAACACAAGACAGATCTGTTTATTCTTCATACCAATTCCCGCTCTCATGGCTTCTGCTGCCTCGTCTCTACGAGCCGCGTCCGGCAATGAGCGCTTCAACGACGAAGCGGCCAAGTGGGACAGCAACCCTTTTGTCCACGAGGCCAGCAAACAAGCATTGAAAGCTATAGTGGCCAAATTCCCGGCGCTCAGACAACCGCCAGGCGAACAAGGTCTAGACATCCTCGAGGTCGGCTGCGGCACCGGCCTCCTTTCGTCCATCATGGCTCCTTACGCGAAACGCATAGTCGCCGTTGACGCTGCCGCCGGGATGATCGATGTGCTCAAGACCAAACTACAGAGCTCCGATGCGCCCCGCAACATCTCGCCCGTGGCCGCCCTTCTCCAAGACCCCGAGGACAAGAGTCTGCCGCCTCAAAACGACGAGGATCCCGGCGGACGTCGGCTGAAATTCGACCTCATCACCTCGCACTTGGTGCTGCACCACATTGCGGACCTCAAGGGCGTCTTGGCTACGATGCTGGGCTGCCTGAAGAGCAACGGGTGGGTGGCTCTGACCGACTTTGAGGACTACGGTCCAGAAGCGAAGAGCTTTCACGCACAGGCGAAGATGGGAGGCGTCGAGAGACACGGCATCAACGCCGACGCCATGGAAAAGCTCATGAACGAAGTGGGCTTCGTCAACGTTCGAGTGGTGCGGGCTTGGAGTATGGACAAGGTCGTGGAGAAGTACGAGGGCGAGTTCGGTGACGCCGGCAAAGCCTCTCAGCCTGGTCAGGGGCAGATCAGAAGCTTCCCCTTTGTGCTCTGCATGGGCGAAAAGAAGTACTGTCAGCCATGATGAGTGATGGCTTCTTTCATAGACCACTCCGACAACGACGAAACGCGATTGTGGCGTTATTAGCGACCAAAAGAGCCGCGCGGGTAAGACACAAGCGAGGGCACGATCTACCCAGGTAGAATACTAATTTATGAAGTTCCAGAGGTGCGCAGCGCCGTTTTCTTGTAAGGGTTGACCTTCTCGACACTGTTCAATACCTGAGGTTCTGTCCGCTGATAGTGGTCAGTCTAGAAAGCTCGAGAGACTGGACCGTTATCGATCATAGAGTAACTGTGATAGAATGAGAAGGGATAGCAACTATAGACTGTCGCTGCGAGGGTGTGTGAGTGTGTGAGTGTATGAGAAATGAGTGCTTTGCGATTAGGTCGCTTTAAAAGCGGCATCGTCACCGTCTTGAGATCAGGCAGCATCAAACACCGTCACGATCAACATTGTATCTCAATACAGAGATTCATATTTTGTCTGCGCGCGACACGACACATCCACTAGCTACATTGGCAGAATATCCTTCGTATATTGCTCGAAGTGGCAACCTTCCTCTTCCGGCTATGGCTCATGATGCGTCAGTCCCTCGATAAAGACTGAGGTGAGATGAGACGCCACAACTACTTATGGACTTCTTAAGCCTCGACAGACGCTTTCGCGATTGTGGCCCCATACACCGATATATGATACTGTCAATGTAGAACGTCGACGCTGGTAACTACTCATCTAGGCTAGTTGTTGACAATACGATGGCCCCTCTTCTCGGCCGCGGGCGGAGTTGAAGGTCTGGGAAAACGAGGTCTTATAAACACTGATGCGTCTTATGCAGAGATTTTACGACATAAGTGCTCTCAGGGACTATCTTCTAGATGCACCCGAACGCACAGAATTCTTATGCTTCGACAACGATTTGTCCTGCGAAGGAAGATTAATCAGATTCACTGGATATGCGGACGAATCGGCGTATATTCGTCCGTATCCCGTGTCTCCTGGCCATATTGGCCCTCGAGGCATTGCACGTCTCTATGGGTTGCGGTCGCAATATAAAGTGTGCCGCCACTTGGAGGACTGGCAATGACCTACGAACCGGTCCCTGCAAAATACATGAATCTCCGTATACAAGAACAACCTAAGTCGACAAGAGGCCCTCTCACCCCTGGATCCAACCCCGGTCCGCAACAGCAGCAGTCACACAAAGTCATCGCAATCGCAAAGCAAATGACACAATGCTGATCCTCATCGCCGGCGTTTCAGGCCTGCTAGGCAAGATCCTCGCCCGCACAGGGCTGGAAAAAGGCCACCGAATCCGCGGGTTCGGCCGCAGCCCGTCCAAAATCCCAGCGGAGCTTCTGGACAAGTTCGAATCGTTCGTCGAATGCGAATACTATGAAGACCGCCTCGCGCTCGACAAGGCTGTGTCGGGCGTCGATGCCGTCATTTGCTCCTACACCGCGCACGCAGAAGCAATTCTAGACTCGCAGCTCGCCCTGTTGCGGGCTGTCGAGCGAGCGGGTGTCAAGGTCTACCACGCCCACTCTTGGAACCCGGACTGGTCCAGGACCAGCCTGGGCGACTGGGAACACTACGACGCGTACATCTCCTTCCGCCGACACGTCGAGCTCACTTCGACGCTCAAGCCGGTGTACACGTTCACGGGAATCATAGGGGAGTACGCCGTCAGCAAGATCGTGGGGATCGCGCACGTCGAAGACGATGCCGACACCGACACCGACGGTAACGGTGGTCGCAAGACGGTCGCATACTATGGAGACGGCACGGCCAAGTGGGATTTCACGTACCTGGACGACGCGGCCCGCTTCAGCATCGACTTGATCACGACGAATCCGTCCGTCCTCGCGGGCGAAGGGGGAATCTTCCGCATCCACTCGGCGGCCGCAAGTGCTCTCGACGTCGCCAGGGCGTACGAGGAGAACACTGGGCAGGGGGTCGCCCTCAGGTCTCTGGGCACCGCCGAGCATTTGCTCCAGAAATACAGGGAGGCGCGGGCGGCCACGAGGGATCCGAGACAGTACTTTGTCTATGGACCCTACTATGTCCACGCTGCGAATATAATGGGCCTCTGGAGGCTGGACAACCCCGTCGAAGTTGGTTCGGTTGACGCCGTGAATCGCCTGTTTGATCGGCAGATTGACATAGCGGCAGATTTGCTTGAGTGAACTCCGAGGTCACCTCTTCTTCCACAGAGAGGGAAAATTAAATAAAACGCCATCGAGACGATCACTTTCAATCCGTCCATACTAAGATGATGCAATTAAATACCTTTGGCAAGGAGGGAGGAGAACGCTAAAGCAGCCTTGGAATTATGCGGCTTCGAAGTATAGAGTTGCACAGGTAAACCCCCAGCAAGAGCATCTAACTTGGTTTTGTCCAGCTGTAACGCCGCGACAGCCATCTTTACCTGCGGGCTACTCTTGGGTACTGTTAGGTCAGGCAAAGGCAATAAGTTGGTAACGATATAGTAACCCAAATATGGACGTGAGAGATCAGCCGAATATTACAAAGGCCTCTCACGTCGGGGAGCATCTCGGGTTGCAGTAGCGAGACTCAAGGCCTTGTTCAAGTCCGGACATGGAAATTGAAAGTTCCCGTGTCGTGATTCCGACGTCAAACTCCCTGTTCTTGGATCGAGAGATACTTCTAGGAGATTAATCTCACTCTGGATTTCTTTTTGTTTCTGAAGCTGTGGAAATCTATCATTCTAACCATTCCCTGTTTGTTCTCGTCTTTGAGTCCTTGACGAATTTTCGGATGTTCTCAAAAGGAACACCAATCATTTTCTCTCTCACACAACAAGAAGTCATTAAGTGACTAGAGCTCACCCAGCCACTATCGGCTCGCTGTCTGTGACCGTGGCTGGGGGCTCGAGTCAATAGGCAGGCCACCCCTCAATGAAGCACAAGAGTATCATTGCCGACGTCCTCAGCAGTGTAGATGTTGCCAATGACGGTGCCGTCGGCTCCCATTATGTTCTCACCCTTGAAGTAGCACTGGGCGTAGACGGCCGGCTTAATCCGGCACGATTTGGGGCTCAGGTTGGTGCATCGGCATCTGGTGCTGCACCACCAATCGTAGCCGCGAGCGATGAGCTTACCGGTAGAGTCGCAGGAGTATCCCTTTCTCGTGCAGGCGTTGGTGTAGGTTCTATCGTCCTCGCAATTGAGAGCCCAGCTGTGGCGGCGGCCGAATTGGTGAGACGTGTTGTAGTGGTGAGGGTGTCCTGTCGACTCGGGGCCGGGGTGCGCGAGGACGGGATAGGAGGGGGACGGGAAGGAGGTCTGAAGGTGGTGGTGATCCATAGCTTGGGCCTTCCAGACTTGTGGTGACGAGCTGGGGGCGGGAAGATTTCCAGCATCGGCACCTGCGACTGCGACTGCGACGACGGGTGAGACAGGTGAGATGAAGTTGGGTGCGGCCTTGTCAAACTCGAACGTCTGCATGGAAGTGCTGTCGTCAACATCATCGCCGTCTGGGACCGGAGCCGGAGCAGCAGTGACCATCAACGCAGAGAGGAGACCGAAGATGACAATGACCGAGAGGGTGAGAGTGAAAGCTGTTTCTTGGAGTTAGCGAGCCGTGTCATTGTTCAGTGTGATGTGGCGCTGTCGCAAAGCGAAGCGGTGAGTACGTACCTCTCATCTTGCCTTTTGTCATGTTGAACATGTCGGCGATGGATGGATGAAATTGGTATCTAGAGCCGTTCTCTTCGTTCGCGGTGTCGCGGCAGTGTCGATTGAAGCTCAGTTCGAGTGTTAAAGGACGGGGGAAGATAGCATAGAGTGGCGGGTTGCGGTAGTGACTGGTGGGATTAGAAGAAAGAGAGGAAGGAAAAAAGGGAACGCGATAGTGTTGAAATAGGGCTCAAGGCCTCAGATGTGAACGGTTGTTGTGAATGTTGACGATGGCACACTTGGACATTGGGGATTGGGCCAGAGTGAAGCATTCACTGCGCTTTGCGCATCATCTCACTTGTCTTTCATCTCATCCTCACTGTATCAACTTCGACAGTGTTTGCTGTGCGCCCTCATCTCTTGTGGTTCACAGGGATCAGGGCTGGCCAATCTCAAGATTCTCCCAGCCTCAGCCAGGTGGAGTGATTGGGAATCGAGGAATTGTCTCATGGCTGGAACAACGGCGGTAGCAGCTTCACTTTATCCTCATCCCGCTCCATGCAAACCTAACCCACTCACATTCTTGTCTGCTGCCATGTCTTGTTGTTGTGCATGCGCAATGTACCTGACCTGACTCACCACTTTTCCCAGCGTCGTGATTGGCAGCTTCTGGAGTGACGACAACCCGACGGGCATCGTCAATGCATCTCATCGGAAATGCACTGACCCTGGTTCAGGTACCTAGATGACGGCTTCAGATCCGGTCCGCCTCAACTGAAACGTGTCCATTTATTTATGTTGGGCTGTATGAATGTTCCTTGCCATTCGAGCGAGGCAGTTGTATGTGCCACGTGGGCAATCATGACAATCAGACCAATTGTGATGCATCCGCTGTGGCGAGACATGGACTATACATTTCCATATTGGAGGCGGTCGGAAACATTGCACATCATGCTCCGCCATCAATCTACTGCAGGCTGTGCAGCAGACTGTCGATGTGTCATGTCACGCCCTCGCTGTTCAGGCGCCCGCCAACCTATTGCATTTTTCGAAAGGGCCCAAAGTATCCCCACAGAGCATCTGCACATCAAGAGACGAGAACAAATTGGCCCAGGCAGACGGGTCAGAATTCGCTTCGCCTTGCATGCCGTTATCCCAAAATCCATCAAAGGAAAGAAGATCACCGATGAGGGCGAGCACGGGCTCTATGCGTATCGTTAGTGTCTGTGTCTGCAGTCTGAGTTAGACATGTATGTACACCTAATGAGCAGTCTCAGGTGCGTGGTGTGTGTCTGAGATGTTACTGAGCACATAATATACCTGGGCACCTAGGTCCCTCAGGTAGACATTATCCACCTCTCTGGCATAATAGCCTGCTTCACAACACAGACTTCCACAAGGCTGAAGAGACTAAGGCGGCGTAGCGAGTAAAGCATCGCAAGGCTGGAGGAGAGACAAGGCTGAGAAAGCGGAGATTTGCTGGCGATGTTTACTTTATGCCCGATTTGGCTGCGACAACGCGCCCCTCAATGAAATATACGACAGCCAGCAGCAAATCTCACACAGATGTGACAGAGTCTGAAATTCATATATTGCATTATGCAGATTCCGAATATTACAACTCCCCAATAACACTTACCTTAACTTCCCCCATGGAATCTACCACGAATGCCTTCCGCGCTGAGCTGAACTCGCCCGCACCAACACCGCAGACATTGCGCTTCCTGCGTTCGATCCTTTATCAAGATGGTAACGCAGCTCAAGAGTCCAAGAGCTGTTCAAAGAAAGCCCAGAATGTCACGAAGAAGCCAGCTAGGCCTCGGCAGCCAGGAAACGCCAAAACAAAGCCTTTGCGCAAGGGCGAGTCAAGCTTCCAGATACATGTTGCAGCCAGAAATGAGACCTCAGAGCTATCCCCAGGCGAACGACGCAAACTCGCCACCGAGGCTTTAAACACCGCTCTGAGGAGACTAGGACAGGCTGCGAAAGCTGCAGGGACTGCCCCAAAGCCATGCACGGCTGCGGACTCGCCCCCGAAGCAATCTCAGGATGTCAAGCCGCTTCACGATCGTTCGCCCAATAAAGGGACGAGGAACAGAAATGCAGAACCTGAGAAAAAGACACCTTCCACTGGAGCAGGTGGCCTGGAGGTGACTGTTGAGTGCGCCCAACTGGCACTGCGGTTTCTGCGTGACAGCCAAAAGCGGGCAAAAGAAGCAGCTGGAGACGCTTCATTAAACACCGAGAATGCCGCGTTGGCATTATTGGACAAAACCGTCACTCTCGGTCTCGTCCAGCAAGCGCAAGATCAGCTGAGCGAAATACACAAGCAGTATTGGGGAAACTTTCAAAGACCGCTTCCACCAGAGAAGTCTCTCGCACGACTCTTGCTAGGACGTCCAGACGCGGCAGATCAGCACTCCGAATTACGATTCACCATGTCAATGCAAAGCCAAGGACTCCGCCTTGCAATCCTGGCCGGCGCAGAATCTCTTCGCAGTAATGCACTGATCCACTCGCTGCATTTGATGACTGTGGGAAGTCCACCTTGGGTTACTTTGCAGGGCTTCAAGAATGGCCTCCACGACGCTGAAGCGACGGGAATGCAGTTACGGACCATATCACTTGCCTTGTCGAAGCTGTACTCGACTACGCTAAAGTCCCCACGCGCATCGTCCCCAATGGCGCAGTTCGAGCTATTCTGCATAGCACTTGATATCAAATTCAGTTCGTGGAAACACCTGCATAATACAATTGATCCGTCCAGAGATGTCTGGCGCCCTTTCCAGAGCGCTGCAAAAAGAGCTTTGTCCGCTACACAAGATGCAGCAGAATCTATAGCCATCATTGTGCGTTATCTACTCTTATTTCAAGGCTACCTAAAAGACGCAAAGTACGATAACAGCATTCCTCCCACAATTATCGATACTCTATCACAATTTCCCCGTGAACTTCAACCTCCTACGGAGCTCCTAGACTTTTTCGAGGATCAGATCCAGACAGCGAACGAAGTTGATGTTCTTCCAATGCACTGTCTGGTCGCCCACTGGAGGCTGAAGGACTATTCGAAATCAACAACTTCCGTGCTCGAAGCTGTTAGCAGAGTTGAGGGAGCTTTCCAAAAATACTCCAGCGGCTCTGGATCCAGCCTTGAGCGTGTTTTACTCTGCGCGGCGCACCTTCGCAAGACCGTCGTCGAGGCGGTCGCTAGCATCGCCACCTCTCGCACAGAGGACAGACCGTTGACTTCTTTGTGCGAAAGTGCGCTTTCACTGTTATACTGTTCGTGTACAGTGCTATGCACCCAAGTACTTTCGAGATTGAGCTGCGTTGAGGGGAATAGCAACGATTCTACTGTACAGGCCTTATTCTCTACACTAGTCAAGAACATCGAGGCTGTCTTGGATGTTGATAGGTACGTCACGGCAAAAACATCAGACACCGCAGAGGAAGCTTTGAGAACATGTTCCGCAACGTTGGACCGGCTTCAGCTCCACATCTCAGGCACGCCTATGTTTGCCTCTATGTGCCACATGGTCGGTCACTTGCGTGTACGGCTCTCGAATGCCTGGTGGTCTCGTTACCTCAATGCTGTCAAAAGGAGGAGCCTTCAAGAACAGTTACAGGCCTTGAAACTGTCGGTACATGGCCTTGCAACGTTGTCTAATGATCAGCAGAAGGCTGCCTATCTTGGACTCAAGCACGAAAGGCTTGCTTCATGTTATATTGATCTAAGCGATCTTGTTATGGCCCGTGCTGCCATTACAAGCGCCTTTGATTTTTACCTTAGCGAAGGAGCTCTCGACGAGATCGTCGATTTATCTTTGAGAGGGCCTTTTGATCGAGCGTGGTCTGAATCTCAGACCAAACCCAAAATTTTCACGAAGATCCTTACGACTTATACTCGCTTGACTCTGCAACTATCCTCCACAGTCGCAACCACGCACCTTCTTCTGGATCGCGAGTCATTGGCTCCGGCTAATCGTGCGATTTTGTTGGAAAAGCAGGTATATACCTTGGCTGAGGCAGAGTTGACCAAACCTCAATTCAGAATTGGTGCTACTTCGACACAGCTTCTCTTGGATCTCCTCCAGCAAGACCAATATCGGGTATGCAGATTGAGACTCGCCAGTAATCTGCTGTACTGGGCCCTGAAGAAGAGGCTTTCCCCAGTGCAGTGTCTTATTGACCCAGCAACTGTCAACAAGCTCTTGCAAAGTGAACAAACCCAGCAAGAAGGCATCTTTCTACATCCATACGAGTCGGGGCTTCGCTCTGTCATCTCACTTCAACAAGGTCTTTTTCTAGGCGGGACGACTAGCAAACAGCTAGAAGTATCGCTGCGGAAACTATTACAGTTAATCTCGCAATGCAGGAATGCCAACGATCTAAGCAAGTTTTTCGACAACCTGGAAGTGGTAGCCTCAGCTGTTCGTTCTTCTGTCGACTATGCCAGTTACCTGGAAAACTACGTGGCCAAGTCTTCAGCCTTAGAGATTCTGAGCTGCATGCAGGACTTTGGCACCCAGTTTCGGGAGTCATCGAAATTGTCTATTCTTCTGCAGCGCGCAGAACTCCATGACAATATACAGGATCCAACGTCGGCTGCGAAATTCTTTGCTCAATTTGAGACAACCCTAGAAAGTGAACCAACTGACGATGTCCTTGAGGCTGAATTTGCCCTGGCATACGCAGAGCACCATCTCGAGGCAAATAATAACGATCAGTGCTTCCGCTGGATTGAACGCGCCCAAGCCAAATGGAAAAATTATCGAACATTTACGAAATCTAGCCATATGCGTCTTCGCGAACAGACTATCCTCTGTCGTGCTGCCATTATCACATCGCGAGCCACTTTCCGCCGAGGTGAGCTCCTGGAAGCGATTATCAACGGCAGGCAATCGGTCAAGATTGCAGCAGCTCTTTGGATGTCGCTCGAAAAGGTATGGAATGTCGACGATAATGTGGTGAGGGATGACTCCAATGACTCAAGCCTGCACAACTTGACAGTTGATTTATCGAAGCTCGAGCTGTCGTTGCAACCCACTACCGGATTGGCCCCTGATACAGCACGGTTTTGGCGTCAGATTGGGCTACATAACTCCGCTTTCAGAAACCTGGCATCGCTTACTGCTCACTGTGGTCTTTATCAAGACGCTGTATACTTCTACGAACAGGCGTTAAGAGTTGCAAAGAAGACAAAATCATGGTCTCAAGTAAACTTAATATCGAGCGAGCTTGCTTTGGTTCATGCACGTGCCGACGAATTCAACAAAGCTGAGGCGGCAATTCTAGGAATGACATCTGATTCCTTGGATCAATCGAGCTCAATTCCCCAAGCACAGGCTGCCATCAACCAGGGTGAACTCTACCTGCGTCTGAATAATCTCTCGCTCTGTCATCGGTATATTGATGATGTGGTTCGGTCACTAGCATCGAAGGCGAGTTCAGTGAATTCACAAATGAAGGCACCCCAGAAGGAGAGGGTGAAAAGCTTGAAACCGCAATCACGGGCCGCAGCCAAGATACCAACTGCACAACCGAGAGCAAAAACCGTCCCTAAATCTGAACGCGACACTCATGACAAGTCGCCCACATATGCACAGCCTCAGGCTTTGAAGGAGTTGGCCCATCAAGTTGCTGCTCTCCAGATGAGGCTGAACTTGGTGAAAAACACTACAGATATGACAGCAATAGAAGACGATCTCTCAACGACATGGAGCAACAATCAGGAATGGAACAATGCAACAGTAGAAGCTCTGGGCTTGGTTCAGTCTGCCTTGAGGATTTTTGCTCAGGATACAAGCACCAATGTACTCGCAGAGACAGCGATGGCTCTTCCCGTGAGATATAAGTCTGCTAGAAAGAGTGGAAGATTTTCGTTTGTGCAGAGAGCAGCATCTCCCAGCTTGACCAAAAAGACAGCACGTGGTACGAAGGAGAACCGCAGTCGAGGGGGACAAGAATCTGCCCAAGACGGTAAGGAACTGTTGGTTCGAGCGTATGAAACTCTTGAACGAATGAAGGACACCGCTGAAGCTGAAATATCCTCCGAAGAGGTTCATGCAGCTCACAAGCTCTTGACCAAGGTAAGCTTGCTCTCAACATCGTTGGGTCAATCTCTTGTCAGTTCATCAATGGATCTTATCCTCGACGTGCTGGCCCCTATGGACATTGCAAGGGCTCGCGAGCGGTTGGTCATTGAGAGTGAACAGGTTACCTCTAGTACGGCATTTGTTCAAAGTTGGCCGAAGATCAATAGCTTCAGGGATTCGCGCACAGCAACACATTGGCAGTACAATGCTGACCTCGATACCGGAATGCTTCCGAGATCATGGTCGGTAGTCTCTCTGTGCCTGAGTGAGGATCGCAGCGAGCTACTTGTCTCACGAATCAACTCACACCGCTCGCCATTTGTTATCAGAATCCCGTTGTCTCGACCAGACATGTCAGAAACAGAGAACGAAGACCTCGATTTTGCCAGTGCCAAGGCAGAAATGCAACGCATAATAGCTGCAGCAAACATATCAGCGCACGACTCTCGTGGAAGCTCACCCGATAAAACAGTTAGAAAAGCGTGGTTTGCCGAACGACAAACTTTGGATCGACAGCTGGCACTTTTGCTTGAAAACATTGAGAATGTATGGTTTGGTGGCTTTCGCGGACTGCTGTGCGCGTCTGATGTGGACGAAGAGTTGTTGTCAGACTTCGGGCAGATCATTTCCCGCACACTCGACCGGCATCTTCCATCCAGACAGAAATCTTCTAAGCACACTGTCGACAAGGTTGAACTACACAACCACGTGATGGAACTGTTTCTTACTCTCGGCAATCCTGAGACGATGGAACTAGAGGATTCCATAACCGATTTACTGTACTTTGTGGTGGATATCCTCCAATTCAACGGCGAGAAGAATGCTTACGACGAAATCGATTTCGATGCGATGTTGGTGGAAGTCCTGGATGCACTCCAGACATACCACAATCAGAAGTCAAAACGCGCGGCGGAGCGCAGTCATACGATAATGATCTTGGACAAGGCATTGCAACTGTTTCCGTGGGAGTCCATGTCGTGTCTGAAGGGACGGTCCGTGTCGCGAATGCCATCTGCGGCTGCGGTTTGGACGCGATTGCGACAGATGCATGACCAACCACACGATCAAGATGGCATTGTCATCCCGAGTTCAGACGGTGCATATATTCTCAACCCTTCGTCGGACCTCGTGTCGACCCAAGATACGTTCGAGCAGCTCTTCAAGAGCCAACTTCCCACGTTCGAAGCAATAGTCAGTCGACCCCCGAAAGAGCCGGAGTTCGAGAGCATTCTGCACGACAAATCTTTGATGCTTTATTTTGGACACGGAGGAGCTGCCCAATACATTCGAGGCCGGACGATCCGCAAGTTGGACAAATGTGCGGTCACAATGCTCATGGGTTGCAGCAGTGCTAAGATGACTGAATGTGGAGTGTACGAGCCATACGGCATGCCCTGGAATTACATCAACGGAGGCAGCCCGGCTGTGGTAGGAACACTGTGGGATGTGACAGATCGTGATATCGATCGCTATGCCATGGAGGTGATTGCAGAATGGGGATTGATCGAGTGCGATGGTGTCACAGATTCAAAGACCGGCTCCAGGAAGAAGGCCTCTGCAAAGGGCCACAGCACAGCAAAGGGGCGCTCTATCACACAGCAGCGTGGAAAGGTTTCGTTGGACGAGGCGGTGGCACACGGACGGGATTCATGCTTGCTGAAGTATCTGAATGGAGCTGCGCCCGTAATGTACGGAGTCCCGGTCTTTTTAGAATGAATTGAGTTGGGTTTGCCCGGAGACTATGTCAGAGAGCCTAGAAACGCAGTCCAGGTGAATTCAGGCAAGGGGTCCATGAGGCCGGGGTGGGCAATGCAGCATTCGTATTCGTACAGTAACTTTTGTGTACAGTATGTCGGAGAACATTGTCCGGTATCCCAGTGTGAAAACAGTGCTAGACCTTTATGGGCGACACTAAGTACGCCGTTCAGCCACTATATTGAAACAGTTAACCCTACTGCCTAAATCAGCCTAGTGAGTGTGAGGTGCTCGCGAGCTAATCATCATTTTAGTTGCTTCAGATCCCTTATCTTATTAGTGGAAACCAAGTTCCTCGTATTACTCGTACAGTCGTACTGTGAGCGCCGGTCCTTTAAAGTGTCAGCCTCAATATCAAGGCAACCAGCAACCAGCATCCATTCATTCACTCATCCTCATCGCTTGAACCCTGAGCTTCTTCCTCCTCTCTCCCTTGCCTTCGATATTACACCGCTTCTCACGTCCTTTTTCGTCGTCCTCATCTTCTATGCAACTCGACTCTCATCGTCGCCAATCCAGCACCACCATGCCTTGCCGTTGGTCCCGCCGCTGCGGAGCAGCAGGTCACAATGTGCCGACTACCCTCCCTTCACCCACCTCGGCCCCGGACGTCGAAGACTGGAAAAAGATCCGTAAATATCACTTGAGAAACATGAGAAAGCAGGTCCGCCAGGTCGTGCTGTTGATGGCGCTGATGGAGGCAATCCGCGTCGGACCCCTTCAACTGGTCTACGCCAGTACACATGGCTTTCCTGCGAACGGAGCCGATGACTTTGGCGTACGTTTGGGTCCTTCCAATGAACGATATGGGTGGGCGACATGCAACGGTACCGCTGACACCAGATTGATTTGACAGATTGCACACGCCGTGGGCTACTTTGTCAGCTGGCTGTACCTGTGTGTCTTTACCATCGTCTTCGTCCCCTTTTTCAGCGTAAGTGACACATCTCATCCTGCCCTCGCATGGGGAAGAATGCAGTCTCAAAACTAACACGTGTCGATGGGCATAGTGGTGGCTCCCTAGCATGGGCTCGGACGATCCGGAAAACCCCTCGACTGCCGACACCTTCGTCAAGGTCCTGACCAAGATCAACCTGATCCTCCTGCCCATGTCCGCCGGAATCAGCCTCATTACGTATGCGTACCATGCTGTTTCGGCCTTCATCTACGTCGACTCCCGTACCCGTGACAGCAAACGATTCCCAAAGAACACCCGCAAGAACTGGCTCGTCCGCTTCTTCATGCTCGTCGGCATCGCCGTAGCCACTGCCGGTGGATACGGCGCCTTCAACATCCTGGCCGCATGGGACCTCGCCCACGTCAAGACAATCGAGTATGCCATCATCGTTGTCCCGGTCCAGATCAACCTGGGCATGCTCTTTGGTACCGTGGCACAATTCAAGATGGAGAAGAGACTGGCCAGGAAGGAAGCCTTGAAACTCGAGAGCGCCAGGCGAGAAGCAGCAAGCGTCGACGAGAAGGCTAGTCTCTTGCAGGTCTAGAGTGCTGTCTGAAACCCACATACATTCTCCGTCTCGCACAGAAGAAACCACGCCATGCTCAGTTTTCTTATCTCATCGTGACCAGGGGCTACCGCCTTTCATGTCAGGGGTGCCGACTTTGACGCGCACCCGATGGTGTTCGCCGACGTGCCAAAAGGCCAAGGAGCCTGTCCTTGCAAAGCGTGGTGGCATTCAAGGCCAAGTGTGGCGCGCGGACATGGTTGGTCTGCGACGTGCAACGCGTGCGTCTAGACAAGAAAGGACCAATGCGGGTGATCGAGATGAGAAGAAGCGGCTCTACTGAGCGCTGGCTCTCAGGGAGCGCGAACTTTGGCTCGATCGCAGATTCTGGTGCTGTGCTCCTTTCCTTTGGAGCAGGTGCTTGGGTTGGCTGGACGAGGCTTGTCTGTCGGGCTGTTGCAGTTACAAAGCTAGAGAACACTCGCTCGATTATCTCCTTTTACTGTCTCTCTCTATCTTAGCTCTGCCTCGGCCAGGCTACATATGATAATGCACATTATTATAGGTAAGGTTGATTGATGTCAAATTCCCCCGAGAGAGGGTAGGTAGATCAAAGCAGTTCTGGAATACCTTCCACTCTACGACGTGAAGGCAAAGTACTACTAATGACACGGTGAAAATGTACTCTGTACACTCGGCAGTAATGGTATTATTACGCATAGTATATGTGTACCGACAAGAATGCCTCGTGCAAATACATGTATATGTTCACGTGCAGCAACGTATAGGTGTAGATATAGGTATGTATGTATCCGTGTGTATATGATATGCGCGCAAGCTTCCGAAACGCCAAGTACCCAAGTGAGCAATCATGCCATGTCATGTCATCTCTCTAGGCCCACGAGGTCGTTCACCCTCGCGTCTCTGCCTGGACCGCTCCCGCAGACGTTCTTCTTCGCGTTCTCGCTCCCTCTCTTTCCGTCGGGCTCGTTCCCTTTCTCGCCGCGCGTGTTCACGCATCGACCGCGACGGGGTGACGGAGGGACCAATCACTTTTGGCCCACGTCCGGCCGTGGATCCCTTGGGGGAAGGCGTCCCGGCGGGGTCTTGCGACTGCGCTCGAGGCCCGCCGAGGATCTCGTAGCTGTAAGTCGATGCCTGCCCCGGTGACGACGGCGGAGAAGACCTCGGTGACCTCGGGGACGTGGGTTGAGTCCATGGGGCGATGCGGTAGTATGAGCTCGGGTCGCTGGTGGTGCCTGCGGACCTGGACGAGGAGGGGCTGAGGAGCGCTGGAGGAGCCGTCTGGAGGTGCGGTGGTGGTCGTGAGCCTTGGGGGCGGAGGGGGGATCTGGGAACGGCCGACTTCGTAACAGCAGCAGCACTAGTAGTGGGTGTGAGAGGCGAGTCTGCGAGTTGAACTATGCTTGACCTCTGAGAGTCGGCTTCGGGGATTATGGCGAGGTCGAACGGTGTACGGGAGCGAGATTGTGAACGCCAACGAAAATGGGTGCGAGAATGCGGTTGCTTTTGTGGGCCGGAAGAGATGTTGGGACGAGGGCCGGAGGGGCGGGCTGCGGGAGCTGGAACCGAAGGTAGTGGTGGGAGAGGGAGGGGTTTGGTATAGTTGTTATCCTCATCTTCTTGTTCAGGTTCGTCGTCGACCGTTCTCACCGTGGAGATGGACGGCGAGGGAGGCGCCGGTTCGTATATAGATGACTGGCAGGAAAGGGTTTCGTGCGGAGTGATGGCTTCCTCGTCTGATTGATGCCACGTAGTCGTGCTGTGATGGGACGACCCGGCATCGCTGCTACATGGCCTCAGTTCGAATGTCGCTGTCTTCTTTTCAAAGGTCGGCGAATTTTCGTTGAGAGTGCTGGGACTGTGTGGTGGATTGTGCTCGGAATAGTTGGCACGGTGTCGGTAGGCTTCAATCCTGGGCCAAGCCTGTGCCAACAGATGGCGGATCGAAGGTAGACAGGCACATATGATTCCAACATTCACTTCGACCGTCGACCAAACTGCTATGGATGGATCGATTTGCTGAGTTACAGTGGCCGAGTACACCGCCGTGAGACGGATGATTGATGCTATACAGACACTGGAAGATAGTCAGTCAGTCGTTCTGAAGTCAAGGGCACCAAACTGGTTCAAGTCCGCTTACAAGAGTCCTAGGACGAAGACGCAAGACAAAATGCAGAGTTGCTGGCTGGGTAGTTGCAATGCTCGTAGCACCGGTATAGGCAAAATCAAGACGATAATGTCGGTCGCAGAGTTGAAAGATGCGTTGAACAGCCAAAACGCCAAGAAGTGAATACACCTCCCACTGGACTCTTGGTTGTTCCAGCTGAAACTGATAGGTTGACATGAGAAAATGCCGACGAAGAAAGCGGTGACTCCGTAAATGGTGATGATGGCACCCAAGGCCCAGCATGCTCGCCTGTACCCGATGTCCTTTGAAAATCGAAGATACTGTAACAAGAGCGAGTCCTTGAGAAGTAAGACGGCGAGATTGTAGGTGAAATTCGACGCCCACAATTGCTTGAGCAGCGTCGTCATGCCACTTGCAGCTTCCGATGATGAGGAAGACAAGCCTGAAGGGCCATTGTCGTTTCTCTCTGGGCACAAAGCATCAGAGCTCCAGTCTTTGGAGACATCAGACAAGAGTCAACTTACGTTGATGAGCAACTACCGCGAGTGCCACAGAAGCGCCCCAAGCAAGGGCGATGAGGCCATCATCAGGTCCAACATGCTTGACGAAAGCAATACGTGCCACAAACCGAACCAGGACAAAACAGCCCGACAACACCCCCAACGCAATTGCCGATGCGACCGCGGATTCAAAGGAAGTCATGCTGTTCAGTTCACATTGCTGCTTGTCTCTGCAACCTCAAGCTCCGGTAGCTTTCTTTTTATGCAATCACAAGTTCAAACCGCAGAGGCTTCTTTGTGTCTTTCTCTCGACACGAAAACACTCGTAGTAGCGCCGGATGGGACGAAACAGAAAAACGCAAGACGCCTCGAAGCATCGACAATGGGCTAGTATCAGCCGGGCTTAATAAGAAACTAGGACTCACCATGGCCTTTTCGGCTGCTGTAGCAATAGAACGAGTGCAAACACGAGGTGCGTGGGCAACCATGGTGACACGCACAGATCATGAGGTCCGTCCGCAGCTCGACGACAGGTACGGCGGAGCTGAAGGTGACAAGGGCCATATTGTATATAGAAGTTCTAGAGCCTGACAGTATCCGAGGATCCTCGTGGTGTCTGGCAACAGAGCTCTTCACGTAGGATTAGACGAAAACAAGATGAAGGAGGAGGCTTCAGTTTACGAGACTAACAGAATGTTGTTGTTGGATGTGGATGTACGATTACTGACAGTACTTCAGGTAGTTATTGGTCCTTACGAATTGACTTTGCGGGAGTGTTGGCCTGGAACAAAGTTTTTCCGCCTTCCCCCAGCCGAAGAGAACAAGGCTTTGAGCACAGATCAATCACATCAGAACTAGTCGATCTATTGTTGATTCTGGACTCGAGAAAGACCTTGCAGAAAGAAAACTTTAAGGTACCAAGGACATGAAGTACTTTCGCGTGATTGTCTGGGCATCGGAGAACGTGGTTTTGTAACCTCTACTCTCCCTCCATATCGCTGCGGCTCAAGGTATCATTCTCTCGAGGCTCACTAGGCGTGGGACGCAGACCCTGGGCCATTGTGTCTGAGAATACAACTGCTTCTTCAGTATATCTTGCTTTTAGAGAGTATGTCAGATCTAAGAGGCCTTTTTGGAGCGAGAGTTTCCCTAATATCTAAATAGAAAAGCTGAGTTGATTAATACGAAGAGCCCTCATACATAGTCCCGGGACCACGAGAGCATGTTTTTCGTGGAGCGTATCAATTTATTACAGATGCGGAGGCTTCTGCAGGACCCAAGCTCCTGCTCCCAGAATGCCACCATCCTCACTTTGTCCGTCCATGCTCCATTTTCGAAGAGGGCCACACCCAAGATCTGTCCTGTACCCAGCTTCAAACATTTCCATGCCTGTCCATCCAATCATTGCAGCGTTATCCGTGCACAGCTCGACGGGCGGGAAAACCAAATTCACTTTGTCAAATGATCGTAGGTCAAGCATCCGACGTAGATGCACGCGCAAAAAATCATTCGCAGCGACTCCCCCGCTGACCACCAGCGTTGATATTTGTACTCCCTGATCTCGAAGACTTGCAAGCGCGATGATGGTCCGAGAACCGAGATGCTCAAATGCGGTGCCTAGAGCTGCTCGAGAAAGTAAAACCCTCTCCTCTTTACTCATGGGAGTTCGGCCATGCTGACCGTCACGATCAGCCACGATTCGTTTGATCTGACTCGAAATGCCCGAGAAGCTGAAGGCCAAATCTCGGTTCTTGGCCATGGGAGTCATTATGCTCCAACCAAAGTTGTTCGGTGGCCGTTCGATTTCCTCCTGACGATTCCGAGGTACGCTCCAGGATTCGAAATCCGCCGGACTTTGAAACGCATAAGCCGAGAGATATTTCCCAAAGCTAGTATCAGGCGCATTCTGTTGGACTTCCAGAGGTAACAACATGCGCCCGCACTTATCCAGCTCATCTCCTATAGCTGTATCGGAAGTTGAAGCGAGAATCTCGTGCTCGAGCAAGCTCTTCGAATGGAGAAGCATGGTATGTCCGCCACTGATCAATAATGTCAAAAAGGGGAAATCTGGCTGCAAAGATCTCGCATCATGCCTTTCTATAGCATTGGCAAGCCTCGGTGTGAGGGCATGGGCTTGCATGTGATGGACCCCCAGCAATGGTACTTGCCATGCCGTAGCAAGTCCCTTTGCAGTATTAAGACCAACGGCAAGGTTCTGGTTCATCCCCGGACCTCGTGTAACGGAAACAAAGTCAGGTTTCTCCTTAATCTGTCCATCTCTGAGTCGGAGTTGCTTTTCCACTGGCGAAGACTGATCCGCCTCGGGGAGAAAGGGAAGAGATGTGTCGATCAATTTGGCAAGGTGTAGTTGGTGGCTATTCAGCGCTTCTGGAGGCCATATGCCACCCTTGCCAGTATTTCGAAGAGTGACCTTCTCATTGAAGAGTAGATGTGCTTGAACGCAGCCAGAAGGGGCAGGAGTCGTGGATTTGGACAGAATTGAGACGCATGTATCGTCGCAGGAGGATTCAATCGCTAGGGTCAGGAGACTGCGCCGTGGCACAGCTGTGGATATTGTCAGCAGACATGATGAAAACCTAGGCTTCACCGAACGAATACCATGCAGCATCGACGGAAAAAGGAATATAGAATACCTCTCCAAGATTGGCGGAACTAATGTGTAGTTGTTAGAGCATTGTATTGTAACAGCAGGCTAGTAAATTGCGCTTTGGTGCGTCGAGTACGAAGGGAACCGTCCTACTGTGAGCCATTGAATCAACAAACGCTGTTGGATTCATGTTTGCACCAAGTCTTCCGCCACGTCTCTTGGGCACCCTTTTTTGGCAGACCGGCTGTCGACTGGATTCTTGGGTGATCTCCAGTCGCTGGTTCAAAATTCAACACCCTTCGAATATCCAATGCACGCTCCCTTGTGTGAGGGTTTCTGGGAATGCTCCGTTTCTGTCGAACTTCTCGCGGCTCGATTGGCCAATACCACAGGATTTCAAAGGTTCACCTACCTCGTTCAACCTTCGCTTTCTGGCGCGATTTCAGCCAGCATATGCGATACACCATGTCACATCATGCTCAAGCTGCGGATTGATTTGAAACCGGCCAGCAATCTTATGGAAACTAGCGTTCTACAAGCACTCGCCTTACGCGTTGTTCCAGATGGTTTTTCAAGAATTGATAGATGTGTCTCGCCAACCTTCTTGCTCCGGTAATGGTTTTTGGGACAAGATGGGGGGTTTCAGCTACCAGGTACTCCTGGAACAGTTGATCTCGCCTGCAATGTTCCGATGAGAACCGGTCTTGATTCGTTCCAATCTTCCTTTTGGGTGAGCTGACTCCAACAAGACAAACTACAGAGATGAGGCAAGAAAGCCCTTCTCCTCTTCCTGGAGATGCTTGAGACCAGTACCCATGATTTGGCGCTTATAAGCCAGATTCGTGTCTTTCTTTACCTGATACAGCACAGCACAAATCAGGAATTAGACTTCAGTACAGGTTCAAGTCTGCTCTGGCAACGGGCCATCAATCTGGCCTCGGATGTCTGTACTCTCAGGTCAGTGTATGAGAAAGCCACCCGCGATAACCCTTCGCGATCTATATATTCGTAACTGAACCTTCTTCTGTTCCTGGGTTGTTGTCTATATCATTTCCTTTCCACTTTGTTCTTCAGCGTTAGTACTAGTCGCTTCGTCGACACCACATTCGTTTAGCATCATGCATTATACCCTCACCCAGTCACTCCTTACCATTGTCTTTCTCTTTAATGCTTGTTTTCTCAGCAATGTCAACGGCCTTGCGAGCACGGATACAATTACATGGGGTGGTTCCAATGACAGGACTGGCTATCAGAATAATCACAACATGGACCCGGCGATTGTCGGAAGTGCTCAATTCGGCTTGCTCTATAAGACTCAATTACCCGGAACGTACTTGATCAACGGCCAGAACGTACCTGAGCAGATATTCTCGCAACCCTTGGTCTATACCGGCTCCGATGGCTTACAATTTGTCTACGTTGCGACAACTCAGAACAATGTCTACAAGATTAATGCAAAAACCGGTGTGATTGTTGCTTCTCGGAATCTTCACCGCCCTTTCCTGGTCAGTGATTTGAACGGATGTGTTGATATCAACCCTACCGTTGGAGTTACTGCCACCGGCGTGATCGATCCGGACACAGTATGTATGTGTGCCGATAATTTAATCAAAATGCTAACCGTACAAGGACACCTGGTACATCACGTCCAAGACCTACATTAACCAGGACATTACGGGTCCGACTGGCCGCCCGAATGGTCGCTACTACGTACATGCTATTAATACCGTGGACTTGACCGAACGGCCGAACTTCCCGGTAAATCTGGAGGGCATGGTTGCCAGGAACAATCCTGCACGGTCTTTCAGCGGTGGAATTCACCATCAACGCCCTGGTCTTCTCCACACAGGCGATTATGTCTACGCTGGTTTTGCTAGTCATTGGTAGGTGTGCTTTCGTCGCAAAATCTGCATTCTCATCTAACACGATGATTTATCCAATAGCGTCCAATGGAATTTCACTGGTTGGATAGTCGGCTGGCATAAACAGACCGGGCAACTTGTGGAGAGATTTGCAACAGAGGGAGGTGGGTCTCTCCTACCCAGGACATGGATACCTTGGAACTAACAATCATAGCCGGCGTCGGGCCCAATGTCCCTGGCGCTGGAGTCTGGATGTCTGGAGGTGGCCTCGCGAGCGATGGCAAAGGTTCAATGTTTTTTGCTTCTGGCAATGGCTATGCATCTCAGCTGAATGGCGTCCCGGTCAACGGACGAAATCCGCCAAGCGCGCTTGAGGAAGCTGCCGTTCACATGTCGATCAATGGCGACGGTTCGTTGACAGTAGTTGACTTCTTCATGCCGTGGGAGAAGGTTCAGCTGGACGGTGCGGATAAAGGTAAGTACGGACAACGATGAAACTATCTAACTAATACGTTCAGACCTTGGCACATCCCCTCTGGAACTTCTTCCTAGCCAATTTTCTTGTGGTAATATCACAAGAATGGGTGTGGTGACTGGTAAGAGTGGAAAGACATACTGGCTTAATCTTGACGATCTCGGTGGATATCAAAACGGACCAAACAAGCTCGACAACGTCATCCAGGTCTATCAGAACGAAAACTCAGTCTACGCTGGTGCAGGCGTTTATCCCCTGGAAGGAGGATACATTTACATCAATGTCATCCAGTACCAGACACATGTCTTCAAATTTTCTTGTGACAATGGGGTTCCATACTTCAACAAAATAGCTGATTCTCCCGAAAAGAATGCCTACATTTTGGGAGTCGGTCATGGCACTGTTACGTCTTTGGATGATCAACCTGGAAGTGGCCTGCTCTGGACATCTGATGTCGAAGGTTCAAATCTACGAATCTACAACGCAATCCCAGAAAACGGCCTCCTCAACGAGATCAACTCCTTTGTCACCCCGGGAACAACAAAATTCACTCGCCCCGTCTTTGGAGATGGTATCGTCTACCAAGGAACGACTCTTGGCTATCTTTATGCCTATGGCGCCCCAGTCAATCTGCCATTGAAATGTACCCCCGCTCAATTTGGCACCACGAATCTCAACACCACGAGCTCGCCTGTGCCAATCCAATGCCAGGCCAACACCGCCCTCACAGTCACGGCAGCAACTCTCTCAGGTAATGCAAACTTTAAATTCTCTGGTCTTCCCACCCTCCCGTTCGCTGTCAACCAAGGACAGAACTTTTCATTCCAGACAACTTTCACGCCTCAAACTGTCGGTCCGCTCTCCTCGTCAATCATTCTCAATACAACACAACAGGCTGCAGGCTTCAGCATCAACACTCCTGTCAACCTCAAAGGTACGGGTCAGAGTCAAGCACCATTGTTGATGATTACTCCGAATACCGTATCCTGGAACGGTGTAATTACGGGCCAGGTGGTAGGGGGTGTCAATCAGTCCATTATTCTCAGTAACCTTGGGAACACTCAACTCACCATCACTGGTATTTCTTATTCTGTGGTCGGTGAGACTGGACCATGGATCTCTCCGAATGGTACACAAGCTGCAACTGTCGTGTCGGCCTTCACATTCTACAGTGTGCCGTCTTCGGTGGCTGCAAACAGTGCTGTGACGATTCCGATCAACTTCAATCCCTCATCCAGCGGTAACTATGCTGCCTTTGTCAAATTGGATAGTAACGGAGGCTCCAAGGTACTTGACGTTCTTGCCGCAGGCTCAGACCAGCCAAAAGCCGTCCTTGAATTCGAGACTCCTGATGGAGGATGGATCCCATATCGAAACAGTACGCCTTTCAGTTTTGGAAATGTTACAGAAAATACAACTCGGTACCTCAAGTTGCGACTGTCCAATAATGGCACGGCGAATGCAGCTCCCATATCTGTGACAGTTAGTAAACCTCCCTTTGGAGTTTCCGGTCTCATTGGAAGTAACAACAACATTGATCTTGCCGAAGGCACACTCGTCTACGCCGGACAAAACCAAACCGCGACATTATATTGTTCAGTGCCGAAGAGCCAAATCAATGTCGACCCCTACAATGGCAGTGCCCAATGGACCATGAATCTCAATGATCCTTCGTTCGGCAAACAATTTATCCAGTTTTCTTGCAATGCACTCTCTGAACAAGCACCTCCCCTCAACCCCCTCACGCAACAAGGTATTTACAGATATGCTGGCTGTTTCAAGGAAAACAATCCTGGAAGACAACTCCAGACCAACATTTACAGTGGGTCTCTCAATACTAATGAACAGTGTATAAAACAATGCTCGACTGCAGGTTATATCTTCGCTGGGACTCAATACACACAAGGTGAGTTCAATGACGTCCAATTGCTCTGACTAATGCATGGCAGAATGTTGGTGTGGCTTCAATAGACCCAAGCAAGTTGTTGATGATGCAAATTGCAACTTTGCTTGCACTGGAAACGTCAATGAAGTGTGCGGTGGCAATGGAATCACAGGAACTGGCTCTTTCATATCATTGTTTGGAGATATCACTCGTTGGAACGGCAATCGCACGGATACGCCGGGTCCATATGTCAACCCTGGTATGCTTGGGTTCAACAGCCTGGGTTGCTACGCCGAAGGATCTCAAACTCGTGCTTTGAATGTGCAGCCTACCTCGAACAATACCGTGGCCAGTTGTATTCAGGCTTGCCAGGGATATTTGTACGCTGGAGTGGAATATGGAGGCCAGTGGTGAGTGTGCTTGTGATCTGCTTCGATATACCCATTAACAACAAGAAAGCTTCTGTGGCAACTCATTGTCTGCAGGTGCTGTTAGCGCCGATACGACTGACTGTGCCATGCCGTGTAGCAACAACCAGACAGAGCTTTGTGGAGGTATGCATAGTACCCTTTCTCATCACGTCCAATAAGCTCAAGCAAATTCAGGACCAAGTCGACTTAACCTTTATCGATATGGCAACGGCACTCTTCCCACCTCGACCTCAGTATCTGGAAATAGTGGAGGCAACAATCCCGCGCAACCGACAGGCCTCGCTGTCCCAGCGACCATCGGAAATTTCAGCTACGTAGCTTGCTATACCGAGGCGACTGCGGCACGAGCACTCAGCAGCGTTGCCCTAGCAGACAACAGTATTACCCTTCAATCTTGTGCAAGTAATTGCACTCAGTACCGATATTTCGGGGTTGAGTATGGACGGGAATGTTACTGCGGGAGTGCATTGGCCGCTGGAAGTGTGCCAGCTGCAGATGGTCGTTGTAACATGCCTTGCGCAGGCAACTCCAGTCTACTCTGCGGAGGTCCCAGCGGTTTGACATTGTACAACAATACCCAATGGGCGTTGATGACAGCTGCCCCTTCTCAGCCAACCGGTCCAGTCACGGTGCCAAGTGCTGGTCGGTACCAATATGTCGACTGTCATACTGAAGTCAGCAATGGCCGCGCCTTGTCTGGATCCGCTATCGTATCGAACGACATGACAGTACAGTACTGTGCTGGCAATTGTACCGGTTACGCATTCTTCGGAGTCGAGTACGGTCAAGAGTGCTACTGCGGAAACACCTTGAACACAGGATCAGTAACCGCTACTGATCAACGATGCTCCATGACTTGTGCGGGAAATTCTTCGACTATTTGTGGCGGACCCAACGGTTTGAGCCTGTACAAGCTTGTCGTGGCGTCTTTGAGCTCGAGCATTTCCAGATCGAGCACCAGTAGCATACTAGCATCAACGTCAGTGAACCCAAGTCAGATCGCCAATTCTACCACGACCACAGCTCCGAGTATCGCGCCCTCGTCACATTCTTCAAACACAATCAGAGCGACTACTTCGTCAAGTTTTGCCATGTTCATCAGCGTCACGACATCCTCGACATCTTCAAAAAGTTCTGTCAGTACAATAACGACCTTGTCTTTGTCAAGCGCCTCTTTGCCCACATCGACTCTGATCTTGATCGACACTTCAATCTCAAATCCCACCACATCAGTTCGATCCACTTCAAGCGCCAATGCCACTGCTACTTCTGGCATCAATGTGTCGTCTCCAAATGCGACGTCCCTGCGGACTCCGCCCTCCTCTTCAGGCAGAACCTCAGCGACCAGCGCGTCCGGCACCTTGGCCAGCAGCTCTTGGACGGTGAGCACTTCTCGTTCAGAGTCTCCAGCCTACGTCTCAACGAGTGGCGCAGCTTCTTATGTTTCTTCGACAGGCTCCGGGACTACTATTAGGTCAAGCACTACTTCCATCTCAAGTTTGAGCATTCTCGTGACTTCAACCACAGCGAGGGCTTCTTCTGTGTCAGCTACGTCTGTCAGCTCCGGCTTCAGTACCATCTTTGTAGCTCGGACTTCAACAACGAGCGCAACGTTCGCCTCTACAAGTTCAAGTTCGGCCACGACAGGCATCTCGACTCTAGTCAACTCAGTAACTAGCCAAACCTCGACCCAACCGCGGATCAGCGCATCTACTTCGAACTCAGGTTCCGGTTTTGTTTCCGGTTCGACATCGACACCACCACGAACAAGTTCTACATACCAAGGCAGTGTCACTTCCAGTTCCAGTTCGTCTAAGCCATCCTCATTGTTTACCACAAACATTTCTACAACTTCGAGTAGTACCAGATTGACGACTACAACTACAGCTAGGACCACAACTACAAGATCGATGTTAGGATCAAGTACTACTACCACGTCTCCGATACCCAGCTCGACCACCATCGCCGCCGACCCCTTCCTTCCGAATGTTTACATAGGTTGTGCCGCCGAGCTATCCAACATTCGTCTGCTATCGAGTGCATCGTTCACAAACTCCAGCATGACAATCGCGTAAGTTTTTTCTTGGTCTTGTTGTTGCGCCTTCTTCCCTATCTACTCTACTCTAGTATGATTGGGTTTTCATATGGCCATTGGATGGGCGTGCCTGCACATTTTCCTTTTTTCTCCTCAACAAAAGTGAAAATATGACTCTGACTCGATATGAAACGACCCAAAATCTAGGTCATGCCTCTCATTCTGCACATCCCAGTTCATGCCTCTGGCCGGACTCGAATACGGGCGTGAATGCTACTGCTCGTCGTCCCTGCCGCCCAACACGCCGCTGAACCAGACGGGCTGCACCATGGCCTGTGCCGGCGACGGGGACGTCGACGTCACACAACCCACTTGCGGCGGCCGCTCGCGCCTGAGCATCTTCAACAACACGCTCCTCAGCCCGCCCGGGCCCAAGCCCGTGATATCGCCGCCGTCGCCGTCGGCCTCGCCCGGCGGCTCCGTCTACTACACGTACGCCTACCAGGGCTGCTTCACGGACCCGAGCAGTTCCCAGCGCGCCTTGTCCGGATACAGCGCCAGCGACAGCGCCATGACGCAGGAAAAGTGCGTGGCGACGTGCGCCGGCCGCGGCTTCAAGTTCGCCGGCGTCGAGTACGCCAGGGAATGTTACTGTTCGGACACGCTGGCCACGGCTGGTGGAAGCGGAAGTGGGAACGGAAAGAGCCTTCAGGTCGGCGAAGGCGATTGTGGTATGCCGTGTGCCGGCGACAAGAGTGAAGTCTGTGGTGGAAGCAGTAGGATCGGCGTGTGGATGGCTTCGTCGTCGTCGTCGTCGTCGTCGCCGTCGTCTTCTCCGTCTTCTCCGTCTTCTTAGGATGCCAGTGGGTCGGTCGGTCACGAGAAAGAGCTGGCCAGCTACACACAGCACTCGGACCTTTTTTTTCGTTGTCCAGGAGATGGCAGTGTGTGAGTGTGGGTGTTCTCAATTTTTTGATTCAAGGTCATGTGGCTTCTTTAATAATTCAAGAGACGAAATCGAGATTTCAATTCCAAAGTGCAATTGCATTACCACCTTCAGAATGGACCGTCAAGATCGGAGTTTGGAATCAGGATCCAGTAACACTATGGAAATATGCATTCCCCTTGCACGCGCTCTCTAATCCACCCCCGAATCGATAGGTATGTGATAACGATAGTGATATCAATAACATGCAATGCAATCCATCGCCGCCCCCCGACCCCCCCCCCCCTCCGTGAGAGAGAAAAAAAATAAATAAACAAGCAAAAACACCCTCCGATAGACAATGGTTCTTAAGAAGTGGTATCTCAGGAAAAAGCATCAACAACGTCAACCATCAAAAGGTTTTTCTTTCCGCCATATAGCGTCCTCCTCGTGTGAATTGTATGTGTCATCACCGCCATTGCCGTCAGACCCTCCAGAGAGTCAAATGACCATCCCTCGCCCATGCACTCGGGAGGAGACCAAAAACCACATCCAGCTAGACCTTGAGAGCGGCCTTTTCGTCAATGATCGAGAACGAGTTTCCTGATTTGGCGACAGGCCTCTTGACCCTGAAAACAGCATCTTGATCCGACATCCTTCGTCCCAGTGCTCTTTCGACTTTGGCGCCTAGGCTCAATTTACTCAGGTCGTCCGTCTTTTTCTGACTGGGGATGAATCGCTGCTGCTGAAGACGTTTATTCTCGAGCCTGTCCAGGCTCTGGGTGAGTTGGCGGATCTCTGCCATGCCGGCCTCCGGGCTGACGACGTTTGCAGACGCCAGGGTGGTTGAGTAGTTTGACGTCGTGGTGGCGAAGCTCGGGGACGCGGAGTACGTAGAGTAGCGTTTCGAGGTGCGTTTGGAAGTGACCTGGCAGAACAAAAATTTAGGATTTTGGTTTCACGGTTGTGCCCAAGGGGAGGGACGGTGAACAAAGGATTTCAGAAACGTACACTTGGAGCCATGATAGGCCTTTGGGATTCAAGGGATCTGCGCGGCATGATTTCTTTTCGTGGGTGGGTGTTATGGATAGTGACAATAAACCGTTGTTATGGGCGCCCAGTTGTCAAATATGGGGTTTATACTGATGTCAACGCGGGCTTTGCAGTGACACTAGTACGTGTGGTCGGTGACTCGTATTCGGACAAGGTAGAGCCGTGCACTCTATTGGGACGCGGGTATGCAGATCTTCACCGCACCGCAGGAGTGGTTATGCGCGAAACAGCAGGTGGAGAGTAGTTGTATGGGTATGGCCGGACTGTTGCTCGTGTACTCGGACAATTCGAGGCAGAGGGGAAGTGACAATGTCGACAACCTTGCTTTTGTCCGCGTGGTGAACAGTCGGTGCCTTTGACTTTGTACTCGGTGGTGCGGATGAAAGTGTCGAAAGGTGAGTGGTTCTCGTAGAAGCAAGGAGGAGATAGGAGGACAGAAACAAGACGTGCGGTGTCAGCTGAGAGCGAGGTTTGTCGTTTCTAATAGAGACTAGCTTAGGGTTGGGAGGAGGAAGATCTTGTGTCACGGATGGTCTTTGGTGTGTTTGAGCGAAGTTCGGTGAGAGAATGGCTGGCTAGGAATGCTCGTTCTCACGCAGACACAGGAGAGAAGCGGGAACAATTGACGACAAGTGATGGATGACGATGGCGAAAGCGACGTGCGTGGAGAGACTTGATAAATCAAAACCAGGAGGACGAGGACTCCCTACTCGGTGCCTGACTGGATGGTTGCAGTGTGTTTGATTGACGATGGGCAGCGGATGGAGTAATACTGTAGACACAGGCGTTTTCGGCAGATGTTGGGTCACTAACTCTGGCTAGCACGGGTACCGGGGAACGGAGTGCAATAGAGGTGTGTGTTTCTTGCTCTGCTCCGTACCTCAGCCAACGCTCGCGGCTGGAAGGCCCAGAGTCTGGTGCCACTCGCCAGTCTCCGGCGACCTCCCTCTTTTTTCTTCTCACCCTGCGCCGTGTTGGACGCCTCCGATGAGTCTGAATCCTGAGTCCTGAGTCCTGAGGCAGCGAGGGCCCAAGAGTGGATTGTCGATTTGGGCCGCTCGCCGCTCGGCCCCTTGCAGGATCCGCCAGGGAAAACAGGCCCCTGCCGCCCTCGGGTCCTCTCGACTTTCTCCTTCTCCCTCTCCCGACTCTCTCTGCATCCTCGACTCCGTATGGTCGGTCCATGGGTTCGAAGATGGATTCCCCATCGACCCGGACACTCCACGTGGCCCGTCAGCTGCATCGCAGACACGACATTGCAAGCCACAGAAAAGCATCCCGGCGGTCTATCTTTGGGCCAGAACGTGCTTGACAGCTTTCATGGAAATGTCGAAAGGGCTTATTAGCGACACTGATACCGAGTGAACTCGGGACGCGGCATCAGTCCACTCCTTTCAAGACCCAACAGCCCTTTGGGCCCGAGGGTTTTCAGCAACTTCCAGTGCTCATACAACTGTCAGTACCCAAAAAGGGCGTTTCAGGTTCTTGTCCCATGTTTGGGGTTTCATATGGAGTATTTCGAATGCTCATCCGCATCAATCAAAAGACATCATGGGTTCCAGGGCTATCCCAGAATCCATGTGACATTATGAGAATTGATTGGAGTCAAGGACTTTGTATGATGCCTGGAAGGACTGCCGCTATCTCGTCTCACCAGCAAAGCTCAGGTTGACCTGCATTTGCTCTGCAGACCCTGCCCTGATCGGGCATCGGTCGCGTGTCTGGCGTGTTTCACGGCATCAGCTGAGCACCAGGGGAGCTGGCCTAGGGTTTCCCTTCCTTGAAAAGCTTGCTTGACCAAAGGTAGCACTGCCAGTCAGAGTACTCTGGCTGGGGGCCTGGGTAGGCCTTTAGTTTTTATTCCACAAGTGACAATTCGTTCCGTAAAATTGTACTCTGTCCGCACCTACTGAAAGCCTGTCCGTCATCATGTTCTGTATTTTTAGCAGCAGGACGCACCTATATTTACAATCACCGACAGAGTTGATGGTAGGTGTAACCCGTCGCAAAGGATGAGTTGATCATGGTATCGTCAACGATTTAATCTAGGGCAAAGGGCGGGAGATGAGAAAGAAAGGGACTCGTTCCGACCCCCGACTGGCCGACCGGGGAAGACTCTGCTATACACTGGGCGTACTCGTGCACTCCTACCTACTAACTGCTAGGCTGTCTCTTGAACTTCATGCATCCAATACCAGGTATGCCATTGCTGTCCCTTCTTTATTATTTCAGTAATCATTTCCAAGCCATGGGATATGCCATCCTTGAGCCCAGTCATTGATACTGGCTGTCAAGCCCCAGGTCTTCACAGCCCAGAAAGCAATCCCTCCCACCACGCCGAAACTGCCTATTATTTGAAGAGCAATCCAGCCATGCGTCCGCATGCTGTCTTGCCAACGCAACAAGCCCAGGGGGTCGTGCATTTGATAACTGGGAAGTTCATCATACATCAAACCAGACTTGCCGCGCTTGTGTACCAAGGCGTGCGAGCCCTCTCGCGGCAAAATTTGTCCTTCGCGGACTTCTTCGCCGAGTCTGTCAACGAGCCACATCGCTCGTTCTCCTCGAGCCAACCGCTCATATCTTTCTCGTTCGCGCTGAAGACTGAGTTGCAGTTCACTTGCCCATTTCGACAGTCGGACTTGGGCCAAGCGTTCTTCACGCTGAGAGTGATCTGCGACTCTCGCCAGGGCCCAGCTATTGGAAGTATTCAGGGACACCTCTGATCCCACTGGTATTAACACACCCGAATTACTCAATGATGTTGGCAGCGGTGATGCAAGGGTAGAGTTGTGCACCGATGGAAGTGACGGTGACGGCATAAAGGTCAGCCTAGGGTGAGTCGCATGCCATGCCACAGACTTGCGTGCCGAGGTATGCCGCAGATACGCCACCGTGTCGGGTTCGAATATCTGCTCTACGAGGAGACTCAGTTCTGATGGTAATAATGGCTGGACATACTCGGGCGACATGAGCAGTGATGCGTCCATGGTGTCTAGGTCCGGGCCGTTGATCGATGTCACAGTATATGGAGCGACTGCCCTTTCCGTAGCCTCTGGGTCCGCCATCAAAGACGTAGGTAACCGCGGCAAGGTAACCACACTGAGATCTATTGATCGTTTGACTTCTTCTTGCTCTTCGGGAGTGAGCAGGTCTGATTTTGCTACGAGCGGTATAACATTGCATAGCTCTGAAAGTTGCCGGATCCGGTCGCAATCATCTTGTACATGATCTGGGGCACCTTAGTCAAAGCCGCATACGTAGTGGTCAAGGGAGCGCATACCTTTAGAAACCAAGTACAGTATCACGTCGACTTGACAAGAACCGCGGCCACTCAACAACCCTGAGAACTCGTGAGTAAACTGGTTAACGGATGTCATGACGTTCATCAACTGTTGCTCGATATAGTGAACAAGCTTGTCCAGTTTGATCGAATCGCTTGTGTCGACAAAACAGATGTTCCGTTCTAGAACAGAATCCCCCATGCTCTTCCTTCTCCTTAATATTCGGCTTTCTTCCACATTCGACCACCAAGCGGGATATGGCTTTGTACTTGCATAGATCTCGGTCACCGTATCTGGTGCTCGCGGGGGGTTTCCGGCTGATAGACCAGGTTTCGAGGACGACGGCACCGGATCGACGTGGACTATGTCTTCGCATAGCTGAACAATCGACTTGATCAGAGATGTCTTGCCCGTACCTGCTGTGGTTAGAAGACACCAATCAAAGTTTGAGTCCGAGGACTACCTTTTCTTCCTGCAACCATGATCTTGAACCTCCCTAAACGCTTGCCTCGTCCGGTGAACGGTCTTCGGCTAGGCATCTTGATGCTCGGCATTATCAGTTCCGGCTGGCTGTCCTGCACGACTGCCGAAGGTTCTATCTCGTCGTCTTCACTTGACCCGATCACTTGACTCCCAGCCTCATCCGTAGTCATTTCGTCATCGGATTGCTGAAGGGATCTGGACGAGCCGGACTTTGGACTGTTGGGAAGAGAGACATCACGAGATGGTAGAGGTGACGGAGTAATCTCTCGAGCACGCCTTGACTGGTTTCTCTCCCCATGCGCAGTAGAGGAGCCGCGTCTCAAGCGGTCTCCATTGCCAGGTTTTATAGTAGATCTTCGTCGACTGCCACTTCTCACCTCCGATGGCTGGATGGTGGCATGTTTGCCAGATGCTTCCGCCTCTTGAATGGTGTCCTGGAGGCTGCTTACGGGACAACTTGTTGGTAGAAGATTAGTGTTGCTCTCCGATCGTGGCCTTGGCCCGTCGGGATCACGCGAGAGGAAGAACGTAGTCGGAGGTGCGCTGCTGCGTTCACCCGTCAAGGAGGGAGATCCGGCAACGGAGGACTTGCGAGGGCGCGGCTCTACACTCTCGAAGCCGAGTCCAGGCCTCATCGTTCTGACATACAAGTGGTTGCAGTACGGATCGAGAATGATAAAATGGAGAAGCGAACGGAGTGAGAGCAGTGTATTTCTAGGGATGTGCCAGGGTGAGGAAGACCAGGTAGGCTGACCACCTTTGGGAAGGATACTTCAGATACGAGATGATTGAACGGATCCCGTCTGCAGCCTGACTTGACCCCGCGATGGTCGTCTTGCTTATCAGGCTCGCGCCGCGTTGCTTATCAACCATCAAAATACCACGTCAATGACCGAGCACACAGCACTCCCTACTGAGCACACATCACGGAGATTATCTGCAAACAGTATCATTACCTCGAGTTTGTCTCGTAATAATAAAACCTATTGTACAATGTCATCCCTATCCTCTAGGTTGGCGTCCTAGAACGGGTGAAAGAACCCGCAGACAGAAAGTACATGACCTCGCTGAAATGGCACACGACTCGCGTGGACCTGAGCACTGAAGCGAAGATGCTGTGCATCGTGAAAATCCCAGGTGCAGTGCAGCAATGTGCCATCAATCTCTGAAACAAATCGGTATCGAGTCGTCCTATCAATCCGAAGCTCGCTATGCCGTGACATTGCCAGGAAGACATAATGGGAGAACTTTTTCCAATACGCCGTTGCAGAAAGCATTGAAAATCACCCTGTCACTTTTGTAACGCTGTCCGATCCACAAGATAGAAAGAGATCCCTCCCCAAAAGAGGCTTTTGACCGGTCGTGTTGTGTCGCAGTAGAGTCATGTGTCGATCAAGGCGCCTGCGACTGGCCACGTCCCTTTGGAGTCACAGTACCAGACTTGCCACCTCTCTGCTGAAGACCTCCGCGACCAGCATCTTTGGGAAAGTTTGTCTGACTGCCAGAACGACTGCCCTGCATGCCGCCACGACCACGACCGGCCTGGCTACCACCACGGCTGTAACTGGCGTTACTACCTCCGTAAGCGTTGGGACGAGGGCGACGCTCTTCGACGTAGATCTGTTCGCTGCCGACGGTGTGTGGGTTAGCGGCGACAGCTGCAGCATAGCCGGCAGGGTCGGCAAATTCGACAAAGGCGCAATTCTAGCACTCGTGAGCCTATTTCCTCTGTTGATCAGAAGGGTCACTTACTCTGGGTCGTGAGACGTCAAAATATTTGAGTTCACCGTGGTTCTCGAGGACCTCTCGCAAGATACGCGCATCGACCTTTTCATTTACATTCTTAATATAAGCAAGTACTGTGCCCTCCGATGTAGCTTTGTTCTGTGGTCGGCCTTTCTTGCCGTGATCGGCAGTTTGCCAGCCATTGCTCTGCGAGGTAGGGGTGCTTGAGGCAGTGTTGGCAGCCGACGAAGGCTCCGCTGATGCTTTGGGTGCTTGGACAACCTGTGAAGGGCGAGCTGCCTTTGGCTGAGCAGCGGGTGTGGTCACAGGCAAAGCTGGAACTGCTGGTGCTTTGGCGCCACCACCAAGCATGCTGGCCCAGGTTTTCTTGGCCGGTGGTGCTTCGGCAGAAGCAGATGGCGCGACTTCGGTAGTTGTCTCAGGTTGGCTCACGTCCACGGAGGTAGGCTGCTCTGTGGTAGCGGGCGCCGTCTTTTCATCCATCGAAACGTCTGCAGCGGCTTCGTAACTCTCGGACTTCTCAGCTGTCTCTCCGGCGGTGGCAGGAACCAGCGCGCCATTGACCTCCGTTGCAGTAGTCTCGGCTTCTTCTTGTTTGTCCTCTTCGAGTTTCTCATCTACTGCCTCAGCTGCGGCTTCTGTGACAACCGTCTCCTCTTGGTCGGTCTCAGCGGCTGGAATACCTGCGGCAGGGGTCGGTGGCTCTTCAGCTGGAACCTCCGGTTGTGGCTGATCATCCTCTACGATCTCATCCTCATCATTGCTCAGGTAGCGGAAAATGTCGTTCAGGACGAAGTAACCGTTCGGTTGCTCGGCGAGGATGAAGGTCTGGACGAACTTGTGATGAGGCTCAGATTTGTTTGACATTTCTCCAATGACCTGGACCACGATGTTGTTGAATGAAGACTGAGAATCGACGTTTAGGACGCGGACTTTGCAGTCTTGGAAATCGAGTGCTTTGATCTTTTCGCTGATTGCCTGCAACCCATCTGTCAGTTAGAGTCTCGGGGGGATGAGATCACGCTTCCAATTACCTTTGTGCCGACAGCAGGAACAACTTTTTCTGCTTCAACGCCCGTGACGAGCTGTGATTTCTTGGAGTAGAAGAGGTGTATTTTTTCCGGGCTCTTTGACAGTGTAGTGTAATATTGCTCAACGAAATACCAGCCAATCTCTTGTGGATCCGCCTTCGGGGCATTGGTAGAGGTTGCTGTACTCTGGGAAGCAGAAGAGGTATGGTTTGGCGCAGAGGGAGCAGAGGCAGCAAGTTCGGCAGGCTGAGTATATTGGTTTGCGCCATAAAGGCCATTTGTACCAGCAGTTTCGGTTGCCATTGCGATCAGCCTAGAGGTGAAGGAGGATGCGAGAGGAAGAAGTTCAGGTATGTCGAAGTGCGCGAACGACTTTTCTAAGAAGAAACTTGTTGTCCGAATGGCTAGAAGATCGATTCACTCGAAATAATATTACGGTGTCGGCCAAGTGCTGTTTGTGCGTGTAGAGACGGGAGGACGCCGCTGGAAGACAATTTGTCACCCAGATAGAGAGTGCTTTGTGGGATCGAAAATCTTTTGAAGGTTAAAGCAGAGAATGTCGTAGAACTAGTATCAAAAGGTCGAAGGATTAGGATGTCAATAGCAGTGATTTTGAAATGCAACGATGTTGGATTGATTCAATGCAAGGGAGTCGAGTGATGGGTGCAGTTCGCGAGATAGAAAAATATTGCTGCGGAGAACTAGCCGCTCATTGGCAGACGGCGGAGGTGCGCTTTGATGCTAAATCCGAAGTAGATCACTGATGCTTTTCAAGTATTCGGAGGCATTCACTAGTTATACCATATGTTCATTCCGGAGAAGCCACCACAATTATATGTCATAGATTGAAAGGAAATAGCACGAATCCCATCTTGCTTGGTGCTTCGACCGGCATCCGTTTCCGCGCAGTGCAAACTAAGACGTAGTCATTGGTGCCAGTGTGACATAGTTGTCGCAACCAACACCAGTACCATGACACTGGGAGGGGTTCTTTTTCATTTCTTGCCTGTTATTTCTCGAAAAGAATCTGCTTTGAACCTCCCTCTTAGGCGTGATTAATTTCCCTACGAAGAGTCTGAGGCACAGATTAACGTTTGAAAAGAAGGCCACTCATTACTTTGCGCATGAGCCATTGACATAGGTATGTTGAAGCCAGGTAAATAGGTAAATCATGAGTCTCCCAGCATCAGGAGGTTTCGGATCCTTGTTAACTCCTTGCGCGACTCGCTATACACGATGAATCTTGGTGCTTGAGAGTCGGTCCAATTCTAGCTCATCATGTCAATTGGATAGCGACGTGTCGACGTGACTGCTTTTCTTGTACGGAATCCATCGTACATTGAGCTGACTTCTATTTCTTCACACAATAATAATTAGCTTGTGCGCTGTAGATGTTGAAGGTGCGGTATGCGGTATGGAGAAGAGGCTTACAGAGATGAACTCTCCAACACATGGGAGATAGGTGTTATGCGGCGAGAGGAGCCAGAATGGCTCCAACAGTAAACACGTCTTGGATGTTGAGGGCCCGCTCGTATGAGCTGTCTTGGTTGGGAGAGCTACACCAGATGTATGCCGAGGAGCACTCGACATTCTATCCCTCTGATGATCTTCGAACAACCGAAGAGGAGGCCATTAGCACCCATCTTGCTTAGGACAATGATCCTGCCATTGTGCCCAAGGCGCACATTGAACTCATAGAGAATCCTGGTCTGTTGAGCATATTCATGCTTCAATAAAAGCCTGGCCGTGGAGGAGGAATGTGTGGGGGTATCACTGAAGGCGCTTCGGCTCCTTGTGTTTTGTCAACCGAACTGCTTACAGGATTTGCATCCTGTTCTTCTCTTGCAAGACGCTCCCTCTCTTCTCGACTTTTCTTTGCATTGTTTTGCCATATACGATCCTGTTCCTGTAGTTCTCGAAGTGCTTCCTCCCACTCTAGCTCTTGAGCTTCAGCACCGGAGCCGAGCACCTTTTCAACATCGACATCCTGACCTTGTTGCAGTTTCTCGACGACCTCCCTCAGTTGCGCAATCTTGATATCGGCTTTCCGCGTGAATGTTACAAAATCATTCTTTGTTCCCATAATGCGAATCGCTTGTGATCCGATCAGAATGTATATCCAGATAAAATAAGTCGCGGGATTGGTCGCTTTTTTCTTCCCATCTCTTGAGGCGTGGGTTCGGCGCAGTCCCTTTGGAATAATCGAGTCCCACACAGACGGTTGGGCCAGGCGCGGGAGATTGCTACCTCGTGAACTTGTATGCTGGAAAAGTCGCTGGACGTATCGCTTTGAGGGGTGCAGAAATTCGGCTCGACCTACATGGCCTTGGGGAATTGTGCGAACGGCTCTGGAGATCCATGAGAGGTTCATGCTGCGTGATTAGTTGAACTGAACAGAACGCTACAAATAATTCAAACGTCAATGCTTGGGCTGGTAAGTCATGGCGTCGATGTTGAGAATACTTTGAAGAAAGCAGAGAGAGAGCGACAAAGAGGAATAAATTGTTTGCCATTTCAGGCATAGATCTTGCCGCTCTACATTTTCTATGCCGGTTACACACCTCAAGTATACGAGATCCTCGTGACAGGCGCCGGAGATAGGTATGGCTCTGATGCATTCTCTGTCGGAAAGTGAGTAGTGATTATTACCACGAGCATCGTGATTCATTGTTAAGAATGCGTGGACGGGCGCAAATTACCCAACGCCGAACTGGCATAGCAACAAGGTCATCACAAAGTCGCAAGGAGTACACCCAACCAGCGCATGATACTTCAGGCATATTCGGAGTATCAAGGGCAAGGGCAGGGTTTAGAGAATCGTAGTCTTATCGCCCACAAAGTTCCATGCCAGCTAAAACGTGGGTGCAATGTTCGACAGCTTATCCTGCAGACCGATCACGGTATCGAGGCCTTCTCAGATTTCTGTGTCACGTTTGAGGTACTTAGCCGAGGCTGCGTGTAATTTGTAGAAGCCTAGATGTTCTGACGGTTTACAGAATACCTCGGATAGTATCATGGAACTGCAAGTGAGAGGAACACTGCCGTTTTGCCAGTCTCGACAGATTCGCCGAGGGCTGGCTGACTATCGGATCAAGAGACATCTGATTGATTAGGGACCTGGACGTACAGCAACCATGAGAACAGTCCCAAGTCCATTAGAGAGTGCGCTTCAGCCTCTCGTAGTACTTAAATCAGCGGGCTTGTTTATTGTTCCCGTAATTGGCTTCATTACGTTGGTGTACTCGCACTCGTACGCTCTTCACTCATCCATCGACTCATAGGAAGCACCAATTAGTGAGTGTCTTCAGACCAGCATGGTACTTTGGTCAACGATTTGCCACTGACAACTGTGGCCTCTTCCTGCATGCACTGGTCATCTGTCAGGCCAGTTCACCTGCAAGCTTTTTAAGTACTTGACCGGTGACAAGGGTGGACGTGAGTGAAAACCCGCGATTGGTCGATAAACGACGCAGGAACATCAGGCGTACCGTCGGTTTCGCAAATGCACTTATGGTGGTCTGGGGATAGTCTGTACCCATACACGCAATATTAGAACACTTGTCTCGTACGGAAAATAGGTACTGTACGTCGGCTGACCCAAGGTCGTGAGCAGCATGAGGGGGATTGCATGTGCCTCGTTAACATTCGAGTGACATGCGACGAGCAGACTTCTAATCAAGTTGTCGGACGCAACGCTTGAAGCCGTCGGACTGTGTTTTGCCCGAGTCCGCTCTCTAGACCTGGAAGAGGCAAGCGAGAGCTCCGCAGGTAAGGCTGATTCGTCTCCGGCCTGCGTTTCCTCCAAAAGCCGCAGTGGCACTTTTTGTACTCGTACGAAGGGTCGTGTATCATTTGGTAAGCAGTAGTCTCAGACCACTAGTAGATCTCCCTCATTCCTGGTGCCGTATTCCGTAGAGACGGGACAATGCGGTAACCTGCTGGACGTGGGTTAACATAACGTTACGTCGCGCGAATCTATTGGCGGGGATTCACAGTTGGTAGCGAGAGGGAAAGCTGAGTCTGCAAGTCTGCAAGGATCGCTTGCTTCGTCGAACGGGGATCAGGAACAGAAACGGACGCGGACGAGTCCTTTACATGTACAGCGGAGTTTGGGGAATGGTGCAATTCGGTCTTTTTGCTCGCTGCGCCTCAGTGTCCGCAGCATTCGGTGCTCTTCCACTGACTGACGCGAAGCCTTGCTAATCCCTGCTGATGCTAGCGCCTTGGCGGAATCAGGCAACACTCGCTTCAAGTGCCCATCATCAGCAACACGTCCAGTCATCCAAATCACCATTCACTCTCCCTTCACGCTCATCCAAGCCCTCCCTCCCTCTCGTCCACCATCTCGCAGCACCCGCCATCACGGTCCAGCTTCGCAGGAGCACCTGGATTGTCGCCACTCTGGCCTCAGGTGTTGCTCTGCGATCCGCGGCCACATCTCCCCCAAAACTTTGACTTCACCTCTTGACACCAACGTCGTCCGAACGAAGTGAACACCCGCTGAAGTACCCTGCGAACGCCGGTGCACTTCACCTTGACATCGAGTCACCTTATCAACCTCCCTGCCGTAACCAGGGGTTGGCCCGGTGCGCCCGCCGACACAGCCCACTCACTGTCCTCTTCCCCGCCGCGCCGACCAGCGTCCCTCTCCTATCGCAACGATACCTCAAACCATCCGCTCTGTTCGTTGAGCCAGAAGCACCCCAAGTCTTCGCAGGCCACACTCAGGACCACCACTTCATCAACACGTTCCACGACCCATCGGCAGTGGAGTCTCAGACACAACAGCATATTGTGAGTACAGTCGACATCTGGTTTTGCACGTCTTAGGTTTCGGGTTTCCATATCTACTGCGGCGGGTGAGTCATAAGCCACTGAGAATCATCGGGCATCGACCAATAGATCGCGTGCTAAGTTGTTAGCCAGTGTCTTGCGGGTCATCTGCTTTACTCCCCGGCTGGTGCCAGACTTGATATATTCACCATGGCCTCCACTACCATGCCACCTCCTCCCACTCCCTTTGCTCATCGACGAACCCTTCGACTCATAAATAAGAGCCATCCTTTGTCACCTCCTGCGTCACCCGACTCACCAGAATGCGTTCTGCGTAAGATGTCCCTGGCCAAAGGCGCGACTTTCCACTGTTCATCGTCTCCCTCAACGGAAGATGATCCAGTCTTGAGCATTCCTCACTTGACTCGCCGCTCTCCGACTTGCTCAGCGTCGACTCTGACTAGCTGGCTTTCTGAGAAAGAAGACGTCGCCAAGTCTATCGCTGACTTTGAGGAGACCTTTTCGGGCGCTCGTGGAAAACGATCTGGAGGCAGGCGCAGGTCCTCTCAGAACTTTGATCGTCTGGTCTGGGTGCGCCGTGCCGCTCTACCATCTGACGAAGGTTTGGGCTCATCTGTCAGCCCCGCCAGTGACAAAGGTCTAGCTCGGACTTTTGAAAGAGCTTTGGATTTGTTGTCGAACAAGGATAGTGGACTGGGATCTTCGATCAAGAGTGACTCAGCCGGCCGAGTTGTGGGAAACACCTCTGAAGAAGACGGTCTTGTTCAAGACTTGATTCAAGGTTGGATTGCCCGTTGTATTGTTATGTGTGAAGGTGTTAACCGAACTGCTGCAGAAGCTGACTCTTCAGAAACGACCTCCCGCCGCCTCAGGCACCGAGGCCTTACCTCAACCTTGAGGTCATCCAACGCTGCTCCTTCTGCCGTCACCGAAAGTGTGGCACCTCGCCCTGGAAGGGCGAGCCTCCGTCACCCACCTCTCACGGTTTCTGCCCGAAATAAACTCAAGCAACATATAATCTCGCCCATCCTCCAAGAGACTCGCTTTGAGAACCTTCATCCTTTTGTCACCGCTCTCGGCTCCAAGTCTAACAAGAAGATTAAATGCTTGCGTGATCTGGAACAAAGCCTCATATTCCAGCCCCTGGTAAGCACACTGATCGATCAACAATCACCTGTGACTGACGGTCCCTACCAGTCCCTTGCCATCTCGAGGCATCTTTACCGCGCATTCGGCGAGTTTACCATCCAGCTCGTCGTCGACGCTTATCAACATCTCTCTGAATCAGAACAACGGCGTGCTTCTGACCGTCCTTACGACAACGGTTACTTCCTTGATTTGGTACAGCAAGTCAACAGACTCGCCTCTCACATAGGTTCCTCCAGCAGCAACCCACTGGCCGAAGGTGCGGAAGAGAACGACGAGATGGCTTACTCTATCGACGATGAGGTCACCTTGGAGGGTGGTCTTGGTGAGACCGGAAACCATGCCGAGCTTGTTCGCTGGAAGAATGGCAAGGGTATTTCTCTTCGTACCGGTTTGCCCTACGAACCAAGTCCGGGGATCAAGAGAGAAAGCAGCAGTGCTCACGACGAAGACGTTGCGCGGTCCATGGCTCGCAGAAAAAAGGGCTACATTCCTGAAATCGTCGAGATGAAGTGTTCAGACCCGACTTGCGACAAGATCTTCACCCGCAAGTGTGACCTGGCTAAACATGAGAAGACTCATTCTCGTCCCTTCAAATGTCCTGAGGAAGGCTGCAAGTATCACGAGATGGGCCTGCCGACCGAGAAGGAACGTGAGCGCCATTGGAATGACAAGCACTCCAAGAACCCTCAGTTTTACAAGTGCGACTACTGCGAATTCCGTACCAAACGCGAGAGCAACTGCAAGCAACACATGGAGAAGAAGCACGGGTGGCATTACGAACGCGCAAAGGGCAAAGACAAGGCCACTGTCGGGTCCGGCAAGATGACGCCTGCCCAAACTCCTCAGACCCCTAGCATGGACTACTCTGCTAGTCCCGCCATCTCTACGAGCATTCACAGCCATTGGGATGATGCAAGCTCCATCGCAGGTAGCATCTCGGCCAGCGCTGTCATCACTCCTTACGAGCAACCGCTCAACAATTTTGACAGCTACCGACCTGCTCCCGTGAGCTACTCGAACCCCATATTTCCAAGAAACCCACCGTCAATGTCGTACAATCAGTCGGCAGATGATTTCGACTTCAACAATACTCCTTATAGCAACGCTTTCCAACCCGCTCAGGCGTATATTTCTCCCACCAACACGACTCCTATGAGTGCTGCCAACATCATGGGTACGCCAATCACTCCAGCGTACAGCAACATCACCGAGCCGTCTCCATACGACACTTCGATGGATCTCATGATGGATTGCACCAATCCAACAATTTTCAACGAAGGCTTACCCACTCCAAGCTCCTTCTTGGTGCCTCAGTCTCGCAACCCCTCAATCTCAGAGCACTCTCCCATGATTGCTGGACCGTCCGGTCAACCCTTCGGTAAAGCTCCAATGATGGGTCAGGAATTCGACTTTCCTGTCGAGGATTTCTCTCTCTTTGGTGGTGAAGACAGCAATGCATTCTCAAACCCAGCTGCTGCGAGTGCAACACTCTTCCCTGGTGGTCCAGAAGCTTTTGCTGCTCTGGACAACGATCCTATGTTCGACGAGTCCTACAATGACGACGAGCTTTTCGACTGGGACATGACAAATAACTAGAATGTTCTTTATTGGCAGGTGTGTCAGCGTCTCTGAAGTTGACCGTGACCTGCTAAAGCATGCGAAGAATGATTCGCCTACGACTTGTACGATTGGAATGGGTTGATTTTATGGTTTATGTTCTCGGTTCCCTTTCCACTACTCCACCCGTCTCACTGAAACATACTCAAAAAAAAGAAAGAAAGATGGAGGTGTCGAGACCACAGTTGAAGAAGCGATGTTCTATATTAGCGTTACTTGGTAATCCCTCTCAGAAGTATTCAAATTCCGATTGTGGTATTAAACGACGTCATCTTTGTATTTGGATATATGGAGATAGTCATTCTGAAGAGGCCTTTTTAGATCTGGCGTCCCCTCGAGAAGCTAAATAGACACAAACGACGCAATGATAGTATCAGACAAAATGGCTGCGTCGCACGTCCTCGTACTCCCGCACAACTTAGTCAGGTAAATGAGTAAGCTTTAGATTCTGAGATCACCCTAATACCTATTCTCCTCATTTATGCCTCGGACAAGGCTATTGTCTACGGCGATGGGGAGAATGGAATATTGAAATTTGCCTGGGAGCATGCTACCTAGGCACAGATACAGTACCATTGCTATCTCCGCCCTACTTTTCTCTGGTTCCCAAGAACCTATTTGTTGCCCATTGTATTCTGTAAACCTTTTAACATAGTTGCAGGAAGTGAGTGTACTCGTTACTCGCTTATGTTCTCTTGGCCTTTTTTTTTATGTAGGATTCTTGTCCACACGTCCAGCTATCTGTCTCGCACAGTGGTACCATTGGAGAGACCGGCCGACGTCATGGAGGGGGTCAACGAAGCAACGAAGCCTCAGTCCAGGGTGAAACTGGATCGCTCAAGATGGGGCGTATGCACTAGGGTCGAGGAGAGTGAAGCAGATTTCGCTCAAGAAGTAAACTCGGCGACAGATACTGGTGGCTGTGAGCCATCAGGTGCAACACACAGAAGCGGCAGTTACTAGAGTGGCTGCTTCAAAAGGGGGATTTCCTCCGTGAGAACCTGGAGCAGACCATGGACGTGCACACACGGTCGATCGGAATCGGACGCAATTCGCGTACATCCGACCATCCCTTCCTGCATCCAAACTCAGGGACATCACTCGATAAAAGCACCGATGGTGGTGATGGTAGAATCAATTGGAGGATGGCGAAAGACCAGAAACAAGTGGAAAAAAAGTTACCTGAGTACTCTAACGGAGGTGCTAGCACGTTGAGGAAGATGTTCTGTCAACAGCAAGGCACGAAAAGAAGTCGCCCTCGCTCTTGAATAATCTCTTCAAATCACCCGGTTCAACTTTGCTTCTGTTTGGAATACCCCGTCATTGCATGGTTGATTCTAGAAATATCACCGATGACTAGCCGACCAGTGCTGTCGGAAGATTTGCTGATAGCCCCAATCATCTTATGTTTCTGCAAAACTGGTACGGGCTAGTAGGACATGAGCAACCGTGATAGAGAAGGCCCGCTGTCAGGTCTGACTTTCTCCTTGACTTATCGAACGCTAAGCCTGCTGCTGCCTGAGAAGGGGATGGAACTTGCTTTTGATCCGGATGCGCCCGATACCACATCCGCATGCTGAGGTTTTGCCCGACTTCTTTCCGCACAAATCCTTCGCCTAGCGCCGATGCGGATGCTGGTCGTTGTCGGCAGCGTAGACGAGACAGATGGAGAAAGAAGACCAAGGGAGACAGTTGGTTACCATGTTTCAGAGATCTGCGGGAGAAGGCTCGGGGACTCTGAAAGGTGCTCTTCGTTCAGGCAAGTGGTCGTTCGGTCGTTCGCGATGCTCAACCAGCTTCACAGCGATGAATAAACATCATTGACACCGCTGCTCATAGTGTTGGCGGTGGCCATGGCGGCATAAACACCATTTATCGTATGACTTGGGTGTTGGGAAGGACGAGGTGTGCGGTCTGCCTCAATATGGCCTTTTCTTCACAAACATCTCCAGATCATCTCGAGTGACAACACCCAGCACGAATTTCCGGCCGGCGTCAGTGACGACCGCAAATTCCTGGGGTTCACCGGTCGCCAGGGGTCCCACATTCTCAAAGAAGCCTTCCAGTTCATAAAGCTCCGTTTCCAGGCTGATGGTCCGGTACTTCCGCTTCCCCCTCTTGAACTTGACCATGGCCTTCTCAACAGGATCTGATGGTTGCAATTCTCCAGATTCGAAGAGCTTCTTGAGACGGGCAATCGACAAATAGCCAAGCAATGAGCGGGTGTCGTCTGAGACCACCGTCAGATGGGAGTAGTCGTGAGAGGAAGCAGACAGCATGGCCGAGGAGAGAGGTGTACTCGGCGAGGTAGATAGCGCAGGAGGGAGATCGAGATCAGCGACGGTTGCGCCTCTGTATTTGTCGGCCCAGCTCGACAGAATTTCAGTATGCTCATCTTCTTCCGGAGGCAGACCTCCAGAATTCGGGACGATGGTTTTCCCTAGAGGGACTCCGTGCTCGAGAACGTGTGTCATCCTTGTCGGCTACTGCAGAGACAATCTATCCACAGGGGTCTGAGATGCTGTGGGTAGGAAAAGGTACTTCGTACTTTGTACGAGTTACGGAGGTCTTCGTAAAGCAACAGATGCCAGAACTAAGAGTTAGTTACCTTTAGTAGATGTGGGTTGAGAAAAGTGAAGTTCACATGCGCCGCCCACCAAGCTCTCTTTCCCTGGCTACCTTGAGGAAAAGGCGGGCCGAGTTTAGCCTCTAACTTCCACTCGTAAGGCTCTAAGCAAAACCCCCTCAGCCCGCTAATCGCACGCGCAAACGGGTCCAATCCGTATCCGTATTCGTGCATACCTCCTACACGGAGACGGAGATAAAGTTGGAGAACCGTGACATTGGCGATGTCATTGATGGTTGACCTGGTGTTGGTTGCTGCTGTGCTATCCGCTCTCGTATAGGCTGGCCCTGCACCAACCTACTTGACCTTTCACAACCCTGCACCTCCAGCTTCGGTTTCACCTCATTCTATCATCATCGACCCTCGTTATTATCCCATCCAGCCTGCGCCCCTTACCTACTGCTCAAAAGTCATCCACAACGACTCCAAGGTAAATAGATCCGTTTCTTCCGACTCCTCACCCAGTCTACGCATTCTTCCCCCAGATGGTGACGTTGGTCGATGGAGATAAGCTGATCAAGACAGTAGCTATCATGGTTGGGCTCTTCCCAAGCTCGCAGGCCGTCTATCAGGCCTTTTGCCCTACGTCACCATACTACAGGCCTACGGCTGAGCCTTCCACTAAGCCAAACGAACATCCTCAGAAGCGCCCGCTCTTCCAGTCATGGAGTGCTGCCGATACTGCGAAGGAGGTTGGGCATGCAGCTCAGGAAAAGTATGCCGAGGCGAGCCAAAAGGCTCAAGCCAAGGTGGGAGGAATTGAGCTCTATTCGGCCAAGTACTATGCTGCTTGCACCGTCGGTGGTATCATAGCTTGTGTATGTCGGGTACCTGCTTTCTTGACGCAAGCTTCGGTGACTGACTGTAACTCAGGGCGTCACTCACACCGCAGTCACACCTCTTGACCTGGTCAAATGTCGACGCCAAGTCGATCCAAACCTCTACAAAGGCAACTTCGAAGCATGGAAAAAGATTGGCAGAGCGGAGGGCATCCGAGGTATCTTTACCGGTTGGGGCCCTACCTTCGTGGGATACTCCGTGCAGGGTGCCGGCAAGTATGGCTTCTACGAGTACTTCAAGCACTTGTACAGCGAGTTGGCCGGAGAGGAGGCTGCCTCCAAGTATAAGACCATTCTCTACTTGTCGGCGTCCGCCTCTGCAGAATTCATTGCCGATGTAGGTCTCTGTCCTTTCGAGGCTGTCAAGGTCAGAATGCAAACCACTATCCCACCCACTTTCACCGGCACCGTGCAAGGCATCTCGTCCATTACTAGCAAAGAAGGCGTCGGCGGGTATGTTTCCCTTTCCTATCCATATTGAGTTGCTGCTCACATTCTGCAGTCTGTACAAGGGTCTGTACCCTCTCTGGGGTCGCCAGATCCCATACACCATGATGAAGTTTGCGTCTTTCGAGAACATTGTCACTGCCATCTATAACTATCTTCCTGGCCAAAAGTCCGACTACAACAAGGGGGCGCAGACTTTGGTGGCTTTCACTGGTGGTTATCTTGCTGGTATTCTCTGTGCTATTGTGTCACACCCTGCGGATGTCATGGTGAGCAAACTGAATGCCGATCGTGCTCCTGGTGAAAGCTTTGGCGGTGCCGTGAGTCGCATCTATTCCAAGATTGGCTTCTCCGGCTTGTGGAATGGTCTGCCCGTGAGAATTGTAAGTCATTCCTTTTCCAACGCATCCCCCACGGAGCTGACGATATTTGTAGGTGATGATCGGTACCTTGACTGGATTGCAATGGATGATCTACGATTCTTTCAAGATCTTCATGGGATTGCCCACAACTGGTGGTGGTGACGAGAAGAAGACGGCCAAGGCCTGAACCCGTGATACACGAGGTATTGCTCCAAGACCAAACTTCGGCGGACACTGATGAAACTTGTACATGCGTTACTTGGGCGGAGGTAGCAAGTCAAGATAATGAAGCTGATGAGCCTACGATCTGTACTCGTACCTTATTGCTACTCGTGTGTCGCCGAACTCGTCCTTGTCCTCGTGCTCCGCAAACCCTTCCCGCTCAACCGCGCCATTGGCCGCGCCAAGTGCAATCACTCCTCCGCCGACTCTGTACAATAATGCCTCTGCTAGTCAGGCTGCGCTTTCCCAGCCTCTAGTACGCCTTGGCTGACGCAAGGATCGCGCGGCGACTAATCACACGTCATAACGGGTCGTCAAAGCGCAGCGCTATCATGCCACATGCAATCCGTCGATTGCTTTTGTCACTGTTTCTAGTCATGGGTTTGGCGTGGCATTGCGCTTCTCATATCAAGACGAGGACCCGGTAATCGCTCCCTTCTTTGTCTTTAGCTGGCTAACCGGGTCCTTGCTACTTATATACCCACGACCACTCCCCCAGTTCTGCCTGAACATACCCCTGAAACATACCGTACATTGTGAAACCCGCATCTCAACAGAAGACAACAGCGTGAGTTCCCGTCGTAAATATTTTGCGCTCAGCATCCCCTTGGGCTTGATTGACACTTGAGTAGAAACAAAAGCACACAAACATGTCCAACGTATCGCATGGTCGCGGCGGTAAGGCTTTCAGGTTTAGCCCAACTATCCCTCCGTCTATACTGACAGATCATGCTTTCTTTAGGCGCCGCCAACATCGGACCAGACGACACAGCTTACACAGACGGCGAGATCGTCCGCGAAGGACCTGTTGGTAATCAAGGCGATGGCCCATACTCTGCGGGGCGGGGTGGCGCTGGCAACATCGATGCTGATGGCGTTGCGACCGGAACCGCTCCCCATGACGCTGAAATCGTTCCCGAGACGGCGGTCCGACTGAGCAAAGAAGAATCGCACCATGTTGGACGGGGTGGTGCCGGCAACGAGAAGCACGTAACCCCGAAGAAGCATGAGGGTTTAGCAGATAAGCTCAAGAATATGTTCAAGAAGTGAAACGGTTGAGCAAGGCCCATGGGGCGTTCCAAGCATAATGATGGATGAAGGCTAATAGATAGATGATGATACCCACAGAAATCTTAATATGGATGAGCGTTGATGAGTGCTGGACTGAGGGTTCCTTCGCTAACAGTTAATCATCAAGTAGAATTGCTTTGAAAGATGGCAGCTATGTAACGCTTCTCTCGACCAGAGTTGGGTAAGACTTGCAAGTTGATGATGTTGCACCATGACGAAGTGGAATCGTCGCAGGAGGACAAAGTAACATATAGAGAGAGCCGATGTAGGGGCGGCGCAACAACTGGCAGCATGGCAATTCTGCATAGGTACATACCTTCCTAGATACGCACCATAACATAATACAAGCGGAAGGCCTCAGAGTGTACGAGTACCTACAATACGAAATGCCCCGTTGGTCGTGCATGGGCGATCCGGGCCCTACCGAGAACTCTGAACTTCTGTTTCCCATGGGTACCATGGCCCAAAGCAAGGGCGAGGGGTTTGCCTATGAAGATCTGGACGGTGGCTTGATACGGGCGGTTCCCCTGCAAGCATCAGGTACCTCTAGCGTGTAGGTATTGTGCACCTAGGCACGATAGGTACAGCATGCCTCGGGTAGTAGGTACAATGTCAGCGCTTGGGTTGGCGGCTTGGAGCCAAAGGGGACGCAGTCTGGATAGCGGGACTTCCACTCTGAGACAGGGAACCTATCAATGGTCACCCTCCACCCCCATCAAGCGGTAAGGTAGAGTGCGTGTCAGCCACACAACCAGAAGCCCGAAAGCCGCAAACACAGTCTCCTCCGCAACCCAGAGCAAACGTCAGTAATGTCTGTCTCTGCCATCACTGTTCGGACTCTCTTTCCCTTGTTCTCTCGCATCGTCATCACCCAATCGACTCTGGCATTTCACTGAGTCAACCATTTCTTGCTCTCGCCCTTGACACTGTCGAGCACGCGTTTACCACGCGCCTCGTACGAGTTCATCCCAGCTTATCCTGCGCTTGAGGTCTGCAAGGATTCGTCGCGTCGCGGCCTCTGGGTCCCGCCCTCATTTTGAAAGGCTCCTTCTATCTCCTTTGACGTCGAATACCGCTACCTGCACGCTCCACAGACTGTTATCTCCCATGGCGCCAACAGAGTCAACGTCGGAATCATACCTACATAACCTCCCGCTGACGCCACGCGAGTCTGACAACGAAGACTTGACCAATTTGACCCCCATGGCTGGAAGAAAACGCAATGCCAGTGAAATGGAAGATGACGGGGACAAGAGCACCGCTTCTAAAGTCGCTGAAGGTACTTCCGAGACCATCGAGGCCGAGATTAGCTCAGACTTCACGGTTGAATGCCCGGCGCGTCCGAGGCGCACAAAGTCTCCCATTCCAGAAGATGTTTACTACGAGACGGCAGCGCCCTCGCTGGCACCCAACCTGAGCGTTAACTTTGCCGTAAGGCCTGGTGACAAGTGGGCAAGGTTCAGTCGTTACAGAAATGCAAAGTGTAAGCTTAAGCGTTCGCTTGCGCGTCGGAACTTACTTACCTTTTCTTTGTTCCACAGTCAAGGATCCTTTGCTCCTGGTATACTCAGCTGGTCAAATTGTATATGTCAACCGACAGGATCCGTTACCCCCACCACTACCGGCCGATGCCTCGGAAGATGAAAAGTTACAATATGACAAGGAGAATCTCTGGGCTGGCCTCATCTCTGAATTCCGAGCCGAAAGTCAAGAGAAAGTATATGTACGAGTGTTCTGGTTCTACTGGCCGGAAGAGCTTCCTATGGGTCGCCAGCCATACCATGGAAAGAGGGAATTGATCCTGAGCAATCATGTCGGTATCATCGAGGCCCAATGCATCTCTTCGCATGCCGACATTAGCCAATGGGACGAAAATGACGACTCCAACAAGATCATTCTCTCGGAGCGATACTGGAGACAGACTCTGGATGTGAAGAAGTTGGCCAAGGATCGCGACCATGCGTTGAGCAAACTTAGGCGGTTTTGCATATGTGGAGGTTACGATAACCCCAGCATGGACATGTACCAATGCCGTAAGGTCGGCTGTGGTTTATGGAATCATGAGCAATGCTTGATCAAGGCTATTGAGGAGAGAGCTTGGGCGAAATTTAAGAAGGGCACGCTGACGCATGAAATCCAGGAACGAGACGAAGGGAAAGGCTTTGCCCAAAAAGTTGGCGAGACTGTAAGCAATCTTGCACACCGAGCTTTTGGCAAAGATGGACTGGGAGCCGAAGCCATGGTCATAGTCAAGGGCAACAAGAAACGCAAAGGAGTGCCCACGGGTAAACATGTCTGGGCGGGCAAACTGCAAGGAGCCATCCACAAAACAAAGACCGTTGATGGGTCCGATGCACACTATGCGACTGTGACACAACTTGTTCCAACATCAGGAAGCGCAGAATTCCCTTCCGGCTTTGAGCCCAAGACGTGGCAAATGAAGATGAGTTGCCTGAAGTGCGGCGAACCGTTGAATTGAGGGGGGGGGGGGGGGGGGGGGGGGGGGGGGTTGTTGTTTTGACAATCGGCATGCCATTCAGCACGGCAGTTGTTCTTTGAATCTGGAGGCCATCGTCTTTGCATCTTAACGGAAACAGGATAAAGTGGTGGTCACGTATTTCTGAAAGCGTTTCTTTGCACTGCGTGTGTGCATTTTATACAGAGCACGGGTACTTTGATTCTTCATGTAAAGATTAATTCGAGTCGACGTCTAATAGCACCACAGACATGGCTCATGTTCGTAGGCCTGCACGAGGCATTTGCTTGTTGCTTTGGTCGGGGCCAACAGAACCCGAGGCCTGGAATAAATTGCTTCGCGCCTAACGTTAACTAGTAAGTATGCGGTGCTTCGTGAGGGATGATTATGAGCTGGATGCCTAACATACAGAAGGTAGTGGTCCTCGTTCCCTCGTACCCGTATTGATGCAGGAGATCACTCTAAGAAGTCCAGAACCAGGTCGGGGTAGAATACCTGAGGTGCTAGTCAGTACGGAGTAGAGTGTACACATCTCCCAAAGCGGTTGACTACAGGAACCTCGTACTCGTATCGCACATGCAAGGACTGATTAGAGACCGAAACGCTATTCCTCGTACGAGAGAACAACGCGGAGTATGTACGAACAGTGGCCATGGTACAACTACGAGGGCCTGCACATTGCCTCGTATCCAGCAGAGAAGTGTATCGCCTTCTCGGTATTTCAAAGAATCCATCGAAGGTACGACCGAGGGCCGAAAATGTACAAACAATAGAACCGGCTCGTGCTGCACGCGTCATTCATTTGCACCTTCTCATCGCTTGCTGAAAGTTTGATCAATTGGATAAATAGACGGCTCGCAACTTGCGAGATCCGCTTTTTCGCCTCGTATTTTGTATTTTGCCCCGACCACAACTCATTCGAAACACCATTGACTAGAAACGGCAGGTTTTGAAGTCTTTCGTTCTCCCAACCCAAGCCAATTCTTCTTTCTACGGGCAATGTCGCCTTGGATTACTCTTTGGTATCCTTCCATTCGGCATCACCATTCTTGAACAGTCCGACTTCTTATTACCTTTCGCCTGACTCGGTTCATATTCAAGCCGAGTCCGGGTCTTTCTCCATCTCCTATACTTCTGCATAGACTCAAAAACGCCCGTCGTCCAGATTTCAGGTCTAAATTCACTTTGTTCGTCGACAAGAAACCCTGACAAGTTCAAAATATTCCCACGCCTTCAGAGTCCTCGAGCCTCGCCGCTGCGACCTGTTTCGTTGTACGTGCACGAAACATGACGAACCAGGACAACATGACCGATACTACGCTCGTGACAGCGGGCAACCGCGAGCAGAGCGATCATGACGTCTCTGACAACCCTCATGCTGCAGCAAATGAAGGCTTCTATTCTGTAGAGGCGCCTTCGAGTCCTTCCAACAGTCTTCCCAACTCCGAGAAGCCCGCTCAGCCAGACACAAGATCCTCCGACGATGCCCAAGCCGAGCAAGCCACGAAGCCCCAACTGACGCGGCAAGAATCCAGAGCAGACTCATTCTCCAGATCAAGAATCATTGTTATTATGTTCTCTCTTTGTATGGCGCTTTTCCTATCTGCTCTGGACGTCACCATCATTACCACTGCTCTACCCACCATAGCCGAGCATTTCCATGCCTCTACATCCGGCTACACCTGGGTCGGTAGCGCGTACCTCCTCGCGAATGCGGCCAGCGTTCCTCTATGGGGCAAGCTTTCAGACATATGGGGTCGAAAGCCTATGATTCTATTTGCCAACGTGATATTCATGGCTGGCAGTCTTATCGCGGGTGTCAGTAACTCTATGGGGCTGCTGATAGGGGGTCGAGCCATTCAAGGTGTCGGAGGTGGCGGGCTGGTTATTTTGGTCAACATTTGCATCGCAGACTTGTTCAGCATGAGAGACCGACCCAAGTACTATGGCATAATAGGTATGGTCTGGGCCGTCGCCTCGGGTGTCGGACCTGTCATTGGAGGCGCTTTTACGCAAGGCGTCTCCTGGAGATGGTGCTTCTATATCAATCTGCCCCTCGACGGTCTCTCGCTCGTCCTCCTCACCTTCTTCCTCAAACTCGAGACTCCAAGGACGCCATTTTGGGATGGTATCAAAGCCGTTGACTGGACAGGTGTTGCCCTCATAGTCGGAGGCGTCGTCATGTTTCTCTTCGGCATGGAATCCGGTGGGGTCGGGCATTCCTGGGACAGCGCTTATACTCTTTGTCTGATCATTTTTGGAGTCTTCACCATCGTTCTCTTCTTCTTCAACGAGTGGAGATTCGCCAAGTACCCGGTGATTCCTCTCCGACTGTTCAAGGATGGATCCAACCTCGCCTCTCTGGGAGTCTGCTTTATCCATGGATTCGTTTTTATTGCGTCGAGCTACTACTTGCCCATCTATTTCCAGTCCGTCCTTGGCGCCAAACCCATTCTCAGCGGTGTTTACCTGTTTCCCCTGGTCATCAGCTTGTCGTTCATGTCGGCCGCTGCAGGTGTCTTCATCAAGAAGACAGGTCGCTTTCGGGAGCCGATCTGGTTTGGGCTGGTCATGATGACCATCGGGTATGGTCTCCTTATTGATCTGGACCCTACTGCCAACTGGGCCAAAATCATCATTTTCCAGATAATAGCTGGCGTGGGAGTGGGACCGAATTTTCAGAGCCCGCTCATCGCTCTGCAAAGTCACGTCAAGGGACACGATATTGCCGTAGCAACTGCCACCTTTGGTTTCGTCCGCAATCTGTCAACCTCCATCTCGGTTGTGCTGGGCGGTGTGGTCTTTGACAACGAATTGGCAAAGAAGCAGACATATCTGGTGAACCATGGCATCCCTACACAGATGGCTAAGCGTTTGACCGCTTCAGGCTTCAGTGCCACGGCGAATCTACTCAAAGCCTTACAACCAACTCAGAGGAGGGCTGTCGATATTGCCTACACTTCGAGCTTGCAAAAGATGTGGATCTTCTACACTGCGTTCGCGGCATTTGGCATTTTCATCAGTCTGTTCATCACGAAGAAGACACTGAGCAAAGAACACGAGAAAGCGAGGACGGGTCTGGCGGAACAAGAGCGTGTGAGGCAAGAGGAACTGGCTGCTCGCCAGGCCCGGCGAGGTACTCTCGATGGCGAAAAGGACGCGCAATAAGAAAGGCATTTTCCGGGGGTTCGGAAAAAAGGTTCGAATTTGAAATTCTGCTAGCATAGCCATTTGGTTTTGGAATGCGTAAATGGTGGAGAAAATTGGAATGGATTGTTTGGATGCGTATCATTCGGGGTGAAAACAAAGAGGGTTGGATGGGATATTGCTGTCCGCCCTATTCTCCCATCATTATTGAATAAGAGACCGATGTAGTAGTATTCCTAGCCATGCCCAGACACTCGTATGGTTCCTTGTACATTTAATAGTTCCTCAAGGTTTTTGGCCTTTGGTTTTGCTGTTTGTGTTGGTCTTTGGTAGTTGGTCGAAACGGTGCAGTGGGAGCGAGGCAGAAGCGGAGCCGATTTTACTACCTACCTACTTGTCGAGACGTCGTCAACATGCGCTGGTCGGCGCGCGGCTTTGCCTTTGGTGTAGGTAGAGGGGTGGTCACGACGACTCGGTCACGAAACGTACAGAGCGAAAAATATTCGAACGTTGTTTGGACAGCGGAGGAGAACCCAACGGGTGGTGGGTGGGTGGGTACCTGTGAGGAGGGAGGCAGGTAAGGTAATGCGTAAAAAACTCACAGCGGTCGCGATAAACCACCTACCTGATCTTGGTCGGGACCCAAGCAGGCAGGTCTAACTATTAGAGAGACACATAGGTACCATCAGAAAGGGTGGGTGGTAGGGTAACTAGAGGTACATAGTTATCGGTCGCATGTTTTCCTGGGGGGATTTTTTCTTTTTTTTTTTTTGGAAAAAAAAGACATAAAAAAAATAAACCTGTGTGTTCTATCTGGGCACGCACAATGTTTGTATCTCGAATACGTGAGTGCCTAAACTGAGTACCTTTGTACCTAAGCACCTATGTACCTATGCTGTGTACCTACGTACCCAGGTACTTTACCAAGACAATCACATTTCATAAGACACATCGAGGGTCCTTGGTTGGTTGGTTGGTTCGATACTTGTTAAAGAAAAAGAAAAGCTTGCGTCAAGCCTTTCAGTGAGGAAGACTGAAAGTACCTAGGTAGGGTGGTTATCTGTATCTATGTCCAGGTACTGATCGTCGGTATACGGAGTTCCGGTACCTTTCCCGCGAGGAAAAGAAGAGCCTTGAGACATCTTGATCATTCGAGCTCGTCAACGTGTGAACTCGTGAACACTCTTCGCGTTACCCTTCCCCGGGCAAGTGACGATGCTGTGAATGGCTGGTCACTCCAGCATAGTACGGTACGGTATGGGACGGGATGGTGACCTTGTGACGCTCTACCGATCGCTAGGTAGGGGCCTTGGTATGTAACAACAGCAGGTCCTGTGATGGGTATTTCAACAAGGTATGGGAATCTGGGTGACCCTTGAAAGGAACTCGTAGGGTATCATAAATGATGTTTCAGGTAGAATGATAGTGGATCCTTGAAGCTTGTCGGGAAGCGGGCATTCGGTACGATAGTGGCGCTTTGTGCTCGTCGGGAAAACGTGGTCCTCTGTAGAGCACTGCCCATTTAAGCTCGTGGATGTTGTCGGTGAGGGAGGATAGATAGAGACATAGAGATGTTTTGAGAGAGATACGAAGAGGGTGGATGGCAAGAATGACTCTGTCGCTTTGGAGTTCCTCTCAAGATTGACAGAGCTCTGTTGTTCGAATATTAGGTTAAAAACTCAAAGGTGTGAGAGTTTCCTGGCTCCTCTTCCTCTCTCTCTCCATCTCTCAGCTTTTCTCCTTCTCCCCATTTGTCAGCCTCTGTCTCGGCATATCTTGACTGCCGCCATGGTGACATAGTCATCTGAAAGCCTGGTACTTCCTGTGTTTCTCAGAGGCTACAGTACCACCTGTATTCCCATCGGAAATAACCAGACACCCCGTAACTGTACGTTTGTATTACAACGGCGCTAGTGGCATCCTTGAGCTACACCGTGTGATCGCATACCTGACCGTGTTGATCGCGCTGGCCGCCTCTCAACACTGGTTGCCGTAAGCGATATCACTTCGATTGAGACCCTTTCCTTGGTGAATGAGAAAGTGAATTCTCAAGTCGATCGGTGGATAGAAAGTTAGGTTAGGTAGGTAGCCGGCTCAAATCCATTGTCGTATCTTCCCAACTCAGCCCCTTCGTTCACGCTTGTTCCTCCATCGCCCCCCTTTACCTCTACCACCTTTCCAGCCAAAGTCTTTGCGAGAGTCTTCTTCCCGTCTGTCCAGGTCTGTCACCCTGTCGCGTTTCTGAACTTCACCGACACTGTTGTCAACGGCAGATCCGCCACTCTTGAGGTGCACACCAAACTTGCAGTTCGGTCCGTCGGGGCAGAACCCAGCCATGTAGAATTCGCAAAGCCTTCTCCGGACGTGCCGCTTCCCGCAACTTGGGCCTTTGTCGCAAAATCCCTTGTTGTAGTCCTCGCACAATGGTAACTTTGAACCTTCCTTGACATGGACGTAGAGGCACTCATCGCCGTTCTGGCAGTATCCGTTCTGATTGTAGAATTGGCATTCGCTCATCTTTCTCAAGTTGTATTCGTGGAGGTAGTCGCATGCATCCCCTTTCTTGCACAACCCTTTGAGCCAGTGCTTGCAGACGTAGTTATCGTTCTGACGGCCATAGTGATGTTGTGGTGGCTGTGAAGGCGTCGGGTGGCGGTCTGCGCATCTACGTCCTCGTGGGCAATGGCCTGTTGCCGCGTAATCAGGACACACTGGTACTTTGGACGCGAGAGCGGCGATCCCGTTGGATCGAAGGAACGGAGTGAAGCTGAAGTTGTATGTAGGAGTTGTAGATGGATTCGTGGTCTTCGAACTTGACTCAGGTGCAGCCGGAGTGCTTTCGGCGACTACTGAGGCCATACTCACGGAACAAAAGATGTGGGCCGTGGGGGAGAAAGAAATATCAGGTCAATGGATGTTCATGCAAGACATATATTTCAGTAATGGAAGAGAGAAGAAGATGTTGATTGTCTACCATCAAGAACATTCGATCGAATGAATAATTGCGTACCAGCACGACCATACACTGACGCGGATCAAGGGATTTTCCGATGTAATGCCGGGCTTACTCCGTTCTGGCTTAGCGTGCTTTGCTCCAAGCTGCCCTCCCCTTGGCCCTCGAAGTACGAGTACCGAGTATGGTCAACACTGCTCGTGTCTGGAGTCTCTGGGGCAGCCTTGTCATGTCTCTCGATAGTCATGATAGTCATGATAGTCATACCTCGTATGTGAGACGAAAATCACCTCTTCGGTATGGTTTGCTCCTTACGGTATAAAAAGGCGAGTCGATTGGGCAATACTATCCCTATCCCGGCTTGCTTCGAGTGGAACCGGATCCGAGCAACTCGCGCAGCCCCTCTTCCGCCTCTCACCCACATCTGGTGCATCTAGCAGCCTTGAGAAGGGATTCTTTTCCCTCGAGGGCCCCGGAAAGACCCTAGGCGGATGGATGATGGACGATCTGTGCCTACGAATTCGCCTGTTGCTGTCCAGCGATGAGCCTGAGAATTCGGGCATGTTCCTATGCTCCTCCTCATGCTTCCCCCCTCGCAATCCCCACGTCATTTTCATAAACACTCGTGTTCAGAAAAAACATTGACTCTTCCCTCTCCCTTGATTTTATTCAGTGATTTCGCTACTCTCATACCCGACCATAGGATACTCACTCGAATCGCCGGCCAAAATGTCTGTTACCACACAAGCAACCATAGCTTCCTTCGGAGGCAAGCTGTTGAAGCTCGCTCATCAGTCCCCCACACTTGGCTGCGAGATGAAGTTCAACCTCTACCTCCCTCCACAGGCGACCCAGAACTCACTGCACAAGGTTCCTCTGCTCATTTGGCTGTCCGGGCTGACATGTACCGGTGATAATTGCTCGGAGAAAGGCTTCTTCCAACACGGAGCGAGCAAGAAGGGAATCGCAGTTCTCTACCCCGACACCAGCCCAAGTATGTCCAATGTACTCGCCTCTTCGTACTCCATCCAGACCTAACCTGACGCAGGAGGAATTGGCATCAAGGGTGAAGATGATTCCTACGATTTCGGTTCAGGAGCTGGCTTTTATGTCGATGCCACCGCCGAGCCATGGTCCAATAACTACAAGATGTACACCTACATCACCAAGGAACTTCCCGAAACCGTCTTTTCTGCCTTTGCCGACCAGATCGATTCGAGCCGAGTAAGCATCAGTGGACACAGCATGGGTGGACATGGTGCTTTGTCGTTATACTTGAAGAATCCCGGTAAATATAAGAGCGTCAGCGCATTTGCCCCAATCGCAAATCCCCTCAAATGCCCTTGGGGAGAGAAGGCTTTCAAGGGTTACTTCGGTGAAAGTGACTGGCAGAAGAAGGGTGCAGAGCATGATTCTACAGAACTCTTGAAGCGTTGGAAAGGGGGTGACTTGGACATCCTTGTGGATGTGGTAAGCGTTCGCCGAACTTCGTTCTCCAACGAAGCTAATCGCTGTCTAGGGCACCGGTGACAACTTTCACAAGCAAGGCCAACTGCTACCTGAGAACTTTATCGCCGCCGCAAAGGAAATAGGACAGGAGAAGGGACTTAACGTTCGATTCCAACCAGACTACGACCACAGTTACTACACCATGGCAACTTTCTCTGACGATCACATTGATCATGCCGCAAAGTACTTGTTCGCATAGTAGGTCAACATGGCGGATGCCTTTACATGAACTGACACGGATAGAAGCGGGAAGAAACAGGAGCAAAGATTATGATTTATCGAGATTCTTTTTTTAAATCAAAACTAGCTTCTCTCCGACTTGGTATACTCAATTCTCTTGTTCCGATATAACATGTTCTTGTTCGTTCTTCACAGGCAGCGTTAAAGCTCGTCCATCGTGAGTCCTAATGCCCTGTGCTCTCTTCCTTCACATGTATACTACAAGCGGCATTTCAGACATATCTACCAGCTGTTCTAAACAGCTATTCCGAAAGCAGATTTTCTACAAAGCACAAATCGATTGCGCGATTTGTATCGATAGTCAACCATGATATATCACAGCTGGCCCTTCATACGTGATATTCAGCATACTCTCATCAAGATATTTTAGTCGTCACAGATACAGCACCACAACCAGCAGAAGAAGGGGACGAAGAGGCCGCAAGCTTGTACAAGAAACAAATTTGCGGCACTGGCAAAGCCGTTTGCGCCGTTGTTGGGTTTGATTTCCACCACCTGTCAACAGAAGGCGCCTTGTCAATCTGGAGACCAAGGCTCAGGGATGAATGGATTCCACATGCCAAAGAATGTGAAGTTGGCTTTCGAGTGTGGTGCCGAGTTGGAGCACGTCTGGCTCTTCCGCTGGAGCAGTCTTCCAGAGATCTATGCGAACGTGCTTCCTACAAAGCAAATCCCTTGGTCAGACCAGGGATCGACTCTGTTTACGCGACGGTCGTGACTACATCGGCGTTACCTTCAGCATGATGGCGATCGCACAACATGCCATTCAATTTTGGAATTACTCGTGCTCACGATTTGGCTACTCGACGAAGATGCTAAGCTATATACGGAGCGTTATTCTGTTTACCAGGTCGACGATACAATTCCTACCAAGACCGCGAACTTACCTACCGACGCGTTTGCGCGGTTCGCGTCGCGCCAGTGAATAAGGTACCAATGGATCCAATGCCAACAGGCGTATCAGATAATTCAAAGCCAGAATTAACGGTTATCAATCACTTTTGCAGAATTTCTCTCAACATTCACACATCTCTCGGACCGCGGTGGCCCAAGTGGTAACACTTGAGGTTCAACACTGCGGAAAAAGAAACTGCGCCTGTGTGGTGTCAGTGGATTTTGAGTTCGGGCTCTGCGCCGTCTCAGGCTCCCGGGTGGGAGTACTCTGCCTTAATGGCCTCACACGGGGGTCTAGTGGAGGGATTCTCTGCCGAAACGTTCGAGAAAAAACCACCGGGTTTTCCCTCGGTCTGGACGTCAGTTGCCTAGCGTGCAGCTGGCCTCCAGGCTAGAGTTTTGCTGATTGAAAAGAATGATCCTTCAACATCTTATTTTTGCTGGTGCATCAGTGAGGCCCTCTTCAAGCGCTATACCGATCCTCTTGAGACGGGGACAATCAACCTTTTTATCCTACATGCAGAGGACCAGAGACATTGTTGCAGGCTCTATGGCCTTGCAGTGCTTCCGAAGAAGGCGATGATACACTAACGACTATGAAAAGCTGTTCGACTCGTTCGTTGATATGGTGCGAGACGGCACAGGCTAGGCATGCGGTAACCCAAAGCTCAACTCCACGAGAGGGCCTGCAGTATCTATGCCAGAAGTCAACCACGCTACTTGATGTCGTCGATCCCCTCGGTACTAGCATCCTGCTACTACTACTGACAAAGCCAGGTCACCATCGACAAGGGTGGTGATGAACATTTATACCCGAGAGCTGACGAGAGAAGAGAGAGGCGTTGGGATTTAGGACGCCGTTCCGTTGCTATAAGCACGGGCAAATCAAGTCTCCATAGGCCAGTCACACTTCTCTTCTCTGGCTGGAACCGACGATGGCATGAGGCCTGGAGCTTAGTCAGAGATAACAAATCTCAGCACACATTTTCGTTTAAAGTCCTGTACAATACAGAGTCGGTAACATGCAAAGGTCACACTAATTCAAGGCGCAAGGCTGGGGTCCAACACCAGAATGTGGACTTTCCCCGATCCGTGCGAGGCAACCATGCATTAGACAGGGCAACTATGCCTCAACATCCAATGCTCTTTGCTTCCCCACCTGTGAGACTGTAGCCGATGTGCATCGTCACATATCTTGAGCCCTCCCGCGACCAGTACAATGCATGTCCGTGGTCCTGGTCGATTCTGCGGAGGGCGTCGCTGGTCGTGGCCCGGGGGAGGTTGGTATGTCTCGTCCGCTCTCGCCCTCCAGCCCAGAGTACATCGCCCTCGGGGTTTTTCAAAGACAATTCTCACCGGTTGCGCACTTAGTTGGTTTCCGTTGCACTTAACGGGTACAATGGCATGGATCTTTTGAGTATCTTGAGCCTTGTTCGCCTCGCGTGGGGTGTCGGTGAATCTCTCTATAGACTGTATGACGGTGTCGGCCTTGCCGTGCGGGAGTTCGAGACCTTCAACCGGGAAGTGACCACCTTGGCAACTCTCTGGAGCCATGTTCAGAGATGCGTCCAGAATCCTGGGGTGGGCCTGACCAACTCCCTGATTAGCAGCCTCAATCTCATGATTCGCGACACACGCATCATCCTTGAAGACTTGCGGCAGACGGTTGAAGATTTCAGTACCGTTGACGAGAGGAAGTATACCTTGACAAGGCAGCATAAGATACTTCGCATCCGCACCTCTCCGGATCAACAGCGGCATCAACGGATCAGAAAGTTCTTGAACAGAGACAGAATAGCCACCCAGAGGAGCGAGCTCCTGTTTGCTACAGCGACGTTGAATGTTATCCTGGGTGTGATAAGGTGAGTTCGAGCATCCTCACTATCTCGCTGTCCATCGCCAGCTGCTGACTATGGGATTATTGTAAAGACACTCTGAACTTGGGCCTCCACACGGCGATTCCCGTCTGCAACCTGCTGGTGAGACACTTGTCGACGAGCAGAGGCGAGCGAGGCGACGGGTCGCCGCGTTGGAAAGCCAGGACCCCGAGTCTCCTGTCGTAGCTACCGCATGGCTTGATCCCCTGCCCCAACCACCCTCGCGACATGCTACTTTTGAAATCCTCGCGAGACAATGGACGACAAATCGACCTCCTCAGCCTCAAGCTTGGCAACGCGACAACAGAGATAATACCAATATCATGTCATATGTTGCTCCTTTGCAACGGCGTATAGCGGAATTGGAAAGGCAACGCCAAGAAGAGGAACATAACATTGCAGAAATGAGGGCATTGTTCCAGCAGCAGCACGAAAGTGACATGAATGAGATTAGGAAAATGTCGGCTCGTGTGGAAAGGATCGAACAGGAGTGTCGAAGGCTGCAGAATGAGACTGAGGAACAAAGGAAGACGATAGACGAGCTTGATCACGAATGTGACCTCCTGGAGATGGAGGTGGAGAGTTTGAGGGCGGACCGTGACCGATATCGAGAACAGAGAAATAAATATCGTCGGGACTACGATCTCTTGGTGCAGAAGCTGCCGCCAACCAGTTTTCCAACGCCGGCTGCCAGGTCCCGTCGTTCATCGGGCTCGAGCCGGACGAGTTCCACCTATGTCGACAGTTCGAGGCCAAGTTCGAAAGATGGTCGGCCGAGTTCACAGAGCAGTTCGATACGGCTCAGACTTTTTTGATCCGACATTATGAATACGACGTTATGACCTTTTCTTTCATCGTTTTCGTTCTTGTCCTATTGGGGACTATTTGGACCGCTCCTTCCGTTGAACAGGTACCTAGGAACATCCGTCGGCTGTCATATACAGAAGATAAAGATAATACAGTTGGTCGTCTCCTCTAGCCATTTTCAGGACCATTTGTTTCAATATGAGCCACGGTCAGAACATGTCCAAATTCAGCATTTAAGCTTATACCTGATTAGAGCCAGGAGATAGGCTGGTATGGAACGAAGATGATTCGGATGACTCAAAGATGGAAATGAATACAAGTCAAGGCAGCACTCAAGCGTGAAAGAACTTTGTCAAGGCTGAACCAAGCGAGACGCCTCGCTCTAGTCAGACAATGACATGGAGTATTTTTGGGGCGCTTCTATGAAAGGACCCTGAATCTGAGTGGACTAACCCAGGTCAGTATAAATTTAGTGTCAAATAGGCACTGAATAGAACTGACGTACGTATAATAAAACTGAGGAAGCAATATCACTTGGTCACCCCGCAACCAGCACGGAATTTTTGGTTTGGTTCTTGATAACGTCTCGAACGAATATCACCACTGGCCCAACAGCCAGACAGCAGGTGGCGCCAACAATTCAACTCCCGTTGCCACAATCCACACAGCCGAAGGAAACCCATGTAGCGTTGCAGAGATTGACCTCCCTACGCCAGAAGCGAAGAGGGTAACCCCCATGATAGCCAGTGGGACGCGTCGAGTAGTCAGGTCATTACTGGCCCACCATAGCATCGCTCCGTAGCCCGCCCAGTAGGTTCCAAGAAAGCGAAGTTGGCTGTCCGTCAGCGCTATGAGGGAGGAATTTGTGGGCGTGAAGGTAGCACCGGTTGCTTTTTCAAGCACGCTTGTTCCACCAAGAAGATCTCCAATCCCGACAACCACCGCAAAGATGGAAAAGCCTTTCAAGAGTTTGGAAAGAGACATTGGAGAGCGTGGGGTACGTATATAGGTGTTCAAAGAGGAATAGAGGTGTCGAAAGCGGGAGGTGGGTGTACCGAAGGATGTGCAAGAGGTGCGAGAGGTACGAGAGGTACGAGAGGTGCAAGAAATGCAAGAAATGCAAGAAATGCAAGAAATGCAAGAGTTGATACAGGTACTTCGAAGAGATCAGTCGACCTTACGAGTGGTCCGTACTGAGGACGATTCTTATAGCCTTGTGTCTCCCTCCATTAATCAGCTCGAGTGGCTCCGGAGATAGAGGTCAAGTATGCCTAAGCACTAGGGGTATACGAGGCTCTGGTGAGAGATTCGGCCGTAAGGGTGAAATACTGCCCGATCGATCCAAAGCAGCATCATAATCTGCAGAAAGTAGCGGTGCTCCAGATACATCGCAGAGACGCTTTCGACCATGTCGCCCACCAGTGTTGAGATGAGGGTGAAAAGTGTGACTAAGGGAACAAATGAGGCCAGTACCCATGCACCTGCCCAACATGGCATGGGACGAACAGGAGGTGCCCAGGCTTAAAGCAGCACGGAGAAACGCCAAGGCCGGTATGATTTCACAGTGAGCGGCAGCGTCAAAACATTCCCCGAGTCCCAGTGAATTTGAAGTGGGCCGGCCACAACTGCAACAACCGTCTATCTGCAAGCCATATTTTGCTTCGGGAAATCGGACACCTCACCGCGAGCTTCAAGAGATACCAGAGCCATCTATTCCAAGAAGATCTTCCCGCCATCATCGCCATGGAATAGTCCAGGAAGCACGTGCTTCCCCCTCAGTTTCATCCCCCATGCGGTGACTACATCATTCGACCAGTGTTCCGGACTTGATCAGGTGGGTGAGGAACACTGGCATTACCTGATGGATGACCAGGTTAGTACGGCCGAGGGGTTTTAGTTTAGCACCTTATCCCGTCTGACTGCGCCTCCAGATCATCTCAGCGATTCAAATCGCTTACAGTCCTACCTCGGATCCTACCCTCAAGCGACAGGCATTCGACTATGTCAACCAGCTTCGGCAGGAACCTTCAGCATGGCAGCCGTGTCTGTCAATATCCCTCCAGGTCCCCCGCCAGCCTATGGTGATTCGGATCTTTTGCCTCGAGATCGTCAACAATGCTCTACAAGCCGGTCTGGTAGATCAGGCAGGACTAAAAATCATAAAGGACCAGCTTATGGCCTATTTGCATAAATTCTACGGATCATCCACAGAAGAAGAAACCCCAGACCCGGGCACAATCCTCAACAAGTTCGCCCAGACAGTCACACTCCTCTTTGCGGCATTTTACGGTTCTGGATGGGAGACATGTTTCGATGACTTACTAGCATTGACCTCGAACGAAACTGGCACGAGATATAATTACCCTGGCGTTGTCTTTTACCTGACTGTTCTCAATTCAATCCATGACGAAATCGGAGACGTCCTCTTATCAAGATCTCCGGACGAGCAGGAGCGAGCTAGCACCTTAAAGGACCTCGTTCGGGAGCGCGATGTCCAGAAGATTGCAGGCTCATGGCAAGAGATATTGTCGCAGTGGAGGAGTTCGAATGATGTTGTGGCCGAACTCTGCCTCAAGGCTGTCGGAAAATGGGTGAGCTGGGTCGATATCTCGTTGGTGGTGAACCAGCAGATGCTTGAATTGTTGTTCCATCAACTGGAGCGTGCTCAGACCGTCAATCCACGCCCCGGTGAGGAGCTAGCTCGTGATGCTGCCGTTGACGTGTTCACTGAAACGGTTGCGAAAGGCATGCCGGCAGCGGACAAGATCAACATGATCACCTTCCTGGACCTCGAATCTGTGGTTTCCAAGTTGGTAACTTGTCCACCTTTGCGCGACAGCAGAGCTTCAAACTACGATGTTGATCTTGCCGAAACTGTTGCAAAACTTGTCAATACTACTGTGGCAGATCTGGTCAAGATTTTGGACACCGAAAACCAAGGAACCCAAACGTGGATCAAAGCTGAACAGCTGTTGGAAGCTTTTCTACCACATCTTCTACGCTTCTTTTCCGACGTGTTTGATGAAGTTTGTTCCACTGTCCTCACCGCAATGAACGATGTTCTCGCCTTTCTTCGACGAACAAGTGCCAGTTCAGGCTCTGATCAACGGGCAGCTATGCTTCTTCCAATACTCAAAGCCATTTTCACTAAAATGAGATACGACGATACTGCAGATTGGAACCAGGAGGATGAGCAGACTGATGAGGCCGAATTCCAAGACCTGCGGAAGAGACTGGCATCTCTCCAAGCGACTATTGCAGGTGCAGATGAGCAGCTCTACGTCCAAGCCATCTCGACATTAGTCCATGAGACGTTTCAAAGGCTAAGAACTGAAGGCTCCCAACTCGACTGGCGCGACCTGGATCTGGCTCTCCACGAGCTTTACCTGTTAGGTGATCTTGTCGGCAAAAGCGGAGGAATCCAGAAGAGTAAACCCAATTCTCCAGCGGCCGAAAATTTGTTTCGGATGATGCTGGAGATGGTTCAGTCAAGTAACGCTGCACCTGTGGATTTCTTTGATATTTATACTGACGTATTGCAGATGTTGGTTCCTTTGGCCATCCAGCGATTCAGCTTCAATTCATGGAAATATGTGTCAGGCACAGCACCTTCTTCGAGAAGCAGACCGAGTTTATCCAACCAGTACTGCAGAACTTTCTTCAGCTTGCGCATCATCCAAGCTTGAAGGTTAAAGCTCGAGCTTGGTATCTCACGCAGCGTTTGATCCGCCAGTTACGCACCCACCTTGGAGATGCCACCGAAATGGTAGTCCAAAGCTTACAGGACATTCTCGTCGTACGAGCGGAGATTCCCAAAGAGTCAGAAGGGGACGAAATGTCATCGGACAATGAGTCAAGTGCAGATTCGACTTTCCAAAGCCAGCTTTACCTCTTCGAAGCCGTGGGATGTATATGTGGTGCTACGTCAGCCGGACCCGACAAACAAGCACAGTACGTGCAAGTTGTCATGCAACCATTATTCTCCGAGATCGAACGCAATCTCGAGGCTGCACGGGCCGGGAACGAACTCGCGAACCTTCAAATACATCACTCAATCATGGCGCTCGGCACGATTGCTCGGGGCTATTCCGATTTCACCCCGGGTACCGCAGCACAACCCGCGGGTTCTGAGTCTGGTGCACAAGCCAAGCAAGCATTCGCACAAGTTGCAGAAGCAACATTGGTCACTCTAAGTTCACTCAAGTCATCGTTTCAGATCCGGACCGCTGCAAGGTTTGCCTTTTCACGACTGATCGGCATTGTGGGCGCGCAGATGATGCAACAGCTGCCTCAGTGGGTGGAAGGTCTATTGACTGAATCGTCAACGAGAGACGAGATGGCATTGTTCCTTCGATTACTTGATCAAGTGATTTACAGCTTCAAGAATGACATTTCAGATTTCCTCGACCGACTCTTTTCAGGGCTCCTGCAAAGAGTCTTCGCCGGAATGTCTGCCGGTACTTCAGGAACAGATGACGAAATTGAGTTGGCTGAATTGAAGCGGGAATACCTCAACTTCTTGATGATCATTCTTGGAAACGATCTTGGAGCTATCCTAGTCAGTGCGACCAATCAACCAGTTTTCGAATCTGTAATCAGCTCAATAGAACAACTTGCTCGGGATGTTGAGGATTTTCCCACGGCGAAAATGGCGTTCATCGTCCTGTCAAGGATGTGCACCGTCTGGGGTGGACCCGACGTGGTATCCGCAACCGGTCAGGCGACTGGCAACGGAGCCGCGCCTCAACCTGCACTTCCAGGCTTCGACCAGTTCATGATCAGCAGGTTCTCGCCATTATGCTGGGCCTTGCCGACGAACCCAGCTTTCAACAGTAAGGACGCCCAAGCTCGTCAAGCACTTTCTGAAGCGGCAGGTTTGCAAAAGACCATCTATCTGAAGACTGGCCAGCAATATCTTTCCTGGCTCCAGGAGAACGAGTTGCGAACTATGGGCATGAATGACAGCATGATCGCGGATTACCTGCAGAAACTGGCAACCATGGATCCCAAGGGCTTCAAAGCTTTTTTTGCCAAGTTCATTGCACAGGGAGGACAGTTGTGAAAGGGAGGGAAAGGGCATTTCCACTGCGATGGAGCAACGAACAACCTCAATATGATGATACCAAAGACAATTTTGATATGTGTTATGTAAAAGGATCATGACGGCCTAACCCCTAGCATTGAAGATACCTCTAGAGAATTGATTGAGTTAATGCATTGGATGTATTTCCAAGTTCAAGCATGTGAAGTACGTCCTCTACTGTGTACGCATGCTGCTTTAGACAAATTTGTATGTGGAAGATGCCAAGCCGGCGGCAAACTTTCCCGGATAGGACACCCACATTTGTAAATTCAGTGACTCGAGACTCCGCGACGTCAACCCTATTGATTTCTAGACAAACACAAGCCTCGCATTCCCTAGGTCACCAAAACCGTCGAGATGGCCAGTGAGTATTTATGACCGAAGACTGAAGAACTGCGTTCTGACCGTATATCCAGAGTCAAAGAACTCGTCCCAGCACAACCAGGCCAAGAAGGCTCACCGAAACGGGTACGATTTCTCTCTGCCTCTCCACGCCGCACCGGGCGGACAAGGCGAGATTGAACATGACTGACGATGTGTGAACAACAGAATCAAGAAGCCAAAGACCCACAGATACCCATCCCTCAAGGGCACAGATCCCAAGTTTCGAAGAAACCACAGACATGCTCTGCACGGAACCATGAAGGCTCTCAAGGAGGTCAAGGAGGGAAAGAGAGACGCTGCATAGAGGAGAGCAAGGAGGGGACGTTGACGTGAACGTTGGATGGCGGTTTCCGGTTTTCTCGGGCGGCACGGGCGACGAGTATGAGGGCATTTTCCACACGCCTGGCTTTTACGAGCCTGACCGCGACGGGAGGTTCTGTGATGCGATCGCGATGCGATGAAACCCAGAGAAGCGAAAGAGAGATGATTCCCCATCAACACGATCGAAAAGACATCGACAAAACCAAAATAGAGCTCGCCGTTTTATTTTGAACAAAGTCGAAGGAAAAAGCTCTCATCAAAAGATCAAGAAAAGAACGCATCCCAAGAGAACAATGTCTCCTCGCGTCGAACTTGTTTATGCCCATTTCGTCGTTCCTTGTGTCCGGGTGCGACACAATCAAGTCCAAGAGTTATGTTCGCTCGGTATTTGCGGTATGTGGTTGGGTCATGGTAAGTATTCGCATTCCCCTCGGACTTCCGTGATCTTCCCGTCGACTCAAAATGGCATTTGTGTGTACAGCGTCGTGTCTACTTTTTCAATGCGCGATGTCTGAAGGAGAATTTTTCTATCGTGCCTATATCAACTTTTCCATTGTGGAACCTCCCAATTACCAAACACTTACCTTCTCAACACAGTGGAGGTTGGTGCATGGACGGGAGGGGACATACTGTTTTGCTATCCAAAAGACGTGGTTTTCTCATGCGCGACACGCGACATCGTGCGCCAGGGTGTGTGCCTTGCCTACCGTAGGTATGTGTTTTGGCCGCATACCGAAGCATGTGAGGATGCTACACGGCACTCTCGTCCCCCATGCGACTGCGTTGCTTCACACAAAGTGCCATCCTGTCGACTCAGGCATGGCGAGTCATGATGCGGGAGGGCACTGCCTCTCTCTTGCAAGTGTACCTGCATTTGTTCTCCGACCGAGAGAGATCGAGTCAGTTTCCCGCCGAGCAGCAGCTCTCGAACACCCACTTTACGCCACAATGGCCAAGAACCCACTATTCTTCTCGTGTTTCGCTAAGAGGGAGAGAGAGAGAGTGTGTGTGTGTGCGTGCCTGTTGCTCATCTCTCTAACACGCCACGCGATTTCTTCACGTTCGTGTTCGTGATGATGTTATTTCGCTTCCAGGATCATTAGTGACACAGCACATACAACGGCTCGAACGCCACGACCCAACTTTTTATTATGCCCTTTACTCAGTGACGGAACTGGAAAACGGCAAATGGGTTTCAACACGGCGGTCCCGCTGTCCGGCGTCGACATGGGAAACAAAAAAATTGGCTGTTGTCATTTGAAAGATTTTTTTTCCTTTTGGGAACGCTCTGATGAGTTGTAATATCCCCCGTAGACTTTCGGGATAAGTCTTAGCCCTGGGCTTTAAGGAATCCACAAAGCATCCCTGTATGTACGGAGTCGTACTGTATGTACTCGTAGAGGGTGTCACTCTGAGGAGTCTCCTGCCGGCAACTGCTGCAAGTCTTTTTTTTTTTACGTGTATCTAACTCACCCGGCGAAAAAGGTTCGACCCAAGGGGCCAGGCTAGTGTGACTTTCGAGAGAGCCTTGTGGACTGCCTGCACCCCTCGTCGATCTTTTTCGTACCAAGTGGTTAACCCTACGAGACATCAGGTATGTATAAACGGGTCAAGTGTCCGAATTCGAGGTAAAAGCGTACTCGAAACGACGAACTTACTTCCCCAGAGGTTAAAAATTGTTCGTGACCACTAATTACTTTGTACTACAACAGTACTGTAGGTGAGGTACATACAGAACTCGGAGGAAGAGGACCAAGAAAAGTTCACCAGTCTCGGGGGCAATCTTTCACCCGAGGCCGGTCAATCGGTTCTATGGTACGTCTTTTCCTCAGCTGTTCTTTTGTCTACGAGTACACCACAGACAGGGCTGGGAATACTCCGTGTGTGTGTGCGGAGCTACTCCGTATAGGGCATGTCCATGGCGCTGTGGCGCGCAGGGTTTGCACCCTGGCTGTACAGTACCTTGTAGGATGGATGATGTCCGCTGGGCGGCGCATTCCGTACTGGGTGCATACGGACCGCTGGACAGGTAAAGACTACAGCTTTGTGCGTGTGTGCATAACCTGAAACACCTGTGCTCACCGTGGAGGGGGGGCTCTCGACTCTGACACATGTGGCACGTCGCATATTGTACGCCATTCAAACCTTCGCCCTCCTCGGGTGCGAAGGATGGAAAGGCTCATCAAAAACAGACAAAAAGAGAGACCGATTCCTTCATCATTCACGTAAAAAGACACATTGGACCCATCCGTGGAAGCATTCTCGAAGGGATAAAAAAGGAAGAATCCCTCCCCCAAGACCACCGGCGCACCGGCTAGTCTGTAGGGCTCGGTCCATGTCACTCTTTGCGTCGTAGGGGAACCGGGTTCTGAAACAACCGGTATGCGATGGTGCTTGCTTCCCACAGGGACAATGGACAAAAACGTATTTACGTACTCGTACAGGGCTCCCCCGGGGGAGAGGGCTTCACCCGGCCCCCCAGTCAAGCGCAAGCCACGAGCAACGCTAGGAGAAGATTCCAGTTGTGGTATAGGTCTTTTGACTTCCACGGACACTCGAGACTCGAACACTCGAAGAACCTCGCCTTCAGGATCAGATTCATCGCACGGCCAGGACCCAGGATCGCCAGGGTTTCTATACAGTTGAATTCTTCCTTTCGTCGGGAGAATCTCTGACAGATGACCCAGGGAGTTAATAAGTCCACAAGGAGTCATGTACAGCACCAAGAGAAGAAAGAGTCTACTGTAGGTGCTTGTCCAGGAGGGACGACGTAATTTGGGTCGGTAATAAATTTATAACGCCATTGGTTTTAGTTTTGATTACTCTGTCTGATGGATGGATGTCTCTGTAGGGCGTGAGATTGCCCCGATACGAACATGGCAATAGGTGGTCATCCATTCTTCTTGTCGTGACTTGTACTTCGTACTCCCATCGGTGTTCGCGCAAAGAGTGTCAGTAAAGTACTGGCATAAGCCTGCGAGTCGCAACCATTTCCTACGGAGTGGGAGGAGGCTGGACTGCCACAAATGTTCGCGCATACGATGACCGAGGGTCGCCACTTCAGCCCTGGCAACCTCTCAAGTTGGATACGTACATGCGTAAAAGTACCCTAGCCAAGTACCTAGTGGTGGTTGTATGGTGTAGCAGGCTGTAGCCGTCAGCGACATGCCCTGAATGGTTGATTAGCTTCAATTGGACGAGAACGGAAAGGAGATCTTCAAAGGTCATCCCCTCTCCGATCTCTGAGCTCTGACCTCTGACCTCAGTTTGTTTTCGTCGTGCACCGAGGACCATAACGCCCGTTGAAGTCACCCACTCTGACCATTCCATGTATGTATCCGATGCTCGGCTCTGTGGACAGCTTGGCCATGATACCTTCGGCACCTTCGGCACCTTCGAAGAGAGTCATGTGAAGCACGGTGCAGGAGCCGCCTTTTTTGTCTTCACCCCGTACAAGGATATGGAGTGTTGATCACACGATATCCGTTTGTCCAGGGTGCGCCATGTGTGCAGTGGTAGTCCACGATGTACACACAGTACAGGTGTCGACATACCTTTAATTGCTGTTGCAGGGAGACGAAACATGTGACGCCGCAAGAAGAAGGCTTGATGTGAGTTCACCGATGGTTTACGAATTACTTCGAGCGTTTCACTGTACTTGTGTTGGGGGAGGTACTCCGGTGAGGTCTTTTTCCCCCCTCCCTCTTTCGTGTTCGGCGCCGTTTCAATACCGTGGACTGGGACGATGAAAGCCATGGACATTATCAAAACGAGTTGCGGCATGGGCTGTTCCGTGGTGATGAACATCGCGTTCTGAGACTTGAAATGAATGTCTAGTCTAGAGATCTCGCTTGGCTTTTTTTTCTCTCTGAACGACGGCTGTTCCGTGAAGATGACGGCCCATGAGATCCTTGATGGTGGCAGAACTCGCAACAGACATTGTTACGGCTTCATGTTCGCACAAGAAGGGGGGAGGGGGGAGGGAGAGATTCGTAATGCGATGATGGTGACGACGATGCAGACTACTGTGGAGGATGTAGACCGACGAAGTTGAGGAGTTGCGCCGTCATGTTTGAGGAGTAGGCTGCAGCGACAGTGAAGAAACGTGCATCGGTCAAATGCCGAGTCGTCGTCGTCGACTCGTCGTTGTGTGTCCGTGGCCCTGTTAAGGTGTAGTTCTCACCCTACTGACGTGCAGATTCTCAAACACACCCCATCTACCCCGTAAGTCATACTTCGCACCGGCAGAGCATTTTCTTTTGGAGCAGACGACTCGTCATACCCCGGGCGTCCATGTGCGAGAAGGAAAACCATATCCATGAGGTTACATTGTCCCTGTACGACCACACATTATGCCTGACTTTGGATGGGAATGGCCAGGATGCGCAGCCTGGTGACCCATGGGTAGGCGAGGTGCCGCGTAGCCTGAGGGGGTAGCCACCACGTTTTTCGTTTCCCCCTTCATTTGCACTGTACGAATACAATTACCAGTTCTCCGTTCTAGATTACCGAGCGGTGGCATCACGCTCTATTGCAAGACTCGAGAAATCATGGGAATTTCAGGACGCACTAGGAGGAGACTAGATGAATGACGAACAAGCCCTAGAGCCCAACATGGGTTCCTGATCCCCGGGGGAAATGGTCCGAATGGAGGTGGGGATGAGGGGATAGAGAGAGAGAGAGAGAGAGAGAGAGAGAGAGAGAGAGAGAGAGAGAGATTGAATCTCTACCGACGAGTCGGGGCACGGTCACAAAAAGGTACCAGTACAAACTCAGTACTTTCTCCGTACACACTTTATTGCTTTGTAGTTATGACACAAGAGATATGGATGGATGGATGGATGGATGGGATGGGTGGATGGGTACGGAGCATCTCCCCGATCTAGAAAGTATCATTTTTCGATTCCGATGTCTTGTGCCTCGAGCGACCCAAAGTACTTTTCCTGCTGCTGTACATGGATCAAGGGTTCTTCCTTTCCCCTTAGAGGAGATCAGTAGCTGCAGAGTACCCCCCGACCCCTGTATCCTTGTTTACCTCGTGTTCATGAACATCATACTGTACTGTAGGTTGTCTGGAAGAAAGATTGGAAGGAACGGTGAGAACTCTAATTAGATCCTCCGTGCTCAGACTCACCTCACCTCACCACCCCTTACTGCTTTTGCCGCGAGAGATGGATTGCGCGGGATGGCGAGACCTCACAATCCTGGACCGTTCAATCGTCTGCTGGAAAGAATTATGCAGTTCTTCGAGTCGCACTCGAGATATAACTGACACTATACGAAGACATGTAGATACTGTCTTCGCGAAGCCATTCCTTTTCATCTCAACGACATGCTATGCTATCGCTCAAAGTACTCGCCTGGCCCATAATCAAACAAAGACCACGACTCCACTAGTACATATATATACAGATATGTGAGGACATGGCAGCATCAAAAAGATGAGCCACACAAATGGACAATCCAACATCCAACCATGCACTACCCTTCGTCATGTCTCATAATCTGAGTCGGGTGTGCTTCCCTGCCGGACAGAAAATATGTAAAGCTCAAAAACAGAGACAGAAAACAAGCATCAGCAACAACAATAATAATAACAATACCAATAGCGTAAATATCCCAAACCGATTGCAAACCAGGCTGTGGCTCCGGCTTCGCCTCCTTTGCTTCTTCTCCAAACACATATTCAAAAAGGGTATACCGTCATTTCCTTGCTCATAATTTTACCTTTCTCCGTTTCCTTGTTCTTTGTACATTGTGTGTCTTTCTCTTCTTGAGATGACAATGATCAACAAATCACACGATCAAACGATCAAACGACCTCGCTTTTGTGGCTCGCTCGCTCGCCTTTTTGTTTTGTTTATTCGGCGTGAACCGATATGCTTCTCTTGTTCTACCGACCAGTCCATGCGCCTGCTCGGTCCTTAACATCAATAAATCGACGAAAACACCGCTCTATGGTGGATGAGAATGGAGGGTGGAATCCCCCGATGTGTTCGTTTCCTTCGTGCCGGACGCGGCGAGTCGGGCTTCTTGATACCGGGATATTGAGACGTGACTGGCCAGTGTCCCCAAAATCACCCATTCGTGGCTCGACGCGTCTTCTGACCGATGATTCGAGGAAACCCTTTGTGGGGGAGTGTGTACGTGGCTGCCCAGCGCTGTAAATCTTCACCCTTTGAATGTCTTCATATCATATCCAGCTTCGCCCCTGGCGTACGTTTCTCTGGGATCCCAATCCTTGTGCTGACTTGGTGGTCGTGGATAGGAGTAACTCGTCACAGGGCTCACATAAGCTCGGGCACCACTTGCGTAGTCTTGTTTCGAATCAGGTTCGGGAGACATGACTCCACCGCGCGGAGCAGGACTTAGAACACGATCTGGCGATGTGATGTTCAGTTGAGGGCCCGTTCCGCTTAGCATTTCGTACGTACGAGGGTCGGCCGAAAACCGTCTGGCATCAGCCGAGACGAATTCGTTCTTGCGCTTTAAGTGCGACCTGAAAAGTTCTGCCCAACCTTGAAGCATGGACCATCGGCCCAAGAACATCAGACACCAAAAACCGCTTAACTATTACCTGGTCAGCCATATTCTCATCCATCATCACTTGGAACCCAACTTACCCCGAGAACAATAAGCACAGCCATCACTACACCCTCGGACTGGACCAGTTCTCCCGCTTTGGATAGGCATTGGTTCTTGTCGCCCTGACTGGCCACCAAGCATGTGAGCCAAGGCTGAGCTTTGGTGATTAGTTCTTTGTTGACTTGAGTACTGTTGTCCATCGACACGAAAACCACCGAGAAGAAGACGACCTCGCCAATAATAACGAGAACAAGGAGTGCACCGCGCCATTGAAGTTCAATGACCCGCTTGACTCGGCGAAAGGCCTGTCTCGCGGACAGTGTCTTGACACTCCCCGAATATGTTGGGGCTTGTGAGCTGTTGGTAGTTGTTGCCTTGTCGTCGAGAAGGCTTCTTATGTAGACGTGTATGCAGTAGCCCATGGTGATGAATTGAAGGACCATGGCCAGCGCGGCAAAGGCTAGTAATGGCCCCCAAAAGTCCTGCAACGCATCCTTGTGATTGATATGGCAGACGTCCCCGAACCGGAACGACACTCCACTCAAGCTCAACGTCAGTGCTAGACCAATGATGGGGACCAGCCAGCCAAATGCGAGAGCGCCGTAGAAGAATTTGTCCCCAGGCACCACCTCCCAGCAGATTTGAAGATGAAGGGCAAGCGCACGGCAGAAGACCCAGATAATGACGGCCCAACCACCGAACAGCAGGAACGCGCCACTGATGGCGCAGACGCCGCTGGAGTGCATGTCATTGGGGGTGATTTCGTTGTAGCATTGTTCAGGCTTTCCTGCCAACGGGATGATGAATGCTAGCTGAGAACATATTGTCAGCCTTGGCCGTAGAGTGGTCCCGCACAACACGAACCTCCATGAAGATTACCGCAAGTGATAAGCAGACGCTGAGATAATGTCGATGTGTGTATTTTACCGGCAGAACGAGGAATGAGAGAATGAGGTATATTGTCAAGACGAAAGCTGCCACGTTGACCCAATTTGCGACTTCGGTTCGACTCTCGAAGCCTTACCTGACGGTTAGCAGTCATCCACCACCTCGTGTACATAACATACCATCTGCGTAGGTCCAATCAGTAGTCGGGCAGGGCAGGCAACATGTGTAATTGCCAGAAAGAGGCATGCAAAAGCGTCCGGATACAACTGGATCGATCAGTGACTGTCGTCGGGTTGTCAAGTTGAGAGGACGGGTACTTACATCCTCCTGTCTCTGGAAACGCGACTTCAGCGAAAAAAGGAGGCCGGCACAGACCCCGGAGGTCGGAGGACGAAGCCATGGAGAGTAGATGTTGGGCGCTCGCCTTGATCACTGAATCTGTCTTCTCATGACCGCGGGTCGGGTAGTATATCGTCGGCAAGCTCAAGTCGTTGTCTACAGCAAGGGTGGCGTCAAAAGACAAAGGGTGTGAAGGGTAATCGTAGGGAGGGGTGGATAGGATGATATAATGGAGGGTCAACAACGCCCTGGAACGATTAGGTACCACGGATGAGTGCTAGAAGGGTCGAGACAGTCGAAAGGGCAGAACTCTGACTTCTTGAGGAACAAAGTGTGTCAGGGACAACCCATGTTCGTGAAGTGACCCAAGCGAAAGTTTGGCGGGGTGGTGGATGGTCGCTTTGACGAGAGCCTAGGTGGATGTGGGTTGGTCTCGGCGGCGGTGGTACAGATACAATACCTGGAGGGTTGGGAGGTGCATCCGCGACGAAAAATATCCAGTTAGCGAGGTCTTGGGTTGGTGGGCAAAGAAAACTCCGTACCACGGCCGGCTAAAGAGGATCATATTTCTCTCGAAGGAGCAAGCCATGGGAGTGGGTTCGGTACTGGAACGATGGTGGAGTAGGCTGCCTCCGTACTGCACCGTATCCACCTCACGGTCAGAGTCGTCTGCACTTTACGGAGCAAGACAACAGCAGAATTCGGTGGACGGTGCTTGTATTGTACTCCGTAGTAGGCTCATCAGCCGGTTGAGGCAGACTCCACGGCGACGACATGGATTCAGGCGCGCGTGAGCGTTTGAACGTGGCGTCATCTGCTTTCCGCCGAGCGATCCTTCTGCCATGCCTTTTTGCCAATGGCAAAGAACCATGGAATTTGCGCAGTCGAGACCTGGTCAACCAGGGTGCGGTAGCTGATGGCAAAACGCAAGGCACACGCGAGGGTGGCCAACGGCTGGCCGCGAAGTAGCGGTGCAGGATGCGGTGGACGAGCAAATTGCGAACGAGGACGAGCAAGATGGCGTAGGATTGGATATCGAATACGACCTCAGACCTTCTGCTCTTCGACCAGGACGACGACGCGATAAGGTACAGCTAACAGTAGTCACTCCCTGGTGTATCCAGGGGGAGCCAGGGACCAGTGTGAGAGCAGCGATCAGGGGCAGTCTTTGCACCACGCTAGGCTAAGGTAGGACGTCGTAGAAGTAGCGGTAATCAAGCCCAACAAGTCTAACCTGGGACAAGGGGAAAACGTGGGACGAAGTAATGTCGGCATGAGAGGTAAGAGTTGCATTGTGGGTTCTGCGTCCACTGCTCGGGTCAGCATTTCGTGTTTGCATTTCTTTTGGTCTGACGGCTCGAGAGCTCGTTGAAGCAGCCTCGCTAGGCTCACACCCGAGGAACGTGTTGTGACACGACGGACGGTAGTACCTAGGGCTTTCTCCTACCGGGGCACACTCCGTCGTCGGCGAAGGACTCCTGGAGTCACTACGAGTTGAATACAATCACCATGATTACATTTGTCGAAAGCGAGCCATCCATCAATAGATGAATCCTGATGAATGATAAACCTAAGCCTATTTTCGACTTATAAGTTAGAGTGACCCCTCGGTGCCCGCGCCTGTGCGCCATCATTTATATCGTCGCTTTAAGAGCGCCCACTGCCGACAACCACCAAGCGCAAAATGCCCTTTTCACCATGGGCTCCTTTCAAGTTGCAGAAGCCGTGAGGAACACCTAACTGCGTTTCGTTTGGCCGTTTCAAGCAGTCCGGAGGACCAACAGCGCAACTCCGACTATATCAAGGCGTACGCTTCTTAATAATGACGCATTCTCTGGATCGACATCTTTTTCAGCCTCTCGAATCGCCAAATTCAGCCCTGTCATGCCTTGTCAGTGCAAGGACTCAAGGGTCAAGTTATCTGCTGGGCCGATCCGAATCCCCCACACCTGTCGGTCGATCAGTTAAACTCTAGAAGCAACAGCCTGCCAGCTGTCATCCTGGGCCACTATGCGACCACTTGGCCAGGTCATTCCCAGTTTCTTGCCTGCAGCCATGCGAATAATGGCACCCGACTGTTGCCCGCTCATTCCGATCAAAGTTCTGCATTACCGTACATACCTCTCCTAACATGTGTTGGCCTTGAGCGCGCACTACTAGCATCGCCGCCTATCATCACCTCACCGTCCTTCAAAGACGTCGTTTGAGGCGCCTAAAGAGACCAAACAGATATTAGAGGACGCGATGTTCCCCTCCTCAAAGCCCAAAGTAGAAGCCGTGTGGCACATACAACGGGCACGGTTTCACTTGTGTGTCGCCACAGACCTGTACACTGAGATCAGTAAGACTTATTACTGTACAGTATTTGCGAGCATGCCTGCAATATGCCATGGACCGTGCATATCTATTTGGGATGGCCTGACAGTGCTAATTTGAGACAGAACAAGCGAACTCTGGACCTTTGGTATCTGGAGCAATGTACCACAAAAGGATGCAAATCCCACCGTCAATGTGATCTCCAACTTTTGTCTCTGGCAGAGATGTCGAGCATTAGTAGCTGAAATTGCCAAACCCTAGTACTCACTAAAGTCGCCCAATTGACCCGATCAACAAGAATTTGGCACCCTTCGAAGCTGGAAACTACTTTAGAAGACAGGGAGCGAACGTGGATAGGCATGGATGTTTTTTTTGGCCCCGACTCGTATCCGAAGTACCCTGTGGTCTAGAAGATCCTCACTGGAGCCTAAGCACCTCTACGGCCAGCAATCAGCGGGAGAATGTACTGTAGACCATTGTACGGGAGGGATAATTCGCGGAGCCGTAAAATACCTACCTTACTACTTGATGGCCTTACGTTCAGCTCAAGTTCTCACTGGCTACAAATCTAGGGCTTTTTGCAACCGGAATTTCTAATTCGCCAGAATCATTATGCAGAGCCTCTTCTAGATTGAGACGGCGCAGACGGCCTGTTGCCCAATCACCCACTACAGACTCATTTCTGTCTCTACATTGGCTCTCACCAGCCGGATCAAATCCTCGACCACCTGGGTATCTGGCTCGGCCTCTCGTCTTGGCCCCAGATCTGAGACTGTCTGTGAAAGCGCTCGTGATCATGGGATCTCCAAGTTGGCCTCGCCTACCGCGCCCTGACATTTCTCGAAAGGTTCGAGTGCGACTGGCCCAACCGACTCCGACGCTGCTCCTTCGATGATTTGGTCTCTTCAGTGGGCCCGCTTGACCTCTTTCTGATCAGGGTATTCGCGCTTTGAAAATGGGCCTCTTTGTGAGGCATCTTTTAGCAAACCAGTAACACTGGATGACCGTGTGGTCAATAATCTTGGCTCTTCCTGTCCCAAACACGCTTCACGCAGGGCCACCTTCTGTCGTAGACCATCAAATGCGAATGGTCGAGTAGTAGCTGTGACCGGTAGATCAATGCGAGTCATGAAATCCCTGAATAGGTGGGAATATTCCAGGTAATCCAGCAATAGTCTCGTCTCCGACGCGCATGTGTGAGTGATTAAACTTCATGCTTCACGATGCATTCAATACCCGATCCTAAATGGCTCGTTACTATGATGTTTGATCACATTGAACAGTACACACACATACCACAAATTGCTCCAGGCTTGCCTCAAAAAGCTCATTGTTGACGCCAATGCCGCCAGGGTGCTCCGCGGGCGACAAAGGGTTCTTCACCACATATTCAACATAACAGTTCACATATATTTGTTGTAGTGCTATGCGCATTGAACCAGACTTGGTGTCGGTCAGCATAACGAATTTGGTGTTTGTTGGTGTTTCGTAGTAATGGAGCTTGTATTGGGATGTCCGATAGGAGAGGAAACTGCGCGCCGTCGCGTTAGACACGCTCATCGCGACTGTTTCGTTTCTCACCTGTCATCATCGCCACCCAGCTTTCGCACCATGTTCCGCAAGGAAAAGACGGTGCCAAAGATCAGTTTGGCATCGTCATCTGCACTCAAGCCACCTCGCACTGGAGTGGTGCCACCGTTGACGTAGGCTTGCGATGATGGTCTGGACGTCTTGCCAGTGGTTGACATGTATGCTGGCAACCAAGTTCTCTTGTAGATGCACTCCGCTAGAGGCAACTGTCAGTGCGTGCTCCGCTAACATCGACTCTCACGGCGCTTCTTACCATGGCGGTCAAATATATAGAATGAGTAGACAACCATCCCGTCCGCAGTTTGATGAGCTTTCCTAGAGGCTCGACTTTCCTATTCAAAGGAAGTATCACCACCGCCAAACCGGCTACGAATGTATGAGCATGTCCGGATGATGTGGCGTCAATCTCGGTTTAGACAGTTGTTGTGGTTGAGCCAACGGCACAGCAATGTTGACGGGAATTGGAGACGGAGAAGTCGCGAGGTATTGGAGTCTCAGCGCAGTTGGGCATTTTGTCTCTCACACTAAGGACGTTACGGAGTACACCACCTCTTGTCAGTGCCCGACCACTATCATGTAGTATCTCACTTGATATTGCAGCAGCCATACTCGCTATATCGTCACAGTCCCATGGAATGTCGACGACCTCATGGACATCGTTTCGTCCCCTACGTCCACGTCGGCGGAGGAAGCTGTTGGCTTTCCGACGCCTCGCGGTCTCGCGCAACCCCACCAATCTCAACCTCAATCAGACTCACATGAAATTGCCTTCGAGAGCCGTAACGACCGGGAGCCCATCGCCGAGACACCACGGCCCCGACAGCATTTGTAGGCATATTGCTGAATCCTCTACTTTCCCCAGCTAACAGAGTCAAGGACCAGTCCCGACTATCCGAGTCCTCTCCGACATCACCGTCGAACACCCTCTGCGCCCAAGCAGGTCAAGGTATCTGACACCCATGGATACGAAACGGTCTTTTTGCTCAAGCTGTGCAGGAATCACTCAATGCTCGATCAGAGTACGTCACAAGCCAGGATGACGGAGTTGCAGAGCATCGTATCAACCAGTATATCATCAAACAAGAAATTGGGCGGGGCTCATTCGGAGCCGTCCATCTAGCAGTCGACCAGTATGGTACAGAATATGTAAGTCTTGCACCAAGGTGGTATTGAGCTTTGACTGATTGCCACAAGGCCGTCAAAGAATTTTCCAAAGCTCGACTCCGCAAGCGCGCCCAATCCCACATCCTACGCAAACCTCTGAGCCAAAGACGCCGCGGTGCCTTGCAAGGTTTCAACTCTCCTCTACACAGAGATCTGGGCGACGATGGCAAACACCAGACGAACGCCATCGAGCTGATCAAAGAGGAGATTGCTATCATGAAAAAACTGAACCACCCCAATCTTGTCTCGCTGATTGAGGTGTTGGATGACCCCACGGAGGACTCTTTGTACATGGTCATGGAAATGTGCAAGAAAGGAGTGGTGATGAAAGTGGGACTGGACGAGAGAGCTGATCCATACCCTGACCATGTCTGCAGGAATTGGTTCCGAGACTTGATCTTGGGGATTGAATATCTGCATGCGCAAGGCGTCGTACACCGCGACATAAAACCAGACAACTGCTTGATCACTGAGGACGACGTGCTCAAGGTCGTGGACTTTGGAGTATCGGAAATGTTTGCTAAAGATTCAGAGATGCTGACTGCGAAGTCTGCAGGAAGCCCTGCCTTCCTCCCGCCAGAACTCTGTATTGCCCAACATGGTAACGTGTCCGGACGAGCTGCTGATATCTGGTCTATGGGTGTCACATTGTTCTGCCTCAAATACGGGCGTATACCCTTCGAGAAGACGGGTATCTTTGAACTTTATGACGCGATCAAAGCTGAAGAGCCAGAAATGCCTGCTGATGAAGACGGAGATTTTCGAGATATGATGACCAAGTTGTTGGAGAAGGATCCTCAAAAGCGCATCAAAATGCAAGAGCTCAGAGTAAGTATTCAGGGTTGCTTCGTTTCAATAAGCTGATGTCTCAAGCGACACCCCTGGGTAACTCGCCGCGGAACCGATCAGCTGCTATCGGAGGAGGAGAACACCTCAGATTTGGTTGAACCACCGACAGAAGCGGAGATGAATTCTGCAATTACAATCAACATGAGGGATTTGATGACAGTGGTAAGTGCGCCTAGAGAGGACAGCTCGAAAATCGGCTGATCGTTATTCCAGGTGAAAGCGGTGAATAAGTTCAAGTCACTCCTCGACAAGAACAAGACTCGACCGATGACATCAATACTCGGAGATCAAAGCGACACACGTTTTTCACAGCCCCCTACAACCATGAAGAAGGATCAGAAAGCACGAACAGGTGGCAACACTCAGCAAACCGCTGCTGAGAGTGAAGAGTTGCAGGCGGGCATGAGGAACTTGAACCTGCGCCCGGTGCCTACTTTGAGTATAGATGATACCACTCTGACCGACTGTGAAATGCACAAGTCCGCATATCCTAGGACACCACCTGCATTGCCAAGTGATGCCAGTACAGAGTCAGACGACATCTCTCAAGCTCCAACCATGGCGGAAATTGAGAGCCTAGATCCTGAGAAACTGCCTCCGTTCCGATCGTTGAGACCACATGCAAGCATGACAGAAGAGGTAGGTCGACGAGGTCAGGCGCATGATCCACTCGAGGACCAATTGTATCTGTACATTGGCCCCTCGACATTTTCGGGATTCAGCTCTCAGCACGATGACGACGGATCCTATGTCCGAGACGGTGATGATGTTCCGATCGTTAGTGAGAGCCCAGGCGCGGCGGATGTGGACATTTACGAAACAGCCTATCGCGATGAGATCGAACGAATCATGGCGAAGGCCAAGGAAGAGAACAAGGAACCGCATGTCTACTTGACGCGCCGCGTAGATGCGAAATTATTGGCGATTAGTGGCCTAGCTGGTAAATGGGCCGCTGTGGGAGAAGAAGCCAAAAACCAACTCAAGGATTACACCCAGTTCTCAACTCGAAAGGCTCGCGTCACCGAGGTCAGCCGGGCACTGCGCCAGGCTGCACGTGAAGAGTACGAACGTAGAAAGCAGGAGCGAAGGGATCTAATTGCGGCAGAGAAGGCGAGAAGGCAGGAAGAAGCACAAGCGAAGTCGAATACCTCCACGCCTGGCTCACCTCCCACAGCCGGAGGAAATGTAGAACCGTCCGGTCCAAGCAGCCCCTGGTCTCCTGGAAGGCAGCCTTCACAATGGCGAGGCATGGCAGTAGACGCTGGCCGGCAGGCCAAAACGTCGATACGCGGTTTCGTGGATATGGTAAAGAGCAAACGAAGTCGGTCCGGTCACGAGGAGAGCTAATCCCCGAGGTGAAGGTCGGTCTCGAGGATCTTCGCAGAGGCCAAACATGTACCCGCGGAAGACTTGGTCGGTCTGATGCAAAGGACCTTTAAGATCAACTAACCACCGCAAGCTTTTCACCAACAATTTTTCTCGTATGTGCAGTGGGACACGGATAATGTTTCACATACCATACACGCTGATTCATGCGTGCTCGGCAGGAATTCTTGCTGGCAGAGACAAGATTATAGCCACGCAGGACTACGTGCGATTCTAGATAGCCTTTGGTTGCGACGATACCCGTCATGGAATGAACAGGGGAGAACACACGAGAGTGATGAACGCCGCAGCAAGAGGAGAGAACGAGACGACCAAGGAAGCCGTTGTCCATGCTGTTTTTACAATATCCCCTGTGGCGGTTTGTCTGGCGCACGGCGATGAAACTGTGCTCGAGATTTGTCTAACCGGGGGCGGGAGTGCCAAACGCGAGGCATGGGAAAATGCCGTGGATGGGAGATGGGGAAACAGGCATTGACATAGGAAGTAATGGGATGGGATGGGATGGGATGGACTGGGAAGCGAAAAGCGACAATGGGCTTGGGCACGACGCACCGCATCTCAGGTCTTGGCAAGCTGGACTCACGGCTGTCAAAAGCTGAGGCGGCCTGGAGCATCGTGCATCCGCCTCCTTCTTCTGGTTCTGCAGACTACACTCGCAAGCTCTGGCCTTTTTTCCCTCTCTTACGCTCTCTTTTCTGTCTTCCGTCTTGCAGTGGCATCTGGCTCTGGTGCATGTGGCTCGTTTGTGAGTGACCGACCTTGGAAGAATTAAGAAGCTGCACCACAGGCCGTGTGGCGGAAATGAAGGCTCCCAGTCACCAAGATCCCATGCTGCCCTTCTGAATAATCAACCTTTCACTCCTTCATGATCGCGCTTGCTGCGACTCGCACACGTTGTCTGCTCAAAAGCCATCACCAGTGCCATCAAATCATAATTTCACCGTCCCCCCGACGCTCACACACGGACATCAAAGTGCCCCTCGTTTGGCTAAGACTCTCTTGATCGACGACGTGTCCCAGTTTGCCACTCAACCCGGATCTCTACAAGCCAAATCACTCCAAAGCGACGGCAGAAGCTCTCGGAGTGTTTTTATCGCTACGTTGAAGGCTCTCTGGAGCAATTTGACCAGATCTTGGGGTTGAGGTGTGCTTGTCTCAAAGCTGCTGAGGGTGGTGAGGACCCGTGAAACTTTTTCACCACCTCACCCATGCGCTCGTGATAAGGCACACTTCAACGCTCAGGACCTCATCTAGGTCGGATTCATCGTAAACATGGGTCGCCTAAGCCGAAAATCATCGCGGATTGAATCCACCGATGATGATAACACCCCCGAGCTCAAACGCGAGGAGTCGGTGGATGGCGAAATGCCCGAGGAGCCTAGCAATGCTCGCGTAGCTGCCATCAAGCAAGAGGAGGCAGCTAGTCCATCAGAGTCGACCTCATCCCCAGCCACGAAAATCAAATCCTCTCGCTCGTCGTCGACCTCATCGTCGACCTCCAAACCACCTTCGGCGGCAGATTTGGCCGCCAAGAACGAGCCTAGGGATGCCAGTGGCCTCATTTCATCCTCCACCTCGCCTGTCAAGCCCGAACCCAAAGAGCCGTCGAAACCCGCGAAATCGTCCCGAACATCATCTAAGCTCCCTCCTCGCATCGCACCTCTGTTTGATCACCTCCCCGACGCCACCGAAGAAGCGATCTCAACATTTTCCATTCTCGACTCCTGCACCTATCAAAATAAGTATCTTGGATTCAGCGAACATGCTCTCGATTGCGACTGTGCGGAAGAATGGGGTGAGTATAGATGCGCTCTTCAGCAAATCCGTCACGCTGACTGGTGTTCAGATCCTTCCACGAAGCAGAATCTCGCCTGCGGCGAAGATTCAGACTGCATCAATCGTGCTTGTAAAATGGAATGTGCCAATGACTGTAGTTGCGGAACGAACTGTCAGAACCAACGGTTCCTCCGTCATCTCTTTGCAGACGTTTCGGTCATTCAGACCGAAAAGAAAGGGTATGGCCTCCGTACTAATGTCGATCTCCGACCTCACGATTTCATCTTCGAGTACATCGGAGAGACAATTCCAGAGTCCACCTTTCGAAAACGGATGGTGCAATATGATGAAGAGGGCATCAAACATTTCTACTTCATGTCGTTGAGCAGAGGCGAGTTCATCGATGCTACCAAAAAGGGCAATCTCGGCCGCTTCTGCAACCATTCTTGCAACCCGAACTGTTACGTCGACAAATGGGTGGTTGGAGATAAACTTCGCATGGGCATCTTCGCTGAACGATACATCAAAGCGGGAGAAGAGTTGGTGTTCAATTACAATGTTGACCGTTACGGTGCGAATCCACAACCATGCTACTGCGGAGAGTCCAACTGTACAGGTTTCATCGGAGGCAAGACTCAGACTGAAAGAGCCACCAAGCTTTCAACGGCAGTTATCGAGGCCCTTGGGATTGAAGATGCTGATACTTGGGACACCACCGTCGCTAGACGTCCCCGCAAGAAGAAGACGACTGAAGATGACGAAGATTATGTTGATAGCCTTGAGGCGAAGTCCTTGGACGTCGACGGCGTGACCAAAGTCATGGCTGCTTTGATGCAGTGTAAGGAGAAGTGGATTGCTGTGAAGCTGTTGCAGCGGATACAGAGATGTACCGATGATCAGGCATGGCACAGAGTGGTCCGATTCCATGGCTACCAAATACTCAACTCGCAGCTTTCTGCTTGGAGGGATGATGAGAACATAATCCTCCAGATCCTCGACGTTCTAGACCGCCTCCCTCGACTCACGAGAAACAAGATTGTCGATGCCAAAATAGAAACGACCATGCAATCCCTCACTGAGCACTCTGATGAACGAGTGTCTTCACAGGCATCGTCTCTGCTTGATGCATGGTCAAAGCTAGAACTTGGTTACCGCATACCGCGGAAAAAGAAGGAGGACGTTTCAGCGCAGGTCAAGGCTGAGCCCACTCCTTTCGAAAGAAGAGAATCTGCCCAGCAGCGGAAACGCTCAGAGTCCAGATCACCATCACGTAGCCCTCCACGAGGTCCATCTGGCGTGCCGTCGGTACCTTCAGGCCCACGGTCACTGCAAAGACCTGGTAACTTTGGCCCTCGCCATGGCCCTTCTTTCAATCGTGGTCCTCCTCCACTTCCCAGAGGTTGGTTTGCCGCTCAAGATAACGGACGAACATACTACTACTCTGCCACTGGTCAAACGACGTGGGTGAGGCCAACAGCGCCCGCTGATCAAGCTCCGAGTCTACCGAAGCAGCCTTCTGAACAAGACGTCCTCAAGAGCATTATCGACAACATTGTCACCTCTCGCGAGAAGGACACAAAGACTAGTACTCCTGCGACCCCGGAGCCCACAAAGGTCAAGAAGGAAGAGCGGTGGAAATCGTACAATGAAGAGAAGCAGAAGAAATTGTACGAAAATACCGTGAGTGACAGGAAAATCGCTCTCCTTGCACTCTCGTTGCTGACCTTCTGCCACAGCTCTTCCCGCATATCTCGCATGTGATGAGTAGGTACAAGCACAAGATTCCCAAAGACGACCTGAAGCGCTTCGGTAAAGAAATTTCGAAAAAGCTTGTCGCGTCCGATTATAAGGCTGGCCGTGTGAAAGATCCAACCAAGATCGATGAGCGGCAACAGAAGAAGGTCAAAGAATTTTGTAAACAGTTCTTCGAAAAGGCGTATCAAAAACACAAGAAGCACGAAGCCGACAGGGCTGCCCGCGACAAGCGAAAGAAAGCAGCCGGAGCCTCGTCGCCGACGCAATCACCTAAGCTGGATGAAGCGACGCCAGAGGATGTCAAGATGTCTGATGCTGAGGACGACGACGGTCCACCGTCACCGGAAATCGAGACACCTTCTGAAGATACCGCCAGTGGCACACTTAAGCGCAAGCGCCCCGAGGATGACACGACTTTGATTGCCAGAGACGAAAACGAGTCCGAGTCGATAGGCTCGCCTACAAAAAAGGTTGACATCAAACCTGACTTGGACACGCCACCTCCGCCACCGCCGCCGCCAGCGCCGCCTGTCGAAACACCACCAGCCAGCACGCCGCGAGAGGGCGAAGCGGACATGGTTCTGGACACAGATATCCACGGTGATACCAACTTCAAAAGCAGAAGCATGGCCGACGTCCTGGCCCAAGCGCAGGCCGACGAAGATGATGAGGGTGGGGATGTGTCAATGACAGATGGTGTGGGCAACAATGGAGCAAACCCTTTGGTCGATAAACAGCCTGGCTGAGAAGGTGGTATCACTGTTCACAAATGCATAAATTACTCACGATACGGCCCCAAAGGTTCGGTGGAGAAGCGAGAGCTGGAAATGTTTGCGGTGCTTGAGTGTACAGTACTTGCGAGGGGAGCTAGGCGAGAAGGAAATACGACATCAATAATGGCGGCGGGGGGCCCAATGGTTGGTTCATGGGTACTCTGAATGGGGTTTTCTGGCCTCTATCTCTCAGGTCCAGGCCCAGGCCCAGGCCCGATTGATTGATTGATTGCTAAGAGGTACCTTGCCTTCTCTTCTACTTTGCACTTATCATTATCATAACGCTTGGGTTGAGAGTTGGGGGTTTGGGAGGCGGGGATGACGAGGCTTTTCTGAGTGTCGTGCGTTTTGCCTCTTTGGCATAGCCGGGAAGGAAGGGAGGATTTTGGGTATACCGATTTTGCATGGATAGGACAGTGAGTAAGTAGTACCAGGTAGCTAAGGTAGAGCAAACGAGTGAGTGAGTGGGTGAGTGAGTGAGTGGTTTTCTCCAATAATTCCAAGGATACAGAGTCCCCCAATGATTGCCGACCGTATCTGTTCACAACTACGAGTCTAAGAAGGTGGTTTGAGTGTGGTGGTGGAAAAAGGGTAGATACTCCGTGGAGACTCCTCTCTCACAAGGACATAGGATATATAGGACACGGTTCTACCTCTAGCCTGGGGAACCAGCTACTATTGATTGAACCGATCAGAGAAATAATGGAGCCTCCCCGCGGATCTCTCACATTGTTGGCCTCCCCCTGTTCTTTCTTTCTCTCTCTTGCTTCCTTCCCTCTCGATCGTATGGTCCCGTAAAGGAGACACGAAAGACGCCTCACTATCAGAGCACCAGAAGAAGAAGACGCTTTTGCAGCTTTGTCCGACTCTTTTCGCCGTCTGGCACCACCTTTGCTTTTGGATACCGGTCTCAACCAGTCCGGCAATTAGACGCACCGGCGAAAGTATACCGTGTTCAACCAGCCCGCTTACCGGTGACTGATCACTCGTACTCGTCCTCCACATACATACACTGCCTTCGTCGGGGGTCTGTGCCAGAACTCGCATTGACCATCGAAATTCAAACTCGGTATGATGCCGTCAGTGGTTCCTTCTTAGAACAAGAATCCCTGTCGAAACAGGCCGGTTGACATGGCTCGACAAAGGCATAGCGCAATGAATGGATACCTGGCCAGTATGGGCAAGCGAAGGAAGCCAAAAAAATTTGCCGCTGTCGCTCGGTCCTCAGTGTCCGGTAACCCATTGTTGATGAATCATACTTAGTCGTGTAGTCGTGTAGAGAGCAGTGTGTTGGATGTGGTAACTGAACGCTGTGCCTTGCTTGTTGACTTTTGGTTGGTGTCCTTCTACTTTGGCAAAAGTAATCCATGCTGGTTTGAACTGGATCAGCGCGACTCAGACTCGACTATCCCTTGCCTACAGCAAAGCAAATGGATTCTCCTTTTCGGGGGGCTATGATGATGGTCGAGCAATTGGAAAAGTTGTCCAGCGTGCAATACGCCAGTAGTAATGAGGAGTACTGGAAGAGTGTAGGTTACTACCACAGAGACTCCGTATCTTGAATAGGTAGATAGGTCATGGCGGACAAGCAGGTAAGATGATCCAAAGGGAAGGACAATCTTAGTAGAAACTCTCGACGATGCTCTCCTTGTTCGCGTTCATTCTTGCATCCAGGCCACCGGGACCACCTTCGCCGAGTCTGAAGACGCTTTCAATGACACTCAATTCCGTGGCTGTTGTGTCCATGCCCGTAACTGCAAGCCAGTCGTTGACGACCATGCCAGCACCTACGACCGAGCTGCCTCGATTGACACTACCTGCAACGAGCGGCACTTGTAATAGGGAGCTCAGTTCGTCTTGATCCTGGATAGATGTCTTGGGGTGGACGATTCCGCCTTGATTCGAGAGGGCCATGTAGGACCCGGTCAGGACGTTGCCGGCGATGGTCTGTCTGAAGACTTCGACGCCGAGGACGTCTGCGATGATTTCCTCGGTTTCTCGTTCGATGTCGGGGTGGACGAGGGCGACACTAATAACAAAGAAAGACTTGTGTTAGAAACATTATACATGACACAAGCCTTGGAGCAACCGAGGACTAAAGAGCCGGGGGAAAGACGAACTGGTCATTCGCGGCCACGACATTGCCTAGCGCTGACAATCTCTCCTCTATCCTTTCTATCTTCACGGTATCTGGTAATGTATTCCGCAGGTGTTGCAGCTCTTGGTCAGTTGTCGAGGTGGGCACAAGGAGGCCATTTTTGTTGCCAGAGGTCAGGCGACCGACGATTCGAGTGCCTGCAATGGTGCAATGGGCGATCGGGATGAGGTCTGCCAGTTCAGATTCGAAGATGGAGTAGAAGTTTTCGGATGCGCCAATGGCAACGAGGCAGTAAGAGTTGGTGAGGTTCGCAAAGACACCGACTTCGTTGGAGTTTTCAAACTACACAATCCAACCGCTGTCAGTGCCAGGTTTACAGACAGACAAGGTGCCAGCGAGAAGGAGCGAGGATGGTCTTACCTGTGCTCGGACAGCCATGATTGATCAGCGGTTGAAGTCTTGTGGGGTGGATGTGTTTTTGCAGGAAGAGTTGAAGTCTGGAAGACGTCCAGTGGGTGGAGGGTTCTGGAGGGGCTGTTGGTGTGTAGGTGTCGGGGAGAAGGTGGTGGGATATTGACAACTTATAGTCGGTGGCGAGGCTGTGCGAGAGTCTGAAGGTAGGGATCTGTTTGTAAGAAGTCGTTCAGTAGGATTAGATAGCGTACGAGTGCTTGTGATGGTGGCGGAGGCGAAGACTGAAATTCGTGGTGATTCGTCTAAGATTCCCAAAATGGACCTTAGTGTGCTAGACTTTTTAGATCCGAATCCGCAGCCAGCCAATGACGACATCACCAGCCAAAGGGCAAAGACTCATCAATGTCCAAATGACTCAATGTGTTGTCCGTACACACGTTTTTGGTCATGGCAATAGGCATCTTCCACTTTCCTCTTGCGCCGTTGACGTATCAACACCCGGCCGACCAATGAACCAAGCATGAAGGCTAGTGAGGTAAAGATGAGTGAAGAATTAATGGAGTATAGGTGAGTGAAAGATTAATGAGATAGAGATGAATATAAGATCAGTGAGGGACAGATAAGTGACTTAAGTGACTTAAGTGACTGAGGTGGTTCCTACATTGCAGGAATCATTGCAGGAATGCTCTGGTTGATGCCAACGATCTGTCTCTGTCATTCCCTATCCCGGGGATTGCAGGAATCACTGAAGGACTGGAAGCTGCTCACAGGACGCATTGCAGGAAGCTGTTCACAGGATGCATTCAAGGAAGCTGTTCATAGGACGCATTGCAGGAATGTGCTTCACAGGGAGAATTGCAGGAATGTGTTTCACAGGACCCGTTGCAGGAAGCTATTTCACAGAAAGCATTGCACGAATCCTCCTGGAGCCTGTTCCACAGTAATGGTTAAGGTCTGTCTCGAACGCAGTCACCGACCTGTCTCAGAAAGTCCCAACGGCCTGTCCAGCTTGCTCCAGGAAACTACTTAATCTGCGCCATGCCCCTCTTGATTTTTGCATTTTTCATGCCAGCGTCGATCCTGAGTTCATTCTACATATATATATCAGTTTCTGCACACCTCAATGCTCAACACCAAATCTAGCTGGACCACTGGGCCCCTCTTTTCGACTCTTTCTTGCGCGACATCTCTCCGTAAGGAGACGGCCTCTGCTGCACCGGAGTCGACCTGACTACACAGGCCAGCAGCTTCGGCCTCAAGGGATCTCTTGAGGAGTTTATCGATGAGTTTCGCGATGAGTTTCTCGATGAGTTTCTCGAAGAGTGTCTCGAGGAGCTTATCGGGGAGTTTCTTGAGGAGTTTCTCAGGGAGAGAGTCTCGAGGATTTCCCAAAGCAAAGTCCCGACAGGGACATTTGCGGAGTTATCGAGATATCTACCACAAATCATCTCCTGAACAACCATCGTCGTCTACATCATGACGAAACTTGACCAGCCAACACAGCCTGCAATGTTGCGGGTTGCCAACTGCCCCGGGACCATTTTTTTGTGTCCCGAGAATCCTTTCGCCGCCATCTGTCCACGTACCACATGCTTACAGCAACTGAATGCACAGAGTACATGGGCAAGATCATTCAGGTTGATTTTACCGCTCCTCGAGGAACGAGTAAATCGTACCTGACAACGATGTGTTTGTTCCCGGGTTGCAAAACTACCACAGAATTTGCCAACTACAGTGATTATACTGGTCATCTCAAAAGAATACATGGCCAAGCACCGGAGAATTGCCCAAAATATATGCCTGCTCCAAGCACTGTTCGCCTCCACCCACGTCCCGATACCAACAGCATTGATATCTCCTCGCCTCTTCCACGAGATGCCGATGGCCTTGAAACTGTTCCCTTCTATGGAACTGTCTGCTTGCATTCGGATTGTCAAGGAAGGAATTGCGCCACTTATTCACGAGGTACTTGCAAAGCAGGAGCTCGCAGTTGAGACTTGCGTCCGCATCATCGACAAACTCAATCTACTCTGGTCAGATATGGATCGCATCGAGGCTCTAAACGAAACTCTTCAACCCTATTCACTTCGCGAACTGGCCGATCTCTACCTTTTGTTCCACTACGGACCTGAAGTTGGAGACACTGTTATGCTGCGCACTGCGATCCTTCGTAACGCTGGTCTTGAGCTCGACCCAGCTCGTGACAAGGACAGTGCTCTTGCGGCTATTCACGAACTTGCAAGCATTTATGCAGAGTAGCTCGGAATTGCTACTAGCATGGTTGGATTGTGATGGCGTGGGAATTTCCTTACTAGAGTTGAAAAGTGCGAGATAGAGAGAGAGAGAGAGAGAGAGCAGAGGAATGATACAAACACACAGCTAGTCATAAACTAGCCTCATAGGCCTTCAAGGGTCATTCAATTGGACATCCGTTGAGTTTCCAGCATTGTCTCATTAAGCAAGCTCGGTCTATGCGACTACTTTGAGCGTTATGCGACTCGTCCCAGCTAGAGAGTATTGCTTCAGCCCCCAATGCAGGACGCGTCGGTGAAACGGCTCTCTGGAGCCCCTGTAGTATGGAAGGATCGTTACAATATTCGTAAGTGGTTCGTTGATTAAGTCTAGTCGCCTAGGTTTAGCACCAAGATCTCGCCGGTCAGCATTGCCCCAAGCCCCTCACGCAGGACGCGTCCTCAAACGAGCCTTGAAAGAATGTGGCATGATCGTTCCCAGCTCCGTAGGCACAAGGCTCAATTGCCTGATCCATGATATCCGCTTTAGATGTCATCTGCCGATAGAACCCCCGTTAAAGGCACAATGCCTAGGAAGTCTATCAAATTGTAGCCTGTACGCCGTTGAAACCTATATAGTCTGACAGCCCCCTAGAACCCCTGGTAACATGACAAGTTCTCTTTCCCAATCACGTCGAGATATGGAACTGCGGAATGAATGGCTGTGTTCTCTGGGTGACTTACATCAAGCGAACTGAAGTCGATTGGACACATACATACATACTGCAGAGGGCTCGACAAGACAAGAATGTTGAACAGCTAGTGCTAAGAATTGGGAGCATAGTGGACGCGTCCGTGAACAGAGGCTGCGAAGAATGGGTCCAATATTCAGATCCTGAGCCTTGCCATCTGCAAAGCCTTGTGGTTCCCCAAGTGCCCAGCCTGTGTGTACCTCCCTAAGGTAGTGAAGTCCTCTGTCCCCCATGTTTTACTTCTACAACGCAGACCTGATGGTGTCCGGAGGAGGAGAGGAAAGATGCCGGAGTATTACATAATTCACCGAAGTCGGGGCGACCCTTGTGCTGAACTTGGTGCCCTAAACCATCCCTGGACGGGAGCCTCCGATATCACCCAGTGTCAAGAACGCAAATTTTGACCATGGCGCCCTAATTTATCACTTCCTTCAAGAGGCTGTGACGCCATCCGTATTCTGTCTTACATGCATAATGAAGACTATAAAGAAGTTTCAAGATACGCTAAGAGGCTTGGTACTAGAGCGAGACTATTTAGCGCTACACTGCGTTGTACACTTTTATCTCGTGGGATACAATAGTTAGATAAACACTGCAACTGTCTTCATTGACCTTAACTATTATCTGAACTATCTCAGATCCTTCTCCTCTGCGTTCTCCAAGCTCAACGGTCTACTTCCCCAAAAACAAGGTCCATTGTGCCAATTATGGCGACTGCGTCAGCAAGTAGATGGCCACGACTGATCTGGTCGAAACATCCCAAGTGTGCGAAACCGGGAGCGCGAACCTTGCACCGGTAAGGGCGCTCGCTGCCGTCGCTGACGAGGTACACACCCATTTCCCCTTTGGGTGCTTCGATGGCAGTGTATGTGTCTCCAGGAGGAACAGTGTAGCCTTTTGTGAACAGTAAGAAATGGTGGATCAAAGCTTCCATGTTTTCCTTCATGGCAGCACGCGGTGGCGGCGCAATCTTGTAGTCTTCCACTTTATGAGGGCCCGGCGGCATTTGGTTCAAACATTGATGAATGATGCGTAACGATTGTCGGAATTCCTCCATACGGCAGAGGTATCGGTCGTAGCAATCACCGTTCTGTCCAACGGGAACGTCAAACTCAACCTTGTCGTAGGCATCATAAGGCTGACTCTTGCGAATGTCCCAAGGTACACCCGAGCCACGCAGCATAACACCGGAGAAACTGTAGTTGAGTGCATCCGCGGCAGACACAACGCCAACGCCTTTGGTCCGGCCAATCCAGATTCGGTTGTCGGTCAGGAGCTCCTCGGTTTCGTCGATACGGTCACCAAATTGAGTCGCCCACGCATAAATATCGTCGAGCAAACCAAGGGGCAAATCAGCCTTGACGCCTCCAGGTCGAACGTAGGCAGCGTGCAACCGTGCGCCAGAAACACGTTCATAGAATTCCTGTGCTTGATTAGCCAGATTTACTATGAAGACTCGACAAACGTACCATGAGCTTTTCTCGTTCCTCAAAACCCCACAAGAAAGGTGTCAAGGCGCCAACATCCATAGCGTGAGAAAGAATGGACATCAAGTGGTTTAAAATTCTAGTGATCTCCCCAAACAGTGTACGAATGTACTTGGCTCGCTCTGGGATTTCGATGTTGAGAAGCTTCTCGACAGCCAGAGAGAAAACTTGTTCGTTCGTCATCATAGAGACATAATCGAATCGGTCAAAGTATGGCAAAGCTTGAAGATATGTCTTGTACTCGATGAGTTTCTCGGTGCCGCGGTGCAGTAAACCGACGTGAGGATCTGCTCGGACTATCTCTTCGCCGTTCAACTCAAGGATCAAACGCAACACGCCGTGCGCGGCAGGATGCTGGGGCCCGAAGTTCACGGTATAGTGTCGAATCTTCCTAGCTTCATAGCTCTCGTCCTCCGGGGCTTTGTTCACGAGAAGAGAATCCTGCTGGGTGTGTGCGGAAAAGGTCGAATCGGTCGGGCTGATGGTAGTCGTCAGTGGTCCATCGCTGGATTCCGGGTTCCCAGGAACCTGATGGGTAGCATTTCGACTGAGGGTGGTAGAGAGTGCGCGCGAAAGGAGAGGCGACTGTCTCGGGAGTGTCTGAAAGGTAGGTCGGAGGCAAAGTCGTTTGGCGGAGTGCCAGCCCGCGGCTCGCACAAACGAAGCGGCCATTGTCAATGTCGGCCTAGGGCCAGGTGAAAGCTGAAGACGACGATACCCGAGCTAATGCCTCGACGTCGACAGCATCAACTGTGATGGATTGCACTTGGAGGAAGCGACGAGTCTCAAAATCAATGAAGTCAACAGCTCCTGCGGGCGATATTATCAAGTGGCTTCTGATTGGCTGGAGGGACTGCGCCCGTGTTTCCCCACTTTATTTTTCAGATTTGGAGAGCGAGAAAGAGAGAATCGTCCTGCAGACACCAGTTTTTACAGACACCCATCGCCGCCGCTCAATTCCACTCATGGCACCGGTACAACCCTCGCAAGATAGCCTGGACCGGCGGAAGGTATGAGCTGATGCTGCTTGCTCCATATACCATGCTGACGTTCTAGGTCGTCGGCATCAACGCTGAGACAGTCACGAACATCACTTCCACTGACTTTCCTGGGCATCATGCAGGCGAAGATCTTTCATGGTCCCTTGACAAGTTCGCGAACAACCTGAAGATCCAGTTCCACCAAAATGAAGAGTTGGAAGCCACATTCTCGCTGGTTGGCGTCGACGCTGCGGTTGCAAACGCCTTCCGCCGCATCCTCATCGCCGAGGTCCCGACCTTGGCCATCGAAAAAGTCTACGTCTCAAACAACACCTCCGTGATAGCTGATGAAGTCCTTGCACACCGTTTGGGTCTCATTCCGTTGAAAGGAAGTATATCGGGTTTAAAATGGCTGAAGTGGTATATACAAGCCAATCCCGAGTATGGCATTGAAGGCATGGAATTATCGGATTACAACACCATTGTTCTCAAGTTGAACGTGCGATGCGAGCGCAACCCGAACGCCGACAAGAATGCGACAGAACCTGAAGAGAAATACATCAACAGCAGTGTCTATTCGCGGCACATCGTTTGGGATCCCATGGGACAGCATAGCGAGCGTTTCGCCGATGGAGAAGTTAAGCCAGTCAGCCCCGACATTCTGATCGCCAAATTGCGTCCTGGTCAGGAACTTGACATGACCCTTCATGCGCATCTGGGTAAAGGGGGCGACCATGCAAAATTTAGTCCGGTGGCGACAGCAACGTACCGACTGCTCCCGACGATTACCATCACCAAACCAATTCTGGGCGCCGATGCTCTTAAGTTCCAGAAGTGTTTTCCGCCAGGCGTGATTGGTATTGAGCGAGTTACACCAACGGAGAGCGCCTCTGATAATCCTGATTACAAGGGTCGGGAGGGTGACGAGAAGGCAGTCGTCAAGGACCCCATGCGCGACACCGTGTCCCGCGAGTGCCTACGCCATGACGAATTCAAAAACAAAGTCAAACTAGGTCGTGTTCAGGATCATTTCATCTTTAATGTCGAGAGCACAGGACAGTTTCCGAGTGATATGTTATTCTTAGACGCCGTGAGCGTGCTCAAATACAAGGCAAAGAGATTACTTCGAGCAGTCGATGCGTTGGAAAAGTGAGAGCATCGGGTGAAACGAGGATTACGATATGTATCGCATGATTCACGGCGTTGTTTAGCATTGCAAGGTGTTTGTTCTATGGTTCTAGATACCTCTGGCGGAAATGTCCCAAAAGTTGATAACGAAGTACCTCGAGTGTTCAATGTGCAGCTTCCGTAATCCCTTGTTTCGGATACAGGTGCTCAGAAATAACGCACTTACTCTATGGAAAGGGAGATGGAGGTTAGAAGTTAGGTTCTTATTGTGGCTCTGGTCGCGATCGTCGCTCGTCTGTCAGGACTATGCTATCAATTCCGAAATCCTGCTTAGCTGCATAATTGCATGCTGCCCTAGCGAGTCTTTTGCGTTCACTTTGCAAACACGAGTTTGAACTTGAACGAGATCTGGAATGCGAGATCCGATACGCCGACCTCCTCGCCGTCACTGACCAGCTCCTTCATCTTCTTTTCCAGGTTTGGCCTCGTCTGCTCCTCTAGACTCTTTGGCGCCTGTACATACAACGTCTTCGCCTCCGTCCTGAGGCTCGGCTTCTTCAACTGTGCCTCTGCCCGTTCTGCCAAACTAGCAAGGAACTCCTCCAGGGTGATTTCCGGATCTACCGTCATGTTCTGGGCAATGTTTCCACAAACTGGGCAGTCGTCCTTCTTCTCTGCGGCGAACGTGTACGTATACAGGCCCGCGTCGTTCGAGTCGCCCGTGTACATCATGTAGTTCTCGAGGAAGGGAGCGCACGACGTTGCAATCTTGAGTGCCTCGTTGCAGCATGCGGCGGCTATGATCGCATTCGTCGACGCGATGGCTGGAATGATGTTCTTCACCACGCCTTGCGTCATACTGTATGTCACGCCGGGGATATTGAACTCGTTCGCCCGCGCCAGAGCTGTCTGGTACAGCCACGATATGTGTTCCGGGTCGTCTGTGTCGAGGCTTTCGCCTTTCCGTTGCTCCTCCCACGCTATTATGTGCGCCCACTCGATGCAGTGCTGGGGCTGGCGAGGGATGGTGGCGAGCGTGCAGAGAGGCACCGCTGCCCGGGGCGCATGCATTGACAGCTGACACTCGATACACGACGTGAGGGAGGGGAGGATGACACGTGCTTGGCCCTTGAAGCCTTCGGTGCCGCCGTCGATCAGAGGCTTAAGGGACTCTGGGTTCTCCATGTCTACCATGTCGACGAGCGTGGCGTTGATCCAGCGACGTGCTTCGATGCTGTCCAAACCGCAGATGACCAGCTTGAACTGCATGTAATACTCCTCGTCCTTGTCCTGGATCTTGCCGTTGTACGGGGTGATTTTGACGCCCGGAACGCGGCGCTCGACAAAGGAGGCAGCAACCTCAGCCTTTGATTTACCGACGTCGGACTGCCGGAAGAGAAACTGGCGGTTCAAATTTGAAACGTCGATGGTGTCCATGTCTATTACGTGGATGTCCTTGAACCCGGAGAGGGCGAGGTTCTTCAAAATCTCACAGCCTAGGCCGCCAGCTCCAATGACCAGAACGCGGGATGTCTCGAGGGCGTTGACCGTCTCGTTCCCGGGCACAAATTCTTCACCAGCATAAGGGGATGTCGTGGATAGAACATTGTCCAGGTACGTCCTTTGCTCCACGTTAGCACTGTGTTGATTCGTGAGTCGTGGCAACTTACCACCGGTCCCGAGCGGTAGTGGGAGCACCGTTTGTCAGCAGAGAGGATATTGGGACCGCCATGATCCCTGAGTGTTTCGACTAGACCAAGCTATACCCTCAGCTTCGAGAGGCACAGATGACCTGCCTCAGACCACAATGCACCTTCACTGGCGGGAATCGAGCATCGAAATGGGGGCTAATTACGTAGAGATAGTAGCTTGAGAAGGTACCGGATGAAGAAGGAAGCGTGCCTTGGTTGCCAGTATATATCTGGGTCTTTGTGCGCCTGAAGTGTCAGATAGCAACGCGCATTGCCACACTGTTTTGAATGCTTTGTTGTTGATGAACCTCTACATTGGGATGTTGGTGACGGAGGCTGAGGACGTTGAGGACATTGAAAATGACTAAGCCGAATGACGCCCATTCCGAGATGTCTTGGCGCTCAACTACGATAGCGAGGTCCAGGTAACACGAGGGACCCACCCTGAGGCCCCCTTGTAAACAGTAGATTATGTACAGGTTCCAGCCGGGAAATCCTTTCCCCCAGATTCTAATATCTACATTCTACATGCCTTTTTGTATCCGAATGTCCAGCATTCTCCAAATACCGAGGAGTTCTAGTCCCTCTGTGTTACATGATTGTTCGCCTGAAATCCCAGATCCCGCACATCTCCTCCTCAAATCGAAACAGAGTTGTCGTTATTCATCCCATATGTCGGGCATGCAAACGTCCTGCACTGCCGTTATCGGTGTGTCTGCGTGTTGTACCTTTCTATCCTCTCCATAACATTGTCGGCATCATTCTGACGAGACTCGTACCGGACATTCCACTCGACATCACGGCGGATGATCATCTGTTGACTATCTTGACTGCCAACGCTCTGGTGGTCATCTGTACTTGGTTTGGTTGTGGTTGATGTATTTCGATCTCCGGTTTGATCTTCCAAGTCCGCTTTGCCAGTCCACGAACGGCTCATAGGTTCCAGTGCGATGTCATCATGACTAGTCAATGCGTCGACGCCGTTCTTCTTTCTTCTAATGCGGAAACCATTGGAGCTCAAGGCTGTCTTGCTCTCGTTGCTATATTGACCGCCGTTTCCCGACCTTGTACTGCGCTTGTTATAACCGGACCCTGCCAACGAGGTTCCAGCCGCCGCTCCAAAGCTTGTGTCTACAGCGCCCATGAATGGCTTTAGGCAAGGGACCGTGGCAGCTACGAGGGCCACAACAAGCTCGGTCTGAGTGGTGATGACCACCTTATCCTGTTGGAGCGTAGGGTCGTGAGAATCGAGGCTGGACACGATATACCCGAGACGGACTGCTAAAGGTGCTATCGTCCTGCGAGAAATAAGTCAGCCGGATTCCGGTCGAGAAAAGACTAGAGGGACTTGCCCAAGGCGGAATACAAAGCCAGTAACAATGGCCATCTTCTTGTCGCGAGCAATCTGAATGCTCCACACGATATAGAAGATCACTGCAAAAGCCGCTAGCTCAGTGAATATATCAAAAGCTGCTATCGCCTCCCATCGTGCCCCAACGCCAGAGCATTTCTCTCCGATGAAGATCCAGGGGTGGCTCAGGTCGCACACGAGCGCAATGAGGAGGAAACCTATCACGCCAAGCAATAAGGTGACGGCTATCAGGGCTTGAGTTGTGAGTTTGTGCGCCCTCTGTACGCTCAATCGATAAATAAGAAGAAGGTTCGAGATCTTCGAAGTCCACAGACTGAGAATATAGAACAGATTGGAGGCATAATAGGTCTAAAAGGTTAGTACTGATCTTATATGTATCAGTCCAGGTCAATTCATCTCGTACCTTCTGAAGTGAAACCAAGTCGGTATTCTCTGGCAACGTTCTTCCAATCCCATCCCTGACGGCGACAATCACGAGAGCAGACTGGATGACAAAGAATAACTTTTGACGATCAGCGTTTCTTCGTACCGCTCCATCTGGATTCCCGACTTACAGATGCTACCGCAATAGATATGTCGTCCAGGCCATACGAGCGACTGAACTCGATTCGGACATATGCCCTGATTACCAACGAAGTCGCGACGGTTGCGAGTCCGATGCCGGTTATGATCCACAGAACTCCTCGTTGGTCTGTGTCAGTGATTATAGCAAGAGGCGGCGACTGCCCTGGCGTCAGTTGCAGGTCGGCCATAGCACGATGGCGACGACAACAAAAACGACTGAGAACGTGCTGGAAGACGCACGAGCGTGTTGCTGAAGTATTCCTTTTGAAGCCGTTTGGGGCACCCACATGGTGTAAAAGTCGGCTGTGACAAGTGAAGGTTTCCCCGGTCTACTATGTTGTTCCCGAGCCCAGCCCTTGCTGAAGTCTCACTTGACTAAATCGTGCCGATAACAAGGTTCCAAACATGCATTTAAGTTACGGAGTGCTCTGCGCTAACAGGGGGACACATCCCTTGGTTGCTTTACCATGACAAAAATGCACTTGGCGGGCCACCGTAACGCTTCAACTCCTCATGAAGGAGAAAAATCGGTTTACGAAACGGAAGCTTTTTCCAGCAAGGGGTGTTAGGAGCCAACCGTGCGTGCATCAGCAAATCATCGTGCGTGCCTCGACTTCGCAAGCCTCAGAGACATGGGTGCTGTCCCTTTTGGGACCCCATGCCATAGCTGATTACCACCACGTCCGCAATTGGCAGCATAATGGTCGATCAAGCCGCGTGTGTTCTCCAGCACATGGACAAGTCAGTGCGTGGACTGCTACCTCAGTCACCTTAACAAGCGATAGATGTCAACCTAGCGGGAAGAACCAGCAAGTCATCACCAAGTCGTCAGCGCGAGAGAGTGGAGCAGTGAATGCAGATATAATAAGCTTTGGAGCTAAAGGCTTCAACTTACCGGCCCCCTTCGTTGCGAGTACAGTACATTAGTTTACCTTCGTTTAACAGCCTGATCGACCAAACCTACACCATTTTTCGTCACCCAACGCCGGTGACGCCCTCGCTCGACCGGCGCCCTGGGAAATGCTTGGGGTCGTCGTCCTGCCTTCATCACTGCCTGCATGTTTCGGATTGCTGTTGCAGAGGTGCTATGCTCGTGCGAGTGATAGCATGACTGCTTCTAGCGTGACAGGATATTTGCAGCTCAGCAACTGCCCCATCCGCGATAAACTTCAGCCATCTGACAGGGATGGTCCAGCTCCGCATGATCTTAGGACCTGGCAGGCTGTCATCTCATGTCGGTGTCGGTACATGTTCCACCACCCTGCTGCCTAGTGCATACAAGCGTCGCGGGACTCTTATGCCGATGGAGACACTTTTTCTTAAGGCGAAACCCTCAAACTACTTGGTACGTAGTGACCACGGACATCGACCGGGCTGCTTCTTCAGACTGGTCGGCCACCGATGGCATGCCATCCTGTCTTGGAATCATTCCATATCGTGTTGCGAACCCTGGTCCATTAGTTTCACCACCTGGGGGTCCAGAATGTGCCCTTGTACACGAGCTCTTTCTGCGCCGTCTTGAGCAATCCCACTGCTATAACCGAGGCTCTCCTTGTATTTTGAGTGCTGGACGAATACTTGGGCTGGCGATACTGGGTCCTTCATACTCCTCCCGCTGCCGATTTTGGCCGTTGACAATTTCGTCGGCGTCTATCTCAATCTTCTTTTGTTTCCTCTTTCACTATATTGTTCTCACCAACTCATCCTCCTAATAGAGACGGCAAGTCGAAACATCAGGACACTCATTCTTCCATTGCCATTCTAAGCAGCGTCATCATGAACAACAAGGAGGCCCAGCATGAGGCGGAGGCCTACGCAGACGACGATCTTGCGATGGACTCTCAGCAGAGTATGCGAGGTACCGATGCGGATGCTCGCGATATGAAAGTCATGGGCAAAACCCAAGAACTCAATGTCAGTACATTACCAGATCGGGATGATTATTGACGCATGACTGAGATCTTCACAGCGGAATTTCAGGTTCATATCCATATTGGGGTTCTCTTGTACTGCAATGTCCACGTGGGAAATTACGCTTTCCTCGAGCACCTTTGGCCTCATCAACGGTGGTCTGCCTGGTCTCGTATGGGGCTACTTTATCGTGTGGTGCGGTTATTTCACTGTCTTCGCCTCCATAGCAGAGTTGGCCTCGATGTAAGTGATCTGATTGTAGTCGCAACAACTAATGAACAAAACGCTTACTGACCCTGCTTCACAGGATGCCCACTGCTGGTGGACAATGTAAGCATTCTTCCCACAAAGACAACCGCTTGAATCCACGAGTCTTAGTCTTAGCACTCTTTTGAACCCATCCCAATCGAAAAACGAGTCTAATCTGCTGCAGACCACTGGGTTTCGGAACTCTCTCCTAAAAGCTGCCAGAAGTTCCTCAGTTACCTGGTTGGATGGTTCAGCGCGTAAGTCTTGTGTCGATGAAAGGCCTAGTGAGCTTCCCCCAGCAGAGACTGTTATCTGACGACTCCTAGACTCGGATGGCAAACCGGATACGCCTCGATCGCTTTCATTGCTGGTACGCTTATTCAGGGTCTGATTGTCCTGAACGACGAGACCTACATCTTCAAACGATGGCACGGTACTCTTCTTGTGATCGCCATTACGGCTTTCTCCATTCTCTTCAATACATTCCTCGCAAAGCGATTGCCACTTGTTGAAGGCATGGTTTTGATCCTTCATATCCTGGGCTTTTTTGGCGTGCTCATTCCACTTTGGGTCCTTGCGCCTCGGAACTCAACGGAGGTGGTCTTCACGGAGTTCGTCAATCTGGGCGGATGGAGCTCGACTGGTCTATCCGTCATGGTCGGCATGCTTACAACGGTCTATGGCATGCTCGGAGCTGATAGCGCTGTTCACATGTGTACGGGCTGTATACCCCTGTCGGAGAGACCAGACCGCTAACGTGTCACCGCAGCCGAAGAAATTCGAGATGCCGGGATCGTTCTTCCTCGCGCAACAATGTGGGCGCTGTTTATCAACGGCGCATGTGGTGTAAGTCTGGCAATGCGCCTTTGCGAGCAGTACAACTGTCTGACCGTTTCGCAGTTTATTATGATGATTACCTACGCTTTCACATTGGGTGATCCTGTGGCAGCTCTCGAATCCCCCACTGGATACCCTGTTATTAGTGGCTTCTTTTATGCAACAAGAAGCCATGCCGGTACAAGCGTCATGATTGCTATTATCATCATCAACACCACGAGCAGTTGTATATCTACATTGGCAACTGTTTCGAGACAGACTGTATGTTCAAGCTTTATCTACAGTCCTTCCCCTGGGAAAATTATCGCCGCTAATAGTCATGGTTTCCTCAGTGGTCTTTCGCTCGTGATCGCGGCCTGCCGTTCAGCGACTTCATCGGCCACATCAAACCTGGCTGGAACATCCCGCTCAATGCGGTGCTGTTGACATTACTCTTCACGACCCTCCTCTCGCTTATCAACATTGGCTCGACTGTGGCATTCAACGCAATTTGCTCAATGGCAACCAACGCCTTGCTCTCGACATACATCATCTCCCTCAGCTGCTTGATTCTCCGTCGTATTCGAGGGCCCCCTCTCCAGCCTCGCCGCTGGTCTCTGGGCCAATTCGGCTTGCCCATCAACGTTGCCGCTTTGCTCTTCTCCACTTGGATCTGGGTGTTTTGCTTCTTCCCTCAAACAACCCCAGTGCATGCCAAATCGATGAACTGGAACATCGTTATCAATGCTGGTATCATGATCATCGCCGTCTTCTACTACTTTGTCAAAGGAAAGTACCAATATGTGGCACCAGTTGTTCTGGTGAAGAGAGATGTCTGAACTCGGTCTAGCCTCGAGTCGCTCGATGTACACTTTTATTTGTGTTTTAGGCAGCTCTACGAACAGAAGACATTCTTAGAACGGCACTCGATCAGAGTCTGGCAACGCCGGCCCGAACGAGCAGATTGCCGAAATAAGAGCGTGCTTAGTCTTTGTATATAGAAGCGTTCACGGAGGTTTCAAGGGGTCGATTGGTCCAAACCATTAAAACGTTGATCTCGCTATTCCTCTATTCCGTGTATCCAAACTGCGCGAGATAGTTTATCGTGTGTATGGATAAATGTTTGGGATAATTCGATACTCATTTGACGCTACTCCTGAAGAGCTTAGTACTGCCATCTCATCGAGAGCTCTATGCCCTCTTGGCAATAACAAGCTGGTTCGGGTACTCATCCAAGAGCTCTTGCCACCAGGCAATATTGTCCTGCTCCTCCTTGGTGAGCACGCTCTTGTCTGGCCGGACGTAGCGGGAGATTTCTATGCCAGCTTTTGCCGCCGTGGACTCAAAGACGTCCTGCTTGAGAACAAAGGTGTCGAACTCGACTTTGGGTTGCGTGTCGAACTCGACGTGCATCTTGACGCCGTCCCCAGACGGGAGCTGCTGGATGTTGGATTCCATGGCGCCATACTTGAGCGTCTTCATAGACTCTGGCTGGAAGGTTTCCTGGTTCTGAATGATGCCGACAAAGGTCCCAGACGACGGCTTGAGATACTTCGCAATGTTGGACCAGAAGCCCTGCAGTTGGCCGGCGCTTTCGGCGTAGTTGAGCAGCCACATGCCGATGACGAGGTCGAAGGAGCCCGGCTCGAGGCCGAGATGGTCAAGGGGTTGGGAGCAGTCGGCGACGTGGAGCTGGAACTGATCCACGTCCTTGGTGGTGGCTTTGCACACCTCGATCATCTCGTTCGAGATGTCGATGCCGACCAGTTTGGTTGCCCCGAGCTTACGAGCCTCGCGGAGGCCAATGCCCGTCCCGCAGGCTAGGTCGAGCACCGACGCCCCTTTCCAGTCGTCGAGTTTCTGGAGGTTGTTGTCGAGGAGCGTCCACAGAATGCGGACCGCCGGCGTCGCCCAAATGATGTCGTAGTCACCAGCGACATCATCGTACATTTGCTTTTCGGTGGCCATTGCTGCGGATGTGGAAATTGGCACGGAGACCGACCGAGTATTATGGGTACAGAGAATGCGGTCTTTCTATTCCACTTTTGAGGGCCGGAGGTGGTGTGAATCGTAAGCAAGTATGTTTCCCCTCAAAAGAGCTCGAGATCAGAGAGATTGGGTGCCTCGCTCGACACGAGGTTTGCGGAAAGAAACGTGGAATATCGAGGTCCCTGAAAGGTCAAGGGAGGTTGAGCAGTACAAAGCTCTATCAGTCCACGTTTTCTTCACTATTGTAGATCCAGGCTGTTGGGAGGTGCGTTTCTCGACAGATCACGCTTTCCAAATTATGCGACCCATGTGTCCAAAGTCGTTTCCACTGTTCTCATTCCAACTAGAGACAGACATGTAAAGCTGGCGTGCCTGAATATACACCTTGTCAATATATGCATGGTACGCATTAACCTTTCCCTACGGACCTGTCACAGACGCAGCTAGTTAGCGAATGCAAAAGGAGAGCGCCCTGGTCACAGCTTCATCCCGGCTCCGTCACTCGCACCTCGTACGCGTACTCGCTGCGCTGCATGAGCACGCTTCCGGATAAAGCCTCTTGAATTCCTATACGTGTACTCGGTACCGTCATCACTTAATGGAAACTGGACGAAAACGGGAGTTTCTTATTCCTCTCATGACAATGTTGCATGTGGATCGCTTTCTGCATCTCGGGCATTCGTTCATAACGATATATTCCTCCGTTGTTCAGTGGGAACTTCGGTTTGGATTACGTGAAGCTGTGGAACCTCAGCGCGCCATCGATCATTCAAGCTTTGCAAATCTTCACAAGCGCCGTGGCTTAATTCGCGCGAGCAAGACGGATGGCATCCAACACCGAGCACAGAAGATCCGAGGTTGTCACTTGTGGGATCGGAATAGGGCAATCGCCGGTAAGCCTGTGGGCATAGACGACTTTTGTCAGTTGGAGCCAGAGATCGGACCAGGGGAAATTGCGTGCAAGGCCAGGTTAGGCGGGGAGTTATCGAATTAAAGGAGCGGGACAATTTGTTGCTTTATCTTTGATTTGGTTTCTTGCGAGATAACACTGAGAGCTTGACAATTATTTGTTTGCCAGCAGGACATGAAATGTCAATGACATCTCAGGATGCGTACAAGTCGCAGGCGCACCAGCCTCTCCAGGGATCGGTGTCGATCGCCCCACGGCACCGAGAAAAGGGGTATCCGGGCAGTCGAAGGCTTTGTGGTTAGCGCTGACATGCCGGTTCCAGGACTCGTAGGCTCATCGCTTGACAGAGGAACTCCGGAGTACGGATAAGCGGCCAAGAGCTGCTAACCGATCCCCCAGAATTCAACTGTTGATCAAAGAACCCGTCTGCCCAGTGACACCTCGGCCATCTCCGGTCAATCGTCGAAGAGCAAGGATGCCCTTTCCGCGCTTTGAACATATTCTGGGTAGCCAAAACTGACAAAAAGCAAAGAGTTCGTCAAAATCCTGACTGATGTTTTTTATGGCCTTGTACATTTTGGGGTTATGGTAGACAACTCCGGAAGATTCGTGACTGACAATGAATTTTGCGTGCGGTGTCGACGAGCCTAAAGCAGCGTCAGGGCTCAGCTGTAAACCTCCTAGTGCAAGTACACCGCGGCCATGTCGGAGTGCAGTTGTCGCCATGCCGCTTTATCAAGTAAGTGCTTTGAAGGTAGGCAGGCAGCCTTGGCAGTGATCACTGCCGACGGCAATGGTTCGCTTCACTGCACAATGACATGCTGCAATCTGCGCGAGAACAGTCGAGACAAGACGGTTGGAACATCTGAAACAACATGCATCGTTCATTATGGATGATTTTCTCAAACCCATCAAAACCTCCTGGAAGGTCCAGAACAACATCGACAAGTTCGAGAGTCTGTCGATGAAAAACACGCCTTCGACGAGACCAGTCAGTGCAAAATCCAAAGTCTCAATCATCGATCTGGATCAAGAAAGCAATGATAGCTCCGGAGATCAATTCAGTATTCGGCCTTCGATCGATTCATCTCATACCTCAGTGTCGGCGTCGTCAGACTCGAAGAAGCACAAGCGTCATGACTCCACAGCATTCCTTCAAAAGTCTTATTTGGACAACTCGCCACCTCCATCTCTTCCAGACGATGCACGTGAAATCTTGAAAAGCCAGCCTGATACTGAGGATTTGATTGCTGTGCTACAATATCTACAATGCGGCATCGAGGGAAAGCATGATTTCAACATCCGACTTCCTAGTCCCAAGGCTTCGCAGATCATCAATGTGCTGGCCACAATTACTGTGCCAGATCAATGGATACATTTGAGAAGCTCCAAACTGTCAAATACCGAGGCTCTCCTCAAGAAACTGCTGCTGAGCTGTTTGATGAGTGTTGCAGGCTTGGGTGCTTTGTTGATGCAGATCAAACAACTCGCCATCACAACTTCTAAGAAGACGAGCCCTATTCTCGAAGACGCCATTTCGGTCGTTGAAACATTACTTTCTGGAAATGGTGTAGTAAAGGAGCTTTTGGCCGAGGCAAACAAGCTTTTCTCAAGCGAAATGCAACGCAGGGTCTATTGGCAAGAAGTCACCTCGTTATTGGCTGGAAGCAAGGTCCTTTCGACACTGGCTCAAGCGTCAACAAATATTGGACATTCGGACGAGACCATTCCGCTGGTGTCATGGCTCAGCGACGGCGCAGAATATTCGAGATGGCTTGGAAGGAATATCGCGACTGCTGCCACTGCATCTATATCAATGTCATTTTCAGGAATTCATCATATGAATATGCTCTGCCAGCTACTAAAGCGTGGATTGAGCCTTGGATACCGTGGTAGGTACAACGGTGGTGTCGGCTCCTATCACAAACTGACACGATGCAGATGCTCTGACTATCGAACTGTATACGATGCTTCTCTTTCGTAATCATGCACTCTGGACCGTGTTGCATACACTCATTCAAAGTCTACCATCTCATGATCAGAAGAGCTTGTTCGATACTATCCTGTGTGATCTTGGGCGAAAGCACCTTGGAGGCAGTATCAACGTGGCGGACAAGGAGTCCTTAGCATCGCACAGCGCCGCCATTGGCGGTGTGGCTGCGATGATCAATGGCATCGTTGAGAACAACCCTCTTTTGCAAGCTCATCTTACTCATTGGTTAACAACTGCAAATGGACAGTATGTTGGGCTCGGGCTCGACAGCCGCAGAGCTGTCATTGCGAGCCTGGCCACCGATAAAGGTACGTATCCCCATCTGTCTTGCTTCAGTAGCGTTGCTCATTATTCCATAGACAAGTTACAGGCCGTTCTTGAAAAAAGTCTGGAAGTCTTTGGAGACAAGCTGCAGATGCAGCGTGATCCTATCCTACAACAGGAGGGTTAGTATGACCGAACTACATTGAATATTGTCCCTTTCTCCCCGCTTAGTAGAACCTGTGCTTACTTTTGTTGCTTGATGTAGCAATTGCCCAAACTATTCTCCTCGTTACCGGTCGTCTGTATAGGCTGGATCACAACTCAGTGAAGCAAGTATCGCTTTCAGGTTCTTTTATGCGAATGGTGTCCAACCGCCTCTCAGCATCCATGCCCCGTAGCCGTTTCTTGGGCATGGTAGTAGCAACAGCAATCTCCAGGATGCTTGACAAGCCAACCCAGCGTATCAATTTTGGAACAGAAGAGATGGAGGGAGAAGAAGCCCAGCACTGGCTGGACCTACCCAGTATTCATGACACAATAGGGTCTGTAGATACACTATCCACAGCTCCAGAAGGTATCCATCGACCACAACCACCCGCGCAGAAATCACCACCTCGCCGGAGACCTGCCACAGCTGTAACGAGAGCCCAGCCAGCATCAAAGATCACCGCCATCGAAGAAATCTCGACCGACGACGAAGGAGATGATCTTGGTTTTCATCCATATCCGCGCCCGGACAATGACCTATCTGATTCTGACGACGACCCTACACTTGTGAATCGCAACAAGCCTGCAGCTCCAGTCTACATCACTTCTCTCATCAAGCAACTCAATGCTACGGATGATATATCTGCCGTCGAGCTTGCATTGCAGACAGCACCATCTCTCATTCGCAGGAAGTCAGGCTTCGGTGACGAACTATCGTCAAACTTAATACCTTTGGCATCATGTCTTCTCAATCTTCAAGAAGGATTATCGCAACCAAAACTGCAGAAATTCCGACTAGAGGCATTGATAGAGTGCTTCATTAGCAAACCAGACCTAATGGGTCCTTGGATTGCCAATATGTATTTTGGTGGAGACTTTTCCCTTTCTCAGCGAGGCTTGCTTCTCACGGTATTAGGACTGGGTGCGAGGCAGATAGCTGGTATTGACGACGAGCAAGAGAATGCGATCGCGTCTCTGGTAGCTGACGAGAAACAGTTCCCTTCCAATCGTCTCCCCTCTCATCTGGAATCTGTATTCGCTTCTGGAAATTCACCCATCAACACTATCTCAACAACATTGTCAAGTCGAACATTACAGCCGATGGCTTTGACCGCCGCTGACAAGCTGTCCGGTTTGGATATCCTCAAGGTCAGGACATTCTCCTCTCGAATGGCTGTGACAGCTAAACAGGCCGCAAAATCGGAAGCCCGGTCGAAACGCGTACCAAAGGACTTGCACAGGCTGTTGTCCGAGTTTGTGTACCTCCCACTGTGCTCAAGGTCGACCCTACTCTTCTCCTCCCTGGCAAACGCGCCTCACCTTGTTAATTCGACGCTTTTGCATCCTTCCATGGTGAAACTCAATATCCAGACTCTCACCGTTGTCATTTCGACACTAGGCCCGAATGCTATTCAGCTGGAGACTGTCACACGCGAAAGCCTTCTCTTCCTCATGGCAATCCACACAATCCCGGTCCTTACACATGACCCGGTAGTCCTTCCTGCAATATTGCATTTGCTTTTGACGGTCCTTGACCTGAACATTGAGGCAGGCACAACATCAGAAGAACTTCTAGTCACGGACTTTGGATCAATGATAGCCGAGCTCACCTCCTGGGCAGCCAGTCTCGGCGAGCAGCAATCGACACCTGAAGTGCATGAAGAGAAGGGTCTAGGGATGCCAATGCCGTGGCCAGTCCTGGTGGCTGGTATTCAAGTCAAATGGCAGGAAGTGGGAAGAAAGTTCCAGGGCCGCATGCTTGGGCTAATGGCGACCACTGATTTCGACTCTTTCTGAAGCCGAATCCGAATGTAAATATCGACATACATTCCATCTTCGTTTCTCGATCGGAATGCCCTTTGCAGATGGCCAAGAAGCGTGGCCATCCTGTAGAGGAACCTGCAAGACCCTCTGCCAAGGTTTGCAACCCGCTCATCGGCTTCGATGTCCGTTGGCGGCGAAGGCTATGTACAAACCAGGAAAATGGCACCATCATGATTCCCAAGACTCCTGCCCCACCTCAACGGCTACTCGTGGCTAGACCAGGTGACAGAATTTTGTTGGTGTTCAATCTCGTCGTTATTTTCTCAATGATGAAGATATCGATTTCACCCGTGAGTATTGCTGTTGCTGCGGGGCTTTGCTTATCAGCCTTTTGGCGCTAGAAAATGAGTTGAACGGTTTTTGCGACTTATTTTTTGTGATTGTCCTTCCACTTTGAGCGTCACCTTTTGTATTATTACCTACGTGACTCGAAACACCCAGCCGGTGCATCTCCTGCTCCACCATTGATCGTTCAAAGCTGCAAACACATCGAGTGTTGCATCGGCTGCCTGGTTCAATAAATACGCAGCTCTCGTATCTACATTAGAGACTACAAATCATGAAGAAACCGGGTAAGTCCCGCAGAGAGCAGCTCCAGTCTGCCTAGTTGACCTTTCCCCAAGGCGAAAAGGATATCGCTGCTTCGGTAGTGCCGGAGTATGCTCAGCCATGGGACAAGGCGGTGGAAAGACGTATTGTGCGCAAGATCGACCTGTTCGTCATACCTCTTATGTGGATTGGTTATGGGCTCGTCTACTATGACAAAGTAAGTCGCGGTCGATGGCAGTCTCAGCGACTTAACTCTCAATCAATCCGCTTGGTATCCTGGAAGAATCTTGGACAATGCTTGCTGATCATGTCGTCCTGAAGGCCATTCTTGGAGGCGCCTCTGTCTTCGGTATGTCGACCGACCTCAAATTGAAAGTCGTCACCGATCCCACCACAACTCCGCCAAAGGTCTCAACGACACGTCTGAGTTGGGCCACGTCTCTTTTCTATTTCGGCATGTTAGCGGGGGTAGGTCCATTGACCTATATGTTTCAACGGTTCCATCTTGGCCGCACTATTGGAGTCGCCGTGATAGTCTGGGGAGCAATCGCGATGTCGACTGCGGGTGTCACAACCTATGAGGGATTATGGGCGCAAAGATTCTTTCTGGGCTTTGCGGAGAGCATTATGCCCACAGCGTTCATGGTCATCATTAGTGGATATTACACCCAGGTAAGTCTGGCGTCCTAAGACTCTTGCAATAATTACCCCGTCGTCTTTTTACTATCGAAGCATCTCCATCGAGTGGCCCGCTCAAAGTTTTGTCACCATCATTGTTGTTACGAAGGTGCAGGTGTTGACGCCGTGCAGTCAGAGCAGACATTCCGTCAATGTCTTTGGTACTCGGCGACGGGTGGATGGACTGTTCTCGGTGCGCTCATCAACTATGGCTTCGCACATATCACTTCTGGAAGTTTGGCCAAATGGCAATATCTATACCTCATGGCGGGAGCATTGACCGTCATCTACGGTATTGTGTTCTTGTTCTTTCCAAACTCACCTGCCCAAGCGTGGTGGTTCACAGAAGAAGAAAAGCCGGTTGCGATTGAGCGCCTGCGCATGAGTCAAATGGGGGTTCGTTGCCAGAAGATCAAGTGGTCACAGTTTCGGGAAGCGCTGTTTGATCCGAAAGTATGGATCATTGCAATCATGATGGTAAGTTCTCCAGGTCTGATGCCGTACTGTGTAACCACAGTTCTCCCCAGTGATGCATTCTAACTTTTTAAACAGGGGGCGGCTTACTCTGTCAATGGTGCTGTATCCGGCTTCGGTCCCCTGATTGTGTCAACCTTTGGCTGGTCAGCATACGACTCATTGCTCTGGCAGATGCCTCTTGGCGGAGTCTGCTTTGTCGGAATTCTGCTGGTGGGATATCTGAGCCTCAAGGTGCCCAACATTCGGCTGATCATGCTCATTGCTTGTTGCTTGCCCGTCATTGCCGGATGTGCTATGATCTGGAAATGCAACTGGTATGAACACGCGCCAGCCCCGATCGCCGGGTATACCATTATTGGTTTTTTTGCACCGGTCACGTCGCTGATAGTGTCAATGGGCATGTCCAACGTGGCCGGCAACACGAAGAAGAGCTTCATGGCTGCGGCAATCTTCGTGTTTTATACCGTGGGAAATATATCAGGACCGTTCTTCATCCGCAGCGAAACTGTCGGCCAACATTACCCAAGACTTTGGGAAGGCATCATCGGCTGTTATGTGCTCGTCGTAGTACTGGCCGTCGTGCTCTATGTTATGCTAAGAGCGGAAAACAGGAGGAGAGACCGACTCAATCTCGAGGAAAAGGAGGCTGAGAAGGTCGCTTTTGACGACTTGACGGACCTGGAGAATTTGCACTTCAGATATGTGTATTGAGGCTGCTGAGAGTCACTAGGCCAAAGCACCGCTGAAAGATATACGAGGCTGATAGTGACACGTGATGACAAGGCTGTGGCAATCAGACCCAATCTACTCCACGCGAACTTTTTTTCCCAAAGTTCAACTTTGTAGTCTACGATTGGAAGCCGTTTCACATTCTCTGCCCTTTTATCAAGTCAATTCGTCCTGTCATTCACTACCGCCTTTGTCTCTACCGTTGTCAGTTGTAATACTTCCTATACCACAGCATGTAAGTTCAGCGTTTGTATCTATAGTCTTGGATCGATTGCTAAGAAGTCATGACCAGGTTCGCTCTCCGACGCTGCGCTTCGCGCGTGCTTTCGTCTCGTCCTTCTACGCTCGTTTCTGCCTCCCGCACATACTCTTCTATCAGTGCCTCACCTTTTAGAACAAGCAGGCAGATCCCGAGCTTCCAGTCTCAGAGAAGATGGGCATCCACTGAAGGCGAACAAGCCGCTGTTTCTACGGAACAGCCGCCGCGTGCTGCAGAGCCGGCGAATGCAACTGAAGCTACCGAAGAAGCACTCCCTGCCGCCGAGACCAACGAAAGATTGACATCAGAGACTCGAGCTGCTTCTAGCGACGATGCTCCTGCGGCTGCGGAAACCGCAAATGCTACGGAAGCAACAGAAGAGGCCTTGCCGGCTGCGGAGACGAATGAGACTCTCAGTGCGAAACCCTCTGCGAACGCTGCATCCTCGGGCGTGTCGGGAGTAGGTGTAGACGGGCTATTTGAGCGAAAGAAGACACTCTACATTGGGAACCTGTTTTTTGATGTTACTGAAGCCGACCTGGTCAAAGAATTTGCGCGCTTCGGTCCTGTTGCGAAATGCAAGGTTGTCCGCGATGCTCGCGGCTTAAGCAAAGGGTGAGTCGATCCTTTTCGGCTCGTTTATTCCGCCCGTTTGCCCTATTTACTGACGTGATGCTGCTCAGCTTTGCCTACGTTGATTTCTCAACTCAAGAAGCGGCGGACGCGGCCCTCGAAAACCTCAACATGCAACTGTTCGAAGGCCGTCGGATCACTGTTCAATATGCCGCTCGCCCTACGAATGGAGCAGACACCGAAAGCCGCAATCGCGTCAACGTAGCCAAGAACCCTCCTTCCCGAACCCTCTTCATTGGCAACATGTCCTTCGAAATGACGGACCGCGATCTCAGCAATCTTTTCCGTGGCATCAAGAACGTTATTGACGTCCGTGTTGCTATTGACCGACGCACCGGCCAGCCAAGAGGTTTTGCGCATGCTGACTTTATTGATGTCAAAAGCGCTATGGATGCCATGAAGGCCCTGGCTGGAAAGGAGATCTACGGACGAAGATTAAGGGTGGACTACTCGTACAGCTCGGCAAGCAGAGCGCCACGAAATGAACCGGAGGAGTCTGGACCTGCACCTGAGTCTGCTCCTCAATAGAATACCGCTGTTTCACTCGAAGATCCCTTCGGGGGAGTGGTGATTGCAGGACGGGCAGATTCCCGAGTTTACGCCTTCCTACCTTGTTGAGCATCCGCCGTCACGGCGGACTCGAAGGGGTAATGTGTTGCCCCTCAGAAGTTGGCAGTATACCATAAGCAGGACCATTTCGGTCGCTGGAACCATGATCCCTCGGGGCAGAGAGCCTCGGTTATAAAGCTGACACTCCTTGGGCCAGCGGGCCCCATGTACATCACAGGGACATTGTGAATAATAAGGCGGACTCCAGATCTACAGGGTGTCAACGAGACGAATATCCGGGCCACAGGGTCGGCTTCTTTAGTGTGTGAATAGATTGATACCAGGATCTGATTGAGTGGTTGAATGGCCGGTTACTGATTTTGGAGCGGTTGAGCGAGGAAAGAAGTGGAAAATGGGTTGCGATCCAACTCGGAATTACCTTCGCGGTATAAAGCGACGGTACACTCATGTATATCATAATCTCCATTCATGAAAACTGGTGTGCCCAGTCTGTCTCTGCTGTATCAGAACTCCAAGCACCAAGGTCACGTTGATACTATCCGACTTCCAATGAGACCCCGTATAGGCGCATTATGAAAGCCTCTCGAAATCACGTGCCGTCCCCGGTTAAACTGCCTTTTCCGGCGGCTCGCTCTTCTTCTCCGCAAAGTTACCTCGGCCTGGCCCTGGCTGACATACATCCACTGTTAAAGAGCCATCGAGTCTGCCTTCAATAACGATTCACGAATTGTCATTGTATTTGCATCTTTTGTCGTTCTGGGTTGCTTGATATTTCACGTATGTGACCATGTCGTTCTTAGGAGGCGCGGAGTGTTCCACGGCGGGCAACCCGCTCACGCAGTTCACCAAACATGTACAGAGTGACAATTCTCTTCAGCGGGACCGCCTTGTCGGTAGAGGACCTGGCGGTCTCGAAGAGGGCATGCGTTCTCGTATGGCTCCCAATGGCTCGGACCAGGTAACATCTCCGGCCCCGTGACGCTGGTCTTTCACTAACATCGAACAGATGATGAATGAATTCATGCATCAACCCGGTCAATTGCCACAGCCCTTCGCAATGGAACAGCTCCGACAAGATCTCCCCAATCTCCAGAGTATGACCAGAAGATCGCCGTCTCCTGGCTGGGCAGCAGAATTCGATCCAGGCGAACAAGCCAGAATGGAGGCTGCCTTTGCGAATTCAAAGATGGCTCAAGCACCGCAAAGGCCCGGCGCCTTCTCCCCTCAAGAGTTTGGTCGGTTCCAACAGTCGAGTCCACATCGTACCGCAAGTCCAGTCACACAAGCCCCTTCACTGTACAGACCGCTGGGAATGGGTTACATGAATGGCGGCATGGGAATGGGAATGAACTATGGCGCTCAATACATGCAACACCAGCCAGATCAGACCACCGATAAAGGAAAAGGTCGAATGGTGGAACTTGACGATGCCAATTGGGAAGCTCAATTTAAAGAACTTGAAACACAACAGGACAGTCTGTCGGAACAGGCCAATCAAGCAATGGAACAGGAGCTCGAGGAGATTGACAGGTCAGTCGCAGCCCCCATTGACACTTTCGAGGATTTTGAGAATGTGTGGCACGGGATCCAAGCTGAACATTCCTCTAGACAAATGAGTGATGAAGCGGCCGACTTCGAGACGGCCTTTTCGAGTGAGGACTACGCCGCCTGGGACCAATTTGACTCAACAATGGGCCTAGGGACGCACAATCCTTTCGAGCGAGAACCCATGTTAGGCGATTATATGTTTGAGCAACAGAATCCATACCTCGAGAACCAGTCAGCCTCCAGGACAGCATTTGAACAAGGCCTAGAAATCCTCGAAGCTCATGGGAATCTCTCTCTGGCGGCGTTGGCGTTTGAAGCTGCTGTTCAGCAAGACCCGAACCATGTCGACGCATGGGTCCTCCTCGGCGCCGCCCAAGCACAGAATGAGAAGGAAGCACCGGCCATCCGAGCCCTCGAAAAAGCACTACAACTAGATCCGAACAACCTCGATGCGCTCATGGGATTGGCCGTTTCCTATACAAATGAAGGCTACGACAGTACTGCCTACAGGACATTAGAACGATGGCTTACGGTCAAGTATCCTGGTGTCCATCCTCCTGAGAATCTATCCGATGCGTCCGAGGTTGGTTTTACGGATCGAGCCATCCTACATGAACGAGTGGCAGATCTGTTTATAAAAGCGGCTCAGCTCTCGCCTTCGGGTGCGCAGATGGATCCAGACGTGCAGGTCGGCCTCGGAGTACTATTTTACGGTAACGAGGACTTTGAGAAAGCTGTCGACTGTTTCAGGTCTGCACTTGAGTCCACCGAGATGGGGCTCGCCAATTCGAATGCCCAGATTCATCTCCTATGGAACAGGCTTGGTGCTACTCTCGCCAACTCTGGCCGATCCGAAGATGCCATCTCGGCCTATTGCAAAGCACTGGAAGTGAACCCAAACTTTGTCCGAGCACGTTATAACCTCGGAGTCTCATGCATCAATATCGGCTGCTACCCCGAAGCAGCTGGTCATTTACTTGGGGCCTTGAATCTGCACCGTGTTGTTAGTGAGCAAGGTATGGATAAAGCTAGAGAAATTCTTGGTGATGGCGATGGTGGTATCGGTGACGCCGAACTAGAGCGCATGATCCAACAAAATGAAAGCACGAATCTTTACGATACTCTTCGACGAGCATTCACAGGGATGGGAAGAAGAGACTTGACCGAAAAGGTCGGTGCTGGAATGAACCTCGATCAATTTAGAGGCGAATTCGACTTCTAGGATCAACTGCATGTATATACAATGAAAACTATCCTACCTGACTTCTGGAGCCGCTTCGCTGAAATCATGAAGCTTCTCAATGATCGCATATCATCCGCGATGCTGATGTTGGCAAGGGGGCAACGTAATAATTGTTCTAATGTAGCTATGTCCACAGTCGGATATGGGTTGCTGCACGAAATACTGGTCCATGTGGCCGGACTCGAAGGGCATCCGCGGACGATTAGATTCCAAATGTACCAGTAGCTCATCTCGTTTCTAAGGAACCATCCACTCGATACTCGTACAAGGCCGTATTATAGTCGAACTGCTCGCGCCTCGACGCCCGAATCGGGAAAAGGGGTAATATTCCGCCCTTGCACACCTCTTGAAGATAACCTGGCTCCGTCTATATTGTTGAGTCCTTACCTACCTAATAGCTTTTGTCTTGATATTATTACCTTTTATGGCCATTGGATGCGTTGTATGTTTTGGAGGATTTCCACCTCAGACTTCTTCTTGCTTCAGTCCCCCCAAACTGCCTGTCAATCTACAGCTTACTGGCTCGCCAAAGAGAAGACCCGATGCGTGTTTCTCGAACAACGAGCCCATGAGTGCCGGATCGATATCTTGGGTGTCGACGATGCCGACTCGAAAGCCGCTCACGCAAAGAGACTCCCAGCAACGGCGCTCGAGGGGCCAGGTAGGCCACACTGGGTAAGGCAGGCCCAAGCAGAGGCTTGATTCGAGGAGACTACAGGTCGGTTGATGCGAGCTTCGATCTTGGCAACGACGCTCGCCGAACGGAGGGCGGTGCAGGAGATGAAGAGCGCATCTGCGTCGGGGCTCGTCGCTGCGACGGCCTCCTCGATCAGCGTGTCGCGGGAGAGCTCGGCCATGCGGCGATCGTCCTCCAGGCCCAGGCAGGTGAAGCTTTCGATGGAGAAGCCCTGCGCCGCGAAATAGGCCGCCATCGGCTCGCTTGTCTCAAGGGTGTAGGGCGTAAGAACGCTGATACGCCGGGCGCCGAGCTTCCGCAGACCGGCGACCGCGGCCATGGTAGGCGTCACCACCGGCACACCGGGCTTCGCCTGCTGGATCGCGACTCTGATGGCATCGTTGCCAATCACCACCGAGGCCGAGGTGCACATGAAGCAGACGACGTCCAGCTCCTCGTCGGGCAGGATCAGAGCGGCCGCCTCAGTCAGCCGCGGCGCCATCTTCCGCAGGTTGTCTGGCGTCGTTGGATTTGCATACTGGACGCGTGTCGAGAAGATCCCCACGCGCTCTGAGGAGACGAGGCGCGCAAAGTCTGGTTCGACCGAATGGTCCGTCGCGAGCACGATTAGCCCAACACGTTTCTCGGTCGCGCGCTCGTCGTAGCGAAACAGCGAACGGTCCGCGACGTGGATAGGGGGGATGCTCATATCCGGTGCTAAATATCGCCCACGAGGAGCCCAAGAACAACGACTAATATCGGAGGATGGTATAGAACAACTTCTTAGAAGGCCAGCTGTACGTCGTGGATCCGGTTTTGTGACGACAAAGAGGACGTGTAGAAAATTTTTATGCTTTCCCGGTGGCACCAGACGGTGAACTGAGTACATGAGGTAGGGTAGTTAGCTTAAATACAACACTCTAGGCCGTTCTCCAAGATCAGCCCCAGGTACATGTTATTCCCGTTCAGGACTTCGCTCGGTCTTGCCCCGTTCGAAGCAGCATTTCTGAGAGTTGCGGCCGCCATGGGTCTTGCAACCTCGGGGCCCACCAATCAACGGTCAGAGACTTATCATATTTTAATGTAGGAACAACAAGTAACACCGAATGCAAAGCAATACTGTCCCAAAATAAAGCCAGACGAGAAACACGCACGTAGATTGTGAGTGACCAGTGGTTGTATCACACATCCAAGCATAGGGGTGGAGGGCATCTCGCCTAGCACCCCTTTTTCTGCCCCCGAACTGTATGACAATTCGTATTCCCAGGAAACTTAAGCCTGTCAACCATGTCGCCGCTGAAAGGTCCGGATCTATCAAGGGGTTGCCTCGCCCCTCAAGTCTGTGGTGACCGCGACCGTCACTGAGGTTACTTTTACGGCCCAGGTCAAACGTAATGACACTCTACCCTTCGACAACTGTAGCATTCGTGGCCGGCATTGGCCACCAACGGCAGAGAGCGACCAACAAATTGACTTACCTCAGCAGTCAGGCTGGGGCAGCGGTTATAGAGGGGATGTTCACAGACTTCGTAGGTGATGATTTGCGTGACACCGTTGATCAGGAGCATCCTTTTGCTCCAGCTTCCAGGCTCCAAATTATTCATGTGGGAGGGGACTGACTCAGGTATCATGGGCGTGTAGGATCGACGGTAGATCTTTGAGCCTCCGAGAATATGTGAAAAGTTCAACCGTTCTAGTGGAGTTATTGTGAAGCCTCTGTGCAAGATCATGAGCAGAGAAGAAGTCCAAAAAGGTGCATCTCTCCTCGTACGAGCACTCTATCCTAAAGCAGTTAAGCTCAGCCTCGTATATCCCACCAGCCTTGCCAAGCAGCCTCCGTCATACTGTCATACGCTCGATGCGGTGCTGGGGTCAGTGTCTCCGTTTCAAGCTGCCAACAACATTCACTAACTACCAGCATGCAATGCGAGCTCGGTCACCATCGTTAATCCCATACTCACTCTCTGTGGACAGATTTTCAAATCCTTTGAGGTGCCGCAAAACGTTGTCCTTACAAGGCTAAACCACCCCACCTACTGCCTGAAAGCAAGATCGCCGTAATCGCGCTGCCTGCGGGCTCCTACCTTCTGAAACATGGACGATCACGGTGATTTCGACAGTATCTCATGGCAGCGCGAGGATACATCACAAGCCGAAGGCTCCACTCCCTTCGAGGCCACCCTACCAGCAAGACCCTCGAATGGCCGCAGGAGTGATAGTATGTCCAGCGAGCCCCAGGCTGGTGAGCAGGCGGACAATGTCGACCTGGCAGGGATAGGTCGTGATGGCATCCTGGAGGTCACGGTAGACAGCCCATTGAAAGAGAATGATGGGACCAAAGACGCCTACGTATCGTACCTGGTGACCACGCATGTAAGCTTCTTTTGTGTCCGGTGTTGAGCCATCCCACCCTTCCTGACCCTTGGCATAGACGGACTTCAAGTCCTTTCAAAAATCAGACTTCTCTGTCCGGCGACGATTCACAGACTTCGTTTTCCTCCGACAATCCCTACACCGTGACTTCCCAGCCTGCGCAGTCCCCCCTCTGCCAGAGAAGAATAACATGGCATACGTACGAGGTGACCGATTCAGTAACGAGTTTACGCAAAGGAGGGCGTGGTCCCTCCATCGCTTCTTGAAGCGATGCACACTTCACCCAGTTCTCCGGCGCGCGCCAATCCTGATTCTCTTTTTAGAGACGGCAGACTGGAATGCCCAGATGCGCCTGAGACCCTCAAGGAGCAACACAATTGAGAGTGGGAATGCAACAGCGCCAACAGGATTCTTCGATAATGTCGCGGACACTATGCTCAATGCGTTTTCGAAAGTGCACAAGCCTGACAAGAGATTTATCGAGGTGACCGAAAGGGCCAACAAGCTCGACGAGGATCTGTCCCACGTGGAGAAGATCATCGCGAGGGTAGCACGTAGGGAAAACGACCTTGAGGTTGACTATGCGGACTTGGCAACCAACATGCGCAAGCTAACACCCTTGGAACCAGCTATCGAGGCCCAGTTGCAGACATTTGCTGGCTGCGTTGACGAGACATCCAGGGGCTGGAAGAGCCTGAAAGACCATACCGACCAGAACTATCTTGGGAGCCTCCGGGATATGGAAGCCTACATCAACTCGGTCAAATCTCTACTGAAGACGAGAGAACAAAAACAGCTCGATTTTGAAGGTTTGACGGACTACCTCCAGAAAGCAACCTCTGAGAGAGATTCTCTGGCGTCAAGTAACCCATACTCTCACGGTTCGAATTTAAACCCTGCCACGTTTATCCGCAACAAGGTGGAAGACATGAGAGGTGTCGACCATGAGTCGGCACGAAGGGAACGAGCCCGCAAATTGGAGCTCAAGATTGCCGAGCTGAATCGCGAGGTCGACAGTGCAAAGGGAACGAGTGAAATGTTTGACGAGCAGGTCGTTCGAGAAGTTGCGGACTTCGAGAGGATAAAAGGTGTCGAGTTCCGAGACAGCCTCGGGGCGTTGGCGTCACAGCATATGGACTTTTTCCAGAACGTGATTTCAACGTGGGAACGGTTCCTGGTTGATATGGACGCAGATAGTAAAGATAAAGGCCGGGCGGCCTGAATGGGAGACGAACAGCGATAAGGGGAGGTTGATATTTACTTGCGGCGCGAGCTGATGCCGAGCTATTGCTCGTGGAGCGGATAGCGATGCTTGTTTGATCGATCGATTGATACTTATCTTAATGACAAGAGAAACCCGCACTATTATGCCGGTCGCGCATCTCGAATCAGTCTGTATCGCTGGACTCTGCCATACATATGCTTGATGAAGACGCGTCGTTGGGCGGAGATTGCCGCTGACACAGGGAATCGACGTTGTGCACAAGCGGTTGATATCAACTGGAGGCATTCCCGCCATCCGATAACAAGGGCATTTCTCTCTCCAAACATATGTCTTAAGTCAGAGATCCGAGGTTGAGGGGCTTATAGTATTCTGATCACAATGACTTCCACCAAGTTTCCAGTCATCGACATCTCGGATCTAGATTCTCCATCCTCGCAACGACGTATCGCAGACGAGGTTACGCAAGCATGCAGGGAATGGGGTTTCCTCTTGCTCAGGAACCATCCAATTCCACCCTCGGACGTTGAAGAGATGTTCACACTGTCCAAGGAGTTTTTCGACTTGCCCGAGGACGTCAAGTCGCGATACCCCCTCACGGCCAAGTCAATAGGCTACATCGGCAGCTTCCAGGATCGAGCCAAAGACGACAAAATGTCAATGTGGTTCGGCGGCGTCCCCGGGGCGCTGACCGAACACCGCGAGAGCCTCCCTGCGTTCTGGCACGAGCACATTGCCAAGGTCGAGGCGTTCAAGCACCGATGCCACGATCTCGTCGTCAAACTCCTCGAGTGTTTCGCCGTGGCGCTGGGCCTGCCGGACCCGAAGTACTTTGCCGACGCACACAAAGAGGACGCCGGCAACGGCAACAGCCTGCGGATGCTCATGTACCCCGGACACAGTTCGCGGCCGGACCTCGAGGGCATGGGCTCGCGCATGCAGGCGCACACCGACTCCGGGTCCGTCACGTTGCTGTTTCAGCGCGCCCCAGGGCTCGAGGTCATGTCGCCCGACGGCGCGGGCTGGGTCAAGGCGCCACATATCGAAGACTGCATCCTGGTCAACCTGGGCGACGCGCTGGGCTTCTGGTCCGGAGGCCAGCTCAAGGCAACCCAGCACCGAGTCACGTTCGACGGGTTGCCCTTTGACAAGGAGAGGCAGAGCATGGCGTATTTCGGCGCCGCGAACCCGGACACCGTCCTCCAGCCCATTGTGCCTTGTGAGAAGATGGAAAGATACTATACCAACGGGTTCGAAGTCATGCCGGGGATCACTGTCGGTGAGTTGAACCGCATGATCATGCAGAGTATATATGGCGCGGCCTTTACGTCGTCGAAACCGGTTCCGAAGACAGAGACGCCTGGGCTGGACGCCGGAAGGCAGGCTACTGCTGTAGTTTGAAATGGTGACTTTTGGAATGCACGAGGTACCATATGCACAACAGTGTAGTTTGCGCTCTTGTACGTAGGACCAGGATTCCTGAGCAAGACTGTCATGGACGCCCAAGTTACTCGTATCAGTGCGTAGAGCGAGGGATAGAGGTCGACTTAGGCTAGTTGGAAGCTCCGGCCAGCCTAGTTGTGAGCCCCTAATTAGACCACGGTAAGTAAAGCGGCGCGGCATATGCCTAACGAGCCCCCCCTATTAAAGTTGGCACTTCTGCGCGTGCGCGTGTCGAAACGCCCCAAAGTGTTTACCGTTTACCTCAGACCTGTCGCAGGGATGGCCTGATTCTTCAAGTCCTGTGCTACACCCGCTGACACCAACATAATCTACAATGGCGGTCAGCAACAAATGGGCAGTGCTCCCTGATATCGTGAGTGGCTCTGTGACGTCTCTTTAACAGACTGATCGCTGACTGATTGATTGATGTACCTCGACAGGATGCTGCACCTGAAGTATACGAGACACCAGACCTAGCCGACGATGTTTCCACGGCCCAGGTAACAAGCAACCGGTGCTCCACCGAAGTTAGACAGGCCAAAACCTACTGACACTGATGCCAGACAGGCACACTGCGTACAATATCCGAATCGCCATCTGACGACGAAGCACTCCCCGGCCTGGACCGGCAGCCTCTGGACAGAGATGAAGCGAGACGTAGGTTCGAGCCTGCGCTCGTGGACGCCCGAGGGGTCGACTTCTCGGACAGCATTGGCGGTTCTCGAAGGTCATACCGCACTCGATCACGACGGCGTCGGAGAAGGCAAGATGGCGGCGGCGAAGAGCTGGGCGACCTGAGTGACAGCGAAGAAGAGACGTTGGGCAGAAAACTCGCCCGGTTAAAGCGGGAGGCCGAAGAAGTCAGGCTCGAACTGGAGAGGCGAGAGCAAGACAAGGACAAGGACAAGGACAAGGACGGCGACGGCGAGTTCAAAGACAGCGTCGAGCAGCAGCAGCAGCAGCAGCAGGACCTCCGAGGGGCAGACGACGACCACGATCACATCGACAGCGACGGGGTTGAGCAACTCACTAGAGTCCTCGACCAATTGAGCACGAGGACAGGCATCAAGACCGGCGGAGCCGCTTGTACCCTCGAGAATGAGTTCCTATCGAAGGTGGACACGTTGAGACGAAGAGGTGCGCCGGACACGCAATCTTCGACGACGCCAACCACGCAACAACAAGACAACCCGTCGGCACCAACGTCGGCGCTCTCAGCAGTTGCGGCATTCTCGGACAGACTGACGGCTCTCGAAGCCAGTCTGGGGATCTCGTCTACAAGAGCCAACTCGCAAGCATCCATCATTCCGACCCTGGACAGCCTCTCGAAGCAAATCGCGGTTCTAAGCAACACGTTGACGCCAGGGTCAAGGTCAGCGTCAGGGTCGTCGACCACAGTGACGGCCAACCAGTCCGCGCCGCCCGCCCTTCTCGAAACGGTGGCTTCGAAACTACGTACCCTGATCGCCGAGTCCGACCGACTCACGGCGTCGCGGAAACAGGCTCTCCAGGCCTTGTCGGAGCTTCACGAAGCGCGAATGCGCAACCTCATGTCCCACACCAGCACGCGGCCTCGGCGCGGCTATTCCAACGCTTCGTCGACACAACAACAGCAGCAGCAGCCCACCGGTGGCCCCGATGCTCCTGCCCCTGCACAGCAGGCCGATGAATCACTGCAGATCCAGTCGCAGCTGTTTCTCGACGAGCAGTCGTCCAAGATCACCGCGCTGTACCAGCTTCTCCCGTCCATTCAGAACCTGCAGCCCTTGCTGCCCGTGGTTCTGGAGCGGCTGAGGGCGCTCAGCATCGTGCACGCGGGCGCCGCGGACGCCAAGAACACCCTCGACGCCGTGGAGAAGAGACAGGCCGAGACCAGGGAGGAGATTGCTCAGTGGCGGCAAGCCGTCGAGGACGTCGAGAAGCGCATGGCGGAGCTTGAGGATGCCATGAAGGGAAACGTCAAGGTCGTCGGAGACATGGTGGCGGGCATCGAAGGTAGAATGAGCCGGTGGCAAAAGGGACAATAGTGATTTGCCAGTCATTTTTATAGACATACGCCAACATTGCCAACCAAGGCAGATAAGCAATGATTAACCTACTTACCTGCCTACGTACCTACCTGGCTGGGAGCGAGTCGAGTCCCTGGTGTCAGGTCAGGTCAAGGCGAAACGCCAGTCTCGCCACTCTTGAGAATATACAGCTTTGTCTCTAGCCCCCAGTGGACCCACCATCCTTCTGTCCAGCTCCAGCGGCGGCCGAGGAGTGCGTCGAGTCCGTAGCCTTCCCTGAGCACGTCGTGCACGACTCCGTAGATCCACTTGCCCACCGGGCCGTACATTTCGGCCGCGATCTTCGAGATCCCGTCCTCTTCTCTCCTCGCGGCCCGCGGGCCGAGGACGAGCAATCCGCGACCGACGTCAGGGCGGAGGATGTGCGGCTTTCCCAGCCCGGGGATCGTGTCGACAACGTCCCACGTGCCGATGACGCGGGCGGGGTCTTCGACGACGACGTAGTCGAACTGGGCCCAGAAACTCGGCGTGAGGAACTCGGTCTGGTTGTCGGATTTGTCGTAGATCCACTGCGTGCGCGTCGTCGACCGGATCGTCGGCTTGCGGCCGTCCGCCGACCCGGGGAGCGTGATGACGGGCCGGGAGTGTAACGGGTTCGACGCGGGCTCGTCGAGGAAGTGCGTCACGCCCGTCTGGAGCGCGAGGTTGCTCAGGTGCACTCGGACACGTGGCTGCGGGCCATAGTTGAGCGAGACCGCGTGCAGGGCCGTCAACGCCGTGCCGCCTGGGTACGTCAGCGACGAGATGGGGAGGAGCAGGCCCGTTGAGATGGTGGCGGTGAGCGCGCCGGACAGGAGGAGGAGGTATGTGGTGACTCTGTACAGTCGGTGGCGGTGGCGACGGGTGCTGATGTACGATGCGCACAGGGCGATCGAGGCCGTGACGGGCGGGACGATGGGGAAGAGGAAGCGGGTCTCCTTGTGCGGGAGGATCGAGTACAGCGAGATGTAGCTCAGTGAGGGAACGAGAAGGTCGAAGAGTTGAGGGCGGAGGGTCGTTGTGGTTGTGAAGAGGCTCCAGAATGGGAGGGCGATGAGCAACGGGTTGAGGAGCAGTCGTGGAAGCGCGGACGTGAAGTACCAGTGCCATGGGGACGTGCCCCACGCTGAGGCGCCGATTCCGTCGTCGGAAGGGAACAAGTTTGACAGAAATGCCGCGAGTTCAGGCCATAGAAGCTTGCGGGATTGCCAGAAGAAGGTGTCGATACTGACGGTGAGCAACAGGCCGGCGACGGTCGCTGAGAGAATCGACGGGATGAACACCACGCGAATCAGGGAGACGGCGTTGGGAATGGTCCCTGATTTTAGGACAAGGTAGAGACAGTGAGACGCTAGGAGCAAGGCGACCTCTGAGCGAAATATGACGGCCGCGAGCGCCAGGAGGTAAAGCGCCAGCCTTGTTCTTCGGACTCGGAGGTGTGGTGATGCCGGATTTGGTAGGAGAAATCGTAGACCAACGGTGGCTGCCATGTTCGATTAGGTTTTGGGGGAAACGGTGGTCCTCGTATCAAGGCACAGATACTTACTGATCCCAAACGCGAACATGTTAGGCAGAGTTCGCGAAGAGTAGTAGAGGACGTGGAACTGGCTGCCCTGAAGAAAAGTGTACCATGTGCTGGCAGATGAACCATACGCACGCCTCACCGCCGACGCGTAGCTGACGAGCGATGCACCGTTGAAGAGGCCTAGAATTGTTCGTACTATGAAACACGCTTCTGTCAGCATGCCTGGACAACCTTCGATCCGTTCAGATTGAGTGTCGTTGTAGCATACCGAGCATTTGCTGTTGCAGTCCGTTGAGGTGACCATACCACACAAACGGTTTGGCGACGGCTGCTAGAATGAGAGGACCGATGAAGGTCCTTGGAACAGCACCAGAGAATGTCATATGATCGTACTGGGCTTTCAGTTTGAGATGGGTATTCTGGGTTGGGACACCATATTTCAATATATCGTGTGTCGCTTGTATGTTGAACGATTCTTCGACCTTTGTAAATGGCGATATGTACAGGTGAATCTGTATCAGGGCAACAATCACCAGGCATCCGACGTGCCAGGGTTCAACTCTAGCCATTTGCGCCGAAGTATCATGTGTGGATGGCAGTCTCAAGCTCAGTCAGACTGTGTGTGCAAATGGTAGTCGATATAGTACGGGGAACAGAAGGTGGAAAAGGGGATGGCTGTCTTAACAAGCCTCTTCAAAAAGCATCACGTGATGTGCTCGAGGAATACTGGGCTTGGGTTTTCAGGATAGCATTCTACGGGAATCAATCAAGGGACATTTCGCTCGTATTCGTGTAAGAAGGATTCAACACCTGGTTATCTCTGGCTACTTCATCTGTCCCCAGAAATATCTGCTCAAGGGGTATGGACCTCCTCCAGCAATTTGCCCGCGATTTCGAAGGGCTCACAAGCAACAGTAACGGCAACAAAACGAGCCGGGTCCGTCTTGGAAGCATTGCGCCATCGATGATTTGTCCCTCGCTGTACAATATGATCCTGACTCGCATAAGAAAGATGTCAAGATGGAGTTGGCCTGGGAACTTACTCCTGGCTTCAAGAGTACAACCTCTCCGCTGTCGAGCTCATGCTCAATCTCACCAATCACACAGATGGAGTGGTCAATGGAAACTGTCCGGTGCATCATACTCACAGCGCCAGGAGCTAGGTCAACCACCAGAAGGTTGACGCCGTTTGGTGTCACAATGGACGGCTGAGCCCAGCTAGTGACGGCGTCATTGCTTCGATAGCTTTTGAGGTCTTCATCGTTGGCCAGCTTGGCTGGAACAGATGCTACCGAGTATGATCGAGCCATTCCTCCAACGCCTTCAACGGGCATATATTGTTGAGGTGGAGAGTCGACGTAGACACTTTTACCATTTGGATCATGTGTGGCGATGTGCCGTTTGCAAGGAGGCAGGTCGACGATTTGCTGGACTCTGTCGGCCATTGTTGGAATGATGTAGGACGAACGAGCCACTCGAAGAGTTTACTTAAGAGATGTATATCTCACAACAAAATAAAGACACGGTAGTTCTCTTGCCGAGCTGAGGGGTCTCGGTCTGATATAGAGAGCAAAGCCTCGGGTAGAAGTGTTAGTCTCGGTTGCGAGTAGAGGATACCGCTCACGAAGTTGCACAGACCCAATCCGGACGATACCTCCATGACGGTCTCCGAAAGATGTGTCCGAGACTTGTACAGTCCGTTTCTGAGCAGGCTCACTCCATTCGAAGCCCTCAACGAGCATGAATCGTTTGTGATCTGTGGGCTCCAGACATGCCAATGCCAAGATCTCACCGTCAGCAAAGGGAACGACTGCAAAGAGAACTGCTGTAAACCCCAGAACAAAGGATGAGGTTTCCTGAATAGGCCTCTGCAAGAAACTGACAGTCACCAAAATCAACAGGGGTGTTCATCATCGGGAATCTTCATGGCAGTCTGGTGAGAATATGCCAGTGGAGGAGAAAGAGGGGTTGAGGAGAGGAAGATTGGAAGACGTCCTTGAATCACTGGTACCAATGCTCCGACGGAATTTCATCTGTACTGTGAAACACTGCGTCGGCTGGTTCACTCTTAACAACCCCCGGAGACTGGACACGGCTGCACCGTCGTTGCTGGCTCTTCGAAAGAAACACATATCCTGGCTGGAGTTCTCTCTCACACACAGCAAACATCTTCAAGATAAACATGCTCAGTCTATTTGGCTTCGGCCCCATTATCTACGGTAAGATGCTCAGAGAGGAACCGCGTCATATGCTGCAGGGCCACTGACATATGACTTCCTTCACACAGCGAGTTGCCTCCTCCTCAACGCCGTCGCAGTCCTCTCCGAAGATCGCTTTCTCGCTCGAAGTACGTCCCCGTCCTGTATTCTTCGCTTGGCCTTCTGCGCAGGGACACTTGAAAGAGCCATCGCAACATACTAACACCTACCTTCTAGTCGGTTGGGGAAAATCGCAACTCAACGACCCTTCGGCAGGCGGCGTAGCCTTTGGTGCACCGGCGCAAGACCCAGAGAGTTTTCGCAGCAAGGGTATAAATTTAATCTCCAGTATAAGGACACTATGTCGAGGTTCGTCGCCCGACCTTGTGAAGAGCGAGCAAAAAGTGAACGTGATCGCTAACATTTTGAGGGTTGGGGGGATACAGTACCTCTGATATTCATCAACACAATAATCGTGATATATGAGCTCTTGTTAGGGTGACGAGAGTCGAACGACACCAACACCAGATATTGTCTAGGCATTGGTCTGTCCAGACAGACAACGCAATGCAATCAGTCGAAGCGAGGTTCAAGGAATCTTGCTGGGCCCATGAAGAGCATAAAGTTCATATGGGTCTGTATCCGGTCGAGTCAGACTTACGCTTCTCCTCACGTTCTATCTCGACTCGGTACAGGAATCTATGAAAAGTCGACGATATGCCTATTGACGCCACTCTCCACAGGCAGACGACGGTCTACGAGCGCGATTGGGTCAGGTCAACGGCAAACCACGATTTAATTCGACCTGTCTGGAGATATCATCAGGACGCCTAGGTCTTGACGACGAGGCTCGACTAGGCACAGGACCAAGTGGGTGAACTATCCCGGAGCCGTCACAGAATAATATTATTCGGGTCGCGGGCATCTCGCTTTTACTCGATTGAATGGATGAATGAACAGATGGACTAAAAAGTTTACCTCCAGTAGACTTGTCTCTGAACTCTCTTCTCCGTCGCCTTCGTCTTCGCGCCAGTCGCTCCATTGCACGTCTTTTGTAATCTAGTTAGGTACTTTTGTACTCCGTATTGCCCTCGAGCAGTTGGGATTGACACAAGATACACATATACCTTTTGCTCATACAGTAGTGCCAGCTCGAAACTTGTGCACAAAGCAAGTGAAACGCATACCGGAGTAAGCATCGGAAAGACCTTCTCAACTTCACGCTTGTAAGCACCGCAGTGGAACGTCCCCAATCTGAAACGCTAAAAGTATCAAGGTAGAGCAATGATTGCCCTCGTTGGTGCGTAGGTATGGAGCTAAGGAGCCATGTAGGTAGGTACCTCAGGTAGGTAGCCAGGTATGGAGGTACAGTACCGGGCGCTAAGTTCTCGCCCCGCGACGCGTTTTTTGCATGTTCGCGTTCACGCGTCTTCAACCTTACAACTTTCCAACCACCATGAGTACTCCACGACGGCCTCTAGGAGAGATATCTAGCAATATCCGACGAGGTAAAGACCTCACTCCCACTCAGAGAGCAACTATATATGGAATGCGCCTCGCCGGGGCCTCATATTCTAAGATATCAACCACGCTCGCTCAGCCGCGCTCCACCGTCCGTTCAACCATTAAATTGATCGAGAAAAGAGTCGATCATGTCTCACAGAAACGCTCCAGAAGACCTCTTTCCTATACTCCTAGGCAGGAGAGACAACTCCTGCACCTTGCGCGACTCAATCCGAAGTGGACCTATCGTAGGATCATGAGAGAACTCACAGTGCCTATGAAGAAGTCAGTTATGAGTTGCATCCTTGCTAAGAGTGGAATTAAGAAGTGGATAGCCGCGAAAAAGCCTCTCCTTAAGCCTGAACACGCTAGAAAGCGTCTTACCTTCACAACTGAGCATAAAGACTGGGATGAGAACGACTGGGGGAGAGTTATATCCAGTGATGAGTGCTCTCTCGAACGAGGCCGCGGGGCCCACCCAACATGGATCTTTTGAACACCAACCCAGAAATATGATATCGACAAAATTAAGTCGCGTAAAAAGGGCAAGGATATCTCTATTATATGCTGGGCTGCTATCTAGATTGGTGGAAGGTTAGATTTATATATTATGCGACGAGATGAGACTGCAAAGAATCATGGATATACCACTCGCTCCTATCTCGAGGTTCTCGAGGATCAACTACCTTGTTGTTGGTCTCCGGAGCTAATTTTTATACAGGACAATACCTCAATTCATACCACTAATACTGTGAAAGATTGGTTCATTGAGCGAGGAATTCCTCTCATGGATTGGCCACTGTACTCACCGGATCTCAACCCTATTGAGCACGTTTGGGCTATGCTAAAAGCGGAACTTCTAGCATAATACCCTCATCTTTCGGAGGTTGGGAAGTCTCAGGAGGCCATCGACGCATTTATAGATGCAATTGTGAAGGTCTAGAATGGCCTAGATCAAGAGAAGATCGATGGGATTATAAGGAGCATGACAACAAGGGTGAATTCGGTCCTAGACGCTGAAGGATGGTACACCAGGTTCTAGGGTGCTAAAAATAGATCAAAACAGGCATCATTTTATAGCCTAGGAAGCGCTCTGTCTGGTGCAACAAGTGGATTGTAAATAGGATAACTATGCATAGAGTAATAGTAAAATATATGGGGGGGTGCATAGTGATGGGGGGCTGGGAATAGTCGCTGGGCAAGAACTTTTAGCTTAAAATTGTATGTACTGTAGGATGTAGGCAATGACGATGAGAGGCTTGTCCTGAAACCCCGAACTTTCTCTTCTCTTCTCTTCTCTATACAAGGTATGCCTTGACAGGGAAGGACTCAATCTACAGGTACAAATAGATAGATGGTCTACTACTACTAATACTACTACTGCACCTCGTGAGTAGTTAGTAGTCCTCCCCCCTTGCCCCATTCTCCGTTCTCCCTACAACGGCTCCCTACAAACCTCAGCCTTGGACTTCTGGCCTTGAACCCCAGCCTCACCCTCAACCTCAACCTCGATCAAGTCCTCGTCTGGTCAGCATCATACGCCGTGGGCATATGCTCCTTTTCGTCACTTTCCTACCTACCTACCTACCACCTATCCCCTCCGCCCTCCCTAACCACTACCGAAACAAATAATAGAACTCTTCCCTGACAATCAAGCAGCAAAGACAGGTTGAACCAAAGTATGCAGCTGACTCCTTCCTTTTCTTTTCTCTTTTTCCAGATTGCTGACTATAAATTGTTGATCACAGCAAAACAAAACCAAACAAAACAGAATCCCTCAAAAGTTCATCTCATTACACTGGTGCATCACGTATGACAAGATCAAAGAAAGACAGCTCAAAAGCGAAATCAAGACCTCATTATCGTCATCATAGACAAATATATATATAACTCTGTATTGCCCTTTTCAAATATGTGCATGTGCAATCGTGCGGATGAACCGCCTCCAAAAAGCATTTCCCCTGGTGTTCAAGGGCACAAAACGAGCAAATGCCCATTTTGCAAAAGAAAAAGTGAAGCCAAGCGAGCGAGTCGAGAATCCAAGCTTTGCCCGCCAAATGGTATAGACTTAACAGGTTCCAAAACTTGTGGTTTGACATACCACCTTCCTGAGTCCTGCTTATAAAAATGGCGGACATACATGCGGCCTTTTGTTCAAAGGTCTTGATGAAAGTTCAAGACAACATGCCAAATGACTTTTTCCGAATACTGAATCGATTTTTCTTTTCCTTAGGTGGACTATCCTGGTGGTTGTCCTTCTCAAGGTCGGGGGTGTCCGTCTCTGCTGACGCCGACGATGTTGCGAGATTCTCATCCGATGGCTTCGGGTACGGTTTATCTCGTTTCGTCAATGATCCGAACCGTAGACTCTTCGAGCGCTTGAACCGGTCAAGGCCAGAGTGATGGCTCCCGTTGGGTGAAGTGGTGCTGCGTTCAAGGGCGTGGCGCTTGTCTTCCTCGGCTTTGCTAGCTTTGCTGGCTTCCAAGGCAGCTTTCAGCTCGGCCTCTTGCTTCTTGTGTGCTTCTGACAGCTTTGCCGCCAAGTCTTTCCGACGTTGTCTTTCCGCCTCTTGTCTCTCTTTTTCAGCCTGCTTCTCGGTCGCCTTGCGAAGTTTTTCTTCTCTTGCCTTTTCCTTTTTGCTTTGGATGACTGGACTGACTGGCCTATCCGAAGTCAAGGTCGGGGATTGCGGGCGCTGAACGTGACCGTTCGGCATGAATTCTGGTGCTGTCATGGCATGGTCAAGTGTCGCGTAGTGATGATTACCATCGTTACTCACGCTCTCGGGCGACGCCATGGGATTGACCGTCTGGATCCGATGTAGTTCGGCTGAGTGTCTAGCGTCGGAGGCAAGTCCGTTAGGGAGATCCTGGGAAGCACGTCGCTTGCCTTCCATCTGCTGTTCCTTTCGAATGGCCTCGATAGTGGTTTCTTGGTAGAATAGAACATAAGCGCAGGCAAGTCCAGGTTTGTCTCCGAAGAAATTGCGGACAAAGTTCTTGTCGACGGGTTCCACCATTTCATCGTCAAACAACAACCAACCTCGATCCTGAGTCTTGATGACGGCGACGTAATGACCATGGTAGGGGCCTCCACCAATGTGGACGACGACAGCATATAACTCGTATATTCGGTCCGGATCTTCGGCGTCATCGGTGGTGTTGAAGAGTCGGAGGTGGTAGGGGTAAACGACTTTATGGAACAGCTTCTGTAACCGCTGGAGGTCTTCAGTATACTTGAATCTTTTGAGGTGCAGAGCCAAAATCCTTGGTAATCTCTTGATCTTCATGCGCTTCTCGGCCTCTTGCAGGCCCCCACAATTATCACAATGGAACTTGTTCCGCTCACACAGCATCTCTTCTTCAGAGAATCTGCGGAGACAAGCGGTAACAGATGAATGCTGTTCCAAATCCACAGACAGATCTAGAAATGGCTCGTCACGGTGCGAAACATTTTCACAGGTTAGGCACCGTGTCTCCGACGTTAAGGTGCCTTCAAACAACTCGTGCAGCCAGCGCGTGTTTGAGTGTGTCGTCGGAGTTGGTAACACAGGAGGGAAAGAAACTGTTGCTGAGTCGTTCTTCGTTATCATACTTTCGGGCTCTTCCACGGGGAGTTGAGTCTGCTCAATCAACTTTTGAGCATTCAGGGTCCTATCATGTTCTTCAATATTTTCAAGCACTGTGTTCAGTAGAAGATTGAGGAACTCGTGAGCATCTTGGTGCATGGCCGATCTAAACATTTCGTTCTCTTTGCGGAGTGTGTTTAGGAACTTGATGGGACTGATCACACCCATTCGGTTTCTGTCCACAACAACGGCTTCAAAGAGGTCCTTGAGAGTGGTGAAAAGGTTCTCGGGCATGTCATAGCTCCGCGCGTTTCCATAGCTCATGTTCAGTATGGGACCTGCCGCAAGGGCTTGTTTCTTCTTATACTCAGGCGAATCCTTGTCCTCGGGCTTTTGCTGCTGTGGCGGAGCACCCGCATTTCGTGAGGAGCTGGGCCCTGGCGGCTTCTTCGCTGCTCCATTTGCTTGACTGGGAGTCACTCGTGGTGGCGCATGAGCTTGTGCTTCGGCGATGGACTCGGGCGTAGAGTGACGTGGGTACGAGAGAACATGTTCTCGGAAAGGGACCGAATAATATAAACATTGTAAGATGGAATTGCAGTAGCTGCGAAAGTCAGATCAGGATTCGAGGTTGGTTGGGGTTTCAGCACTGACCAGGTATTTCCAAACTGCGCGATGACCATCCCTCGTTAGCCAAGGGAGCCGTCGAAGCAGGGGTGCACACATACGTTTTCCATGCCAAAGAATTTATCACTCCCATCGTTGCGAAGAGGACCAGCATTTTTCAGCATGCGCTCTAGAGGGGTCGGGACGGGCGCATTTGGATCCCTCTTCATCGGGGTGGTGCCCACCGCTGGTGCGGGAGCATTCTGGGAGGAACAGGAGTCAGTAGTTGAATCGATGCAAGATGCAGGACGACGAGTCGAGGAGTTATGCTCTGCTTGAGAGAACGCGGTAAGCTGAGAGGCCTCCTACGTACCTGGCTCTTTAGTTTCCCAAAGAAGGATGACATGGTGGACGCGCCTCATCTGCAGCGACCCGAGGACATCGGCAGCTATTACAGCGTAGGCGAGCGCATCGGGGTTTCGAGAGGGTGGACAGAGGGCAGGGCAGTGGTCGACGCTGGAGGCGAGGAGGAAGAGGAGAGAAGGTGAGGTGCAAGGTAGGCGTCAATGCAACGGTAGAATGCTCATCGGCTTTACAAATATGCAGTAGAATCAAGGTGGTAGTTCTACGGAGTTTGAGCAGTGGTAGCGCAGTTGAAGACTGCGGCGCCGCCTCCTCGATTCCTGCAAGTTGATGGGCGAGTGACGACTCACTAGACTCCCTCTCCGAGTACCGAGCAAACGACGTACGGCTACTACTACCCAGGGGATTAGTAGCCTATAAGCTAAGGCTCACCAGGCAGATGGATTGTGGCGGCCACTGGCGGGGCCTGCACGGGCTGCACGTAAAGGCTAGTTAAGTTAGAGCGCCGAAGTTAGCACCCACGAGCGCCCGCCGCGTGAGCCTCGCTACCCTGGCAGTTCTGGGGGGCGAGGTGGGTGCGCCGAACAGCACAACGGCCAGCCTATCCCTCGATCTGACGTCTCTCCAACACCTTGTGTCGTGAGGGAATTCGATCATATGGACCCTGGATCGTCAAGTGTCTTGCGTGGTCTGGAACTCTGAGAGAGCTTCCGAGATTTGTGAGCCTGACATGGCATCTCGTCTGTTCTGCCACACGATCCGTATCCAGGGCGGGAATGTCCAGCAAGGGGGGAGAGATAGCACCGAGAGGGAGGGTCACAGTGCGCCGTGGCATGGCCCATTCCCCAGTGCCGCCATGTGCGGCGTGGATGTGCCTGCAGGAGCCAAAGTTCGAAAAGCTGTTCCTAGTGTCCCCTACGACTCCTTCGCGTGGACGTGGAGGCCCCGTACGCAAGAAGTGGGCAAATGACAATACGCCTGGCATGGCTCGCTAAGGTAGTTTAGGCACTTGATGGCCACTGCTGGTAACCAATTGACGAAGCTTCGAAAGAGCCATGTCCACAGGCCACGAGCACCATTGTGCCACTAAAGGCCGTTGGTCAAAGCCTGCCCACCGGGGTCTGCCAGATCATACAATACGATTTATTGTATTACATAGGCGAGCCCTTCTGGGCCAGCGGCCTCTCTCCTCCCGTGTCTGGGCACTGGACCCCTGGTGTCCTCCGTCGCCCCGCTAATGGCTACAATATAAGCATCACCAGTGGTCCGTCATTCTGCCTAAAAAGATGGGGAATAGACATCACGATTCACAACGAGCATTCGAAATCGCAGCCAAAGTGGTGGAGGACTCACTGCCCTCGAGTTCCACGTGGGTTCTTTAGGCTCTGTTCAGCGAAGCACCCCCCCTTCTCTATCTTCAAGTACGATGTGATATCAATTGCAAACACTTCTGATTCTCTCGACTCTTCGACTTTCCTCGTCACATTCACCGAACCTCAATCCTTTGCTATTTCTCCTTGTTCAATCCCCGATATCAACCTCTCCCCGCTTAAGAAGACGTCTTGCCTGTTTAGAGCGAGCGCGCTCTTTTCAGCCCGTGAACCTTACTCGTGGCGCTGTGCCTCCGCACATTGCTTTAGCGGCCAGGCGACTGAGTGCGGCATCTGTTGATGCCCAACGCTGCCGCCTATATGCCGCTTCTTATAGCTGCCTTAACAGTTGCGGGGTAGAACGTCCAGTTGACCTTAAATTTAAGGTTCCTACTCTGGTAATACAGGGGCAAGGATCGCAGGACTGACCACGAAATCGGGATATAGCCATCTGGTGCCGGGTAAAATATCATACATGCCATCACGCGAGTCGTTGCCGAACCCCAACTAAGACCTCTGATCACCATACAAAGAACCCAAAAGAGACTCCTGGTGCCCCACAGCTCAATCCCGCAGCCGCAATACCTCAGTCAAGAACTCCTCGAAACTGAGGGTGACATATCCGTCTCGGTCGTCATCGTATTTCTTAAACACATCTGTCATCCTCTTGAGGCTAATGCACGCCTGGACAAATAGATCAAAACTCATACCCTGGTGCTTCGCCGGGCTCCGGTCATTGAATGTATTGTACAGCATAGTGATGAATGGCGGTGACAGACGATAGCCAAACGCCGTCATGGCGCGGGAAAATTCATCCCGCGATACGCGACCACTATGGTCAACGTCAAATTGTTCGAATAGTCGCCGCCAAGCGGCCAGGAACTCCCACATGCTCTTGAATTCGTCGAAAGTAAGGGTCAAATCGTCACGGCTGTTGGACGAAGACGTGGTGAACATGCGCATCAGCGACGAGATAGTTGTACTGTCAAAGCGAGTGCCATCCGAGTTGACAAGAGCCTTCCCGAGTTCGGCGCTTGTCATATTGCCCGTCTGCGATTCATTCGCATCGCGAAAGAAATCGTACGGGCTACGAGATCCAAGATCAGGGATTCCTCCGCCACGTCCAGGGTACTGTTCCGCTCCCTTCCAAGAATATTGAGGATCTTCATAGCGCTGCTGATTTTGACCACGGCCGTAGCCATAACTTTGTGGGGGAGGAGACTGCAGGCGGCTGTATTGGTTATCCACGTAGGACTGGTCATTAGAAGGTCGCGGCTGTGGGTAGTTCTGTGCCGGCGGCGGTCGCTGAAGAGGATTGTGGCTTGCAGGAGACTGATAACGGCCGTTGGGAGGAGGGCGCGGATCGTTCTGCTGAGGTTGTGCTTGATTCGGGTATCGAGCACTCGGTGAAGGCTTGCGATTTCCTTGCAGTTGGCTCAGAGCTTGGGCAGCCTGCTCAGGCTCTGCATGTCTGCAAGTGACGGAAGAGTCAGTGCCCGAGATGTTCACTTTGGAATCGAGAAAGCAACTACTCACGCAGGTAATGCGTCAGGGTTGAAGGCTTTGTTGTACGCCATTGTAGTTGTGGGTAGCAACCCGAAGAAACAAGGACTCTACCGCGATTATTTCAATATTCAGACGTGAGAGGATACTCTCCACACGTTGAGAATCGTCAAGTCATGCCGGTTCATGTGGGAGAGTGATGGCCTCGTCGCTTAACCGACATGTGAATCCAGAGCTGGCGCAGTTGACAAGATGCGGGATAAGAATAACGTGCTGGGGAAGTTCAGGCTCACTACGCTGAGTGGTACAAGTACGTACCTCGAGGCAGCTAGCGAGGCCGGTCACCCAAGGCTGCAAGGGACACAATTCCAGCTGGGCGTAATTTGTGCAGTCAGCCCAAACAGTCCCTCTCAGTATCTGAAGATTCCTCAACTTGTTTTGAGTACAGTTGTTTGTCGTCGACAAGACCAACGCACATACTCGTGGTGCGTGACTCAATCTCTGGCCGTCTCCATTTCGTTCATCCATTGTTCGACCCCTGCAAAATCGAGCCCAATCCAAGCTCAGATCCCTTGTCACGGCTCCCATCCGATTTGCAGAGTCGCCGGTCCAGTCATTGCACCTAAGCAGCATCGGCCAACGTTGACCAAGGCACCAGACGAACCAGGAAATTGTCTCCTGTTCTTTTGCATAGGCCTAGAGCAGGCTGTTTGCCACGGAAGTACGCTGTTAAGCAGGTCTTATTATAGACATTAATCCTGCAGGCACGGGGCGGGTTCTGTTGCTCCTCTGTCTCTGTCTCTGTCTCTCGAGCTCCGCCATTACAGCAGCGGGAAACACGAACGAGCTTCCTCCGACCCAGGCATTGCCAACAGTCTCGCAACGTCGTCCACCTTGCCGAAAAGTTCTTCATATACCCAAGCTCTCCTGCCACGCTTACATACGCTCTGCTCGACGTTTCGCTGCCAGAGTGCGCTCGACTCGCACACATCCACGTCCTGCGCAGTTTCTGCTTCTCTAACTTAGTATCTGGGCCTTCTGGCTTCTGGCGCTGACCTGCTCGCACCACAGCGCATTGAAGGATACACCCATCAATCTCACACCGTGGAAATGGGATCTGACAGCCCCGAAGACTTTTGGCTGTTTGGCTATGGGTATGTTCCCTTTAATATCGTGTCAGGTCTCAATGAAAGCTTGTGTCGTTAACATTGCATAGGAGTCTCATCTGGAAGCCGCCTCCGCATTTCGGTAAGTTCCTCCCAAGGAATTCTTTTGTCTCCTGGTCGCGTGAGGCTCATCAATGACAGATCAACGAATTCCGGGTTATATACAAGGCTATGTCCGACGATTTTGGCAGGTACGGGCGATTGTCCATGCCTCCTAGAAGTCTCAAGGGAAGTGCTAACAGTGTTTCTATGCAGGCCAGGTTTGTTTTCTCGAGCAAGACCACTCGCTTTTCTAGCTTGTACTGAACAATTTCCCCAGCGAAGACCATCGAGGTACTCCTGAAGCTCCAGGCAGAGTTGTAACATTGATTGAGAAATCCTTTTGGGAGACACTCGACGACCCTGTGCGACCATTCCGTCACTGCTCTTGCCGCAGCCATTCCGCTAACCAATTCACACTAGCAACGTCACACCGAGAAAGACCATGTTTGGGGTGTCGCCTACCACATCATTCCTTCCAAAGTCAGAGAAGTTCAAGAGTATCTTGACATTCGCGAGATGTATGTCTGTTCCGAGCTCGGTGGTGGGCCTGGCCGCTAACCCATTGACAGCAATGGATACAGCATTCAATACACACCGTTCCATCCTGCCGACTCCAACCTTCCCGACATTCATTGTTTAGTATACATTGGCATGCCGGATAATCCTCAATTCCTAGGCGCTCTTCATCCGCAAGACATCGCCGAAACCATCAACTCCAGCATCGGCCCTAGTGGTGAGAATCGAGAATACCTCCTCCACTTGGAGAAAGCTTTGGAGAGCTTGAGCACCAACAGCCATGATGAGCATATCACTGACTTAGCACGGCGCGTTCGTGCACTGGCCCCGCCAGTCCGTCTCTCACAGCTTCAGGGGTCGACTTATGCGTTGAAACGGGTCAGCAGCACCGAGGAACAAGAGGAAATTGAGAAAGAAGTATGATTGTATGCTGGTTACGAGAATATCACCTGACAAACTCGTTCGATTGGCCGGCACAGCTCCTAATACAATATCAAGAACCCCAAATTGCGGCTGCACATGCTTCTTATTCACTTGAACGAACTGAGGGGTATCTTCATGCAATCAATACCGAATGTCAGAAGTACTTCAACTATTGACGGTAGGGTCCGTTGGACCCGTAAGGGTCATTCGAACCTTGCGACGGCCCTCCACCGTAAGGTCCCCCAGGGCCTTGGTATCGTGGATCGTACTGAGGATTGAACGCCGTCCCTCGTCCATATGACGTTGAGTTCGAGTTTCTTGCTTGACCACCCGTCTGGGAATACCCTCCCGCCATGCCCTGGGAAGGTGTATATCCACCTCTTCCGGAGAAGCCGCCACCTCGACCTTGCCCGCCCGATCTGTTGTCTTGCGCATGGTCTACTCGAATCATACGGCCATCGAACCTGTCACCTCGATCAGCATTGCGTCCTTCTCGTCAATAATAAGGTGTCTGACTCTGTGTTATTCATATGTTCGCGTGCCCGGTCGGCTTCTTCCTTGGTGGCGAATCGTACGAATCCGAAACCGCGGCTTCGGTTCGTATCACGATCTTTTACGACAACCTGCGAAACATCAGTAGGACGACGCAAGGGGTGATCGCAGGTAGTGTACAGCTTCTTCCACCTTTCCGAAACGCTGGAAGCCTTCGTTGAGAGTTTCATCGGTTGTGTGCCAGGCTAGGCCCCTGCGCAGAAAGTGTTAACGCAAGTATTGAACCGAAAAAAGAGGAGGTTATGGCTGCGGACCCAATAAAAAGCTTCGCCATGATGGAGTGGACAGGCGCAGGCAGGTACTTCTTGCTGGCTCTTGATTAAAGCCTTGAGAATTGAGACCTCACGGCGGCGGTATGTGATGCTCACAACGAACCGCACGAGGCCAGAGTGGTGCGATATGAACAATAGTCAATTGCCTGTCTGTTTTGGGGATGTAATTGGTGGAAAAATTACAACGGGCTCATGCAGTCCATCCCTTAGATCGTATGCATGCTGGGCTCCGAATCCAGGATCTTGCGTCAATACCGAGATTTCTCGAGCTTCCCACGTCAACAGGGGAGGAAACAGCAGAACAAGCTTCGAGAATCAAGAAGGGACACAAGGAACGGGACACGGCACCGCGATACCGCTGAAATACGGAATGTCTCAGAGAGCGAACCACAACAGAGGTTTTGAATGCCACAATGATAGGCCGCTCACGAAGAGCTTCCGGAGAAAGAGTTCCAGGAAAAAGGTCTAGATGACGACTATGGTTGATACAGATAACCAGGCCCTCCCAAAGAGACGACGAATCGCAGCATGCTGAAGCCAAATTGCCCGAATGCACAAACCATAAGTGTGTGGAGTCTCATTCCCTCGCCATGCACTGACCGCTGAGAACTCCTCGTGATACAGTGATGTAAGAAGGTTCAAATTCAGTTGACAATGGTGTCAACAGAGGCGCCAATGCGATGAAGATCAAAGGCTTTAGCCAGCCCGGGTCAAGGTTTGACCAAACCAAAAAAGCAGCCTAAGAAGCACCGGCAGACCGTCGCCATTGTCGGCAAAGCATTGTCCATGACCCCCTGTTCACTGGAATACGATCTTACTGCCTGGTCCCCGGGCGAGGAGTGGCATATCAGCCCTATCTGAAGCACCTAGTATGTAACAGCCTTCATGCGTGCAATTTGCATGCTTCGAAAATCAGCGCAAAGGGACTGAGGTGACCGTCCGGCTCAACGTGGGGTCGCTGGATTTGAGGCATTGCCCACTCTCCTCCCCATCAGCCAACGCTCTAAGCGATGTCATCACACTTCAGTCTCCCAGTCATGAGTACTTAGTGGAAGCCAGGGCGGGCAGAGAACATGACTAGCAGTGGTTGATTCGAAGCGCAGGAGACTAATTGTGGGCTTTTTAGGCAGTAGACGACCACGACAGACCTCGAGTGGTCTGAAGTGATTGTCAAATGACCTGATTAGGTCCGCGAAGCGAATGTCTCCTTGACACGGGCCCTAGAGTATTTGAAGGGATGGTTTTAACGGACGATTCTCGCGACTGGCACTATCAAGGAAATGTACACCCCGCCAGCAGAAGCATTGCAGAGTCGAAGCCGGAGGACCCGATATTCGGATCGGGCGCCTGCCCAGAATGCTTCCAAAGGGTCGACAAGCACCATCAAACGGATGTTGAGCGGCCTGTCACAAGCAAGAACGGGACGTAGTGGGCGTTTTGGGGAGCGAGGTGGAGGAGAGTGACATCTCGTTCTGATCAATGGGAGGATTTCTCTTCGGTCTGGGATGGACACGGTGCTACAGTAGGTGCCGAAGCTTGAGTCCAGTTGAAGACGATACGGAGCAGTGACTAGGTGCCCATGAGTGGCTGCTAGGCAATCTGAAGTGTGGTTGACGGAACTGTGTGTGGATGGGCTGCTCTAACTAGCTTGTTCGTGCCATGAAGGGCACTGCAGCGAGACTAATAGAGCAGACGCGGCCGGCCCTAGAGAGCATGAGGTGAAGCGCCTACGTGCAGACAGCTTGGCTTCTGCTTTGCTACTACAGTAAATTCAAAACGAGCCGTCGCTACATAGTCGTTTATTCGCACAACTCCATTCTCGTCTTGTATGGAACTTATCATCTTCGGCCTGCTTTACCGTCGGTGGTCACGCGTGCTGCCTAGGCTGTCGCGGTCAGTGTCGCCATCAGTGGCGTCTTAGCCTCCGGCGTACCCTGAGTTTGGGTGTTGAGCCTGGGTGCGCCGCTCCAGTCCATCAAGACATGCGATCTTGTCCCAAAGAAGCTAATGCCCAGGCTACACCGACTTCGCTTTTTTCGTTCTCTCCGTATCTCTTCCAGTGAGGGATCGACGAACCGGTCGGAGAATATCGTTCGAACGCGAGCCGTGTATGATTCCGCGATCAAACTGGATCGAGATCCCGCTTCCCTAGTCCCCAGCAAGCCGCACGAGTAAAGCCAAAGCCACCCACGTCAAGGGGAAGTAATTAGTTGTGTCCTTCTTCCTTCTGGAATTGAGCACTTGCCAACCCACAAACAACAAAGGATGGTCAGCACCATGACGGCGAGCCATGCAGGCCATTGTGCATGAAGTTCTCCAGACCTGAAGGCTATCCTATGTAAGATTTGGACCAACGGGTTGCAGGGATACTTGCAGCTCCCTTCAATACTGAATACATGTTGGTCTCTCTCCCAAGATCAGCCTGGTGGCGGCCAAAGAGGCAAAAGCAGATTTGGTAGGGTGTTGGGAGATGGATGAGCAGATTCGAAAAGCCATCATGCGTGTTTGAGTAGAAAGTGTTTGTTCGCCCCGTGAAAACTGCGGCCTCGGTCGCACCTTCCTTTGCAGAGATGTCACGTTACGATTCTACACAACCATCACGCAGCTCGACCTTGGAGTCATGATCTGCTCGTGCGTGCACCTGCCATTGTTTCACGATCGCCACGGCAGTTGGCAGTTGGGCTCAGAACCCGCGGGGAATCCCTTCTGGGCAATGTCGTGTTCGCAGTTTGCTCCCTTTGAAACCCCGGAGTTGATCGACAAGTGGATGTACGGTATCCGACAAGACACTCTTTACTCGAGAATTGCTCAGACAGATCTCAAAAGGCAGTCGGACCCCTTCAGCAGTGACCATCTCCGCTGTCCTGAAGCACCTTTCATCAAAGGTAAGTTGCGGGAGCTGGCTTCAGCAGACGCATACTAAGCTGTGCTAATACAGATCATAATCATCCTGGCATACATGTTCTTTCCACGGAAAATTCAGTCGCACCAAACAGCGACAAGGACAAAAATCGTATGCATAATTGGAGAAAGGAAGACGGCGAAGGAAGGACGAAAAGGCGTTGTGGGAGACCACATCATTCTTTATCGGCGTTTCAAGATGAAAACCTTTCTACCACTCAACCTGCAAAATACCAGAACCATGCTGAAATTGCACATCCCAGCGACAAATACGCACGAAGACAGCGGCACAGAACCAGGGGCGATAGGTACGAGCTTGGAAACAATCTCCCAAGATCAAAACCAAGAAGAAAGCTTATGGCTGGTGAACACACTGTGAATGCATGGAGGCTGGAAAAGGGGCTCCAACCACCCAACAAGAGAACAAACAGACTATCTTTAAAATCAGGCCGTAGACCAGGGATTTTCGATCACGTAAAAACATCAACACGCATGCACAGGCACGACCTGCCTGACTTGGCGTTTTCAGACATGGAATTTCTCAAGAAGAAACCATCGCAATTCTACAGTGATCGGCATCAGAAAACAATGATGTCTCCGTCTCTCTATCAGGACAGAACATCCTCAAGGTCTCAGGCATCCTGGTCAAGCTATCTAGCTCAACAAGCACCATTTCCAAGGAGGCAGGGGCCTGCGCCGCCTGCACCGCCTGCATCACCACCCTTTGGGAACGCTCCTCCTATCCGGGAATGTCGAGGCCGTCGGGAATCCCCTCCCATGTCTCCTGAAAGCTTTGTGACCAGTCGAGTCCTTCAGGACTGGGCAACGAATGCATTATTGCAAGGGATCGAGTCATTCTCGCCGAACAGCAAAAAACAGTGCTACTCGCTGGACGATCTCAAAGCTTTGGCACAAGACCGCCAACTATCTAGTGCTTCACACGATCCCTGTGAGGGGCAGACGAGCCACATCAGGCCAGCGCGCAGAGGACTTGAAAGCTCTCATCATGCTACAGAGTATCAGGTTCGCGAGAAAGTTGCTGGCTTGCCTCACAAATACCAACAGCGACACTTTCAAGCTCCGTACTTGACAATGAAAAATGACAACCTAAAGCCGAGCGCCCAGAAACTTAGTCCAACCAACATTCAAGGGCCAAAACAACGACCACAATCCGTACACCCCGAACCAAATACAATTGGCAACAATGGACAGCCCGACCCTTCAAACCTCACGGTAGGACCTGAGTACTCCCATTATTGGCCATCTCCTGGGCCCAATGAGACCTTGGGCACGGCTAATGATTTGGAACGTGATTGGCTTCGACAACCGCAAGTTACTGACAGCAACGACCAAGATTGGGCACTGGGTGAACAGTCTTTCCTCCAGACGACGTACGACGACACTCACGACTCACAAGGCTTTGACAACGCCACCCTGATCGCAGATATCGTGAGCCAAGATAGTCAAGTTATGTCGGACGGTCTTGATGAGTTCGACCTTCAACTAATGCAGACGGATCCCATCAATTTTCCTCCCCTGGAGACTCTATGCACAAGCAATTGGCAGCATCAGGCAGGTGGGCAACAAGAAAAGAAAAATAACCGGGAAGTAAGCCCGTTCCCTGGGTCAACAGTGTCGATGACTGAACCGGCGGATGCGGCGATTGATGGCGACGCGGGATATCAAGTGAAGCCGAGATGGCACTGGGGCCGTTCGGTGATTCAATCGAATCACCACCCGAGTCGCGGTACAACTCGAGTGCCAGAGTTGCCACAGCACGAAAGTCCCTCGAGGCTTTTTCTCGGCCTCGGCTTCTTTTCTGATGCCCTAGGGACTGGAAGTTGAGGGATTTTGCATCATGCTTCTGCTGTTGTCTGTGTTAAGCTGACCCCTGCTGGGAGTGCCTAAATACGATAATGAGAATTAATTTGAATCGCGATCATACGAATACCTGTGTGATCTATCCACCCATAGCATGGACTGACGGGTCAGAAATTTCGAAACTTACAAAAACCGACTGTCGCTTTGGGGATTTGTCGCTCGTGGCCAGTGGGATCTTGCTTCTGCACTTCCGGGCCTGCCGAGGAGTTACTTGTACTTTCTAAATGTGTGAGGCCTGAGTTTCAGAACCTCTGTGTAAAGTAATCAGCGTCCGAGTGCAGACCGAGTGTCGCCTGATGATGTGGGGATTCGAGTAAAGAGTAAACACAGGGGATGTTGATTGGAAGCTTCATCTCGGTTGATGGATGATCAGCGGGGGACCTGGAGAATAAATCATACATGATTACTTTAAGCTTGAAGCTTTGAAAGTTAGGCTTACATAACTGTGTAATAAAGAGAGCGCTTTGTCTACATGTTCGAGATTTTGTGCGATGGAATCTCTCTGCCTGGGACGAGTGCATATTGATATCGCTGGTGACCTTGTCCGACCTCGCACCCTTGATGAATCTATAGTCCCTTGAATATCGTCTAGACGACATTCCGAAGGTTCAAAAGTCCCAGACCCCGGGAGCGTCTGACTACGCTACCAGTTCTTGATAAATATGAAGAGAGTGATTCGATATCTACAAGACCAGGGTACGTGTGCTTTTGAGAATGGTGATGTATTCTATCTACATCATTCCGTAGCAGTCCTTGTTTCTTTGTTGTTCTGTCACCTCTAACAACCCCCCCCCCTCTCTCTATATCTTAACGATCCATAATAACTTACAATGTGTTGCTACCATTACCAGCCGTCAAAGCCTCGGACCAGAAATACTCGGGCTCAGCATACCTCTCCCCATCGACCAAGGAACCACAACAGCGAATCCGGCATCATAGTCCGTCGCGGCACAAAGACAAAGACATAGCCACTAATAATCCGATCCACCATCATCATCATAATCCTCAATCTCGACTTGACAAGTCTGGTACGGAGGCGGCAGGGCCGGAGAGGGGCCTATCGACCACCACGACGGTCGTGGACGGTGGCGGCGCCGCGAGAGTTCCGGACGAGACGCTAATAAGTCGAAACGTCACTCGCCATCAGTACGCACAGGACAGCATTCTGCAATCTTACGACGTGTATATTCCGGACCATGACCACGAGCGTGAACGCGATCAGCGCCGGGGGTCCGGTGGTGGCGGTGGTGGTGGTGCCCAAACGACTGATCGAAAGGGAGAGGAGGGTGAAGAAGAGGAGACCGAGGAGAATGGGTCGAGGCAAAGTGGGAAGGACAAGAAGTTCTGGGTCCTTTTCATCCACGGAGGCTACTTTCGCGACACCAACGTGACATCTGCCTCTCTGGTCCCTGCTCTTTCAAGAATCGTATCATCATCGACGTCGACATCGACGTGGTCCTCCGTCGCTGGATACGCGTCCATAAATTACCGACTGAGCCCGAACCCACACTACCCTCAAGACCCGACGAAGACGCCGAGATATGAACTCCGCGACGCGAAATGGCCAGACCACATGCACGACGTCTTGGCCGCCATAGCGCACTTGCAGGGCAGATACGGCTTCGGGGATCGGTATCTCCTCGTCGGCCACAGCGTCGGGGCGACGATGGCGCTGTTATCCACGCTGTCGTCGTTCCCGTACTTGTTTTCATCTTCCACACCTGCATCTGGGTCTGGCGTGATGATGATGACGAAGAAGAAGAAGAAGGAGGAGGAGGAGAAAACGAAACTGACAATATCGCCCCCGCTCGCCGTGCTGGGCGTGAGTGGGATCTACGACTTTCCGGCCCTCCACGCCCGGTTCCCCAGCTACGTCGACCTCACGCGGAACGCAAACATATCGACCGTCCAGGACGACGCCGCCGCAAGTCCCGCGCGGTACGACGTCCGTCGGTACGAGACCGAGTGGGCTTCGAACGTGCCCGGTGGCAAGGTCGGCGTCGTCCTCGCCCATTCGAGGGACGACGGACTCGTGGATTGGGGGCAGGTGGAGATCATGAGAGACGTGCTGCTCACCGGGGCTCGCATCATCGACGGTTCTCCCGGTGCGAGTAGCACATCACACGGAGCGGTCGTCAAGAGCCAAATCGACATTCTTCCCGGCAGTGCTGGCACTTCTCCCGGCGGCCGCGGAGAGGTCAGAGACGGCAAAGAAGAAGCCGGAGAAGCAGACAGGCCAGGCAGGCCAGACGGTGAAGACCGCAAAGACCGCGGCAACAACAACAAACAAGGACCAGACCACAGAGACGCCGAGGACGTCAAAGACGTCAACGACATTGAAGATGGTAAAAATGCATTCGGCAGCAAGCCTCAAAGACAAAGTTTACACGGCGCCAAGGTCCAAGTAAAGGTTCTCGAGATACACGGCCAACATGACCGGATATGGAGCGAGGGCACCGAGTTGGCCAGGGCGATACGTGAGGGCGTTGAGATGATGAAGAGATTGTCAGAGGAGAAATGGTCGTCACCACCATAGCCCACGCTCTCCAGTGTATACCCCGGCTCATCGTAAGAGTTTGACATCTCACAAAGAGTCACACGAACGTACGAGTGTGTGTGTGTGTGTGTGTGTGTGTGTGTGTGTGTGTGTATACCCAGATCATGACTGTGATGGTGTGATGGATTGTATCGAGTACACGCATATAGGAATTTGTAAAGCCCAAACCACGTGGATAATTGAAGATGAGTATTGTACAATGTAAGAATTGTATCGTCAAGACCGGTGAACTACGAATGCGAGTTTGAGATGCAGGTTTTTTCAAGTACGACAAATACACTAGTTAGTACATGGGATACACGGTACGTACATCAGCTGGATATCCACCGGCCACATGTCGACGACCTCGTGCACTTTTGCCAACATTCAACTTGTACCAAAAAGTCCTATATTCGGAAACTTTACGGAGCAAGATTCTGCACTGGGAACAAAAGTCATTCCCCCATTTCTAACATATTCTCGGAGTCTCTCAATCTTTGATGACGGGCACCGGAACAACAACTGTCTCCTCTGCTCCCTGCTTCTCCGTGACACTCTCACGTCTGAGCTCGGTCGCCGCGGCTGCTTCCACATCGTTGGTCTCGCTGACAATCACTGCATTCACTTACGTTAGTTGTTGCCAATGTCAGTGGAGGCCATAAGAGATGGAGAGAGAAGGTGTGCGGTTCACTTACTGTCATCTTCGTACAAGGTGTAGTTGATCAGAGAGGCCTTCGGAGGGAAGAAGTAGTTTATGAGCATGTATAACGCAACGGACACGGCGCTGCGGTCTTGAAGTTAGTCTTTCTCGTGCGCTCCAGACAACCTTTTCTTTGAAGAGACAAAACCCAATACTCACGTTCCAAACAGCCAGCTAAAGTAGTATGTATAAGGTTGCACGTTAGGAACCTTGGCATTGACCCCGTGCTGTATTTAGGAGAGTCCGAGATTAGTTGTTCCATCGTGTGTTCTCAAAAGTATCAGTCAAGACGTACAATTAGTCCAGGAAGATTGGGAGCAAAAGAGATGACCCAGGCTGCGATGGCTCGCCAATTGAAACCGAACCAGTACCAATAGATACCTCCGGGGAAGTTGTAGTATTCACGCATGTCGACACGACCCTTTCGGACGAGGTAGAAGTCGGCGATCATGATTGCTGCAATACCTGAAAGGAAACATGCGTAGGAACCGAGGAAGTTGAGCAAAGCCGGAGCGTCTAGATTGAAGAAGTCAGAGGTCGGTTACATAAACGGTACAGGACTGGTGTGCTCTAGCGGCATGATAATTTCAGGACAGAAACGCACTTTGCACAATCAACCACGGGCAAGCCGCAAAGGACAGAATCGCGCAAAGGGCCGACGACCGGAAATTGTTGAAATACCGCGGACACAGGGAGGTCATGTCGTTCGAAAACGCCCTGTTGTTCATTTTAAGGTTAATCAGCCGCTCGGAATGCAAGAGCACACACGGATCTGCAACGTACACGGCATTGGCACTGATATTGATTCCAATGTTTGAGAGAATGAATGCCGCAGCACAAAAGACCTGAGCAGCTCGATTGTTCCAGAGCAAGAAAAGATCAGCCGCGTTCCATTCGTATACGCCGTACTTTGCTTGAGCGGCACCGGTCGCAAGGGTGGCCACCACGATAGGGAGGGTGTTTGTGATTGGGATCCACAAGATTTGCCAGCTAGGAAAGTCGTCATTAGCAGGAGACTCGAGCTAAGCGGGACCCCAGCGAGGTTCTCTCACAAGTTACCGCTGCCGTGCTTCATATATCTGCTAAAGTCGGCCGCGTTCGTCTCGACGGCTGAGGCGCCTCCAGCAAGAGCGTTGATCGCTTGAAGAACAGCCCACCCCGACCCGGTCGATCGGCCACGAATATATGGAGTGTCACCTCCATTGGTGGCGATCCTGGACACAATCAATCGTAAGCTGGGGCAAAATTACATCGGCATAAGAGAGGCATTTACATCGCCCATATGAAGATACCAAAGTAGCAGATCGGTACGATGATTGCTTTGACTAAAAACAAATATCGAAGTTTGCCTGAAAGAGGCACCAGAAGTTAGCAAGCAGCCCGAGCTTAGATCCAAGAAAGCACTCACGAACGGGCATGACGACCAGTGGACTCTGTAGAACGATTGTCAGATATATGTTCAAACCACTCATACACGTCGTCAGACGTACCTGAATGCACCAGAAAATAAAAACCGAGAGTAGTTCTTTCGACTCGATTCCAGCGCTCGCAGGAAGTCTGTTGGGAATTCTGTTGTCTGCGATGCTGTCAATCGAAGGAATTCTGGCTCCGCAAACGGTGCTTACAGCTAGGCCAGATGCCCGAGAGCAAGATTGTAACGTAAGTACCACCGAGGTAAGTCTGCACGAACATCCAAATCTAAATTTTCCACCATCATCAGTAAGATCAATTGATTTTGGTGTCCATAAGGTGTTCCTTGAAACTCACAAGGCCAATGATCATGCGGGCAAGAATAGGGACGACACTTCCCCACGGACCGAATGATGCACGGATGTTGACAGGGAAAGGGGTGTGGGTGAAGGTCCCGATACGACCGGTAAGCGCTGAAGGAATGGATACCAGGAAGTAGGAGCAGAATGCGATTGGAATGGCTGTCCGCGCGGTGAATCCGAGAGTACTGAAGAGGACATGCTGTTAGGACAGGGCATGCGTGCAACCAGGATTGAGATGTTATGCTCACATAAGGGATGCTCCGGTGCTCCAACTACCTCCAGCAAGAGCGTCGGACATCCAGTAGAAACTGTTCGTCGGCATCATGTCAGGCTTTGCATCGGCGACACCAACAGACAGCAAACTAACGTCAAGTCTCTCATCCTCCATGTTCTCTGTTCTTTCGGTACCGGGTCCAAATCTGTGTGGAGAGAGCATAATTCAGTGAATGTTTGGTCGTGATATGGGACTTGTCTCACCTGGGTTCGACCAGCGGGTGTCCTTGTTGTACGATCCTGGTCTCGGCGCAATGGCGACCTTCTGGTCGATTTTCCGGAGAATATCCATGAATACTGACCTGCACCGATAGTTTGACAGTCTACAGTAGACAGAAACATTCAAGGTTGTGACTCCAAAGCGTGACCGAGTACAGGAAAGCGGGATATAAAGCGGTGTTATGTTTCGTGCTTATCGCTTTCCAGCATCTCAAAGTCGAGAGTCCAGAATGTCGGAAGTCAAAAACTGCGATAGGCATGCGCCCGGCACAGGCTTTACTGGGATCGACCTCAAAGACACATCAATAGAATCTGATACGGATTTCATTCTGCTGCGCTTGTCTCGAAGTTCAAGCTGGACAAAACCGAGTTAGTCAATAGAGGTATCAATAGTGGGACTTGGGGCGGCCCATTCTTATCAACGATCATGGCCCGGCACTTTCTGGCACTTGTCCGGCATTCTGGAGAGGTAGAAGTTCGAAAGCCTGTCGTGGACACCCTGATTGCCAGGAACCTCAAAACCGACGTGTCGAAGCAGTGTAGCCGGTGCGTCTGTCTCCTTCACAGAACTTGACAAGTAACAACAATCATGATCGCAAAAACCCCAGTTGAGATATTAGACCCAGAGGTTGCTGCTCTGGCAGCTAAGTACGATGTATACGAAGTGCACAAGGCACTCGCGGCCAGGGACGTGGCAAATGCATATCCTCTTGCGAAGTACCCGGAGTACCTCCCATCCACTGAGCATGGTAGCAATCCTGGCTACCATGGCGAGTTCGACCATATTGAACCAGGTACACGCGCCGATCCTGCCATGCCGAACTTGAAAGGGCTTCCAGGATATACCGAAGAGTGTGTGCACCCTTAACTGCCTCTAGTGTCATGCGAAGCGGCCACCTGACAACAGTTGTATCAGGTACATTACTCCTCGCCTGGGCAGCATCATCAAAGGGTAAGCAACAGCCTGCCTGGTCACTTGTTTGGCACTGCTGAGTTTGTTTTCGCAACCCAGAGTACAGCTCAGTAAACTCACTGCTGCTGGACTGGATGAGCTCGCTCTCCTGGCGACTCAGCGTGGCGTGCTTGCCTTCCACGACCAAGACCTGAAAGATCAGGGCATCGAAAAATTCAAAGAGTTTGGCAATCACTTTGGCCCTTTACATCGCCATCCCACGCAGTCTTGTGTAAGTGTCCAGAAATCCCAACGAATGAGATTTTAGGCTGACGTAAATCCTCTTTCAGATCAAAGGTCACAAGTATGGCCCCGAGTCTTGCTCCGTCGACCTGGGGAAAAGCTGACAATTCGCTGTAGCGACTTGACCATCATATACGAAGGCCCAGAACCAGGCGGTGATAAGTTGCGCAAGGAGCTTGGTCATGGCTCCAAGAACACGTAGGCTCCGATCGGTCACAAGCCATGAAAGAAAGGAAGCCCATTCACTCACTGAATGCAGATACGTCCAATGGCACACCGATCAGTGCCACGAACCTCAGCCGCCCGCTGTATCCATGCTTGTTGCACTGGAGGTTCCGGCTACAGGCGGTGGTGACACATTGTTCTGCTCTGCCACCAGGGCTTACGATACCCTCTCCCCAGCCATGCAGAAATTCGTATGCACCTTGTGGTCGGAAAATTCTTCGAAGCTCATTTCGGATTCATCGGCGAAGATAGGTGGTCCAGTTCGACGTGCACCGGTCCCGATCGCTCACCCAGTCGTCCGTGTGCACCCAACAACTGGGCAAAGAGTATGACCCGTTGCGAGACTTTACACGAACAAGGCGAGGCTGACTCTTGTTGTCTAGTCTCTGTTCCACAACCCGCATTTCAGCACTGACCGCATCCACAATCTAAAGGAGCAGGAGAACATCGCCATTGGCAACTTCCTCAGGAACCACATCGAAAACAGCCAGGATTTCCAATGTCGTGTCAGATGGGCAGAAGGTGCAGTCGTTGTGTACGACCAACGTGTCGTCTTCCACAGTGCTACACACGACTACGAGCCAGGCGATCGCCGCCATCTCCTGCGCATAACGTGAGTGTGATCAGTCTCGATCAATGCTGTGCACAACTGACAGAGCATGATGCAGTCCACTAGGGGGTAGGCCCATCCCTACACCGGAGGCAGGTGAACGTCCAGAGCTGACGGTGAGGTAAGGTAGCACCCTGAATGATGCTGGAAGGGGTTTGGGTAGAGGAAATGCATCCCTAAAATTTGGGCATACTGCGTCCTGTGTTTGGAGTGGTTGGCGAGACTGACGACGCCGTGGAAGTGTACATGGATAGATAAATGAACGGTTGTCCTATAGACTCATGAAGAGTGCAAGACGACCAATACCTATTATTGAAAGTTTTAAAACGTACAATTAGTCCATTGACCAGCTGGTTGAACTGAGGAGCGGATCTTCGCCTCCCAGGAATGCGCTGAGGTCTAGCCCAAAGTCTTCCGATAGTAGAGCGTCAGTGGCCAGATGTGGCTGCGAAGCAGAGGAGTTCATCGCATCACCAGCCGACCACGAGTCTCCAAGTCGAGAGCTGCGCCAAGTTGCTATGGTTGCCAAGTCAGACAGCTTGTCCTGGGCAGATTTGTCGTATAGGGATGAATAAGATCCCGGGTGATATCCCTGCTGGTGGGGACTCTGACTGTAAGCCGGCCGTTGATCTTCGACTGTTGCTTCAGCAAGGTTGTGTGGACCTCGCACACGAGCAATGATGGTTCTCCGAAGTACTGTAGAAAAAGGTGAGTAGCCAAATGGTCGAATACAAATGTGATACATACCCTCGCCCCACCGTTTAGCGAGCACCCAACCTGTCAGCCGGTCGAGGACCCTGAGTGAAGACTCGACCAAAGTTCGTGCATCTTTAGAGTATCTCGGGCACACTAGGCGCTGATGTCAGAGTCGCGACGGTAATGACCGATTGGAACAGCGTACATTGTGGGCATCTTGCCAGATAGTCGAACAGGTCTCCGCATACGAAGGCCGCAAATGCCTGTCAACACAGGGTCAGTGTCGATTGGCTAGAAAAGAGGAGACACGCACGAATGGTGGTGGGGCAGCAATGGTGGCGTTGGTGCTCGCCCTCAGCTCGATGAAAGCCTCGAGCTGGACAAGGAGATCGTGTGCATTCTGGTACATCTCATCAGCCATTCGCAAGAAGAATGTCGTTGAGGGGAGATGCTCCTCAGTGCTGGTTTCCGCTAGTGGTAGCCCGATCTCGGCCGCCGTTGTCATTTGCCTGAACGTCACTGAGCCATTACATCGCCTGGAAATAATGCACAACTCACGGCAAGTAGGTTCTGCGCAATAGCACATTGCTCAGCCTGATTGGAGTGGTTGCTGAGCAAAATCCCTGAGGTAGTCGTTCAGCGGGAGAACACCACTTCGAGAAAGTCGGCATCGGACTTACAACGTCAAGATTTTGCGCTTTATAGCGACGAAGATTCTGTCGCGACCATTTGTGGCTTGGTGGTAAGCCCTTTTCCCACTGACGTAGAAGGCCCAGTGTACTTTGATAGTCACTGCTAGCTTCCCAAGGTGCCGCATGGAACCTGGTGCGGTCCAACTCATTTGTGGACCGACATGCTCGGACTGAGACGTGACCGAAGAGATTATCGCCTGGAACAGACTTCAGCGGCCAAACGGCAGGACGGTTGCGTAAGAGAGTCACCTTGGATAATTGTGGCGTAAAGCGACCGGTGCGGCGTTGTCTCCAGATGCTCATTACCTTCGGCCGCTCTCGTGTTTGCCAGAACCGCGCGTTGTGCAGGCTTTTGGCCGAAGCTGAAGTCTTCTTCACTACACGGAAGACGCACACTGATATCTGATAGGTCGAATGATCTGGGACGTGCGGTTCCGGAAGCGAGGTGTTGATCATGAGCTGCAGCACAACACGATCAGCACGAGACTTTGAATCCATGAAGAGACAACTTGCACTGAATGAGCCAGAAACTGAAGCCAGAATGGTCAGTCAGTGAATTGGGATGAAGCAGCTGTGTCTTACGTCCTTCGAGCGGATTCGGATGCTATGCGCTCTTCAGCAGTAGCGCTGTCCGGCAAGTCGTAGGTCGATTCGCGATGCAGCTTCAGGATACCTGCCACTAAAGCAATTATACAGTGAGAGATTTGCCGTCTTCTCTGGAGTCTGTCACGTACTCCGTACTGCGATTCCCATTTGCATCTACTCAAAGGGTATTAGGCTGATACTTCTGAGCAAATAGCGCCGTAAGCGACACTTACCCAACCCAACTGTCCGCAACCATGGGCCCATTCGTATATCCCCAGCAAGAAGAAGGCCTGTGTGTTCTCAATGTTCGGGCTATACTGTTCGCGGAGGGCAAGGGCGCGAGCTTGTGCAGCGAAAAATTCTGACGCACGCAGTGCGCCATCATACCTGCGGATAAGAGACTCCGTAAAGGGTGCTGCCAGGGCGAGTATGCACACAAGCAGAAAGCGCCCTATGCCATCATCAGGACTCTCAAGCCGATCGAGAAGATGCATCTCTTTGGTGAAGCCTGCCGGCACCGATATCAGCAAACTTATCGTTCGGAGTATTTCTCCCGGACATACCGCATGAAAAGTAGCTGGACACAAAAGACCTGCAACCATCGGCAACTTCGGCAAATTCTGGCATCCTGACTCTCGCAGTCAGCCAGAGGACATACTGTATATACTGTATCCTCAAGGGCTCACAACATACGGGAAGCTGTCATAGGCTTGTACGTCTGGACGAGTCCTTTCGATGACGTGAGCATGCACTGGGCATTTCAGAGGGTGGGCAGGGTGCCTACAAGAGCGGAAAGTTGACTTCTGGTAAAGACTTGCGTTGCACCGCCCGGAACTGTCGTTGGTATGGTCGGCGTCGTTGTTGAAGGCAGTGAGGGGATTTGAATGGAACAAACCTGTCTATCAAGGCGACTGAATCCACGTTCAGTGTATTTGCTGCAGCGACCGGCCCGTCAACTCACACTCGCCACAGCCAGCTATAGGTACTTACCATTCGTGTTGCACACCAGCAGCAATACATCGATCACAAGGTGGCGGCTTGTCACTGGAAGCCACATCGTGGGACGTCGCCTTAGTGCAGCGCGTCCTATACCGCCTGCACCTTGTACAGGCCTTGCTGGCTCGACCGGAGGGGGTCGTCAATGCAGGTCCACGGGCAACAGGGCCGGGAGAGCTGGATCTGCTTGACATTGATGTGGATACGGCCTCAGACGCTGCTGCAACCGAGTCCCGTCTGTGTTACAGGCGATGTCCACCGTTCGAGGCCCAGTCCTTAAACTTGTCAAGATATTGAGGAAGAAGAGACCGCGATGGATTGAGCAGATCTTGGCACTTAAGTGCCGGGTCCCCGGCACTTTGAAGATGCGGACAATTCCACCGCGATCCTTATCTGCTCAATCTGTGCTCCATGTTCCAATATGCCTTCGCCCGTATCGAGACAGGCCCAGATTCCGGTCCCATCTCAATGGCCCTTTCTGTACGGCCAGATCTGCAACCAGAACGAGCGAGGGGGGCGAGCGCGGGCCAGAGCGGAAGGAAATCACTCCCCCATCCCTGCGCGAAACGACAAAGGCCTTCAAGCATTATTATTAGATACTATGTCAGAACTTACCTCGCTTCTTCACCTTCTTCTGGAGCGCCCATCCCGCCTATACCGGCAGATTCCTGCTGCGAACGGCGCTCGTTCAGGGTGAGTGCAAGGCAGCTTCTGCCTTATGGAGTGTACTAAATGTTGCGCTGGTCGAACGAAGTCACGACGCGAATAGGTCTACCGGGGAATGGAAGTATCGAGATCTGTCCTGGAAGAGTGTTGAATACAGAGCGTCGATGTCCTTGGAGAGAAGAAATCACAACAACCTGGAAATTGTATGGGTAACGGTGAACCACGTCAACCACAAATTTAGGACATGTTGCTACAAAAGAGATAGCCTGTTTTATTAGCGTATCTTGGCGCCTATTTAGTGTACGAGACGTCATTGGCCTAATTACCCTAATGGGCTCTAAACACTCTAATCTATCATCTCCCTCTACAAAACTACAACACGTTGAACGAATACATCATCTCGACCTTCGTGGGCAGTGCTCCTGGCTCCTGCTGAGTAGGCCGATGTTTTTGAATCGCGATTGGTCCACCAGAGAAGGACACTACATTGACCGACTACATCTATGGTGAACATATCATCCCTGGCCGCGTGATTCTAGCCGTGACACCATCTCTAGTGACCCTTCATGACACCAACCCGGAGACCTTTGAAGCATGCACAATTTCAGTTCGGTGCCGAAAAAAACGATGTAGGTACAGCTTGCACAAGGAACTAACTCCGACACCAGCCCCGCGAGTCAGACTCACCCCTCCGAGTATTGTGAAACGAAAGATAGATGGACTGATGGAGAAGATGAATTGCCTCAAGCTTCGCTGAACCCATAATTCCCGCGTCCCATCCCACGCTATGCAAACCATGTGACCTTACAGGCAGGTATAAACAATAGACTTTGTGACAAAGACATAGACAAAAACCGTCCTGGTCGAGCCAGCCATGCGGGAATTGACCAATACATATCACCGTTGCTCGAGCCAGACCGGAAAATCTAACAAAACACTTCTTGGTCATGACGGGTCGTTAAAAAGTAACAGCCATAAATCTGTTCAAGGTTAGACAAAGGAAATGCACCCTCCACCCTTCGCTCTTCACCCATGTCGCCCGATTTCGATCAGGTCTTGATTTTCTTCACGTCCTCTTTATCTGCCATATCCACACTGCCCTTCCTCTTCTCCCCATTGCCGCTGGCTTCATTGGCCGTGTCACGACCTCCAAATCCTAGACCTCTGCCATCAGATGGCGTAGGAAACGCCAGAGGACTGGGTAGGACTGCCGAGTTCAGTCCACCATTCCTTCCGCCATCAAACCAATCGCTGAAGAAGTTGCTTGGGCTCGGTAACAGGTCATTGTTCATGTAACGACTCGGTAAGGCTGATATAGGTGTCTCGATATTGTTCCTATTATCATTATAGGCTTCGCGGTTCTGGTTCGATGTTGGCGGAGGATGTGGTCGAGCGAATGGATTTGGTGGCCCGCTCGCTCCAGCGGACATTACCGCGGAAGCACTAGGCGATGGGGGCGGAAGAACGATGTGGTCACTTCCTCGAGCAGTATTTCCTGACGGATCTGTCGATTGTCCCGTCGAACCACTTGGTGAATCATTGTCTTCGGCCTCGGATGGGATTTGCAAGTTCAATTTGGGTCGAGCACCGGACTTTGATCCGGACGTATCTGACCTTTTTGGTGGAGCGAATTCTGGAACTGCCGTTTGCGACCTCGGTGGCTGCGCAGGGTCTTTACCTACAGCCGGAGCAGTTATGCTCCGTGGAAGCATCTTCGCATCCCTCGCCTCAACTTCCTTCTTCACCGGCTTTGGATCCGGAGCTCCGAAAAAGTGCTGGGCCAGTACAGATCCACCTTCATCAATGGGAGTAAATATACTCCTTGATTTCGACGACAGGTGTTTTGGCTGTGGGGGCGTTCCTTGCTCCGGAGGCCGGAGATTTTGTGTTTCGGGTTGAGGCGATGTACGAGGTTGGGGTTGAGGTGGAGGCTGGAGGCTTGGTTGTGGTGTTTGTGACTGCCGCCGTTGTTCCTGTAGATACTGTTGATGCGCCTGTTGCATTTGTTGATGCGATTGTGGAGGAGGCGTCGGTTGTGCTTGTTGTTGTTGTTGTTGCTGCTGCTGCTGCTGCTGTTGGGGATATTGATACTGAGGTTGCGGTGAAGGATGAGGTTGCATGTTAGGAGGAGCGTTGGGATTATAGATGGGAGGATTAGGGACGTAGGCAAAACCATTCTGTGGTGGTGGCGGCGTAGGATGGGGGTGCTGCATGGGGACCAGATTGGAACTGGTCCGCCGGATCATATTCTGTGAAGACGGCCTAGATATCATATGAGGAGGTTGTGGAGTGCCATGCCGTGGTTGAAACATGCCACTAGGCATCGGGGGTGAGACAGAGTTCATGGGTTGTTGGATGTGAGTAAAGGAGTTGGGATGTTGCATGTGTTGGGGCATAGCATGCTGAGGTGGGTGAGAGTCTTCTCTGACATGGCCCGGTTGTTCTTCCTCTTCATCTTCGTCGTCGTCGTCATCACCGCCCTTGTTCTTGAAGTCGATCGGGCCCTTGTGTTCATGTGGTTGTCCATACTGTGGGCACCATTAGCGCAAAGGCGCTATCGCAAGAATTCAAACCGACTCACATATTGATACCGCCGCAGCGTCTCGTTGATATCTCCCGAAGAAAACTCGTATAGTTTTTTGTTATTCCCGAAAATAATGACTGCGACGTCGACGGAACATAGGACCGAAAGCTCGTAGGCCTTTTTGAAGAGGCCGCCTTTTCGCTTGAGAAATGTGCTAGATGACAGGTCAGCGTCGGCGGCCCGTGGAGTTTACGTTGGCTTCACTAGGACCACTTACACCGAACGATTGCGGTCGTCCTTGATGGCTCTGATCTCAATCTTCCTCCGACCCATGGCTGATTATATCTTTCGCATGTGACAACGACCGATAACCCTTCGACAAGCACCGGTGATGGAATGTCGTAGATTGTACTCGTACACAGACTGCGACTCAACGACGGTCAAAGGGCACAAGCGGTCAAGAGAGAGACCACTGAACTTGGAAAGAGATTGATAGGTGAACAAAGGAAAAGGCCTATGTACGCAGGGTCGGAGTTTTCGGGTTTTCAATGGGCGCAATGCTAGGCCAAGTGACGGATGCGGTTTGAGGGTGGGCTGGACCTGGGTATGATTTCTTTGTCACAGAAAGGACTCAATGGGGACTGTGGGAGCGCATATAGGTAGGCAGATAGCGTTGAGGCACAAAGAGGTACGCGACGCCAACAAGCACGCGTGAACTGTGGTAGGGTTTGCTGCTGCAATGGTGGGTTGCTGGTATGGCGTTGATGCTAAAGATAGAAAGAGAGAGGAGAAGAGAGGAAGAAGGAAACTTTCAGGGTCGCAGTAGCAGTGATGACGGCGAGAAATTCTGTCAAAAGGCCGACGACACCAGGCGCTTAGCGGCCTCGTGGGGTGCAACGCACATGCCTAACTCAAAGGAATCGGCCACTAAACTGATGGACAACAGGGCCCCCGTTATGATTTCTGGCACGTACCTGAGGTACCGAAACTGCCTACCTGCCTACCTACTAGTTAGGATCTACTTGGTCCCTAGGCCCCTAGGTCCCTAGGTACCTAAGATCCTCCGAGGGCGGCTTAGGACTCAAAGGGCCTAATGCACACTCTGCACTCATACCTGAGGCACCTCCCAAGCATGCCTAACGGTCCGGATATACGCCGGGGCACACCTATACATTTACCTAGGTACGTTGGTACTTGTTACTTTCTACCTTGGGTGAACCGATGCCTGAACGAAAGCGATCGCAATGACATTTCAACGGTCCCATTTAGACGCCTACTCAATCCAGTCCTGATTAAGTCACTAGGTCATAATATGCGCGCCTCTTCTCTTTGCAATCTCTGCGCCCCAAAGGTGGCGTGTGTGCTGTCCGATGCTGTCCGAGCTCTCTCTCGCCATCGCTGCCCATGCTCTTTGCCTTAGCACTGGATGGCGCTACGTTTCATCTTCTCTCGATCCGAGCGTCTGACGATGCTGATTGGCTGGCCTGCTGATTGCTAATTTTAGATATTGTCTCGACCCTTGGTGGAGAGTCGTCGTATTGTAGGCCTCGACGATGTGCCCGCCTCGTTCTTTTCCTTCGAATGCTTTGTTAGCATGGCGTACAAATTATACAACGTTGCTTTGACATCGAGCATGAGCATGGCTGGACTGACCTGTGCCACTTGCACAATGTACCCAGGTCCTCTATCTTGCTTCGGCCTTGGAAGTCACAATACAGTCGACGTGCTACAGACATAACCTCCTCCGAGCCTCGCGGGTTCAGAATTGATGACTCCCCGCCGGCCCTGCATACCTGATCCGACATGCTTTCAATCCTCCGTTCTCCATCCTCGGTCCATTATTCAGTATCCGTGCTTGACAACCGTCATGGATTCTTGATCACACGGTCGGTAGTGGAAGGCTCAGTCTGATCCTTCAATGTCCACAGACCAATATGTAACTCCGACTCCGACTCGCGCCGCAGCCTTTACAAACCATCGCTCTCGAACATCAGACGAGTACGGCCTCCCTCTTCCTGAGCTTAGCGGCAGTTCGTCTGAATCCCACCTCGTTCCTGCACGTCCGCTCGCCTTCCTGTTGCGGTCGGCGTAAGGCTTGCTGGCAGGGCAATCCAGCTCTAGCCCCCTCTCATCTCACTCTCTACGTGAATCAGCTTGCGCTGCTTATAACACTCCCAATGGACTGGAGGGAACATCCTTGCAGAAAATTCGATTCATCGGTGCCGCCACCAGACTGCCACCGACACCTATTTGATATTTACTTGCCGTTCGGCTGGATTAGGAAGAGGTACTTTGCCGCCGCGGCGCCGAAGCACCTTTACATCTTTCTCATCCTTCGGCTATGCTGCTGCCTCGTCTTCTCTCCACCTCTCGCCGTCGAATCCCCTTCTAGGCCAAGTCTTATTTCACAAGTGGTCTACCTTCGTCTTCCTCCCGACTACCCCAGACCATCTATTTTCGTCGCGATTGACCCGTAATTGTTGTGGTCAGGCCCTTTCTGATGTATCCTCAAATTGCGCAACTGATTAAAAGTCGAAGGGAAAGGGTGGTATTAGTGTGCTGGCCTGCAGCAAGCGTGACTGTTGCTAAAACGCTCACTCTCAAGGATAGAAAAACTGAAAAGAATGCGAAGTTATCGCATTTTGAGGCTCAAGGTGGTATCTCCATAACAGGTTCAAACGCCAGCGCCCAGTATAGGTTCCCATAAAAATCATCCGCAAGTGAAAAGGAAAATTGATTTGTCGTCACAGTGTATGTAAGTGTGGTGGTGTAAGAAATAATGATCGATGGTGGGCCTTCAACGCCTGGTATTGTCCATGTTGCCAGTGAGTTCAGCCACGCGCGCTTTGATTCGTGCCACGCGGGATTCAATTGCTGTAAACAATCAGTATGAAAGCTCGTCCAGAAATCTTCAATTTAGCACTTACTCTCCTCTCCACTAGTGTCGCCATCATCAGTGCGTGTTTCTGTCCGACTACGGGTCGTCTGCTCTTCAGATTGTCTTGCGGCTCTCTCAGCTGCGTTCTTGCGTATCTGAGCCCAGCGATCTGAGGGGTTGACCTGCTCGACGGATACAGATGGCTCTTCTTCATCTACCGAGCTCTCTTCTTGCCCTGCCGTGACTGCAGAGTATATGTTCATCGTTGGAGCGGGCATTTCTTCCGCGGGGGTGGCAAACTCGCTTCGAGTAGGTGTATCGGCTGGAACAAACGCGGGCTGGTCAAGTAATGGCCCTTGGTCGAAGGTCGAAAACTCCTTGTCAGCATGCTCTCGCTCGTTCGTATCGACGCGAGACAATTGATCATACTCCTCGTCTCTCCGCGTCCTTGGTGGCGCAGCCAGCGCTTCGGCAGGAGGCTCTGCCTGACTGGGGAGATGCGGTGTCGACCCCATCTCCACAGGAGCGCTCATGGATACAGTCGGTGGTGCCTCATTCTGAACAGCCTTTGGTGGTTTCGCCGTCGCCAAACCCATAAAATGACCTGGACTAAGAGGTGGCGATGTCGGTCCATCACCAGGTTCCGCAGGCTGGCCTTCCAATGCGCGTCTTGCAGCGGCAACTGCAGGATCCTCGTCAACGGGCGAAGCAGGCCGTTCTTCCGACTGCATGGGTTCTCGGCCCCTGGAATCCTTTGACTTGGATCGCTTGGTACCGAACAACCGACGGATGCCGCTCTTATGCTGCACTGGCGGTGGCCCGGTTGGGGTCTTGCCTCTGCTTTTTCTCTCCTCGGGTGGTTTCCCGTGTTGGTCAATAGATTTTCGCAATTTGGCATGTTGCTTGGGCGGCTGGGCTGTTTTTGCGGCTGCCTCCTGGCTGATCTCAGGTGTCGCTGGAGGCAGGGGTATCTCTGCCGCCTCGAGCGCAGGATTTATCTCGACGGGAATCTGAGCTACAACTGGAATAGGTGTTGGCTCGACCACAATGGGGGCGGCATCGCTAGCAGGGTATGCAGACTTTGGTTTTGCTCTCTCAAGTGGCTCTTCTGAATGGCTCCTCGCGGACAGAGCAGGTCGGGACTCGTTTCCAGGTGGAGCTGGCAGGTCTTTGTTTTTGCTCACCACGGAGAGAGTCGACGTAGACCTGCTAAGACCGCCCGAGGGAAGAGTCAACATTTCGCGCGATCCTTTGCCGGCCATGGAGTCGCCCAGGTACTTAGCCCGGATGGCTTTCTTGTCGTACTGACTTGCCCACTGGAGTGCCGGTGACGCCTCATCCTTAATGAGTGGTCCGATGGTGAAGATGCTGTTGGTCTTGGAAGGTATGACCATATCGGGTGCACGTCCTCTCCGAGCAGACGCGGCTTTCTCCCGTTCTTCAGCTTCCTTCTTCTTCGATAGTTCAGCTGCAGCTTGCTGGATTTTAGCTTGCTGGTCTGGTGCCAATGTGGCTCTATTGCCGCCTTCGAGGTGTGGCCCCGGGGTCAGAGGGCTCTTCTTCGTTTGCGAGCGACGTCGGGTTAAGCGTCCACGCTTTGTCGTGAAACCGAGAAACGACTTCTTCGTCTCAGCGATGTAAGCGCCGACAGCTGGTTCTGGGGCAGCTCCCTTGACTTGCTCTTCCATGACCATCCAATGACCATCTGATAGAACCGTTTCTATGAGCGCACAGCGGCCGAACACCGCCTTTCGTGAAGTCAATTCTTCAGGTGCGAGACTGCTGATCCATACCCACCAGAATGAATCATCTACAGCCATCCTGGTAATGCTTGCAAGCTCGCCAGGTTCCAAATTGGGTTGTAAGTCGAGATGTCTGCGATGCGATTGAGAACTTTGACCTCTTGCCATGGTGGAATTTATGGGCGGGAGGATCTTATCTGGAGGGAGTAGGATTGGCGCATGAGCGGTATCGCCATTCTCATTGGCAAAGCCAGACGAAAGGAAATCTGCCCACGAAGGTGTTGTCGGCCTAGCAAGATCCTGATATCCACCCGCACGAGGTGCTGTACGCAGAGGCCTGGGGTTGGCTGGCCTGGGTCCCAGCAGACCGCCATCATCATCCTCCTCTTCGTCTAGAGAACTTCCGAAACCTATATCCTCGAATCTTGACCAGGACGGATGGACCAAACTCGTAGACGTCTTGGCATTCGAGACACTGGACTGGTTTGCGGAAGATATTGCTTTGAGGACACGGCGACACTCATCTGTTAATGCCTCCACTGGGTCATCGTAGCTTGCAAATTGTTGTAGCTCACGGTCATCGTCCCTGTATTCGAAGTTCTTTGCTCGTCGCAGCAGTGCATAAGGCGTAGGAGAAACTACGTCTACAATCATGACTACTTTCGTAGTACTGTTCGATAGCAATGCGCTTTTGGGAGGATAGCTCGTAGAGTCGAGAAGTTGTTGTAATGACCGGGGTAGAGTCAAGATACCACTTGACTTCCCACCACCGGGAGACAGTGAGCGTAAATAGGCGAAGAATAGATGAGCGGTTGCATCAGCAGCACTGCATGGGGTCAGCTTTGGACAGAGATATTGCTCCTGGGAGCCTCGCACCTTGCCCATGACTTGTACCCCGTTTCAAAGCCTTTTCCACTGTCATAGTGTTCAAAGGCCCACCATCCGGCATATCTGGATAGCTTGTGGCCTCCAAGACCGTTTGCCTTGCCATGCGCAGCAGTCGCGGCAAGTAAGTCGAAAAAATCCTGGATAATCTGTCCCCGGGCGGAGGAGTCTGCACCTAGTGGGATGAATGTGCTAAAGGCGTCGCGCGCGTAACCAGAATCTAGTTGTGTCAGCACCTGTCACAGTCGCCCCAAAATAGAAACATGATTAACCTTTCTCTCCAACACGAAAGCCTTCGTAAACCTCCCAAGTAACAACACCGCCGGGTAGCCGCGCCCAACACCATTTCATCACGCTGATCAGAACCTGAGGCTTGTTAGTTCCTGCCGGGTGTAACTTGTCCGTCCATTCTTACCATGACCTCAGTCATGCGCAACTCATTCTCCAGTATCGACCCTCTGAGCGGTTCTCGATCTTGAGGTGGAAGGAAAAAGTTGCGCACGAAGGTTCTCGCCGCAGAAGGATCCGATGAGGGACGGAAGGGGAGCAGAAGGAAAGGAACGTCGAGTGCTAAGATGTTGTCAGGGGACAGTCTCTACCAATGCATCGATGGGCAGCAACGTACCTCTTGACTTGAGTTCCGCGGTACACAGGTGCAGTAATTCGGAGACCTCCTCGGGATCAACCCTCGTCCTTATCCAAGCATCGGACCATTGAGGCTTCTTGTCGGTATGACCGTTTGCGACCGGCGCAGTTGACTTTTTGACAGTCCCATCCTTGCCCTTGAAGACCTTGGAAAAGAACGGCATGGCTCAAGCGGACGACGGTTGTGAGAATTCAGACCAGTATGGTAGTGCAGGGCCTTTTCATCTGTTCGGCAGCATGCAGGGTGGTGGGAGGAAATGAGCCTGTTAAAGTTCGCACTTTGAAAATTGGTAGCAGGACTCCGGCGCGAGACTTGTTGGACAACAAACGGGAGATAGGCTGAGGCTTGCAATCCGGCAGGTTGCATATGCAGGACGCTGTCACTCAGGGGGGGTTTCGGTACGGGGCGAAAAGCGGATACAGACAGAGTTCTGGGAAATAAATGGGTTCTGAAAAGTAAATCGGAATGAAGGAGTGTCGAGAAGAGAAACCCTCGAGTTGTACAGCGCAGCGGGCTGCAAAACGAGGCGTTGACAACAAATGATTGCGTATGTAGAGAGACGAAGAAATCCTGTTGGCACGTTGAAGTGTTGGCAGTGACAAAAAAAGGCCTGGAGTCGCGACAGAGGCTCGTGTCAAGTCACGAAAAGGGTTCAGCAGTTTAGCGTCCCGGCCGTGGATTAGCAGGGGGGGCTAAGGGACAATCCGCCGGGAGTCTTGGGCTGTTTGGGCTTTGGTGCTTGGGCGTTGGTTGGCCCCCTCCACCCTTAAACAAGCTTCCGTCGGGCATGGGTGGAGAGCTCGTCCTTGCACTTTCATCCTCTCACACGAATGACACACTCTTCTTCAGCCACTGTTGATCAACGCTGCATATCCCGAACAGCAGCACGGCCAATACCCACCAGCCTGGCGACTTGATGCTTGTGGTTAGCCCGTCGGCTGTCTGCTTCAGCGCCCCGATCAGTAGAGGCCCAAAATTGGACTTAGGCCTTGTGCTGAGTGCTGAGTGCTGAGTGCTCAATGGTGGGGAATAACGGACACCATCTCCTGTTCTGCGCGACGCGAGCCTCGACTCTCGAAACACCTGCGAGCTTTAGCGACCATTGTTGCGCAAGAGGATCAATCCTTAGCGAGCATAGATGAGATGTCCGTCCGAATGATCTCATGAATGATCTCATCCAACCCCCAACTATTGTGAATGACTGTACGGAGTACCGAGTACAATAATGCGCGCTCTCTCCCTCTCTCTCGGAGTACCGCCCTTCACTTCTTGTGGGACCTTTCCCGGCTCCAGAGATTGACTTGTCCTTCCGAGCCGCAGATTGGTTCGTCCCGTCAGGGTGTCTCGACCAGTCTCGATCGAAATATAACAGTGTACGGATCGGAAGTGGGAAAGAGGACGTTATTCACACAATTATTCGCGCGGAATTTCAGACGGGACTCTGCATGACTCCTGCATCTCTTGCATTGGCGAAGGGATGATCCTTATCAAGGAATGTACGGAGTAGAATGTGAAGCACCAGGGTAATTTCATCTTCTCTGATTTTATTGGCCGTCAGTCAAAGATCAAAAATCCCCTCCCTTTATCACTAATCTGTAACTGAGATATTGTACATGCACTATCTCAGCCTTGTTACAGGGCACATCCGAAGTGACAGCGAGTCAAAATCGAAAGTCGATTCGTAGACATGTGTACCCAGTAGCCATGTGCGGCTCAGACATGACATGATCATCCTTAAATGCCCCCAAGTCCACCTGCAGAGTCATGACGTAACCAATCAACTCGCACCGCAGCAGTCAGTATCATCTTTGATCATTCAAAGCAGATGACAAGGTGACGGCTGTTCTTCACAAGTCATTACATTAGATGTTGAGACAGTATTTCGCACATTCAAGAACCACAACACTCAATTGTTGCAAAACCTTCTCGACAGCCACGGTCAAAATGGTCAAAAGCGACGAAGACGTGGTCAAGTAAGGAATAAAGCACCGGCGCCTATGCACTCCTGACGCAATACAGAGACTTCAATAGCACGGTGAACATGTCTGCAGAAGACCTCGAAAAGTGGTTGAAGGGCGATGATTCCCAGAAATCCGGCTGGTCGAAGGATGATGGCTCGGGTGAAAGCATCGGTCACGAAAGGTAACACAGATCTGGCTCGTCTCAATCTGCGAGACATTCCTCCGGCATTTGTACTTCGAGGGTGGCCGACAGCCTATTTTGCTGTGGATGCTGATACCCGCGAAGTGGCAGGAAAATCGTCGAGATCCTTAGAAAGAATCCTGAAAAGGATCCTTCCAAGTATGACAAGGATGACCTCAAGCACATGCGTAGAGTTGCTGCGTACAACAAGCGTCATTTGGCGCAGGAGGAGAAGGCGAAACAAGATACCAACAGCAACTCTTACCGATCGTTGAAGAATTGGGGCCACGATGCTCAGAAGAGTTGAAGAAGAGCATGCTATCAGACCATGATGCAAATGTTGGCTATACGCCGAAGGTAGAATTCGACTTCACCCCGTGGTACTGACATTTTAATGTCCTAATTCTCAGGTGGAAAAATAAAGTCCTTGACAATCGTAGAGCCAGCGTATTCCGGGTTAAGCATGACACAATTTAGAAAATAAGCCAGGCCCTGACGCCTCTTTTCGAGGAACTTCGGGCGGAATTTGTAGATGGCGCTCTTTGGTGGGAGCGGAGGTAGAGAAGAATTTGTTGAATGAGGAAAGGCTTTGATCAACCTGGACCTCAGCTCGTCGAATTCTGAATATCGTTTCCGAATCACCATCGGTCCGCCGTCCAAGGTCTGCACTTTGCAGTTCCAGACAACATACGATCCGATGCCCGTAGTCCCTTGTACAATGACATAGTCGTCGATGGTGATGGCCTTTGCCCACAACGCAGCTCTACTGGCTTCTCGAGACAGCGTGTGATCTTCGAGAATGATAGCAGGCGGTCGATCCGAGAACTCGCTTGAATATGAAGCATTTCTGTTGTGACGCCAGTAGGGTGGGGGAGAAAAGACAGGGCGGGCGTCTATCGAATCATCGACACGGGCTGCTTCGTTGATATCGGACCGCGTGTCGGCATCGGGTGCCGAGCTAGAGTTGTCCATGCATGTGTCGGATGCATGTGGCTTGATCATCGAGCTGGACGACTGACTGGAGATGAAACTCGGCCATGCGTGTTCCAGAAGAGTTGCTACAGCTTTTGGACGGCCTGATGACAGCTGAAGCCAAGGCCCGGCAATCGCGTCGAAGCGCTAGTCCGGTTCCGTCAAGCACGCTTTGTGGCTTTTTTTTCTCGCTCCCACGGATGGAATAACTACTATAGCCTATAGGCATTCAACAAAGCATGAAATCCCGTCCATCAGTCCGCCTACCGCCATCACATATGAAATGCAGGCTGGCATTCTCAATCTGCCTGTTTATCTGCTGAATGATTCCTGCATGAGCGAATTGGGAGTGCGGAAGGTTGGAGCACATAGCAGTCCGAGGATCTGTATCCTCCCGTCACCTTCTGTGCCTTCTGTACGGGCACCGTGCAGAGTCCCGCGTATGGATCACTGCTCTTCCGTGGAGCGGGCTTGCGTGGCATCAGTAAAAAGGCCGGGTGCTCTAGTGGCCTGAGTTGTTCCCTAAACTGAAGGTGTTCGTGAGATACCTACCGAGTCCGCACACTGTGCGAGTAACATCTCCCTCACTGAAACTGGCGTGTGGTGGCTCGTCAACGAGCCGGGTCCATCTTCATCGCTCCACCATTAAAGATCTTAGCATCAGGTATGGCATACTGCATGAGAAAGCGTGATTATGGTGGCAAGCAGTTCGCTTCTGCGCCGTGCATCTGCAAATCAGTCAGCGGCCATTCTGGGGTCTTGAATTTTAGTGGCGCGTCTAAAGTCCGGAGGCTTCGCCATTGGATGCTCAGCTTCCCACCCAAGGGCGAACTGCGCCCATGGATGAGCTTGACATATCTACGACACCTCCAGAAAATGCACGTCTGAGACAATTCAACCTCTTCCGCTGCACAGTGTGCCGCCAGTCATGCCATATGACTTTCTATCCCTCGACAACAGTGGCTGGTCTGCATCACCGCGAGTGGCGGGGACGAATCTCGCGTGAATGTCTCTCGACGCCATCCGAGGCTGGCATGCCGTCGGATCGTCCTGGTCCCCCGTGGTGACCCTTTTTTACGACGCCGGGCCCGGTATTTTCTATTTGAAGGCTTCTGTTGCTCTTCTCGTGCTTTCACTCCCCGATACTCACCGCTTACCTTTCGTTTCACAGCATATCCATCTTACAGAGATATACGTTCTTGTAATTGAACCTACAATCATTATTCTCTTCTTCAGTAGACTATTCTACCATTATCAGCACCAGCAACATCCCAACCTTTGCCGGCAACAGACACCTCGTTAACGCACCCCCTCTCAGTTCTCCTTGCAACCATGCAGTTCTTGGTCCTTGCAACAACTGTAGCTGCGTTCACCCAACTAGCAATCACGCAGACAATTGATCCGAACTCTGTACCGTTGTCTACAAGGCGTGGGTTTCTCCATCGGATCACCAGCACCGAGGTCATCGCTAACAGTATTTGCAGAGACCTGGTGCAATTCTCAGAGAGCACAATGTCCCTTGATCTGTGTCGACCAGACCAACTCGGCCGGTACCAATTCCAACGACTGTGATCCCACAGACCTTGCCTACAGTTGCATATGTGCCAACGGCCTCTCTCCCAACGCTTCGGAATACTCCCTGACCATGCCCTACTATATCTGCACGCAATACAACACCGACTGTCAAGCCAACTGTGGGAATGACAACACCTGTGCTGCTGCATGCGTTCAAAATCACCCTTGTGGTGCTACAGACCCCACCAGAGTAAATACAAGCACTATTTCTACAATGTCTGCCACATCAACCACCAATGGAGCAGCTGCCTCGACTGCTTCTGACGGAGGGGTTGTTTACACGGGCTTTGGTGGTGCATCTGCTGCTGCAACTACAGCTGGTGGTGACTCTGGAAGCTCAGCTGCCACAAGGGTCATTGTCAACATGGGTCAGCTGTACGGACTGGGGGTCCTTGTTGCAGGTATTTTTGCTGGATTCGCTCTGATGTTGTGAGAGGCGGGCCGAGCTACAGTTGGTTTGCTCTGTCGTGCACATCGTCTTTGCTGTGTTTGAGCGAGAAGTCAATGATAGCAATGTTGGCATTGGTGTGGCATTTGGAGGCGGCTTAACTACAGGATAAAAGTGTCGTCGTGCACTACTCTTGATAATATCATAATCGTAATTTGTCTGAAGGCGGAAAGATGCTGATAGGGTTGAATTTCTGGTTGCCGTGACAACAGCTCCAAACAGATGGAGATCGGACTTTAGATAATCCGATCCCTCCTGTGATTATCCACATATGCATCCATTATTGCGAGCATCGCGTCCTGGGGCAGAAGACATAACCACCCTATTCAACAACAATCACTGCACAGCAATGAGCAGACCTTCGAATATTACTACACGACTGTAACCCTCGCGATGGCGGCGTATATGTCCCCTATCCCAGCAGCCTTGGCCGTCACCTCAAGTAATCCGCGTCGGTCACAGTATCGTTCAACAACACGATCCGCAGTCAATCGTGCCCAACCTCTGCCCCTTTCGATGGCTTCAGAGACAAATCCAAGACTCTCTCGAAATATGACTGGCGATAGCTCAGACGATGAAGACCTTGCACCCATAAAATTAAGTGCAGAGGCGCAGGCCATATTAGGGGAGGATGAGCCGCAACTGGATGCAGAAAAGGAGAATCTGGAACCCGAACCTCGAGTTATAAGGACGACGAGCACTTCAAGACGTAGGAGCAAGATCTCGCCTCTTGAGATGCTCAAAGCATCTAGTCCGCCCCAGCAAAGAGACGGGAGCCCAGCACCACGAGTTGTCCGAGTAACGTCAAGTGTTAGGCCTGCGCCAGCCGCAACCCTGGGAAGAGACGGTTCCTTTATGTACCGGATTCAAGACAGATCGACTGCACTTACAAATCCAGAAACCAATGATTCTGAAACCCCTGGCCCGAGGATACGACGAGTTCGTGTAAGTGGAGGGAATCGCTTGTCAAGATCGCCTCCCACAAGGCCAGATACTGGAGACCCTCAATCTGGTCCTGCCGGCACCGAACCTCAGAGCGCCAGCAGATCGAATAGTCCAAGCAATGGGTATATACACAGCAGCCCGGACGAGGAGAACGCCATGCCGCCCTCCACAGTAGCACGTCCCCGAAGGGGGGAAGATAATGGAGCGCAAAGCACGATGCGGGTTCGAAGGATTGGAGGCGCTTTGCTGAATAGACCTGTCAGAAGAGGCATGGTCCGCCGTGCAAGCGAGGAAGACGAAATGCCTCTTGACAATCAAGATCAGGAACGAGCAGGCACTCCCGAAATGGAAGTGGGAAGGCGAGTCAGAGAGCCTCTATTGGCAGATCTGCCGGATGATATGCTGGCGCTGCAAGGCAGTCCAAAGCAGATCAAGGTAACGGATATGTCACCGAGAACCGCATCACCAGAGCCAATGAAGCAACCATCACCAAAGCTGTCATCGGCAAGGCCAGAATCCCGCCACCAGCTTCTACCTACACCACGATCTCAAGAAGTCGCGCGGTCGTCATCGAAGTCCTCCAGCTCTCGACGAGATCCCATTTTCAAAATACCGCCACTGCCTTCTACAGCGTCTGGGCCTGGTCAGGAAAATGAACCTCCACCAACATTTCGTCGCACCAAGCCTTCCCCAGCGGTCCTCGAGATCCATGAAGACCGGCCAAAGTCTGAGAAGAAACAATTAGACCATGTCTCCCCTTCTCGCCAACCGCTTGCTGCAAAGTCACATAACACACCACATCGCCCGGCACCAGCACCTCCCCCAAAAATGTCCATCCTCGACGCCGCCACCTCCAATGCTGGATCTCGCAACAAGCGATCCGTCCATTATGTACTCAACGGCAAGACATACAGGCGGCTTGACTGTATCGGGCGCGGAGGCTCCTCTCGTGTCTTTCGCATCATGGCTGAGAACTACAAGATCTTCGCTCTCAAGAGGGTCAACCTGGAGGATGCCGACATGGCTGCTATCGCAGGTTACAAAGGTGAAATTGATCTACTCAAGCGACTCGAAAATGTCGACCGTGTGATTCGCCTTTACGACTACGAAATCAACGAAGAGAAGGGGGTGCTCAACGTCATGATGGAGTTAGGCGAGAGTGATTTCAACAAAATGCTCAACGAACAGCTGAAGTCGGAGAACGCACGACTTGACATCACGTTCACGCGGCACTATTGGAAAGAAATGCTCGAGTGTGTAGCGGCAGTACACAAGTATGACATTGTTCATTCTGATCTGAAACCCGCGAATTTCCTTCTTGTCAAAGGCCAGTTGAAACTGATCGACTTTGGCATTGCGAACGCAATTGCGGACGACACGGTCAATGTCCACCGTGAAAATCAGATTGGCACGCCCAACTACATGAGTCCGGAGAGCCTGGTCGCACAGCACGCACCCGCAGGATATGGTGGTGTAGGCAAAATCCTCAAGCTCGGCAAACCGAGTGACGTATGGAGTTTGGGGTGCATACTCTACCAGATGACCTACGGCCAGCCCCCATTTGCACACATCACGAAGCAATTCGAGCGAATCATGAGCATCCCCAATCCCAAGGTCGAGATAGCGTTCCCTGGAACGGGTATTGGAGGGGCAGTGGTACCATTTGGACTGATTAAGACATTGAAACGATGCCTGACAAGGGAGCAGAGTCTACGGCCGACGGTGGAAGAACTGCTCAGTGATGGTGACCCGTTCCTCAATCCCGTGGCCATCAGTCCAGATATGCTTGGTCGTGTGATTGGAAATGTGGTGGGCTATTGTCGACGAAGGGAGGAGTCGATGCGAGCAAGGGGCGAGATCAATGCTCCCGAAGGAGTCAGCTGTCTGCCCAAGGATGAGGAAATGAAGGGCTGGCCATTGGCATTTTATGAGAAATTGAGACAGGCACAAGAAGAGGGAACAGCCTGGTGAGATGTGTATTCTCTTCGCCCGACGAGAGAGAAAGAAGAAGAGGGAAAGAGATGGAGTGATCTGATGTTCTACGATTACCTGATTTTTGGCGGGTTTGAGGTTTGGTTGGTGTGTTGCCTTTGGTTGGGACTCGCCTTCTCTTTTCTTTTTGGATTCCAGCAAATGTGTCGTTTGGCACGAAAAAGCGTGCACTGCTTAGGCGGCGAACCCCTTTGGCGCCTTGGTCTGTTGGTTCTGGGTATTTCGTTGTCGTGATGGTTTCCCTTGCTGCGTTTGAGCGTCTGCTTTTTCCTTATTTTAGTATAACTAGGTAATCTGGTATACCTACCTGACCTAACTTACATACATGTCAAAAGTCGGCCGACTGACTGACGTTGCATATTGGTCTTATTCTTCAGAAGCCATCGCTAGCGACTTTGAATTTCAAAGTAAATGGCTTTATATTCATACCTAGAGCCACTGGTTTGATCATAGTACCTAGATGTTGCATGATCATTTAGAATGTGACGTATCAATTGACTGGTAGCCACTGTATCCCTATATCTACCACCTGGGGGGCCAGGTAAGGTAGAGCAAGGCACGTTGGGTGTTGGGCCATGCTGATTCACTCTCCACGGACAGGTAACCCGGCCTTCTCGTACACTGCGTCAATGACGTCCATGATCCTCACGCTCAGATCCAGGCTCACCCAGGGGCCTCTGTAAACGTAGCCGGGACGACCGTGCTTGGAGTGACTGGTGCTGCTGGTGCTTCTGGGCCGTGCTTCGTCGTTGACAACGTCCCTGTTCTCGTTCTGCGCATTCTCGTCCTCATCCTCATTCTTCTTCCCTTCTTCTTCTCTTCTTTCTTCGACCTCACGTATCTTCCTGACAAACCCTTCAAGCTGGTACCGATACGTCGTCCACCACTCCTCGCCCACCGCTTTGCCTCCATCCTCGTGGTCCCTTTCAAGCTCCCACACGGGTCCGCCGACGTAGCATTTCTGCGGCTTGCCCTTCTTCCCCCGCGACACGATTCTGCCGGTCGCGGCGTCGCGCGTCACGGGCGTCACGACGATCGCGTGGCCCAGCCACGGCCCGGCGAAATTGGTGAATTGGATCTCGGCCCTTTCGCACTCGATCTTGACGCTGGGCGGAGGCACCCACACCCGCGGGACGAGCCCGAACAGCTTGGGCACGTAGAGGTCGCAGGCCGTGATTGCTTTTGTCTCCCATGACCCTCTATCGTCGTCGTCGTCGTCGCTGGGATCCCCTGACGAGAACGAAATGACTGTATTCATCGCGTCGTCGATGAGCTTGTCGGTTGCGTTGATCCGTGGCGTGGCTTCGAGAACCTTGAAACCCAGACCGTGGGTGCCGGTTCGCTCTGGACCTTGTTGTCCATCTTGAGCACTCTGACCCGCATTTGTACTCGTACCTGTCCTCGCACCTGTACTTGCACCACTCTCAGGAGAGGGAGGTTGAGGAAGATGATGATGATGATGATGATGATGATGAAGCGGGCCCTGTTGATCCGCATAGTAGCATGCTGCACTGTACACGTACGTCAAGTCCATCGAGCTCCCGCCACCGAGGGCGTACTGGAACCGGATGTCGTCCGGACCCAGCACGCCCGCGGGCCGCGGGCAGGAACATGGTGGGAGTCACGGACACGACCCGCCCGTACTCGCCGCCCGTCAGCATGGCTTTGACCGTGTGCGCGGCCGGGTGGAAGAGCCAGTGGAACGCCTCGAGGGCGACTTTGCCCGTGCGGTGGGCGGCGGCGGCGAGGGCGCGGGCTTCGCGCGCGTTGGACGTGACGGGCTTCTCGACCAGGACGTGCTTGCCGGCCTCGAGCGCCGCGACGGCCCATCTGTAATGCAAGCTGTTGGGCAGCGGGATGTAGACGGCGTCGATGTCCCCGTCGGCGAGAACCTCGTCGTAGGACCCGTAAGCCTTCACCGGGCCCGGGAGGCTGGCCTTGAAGGAGGCGATCTGCGCTTCGGCGCGGGACTTGTCCCGAGCCGCGATGGCGGTGATGAGCGCCGTCGGGTGCGTCGACACGGGCTCGATGATGGACAAGTAGTTGATCTCGGCGGCGCCGAGGACGCCGATGCGTAGGGGTCTGAACGGTGCATTGTCGGCGCTGGTCGCGGACGATGCGAGGGCGTCGAGCTTCTTGGTCGTCGTGGTTCGGATGATGCTGTTGACGATGTTGTTCCAGTCGTGGAAATAGAGAAGCAACTGGATTGAGATTGACAAGGAAGAGACGCCATGTCAGTTTGAGAATAATAGATAGATAGATAATTGTATGCATGGGTCCGCGCGCCGGGGGGGTAAATGGAGAGCGATGGTGGCACTGCTTGTGTTGTGAGGAGTGCAAGAATCCAAATACCCTTCATCTAGGGTACCCTTGACTACAATGCTCATATGTGTATAGTCGTAGATGGAAAGTGTCAGGTTGAATCGCTGACAGGAAATCAGTCTCAGTGCTTGACTTACCCTTCCAACCCAAGACATGATGCGGCCGGGCCTGATTCAATGCCTGTCAGGCGTCAGAGCATCAAGCATACAATACTCTGAACCAGTTCAGTTCAAAAGGCGGCGCGAGAGCGTGAGTACGAGGAGCCCATACGTGTGTTTAGTTGAATATAAGACAACTGCGTGCGGTCCAGTACAGCCTGATCCTGATAGTTGTGCTAATGGACGGATTGAGAGCGGAACGAGCACTCAGCCCCTGGTCATCCGCTCCCCCTCTCTCCCACTCATCACTCCCGCCGGGTTCCATAAGGCTTATTAGCCAAATAACTTCCTACAGTAGTTATCTGGGTATGTACGCCTTGGTAAGTACCCGCACGGAGATGAGGTGATGATCAGCATGGGGAAGGGAAAGGAGCCTAACTGCGTAATCTGTACGAGTACCCTTTCATTACATGCTCTATGCTACTTATTGTACAAGTTGTCGTATCTGAATCCAAACGCCTGTAGTAAGTAACACGCCACTAGACCTATCCTAAAAGATCCCACCGCCCTTTTCCGCTTCTCTGTGAACGCTCATGCTTGGTCTAGAGATTGTGCCAAACACATCTCGTAATATCTTCCTCTCAGTCGTTGTAGTTCCGCGTGAGTGCCCGTTTCGGCGATTCTCCCGTTGGCAAACACAAAAATAACATCAACATTCCGAATAGTGGAAAGTCGGTGCGCCACTGCTATTGTCGTTCGGCTCGTGGATGCCTCATCGAGGGCAGCTTGAACCAGACGTTCCGATTGCGTGTCGAGGGCTGACGTCGCTTCGTCAAGTAGCAACAGCTTTGGATTTCGAATCAATGCTCTTGCGATGGCGATCCGCTGTCGTTGCCCGCCGGAGAACTGCATCCCTAGTGAGCCGCAGGGCGTTTCAAAGCCTTCTGGTAAAGAGATGACAAAATCCAAAGCATTGGCCTTGCGGCAGGCGTCCTTGACAAGCTCTTCTGATGGTTCGAATTCGAGGCCCAACGTCACATTCTCGCGAACGGAGCCTTGGTAAAGTGTGGGTTCCTGTTGGACCAAAGACATATGGCCGCGGTACAAGCGCGGCGACATTTCTGCAATATTCTCGTGTGCAAATGAAATTCGGCCCGAGGTCGGGTCGTAGAATCGTTCCAACAAAGCGATCAACGTTGACTTGCCACAGCCAGAAGCGCCCACATAAGCTACAAATTGTCCTGGCTCGATTGTCATGGAAACCCCGCGGAGAACTCGAGCCGAATCACGTTGACGATACCTGAATTCAATGTCCTCGAGGTCGACAGGGCATCCACCCACTGGCCCTTTTTTCTTGTTCTCCTCCGTTTCGCGGATGGTCGGCTTCAATGTCCGCAGCCAGAGGATATAGTTCGCAGCCGACCGAGCCTTGGTAAGACTCGTGGAGTAGGCGAAGAACTGGGCTGCTGCTTGACCGGCAAACAAAACGCCCACGAAGATGATATAAAATTGAGTTGTGTCGTACTCACCTGAAGCCAGTAGTCGACTGCCATACCAAAATCCCAGGGCCATAGCCAGAAACTCGATCGACTGTGACAGTGAGAACCAAAACATCGTCCAAACCAAAGCTTTGGATGATCTTAGCACGACCTTGCTCAACATGTCCGAGTACTGTTGGAGAACATGGCCTTCGAGAGTCAAAGATGAGACGGTCCGGATCGCGGTAACTGCTTCGCTTGCAAGCCCAGCACTTTCTGCAAAGTTTGCCGAGTTTCCGGCTTCTAGCTTCGTCTCAAGACGAATTCTGAGGTAGCCAGCCAAAAGCAGGGGTGGAAGTGCACCAAACACAACCACCAGGCCCAGTTTCCATCCATAGGCTAGTGCTAGAGCACTGCTCGAGACGATGTTGACGACAACGATAAAAATGAGAAGAATATTTGCTGATATCAACTCCTGCAACTGCGTGGGTAGAGCTGACAGTTGCGATGTGAGAGCACCAGAAGTATTCTCCGGGATGTCGAAGAATTCGATGTCTTGATCCAGTACTCGCTGGAACATTTCGGCTCGATAGCGATGGGTGACAACTTGTGAAACAACGTTGCATGTCCAGCCAATCGTGAAATATCCTACTAGATTTCCTAGAGCCACGACAAAGAACATCAGACTATAAAAGTCTGCCCGTTCCTGTGCCGCATGACCACTCAACTCGAAGACAGTGAGCAATCTCGAAAACAAAAGGGCTTGTCCTGGAAATGTGGCCGCGCATATCAGAACCGCTATTGTTGACAACAAGAAGCACCAGTAGAGATTTTTTTGTTCGTAGAACATGATTAGGATGCATTTTAGGAGCGAGTAGCCCAAAGTCCCGACCGGCACCTTCCGCTTCTCCAGGTCTCCAGCTTGAGATGTGGCAGTGGTGTGAGTGCGCTCAAGTGCCGGTCGTTCACCAGCAGCTTCTCGTGCTGCCTTTTCGTGCAGGGTCTTCTCATGTTCTTCTTGTTCGTCAGCCCCGAGGTCCTGTGCACGCACCAGTGCGGCGTAATGACCGTTGCGTTGGATCAATTCGTGGTGTGTGCCTTGCTCGACGATTTTCCCCTGGGAAATGACTGCGATGTTGTCAGCACTTTTGACAGTGGCTAGTTTGTGGGCAATGACCAAAGTAGTGCGGTCTTTGGACACTCGGTTCAAGGCCTCCTGGACCACTTTCTCCGCCTTCGGGTCAAGGGCGCTGGTAGCTTCATCGAGTAACAGGATCTTCGGATCCGATATGATACTTCGTGCGATTGCAATTCGTTGTCGTTGACCTCCACTCAAGGCTCCGGCTCGCTCGCCAACTTCAGTCTCATAACCGTTCGGAAGCTCATTAATGAACACGTCGGCATTGCTGGCTTTGCAAGCTTTTTGCACAAGCTCCATTTGTTTTTCGCGAGGCAGATCTCGTTGCTCATCCATGAAACCGTTGGCAATGTTCTGGAAGATTGTGCCACGAAACAACACAGGTTCCTGTTGAACGAGGCGAATGCGGCTTCTCAGCCATTTCACATTGTATTGTCCCAGTTCCAACCCATCAAGTAATATCCTCCCCGAACTGGGCAGATACCACCGTTCAAGTAAGCCGACCATTGTGCTTTTGCCGCTACCTGATGCACCGACGAGGGCCGTCGTCTTGCCAGCTGGAATTGTCAAGTTGAAATCTCGAAGTACTTGGGCAGATGGTCGGGAGGGGTAGGCAAATGCCAGGTTTTGGATCTCAATTTGACCTAGGCAGCCCTCTGGCTGCTTTCCAGAAGGGTCGAGAGGGTCGAGCTGCGTGGGTTTGTCAATGATACTGAATAATTCGGAGGCCGAAGATGCGGCGTTGGTAAACGACTGAACCTGAGGCGCAAGCATTGAGATGGACGTGGCTGCTAAGGTGACGGAAAGGACAACAGTAAAGACTTTGCCAACGTCGGCAACCTCGCCATTCTGATACATGCGAAAACCTTTCCAAAAGGCCAGTGCGATAGCAGCGTAAATGCAAAAGTACTCAGTTGAGAACAAGACGCCATAATTTGGCGATTTCTTCTTCCCTTCTTGGTGTGCTTGCTGCAAAAAGACATCATATTTTTCGACCATTTTCTTCTGGGCGTAGAAAGCATGGACTGTCCGGATGGATGATAAGACTTCTTCTGCGAGGACAGCGGCGCGTGAGTAGATCCTGGTGATCCTGGCCTCCTGAGCGGCATCAATTGCTATGCAGATGCCGGTGACCAGGAAAATGGCAGGGATGACGGACATGGTGATTAAAGCTAGCTTCCACTGAGACGCCAAAGCGACCACAAATGCAGAAAAGAACATTGAAAGTGCCTGCACGGTAAAGACCAATTTCTCGGCAATACCTGTTTGTATACGGTTGCCATTGGTAGTGACCTGAGTGGCGATTGCTCCATTGCTCTGCTTGTCGAAATGCCAGACCTCTTGCCGCAAGGTGCATTCAAGGAACACTCGTCGAAGAGTTCGAGTGGTTCGTATAGCTGAAATGGTAATGGCAGCCGTGGAAACGTACGTGAGGACAAACTTCCCAATAAAGAGGTAGACGAACCACAGGACGAAATGATCCACATCGGCCTTGAACGCTTCAGGACTCCCGTCGCCCGAATTGTAATTGTTGAACTTGTTGGTGAAGCTACCGAAGATGATCGACATCAGAGGAAGGGAAGCCCCGGATCCGATGGCGCAGATGAGCGCGATGACATTGAGAGTCCAGTCGTATTTGTCGGCATATCTGAAGATTCGTAGATAGTCTGAAATACTGCCTTCGGTTTCCTTTTCTGGGGGAGGGTGTGAGGACGACTCACTGCCATCCTGGCTTGGTCGAGGTTTCTCCGATTCATCTGCCATTCAAGGAGATGGAAAGTAACAAAGTGTTTGAAGAGGTTTCAACCCGAGGAGTACAAAACAGCACCGGCTCTTGTATTTCTAGGTGCACAGGTGAACTAATCCCGAATACGAGACATGATGCCCATGCACCAGGCTGCCGTTTTCTCGGCGCCTCAGCCAATTGTTCCCGAGAAGAGGAAGGTTTTGGCCTCTTGTCATGTCGACTGGGGCATCGAACCAAACAGTCGAAAATCATGAGACGCAATAGGTGTAGAGCATGATGGTGGCCGCGCTTCGTCGACGTCAAGACCAGCGATGAGTCGAGGAGAACAGCATGTGGATCGTGTCCACCGTCTCTCGGGATCCTCGGCCGCCGCCCTCGCGTCCCTTGGCCGCCCGCAGACAGACAACTGCATCAATCGCCATGGCCGGGATATGCATCGTGGCCTAGGATGAAACCAATCTCCTACGAAAGGACACCTAACAATTCCTGCCGATGCTCTGCCGTACTGCGGAACGTGTTGGATAATGGCCGATGCGAGCCAGTCCGATGGTGACAGTAACACTTTCAAGATAGTGCCTGCGGTACGAATTCGATCTCTCTCTGGCCGTTGATGCGTGCATCCGTTAATGTTGGCAGTGTGACACTTGTCGGGCTCGCAAGGTAGGCAGAACGGACTGTTCGGACTCTACACAGCCCTCATTGACCTGCAATCTGTGTAGATCCGGTGCGACCGAAAGACACCGTGTTCAAGCTGCCAAAGCTCCGGGGCGTCGTGTCACACTTCCAAGCGCAAGCCTGAAAAGAGGCAGCGCGTCCTCATTTCTGGAAGATAGTACGTAACAGTGCTCCGGCCTCTGACTTGTATTGACCTTCCTCAGTGAACGCGAAATCGAAAAGGTCAATGATAGACTTGCTCGATTGGAGACGCTCTTGCAAGCTGCCAACAGCAGGCAAGCCCGTCTTCAACCATCGCCTCAGTCATATGCAGAAACTCTGTCAACCCCTCGTGATAAATCAGGGTTCGAAAAAGAACCAGATTTTGCTGGAGACTCATCCTTCGTTGCTCATTCGAAAGATGCGACGCAAGCATTCGAACGCAGCCTCAACCTCAATGTGCGCGGAGATGTTGCTGCTGCGGTCGCCACGCTGAGAACCTTCCTCGACAACGATGGTCCCTCTGTTGCTGCTGGCTCCGACACGGCTCTCGTCCAGAAGCCTATTCAAGAAGCGGTTCTCTACCCAGAACTGGCCAAGTTGGAGCTTCCGTCGATGCAGGTCGTCCTGGGAGTGTTGCGACATGCTAAAAGTAGGTGAATCATCCTTCACGTCTGGAATATGTTATGCTGACTTGGGAATAGCACATCCATACCAAGTCTTCTACGAATATCCCTTGCTGGATGTCGAGCGTCTCTCGGACTTGTGTCGTAAAATCTATTTCCCTACCGATGACTATACCATCGCGACCTTCATCACAGTCCATGTGGCACTGTATTTCCTCTGCAACCAGATGCCGAAGGATACCGCGAAGGATCTCAACTTTTCTTCTGACGAGCTCCAACAGCTTGCAGACACCTGTGCCCACAATGCTGAGACCGCCATGCGCAGTATGAGACTGTTTATGGAGGCTTCTTTTGAAACAATCGAAGCCCTCCTTCTTGCGGTACGCCATTTCCTGCCGATCTACAGAGCACAGACTAGCTGTAATGTACCCAAGTGTTGTGGACCTGCCCAGCTGACCGTATCTTTACTCTCAGGCAATGATGACGGTGGAGCATTCCAACTTGTCTTTAGGCTGGACGCTGATGACGACGGCATCTAGAATGCTTCAGGATGCAGGGTACCATCGCCTACCGCCTTATTCAGTAGCACCTGAGGCAACCAAGAAAAGAATCGTCTTTTGGCTCGTATACGCCTTGGAACGAAGCCTGGCCCTTTGCTTGGGAAGGTCTTCAAATATTCAAGACTGCGATATCACCGTCGAACGACCCAAAGTGCCCGAAGAGCTCAATGGACCCTTTGGGCTTTTGTATCTGGGCTGGATTCACCTAGGAGAGCTTCAAGGCCAGATTTATGAGCAACTGTATTGTGCCCGTGCACAGAAACAATCGCCTGAAGCCAAAGGACACGTTGCACGCGCTCTCGCTGGACGACTTTTCGAAATGGAGGCACACTTCAAGATCGAAATCGAGGGATACCCATTTGCAGAAGCCGTCTCTGAAAATCTGCACTCCACCCGAATAAGTCTAGCTACGCTCCTCACTCTAATCTATCGGATGATCCCACCTGATCCGCTCCCCTCTGGTCAGCCGCATCATCCTCTCAAGTTCCATGATCTGGCAATTAAATCGGCCCGTGAAGCTGTCATTATGCATAACGACGCCTGGAACGTGCTGAGACACCGTCAAAGGCAGGAGTGGTACCTCTTCGTCGTCTGGACTGTTCAATGGAGTCCCTTCGTTCCCTACATCGTCGTGTTCGGGAACGCCATCGCGGACAGGAATGTGGAGGACTTGCAACTTCTAAAGGAGGTGGTTGACGGGCTAGAGAGCATTGCGGATATGAGCCCTGGAGCGGGAAAGCTGTACCGTTCCTGTCAAAAGTTTTATCAAATCGCAAGCATATATCTCGCGCAGGTCAAGGCAGACAACAATGAGAGCCAGCAAGGGTCCTCCTTTGACTCGTCGGGATCCTCGGCGCGAAAGGTCTCACAGCCTGCTCAGGCTCCGGCTCCGGCTCCGGCTCAGACTAGCATCTCGTCACTCGATGCGAGTATGTCGGAGTTACCACTTTTCCAGCAAGACTGGGATGAGATGCTTGAAGGGTGGCAGCTGAGAACTGACGGTGGCGACACTGGCGACATTTCCGCCTTCTTTGGCCAGTACCTCGGCGGCGGTGCTGGAAACTTTGCTGAACCACCTACGGAGCCCTTTCCCTGATTTCCACCTTTCATGTGGCCTACATGCGCCGAGTCGCACACATGAGGCCCCACCGTCCATTAGCACGATAGAACGGAGGACTTGTACTGAATATCGACCAGAGATACTGCGTCCATGCTGAAGAGCCGGTTGTCCCAACCGCACAGAAACGGCTGTGAACTTGGAAGCAGCAAGGCCGCCTTGCCCCATGTCAAAATCTTGATTTCTGAAGGCGGCTACCCTTACTTACATGGACCAGAGATTCACAGATCTTCATCGGTCGCATTGCGTCGCGGAAAAGCATATGTGATGAATGTCCTACTGAAGTTTGCCTACGGCCTGCACTGGAGCATGAGTACGGTCTTGCACAAGATTCACGGCTCTGATCGTTCTTTAACGTTGGTGCCCGTAATCCTCAAGCAACGGCTGAAGATGATATGGGTATACCATGATGAAAGGCCATCATCTCTACGTCTGTATTCAAGTCTCGTGTGGAAAAGCTAGACACCGTATGCTAAGCATTTCCAGCCTTGAGATCCATACCTCCATCTGACCTTGTCGAAACCTGGTCACAATCACTCTATGTTGACGCTATTTCCCGGCATTAGCATTCTCTCATCCTACTGCGTCGGAGCAACTTACTGGATATTAATGGTCTTGGGCTCCAAGTACGCCTTGAGCCCTTCTTCGCCTAGCTCTCTGCCTGAGCCCGATTGTTTCATGCCGCCAAACGGAGTTTGTGTCTCGGGGATAAAGGGGAAGTTGATCGAGACGCCACCGGTCTCGAGCGCCGACGAGACACGGAGACCCCTGTTGAGAGATTTGGTATAGATGACCGCTGTGAGCATGGGTGTGTTAGTAAAATGCACGCGTAACAGTAACATTCTCGAGACATGACGCCACGCGGGAAGAGAAAAGTGAACAACGAACGAAACAATGGCTTTTGTCATGTCGTCAGGGTCAGAAACGTGGGGGTGGGACGTACAGGCTAGCCCATAAGTCGTGTCATTGGCAATCTCAATGGCCTCTTCTTCCGTCTTGAACGTCTTAATGGACAAGACGGGGCCAAAGATCTCCTCAGACCAGATCTTGCTGCCTGGTTTGGGATTGACAAATATCGTCGGTTCAATCGCGAATCCCTTGTCGCCCTTTCTACCACCGCCAGTGAGGAGCTGCGCGGTATCCTTGCCAACGTCAATGTACCCCATGACTCTGTCGTACTGGGACTTGTCGACGACGGGACCATGCGTCGTCGTGGGTTCCAGTGGGTTCTGGCCCAAGCCATCTCTGACAGCCTCGAATTGAGCCTTGACGGCCTCCTGGAATTTCTCCGCAATGTCCTCTTGCACGAGCACACGGGAGGCGGCGACGCAGATCTGCCCCGAATTCACGAGAAATCCTTGGCCGACTCCCCCGACTGCCGCTTCGAGAGGAGCGTCGTTGAAGACGATGGCTGGGCTTTTCCCGCCGAGTTCTAGAGTGACGCGCTTCATGTTGGACTTGAGTGCTGCTTGCTGGACGGCGCGGCCACCGCCGACAGATCCTGTGAAGCTGATCTTCGCAATGTCCATGTGCGACGCCAATGCTTCACCCGTCACTCGTGCTCCAGTGAGGAACTGCACGACTCCAGGAGGGAATCCGGCTTCTGCGAAGAGAGGAGCGAGGGCCAGAACGCCCAGCGGGGATTTCTCCGAGGCTTTGAAGATGAAGGAGCAGCCGGCGGCGAGGGCGGGGGCTATCTTCCAGCCGACGTAAAGAAAAGTCGCGTTCCAGCTGGCAATACCAGCACACACCCCCATCGGCTCGTAACGCACAATCTTGTACACGCCGTTGTCCTCGGGAAAGGTCTTTCCGGCGATCTTGTCGGCCCAGCCTGCATAGTAGCGAAACACGGAGACCATGTTTGGAATGTCGAAATGAGTGATCATCGACACCGGTCTACCGGTGGGCAGCGACTCCAGACGAGCGAGCTTCTCGGCGTTCTTCTCGGCGAGGTCCGCGAACTTAAGCATGCACGCCGCGCGTTGTGCACCTGTGAACTTCTTCCATGGGCCCTTTTTGACCGCCTGCACCGAAGCGGCTACTGCACTGTCGACATCGGCCGCGTTGGCCACGTGAACATCAGTGGCAACGGTGGATTCGTCCCACGGGTTCGTGAGCGTTAATCTCTCGGACCCCTTGGAGGAGACGAATTCATTGTTGATGAAGAGTTCACTCTTGTATTCGTCAGGCGAAAGAACCATGCTGGGCGATTTGAATGGAATGTGGCTCGTAGAACGTGACGAACCCGGAGAGACGAAGAATCAGGGAAGACGTGTCAGTGATGTCGTGCTTTGCAGGCTCATACTTGGGTGTTGCTTGCTATATACCAACCTACCGTTGCATCTCAACTCCACCGCGGGTAACCGAAGATGGTGGATTCGGGGTTAAACGCCGTTTTCAGTAATTTTCGATCAGTACAAGACGGCTTTAGTCATATCGCCATCAGCACTAAACCGTCGGGACGATTAGTGAAATTTTGTGGCCAGAAGCTATAATCATCTTGCCAGCGTAGGCAAAGTGCCTCATCGGCCGTAGGCAAAGGTCGTTCGGCTCCAGCAGGTCGAGATGTGCGGAACCAATCCGCAACCATTCCGCCGCAAAATGGACCCGTAGCTTTGGGTGACAAGGCCGGGCAGAGTCGTAACCCACGTCTGACCTGACCGCAGACAGACAGAGTAGCTTCATTTTCAAAGGGAACCATAAGCTGAGCGAAAGGGAAAGGCCAATAGCGGCCAATAGCGGCTTCGTCCTCTTGGCCATGAGCTGAAATCCTCGTCTTGGAGCCGTTGATCAATCACAGATATTTGGCCACCAATGCATTAGTCGAAGGATTGAAGGATTTCAAACACCTGGCTAGGAGTGCATGAAAGTCACAAGGAAGCAGTCAGTACGGGGATACCATTCAGCTCAGTCGAGGTGTTGCTGTTGCGTAGCGAGATGGGGACGTTCACAAATGAAATCAAAAACTGGGGTACGAGTGCGGCGCGGCTTTCGATGAGCGATTATCAGTATTTTGCCCCCAGCGAGTGCAGCGTGTTAATAAGTAGGCTGCAAAGGGACAAGGATCGGAGCCTCGTACTTGAATATAAAGTACTGAGTAAGAAAGTAGGCATATGTACAGGCAAGCAATCAAAGATGTCAAAGCGAGAAAGTTAAACTAGGCTGGGAACGAACGGCAGAGTACAGATGCTGAAGGCGCTTTTTCTACGGGGGAGCATTTAATGCGTAGAGGTTGACGTCAGTCACTCGCGTGCGGCACATGTTCGCGTTCACACCTGCACCTGCGTCACAATTCACATGCACCTCGTCGAGCGTAGAGACCAAAAGCCCAGATTTTGAAAAGATCTTTGGGAAACTAATTCCTCAGATGTTACTGGTCGCTTTTACAACTTCAAGGCTGGTGCATCGCAGAACATTGAAGCCGGCCTCCAGATATGGCGTCGCCAACGGTGACAGCGGCACTCCAAGAGGTTGAGCATAGTTCGCCTACTGTCAAGACCAATACCTACAACGCTCTCCTCGATCAACTGACCACTGCGGCAAACGTACCGCCAGAGGAACACGGGGCTACCTTGATCGTCTTCTTTGATGCCGTCCTGTCTTCATCGCTAGGTATCATCGTCATTCGAAACATCCTTGCCAACCTCATCAAGTCACTTTCTCACGTCCCTCCCGAAGTCAAAGTCAAGGTCGGAAAGCACATCGTAGATTCTCTACAGTCACAACTGGCGTCGTACGAAGAACAGGATGCGGCGGTGAGGGAGATACTTGCAGAGGGCTACGAGGCGGAAGAGGATTACAGTGAAGCTGCTAAAGCCTTACAAGGCATTCACCTCGACTCAACCCAGCGTCAAGTGTCGGACCGGTCGAAAGTGGAAACATGGGTGAGGATTGTAAGATACTTTCTCGAGGATGACGATACAGTGTCTGCAGAGTCCGCTCTCAACAAGATCAAAAACTCGCCAGCTGCAGCACAGGTGTTGAAGGACGCTCCAGACTTGCGACTCCTGTATCAATTATCGCAAGCACGAATCATGGACTCTCGTCGAGATTTCTTGAACGCCTCGGCAGAATATCTCACTGTTTCTTTCAACAACATGGCCGATGAGGAAGACCGGAAACGAGCACTCTCTGCCGCAATCAAGACTGCCATCCTTGCACCTGCCGGTCCGCAACGCAGCCGTACATTGGCAAAGCTCTACAAGGACGAGCGATCACCAGAGATCGATGAATATGGCATCTTAGAGAGTATGTTTCTGGATCGCCTGCTGTCGCAGGCAGATGTGGAAGCCTTTGCTTCAACACTGGCTCCGCACCAGCTTGCCTTAACTGCCGACGGCAGTACGGTTCTGAGCAAGGCGGTTATCGAACATAACCTTCTTGCAGCCAGTCGGCTCTACGAAAACATTACGACGGCCGCACTTGCAGAGATACTCGGATTGAAAGATGGCAATGATGAGACAGCCGCCGAAAAAGCCGAAGATTATGCTGCGCGAATGGTTGAACAGGGAAGACTGAGAGGCGAAATTGATCAGATTGCTGGGGTCATTGTTTTCGAGACTGCGCCTGGTGTTGAACTCCATGGGTCATCCCGAGAGCTACGCCAGTGGGATCTCAATGTTCAGGGATTAGTTGAAGATGTGGAACGTTGTGCTGCAGGCCTGAGTGAGACTCTTGCGGTGAGCGTGTATTCGTAGATGGCCGGGGAGAAAATGGGGAGGCTCGTGAGATCGATTACGGAATCTCGGAGCACGAGTGAGTGTGAGCGCAGAGGCCAGTGAGATTAGCAAGGCTGCAAGAAACAGATGCATAGCTATTAGACCAAGGGGTACGGAGTACAAGCGTCAGTTATCCATACCCAAAAAGCGCCCATCCACCTAGAAGGAGGTTTTTACGATTCTTATCCATAGCGAAACGCAATAAGAGCGAATGTGTGACGAGGCGTGGGTGAGATTCAGCGCTTGAAACACCATGCACTTGCACCACTAAGTTGGTTACGAGGATCCGTACAGCGTGTTAATATACAGTCCCTATTCGGTTCATGCTCGGTACCGAAGACAGGGATGGGGGAGGGTGCGCTTCCCGTTCCTCTTCTCCGTATTCGAGCGCGGGATCCGTGGAGGTCTCACTTAACCAACTAGTCTCAGCTCATCAGTCTGGAGAAAGGTCGACACCCTTCGGATGTAGTCATCATCCACCTCTCCCAATCAAACCGCTGCCGTTTCCTCGATTCCATTCCCGATCTCTGTTACCGGCTGCGCACAACTCGACCCGTGCGACAGGGCCATCTCAACCACCCATCGCCGTCTTGTGTGGGCACCAATTACTTACTGCATCTCCTCGTTAGCCGTTCGCCTTTTCTCCCCCCACAAGCTCCTCGGTCGATCTGACTCCCCCTTGGGCTGTGCTGGAGCTTCAAACGGGGACACGAGTACATGTATATATAAGAAGAAGTGTGGCCGCCGTTCGCCGGTCAAGGTCGAGTCCCGAGTCTACAAGGTCGAAACGAGTTGCTCTGTGATTCCTTTCTCCCCAGGTCATTGTCATCGATCGCATTACGAATACAGTTTGCGGACGCAACACTGTAGAAACGCTTCAAAGATTATCTCTCACCGAGGGTCATCTGGACGGTCATCATGTTCGTATCGTTCTTGTTGTCCCCTTGGACACTTTTGCTTGTGCCCATCGTTTACTACGTCCTTCCGTATCTACGGAACTGGGCCCTCTTGAAAGTCCCCGGACCCCTACCAGCCGCCCTCTCCAACCTATGGCTCATGTACCAGTGCCGCCGAGGACGACGGTACCAGGCTGTGAACGACCTCCACAAGCAATATGGCAAAGTCATACGGATACAGCCCAATCATGTGTCGATTGCCGACGACTCGGCCATCAACACCATCTACGGCCACGGCAATGGATTTCTGAAGAGGCAAGTATTCCACTGGCGAAGTGTCTTTTGCTGGGTCCCTTTTCATGTGACCTGACGCCAGCTACCTTCGAAAAGAGAACATCTACTGACAGTGTGCGGTATCCAGCGAGTACTACGATGCGTTCGTGTCTATTCGTCGCGGCCTCTTCAATACACGAGACCGGGCCGAGCACACGCGCAAACGGAAAGTCGTCAGCCACACCTTTTCGGCCAAATCCATCGGCCAGTTCGAACAATACATCCACGCGAACCTGGAACTGTTTGTGCAGAAGTGGAACAAACTCTCCGACACACGCGCCAACCCAAGCACTGGCTACGCTTCGATTGACGCCCTCAACTGGTTCAACTACCTCGCCTTCGACATCATCGGCGACCTGGCCTTCGGCCAACCGTTCGGCATGCTCGAGCGAGAGAAGGACTACGCAGAGATCCGACGCTCTCCCGACGCTCCTCCGACGTCTGCACCGGCCATCGAAGTCCTCAACCGCCGGGGCGAAGTGTCTGGAACTTTGGGGTGTCTGCCCCAACTGAAGCCGTGGGCCAAGTACCTTCCCGATCCGTTCTTCAGCAAGGGCGTCGAGGCCGTCGAGAACCTCGCGGGCATCGCGATCGCACGTGTCAAGCAGCGCCTGGACAACCCGACTACGGACCGGGTCGACCTCCTCGCGCGCCTGATGGAAGGCAAAGACGCCAAGGGCGAGAAACTGGGCCGCGAAGAGCTGACGGCCGAAGCCCTCACGCAGCTGATCGCCGGCTCCGACACAACCAGCAACACGGCCTGCGCGATCCTGTACTACGTCGTGCGCACGCCGGGCGTCCTCGAGACGCTCCAGAAGGAACTCGATGAGAACATCGCGCCCGGTGTTCCCAGCTACGAAGCCGTCAAGGACCTGCAGTACGTGCAGTGGGTGATCAACGAGACGATGCGGATCCACAGCACGTCGTCCCTGGGCCTGCCTCGTCTCGTCCCCGGCGCCACCCCGGAGAACCCCAACCCGCAGGGCATCGAGATTCTGGGATACCACTTCCCCCCGGGCACGGCGCTGAGCGTGCCGAGCTACACGATCCACCACAGCAAGGAGATCTGGGGCCCCGACGCCGACGACTTTGTGCCCGAGCGCTGGTCCGAGAAGAGACTGACGCCGCGACAGAAGGACGCCTTCATCCCCTTCAGCACCGGTCCGCGGGCCTGTGTCGGGCGGAACGTCGCCGAGATGGAACTCAAGTGTATGGTCGCCACGGTGTTTAAGAACTTTGAGTTCCGAGACGAGCACGCTGGGCCCATGGAGACGAGAGAAGGATTTCTCAGAAAACCGCTTGGGTTCAACGTCGGCTTGAGGAGGAGGGTTTCTTGAGATTGTTACGACCATGAGACGACCATGACGTGTTGGGTTAATCACCAAAGCCACATTGGATCAAAAAGAAAAAACCGGCAGAACAGTGCACAAGAGCAGTGCCGTGCAGCGGTTCACGAGGGTGCGACCCGAGGCCTGGTTCTTTTGCTTTTTTTCGGTAGTGAATTGCAGGCGAGTGAGCGAGTCTCAGTGGTGAATTGATAAAGTGAAAGAGGACTCCGGGAGTAGAAGTCCTCAAAAGGCGCGGCGCAGGGCAGAGGTCGCCGGGGGGGGGGGGGGGGGGGGGGGAGAGGAGGAGCTGTACTTTAAATGGTAGGTACCTAAGTGCTGTGGCCCACGGTGATGGGCGCCACTTAGCTGGTATTAGCTGTCGTAGTAGGTAGGTACCAGTTGTTATTCTACCTCAGGTTGGTAGAAGGGGTTGAGAATATCAACCTGAGTCAGAAAGTGAACGAGACATCTGGACCTGGAATTGCGAGTGCTTGAAGTACCTTCCCGGCCCCCCTTTCTGCATACCCACACATGGTGGGAATTTGGGTACTTGGTAGCTTCTGTACACCGATGATATCGTAATATATGACGACGATTCAACACTGTACAATATACCATGCTATGCTGTGCCACGCTGCTCAGGAAAATATAAAAAACAAAAACCAAAGCACCTCTCGCTATGCCGTCCCATCATCCCATGCTGTGACGCTCCAGAATACCTCCCTTACGTATACTCCGTACCCCGTACCAGAGGTAACGATGCTCCGTCCGGGTGCGCCGTTGACCAGTTCACCAACCAACCCAAAGATGAGTACCTCACGTCGGAATGTGGGTGGGGAAAAGACCATGATCGAATCCTTTTTCTCTAACTCCACATGTATCATGCTGCCACCCTCAAGATTCCACCAAAGCGAGAAAGCAAAGAACGCCCCAGCAATTCTCAAAGCGAGCCATGCAGGGAACAACGTCGAGGAATTGTGGGCTGGGTCCTGCGTTTTAAACTGTATGTATCTCTCGCATACAGACAGACACCCTCCCACATACGGCACTCCTCTTTCTCGAGCCAACCGTGTGACTTCCCCTCCACTTCAACACCCCTATAACTTGGGCTTCAGGTTCGTCTTCTCCTCCCTCGCCTTGGCCTCATCCACGGGAATAACCACCAAAACGGTAATGTCGTCCACCTTCCCGCCATGCCATGGATCAAAGGGGAAATGCTTCTTCATCTCTTTCGCGAACGGCCCGTCTCGCTTTGCGCTGTGGCTCGCGGTTTTTGCTTCACCGACTATCGCCGCCGCAATCACACTCTGCAGCGTCCCGGGCAATTTGTGCTTCTGTGGTCCGAGTGACCGGTCAACCAGTTCAGGCAGGACCGGGGAAGGTGTGTATCCTTGGTCCGACCTCAGCCATCCACCGAACATGCGCATTTGGTTGGACACGATCGACAATATTTCCTGAGAGTTGAGGTTGTCCCAGACGCCGTCGGTTGCCAGGATGAGTACATCCCCGTGTCGCAGCACATGGTCTGCTACGTCTGCTTTGTCAGGCTCGTCATTCAACGGCATGCCGCCAAAGATCATGGCCTGGGCGAGAATCTCGGGCGGAGTCATACTCATTTGGTACGGTGTGTTGAAGGCGTGCGTTTGCGGGTTCGAGTACTGATGCACTGTCCCCAATCTCAGCTGCAGGAACCCCGAGTCTCCCAGATTCGCAATCCGCATGCGTCCGTCCGGCTCGGCCACAGCCACACATGCCGTCGTACCTCCTGCCTTGATCGCCGGGTCATTCTTGACCTTTTCGTAACCTAGTTGGAGCAACTGCTGAGGACCGAGCCTCTCTGCTTGGTTCCAAGATTGTGCCGTCTCGACCATGTGGCTGCAGAGGCCGTGGGAAAAGTCGGCCGGGTCAATCCCATGTTCAGTCCATCCGCCCACCCCGTCGGCCACGGCAAAGGCCGTTACATGGGAGTCTTGTCCGACACGAGCAACGAAATATGCGTCTTGTCCACTATCAGGACGCTGTGATCTTTTCTCTTGAATGGTTGAACCCCGCTGAAGGCCCAAAGCGTCGTTACCGCCGGGGATAAAGTCGAATGTGCTCAGTTCGGGTCGAAACTTGCGACCTTTGCCGCTTGATGAGGCGGCAATGTGAAGGGAGATGTGGGGGATGGCAGACTCAGCCGTGGGTGTATTGTGAGCACTAGCGGCCGCGGCAGCGGTGTTACGTCGCGGTGTCGTGTGAAGTTGCTTCGCGTGTGGTTTGTAGGGATCGAGGCTCCGCCTGATACGAGGTAGAAAGTCTGAGAAGAAACGGTAAGCAAGAGCGACGTCTTGACGAGAGGATTTGCCCGCACGATGATTGAGATGAGAAGGAGTAAAGACCAAAGAACGAGTTAGAAGGGCCGGATGGCGGATGGGACCAGCGGTGGTCATCGCGCTGCTTTGTGTAGTCTCGAAACCACACGTAGACAGGAGATTCTGCAAGCCGGAAAGGTCGAGAGCTGAAAAGAATACATGAGGATGAAATCACCAGAACTCTTGTACCAGGGTCATGATGGTTTTGACTTTGTGGCTTCTGTACCGTAAAGTTGTGTCGCAACCTTCGCCCGTGGTTTAACTAGGTACCTGGGGAGGTGCCTGAGTGAGTGTTATGGGGTGCGAGGGGGGAAAAAATTGCTGTGAGATTACGATACAGATCGAGATAAGGGCAAATTAAATGCACGTGTTATGATGTGAATTTTGTTAGTGGCTGCCGGAAATGCAGCCACAGCATCGGCGCGCAAGGGAGAGAGAGGATCTTTAACCCACCTCATTCTTCACCCGTGGACAGAGTATCCGTACGCAGTATACGTAGCCCTTAGGAGTCAATAGGGACACATCTACAGGAAGTATTCGCACCAACAACGATGTTTACTTTAGTTCGCCATCGACGGGCACTAGCGAGGGGCATATGGTCGACTCTCTCTACCAGGTTTCCTGTCAATTACTCGCATAATTCCTTGTACTTGTTGTAGTGGCACAAGTGCCAGGCCTAACTAGTTAACTTAGTGGCCCACGCGCTGATTGGGCGTCAACTCTCTCTCGAGAACAGCCACCAACAAGCCGAATGGAGCCCTGACAATCCCCCGGATCAACCCCACGAAAAGGCGTCCTCAGCTGAAGTACCGAGCACGGAGTACTGGGTACTGGGATGTGCGCGTTGGCTCTCTTGACATGGGCCTCCGTTCCATCAGGCTTCGTGTTACAGGATATGCTGGTTCTAGACTTCCGAGCACGAGACAACCAGGCCAGGACTGAAGATAGCAGCCCCCAATGTTCATGGGCCGAGCAGAATTGTCTCCCACCCTGAAGCCTTCATCCCAGGCATCGCCATCCATCCAGGCCATCATCTTCTTGTTCCACCTTTTCTTCTTCCCCCTTTCCTTTTCTTCTCACGCGCTTCAACTTCCGTCTTCTTCTCAAGAATAGCTCGACAAATCCAAACATGATCAACAAGACTCCCGCAGAGCATGATGCGACGATAATACCGACTTTCGCACTTTCAGATAGTGCCGAAGATGACGGAGAATGGTGGGCTAGTGGTAAACTCGTCGGTGAAGGTGAGAAGCCCCCTGGAGGTGAATCTGTGGCCGTCGTGGATAGACTTGTCATCCCTGCGCTGGGAGCACTTTTGGGTTGATTGATCGAGATGGACGATGAGAGTGCCGGTGTGGCCGTTGTACTGGCGCTGCTTGTCCTGATGGGGTGCCAGCGACGTCAAACGACTTAGGTTCCTTCAGGAGTTATTGTTGAGTCGAGTCTAAGTGGTGACGGCTGTGATGGTGAAGTAAGAAGATCCAGGAGGAGGAGCGTCCATCCTGCGACCAACTGCGCTGCATATGAGTGCCCTGGTTCATAGGATACAGACAGAGTGCAAGCGGGTGGGATTGCCATTTAACGTCAGCCAGCCTGCCAGCGAGTTGTGTCCCTGCCTATTGCTTAGAGCCGAATTCATCAGAACGCTTTCCTTTTCCGATCATGTTAGTCCTGCACGTCTCGCATCGGTTGAATTAGTGCGGCTGCCCGAGGCTCGCACAACACTCTGTCGGGAAAGATAAGGCGAGGGAAACGCCTTCAGCTGCATGCACGAACGCCACAGATCAAAGCCAAGCTCCAGGAGGCGGTTGGACAAAGTCAACACGCATTTACAAGCAGGCCGCCAAGTCAGAGGAGGCACAAACACGGGCACACAAGGGGAAGGATGATTTGCAATATGTATTTGCATTAGAAGGTATGTGCCTTCTTTGGCCTCTCCGAGGCTTTCTTTGTTATTTGCTGACGAAGTTCACTTTTCCATGACCAACCGACTTTTTGAGGGTGCCAATGAAAGCAAAACGCCGCGTCTGTTCAGGCTGTGCCACTGCATACTATGTGGCTGTCCACAACCAAACCCACACTTTTGGAAGAATCACCACTCCGCCATATCAATGCCTGGCGTCTGCTTGTTTTCCTTTCCGCTAACGCCTTGCTCGGCGTGGAGAATAAAAGACTCTGACGTTTCATTTTCGTAATCGTGACATTGTCGAAATCGCAACAAACTCGCTCATCTTCGCAGGGGGACCGTAATAGAGTGAATGAGAAAAGACGAAATGCATCGCTATCTTGGGGTATCATAATGCTTGCGTGAATTGAAAAAAGGGAGAAAAATCATTCCGTTTCCGTGATTGCCAAAGCCAATCGGTTGCCAATTAGCAAGGAGCTGCTGATGGGTCGGTGAATTTAGGCCTCGTGCTTGTTTCAAGCCAAAAGAAATGTCGTCCAGTTCATTCTCAACCGTCGTGGACAATCGTTCATCGATCAATAAGAAGACGGCGCTGGGTAGGTGAAGTAAGGCTGATGGTCTTGTTCAAAGCCAAAGAGGTCATCAACTTCATAATCCATCGCGGTGTCTGGAAGGTATTCGCCATACGCGATGTCAGTATCGTTAGAATCCGTGTTCGCATCGTGTTTGTTGCCCTGTATGCTGGCGCTAGCATTGTCACCAATCGTTGGGTATTCACCAGATGGATAATGGTACGAGCTGCCATAGTGATAGATCTGGTCACCACACATAACCATCGATCCTGTCAAAAAGTGATCGTCTACATCCATGTCTGCCTGATGAGTAGAGTCCGCATCGTTGCTGGCAGACTCCGCACCAGGGATTGCAATGCTCTCTGAGTGTGCTTGGCCAATGAGATCAGCCATGACAGAGGTCTTCTTGATACCCTTGTCTGAACGAGGTTTGCGCTTCTTAAGCACTCGACCACCAGTAGCAAGCTCTTTAGCCTCTCGCTCTGCCTTGCGCTTCTTGTTGCGCGCCACCCTCTTGGCCTCTAATCCAAGATGGGCCGACCGAACATGCTCTTCCAAGGTTGCCTTGCTGGTGAAGCTCCGGTTACAGCCGTGAATCACAATATTGTCCTTGTCGGCAAGTTCTTCTGGCAAGGCGATTTCAGTCTGGCCACAGACAAAATCACGCTTGTTTTCATGGACAGTTCTGATATGCACATTGAGATTGCCCCTCTTTGTAAATTGCTTGTCGCAACCATCGTGAGTGCACGGAAAAGTCTGGCTAGGTTTGCTCGTTGATTCAGGGAGTATGCCATGCTGGATTTCAAGATGCCGGGTTAGCTCCTTGTTTGTCGTGAACGAAGTCGGGCATAAACCACATGTTGGGGGATGGACAATGGTGAGATGGGCTTGAAATTCGCCGTAAGTTGCAAATGACACCACAGGCAAGGTGTCTGGATCAACATCTGCAGAATTGGCAAGAGTCTCAGCGTTTTGTCTCATACATTCGTCGCAGGAGAATCTTGTTGAGTCGTGTCTAGCTCGCTGGTGAGCCCGCAATTTTTCAGCGGTGTCGTACGCTTTTGTACAAGCCAACCCAGTGACTGGGTCTGCTTCCTGGCATGGGAAAGGCTTGATTCCTAGGTGGTCGGTTTTGATGTGTCTGTCTAGAGTCTCTTGCTTGCGAAAAGTTTGAGAGCAGCCTTCATAGCCGCGGCATCGAAATTTCTCTTTGGCCTCATGGGTCTGGATGTGTCGTCGTAATCTTGTTCCAGTCGCAAAGCTCGCATCGCACCCCTCCCAGCTACACTTGTAGTCACGAATATCCTCGTGGACACTCTTGATGTGGTGTTTCAAGTGGCTGTCACGCAGGAAGTCTTTGGTGCACGGAGAATAGGGACATTTGAAGGGACGTTCATTGGTATGTGAGCGAATGTGTTCTTGAAGCCGCGCTTGACGATTGAAAGCCTTGTCACAGCCTTCGTATGGGCACTGCAGGTTCTTCTGACGGCATCGGGGGAGAGTGGTGGAAGCGGGAGGAGATGTGCCCGGAGTGTCACCGTTCTCATCAACCAGCTCGTCCGCAGAGTCGAGCATGTCATAGTCGTCGACAGGATCGAAGTCGTCGTCGGAATCGACCCGCATCTTGACCGACTGCAAGCTTGCGAGGGCCCTTGTAGAGTGGTGTCGATATGTCAGCGTCGCGACGAAAATTTAAGGAACTTTTGTTGGCCGACGAGCCAGTGCCGAGGGGTGAGTTGAGTGTGAGTGCGGTCACTTTCACCTCGTCACTGATTCGTCATTTGAAAAAATTGGCCAAGACCAGCGACGCCTCTTTTTTCTCTTTGATACTTATGTATTGTATGTACTGCGCAGGCTGATCTCAGTCTTCACCTGGAGTGCCATCGCCTTCATCCTCACCTTCACACAGACGGTGCCCTTCTTTATCCCTCCCTGCCGTTTGTTGCGCCATCATCCATCTTCCTGTTATACAAACGCGCCGCGTTGGTCACTGGAAACACGCCAACATGTCCGATTACGGTGACAACGAAGGAGGGTAAGTGAGGAGTGACACTTCTTTGTAGATGCCCTTCCTGGCTTTCTGTCGCTGACGCCTTCAGCTACGGCCAAGATGAACCAGAGACCGAGTTCTATGAGCCCGAAGAGCAGGTCGAAGACTTCGCCCCAGATGTTGAGATCGACGAGGCCGCAATTGAAGCCCGGGCTACTGCAGATGACGGCGAAGAGAAGACAGTGGTCTCGGCCGACCCCAACCAGCCCGCGAAGCCCTCGAGCGACGCTGACAAGAAAATTCCTCCCGAGAAGAGAAGCACCACACGCTACATGACCAAGTACGAGAGGGCTAGAGTCTTGGGCACGAGAGCTCTACAGATCAGGTATGAGTTCGGCGCAATGAACGCTGCAGGAAAGTGAGAAAGTTGACGATGCGCAGCAACAACGCACCCGTCTTGGTCGATCTCGAAGGAGAGACGGACCCTCTACAGATTGCCATCAAGGAATTAAATCAGAAGAAGATCCCACTCGTGGTGCGCCGCTACTTGCCCGATGGATGGTAAGCTTTTATGACCTGAGGCTGCTATTGCTTCTATTGACCTTTCAAAGGTATGAGGATTGGACGTGTGAAGAGCTTCTATGAGCCTATTGTACATGTGGTGATACTCATGTATTGACTTTACGCACGCTTCGAATATCCCAGGCTAAACTACGCCGATACTCCGAAGGCCACCTACTCACCATGACTTTTACGCGACAAGTCTTATTTTCTCACAATGTCCACTGTCAGCTCGACCCGTTCAACGGCTGAATCAGGCTCGCAAGGAAGGCATTGATATCGGAATAGAACTAGATGCATGTTGTTTTGGCCCCGATCAGGCAACAGTTGCGGAAAGTGGTCCTTCTTCCTAGAAACAGAACCAACGACGACTTACCCGAGGCTCTCTGCGCCATCTGGAGAGGCGCCACCTTGGACACAACATCTCTCCCCGCTCTGCATCTCAAGACGCAGACTGAACCAGCAGTGTGATGGAGCAGTTGGCGAGCTTGGGCCCTGGATGCTCGCATTGATTCAGCTGTTGCTTGCATGAGAATGAAAGCTCTCTCATACTAAAGGGTAGACATTGACACCTTATTAATGACATGTACGAACAACGACTCTATATCTCAAATTCGGATCTGCACTAGCAACGGGTCCTACACAATTTCATTGTCGCCACCCTTGTCGGTGAAGGCTTGGATTTCCTAGAGAAAACGTTCATTTAACTTCTTGCCCTCTCAATCCACGAGAGGACCTGTGCAAGTCGTATACTACTCGATATCTCGACCTTTTCAATACGGCAGTTTTGTATTATCTATAAGGGGCTATTTTTTTGTGTGCCAATTCCATCCTTCCAGCTTGAGGTCTTCTATTTTTTATCCCGGAGTGTGGCCAGTGCAGGAATTTGCACTTCTATTTCCACAGGTAAGTGAAGGATCTACTGCGCCACGTCCTGCTTTTTGTTTTTTAGTCTCGCTTGAAGTCTCGGAGTTTTGCTCGACGGATCGCCGGTCATGTTCGCGCATTTGATACTTCTTCTAGCTTGGAATGTGTCCCTACCGGCTGCTGGCCTCAATACCGCCAGGTACTTCACCGCCGAAATCCTACGTTACGCAGCGCAAATCCGGATGTCCGTAAGGGCGTGGGGGCTCAAATGGTACTTGAGGCTCTCCAGACCTACCACCTGGGGGCCAGAACGAGGCTGGCTCAATGCGAACGCTAACTCGAAAAGGGATCTATGCGAACACGGTCAGGTCTTCATTTGATTTTCCGTACTCTATTCACATCCATCCTCGCTTGTGAGGAGTTGCCGACTTACTTCCTTTATCATAAGCCGAAGAGCGGAGGATCAAAGCGGGTCGATATGGATTATATGCCTTTGTGTCATTCAGGCCTTCTGCATCCTGGTGGACGGATGCCTGAAGATTTCCGGGATATAACACTGACACCAGGCGTTCACTTTTGCTCGTTCTGCTTCTTTTCTTAATGCATGTTTCTTTGATTCAGTGTCGTTGAGCTTGAAGAAACCTCGATACAAAGCGAGCATGGCAGGATTGCGACCCGTGGCAATGGAAACTGCTGAGTCGCCGGTATCGCCGGTATCGCCCATCTCGCCGCAAGAATTTCGGAACCAATACCCAAGAAGACCCTTGCCGCAAGAACACGCCGATGCCCGCAATGGGCACAACCAAGAGCGTGGAGTAAGGCGAATACCTCGAAAACCCCTCCCACAGCGCCTGGGATCACGGAAATCAATTAACCACCGACCCAGCACCTCGGCGAGTTTCACTCGTGCCTTCTCATGGCTCGGCGCTGTCCTTGCCGACCCTCGACAGGCCCCTTTGCAAGAACAAGGAATTCCCGAAGACAATATCTCAAATGGCGAGGCGAACTACAGGAAATCATGGCGATACACGTCTCGATTCGACCCTCGAATGGACTCGGGCTTGACCTTGTACGACCCGGATTTGGACGTCAGCCTCAAAAGGCAATCGTCAAATGCTGCTCACGTCGTCAGGCCTCTGGACCTGGACTGGCAACTCCCCCCTCTGGGTGGAGGATGGATACCGCCGGGTTCCAGCTCGTCGATGGTCGATGCTGCTATCCAGGCGCCAGCCAACTTGACTCCCGAAAAGGGTGACGAGCCGCCGCCCAACGGCGGAGTGCTTGCGTGGATGCAAGTCGCCGGAGCCTTTTTCTTGTACTTCAATAGCTGGTAAGTCTTCTCGATTTTCGAGCCTAGTCTCGAACGAGACCCTGGGCTAGGAGCATGCAAAGGTTTTGTTCCTCTGACTACTTACTTACTGGTCAAAAGGGGTACGTTGAATACTTTTGGCGTTTTTCAGACCTACTACGAAACATCTGGCAGACTGGACCAGTCAGCGTCCAACATCTCCTGGATCGGGTCCTTGCAGGCATTCCTCGCGACGCTGGTTGGCGTCGTGACCGGGCCGCTCTACGACGCAGGGTACTTCCGTCATCTCGTCGTCGCAGGCGGCTTCCTCGTCCCCTTCGGCTTCATGATGACCAGCCTGTGTACCGAGTACTGGCAGACCGTCCTCGCTCAGGGAATCACCATCGGCATAGGGAACGGATGCCTGTTCGTCCCTTCGGTTGCCATCCTGCCTCAATACTTCACCTCCAAGAACGCGATCGTCAACGGCATCGCCGCGTCCGGGTCGAGCATCGGCGGAATAATCATGCCGTTCGTCTTTGTCCGGCTCCAGGCGCGCATCGGGTTCGGTTGGGCCACTCGTGTGTTGGGGTTCTTGTCCATCGCCACCGTAGCCATCAGCCTGGCTCTCATGCGACCTCGCTTGAAACCCAAATCGAAACGCAAGCTCGTTGACCTGTCGGCGTTCAAGGATTTGCAGTACACGCTGTTCTGCTCCGCTGCCTTCTTCGGGTTCATCGGCGTGCTCGTGCCGCTGTTCTATATCGGTCTTTTCGCCGAGTCGACGGGAGCCACGGACCCAGAGTTTGCATTCTACCTGATCCCGATAATCAACGCCGCGTCGACGTTTGGACGGATCATGCCGAATTTCATCGTCGGCATCATTGGTCCGTTGAACGTGCACATCCCCATCGCGACGGTTGCGGGCATACTCGTGTTTGCGTGGTGCGGTATCACGAAATTCGCGTCTACAGTTGCCTTTGCGGTCCTCTACGGATTCTTCTCGGGGGGCTTCATCGGCTTGATCCCCGTGACCTTGGTGAGTTTGACGCCGGATCTGAGGACCCTGGGGACCCGCACGGGGCAAGCCTTCTTCGTCGGCTCGTTTGGGATCTTGATTGGAAATCCTGTGTCGGGGGCTATCTTGAACAACACCGGCTCGTGGATTGCCGTCAAGTGTTTTGCTGGCGCGGCTGTTTCCATCACGGCGGTTTTGTTGGTCGTGGCCAGGGCAGTGAAGGTCGGGTGGAAATTGAAGGTTAAAACTTGACAGAGCTCATGGACCTCACGGGCGGAAGTGTGGCTTCCGGAGAAATGGTAGCTATGGATGTGGCATCCTGCTTGATCTGGTGCAGAGAGAATCATCATAGCCGTTGCTAGGTACTGCTGTCGCAGGCGAGTGTGGCGGGTGCTGAACACTGCAGACGAGGAGGGAAGTAATGAGCCTTACGTGTATATATGACTGATGGCAAAGATGATGACTTGTCTTGAATTGTCGAGACTGCTAGCACAACGGCAAAAGCGATGAATGCCCTGTGTAGGGAGGGAGCTCAGTTCGAACTCGCATTCGACTACCTAGTTACACACTATCTCACTTGCGTACATACTCACGCCTCGCGCGATTCCAAGGGTCACATCACGCCCCTCGACAACAACGGTCATTTTGTCCCTTAGCTGGAGCTCCCGGTCTTCCCCATAAGACCCCCAGCCGGCCACTCAAAAAGGCCGAGCGTCTTCCTCCTCTTGGCGTCAATGGGGGCGCATCCTGCTATTTCCTGGATAGGTAGATTTTGCCCTTTTTCGTCCAATTCCACGCCCTGGAGGATCATAAGCTGAAGTGTCTGGATTGGGCGGTCACAGGTGAACGGACTGTCAGTGTAACATAAGCCCACAGCGCGTGGGCTGCGGGATCAGGAATCACAGCCACGAGTCTGCTAAGGTTCAACGAACTACCTGTCCACCTGGGCACCTGGGGCACCTAACCAGTTAGACCCAGTCAGTCAGATGGCGCAGCCTTACGCCAAGCAGAGGTGAGTAAGCCTGCAGCAATACGAATAGGGACTGGCAGATGTAAGACCAGCTCGGTGTGGGTTCTACAATACGAGAGAAGGACAAGGTCGAGATAAAGGAAGGGGTAGTATAGATATGGTGCTTCGTCCCAAATAGTTTTCTCGTTATGGTACAAACACATACACACAGACAGACAGAGAGAGAGAGACACTTGTACTCTCGTCACTCACTCACTTACTCGGACCCCAAGGAGCCACTCTGAACGTCAAACAACAGCTTCATTCAACCAACATACGTAAGGAAAAAGTGAAAAACATCAAAAAGCGAAATGTCATCATCACATTCTTCCCCCCTGACGCCAGGCTCTCACACCGTCCTGATCAACAATTTGACACTCCACTATAACGTGCAAAGCCGCTCTCCATCCCTCCCAGCCCTGATCATCCACCCGCCTCCTTGGGGCGTCGGCGCAGACATATACATCTCGACATTTGCCCGGCTCTCCTCGCACTTCACGTTGATCGTCCCTTCGCCACGGGGAAATGATTCCTCAGACGTGCCGTCGGACCCGTCGGCCATGTCTACTAGGCACATCGTGCAGGACATCGAGGAGCTCCGCATCCACCTTGGCCTCGAAAAGGTGAATCTGGCAGGCCATTCTGCCGGTGGGACCGTGGCACTCGGATACGCCATCGCATATCCTCAGCACGTGGAGCGGCTGGTGCTCATCGAGACAGACCTGCTAGGGTACACGCGCAAAGACCAGTCTTTCTTCGCGGACATCGGAAAGACTTTCGCATCCATGAGCGTGACTAACGACGCCGAATTCCGGGCATTCGTGCTCCACATAATGCCATTGTACTTTGCGCATCCCGAGAATGGAGGCCCAGAGGCCTTTGCAAAAGCCTGGACGACGTTGCCGAAACTCTCGGCATACGGCGCATATTATGGCGCTGACCAGACCGAGGGCGGAAAATGGGATCAGCTTGCCGAGCTGGAAAGGGTGACTGCTAAAACTTTGGTCATGGTCGGAAGACAGGACCGGACTTGCGGCGTGGAGATCGCGGAAACAGTAGCCAAAGGTGTCAAGGGGAGTAAATTGGTGGTGTTGGAGGGGTGTGGGCATTTCCCTTGGGTTGAGCATGAAGCCGAGTTCTGGAACATCGTTGAAGGCTTTCTGGAAGGAAGGGAACCGTCATAGTTGTGAGACGATGCGTGCTGATGTTTATGAAGATGAACCATGTCTGCTGGATACATGGCAATTGTTGCGGTGAGCTGCCCTTCAGAGTTGTTGCACGAGACTTCCACGTTGCCGGTTCTCATGGGCAGCCTGCTTCAGAGTCTGAAAACCGAACCCGCGGAGCGCGCTTTACAACCCAAGCATGTAGAACGGGATCCCATACTGCTTTGTCTTCTTGCACATCCTCGGAATGGCCGCTCTGTGTCGAGCACCGTACGCGCTCTGATTCGTGTATTTCACACCGCACCTTTGGTTGACTGGGATAAATACGTACCTTTTCCTCTCGCAACCTGCCCATTCGAACCACCCGCACAGGTACACGCTCGCACTCGATCCAACGGTCTGTCTCCATCTTCGGTTGCCGCGTCTCCCATATTGGCGGTGGTGTTGAGTCTGGCGATCGACAATGTTTGACTGCATTCTTCGTATCCGCATGGATATGTACTGATCCTTCGGTGTAAACTTTGATGTTCCCACACTCCTCCATGCTAGGATTCTTGTTGTGTCTAATAATGTGACGGTGTGTACAGGGGCGTCTGTGGCCATGATGGAACATGTCAGATGGGTGATGCTCGGTGTTTTCGATGTATTCTCTCGGCTTCGGCTTGTGGTGATGTCTGCGTTTGCGCACGAAACATAGCTTTCCATTCGCAAGTCGTTCCACGTATGTGCAGCCCTCCTCATATGGAGGTGTTCGTGTCAATACGATGTTATTGAGGCTGAAAAACATATCTTGTCTGGCTCTGATGGACAAAGAATGTGTGGTCTTACAGAGTCTGTAAACGACAGTACGTGGGAAGATTACGAGAAAGCCAGTCAAATTGTCTTGAATGATGGAAAGAGAGGTTGAAGTGGAAACCAGGAAGAGATACTTATCCATCTGCCAACTGCATCTTGAAGCATGGAGTACCAGGCATGAGTAGAACACGGTGCCAAAGATGAAAGAAACAGCACAGGGACGGGCGGAAACTGCGAGAATGACCTTCAACAAGAGTAGATGACCGTTTGCCTGCCATCAACAAACATCATTCACCAACAGCATATGCCATAACACATGGTATGCTGACGATGTTCTCGTGTGCTCAAATTCTCTGTTGCTGATCGCGAGACACATGGAAGCAACGTCTCAGCCGACATTGTCTGGTCATGCGGGCGTGTTGGGGTGAGGCCTGAATAACAAACAGGCCAGACAGCCTTGTCAACCACGGGGATCAGAGACCACAACCAAAGGGAGAAAGAATAAAATGACCCAAGCCGTATAGATGATAGTCTGCGTCAACACAAGGTCTGCGACTGAATTGTTGGTAAATCAGGAATAAAGCTAAGGTGTCGTTGACCCCAAAAGTGAGATGTGCTTGTGTAAATGTTGGCGTATGGGATCATGTGAGGCACCGTACAGGAATACGGTGGTGCAAGGACGCATAAGTGTCGCAAAGAGACACAGACGAGCCGAAACCACATCTAGCAAGGTTCACGAAGACTGCAGTTTAAGTTGTTTCCATTGGCCCCCTGTAAACAACCTCTCTATTCCAGTTAGAAACTCTTGAGTAGCATCGACGAAGCCGCTACACGCCCGGGATCTGCATGAGTAGCTACCCCTTCCTGGAGATGGCCCGACCTACAAAGTTCGCGAGGCCTACCATTCGCCTTCTCTCAACGAACCCCGGTACAACCTAAGGTGAGCGATGATTGTTTCATGCAGCTAGCTACTCCCCATGTCAGTTCTCAATCGGGACTTGCTCCGCTTGTTCAGTGTCACCACATGCTGTACCTCGCCGTTCGCCCTTGAAGAAAGATCAAACGGGTTCAGGTGAGAAAGAGGTACAAGAATGGGTCACCACGTCGAATTCCGAAAGAAGCACCCGGTTTGTATTTCATCACTGGCGTTGATCCAGAACGAGCAACCAGTATCATGAGAGCATGCAAATTTGTCAAGAGACGAGTGATTTCGCCATTGCTTTCATCATTCCTTATCAATCATGCAGCCAAGTCAACTAAATCATCCTGGGGATTTTTGATCGTGGCCGACTCGCTTCACACCTACTGTAGGTGGTTTCTGTCCCCTGTCCTCAAGTCGCGGTCTCGGCAGTCTCGTTTCCATGTTACCTCTTGTGTACAGTGGCATGTCGTGATCTGCAGACAGACCGGCTCTTGTCACCCCTCTCTTTATCTATTATCTGCCCAATCTCTACCAGTTTTCTTCGCAAATGCAAACCCGAGCAGAGGAGCAGTAGCCAGTGCTCGTCATGGACCCCAAGAAATGCAGGCTCTCAAGACTGCTCATGTCAATGTTGAAGGGCCAAAGAGTGTGCATCAGCAGCCATATACTGGTCCCCGTACGGAGGGCACCAGAGACCGGTCGACAAGAGTTCGTGTAAGTCATGCGGTTCATGCCCGTTTCTCATCTAGCTTGCCTATCAACTGACCTTGCTGTGTAGAGAATATTTAGTTTTGCTCAGATCTTTTTCTTTTCGCTCAGTTACATGTCCTCATGGGAGGCTGTTGCTTCGTATAGATTAAACCGCCACAATCCGCGGGCAGACACCCTTTGCTAACGCCTCCAGGAACATCGCATTCTTCTTCTGGAATGGCGGTCCGCGCGCGCTGTCTTTCGGCTACTTTGTCGTCATCACTGGCGTGCTGTGCCAGGTAGCTTCAATGGCTGAGATGGCGGCAGTGCAACCCATCGCGGGAGCTCAGTATCACTGGACGCACTACCTGGCGCCTCCTCAGCATCGACGGTTCATCACGTGGATGCAAGGCTGGATCACCTGGTTCTCTTGGATATCACTGCTTGCCGGTGTCGCCAACATCGCAGCGCTCATGATCCAAACGCTTGTCATTGCTAGCTATCCTAGCTACACTCCACACGGATGGCATGTGACGTTGATCATTTATGCCCTTCTCATCGCGCAAGGTCTCATGAACCAGTACGCCTTTTGGACTGTCCCTTGGATCGAATTACTGTCAGGTCTGCTGCATGTCGCAATGTGGATTGTCTTCGTCGTAGTCCTGGCCTCTCTTGCACCACATCACTCCGCACATTTTGTCTTCCTGGAGAAGTCGGCGTTCTCGGGCTGGACAAACGAGTACATTTCCTTCAATCTCGGCATGCTCACGGCAACCTGGGGCTTTGTTGGTGAGTATCCCATCTGGTGGAGGTGCAACAAGCGTGTTCTCACTGAACGGTGGACAGGGTTTGACGGTGCCGTCCACATGTCGGAAGAAGTTCGCAAGGCTCGTCACGCCGTCCCGAGGGCTATGTTCTGGAGCATCGTCATGAATGGAATCCTGGCGTATGGAATGATCCTCGTCATCCTGTTTTGCGCAGGAGATGTTGACGAACTACTTTCATCCGGATATCCTCTGCTTCTCATTTGCATCAACGCAACTGAGTCTGTCTCGGCAGGTTCGGCAATGGTTGGATTATCTATGATCGTCACACTAGCTTGCTGTCTAGGCAGTATTACTTCCGCGTCTCGACTGACCTGGGCTTGGTCTAGAGATGGAGCATTACCCGCCTACTTTTCGTACATCAACCCAAAAAGCCGGGTCCCTGTCCGCAGCGTCTGGCTACCCGTGTTCATCGTCATGCTACTAGCGCTTCTCAATATCGGGAGTAGCATTGCCTTCAACGTCATTGTCGCTCTTTCAACTCTCGGCCTATATCAGTCATACCTTATGGCAATCGCATGTATGCTCTGGGCTCGATTCAGTGGGCGGCTTGAACCATCCGGTTGGTCTCTGGGGAGATGGGGGGGTTACATCAACGTTTTTGCAGTGTTGTACTCCGCATATATCATGGTCTTCCTCTGTTTTCCGTCATTCCTTCCGGTCACTGCCTCAGGAATGAATTACGCGCTGCCAATAAACGCCTTTGTCCAATTGATCGCGCTTGGACTCTGGGTTTTCTGGGCAAAGAAGAATTGGAAAGGCCTCAATAAAGACGTGGTCGATGTTGTTGTGGCGGATGCAGATCGCAACACAAAGGACTAAGGTGAATTGATGGCAGTGTGGGTGGAGAGTAGGATATACCAATCAGCTGTTCGTCAAGACAAATCCTATATCCGCGCTCTTGATGCAGCGGCGGCATAGACGGAAGGTGAATCTGTGTTTGGTTAAGGGATCAACCGAGAGTGACTGGGACAAAGCATCTAAGCATATGGCTTCACAATTTAGACTTCTGCGAGCAATGAGCCATGTGCAGTATCGTCTCTCACTCAAGCACTGACCTGAGTGCCCGAAGAAGAGTGGTTAGCATGAGCCAGAATCCAATTGCCAACGTCGTTTGCAAACTGCTCTGCACCGCCCTCAGGCTCAGCATGAAGTTTGTGGTAGCCGCCCTTATAGGCTTGAAAGACCTTATCGCCGCCGGGCGCATCGAGGACAGAGAATAGACGCTCCGCGGCAGGGAATGAGATGATCTTGTCATCGGTGCCGTGAGATACTAAGACAGGGCATGGCACCTTGGTCGTCAAGCCGCTGACCTTGCGACCGTGTGAAAGAGCCGATAAATCACCGGCACGTTGCAACAAGCCTTTCAGCCCCTCGAGTGTTCCGGTGTCATGGCACAATGAATCGTTGATAAAGTCCCTTTGGACCGTGGTTGAGCGCGACAAAAACGCTGCATTGAGCGCCCGTTTCAGCTGCATATGGGGTAGTAATGAAGCAGCCATCTTCCCTGCAACTACCGTGACTGCGTTTGGCTGCTCGGAGGGGTCGAGCTCAATGTACGGTGCCTCCAGTAACACGCCGGAGATGGGAGGACGGTTCGAGTATGCCGACGACGTGGACAACATGTAAGTGAGCAGCTCATTTCCACCCATGCTGTGACCCATCAAGAAGAGAGGTTTGTTGTGAGTTTCGTCAAGTCCGGAAACGTGCAGAATGAAGTCGTGAATATCAGAAATGACGAGCGAGGTTGGACCTGTAAGACCCTGGTCGCTTGTCTTGTGCACCGATCGCCCCCAGCCTCGTTGGTCAAAGCCGTACACTGCGATATTGAAAGGGGCAGAGCTCAGAGTCGGGAAGAGGTCGTAGTAGGCTGCCCACTGTTGTCAGCAACGACGCCGCTTCAGGCACGACAGGTCAAGGCCAGGTACCGTTAATATGGTCAGAGAAGCCATGTAAGAACATCAGGACGGCAGATGTGTTTCCCGAATCAGGCTACATGGGACATGAAGTCAGTAACGAAGCTCTTCCATCCTCTCTCGGTGCGCTTTTTCCGTCAACGATACATGGTTGGCAAGTAGGGAAAGTGGTGCTGACCTTCCAGGACTTTGTGTACAGTTTGGTGCCATCCTTCGTGGCAAATTCAGCTTCGGACGTGACTGTCATGTTGGTTTATCTTCGGGATTAGAGTAAATACGGAGGCAATTCCAACTGCACAGGGATGGTATGATTCGTAACGTAAATTGGAACGGACGACGATGTTATGAAGAACAGATTGTTTGACGGAAAGGGAGGATGGAATGCAAGAGTCGGCCACGGTGGATCATAGGGAGGGGTTAGGGTTAAGCATACCTTATGCAAGCTATGGGACGCCGACTTGCCGAGGTCCCTGATCTTGACTCTTCGCAGAGAGCGACCTTCGCAGCACATGTCAAAAAAGTGATGTGAGGAAACCTATAGATTAGGCTTCGCGGAGCACAATTGTCGCAGCACAAGAAGTGAGGTGAGTAGATCTGCAGTCAGGCTTCGCGGAGAACAGTCATCGCAATACAGATAGTGAGATGAGTAGATCTGTGAATCAAGTTTCGCGCAGAACAATCATCGCAGTACAGATAGTGAGGTGAGTAGATCTGTGAATCAAGCTTCGCGGAGAACAATCACCGCAGTGCAGATAAAAAAGCGAGGTGAGTATGTAGACTAAAATTTTGTCCTTCGCACAGAATGAATTTCGCGTTACACGCTGAAGAAGGCTAAATTCTGCAGAATCTAGCTTGATCACTGTCTCACACTCGTCGACCGACGCATACCAAGTTTGTTAATAGCTATGGACTTCAGGACAATTCCTTAGCAAAGGTGCCCTAGCTGATTCGCGTCATCGCGGCTTATTCTCCTACTCTCCAGACAACGATCTTCTTGTCGAACCCTCCACTAACTAGCATCTCGTTCTTCCCGCCTTGCTCCCAACCGGCATATAGCGTTCGTACTTTACTTCCAATCTCGTGCGCCTTGAGCATAGCGATGACCTTGCCACTCTGTGTATCGATACCGCGGATGACGCCGTCGTCAGCGTTTACGAAGACACCATGACCACCGGGCCGCCATACAACTTGCGGGTTCGAATACGGAGTTTGAGGCGCCATCGTCGTCACATGTAGCTTTATGGCAGCATCTTCACGATCCTGCAAAGCGAGATCTGCTCGAGCCTGAGCCGCTGGAGTTACAAACTCCGACGGACCAGAAACGGCTGCTGAATTGGAGCCTGGATTGTAGGAGCTTGACGGGAAGAGAAGACGGACAATGATAACTTTCATGTGAGGGAGATGAGATGTGGCCACAGCTAGCAAGGTAGGATCTGTCGGGCAGACGGCGAGGCAAGCTGGGGAGAAGGCAATCTGTATCACGTCAAACCATGTCTCTTGCCAGCTTTTAGTTGCTCGGTAGGTTTTGGAACTTACCCATGCATTAGCGTGTGGTGCTAGATTCTGCTTGCCCGTCTCTTGGACAGAGTACGTGGCCTCACTTGTCCGCGATGAAGAAGCCTCATCTGAGGTAGGTGTAATACAGTAGTAATATAAGAACGTCGAGTCTCGACGGGATACGATCAGATAAAGGTCATCGCTGTCGGGATGCCGAATAAGCACCAAAGACTCCGGGTTCGATGGCATGGATATAGTGTGGATCGGATCGCGCAGAAGCCCGTCAATATATGGCCCCTCATCGGCGGCATTTAGTTCGTTGACGTTGAAGTTTTCTGCCAGCTCATACTCTGGCGCATAGATGTGGACTTTCTGATCCCATCCTGCAGTCGCCACGATCCATTTGCCGTCCCGTGTACGTCCTGAAACCACCCGAACCGCATACTTCAGGTGGTCGCGGCATTTATCGAGCAGTCGTCCTGAATTGTCGTGTATCATGAGTTGTCCAGACATGGAGGTCGACAGGATAAATCGCTTGGCTATAGAACTTATGGACAAGATAGGACTCCCGTGAGCGTTGGAGATGGACTCAACCAGCGAGAACGGAGGCGAGGGAATCATGGACGACCATGATCGATCGGCTCCAGTTGCCCAGATAATGCTGTCCTCGGACTCACCATTGCCATCGCCGCTCACGCATAAGACGTTCGAAGTGACCTGAAACCCTGGTTCGGTTGCTATTGAGGGCGTCGGGAGAGGCCATCCGGTCATTTGTTCGTCGCCTTTCTTCTCATACTCCAGGCTGGAGTCATACTGCCGCTTTTCTTCGAGGATCTTCTCTATCGTCCAGTCGCCCTTTTTGGTGATTGCTGCCTCCTCGGGCAAACCCGATTCTAGCAGAAACGCTTCGAGAGTCTATCAATCATCAACCCCCACCACGATGCAAGGCCAAAGGAACTATGCTGACCTCATTATAATGGTTGGCTTTCAGGAACCGCGCTACAACAACTGCCGCCGAGTCCGTCGCAGGCATTTCTAGGATGGGGAATAACTCGCTACGTGGCAGTATCGAAGACAGAATTGAAGTGTCGATATCAGCGTGTCGATCACGTGGCAGTCAGCCTCGTCATCGCAAGGCTGCGCTCAGCATGCGTAGACTGAAACAGAAGACAATGCAACCTTCACAATATGTAGGCGTAGTATACAGAGGCTGATGGCTGAAATCGCTCTCAAGAACGCCTTCGCTAATCCCACATCGAAGTTTTCCTCTGGTCATTATCATTTCGACTCGTCCTGTGGAGATCCCATGCCGTATCTCGTCTTATACTCTCGCGGACTTTCGAAGTCTTTCTTCCTGCCCGCCCACATGCCTTTCCGTTTTGTCTTTGCCCACCATTCTGCATTCCTGTACTTCTTCTCGAGGCCTTCGCCGAATTCGGCCCCTGATTTCGCTTCATACACAGTAGCCATGCCCGCCCGAAGCATTTGAAGACCGACATCACGTCTCATAAGCCCTTTCCACACATATGCCGTCCCGACAACTCTGTTGTACTGGTCAATTTTGTAAACATAAGCGCGAACACGCCGGCCGAGGACATATGCAGTGAGCCAGTCGAGAGCCTCCTGCGCATATGGCTGCGAAGGCCTGCCAAAGTGAGCGAGCTCCGGTGCGTCGACTCCAGCTAGACGTAGATGGATCTGGAGAGATGTCAGTACTCGGGCCCCAAAGGTGGCAAGTGCTGCCCATTTACCGTTTTGTCTTTCAGCTCCTTCTTCTCCGTGGGCACTCGCCTTCCTGGAAACCAACCCCATCCAGCTAGCCTACCTCCTGGTGTGTGATAGAATCGAAAGTTGTCTCCATCTCCTACACTTGTGACTCTGCCTAGAAGACTCCTACGGCGCAGGAAGGCCGGCGTTATGTTCGTAGCTTGAGGAATTCGTCGCAGGTAAGACCTGTAGAATTTGAAGAGACCGAGGCAAGATACAGTCAGTACAGCCGTTGCTATTATCGTCTGGGGTTCGGTAAAGGCTTTGACTTCTGGTGGTAGACTGGTCACAGTCCTTCGTTCGACTGACTCGCGAGCTTCAGTCACTTTCTCGCCGATCGAATCCCACACATTGGTTGCTTTGGAGGTAGCCGATTCGTTCGAGTCGGCCTTATCCTTTGTCGACGAGGACCACCACTTCGGCCATTGCATGGCGAGGATGTCGAACTCCTGGCGGATGCTGGATCGTGTTTGGTCGAAATGCTGCCCGTGGTCGTCGACAACATGCAGCCCGGAATGCGGATAAACCTCGGCTGCTCATCAAAGCCTCAAGTAACCATGCGACTGACCTTCGTTCTCCTGCATCCGTGATCACGAAGACGTCAACGACGACGAGATGTGGCAGTGCAGCAATGTTGACACATAGTGACCAACATAATACTCTTTTTGGCCACCACACTGACTTATTTCGAACAGGAATGGCTAGGTTTGGCACAATGGCAAGCTACGTATACTCACAAATGGCCACTCACCGTTGGTCTCACTGGCATGTCAACATATTCTTCGATTGGCGGCAAAAGAAGGTACCTCGTGGTATAAGCAATAGGGCGTTGGCGGGGTGAAACTGGGACATTGCGAATCTCTCAATATCTCAGTCACCCGGCGCATTATGCCTCTGGCTTCGCAAACTGGGATCAATCTCACGCGACAAACTCATGAGGTGAGGCCTGGTATGACCACCACATCCATCTTTTCTTCAATGGAGCTTCTCAGCACAATCAATGCACAATATAAGTGCAAATTTATAATTGATATCTCATCCTGTCTCGCCAAGAGAGTCATGCTCAATCCCTATTTATTCAGCCTTGTCATTCAGACATATCACTGCACTTTCACACTGCACCTTCAGGCTGTGGATGTCTCAATGCTGAACGCGGACAATGCATTTGTGTGTGCGTCTCCTAAACACTATTGAACCTTCCATCAATAGACAATAGGTAGGTGCGGCAGCCATGGTTGTCGCGATACTCTCGAGCTTTGCTTCGTCTCCTTCTCCCTCACACTTCGCGACATCATCATTCTACAGCAGCAAGCCACTTGCGACACCATCTGCTCGTGCAACACATTATGTCATTTTCAGACGGCGCAAGATCTTTCTTTCTAGACGCCATGGCTTCCAGTGAACTCCCAATTACCATTGAAGTCATGGCTTTGAATGACGATGAGGTCTTTCAGTACCTGGACGCCCACCCGGACATCCTACACCGGTACTTGACAGAGCGAGCTGGGCTTGCCGAGTCATTACTGAGAACGCATGGGCAGACACAAGCTCATGACAACGTGGCTACCGCCGTCCAAGATGACGGCGATGTTCCTGTTGAACACAACTCGGCTCCCATTGAACAAAGTCCAGACACTGTTGACTCGGTGTCAGACTTACTCGCACTTTCTGGACTTAGTGACAACGAGACCCCGGTTGACATGGACGAAGCAGACAATGATGTCGACGGTGGTCAACGGGAAGCAGACTACGGCATGGATGAAGACGGGAACCTACATGGTGATGAGGTTGATGATTGGGCCGGTCCCGATGTCAACTCCGGCCATGCTAGCGAGGAAGACCTCGGCGATGACGAGATCTCCGAGGTTTATGAATCTCAAGACGACCTCGATTACAATGAACTCGACTCCAGCCAGGGAGGCACTGCCTCCAATCGACACTCCTCTTCTCCACCACCACCTGGCTTACCGTCGACCGCCTTGAATCCGACATCGAGCTTTGGCGAGCGCCAACCAACGGTCCCTAATGACACGACGTCCATCCCATATCCGGCACCTCGAAATCTTGTTACCGCCTCCATGTCCCAACAGAAGGGCAAGAAATGGCGGCTCTTTGAGGAGGAGTCGTGCATTCGCCACATGCTCAACATACGAGACGAGGGCGTAGTGCAGGGAGAAGATCGTTTCCGCGAAGCGCAGAGACGCATGGCTAGCGTCGACGGTATTCACAAAGATGCCAAATACGCTGTCAAGAACTTTTGGAATCGCGTGGGACGTGCTCGCTCAGGATTCGATGAACGAAAAAACCAAAAGGCACCTTTGGCGACTTCTCAGCAGGGCAAAACAGCCAGAGCCTCCTCTTCATGTTCAAACTCTACCCCGCGCAAGCGAAAGAATGGTCCCAAGACCAGAAAGACCAAGCGCAAGTACGAGAGTGATTCAGAAGACAGCGGATCAATCCCATCTGACCCTGACGACTCGTGCAAACCAACTCCGAAGAGGAGAAACAGAGATGAGGACAGCGACGATGACTGGCAGCCAGACCAAAATACTCATCTGAATGCAATCGCTGTCTGAGATCTCCCAGACGGGGAGTGGCGTGGCGTCAACTCATGCGAAAGCAGGGTATTGAGCTTGGAGGTCATCTTAGCATCATAAGAATCAACAACATTGACGCCTGCGATATTGGCGATATCTCCTTGAATGGCGCAGTGGACAAATGATTTGGATACTTGCTAGACACCGTGGGCAATTGAACATTTGGGCAAGGATTGTCGATCGGCTGGTCCGATGATATCGCAAGGAAGTTATGGGAGTGGTCAAAAGCGATTTCGGGGTTCGAAAGTGGCACAGCTGGCTGTTGCTAGCTCGCAGTAGTATGTAATATCTCCTCAAAATCAGCAACATTGACAATTGCACAGGTAGTTATTTTTTTATCTAGGCGTATCTCCTGCAAGTGTGATCCTCAACATGTTCCGTCTGAAACCGTTATAGTCGTTGATAGGATTGTGTTGAACACACCGATTGTCCCAGAAGGCAATACTTCCGACGTTCCAAGAAAATCGACAGGTGTATTCCGGCCTGATCTGGTGATGAAACAGGAATCTCAGCAACGGTGCAGACTCTTCCTCGGTCCAGCCATCGAACCGGGCCGTGTGCGCAACGTTGACGTACAGCGCCTTCTTACCAGTTTCGGGATGTGTCCTGACGACAGGATGCACCGCTTCAAACGACTCTGCCAGCGTGGGATTGCCACTGTCTCGGATGCGGTCTTCTCTCGTCTTGCTCGCGTCCGCTTTCGCAGAGGTGTTTACTCCCTTGAGGCCGGCAAGAGTCTCCTTGAGTCCATCGGACAGAGAGTCGTATGCCGCATACTGGTTCGCAAAGAGCGTGTCACCGCCGTACGGCGGGGTTTCCTCCCCGAGGAGGACCGACCCCAAAGGAGGCGTCTGCTGATAGGACGTGTCCGAGTGCCAGATCCCGCCGAAGTTGACGGTCTCGTGCTCCTGCTTGAGAACGCGGATGATCTCAGGGAAGCCCTCGATGCCCTTGACGAAGGGGTACTCGACCGCCTTGCCAAAGTGAGAGGCGAACGTGAGAAATGCCCCGGGTTCCAGGTCCTGGTTCCGGAAGAAGATGACTTGGTGGTCGAGAAATGCTTCGCGGATTTCCCGCACCCATCCCGGGTTCTCGTGCAGGCGGGTCAGGTCGACATCCCGGACTTCTGCCCCGAGCGACCCTGCGACGGGGTGGACGGACAAATGTCTTCTACTGGATGCGGGATATCGAAGTTGACGAGAAGAGCTTGTGGCATGAGTCAAGCGGCTACACAGCCGTGGGAAAGGACCTGATATGAGACTGGTCATCACATTTGATAGAGACGAGAAAGGGACATGTATGTGATGGAAGTCTCGTAGCCGAGATGCTGTAGTTTCACTTGCCTGAGTGCGGATTACAAGATACCTGGATGCCGAGTGTCAGCGGTAGATATAGATCCAGATACTGTCTACAGAACAAGTTTCTGGAGGCAAAGTCATGTCACTCCGCATCTCATCTCCACGCTCAGGCCGAAGTACCCGAAGTTCGGGTACATGGTCGTCAAAGCGAGAGACGAGCGCCTCATGAGGAGGAAGACGAGGCGGGGGACTTGGTCGTTTGAAGCAGCGATCATGGTCAACTGTACTCGTATTCGTATATGTGTGGTTGAGCGGTTTAAAGTGGCGCAATATTCGCGTCAAATCTGGAATAGCCCCAATTCCGCCGTCGGTATCGTCACCTCAAACGTCGAAAGCTGCGCCAGCGACTTTGGAGACGGTAATGGCAATGATTTGGTTACAGACCATCGCTTCTATTTCCATGCCATATTCAATATCGCTACTCGTTTGAAGCCCGCTTTCTTGTCTCCTTGTTCCTTCGTCGTTGCCTTCTCACTTACGAGGTACTCTACATTTGATTCCTGGTGGTGTCCACTCCCAGACTCACCAAGCGAGCACTACCCTCACCACAATGTACAGTGATCCTTGAATGAGTTCACTTTGCTACACATCGCCCGGTGGAAGTCTCCATTCCTCCTATCCTTCTCAAAAATTCTCCCCTAATCCTCCTCCATCTCACACACATGGCTGTTGCAATGCAATCTACGATGTCCTCGGCGCAGGACGCCGATCTCATGGACATTGACATTGACATGGATCTGGATCTGGACGACCATGGCCCAGCTCTCGATGAAGAACTCGATCTCGAAGTATGACAATTGTACCTGCATGTCTTGATGTCCTCTCACATTTCAAATAGGAAGGCGAGGAACCATCGTTCGTGCCCTCCGGCGCACGCGTCCAAGATACCTCAGCTCTCATTCCCGCCATCTACACCGAGGACCCTGCTCTCGAACCACAATGGAACAAAGTGCACATCCGCGGTGTCGACGAAATGCACACCAACGACATCCTAGGCTTCGTACACGACCACTTTAGTGAGGTGGGAGACAATGTGCACATCCAATGGATCGATGATACATCTGCCAATATCTGCTTCAAAGACAACGAAATGGCAAAACGCGCTCAACTTGCGTTTGTCGCGACACCAATCACCGAAGACCAGTTGGTCAATGCCCCCTTTGAACTGCGAGCCGCGAAGCCCTTGGCAAGCAGACCTGCGAGCATGCTCGTGGTAAGGGTAGCGCAGCAAGGCGATCGAAAGAAGAAAAACGCCAGAGACGCGAGCAGATACTACCTTCTTCATCCTGACCAAGACCCCACTGAACGAATGCGACGTGGATTTGCCGAGTCAAGGGCCGAGGCTGGCGACTACAGGCGAAGAAGATTTGACGACAGGGAAATGTACCGGAGAAGAAGAGACAACAACGACGACGATGGTAAAGAGTTCACGGCGAACATGTACGACGATGCGCCTGCGACCGACACCGAAGCCGCCGGAAGAGGTCGAGATCTGTTTTCCAGGGTGTCCAAGGGTCGACGGCGCAGTGCCAGCCCAAGCAGACGCACGAGAAACAGTGATGAGATTGATATCTCCGACTCAGAAGATGACACCCGCACCCGACGGAGAGGATATCGCGACCGCAACGACCGAAATCCGCGCTCCAATGCAGGTAAAGAGCTCTTTGGGTCGGCCTCCGCTCCACCAAAGGGTGGTGGCGGCTTGCACTCTGATCGTATCGAACTCTTCCCGAACAAAGGTCCTGATACCGACGCGCAAATGTCCATCGAGCCAAATACGGCATCTTCGTCGAGACCAGCAACCGACCCGGCGAATTCGCGAGCCAACGCTGCGGCCGCCAAACGCCTCAAGGCAGACCTGCTCAGTGCGGCACAGACCAGTCCCCGCTCGAACCATCGGAGGAGTCACGCCATGGACGCGAAGAACGAAGAAGACCTGGCGCAGCGATTTGCCCGGAAATCCATCTCGATCGACAGTACAAAGTCTTTCAAGAACGGTGGTCTCGCGAACGCCGGCATCGAACTGTTCCCGTCGGCGAACAGCAACGGTGGCGGGTTGAGCATCAAGGGCTCTGCTGGTGGAGACGGGGGGTTCAGCATCAAGGGATCCGGCGGACTGAGCATTAAAGGACGGGCAGAGGCTAAGGAGCTGTTTCCCAACCAGTACCAGCGCGAGTCGGGCCGGAACGAAGGCAAGGAGCTATTTGATCAGCCTGTGCGCGAGAAGAGAGTTAGGCGACGAGCAGGTGATCTCTTTGATTGAGAGCATTGTAGTCGTCGTTGAATTGGGTATTGCTTTCTCGGCCATCAAGGCGGAGAGAGTGAGAGGGCGGGAGGGAGAGAGGTGTTGCGAATGCAATGCATAACCCTTACGAACAGCAACAGCGTTCTTGAGCAGAACCTCTACCTAATGTCATTGGCGGTCGGCCTGTCAAGACTCGCTTTTCGGGAGGAGAAGAACAAGAGATATATCGTACAAGAGTGAACTCCGGATCAAGCAGGGCTTGTTTGCAAGACATCAGGGCTCACGCGGTCTGCAGAGAACAACTTCAAACGAGACAGACAAAAAAAGAGATGTATGTCTCTCTCTCTCTCGCTACGGATGAGATTGATCTCTATCTCTTTGCTTTTTGGGCTTCAGGATTTGGATCTGATTGGACATGATGGTACATAAACCTAACGACGGTAACGCTTGATTTACAAGATGAAAAGTTCGCTTGGGACAAAAGACATGGACAAATAAAAGAAAGAGAAAAAAAGTCGATCCTCGTCCTCCACAGTCTGTCGGCACGTGTTGAATGAATGACCACATCGATTCGTGATTTTTGCTGCTCGTCGTGTCGCCGCGACGGATCGACGTCCAAGGACCCCTCGAGGGGTACCGACATGTCCTGTAGGCTGGCGATACCAGGGGGTCGGGCGCGAATGTTCGACTCGTCATCAGCAGGCCGACGTCGCTTTTCCTGGCACACATTCGTCGTGTATGAGCATGGACTGGTTTTGAGCTGCGTCCAACTCGCACATAATCCTCCACGATTTGATGGAAACAAGTTGTGGAGTTTTCTCTCCAGTCTGCCACGGCAGAGTGACGGGCGTGTTAGACTATCAGTTTCGGCACAAGCTCATGGTACGTTCGATGTATGTGAGTGGATGCCGACTCTGTCTCCTTCCTCGGGAACCGAAACGTATGGAGCCTTGTCCCTTTGGCTCCCGTGCCACTCCACTAGACGACGCACGCAAGTCGCAGGAGAGCCGAATCAGCGGCCCCGAGAAACAGGAATCGACGTTTTTCCACCGGCAAACCTTTCTCCAGAATCGCCTTGTGTGTTCAAGTTCCCGCCCATAAGCGATGCGTACTTTCCCAACTTGTGTACCCCAGCCTCATCTCTGACCCAAGGTAGCCAACGCTTCTCGTAGCTCTCGAACCGCGGTGGGCACGTCCTCAAAGTTCAGTGCTGAAATGGCCCACCGTGCGTGTTTCTGTGCCTTCATCATTGCTTGATCGTCGATTTCACCAGTGTTGGCAACCGGCGACGGTGCGGCAGATGTTGGTTGAGCTGGTGGCGGAGCTTGCGAATGTGGCACTGGGGGCACAGGTCCCTTGAGTTCGCGAAGCTGAGGCGGGACCTGAGGAACTTGGGGCGGTGGAACTTGAGGTTGGAAATTGGGTGGTATCTGAGGTGTCTGACCTGGGTCGACTTGTGGAAGGAATTGGCCATGCCGATGTGGTGGCGGTGGAGGGGATTGCCGGTGATGGTGGTTGAGTGCGGCGAGGCCGTCTCGGCCTCGCATCAAGGTCGGATCTAGAGGAGGGCCTGGCAAGTCAGAAGGTGCACTTGTACTGTGTCCTCCAAGCTGCATATCCACGTCGGTCGGTGCCGACGGTAGTTCTGGAGGAGGACCGCCAACATCTGTGAGAGAGGAGGGCAGGCTGGGTGCTGGATCGGCGGGTGGAGATGGTATGCGAGGAAAGTAGTTGCCTCCGACCGAGGGCTTTCGTTCCGTGGGTGGGTCTAGGGGCGAGACGTCGGTCAATTCAGCCTGGTTCCCGTAGAAAGCTGCTGCATCTTGTGCGGCGATTGGAGATACATCGTCTCCTGGAGATTGCGGCAGTGACGGCGCACGCGAGGGATGGAGAGATTCATCCGTGACCGACTGTTGAGCGAGCCGATGTTGTACACGGTCTGCCTCGTCGGGGACTTCGACGACAGATGGCTGTCGACCCTTCTTTGTCGGCGGCGGCATCGACGTTTCTCTTGAAGGGTGCAGTGATTCATCTTGAAGAGATCTCTGGGCAAGGGTCTTTTGGATCCTGTCAGCCTCGTCAGGAACCTCGACCACCGACGGCTGCCGTGGTTTTGTCGGTTTTCCCTCCAGTGCTTGCACATCTGCGTCGTTTGGATCTAGCTCAGGGAGAGCGTCTTCGGCTGGAGTCTGTGGCTTGGGATTGGACAAGTTGGGATCCTCGCCTGCCTTCAGTGCTTTGGCTATTCTGAGGGCATGATACTTTGCATATTTGACTTTCGCGGCGATCTCTGGCTCGACCGGGCCCCATATCTGGAGTAAATCGAGGAACGTAGCTGATGCCTGGAAAGTGTCGGCTGTCTGTCTTGAGGCTTTGTTCGCGCGTATTGCGTTATCGGCTCTGTCAAATGTTTCCAGGCCGAATTGTTCGACATATGCTTTACCAGCGACATCGTCGGTGACGGCGGCTTCTTCGACGTGCTCGGATTTGAACTAAAGACGTAGACTGTCATTACTAGACCTGGCATAAGTATGAGGTCTGGCTCACCTGTTCGAGCTTGTCCATCAAGGTTGTGGTATACGCCAGACATTCTTGATCGGTGTTGTGTAAGCCTTTGGTTAGGATCTGGTTAATGATCCAGTATTCACCTGGCGACGTGTTAATCTAGATGGTCGCAGGGTTAGAGTGTCTTCATACACCAATATGCTATTATAGGCTTGGGCTTCTCAAGCTGTGCCGCGCGGTGGGCGAAGCGCGAGATGTCTGCTGCCTTGAGCGCAGCGGGGAGCTGAGTGGCCATCGGTAGGATATGCGTATCGGAGGAGGCTGTGAGGGAAGGAGATGAAGGTTGTCACTTTGGAGACTGACTCCCAACGATATTTCAAGAGCTCGTCGCAAGGGTCATCGTGTATGAGGACGAGGAGGAGGGATATGATCAATGTCGCGGTACTTCGTATTGGGACTGAAGCTGAGGAAATGCTGGGTTGATGCTTCAATTTCCCCGCACGCTACAGATGACGGAGCTTGAGCTGCAGCTTCGTTACTTGGCCACAACCTCCACCTACACGCAGGCGGCGCCGATGTCTATCAGCTACTCGTACATTCACATTACCATCGTTGGGCAGGAATTCCACCAAGGTCCGGGTCATCTTCCACCTCGACGTCTCAATTCTGGATTCTCACGCACACATTAGAGTGCTCGACCACTCATTCGCCCGGTGCAAAGGTTGAGGTGTAGTCTCGTGGATCAACCTCAGAGCCGCTGTGGACGCCAGCGTGTACCGCCTCCTCTGAGGCACGATGGTCTCACTCGGAGATAAATGAGGCAAACTTGTCACTGACCACTCCCGGCCGAGCAAATACCGAGGATTACGAGGAGTTACGGCGACGTCAATAGTCGGAATACGAGCATTCGGGTGTTGTAATGATCCTCGGAGGCGTATTCGTACTTGCTGGTGGTCAGATAGAACACTTGAGGGAAAACTTTAGGTTAGTGTATGTACATACTTATATAGGCAGGTATACTAAGCCTTCCGATTGTTGTGTATAAATGGGTACCTTGTGTCATCAAAGGTACTCGGTTCATTATTCTATCCTCATCTCAATTTTCCATCTCTCGCCTCATCACATGGGATGAAGCACAGACACGAGAACAACCAACATAAACAAAACGCCAACGAGAGATCAGCAAAGAATCGGAGAAATCATTTGCCGTCCTTCGCCCACAAGCTAGGTATCACGCCCAACAAACTCACAAATGCTAACCACCACCACGCCCAACCGACGACACCCATCTCCAATCCGCTACCGTACCAGTGGCCCGCGACAATAGGACCAATTGTCCTAAACAGACTCGACGTCGCGGCCCCCATGCCGTGAATTGTGCCCAGGAGCTGTGGACCCGGGCTCGAGTTGTTGATGAGCAGCACCGACCCTGGAATGGCAAACGTGCGGGCCCCGACCTGCAGCAACACCACGATCACGATGGCGAACCACAGCACGACGCTATGGTTGATCAAGAGAGACAGATACGGCGCGAGGGCGTAAGCGATCGGAAACACCAAGAGCGACCATCGGAAGGACCGAAGAAGACCGAACCTCGCGTTGACCGACGGATACAGCGTGAGTTGGAGGAAGATTCCCACGAAGCCGAGAATGGACATGGCCAGACCGATTGTCGGCAGCGAGAATTGCAGACCGCCGGTGAAATAGAACGGCAGTCTGACGGTCGCCCGCTCTTCGTCAGTACGACGCGCCGAGGACAGAAACACAGTCCACAATTGCGCGAAGCCGCCCATTTGAAAATCCATGATGCCGACGGTCGAAAGAACCATGAGCACGTTCGGAGTAAGTGCGTGATAAAAGGGCGGCGCCAGTCGATACGCTTCCGAAGGCCGAGGGGGCTCCTTGGAACTCGATGAGCTGCTAATATTGTCGACTTCTTTTGGCGGCAGCGGCGTGAGCGGTGTGCTCGATGGCATGTTCTCGTCATCGAGGGTGTCTGGGCCCTCGATCTGTTGGCCGATCGCAGTATACCCAAAGCGCTGGAACACGATCCTGTTCAAGCGATACCGCAAGTTCTCGGCAATTTCGATGCCGCGGTCTCGTGAAAAGCGCTTCGCTGCGAGGGTCTCGCGCAGACTGAGATAGATCAGCACGGCATCTGCAAACAGCACAAACGCGCAGCACAAGTTTGGCGCGGCATAGGGGAACTTGTTGAGCCAGGGGACCCCATCGGAACCACCAAACGTCGAGTCCTCCCCGAACAGGCCCGGGTAGTTGTACACGGGATCCGACATGAGGCCGCCGACCAGCGGGCCAAAGATATTTGCCACGTTCCACGCCAGCGACAAGACCAGGAACGTCCTCGAGTGATACTTCTTCTCGGTACACTCGGCAAGAGTCGTTCTCGCCCCGCCCACTGTCGCGTTGACCGCACCGCCCAAACAGCGCCAGACGGCAGCGGCGCCGAAACTTCTGGAGAAGGCCACGCCGATGCAGCTGATTCCTTGTCCTATCAGCCCGAACAGCAACACGGTTTTGCGACCAAAGGCCGGAGAATCAGCTACTCTCCCCCACAATACGCCGGTAAAGACTTGCGCGGCGGTGAAGACACCCTGCAGCACGCCGGCCTCGAAGGAGATCTCGCTGTCCGGCGCGTCGGGCTTGAAGGACTTGAGTTGGTGAAACATGTACGCCTGCAGAGCGGCTTGCTGGAAAAAATCGACGAAGCGGACAGAGAACACTAGGAATATCTGGAACTTGTTTGGTATAGAAGACCAGGATGGCGGACCAGCAGGCCTTTGGACATGCCTTTCCGTGTCTCCTGCCATGTTTGTGCTGGCGTTGTCGGTATGCGGCTCCGAGGGAGTTTGCGTGTAGTATTATTGAATTATGTGGTCCCGAAGCATTATCTGTCAAGGACGTGGGAGGGCTTCGCTGGCAAAGGCAGGAACAAGGAGAGTTTGCTGGTGGGAGTATCTAGATATTGTCTGGTCGTCTCGTTCGTGTTCGTCGTGCGCGTCGTTGCGATGGGTTGAGCGAGCGATATATACTATATACACAAGGAGCAGTCCAGTGCTTGGATGTGTTTACTTTGCAGGGAGAAGAGAGTGAAGTATGTACAAGTGCAGCACTTGAGAGACACCGGGTCCAACGTGACTGGAAAGGCCTCGAGTTTGAGTCACAATTGAAAAAACAGGCGAAGCCGAACTTCGGCAGAAACTTTGTATGGAGTAACAAGTTGGAGTTCCAGACGGAGAGTTCAGTGTAATAAGCTTGGAGGCTCGACGGGAGAAGAGGAACTACGTCAATCTTGTCGCCGTCATTAGTGCCGATGCTTGGTGAGGCCACGCCTAGACTAGCCTGGAAGTGGGCTCGTTAGCAGCCGGCTTTAGGCTGTGTCCAGTAAGAATCGTAGCCTCGCTGGCCGTGCACAGGGGGCCAATCTATTGTGCTCGCGCTTATAAGTTATAGGCACCTAAGCCTGGCGAACTCTAGTTAGGGTCCCCCGACGGTGGACAGGTAGGTGTCGTTTGTTGCACGTCTTTTGAGGCTCCTATGCATATTGTTGACACCTATCTAGCCTTTCAAAAGGAATGACCTCCTGACACCTGTTGCTTGTTGCCTGTCTAATCATCAGGGGCTGAGGGGACACGAGACGGCTATCCCAGGTCCATGTCAGCCTCCCGGAGATTGCGGCTCTATGCCTGTTGTAATAGGGCTGGCGAGGCTTTGAGATGGGCGATGTTCGTCAACTACGGCCAAACGTACCACCAGTAGTGGATACTAACTACATACTTGAGGTTCCTCCTAGGTAGCTAGGTAGTTTACTGCGCAAGTATCGGAGTGTGGGCCACTCACTCTCTAACTAGTAGGGACAGGAGGACGTAAAACCGGTCGTGGCAGCTGGGAAGACGACAAAGCCCATGCAGCGCCACGCATGCTGCCGCGCACCCATGAATGATGAGGCACCAAGTTTTTCGTCTTTTCTTGCGTGGCCATGCGTACAGTACCTACAATATCTGGATCTGATCTTAACTTTGGCGAAATCTTATCTTCCATCCACGTAGACCCCTGCACTTCTGAGTTCAGACGAGGAGTAACGAGTACGAGTACATGAAGTCGCACGATAAGCCACGTGGGCAGAGCCGTGAAACGGTACTCGTCTGTACTCGTCCGTGCAAGTGACACCTACAGTACACATCCCATAGCATAGAGCATACGTACACAGTTTCGCCTTGGGGCTGTGGGAGGGAGGCGTCAGCCGCTTCCACAACAGTCGTCACCACCTAGACCAGTCACTCCCCTCCGGCTACAAGCGTCAACTCCGGTGAGGGAGCACTGGGGAGTTGCATTGTATAGAGGATTCGACCCCAGAGTTTTAGTGGGAGCATGGAGGCATGAATGCTGGGCCAGACGCCTGAAAGTGATGCCAATCCGGGTACCCGGCACACGACACAAGTGTTTTTCCTGGTTAGCTGGACGTCTACTCTCCTCGTACCGGGGGGGAAGAGTTAATGATCAAAATGCAACGATGTAGAAGCGAGAACAAAATACTACTCCGGCTCGGATTCGGACTCGTCCCCATCAATGATCATCGACTGCATCCATGGGGGGGTTGATTTAGCTTACCTCTAGTCAGTAGTCAGGAAATAGTCCGATCAAAGGTGAAATTCAACTGTAATGACACGTGGAATTTTTTGGCGGTATCGACCTCTTTTCCCGACCGCGCCACGGACATTAGCTGGGTCCCTACTGTAGGTCAGTATGCATGGTGTATGCCTGTTGAACAGGTGCTTGTTGCGACTTTGGTGGGTGGAGTCTGTTGGTGAGTGGTACACGTATTGTACTTCGCAAACATTTCTCGACAAGGGTCATCGCGGCTTCACAGAGGTGGGAATCTTGTCATCGCTAGTTCCAAGTGTTATCCGTATGTCGTGGGCATTTCTCTTGATGACCATTCTCCTGTTGGCGAGGTGGCCGTGGCGGTAAATCAGGACAGGATGAATACAGAAGCGTCAAGGTAGCTAGCTACAGGCGCTCATCAGGGGTCGTCGTAACTTCGTTCATTACATTAAAATGCCCTAGATAGCTTGGGTAGACCTTGTAAACACCTGCCTAATACCTCAGGTACTGTATATATGGTATCGGATCCATCTCACATTCACCCACGCCAATATCAAGTGGCACACGGAGAAAATCTCACCTTGCAAACAAAACAAAAACTTCAAAAGGGGTATGAATACCCCGTGCTCAGCTCAGCGATGGTGCGGTCGAATCAAGACCCCCTCATGAAGGATCCGATACCATAGGCACTCTGGCACTGTCTTGTTCTTCCAGAGGAAGTGCCTTGTACCCGACACCCGCACCCACGTCTTTCCCGGTCGCCTTGCCCAGCTTGGTCCGAAGAATGGCATAGGCACGATGAACCAGCGCGTGGACCGGCCGAGAGGCAAAGTTCCTCGTAGCCAAAACGATAATCAAGATGAGGAGCACAGCCAGACCGCCAAACGCGCCGCCATACATCTCGGCCCGCTTCCTCGCTTGCTCTTTGGCGTGTTCCGCGAGACGTTCTTCCTCCGCGAGACGTTCTTCCTCCTCGCGTTGCCTCTGCTCCTCGGCCTTTTGCTGCCGTTCCTTCTCGCGCTCCTCGTTGTTCGGCATGAAGCGGCACGCCACATCGTCGCAGTATTCGACCATCTGCGCCGGGGGGGTAAAGACCTTCTCCACAGCCGAAGCGCCCAGGACCTGGTCGTCCTTGTCCAAGGCTTCCGCGTACGCAAACGTGTATGTTGAGTCGTGTTTGAGCACCGTTTCGAACCCGGTCTTGGGTGCACTCTCAATCTCCTCCCACGGCCCGTCCTTGGAACTTGCTCCGTACAGGCGCCACGATTTGACCTCGGTCGCGCCGTTCCACGAAACGTACATCATCATCTCGTCGCCGGCCTTTGAGTACGTCCACAGCGCAGGCTTGGTCAGCGGTAGTCCGACCCAGTTGTCGAACTTGTGCACGCGGTAGTTCATCACGTTGCTCCATCCGAGCGCGCCGTAGAAGACGATCTCGCCGTCGGACGTGTATTCGGTCCAGAAGGCGTCGTTGCCCCATCCCATGACAATGTTGCCGTTTGGGAGTTGTTGGAAATTGCCCTGCGACTTGGAAATGTGCGCGTGGCCGTCGACAAACGGAGGGTCCAGGTTCAACAGGCAAGTGGCGACTTTGGTTTGGTGGTCAAGTCTGATGATCTGGCCGGTCGAATGAGGCTGGGTCTGGTTGAAGCCGTTGGACCCGTTGTCAAACAGCGAGATGACTGTGTGTGTTGCGTTGTCGGAGATGAATCGCGCGTCGTGCTGGAAAGAGAACGAAAAGCCATTGAGATAGTAGTCCGACTTGGCGCCGTTCAGCCTCCAGATGACATGACCATCGACGCCCGAGATTTTGTATACCGCCGACACGTGCCGCGCCGAAATCAAGTAGTCACCGTCTTCGTTCTTGTCGATTGAGTTGACGTGGAAGTAGTCCCAAGGGCTCCGGGGCGCCTCACCAGAGCCACTGATTTCGGTGGTGCCTGGGTCGACATAGCTCTCAGAGGGGTCGACGTGGTCCAAACTTTGCCATTCGAACAAGACTTTGCCCGAGTCGACATCGACTTCCTGGAACGCTCCCTGCTGGATGTAGCCGAGACCGTCGCAAAGTTTCCAGGGGCATAAATCGTAAACACTGCGGAGATACTGCGTCATGAGCGCCGATTTCCCGTCGTTGATCAGCCTGAATTCGTGCATGTCCGACGACGCCTGATAGCTTCCAGGTTCGACGGACTTGACGATTCGGTAGTGCTTGTCCATGATGATGCCATGACCGTGACCCCATCCGACCATCTGGGTGCCTTGGTAGAAGCACAGATGGACCTCGCCTTTGTACATGCATGTTTGAGGTGCGTGAGAGATGCCGGGTCCGGCGCTTCCAAACCCGCTGTACACCAGATTCTTGTACGGAGTTCCAAGTCAGCGACGAACAGAAGCGAGACGTAGAACATGCACGGAGTACCCTACCGCGTCATTATCGTAAATGTGTACGGATTCCTGGATTTGCTGGTACGGTGATACAAAATAATACCCCGGCGCCTGCTTCTCCGGGATTCTCGTGAAGACTGTCAGAATAGGAGACACAAGGTCCGGCCTCTATACCACCAAGTTCACAATATAGTCAGCGTCGATGGTCATGAGGACCGTCACAGCGTGCACCGACTCACCGAACGGAAGATTGAGATGGGCTGTGAGCGATTGTCTGCCACTATGCTCCAGGCGAAGAAGCAGACGAACAACCACCCGATCGAGTGGCAAGGCGCCGAGAGCCTCATTGCCGCTCGTGTCCCAGGAATAGCTGCAGCATGAAGCCAACAGACCTCGTCGAAGAGTATACCGAATAGGACGGGTCGGGAACGTCAAAAAAAGGCAACACCCAAGTCAGTCTGATGGGCACTCGAATCATGCGCCAAACACGGAAAGTCTGGATAAGAGTTGGTTGGTGATGCGATTACGGCTTGCACTACAGGATAAAACTCCGATTGTCGAGGCGGCTGGGCAGAAAGTGGGTGGAGCCGTAATAGGCAGTTAATGTACCTGTGGGGGGCGTGCCAAGGACAATGGCCCTCCGAAAGTGGCGCCGCGAGGGATCAGTCGGTACTGTACTGTATGGATCTAGTGCACCGTTATCAGCCTGGGAAGAAATAGCAGTGTTCCAAGGATTCACTTGCAGGCTCAGCTCAGCTCAGCTACGTCGTTTGCAACGGATCTTTGGCTGGATCTTGTGCCGGCTGAAGTGCTCATAGAGTGTACGGAATACTTCATTTGATGATCTTCCAGTGAGAAGAATCTGAAAGCCGTCGACACTAGCGGCACCGATTCCCAGAGACTAATGAACCTTGGCTAATTTTCCGGAGAGGCACGAGGATATTACTGTACCAAAAGAATCCTTTCTTCTATAAGGCTTCGGGTTGCTTTTGATATGCTTGCTCTGTACGGCGACGAGCCAGTAGCACAGTACGAGTGCTCCCATCCCTACTGCAGTTCATTGCGAGTACACCCAGCAACTTCTCCTGGCGATCATGGAACTTCCCCTGGAGATCATGTAAAAGACAGGAGCTTCTGGTGGATTTTGTAAGAGACCGAGCATCGGAGGACGAGTATTTTTTTCTTTTCTCCGACCCATCTCTTCACGTGGAACCCGCCGTCGTGGATCTATCGAAGCTGTAGCTCCAAACGGTGAAGCTTATCAATATGCCATTCTACTCGGCGAAAGGCGGGGCCACGTCTTTCCCAAATGTATGTACTGTACATTATGCATACAGTCGACATCGTGCGCCTCTTGGGAAAGTTTCCAGAGTACTCGTAAGACTACGCGCAATCACAGGCAACACCATAGTACGGAGTAGGACGGAGTACAGAGCGTGTATCATCCTCGACCCATTGACCCATCCCCTTAACAGCAACACGCAAGCCGGCGGCACATCGCCAAGTATGCGAGGATTCCTCCAAAATTATTATCCCCATGTCAAGCGAGATACTGTAGCAAGATACTTTGACACACCCTTGCCCGGCCGGCGCCACCGACGACTTAACAGCAAGCCCAAACTCAAGCTTGCATTTTGCATGCGCGCGGCCTATCTCCCGGAGACACAACTCGTGGAAGTGGTGATCATGCGACATTTATCTCTGAAACTCTATTCGGATTCCTGTTCTGGGTCCAAAGATCCTGCCTCTCATACTGCTGCTAGCAATGTACGTACTGTACCACTATCAGTATGGTTCCATCAAAACGAGAACCCGTATCACGGTCCAAAGCGAGAACCTCCCCCCCCCGACCTTCACTTTTTGGTTCGAGAAGATCCAGCCCGCCAATATTAACGCTATCAACAATCTTGGGCTTTGCGCTCCGTCCATCCTCGTAAAAAAGTCGATAAAAACCCGGCCTCCATATAGCACCAAATCACAATTAATCTAAACGCCTAGCTATGTACAGATCGTCTCAAGTAAACATAATATCAGAAATAAATCTTCCTTCAGCTGCACCTCTTCATCTTCATTACGAGGCAGTAGTGAACAAGGATGTGTGCTGGGCCACTTTCGGGAGATAATGCGTGTAAGCAAATGTAGCAGAGAGTGCGGTGGCTACTACAGGGACTCCCACAACCAACGCGCGGAAGATGACATTCATCATCTGCTTGCGATTCTGCGTTCGGCATCGCTCCACGAACCCGTCTGCGTCGTTGGATCTGGGGAATGGCTTGTCGGGAACCGGCTCGCCGAGGTATTCGCACAAGGGTCTCCAGCCCGAGCTGACACGATACTCCAGCAACTTCCCGGGAGGCACCATCTCACGAATCTCCTTGTAGTAGTCGTGAAACCTTTGCTTGCCCGATTGTTCAAAGTCGTCGTTGAAAAAGTACTTCCAGAATTTGCGGAGCATAGGGTGGTATAGCCCAGCGGCCCAGTCAAAGTTTGCGACAGCCCTGAGTTCGGGGTCATTCGCGCGCCAGTTGACCGTCTTCATGACCGACGAGTGCCACGAGTCGACGTCTCGAGTTGTGATGATGACCTTGGCCTCCGGGTACGCTTCGATCAATTCTTTGGCGAATGCGACCGCTGGCCAGTCGCATACAGCCTGGCAGTGACCAAGCAGAGCGTCCCACTCTTCACGGCCGAACTTGCCCTTGCCTTCATACTTTGCCGCAAATGCGTCCATCCAACAGAGGCAGTCTGGCGGGTTTTCGACGCTGGCAGACATCATGTGGTATGTGTCTGTGTACCCCAGCTCTTTGAGCGCGGCTCTCAGCGAAGCCGTCCCCGTACGACCGAGGCCGAGTGCGAGGACTCGCATTGGCACTATCCTCTTACATTCTCGTCGGTTGATGTCGGTCTGATATGGGGTAAAAATATCAGTCGCAGGCTTCGGGGTGTATGGGATGCCGGAAGCCATCTTGAGTTGGTGTAACGAGTGTGAGCGGCTTCTGTGCCAACTTTCGGTTCTCTAGGAACGTGCTCGCGCACCTGGTACCAGGAGTATGGTCGATGAGGTCAATTCCGGGTTGGGAGGAACAAGAAACTGGATAACGAGTGTAAAAGTCTCGAGGGATGCGCTGATCTGCCAAGAGATAAGGATCGGCGCTGGGCAAGGGGGGCAGAACGTGCAATTGTAACGTGGGGATCCGCAAGGAGGGTTGGGAAGCAAAGTCTTGGGAGGCTCTTTCTGAAGTTCTTATGCATACAAACCACACCGAAGGGGGGGAGTCAATTACGCGTGCAGGATGATACGTTGACATGAATGAAGTGAAATAACAGAGGGTCAGGGCGGAAATCAGCTTGCGCAGCGACAGCAGGGAATCTGGGACTCGCAGCAAAGGATCTGACTCGAGCAGAATAATGACCTGATTGTCATTTCACTCCGGTTTCGAGATTCGTGTCTTGTCCACGCGACAATCGTAACCCGTTTCGCAAGCCTGATGTGCTTTCAGAAGCTCTTTTGATGGGCATGACACCCGTGCTAGCTGAATGGAAAAATGTTGGATCCCAATCAGAATGCATCTTCTCGGGTCCTACGCAAGTGCCAAGCCGGCCTGCGGAGCCACTGACGCCTACTCCCAAGCTGGCAGCCCAGTGGGAGAGATTGTTGTGTGGATGATAACCTGAGTAGGCGAGACGCTGGTGGAGCCCGATGTCGTGGCACTCTGTCTGGAGGTGCGGCCCCTGGTTAGTTCGGTACTGTTCAGCCGCAAGAGACACCCGTACGAGGGTTGGTGGCGCTCGTACGGGTCGTACCTAGCCTCAAGGTACGATTCATGGGACAGCTGCGTAAAAGAGATTCCGCAAGCAGGGGTTGCGACAGAGGCCGAGCTCGGTGCCAAACCCAAGCATGTTTCTCGCAGTATCCATAGTGCCAGGGGAATGGATAAGTGGCAGGACTCGATTGTTAGAGAAAATTCGGACCGTAGCTGAGGAACGGCGCATGTGGGACCAAATTTGGGATCAATGGATCATCGCTGCGAGTCGGAGTTGGCTTGAGTAGGAAGCTGTGGGCGGCATGGTTGAAGACGCCACCCACAAGAGATGGGGGATTATTCGTCCTCAGTACCAAACTCATGCCTGTGGACGATGGACGATGGACGATGGACGATGGACGATGGACGATGGGCGATAGGGCGGGAAATGGCCGGAGTCCTTGTGCTTGGGGATTTCTGCTGAGCCGCTAACCATGCCTTACCATCAAACCAGTCCCGGGTGCATGCCGAGACCTTTGGGGCAGATCGAAGTTGATTGGGCAACCCTCCTGAGGTATGGACGGTATGGCAAGACTTGAAATCGAGGAAAAGGTGAGATGAGAAGATATTTATTTCTGTAGAAGAGATTATATACCAGCCTTATGTGGTAACACCATCTTGCGAATGTTGCGCCCAAATGGCGACATCGACAATCGAAATAAAGCACTCGATCTTGGCAGTGCTTAGAGAGAACCTGGTGCCTTGGCATTGAAAAGCAGCCTCTAAACAACAACGATTATCTTGCACTTCCTCCGTATCAACTATCCGCAAAGTTTGAACAGGTGTCAATTGCAAAGACTTGACTTCTGGCAATTTCGATTGACGGACTCGGCATGTTTGTGACCCCTGTCTTGAACAATCAGTCAGGAAAAGGCTCACGCTACGATGCTAAGTTCTTTGTCCTGATATTAATCCAGACACGGTCAGGATGGTCTTGAAGATGTCGTACTGAGATGAATCTCGGTGCTCTCGAGGGATGCCTAGGACTCAACCTCGCTTTGGTGCAGCTCTTTGCTTCGCCGAGGAGACGGAGTGTGATCCTTTCGGTTCATTCTGCGACGACCAATCTCGTCGTACCTCAACAAGCCACCATCCGAATTCCGAAAGACATATCCGTCCTCTCATTACCTTACCATTCCAAGATAGGACAAGGCTATGGTTCTTTCTGTTAAACCTTGTACTAGAACAACGCAACTGGCCGCGCTGTTCTCTCGGCGAGCAGATCAAGGGCTGGATGCAATAGTGGCAAGAATCCCCACTATTTATCGTTATGTTCCCATGCTTTATGAGAAAGCCCAACACTGATGATGGCGGATGATGACGGAGCGAGGACATGTATCCAGACGGCGCAAAAACAGGCAAGTTAAGAGTTCAAAAAGTAAGGGGTAGGAAGACGTTCCTGTCGGCTGCAGTCATCCCGGTTGTCAATGTCTACTGCGGAGCAAGCGCTCCCAAGTGGTACGATTGAATTCAGGTTGTAGTAAATATGTTATGATCCGCAGTAGCTTATCGATAACAACCCTTCGCAATATTTTTTTTGGTTCTTTGCAGGGACGTCGTTCTGCGTTTGCCAGCCGAACAGTGTGCGGAAGAATCGAAATGTTGAGAGAAATGTAAGAGCATGCATAAGTGAAATGTTTTCATCTGCTGATAAACCTGCAGTAAGCCTCGCAATGCCAGGACGGCTCGCATAGTCAAAGCACGAGAGCCACAGCAGATCGAATCTCGCAAGAGAGTTCTGCTATTACATGGCAGCAAGTGCCCGCAGCCTGTGTCTTCAGTGCTCAAGACTCTCCATACTCTGACCAAACCCGACTCAGTCCTCCTCAACAAGAAGAACAGCGACATTTACCCCTTTGAAGACCCTGCTTCTCTGGAATTTTTGGCTCAAAAGAATGAATGCGGTGTGGTGGTGTTTGGGACACATTCTAAAAAGAGACCGAACAACATCATTTTGCTCCGGATATTTGATGGAAAGCTCCTCGATATGGCAGAACTCCTGCTCACTCTGCCACCGGACCAGCCACAGAAAGAGGAGAAGCTACAAATTGGCGTAGAGATGAAGCCCATGATACTTTTCTCTGGATCGCAATGGGACGACACTTCGTCTTCCGAGCAGGCTACACTCTACCGGACAATAAAATCTCTGATGCTGGACCTATTTCAAGGCGAAGAGATCTCCTCAGTGGACGTGGCTGGCCTACAGTACCTTCTCATGATTGCCGCTGGTGAGAACTCGGATGGTTCGACCGACCTCAACGATCCCTCAACCAAGCCCATTCTCCACCTTCGATGGTATCGGATCAAAACCATGAGGTCAAATAATGCCAAAATCCCCCGTGTCGAACTCGATCAAATAGGACCCAGCTTCGATTTTCGAGTCGGCCGACTTCGTGAAGCCGATCCTGGAGTTATGAAAGAGGCAATGAAGCATGGTCGGCGACCGAACGAGGCTCGCACAAAGAAGAATATTGAGACTGACCTGGTCGGCGATAAGATTGGTCGGGTCCATCTTGGAAAGCAGGATCTGAGCACACTACAGACAAGAAAAATGAAGGGCCTGAAACGATCACGAGACCTAGATGATGAAGACGTGAACGGCGCTGGCTCGCAGGACGATGCTGTCAGTCAAGACGAGGACATGGCCGACGGGGGTATGGAACTCGATGAAGACTTCTCGGATGATGGCAGTAGCTTGGGAGGGTCGGGCGACGAAATCAGTATAGGTGAGGACGAAGATGAAGAGATGGGCGACAGCGAGCAGAACGAAAAACCGAAGCGACAACGTATTTCATGACAGCGACGTTCCCAATCGATTCCCACTACTTCCACGACGACCTTGGATGAACGATCCTACAAGAAGCATGAGATCTGCACCGGAGGTGAGGCCGGACGATCAAACATGGTAGCCAGCGAGTGACGTTGGTGTCTATTTTGTCAATCCGTGCAGAAAGTCGAATCAGCCCCCTCTCGAAGTACATGCGAAATTTTCTATCACCAGACGGTCCAACAATGCTTTTTCCCGGCAGTCATACAGCGATCTTGGGAAGAGTAGAGACAACGACGGATCGCACCATGGGCCTGCACTGTGATGGAACTTGAATCACGTCCGTTGCTTCACAGTACCTCCGCGGGTATGTAATGGCCAAACATGTATAAAGTGCGATGAACATGGTCCAGCTGCTGGGGAGGTCAACGATAGAGCAAGTATACAGTATGAGCAGTATGAGCCGAAGAAAGTTTCCTGTGTGGGGGCGGCATATTTGAATGGGGAGCCGTGATCGTGATGTAGATAGAGAATTGGATTTACAAAATAGCCGAGGTATGGCGGAGAAGTCACTCGACCAAGGCCGAAAGAATGTGGGGAGGGAAAGCTACTTACACATCGTACTCCGAACCTAAGAGGCTACAGGCTTACAGGCTTCGAGCTCCAGGCGCCCTATAGGCTGTGAGAGTCGCCCAGAGCCTGGACGACCCCTCGTCAAACCCCCAGCTTTTTGCCGTTCACATGCGCCGATGATGTCGCGCTCTCGTGTCCGTCGCCGAGGCTGTTATGAGCCTCCCTCCCTCTGTTATTCTGCCCACTGACATTGCCTACAATTCGTTCATGCTGCGGTTGCTGTCGCCGTTGCTGCTTGTCAATCTCCCCTGCACTGTCCTGCGATCACAGCATCCCACATGCCAGTTTGTCTCATCTTCAGTCTGCCAACACCTTCATGACGTGACCCTTGCAACAACATCTCGTCAAGCGCAGCCCGACCTCTCCTACCCCAGATCATTCCGCCTCGGACTACACTCCTCTTTTGCGTCGCACAATATACCGATCTACGGGTGTAATAACCTCAGGCATTGATCAGACAGCCATGGATGTACTCAAAGTAGACCTTCCCTCCACGGTGGTTCGTGACTGTGACGCTGACACGGATAGGACACCGCTGAATCCATCATCCTGAACCCGGATCTCGCTCCTCTCCTTGCAATCCTCAAAGCCGCTCGAAATGGCGCCGTATATGGGGCCAAGGTCCGATTCCCTCATGCCCTTGTTATGGTCTTTCTTTTTCGCTCGGGGTCAATAAGAGAAAAAACACGATTAGTCCTAAAAGCTACCAAACAACATGCGAAGAACCTCGCTTCATTTGCGGTAGTCTACAAGTCCGCCATGTTGGTATTAAGGCTTCTAAACCCCACAAACCCCGGGAAAGAAGGGCCATACGATACATTCTTTGCTGGATTGCTGGGCGGATACACAGTCTTCGGTCGTGCGAAGCAGGGCAGGTGAGGCCATTTTCTCCGAACAACGATCTGGAACGAAGGTTGACATTTTCCAACTCCAGTGTAAACCAACAAATAGTCATCTATGTTTTCGCCAGAGTCATGCTCGCTCTGGCGCGCCTTAGCATCGAGGCCCCAGCCATGACGAGTACAACGCCTACGCCGACATTGTGGACGCAGAGACTATCACCCGAGACAAAAGCTATGGTCCAGAGAAACGCATGGCCTGTGTTCGCCAGCTTTAGTTGGGCTTTTGTAATGTACATCTTCAGATGGCAACCTGAAAGCATTCAGCCCAGTTTGAGAAGCAGTATGAAGTACATGTAAGTATTGGGCCAACTGCGGATTCATGAATGGCTACACTGACTCCTTATTAGATATGTCAATTCGGATTACTGGGACTCATTGAAGAACTTCCTCATCTACAACACATAAAAGTACAGGATTTTTGGTTCTTGCATTTGACTGGCGTTGGTTTGAAACGCACCATGTGTACAACCTTGGGATTAGAGTGTGCAAGAATATCATGGTGTATGCATTGCTATGTGAGATGAAGAGCATGTTATATTGGATCAGATGGTGGCACGCGACAGCATGGCTACCGATATATCCTTGGGTGAAGATTGCCGATCTATTTTGCTTCCTGTGATGGGCCACGAGTTTGCCCCCTTTCGGATCTATACCCAAATCGCAAGGCCTGGGCGGGATCAAATTCCAGTCTATGAAAGTTGAACAGCCGAAGTCGATGGAGACGGCGGGACGACATACATACTGGCTGGATTGAATCAGCCTTGCGGAGCTGATATTAGCGAGCTTGGTCTCTACTATGTCCAGAAGCCAGAAACTCAATGAATGGTCCTTTCCCACAGATTTACCTGTCTCCCATACCCGCATATGGTTCTGCATCGAGAGATGTGTTACTGGGCTAACTCAGTGGACCAAGTACAGCGCCACGTCGTCCAGACCTCCCTCGAACAATTCGTCATTATCCAACAGGTAGGAAGCTCCAGCTGAAGAGCAGTCTAATCCGGTTAAAAAGGTAGTGAGGGGCCCATTGTGAAATTTGGTTCCTCTGCGTGGCTTTGAAAACATTCTGCTCATTCGTAACAGCACATATCTATGCAAAATTGTGCACAAGATATCGCTTCACAGGTTCGGGATCAGTTGCCTGGCGCCGCGTCCACCCGGGCAAATGATTGGAATCTAGAGGACGGCGACCAAATCTCCTTCGGGACCGAAAAAACAACGCAGCTATTTGTCGATTCTCCTTTGAACAGAGGCGCCGAGTCGCGAGGATCACAGAAGATCCTATACACTATGTGGTTATGGACTTGTTCGTGGTGCAAGAGTGGTCTGATACCCAAGGAAACGGTATAGTCAAGGACCCACGTGATTTGCTAACGATGCCGAGTCGGAACGCGTTTCAACACGGTGCAATCTGAATGGCAGAGATGGCACCGATGGTAGGCACAGATAATGGGGCCCTCTTGCTATTGGACGAGTTGAGTGAGTTATCATTGTGGCTGAGAAGAAGTTGGAATTGAATGTGTGAAATACTTCCTGACTGCTTCTTGGGAGGATGTGCAGTTCTCTTCCTCCGTTGTCCTCCGCTGCTCCTCCAGTTCGACATATCAACGGTCGGAAAGGAGAGGAAGTAGGCAGGGCACGAAGGGATTATCCCGAGAGAACACTTAACCTTGCCCACAGGACAGCAGCGGCCGATAAGCCAACGACCTATCGCCTGACAATGGAAAACAGAGGCCGCCTTGGCCTCTTGTACGACGAAGAAACCGACCTAGAAATCGATGCGTTGTCAGGGGCCTGGCTGTTGCCACCAGCGGCATTTGAGTCGCTCGAGGAGGACGAGGGGCCTGCACGTGCCGCCGATGTTGACATTGTCCTTACGCACGTCGAGTGGGTTGGCAGGAGCTCACCGAAATCTGCTATCACCAGGGTCCGTGTTCAGATCATGCTCAAAAGTCACGAAACGTCAAGGAAGAAGACGAAGCGACCTTTCTGCTGCGAGAACCCGCAAGCAAAGCATGTACGAAACAACAAACACCTGACCGCCTTATCAGGCCAGAAAGATCAGCGGATCAGTGTCATCACACTTGCACGACAAGCGGGAGATACGAACGTGGAAGGGAATGGCAATGTGAGATGTGAAAGGACGACGAGCTTCGTCAAAGAAAAGGCGACCTCTTTCTGAGTTGCACCTTTGCCATGTGATAGATGGGCGGGTTCTGGAGGTCGTGTTCACCCTCAGAGGGCATCTCTGTTGTCGGTAGAGGGTACGGTGTTCTCGTTGGCAGTGGCCATTCTGCGATCAGCATGGAAGGACAAACATGTACAGTGCAATGTCTTGCTATCAGCATCAACTAAAGACATGGGTCTACGAATGGGATGGGTCTCTGTGATCATGCTCGATGTATCTGACTGCCATGTGATGCAAAGGGTCGAGGGGCGTGCCCCAAGATCGCAGACCACAGACAACAGACCCCATGGTGTTGGTATCAGTGCAGTCATTGTACGGAGGCTTCTCGAAAACCCACTGCAAGGCCACCGAATTGATGAGACATGATTACACTCACCGCCATCACGAAAGATGGGACTGTGGTCCCAATGTCAAGTGACATTTCGTCGCCAAGGGGTCCTAAGCCTTGCGTCAAAATGCTGATGATAATGTGCGATGAATAGTCTGTATCCAACAGGAACCCGGGGGAATGGCTGACAATGCTGAGTGATGCGTGAATTAAAAAATAACTGGTCCACCCACCTGCTTAATCCTGCTGCCCTGAACTTGCTCCCCAAAGGACGGAACACGGACACGTAGCAAGGCCCAGAAAGCTCTAAGACTAGTACAAAATACCCAAAGGCGCCCAGCTCGGCGAGGCCCGAGTTCCCCTGCATATGGCGTGACTTGGGTGGCTTTATGAGCATGAGCTAGCTATAGCGAGTAGTTGGTGGGGACGCCTCAGCCTTGTCTCGGTTGCGAGAAATGTACTCGAATTATGCTCACTGGCCGGCGACCGCCAACAAGTGGTGTGAGGATCTACATTACCGCTCAGCCTGGACCAGCCGTTTTTCTCGAAGCTGTTGATGACTTCGTGTGACCTCGTAATCGGCGTTGCCAACGCGTCTCTTTTTACTAAGCCATTGCATGTGTTGTCTCGCCTCTAGGTTTGTCGTAGCGGATATCCGACATCTTCCGATTGCTACGTGCGAGTACGATACTTACCATACCTCGCATTGAGACATGCAAGAAGCCGGGGGGGTGGCAGATGACTGGCCAGCCTCATCGTCCTGCCCGTATGGCGGACGCTGATTTCCGTTCTTGGAAAAGGGATGCGCAAAGTATATGAACCGCCTCCAGCAACGTCCATCTGAACCTGTGCCTTTTCTTGCCTCCATCAAACAACAAAGCCTCAGCACAAGCAAACAAAGAGCATCCATTTTCACCCACCCGTATCACAAACCACCAACCGCCAATCACACTGTACCCGCAGTACACAGCAAGACCCAATGGCGCCACCGGCGACAAAATGCACAAGCGTTGCTTCTGAAGCGACAATGCACAACTACGGCGACAGCTGGTTCGAGAACCTCAACAAGTTGGCTGCCGAATACATTGAACGCAGAGAGTCTCGACAGGAAAAGAAGCCAGCACAAAGTACAACGCAGATGCATTCCTATGGCGATTCCTGGTTCGAGAATCTGAATTCTCAACGAGAAGAACTTGAACGCCGGAAATCGCACGACTCGTCTATTTGTTCTTCTCCGTCTTCGTCGTCTTCTTCTTCGCCACAACCACTACAACAACAGCAACAGCAACAGCAACAAGTGCGGCCTGAAATGCACAACTACGGAAGCAGCTGGTTCGACAAGTTCGAACCAATGTGGGAGGACTGGCAGCACTTGAGGAAGGGTGAGTCTGAGCCTGCCCGAGCTTAGTTCTTTTGCAGCACATGCTTGGCTGCCTCCAGGACTGAGGATATTGGGAAGGCTGACTTGGTATTCGCTTGCCTTCTTTCGTTTTGAAGATGTCGATACGACAAGGAAGCTTGACCATTGCTATATCGACAGCGACGACGAAAGTTGCGAGCTTGGCATATGAGAAGGGAGTGTGGACCAAAACATAACACACCCATGCAAAGATACGACGACCTCGCACCTTTTCGGCAACCTGGCACTGTCAATGCTTCAAGGTTGCCTATGAACATTTACGACTCGTGACATTCCTTTCTGGACGAAGGCGGTTCTTAGGCGTTTTTTGGGAAACAAGAGAGAAGGGGCCCAGAGCCCAGTTTTAACCACCATCGGGAAACACTGTTTTAATCTTCCGCGGAGAGTCGACCGGCCGAGATGAAGATGTTCTATCCCTCCCCCGGCGGACCGAGGATATGGGACGTGATGTTCTCCACGACTTCCTGCTCCGTTTGTTGGCGATCCATTTTCAACACTATCTATCGTCAGATGAGGTTTCTGGGAGAATGGATATCGGAATACAGTCATACACCTAGATGCAAGAGATACGACATACCACCCGTTTTGTGTCTTGTCCGATTGTCCTTAATGGAGTGATATCGATATGATGGGACATGAAAGGGCACGGCAAGAGCACGGCAGGACAGCTCAGGGCAAGAGACACGCCAATATACCAGGTACGACCACTTGTAATAATAATGATACGAGAACCACTCCATCTCTCTATTAGACAAGTTAGCTTGAAGATATGAGTCCGTCAGATTGTAAGCAGAGGCGTCCAATTGGATAAGCCAGCTCTCACCATGGAAGCGAAGGGGGGTTTGTGCATTACGCGTGTGAAGTTAGGCGAATCCTCTGGCCACCTCGATCCACCTTACTAGGTAGGCAGGTAGACGAGGGAGGACCTGTGTGCTGATTGGGACGTCCCGATCGATATCTCGCGGTGTCTGTCCACTCGCTCCCTCGCGCGTCTTGTCCCCCTGGCATTACAGTTACAGCCACTGGGCTGTACGGCGGCACGAGAGATTGAAGCACTGAACGGAGTTCGTCCAAACATCTGCTTGCTTCGAAGGAGGAGAGCTAGCAAAATAGTGGAGGTGAAGAGTTCGGAGTATCAGGCCACGAAAAACACAGTCTTGCCCTGCTCAGCGCTGTACGGGTACTAGTTAGTAGTACTGATAGTAAGTACACTGCCTCGACCTTGTAACTTAGCACCACGTAAAGTATAGTCTTGGTTGCTAGTCATGGACCATGCTCATCCTCACCGTAGTTCTGAGAATAAAATGAAAAAGAACAGTAGTAAGATGAACCCAGTCAGATTAGATGCCAGGACCTGATTAGAGTCCCCTTTGTATATTTGAGTGAGTAAGGACTATCAGTACCCGCAGCAGCAGTAGCAGCAGCAGTAGCAGCAGCAGAAGTTGTTGCTATTCAGTCTCACGGATATATATACGTACACACACACACACACACACACCGAATACTCCCCGCCAGCCTCGTCCTTCGTGTATATCTGAGATATCGCATCGTTGTTATATACTTGTTGCTTTGGTTAATAGTCAAGACTAAGCCATTGCAACTCCCCTGTATCCCCCTATGAATGCAAGAGCAATAGTATAAAATCCTCCCTTTCATTCGCTAGATAGGCAGTAGGAATATACTATTGATGATAAAATAAAGATATAGCCCCCTCCCCGTCCGTAACGCATGAAACAATAACAATTTCTTCGTTCGTCGTCATCATCATCATCATCATAATAATCACCATCAGCATCACCATGATTCGATCGATGTATGTCGGGTTTTCAATTTGAATATGCTTTTCACCCATATCCTTTCTCCCTCATTGTTTGTTGAAGAAACAACAACATAATCGACAAGAAGACGATACGACAATATGACAATGTGACAATGTCTCGTCTCTAATCCTTGTCCGCGATCTATGGGGGAGCAAAGGTTCGTTCTACTGGTCGAAGAACAGTGCCGTGGTTAGCAACTGTTCCAGCGCAGATTTCGGTCGCGACTGCACGCCGGGAACCTCGTCTGAGGCTGAATCGTCACTCGACCCGCCGGACTGAGAATCTTCCAGGCCGGTCTTGAAGCGGTACTGGGCCTGTCGTCTTCTTTTCCGCTCATGCCGCTCCGGGGATCGCTGTTGGTGTGGAACTACCACTCCGACGATGACCGGCTTCACATCTTCGTCGGCGTTGCCGCGGTAGCTGGAGATGACGCTGCCAGTCTCTGAAGTTTGGAGAGAACTTGAACCACCGCAGCTCGAGGCGTCGGCGTAGTCTACGGAGTTATCGGCCTGAGAGGAGTCTGTGGGCTTGCGTTGCAGTGTTGGCGTGGTCGGCGTCGGCGGAGGTAGACCACCTAAGCGGTGCTCGTGGTTGCTGTGTGTCTCCGGGAAGTGCCTGGAACTCTGGTCTGTGAGGCCATGGTTGTTCATCTTCTGCTGGCGGAGTTGCTCGCGGATACGACGCATGGCGTGCATGTGGCTTCGGAACCCGTGCTCAATGTCGTCCAGATTCGACACGCCGCTGGGTTGGTGGTGTTGAGTGTTTGGGTCGAATCTTGGTCGTGTCGGCGGCATCGGAGACGGCGGAGGTTCCGGGATCGTCTGCACTCCCAACCCTGGTGATCCGTTATTCAGCAGCGGCGTGATGTAGCTGCGGACATCTTCGCTGACATAACCCGGTGGTTCGATGGGTCGGGCAATCCTGTCCGTCGGCCGTCTGATGCCTGTGGCCACGTCCGAGTCCCATTTGTGAAGGACGTTCTTGGTGACCTCGGACAGAACCCGCCACTCCTCGGTCTCGGACACGTCTTTGGCTCTGGCGAGTTCGGCGTGTGTGAGGCATGAGAGAAACACGTTCAAACTCTCGACCAACATGGACAGCTTCCGTCGAAAGTCTTGAATCGTCGCTCCTTCGTACGTGCATTCCGGGTGCGTGAGCCAATTCTTCACGATAGCGCGTTCCTTGGTCGAACTGGACAGGTACAGTCTGACGAGGTTGTGAAGTGGTCGTAATGCCGACCCCAGAGAGGTCAGGATCTTGGTGAATGTCAACGCCCAGCGTGCCCTGTCTGGCTGACGGTCAATGAGCGTTGACGTTGTGCCGACGCTGTGTAATGAGTCCAGGCTGATTGCAATGGTCCAGACCTCGAAACGGAGGTTTTCAAAGTCCTCTGATACCTTCTGCATGCCGTAGAATGTGTGCCATGCCAACTTGCATACTTCTGCCAGCGAGGCAGGCGTACTGCTGGTGAATCTCATCTTCTGTGCCATCGTAGTTGTCGTCGTGGTAATCTATCGAGAGAGGGTGTTCGTGGAGCATGTGTGCATATGTATGTGTATGTCTGTGTGGGTGAGAGGCTCAGTAGACTATTTAACCGGGTCAGCCGAAAAGAGTTGCCTCCCTGGAGAGGACGTACGTAGAGCCTTTTGCCTCTCGACGGTCCAAATTCAACGCATGGCTCATTTGCCTCCGCATGTAACGATCATCAAAGGGAGGATTGAGGAAGGACAATAGCATGAGAGGGGAATGGTCAGCCAGCGTGCCTGGGGAGGCTAGAGCGTCACGGCTTGACATGTCGCACCACCTCGTGGCCTGACACATCCTACTTACAGGTCTCCACTTTGAGCCCAAGAACACACGGATATGATATCCCGGTAGCCTTAATTTCGAAATCCACACCTGAGCCGTTTTAATTCATTCAAGTCCATTCAACCTTTGACTGCTGGCACGCCACTTGTTGGAATGATAGGCGGAAATGGGTCCCAAGTCACTTATCCTCATGTGTACTCCGAACACTGGGGGAGGGTCTAGAGCCCCGAAGCCAATAGGCGTCACCAGTGGTCTGTCAGCCTGCCTTGTGTCAGTCTTGACTCTTACCGTACACACTGCGGCTCTGTACCATCCAGGCACTTTCGAAGATCCAGGCTTTGAGCCTTGACTTTCAGGGCACGGAGTCCAGAAGATTGAGGAAGTCGCAGGCCAAGCAATCGTTGATGCAAGTTAAATCCACGTCGAAGATTGGAGTATACCGTCGACGAATCCTGGACAAATCCACAAGCACCTGACAACGCGTGTCGCCTTTGAGCAAACGGCAGGCCAGGCAATGGCCAAAGAACACAAATCCAATCCAGTGTGTACCAAAATTGTCTAGTCGTGGATTGATGGGATCCTACCAACATCATTGTACTGGTCTGCCCGAGCGCTGGGGTCTGTGCTTGGCTAGAGGTTAGGACTAGCTTGTCCATGCAGAGTAACACAGCCTTACCAACCATACTCGCCTCCGGGTCAAGTCCAACATAGAGACAGCGTTGCCAGGACTTCCAACCGTCATGGGCATATTGGGTTGCAGTCGCTGACGTCGTCAGCTGTGTGAAACATTCACATGGCATCATTGCTGCTCCTAACTCCGGTTCAATGATCTAAGCCTTGATAGTGTATCGATGTCACCTGTTCTCTAGAGACAACATCTTCACAGAAGGTGGTCATCAAGAATAGCCTTCGCAATACAAGGCACGGGTCGCTGTCATAACATGTGCGCAATGTACACGATCGAGCTACTACTAGTGTATCCATGAATCTGAGTTTGCTTTTCAGAAGATAGAGGGGGCCTTACCTCATTATTTCTGCCCAAGTGCGATGAACACATCAGACTAGGTCGATTTAGACGCACTTGTCTAGCAAATGGAAGCCCGGACTCAACCAAGATACAGGACTGGAACCATTCCAGAGCAAACATAGCCTGATACCAATGTCACCTGTCTGGCCCGGGTAAGCCTGCGCCGCGTCGACAGGACCTGTATCATGGCTCGTATCGAAAGTCCTTTCCCCCCTGTCGAGACAGAACTCTAAGCAGGAGGACAGGAAGCTTCTCAGCTATCATAAGGTCATGGCCAACAGGAGAAGTCAGATCACACAGCGCAGTGGGTCAGTGGCGCTGTACCTGGACATATTGTGTATAGTAGTATGCTGTACGGACCAAATCGTCGGTAATCTTGACCACGGAAGACTCAGTACTCCATAAGACAAACACTGATTGGTATGATGGGGAGCGATGAGGGCTCAAAAGTCCCGTAATAGATGCGCCATATTACCGTCGACGCCCAACATCCAGAGCGATGGGCCATGATGCAAGATGCAATCATAGCTTCGTTGAGAGCTTAGATTGAAGTGGTGTGCAGCGCGACGATTTGTTTGTGGCCACAATGGACCCTTGAGCCTTTGAACCGACTCCTTGCGTGACATCTGGGACTGTTTCTAGTATATCATCACCATGGGATTCCATCCTCACCTTTACTCAACAACAGCAGATCTTCTATCATTCAGCTATTACAGCTCCAGAAGCTCCCTCGAAGAAACTCGTTCTGCCGAATCTCAAATATCCTCTCACGTACTCGGGCTCGACCTCACTCACCGCCAGCCAACCTTCGCGAATCATTACTTCAACACCAATACAAAATGCGCCGAGTGCCTCGATCCATTCAGACAGCTGTGAGGCCGGCATGGAGACAATCGCTCTTCACAATGTCCCAAAGACTCAAGCTCACCATGTACCACTGGCTCATACTTAGACCATACTCTCAGAATGCGATCGTGGTGCGACTGTCAGAACCCAACTTTGACTGAGAGACGTTCAGACACCCGGTTCCGGGATGTCTGCTTGCGGAGGACGGAGCAACGACGCGCACAATAATGCACACAATACGCTCTCGGATCTGTGAAAAGGTGGTACCTTCTGGCGGCCGCGCTCTCCCGCTTTAGGCGGTACCCACCGTTACGCTCTCTGGGTATCACACCACTCTCCGGTCGTACCACCTTCAATCTTCGCTACCCTTTACTCACATTCTCAATGATTCTCCGTCCCCTTTCTAAGGACACGTGGACTGATGCAGTGCCTCGTACGACTATGCTTCAAACCTACACTACGCCCCGCTGCAGCCTGGATGACTTAGCAGATGATCTAGCGGGGTCAGGCCTGACTGGTCCCGCTATGGTCCTACACCTCAGGTATTCAGAAGCGGCAGTTGATCATCATACGATGTACTTTGTGAACGATTCTTATTCTACGATTGTGCTGCATGAGGGGAGATTAGTGTCGTTCGTACCCAATACTTCAGCCTTCGATATCCCCCGGACCATGAGAAGAAAAATTCGACAACACGGACGAACCCTCTTACTGACATACTTTTTTCTCCCCTGATCTGGCTCTTTTGACACAATACTCTCTCTGCAATGGACAAGTTATCTCAGCCCAACTCAAGACACGCAACCAGCAAGGCTGCACCGAAGTCGCCTCAGCGCTCTCCCTCGACTTTTACCTCGTCGCCAGTTCTTGGCTCAGACATGCGATATTTCGCATACAAACTCGGCACTATTTCCAAGTTCAAAATCGAAAAAGAGGCCCGCAAATCGGAGCCCAGACTGCACAAGCTGGTCGGCCACTGTTCGTTGTTCGACAATGCACGCAGGTACATTCTCGACACTCTCTGCCACGATGACGAAGAACAGGATGAAGGCGCTGTCGACTCTGATGACAAGTGGTCTCTGCATGACAACAAAGACGACGAAGACGGAATCTCATTCGAATACGTCGAAGACGTGCAGCAGAAAGAGAGGCACAAATCTCGATCCAAATCTTCCAGACACTCTCGCGGCGTAGTGGCCCTCAAAACCGAGGAGATCACACTTGACGATGGCAACGACGACAACGAGAACGAGGTAGAAGATGACGAACTTGAATGGGAATACCACAGCGACTCAACAGAGGCACACGATGACGAGGACGACGAGGACAACTGGAGCGACTCAACGTGCGAAGAAGACGACTCCCAGGAACCTGCGTACTCCCACCACAAGGGTATGGATATCTACCCGGCAACGCATTCGAAGTACACCGCTCAAGATGACGTCCTACTGTGGTCACAACAACCTCAAGTCATGACACCAAGTCAGGCCAACAACCTGCTCATTGAGGCTTTTGCTTAGAGTCCCTCTGGTTTTGGCTTGTCTCTTGGGGATCCCAGCTACCCCTTCTTTTTTCTTTTTCCTTCAAGCAAGGCGTTTTTGTGGCGGGCAAGCTCTTTGTACAGTTCAGACATGAATGACGAATGCTTTGCGACCTCGGTTCATAGTGGACCAGTATTCCGTACGGGTGGTTATTTTTATGAGTCATGATACCCAGATGTGTCTGTGAAGTGTCTGTTGTGACTTGTTTCTGACGAAATTGTTTCCAATGAAAAATTTATTCAACACAATTCCATTCATCTATTCCTATATTGACGCATCATTTCTGGACTGCTGAATCCGCAGCAATCAATTGAGTTCCAGGACCAGTTCGCACGAAGAAGAAGGATTCTCAACCAACTTCGTCAATGGTTGGTGCTTACTCCTACGAACTCCCTAGTATCCAAAGGCAACATGGAAACAACATACAGCACACTAAGCCGAATCACGGTTTTGGCAGCATTAGACGAATAATCCGGCGAACTCCTCCTCGTCCCCATCCTCCTCTTCACCACAGTACTCCTCGCAGGTACTACTGTCCTTAGTATTCAGCTTTGCATTCTTCTTTGCTTCGCCCAGGGACTCTTCCGTCTCGTCCGGCGCCTTTACGCTCTCTCCCACCGATCTCTCGAACGGATCGAGGCCAGAAACCTCGCATGTCTGCGTGATAGTCTCGACAGGTTCTCCATTCTTGAATACCCGTTTGTAAATGGTCTCATGTCGGTGGAAGTAGGGCTCTGATCCCGAAATGGCCCTCTCTGCGTTTCCAGGTAGTGAGTTCAAGCATTGTGGTTGCGAGGCAAAGGCGCTGGCCATGTCTGTGATCTTCTTCTTTCCTGCTCCAGGAGCACATATTTGCGGAATCGGAGTGTCTGCGTTTGCTCCCGTGCAGAGTGATTCGAGTGCTGGAGGCTTGAAGGGAACTTTGGGCTTTTTGACCCTCGCGGAGAGTCCGTCAACAGCACTCGTTTGTTCTTGTTCTAGTTCGGACTCAGGCTGTCGTTCAATGCCAGGAGGAGTAGAGACATGTCGGAGGCTGGCGAGCTCTCTGGGAGTGAACTTCCATCTCAGAGGAGAGTCTGGCGGGGTCGGAGGGCGAATGTAGAGGTCGTATTGATCATTGGTTTCTGCCATGCTTCATTCATTTGTTTGTCGATGGATAGAGAGATATTAGGCATAGGTCAGTGGCGTAGATAATCCCCATCCTTATGTCGATATAGGCCGGGTCAGGTGTGTTGGATGAATCGAGAGTAAACCTTGCTACGAAAGTTCCAGCAATCTTGAGAAGCCCTCACCTCGTTTACGGGCAAAAATGCCACTGCCAGAAGCTTCCCGATTAGTGCGCCGCATTGCTTGCTCATGAGGTCAGGTGGAAGTCCAGACATGGGTTTGAAGAATAAGGTTCCCGTGCCGGAGGATGTGGAAAAGTATGTAGGTACTGACCCTGTCACACCACAGGGACGTATGTCGCCGAGTGGCTGAGAGTGACCTGATCTACGATCCCGCGAGGCTGGGCGGGTCAAGGGGTAATTGTGGAGACCACAGCCGTCACCCTACAGAGCTTGTTACCACACGGGTATGATATCCGACACCGTCTTCCGATGCCGACTATTCTCGTAGAGTGTAGCGAGGCGGAAAAGAAATCCCTCGCTATTAGTGCGATCAGGCTCGTGATTATCAGGCAATGCGGGCTTATTGGGCTCTCGGTGAGCCTTATGGATTGCGGTCACTGCCTTGGTTCATGTGGTGGTGTCGCTTCTCATCCAGTAAGTAGTTGTACTATTTCTCTCCAAGCTGCTTGTCACCAGCACAATCAGGTGCCCTGAGTCTCGTAGGGACATGGACCATGGTCTGGGAGCCCGTCCCCGCCATGCATCGAAGACAGACGCTGAGATGTCATGATTGAGCGCTTTAGTCTGTGGGGAAACAGGGCCAAGGTATCCAACCGTCAATGATGGACTCATTATGGCAGTAGAAAGTGCTGTCTCTTTTACAGATTATTAATGATACATATTCTCTTTCTCCGATCCAGTCCGAGAAGATACGCGCTTAGGTCTCGCGCACAGTATTCCCTCATATCAACTTGAGTTGGCCATTGATCAATGGTAATCAGTCGTATTATGTCGCTTCGTGCAACATCATAGACGCCGCAACTAGACATCCTCGCAGGTAACCCCATCATTAGATCATAGCATCCCCATTTCCTCCCTTATACAGAATTAGTTAGAGGCTCGTTACTGATACTGGCCGGTGGCGATGGATGGTATTTGTCGTGATTACAACATGCGCAATGATGTTGCCTTTCATTACGCGTGTTGAACAACGGAAGGCTCCTCCAACTCACGGAATGCTCCAGCTCGATCAGGCGAAGGCAGAATGATACGACCGCCGATCCAGCGAATGCTGCCCTGAAGAAGAGTCAGTCAACCGGGTAAAGGTACGAGGAATAGTAGTAAAGGCTGCATCGTTACTCACAAATTGATAATCATAAAGGCAAACATTGCCTTGACCAGCTTGCAGTCTGTGGAGAAGTATGATTTTTGAGGCCTCGTGTCAAAGTACTTCTTGATAAAAGCATGACAAGTTGCCGTTCCATCATTGTCCCATACTCCTATCAAGCTGCTCCAGGCAGCAACAAACAGGCCGTCAAACACAGCCGCCACAGTGAAGAAGACAGGTCCTCCAAAGATGATTGGAAGTAGTGTCAATCCTGTATAGACAGTGCAGACGCAGGCAATCGCGAGAGCAGCGGACAACTTCGATGGTACGTTTTGATCCTCGCTGGAAAGGGTGCTGATGAAAGCTGCTGCGAAACCGATGATAGGGATGGAGCATACGACCTCGATGATTCGCGTGGCAATAAGGAACAGTCGCAAAAAGACTTCGTCGAGGGCTTTTGAGAGCTCGAGCTCTCTTGTTCTGATTCTGAACTTCATGGTTGTTGTTGTTGGTATGGTAGTAGTCAGTGTTTCACGTACGTACATCAATCAATAGTCTAAAGCTGTTGAAGCATGGCATTGCAGTATTCACATGCAATCTATATGTCTCGACAACCTACCACCACTTACTCACATCAAAAGATTTGCTGGGTCTCGTGCACCCAGGCGGAATGTTCGCGGGTGTTTTCGTGAAATCCTTTACGCCGCAATTGACGAAAATCCAAGGTGAGTTGCTCGTGACTCAGGCGAAGAATTGTGTGATCCTAAAGCAACCTCAGCTTCCGAGATACGCAATACGAGCATGGGCCAGAACATCGCTAAAGGTCCAGTATCCGTATTATGCGGCTATCGTTCGGACCTCTATTCCGTACTCGAGCTGCGAGCACACCGAATTTCGGGCGAAGCATCAACACTTAAGAGATTTACAGAGTCCAAGGCTAAGGTTCACACGCGTGTCGCTACGAGCCAGTTGCTTCGCTTTTCGATCCTGCCCATTTGGTATAGCACCTCGGGGCAGCATGAAATTTGCAGCCCACATGGTAGCTGTCATTTTGACCGTCGGGATCGGTGATGGAAGGTTTTCAACGGCCCCAGGATCGACATTGTAGCCCAAGCAAATACTCCGTCGGTGGTCGCTGCTTCAGATTATGCCATACCATGCAACTCCGTCCCTGCAGCAGAGAGGTCCGCCTAATATCGCGAGCTGATCGACACGGTCTTGCATGTGCACTTTGTTGACGTGAGGCACACACTCATAATGGCAATAGCAGGCCACAGCTCACAGAAGCCGGTTTGGGTGTGAGTTGACCTTACTGCAAGGCCATGTGTGTGTATTATCACATCAAAGTCGCACAGTCAGCGACGTGCAGTGAGAACAGCCGCATGGAAGAAATGCGACAGGATGCACAGAAAAGGTCAGAGTCAGAGGGCTTACGTTGCTGCAGCTCAGCTAGAGCGTTGGTCCCAGCGCAACACCCGGGAGGGGTCTGGTATTAGTTGCTCCACAGTGCCGACCAGGGCCATGTCGCTATCACAGGCTGTAATTTAGTGAGGGCGAGCAAAAGCACCCCCGGTAACTGCCGCTGTTTTGGGGAGACTCGTAGTGGCCTGACCATCTTCGATCTCGATTGATGCCGAGCTCTCATGGGCCCCAATAAGCGAAGGACAGGGGTGCCCAGACCAGAGAGCAGTGTCGCCGAACATAATATACCTACGGTCCCTTCTTCCAGACGTGGAGTGATGGATTTGAATTTCCCAAGGGTCTTTGCAAAACACCAAACTTTTTCGCCTTTTCCAATACTATCAACATTCGACTATCTCACACTCAACAGGAAAGCATGCCTTTCTCACAGCCCTTTAACCAATACCAAGGCCCATCATACGACAATAATGAGGTACGTGCCTAGTGGCGATATCCACTGCCACCCCTGCTAACATCGTCCCAGCAGTCCTGGGGTGAGGTCGACTTCACGACTTCGCTACAACCCAACGACAACTACAAGTCATTAGATGATACAAACTTCTATGATTTTAACACTCTACCAAATGCCAACCAGAATGCTCCTTCACCAAACTACTCACAGTTCCTAAACTTCGACTCTTCAGAGGTTGGCTCCTATTCCGTACCCAGCGAAGGTATCTCGCCCAACACATTCAACGTGCCTCTAGCCTCCAACAACTTTCCAATCAAACTGGAGGACAGTTCCTCGCAGCTTGAGCCCCTTTCCTGCGCATTCACCGCACAGTCCGGAGAATGCAGCCCTCAAAGATGTGGCACTGAACCGTCGTGCCTCCAGCTAGCAAGCCTTGCTGAGATTGAGGATTGCACGGGTGCACTTGATTCCAATCCTGTGACGAAGACTTCACGCTCAAACTCCAACTCGTCTACGTCCAAACCCAAGGAGGAGAGAGAACGAAAACCCCGGTCAAAACGTGGCCACAAGAGCTCTTCCAGCGACGAAGAGTCAGCGCAACTACGGGCCAAGCAAGCACACTCGGTTGTCGAGAGACGGTATCGGGATAACCTCAATGGCAAGATCACACAGCTGCATCGTGCCTTGGTCGCGACCGAAGCCACGTCAAGATTGACAGGCATGCCCTCTCAAGACTTCTACTCTTCACGAGAACATCGGGGCAAAGTCCGCAAGTCTGACGTGATGACCGATGCTATGAACTACATCCACCAGTCAGAAGTCGAACTCCGGCATATGACGGACGAAGTGAACCGCCTCAACGAGAGAGTGCGGACACTTGAGAAGCTGGTGAAGTGTGAAGACTGCACACTACTCAAGCAGATGGTGCGATTACAGCTTCAGCATCAACAACCACATTGAGAACCGCCTAACATATGACGAATGGCTCAATTTACTCTCAAATACACGCTACTCCGACTATATACTACCTTTCCTTGGTATCAAAAGTTGACGGGACGCCCCTCGAGGGGTTTCACCAGAGGATTGATGCGAAGGGAGCTGGGAAAGCTTCCCTGGAATGACTGATCGGTGTTGTTGAGCGCAATGCTCTCGGAATTGGATGAGTTGTTTTTCGACCTTTTGACGAACGGGGGGAGGCTATGGATTTGCTTTTCAGATGCTGCTACAGTGAATATGCTGTCCACTCAACGTTGGCCCCGACAAGGGCATGGGTTTCTAAATCCGGAGGCGTTGGTTTACGAATGTCATGATCAATCTCGACTCGCACTTGGAGTGCTTGAGTCTGTTCTGCTTAGGAGTAAGAATTCTACAAGGCGGCCTACAGTACAGCCGTTTGCTGTAATAATGACACAATTATCATTCCAGAAGTGCTCCATTTTCATTTTTCGTCATCTTCAGTGAAGCCGCTTTTGCTTTTCGGCTCAGCTGAGGCGCTTTAAGAGTAGCAGAAGCTCATGAGCTTGGTGATTATGCAAACAAGCAGTTTCCATCTAGCAGAGAAGTGAAACAAAGCCGTACGATCATAATGTCGGATTTGCAGCACCTCAGATGGATACTGGGGTCAGCATCAAGGCGTCATTGCGACGCCGACGTACACGCGGAGAGCATCCAACCCCGGTATCAGCTATGCGTACCTGCATAGATTCCTCCTTCATAGGCTGTGGCTTGCAGACTATGTGAAGTGGTTCACTCCCAAACATAGAGAAAAGTATCAGGCGACTTTGGTACCGGCTCAAGTCATTTTTGGTATTGGAGGTACCTAGCAGGAGTGGCCTGATACCTCCACAAGTCTAGAGGTCAGACCATATGGCAACCACCAACGCCCTCCACACTTTCTGACAAGTTGCTCTGCTGTTTGATCAAACTGGTTCGCGGCTTCAGGTCACAATACTTCAAAAAGAGAAGCGTCCCAGCCTCGTTGAGGCTCTTTGGTTCCAAGGACATTGTGCCGGTTGTGGAGGGCGCCGCACTTTGAGAGTTGAATAGCTCTCGAGCGCAACGAGGCTGCTCGAGCATCGGTCAGTGAATCTACAATCAACGAGGCAATGTCTTTGCAGCATTACACGGTCCTCAGGTCTTTTTTACTATAGTACTTTCTCCGAAGTCCCTCGAGGAAACAACAAGCTTGAGCCTTCAATATTGCTCCGGCTGGAACACCCCTGCTTTCCACCCGAGAAAGCAATGAGCATCCTCCCGAGCATCATCACGTAGTTGACGACCGCCACTACCGATTTCTTTGCCAGTTTCATTTGAGTACTGAGGACAACAAGACGCCTCTCGTTTGCCTTCTTTGTCTTCTCGGGAGCAGGACTACGAACCCAATCTTGCATCAATTGTGAACGTCTGGCACGATTTGAAGGCTATCTACGCCAAATTTCTTTTCTATTACATACCTCCATCGCTAGGGACGACGGGATACGAGCGCGCGGATCAACACAAGGGACGAGCATCCCTCCTATCGACCTTGCTGAAAGACACAATATCGGTACAAGCAACTCAACATTCCAAAAAGGACGAACTACTACGAGTCTACGGCTTCGGATCCACATCCGCGAAATCATCACCCGTAGCAAGGTGAAGTGGGTGACGAAAGTCGATCACAAATGAATGGATGACGAAGACGAAGCAAATGACAATTCCTCACAGAAGGTAGTCGCGGCAACTGATATTGCTGGCGCCTCTGTGACGGGAAGCACCATCACTCCTTTCGGGTGCAGACATTTCGCTCATGCAGTCCCACGGGTCTCTGGAAGTAGTCGGGCCGTAAGTGCCAGCGTCCAGAATTGACCCATGCCGAGCTTCGGCTGGGCACTGCCTCGTCACAACTCACCACCACAAACAAGGACGCAACAATCCCTGTGTGGAAACGGAGAGTACATCAGACAAGATTGTGCGAAGAGGAGAAGCGGTTGGCATTGTCGAATCATGGACAATAGCGCAATTGCTGAACCGGATCTTTTTGAGCCGTTCACTTCCCCAAGCAGGAAAGTGAAGTAGGGGAAGAGGGACCAAGCTGCCATGGGCCAATGACAGAGCGTTGGCTCGGGTCAAAGGCGGCCTGAAATGCCGAATGAGGACGATGAAGCTGCTTGCTATCGATCATGAAGCAAGCGCTAAATCTGGGGTCGAGGACCTTGGAGTGACCTATGACTTATCATGTTGTCGAGAATACCTCACAGGTGGCTTTCGTCATGACTCGTGAGCGGGCGATAAAATCAATACTATGACTGGATCGACGGAATAGATTCCTTTCCGCGCGGATCAGAAACCGTAGCCCAATCTCTCCTGGTACCGAATCCGCGAATACAACTAACGCACTCGCATTGTTGTCGTATTGACCTTTTTTTTTCGTACAAGCGCTACTCTAGTTAGTATTGTAGCTACTCTATGGATGCAATGCCCGGCACGGCATAGACCCACCCGCATGTGTGATGCCATCTGCAGGTCAATCTCGAGGCCGATAGCGTAGGGGTCCACTATTGTTCGTAAACTAGCCATCATCAACCAGCCAATAGTGAAAGGGCATGGAACTTCCATATTGAGCAGCCGAGGACCCGGTCGGGCCCTTTTCCATTCTGTGAAGGCCACTTGCAAGTTGTGCCGTTCTTGCGAAGACAATAAATGCTAGTATTATTCTTGTATGCTCCCTAACTCCCACAGGGTCTTGTAGATTGTTTCGGACGCTGGCTTGGTCGCTGCGAGCTGGATCGAACCGCTAATCCCGAACCCCGAACCGCAGAACCGCCGGCAGACACTGAAGGTCAAAGCGAGGGCTAACCGCTAGGCTGGACACTCTTGGTTTTCTTGGTGTGGCGTTCCTTCATGGACATATTTCGTGCCAATGTCGGAGACAAGCCCACGTCTGCTTCAGCTCTGGGCAGGCAGAATTGAAATTGTCAGTCTTGTATGCCGTAAGCGGCCCGTACGAGTTACGTGCTGCCCATTGTAGTGGAAGAATGCTCAGCAACTCCCACTGGTAGGGGGTTTATTAGGCTCTCAGCTGCCGATATCCGAAAGCTCCGTTAGCTCGAAGCTCGAAGTGGCCGATTCCAGGGGGCGAGGGAAAAATAATTCCCTCCTTCAAAAAGACACGAGACGTTCTCGACTTTTGCGCCCGTGGCGTGATCGCCCGTCTGTAAGGTGATACTCTGAAGACACGTTACCTCGAGCCCAGCCAAGCTTACGAGATGTTTCTTTCCCCTCTGCTTCTGGAACAGGCACTCAGTACGCCATACCGTGTTCGCTTGCCGGGTGAGGTGAGACTCTGGGGTAACTTACTGTAGGGGATCGCCAGAATTCGGGACGGCCTTTTCCCTTCTTTGCGGGTGTGGCAGGATTTGGCTGATCACGAACAACAACGTAAGTTGCGTTATGTTTCGTGCCACATTGTCATGTGTACACGAACAATCATACGTGCGTCTTCACGGAGTAGACACTGCCACGGCAGGGGTCCTCTCCGTCCAGAATAAGAATGCTGGTGTTCTCTTGAACCTTCCCCCTCATCCAAGAGCAAGACTTATCCAAGTATTCAGAACCATTGACCAATATCTCGATCTGGGACAACAAATCTGAGATCCCAAACCACCTCCCCCCGCACACACAAACTTCTTCCAATATTTGAGAGAAACCAAAGAACAGTCGGTCGCTTGGTACAATTTCACGACTAAGGAGCAATATCCATACATATTACTTGTCAGTCCTACCCACATGCCTCCAATGCGACTCCCAGTCACCACGCTCGGCCAAACCGTCAGAACGTTCGCTTCACACTCGGCAAGAAGAACGCTAGCCCATCGACTACCAGGTTTACATGGACCTTCGGCGCGGATTCTTGCAAAGACCGCACGGCCTCACCATATGCCGGCCTCGTCGTTCCCTATGGTCGTTCGCGACGGACTCAGTTACAGTGCTCTGGGAGCGTTGACCTCGGCGGGTGCGTTTCTGATTTATTGCGCGGTAAGCAATATCTCCTCGTACCCGTCTTCTTCGCTCCCCTACCAATACCGTCCCGTGGCGTGGATCGACCGAAGTGATTTTTGAGAGACCCACAGTCAACATCTTTCCTGTTATCATATTATATATATGTACGCAGGCACAAATTTATTTCTCGTCGTCAGAATGCCAATTTGCGATATGGGAGACTGATGGACAGGACAGGACAAGGACGCCGACATGATGGAGCTTCTTGCCACGCCAGACGCACTTGGCTGAGTTCATGATGATGACCATGATGAAAGGAATTCCCTGAACATGATTTGTACAATACCTGAGGGAAAGGGACGGGGATTGTGTTTGTCCTCAAAGGGCGTTCGAGGGGTTTAGGACTTTGCATCCTAGGTTTGGAACAACAAAGAATGACTTGATGACGAACAAACCTACAGTCAGAATCACCCCTTGGGCAGCTTATGCTCGGGTGTCTTTTGCTCGCTTCCCTCGTCAGAGTGGACTGATATCACTGGATAGTGAATTGAATGGGTGCATGTGCACAATAACCGCGCTCCATTGCGGACGCTTTGCCCCTTGTCTTGTAGTAACAAGACTCTGGGAGCTTGATATTGTCCATTCTGTCTTTGATTTTGATCATTGTGATCATAGCGCCCAGTCACTCTCGAGACAAGACATGCCCTAGTTCCGAAGTACTTGGAGTTGCGACGTTGCTTGCGGCGAGAGCAGCATTTGTTCTTTGGAGAGATCGCAGAGGTGCACCATCAAGCACGACATAGCTCGGAATCCACTAAGGAGATCACTACATCAGTAATCGAAATCTGCATACCTCTCTCAAGGCAATGCTGAGAGCATCCTTGGAGACCGTACGTGACAAGGCTCTGTTTTCTCCAGGCTTCGGGATTCGGATGGTTTTCAATGCCCCGCGATGTTTTGGGCCTTATCAAAGATAGCAGCCGCGGAGAGAAGGTGGGCGCTGATATAATATGCGCCTGGCTTGGTCAGGCTGATGGCATGTGGTACGAATTAAAACTTACATCATGCGGATGTTCGCGGGACAGGGCCCATCCACTCCTGAACATCAACATTCCTCATTCGTTCCATTGGGAGCACCGTTGTTCGACATTCGTCCAATTTTTGCGCCCGAAGTCCGGAGTACAAGTACGAAGCGAAACAAATGTGAAGCGGTGTGAGCCCAAGCAAGTACAACACGGTCACAATTCTCCCCCGGAAAGGAGTGATTTTGTCATCCGAGTGGCGGCGAGCCAATGGCTGTCCTTCTGGAAGCTACCACCACTGCATTCCGTCCCTATCGTCGTCTTGTTGCCGTGGTCAACTGATCGTGAGAAACACGAGGCTCGTCCTCGGTCCGGAAAATCTCACGAACTCAAGTAGGTAGGATGACCAGAATATATACATGCGCGGGACAGATGACCCCCGAGTGATGTTTCAGCCCTCTTCTTCGGCATACGAACACCCCGCCGATCCCACTGGAAGCCTACATCTACACACACTACGCCTTGTTTGCTGAACTATCAACATCTCCAACTTTTGTTGTCGATTGGTTATGTCACATCTCGGGAGGTGACTCCATGCCGGTGCTGATCACGTATGCGACATCTCGTGGCTCCACGAGGGAAGTCGCCGAGCGAATCGCTTCAAGACTACACAATGACGGTTTTGCCGTCGACTGCCGGCCCGTCGACCGTGTCTACAGCGTGGCCAACTACAAGGCTGTCATCATAGGGAGCGCCGTACACAATGCCAGATGGTTGCTGGATGCCGAGCGATTCCTCGACGTCGAAGCCACAGGACTCCGGACGAAACCCCTCTGGTCGTTCAGTATGGGCTCAGCCTCTGCGAGCACACCCGGTTGGAGACGGGAAAAAGTGGCCAAGCGGGAACAGAGAAAGATTGAACGCATGATCATATCAAAGGTGCCCACAGTCAGAGAGCATCGCTTTTTTGCTGGAAAGAATGATGGACAGTCCTGGTCGGGTCTTGCGAGAAGCATGTACCGTTGCATAGGTGGGAGGTTCGGTGACTTTCGCGAGTGGGATGAAATCGACATGTGGACAGATGCCATTGCGAAGGAAATGAAAGCCGAAGGCATTTGAGACCGTCGAGACATCCAATTCCATTCCAGGAGCTGTCAGAGTGTGACGAGATCTTGGGCTCGTTGGCTCGCGATTCTGCTGGTGGATGACAGGGTCATCCCAAGGGACGAGTCGCCTCAAAACACACAATACTAGTAGACGGGCAATTTTTCGGGTTTGATTTGGAGTTCTGATTTGGCACTCATCGCTGTGAGAAAATTAAATCCCACGGGCACCAGTCCGTGTGGGCCGAGTGTTTTGCAGGATACGAGCATTATCTTGTTTTTTCAGCTGGAACAACCACTTTTGCTGATTTAATCAAGGGTCCCTGCGTCCACCTTCAAGACTGCAGACAGATGTACGAGGACACTTCCAGGAGTTTGGTGTGTTTGTTATAAGATTGGATGAATGCCAGCTGCAAAAGTTGCACTGTCACAGCTACAGCCACAGCCTTGTCTAGAAAATAACAGCGCAACGTCAGACCTGGAAATATGTCGTAGTGGTAAGCTTGCTTTCGCACTAGTTTCGCGCGGGCCGAACTCTAAATATCTTGTCAGACGGTCATTTCTCGCCCAGACTTCTCCTCGCTCTTCGAAGCCTTGCACGTGCATCTCAGTGGAGCCGCTGGCCGATAATGTCTCCTTTCCTTTCCAGCCACGCCCGCACGGGATCTGCAGTAATCATTTCTCTTTCTCTCCCAAGCCCTGTCAGGCTTGTTCTCGGCGATAAAGCCCAGCAAGTGCACCTGCTCAATCCAGAACCCGTCTTGCCCGTGCTCAATATCCCCCTGGATCTACCGGGCAGCACGGTGCTTCACACGGACATTGTTGGAACCTACAATATTTCCCTCCATGGTCAGATCAAACTCCTCCCCCAGAGCTTTAGGGCGTGACTTCAACATGTCAATCACTTACACCCGACCTCTACCAATCAACCACTTTGATTCCAGGGACGATGGGCTCTCATCAATTCTCCTAGTCCATGCTAGCCCGACAGATCGTATGACTGTGGCACCACATCCCGTTCATTGCACCGCATGGTTGAGTTCATTGATTGGATGGTGCTCCCGGACTTGTCGTCCGCCCCGGCCGCTTCGCTAATATTCTAACAGTCAAAAACCTCCTCGTCAGTGCGACGAGCACTGGCCTTTTATCGGTATGCTGCGATTGACTATGCCCTTCTAGCGCATTATAGTGACTCTCGAATGAACTAACGGCTCTGCTTAGTAGCTGAAATCAACCGATCGAGGTCGCCCCAACCCCGTCCAGTCTCATCCTCTTACAGGTTGATGCAATATGGATGGACGACACATTCGACCAGCAGAATAGGTTCTTCCTACTATGGGCCAGGGTTGCGTGCGCCATACCCCACTGCCTGAATCGACAGCAGCACTCCGACAGACTATTGGGCCAGGAAGAGCATATCCGTCCCTTTCGCAACGCCGAACCAACCACCCTCGTCTTTCACATGACAAGCTTCACCCCGAGTACAGGCGAATGTCCAAGACTGCTTTCGAGCTCCAGTGCCCGCTCACACCGGATGCTCTTATGACATATGCATAAGCAAAACCTGAGACCGAATGACTTGTTTACCCTCCTCGCTAAAGCGAACCCACACATTGCTAATCGTATATGGCATCTCTGCCCCCCCTCTCTCTCCGGGCACGTACTTATATCGCTTCCTAAACTTGCAGTTGCCTCGGCTTTTTGTTTCATTCTCCTTTCCCACCGAGCAGAGCCGCCATTGATCAACGAGAATCGGATAGTCCCTCCATTCGAGGAAAACCTGGCTCGAAGTCTATCAATCAACCTAACATCCTCACCGCCAGTGTCGACATGCAAGATACACGGGAACATGGTCGAACGCGACCGAGGGTCGCCAGAGCTTGCGAGAGGTGTCGTATAAAGAAAGCTAAGGTAAGCAATGTGGTATAAAATAGGTGCCAGCGATGTATTATTACTCCTTAACGACTCGCCAAAGCGAACCTGGATCTTGTTTCAACAACTCACAAACCGTCGACAATAGGCATCTTCCTACCGCTGCGTGGTCCTTCGGCCTTCTGGGACTCGTACGCACACCAATTCCCCGCCTTCACCCGGGTTTCGACAATCCTCAGGGGCTTTATCTGCTAGGATGTTGAGGTCTCGTTGCAGATATAGGCTAATCACCTTTCGTTTGCAGTGCGATGGGGAAAGGCCATGCCGAAGATGCAATCTCGACAGCGCAGTTTGCTCGTACAAAGTCCGACGGAAACCAGAATCGGCCGGTGCTACTCAGAGGTGGGTGAAATCTCGTCCTAAGATGTCGACGCCAAAGCCCTTGGTTACGCATCACTGGACTGTAGAGATGACCTTGTTTCTGTTTACTAACTAAGATTCCAGATATACCAATCTTTTACTTCAGCACCACTCGGCTCTCACGGCAGGCCTCATCAGACTATACTCGAGGCTGCTTGAGGGGAAAGGATGGGATGGTGCGCCGGTGGATGAAGTAAACGGCAGTCCCAGCGTCCATTGCATACTGGAACGAATTGGCGTGATTGGAGCTGACGAGGAATTTGACGAAGACCTCGACACCTCAGATCACAACGAGCGACCGCAACTTGCACCCATTAAAGAAGCCAGCGCGCCGGCTGGAGTCAAGAAACCAGCAAAGTCAAAACCGCACCACGCCGCGGCAAAACGCAGATCGCAGAGTCGTGTGTCATCGATCCAGACAGAACCAGAGTCAGGGATCGACAAGTCCCGAAACTCCTCGCAGCACGTCCGAGGTATACGGCTAGCCTCGCCATCGAACTCAGAGATGTATTCTACCGTCTTTGAATCTGGAAGCTCCGACACCCCTTCCACCTGGGAGTCACCCGGCTTTGCTGACGAGCTCTTCTCGGCCTCCGCCACAAACGGTGATGCTCAGATCCGGTATGAACGAGACATGGACACGACATTTCCGACCGAGCCTTCCTTCCCGACCCAACATCACCAGCTCCCCGATGCAAATCTCAACGCGCAGTCCACGGCACCACTTCCATTTGACAGTGGCTTCGAAATGCAGGTCACGGACAACTTTGTCGATGCTACTTGCGATATGAACTTTTACGACTGGGACGGCAACAACTCATTCGGTATCGGAACAGAGCCGGGACTGTTCGTACAAAGAAACAACACTTGGAACCCTTCGGTGTTTGCGTGATAGTCCCTTGCAGCGAGGCATAGCTGCTTCCTCGGGTTCAATGTCAATGTTGGAAACGTCATGGTTCGAAGTGACGGCCAACAAGTGTGCGATTCCCTAGCCCGATAGCAATTGTCAGAGGCGTTGGAACCTCGATTTTCTCAACGTGGTCCATTGGAGGCATTTCCACTGTTTCTGATAAATCGAGCTAGCGGCTCCAAGAGAGATTCATTCAACGCACTCTTTCCCATGACTTACTCTTGCAAGTGGATTTGGCCTTGGTTCCTCGGAGAGGTGAACACACCAATGCTGTGGAAGGAGCCCCAAAATACAGCGACTTTCACGATACAAGCATTGTTAGACCCGGATGCGCCAACCGAAATGTAGATTATACATTTCTTCTACAGGGTTTTTTGAGGCCCTAAGCTAAGCTAAGCTAAGCGGCTACACAACACGAGGAGCAGTCGAGGGACGCCCCAGGCGGCATGACTTGCATGGTGCTGTACAGGAAGGCTCCCACGAGTATCCACAGCTGCATGGCTGATAGTTCGTGGACCCTTGCATTTCAGAATTCCTACAGAACTGCAGCTTTTCAGGTAGGCTGTAGCAAAAATCCGAGCATGGGGCAGGATACGACAATGACATGGCGGCACTACACTGCATGATTGTGTCGTTAATAAGATACTCATCACAAGCATCGGTCCGAAGTGGTCAAAGCTCAAGACGAAAGTAATATTCTTGTTAGTATTTGTTCAAACTCTCTCTCGGGCCGAGGCCCTTTTCAATACGAGGGTCAATCTGCTCCTACAGGCTGCGATCACCGATCAGTGGCAGCATATCACGTAAAAAGAAAGCAACGATGTCATTATTATTGAGAGCTGCTAAGCGAGCGTGGAAGCAAAGTGTTGAGAGCTCGTAAGGTGTTTGTAGCCTTGTACTCCATAGGATGGATCTCAGATACATCATACTCGGTACGAAACGTGAAGATTGGCAATAATAATAATTGGGACGCCCCCGTTTTCCCTCGGAAAGTGATCCGAACGGATCTAGAACTTCCGGAGGCGTTGAGAAGCAAAGCTGACCAAGGGATGGAAAATTTGACGAGGACGAGGATGAGGACGAGAAGAACCAGGTACACAATATAATATTGCACTTGTTGTCTTCTGAAGCCAAGCAACACCTACAGATGTTCACAAAGTACAGTGCATGTCCTAGATGCTTCATGCTGTACAGACTGTCCACTACAGATCCGCAGCTGGTCGATGGGATGGACGCTTTCTCACGGTGCAGCGGCAGCGGCGGCAGCTGAGAATGAATCGGACCATGGGAAGAACAACAACACTAAAAGAAAACATCGTTCAGCCCCGGACCACTAGTAGATTAATCAGAGACTTTTACGACAATTATGATATCTTCGTACAGATAAGGGAGGGAGTTGCGCTGTTCTTTTGTTTACTAATTGACGAGAGAGGGATTAAAGCACGTACCACCACCACCGCGCAAGCCATCGCTCACCCACCGTCTCCTCCTATTACTTGCGCGAGGTGACTCGGTCTGAATGCGGAAGTAATGGTTTGTGATGATATTGCCTACTCCAGTCGAGGTTGCCATGTGGAACTGATATGTCTTCTGTACTCCGTATTGCTACTCGTAATTGATGTTATCATCGACCAGATCGATCTTCCTGTACATCAAACACAGGGACATCACACAGTAGAGTACGACTCCGAGTTCTCTTGTACGGTAACGTATGTAGTTAACCGAGTTTCGAGGGATTTTGGCCATGCCAAAATCATGTCTCCAGATGGGGCGCGGGTGGATGAATTCTCGTCGACTTGTAACTTGTCACCTGTCAGGTCACTCACGGTTTACTCCATAAGGGGGTCAAGGAATCTATTTTTTGATCACAGCCTCCGGCCGCGTTACCTGGGTTGGTATCGTCAGCGGGTCTGCCGGCTTTCACAATAGGGCCATCCCTGTTACATCAAGGTTTGAGGTAGATTATTGGACTTTGCCGATGCTTAGTGAGCGCCACTGGTTTGCGTCTACCCCAGATCCAAGGAGGCTTGTGGTTGCTTGGTGTGCCGCTTCTTCCCCCTTGGACGGCCTGCACCTGCAATTTTCTTTGTAACAGGAGACACTGTCCAGGGCGAGAGAGAGGGCGAGGATGAGTTTGTACACGAGTGGCACAGCCCCAGTCCGCCTGGTCTGATCGCAACGCCGCTTTTCTCAGTCCTCATTTTATCAGACTTTAATAATAGTTTGCGGCTGAAAAGCTTGCTGTTGCCACAAACAATACGGCGGACTACTGTATACTCCGTACAGCATGCAGATTCTAAGACTCCCCTTCGGTACGGAGACCCGGCCCTCGGTCTAAAGAGCTCAAGCTCATCAGCCAAGCCGTCTACTCTCGCTTAAAGCAACTAAACATGGAGATTTGAATGCTTCGATGGTTTCCATCTTCAGCCATCCTGCAAATTAGACGCACCGGTGAGATGAAGGGCTCCAGAAGATCCTACTCAAACCCTGGGCTAGCTGCTGCGCGGACCCACATTTGGCCATGGCCCGTTCTCCCTTGTAAAGTTGGCTTCTATCAGACAATCACCTTCAGCCGATGGGCAAAGAAGGTGCTCCATGCTGCATTGCGGCACGAGCAAAGTCAAGCTCCACTCACAAGCTTTTGTGACTGGGACAAGCATCAAACGTGGCTCGCCCGGACCGCTGCTTGGGGTCGGGTAAACATCAATGATTCATGAATCATCACGGGATATGGCTAGAAAAGCCCAAAGCGCTCGCATCTGCTCCAGCAAGTCGTTGACTCGTCCGAAGCAGGTTCACGAACCATTATGTCTCACTAGTCATACAGAAAGGAGGGCAGAATTCACAGCTCGTTGGTCCTTGCTTCGCCTCTTCCACCCGTCTTTCAGGCGACCAAGCCTCACCGGCCGGCCACTGTGACAATAATAACGTACCGTAGGGACGGGAACCTTCTCAAGAATAACGCAACCTTGGTTCAGCCGCATCGTCCACATGGACATTGGCAACTCGTCCTGATCATACGGGAAGCCGGTGTTGTGACGGGCCTGTCAAGACTCAACCGGTCTAGCGGCCTAAAACGTTTCGTTACCGCGCCCGGCGACTGGGGAGGCTCCAGAGCAATCTCCCACTCGATGATCTAGATATATCCACACTTTGGCCGTTTGTTCCTTAATAGTTAATGACCTCCTTTATGCTCTGCCTTCCACGTTGCGTCCTCTTCTGAACACTTTCGCTCTCGTTATTCTGGCATCTATCTCTGCCGCAGTCACTCGCTTGAACCTCGTTATTGTTGTCGTCGTCACTTGCATACGCCATCACTTGACCCCTTACCTTTTGACTCCGTAATATCCAACACCTCCACCATCACAGTCAAGATGAAGTCCGTCGCTGCTTTCGCCATGCTGGCTGGCCTCGTCGCCGCATACCCTGGAGAAGTCCTGCGCAAGCGCGCCCTGACGGAACGTGACAGCGGCTGCCCTCGAGACCTCACTCCCGGTCAATTCGAGTTCCCTCACTACATCACGCAGATCTCCAAGAGCGAGCCGGACAAGGCGTTCGGCCCTCAGTACAACGGCGTCTTCACTCCCAACGACATCGCGTCCATCTTCAGCTTCGACGTTCCCGCGAGCCGCGCCGACGCCAACTGCACCCTCGAGTTCATCTTCCCGTTGAAGTCGCAACTGAAGACGTCCAACTTCGACTACGAGGGCGGTGGCTCGTTCTTCTTCACCGGCTACAACCCAGGTAGCTGCCCGGGTCCAGAGACCACATGGAACAACCAGCCCGCTCCAGGACCGTTCCCACCTTTCCCACCCGTTCACATGGAACCAGGCAATGCTTACACCATTGATGTCGGTCCTTGCTTCGTGGGTGCCGGTACATGCGTGGCTGGCTTGACCGTAAGTTTTTTATATGCCCCGTTTCTTCTTCACATCCTCCAGATACCTTATCAGATATCTTTGGGGGGCGTGGAACCGCAAAAAATTAACTGACGCCTCCTCTTTAGACCACCAACGACACCAACTTCTGGTTCTTCCAGGACCAGGATGAGTGCCCCATTGGCATCTACACCGCTTACGAGTACGGTCTCCCAGCCGGTACACCTCCTCCCTCGTAGATGCTCATCTCGACTTTGAGAGTATGAAGGACCGCGGAACCATTGAGGATCGTCTTGTTTGGCTGGGGTGAAGAGAACCCTCACCCCTTGCTTTCTATCATACCTGCAGACTTTTGGTGCCTCGTGGAACGCGGTGAAACATGGATCAGTGGCATGTGGGTCTAGGGGGAACTTGTGGAGGAGTTGACAAGGGGGATCCCAGCGACCAAGCAAAGACCTTTCTTTCAACAACTTCCAAATGTCCACCCGTCCTCGACAACATCAGTTCAAGAGAGGATCTACAATGAAACTCAACTCGGTCGCTCTCTCACTCATGCACGCATACACACACACACCGTCAACCTCTTGGAGGGATCTACATACTCTTTGGATACCTGCACAAGCAAACCAAACTCAAAATTCGAGGGGATCAAATCATTCATCAATGGAGAAGGGGGAGCGCGCTTCTAGCAATAATCTATGATTGATCAATCTTTGGCTGCTGTTATTGTTATTTTTGGACAGATGAGAAAATTCCAAGCATACCTGACCTCTCTGACCTATCTGACCTACCTGACCTACTCTTTGCTATGGGTTTAAACTATCCGTTTCTTTCTTTTTTCTCTCTCAAAAAGCTCGTTTGGCATCGCATCATCAACATCTACACCTGTACCTGCACCTGTACCTGCAATCACTCCTACCCCTACTCCCTCCGCCGGTACCAACTCTACCTACATGCTAGTCGAGGTAATGAAACCTGAATCTGAAGAAGAACACTCTCACAGAGCAGCGATGTGCAACCTTTTCGCTCCCTTTTATTCTTTCACTTCTCCGTTTCGTTCGACTCGACACAATGTGACGGCCAGTTCCTTGTTTGTGTGCAGTGTGCGGTACGGCACGGGTACCGGGTACAGAGTACGCAGTCCCAGCGGGAGCACGGAGTACAAACAAGCAACTCTCTGCCGCGTCTTGACTTGCGGCCGGGGGTGTCCGTGCACCACAACAACGACGACGACAGGGGCGATACGGGTTTCTGACGCGAGTCCCTAGGAGATCCCGTGGACGGACAACCACAGTACATCCTGGATGTATGCATCGCGGCGTGGTCGTTGGTTTCTTTGAAAATTGACACGGACGACGACGACCGTAGGTACCTCACCAATCTCCCTGCGAAAGTACGCCGTACTGTAGGTAGGTGCTTGCTTAGAAAGAAAAGAAGTTCAGGTAAACCGCCTGCGTCGTGAATGTTTGTGACATCGTTGTTGTTGATCGGTCTGTTATTATCACATACCTAGTGAACATGACTGTTGAAACACCTAGGCAGGTAGGTCTGAGGTAGGTAGGTATACATCTGCCCTCAAGAAAAAGGGGACCATCCTCATTGCGTTGTCGGTTTGTCTTTCTTTTCTTTCTCTTTGTCTTTCCTTCCCTCGTCAACCTCAACGCCATACAAAAGAAACAAATTCCAACAGACGCAAAAAAAAGACAACTTCCCTATTCGTGCTCGTACTCGTACTCCATGCTCTAATTACTCGTCGCTAACAAAGAAAATGAAACCATGAACACGTGTATACCGGGAAACAGAAACAGCCGGGACCGCTGGAGGGCTTCCCAAATAACAAAGACCCGAACGCTTTCACAGTCCCTCATCACGATGACACAGACACCTCTTGTAACGGTCTCCTCTTTGCCGTCAGGTCCACATCCATCGTCAGACCCCATCGGTCAGCGAAACCCTCACAGACCTCCTGGCATGTCTTTGCAGCCTGACGGGTCCGACACCGCCGATCCCAGTCGCCCGCTTGAATAAGCATGATGCTATTCTCCACCAGCTCGTCCTCGACGTTCATGTCCTCGACCATATCGCGGACAGACTTGAGCTTGCGCGTGGCGGCGCTTGCAGCCAGACGAGATTCCTGCAGCAGATCCGTGAGCGAGCGAAGTGTTTGACTCAACTCGTCCGTCTGCGACGCAAGGATCTGCAACGAGATTAACGGATTTTGTGGCCGCAAGAATGGCAACGTCGACATGAGGGTGGTGATTTCTTCCAAAAGTACATCCACCATCTCTTCTGGAAGATGCGCCATTCCACCGTAGATGAGCGAGTGGCTTTGCGTAAACAGGTCCCGCGTCTTGTTAGTTCGATGCGACGCCATGGATGTATATGCCGTGATCAATCGCGTGACTCCGTACTCGACGTTCCCTTGCGGACCGAGATCCTTCAAGCCTTGGATGGTTCGTTTGACGGTTCCGCCGCCTTCACTGACTGCGTCCTCGGGGTTCGCGCACATGCGGGTCAGTTTCTGGATGTCGTGGATCCGTTTCCGCAGGATGGGCGGCAAGGTCGCTTCTTCTTCTTCTTCTGCTCCGTCTGCGTCTGACTCGGGCCCGTAATCCGAGCCATCGTAGGCCGACTCGTGTCTTTGATGTCCTCGCTTCGGGTGCGTGGGTGGCCGCAGGTCGATCGCCTGCGATGATGGCACTTGTAACGCTGGGGACGCTCCATCGTACTGCGCCGGATGCGGGCTTTGCACCACCATGCCGAAACCGAAGTCGTGCATGTCGTTAATAGCATACGGACTCTGAAGACCATGCAACGAGTGGTCTTGCTCCACGTCACCTTCTCTTAATCCCTCCAAGAAATTCGACCCGCCTTCCTCCTCGTCATCCCAGGCTTGTCCCAGCTCGTCGGCCAGGTTCCCAAGGCCGTTCTCCTCCTGCTGTTCTATACTACGCGTACTGCGTATGCTCGTCCGGCTCTCTCTGCGCTGTATGGAAAAAGAGGGTGGTCTCGATGACTTGGCCGATATGGGTCGCGGTGTCATGGGAGACCGTGGCTGGTAAGATGTCTGCGAGGTGCGCGACGACCGCCGGGAATAGGCCGTACCATTTGTCGTGCCGCTCGTGTATGGGCTCGTCGAGATCGTTTCCTGAAGAGAGTCGACACTGGAGAGTCTCAGCGACCTGCGTTTTCGCGAAGGCGTCGAAGGGGAGGCCGGCGGCGATGTCACTGTCATGGTCTATCCGTAACGCGAGTGCATAATATGCAAGGTCAAACGCTGTCAGAAAAAGAAGGAGTTGAGGGTCTTTGCGAAAATTTGTTCATGCGCAACAAAGCATGTTCGTATGATGGTGGATTCTGTGGAAAGCAAAAGCCTCCATCAGTGTTGATGTTGAAGTGACTGCTGCGTACTCCGTTTGGCCAGCCTCAAATCTCCCCAGCGTGTCGTACCTTATTTAGCCCCAACTTCACTGGGCACGCGGAACGGCTCGTTTCGAAAATTCACCAGCAAAACCCCGACACTCGACGAAGACTTTTAACAACCGCCTCGCTGTTCCTGGAAACATTTAGCTTGAGTTTGTCCCCCGCTGGTCCTCATATGTTCCAGAGGTGCCGGACGGAGGCAAGTCGACTGTGGCACCGTGCGGGCTAGATTCAGCTGAATTTGGGAAATATTAAATTCCAGCCATCAGCAATGCCTATCATCCGGAGAGTCCAGCCGTCAGATCTATTGCATCTCAACTTATGCAACCTCGATCCCTACACTGAAAACTACGACCTCAACTTCTATTTGACCTACTTGATGAGATGGCCTTCGTTGTTCCAATGTATCGAAGAGCACGGTCAGATTGTCGGGTATATCATTGGAAAAGTCGAAACTTCTCCCGCACAACTACAGTAAGTTCGTTCATTTTGTTTCCCACTGAAAGCCGTGCCTGAAGCATTCCCTCCAGAGGTACGCCACACTACCTGCCATGGCATGGCCATATCACGGCTCTGTCAATCGCACCACAGTATCGGAGATTCGGATACGGCAAACTTCTGAGTGAGTCGCTAGAAAAGGCTTGCAACCAACAGAATGCCTGGTTCGTGGATCTGTTTGTACGGAAAAGCAATACGAACGCCATCAAAATGTACGAGAGCATGGGCTATTCGACCTTCCGGACCGTGGTCAGGTATTATGCAGATGATCCGACTGGTGTTTCCCAAGACGGAGAGGACGCTTTGGACATGCGGAAGCCTCTGGACAGGGACAAGGACCGAATCCACGTCAGGGAGAATGGTGAGAGTTTCAAGGTCGACCCTGAGGATGTCTTTTGAGCACCCTCTAAGCGATAATAAGTCGTCTTAACTGGCACACATGCTCAATCTGTTGGTGCCTTATCCAGGTAATCATGTTGGACACGGTCCCGGAAGGTGAAAGACGCCCGAGCCGAGCCAGGGAGTGGCATACTCGATGACTGTATGCGGGACGACCTTCATTACGGACGAAAAGCTGGCCTGTCAGAGAAATGAAGAAGATAAGCGCCGAGATGAGCTATGGCCTCTGTATGTCGTGAGATTGGAAAAGCCCTCATAGCGATGGGATGTGGAAGTCATCGAGGTTGATAATGTCGGGACCTCATGGGGGACCGAGTACAACATTTCCAGGGACAGACACTTTGGGCAGTCTACAGTGTTGTGAACCACAATGCACATTTGACTGATGAACAAAGACACATTGTAATACATGATGGTGTTCAGACTGGCTATAGCATATTGATTAGGTGTTTGCTTATGCTACGGCCGCTAGGTCGGCGTGCATTCGCTTTGTGCGAATAAGATGCAAGGCCTGGCCGGACTTCGGTTCGCTCGCATGCAAGATAGAGATGGTTCCGAATCGCGGGCCTTATGCCACACGGCGAAAGCAGAAACGGGCAGAGGCGGGTAGCAAGGATTGAGGAAGATTTGCCTGGGAGACGCAGCAGTTGACTTACAGCAGGGAGCAAGTGTCGACACCACCAACGAGACACAAACCACCTGCACAGAGCCAGCGACGTAGGTAGTAAGTAGGAAGTGGTTGGTAAGAGTGAGCACAATGTAGATATCTATATGAGATTGTACAACTTTATGCCCACCGTGTCCGGGCCCCGATGAACAGTGCATCTGCTAAATAAGTTTATCTTCTAACAAGATATCCGGAATTATTTCAAGGGTCTCTTCACATACAGTACGATCTGGTTTTGCCCGAATCCCCAAGTTCTTATTTTCTTGCTCCAATCTCAGCCTACCACACCTCCTTTCTTCAATTGTCGCAGACAACACCCTACTCGTATCGGCAAACTCATTCTTTCACTTGCTCACTTGCTCACTCTCGCTCGCCAATCACTCAGCCCTCATTAAATCGTCGACCACATTCCTTCCACCCTCCAGTCTTCCTCAAATCACTCACACGCGCACCCCAACGCCACTTCGTCTCCTTACGCCTGAGCGCACGCCTGGGCGCTCGTCCGCCTCGTCACTCGTTTTCACCTCGATCTCGGGAACCAGATCTTCCTTTTGGTCTCGATACTCAGCCTTGCACTGCGCGCTTCACCTGGGTATCCCGGCGACCTTTCGAACCTCTCGCACGTACGCTCATGCCGACGCTCAACTTCAACATGTCCGGCTACCCCAAAGTCACCCGAGAGAACAAGTCGTCGTACCTGTCGTCGTTTGTGCGATGGCTCCAATTGAAAAAGTACCAGTACGAAGTAACATTCTCACTGTACATGCTCACGCCGACCGAGAAATTTGTATTCAGTACGCAGCAATCCCCCTTCCCCTTCGACTAAATCCTGCTCCCACACGTTTCTGGCAACGACCGCTAACACCCGCGACATCGCAGACTTTATCCTCTTCATGCTCGTCTCTCTTCTCGTCACCGCGGCCTACTACTATCTCCCCGACCACGTCTTCCTCATTTACAACCGTGTCTGGTATTATCTGCAGGGTGAACTCGCCTATTCAGCTGTAGCTGGAGGAGGAGGAAACAAGAGCCTCTACCTCACCGAGGGGTCTAGAAGGACGGCGGATGCCTTGACGGCGTTGACGAGCCCAGGCTCCCTGGTCGGCTCAGTCACTGCCGTCGCGAAAGAACTGTGATCACATTGAAAATACTATCGGTGACGTGATTGCGGTCGTCTTTTCTTCTTTTGAAAGCAAAAACGAGGAGAATCCATGGACATTATGGCGTGTCGGTATTGGCGTGTAGAATAATATTAATGCATTTTATCGCATTTTCGACACATGTAGTAATACATTTGATCTTGATCATACAATGATTTACGTCGAGCACGAACCAGTCTTCCCACTGCCTGCGCAAGTTCCCTCTTAGGGGGTCAGTTGCGCGGGCGTAAGCTCAGCCGGCGAAGGACCCTCCGGTTCGTTAAGGACCGTGAGATAAGCCGAGGAAATAGCACTTCCCCCGTCATCTCTTATATGCGCTGGGGAAGTCTCCCCTTGCGTACACGATGCGAGTGTCGTATGCCCTCCTCCGGCAGCCTCATCTCTGCATCATCACACAAGGACCAGGCGTATATATCTCCTGATCGTCGCCCAGAGTATTGGTTGGTGCGGGTTTGACGTTGAAAAGAACGGCGCTGCGAATGTAGCTCGAAAGCGTTGGTCGTGTCATTCCTCGACGTGAAAAGGTGGATTGTCCCGCAGGTATTGAACTCCAGGGTTTTTATGGCTCTGCTCCCTTCAGGTTGGGTATCTTGATCGTTTAAGACTGTAGGTGTTTAATCTTTTGCCAGTATGTCTTCTCTTAATGACGGATTGGGTTGGGTTGGGGTTGTGCTGTTATTGTTGTTATTGCTGCTGCTGCTGCTGCTGCTCCTGCGCCGCCTTCCATTCCTTCTGCCTTCTCATATTCTCCTGTATGCGCCGTACTTCGGCCTCGAGTTCATCCTTCTCAAAAGGGATCTTGTGACTTTGTTCTTGCGTCGGCCAGAAGCCGTGTACCGAGAAGCGGTTCTCCAGGTTCGTACCGAAGTAGTACATGTATCCAATGGGGAAGGCAAGGTACATGCCAAACTGTGGTGCACGTTAACCAGGAACAAACAGAATCGACGGATTGCACCTTGAATTGTGCAAAGCATTACCTTGAACACTTCTAGGTTCGTTCCGCGGAGAGACCGCAGGATGTAGTTGAATACCATTGTTACAGCTCGCGCAAACTTCACTCAACAATCTGTTTCCCGTGCTGAATGGCTTTGTTCCGGAATAGGAGCAGTACTTGTCCTGTCCTTTTCTCCAAAGAGTGAAGCCGTGGGAAAAAAAAACCAGCTCGCCCGGTGGTGTGCCGCGCATAGATGAATCGTCGTAGCCCTGCCGCTTTTACTGTACGGGGTGCGGATACCTTGGGTGCTCACTCTTACGACCACACACCACACACCACGCCACTTAGCCTCCGCTCAATACCTTCCTCGGGTACCTAGCTACCTCTAGGGGTATAACAATTATGAGCAACGCCTCTGATGTTTGTACATGTCATTTGTTCAGGTCATTCGAATGTCCGATTGCTGTCGCCGAGTCTACAAGCTGTAAGTGAGCTGCCCGTGAGTCTGGCTGGGAATACATGATGCATTCCATATGCCCAACTCGCGAGAGAACCTACTCAGCGATATCGAGGTCACTAGAAGTTCGTCTTCATGCCACTCGACTCGGGCACTGGCAACCTTAATTCAAAGCGACCGTCAACTTGTCGACGCCCCTTCTGTGAGGAACAGTTCGATCACTCCACAACCGACAAGAGATATACTTCAGTCTCTTTCGATTCTCCATGCACAGTACAAGGGGCTTCAGGAATCCAAGGCTCGGGCAATGACCTCGCCTAGACCACATTCAGAGTCCATTCTCACGAACTTGTCCGACACGTATACTGAATTTGAGTCGGCCTCACTAGCCTCGCTAGAGTCAGTAAAACTGGTCACGTCCGACGAAGGTAACGATCAAGTCTTCGTCTCTCCAATATGTCCCTCACTGCAAACTGTCGGACTGAGATCGGCTGCTGGAGAAAATCTAGTCAGCCATGGTGTCAGCTAAGAGAAGATAGATGAATATAGATTGGTACCTTTCCCGAATTCGTCCTTCACCTCATTCTTCTGAATAATCACGACTCGCCAACAACTCGTCCAAAAACTGGTGAGCGAGCAGCTGTTCTTTGCCTTTATGGCAATTTATGCACTCGCAAGGGATTCTGCTTTGTCGATGCCCGTGACCAAACGAAACGGATACTTACCTTTGCGCTGTGCGCCGAGCTTCTCGGGGCTGAAATATACAGGCCACTCGGAAAGTCCTAGTGACTTGCTAGATCCGTTCGACGAGCATATCCTGACAAGAGGGCTTGTCTATATCTTGAATCCGTATTCAACTAGATTGCGGCCATGAGTCTGGAGAAACTGAAGAGCATCACGGTAGATCTCGTCAAGTTTGGAATTGTCCTCCGACGTGTCTCGTTGACAGGGTTCCATTCTAGGCGAGAATGACAGCGGAGCTCTCCCCCGCCTCGAAGATGAAGGCTATGTTGGCATATGTTCGAATTCACACAGGAACGTGAGAAGAATCTTCGGGCTGACAAGTTGATGCCCAGGAAAGCGAGCGGAGTCAGATGTTTTCTCTTTTGGAAGCAATTCTGAATTGCATACGCTGTGGAAACACCTGTGAAAAAGATGAATGGTTTAGACAGTACCGGGCATCAGTTTCTGTAGATTGACAATCAATGTCTGGGGTGCGCCCAGCTCTGGTCTGACTCTCAACGTTATATACATTCTTGTGGTGGTGACAAGGCTGGGGGCTGATGAGGCTGGATCAATCGCCCCAAGAACGCCGAAAAGACTTTGGACCTCGGCTCAGCCGGAGATTCTTTGTTCTCCAGAAACTCCATCTCCGCAGTTTCACCCTCGCCCAGTTGATTACTCTTCGGCCCAGGATGTTCTACCTTGACTGAAGCCACGCCATGATTGAGCCGTTGAGATCTGGATAACCGAGGAACCGTTGGATCTCACTCTTTTTACGTTGTATTCTTATACTGCCTCCCCTGTCGGCTGTGTCTAGTCCTGTCCTGCGCCGCGTCCTTTCCATTCCTTGAGCCGAAACAGAAGACGAACTCGATTGTTCTTTCAATTGACCTTATTTCGTTGGTCACCACCACAATGTCTACCCTGGCAAGCCCCGAAGAAGCGGTGCTCTACCGCAAAGAAGGCCGCGTGGCCATCATCACTCTCTCGCAGCCCAAGAAGCTCAACGCCATGACCCAGCCCTACTACTACCGCATATCCTGCCTGCTGCGCGACATCGCCGAGGACCCCGAAATCACCATCACTCTACTGACGGGGTCGGGCCGTTTCTTCTCGGCCGGGGCAAACGTCACGACGACACGGCCTGGCGTGGGACCGGGCATAGGCAAAGACGAAGCGCGGAGCGACATACTCAAAGGCTTTGTGAGTAACAACCTCGACATCACCAGGAGTTTCTACACGCATCCCAAGATCCTCGTGGCCGCACTGAACGGGCCGGCCGTCGGTCTTTCGGCGGCAGTACTGGGCTTCTGCGACTTTATATACGCGACGCCACACACGTTCCTGCTCACGCCCTTCTCGTCGCTTGGGTTGGTGGCCGAGGGCGGCGCCAGCATCGGGCTCGTGCAGCGTCTGGGTCTGGCGAAGGCGAATGAGGCGCTGATCATGTCGAGGAAGATCCCGTGCGAGGAGTTGGTGGCATGTGGGTTCGTAACAAAGGTGTTCAGCGGGAAGGATCAGAACGACAGCGACGGCTTCTTGAAGCAAGTCTTGGACGAGATCCAGGATAAGCTCGGCGAGCACTTGAACCAGGAGAGTTTGATCAAGATCAAGGAGCTGATCCGAAGACCGTTCCTCGAAGCACTGGAGGCCCAAGGAGTCAGGGAAGTCATGGAAGGCATGGCGAGATTCGTAAAGGGTGCGCCACAGGAAGAGTTCCGCAAACTCGCCAGTGGGGAGAAGAGGCACAAGCTGTAAATTTGTAATTAGCACGGTTGAGGTTATATCAGCCAAATGGATGATGAATGTGATTGCATGTGCGTATATCCTGGCCCTCGAAAATGACATGAGGAAAACACATGGTGCTGGTTGCAAGCATCAGACTGCTTGGGCAGCCAGCCCTGGACCGAGACTGCTTAGAGTGGCGAGAGAGCAATTAAGAGGAGGGCAGGTATGTATTTCTCCATTGAGCGCGCCCAGATAACGCCCACTATGTCAGCGTTGGTAATGCGAATCACATCTGGACAAAATACGAGGAATGTTGCGACATTCGGGTCGGGCTGTCGGTCGAAGCGGATCCTGCCAATGGTGTATCATAGAAGATTGCGCTCTTTAGTGGAAAGTAGTGCCACTTTAAGGGTCGTCTCGGCTGCATTGCTTCTTTTGGAAGGAAACACTTGTCGTTATGCGTTGAAAATCAGGCCGTTTTTGTCCATGTTCAAGAACCTTTGCTGCTTTTATCGTGCTGACTTGACGAAGATCGTGTAATCTTCGATAGTCACTTTGACAAGCAAGCCAAGCAGAGACTTGAGAGCACGATCACACATTTATCTGCGGCCGGGTTAGTAAGATGACTACCGATGTGGAAAGCAGCGTCTGCGTCGCGCTCGACGCTCAGCAAAAGGGTTCGCGACGCCGGTAGGTTGTTATGGTTGAGCCCAGCCCAAATTGCTCAGAGGTATATATAGGCCCAAGGGGTTTGCCACTGATTCTTGATGTTCATCATCCATTGAGCGCGTAAAGACAGCTTCGAATACCTGACATTGAGAGTCGAAAACAAACTTCCTCAAGGACGACCAGAACCTGCTGAAGCAACTGTCAATATGTATATCACCTTACCCAATGGAATCCGTGTCTTCTATCGCGAAGCCGGATCATCGTCCAATCCAACTATTCTCTTGCTTCATGGGTTCCCTGCCTCCTCGTTCCAATACCGGAATCTCATGCTCATCCTGGGCGAAAAGTACCATGTGCTCGCTCCTGATTTGCCTGGATTCGGCTTCACCGAGATCCCAGAAAATCTGAACTTCAAGTATACGTTCGCCAACATTGCGACGACGATTGGGTCGTTCCTTGATGTTCTCAAAATATCGAAGTTCGCCGTGTATGTCTTCGACTACGGAGCTCCCACAGGCTTCCGGCTGGCTCTGGAGCGTCCAGAAGCCATCACTGCCATCATCTCTCAAAATGGGAATGCATATGAGGAGGGCTTGCAATCTTTTTGGGATCCATTACGCCAGCTCTGGGCCACTTCCGATCCCGAACAAGAAAAGAAGATTCGTCAAGCAGTCAGTGAAGCAGTTCTGAGCTTCGAGGCGACCAAGAGCCAGTATCTGCATGGCGAACCCGACGCGGAAAAGATTGATGATCCAGTCACGTACCATATTGACTATGCGTTGATGTCGCGTCCCGGAAACAAAGAGATACAGCTCGACTTGTTCAAGGACTATGGCACCAATGTGGTCTTATACCCCAAGTTTCAGGAGTACTTGCGTACGAGCCAGGTCCCTGTCCTGGCAGTCTGGGGCAAGAACGACTTCATCTTCCCACCGGCTGGAGCTGAGGCGTTCAAGAGAGACGTGAAGAACTTGAAGCTTGTTCTTTTGGATGGTGGTCATTTCTTGGTCGAGAGCCATACCAAGGAGATTGGAGGGCTGATTTTGGAGTTCCTCGCCGAAAACAAGATCTAAGAGACGATGCAGGAAATGTAACGCTCTGTGCTCTGACAGTGGGTGCAGTACTTATGAATCGATTCATCTCCACATGCGCTCGATCAGTAATCTTATGGATGTTGTGATTTTGGGTCACGGTGTCCGTCCTAACCAGCCTACTCTTGAACATAGTTCACCGAGTGCCGACCGTGAGGCTAGAAGGGGCTTGCTTCGTCATCTGTAGTGCATTATTTGACTGTAGTCCTGCCAAGACCACTGCCGCTAGTTGCTCCAGACCAGCCCAGAACGTTTGGCTGACAAAGTCGTATGCTGGCGAGGCAGTATAGATAAATACTACCATCAGATGGCATGAGAGACATCCAAGCATAGGACCTAACTCCAAAGGACGACTGGAAAGCCATCACAACGAGTCTAACTGATCACCATCTTGGTCTTCACACCCATGCCAGCCTCACTGAGAATCGAAATATTCCCTTCGGATCTGCAACGCATGATCGACTTTTACTCGAACGTATTGCAATTCAAGCTGCTCAAGCGTCAAGACACATACGCCTATCTTCAGCGGGATAATATCTTCATCGGAGCCATCGAGACCCCGTCGTCCGACACCCTGGAGCGAAAGATAGCCTATCGTTCTCCAAACAAAGGAGTTGAGATAGTGTTCGAGGTGGATGATTTGGAACATGAGAGGGATTTCATAGTGAGCAAAGGCGCGAGGTTGGATGCCGACATTGCTTTGCAGCCTTGGGGGTTGAAGGACTTTAGGCTGACAGATCCCGATGGCTACTACGTGAGAATCACCACACACAGCGTCAAGAGAGGTTCACTATAGTTGGCATCTTCACATGCCTTGACGTCGTCGCTGCACATGTTGATGCTGAGGCGGTCACGAGTTACGATTGCTTGGTAGTTGCCGAGTACGAGAAAAGACATGTCTCACTCATTGGAAATGATGTCTTCTCGATCTCTTCTCGATCTCTTCCGACCTGCTGACCGTGTGAGTAAATGCGTCATGCTGCCTGGCTACCTGGTGTTACCTGCAGAATTGGTTGCACGCGTACTCATCGTCACCCCTAGTGGCCAGATTTGCACAAAACAAATGACGATAGTGCTCCAGGTCGTCATGATGAACAACGTTAGTCCTGTGTATGGGCGGATTCAAGATCCGAAGCCGCCAGATCGCGGTGCAAGTGTGACGTACCCAGTAAGAGACGATGGCGTCGTTGCCCAGCCACACGAGGCGGGGCGGGACGTGTGGCGGTGAAGCGGCTCTCATTGGCCAGCCCCGTAACGGCAGGGGCTCATGACATCAGAACAATATCGCATTCTCTGACGATGGATGTTTGTCTCGCCTTGTCATCTGCCCCGACAACGTCATAAGCACTGAACACCACAGAACCTGAAGCAGGCAAGGCCTCGGGTTCGAGCTTGGTTTGGAGCAATCAGACAGCAGCAGCGTCTGGAACTGGTGGGGCCGCAGTGGTGTCACTGGCAGGAGCGTCGCGGGGCAATTGAAATTCACCTGGCCAAGGACAAAGGCAGCAGGCACAGAGCAGTTTGCATCTCGTCACCTTCTTTCGAATGGTATAAGTATCTCGTCTTCTCCCCCCAACCTACCGTTGTTCTTTTCCCATCAACACATCCTCTCGAAACTACCACCATCCAGCAAAAAGTCTTATCAAACCGAACTTCAATCACCAAACCCATCACAATGGATACTATCAAGAACACCGCCAAGTATGTTCCGCTGCCGTGACCTCGTTGTTTGTTCATCTGTACTGACATAAGATTACAGCTTCGTCTCTGACAAGGTCAACGAAGCCACCTCTGGTGCTTCCAAGGAGGCCAACAAGAACGTCGCAAAGGACTCTGATGCGTCTCTCGGAACCCGCGCCTCTGCCGCCAAGGATGCTCTCGGTGACAAAGTCGATGAGAGCAAGAGCTCCGTATGTTTTGACACTCTTGAAGTCTGGTTTGGAAAGTGACTAACATGCACCACAGGCATCTGCTGAGGGCAACAAGCAGGCCGCTACTCACTAAGCGCCTCACACCATCAACTCGATCACACCCGTCTCCTCTGGCTCAAGCATACCTAAAGAATCATCCTCAAATGGAGAAGTGGTCGGCTTCATGACATTAACGAGTATTGAAGAATACACCTGGCACACTTTGCGGGTCTTATGAGCTTGGAACCTATGTATTTCGTACAGAACATGGCACCTCAACAGGTAGTCCATCAATGATATTCTAAACCAAACCAAACCGATACTCTTGTGTTCTCGTGACCTGTGCATAGAAGCTTTCTTGAACTGATCGCGTGCTCATACATTGCGTTTTCAGCGAGGCGGCGAGGACGATGAGGCAATATATAACAGCGTGGCCGTGATCGTGACTATGGACTGAAGTACACACCGCACAGCTCACCATCTCAATACTACTCTGTACGAGCACATTAACCCTCGCTCCCTCTCGGAGAAATTCGCATACCATGTGTTGAATACTCCATCCCCCAGGATTGGAACTGCCTCGTCTGTAGGAGTACGAGTAATCTGTTGTCACGTCTTCGCAAGTAAATCCAAAGTCATGAAGGAGCAATAGTGTCAACAGTCCCTAGAATCTCAATTATCAAACTGGTGGTGCCAGGTCGATATGTCCTGAAGGAGGTCATGCAACGAAGTATTGTATTCTTTCTCTTTGTAATGTTCCATTTTTGACGCTCGGTCGCAACCGAAACCGGTGATCATCTTGTAGGAGGAGAGTCTTGAACAATCAAGGGCCCAAGATGACGAGGACAAGCAGATGCAGATGACCACATCCTGCGGCCCTGAAAGAGCTGTTGCCGGTGCAGTATCAAGACTGGCAGCAGATTCTCGTTACGCAACGCCCAACGTCGGACGTCGTGCGGGAGAGCGAAGATGAAAGCATCACAGAAGAAAATAGTTGCAGGGGCAGAAGAACATTGATGATGATGATGAGAGGAGGAGGAGGAGGAGGAAGTAGAAGCAGACGATTGGCAGGACCAGGAACAATCGGGAGAGCCAGACGTTGGAAGAAGTGCCTGAATTCCGAATCCTAAACCTCAACCTGAACCTCAACCTGAGAGGGAACTCTGTGGTGACAGATACAGATCTTAACTCACAGTATCAAACGACTAGATCGCTGCCTGTGTATGGCCGACCTCGCCGACAAACTGAAAGGGAGTCCTCGCAAGCCTTGAGTGGCCTGGAACATGGTGGGAAAAGACACTGGGACAAGCGAGAATTGGTTGGAACAGAATCGTAGCTCATTCATGCATTGTCTTCATTCCACTTTACACAATCTTCGAACCTGGCTCCGCTGCCTCCAAACACGTCCAGCGCGCTACCGATAGTCAAGTCGACTTTGCCGCCGCTACATTGTCTGACGAGGCTGAGGTCGTCGACCGTCCGGGCGCCACCGGCGTACGTGACTGGAATGGTACACCATCCGGCCAGCTTGCGAACGAGATCCGTGTCGATGCCCTGTTGTAGACCTTCGTTGTCGGCGGCGTGGATCAGGAACTCGGAGCAGTAGGGCTCGAGCATGGAAATGCTCTCTTTTTTGGGCTAGGTCAGTACGGTGATCATGTCGCACGTTTTCTGGGACGGAAACGTAGTTCGAAAGATACGGGGAACAAAAACAAAAACAAACAAACCTTTTGTTATCTCCATCTCAGTAATCGTCTGCCATTTGTTCATGGCGACGAACCAAGTATCCCCTTTCCGTCTACAGCTCAGGTCGATGACGAGTCTGGACGTATCACTGCCTAGGGATGAAAGGACGGATTTCAAGCGGTCCAGCGAGAAGCGGCCGTTGGGAAATAGAAAGGAAGTTATGATGACCTACTGCTGCACATTAGCCCATTGCGTCTTTCCATCCATGACGAAAAATGTTCTTTTGGGGAGGGAAAAGAAAGGGAGGGGGTTAGCAAAGATGTCTATACCTTTTCAGCACCGGCGTCGATCCACTCTTTGGCGTTGGTGTCGTTGATGCCGCCGCCAACTTGTAGATGGCCGGGCCACGCAGCGAGTGCTTCTTTGGCGGCGGCCTCGTTGCCAGGGCCCAGCATTATAACATGCGCCCCGAGCAAATTTGCCTCGCGGTATAGCTGGGCAAAGTACCCTGCTGGGTGTGATGACACATGATTGGTCTTCAGGTCTGACTCTTGCGTGCTGAGTGTGCCGCCGACGATTTGCTTCACTTGCCCCGCGTGCAGGTCGATGCAAGGCCGGAATCGGGTCATCACGATCGGAAGACGAAGAAAGATTCCACGTACAGTGTAGCAGAGAGGAAAAGAGAATACAAGCGTGAGGCACGAAGTACGTGCCCATTGGTTTTTGCAAGGGGACTGAAAAATCTACTGGGTCTGAGCAGGTTAGCCGAACAAGCTTTCAGCCTTGTCCTCCATATGACGAGGCTGAGATACGGGGTAATGCAGCCCTCGTCCATTGACGAGGAGATAGTTTTGAATCCTGTCATGCTACCTCTAAGGAAATACGCGGCTGAATAGTAGAGAGTTGAGTCGGGTAAATAGAGAGCTATCACAAAGCGAGAGGCGCGGGGTGGGCTTCAAGTGTTAGCATAAAGGTTCTTGTTCAGATTGTACAGTGAGACGATATACAAACGACGGAACGAATAGCAAGCTCGAACATCAAGCGGATTAGACCGCCCCAATTCTACGAAAGACTTGAAGTTGGTTTTGCGTCTTATCGAGCTGAGTCCCACTGAAGAGTTGTACCGGAGATTGCTAGGACCAAAAGTGACACTACTGTTCTTAATTGACCTGGACTCACCGAGGATTGCATCGACTTGAAGTGGTAGTAAGGAATCTCTTTGCGTAACCATGTCAACGATGAGAGGTTTCGATGAAAGAGATCTGTCACAACTATGAATTGTGAACTTTCGGGATTAATCCTGCTACTGAGGGATTCAGTCTATATTTCAAGAGTCTGGAAGTGCTATGAAAAAACTGCAATATAGGACGACAAGATAGTGGGCAATCAATATTAATAAGTCGTGCTCAAGTTCTCACAGTCCATGGATTGAATCCAACAGACACATTTGTCCGTATTCAAGGGATCCATCCCGTAGTAGACACTCTTGACACGAGTCCCCGCGAATAGCATAGCACGACATACACTCGCTCATGGCTCAGGCTGCTTGTGTCTACCATATCGAGCATTCGAGCCCAGAGGAAACTCGTCCAGTGGTTGGGAATTGTGAAGGCGAAAGCGAGACCCTAAGAGCCGCCCCAAGGTGCATACTTGGGACACTAAGTTAAGTTAGGCGGCCACCTTTCCTTAACTGGAACGGCAGTTTCCGCCCCTGCGTAATGAAATGTCCGCGCAACAATTTTTATTTTCAAGACGCAGATGCTCAACTTTGTATCGAAGTAGTGAACTTCACGGCCAAATGGACGGTTGCATACTGTAGAGTGTGTAAAGACACTGGACCCTTTGGGATTCTAATTTGCGCCCTGGTAGACGGGAATAGCGCATTTCCAATGCTGGGCAAACGGAAACGAGAGATTGCGGTCGCGCCTCGACGACGACCGCGCATTTCGACGGGCGACGAAGATTCTAACCCTACGACGAGCGCCGATGCAAGTCATGACGTTTTTCGAAAATATTTTGAGTCCGCCTTTGAACCTCTTCCTGACTCGAAAACCGCAGCATCCTTGCATTCAGAAGGCGACGACGGGAGTGGAAGCGAGGGCGCAGGTGCCAGCCCCGCGGGCGACGAAGACAATAACTCTATGAGTGAAGAATCGGCCTGGGAAGGTCTGTCAGATACAGACCAGCAAGATGAAGAGGTAGTAGTTGTTGAGCACAACAGTATAGCCCAAGACCTACAGGACCTCGAATCTCACAAGGAGCAATATAAGACCTTCATGGTGAGTGATGCCGCTCGCCGAACAGCACGATACTAACTGCGATAACAGAGTACAAAACCGCCCAAGGACTCACAGCGAGCGACGAAGAAACCCCCTGAGAAGATGATTGGAGAAGATGACGCATTGGAAGCGCAAAATTTGAAACACGACCTCGATCTTCAACGCCTGTTGAGAGAATCCCACTTGCTGGAACAAGCAAAGTCGTCGTCGATGCCCGGAGCAGAGCGACATAAGGCCATCGATATGCGAATGAAGTCATTGGGCTCCAAAGACTCCTTGTTTCATCAGAAAAGCATGCCACGATCACATCGAGTGGGGATTGTGACCAAGGCGGCAAGCCGTGAGGCATTGCGCAGAAAGGAGGCAAAGGAGAATGGTATCATATTGGAGAAGCCGTCTGGAGAGTCCAGGCCCACGAACCGGAGGGAGCGTGGCGTCGATGTCCCTGCAGTAGGTAGATTTCGAAGTGGCACTCTGAAACTTAGCAGGAAGGATGTCCTCGATATTCAACGTTCAGGCGGGGGAGGTGGCCACAATGCCCGTCGAAAGCGTCATTAACTGCTCCAAACAGGATAGCAGGCCTTGAGAATACTTCACGCATGGCAACCTGGTCGCTCTCGACCGATCTCCCATCCCGGCATCCGCTTCTGAAGCCTACATGGAGTGGCGTGTTTCGGCCTTTGCCAGGATCTTTGAACCTCGGGGAAGCTCACCAGCTTGGATTTCCTTGACATCCCCGGTCTGCTCAAGGGGATGACTACCCGGAACTGGCATTTGGCCTTGGCGGAGTGACATTGAATATGTTGACTGGTGGGAGTGGACTATTCGAAACGTTTGCCCCTTGGCTCGGCCTGAATGGCAGGTGGTTCTCATCGAAGAACATTGTTGAACATTGTTCTTTCGCCGTTGCACCACTTCCTTCCGCCTCGGGACTTCGCGCCACTGTGTTAAGGTTTGGTTTTCGAGCCAAAGAGTCCAACAAAGCTTTGACCTGTCCCTCTATCAGCGTCTCACCATGAGTCGGTTACGGTCTATCCGTGGTGGCTGAGCTTGCAGGGTGTCCCAAATCAGTAATTTATGACGGCCAGTGACTGTTTTGGTACCTCTGCGACGCGACCCTGCGTTCTTACGGACAGAACGGACTGTGTTTTACTGTCGGAGATTTGCCAGGATCAAGGGCTTTCATACCGATTACGCCACTGGAGAGAACTCCATGCCTCGTTTCAGGCTCTGGACGATAAGGTCAGGTTGATGGCAAGGGCATCTCTAAAGTTCTTTTCGAAGCCTCGAATGCGACGATATGCGCCAATGCTTTACAGAGTCATCGTGCATGATTGCAGCTAAAGAACCGCCCTCGTATGCAAAGATGATGTGCAGCATGGCCACCGTGCCTACTTGGATCGCCTCGAAAGTCCAATCGCAATAATTACGGAGAAAAAAGGGACCTTTCAAAGTACGGTGACATCTGTGCCGACGGCAACTCGGCCTTTGGTTTGGCATCCACCAATGCGGCTGCGGGAGGAGAATTAATCCTGAAACGTAGCGCCATCTGGCTGGTGCAGGCCATGGCGCGTGCATTGCAGATTCCGGAGAGACCAATCCCTCAAAAGGCAAACGCATGGGCGCCGATAGCGATGGTGCCCTGTAGCCTATAAGCTGTCCCTAGCAACCCAGCATGAAACTGTCGTCCAAGCGAGCACGCCAGTCAGGAATCGAATGTGCCAATCGAGAAAACATCGCCGCAGTCGAGGTCGCAGTTGCCAATGAGAGAGCCTGTGGGGAGGCCCCTTTTACTGTACAATACTCCTGCTGGGGACAGCGAAGAGTTCGTTGCTCGCCAATGTGCGAGGCGAGCAACAGGGCGAGGAATAGTCACTGTAGTCCGTTTGTGGAGATCACTGTGACAAGTTGACAACACAGAGAGACACTGCCTGTCAAGCTTGTGATAGGGGAGGAGAAGATCCCGCGCTCATCTTGATCGCTCGGTCTATCCGGTGTGCGATGCTTTGATTTGTCCATGGGCCTTCAGGTCGACTCCCTTGCGATCCAATCACTTCGGACTCGTCGCGTTCTTCTGCGCCTGCGCTCAACCAAACATTTATTATATACGACAACTATCCAACGAGGACATCCTGCCCCCTGAAAATGCTGCATAGCCGGAGACCTGCCGAAATGATCGCCAAATTTTCAAATGGCAGCTCGTAAATGGGATTGACCATTGACTGTCGATAGTCGCGCACAAGGAGTTGTTGTGAACTTGTTGTGACCTCAATTACGCTTATGCAATGGCGGGTCGTAGGTGTCAAAGTCCACTCAAGATAATATCCCCTAGTCTTCGCTTTTTCCAATAAAGGGGGCCACTTTGTCAGTTGAAGGCATGTTGACTTCGGAGGACATCCTGGATTCTGTTAGACAGCTTAGACGCAATAGGTGGCTGAACCCGACTGCATCCAACGTGCATGACAGTGAGCACACTCTATGGAGTTAGCTCCTCGCTAGGCAGGTTGTTAACACGAAGCAGTACTGGGTATCCCTATGATGATCTAAGCTCAGAGGCCACAGGCTGAAACTGGTGGTGCTTTTGGCGGCGTTTGTTTGAGATGCGTTTGAAAACCGTCAGGGCGCTGGACAGTGGACAGTGGCCAGTCTGGCCCGGGCGCCAAAGCGGGACAACCAGCTGCTGTGCTCCATCCACCCATTCGCCCACCCGGTCTGCCCTTCGCAGCCACTCGTTTCATCAACCAGACTTCTCACGGACCAGTGACCACGTTCAAGCGAGACGCCGACCATGAGGGAAGCGGGCAAGGGCCTCCTCACGATCAAAATAGCAACTTGCGAGCATGGCCGCTTTGCGGAGTCACGATTAGGTTGATGCTTGGCTCAAAGCATTGAGCGTCCATTTCACGCACCGGCGAACAGCAAGAAGCATTACCTGGAGTCGCGCGTTCTCGATGCTGCATCCAGAGTCATCCACGTCTGATATGGATACGATTGGCACTGAGCCTACTGTTCCAAGGCATCAAGGATGTACACTCGTTTTTACAAGTATTGCCGTCCTAGACGGGTCAAAAAAGGCATACGCAATTGCCTATGCACATTCCAAAAATCAGACGCAGGATCTGTATCATGTACCGACTATATCACAGGCCCAAGGCTTGCTGAGATACGGACTACCGGTCTTCCGAGGATCTAGTTACGGAGTACCCTGCCGTGCTCAGGTGTAGCTTACTGGACATGCAGTCTGGAAGATCACCACCATCGCACAGTGGAGCAGCTCGTCCTTGTACCTGTTCTAGCGCGCAGGCCAGTGGGACAGACCGAGAGCCTACTGGCCCGATTGTTGCCGCGTTGCCCCCAAAGATAGAGCGAGCAGTCCAAAGAGATGCGAATACCAGCATCCAGCAAGCGGCAAACATGGCCCCAGGCTGGGATGCACCTGTGCCTTGCAGAAGGAAGGTCGGACAGCGGATGGCCAGTCAAGCATATTTTCGTCAATCCCGAAGATGCGCAGAACTGCCAGGACGAGTGGCAGATGTGGTCCGCAATGGCGTGGTCGAATGGATGCATGGAAAGAATGGAGAACAGGGTGTCTATCTTCCCTGGAGTAGCATCGACGACCAGTGCTCTGCGGACACCCTGGTCGACATCCCTTTCTGCCTCTGGCTTTCTGGCTGGCAGTAGCGCCTAAGGGCCAGTAGCTTACCCGGACTGGGCTCCCCTAGCCTCAAGAGTCTCTTAGCCCGGCCCACGATTGTCGTCCCCCTCTCCCCCTACAACGCTGGGCCGCTAGGCCTGGGAGGTGCCTTCTTGCTAGTCACCGAGCGGCGAGCTTAAGTAAAAATGAGACCCATCTGCCCAGTGCAGCGAGCACAATGTCTGCCCGTCCACCTAACTAATCTACCTACCCTTTGTTCTTGTTTCTCGCTTCTCGCACTGGCCGGTCTCACTCCTCCCGCCTTTCCCTCTACTACTACTCATACCCCAGTACATCTTCGTCCTCATCACTTCTACTACATCAACTCACCCTCTCTTTCTTCTGTTCTTTTAAGCCTCATCTCTCCCCTCTCTGTTTCAACTGTGTTGCTAGCACTGCGACTTTTCCATCCTTCTTTTCCCGTCCTCGGCTCTGCCCTAGAGGACTCGGAGAGCCTAGCTTCTCTCCTTATCCACTTTCGTTTCACCTGCTCTCGCTTGCAATCACTCGAGACAGGAGCCTCACCACGTCTGGACGTACTGCGAAAGCTGGTCTCTCGCATTGACTCCATTTACATCATCGGCACCCATCGTTCGCTATACACAGAGCATCATAACAATCGCCTGCTCCTCGCCGATTTCCTGGCCTGATCTGTCGTCCTATCCTCCCCTATCCGCTACCGCTACCCTGAGTTCGGGTCATACCACTCGTTCCAGTCCTATACCAACATCAATTACGAGTGCATAACCTGCCTTGTACCGTGGATAGATAGAAGTGACAAGAGTGGGAGAGTCAGTGACGGCTAACCCCCCCCAATCCATACCACCGCTGTCGGTCGCGTCGACATCTCCATCCGCGATCAATGTACCCCTCAAGTGGTGCACCCATGGCCCAGCCTCAGAAACCCGAGACTTTTATGCTCTCGAACGAAGCACAACAAAGCTTACCGCAAGACGCGCAAGTCGCTCTCCAGCAAGTCGACAACCTCAAATACTTTCTCATCTCCGCCCCTGTGGATTGGAGTCCCGACTCTCTGATCCGAAGATTTCTCCTTCCAACTGGCGAATATGTCTCCTGTGTCTTGTGGAATAACCTCTTCCACATCTCCGGGACTGATATCGTGAGATGCCTTTCATTTCGATTCCAAGCCTTCGGCCGCCCGGTCAAGAACCCCAAGAAGTTCGAAGAGGGGATTTTCTCCGATCTGCGAAATCTCAAGTCCGGGACGGATGCTTCATTGGAGGAACCCAAGAGCCCGTTCTTGGACTTTTTGTACAAGAACAACTGCATCCGAACACAAAAGAAGCAGAAGGTCTTTTACTGGTACAGTGTGCCCCATGACCGCCTGTTCCTCGACGCTCTGGAGAGAGATCTGAAGAGGGAGAAGATGGGTCAGGAAGCCACCACCAAAGCTGTCGCTGAGCCAGCGCTGTCGTTCGAGTTCGACTCGTCACAGTCCCTCTTTGAACAGCTGACAAAAGCTCAACAAGCCAATTCGTCATCATTTGCAACAGCCAACGCAAATGTAAATTACTCCCAGTCAACCTCCCCCGTCCTTCGTGCAACGGACTCGATGCCTCCTCCCCAGATGATGCCTACTCAGATACCGCGATCTCAAGAGCAGCCACCTGCAATGTATACTAGCATGGCTATGCAAACACCCATTACAACCACGGCAATGTCGCGGGAACAGGATTTCTCCGCCATCGCCTATGACCGAAACGGTCTTCCCTTTGACCGTTCACATATGCGACATGCATCTATGCCAGCCTATATGGAATACTCACCTGCTCCTTCATTCGTGTCTTCACACTTCGAGGACTACAGCACAAGAGGCCTGTCGTATGAACCCATCACGCCTCCTCAGCATGCAGTTCCGGTTGGCGCGGAACCAGCCTACATCGCCAACGAGGACACCGGCCTCTACTCGGCCATCCCGGAAATGCAACCCATGCCTGCGTACAACCCAATGGCTTCCCTGCCCCCCTCTACTCTAGCAGGTCCGACCTATGCTGCTGCACCTCGTCCTTTCCCACCTGCAAATGTATACTCAGTCATTGAAGGCTCCCCAACATACAAAGCGCGAAGGAGGCGCTCCTCGATCCCTTCTTCCATCATGAATGCAGTTGCGGCCAATGCCGTTGCTCAAGTCACGCATGGTATGAAGGCACATGTTCCTCAAAGGCCCAGCGACCTTCGACGCTCCATGTCCAGCTCCGTCCTACCCATTGCAGAGGGCGACGAGTCCGGCGATCACTCCCCTTCTGGACTCTCACACAACTATGCCGCATCATTTGCCCACAAGGTAGACCACCTAAACGACTATTCGCGTCATACAACACCGCTAGCCAGCCTGGAAGAAGACCCCGTGCAATCCATGGGCATGGTAACTGGACCTGAAGGTATGCCTGGTCTTATTGGAGACGACATGCATCCCGCTTCAATGCATGCTAGTCCTGCAGTTCGGTTGGAAAGACCGGGGCCAGTCCGACGAGCACGAAGTGCAACCATGATGGAGCTTGGTGTACCGTACAAGTCACATTCCTGCCCAATCCCTAGCTGCGGGCGACTTTTCAAGCGGCTCGAGCACCTCAAACGGTATGTAAACCTCCTTAATTTTCCTTGGCGCCTACTGACACATTCTAGACATGTCCGAACCCACACTCAAGAGCGACCATATGTGTGCCCTTATTGCAATAAGGCCTTCTCCCGGTCCGACAACCTTGCTCAGTGAGTTTTCCCTGATGGACCATTTGTCGTGCACTAACATTTTTTCAGGCACCGCCGCACTCATGAATCTCAACACGACGGCCAACCTGCTCCCACAACCAGTGAAGAGGAGCTTGAAAATGAAGAAAACGATTTCGGCTCCATGGATGAGCTCTCTTCCCCAGATGAGGTCACTCGACCTACAAGCGTCTCTGGCATGATGGCTATGTCGATGCCACCACCATCAACGCTTGTGATGCAATCTATGTCTCAGTCCATGTCGCAGCCAATGATGGCTCCGAGTCAACTAGTCCAACCTTCCATGTTGCAAAATCTCTAGACATATTATGACACGAAGCTCATGATTCCTACAAAGGACGAAGACACAGTGCTATATTTGTTCTTTTTGCGCACTTTTGCGAGGGTCGGGAAAAGAAAGGATGATGTGCTCATGACGAACGAGAGTTCAGCCTTCGATGGCGAACAGCGAGCTCTTGGACCTTCTCTCCCTCGAAGCATTTAGCTACAATGCTTCTAGGTCTGTATACGCCTTTTTTGAGAGTGCTGTATACTTTGGGTGGTCTTTGGGGCTTGTTTGACGTTATAATTTTTTGGTTGGATGATTCCCAAATGGTTTAGGTTCTTTCTGACATCGGGCCACGAAAAGAAATGGCACCGGCTGGACCAACTGTACATATATATACTTTTCTGTTATCTACTGCAGGCATTTCATGCATTGTTAACCGTTTTTCATATATTGAAGAAAGAAGTTAACTATAATTCGCGGGGTTCTAATGGACTGTCTGGACTCTTGTTGTCTTATGAGGCTGCTGGGGGGATGTTGGATATGCTCTAGTAGTGATCCCTCGTCTTCAACAGCTGGGACTGACGTCCCCACAAAGTGGGATGGTCCGGCTTTATGGTCAATGAGAAGCTTTCGTTGAGAATATCTTGTGATTCATCGAGCTCACGTTGGCAGCTGGGTGACGGCGATGAACCATATCATGTTCTGCCTGACCGGTGGTCGTCATCTGCTGGAACCAGGCATCTATTCCAGCATTTGACCATCCGAGATCCCCGTTTATGCACACAGTGGGACAAGTCATCTATAGCACACAAAGTGAATAAAGCAGCATCGGCCGGTGCAGGGCAAAGCAACACTGAACCATAACGCATGGAAAAGTGGTTCATTCCTTATCTCGTCTATATGGAGTTGTGATGAACTCTTGCTCTTTCCAAGGGGATGTGGATGGGTGAGAATGGGACTTTCCATCACCGCAGACGAGCACTCTGGCTTCTTCTCCCAACGACCACTTCCCGTGCTGCTTCTCTTTCGCCTTCGTCCTCGCTGTCGTCCCGGAAGCCTTCCTCCAGTTCTCGATTCAGCCGTTGGTCCGAGTCCATGGCGGCATCTTGAAGCTGGTTTGCGGTTCGAGTGGCCGCGGCCATGTTGGAAACCTGGCGCTCCATCCCGTGGCGGCGCTGGTCCCGTTCCTGCACGTCGAAACCGACCATGGCTTCGCCAGACTCGACGTCGAAGAGATCGCCATCTGCGCTGACAACACTGTCACGCCGCCTGAAGCGGGTGCGGAATGCCCATGTCGACGGGAGGAAAAGTCGCATGAACGCTCCCGTCATCCGGTCACGGACGGACGACGGTTGTAGGGCGTCGGGGAGATGAGAGGTTAACGAGGTCGACTGGAGAGGCAGATACTGCGAGTACCGCGCTCGATGGCGGCGGTAGAGTGGCAACAAGGCGTGGAAGACGACGAGGTATAGTGCTGCGGCGATGAAGATTGGGATTAGGACTGTCTATTGGCGGTCACCCAGGTTTATATAGCAGTCAGCGTGTGCGTTCTACGCGAGAAGAATGATATGCGCTAGGGTTGCTGCAGCATCCTTCATGCGGAGGCTTTTGTCTGTACCGACCTGTGTGAAGTTCAAAAAGCCGGAACCGGCCATCTTGTTGGAGTCAATGGTGCTGGTCGTGGTGGTGGTGACTTCAGCCTGCACCGGTGGTGCTGCTTCGGTCGAGGCTATGTTGCCCGGGATGGAGCGTGGGAAAAGATAATCCATCACCATGCCGCCATCGTGGGCGGCTCTGATGGGATGGAAGGGCGCGATTGAATAGATATAAAGCACAAGGACTCCGTGCCGTTAGTAAACTTCGCACAGGGCGGTCCCGTAAAGAGACAGAAGTGGTTCGCTGTCAGTCAGGTTTAGGAGGACGTGCGTGAAATTGGCTCTATCCCTCACTAGGCGTCCCGGGGCCGGGAGTGGTGGGAATGGGAGGACACGCCTCAAGTTGGCTGACAGCCCGCGCATGGGGCCTCGTTACGTGCCTACGACTGTCATTTATTGTACATACGGATAATGCGAGGACTTTACAGTCAGTACTCTGTGGTGCCGGTGGACTCATAGTAGTGTACTCAGAGCAAAGAGTGCTCCGGAGACGCCGTCTTTAAGGTTTGTTTTTAAACCTCCGATGCCACGGTCCTGGTTTTGGCCCGGGCACAGCAATACATGTTTGCTGATCTACCAAGGATAGACAGTAGCACCGAATGGAGCATTGAATTTTATGCAAGCCACACACTGCCCACGGTGGAAGTGTGGATGAACACCTATGCATGGCAACTGTTTCTCCCTGATGTTGAGGACCTCTCAGCATGTCAAAATACGGAGTTGGCGACAGGATGGCGCGAACGCAAACTGCCCAGGTGGCCGTGGTTAGTGGTGGTGATCGGGCTGTATCAGGCCTGGCGCGAGAAGTTGGGACGGCGGGTACAGGCAGTCTAGAAGGCCCTTAGGAGCCTAGCAAGGCCAACCATTGGTCCCTCCAAGGCCTTCTGAGTGCTTAAGGTGACTAGCCTCGGTGCAGGCCATGAATCTTCAAACCACCTACTCTGTACGTGCAGTGGCTGAACCCCTGGAGCGCAGTGGGCAGCGCAGCACACCCAGAAAGATACCAAGCACGCTGACCACTGTCGCGAACGCTGTCATTACTCGCCTCACATCATACTCCGTATTGAGATTTCTATACCGACGAAAGTTGCCCTTGAGTTTACAATCTATCGCACACGTATTTCTGTGCTCGTGTCTTTGCTAGTTGCTCTTCTCTTCGTCTGCGTTACAGCTAGCACCAAACGGACGTCCCCGTCCCATTCGGACACTTCTTTGTTTTCAATCAACTGGTCGCCGCTTTCCCACGCACGGTTACGTTGTCACGGTCGCTCTTTATCCAGACCAACGAACACATCCGCTGCTCAGACGCCGATTCCACTTGCCGAGACGAGAAACGAGGTATCCCAGGGAAAAGAGCAGGGACGATGCAGGGGTAGAGACATCCGGATATTGGCAACCCGATTTACTCTTTAACGAGGGGGGACAAAACTCTAAAACGAGTCTCAGGAAGTGGGCACCTGCTTTGGGCCATCTCGACGACATACACATGCGTTCTGCTGCTCAGCCTGCGCTGCAGAGACGATGCCGCCGATAACGCAAGGAGACAAGGCTTCCAGACAGTCGTCCGCCGGCAAAGGCTTCTTCAGTAGACGCCATCGCGACAAGGTCGATAGTCGCTACGATGGAGGGAACCCAGCCACACTGGATCCAAGCACAAACGGCTCCTGGACTTCGAGGCATTCCAAGAGAGAGTCAGTGGCCTCGATTGATGGCCAGGATGGAGATTTGGGCGGCCTCAACATGACCGCAGGCGTCATCACCTCGATACCATACTCCGCGACCGACCGATCCCAAGCCCCTGTGACTGTGGACTACCTGCCTCGAGATGATCAAATCCTCACGAGACGAGAGCCCCAGCCGCACCAGCTTGCTCGTGGGTCCGACTTTCATCAATATCCCGCGTTCAGTTCGTCGACGAATGGCTCCTCACATCCTACAGGGCCTCGCCCGCCGCCGCATACAAATGCCAATGGTGTCACCATGGCCACGAGCCAGGCAGGAGATCGCGGGACAAAATACCAACAATGGGGTCGGCCTGGCAGCAGCAACGGCCCTCAACACGCCGCTTATGATTCAATTTCCACGAGTGACTCTTACGGGGGAAGCCGACGGAAGTCGATTGACGGTGCCAGCATAAAATCTACTGCCTCTTCGGCCACCGCAGGATCAAGCCTTTTTTCTTCTGACAGATCTTCAAGAACAGCCGTGCCATCACGTCAGGACTCCGACACTTCTATCGGAGTGGTCTCACCGACGCATTCCCGGCTATCCAAGCTTAGTTCGCATGCCGGCTGGCCGGCGCAACAACATTCACCTTTCAGTTCGACCACCTCTTTCAATCCTGCTGGGTTCTATCTTCCTAAGCCGCAAAGCGACGAGGAAGTTGAGAAGTTGTTCTTGCAACTCATGCATAAGCGTGGTTGGCAGAATCTACCCGAGCAGGCGAAGCGGCAGATGATGGCGTACGCGCCTGCGAAGAAGTGGACGCTGGTCCATCAGGACAAGTTGACGGAGTGGCAGGGCGAGCAGAAGAGAAGACAGCAGGCTCGCCAAACGGGTACGTTAGACGGTCCGATATCGAGAGACGTCGAGGGCACTCCGGAATGGTACGTCAAGAAGATTTTGGATAATAGTATATCTGGGAAACAACTTCAGAGTTTGAGCGTCAGCTTAAGAACACAACCTATCAGCTGGGTCAAGGCATTCATCGAAGCACAAGGCCAGGTCGCTTTGACCAGTGTTTTGTTAAAAATCAACAGACGCCAGGCCAATGGCCCGACTCCAGTCACCACTACCGGTTCAGCAGAAAAGGATCTCGACAGGGAATACGACATTGTCAAATGTCTAAAAGCCCTGATGAACAACAAATATGGTGCTGATGATGCTTTGGCGCACGATCAGATCCTGGTTGCACTGGCTACGTGCTTGATATCGCCACGATTAACCACACGAAAGCTCGTCAGCGAGGTATTGACGTTCCTGTGCCACTGGGATCAAGGCCAGGGTCATCTGAAGGTCCTTCAAGCGATGGACACGGTCAAGAACCAGATCAACGAAAACGGCCGCTTTGACGCTTGGATGCGTATCGTCGAAGTCACCATCGATGGACGAGGTAAGATGGGCAGCCTGGTCGGGGCGAGTGAGGAAGTTCGCAGTGGCGGGATTGGCATGGAAAACCTCTTGATGGAGTATGCTGTCGCTACGCTGGTCCTGATCAATATGCTTGTCGATGCGCCCGAACGCGATCTGCAGCTACGATGTCATATCAGGGCTCAGTTCATTGCCTGCGGCATTAAGCGGATACTGGTCAAGATGGAATCTTTCCAGTACGATGTCATCGACAAACAAATTGCCAAGTTCCGCGAAAATGAAGCCATTGACTACGAAGACCTGCTCCAACGAGAAGGTAGCAGTATGGTGGACAGCATAGAAGGTGAGGTCAAAGACATGACAGATCCCATGCAAATCACCGATGCCATCATGTCCAGAGTACAAGGTAGCAGGACGCAAGACTATTTTATCTCTGCCATGCAGCATATGTTACTCCTGCGAGAGAACAACGCGGATGAAAGGTTGAGAATGTTCCAGCTGGTTGACTCTATGCTCAGCTATGTCGCCATGGATCGTCGCTTGCCAGATATGGATCTGAAGCAAAGCCTGAACTTCACGGTGCAGAATCTTCTGGATAGGCTGCACACCGATGATGAAGCCCGCATCGCTTTCGATGAAGCGACAGAGTCAAGGCAGATTGCGGAAGCCGCCATTGCCGAACGAGATGAAATGGCTGCTCAGATCTCCCTTGGTGCTGATGGGTTGGTCAAGAAATTGCAGCAGCAAGTGGAGGAGCAAGCCGCCATCATTGAACTGCAGTCAAGGCAAGCAGAGGCGCTCAAGTCTGAAGTTGCTGAGCTCCAGCGCATAAGAGCTCAAGAGCTCCAGCGAACCGAGCTTGAAACTCGTGAACTGTATCTCATGTTGAGAGATGCCCAAGAAATTGCAGCTTCTCGTACCACCAGAGAGGGCAGTACCGGTCAAGATCCAGCTCAGATGCAAGGCATCCTGGACAGAGAGAAGCTGATGGAACGCCTGGAGCGCAATCTCGAACGGACCAAGACACAATTCAAGCTTGAAGGGAAAGTCTGGGGCCAACAAGGCCCGTCGGATAGACTCAGAGAGCTTCGTGAGAAGATGGATGATATCGTTGATGCTGATTTCCAGGAGAAAACGAAGAGGCACCTCACGAATAGTGTCATGGGTAGTGTCCACCGCAGTAACGCTCTGAAGGGATCTAGAAGAGCTGCATTGGAAGCGCTGTCCATCAGCGAAGAGACCGAAAACGATCACGAGTCTGGTGACGAAGATGAAGCAGTTGTTTATGAGAAGCCACGCCTAGTTGAACTGTCAAGGCCCAAGATCCAAACAGAACAACAGGCTAATTTAATGGGCGAGCTCACTTTGAAGGTTAAGAAACTGGACGAGGATAGTGATGATATGACAGCGGACAGCGACGGCATCACAACTGGACCTTCCCACCCAAGTCTTGGATCTGAATCCCCCAAGACGCCCATCGATGAAGCGCATGGTGAAGCCAAGTTCAATGGTCCTCCTCCCCCTCCACCTCCACCACCGCCACCGCCCCCCGGGTCATCGGAGCCTTCTCCAGCTCTTATACCTGGATTCGAGACCGGTGCACCTCCTCCGCCGCCACCGCCGCCTCCTGGGATGCCCTTTTCACCTGTCGCCTCGCCAATGCCTGGCTTCGCTGGAGGCCCGCCTCCACCACCTCCACCACCACCGGGTTCACTTCCTATGAGCCCTACATCACCTGCTGCACCACCACCCCCTGGCGCTCCGCCGCTTCCAGGAGCCCAACATGGCCATTTCCTTCCCCAGTCGCCTGTTGTACCCATGCCTATGCTCAAGAACCCTATCATGCGTCCCAAGAAGAAGCTCAAGGCTTTCCATTGGGATAAAGTAGACACACCGCAAGTCACAGTGTGGGCAAGCAGTACGAGCACGGAAGCCAAGGAAGAAAAGTACCGCGAGTTACAAAGAAAGGGTGTGCTCGACGAAGTCGAGAAGCTCTTCATTGCCAAAGAGATCAAGATTATTGGCGCTGGTTCTGGCAAGGGCAAGAGTGACAAGAAGCAGATCATCAGTAGTGACATGATGAGAAACTTCCACGTATCAATGGCGAAGTTCAAGAACGCCTCCGCTGATGAGGTCGTGCGAAAGATCATTCATTGCGACCGAGAAGTGCTCGACAACAACGTGGTTATGGACTTCCTGCAAAGAGAGGACCTTTGCACCATCCCTGAGAATATTGCGAAGCTCATGGCCCCATACAGCAAAGACTGGACGGGCCCTGATGCGTTGACGTCTAAGCGGGAGCAGGACCCATCCGAGCTGACCAGGGAGGACCAAATCTATCTTCAGACTGCGTACGAGTTGCACCATTATTGGAAAGCAAGAATGAGAGCTTTGGCCTTGACCAGGAACTACGAAATCGAGTATGACGAAATCTCGACGAAGCTCAAAGAAGTCGTCAATGTATCCGAAGCCATCCGGGATTCGACCTCGCTGATGAGCGTTTTGGCTCTGATTCTCGATATCGGTAACTACATGAACGATTCGAACAAGCAAGCATCCGGATTCAAACTCAGTTCATTAGCGCGCCTAGGCATGGTGAAGGACGACAAGAATGAAACAACTTTTGCAGACCTCATTGAGCGAATCGTGCGCAATCAGTACTCTCAATGGGAGGTCTTCGTTGAGGACATCTCTGGAGTGGTTCCTGCAGCGAAGCTGAACGTGGATCAACTTCGGCTAGATGCGAAGAAGTACATCGACAACATCAAGAATGTTCAAGCTTCGCTGGACGCCGGAAACTTGAGTGATCCTAAGAAGTTCCATCCTCAAGATCGTGTGGCTCAAGTGGTTCAGAGGTCGATGAAAGAGGCAAGGCGGAAGGCGGAGCAGATGCAGCTATACCTGGAAGAGACTTCACGAACGTACGATGATATCATGACCTATTTTGGAGAAGATAATCAAGATGAGAATGCCAGGAGAGACTTCTTTGGTAAACTCGGGGGCTTCGTTACGGAGTGGAAGAAGTCAAGAGAAAAGAACATTGCCATGGAAGAGACCAAGCGACGTCTCGAGGCTAGTATGGCTCGGAAGCGGGCGCAAGGCGGATTGAACATTAGTGGCAGCGCCAGCGGTGCAGAGACTCCTGGCAGTCCTCCTGCAAATGGTGCCATGGAAGACCTGCTAGCCAAACTTCGAGCCGCTGCGCCACAAGTCAAAGACCAGCGCGACCGAAGAAGACGTGCTCGACTAAAGGAAAAGCATGACCAGAGAATCGCTAGTGGTCAACAATTGCCAGAACTTCCGACGAAGGAAGGTGTCGAAGAAAGTCGCGGGCTAGCCAGCGTTGGGGAGAAAGGCAATGAAGATAGCTTGAGTGCGGAAGATGGTACAAGTGGGAAGGGGGACGTCAGCGAAAGTGAAGATGTGGCCGATCGAGCACTGAAAGCTCTCCAGTCAATGAGAAGCTCTGCCCCATCCCCTGGAGATGAGATTGATGTTCGAAGACGACGAGATGGTGCCGATGAAGAACGGAAAGCAAGGAGAATGCGAAGGCGGACGGCACACCAAAGCAGTTCTGCTCGGGACTCGGTGCAGTCACCCACCAAGAGTGCCGCAGCGGATGACGAGGCCAGACTTGATGGAGAGGACGAGGCATTGGTGGATGACAAGAGGTCCTCCGGTGGAACATTGAGTCCAACGATGTCTCAACCTCCACCCGCCATCATAGTCAGTCCCACGCCAGATGAAGAGCCGAAAGAAGATTCAAAAAGAGAAGACGTCCCTGACGGCACATCGTGAGATGAGATGAGAATGTGGGAGGTATGGTGAAAGAAAACCCATGGGAAAGGATGGGAAGCATTCACGTCCGGTTGACACTTTGTAGTATGGATCAAGGTTCTTCTTATCTTGGATTGAGAAAACGAGAGAAGTGTGGTGTGTTATCACTCGCCTACATTATCTGCTGTTTATTATAAGTTACTATTTTATTTGAGACGGAGGGAGAGACGGAGTACAGCAGGAGAGAAGATACCCCCATCCATTGAATACATCACTATTAATCCTTGCAACTTTGAGGGGATGTTTTCCTGCTCTCCGGACCGGCAGCCTTATGTGCAGTTGACAACACACTGACAGGCAAGCCCGAGATCGTTTGTGGCTCATTGAGGCCGGCCCTTGCTCAACTCGATCTCGGAGGGTGCTGTCATGATGATGGCAGGCTCACTAGGCCAGGCTGAGAACACCACGCTATACTGGAGCATTTCAGGAACGAGTTGGGGGTTTTGGTGTTGGATGTGACTACTCGCCATGGAAACGATCTTGTGGCCCATCTCGTGCCACGAGCGCAGCACTGGTTCTCTGGTGGCAGAGATGTGGACTGTATGTACGGAGCACTGCAAGTACTCATCTCCCTCCCCACGACTTCAGAAGGCTCTGGCACCGGGCGGAACAGACGAGCCAGCACAGGGCATCTGCAGGGTCAACTAGAACGTTCCTTTGGTGGTTCGCAGTCGAACAGAATCAGGCAAGCCAATGGGGAGGTGCATGTTGCTAGAGCTCCCCACACTACGGGACGGTCTTTCTCCCCTGCCTGAGGCTGCGCCCCAGAAATTAGCTTCGTCTGACAAGCCCTTAGCCTCCTCACTGCGCCCAATTTTCTCGCAGCAACTGCCTGGCCGTGCCCTAACAGCCCTTATGTCCATTGGTCAGACAGCCGCCCTATTCACAGCCCTCCAGGCTTCTTTCGATGCGATTCCATAGGACCCACTCGATATTTTGGAGGCTTCACAGCAACATAGAAATACTGCCAGCCTCTCTCCGACTCTTCAGCTTTTTCTCCCACAACCATCCTCTCGCGAAATAGAAATCCTGTTCTTTGCCTGCCTTGCATTAGACATACCTCTTTGCTGTAAGTACTCTCCATTGTCACCGACAGTTTGTCTCCGACGACAACTCGCTGCGTTTGTTGTTGGCTTGATTCCACATGTTCATGTGAGATCAAGGTCAGCGCAGCCTGACAAGTTCCAACGCCAAACTGCTCTACCTGCCAACGCATTTCGGCTTCAGGTCAAACTGACATCTATGTTCTACAGTCCTCAAGATACCCCCTTCACATCCGCAAAGATGGCTCCCAACGAGACCTTCGAGTTCCAGGCTGAGATCTCTCAGCTACTCTCCCTGATCATCAACACCGTCTACTCCAACAAAGAGATCTTCCTGAGAGAACTCATCTCCAACTGCTCAGATGCACTCGATAAGATTAGATACGAGGCTCTCTCAGACCCAAGCAAACTGGACTCGGGTAAAGACCTCAGAATCGACATCATCCCAGACAAAGAGAGCAAGACCTTGACCATCCGGGATACTGGTATTGGTATGACCAAGGCTGATCTCGTCAACAACCTCGGTACCATTGCCCGATCTGGCACCAAGCAGTTCATGGAAGCCTTGACTGCCGGTGCTGACATTTCCATGATCGGTCAATTCGGTGTTGGTTTCTACTCTGCATACCTCGTCGCCGACAAGGTCACTGTGATCTCAAAGCACAACGATGACGAACAGTACATTTGGGAGTCCAGCGCCGGTGGTACCTTCACCATCACCCAGGACACCGAGGGCGAGCCTCTCGGCCGTGGTACCAAGATGATCCTCCACCTCAAGGACGAACAGACCGACTATCTGAACGAGTCCAAGATCAAGGAAGTTGTCAAGAAGCACTCTGAGTTTATCTCATACCCTATCTACCTGCACGTTCTCAAGGAGACCGAGAAGGAGGTCCCAGACGAGGACGCCGAGGAAGTCAAGGAGGAGGATGAGGAGAAGAAGCCCAAGATCGAGGAAGTGGATGACGACGAAGAGGAGAAGAAACCAAAGACAAAGAAGATCAAGGAGACCAAGATCGAAGAGGAAGAGCTCAACAAGACGAAGCCAATCTGGACCCGCAACCCCTCCGACATCACTCAAGAGGAGTACGCTTCCTTCTACAAGTCCCTCTCCAATGACTGGGAGGATCACTTGGCCGTCAAGCACTTCTCCGTTGAAGGTCAGCTTGAATTCCGCGCCATCCTCTTCGTTCCCAAGCGTGCTCCTTTCGATCTCTTCGAGACGAAGAAGACCAAGAACAACATCAAGCTTTACGTTCGACGTGTCTTCATCACTGATGATGCTACCGACTTGATCCCTGAGTGGCTCGGCTTCATCAAAGGTGTCGTCGACTCTGAGGATCTTCCTCTGAACTTGTCTCGTGAGACTCTCCAGCAGAATAAGATCATGAAGGTCATCAAGAAGAACATTGTCAAGAAGTGCCTCGAACTCTTCAATGAGATTGCCGAGGACCGCGAACAGTTTGACAAGTTCTACTCTGCCTTCAGCAAGAACATCAAGCTCGGTATCCACGAGGACTCCCAGAACCGCCAGTCCCTGGCCAAGCTCCTCCGCTTCCACTCCACCAAGTCTGGCGAGGATACCACCTCCCTGACCGACTACATCACTCGTATGCAGGAGCACCAGAAGCAAATCTACTACATCACTGGCGAGTCCATCAAGGCTGTCTCCAAGTCTCCATTCCTCGACACTCTCAAGGAGAAGAACTTCGAAGTCTTGTTCTTGGTTGACCCTATCGATGAGTACGCCATGACCCAGCTCAAGGAGTTTGACGGCAAGAAGCTCGTCGACATCACCAAGGACTTCGAGCTCGAGGAGACCGAGGAGGAGAAGAAGGAGCGTGAGAAGGAAGAGAAGGAGTACGAAGGCCTCGCCAAGAGCTTGAAGAACATTCTCGGTGACAAGGTCGAAAAGGTCGTCGTCTCACACAAGCTCATCGGCTCTCCTTGCGCCATCCGCACCGGCCAGTTCGGTTGGTCTGCCAACATGGAACGTATCATGAAGGCTCAAGCTCTCCGTGATACCTCAATGTCCTCGTACATGTCTTCCAAGAAGACGTTCGAAATCTCTCCCAAGTCACCCATCATCCGTGAGCTCAAGAAGAAGGTTGAGGCCGACGGTGAGAACGACCGCACTGTCAAGTCCATCACTCAACTCCTGTTCGAGACCTCTCTCCTCGTCTCCGGATTCACCATTGACGAGCCGGCCTCGTTCGCCGAGCGTATCCACAAGCTCGTGTCTCTCGGCTTGAACGTCGACGAAGAGGCCGAGACATCCGAAGAGAAGGCCGCTGAGGAGGCTCCTGCTGGCGAAGCCACCGGCGAGAGCGCCATGGAAGAGGTTGACTAAGCAACTCGCCCGCCCGAAACGTGTGATGTTCCAATTGACACGCTTCCTTGCCGCTGCTGGTCACATTGTATCATCTTTCGAGAAACGGCGTTCTAAGGTGTTTTGTTGTGATGATATCTCTCTACCTGTCTTTCCATCAGCGATATCCCAGGACAATGGAGAAATGGTTTGTTTTGAAAGACGGACATGACGAACAACAAAAAGCAAAGCGAAACGGTGGGCACGAATGAAATGCAGGCTATGGCAGTACTCGTAGCAAAGAAAGCATTGGTAGTTATCGAGGGCTTTTTTCTTTTCTTAGCTACTCGATAGTCTTTTCTTATTGTACTTCCGTGCGTAAGTAATCCTCAATTGATTGCGGTTCAAGCAAAATTGATTTTTGAGTATGGATGAGTCTTGACCTCAGGTATTCCCCGCTACTACTGTACGCGTGCTGAGTTATTTTGTTGACCAGCCCAGCCGCGCGTCTTGCGCAAGGCGCGACGAGGCTGAGGTTCCTATCTCTCTTGTCGCACAGCCTCGTGACTTCATTCTCTGGGTCTGGATTTGAGGGCAACGACAGCATTCGCAATATCAATTGTAAACTTGACCTTGGTCGAAACACCGACGTTGCTACCGAACTCGCCAAAACACCCATGACCGAAAAGGTGTGGGGCATTGCATATCAAAGCCCTCAGCTGTGTTGCCTCTGGATTATTCACGACAGACAACTGCCGATAGCAGGGCGTGAGATTTCCGAAGCAGGCTTTACATCGTCAGCTTAGAAGGGTGACCAGTTAATGGACCTGGGTTTTCAGCCACAATAACAAGTCAGTGCTGTGTGAAGCCGTAAACCCAACTGCCGAAAGACAAACACATCATGCCAAGGCAAGCGGATACATCCCATTTTTTGTGGCGAGGCGAAGCTCCAACCTCAACATCTGCCTGAATATGGACATCCATCAGGTCCATGAGAATACTGTGCAGTAAGAGCACATTGATGAGATACTCCTGATAAGCTGGTGTCAGTGATGAACACATAGGCTCGAGGTAGCTCACTGTTGTGTCCCGGGGGAGTCGAGCAGGTTCTACGAGGCCAGGAACATTGGCGGAAACCTATACCACATCGCGTCAGTGTCCAGGGACATATCCCTTCCTCCGCATCCAATTCAGGAGACTACCCCGGAGAGCCAAGACAGGCCAAGCACCACCGCTGCTTGTGAGCGGTGCTTCTGTCCGGGCTATTCGCTCCCGGAGTATAGCCACCGTCACCCAAGGCCTTCTCATCTCTTGGCCTGCAATGTGAACTGTGGCCAAGCACCTCTCAGGGCTATCACAAGATGCTCCAAACTCACCACCGGGATCCCAGGGCAGCTTGTTGCTCATCGCCGAGATGATTGCCGCTACCTGCTACCGAACGCATGGCCTCCAGGATATCATCCGGCGGGGTCATTGTGCGGTTTTCCAACGCCCATGCAACAAAGCCATTGTCAGGGTAGGTCGCTAACAAGCCCCACGGGGAGCCCGGGAGGACCCTGTTCGGTCGTGCGCAGACTACTCGTATATATTGAAGACCTGCCGTCATGGTTGATGGAATCCCCTTGACCGTCACCCATCTATAATGCAAACACAGGAGTAGCTCTCCTCTTCACACAGTGACTCCAACGCGCAAAACTTCCGCCATGGCTTCGTCAGGACCTATAGCGTCCGTAGCACTACCTACAACGACGCTCAAGGCGTCCGAGTTTGATCATCTGGAGCTCGATCCCACCAAGAGCGAAGGTTCGGGCATTAGCGATGAAGTCGACTGGACCGACGAAGACGAGACGCGCATACGAAGGAAGATCGACAGACGCATAGTGCCCTTGGTCACCGTGCTCTATCTTCTATGCTTCCTCGACCGAGCAAACATTGGCAATGCCCGCATCCAGGGGATGGCCGTCGACTTGGACCTGGTCGGCTACCGATTCAACTGGGCACTGAGCGTTTTCTACATCGTGTACCTGCTCGTCGAGGTGCCGAGTAACATCCTTCTGAAGCACGTTGGCCCAAAGCTCTACATTCCGATGCTGGTCATGGGCTTCGGTTTCGTCTCGATGTGCACGGCTTTCGTCAAGTCGTTCAACACCCTCTGCGTCGCAAGAGCCTTTCTGGGCATCTTCGAAGGCGGCACCATGCCGGGAATTGCATTCTTCCTCAGTTCGTGACAGGAGTCCTTCGATGTTCAAGGTCACACAGACTGACAGGTTTTTACAAAGGCACTTTCTACAAGAGAAGAGAATTGTACTTCAGAATCGGCATATTCATCTCGGCGGCTTCGATAGCCGGTGCTTTTGGCGGTCTTTTTGCCACTGCTTTGGCGTATGTCACCAGCTCGTTCGGCCAGATCATCATGAAGAAAAAAAAGCCAGTGCTGACAACTTCGTGCGAACAGTCGCATTCCTCGATGGGGTACAAACTCGACACCGATCCACACGTAAGAGCGTCCCTTTTACTTTGATAACGGTCAAGAATCGACGAATCAGGCTTTGCTAACCGTTAGAGGTGATGATCCAGATGGAGGAATATCTTCTTCTTTGAAGGCCTGGTACGTTGTGTGCCTTCTCTTGGGTGTGCGGTGGGGGTTCAAGCGTAAAATGTGCTAACACTATACGCGCGATCCAGCTCACCATGCTCGTCGCGGGTGTCGCTCCCTTCCTGATGCCTTCCAATCCGCAGACATGCATGTTCCTGACCGAAAGAGAGCGGCACATTGCCCATGAGCGTCTGATCCGTGAACATCGAGCGGTAAGTTTTGTTGACCACAACCGTCCCAAATTCGCCGTGTCCTTTGAAAGAAAGAAAGAAAAGTAAAGAAAAGAAGCTCACACAAAACTCTTACTGCCCGCAGGATCCGCACGAGCGAGTACGACTGCGGCACATCAGGGCCGCCATCTTCAATATCAACAACAACATTGCGGCGCTGGGCTTCTTCATGATCAACGTTACCGTGCAAGGATTGAGCATCTTCCTCCCGACCATCTTAAAAGATCTCGGCTGGACCTCAACAAAGGCCCAGTTGTACTCGGTGCCGCCGTACGTCGCGGCGTGTCTCGTCGCCATCGCCATCGCATACATCAGCGACAAGACGCGCAGGCGAGGCGTATACCTGGCGCTCTTCACCGTTCCGCCCATCATCGGGTTCAGCCTGCTTCGGTGGAACACGAACCCCAGCATCCGCTACATGGCCATCTACTTCATCACCACCGGTGCGTTCCCCGGCGGGCCCGGCTTCATGTCCTGGGGCATCAACAACAGCGCCGGTCCCGCGACCAGGGCCGTGGCCACGGCGTACATTGTGTCCGTCGGTACGGGAGGAGGCGTGTTGGCAACGTATGTCGTTTTTCCTTTTCGTCTTCTTGTTGCTTGTTTCTCTGTCGTTGCCCCTGTTTTCTTTTCTCGTTTCCTCCTTCCGCTTTTGTTTTTTTTTTTCAAAAGCTCCGTCGACGAAGAAAACTGACGTCAAACCCCTTCTTTTTTTTTCTGACTCGACACAGTTGGACGTACCTCGTTCGCGACGGACCCCGCTACCCGATCGGCCACTCCATCAACCTGGGCGCCCAGGTCATCGTGCTCGCCCTCGCGACGTTCGGCATCCTCTACAATCTGCGCGAGAACCGCGTCCGCGCCGCGGGCAAGCGCGACCACCGCCTGGAGGGACTGACGGAACAAGAGAAGCGGGAACTGGGCCACCATCATCCCGAGTTTCGGTACATTCCGTGATCGTGATCGTGATCGTGATCGTGATATAGTTGTCATTTCCATCCAACACGGCGCAGCACAGCACAGCAGAGAAGAGCACGGCACGGCACGGCAGAGCAGAGCAAAACTTTTTGCCCCGAGATCGATAGATATCGATGGAAGGTTACAGAGAACAAAGTCCATGAGAACATAAGGAGATCTGGCTGGCTGGCTGGGTTGGTTGGTTGGTCGGTTGGTTGGTTGGACACCTGGTTAGTGGGTGGGTGGGTAGTCCAGTGAAGTGTGCTTTTTGCAGTGGCAACAAGATGGGTAAAAACTGAACGTTCAACCCAATATGAATGAATCAACGAATCAATGGATGAATGGATGAAACGTTTCTCTCCGTTTCTCAATGCCTTGAAGAAGAACGTCGTCCTCTTTCTCCCTCTTATGGGAAAAAAATATTGTACAGTTTATTCACTTTAGATACTCTCTCTCACTCACTCACTCACCCACCCACTCAGACTTCCATTTTCAGGCATTTCGATATACTTTCTACACTCAATGCTCAAGGTATGTTCATAATGTACTCGGTGCGCTCGTCGTCAGCTTGACGACGCTCTCTTCTCCCGCCGGTAAGTGGTGTATATGTACCCCCTCCACTCGTGGAGCCTCGTAGCCTTTGTATCCCTCGTTCACTGTGTATACCTACCTACCTCAAAATGTCCAGCTAGGTTAGGTGATCGGTTACTCGACGCAGTATACCTCCATAGATATACATAGGTGGATTGTACTAGCATCCGGCAAATATCTTCCTTGACCAAAAATGGAGAAAAATCCAGGCTAGCAGACAAAGCGTCTTTGAACGACATAACTCCACGTTCTATGAGTACGAGGCTGTAACGGTTTTCCGACACTGCCAGCCAATATCACATGTACCCACCATACTCAATCTCCACCTCTTTCCTCTTTTCTTTCATGGCGCGTGCTGGAGACGCATCAAGTTCAAAAACCAACAAACACATGCGTTGACATCATCATCAAGACTTTACGTGACCCTGAAAACCCCCAACTCTTGACATGACAATCGATGTTGATCAATCACCCTTCAGATCTTTGGCTTTCAGCACTGCTGCTGCCCTCGGCAACTCTCTTCTCGGCTGCAGCAAGTTTGTCTTGCGTCGCTTTGAGCTCCGACTGTAAGCTCTTGATGTACACAATGGCCATCTCGACCGTGCTGGCTTTGCTTGTTCCTTGGTTGGCGCTTGACGTCTTCGAGTCGCCTTCGCCCGAGTCCTGTGAGCCGGCCTTGTCCTTTTTGCTCTGCGAGGCGAGAATTGAGGGAGGCAGGAGCGCCTCGATTTCTTTCAGAGCAAGGTTGATACGATTTCGTCGTCCCTGCTCTGCAATCTTGTGTGACGTTCGTTTCGACGTGAGGTTCTCGGCCAAAGTGTCAGGATAAGAAACTCCCGGTAAATGGGTGCCCTCGAGGATATTCTGGTAATTAGATTTCGATGCAAGATACAAAGCACTCGTCTCAGCCGATAGATGTGCCATGCCCGGGCCTGTACGTTCGAATTAGAATGCGGCGTTGACACTCAACGAAGGAATTTATCACTCACCAGTCGCAGGAACTAGAGGGCTAATGCTGGGAGAAATCTTGGGTCGCAACGCCGGAGATATCGTGGCAGAAGTAGTACTCTGGCGCTTCTTGCTGCTACGACCACCGCGGGACTCAACTTTGCCAGGCTTTGCAAATGTGTCGGTAGAGCCGGACCGAGTCAAGGCACTTCGGGGAGTGCTGCTGGCGCTCCACTTGGGTGTCTTCGCGGAGAGTGTCGGCGTGTTTTCACTATCATCGCCATTTCTGGTAACATCGCCATTATCTGGAATGGGTTGCTGCGCACCCGAAGCGGCTGCATCGGGTAACATGATGTCCTCCATCGGCTCGTCCATCGGCGCTACAGAGACATGTTGTTCCAGCTGCTTTGCAGATACGGGCTGTTTACTCGGCATCCTCATTAGGGTAGCTGGAGTGACAGGGTTATTAGACCCCTGAGACGATACTTGTGGCCGAGGAGACCGCGGATGCTGAGGAACGGGAGGTGGTCTCATGACTGCTTCAGATAATGATTCGGGGGACACCGAGTCATCGCTCGGTTGGATGACGGCACTGTTGGGTGCAGATGGATACAAGTTCGATGGCTGAGCACCATGTGGTAATAAGGTTGCGCTCTTGTCCAAGGACAAGTTGCTAAGGGATGGTTGTCGGCTCCGCGCGTGCGGCTTCAAGGACGGGGATTGTTTGACACTTCGTGGAGTTCGAGTGACCGCAGCAGCTTTCCTTCGAGGTCTTTTTGCGCCTGCCGCCGTGGGAGGCGCCGGTGCTCCCTGCTCCCCATTGGGATCGACAGGCGAAGTCGTCGTGCCGCTATACACTCCTTGCGCCTCGATGGCAGGTGACGTGAGAGGACTGAAGAATTCATCTCCCAGCCCAAAGTCATTGAGGACGAATGTGCCGTCCAAGGGGGTTTGGGCCGGGGAGACAAGAGGCGTAAACGAAACCTGGAGAACATCAGTATCACGGGCATTCTGCAAACACCAGTCTAACATACCTGCCGGTGGTCGAACAATATCTGCCCGTTATTTCCCATTTCGTGAGCATATTTGGCCGCTTGCATCTCGGCACTCACGGGCGTTGGCGGAACATGGAACTGTTGCGGCATTTGCATCTGCTGAAACTGCTGCTGGTACTGGCCATATTGCGAGTCTGCGACCAAATGATCTTGGAAGTTCAGAGACTCGGTAGTAGAGGGCATGTTTATCTGCATCTGTTCCGCACTGCTATATGCTAGATCGTTCGCATTGTTACCAAAACCGAGTCGACCCATCGGGGTGTCAAGCCCGGAATGTCCATTGTTCATTGTCGCATATTGTTGGAAATCAGTGTCCAGATCCAGGAAATTCGTGAAATCGTCATCTCCGATCCCAGCCCCCAGCCCATCATCTTGCATTTCGTGAGGCCAGGCCGCATGCTGATCGCCCTCCTGGGTCATTCTCGAGTCGCCCTGGTGTGTGGGAGTTGCCCGCAGGTGGGCTGCGGGAGGGGGTAGTGGGAATACACGGCTATCAGGTGAGGCGCATCGCTGAACTGCGACAGAACCGACACTGAAATTGCGTTCAAGCGGAGGACTGAAAAATGAAGTGGAAAGAAGCGCAGCCTCGTCTAAAGGAAGAGTGGAAGGAGAGTGTGTAGCTTTCGACTAGTCCACCCGCAGGGTAAATTCGAGACTGGCTGCAACAGGTGTCGACGAGCAGGATGGTCCCGAGGGAAAATGAGCGAGAACTTAGATGGCGGGCACAACCCCGCCGTCCATGGGCGTGGGTACTAGTGAGTAGCTCCGTCAAATGTGGCCACTCTCACAGTATCAAGTCCGAGTGGGCGGGCAGAGTGGCACTGACCTCCATACAAAAAAGTCAAACGAGCGTGGTCCGAGAAGTCAGCGAGACTAGGATATTTAGGTACCTCAACTCCCTGAGCAATAGGTTCTGTACCTACTATGGCGACTCCTTATCCTAGCTAACTACAAGGAAAGACGCTCCGTGGGGCAGTTCGGATTCAAGAGAAGGACGACCGGTGGCCAGCTTCCTCACGACGAGATCAGGTCTACTCGTTGCGAAGATGCAGAGGATTACAAGTCATTAGCATGTCGCTGAGAAGCGAGTCGGGATGGAGGCACTGTAGAGAAGACGACGGTGAAGATGCCTGGTGAGCCACACTATCACGTTAGGGGTATCCGTACCTGGGGAGGCGTTGCTATACCGCTCACTTTGGGCTGACCCTTTAGGGCTTTCAGGCCTGAAACCCACGCTCACACCCACGCCGGACTAGTTAAGTTAGTTAGTTCGTTCGGGCTAGTGTGTCCCAATCGAAGTCAGCGAGCGCGTAGAGTGGGATGAGCAGCAGACAAGGAAAAATTCTGGCCATGTCGTGCTGCCACCATCTGCACGGGCCAAGTCCGACACGGCATGTCCCTGAGTTCGGGTCCAAAGTGAGCTTCTTCCACCAAGAGGGCGATGTCTAGAAGAAGCAATGGCTGACCACCGTGACCCCCGAAGCAGCATTCCGCTCTGACTGCTTCTCACAACGAGAAATTAGGCCTTCCTCAGGTGTTGAATCTCGGGACGTTGTACGGAGAAAATGTCTTGTACACATCTCATCCAATGATGCCGCAACAATTCCCTACCAGCTCCAAATTCTAATCCGGTGGCGTGCAGTAGGCCGATTCCCAGTCCAAAACCCTTTTTGCTTCTCCCGTCAGACCATCCTATCTATTGTATATCGTATCCTGGAAGCCCTCATTTACAGGCTTATCTCTTGATTGGCCGTTTCCGTCTCCGTACAAGTACTTCCATCGCAAAAAGCACTAACTTAGTACTTTGTAGCGAACTGCATTCCGTAAAGTTTGTTGCTCACCAAATCGAACCCAAATACTCTGGGGCAATCGTGGTATTCCGTCGTTTGTCTTCGTCCACCATCATGTCTAAACCAAAAGCCTTCCTCAAGAAGTCGAAGGCAAAGAAAAAGGAAGAACAAGTAAGGCGACCCCGTGTCGCGGATGTCTGTCCGCACATGCACAGAGTGCTAAATCTTCTCTAGCCTCTAGAGACTGCCGATGACTTCCAGGCAGCTGGGGTCGATTTCGAAGAAGCTGCCGGAAAATGGAGAGCAGGTGATGCTGTAAAGTCGTTGCGGTTCTTTGACAGGGCAGTCGGTGTATATAGCCAGGGCTTAGAGAAGTTCCCCGGTAGTCTCGATCTTGCTTATAACAAGTATGCGCCGCAGAGACAGTTTGCAACTGTGAAGATCAGAACCACCAAGCTAACTCCTTTTCAGGGCACGGGTGTTACTGGAGATAGCCACTCACCCTATTTTGGTGCAACAGCTCCCAGGCCCTCCCTGGGACATTCTTCAGCAGGCACTCGAAGCACATCGCTACGCCCTGAACCTTGACCAGGACAATGCCGACACACTTTTCAATACTGCACAGGTCTTGACAGCAATCGCAGAGGCGTCAGCTAACGATCCTGATCGACCAGAGCAAGAAGCATTGCAAGCGCTTGAGGAAGCCCTAGAGCTCCAGACTAGATGTCTCGCCGTCCAGGAGTTGAAACTTGAGGAATCCCTCCAGCTACAGAGTGAGGCAGCCGCTCAACCGACTTCGGGTGGGAGTCAAGTTGATGTCGCCGAACAGGTGGACAACACCTCCAGTGATGGTAGCGATGATGGTGGTGCCTCACTGAACACCAAAGCCGCCGACCAGTGGTTTGCAGTTGTTGAGCCCGTCACAAAAGAAACGCTTGTCGATACCATCCTTGCCGAGTTGGGCACTCTTACCACTCTTTGCAGCATTCTATCATCTTCGACTGTTTCCGCGCCTACTACCAGCCTAGCGTGGATAGAAGAATTCTCATCAAAACTCATAAAGGCGAAGTTGCCGACTCTTTTACAGGATGCTGATCCCGAGAGACGGCAGGAAGTGGCACTGGCAAAAGCTAACCTTGTGTCGGCTCTACTCGAAGCCGGCTACAGATCTCAGTCGATTGACGCAAACACATATAAACGAGAAAGAGACGAAGCTTTCAGAGATACGGACCTGGACTTGGAGAAGGACTTCTCGGCATTGTTAGCTAACGCAAATAGCCTCGTGGCCTTCAATGCGGCCCTCAGCGACGTTGACACGAGTGCTTCTTCAATATCTCAACGGTGGAACGCTCTTTCAGCGGCCATAGCCAATCTCGCTGCTGCTTCCAAAATTTCAGGTCCAGTGCCAGAAGACATTGCTGAAACTCATTCGATCCGTGGGAACTGCTCGCTGTTGCAGTATCAGTTGGGATCACCGCCGATACTCTATCAGCCGGCTATCACAAACAAACCACAGCTTCTGAAAAACGCCGATACATTCTACAGGAATGCCAGCAAGCTATATCAGGTTGAAGACATGAAGGCAGTCTGTCAATTTCGAGGGCTCGTGGCACAAACATTGATTGCAGGCAGCGACTTGATGTCAGCTCTAGCCTCCTTGAGCACTACGAAGAGTAAAGAGTGGGTGGAGAGCCAAATCCAAGAGATGATTGACGAAGGGCTTCTAGGAGCCATTAAGGAACAAGGGGGATTGTCGCAATAAGAGTGGCAGCCGGATCGCTCAGCCTGGTAGACACCAAGTCGAGCCACGGAGTTCTAACCTGGACTATAAGTCCTCCTTCACAGAAGGACTCTAGCAGAATCTTCACAGCGAAGGATGTGTCTCTGCGGTGCCCTCCGTGTCCAACGGCGTTCAGGAGGCAGACTAAATCACCGACCGACGCGTCGGCGTAGTCGATAACAAAGACAGACCGAGACCCTTTACACTTTTTGCCTGCCGCTGCTGTTGAACGCTTTCCCATATACGCGATCTGATCGAGCAGCCAAGATGACAGAAGTGCCGGCACATATCGAAGGCATTCGCGGGTTAGACTGCAGAATATCCTCTCACAAACATGAATTGGTAAAGGTACAGAAGCTGTACTTTGCACACCGTTACAAGGCATGTGCTTCTCTGTGTGAACAGTTTCAAAGACCCGAGGCAAAACACCCACCACCCAACAGAGATATCTCTGCTGATACTGGATAGATTCATCCCCTCCACGGGGCTTTTCTTTGGTTCTACAAGGCAATATCATTAGAAGCAATGGGTCAGATCGCACACGACTTCTCAAACAGTAAGCCTCAGCTTCTCGACTCAGCGCAGGAATGTTTCAAAGCCGCTCTCAGTTGCCTGCCAGTCCCTTATGCTTCTGCCGAAGGCGGTTCATACGACCAACTTGAAATTACGCCCTCTGTTGTATCCGACTCTCCCACTTCGAGCAAACTGCGAAGTCCCTACGTCTCGCCGAGTCCAAGCGTTGTTGAAAGCCTGTCGGCGCAGTCCAAACTCATCAATGGCCTCTCATACCGCATCCCATCTGCCCTAGCATGTGAGTCTGCGCGCAGCCTGTCTATCTCGCTACAAACCACTCCTACTTTCCAGAGAGAAGATGAAAAAGAAAAAGAAAAAGAATCTGGACATGGCGATTTCGCTGCACCGAAGACACCCATTGGACATAAACATCGACTTTGCCAGAGTCTTAGTTTTACTCATTCACTTCAAGACGACCTTGTCCCTTCGCCACTCTTCAACCGCAACCAGAAACGCGCCCAGATCTACTCATCACGGCCCGAACTTAGTCGTCGACCTTTGCCTCCTCTTCCCTTCGGCCACAGTACTACATTCGCCGTGGAAGGCTCCCGTGTTGTGCAAGTTCCGCAATGGGGCATGCGTAAAAGTGCCGTCCAGACTCTCATCGCTAAATACGAAGACACCACACCACTTACTCAAACCCCATCCCCACGTCGGATCACTCAGAACAACACCAGCGTGTGTTCCCCGGTGACACCCCGCTTCAGAAGGATACGGGATGCATTCAGCCCAGACCCACGTAATGACAGTCTTGAAGCATATCTTTCATCCGCGGATCTGACCCGTTACAGCCTGGGTATATCTGACTTTCGCACACAGTTACGTAAACACATCTCCTCTCTCGAGGTCGAGGTCAGGCGTGTGCGAGATCTGCAAGCGCAACGCATGGCTAGAAAAGCTCAGAGGAAGCATAGGCACACAAGCTTTTGGACCTTTCAACCTGCGAACCGGCTGGTCCCAACTTTGATACCGTCAGACACCGAGAAGAAAGGAGGTCTAGATGATCCTGTGACTGCCGCAAGAAAAGAGCGAATTGAGAGATTGAGGAGAGAAGGTTGGAACGTTCGCAAGGAGAAGTACGGTTTCAAGGGAGTGGAGTGGTACGAGGCATTCAGATGTCGTGTCGAGAAAGAAATAGCAGAATACGAGAGGGCTCAATGATGAGGCGATATGCTGATCCATGGAAGAGGAGCGCACACACACCTTCCGAGCTTGTGAAAGCCTCCCACGCCAACTGGGGATAGTAATGTTTGGAGCTCACGATGTATGACGGATGACTTTGACAGACACAATTGGACGTCAATTTGGATCGAGTGTGCACGAGATGCAAAGCAATGATGAGGTGTACCGAGTGCTGGGAGGAAGTAATGATCTGAGCATAATTGTTAACTGTCGCTGCATTGGTCCGAATTGGGAATTGGGTCCTTGCGCAGTTCGGCCTGAAAGTGATAGTTCAGTCTCTTGATTCTGATAAGCGCATTCGTGTCTATTGAAACCCTGCGCAAAGATATGTCCGTTCAATGTGTCGAGGCGACATCGAGGCCACACGGAGTCAATTTTCATTCAATGATAAGGAAACTCTGGGACGTGATGTGTGAACTCGCAGTTTGGAGTCGTTCTGAGGAGCAGCAGCAAGCTCACGCCCATCTCTAGCATGTGTTTTACTTTGACTCCGCAGCCTCGATCCTCAGCCTCAATCCGTGCTGTGCTCAGCCCCCAACTCCTCGCAACCCTAGTGATTTCAGCTGAGCTGCTGCGCTCCTGCGTATTTTCCCCCTTGTGCTGACGCTTCCTCAAGTGACATCGAGAGTATTTTGTATTGTTACATCCTCTTCTTTCTTGTAGCCTCTGCCATCCGGCCTTCTACTCTCTGAGTCCGCCTCGAATCCGCTCTGCCTCCCACTCAGCCTCACGCTACCCCGCAATCTTTGTGAGATATCACCACTCCCCTTCGCCTCGACGAGCGCAGGGAATTGAACGTCGGGCATTGTTTTATTAGTCGGCACGGCCTCCTTGCAGTGTGGGATTATCCTGTTGCTGTCTCGAAGCGCCTGGAGCCCACCGCCACGCGACTCGCAATACAAGAGGAAGAAAGTTTCCAAGGCGCTGCCCGACCAACCGCCATCATGAGCTGTGAGTCTCCGTTGGAGCCTTTCTTTTAGAGGACTTCTTTGTTGTACACGCTGCCTCCTAATAAATTGCCCTGCGTAACCCGCATTGCGTCTGTCAAAACGCGGTTTCCCTTCGATCTGCAGGTCGGTTATGCGACTTCACATGCTAATGCTTCGCAAATTAGTGAACGCCATGTTGAACAAGCTCCAAGGGCAACCCGATAGCTACGAGAAGAAGTCACAATATCGTCTTGGAAAGACACTAGGAGCAGGGACGTACGGCATCGTGCGAGAGGCAGAATGCGGTGGAGACAAAGTCGCTGTCAAGATCATCCTGAAGAAGAGCGTTAAGGGCAATGAACAAATGGTCTATGATGAGTTGAAGATGCTACAGACACTCAGCCACCCGCATATTGTCAAGTTCGTGGACTGGTTTGAATCAAGGGTATGTCTTGTACGATCCCGGTTGAGCTTTGCCGATATTGATTGATATTCAGGACAAGTTCTACATTGTCACCCAGCTAGCCACAGGGGGCGAGCTCTTTGATCGGATCTGCGATAAGGGAAAATTTACCGAGAAAGATGCCTCGCAAACGATCAAACAGGTGCTGGAGGCAGTCGATTATCTGCACGGAAAGAATATTGTTCACCGAGGTAAGAACCGTGTCGTGATACAGCCTTGGAATTAATGCTAATTGTTCCAGATCTCAAACCGGAGAATCTTCTGTATTTGACCAGAGACCCTAGTTCTCAGCTGGTACTTGCCGACTTTGGAATTGCGAAAACGCTCGATAGCCCTGGCGCTGTTTTGACCTCGATGGCTGGCTCATTCGGCTACGCCGCGCCCGAGGTCATGTTGAAACAGGGTCATGGCAAGGCAGTCGATATGTGGTCTCTGGGTGTCATCACATACACCCTTCTTTGCGGATACTCGCCTTTCAGATCCGAAAATCTGGCTGATTTGGTGGAGGAATGCAAGAGTGGCCGTATCATTTTCCATGAGAGATATTGGAAAGATGTCAGCAAAGACGCTAAGGACTTCATTATGAGTCTCCTCCAACCCGACCCGACAAGACGTTCCAACAGCTCAGAAGCACTCAAACACATCTGGTTGACCGGTGAGACTGCTTCGGAGCACGATCTGTTGCCAGAAATCAGATCGTACTTGGCGAAGATGAAGTTGAAGCGTGGCATCGAGCTGGTTAAACTCGCCAATCGCATCGACGCACTCAAGATACAAGAGGAAGAGCCTGCCGACAGCTCCGACGCAAACGACATCCCGGCGAACGCTCAGAATGCTGCTGGCTTGGCGGTAAAGAACCAAACCAGAGGCGTGTCGCCAGGCCGTGGCCTATCTACCAACGAAGCCCCCGAGAAGAGGACTTTGAGCAAGGCGGCCAAGAGTGCCATCTTCAAAGAAGTGGTGCTGGCCAAGGTCAGAGAGATGAAAGACAAGGAGAAGACCGACAAGTTGGTTGCCGAGGTCACGAAAGAACACGAACGTAGGAAGAGCTTTACCGGCCAAAGATGAGATGATGGTTGAATTCAAATTGACACTTTGATTGGAACTGGAAAGGCGTGATTCGAAAGGCCGAACGCTTGACGACAAAAATGGAAAGACTGAAACCATTGATTGGGTGCTCCGGTACCTACCGCTGACGCGGATTACGATACCCTAAGTGAAGATGGGAAACGGGAATGCCGGCGACGCTGATTGTGTGTGTATGTGCGTGTGCTCTCTTGAGCTTGAATATTCTTCTGCAGGCATGGGTAGCTAAGCTCTCTTTGAATTCGTATCTCGCTTCGTTTCAGGGAATCAAGGGATTACTGCTTCAACTTGTGACGAGAAAGGGGCAATATATCATTATTTCATAAAAGACATCCATCATGACCGGCTGCGGCGGCCTTGTCGTCGTCTTGGTTAAGATGATGATGATGACGATAGTGTCTTTCAGCGATCTAAACCAGACTTTCATCTTCCGTTGCGGAAGTAGTTCGATTCTCTCTCTCTCTCTCTCTCTCTCTGTGTGTGTGCGTGTGTGTGTGCGTGTGTGGGTGCGTGTGTGTGCGTGTGTGTTGACCACGGTGGCCCCCGGAGGGCGATTCTCAGATTTTGGGCTCGCTGCGTGGCCCAGCTGGAAGAACGGTAAAATCTGCCAGGACACCCAGATGATCAGTCACCCAGCCTTGGTCCATGTCCTCTTCCTGGACCAGGCCGTCTCGTACGTGCTGTTCGTCGGCCGTCACGCCGGCGCCCACGCGCTCGAACCTTGTGCACTCTACGGCACCGCAAAAGTAAACCTTGTCCATGCGGCTGCAGCCGAACATGTTGCGCAGCTTCGTCGGGGCTTGTTGGCCCCAGGTGTACCCGTCGTCCGAGTCCTCCTGGCCGCCGAGCGCGAGGTAGGCGTCCTGCAGGTCGTTGTCGGAGTGCAGGGTCTTGTCGAAGGGCTGGATGGCGTTGAGGTCGCCGGCCAGGACGGACGCCGCGACGCCCGGGTCGTGCATGTGCCGCGCGGCCGTGGCGACTTGCAGAGGTCGCTTCGGCGGGTCCGCGACGAGCGACTCCAGGTGCGTGTTGCAGATGCGGACCGTCCGTCCCTGGATGTCGAGGTCGACGAAGAGGCCGTCGCGCTCCATCGCCGTGGCTTCGTAGTGGACCCTGAACACGGCCGTCACGGGGAGCGCCTTGGGGCTGAGGATCACGGTGCCGTAGTGTCCCGACTCCCAGTGCGTGTTGGCGACGTCGGTCATGTGGTAGCCCGAGCGGACCCAGGCCTGGGCCTGGATGAGAGAGAGGTCGGATTCGAGCATCTCTTGAAGGAGGATGACGGTGGGGTTGGAGGTTTGCGTCGTCAGAGACTGCAGATGGTTCAGTGCCGCGGCCATGCGCTCGTCAGGGTAGGGGAGCATGAAGTCGATGTTCCAGGACACGAGAGTGAAGGTGTTTGGTGTCGATGGGCTGTCCGAGGGCCGCGACGGAGCTGGAGTGACCGCGTCCCATGAAGATGTCGAAGGGGAGAAGGTGTAGTATGGCTGACTGTGACGCTCTTCACGCTTCCACGGGTGTGACGGTTTCTTCTTGGACTCGATTAGTTCAATCATGCGTTTTAGCTTGGGGTCCATGCTGGCCAGACTGGGGGGGTGTTTCTGGAGGCTGAGGGTGACGGTGGTGTGTAGATGTGCGGTTGAAGGAGGACGACGACGGCGCCTTCTTGCGGAAAATGAAAGACGTGGGCTGTACAGAGGGGTATATAAGGGTGTCTTCGACAGGGAAATCCTCCTTTTTGTTGTCTGGGATGGTGTCAGCAGGGCCGGCATACCGTGGGCGCGTCCCCAGGCTGACCTTTGTATGGAGTAAATAACCCTGAGTCCCTCGTAGCGAGCGTCGTTGGCAAGTCTAAAGTTCCATATTCGACCGACCGACCGAGGTTCGATATGATTGGACAGTGGCCCAGACACGCCAGACAGTTTTGCCAATTGCGTTTTGTGCAACGGTTCATCGCCTACGACATCATCCACCAGTTTGAGTGCCACGGGAAGACAATGTGTCATATCGATATGCGGTGAACTGCGAATGCTGTCCAAGCCGATGATGGTAATGTGGAATCTGAACCGCCTACTACGGGAACTTCTGTTGCATGGCCTGTGTCCGACATGTCCGACACTTCCGGTCAGCTTCCTCCGGGCGCGACTAAACGGCCTAGACCAGTAATATCATGCCTTATTTGCAGGTAAGTCCGATATCCAGGTGATAGAAAATGGTTCACACGGCCTAACCTGTCGTCGCAGGAGGAAGAAGCTCAAATGCGACCGGCTCCGACCTTGCCAGCAATGCATCAAGGTTGGTCGCCCAACCGGGTGTATCTACCAGCCTGGACAGGAACCTGAGCCCAATGTCGCATATCTACAAGGGCATCCCAGTAAGCGACAGAGATTCGAAGCATCCTTTGTGGATATTACGAATGGCAACCTAGCAATCGCTCCTCGTCCTCCTCAGACGCCCACAGGAGGCGTGATAGAGGACTTACTTGCACGCGTCGCGAGGATCGAGAAGGCCGTCTTCCCACAAGAAGGTCACTCAGATGCCATTCAGCCTCCCGCCACACCGACCAGGGCCAAGATCAAAGACGATGACCTCGACCAGAAAATCTATACGCCAGCAGTAACAACCAATTTGAGTTTCCAGGTAAGTTTGGGCAGCAGCGTCTTTCCTCTAGTACCGTCATTGACCACGACAGTTTCCCGATGCATGTCGATTCATTATGGACTTACCAAACAACCCTACCATGGCGAGCCTTCGGACAAATCTGCGAACTGTGCACTTGGCTGTGGAGAGGAACAACCATAAAATGTTACTTGGCCAAGATTCCAAGGCCACTGGCTACCAAGAAGTTCTTCAGCTCCCTCCTCTTCATATTTGCGAGAGACTGGCCACCCTCTACTTCGACAATATGGAGCATTGCTTCAGGGTTCTGCACGCCCCTACGTTCATGCGACAACTCAGGACCCTCTTCACCGACGGCGCTGGCGAACAAGCTTGCGGCCTGGGCTTTGTCCCACAACTTGTTGGCGTGTTACTAGTCGGAGCGAGTGTCGGCACCCACGAAGAATGCGAAATCGCGGCCTCTACTTCAATGCTCCGTCCTATGCGCGTTCTCAAGTTCATGCAGGACTTTCTCGATAAGGTGCAGCCGCGACAACAATATCTCCTACCAGTCTTGCAGGTCAAGATGTTGAAGCTTGTCTGTCACTGGAGCTCTCTGGGACGTCTCGATGATCTGATACGTTTGAACGGGGAGATCCTTCGCGACGGTCTAATCATGCTGTTGAACGAGGATCCTTCAAGGCGACCTGGGATCAGTGTGTTCGAAGGCGAACTCCGGCGGCGACTCTGGATGACCATCGTCGAAATCGACCTCATGTTATGTATCCTGTGCAGGATACCGTGTATGGTGCCGCCGTACACTTCGAATCCTCCGCGGAACATCAACGATGACGAGATATACGAAGGCATCGAAGTCTTGCCGGAATCCAGACCCATAGAAGAGTGGACAGACGGGCTATGTCAGCACATGCTCTCAAAGTCGTTCCCGCTACGCCTCAGGGCCTGCAAACAGATGGACAGCACGAGCCACATATCGTTCAACGATCTCCGCGTCTTCACCCAAGACCTTGAGAAAATCTTACAGGAACTGCCATCTCCCTTGCGCTTCACTTACCAAGGCGACCAAGCGAGCAAGACGCCCCCGCGTCTGCTGGCGCGGATGGAGTTGGACTTTAGCATTCGTCGCCCCTTGATGCATCTCTACACATGCTTCGTGGCCAGCTCGAACGCCGCTGACATCTCCCAAGAATGGACCGATGGCTTTTTACAATCTTGTTTGATGATTACGACTTTCCAAGAGTAAGATTCCTTTTTATTTCTATTTTTCTTCCGAATCTCTGTGCCAGAGCTTTTTTGGACTCTATCAAACCCCAGCGGTTAGACTTACTGATCACTTTTTTCTTCTTAGCCTGTTCGACCCACGGTATTCGGAAATCGACGTGCCCCGGCCCGAGGGATACTGGGACTTCTTCCACAACCTCTACCGCAACGAGCTGGTCCAAGCCATCCTCGGCCTCTGTCTCGGAATTAAAGGGCTAGGCACTGCGACCTCCTGCGACGACCCTGCCGTGCAAGGCACGACGCCGTCTACGACGACGCCCGGAGACGGCTCCCAGTCGCGGTACCCGGGGTACACGAGATCCAACCTGATCTCCTCGGTCGTAGACACCTTGGAGCCCCTGAAGCTTCGCATATCCCACCCGGGCGCCAACTTCAAGGACATGGCTTACTTTACCATCGTCCTGACGTCCCTCTTGCCCGAGAATCCAGGCGAACCGAAGCAGGCGAGCATTCAGAGGTCGCTGCAGGGCTTGGTGCGGGAGTGTCTCGATCAGTTGCGGAAGGACAACGTGCCGATACCGTTGCTGGAAAATCATACTTCTCGACCGCACGACGTCGTGGGCAACCCGTCTCAGGACGCGGGTCATTCCTATGACTCGGTCTGGTGTGGCTTTCCGGCCGTCGACCTCTTCGAGCCCCCCGAGATACCTAATATGCTTGGCCATGATGATAAATAAATCGTGACAGCGCCACAAACTCGTGAGCACCATGTCGAATGAAAGGCAGCAGCGTACTCGCGGCTTGGTGCAAAAGAACATTGGGCCTGCGTTTGGGCTTTCAAGAAACGTAGGAATGAGGAAGGCGGAAAATCCCAAAATCAAAAATCGTAGAGACTGGACGTATATATAGGCTTAGCCGCGTCAGCATCTCTTGAAGAAGAAAACATTGAATTTGGGAAGATTCCCCATCTATATGCTCATCATGCCTTTTGTCAGACCTTGGTTTTTCTCTTTCTCTTTCCATGCTATGATGGTAACCCACGCCGCTCAAATACGTGAAATCTAAAGTATAAACGCCAAACATCGAACAGAGTCTGAAATGCATTTTGCTGCCCTTTTTTGGGAAATGGCCCATTTGTGGCTCGGGAACAAAGCTCTTGCTTGCTGATAGGTGAAGGCAGAATTCGGCAATTGTTATAGTCCCATGCGCCTTGTATCCGTTTTCCATAATGCACCAAGACATTCTCGCGTCCAAAAAGTCATGGTCTCAACTCGACGACGTCTTCGGACGAGTGAAGCTTGAGCGTCTGAGCAGGCCAATGCCCCATTTTAGTATGCTTGATGATAAGATGCCTGCGCTGGTTTGGGAAGAGTTGTGAGAAGCCTTTCGAGATGTCGCCTTCTAGTTAGGGCCCAAAGGTTGGTAGAACATGCCCTGTTTCTGACTGGCGGAATATAACCTGAGCAGCCCTAAAGTCACTGACTGAATAAGGGAGAAGAGGACCCCACCCGGGTAAGAAAGGCAGAGAAGCAAGGAGGCCATGCCTCAGGGCGTTTTGGTCGTTCATTTAACTATGTCTGGTGTGGATCGTTTGACGAGACCTTTGTGCGAACAGAGTCAAACGTGAAGGCCAGAAGGCAAGAATGTGACTCACGCCTAGCCGAAATAGCGTCTCAGGGCCTCATAGATGCTGAAGATTATCGCAGAGCTAGGAGCAGCGCGGAAGACAGTGATGCCACAACCACGATAAAAACCAGCGAGGCCTTGCTCATGCCACAGAGCCCTTCCGGTAGCCGCGAATGTCATCCGTTTGATACCCACACCCTCGGTAGAACTGGTTTGCATTCGCGACTTGATCGTGTCGGCAGGGTAAAAAACAAAGTTGTATGACATTCCCGCGGCGGCCCCAGCGACCATCTGTTGCCAGACCTTGACATCTGCAATTTGAGTAATTGAAGTGTCGTATTTTCGAAACATCATCTTGACGCCTTCGTACGAACCAAACCAAGCGGCTGAACCGCCGGTTTCACGGATCAGTGTGCCCAGTTGTCCGTGCCAGAAACCCAAGATTCCTTGACTCCGAAACACTGCCCGGATCAATTCCATCGGTCCTGGGGGTCTTGTTGTCGTGTAGCCCAAGTCTGCGGCCAGATGAGAGGGAGCGATGGGTACTTGCATCTTGCACTTGATCAGTTCGATCGGTGTCAGGAGAAGAGAGGTGAACGCTCCTGAGGCCGCGCCGCAGCCGAGTAAGGCGGGGAAAGGAAGTTCAACTTTGCCATTATGTTGATCTCGTTGTGCTCGAAGTGTTGGAGACGCCGCAACCACGATATCTTGGGCGATCCTGTAGCTGAAGAACAGAGAGGAGGTCTCAATAGCCGCTCCTAGTAGGGGAGCACTGATTCCTCGATACAAGGACACAAGAGGACCCTCTGGACTCTTGAACGCAGCAGAAAATGCATCAAGAGGGCCCCGCAGTCGAGTGCCTCCATGATGTTCTGACTGCGACTGAAGTCGGACCTTGACAGTATCAAAAGGATATTCCACAAACTTTCCCAGTACTCCTGCTGTCGACCCAAAGGCAATGTCCTTCAATGCTTCTATTCCCTGGCTTGGTGGTACAGTGAGCTCAGGTTGAGAGAGAAAGGCTTCACCCTTCTCGAGGCCGGTCACAGGTGGGAGGTCATCTTTGAAAGCGGCCATCCAGACCACCTAGACCAGCAGAGGTCAAAGTTATGCGGAAAAAGTGACTGGTAGGAGGTAGGCTATCGTGGTAGCATTGCTGTGAGCCTGTCGAGGGGGTCCCTCTTCTCAATAAGGAGGCGTGCGTCGTCTTGAAGAGCGGTGTCGCAGTTTGAGTCTAAAGTGGACTTTGTGTCACCGACAATGAGAATTTCAGGATCTTATCAGATCCTCCTAAACCTGTGAATGGCTCAAAATGATCCGCCAGCGCATCTTAGACTGCATGAGAAACAAAATTTGCACCCGATATCGCGCGATTTTTCGTCATTATGTTCATCGAGGGGTCAGACTTTGCCTGCAAACGGGAAAGGGTGGAAAAATCCAAGTTGACCCAGCGCCGACTGGTGCGAAGCTAAGATTAGACAAGATTAGATTAGATGACGTCGAAAATTAGAATCACCAACGCAGGATGGTCTCCATTTTCACAACTCAAGCGCAGTTGGACTTTGAACTGCTGCAAGTTTTCAAACAATAGGGGCAAAAAACAATGTCGGTTGAAACACTATCTAGCAAGTCCCGGACTGCACTAAGTGAGGCATCCTCGACGACGGCGACGACGCAGAAACATGGGATGCGAGTAAACGGTACGGCCTGTCGGCAAACGAGAATTGGCAGTTTTTTTAATTTGTGATTACAGGAAAGAATTGGCACGCTCCAAAGAAAGCATTTCGTCCGACCGCGGGCCAGACATCTTATGCCCAGCGAAAAGAGCAAGAACAACTCAAACAAGCGATCAAGGCTCGAGAACGGGAGCTGAAGGAGGAAAAGGAACAGGAGCGAAACCGAAGGATACAAGCCATCAAAGACCGCAGAAACGCCAAGGCAGAAAAGGAGCGTTATGAGAAGATGGCGGAGAAAATGCACAAAAAGGTTGTTGAAAGAAGGAAACGAAGAGAGAAGAGAAACAAACTGCTGAAAAGCTGAAACAACTGGCGATGAAGTTCGAATATCCCACTCCAGCAATATAACCCTGCTTGTCATTTCAAAGCCGCTGGCGACAAGGGGCCTTTACTCCTCGCGGCTGTCGGCTTTCTTCTTCTGACCCAAACGAACAATTGCCTCGACACGAAAGACACCAAACAAACTACCAGGAAGCGAATTCTTCCAACCCTCAACCCTCAGGACAAAGCCGATGAAAGATCCAGCGTGCCGCATTATTGTGGACGTTGAAGTCACATTGTCGGGGCAATGGATCAATACAGCAGCTCGACACCGATTAAATACCACGGCAGAGCAATCAATTCAAGGTGTGATCATAGGAAGAGGAAAGTCCATTGATTGATGTAACCAGGATTCCGAAGGATTTTATGAAGCTGATGCTCGAATACCACCGCCCCGAGCATGAACGCGGGCGGTTCGACATAAGGGGGTTGTAGCAAAGGTGTAAGGAGTTTCAGGGCTCTGCCAAAGGGATATCGACAATAACGTTGCCCATCTTTAGTTTGAGTTTAGAAAAGCCAATGACGGGTGGCTCCAGGCCATCGAGCTTATGAAGCTGCTCTCGAGCCTGCTTCTCGGGTTGATGTAGAGACCATGCGATGCTAATATGAAATGCATCAGTCATATCAGACCTCTCCAATTTCTCTCTCAAGCCGTCCTCGTCCACCCGTTTTCTTTGATGGGCATACAGCTCAGTAAGCCCGAGACGTCGAGCTGCTGCATTACACGCAGACAAGAGCTTGTTCAATTCGTCGTTGGGAGGCCTACTAAGCTTGAGCACCAAGAAGTACCTACTTCCATCATGGTTGGCAACCCAAGCCAGTCCCGTCACGCAAACAGTAAAATTGCCTACTCGTCGTTGGCGCACTTCCGAGCAGACCCTTTCTTCGAACGGGCCCTTTTCCTCCGTTCTGAGTACCAGAGGAGCTGATAAGCTGATATGTAAAGGTTGCAAAGCTCCCAGCTCGGATCGCAGAAAGCTATGTATGCTTTTGCCAACGTCATTGAGCGGTTTTGCATGCTCAATCACGTCGTCGAGGATGACCAGCTCTTCTTTCGAGGGATGCCACTCAAGGTAGACGTGTGTCGGCCAATTACCTACCGCGTGAGGTACCTGCCGTGTACGGCCAGCATGCAGAGTAGGATCATCGCTTGCAGCAGTTCTCACGTTTGTCGCATACAGTGAATGAAACGAAGCAGGTAGCGGCGGAGGTCTTCTGGCGTCCTTGTCATCACTGCCAGAGGCTCTACGCTTCCTCTGTCCTCGATTGTCCTCAGGGCAGGGTTCATCACTTTCAGAAGGCGATTCTGAATAGTCCACCAGCATGTTTGTCAAGTTCAGGACAACGTGATCATTGTACCTGCCAAGAGGATTCGACACCTGTGCCCTGGAATTGGGAAGGAAATCGGTGGTCGGAACGGGTGATCAGCAGTGGGTAAGGTCTCGAGTAACGTAATCACAGACCCTTGATTGCTTGTGGTCAGGAAGCCCACGGAAAGCTGGTGACGAAGACAATGGAGAGAGTGTCTCAGTTGGCCTTGGATATGTGGCACTCTCCCGCTATGTTGTGGCTTTTCCCACCCGCAAAGCGACGCCGTGTGTTTCACAGATCACGCATTAGATGCTAGCGGGACGCATGGGCCTCAGAAAGCGGACGCTTTTAGGCAAGGCATAAGCACCAATATTTATGTACAGGGATAAGATCGCGATAGAGTCGAGTAAAGAGAAGACCGGAACTCTTCCAGCTTTTCGCGTCGGGCAAGCGTCGCTCGTATTGCTGTCCCAAGATGGAGTGGAATTGTGCGCGTACATGACGTCGCCAATCCTTATCCTGCTGTACCTAACTAGCGACTGACCCCGGCTCGCTAGGCGCCTATTCTTACCCACTATGACATTGTAATCCCGCCCGGGTGTCCTGGTTTGTACCTGTACCACTGGAGGTACTCGCAGACGTGCAGCTGCACACCCTCTCGGTGCATTATCGATTCTTTATTCGCACTTCTACTCAAAAGCCCATTCCGCGTACATCGCCCTTCCTCTATCTCAGTGCTATTGAACTACATCGTCTATCAGTCAAGCATCTGAAATACATTCCACGTCCTAACAATCCCCAGATTTCGGGACAAAGATGGGATCCTCCGAAGACAAAGAATGGGTACGTTGTTTGTCCAGCCCGAGGCTGCTCGATGTTGCAAAAGGCTGACGATGTATTCTTCCAGGCCTCGAAATATCTCCTCGACCCTCTCAATGCGCCCGAGCCTTCTCAAGAGGACGGTCCTGGTAATGCATTCCGTGGCGGTCCGTCCGCGCCGCCCAAAGCGACCCCTCCAAACAGAGCGTACTCAGGACGGCGATTGTCAAAGAACAACCCATTCCACAAGAGCTCCAAGTCCGATGTTGGCACAACAGAAGTAAAGCGCAGTATCTCCCTCCACAGCAACGGCACTGTTCCCAAGACTCCCTCTTCTCCGCCAACTGCCTATCCTTCTCCGCCACCATCCGCAAATAGTCCAAATGCAGCTTTCTCGCCGGGTTCTCCTCGATCGCCTAGCTACAGACAAGAAGCGCTCGGAGAACACAGACCCGGTCGTAGAAGGGGCAGCTCGTTGACTGAACGCTACCCTGGCGACATGTCACATCGACCATTGGACACTCTGACTAAAGAGAAGCATGTCGCGGACCGCTCTCGCCATGTTACCAGAAAACACCATATCCAGCCAGACACTATTGATAGTTTAGACCACAGTGGTGGCACTGCATGGCATCATGGTGGGCCGTATGATGCTACCTTGTTCGCCAGAAACAACTCTTCCAATTCCCCTCTGGCTGCCCTAGCAGATTCGAATGCCGAAGCCCTCAGAGCAACACCCAAAGAACGGGTCATCGACAGTGTGTTTCGCCATCGTCCCTTAGACGGGGTAGCTACATATGCGCCGGGAGACACTGACCGAATGGGCAATGTGTACAACTATGAGGAGGGTGACAACATGATGATCGAAAGTGGGCCAGAAGGAGGTGCTTATAAGCGCTGGCCAGGGATTCAGTACCTACCTGAGGATATCAAGGGCAAGGGCGAACCAAGCTACAGCATCGAGAAAGCGCTCAAAGAGCACCGTATCCACGATAACAGTGTCGGCTCTGATGGCATCGAGATGGAGACAAAGAGCCGTCATCGGAGTTCGTCTGGAGCGGCGCCTCGCAGCAATTGGGATGATGGTGAAGGTCAGATTGGTCGAAGTGGAAGTTTCAAACGACTGAGTGGGGGTCTCAAGAAGAGGTTTGGGAGTATCAAGAAGAAGTCTACTGAATGAACACCATTATATGTCTGCCGTGGTGAGATAATGATTGGATATCCTGGTGGGCGTCTCTTTGGTTAATTGCTCACTAGTTGGCTGTGGGCTTTGTATATTCAAACAACAGGCGCCCTAGACTCCTACGGGAATATAGCCGGTACAGTTTGTATCCTCAATTTCTGGATGTGGTTTTCTTCGTCTCCCAGGGTCTCTTGGTCCAGCCGGGCTCCGAAGATCAGACTTCCCATCCGCTAAGCGGCCATGTTATTTTACAAGTATCACCAGGATGTTGCTAGTCTATTTGCTCCTATCTTAGGTGCGCCCCTTTGGTCCTAGAAGGAGACGAGCATCCAAGAAGGCCGTTTCGATACTGGCCTACAAGGGGCTACAATTTCGAGTTGTCAGCATCAAGCTGTTGTACAAGTGTTTCTTCGAGAGGCACAAACACGTTCCACGCTGGAACGGGATTCCACTCAAGAAGTACTTTCCCATGACCTCTGATAATGTCAATTCTGTCTGAGATTGAAGTCATCCCAGGAACGTGCAGGCTCCTGCGAACCAGGCGATTGCTTCTGACCGTCCAACCCTTCGGCTCCGGATCGAAAATTTGTTGTCATGAATTCTGAGCGCTGCCAAAGTCCTCTTTCGCATCCGGACGATCCCAACTTCGCTTCTCCAGGTCTCGCACCTGTTTCTCGAGCCGCTGCACTTTAGCCAGGTTCTCTCTTTTCGCGGCTTCTTGCAGTTCGAAGGTGTTCTTCAGCTCCTTGACCATGAAAGGCTCCATCGGGCTTTTTTTGCCGAGCCTGTAGTCGTACACCACGGATTCCTCCAGACACCGTGCTGCAGGGCGCTGGCGATTTTCGGAGAGAATCAGCACATCCAGTATCAATGAAGTGGTCTTCTCGTCTGGACACGTCCGGAGTTTGTGATATACAGAAATCCTGTCGGGCCACGTCATGGGAAACTTGAAGTCCACAGTGATGCTCTTGAGGATCAGTCCAATACCGCGGTTCGTCAACATGTCTTCCCACTTTTGCCGGTGCACAGGATCAACGTATTTCGCAAAGTTGCGCATTGTGTTACATCTTCCGCTCTCCGCGTATCGAACATACATCACGTTGTTTACATGGCCCATCGAGTCCTGCTCGCCCCATACAATGTTTTGTCTATGCAGACCGGCTCTTTTTGGATCAGTCAGGTATCCCTCACTGCCAGCGACAAGCTCACGCCAGTCACGGCCCAGGACGCGCAAGATCCTGCCAGCCTCATCGACAAGGCTCTCTGGCATGCCAAAGGTAATGCATTTTCCTATGCGGGCCTTTGTATCCGACAGCCAGCGCGGTGAGATTGCTGACCCGTTTGCCTCGGGGACGGACGCTCGAGAGGAGTATTGTCGTGCTCGGAAGGCACTGTGATTTGCGGAGAGCACCGTCCATGAGGCACGCTGGACGGCGCGTGGAAGCGTCATGTTAACGATACATTAACGCAGCGTCGCGAACGAAGTTACGGACGAGATCAACATCTATACCAATTTGAAGAAAAACGGCTTCAGCATGTCATCCCGGCGGGTCGGTTGAAGCTCGGCATCGAAAGGCCACCGGACTCGACGAGGCTGAGACAGCCTGGTGAAATTCCTATGAAGCTAAGGTACAGAGTATGAACTCAACGGCTTGCTCGCTCACAACCAAGGAACTACTTCGTTGCGGACGGCAAGCGTCTGCCATCACTGAAGCGGGGAGAGGCTCGTTCAAAGGTACAGTACGTACCAAGGGTATCTTCTGGCAAGACGCGGGACTAACAATGCCATCCGCCATCCGCCGAGATACAAGCACCAGTGACGAAGCTCGCTTTATCACTGAGCAAGTAGACAACCGTGTCAGCAATTTCCGATGGCTGAGCCAACCTACCCAACGCTGTGGACGAAAAGTCCTCTTTCGACTCGGAACCTTCGATGCTCATTGACTGTTTCATCAATGGGGTTTCTGTGAAGCCCCTGCTTCTGATCAGCACATGCTTCGCATCTGTCTCGAGAAGGATTCGGACTTACGGTGCAATGCAATTCACCCTGACGCCTCTTTTTCCCACCTCCTTCGCAACGCATCGAGTCAGGCCCAACACCGCATGTTTGCTTGCGGTGTAGGCACTGGTTCCTTCCCTCCCTTCCAAACTGAGTCCGCTTCCGGCGTTGACTATGCTGCCATACTTTCGACCATCCTTGCCTATATACTTCAACTGTGCTCTAAGACAGTTTTTCATTCCATTGACATTGACTCCAAAGACAAAGTCCCACTCCTCGTCATCCATTGTCTCAATGGTGCCGATATTGTGGTCTCTTGGTATCGTTCCAGCCATGTTCGCTGCACCATCGAGCGCACCGAATCTGTCCACAGTGTCACTGATCCAGCTGTCCACATCTTGTCTTGAGCGGACGTCGACCTTCTTCAGTAATATTCTATCCTCAGTCTTGCCAGGCCACTGAATGCCGGGAGCTTCTTTTGCAAGATCCTGCAGAAGTGTGTCGGCTATGCGTATGTCGGCTATCGACACGTTCGCACCTTGACGCAGAAGAGATTTGGTGACCGCAAGGCCGATCCCACTTGCGCCCCCGGAGATTGCATATGTCCTGCCGCTGAAAAAGCTGTCCATGATGGAACTTCAGGTATGTACACTGGAGCGGTCTGGTAAAGCTGGTAAGTGATAGTATCTGGTCACGGGAGAGCAGTGAGCGGACTTGAACAATGAGTTTGTTGGGTCTTGAATTTCTCGAGCGCTGGGAGAATTGAGGAGTCTTTATATCAAGTGTAACATCGACCAGTCTTCCTGCATTATCCTCGTTACAGGAAACCCAACTATTGGCCGATCGGCAGAGTGAACACTCCTGGTATGGTGGCCGAAGCAACTCAGAAGGCTGTCTTCTGTGGTTGGTGCCAGCGTAAACTCTTGTCAAACCCAAAATGGAGACCCTACCGAGGGCTTGTGGGATACAGAAGGATATGGTGTCTATGAGGTCGAGGGTCAGCAATAGCCCACCACCGGGGTTTGCCCCCTGACGACGCCCGTACCCCTCAAATACTCGCGGTACAGGTCCCATTGCCGTGCGCGTCGAGGCGCATAATGCCGCTGTGGCGGGTAAAGTTGCTTTAAAGTGGTGCTGGCGGAGTGTCACCGGGGCTGCCATTGTCTGAGTCACTTTTCCTGGGGTTGCGGACCACTAGCTAGACTACCTCGGGGAGATAGGAATATGCACAGAGGAAAATGTAGTCCAGGTACAGGTTTTATCCGTTGTATTGGAGGAAGACGGACCTTAGTCGGCACATTGCACATTAAAGACCACTCAACGCGCCTGGACAAAGACTTGGATTCCATGGGAAGAAGATTTGTGGTGATGGTATCGAATAATCCGGGGTGTCGGACCAGTGGCGCGATAAGCTTTGGCGGCCTAAAGTTGGAAACATCGATATCCACTGCAACTTTGCTCGACTCTTTCCTTTGGTACTCGGTATTTTTGCTGCAATGAGGTTCCTTTCCACTCTAGAGCCATGACCTTCTAAAGAACCCCGGCAACCCGATTACGAGTCAGTTCTTGGTCTGTAAATGGAGCCTTCGGCGAGATCGCGCTTCGAATCTGACCTCCAGGCTCTTCTCGAGGAGGCGTCATTAGCTGGCACACGGAATCGCCGCCAACTTTCCTGCACGCCTTGCAGACAACGGAAGTAGGTGATCATATAACCAATGTCGGTGTTCGCCTACTTATTTGCGTGTAGATTGAAATGTAACCGAGGGAGGCCTTGTGAAAATTGCGTCAAGAAAAACGCACTGCAAGCCTGTGTGTACCCAGACTTTGCGAGACGTGGTCAGAACAAGCCTGTCAAGGTCAAAGAGCGCATCAACCGCCTGGAGTCGGCCTTACTCGAGCTCAGTGAAAGGGGCGATGCCTCCCTTGGCTCGAAAAACGGCCATTGCACCCAAACTGCTTATCCCGAGCAAAGCGAGGCGGGACAACGACCTTCGACCGACACCCGGGCTGACACGGTCGTGAGCGGATCGACAACAAAATGGGATTCGATCCTAGACGATGTGAGAAATGCTTGATATCATGACAGACTGCTCTCTTGCTAAAGCGTGGTAGATCTCGGAGATCAAGGACTATTTCGAAGAAAACAACGAGTTTCTCAAACGCGATATTGACAAGCTTCAGATTGCGATGCCCTCACCAAAGGTCTGGGATATTATATATGGAGTCAGGCATCACCAGAGTCTAGAGGCCTTGCTCTCATGTCTCCCAGAACGACCTCAGGTCGACAGGATGGTGGCCAAGTACTTTGAGATGCTGGCATTTTTCAGACGTGAGTATTATCTGGCAATGCGATTGCTCTTAAAATGTCTGACTCTTCTAGCCGTGGTCCATCCAAAGCAGTTTCAGCGAGAAGTACATCATTTAGAACTGCACAACCGCGATGTGATGCTGACGTCTATCTCAGTACAATAAATTCTGGAAGGATCCTGCGGCCGTTTCCATCTCGTGGCTAGGGCTTCTTTTTGCCATGCTTCAGCTAACTGCGCAAGTCTCCGGCCAGCTTTCCAACGATGCTTCAAACCTGGTACTCGAGCCAGATGCGATGGCCGCCACGTTTAGACATTGCGCACTGCAATGCCTCACCTTGGATGACTATGCCAAGGGTGATATCCATCTTCTGCAAGGTATGCTCACCCACCTTGAATCTGAATACTTTCAATCACTGGACCCTCAAGCGAACTTCTATATTCTCACCGGTACTATTGTCCGGGTTGCCCTCATGCTTAAACTTCATCGAGATCCACGTCACTTCAGCAATCTATCGCCATTTCAAGCCGAAATGCGGCGGCGTCTGTGGCTAAATATTGTCCATGGTGACATACTATTGTCCTTCCAAATGGGCTTACCCTCGATGATACCTTACGGACAAGCAGACACTACTCTACCAAGAAATCTTCGAGAAGATGACTTTGACGAGGATACCAAAGTTCTCCCTGACAGTCGCCCTTTCGACAATACGACCAATATGGCATTCTACCTTGCAAAGGCTCCCGTGATCAAGACTTTTGGCCATATTGCTTCGCACCTACAGGATGTGCACTCCTCACCCGAGGCAGTTCAAGCTCTGGATGCTCAGCTGCGACAAGCGCGGGCCAACGTGCCTGCCTACTATCAGATGCGGCCCATTTCAGACTCGCTGATTGACCCGGCTTTTACCCTGATGTGCCGGTTCGGCATAGATCAGATCTGCTTGACTGGATTCTGTATTCTGCATCGAAAAGGTCTGGTGGCTGCTAGATTCGATGCAGAATTCAAACCTTCCCGACAGGCATGCGTCGAGGCTGCCATGGCAATGCTCGAATACCAGCATGTCCGGCACGAGGAAAGCAAGCCAGGAGGACGCTTGTCTGGCCTGGGGTCCACAATGTTGTCCTTTACCAAGAACGATTGGCTCTTAGCTGCAATGCTGATATGTCTGGACATCCATCTTTCTGCGACCAACCCGACCAACGTCTCAGATGATGTTTCAATATGGGGCCGCGATCGTCGTGAAGAGATGCTCAAGGCGCTTGAAAGGTCTTATTATATTTGGCGCGAGTATAGTGAAGAGTCTGTGGAGGCGCTCAAGGCCAGTGAAGCACTCGCTGCCATGCTTGCCAAAATCCGGCCAGAGTTTGGGATCTCGACCAGATACGGATCAACAAGGACAACAACCTCCCTCAATGGTCAATCTGACTTGGATCCGACTTCGGCCGCCCCTTGTACTACGCAGAGTGATGGTGGCAAGTTGGGGCCTGAGTTTCAAGTACCTGATCTGTTCTCTGAGGAGCCCGGGAATATTGATTGGGTATGCTGCCAGCAGGTGGAGAGTCTTGACTCGAAGCTAACATATTACGCAGGACGAGTTAGATCGCTTCTTCATCAGTACTGGTGCGATGTCATCGACCGTTTACAATCAGGAATCCCAGACAGAGGACTGGCTGAATGGCGACCTATGGGCTTCAGGCCAGGGCTATTGACTCTACTGGGCTCTGCACGCTCACAACACTGAATCGTCTTTGTGATAAGGGAGCGCAGCGTCGAGTAATGGTGTTATGGACTATTCTGAAAGCGACTCCAGATTCTACAAGCCGTATCAGCCTCGGACGCTACAATGAGCACTTGATAGGCCGAGGCCTGATTAGGATTAGGCAAGAAATGGATACCAAACGGGAATGAAACGGAGCTCGAAGCATTCACGTCAGATCAAATGACGACAAACGCTGAATCTCATTCACGGTATACCACTGATGGCACTGACCTGGGACGAACAGCGACAGTCCCAAAGGGAGTTGTCTTCAACCTTTGAGGAGAGCGGAAATTCAAATGAAATTCAAGGACGGACGCCAGCGAACTCGATTCACATATTTGGACTGTGGAACTCCCGTATTCCCCGGAATCTGGCTGCGGTCTTGAGTTCACCTGCGCAAGCTACATTCTCTGTTCATAATTATCGTCCGCCAACATATAAAGACAGAACATAGAGCTCACGGTACTTCGGTCCAGGCTCGACACATGGTACGGGCATACCTTACGAGTTATGTTCGGCGCCTTTCTCAATTCTCCGTGAGAAGCAGCTACTCAATTCGTATTTCGAAAACATTCACAATTCCGTCATGGCTCTTCTTCCTTTCTGCCATTTACCTCCTGTCTCGGCTACACACGGCTCAACAAGGCACACCGAAATCACGGCGCCGCCGATCTCCCCATCACGGCTTTGAGTTCTTCATGTCACGCCGAGGAGGGATCTTGGATGAGTCACTTGCTTGGGCCTGATCAGCTGTAGGTGCCCATATAGACGTCGGGGCCTGAGGAAAGCTTCCTCCCATCTCGTCACCCACACAGATCATTGACAACAACAGGAACGTCCGGGGTTTCTTCGGAACAGAATGAATACGTCCACCACTATCATCACCATCTTGCAAGCCCGAGAGACTTGATGATGATGCGGTGTATTACCGATCTGAGTTCCTGAGTTAACATTGTCGACCTCGAGCACTCTGGCAAATAGCCGGAAGACTTCTACCGAGCAAGTAAGTGTAAGAAACCCGGCCATGAACTGTGCAAAAGGGAAAGGTTCGTTTGCTGTGAGCATTACCATTGCGCGTCGTCACTTGACTGTTGCGAGTCCTTGTCTAGTCGGTTGGTGAGCTGGGCTTATTTGAACTGGACTTTGCTGACAGCAGTGTTGGGTCGGTACACCACTCAACATATCACTCTTTATGAAGCGACCATATACGCCCGTTCACGAGCTGTTATCTTTGCCCGGTGACTTGGTCGTGTGAACGCCTTGGCTGAAATATTCAAGCTTGCTGCATCGGCTTTCCGATCAACCCGTCAATATCCTTGTGGTGTTGAAATGAACATTCGCCGATGGTGACCCCTCTGCCCTTGTACGGCACTACAAACACCGCCTGATCATCGGGAGAGGCTTCACTGGCGGATATGTAAGTAGACAACGGATAGGGTATATAAAGTTGTCTACGTCAAGACAGTCCAACCAATCTGTAAACGCCCACACTCTGGACTGGCTGGCCTCTCTCTACCTGCAGCCTCAGCATCGTGTCACGATTGCGTTCGACAGTGTAGCGATCACCTGCGCACTTTTGACCACCATCCCGAAGACGCGGAGATTGATGGATGTCCCCCATCTCCTGAACCCGAAGCAGTTGCATGCAGCACGTAATCATGGGCATGATCACCGGCAACATCATCACCGCCTCAAAGTCCAACAGCAGCGGAAGCACCAGTTATTTGATAACGGCGCCACCGTAAACCCTTCCCAGATGTACAACCCAGCTCGAGAGGAGTTGCCGTCATATCAAGCTCCAGACAGCAGTAATCACACATGGCCAAACAACACCATCACCGAGACCAACCCATGTACAACGTCATCGTCATCGTCGTCGTCATCATCATCCACCTTCTTCACCATCGGCACCGAGGCCAACGTCTGCACGAGCAGTGCAGCCATCCAACATGACCAGCAGGGGGACGAGGCGCGTGAACTTGGGCGTTTCTTCATTCAGAGCGTCGAATACGCACGCGGCCACTTCTTCGTGACGGCCAAACCCGAAGAGATCTCCCACCCTGATCCACCAAGCATCAAACGGCCGACTTACCCAGAGATGCGTCAACACTCGCTCAGGCATTTTTCGCCATGTATCTTCTTCGTCCAGTACCCCTGCAGGAGCAAATGCCGCAGTCTCGGCATCTGCGTGCACTATCAGTTTGTGATCCCGTGCGGCAAATGTCCCGACGGCTTGATCTGTTCAGAATGCATCCAGAGCACGAGTCCACAGGAAGTAAGTTTCTCTCACTCTCTCACCCGCGTCCTTCTGACATAAAGGACCCACGCAGGCCATAATGGCAACACGTAAGTGTCCATTGCATCAAGACCCGAACCAGCCGAATCCCATCAGCAGCCGCATGGAAGATTTCCTGGCGACAGAAGCACAGAAGGCGGCCTGTGACGAGATCCTGCTGCGATCGAGGAATAGGCAGTGGGAAGACACAACAGATATCCCCGTTCCGCCGGTGCACAGTGATTTTGTACCAGATCGAGATCGTTACAGTAGGGAAAGAACGCCCCGGAACCTGGACGACGTAAAAATGCTGGACGGCAGTTTCGGAGGGACTGAAGCAGGAGAAGCAGGTGTCGGAACGAACAGCGGTCTTGGTCCGCTAGACCAGACACAACCGTTTCAACCTGACCCTTGTGGGACTAACACGTTCGACGAGAGTTTCTCGTTAGATCTGTTCGGAGGCCCCTTGGGGATGCAGTCGTGGCCGTGAGGATGGTTGCAGACAGGCATTGATTGTGGCCTCACAAGTACGAGGGTGGCTGGGATTCTGTTGAAGGGCCGTCGAGGGTGAGATGGTGACATGTACATGAGAAACGAAAAATCGGAAAGCCCTAGACAATGCAAATGTGGGATTAAGCGTCCCTACCTACCTACCTACCTACCTCCCTGCCTACGTGACAACATGTGGGAGATGAACCTTGCTCTGACTGGGTCGTACAACGAATTGTTACAAGACCCATGATGACGCCAAACGGTGAACGACTGATGGCCGCCATATCAGTAGTATCATTCCAGATCCAAGATTCTGCTGAAACAAGAAACTTTCTTCCTGGGTTAGTTCAGGTGCTGGCATGTCAAAGTCCTAGGGGCGTGTGAGCATTGAGCAACTCAGGAGTACTGAGTAAGTGGGCACCTGTTCGTGGCCGTCAGTAATCGAAAAATGGTTTATCCAGGTGATTGAACAATGATGAAATTGATCTCTACTGTGCTCGTACTCGGCACTCGGCGGTTGATGGTTGTATAGGTGGTTTGCTCTAGTGCCTAGGTGGGTGTGTGTGTGTGTGTGTGTTCGTGTGTCACTACGCAAGCCATGATTGTAGGTGAATCAACCATTATCCTGATTGAGAGCTTGGGCCTAGTGGCCTCACCAACTCAGGTCCCTATTTATTATTTAGCCTCACTAACTAGCCTGCTCTGAGTTGAGGTATTGTGCAATGGTAAGCCCAGCACGACACCCGAGAGATAACGTAGGTAGGTATAGTACGATAGGCTCTTTTCCCTCCAAGACCGACAAAACCTACAGCACAGGACAGGACACTTTTTATTGGTACAGTTCTCCGAACCGGGTCTCCCATGACTTTTGTAGGTATTGTACCTAGGTTAATAATAAGGATGAACGCCTCTGCCGTAGGTGGCGTTTTTTGGTTGAACCCTTTTCCTTTCGGTCGATATGACAGGTCAGGGTTTTTACTTCAGTTTTAGTTCAGTTTTTTGGTTTTTGAAGTTAACCTACTGTAGGTATCGTCTTTTACTCCGTACGAGTAGTATTTACGTAGTTTCTCTTCCCCAATACCTGTTCTCGTATGTACTACGGTGCCACCGACGCGGCAGTGGTACAGTAGGTGTACTACTGCGTATCCACACCGTCGTTCCAGGTTTTCTCTTGATTAGTACCTATTGTAGGTATTGTAGGTACAGTAGATACGGATAGCCACATACTGTTACGGAGTGGCTACCACAGTGAACCGGCTAACTTACGTCTGGCCACTAACCTCGGGTATGTATCCAGGTACTCTACGCATGTATTGTTTGTATCTACATACTAATCTATACAGCACGGTGTGAGTAGGGAGTAGTAATACTCATTACTTCGTACTGCACACCGACAGAACCGGACGAAAGCACAAGCTAGCTTACTACTGTACATATGTAGTGAGGTGGTTCCTGGAGACTTTGCCGTGGTGAGTAAAGTACACGTGCTCACTCACCTCAATTGCGTTCATCAAAGTTCATCTTATTATGTACTGTACTTCCCAGCTTTACTTGTACGTTCTGGGTAACGGACCAGCTTGACCGTTTCTGACCGACCATTTTATGCATCGGTACAAGTAGGACGTTGCATGCATATAGCGCACTATATACTACATACACAATACACGCATAGTATGTAGGTACAGAGTAGGTAGCTTTCGACTCGGTTATCATTATCCCATGTATGATGATGCCATCGTTGTGTTTTTTGTGTCCAACATTGATTGATTCGATGGCTTTTGTGCTCTCTCTCTCTCTCTCTCTCTCTCTCTCTCTGTCTCTCTCTTCTCTCGCGCCGCCCCTGACCTTGGGTACTCGTCCTTTCCCGTCGGGCCATTCCCTCCCTCCCTCCCCTTCCCCTCTCCCCCTCAATTCATCCAAAAAAACCCCCCAAACCAACTTTTTTGAAACAAATGACATGGATCGTGGGATGTTGGCTACGTAACCACCTCCCCTCCCCTCGCCCCCCCACCCTTCTCTCTCTCCCTAACCTTGACATAACCCTACTGCCCTACTGTAACCCTACACACCTATTGTGCAAACCTAGCCTGACCTCGGGGTCCCTGCGCCTCTTCCCACCTCAGACCCTGCATCACACAGACTTCCACAATTTCTCCTCCCGCCTCCTTCTCTTGGCTTGTTTGTTGACATCTGTGACGCCCCCTCCCCCACCACCGACGCAATGCGATATTGCAAATGACATCATCGGGCGCCACATCGTCCTCCTGCACATCCCTTGTACTCACGTGACGACGATCTCTTCTTCTTTCTTCTTCTTCACCACAACCCAAACCCCGAGTTCCCCCTCTCCGTCTCCGGCTCCTGCTCCGTCGTTTGGGTTCAAGTTGGGTTTTGTAATTAAATTTTATGATTAACGTTATTATTATTATTACTACTACTACTACTACTACTACTACTACTACTACTACTACTACTACTACTACTACTACTACTACTACTACTACTACTACTACTACTACTACTACT